TACAGTCCAAAGTGAAGAATTGGAATACGTAGGCCAACTGGGTGATTCCATACTCTGTACTCCGTACTCACTGCAGCATTCCAAACATAAACTGTCGATTCAAGATGATTGTCGTAGAGAAATCTTTAAATAGGGTTCGCCAATCGTCATTTCATTCCCATGCAATGTCTACCAATCAATGATCTGGGAGAGAAATCCCACAGCTCCGTGGCTATACCGATTGGGCTTCACCCACGCATTTCTTTCAAACGGCCTAGCTCTGCATTCCAGCCCAATCCCACGGCCGCTCCGATTTCATGTCTTTCAATTTACCAATATCATAGATTTGGACATTGCCCGAGCATGAGTCTAGCGAGCACAGAGATTTCGAGGGAAAGAATTTCTCCGCAGCCTTCTTGACGTCAAGCTTGTTTGTGTGCGTTCTGGGGATATCTTCGCCACCTCTCAGCACGCATAGGATCGTCGGTAGTTGGTACAACGGCAGATAAGGTGATAGTTCTTCGCGAAGCTCATCAAGGTTGAGATCGCTAGACTTCGAGTGAACGATAGCTCCGATACGATTTACGCATGTAGGGTCGGGCACTGGCACGACAAAAGCTTCGATGATGTGGGGAAGTTGCGATATTTGTGCTTCCACCGAGAGTCTGGGGACTCGAAATCCGTAAATAGTTTTTATGACTGTGCGTAGTTCATAGAAGATTAGTCTCTGGTGCACCAATACCAGGCGATCAATACTAACAGTCGGTTCCTAAGCGGCCATCCATCACGAAGTCATCGCCTTCCATGTGTGCAATGTCTCCGGTGTGGAAGTATCCTTCTTCGTCAAGGACCGAAGATGTCGTGACTTTCATCGAATCATCCAGGTAGCTATACATCGATGAGCAGAGTGCAGGATATTTGGATGGTATCTTTCTATCCACGATCGGGCAATATCTTACCCAGCAAACACAAACGGAGACCGAACGAGGATCTCTCCATGAGTTCCATTAGAGAGCTTCACATCAAACCCTTCTTTCGGTTTTCCGAGGGTTGGCCTCTATTTGCCGAGTTTTGTCAGACCTTTTCAATCACAGCTAACAAGAATCGGCAAGTCCAGCCCATTGCAGACTTACGTCGAAGTTTTCCGGCGGCTCGTCAATCGAGGATTTGATCATGGAGCAGCCCAGCTCAGTGCTACCATATGAATTTTGCAGCGCTCGCCCACCACGCAGATCCCACCAGAATCGCTTCAAGTCGGGCATAGCGGAGGCTCCGATGGTCACCGCTACACGCAGACCCTGCAAACCTTGGACGTAAGATGCACGCTCCTCTTCTGGAAGATGCATGATATAAGACTCATAGTGCCGCATAAGCTTGAGCCAAATAGACGGGGCGCCGATAAAAATGGTCAGATCACCCTTACGCAGCCGCTCCCACATGAGCGCGGCATCCCACTTCTGATTAAAGATCTCCAGCTGAACACCGGTCAAGATGTATCGGACCAGTGGAAGAACTCCCGCTGCGCTGATGACTGTGCGGTACACGAGAAATATATCCTGGCCGTCTTCTCGGGGCGGCAGTAGGTCTTGCGCGTGATAAAAGACGCGCCGGCTATGAACTATCGCCTTTGGCGGCCCGGTGGTGCCAGAAGAGAAGAGAATCAAGCTGACTCTTTCTGGCGAGAACTTTGTATCATGATCAATGGTGCAGTAGTGCGCAGAAACAGACTGGGGGTCTTTTGACGGGTCAATTCGGACGATATTCAGGTGGTGTCCGTTGTGTTCCTGGAGATAGGTCTGTATCTTCTCGGCAAATTCTGCATTTTGTGAATCGACTACTAGATATGTAGCCCTGCATCTGATAATTAATGACAAGGCCTCGTCGATTAGTAGCTCAGTGGCTGGAATTTGTTAGTTTCTAAAACCAATTTAAACCACCCCATTGTCGAGGTCTTACAAAGAGGTACAGCCGCGCCGCCGGTAGCCAAAATGGCCAGAAGAGCAACAATGAAAGTGTAATTTGGGCTTAGCAGAGTGCACACATAGACGGGATCTTCACTAAAGATGCTACCGCTACGGACGCAGTGTGACGGCAGGCTTTCGCAGAGGCCTTGCCGGACAGTCGAGACATCGCGGAGCAGCCGATCGTAATCTGCTTTCACGCCAGATCCAGGATCGTTGACGATGATGGAAGAGCGCTTTTGCTTTGTAATAGTGAGTAATTGAGAGAAACAAGGGTCATTGGGAAAGCGGGCATAAAGATCAGGCGGCTCCATGCTAGCTAGACAATTGAGGGTTGCCTTTATGGAACACGATGTAGCCGTGCAACAATATGGTAGATAAACTGAGCTGGAAAGTTAGACGAGATGATAGATTAGGTAGCTTGTGCGAAAAAATATTTTAGTGGGTGTTACTACACGGAGTCTGTTCGAACGATAATCCTACATGGGATGCAATGTGAGACTGCAGATATGATGCTTGTTGTACGGAGTAAAGCTTCCACCCATGAAATGTGCAGTTTCCTCCCTTACTTCTAAGCCAAATGTGTCAATATGTAGGCCAAGAAGAGAGGCTTACATTATTCCGTACGGAGTACTCCGTAGAAGATGGCAATATGACCTGTCAATTGCTTTCTGACTTCTGATCACGATCGACGAGATCGACAAGGCTAGTGGATAACATAATTGGCTAGACTAATTTCGTCTTGTTCAAGCTCTATTTGAAGATCAATTGGTACTACTGAGTAATTATAGATTACGCACATACAGAGTACTCCGTATCCTGCCAATCCTGCATATTGCGTTACCCACTTCAAGGTTGGGACTTTTCTCAAATACAGGTATCAACTTCAGGTATCCTTGTATATCGCCAAGAGTTTGACTTGTTACAGTCCCACAGGTAGAATGTTGGTACTGATCTTACCAATATTTGAAAAAGAGCCCCAAGTGGCTAACCCAACATGCGGGTCAGACAGGGTAGATGCGTCCGAATTTGCAATGTGCTATATTTGTTGCGAATTTCAAAATGTTGGTCTGGATGAGCGTTCCTGTATGTTCATTGGCTTGTCCAAACACATTATATACAAGCTGTCGACGAGTATAGATCGTCTCGACTTATTCGTCACTACTGGAGATCTGTATTCCCGCTGGACGCCATCTGTGTCCGTGTGCGTATACAACCCACAGTAGGCTAGAAGCCCCCAGATATATCAGGGCAATCATAGTTCCCATCCAGCCCGTTCCCACAGCTTTGATCAGTGGATTGACCGCGGCCGCAGCCCCTGCGCCGCAGAGGAAGCGAAAGAAATTGCTAGCGGCTGAGGCACTGGCGGGCTGATGTACGTGTAGACTCGAGAGCAGCCCTGCCAGCTGTGTCCTCGCACCCGTTAACATATTTCCCAGAAAGAACAATATCACTATTGGACCTGCGACGTGTATGTCGTAGTGCAGAGCCCAACCGTAGGCTACGACAAATGCAACCCCCAGGTATACGGTGGGAAGGACTATCTGAAGCCGGGCTCGCTCAATATGGAAGACCGTTGGTTCACCGAATTGGGTTTCCTTGCCCCCTCCAGCCAATCGCTTGTGCCGTTGTACATTAGCATTCATCAATGGGCCAAATATCCAACGCGACGTGAATCCCCCTATCCCGTAGGAGAGGTGCGTAGCGCCAACTTGAAGGACGTTGAAGTGGAATCGCGCTGTGAATACAAGCGGGATGGTGACGATTATCGCAATGGAACCACCAAAGAGAATTGCTTGGGATACAATTAGTAGGAAGGCTTGCTTGCGAAACGCGATCTGGATTGTTTGGAGGATGGTTGATCGCCGTTTTGGTGGGATGCAAGTGTCATATTCCGGAGGACTAGACGGCGGCCAGAGCAGCTCCATCATAGGGCGATTCCATCGCTTTGGGGGCACGCTACCATTTCCGACCTGTCCCCGACAGGTTTCTGGGAGAACGGTAATGACAAGGAGCAGCACAACTCCCGCAACAGCAGCCAAAAAGTAAAAAATACTTGGCCAGCCAAAAAATTGCGAGAGAAGACCGCCGATAAGTGGACTGACGACTGAAGCTATGGAATAGCCCACCGAAGTGTAGACTCGGAAGTCCTTGCGCTCAGCGGGACGAATAATATCGTGCACTGTAGCCATCGAGACAATGGAGACACTACTACTGCCGCAGCTTTGCAGGCAGCGAAGGACCAGTAGTCCGGCATAGGTGGTCTGTTGCGCGAGACCAATATTGATGACGATGCATACAACTAGACTGACGATTAACACAGGTCGGCGCCCTCGCTCATCGGACATGCCCGCGATTAGTAGCGGGAACATGGCCTGGCAGAGCTGTCGGGGACGAATTAGCTCGTTCTGTACCAGTGGGGGGGTCTAGATGTGGGGGTAGAATAGTACCATGTATGCAGTGAGAGTGAGGCTGATCTTGCTCGGCGAGACATGGAGATCTTTGGCAAGAGGAGCTAAAGATGGATAATATATCCCCGCCCCCATCGGCCCAATGAAGGTCATGGCGGATACGAGGATGATGATTGCGATCTTTTTAGGCCGTGAAAATATCGATGGCGAAAGGGGCTTTTTTCGTAAACTTTTGGCTTCTGCATCGGTGATACCTGGTGGATTTTCATGATCCGTTGGTTCAGTCATGGCTGAGAAAGCTGGTGAAAGATTATGGACAGCCGGTTGAGTGAGAATGTGTTGTGAGATGCACGAAAAAATGAACATGGGAAGATGCAGTCCTATTCAAAATCCCTGGATGCTAGAATGTATATCGATAGCTCAAGAACAGATCGTAAAATATGGAACTTTCCACATCAAATAGACTATAGACGAAGATGCAAGGGATAGGTGCCCGAGTACGGAGTAATAAGAGAGACCATCGAGAAGAATGATCATCGTGACCATCATACCAATTCACTAGTTCAAAGGGGAGGGTCCAATTGACTTTTTCTGAAAAAGCATAATTTGGTTTGAAGATCTTCATGCATCGCGATGAGATTCTCGGTCATTATGCCGCGACACCACCCCAATCCCACGCCTTCTTTGGCCTTAGGTCCTCCGCATCCAATGGCCACACCTCCATACATGAAGACTGGGTATCCTCCAAAAAATACATCTTGATCGCTTGACTGCGCGCCAGCTTGCCTTGGGGACTAGTGGGGAGTTTGGCATGTGGCTCGAGCACCTTCAGAATGGAGGGTAATTTGTACACCGACAAGGCGTCGGAAAGATCTCTTCGAAGTTGCTCCAGGGAAATTTCTCGCGAATCCATGTCCCCAGTTTTATTCCGGCGACGGACCAAGCAGCCAACCCGCTGACCGTACTGCAGGTCTGGAATACAGAGCACGTACGCCTCGCCGATGTAGGGTAGTTCGCAGACGTGAGACTCAACTTCATTAACCGAGACGCGAAGGCCATTGAACCGAACAACTGGAGCATGATTAGTGGCCAATGGTTATTGCGGGAAATTTGGTTATTATTCACTCACAATCCACGGTCGCTCGTCCATCAATAATCCATAAGCCGCTGGATTCACGGTGGACAAGATCACCAGTCTTATAGTATCCCTCATTGTCGAAAGTTTCGCGCGTACGTTGTTCATCATCAAGATACCTAGGATCACAATAGAGTTAGATGGCTCGTAGGTTGCTAGGCTCGCACTGACCCGATCATCATGGTGGGACTCTTAAGCAAGAGCTCCCCATGATCCCCCTCGGTCAACTTCGCCGTGACACCTGGCAGAGGAGTGCCGATGACAGGCTAACTGAAGATTAATATCACATTGCGAATAACAACTTGGATAACGGGATCTCTGACCTGGGCAATCTCTTCCTCCTTCCGAAAACGAAACGAAAATGCTTCGCGTCCTGTCTCCGATGACCCATACTTCACGATCCAGGACTTCCCAGTGCGAAGTCGCAGCCAGAATCGTCGCGCGACCGGCGATGGGAGACCTCCCCCGAACCACGCAACCCTCAAGTTATGTGCCCCGTCGCGATACTCCTGCAGATCGGATGAAGGGAGCCTGCTGAGGTTTTCCTCGTAGTGTAACATCAACAACTGCCAGAAGCGCGTGGCACCTGCTAACACGGTCACGCCTCCTTGACGTAGTCGCTCCCAGATGATAGCTGGTTGAATGCCGCCAGGGAAAAGCTCTGCACAGGCCCCGGCATATATCAGATCCATGAGATTGAGAATGCCGGAGAGACCATTGACAGGTCTGTAGACCAACGCGATATCATGAGACGTGCAGTCCAGTTCGACATTGGGAAAGAAGAAGCATCGAGGAAGCACGACGCCTTTCGGAGGACCTGTGGTCCCCGAGGTGAAGAGCACGAGTCCAGGCCCATTAGGGTTAAAGCTTTCTCTGGTAGCCGTTGACGAAAGGGCGGGGGAGTTATGGCCCAATGCCAATTCGATAGGGATGTCGAGACCAGGTTGTTGCTCGGAACGGATTTGAGAGGCGAGATCCCCTTGATTGGTTCCCACAAGCAAGCAAGTTGCGCGGCACTTGTTCAGAATCCACGCACCTTCTTCAGGGAGGATACTTGTAGCTGCATCTTTATTAGCCGGCGGCAGATATGGAAAGAGATAATGAATGCCATACATAGGGGCACTGCTACACCACCCAGTGCAATCACGGCATAGAAGGCGACGAGAAACTCATAGCTGAGAGGGGCGAGAATGCAAATATAGATATCACCATGTCCCGCCACATCGTGGGCGCTGACACCATTCGTGGCCAACTGGATGTTGATACGATCCTGAAAGAAGATTATATCGCGAAGAAATTGGGCGGGTGTAGCTTCAATGCCAGCAGCTGTGTCCCGAATCAACACAGAATGGATATTTTGCGCGTTATATAGGAGCCTTTCGAAGAGCGGGTCATCGGGGAGACCAGGCAATCGATCCAATGATGGAGACATCGTGATGCGTGAGTGGCAGAAAGGGAATCACAATCAGCTTCTTTTTGTTCTCAGAAAACCTTTTAAGCATTCGATGGTTTACTAAGACAAACTACGGGCTACAAAAGAAGACGTAAAAGGGCGATGCATGAGGCTAAGAAAGCTAGAATGTTGAGATTTGGAGGAAGCAGGACTGAGCTCCAAACACCCACAAGCCTACCAGAATGCCAGATCATCAGCCCTGAAGGCATGTAAAAATGTATCGTAATGAAAATTTTGCGGACATTTGATTTAAAGATGCATCTGCACAATGCCCCACATGTGCATATTGCATGTACAGATCCAGATCCAGATCGGCGTGAAGTAGCGGTCAGCATGAGATGCATCAGATCTACCGCTCAATGTGCCCATTGATACTTTGTTGAGAAATTTGCTCTGTAGGGAGCGGGACATATAGGAACTTTATCGTATGTTACTGCTAGTTACAACTCCGTACCCCTTATCCTCGCTAAACTGTCATTGGAGTACCTCCCCAGTCCCACGCGTTCCGGGCCTGCAGTTCCTCTGCCTTCAAAATCCAGACCTGCACGTCATCAGCTAATCCAGGACCATCTGTACGCAGAAAGTACTTCTCAGCCGCAGCTTTGCGTATCAGTTTTCCTGACGCGGTTCGTGGGACTGTATCACCAGCCGCCAACACCCGCAATGCAGTCGGGATCATGAACATGGGAACTTTATCTGATAGTTGGGATCGGATATATTGCATGCCCAGAACCTGGTTCGCTTTCTCGGAATCGAACTGAATCAATACTCCCACGCGATACCCATAGTTCTCATCTGGTACAGGAACGACATAGGCTTCAACCACAGCGTGAACCTCGTTCAATCGCGTTTCCAGTTCAATGACAGGCACTCGGTACCCGCGGAACTTGATAACTGAGCAAATGGTTAGCGCAAGAAGTGAGGGTTTGGTAGCTTGGGACTAACAGTCGGATGATACTCGGCCGTCAAAGACGTAATCGTCTCCCACCTTGTGGCCACAGTCACCAGTTCTATAAAATCCGTCGGCGGTAAAAGCTTTCTTTGTTGCCACAGGGTCATTCAGATATCTGCGACTGTAAGTTAAAAAAGTTATTGTAATGGATCAAACGCAACTCACCCGGAGAAGAGTGTAGAGTTCTTGATCTCAAATTCTCCATGGTCCCCATCTGACAGTCGAACAGAAATACCGGGGAGTGGTCGACCAATACAGCGCTATACACCGTGAATCACACGTCAGAAGCGCACTTGAATGTTTTTAAAAGAGGCTGGGCTTTGTAGACAAACCTTGAGGTCAGGATCACTATCTTTTGAAGTCTTCAGAGATATCCTGCCTAGCTCCGTGGCACCATAGCAAATGGTTAACGGTCTCCCCATCTCTCGCCAGAACCTGCCAAGTGGCTCAGGCAATGCTGATCCGGATACATTTGCCGCTCGGAGATTTTGCATCCCACGTAGATATTGATCCCGTTCCGAGGACGGTAGTTGGTCCAGGTTCTGCAGGAAATAATCCCTCAATCTCCCCCACATCATCGGAGGGTTGCCCATGAAGGTGATGCCTCCCTGGCGCAAGCGCTCCCACATGATCTTCGGGTCAGCGGGGACTATGTGCATGCAATATCCATAGAATGTATGCAGGATAATTCTAAGAGAACCACCAACCCACTGCGGAGGTCCGCTTAACAAAGAAACGCCGTTCATGTGAGGGTCATACGTCACGTAGAATAGACGTCGGGTGTGCACCACAGCTTTGGGGGGTCCCGATGTCCCCGACGTAAATACGATCATACCAGGACTACTGGACTCAATATCCCAGGTCTCATCAATGAGTGGCTCGACAGGTTGATTGCTTTTAGTGCATATAAGCAAGGCGTCAACAAGGTAGCCCTCAGTCGCGGCATGTGTCATAATTTCGCTTCCACGCTCGGAGGTAGTTGACCCCATCAGAAGGGTAGTCGACCGACACATGCGCATCAGATGCACAGCTTCTTCCGGCATAATCGCTGGGGCTGCTCCGGGTCGTCAATTCTGCACGAGTAGACATGGCTAGGAAACTTACCCAGTGGAACCAAGGCCCGGCCCGTCGCAAGAATTGCAAAAGCTGCGACAGCGAATTCATAGTTGCAGGGATTGAGAAGAAACACATAGGGACAGTCTTTGCATCCCATAGAGTTTGCTGACTGGAGCCCTATCTGGGTAGCGTGAACATCCTGGAGAAACTGCGTGTAGTGGGCATCGATATTCAGTTGGAAGTCATGAAATTTGGGACGATTCGGAGAATCCTTGAAGTGCTGAAAGAACGCTCTGAAAAAAGGTTCATTAGGGAGAGCGAGTCGAGCCAGTTTGAGATCCATAACAAGCCGCCGTGGGACGTGAAGTGGGACAGCAGAGCAAAATGGCAGGGGGGTTAAATAGCACACAAGAACTTAATCAAAGCCTGTTCCACCTTTTCACTGTATTAGGTTCAACAACTTTTCTAGTGGTCGAATAGTAGTTGAGGAACTTAATGTTGATATTAGAAAATCTCAGTACTAGTCAAAACCGGGGGTACACCTAGTCCTACCTAATATAAGCCCAAGTCACTATACGGCATGACATTTTTAGTGTCCTATCTCGAGCAATTACTTGGTATTTCGTACAGATCAATTGACAAACTTTATAACGTCAATCTACTTATTACCTCCACAGCACTAATCCTGGGCATCGACATAATTATCTAGGCGACACAGCTCACATTTTGAAAAGAGGCGGTCACTAGTAAGCTTTTACTCCACAATGCATGCACCATCTAGGAGATGCAGCTCACATTTCGAAAGAGGCGGTCACTTGGAATTTCTACGCTACGGAGGAATATGCATGCATACGGAGTAGAGATACCACCAGTCCCTAACTAAAATTATTACGCTATCGATGGCGTGTCCACATGTGACCTCTAGTAGTTAGCAGTCAAACAAAATAGGCACCTCTACCTAGGTGTCCAGCGGCCTGTGTTTCTTTCGCAGATTTTCCTATACATTGACACCTTAATGCTTGAATTTCAGACTGCCCTCAGAGATCATTTTACAGTGTATTGCGATCTATTCGGCGCAGAATAATAAGGTCCCATTTGCCATAGTATATTGCTCACTGTTCCCGAGGTCCAGATCCCTATCACCAAGCACAGAAGCATTATTTCATCAGGCCAAAATTGGATGGGGGTTTTGAGACGGTCATCGCAGCCAACTTTGGCCTTTTTCCAAAACAGAACAACAGTAGGGATAACTTTCGGCTACCTAGGTATCCCTCAGGCAAAAGGCAAAGATAGGAAATATCCCGACGGGAGATTATGCAACGCCTTTCCAGATCACTCTCAAGTTGTCGATTTATCTGTCGAATACAACAAAGACCGCGGGGTTGACGTGATTAAGTTCGAATTTGAATCAGGTGCGAGCTTTGGATCTCACAGACTCAGACTTTGCGTTGAGTCTAATGATACTACAGATGCCACCCCCGTTGGTTTTAATCGGCGAGACGTATGGTGGAAAGATGATATGACCGCGGAAAGCCAACAGCCCCCAACTTAGCAAAAGAGAAATTTCGAGCCGCCTGCTCGATCCAAGCTCGTTGAAATGCTTGTATTGTGTTAAGAATTTAATAGCTTTGGGACAGTGTACGAGCCTCAACAAGTGGAGTAAGCCTTCACCGTTAGAAGGTTACAGAAATGAAAAATTTGTGCTCAACCACTAGGATTTTCAGACTGCGTATTTTGAAAGGCTTTTAGTCACTCCTCATTCAAACGATGACCACGCACGACCCTAGAAGATATACAAAGGTATCAATGATCGTCTCACCTACGGGGCATACGGGCTATACAGGTTGCAGAACATATCTGGCGGTGGAGTACCTATGTATGTTTATCACAACTGTCGTGGTCTTATCCAAACCATTATTTCGTTCTACATCTCTTTTTATATATCTTCCACCTCTTTCTCTACCTCTCTTTTTGGAGTGTAAAGATGTCACGTTCGCATTGTCCTAATTTCGCTGGCCAACCGGGAAAAGTTTCGTGTCTAAGTTGTCTGATGTTAGTGGCCTAGACAAATAAGTTGAAAGACAAGGTTGATCAGGGACCATGTGTACTTGTGGCGATATATGCACCATGCGTAAAGAGAGATAACCGAGACGGCAAGAAGAAGAACTAGCTCGACTGGATGGAAGGAGAGATTCAGGATCTTCCAGGTGGCAAGGTAGATGGCCATGCGCATTTTGTTGATAGTTGTAACGATAAAGTGAGTGATGAACAAGATGAGAAAGAAAAGCTAAGGATAGTGAAATATTTGTAGTCGAGAAGGCTTGAACGGGTTGAAAAGAAGAAAAGAAGGGAAGATTGGAAGAAAATATCAATTGCTGCCATATGCTGTGCACAAAAATAGAATAGATTGAAAAGTAAAGTACATGTGAAACCAGCCCTATTCCGTTTGATATCTGAAAGTGCTTGGAAAGGACAAAATTTTAGAGCTTGAGATAATGATGAAAAAGAAATCACGGACTCGGGCTATCATCATAACGGGGACCACCATCATTACCACCATAACCAGCACCAGGTGTAGCAGCCACGCCCATAGCAGGGGTAGGCGCATCATAAGCCGCTGGGGTGGGACCACCAGGGGTCGGCGCGCTGAAAGCACCACCAGGGGTAGGTGCACTCTCGGGCCATGCGCCGGGGGTTGGTGCACCAGGAGTGGGGGCTGCGTATGCGCCAGGTGTAGGAGCAGAGTAGTTTCCACCTGGGGTTGGGGCATCGTCGAAATCGCGCTGGTCCCGGTTGCTAGAGAGGCCACCCCAGGCTGGGGTGCGGTTGCCTGTATTTGTGTTTGGGGCGGCGCCTCCCCAGGCAGGAGTGCGGGAGCCAGATGCGAATGCGTCGAATCCGGAGCCGGAGTCATATGGAGTTTTGGAGCCGGAGTTCCAGGCTGGTGTGCGGTTGCCGATTCCTCCGTAGGCGGTACGGCTGCCGTCTGCGTAGGGATTGGAGGTGCGAGAGCCGTCATTTTTCCAGGCTGGGGTGCGGGAGCCGCTAACGCCGCCCCAAGCAGGAGCTGGGTGATTATTAGCATCTTCAGCCATTTTGTTGCAAGAGTTGCACTTACTTCTCGATGAGTTGGCGCCGCCCCAGGCTGGTGTGCGAGATGAATCAGCGGCCATAGGGGTTCGGCCACCAGACCAGCTATCTCTTGGTGGACCACCAGAAGAACCGAATGGAGTGCGACCACCTGCGCCTCCACCTCTTCCACGGCCCATGGATAGGGGCTGTTTGGAAACCGGACTGTTGAAAGTTAGTTAAATATGGAATGCTTACAACGTGGATGGTGACATACTCTTTAGGTGTCAAAACGTCTCGCGGAATGTGAACGGGCTTGTTAGATGTGTAGAGCTCGACTTGAGCGGAGTTGTCGTCTGCATCGCGAACAATACCGACTAACCCCTTGAAACGACCCTTGCGGATAGTCACAGTCTTTCCAATCAGCTGGTCACGGCCACGGCGAGGTGGTGGCATGTTGGCACCGCCGCCAGGTATCTGCTGCGCCAGGGCGGGGTTCATCTTGGTCAGGTCAGGACCAGTGGAACGACCACCTCGTGCTGACACGGTAACAACATTTGTTGTTCGGACCACCGAGATACCCGCATTCTCAGCTTGCGCCTTGTTGTGCAAGAAGAGGAATGAACGGTGGATGTGACGGATAACTCCACTGCGCTGCTCTCCGTAGACTTCCCGAACGGTATCGGCAGCCCGAATCTCTGCGCCATTGCGATCAGTAGCGACAGCGTCACGGCGAGGAACAATCTTGTTGGCGATTTGTGTTGGAAGTATGTTGCGGATGGATCCATTCTGGTCAATGACACGGAGGGATTCCCGGTCGACCTTGATGACACAAGCAACAGTTGCAGCGTCAAGCTGAACCAAGTCATGCACGTCGTAAATACCAAGTTGTCCATCGGCAGCCATTTCGGCTGAGAGTCGAAGATCTTTACTGAAGATTGTGATCTCCTGCATGCTCATATCGCTGAGCAAAGTCACAGTGTCGTCCTTGACTTGAACGACCATACCCAGTTCGTTCTGGTACCGGCTACCGCCAATCACCTTGACGTGGTCACCTTCACGGAAGCGTTTGCGGAGAGTTCGGACAGGCGCGTCGATCGTCTGACCCGCCAAATCACCCTCGGTGACTTGCAATGAAACAATGTCACCCCGAGTCGACACTGTGCGACCAATGAGACCCTGCTGTTCACCCCGGTAGACCTCCACGGGATCACCAGGTTGGTATGACTCCTCGGCTGTGGAGTTCTTCAAAGTCTCGGCCAATGAAGCCAGATCCAAATTAGCGGTTCCGTCTTCTCCTCCACGCGCGAACATCGTGACTTCCTCGAGTCGGGGATTGACATTCTTGGCACTCAAGTGCTGAACGCGCATATCTTTAATGAGGAAACCATCCACGTAGTTGTCATTAAGATAGTTCCAGGACTTGCCGCCGAGACCAGATGTAGAGGAGAGATACTTCGCGTGCTTCTTCTTTGCCTCCGTCTCACTGAACAGGCGCTGGGGCGGGCGAACGGTGTTTGCGGCACCACGCTTGCGCTTGACGTCAGTAGGAGCACCAAAGGTATCTTCATTCATTCCGTAGTCCAATCGAGGAACCAATCGAACGGTAACGTTCAATCCATTGGTTTCGACCTCCTCAATCTGGGCCAGGTCGCCTTGGTATTTACCACGCTTGATGCGAATCCAGCCACCAGGCAAAAGTTCTTCCGATTTTTGAACGCGAAGAAGATCGGGCATCTCCTTCACTGGAACCAAAGTGAGCTTCTGGGAGGGGTAATAGAAGTTGATGGCGTCCAGGCCCTCAACAACATCCGCCTGCCTGCGGGCTTCACAGTAGAACCATCCCTGCATGATGTTTCCGCGTTCGAAAGCTGAAATGATTCGAATGGGGTTGCGAGACCCTGCTGGACGTTCTTCAATTCGTTTCTGGATTGAATAAACGACCTCCTTCTCCTTTCCGGGCTTACAGCGGCCACCCCAAATGCTGGGGTCCTCCACACTGGGAAGCAGAAGTCGTTTCGGAATCACAAGAGAATCAGAGGCGGCGGCACGGTTTCGTCCATATCGTTCCTTGAGCATCTGAGCTTGCTTCTCGGCGTCCATGCTGGCGTCGATCTCGCGCTGGCGATCCAGTTGTCGGTGGCGGCGGTCATCTGTCTCGGTGCCTTGAGGCAACGCATCAAGATCGTCGGGGTGTGTCTCCATGCCATACTCGGCAAGCTCGTCCTCCTCATCGTCGCCTTCGTCCTCATCTTCGTCGACACCAGCCTCAACATCAATGAAAGGGTTTGCCTTTCGTCGTTTCTTTTGAGGACCCTGTAATAACAACGAGTCAACTAAGTCCTTCTGTGTGGCCTCATATGCAGGGGTAACAAACCACTGCCTCTTCTTCTTCGTCGTCGTCGTCTTCCTCTTCTTCTTCCTCCTCCTCTTCCTCATTGTCTACTTCGTTCTCCGCCTCATCGTCGGGTTGCCCATCGCCTCCATATCTCGTATTGTTAGCATCATCGCCAACGGATGTTTCCCTATTCGCTGGCTGTTTCCGACTCAGATGTTAGTGTCATGCGCACTGGCGCTCGAGTTGTGACAGTAGACCGACCTTAGAGCTGGGTTCTTCGGCATCGGATTCATCTGGAACCCCAGGGTTGAAATCATCCTCCTCGTCGTCGGACCCAAAGTCCTGGTTCAGAAAGTTTGACATTTTGGGAAGTGGTCTCGGAGGTAAGGCGCAGAGTCTGGTGGAGGCGCTCTTGCAGAATTCTTATTTGGAGATATAGATTTCTGAGTGACAAAAATGGAATCAGCGTCGGAAAGGATGGAAAACAACAGCTAAAGCAGCGATTCGTACCTTGTTCAAGGAAACCACACGATAGCTTGCGGGTCGATATAGCAGACGCAGATGCCAGAAGGCAGACTGTCCCGGTAGATTTTGAGGGACAAGCAGTCACTAATAGCGCCGAGTCAACCGGAACTGATCGACGGGAAATAGTGAGTGCAAGGTTGACAGGGAGTACAGCGAGAGTCGAGCTCTGCGGGCAATCACCGAGTTCCGCGACCGCCTACAAAGAACAACGATCGGAATGAGGGCGGAAGTTGGCCAAAAGGAAAAAAAGGACAACCCCACTGGTGAAGCGCAAATTATTGAAAACCTTTCTACCAAAGGATGTCTGAGAAAAGGGGATTGAGTAATTGAAGAGCGTGGAGGTCTCTCTGGTCGTCAAGGTGAGGCATAATCAATGCATGAGTGGTCACTGTGGAATACTCTAGTAGACCTTTTGCCTTGTGGCCTTAGGTATTGCCTTGGGGCCTTAGGAGCTTCAACATCAACATCAACATCAGAAATTCGGTCATCAAACAATCAATCTTACGGTTGTGCTCATAAACTAACTTATGATAAACTCTTGAGCATTTTGATTTGATATATAAGGATCTCAGAAACTAACACATCTTCAATAAAGATCTTGTTTCTATCAGGCTTTTATTCCAAGTGTGGAACAAGAACAGCCTCGAATGAGTGGCCAGTCTAACGATGAGGCTAAGAGGCCATGTACCGGCATTAGTTCCCTTCCTATTGCATTAGCAGTCAATAATGCTATCCGTGGACAGCACGCTCAATTGCGCTCCATTAATCCTTCAGAATCCAGTCATTTGCATCACATTAACCTAGTATACAATAGTTCTCATGGAATCAATTCGTATGCTGTGGCTGATACTTAGCTTCTACCTACAATATCAAACTTGTGCCACCGATCTCACAAAAGGCCAGCATTCTTCCAATACCTCATATCCAACTTACCACCCCTCCAATGTCCCTCATTTTTGAGCCAAATAACAAGAATTAGTCTGATCTAGCTCGTCCTCTTCCTCCTCCCAATCTTGAGCTGTCTTATATTTCTTCTGCAAATCAATAGAAATCCCAGACTTCATATCCCTAACAATAAAATTCAACTTCTCCAAAGCGCAATACTCAAGCAACCACCTTAACTCCCCAGACTCCCACCAAATTACCCAATCAGACTTCAACTGAAGCCTCGTATTCAGCACCTTGATCTTCCCCCGCGTGATATTTCTCAAAAGATTCATATGCTGCATCCTCTCTGCACTAGGCTGCATAGTCCGCACCAATCTCAAATGAGCATCTCTATACCCCTTAATAACCAACCAATACAGATCCTTCATAATAGCCAAATCATGGCACACTTCTGGCGGCGCATAGCTCGATATCATGTAGAGGATCGCCGCACTATTTGGCTGCACGCTGTGCGCCGCCGTCTGCAATGCGTACGCCGGCGTGTTCTGGCTTTCGTCGACTTGGTCTCTGAATCTGGGGGCCATGGGATCGCAGTTCTGACATAGCCAGTCGATGCCTGCTGGCTCGTTTCCTTTTGCTGCGACGACTAGGGCGGTTTCGCCCGTGTCACGATCAAAATCGGATTTGTATCCTGGTTGGACGTGGGAATGGTCCAGTAGCCAGTCTAGGATTATGGGTCCTTGGGGGTTTTCGATTGCTCGGTGCCAGATTGTACGGGACGTCGGATGGAGCTCTGAGGGGGTGACGCCAACGAAATCGTAGATGTGGAAGAAGGGGTCGAACTCGTGTGCGTCCGAGTCGAAGGTCCGAGAACGGATGATTGGATCGCTATATTCTGCATCGCGGTTCCAGTCATTGGTGAAGCATGCTTCTTCGGGTGGAATCATTTGGTTTGGAAGTGGTAGGTAATTTGGGAGTGTGTTTCTGGGCAACTTTGCGATGTTGAATCTTTTTGACAAGAGCCATCCTGCTAGCTCGGCTGTGATGAAGCTGCACAGTTCCAACTTTAGACCGTCGTCGTTCCACGCGCATATGGGGTATTCCGCTGCTTCTAGTTTCTCAGCCATCTCCTTGAATATGTTGTTGTCGTGCAGTAGAGCCACATGTTGAGGGATGGACATTCCATTGATTGACGTTGGTGAATTTCTAGGATCAGCACCCAAGCTGAGCAAATTCTCGATAGCAAAAACTATACTTTCATGATGTCCGCTCTCAATAACAGCATGGAGCAAGCTTTTTCCATTCCGGCCATAGTGTTGGAAATCAACGAGACCAAGGTCTACAATAAGTTCCAGACAAGTTGTACATTGACAGGCTTGCACAAATTGATATGCATATGTTTCTCGATGGCTATGAGGCAAGCTATCTCGACTGGCGTTATATGTTGAAATATTATCTCTGGCCTTGTATGCGTCCTTGAAGTTGGAATAATTCACCCAAGGCTTGAAAGCCTGTTCGAGTGTGCTCTTAGCTGGCTCCTTCATAATCCACATATTCACGATTATCTTATCCGCTTTCGAAGCCTCGCAAAACTCATGCAGGGCGTGGATATCGTCAGGAGTTGGGCATTGCGTGTCAACGTGAAGAAGGAGAGGAAGAACCAAAAGCAACAAGTCCTTTGGCATCTTGGTGAGGTCCATTGACCAGGCCATTGATTCGAGGGCCTTGGGGTCCATGTCTTCTACCTTTTCCAATAAATCTGACGAGGGGGTTTGAGAACCAGTGAACTTGTCTGTGTCATCGTTCACACGCATTCGCATTCGTTCGATGACCATATTAGCAAGCATGAGCGCCGCAGCGGAATATCCACTACTGACCACGGTATGCATCATTGCGTCGATGTTGCTTACAGGGCCATTGAAGTCGTTTGTTTCGAGTAGCCAATGTGACGACATTATGGACAGTGTGGCAGTGAAGCCTGAGGAAATTGTGATGAGTAAATCGGCAAGTTGTCTGCGAGTGCCTAGATAGGTAGGCGGGTAATATGTAAAATAATTTCTTGTCTCAAGTAGACGGTGCGCCGGTCTAGAAATAGATTTAGTCTAAAGAATCATGAACAAAGAAGGACAGTGGTTCTGGAGCTTTGTCCCTTGCGATGGAAAAATTAGAACAAAGATGGCTGAGATGAGAGAACTTTGGCATCGCTCCGAGTAGACAAAGACATGACAACGAATGTACCAGGATTTGGCTTGGAACTCTCTGATGAGTAACAGAAAGCTCAGCACAATGTTTCTACATATGTAGGTTGATCGATGGATTTGAATCAAGTGAACATGATGGATACACCAAAGTATAAAGTGAGGATATACAAAGAAGCCAATGTTATCGTACAAACATTCCAAAAAGAAGAATGAAAGAAACAACCAGAGGATATCAAAATGAAAGCCAAGGTCTAATCGCGCGATGTTCTAAAGCTTCATACCAAACATGCCATGAACCCTCAAGCTCTGCCGAATACTCAGATCCAGCATAATCTCCTCACTGCCACCGGGAATAGCATAAGCGCGCACATCACGATAAAGTCTCTCAATCTTAGCACCCTGTCCACCACGACTATAACTCAATCCACCAAAGATCTGACTCGCCTCTCTGGCACAATACTCAAAGCACTGTGTGGACTGAGCCTTCAGTCCAGCAATGGCTCCGCCAAGCTTAAGCATAGCCTCTGTCTCCTCCATACACTGGCACTGGAAAATCATATTCTCGAGCCAGTTGTATGTCGCCTCGATTTGCCGCGCCATATTCGCAAGCTTCATCCGGATGACCGGGTGGTCAACGAGCCGCTTGCCGAATGTTTTGCGCTTGTGTGCATATTTCATAGATTCTTCGTAGCAAACGCGCGAGAATCGCGCACACTGGATGACGATGCCGATGCGCTCGTGGTTGAAGTTCGTCATGATTACCTTGAAGCCCTGGTTGTGTTTGCCGATCAAGTTTTCGACAGGAACCTTCACGTCTTCGAAGGTGACGTACGTCGTGCCGGACGACCACACGCCCTGGCAGTCCATTTTGCGGGTGCTGACGCCGCCGGCTTCGCGCTCGATGAGCAACACGCTGAGCCCGTTCATGCCATCCTCGCCTGTGCGCACGGCGGTCGTGAAGTAGTCTGCGTAGATTCCATTGGTGATCCACTTCTTCTCTCCATTGACGATGTAATGCTTTCCGTCTTCGGTGAGCTTAGCCTCGCATCCTAGATTCGCAACATCACTGCCGGCATCCGGCTCCGTGATAGCAAGGCAGATCCTCTTATCGCCAGCCAGGATGCCGGGCAGGATTCGGTCGACAAGAGGCTTCTTGCCGAATTTCACAAGCGGCGGGCATCCAATACCGTACCCGCCAACCAGGTTCCAAACCAGTCCACCGCTTCCGGCGCGAGAGATCTCATCCATCAATAGCATCTCGTGGAAGAGATCCCATCGCTCGGGTGGGACGGCCTTCACTCGGTTATCGGTGTGGCTTACTGGGTAGTGCACGCCCAGTAGACCGGCCAAGTATCCGCGCTCTCCCATCTGCTTGTAGATGTGGGCGGGGACTTCGCGCGCCTCGTCCCATTCTGTCACGTAGGGCTCAAGTTCGGCTTCGACCCATGTGCGGACTTCCTCGCGGAGCGCGGCATGCGATTCATTAAAGTAGGGGGAGGCGTACTAGAATGTATTAGCTCTGTGCGGCTTTCTTCGCAGGCTGAAACTTACGCCCTGGTACCAGGAGGGATCGGCGAACGGAATCAATTCTCCGTAGGGATCTTGTGGCGAGGCGGTGGCAGCCGGTGTGAATTCCGAGGGGGCTGCGGGTGTTGATTCGGCCTTCGCGGGTGCCGGTGTGGGTTCTGGTGTTGGTGCTGATGCCTCAACCTTCTTCGTGTCCAATGATCCGACCTGTAGCTGAGCCTTGTACTTCTTCAAAATTCCCTCGTTGTGGTATTTCCAAAACTGCTTTGAGGCGTCTTTTCCGGCGACTCGTTGGAGGACTGTTCTGCGTCAATACATTGTTTGTGGCGGGTATTCGCGGATAAAACATACTCTTCTTTCCACCTGAACGTTTTTATGTTAGCATGTGATTCACATATAAGTGCGTGACTCTTTTCCTTTTTGAAAACATACCAGGGTGCTCGTCTTGGAACTTCGATACATCGTAGACATCCTCATCGATGATGATCCAAGGGCTGTCGCCCTTAGCATGCGATGCAACGTCGTCTTTACTGAAGATCTTTGCCATGATGTAGGCAGACGTATGGAAAAGGGAAGAGGGAATATATGTCAAGGTCAAGCGAGACAAGGGGTATTAGGTGGGAGAAAGAAAAAAGAGCAAGTCCGGGGAAGCTGAATGTGATATATGGGGCAAATCAATTTCCGGTCGGGGTAAATTCTATTCTGGGTGAAGCTGTATAGGGGCCTCGGAGTATAGATTAGTTCACATGCTCTCTCACGTAACTGTGTAGAGATCGACCTTGGGAATTAGCATCGGCTGGTGATTTCGGTCATCGCCGTTGCTGGGCATGTTATTGGCCCAAAGTGCGTCATTGTCAAATGCCGAGGCATACGGATTGCTTAGTCAGATTTGGACATTGCCCCGGGGGCCCATGTGATGGTACACAATTGGGATGATTGTAACTGGTATAGTCACACGCAGATGTTGAATTTAATCTAAAATGTACTCATTTACTAGAATATAATCCAGCGTAAAATTAACTTGCACATGCAAGTCCCCGTGGCATAGGCCTTACCGCTTTAATACTATACAACCAAGGTGGTCATCGTGACCAAGTACAGATGCAGCCTACATCAAGAATATAAGTCTTATGTCAAAGAAACTCTCATATCAATCAGTCAGAGAAAGCCATATCAGCCTCCAATAGATCAGGTCGACGTAGACAGCCTGATTAGTCTAGTAATACATCCAGCAAGAATCCATGCCGCTCAACTCTACTCCTCATCCTCCGACTCATATGTGAAATCTTCAGGGACAGGAGCATCAACAGCTGGATAGTCCTCATCCACTGCTGCGGGGGCAGCAGGTGCGCTCGTGGCAGCGGACAGAGCAGCCCGAGCACCGGCCCGTTGGGGGGTCTGGAGGGCGGCAGTGCCAATGGCAGCCTGTAGGCGATCCTGGAGGGTTTCGGTGGGGGGAGGCGGTTGGCGCACTTCCTTGCTGGCCTTGAGTTCGAAGACCTCGCGATCCTCTTCGGGCTGCTTGTCGAGAACGACAACGACGCCGCCAGTGGGCTGGATTTGAGTTAGTGTGGTATTCTTGGTAGGGAGTGGGAGTGAACATACCCTCTTGACAGGCTCGTAGCGGGGATCGGGGAATGTGAGATACTTGAGTTGAGCTGGGAGTACCCTTGACAGATTGTCGAGCTCATATCCGACCTTCTCACGCTCCGCCTTCTTCTTCTGTATCTCAGCAGCACTCTTCTCCGTCTCCTTGACTTCGTCGCCCTCCTCCTTGGGGACATCGTCCATATCCATGGCATCAGCATCGGTTGCCTTGGGCGTTGTGGGTGCCTGGTCAAGATCCATGCTCTCGCGACGGGCTTGCTTTTCCCTACGCTGGGCACGACGCTTGGCCTGTGCAGTAGTAGAAAGGACGGCGGTCTTGACCTTCTCCGGAGCCTCCTCAGTCTTCACCTGTTGCTCAGGTGGGTAGTCGAAGAGACTGGGACGGGTGTTACTGTGGAACTTGAAGTGAGGGACCTCGAGCTTCTGATCAACACCAATCACGGATGTGGGGGTGAAACTGAGCGACAAGAAGTGTGTGAGAGGGAACCAGTACCAGTACTGCACGAAGACAGCGGCACCGACGATACCGGGCATGTTGAGGTTGCCTGTTTGGGTCTGCAGACTGATGGTGCAGTTACGGCCACCCGCATCAATGATTCCGAGAGCGATAGCACAACCGAATTTGGCCATGGCATCCTCGTGGCGGTCACCGAGCATCTTCATCATGGCCTTACGGAGGCTGGTGACTCGGGGGTTCATGGCCTCATTCTGCTGAACGAGAACCATGGCAAGGGAGATCAGAGCACCCTGGCGAACAAAGTCGGTCGAGTCCTTGAGCATAGGCTCCAGGAGGTCGATGGCTTCGTCCAAGCCGGTTCCAGCGCAGGAGATACCAAGGGCCATGGCAGCACCGTATCGGACGTGGGGGTTATATGACTCGGAGAGCAGCTCAACCATGCGAGGAACACTCTGGTGCTTGCGGAACAAGATGAAACCCAAACTGAGAACGGCAACTCGGCGCACATCGTCGTTGACATCGCTAACAGCAACGTGCAGAAGCTTGCGGACTGCCTTGTTGCTGCCACTTCCACAGTAGGCCAGGGCAATGGTCATGATACCACCGTATCGGAGAGTTGGGTCAGGGTCGCCAAGGAGCCCGTTGATCAGCTCGTCGGCAGCTTCCTGTCGTCCATACATGATCAACGCCATACCCATGGCAAGACCACGAACAATCTTCTCGTGCTGTGTCTCGTGTGCATACTGGATCATGTCCTCCAGAGCCCGCATGTTACCGGTGCCAAGCATGATGAGACCCATAGCAAGACCGACAGCCTCACCGTTGAGGGCGGAGTCAGTGTAAAGAACACTGCGCAGGTCATCGTAGATGCCTTCATCGCCGGTGGCCATACCAGCAACACCGAGACCGAGAGCACCTCCGTGCTGAACAACTTCTTCAGTAGCCTTCTTAAAGTGATCGCGGATAATATCAACGGCCATGCCTCCGTGGTTGGCGTAGATGAGACCAAAGGCATAGAGGGAGCCACCCTGACTGTAGACAGATCCTGAACCACCTACTCCGGCAATGTGCTCACGGGGCAAGTAAGGCTGAAGAAGCTTCTGGCCCTGACTCAAATTACCGCGGTGAATACAACCTAATGCAGCAGTGGCTGTGAACTTTGACCAGTTTACAGCCTTGCCGAGCCACTCCAGGTTATCACGGAAGAACTTGTCATGGGTGGTTCCGGCATGCATGAAGGCGTTTGAAAGGGTAACAGCGGTGTGGAAGATGGAATTGCGAGCCTCTAGGCTGTCACGAATCTTGTTCAGAATCGCGATATCGGCCTTATTGTTGCGGTATAAGAATTCCAGGTTCAACTGAATGGTCTTAATACCATCGAGAATCTGAAGAATGTTCTTGAACGCAGTAAGCGCGTCCTCCGAAAGGTCAGACTGCTTATCAGAAGGCCGCGAAGAGCTTCCCTGGTTCTGAATTAGCGAATCGGACTCGGTGGGCTCGATCTCGTCCTCGTTGTTCTCCTTCTCAGTCTCGTCCTCGGGAACAAGTTCGGCAATCTCTTGGCGAACCTTTTTGAGGAATTCCTGGGTGCTGTTGTCGTAAAGGTCGAAGGAAATCTGGTAGGCAACGGCGAGAGAGCGCGCATCACCTTTCTCTACCAGCTGACGAAGGATATTCGAGGCCATCGAGTGCTCGTTAAGGTAGACAACGCATTTGGCGATAGAGAAGAAGTCGGGTGCGGGAATCTCATTCAAGAGCTCCAGGATAAGTTTGAGAATCTATAAAACGAAAGTTGTCAGCTGGCTGGGTTAAAATGCTCAAGACTCAGTGGGTGAGACATACCTCGCTACGGAATGCCCGTTCTTGGACGATGCCCATGCATATATCCAGGACATATTCCATGAGCTCTTCACTGCGGCGAGAATCGCCATCCTGCTGCTTCTCGTCGTTGCTAGCGCGAAGGATGGCCATGCGGAGGACATCCAAGCTCTTTGCCTCGATGGCAATTCCAATCACTTGACGGTATCGCTTCTGTCGGAAACATTCTTCAAACAGTCGCTCGATAACATTCTGCAATTGGCCCTGGACACCGCGCTTCAGCACAAGGGATGTCTCCTCGTGCACAACGCTAGTGTCGTCGCCACCGGGGTGTGCGGCATCGACGCCAGGAACCTCTGCACGAGAGAGCAATGATTTCGAGGGCAATGCGGATTTGGAGAATGGTGTGATAGGTGAGGTGAGACTGGCAGATGTGCTTGTGGCACCTTCGCCCGATGCTGGGAATGCGGTGTTCAGATTGGCAGATTGGTCACCGGCGGAAGGTCGTTGGGCAGCAGATAGGGAGATAAAGGTATCAACGCATTTCGCTAAAGAGAATGAATGATTAGCTTGAAGCAAGAAGGCCAATTATGCGCAGATTTCTCAACATACCGATAATGGTCTCCTCGTATTCGCCGCCGTTCTCCAACTTGAACAACTTTCCCGTGCCCAGAGCAAGAACCATGCTCTCGTTATATTCCTGCAGATGATAGTATACCTTAGATGCCACTAGCGCTGCTAGCCCGCGCTCCGAAAATGACTCATCTTCGTAGAGAGCCTCGCTGGATGATAGTTAGCAGGGGTCCAAGAGCCGGTCGGACTCGACAAGAATGGCGCAATAAAGGCGATTCGCCGAATTGGCCCATTCCATCAAAAAAACCACTCACATTTCAGGAAGAGAGTTTACAACTTCTGTCCAGAGATGATCAATCTGAGAATCTAATGTCTTCAAAGCAAAGACCTTAAGCTCTGGGTCCGGCTCGGAAAGGAAGCCGACAAGACCGGCGGCCGATACAAGTCCGACCATCTTTATTGTGATAAGCAGCTCGCGTCACGGATCACTGGGTGTATTGGAGAAATAAAAGGTGTGTTGTTGCTGTTGTGATGAAGCAACGTCAATGGGGAGGGAGCTTAGGAACAACGAGTCAGCCCCGGCCCAAAACAAGGTGTGAAGGGGAAATCAAGTACCCCAAGAAATGTGAATATGACAAGAAATACAGAATTTGATTAAATGAGAGAGACGAAATGGATGAAGTGCACGTACAAATGGAAGCTGGAAGCAGTTGTCAGAAGCTGTGCAGGCGCGAGAGCAACGTCAACGCCGAGCTGGTTGCTGACTGTACTGGTCACGTGGATGGCGCCGTATCAGCTGCGAGGCTAAGTCCGTCTGCAGTAAACAGCTCATCAGGTGGAATCAAGTATTTCTTACTGGTCTGGTGATGAATTTGAAGGCTGTTCAGAACCCGGCCCAAAACTACTAAACTATCTACACTCCCAGGGTTTATCATCACTCATTCATAACCTCAGTGAACCTCAGCCCTTCCACGCTCCTTTGTCCGCTATGTCCACATTTCTTCAGCAATCCTTTCGTGAGAAAAGGCTACCATCAATACCAGCGGGAGCTTCCACTTATAATCAAGATCCTTTCCTACACATCGAACGTCAAACAAAATACATACAGCGCAATCTACAAGTACTGATTGATGCTCAAAGTGACGGCCTCCTCTCTGGTCTTGCTGGTTCTCGGACAGATCAAGTTTCTAGCGATGTCTCAACTTCCTCCCTAGCTTCCAATTCTAGTCGATCGCTCTCTTCTTCTATGGTACCTCCGCGGCAGCCAGCATCCAGGAAACTCGGGCTTCGATCTGCCCGGGAAGGCATCTTCCAATCTATATATGATTTACTGAAGCTGCGGGAGGAGGAGCGAGACATCATCACATTGCAATCTGACGAGAGATCCAATGGGCTTGAAGCTATTGAGAATTTCCTCTCGAGAAGAAATGGTCTTGAAGAGGCCATCACTACTATACATAACGATGACGAGAGTCGGCATTCAAAGCAACTGGAAGAAGAGGCTCGGAACCTCGAGACTGATATTCATGAATTGGAAACCAGGCTTTATGAAATGAAAGCTAAACATCAACACCTCGTTACTGAGATATCACACATTAATAACTCAGTTGACGCCAAGTTATCATCCTATACTGAATCCTTGTCCATGCTCGACTCCGACATCCGGAAATTCCTCCATGATCCTCCAATCCAACCCTTGTCGCGACGCTCGGGTAAATCCACGTTCCACTCCTTGAACCCCACACGGCGCACGCTCGGTATGGCGCAGGAGCATTGGAACACCGAACAAGTGAGTTTGCGCAGAAGGCAACACGAAGTCGATGGGGAGATACAAGCACTGGAAGAAGGCGGCGGAGTGTGGAAGCAAGCGGTATATGATGTTACCGGCTTTGAGAAACGCTTACGAGCCAACATGCAACACTATGTTGAGATGACCACGGCGAGCGAGACCGAAGGCTCCATGCCAGCAGATTATAAAGTTGGACTGGTGAAAAGCATCCTGGATGACTTGGACAAAACCATTCACCGGATTGAATCTCATTTGGAGGTTGCAGATGATAAGGACTGGAAGCTATTGGTTTGCTGCATCGCGGCCGAGCTAGAGGCCCTGCGAGAGGCAAGGGGTATGCTTCTACCCGCTTTTGGTCTGTCAGTGCATGAAAATGATACACCTCTGAACTCGGCTCCTGGTGACGTTGAAAATCAGGAGCCAGGGCAAGGCCATCATCCCCATCAAGATCCACTAGAAAACGATGACCCGGAACCTCCAGCCGAGCTTCTCCAGGATGCGGATCCCCATCACTCAGATGCTGCATCTAGATCTGAAGAAGACGATGAGCCAGATCCGTCATGGCTTTCTTAATGCATCTTGATAGAATAGTTGAATATCAATAATAAACTTGAACATATACCAAACCACGCATTTCACGAGTAATGCAACTCGACTTGTTCCCGATATGTGTTTCTCCCTGTAGATCCAAAAATTATTGCTATACCAGCTGTTAGTAAACCAATTCTTTTTTGCCAGGCAATGTATAAGTCCACGGGTTGCCTCTTGCCCCAAATTTCGTCGGGTGGGTCATCAACACCCACCCCAACCACCACACCTCGTACCGTACCTCATCCCATGAACAATCAAGGAAGCTGTTTGATTTTCGAGTGGAATGGGAAATAAACAAAAAAAACCAGCTCATCATGAAACTTCCACCGCCGAATTTGTCCTTCTTTATTCCCTCGGTTTATGATGGCCGCAAGCTAGAATGCCGCATTTTCCTACCACCGGCGCTCCAAAATATACAATCAGTAACAACTTGGCCAATCCGTGGAGCTATTGTCGCCCATCCATATGCACCTTTGGGAGGCTGTTACGATGACCCAGTTGTAAATTTCATCAGCAGCGAGTTTTTCCGCGCTAATTATGTCGTTGGCACTTTCAACTTTCGGTATGATTACCCATAGCACAGTTCCATCACCAAGCAACTAACATGACAATAGTGGAGCGGGCGACTCTGAAGGACGAACAAGCTGGACATCAAAGCCTGAACTGGGAGACTATGTGTCGTTCTATGGGTTTATGTTGCAGTATTTGCATTACGTGAAGCTCGCACTGGCCTCGACAAACCAACTAGCCTCAGAGCCTCAAGGCAACCAAGACGGCAGCTTAGAAGATCAAAGTCCAGGATTTACGCGAACAGCTGAAGATGCAAGCATCCGTCTCATCCTAGGCGGATATTCGTATGGATCCTTGATCGCATCACACCTTCCAACCCTGGAGGTCATGCTCGACCTTTTCCAGAGCACAACACGATCGGAAAATCCAAGCCCAATATCCGAGATAAGAAACATAGCAAAACAACTATCAACTTCATCCCTAGGGCACCTCCAACTGAGCCCGACCGGAGAACCAGACCTACGTACATTGACAACCATCTCCTACCTCTTAGTATCCCCACTCCTACCTCCAGTCAGCAACCTTCTCACAATCTTCACGAGCTTATCACTCAAAGTGCAAGGGCAATCCCAAAGCAAGACCCTCCCATGTCCTAATCCAGCAGACCAGCTGAGCATGCACCGAAGCCTAGCGCTTGCCGGGGATCAGGACAGCTTTGTCTCCGCTACAAAGCTGGAGAGATGGTCAGACGAGATCGCGCACATGCCAGGCAGTCAGTTCCAGTTTCGGATGATTGATGGCGCGGACCACTTTTGGCGTGAGAATGAGAGGGCAAGACTTGTGCTGAGGGTGTGGCTCTTTGAGAGATGATCCAATCAGGTTGGGTTATTTCTACCCTTTGATGACACATGGGGGACTTTTGGCACATGCTGTTGCATGTGAAGAACCCGGGGTCTCCAGGGGCTTGGATTTCTATTTCGGGGGTTTTATATTTCTATTCAAAGGGATTGATTCTTTGATTTCTATAATATTGTAATTGTTCAAAGCAGCTAATTAATAAATTCGAGTTTCAAGTAAACAAACAAAGAAAAACAAGAACAAGAACCATAGTACATGACCTCACAACGATAAACCTGGAAGGCAAATCTTCTCCACTGAGATCGACTGGGGTGTGTTCAGATGATCGTGGGGGTGATATCATGGGGGAAAGCATACATGCAGGCTGACTCTTTTTGATCCACTGTAAAGAAAAAGGACAAGAGTATTGCGATTACTAAATAGAATGTGAAATTTCGAATATCTCTCTCTCAAGTCTAAAGAATTAAAAATAATCAAAGGAATCAAAGGAATCAAAGGAGTAACATCCACAGGGCGGCCCAACTCCGAAATGGAATCGGGCGGATCCTCCATCCCTCGTGACGTTCTTACCGCCTGAACATTTACTTCAACTTACATTCTCTCAACTTCCCACTTATCTCGCAGAATACTGAGATATATATCATTTAAACTCCTTCAAATCCAAACCCGTTTCATACGGCTGAATGGCTTGGACCGATGCACAGGCCTGCGATGCCGGTACTGGGCGACTCCACAATAGCCTGTCGCAAGATCGAACCACGCCTCCGCAAAGCAATCTCCGTCCCCAGCGTCACATCCCTAGTAAAAGACTCCTGGACCTGGGCCGGTGATACCATTCACACCTACCGCGATGGCCTAACCAAAGACGAGCGCCACGCAAAGGCCGAGATCCAAGACCGCAAACAAGTCCTGTATCTCCGCATCAAAAACGTAAGTACAATCCCTCGAGTCTAGGCCAAGACCATTTTCTAATCCGCCCGCAGGCCGTGTCGTACGACGAATGGCGCAGTTGTGCATCCGAACTTGACGAGCTAGAAGATAACAATGCCTGGAAGCGCACGGTCGATTGCACCGAGTATGATCCGGGCTTGGTGCAGGATCGGCTGAAGCAGCTGGACGAGGCGCGCATTAGTTGCGATGTTAGTCGCATGCTGTTCCTTGTTCGGACGGCCTTGAGTCGTGACCTTGCGCAGATGAGCAATGCGTCGCTGTATCGGCATTCGCATATCGGTACCAAGGATCTAATCGATCGGTATAATACTGCGGCGTTGGAGACGATTGCTACGCTTGTGGACCTCTCGGTCCACGACCGCTGCGATGGGTTGGAGTTGAAGTATATTCTTGACCAGTTGCTCGCGGCTAGACAGGCTTTTGGACGCAGTGCACTGTTGTTCTCTGGTGGTGCAACTTTTGGAATGACCCATATTGGGGTCTTAAAGGCTCTTTATGAGGCGAAAATGATCCCGAGGATAATTTCTGGTGCATCTGCTGGTGCTATCGTTTGTGCGGTGTTTTGTACACGGACGGATGAAGAGCTTCCCGCGCTCTTGGACACCTATGTCCATGGCGACTTTGCTGTTTTTAACGAGAAGGGCATGGAGGAGAACATCTTGCAAAAGATGACCCGCTTTTTGAAGTTTGGGTCTTTCCTGGATATTTCGCATTTGGCGAATACCATCAGAAATTGGCTGGGAGACATGACCTTCCAGGAAGCCTATAACCGCACGCGCAGGATATTGAATATCTGCGTTTCTAGTGCTGGTATGTATGAGCTTCCACGGTTGCTAAATTATATCTCTGCGCCCAATGTTTTAATCTGGTCTGCTGTGTAAGTTCTTCGTTCTCACGCACCTTTGAATCCTTTCTGATATCCATCAAGTGCCGTCTCGTGTTCTGTGCCATTCGTGTTTAGACCTTATACGTTAATGGCCAAGGATCCATTGACAGGTGAAGCCGTCCCTTGGAACGACCTCCACAAACAGTATATCGATGGTTCTGTCGATGGTGATCTGCCAATGACAAGGTTGTCAGAAATGTTCAACGTCAACCATTTCATCGTATCGCAGGTAAATCCTCACGTGGTACCATTCCTCCCAAAAGAGACGGGCCCGCAGAATCAGGCAGAATCAGGCACGGCTTTTATTCCACGATGGATGAGCACCATGACACACCTTGCCAAAGACGAGGTCCTGCATCGAATGAATGTCCTGTCAGAACTTGGAGTCTTCCCAACATCGATGACCAAGTTTGCCTCGATCGTGAACCAGAAGTACCACGGTGATATAAACATATACCCAGAATTGATTTCCTCCAACTTCCCTCGACTCCTTGAGAACCCGACAAAAGAGTTCATGCTATCAGCATGTTTAAGCGGCGAGCGCGCAACCTGGCCGAGATTAAGCCGGATCCGAAACCACTGCGCCATCGAGCTGGCCCTCGATAGTGCTATCCAACAGATGCGGGCCCGGGTAGCGTTCAGTCCGAGCCAGGTTGATTTACGCATGCCAAACTCGATACGGCATTCCGTCGACTCAGGAGATTGCGGACGAGGCCGCTATCGCCGACGAAGAGGATCCGGCAGCCACGAGCTAGAAAACCGACGCTCGACTGGGAATCCCAATAAACCAGCCCATGAGCTCAGAAAAGCCCGTAGCACCGTCTCCCTCGAGAACCCACCTGATACAATCCCATGTAAATCGCAAAGACGCACCTCCTCAGTCACATTCACCAACTCAATCTTCGACATCGACTCGAGCAGCGAAGACGACCTCGACTGTTCATACACCCTCCGCCCCCGACTCGCCGGTCGAACATCCTCAGACCTATCCAGTGGAGCATACCACGCACCTCGTAGCCCCGTTCGATCCCGTCGATCCTCATTCTCCTCGGGACTGACCCACAATTCTACGCGCTCGAAGCAGTCTTATCCACACGATATGGCTATTCCACCATCTTCCCGTCATATACTCAGTATGACTCCGACGGTGCCGAGCTCGCCTGATTCTTTGCGGAAACTACGCCACTGAGAATTTGCCAGAGTATCGTTTGGCATATGGTTAATTAAATCAATTCAATCTGGCCCCACTCACGGGATGGTTGACCAGAATTCTTGCATTAAACATTTCGGATTCGCTTTCGGTCGAGATACATCAATCTGCTGGCGTTGGAATAGGGGCTTTTGGTTATTACGATGCTACACGATGTCATTTAGATTTGGGCATTTTTCTTTCGGGGTTTAAATGCCAGCATGGGCGGGATTCATTTCCCCATTCGCTCTTTGCTTTCGCTTTTCAATTTTCAATCTTCCCGCTCTGCACTCTATGTCAAGCATGTGGCGGTATATAGCGAAACAGTTGCGTGTACACCACGAGATCTAGACAATGTCTTCAATGTTTCAACGTTTCGAGTCAAACATGAGTATAATATTGTATAACTAGTTAAGCCACATTCTAAGCTACAAATGTATACGCTATACGAAATTCCGCCCGGACTGATGTGAAGCTAAACTGTATCTCGTCAGTAGCCCCGACAAAGTTGGACATCCCGCCCAGGATCCCGCTTATTCATGAGGCCGACAATGCTTGGCCGCATCTACATTTACGCCAACGAGGAAGAAGTGGAGATTCGGCAATTCAATAACGGGCAAGTATCGGCTACTGAATCCCCAGCGAATTGGCTCATTGACGTCTCAAATAACGCGTTTACGATATAGATGGAATTTCATACGTCGATTGGCAACATTTCAACATTTTAATGCCGAAGGCGACACTTCTGATAATTGTGTTGCTACATCGTACTGTGCATTGTTCAAAGATGAATCCAGTGATCATCGCAGGATCCACTAGTTGCTGGGGAATTTATAGCTTGATCAAGTTTGGATTGCGAGGGCGGGCTGTAATTGGCGGAGATTGTCAGTGCTGACGACGACTCTAGGGCTATATTCGTGATCTGCAGGTTCTTCAGGTTTGATCCTGCTAACCACCAAGAATACGAAAATTCTTCTCGAACGTCTGCAGAAGAAATTGCGTCTTCCTTCCATGGATACTCGTGCCATGTTTTGCGTCTTTTGGCTCAGACCATTCTTGAGTCTTGGATTCTGACTACAAACAAGATCCCAGCCTCTTAATTGAGTGGATGGATTCTTGCCGATCAGTGGGAGTCCATTGGATGACACTTATCAATCAGTTGGCCCTGCCAATCTTTTCCCTAATGCATCATCGCCCCCGAATCCACTTTAGTCCACTTGATCCCACTTTATTTGGATCCCAGCACTCTGACACAGAACGTGTATCAACATGATAAGCCGCCTGTGGCAAATATGGTCTTGAAACAAAACGAAGGCTCATTTTGAAGAATCTTCACTTGAAATGCCGGGGAAAGAAAAAGAGTGTACGTCAACATGATGTGCTCTTACCCCTTTTTGAGGCCTCTCACGCCATTCAACCATGGAAGGGTTCGGCCCAAATGATCGGCCCCCATTTTGATCAGGATCAAGAAATCCTTCAGGCAGGTCCTGCGGAATGTCCTCAAATATGATATGGTCAGGCCACCCAGGTAATATCACAGCAATATCACAAGCCACAACGAGGCAGACGATGATCATCGCGCTATCGTTTTGGTACATGCCTTCGGCGTTTAGCCGACTGTCGATACTTGCCCTGATGGACTCAGAACCACTTTTACCGGTTCGGTGCGTTGGCTGGCCAGCGCTGGGAAAATACCTCAGTCCCAGACACCGCAATTGCCGAAACCCTTGTGTGTGCCTGTGCCTGAATATAGCAGGACCCCGTCCCTGGACTAGCGGTGTCTTAGGTTAAGATCGTCAAATCCACATCAGTTTCAAGCCTGTCGGTCTAGCCAGCCTTTAGTACTCCGTATCGATGCTGAAGTCATGGCCCGATGACGGAATCCACTGTTTTCCATGCTGCAGATTGATACGCTGCAATATTGTATAAAGATGTCCTCGACCCCAGCAATGTCTCACCTTAAATTTTCAATCTTGTTTGATATATCAAGTTGAACATCACCTCAATAATCCAAACCCTCATTCCAAATCCACCCTCTACTTAGTCCACAATGAAGTACACCGGCATCGCGGCAATGGGCTTGATGGGCTGTGCCCTCGCCCTCCCCCAGGGCGGCGTCCCCGGCGCCGGTCCTCACGGCCCCCACGGGCCCCCAGGTGTCCCCCCAAGCGACGCACCAACCCCAGCAGGCTCACCCATTGGCCTCCTGCCGACCCCCAGCGCCGCCCCCAGCGGCTTCGAGAAGCGTGACTTCCCCGGCTTCCCCATCTTCAGCGGCATCTCCAGCCTGCCCTTCACCATTCCCGCTCCCTCCGCCGCCCCCGAACACGAGAAGCGCCAGTTCGGGCTCGCCGGAGTCGGCCCCCACGGTCCTCACGGAGGCCCTCCTTCCGGAGACTTCCCTACCCCAACTGGCCCTCCCCCCTCAGGCTCCCCAACTGCTCTCCCCAGCGGCTTTGACAAGCGCCAGTTCCCTACCGATCTGCCCTTCTCAATTTCCACCAGCCTGCCTTTCTCGCTGCCTTTCGAGAAGCGCGACTTCCCGACCCCCATTGGCTTCCCGGATAACCTGCCAACCAACCTGCCTACCCCCACTGGCCCTCCTCCCAGCGGTGCACCTACTGGACGCCCTGGTCGCTTCCACCTTCCCCCTCAGTAAACTTGTCAATGTTGGAAGTTTCGAGTGGCTGAGACTGCCAATGCTGTTGTTGAATCTGTGATTGAGTGGCGGCTTTGACTGGCGCTGGCATGTGCAAATTCTACCAAGTCGATTTTACATATTGGGCTGGATGCTTGGTATTGTGAATGTACAGGACAGATGGGTTAATAGTTGTTTATGTTTGTATTGTGATTGATTGATACGTGGTTGCTTTTGCTAAGTCCGCACGGTATCTTATGAAGTTTACGCGGGCTCTTTTGTCTAGATTGTATTGCTTTCCCAAATGAATACAATCGCTTTGATAGTACCGACATACGCCTTGTTGTAGCATGGGATTGCTCGCTGAAAGAAAAAGTCGGGCGATGCGTCCCTTATTCCGAGGTACCATGATTATAAAAACAATTAAAATTGTTTCATAACCGTCGCTTTAGTTGAAGTAGTGCAAGACGGTCTATAGAGATGAGCTGAATATATAACTCCTTCATATGTTCTCCGTGATTACGTACTGAGGGTAGATTGCTAATTATTCATGTTGCGACGGCTCATATATATAGAAGGAGCCGGTCGGATATTCTTGAGTATGCTTGTCCAAAGCTTTGATAACATTTAACTCAATCGTTAGTGTAGCAGTTCTAGCAGACGGTCTATAAGATATAATACGGATTTCAAATGAACAAGCTGGGATTACAGAGATCAAGTTCAAGGTTGCGAGTATGTACATTATAGGCCGTTACGCGAGCTAGAAGAGAGAGTCTATAGGCCCTCGAAATTTCTGCCAGAAGATAGCAGCAACGCCCACCACGGCTGTACCTGCAATAAGCTTCGAAGAAATGCTCCAGCTGGGCTCGGCGGGGACTTGAGCCAGATCGAGATCCATGGTAGGTAACGGGAGATATTCTAACCATGGACCGCCTTTCGAGAAGCTGGCATACAGCTTTGCCTTGAGTCCGTCACTGACCCATGGAACGATGTGGCGAGCTGCAAACTTGAGAATCCAGCTATCTTGGGCTTCATAGCGTGTAATCTGACCGGAAAGATCAACGACTGTTTTCGCTCGAGGCATCTGACCAGTGATATACTGATTGAAAACCTCTGTCAACTCTTCAAGGGATGGTTTGGGGTTTGCTTTTAGCAAAGGTACGAGACCATTGGTGAAACGAGCGATACCCTCGTAGGCCAAGTTGCCACCTAATCCAGGGTTGATTGTAGCCTGTTGAGAAGAGGAAGTTTAGTTAAATGGCTCCATCAAGTTGTTGATGTGAAAGGAGATTCAAACCTTATGAACTGAATCACCCATCAAAACTACCCGGCTATGACACCACTGGCTAATAACACCCTCTTCGAGGGGTACCATTGTGGCTTTGACCCGAGCGTCCCAGAGATCCTTCACAGTGTATCCGGGACCTACGAGCGAGCTTCCATACATCTGGATACATGCCTCTGCATCCTTGTCACCGAACCGCGGGCAGTTGGGGGTTGTTGTGAGCTCTGAGTTCTTGACGAAAAGGAACCAAAATACAAGCCCATGCACACCAGCAGCTGTAACTGCAGAGAAGCCATCGTAGTAAACGTTGTGAACCATTGCATCAGGCAAGAACTGATTCTCGGGATCGTTCCGAGAAACCGCAAAGATGCAATTGTACTCGCTTGTGAACGCTACATTCCAGAAACTATGTTAGTTGAATGGGGTTCGAAGCAAGCCAAGAGGGCATGCACCAACCATCGTTGATCTGTTTGGCGAGAATCTGGTCCTTCGCGCTGATCTTTTCGGCCATCAACTTCCGAACATTGCTGTGGATACCGTCCGCACCAATAAGGATATCGCCATGATGTTGTTTGCCATCTTGGGTGGAGAGGATAACCCCATCTGCGGTTTCTTCATATCCAACAACGGCGGTATGAGCATGTAGCTTTGATTTGTCTTTCACGTGGCTTTGTAGAACCTCCAGGGCCTTGCATCGCTCCATAAAAATAATAGGGCGTCGGAGACTATACGAATCGGCCCGGGCAAGTTACACCATTAGCATATTTTCTTCATTTAGTCGTTGACCTGAGAGGTCACAACGCCAATATCCCCGACGTTGGAACTATATATAGACCTACATTTGTTCAATTTCGACTAGTACGTGCGAGTCCTCGAAACAGTGCCCTTTTCCGTCATAATGCTTTCTGTGCTGCAGAGGTATAACCTGTTTCTCAATATCTCGCCATACCCCCAATTGTTGTAGAATTCTTATGGTATGCGGGTGAATTCCGATAGAGGCCCCGAGTTGAGGTGCGAAGTCTCCCTTTTCGAAAAGCTCGTAGTCGATTCCAGCGCGCTCAAAAGCTAGGGCCAAGCCAAGCCCCACGAGACTCCCACCGGCAATGAGGATCTTGAATTGACCCGAGTCTTGATTGGACGGAGCCATTGACAAATATCTGAGACGAAACGTGTCACAGGTCAGAAATCCAGCGGGGAAAGAGATAGATCAATTTGATCTGTTCTTGCATCACAAAATTAATATAAAGAAAACTATTAAGAATGTTCAGAAGAATGTACCTATTACTAAAGCCCCTTTAATTTTTCCACATTCAAGATAATTAATTTCGGAAAGTCTCTAGGATTGGCGTGAAACTGACAGGGGGGCGCTAACGGTGACGGTCCACATGGGGTCGCGCTTGAGTTAAGACTATTGAGACTCTCGATTATTATTGTAGTATCTCGTATTTATTGTCAGTTGCCTTGTACTTGTGGACTCACTACTTGCGCTGAAGTCAATTATCAATCCTACCTTAATATGTAACTTCAACGTTGACAGCGCTGATCGTTTTTAATGTCGCCAGACCCGCCACTCGATAGCTCAAAGTGAGGATGGATAAATAAGCAGCTAATGTGATAGCTCAAAACCTTAGACCACCTGTACATGCCAAGCGGACTCCGGGAACTGGATGCCAGCCAATGGAAAACTGGGGGTAGGAAGTACTTTTGCATGGGGCCCAAATGACCGTTTAGTCGGACGGGACGGGACGCTGATTCTGTCCACCCGCACAGACAGTTATACCCAAACTGGAGTAGTGAACTTGGCTTGAACAATAGGCTAGTGAGAACAAGGAGTTGTTCATTTAGACAACTACATTTAATTACCAAGTGATAAAAACGCCCCGTCCACTTCACATATGCTTAACGCAACTACTATGCAGAAACCCAGGCCTACCTAAAAGCTGCCATGTCTACTTCAGATGGCGATCCCAGCTTGACAGCAGAGGAGCGATATACGCAGTCGCTCACATATGGCCTAATCATTGGTACATCGGTCTTGTCGATGATTGTATGCGGCTTGAGAGTTAGATCCCCGCTTGAAGGGCTCGCCAACACGAGATCCGGATCGATATCAATTGTGAGCTAATGCCTCTTGCAGCTTTACACAAGGTCCGTAATTATCAAAAAGTTTGGATTCGACGATATTGCTGTCTGCATCGCGTTGGTATGCCTCACTCCCGAGTTGAATTGCGGTCATGGATCAGTCGTCGAGACTAACAGATTCAATAGGTGATTACGCAATTCTTTAATGGATTGGGAATTGCGGTCGTCTACTATGGAGAAGGGCGCCACTTTGACAAAGTTTCTAGTGCAGATAGAGCAACTTGGCTAAAGGTATCATCACATACGTCCTCCATGTCGATAATTTCACGAAAGATCCGATGGTTTCTGACGGATCATATAGCTCTATTATGCAGCAATGTGCATGTATCTGTACGCTTCACTGTCTGTCAAAATCAGCTTGCTGTTATTCCTACGACGGATATTCGTCAAAGGTATGTTCTTCGCCAATTTGGCAACAATCCCGAGATATCGCGCGCTAATTTCTCCGGAATTCCCTCGCGATTAGAGTGGATGAATTGGTTTACTACATGCTTAATGATCTTCCAAGTCCTATTTTCGCTCTCCGGCTCTCTCGTTCTAGCCTTCCAATGTGACCCTCCAAGGTGATTGAGAACTTCTTTCTCCCGCATTGTCTATTGACATTCATTAATTAGCAATATTGCAGGGCCGCATACGACTTGACTATCAAAAATCCGAAATGCTACACGCAGTACAAGCTATTTCAGATTGTACTATACCAAGCAGTGCTTATTTTCGCATGCGATGTTCTCACCTTGCTTGCGCCACTGCCAATCCTGTGCAAACTGCACATGCCCAGGAGGAAAGTAGCTGCCTTGCTTGTGATCTTTGGAACAGGTTGGTGCACACCGGGAAAATTCCAGTTCCAAGCAATATTAACTTTTATCTCAAGGTATCATCGCCTGCATCGCCCCCGTCGTCCGCTTCAGCACGCTGGACTACCTACGCAGAGGCACCACAGACCTTACCTGTAAGAACCCGCTAATACGATCCTGCACTTTGACTTGGTGGCTCATACTGACCTTCAATCACAGACGACTCAGCATCATCGCTATACTGGATGTCCATTGAGTTCAATCTAGGCCTCGTCGCTGGATCTCTCTCATCTCTAAAACCATTGCCCCTTTTCCGCCGCTTCGGGTCAACCTTAGATTCAAAATACAAGGAGTCAACAGGAGATACACAACATGAGCTCCACGGTGTGCACAAGATACAAATCATAAAAAGTGGCGGGAAAAAGAAACCTAGCGGGGGAATGGGGACAACCATACTGGCGGAAACTGTTAACGAGAGTCAGGAACACATTTTCACCACATCTGCGTGATTGTGCTGCACTAGGTTCATATTATACCCAAATTTGAAACTCGATTTTATAATCCTCTATAATCCTCCTATCGATATCAATGTCCTGCCCTCGCAGCCTCATGGCTCTGGGACAGACATTTCGGCTTCCCAGGCTGTTGACTTGAAGTCAGCTCGTTCGAGATTTTGGGACCTACGGACGAAGCAGTCAAGGAACATAGTGAGTGGTGGGTTTCAAATGTGACTGACAACACCCTCAAGGCTGCGTTTCGGGAAGTCTATGAAGTGATGCTCGACAATGGCCTTGATCTTGAGTAGGTCTACAAGGATCAAATTCCGGAGTTCTTTATTGGCAAGGGCATAAAGATGGGTATTTCTCGACGTTTCGTAAAAGATGTTCGGCGCTGAGTCGAGAACGTGAATAAAGAAATCCCTACTATGAGATTTTGAAGGTGCTTTTCTTCGATGGATGTACCTAAGCAGCCGGATACCTTTCAAATTGATTTTTCCAGACGGTGGAGACACAGCGTACAACCCTGAAATCTACTACCCTCTACGTGTAAGAGAAATTCCCTCCTGAAAGTGCTTCAAAAACCTGCCCGAAATGACCCTCCCTCCAACTCGCCAACAGCAATAGGCCACAAGACCCTCGCAGCGCCATCCTCAAACCCAATCGGACACCCTTCATCTCGCTGATACTCCGGCGCAGCACTCATATAGCCGGGATCAACAGTATTCATAGCAACACGCCGGCTCTTCCACGCAGTTTGCGCTTCCGTTTCTGTGATCATATTGATAGCCGCTTTAGACATATTTGTGTGAACGTGATGGCCAGCTTTACTGCGAGAATGGGGTACGTCCTCCAGTATACCTTCACGGGATGAGACATTCACTATATACCCGTGTGGTTGATGCTTCGAATGCGGTGGCTCCGAGCCCATGTTTTTGAGGAGTTCGCGACACAGAATTAAAGGGACGAATGCATTGACGGAGTGCGCGCTGATCAAGTCTTCGTATGGGATCTCAGAGAGTGATTGGACCCAGGAGGATTTCGCGGGGTCCGCATCATTGGTTGTTCGAAGACCCTTGTGGGTGTTTTGAATCTCGGCCTGGTTATTTTTTGCATCATTCTCAATATAAAGCTTTGTTTTGCCGCTTTCTATGCTAGAGATCCAGGAGGACTGAAGACCTCCGCGAACTCTGGGTTTGTAGGAATCGCTCGTACTCGCGAGCAAGAGTTTTGTCGCAGTATGGTCCTTGAGCTGTTCTTCTCTTGCAATTGCTTCGACTTCTGCTTTGATCGGGTCTGTCAAGGTTTGAGCCGCATTGTTGATTAGAATGTCGAGGCGCCGTTGATTCTCGAATTTATTTTCGCCTTCCCAAGCACAAAGTAAGTTTTTGACTATATGAACAAGTCGAAAGGCATCCTTTGCAGTTCGGAAGTCGGCACCGACAACTTTTAATCTAGAGCCCCATTGCGAAAAGTCGGTCTCCTTTGCATAACGCGCTGCTGCATCAGCAGGGTACCGAGACGAGACAATGACGTTGGCACCGCACCTAAGTAGTCTCAGAGCGGTTGAGTAACCGAGATTGATTCTTCCGCCAGTGATGAGAGCGAATTTGCCAGTGAGATTCAGCCTATCGGGCAATGAAAGCTGTGCACAACCAACGTTGAACATGCCACATTGGCGGCACAATGAGGGATATAATTCATGGGCCTCACTAGCCGAAAACACATATCGACAGATATAGCACCTCATTTTTTCACTAAATTTTCGAGGTTCTTTTTGTTTCTTCAATTTTGTGTGCTGCGCAGTTCGAAGGATATGGTCCATAGAAAACTGAGCTTTCACAGTGAGAATCACAGCAGCTAATGGGTCCGCTGCGGTGACCTGAGACACCAGATTGTGTTTCTGGAGGTAGTCTAGGACTTTGAGCGTCGCTTCCAGTTCGGTTTCTGTTGGTATGTGGAAATTATCTCTGGATGTGTTCTGTCCATCTGTCCTGTTCTCCAGTTGGCTCAGATATGCCTTGATGCCTTTGATGATGCTATTACACCTGGTCAACCGCAAGGCTTTTGATACTTCGCTGTACGGCGTGAGGTACCATGCTATCACTTCGAGAAGCGAATCTGGAGCAGAGCATAACTTTATAGCCAGCGTGCTGGGTAACTTGTTTTCTCTGCAAAGTTGTTGATCTGTTCGCAGGCGCTCGGCGATCGTCTCAGCATCTTGCAGATTGATCAAGTCGTGAAGCTCGTTTGTTTGAATTTCCTTTGCCATAATGAATCGATTGTTGATTTTTACTTTGCCAAAATAAACAAAAAAATTAGGCCGTAAGCTGTGCGGCTCAATTGAGCCAAATGAGTCAAACGTCAACAACAAACTGGGGGCCAAATAGAAAATTCTAGACAGATAATGCGACACCACGTCATATCATATGATTATGAGTCAGTGGTTGTATTGGTATCTCAATCCACGAATTTATCCTCTATAACTCTTTCCATGAAAGGTAAACAAACATGATCAAAACAACCATCAGCTCCATTGTCAGGAGCTTGGCGACAATTCCGACCGAACTTGCGCATCTGATCATCGATGATCTGCGAGTGAAGGACATCCTCAAGTTACTTTGTCACAATGATGAACGTGTTGACGCCTGCATTGTGTCGCATCCTGTCTGTCGTGCTATGTTCGGTTTCAGCTCCGATCCGGATACCCTCGCAAGGACCAGATTTGCCGCCCAATTCCACAACAGCTTTTTCAAAGAAGTGAGCCCAGCGCTTAGCTCAAAAGCTGGGCTTGAGTCTCGATGGCTTCCTCTGAATATTCATTGTATTGAGCCAAAGAATTACAAAATGATCATTGTGGAAATGAGAGAGAATATCCGCCGTGAGCTCTACCTACATTGGCATCAAACAGACTTGACTCAACTCGGTGCCCCGGATTATCCTGAGTTGGCTAGAAATAGTCCACCTCAAGACAATTATTCCTTCGAGGATATGAAGGAATGGTGGGAGGCCATTAAGAAAGCTAAGGCCAATTTGTTTAAACAGAGGTCTACTGAGCTCCACTGGGCAGCAAATATGTTGGAGGCAAATCCAGACATTCTGAAGCGCACACTGGATCCTCATCAAGAGCGAAGACCCAATACTGCGCATATCGTCTCGAGAATGCGAAAGACCGCCGACAAAACCCTGAGAGCTGTCGGGCAGAGGTTGGTAGCCTCAGAGCATTTTGAATACGAGTTCTTTGAAATCACCCCCTTTGACTCCGCGCTGGTTGAGCTGTTGAAGATGATGCAAAAGCATAATATCACGACAGGCGATCAATTGACGGTGGATACTGTCGTTGGATCAAACCTCGCAGCGCCACATCCGTCTTCAATCCAAGAATCAGCACGCATTGTTGCTGGTGGAATGTCTCTCTTTCACTTATCACCTCTGATGACTCCCAAGAAGCGGTCGGAAATAAGACACTCCATGGTCACAAACTCCGATGGCATGGTGCTTCGAACCGGCAATACGCCTTGGTCTGAGAAAAACGAATTGATGGACTGTGTTCATGTGGATGGACCGTATTTCACACCACACAAATTGGGTACTCCTCGTGCCTTTAGGCGACCAGATATCTGCCAGTGGGACCCTCATAATTTGAAGGAGGAAGAATGGCTTGAGGCTTTTGTTGAAGTATACCGATATCTGAAAGGCTTGAAATAAGTGGTGACACCAGTTTTGGGAAGTACTGTACAGCGCTCTGCGAGTATTTATAATCGTAGCCTAGCTGCATTTAGCTTCTTCGGCCATTTTAGATGTAGTAAGTGACTGGCTCATCATCATATCGCGGACAAAATGCAATTTTGACGGGGGAAATTTGGGAGCCAATTTGCAAATCTGAAAACGCAACACTCCAGAGTGATGGGTGAGTGAAGAAGACTCACTCATAGTGGACAAGATGGAAGGAGGGGGCACAGGAATTGTACAGTGGCATGTTCGTGTAAGATACAAAAGGCCGAGCACCACCCCGTCATGTAAAATACTCATCAATCAGATGGTAATGGCGCTTCTGGATATCTGACAACATCCACAAGAAATGCCCGCCCGCTACCATGGCTGAACATCTCGTAGCGTCCTCCACATACTATATACTCTAGGGCATACCCGGCGGGCGCTCCACTATGCACGACATCCATGGATGGACCGCTTGTGTGGATACACTTGCACAATTTCCACGCCTATCTGCGACCCACTCAGAAACGACTGAGTACGCAGATCTATTACAGTGATATAGGTTTCATGCCAGGTGTTCCGAACGCCGGGGAATGAGGCCAGACAGACACGCGCAAAAAACGGTCTGCCGTCTTTTGCATCTTCAGCCACCAATCCTTCGTTCCAGTCCCCAGTGGGGAACATCGGCAAGACCGACACCAGAAAAGGGCCAAAGCACATGTCCTCAGTGCTGTAAATGCCCGGTTCCACGGTGATGTATTTAATAGACAACCCATCAACTAGGACTTGAAAAAAGCTTTGGTCATTTTCGTCGACTTCAGCTTGGAGCAACTCGATTTTTGGTTGATTACCCATCTGGACTACAGAAATCTGACCTCCCAGGTCCTCTTTCGCATCTTGGATGAGACCCTCGTATCCCCCAATGCTTTCAGCGACGACCGTAGGTCGACATCTTGCTCACTATTAGTGACCAATTCAATCAGAGAATTGGCTGTGGGAGGCTTACAGGGTCGCATCGGTCAAGGCAATATTGATCATGGTCTTAGATCGTGCCAGCAAGTCGCAGAAATCGTCAAATTCATCACCCATACACGTCAGCGTTGCCCAGTCACGGTTACTGCTCGATCGCGATACACATTGGAGTATCTCCTGCTGAAAATTTTGTAGGCATTATCGCATCGCAATAGCGGCAGATCCAGCATTGAGCGATCGATGTCAGAGGTCGATTTCACCAGATCAACGAGGGATGCTAGCACGGCGTTGAAAGCTTCCAGCTCACCGAGAAGATCGCGCGCACGCTGTGGATGTGGATGGAAGCTGTTCACCATCTCATAAAGTGAGATGCTGCTTTGAAATGCGAGCGTCGCTAGGGCAAGGGTTCCGGAGGCTAGCCCGAATGGATCGGCCATGATTGTTTTCGTACAATAACGGGGAGAAGAATATCTAGTGGGCTCTTTTAGACGTGGGGTGGGCTTGGGTAGTGAAGAAGTGCATTAATTGGCGTTAAGTTGGAAGTATTAGGTTCATATCGTGATTGTTGCTCTGTGATGGGTGAAGGTGAAGGTTCCAAGGCGGGTCGGGTGGGGCGGCGGCCGCTCAAACTTGGGCCGTGGCTTCAACATCAACTAATTGTGATTGACGCAAATAATGGCCCACCGTTAGGCCAGCAGTGAACCTTGGTTTCACGAAGAAGTTCACCAGGATCTTTCGGATGAAGGCTACAATTGAACCTATCCCAAAGATAACAAGATGACTCAAACATAATGACACATGACCTGGGGCTACACATATTGGGGAAGCGAGGAAGTTTCGAATCCATACATGGATCAATCTGATCACAGAGAATCATCGAAATGACAAGAGAAATAACATCCTTCTGGTAGAAGTGCAATGCTTCAGCTGCAAGCCGTATCTAGGACACGCGTTCTGGTATAAGTCCCTCGTTCAAAGATAGGCAAACAACAAGGAAATCACACTGAATGTAAGCTTTCAAGCTTTATTCGACCACTTCACGTACACCTGGCTCTCTTTATCCTATCTTGGTCTAACTTTGGCTCTTTCTTATTCTGCTCACCTGTACTAACTCTCTTTCCCCCATCACTTCCGCCACACATCTACATTCCATTCAAAATGGTTGTCATTAAGGTCCCCAACAGTGGCCCGAACGTTAAGTTGACCATTATAGATCTTGCTACTGAAATGTATCGAGCTAAGCAATATGAAATTAAGTTCTGACTTATATGACCTCACACATCACTAATCTAGCTCTTAAAAGCCAAAAGTTGGAGGTTTTAGCCACTGTCAATGGCAGACGGCCCTACCAAATCCAATTACTCTCTTCAGGCCTCCATGACCCCGGGCCGGTCAAAAAAGAGCATTGAGGACCATTGTACCATCGGTTTCGCCGCATACTCTGTTACAAATCCCTCGACGTCTAGCTTCCCCACAATCAATTTCTCGTGAATCTATAGACCGTGGGTAAGGGCTCACTCTGGAGAAGCAGCATAAGAGCCATCTGGGTAGACGTTTACGTCTTCAATCCAGTGGTATTTGTTTTTTGCACTTCTAGAAGCGCTCCCTGAAAGCCGCCTGACCTTTATACTTTCATTTTTTTTCAATTCTATCTCACTTCTCTCGGTCGAGATTTACTTTCATCTACTCCTTCTTTTTCTTCACTCCATGTTATCTCTTACTTCCATCCTTGTACAGGCATCATGTAGTTTTAACCTAGGACTCTACATGCTTCCTCATATCCGTCAAAGGCTCAACTGACTGAAACATTGTTTTCGTCTCAGAATCATGGCCCGCCCCAAGAGGGGTCAGCCACTTTCAAATATGCTATCATGCGTCACATTGCGAGGTTTCTTACAAAATCGATACTCGGAACGCACAAATGCTTTAGCCCCCAGAGCAATTTAAGATGGCAAAAGGCAATATCATCCAAGTCAGACAAACACTCTCTCATGCTATAAATCGAGAATTACATGATGTTTAAAAAAGCCTTTCGGAGCTTTGTTGAAGGATTACTTGAGCGCAAGTGCACCCTTCTGTCTATCCACCAAAGCAGTGAGGATATAATTGATAAAGATGTCTGCGATATATGCGAAGCTGCTATTCTAGTCGACGCGGTCTTCCATTATTGCTCCTTTCGCAGATCTGGTGACTTCGATACATGCGAACCTTGCCATCAGCTGAGGGATGGTATCTGGATTGCGGGCACCAATTGGAACGAGCATACAATAGGCTTTTCTAGCTTGGCCGATAGATTCAATCTCAAATTGACACAGTACTCAGAGGAATGTGACATGTGAACGCGAATCTTGTGATCTTCGACCATGACAGCTTTTTGTAGGTCAAATAACCGACCACCGTAGTCATTTCGAAACTTGGTATCTCTCAATATAGTCTGATCAATGGACTATAACGGTGGGTGTGCTTTCAATCGAGGGGACGAGGTTTTCAAAATAATGATTATTGACCTGTGTATACTCCTGCAAAATTTCCAAAATGTTGCATTCGGCGGAAAGTTCGCAGGGTGTTCAATCAAATGACAAAGTTACCAGGATTGACGGACCTAAAGTTCCCATGCAAAATAAATTGAACATATACCTTACCAACATCTGACGCTAACTATCCTGCAATGAAAAAGCTGGTTAGTCTGTTATTGACATAGATTAGGATTTTCGTCATATTAGTGAGCATCTCTAAAAATATCATTAACTAGCTGCGATTGTTTGTGTTACATTGTATCCATTCCGTGCATATGTGCATAAGTACAGGCGCAAAAGTAATTAACGCTTGTGGCTCAAAACATTGCGTCTCCGCTGGCAATGATACGGAGGCTTAAAGTGATTCTTGAATTACAATGACAATTCTGTACGGAGTACATATTGTACATATTGCAAAACCATCAACCAAATTGCGTTTCATCATAGGTCAATATGAACCAAAAGTTGGCTGGAATAGGGGTAATCGGAGTACTTCTTCGGCCCTATCTACAAGACACTAACTTGCGGTTCAAACCTTTAATCACCATTAATTGCCGCTACTTAATATCTATTTTAAGACCCAAAGCGGGCAATATGCGAGCTAATTAAGGAACAATCAACCCTGTCAGGCGGAGCCCAGCCGCAGATTCCCTGCATCGCCTATCAGCGGTAATGCACCGAACACGAATCCCATTGGCTGGTGTTTACAAGTTCGCAACAATGATGTATACAACGTCCAGGCTCAGCTGGCACAAAGCTCTTTCAATGTCATGCAGCTTGGCGCAACTAAATCCACCCGGTGGTTATGACCAAGCTTTATATTCGCACGCCTTCCGTCGCAATGAGTGAACAATTGTTTTTGTTTCATTTCAACGCATCGTCCCTGGTGGAATAGTGATTTTCTCGCCTGAATTTGTTTTTGTTCTGTTACTGTCATCAAGGATCAATTTCCATTCATTGGCTTGTGATCGCTCAATTCCTTCTCGATCCTTGATAGTCGTCATCCTGCTCAGCGACCAATCTATAGCCGTTGCTATTCTTGGTTTTGGGGCCATTGCGTATTTTTTATATTGTTGAACTCGCCGGCTACTAGTCATCGGTCGTGTGCACAGTTCTTATTAGAACGTTTTGCTTTAATATCTGCCTGTTTCTATATCTCCCCGCTCCTTCATTATCCCCCCTTTCGAGCAATTGGATGTCAACTGCTCCCACTGCTGGAGGGCGATCTCGAATAACTATACCACAAGATCACACAGCCTTCCCACCAAGATGACGGGAATCATCGGCGGGCCTCTTTCCATCTTCCGCAAGTCAGACACTCACAAGCCACTCCACGCTCGATGGGGTGATGTTTCTATCTCCGTGCCTACAGATGGATCATGGAGCCAATACAACAACCCCCATCGACCAATCAAGGGGAGATCGGCCTACGGGCCCGGTTATGTTCCTGATAACTCTCCAGACCAGACGACTCATCCGCTGAGAGAGGCAGACGATCATGACGACGCCAGAAGTGTCTTCAGTACGGCATCAGCAAGTTCTCAACGAAGCTCTCTCGGCTCGATGCTACGGGGTCGTCCTTCGGTTCGCTTGACCTCGCGCCCCAAAAATCTCAAAAGCGAATCCCATGGTCGTCTAGAAAGAGACCCTCAGCATTCCGAGAAAAAGCATATGGATTTTGCGTATCGACCCATCCAGCACGACTACCCTTCTGAGGTGGTTGAAAACTCCAAGCAACCCAACAATCGCTTTAGCTACGTCCGCACGAGTGGGCTTTATCCTCAAGCTTCAGAATCTATATCTCGCAGCCAATCTGTTAGCTCTCGCCGCAGTTCTTGCTCACGCGATCGCTCATACGCGAAGTCTTGCGATGGAACAGCCCGTGCTCGTGATCACGACTCTACTCCAGGTGTTCGAATCAGCACATATGAGCGCCCTGATTCTGGATATATCTCTGATCGCTCACAGCAGCTATCCTCTCGCCGGAGGATATCGCCTCTTATTCCGGTCGATCGGCAAAGCGGCCCTTGTTCAAATCCTCAGATCATGGCGATGGTCCCTAACCCTGACGAGCTTTATGGGTGATCCCTCGTTTCTTCCTTTTTTTTAGCCATAGTAATTGGATGCTATCTTCTGGGGGTTCTTTTCTTTTTGTCTCATATTTAAGCATCATTGCACGGTGTTAGCATCTGTGGGGTTTTTGATGGTTTAAAGGCCTTGTTAGCAGCGCCTCAGAATGTAAATAATGCCTGTTATTCTCAAACAACAAATTTCACTCAAATAAATGCACAAAATAAACAAAGTAAATCCAAAAGCGTAGCAACATTCTGCCAATAATCGGTCTATTTGACACCGGAGGTAGACTAAATGGTTCTTCCCCGAGATACACGGCCGAGTTATACCAGTCCGAGTCAATGTCAGTCTAACACCACATACCACGAAGGCAATCCATGAATACTCAGGGAACTTTGACATCCTCATTGGTGGACTAGTTTCCCATTAGATTAAGAACTTAACGCCGTTGTCTGCCACACAAATTTCATTCCTGCAGATATATATTTTCACGCCTCCACAATTCATCACTCTGACGCCATGTCAACGCCGCATTTACCAACCGATCAGATACCATGCAGCCCGAACGTTTCGAATCATTGTCCGCCTGATATCTCACAACTCAATTTACTTGATTGCAAACTCAGAACTCCACTTTGTGCCCAAAGCTTGAAGAAAATGACAGACGCAGTGGTTCAACTTCGGTGCGGCGTGAAGGTAACAATATCTCCCCCAAGAACATACGTTTCGGCTGATTCTAATCCTCACGGCTTAAAAGAATGATTCATGGGGAAAGAAAGGCAAAGAGTCTGTTGTAGCTCAACTGTGGTCCAAATCCCCTAACAATGGGCCAATTGATGACTCCAAACATTACTCCGAGGTAAATTACATTCCTTGGACAATAATTCAGCCGCTACTACCTAGGTAGAAAGATTGTTTGTACTAACATCCAGTTAGATGTGGCTAGGCACATACCCCTCGAAACCGTCATATCTGCTTTCTACTGGTGAACTTCTCGGAGATTATCTGAAGAAGAACCCCCAGCTGGTAGGTAAGTCTGTGCACGATAGATGGGGACCAGAGATCCCATTCCTGCCAAAGGTTAGTATATAGTAGCAAACTACTATTCAATACCTAGGTATACGCCTCATGTATTAATGTCAAATCAGATTCTATCCTTCAGCAAGGCCCTTCCTCTACAAATCCACCCAGATCTCAAACTCTCCGCCCAGCTACACAAAGATGACCCCAAGAAATATGGCGACACAATGCACAAGCCGGAGATCGCAATCGCGCTATCCAACTTCGAGCTTTTCGCCGGCTGGAAGCCACTAGCTCACATCGAAACGTTGTTCGGGTTGAACCAACTGGGAAAATTCCTACCCAAAACAGGCGAATTCAACGATGAGGCTTTGCGCCAGGTATGCAAGGCTCTACTCAAAGCGCCACCAGAAGAAGTTGTTCAAACAACCAAAGACCTCCAAGCAATCCCCGAATCGCACTTCGGCGCTCACTCCTACATCCCCAGCCTCCTCAGCCGTCTAGCTAAACAATACGGCCAAGACGACAACGGAAACCTCGTCGCCGCCCTACTCATGAACTATCTGACCTTAGGACCCGGCGACTCGGTCTTCGTCCCGGCAGACAGCATCCACGCCTACCTGGAGGGCGACATTGTGGAGTGCATGGCGCGGTCGGACAACGTGATCAACACGGGGTTCTGTCCCGCTGCGGATCGAGACAACGTCGACTTATTCGGCGAGGCGTTGAGCTTTGTACCGCATAATGCGCACGATGCATTGCTACCGCGGAAGAAGAGCGATAAAGGGATGAAAGGAATGACAGATGTCTATGCGCCGCCCATTAGTGAATTCGCCGTGCTTTGTACCACTCTTGGCGCTGGAGAGAAGGAGACGCATAAGGCTATTCTGGGACCTAGCTTGATGATTGTTACGAAGGGATCGGGTCGCATGAATATCCCTGGTGATCGCGTTGTAGAGCTGAATGAGGGATGGGTGTTTTTTGTGGGTCAGGGTGTTGCGCTGGACTTTGGCACTGACAGGGGCATCGCTGTTTATCGGGCGTATGCGGAGTAAGATGAAGAGCCTCAGCTGAGCGGGGTCTGGTAGATGCTAGTGGAGTACCTGGAGTACAAAAATGAAATTTGCTAATGTTTTCCTAGGTTTTTTTTGGGAAATTTTGATATAGATTGATGTAGGCGGGTATCGAGGTGCGTTGTATGTACTCCGTATGCAAGTGTTTATGCGGGCGTTCAAGCCCTAAGTGCGCCGTTCCATATCGGGTAAAGGTCGAAAGACAGGTCAAGTGGAGGAAATGGACCACTCATCGGAACACACCTATCGAAGCAATGGACCCCCTCTATATCCTCGGCAAACAAGCGGTGATGCCCTGCTCATATATCATTTTGAAGTAGAAACTGTTGTTGTGAGTGGGGCCATGATTCGTGAGTTGTCCTTATCGGGAGTGCCTCCAACTGAACCAGTCAAAGAATAGCAAGTACTACATCGCTGTGGTTTGCTTCACCGAGCAGCAGTATTAATTTAGAACTTATGGCGCATTTACACAGGTCTAGCCCACCGGATTAGTCCGCATATGCAGGCTAGTTGAACCAAATGCAGCAAATTGGGCTAATGCTGGTTAATTATGTTGCTTTTCTTAATCTATCTATAGCTAATTGATACTATCTTTGTTTTCTCCGCGAGGCGCTCAAAATATAGTTTGAAACAGGGACCGTGTGTCAACATGCGTCTTAGCTTCAACTCAAGGTTTTCAAGATGTTATATATCTATATTCTCGCAATTACATGTCATGGATTGTCCCTTTCATCGGCTCACAGGTTCGAGGCTCAACTTCAGGGTCCTTCTGGAGGGCCATAATACGAGCCTGATACTTGGAAAAGGTTGTGAGTTCCTTGGTTCTTTGTTCCAATTGCCTATATCCTGGACAAGCGCCTCGTCCCGGTGACCTTATGTTGACTTAGACACAACCTGGATACTGAGCTATCTCAATTTGTTCCACTGTTAATGCCCACCACTAGAACTCCGCGCGCACAGCGGTCATTATCCTCGGAGCTATATCTGGGAGCCTCATCTCTCCACAAGTAAGTTGCATACAGAGCCTCAATTGATCCATGGATCAGACTTAACTAACATTAATAGTGGCCGGGGGCTTATCATGCCTTTTTTCTCGCAAAGAGCGGGCCAGAAAACGGGACTCCCTGCAAACGGAGAACTACCCACCGGGTCAAACCCCATCACAGCATAAAATGGAAGAAATGGGCCCGCCAAGGCGAACCAACCCCCAAGCCCGGCCACTATCGACCTTTGCGCCGGATTATTCCCGCCAATACCAACAAGAACTGTCTCGGTCATCACATGTACAACCCCCGCCGTACCTGCCGACATATGACCCGTCACGATATCAACCTATCCGGCCAACCTCAATGGTCGGTAATAACTTCAACTACGTCCACACGCAACACAACTACAACAACCCGCCTCCCGGCCCCCCCTCCCGGCTGAGCGATGTTCACTACTTCAATAATACCAGTTTGTCAAGTTCCCGACCGCTGTCAATAGCCGTCCAGCCCGCAATGGGGCCGGGGGTACCGGTAGCGCCCAGGCCAGGACGACAAGGGGGTAGCGAAGGTCGAGAAAGGAGTGCGTCTGAGCCAATGCTTTCGGCCCAGCCCGTCGACCTGAGACTCAAACAACCTAAACCCGTTTTGTCGCGGCTGATCACCAACTTCCGTTGATTTCATGTTGGTGGCTTGGCCTTGTTTTTATGACTATCACGATGGCGTCTTTTCTTTCTCTCTCTCTCTTTTTTTATGTTTTGTTTTTTTTCTTCAACAGCGGTTTAAACGAGAGTCACGACTCATCATAAGTTGAAGGAAAAAAGTGACACTTGTACCTGTTTGGCTTATTCGCCTCAAAGTTACGGCTTATATTTCATCCTGTTAGGATTCAACGACTCTCCTTTTATTTTGCATTGAGATCTACTTTTTCCGAAACTACAATATGCCTGAAATATGTAAATTATATAGCTTTCATAGAGATTATACTTAAATCGAGAGTGGAATCAGCACGGAAATCCGGTCTCAACGCCTGGTCCGTGGTGCTATGCAATCAATCGGAGTGTTGCCGTGTTGCCGTTTAATATTTTGGATCATCGCGATGATTACCCTTTTCATACTCTCAGCGCTTATTCAAAGACCCGAATGGAACTCTCAAACGCCTCCCACGAGAGTGGCGGGACGATCAGCTAAGACGAGAATCGAAATTCGCTCACACCAAGTTATTTATACAATATTTTGGCGATGTATTATATTCAGGAAGCCTCTTCAAGAGATTCTATGTCTACATCGACCGCAATGCCGATGGCGGAGATGCTGTTGAAGCAATGGCTGTTACGCCTGACTACATGGGTAAAATTCCTTTGAATATTGGATCCTTCAAATTCCCCTTCGAATCAACAAGTCCACTCCAGTGCAGGGATTTAGATGCGTCACAGTGAAACAGAGTGCTTTTTCGTCTATCTTTGAGGGGATGTATTGTCCACCCCCTCTTTTAATCCCTGTCGTTCACCTATTTTGCTCATTTCTGTTCATATATTCACAAGTGTCAGGCGACATGTTCCCTGCATTTGAGCTTGTCGTTACTTCGGCGGCCCTGAACTCAGCAAGATAATCTGCTCAGTCAAATGGGCCAGACCAAATTATGATCATTGATCCCATGTCATACATTGTTGTTGCGATGTTAGATCCCTCGACAAGCCCCATGCTAAGACGACAAACAACCGAGATGCATCGATACAGGCACACTAAGTGCAATGTGAAGGTGACAGCACCCTGGCCCACAACTGCCTATCTACCTAGTACATATCTTGGAACAACCAGGGGTGTGAGCCGGGGGACATGAATCCACATCTCATCCTACCCCTCATACCTGCCTGCATCCATGTACGTTGAAGCTATCGGAGCCTCTCCATTATGACGCCCCGTTTGGATCATTCTGCCAGCTGTTAAGATGTTTACGCGATTTTTCGAAATTTTTTAAGTTTGAGTACTCACGCTGTTGTTTTAGGGAAGACAATCGTCTCTATTCCCAATTTGTTACCTGGGGGCCACCAGTAGAGCCCGGGGTCGGTCCATACTACCAGGCTCTCTCCCGGTGTTTAATCACTCTCTAGGTCCGTTGGCTCTCAACTCCAACCGGTCGAGCACTTCCTCCAGAAGATCTTCCCTCTTCTCGGTCGAAAACGGACATGCGGTGGCTGACTAGTGCGCCTCCATGGACTTCTTGTGTTGATATAACTTCAACACACTCGCGTAGTTGACCTGCCCCTGTCTTCTACCCTTTTTTTCCACTGTGGTGCTTGGCCTGTCGTTTTGAGACAGATCTCATGCTCTCTTTGGGAGTTCGGGCAATTCTGGGATGAGCACCGTGTTAGGGGGTGATATTTCCTCCCTTGGTACGTTTGAATTCTGAACGCGTTACCCCTCCAACCTACATGAGAAATACTTTGCAGGCCATGGCGACCTTCATGAAGAAGTTCAAGAGGAAGCGCAGACTATCAACGGAGCTACACTCTCGCTGGGGCGATGTCTCTATCACCCATCCGACGCAAGGATCCTGGAATCAGCGATCTCAAAATTCGGGACATGTTGCGAATGAAGCAGGGATAATTTCTTCGAATGTGCCGCACGAGGAAGGAGAAGGACAGCGACATAAGCCGTCTGGCTCATTGCGACAACCGAGTCCCAAATCATCCATCAGGCGATCTCGAAGCACCGCCCCTCGAGAACAATCAGAGACACCCTCTCCATCTTTTCCAACGGGACATTTCAATGAGAACATTCGGCATCGCGGCAGAGATGATTGCCCACCACCGGTTAAAGGCTTGGGCGTTGGCGACCTGCGACGCATTTCGAGTCAGAATGCATCAAGCACTGTTACCAATGAGGATACTTCCGGCTCTTCCTGCAGCGACGAGGACGAAGAACGAGATGTCCTAACTGCTCCAGTTGGACTAAGCCCGCGCATCTACGAATTGGCAGATACGTCAGACATACCACACGATAACACCGAGGAGTACGATGTACCTGCCAAAACACCGCCGCTGTCTGTGACTACACGCATGCGCCGTTTCAGTGTTCATAGCTCCGTAACAGAGCCCACGCCGTTAGTTTCTGGCGATATCAGCTCGCGACGAACGAGCGTTACCGCTGCATCTGACGTTTCGGCTACTTCCATGTCAACTTCGACGACAACTACCACACCGCGTTATAGACACAATACCCACAAACTACCACCTTTCCTGGCGAAGAAATCCCCTCCCTGGTCAAAAGCTCAGGAACCAGAGCCTGCTACGGCACCTGAACTAGTACCCTCCTATGATGAGCTCTACGGCTGATATTCCATGAGGATGCTTTTGTTCAAATCTAGAATTTTTCATATGTGATCTGTCTTATTACTTTTATTATTTGGGTGGCAGTTTCAGACCAATCAATCATGTTCGAATGCAATGCAGTCATCCGTTGACATTTGCCTCAATGTTCTCTAAAGATTAACCTTGCATTAATACGGTCTCTAGAGTCGTTTTTCTTTATTTATTATGTTTATAATTGGTGGTTGTGATCAGAATCTCGAGGAAATCTACATCTGCATCTCTACACTTTTATTCATCTCCTTCCCAGCACGTAGTAAAACGAAGCTTGGCGCTTTTACAATTTGGTCTACAGATTACCTGCTTTTGTTTCTTTCTTTGCTTAATTCTTCCAAAGAAAAAGAAAACCAACGTCTAAACTCACCTTTTGAACAAAAAACTGAAATTGACGACTCGAAGTGAGGGGGTGAACGTGAGTCCGTGCATATCTGCAGCACAAGTCACATTCACAACCGCTCATCACCAATCAAGCGTCAACCCTAGTCAATTCTCGTCACACCCTTTACGCCAAAATCTGCAGGATGACGGATCGATCACTCTGTTCCCACCAACTGTTCCTCGCAAGGCACATTTAGCAACTAGCCTGTAGGCGGTGTTCTGTAAGCGCCGAACAACATTTGACAGCCAAGGATGTGCTTGATTCGACAGGCGAATTCTTCCCATTGTTCCGCTCAAGCATTAGCAGCCCTGTGCATGCTTTGAGATGTGACCATTCTCTGTCCGCGCTCTTTTGACTCAGTAGTCACTCCACTTGCTCGTCACAGAACCGGAGAGCTCGCAGTGCAAAAAAGAAGCTCTCCCGCATACTCTGTACTGGCATACACCTTGCCGTTCTCTCATGCGAACTTGATTGTAATATTCTGGTGCCTTGCCCTCTCTCGCTCATACCCGTGGTGATCGTAAGAACAGATGCAGGACTCTCTGTTCGCGCGGTCCATCATATCTGGGCTTTGGGACGGCAACTCAAGGTCCTTCAGGATGCTGGTGGTTCTTCTAGCTCTGGTTTTGAATAGCTCTGCGGTTTTCGCATTGGTTACTACGCCCGGCTCGCCCTGTGCAGATGTCTGTGGGACGACGACCAATACCACATCTAGTGAGATTGCGTGTCTGGATCAATCGTACAATCAAACGACGACCGGGAAAAGTTTCAAAAAATGCATATCTTGTCAGTTGGATAGCGAATTCCACGACGCCAGCACTGGTGAATCGGATGTGAACTGGGGACTCTGTATGTTGTGGCACCTTCGTGAATTCCCGTTTCGCGCGGTTCTAACAGCTCAAATCAGACAATCTGCGCTACGCTTTCTCAACCTGTGTCTTTGGGGTCCCAGACTCAATCTCCAACATATCCTCTCCTTGTCCAGTCACATGCGATGATGTTCGATTAGCAGTAGGAACCGATCTAGAGGAATCAAATTCCTCCAATTTGAATGCCTGGTGTGATACGCCAACATTCGCAGACAATGTGGTGAACGCGTGCGAATTCTGCTACAATCTGACAACCAACCAGGTCTATCTGGCAAACTGTGAGTGTGCCCTGCGTGCCAAATTTGCATGATCTCAGCAATATAAGAGAGCCGCAATTAACCGTTTTCGCATGCAGTTCTCGAGTCCATCCGCTACAACTGCCACTTCAAGACAGTAATGGGCAAGGCATTCAACATAGACCCAACAAGAATTTTCACCCAGTCTCTCCTCCCGTCGAGTCTTTCCCTCACAACCGCAACCCCAAGCTCCTCAAATCTGAATTTGGGCGTGGTAATAGCCGTCCCGATAGTAGGTTTCCTGATCATCCTCTGCTCCCTCGCGATATGCTGCTTCTTCTTCATCCGACACCGTCGGAAGAAGACGCGCCGAACCCGCCAACCGGGCAACATGTACAACGATTGGAGTCCCAACTCGTCGAGTGGTGCCCAGCAGGCTTGGGGCCAGAATCAGATGTACAACCCTGGTGGTTATGGGTACGGGCCTGGCATTGGATTCATGGACAATGATGGTCGCGGGCAAGAGCTTCCGTATGGCTATGGCCAGGACCATGGGATTAGTCCAGACCAGCAGTATCAGCAGCACCATTATCAGCAACAACAGTACCAGCAGCAGTACCAAGGACAAGACAAGTCGGGCTTCGCCCATGCGATCACGGAGCAGCAACCTCACCAGCAGTTTCCTGTTCATTCCCCTGTCTTGGATCCCGATCAGAAGGGGCCTCATCAGTGGTAACAATCGCAATTGAAAAGCTTTTGTCTTTGAGCGTTTCTTGTTTTCCTCCCAAGGAGCTTGTGCACAAGAAGAAGAGAGCTTTCTGTGTGAGAGCTGTCTGGTAGGAGTCAGTTGGTGTTTGTCCTATTGGATCGTTCGGGCTGTAATGAGACAGTATGAGCCCCCCTTGTTAACGGCGTCTTGCATTTTGGCTTCTTGATTTATTGGAGTCTGTCTCCATTTTGGCGAAATATCCCGACATATCGCAATGTCTGCATGTCCTTACCGAAGTAAATAGTCCAAGATCGACGAATTGAAAAATGAATCAGCCATCAAACAAAACTAAAACAGCCATATCAAATCTCCGAAGAGAAAATATCCGTGAAGAAAAGACCCCTGCAGTAAATTCCTTAGGGTCAACAAACCCAACCCTCGCAACCGAGGGCGGCAACAGATATTTAACCACCACCCATATATACCATCTACTTCTACATACAACACACAGGTCCTAAAATAGCACCCCAAACCGCCCAGCAAACGCCCATCAACGCCATTAACGGCACAAGCAAAACCTACACAAGCCAGATTGCCATGTAATACGAGATGATCGAGTTCTTTGACCTCTCCGGCCGAGTGACAGATCGTGCCAAATTGGTCGGCTTCTAACTCTGTTACAGCACCTGCCGCCAGGGGCTCAGGGGTCCAATGGGGGATGCCGATCCGGGGTTATTTTTGGATTTGCGGGCTGATTTTTTTGTGCTTATTTTGATGCGGTTGGCTAGGAGCGCTTGGGGTGTTAATATGGGACAGAGAATGGTTGTACGGAGCTTGAATGTTTTGTTATCCGGGGACTGATCGGTTGATAAACCGGAGAATGAACAGTAGAACATTAGGCATTCTGCAATAGAAACGAAAATTGTAGATATTGAAGTTGCGGTAAAAACTCCGGAGACTCCAAACGTGATCTACTAGTTACAAGCTTTGATCTTATCCACAACTCTTTGACCTCGGAACTTCCTCACTCACCACCAACCACAAGATGTCCACCCTCAACCAAGAACAAATCAAAGTCCTAGAGCAGTCTCGCCAGCGACTGGTTCAATTAACGCGCTCACTGGGCTCTCTGATTGCAAGCCTAAACCAAAGCGACCCTCTCCCACCGTGGTAAGAGCACCAGCTCCCCGCGCCAACCACTAACCCCCAACTAACCACCCCAGGTCCTCCCTCCAATCCCAAGCAAGCATCATCTCCAACAATCTCCTCAGCGTCTCAGAACAACTCTCCGACCAGCGCGACCTCCTCTCAACACTAGTCGCCTACCCAGGCCCCGAGTACCCAGGCCGAACGCAAGCAAACATACTCGAGCAACTACTCCGCACAAAACTCGACCCCCGCGTCGAAGACTGGGTTGCGCGCGGCCGCACAGCAGGAACAGCGAGCACGGAGGGTTCAGACAAGCTCAGCGACGCGCAGCTCGCGGCGCTGTGGGAGTGGGCGCCGCTGGAGGCGAACGCTGAAGCGCGGCGGAGGAACTGGGGCGGGAATTTCACGCTTGAGGAGCGCGAGGCCGGGATTGAGAATGTTGTTACGGGATTGAAGAGGCAGCTTGTTGACGAGGAGGAGTCGGAGGATGAGAGCGACGAAGAAGCCGAGGAGGAGACGGATGATGTTGTGGGTGTTCGACGGAAGCCTGGGGCGGCTGGGTTGGAGTTTGATATTGCGCCTCATCATGAGCATGCGGTGCAACCGTTTGTGCCGCTGGATCTTATTCTTAGACATATGACTACGGGGCGGATGCCGTAGGCTGTTTTGGAGGTGGCTTCTCTTCTACGGTTGTGCGTTGTGCTAGGCTTGCTTAATGTTACTTTTGGCTTCGGCCGATAGTATGCTTCGAAACGGAAGGTATTACAATTGTTATAACCAGACCAAAGAAAGAAGAGGATGTGGGAAGAGTCCTATCTAACCGCGTCGGCGGGTGGTGGGGGTCTTCACGCCGGGTCTGGGAGAGGCTCCTGAGGCCTGTGCGACGGGTGTCTTTTCCACGGCCTTTGCGCGAGGGGTCTGCTTCTTTGCGGGACTGGGCGCGTTCCAATACCAGATCATCTGGGTAGCGAGGATGACGTTGAGGGAGAAGCCAGCGATGAATCCGTAGAGAATAAGCTTATCGTCGACCTCCTGGAGGGTAGTAAAGATGCGGGACAGGGATCCGGCGAGGTAGTTGAAGACCTAGGGAGCAATTAGCATGTGATTGGGAGCTTCCGCTGAGAACTAAAAACTTACTGCGAAAGCACTCAGCTGTCCGGTTCCGCCTTCGCGCCATATAGTGTAAATCTGAGGAGCCTTGCTGGCAACGCCCAAAGCACCGGCACCAGCTTGCAAGTAAGCCATAGTCTGGGCATCGACGAGCGTCTGATCGAACAGCAAGGCATAGATGCTAGCAGCTACAAGGGCAACAAAAGTTGCCGCGGCAGCAGTGCGGCCAGCAAAGTGCAGGACCAAGACTCCGACCGCGATATCTTGCACGGCAATAAGGGCAGTCTCGCCATAGGTGCTGAAGGGGAAATGGTTGCGGACGCCGTAGGAGAGGGTAATGAGCAAGCTAGCAGTTTCAAGGGCGTACGAGACGAAGGAGACACCGGCGGAGGAGCGGGATCCGATGAGCTTCAGGATCTGGGGGACCTTGACGATGGCGCTGGCGCCAACGATGGCGATGCCGAGGGCCTTGGAAATGGCGAGGGTCGTGCATGCAGGGTCTTTAGTGACATCGAGGTCGAGCAGGAGCGCGCTGTGGCACGGTTTGCCGATTAGGGAGATGACAGCATCGTGTACTTGTTCGGGGATTGCAGAGACGATGGGTTCCAGGTACGGCTGGAGAGGCGCGATCACGGAGTTTTGAAGAGTATCCATGTTGGCTATATGTGGTCACAATGTGTGCTGCGGGCGAACAATAACAACCTTCGAGAATATTGGGTCGCGCTAGCCGCTTGCGGCTTAGCGCGGCTACTGACATCTATATAAGTTCGAGGTAGTTAACATAGCAATTGTAAGTACTATGAAAAATTACTAAAATACATTAGGGGGGGTGTTTCAACTGATAAATAATGTTTAAGTTAGAGTCACAGGTAAGAAGACAACTATCTATGTATATAATGTGCTATTCAGCAGGAATACGACCATAGAAGAGCGTCAGGGAGGCCTTGCTGGACCAAGCCCGACTATTAAATCAGGATCAATCATTATATAGCAAAAGAAAAATCTTCTTCCCCCTCAGTAGACCAGTGCGCTAAATGTCAAAACTTTCCCCTGGCTGAGTGGTTTGTCCACTGAGCCAGGCACGGAAGATTTTTGAAAGGTTGGTCCTGTAACCAAGTATACAGGAGCATTTCTTAAATTCTCGAATACCTCCGTCTCTTTACCCTTGCATGTAGCCTGGCAAACCTAGCCGGTGGCATCGTTCTTTGTACTTCTATCCTTACGGCCACTGAGCGGCTGAATCCAGAGAAGAATATTGATAGTGCAATTAGATAGCACGGTCGATCACTGATTAAGATACCAACATTGATGAAGATTTATTCAGGATACAATGCCGACCTTCTCCACATCAAGAGCTTTTTCAGACTGACCAACGCCTAGATAATCAGTCTATTCTCAACGGCTTCATCGCACTGGACAATCCAGCGACGAACTGGCGTATGCATGATATGTCTACAGCCACACACCCGTGGAGGACGCTGCGATTCGGAGATCCCGTGGCTTCGCACTCGTCTTTTGATATCATCACTCAGGGGATTGCTTCAAACGCAAGTCTCATGATCCAAGAGATCCAACGTCATCCGTGTCACCACAGAGCCTGACCATCCATGGGTTCCATCACCATGGGCACCCTTCAGGCCACCATGGTCCATGAGCTCAGCTGCAATCTTGAGCTTTACCAAAGGGCCTCAACTCCCACGGCTCTCTCTTCCCTAGACCCCGCCATCGAGAAGTCCCCATTTGGATCCTTCTTACTTTCTACGATGCCTTCCGTTCTTGCTGTCTTGAACAATAACCCTGACCACGAAAAAAAAAAACTCAAAGACGGGCACCAAACGTTGGCCAACATCTTTGACACAAGTTGATTAGCAGGCAAGACTTGTATTTTGTTAAGTCACATGGGTAAACAAACAAATCAACTAACTTCATGCACAGTTGGACTCGATCCTCAAGCATCGTCGGCCCTGGCACCATGATCTTCAGTCTCCCACCACAGCGAGAGGACATTGATGTGACCTGTTGCGACAAACTTCTCACATTGGGATATCTGGGAACAGTAGGTCTACTAGAGAACTCGGGAGTAATCGGACACATGGTGGGTGGAGGAATTCGCAGGGGAAAATAGGGCCTTCAGATGCGTGGGCAATAGTCAGTTTGAGCTTTCCCCGGTTCACAATAGTATGAATTCTGCTAACACCATCACAGTCACTTGCAAAGATTGACTCGATGAGCTGAAGCGGCGACGCTAAGATGACGATTACCAGACCTAAGTATGAAGCTGCCTGGCTGATGCTACGGCTCGCTAGACTGTCTTCTTCCCTGAAGAACCAGATCGACCATACCACAACATCGACCCACCATGGCCAAGAGTTGTTTGAGATGACGATTACTACATTGAAGAATGAAGATTACTGGCATGGGCTGCAGCTCGTCCGCCTTCTTTCTTCCCTGAAGAACCAGATCGATCACCTCACGCTATAAATTATTCTCGCAAGTGACACCTGCAGGTGGTGGCTATGAAAGGGTATACAAGTGATATCATGACAACTGCGAGATGCCATTTATCAATTTGACATTCTTCTAATGTTGCATTCTTCATAATGAGCATATCCTAAAGCATCAATCCATCTCCATGTAAAGGCGTAGAGACAATTTTGTGGTGGTACGACTTCCGAGCCCTTGAGCGGGTGTGGCACGTGCACCGGGGAAATTCAACTTCTCTCGTCCACATTTCTTCCTCTTGCATGACAGACACGCCATGATCCCTCTGCGGCCTTCCCTTCTACGGAGGCCTCGAGAGGCGCTTGTATGCTCATGTCGGGCCAATGTCAGTCTGCCTTCCGGGCCCATTCGGGGATTCCTATCATCCTCGAAATCACGGACCGGAGTCGCGGATGAATCCCCTTCGGTATTTCACAAGTCATATTTCTCGGCCAATCGATTATACGTTAGGCCAATTTCAAAAGGCAGCTTTCTGTCTTCTTTTGCGCCGGCCAATACGGGTAAAAACCTCAGCTTCACATCCCAAACTCCTAGCAATTCGTCCGCAACGGTTGCAACAGAAGCAAGCTCGGAAGAACTACCACATCGGCGACGAAAGCGCCTGAAGGAGGAAAGCAATGGCACCAAACAACCAGAACCGAGCATCCCGCTGGATGCCTCCGCGCAATTGTCGAATTTCTCGTCCACACTCCCCACCACCTCCATCCGCCGCAAGCTGGCAGCCTACCTCGCCCTGACGAAACCCCGATTGTCTTTCCTGATCGTCCTCACCACCACCTCCGCATACGGAATGTACCCAATCTCGTCCCTGCTCACCCTCGACCCGTCCATGACCCCACTACCTACCCTTTCGACCTCAACCCTGACCTTTATCTACTTAACGGTGGGCACATTCTTGTCATGCTGCAGCGCCAACACGCTGAACATGATGTTCGAGCCGAAATACGATGCGCTCATGTCCCGGACCCGCAATCGCCCTCTTGTTCGCGGACTCATCTCGCGCCGGGGGGCCTTTTTCTTCGCGGTTGGCACCGCCGTGACTGGTCTTTCACTTTTATACATCGGCACGAATCCCACGACAACGACATTGTCCGCTGCGAACATTTTCCTGTACGCGTTCGTTTACACGCCGCTGAAGCGAATCCATGTTGTGAACACCTGGGTCGGCGCAGTGGTCGGTGGTATCCCGCCGCTGATGGGATGGATTGCTGCAGCAGGTCAGACTGCCACAATTGGCCATGATACGTGGCGCGATATGCTTTTCAGCGAAAGTAGCATTGGCGGATGGTTGCTGGGTGGAATCTTGTTCGCTTGGCAATTTCCTCACTTCAATGCTCTCTCCCATCTCATTCGTGATGAGTACAAAGCTGCCGGGTACCGGATGCTGGCTTGGGTTAACCCAGCTCGCAATGCTCGGGTTGCTCTTCGCTACTCTATCATGATGTTCCCCATTTCGATTGGTCTATGGTATGTTGACGTTGTCGGGCATGGATTCTTGGTCGGCAGCACTGTCGCCAATGGCTGGCTGGTCCGCGAGGCGTACCGCTTCTGGCAGCACCAGGGTGCGAATGGAACTGCACGTGGTCTGTTCTGGGCGAGTATCTGGCAATTACCCATTCTCCTCGTCGGTGGCTTGGTCACCAAGAAGGGTCTATGGGATGGTGTTTGGAGGAATATCTTCGGGCACCCAGATGAAGATGATGACCAATATTTGTACTACGAGGATGAAGAGGAACTCGAAGGTGAGAAGTCTAAACTCAAAGATTCTTCATCTTCCCGTCAGTCATCGACTCGGACAAGTACTTTGTCCACTGCATGAGAGGCTTGCAACACATCTTGGCTATGTGCACCCTCGATTTGGGTTTCCGCCTCCTCGCATATATTTGTTGCATTTAAGTTTTTCACCTACTCTACTTACATGTTGGTTTTCAATTTTTGTCTTATACAGCGGTTTGGAGTGGCGTTTTCTGTCTTTGTATAACACCATTCCCATATGCCCATATGGGATCCATACAGATTATTCATCCATTTTCTTTTCTCTTTCACCTGTATCTCATTGCATACAACAATCTACAAGCTACTTTCCTTGGATCGAGGTTTGCACGAAGTGTACTTATCGTCAAATGTACGAAAAAAAATACCACTACAGAGGTATATGGATTGATACTAACTCTGCCAGATATACAACAAGACATTATCTACGAAGAGCAATTCGTCCCACTCAAATGAATCCATAATACTCGACACAAAAACAACATTGACCCACAGCCAATCTAGGAAAGACCAGCAGCGGAAACGAGGAACTGCGCAGCAGTCTTCGCATCGCTTCCATAGGTGAGATGAGCCATGACGTTGAAGCCGTTCTCGCAAACAGGGTCGCCGGTAGCACAGAACTCCTTGCGCTTGTCGTCGGAGAGGTTGGACACAGCCTGGGCCTTGAACGGGTCACCGAAAAGAACAGCACCGGAGATCTGACCGGAAGAGAGGCTGCTGGCGGCGTTGTGGACGACCATGGCTCCCTGCGAGTATCCACCGACTACGACCTTGGTATTGGGGCATTGGCTGAGAGCCTGCTTAACGAGTTTGGCCATGATGGGGCCACCGTTGGCGCCGAGCTGAGCGTTACCCTGTGCATGTTTTGTTAGTTATGGTTAGGCTTTTGTGAGGGTTGAAACTATTTACAGCAGCATCGGCAGAGTAAGTCACTCCCTGGATGGTGACCTTGTTGGAAGTAAGGGACTTGAGCTGAGTAGCAACCTCGGGTCCAACGACGGAGCCCATGTTACCGAGCTCGCCGGTACCGCGAGCGAAAATGAAAGTCAGCTCCTGGCAACCGGTGTTGGAGGTCACGCCGTTCTCGGTGCTTCCGCCTAAAGAAAATCATTTAGCGTTGGACTTTTCACGTACGGAGTGGTTTTTGTCGGAGATATTACTGAGGCCGGGGATGCTGAAGCCGCTGCCGGACGAGCTGTCCGAAGAGCTTGAAGTCGAGTCCGAGCCAGAGCTGGAGCTCGACAGAGTGGGGAATAGGGATGTCAACGTACTGAGCTGACGCTTCTCGATTTCAGCGTCACGGCGGGCTTTGAAGCCCAGACCGGTGGAAGAGCCTGCGCTGGGGAGGAGCGACTCGAGAGCACTCAGACCACCGCCGCTGGTGGATGAACCGCCTAAACTAGGGATTAGAGAGCTGAGCCCACCGCCGGTGCTTCCGCTGCTGGGGATCAGAGATTCCAGAGCGCTGAGACCACCACCGCTGGTGGATGAGCCACCCAGGCTAGGGATGAGAGACTCAAACGAGCTCAGATCGCCACTGCCTGAGCCAAGACCGGAGAACTGACGCTTCTCGGTCTTGGTAGCTTCACCCTCAGCGCTGGATCCCTCGAGGTCAGAAAGACTGGGAAGGCCGGTGGGGAGACTGGGGAGATCCCCAGAGCCACCCAGACTAGGCAAGTCACTGAAGCTGGGGAGACTGGGAAGACCACTGGACGAGCCACCCGAGCCTCCGAGACCAGGAAGGCCACTGAAGTGTGGGAAGCTGGGGATGCCGCTAGGAATCAGGGACTTGAGGGCATCGAGACCACTTTCGGTACCACTTCCGGAACTAAGACCAGAAAACTGGCGATTCTCAAGGGTGCGGGTGGGAGCCGAAATGGCAGCACCAGCCAGGGCGAGGACAACAGCGGTCTTCATATCGAATCTCGGCTGCAGGAATCTTTGTATTGAATAAAGAATGAATCTGAGAGACCAGCTCTACAATGTATAGATATTTGAAAGAACGGAAGACCGGGACAGGACGATTCAGGCTCGCTGGGTCTTTACACAGAGGAAGCATGCTTTTATATTCCATTTCTACCAGGCATTTCGACCATTACAATGCGCAAATTTCAGAATACCGAGGCACGGCAATTCTCCCATGTCCTCAATTCGAATTTTCAGTCGGGGAATCACTCTATCGAGTAACCTGCGAGCCCGGTGAAACGGGAGACCCTGTTTCATCCTACGGATCCTGGGATTGGGGCATTAAGGCTAGCCGGCATATGAAGTACACTGTACAAAGTACGGCCAGACTCAATTTGGGGAAGCCCTAAAATAGATCTTCGCTAGTAGATCGTTCCTGAACCAAGAACCAGAACTGCGCAAAAGATGGATCTTTGTCGATCTCAGAGATCAGATTACCCAACATTCAGCCCACCCCAATATAGTACTTTCCCATAAGCAATGGACATACGATGTAGGAATGTGTGCAAATGTTCCGAGGTATAGCCGTATGCCCGATGCCCAATTGATCTCAAACATTCACAACAAAATATGACGTATCTTCGGCATATAATTCTGAAGTTCTACAATGTATAGGTCCAATGAATTCTGAAACATGCAAAATGCCGTACCTGGAAAGCATGGTTTGAGATAAATGAAGGCGTACGATGGGTTGTTCTCAAAAATGAGTCGTTCACACCGAATCGGGCAATTTGACCGTTGGACCCCAAAATGGGCTTGCAGTAGTGCAAGCCACTCTCCATAAAAAAGAAGGAAATGTATCCCTTTAGCCGTTTATCAAACAAACTCAATGGTGGACTCAAATGACAGCCTCTATTAGCTGCTGCTCCGGCTCTCTTATTTACTTCAGCCCAAGTTTCATCTTCGTGATCCTTGGCACGTGGTGTATCAGAACCAGCCCTGGGCCTGGTTTTGTCGGCTCCGAAGGCGAAGCCCTACGTTGTACGGAGTAGTGGGGTTCTGGCTACGGGTGGTGGCAAATCGGTGAGATGAGAATATTGTATATTGTAGAGTTTCATGCCTGAGACTCGGGTATAGTACATAATATAGTACAAAATGAGCTGTTCACTGCGGGATATACAAGTGGCCGCAATATGAGCACACCGGCGAATCTAATTCCTTATTTTCAGGTGATACGTCTCCAGCGCCTTCTCGGTCATGGGGCTAGGAGCGCCAACCATGGCATCATCACCCCCCTTGCCGGTTTTGGGGAAAGCAATCACATCGCGCACGGATTCCTTGCCCAACATCACAGCCACGAGTCTGTCGAAGCCGAGTGCAAGTCCGGCGTGCGGCGGACACCCAGCACGTAGGGCGTCGAGCAAATGCGAGAAATCGGCCAACCGTTCAGCTGGCATTTGCAGAATGTCGCGGAAGATGAATTCCTGCACGGCTGCATCGTGGATACGCCTACTCCCACCCCCCAGCTCGACTCCGTTCACGACGAGATCGTAGTGGTCGGCCACTACCTGGGTAGGGTCTGTGAGGAGGAGGTCGACATCGGCGGGGGTCTTGGGTGCCGTGAAGGGGTGGTGTGTTGAGGAGAGTCCTGCTGCGCCACCCTGGCCAGGCTCTGAATCCGAGGTTGGGGAGAAGAGGGGGAAATCGACGACCCAGAGGAAGTCGAAGCCTGTCGGAGCAGGTTTGAAGCCTGTTGAGACAGATGCTGCGTGTAGGGCACGGCGCAGATCGCCGATTGGGGTCGAGCCGCCAGAGAAGTCGGCCCGAGGCCGTGCTTGTAGGACGATCAAGTCGCCGTGGTCGGGATCTAATAGTTCTTCCACTTGTTCGGCAGCTTCGAAGCCGAAAGGCTGTAGTCCACAGAGTGGCTGCTTGCCATTGTAGATGAAAATGCCGGGGCCACCATCAGGGTTGTTGTTGAACGGTGCACCGGCAGGAGAGTCGAGGAAATCGGTAATAAACTTGTGCGTCGCAGCAGGATCATTGTCGTTTCCTTCGAGTTTGAAGGCCTCCACAATGGGATTAGACAGGTCGGAGATCTTGCCAACCAGATCCACAGGAAGAACATGGTCAAGTCGAATAATGTCCATACCGTATCTTGTATCTGGCTTATCGGAGCCATATTTCGACATGACTTCCTGGTAAGAAACCTTACGGAAAGGACCCTCCGGCGCAGGATCTTTCATCAACTCCGCCCAAAGCCCACGAATGATTCCCTCAACAGTGCGCATAACATCGTCACCCGTGGCAAACGACATCTCCAAATCGAGCTATACAGATCAGCACATACTCTTAATCGAAATTCCACCAGATAAACAAACCTGAGTAAATTCCGGCTGTCGATCTGCCCTCAGATCTTCATCCCGGAAACACCTCGCAAATTGATAATACCTCGGCAGCCCACTAGCCATAAGAATCTGCTTATACTGCTGCGGACTCTGGGGCAGCGCATAGGCTAGCCCTTCCCGTCTCGTGGGAACAATGAACTCGCGCGCGCCCTCGGGCGTAGACTTAAACAGCAGCGGCGTCTCAATCTCCACAAAAGCAGGCTTGTTCTTTTCCAGCTCCGCCTTGCAAATATTATGCGCTCTCGCGCGGAACCGCAGTGCCTCACGCAGCTCGGCGTCAGATCGTAGCTGGAGGTACCGCTGTTCGGGCGGGAACACCGTCTCTGGTGTCATGATTATCTCTTTAGGGAAGTCGTTTAGAATGTGGATCTCTTCCAGTGCTAATTCCCAGGAGTCTTGCGTGGAGACTTCTGAGCCTTTGGTTTTCTTCTTTTGAACTGTGCCACGGACTGCGACGGGGCTGTTGGCATTTATGGCTTTGAGTTGTTCGAAGGCATTGTTCTTTGCGAAGGCGACTACTTGTAGGCTGTGTTGGAGGGTTGGGTCGGAAAGTCGGACAAAGGAGAGTTTCTTGGATAGGTCGGCGCGTGTTCCCAGGTAGCCGTGCAATACTACTTCGGTGTTTGGCTCGGCGTGAGCGAGGAATGTCTCGAAGTCATGGGTTGCGGGAGGGAAGGCCACTGGATGATGTTAGTATGGATGACCAATTCAGAAGGAGCATCGTTTCGCTGTCCAACAAGGATCTTCCACATACCAGCCTTCTTGTACGCCTCAAGAAAGGCAGGAAGTTTGGTCTCCTCCCGTAGACAAGCGCGAGCACTGAAACACCGCGGCCTCACGGGGCTGCAGTACCTCGACGCGACAAACCTTCCACGAAAAATATTCGAGATTTCAATGTAATTCGATCTCAGCCGCAAAGCGCGAAGCTGCACCGCAGCAATTGGCATCCTGTAAAAGATCAAAGTACACAACAATCATATAAAAGAGTGTTCCTCAGGTTGTCTCCATCGTCCGACTCACGAAAAAACCAGCAGAAACCCCGACCGCCCACAAAGCGGACTAGCGGGTGCAGAAATAAAAGCCGAAGAATTCCACACTCTTTTCTTCTTCATCCTTCCAAGTTTTATACTTGTGAGTGCCACCCTTTTGATTGTGTTTTCTTTGTGCATTTTACTGACTATCTCCAGAATGATGAAAGCCTAGTGTGTTACATATGAGACGATCGCTGCCCTCTGAGACGTGCGGCTCTCTTCCTTCGGGGAGCTCAAGGGCTGTACGACTCGAGGGTAGGGTTTGTGATATATGCGTTCGGCATACCAACCTTGTTTACACAACGGACGCGATGAAGGCATCTCTGATCCTTTAACTTGAAGGTGTTACTATAGTCTCGAGACTGTGGTTAGCTGATAATGGACGTTGGACGGTGTTGGAAACGATGCTAGTTGTCCTTGGTCCGTTCTTTAGCTTTGATATATATATAAATAAATTTGCCGCTATTCCTCGAAGCTACTCAATTAACACGTCTTACTGCCCGAGCTTTGTTTTGCGCCGTGATCAGTATTGCTGGATCTCACCACTCTATGATACTGTGTACCAAGCAAAATAACGATATTGTATGATGACTGCTGTCCAGTGTGAAGTAATCCATTTTGAATAACACATGCTTAACATGAAATGGAAAAGACAAATGGCTTTTGCGTTCACGCGAAAATCATCCTCTCCACAACCTCCCTCTCTCCACTACTCTCAACCAGATTCCTAAAGTAACCCCCTTCAATCCCCATAAGCTCCTTCGGCGACCCAAACTCCACCGCACGACCTGCATCCATAACAAGAATGCGATCAAAGTCCGCAATGGTACTAAGACGATGTGCAATAACCAGCAAAGTAGTAGCACTGCGACCGAACTCCGAACGGATAGACTGCTGGATCAGCGCGTCGGTCTCCATATCCACGGCGGAGGTAGCTTCGTCCAACACCATTATCTTGGGGCGGGCGATGATGGCGCGTGCGAGGCAGACGAGCTGACGCTGGCCTTGGGAAATATTGAGGCCGCCTTCGGAGATTTCTGTCTTGAGGGAGGTGAAGGCGTTGGAATTGTTCTTTTGCGTGATTGTGGGCGTTGATGCGCCTGTCTCGCTGGGGACCCGGGGTGTTGCGGTTCGCGAGGTGAGTGTTAGTTCGTCGTTTTCGGCATCGGAGATGAGATTCACGCGCGCCAGTGCATCGTAGAGCTCTGCATCGCTATATGTGTCGAAGGGGTCGAGATTTTCCCTCACAGTGCCAGAGAATAGAACTGGGTCTTGGGGGATGATCGCGAGGCGGCTGCGAAGATCATAAAGCTTGATTTTTGAAATGTCCAGATTGTCAATCATGATGTGACCTGAGCGTGCCTCTAGGAAACGGAAGAGAGCGAGAGTTAAGGACGATTTGCCTGCGCCTGTGCGTCCGACGACGCCGACGCGCTGGTTGCTCTCGACTGTAAAGCTGAGGCCGTTCAATACGGACAAAGGTGGGTTACCGTCTTTGTCGGGTACATTGGGTCCGTAGCCCACAACTAGATCGTGGACTTCGAGACGACCTTCGGTAGGCCAAGCAGCGGGTGCATCTTCTCCTCCTTGATTTTCGGTCGTGATTTCCGAGTATTCAACGATACGCTCTGTGGCGTTCATATCTAATTCGAGGGCAGAGTACACGCGAAGTGCGACTGTGATCGCAGAATTGTATTGCAGCGCAAAGCTCAATGCGAAACCTGCAAGGGAAGCAGTAATGCCCGGAATATAGACCACGACGCCGGCGACGACGGTCGCAAAGATCGCACCAATGATGCTCATTCGGAACGAAAGCCAGCGGTTGAACAACCAGTTGGCCCACCAAACTTGCGTGAAGCGATTGATCTTGCCACACATAATCTCGTTGTAAGTATCCATCCTACTGAAAGCGCGAATAGTGACCAGGCCAGCGAGACTGGATCCGAACTGTTCGAATATTGGACTCTTTGCAGTGCTCTGAAGACGCTTCGTTTGACGGGCTCCGGGCAGGTAGGACAGAGCCAGTCTCATACATACGCTAAGCAAGACTAAAGCGAACAAGATCACCTTCCAGTCGACGAGCATTCCTGCGATCATAATCGCGCACACATCCAGAATTCTGCCGATGAAGAAACCTATGTTATAACCGATCCGGGAGTCGAGCGAACTAATGTCGGATGTGAATCGGTTCAGAATTTGCCCAACTGGAACTTTATCTAGCCATGCCAGTGGCGCGTGGATAACGGCGTGGAGTAACCTGTTGAAGAGGTTCCTCGACGCCTGGACGGACGCGGAGAGAATTAAGTAGTATCGGAGTGTTCCAATGATACAGGCACAAATGGAGATGGCGACATAGATACCAAGGTACTTGTTGAGATCGTCATTTTGTTGCACCAACACAGTTGGCTGCATGGAATGTTGCAATAGAACGTTATATTGCTCATGGTGAGCCTGGGTGTTGGAAGTTGATCCGGTCCAGACGTTGATCCACCAAGCCTGAATCAATATTAGTACGAATAGACTAAGAGTTAAAACAATATCGAGTTTATGCACTTACCCGTGCGATCATGAGACTTATATACGCCAGATAGACTGAGATAATCAGAATCCAGAACGGTTTCGAGCCGCCGTTTTCCAAATAAGCCTTGTACACCTTAAGTTCAACAGCGCCGTCCTTGCGTTTCTCTTCTTCAACGAACTGTTTCGTAGGTCTAGATTCCGCCGCTTTAGCATCACCATCCGCCACAGAAAATCCATCTTCCTCGGCCTGGTCTTCGCGAAGAATATCCTCTAGATGATGTGACTGCTTCAAATCATCAACAGTACCAGCATACTTAATACGACCATTCTCCAAAAACACAGAGTAATCCGTACGAGGGAGACACAGCGCAACGTGGTGAGTGACGAGTACACGAGTTCGGCCCTTTCCAAGATCGCCAGTAAGAGCATGCTCAAAGACATGACGACCAGTGTGAGCGTCCAGGGCACTGAAAATATCATCCAGGATTAGTATTCCAGCTCGAGAATACAATGCTCGGGCCAAGGAAATACGCCAGCGTTGACCACCACTCAGATTGATACCCTTAGGACCGATGTCGGTTAGGTCGCCATCATCAAACATCTCAAAGTCCTTTTTCAGCGCGCAGGCGGAGATGACCTTCTTGTAGCGCTCTTTGTCATCGGGAAGTCCAAAGAGAATGTTCTTTTTGATAGTTTCGTTTTCAATCCAAGGGATTTGCGCGACGTAGGCAATCGCTGAATCAATGATCCAATTCTCCTTTGTTGCGAGGTGATCATAACGTTCCGTAATCGATGGGGGAACGGGTACCTTCAGTGTGCCACCAAGGACATCGCATTCGCCAAGAATAGACGAAAGAAGCAGACTCTTTCCAGATCCTGTGCGGCCGGAAATGACACTCAGACTCTTGGGTGGGAATTTCAAAGTCACATCGCGAAGAATGAAGCGCTCTTCAGAGTTATTCGAATCTGTTGTGTCTTCCGCAGGCCAGGCAACCTCGGCATTTTCAAAGGCTATGTAGTCCGCAGGGACGGTATTGACAGTCCTGTCAGATGTAGCCAGGAACTGATCTATACGTTTGGCGCTGTTTTTCGCCTCAATCCCCATAGATACCACCTCAGGAACAACAGCGAGCGAAACCTCCAGGGTATTAAAGACCACCATAGCCGTGAAGGCTACTGAGGCCGTTAGGCCACCATTGATACTGGCATAGGTGACCAGGGAAACCGCGGACAATCCGATCGGGCCGAGAACCCAGATTGCAAGCAGCCAAATGTCAGCCAACAAGCACGCCCACAGCGCCTTCAACTCGTCCTCTCGCACTCCTTGGACACGCTTTTGCCAACTTTCTTCCAGAGCCGAGAATTTGATTTGTCGGATTCCCTCAAGTACTTCTGTAACAATGTCCAGTTTCTTATCGCGCTCTTTCATCAACAGGTCCTGGAATTCGGAATACTTCTTAGCTGCGTACCAATTCAAAGGCGTCACGAGGGCCGCCACTGAGAGACCTGCAAAGGCACTTCGCCAGCCGAGGATTTGAACTAGGAAGCAGGCCCCAATGATGATTTTAAATATCGCTTGGGGAATGTTGTAGCTGGAAGCGGCGAAATTCAATATACGTTGAGTATCGACAGCTACATGGTTGACGATACCCTGTCTGCCCTTTTTAAGAGCTTTTTGATCATCTTTTTGATCATCTTTGTCCTCATTCGAGGCAGATCCGTTGATTGAATAATCAGTTGCATCTTTGGTCGTATGCTTGACATCCTTCCGACGCATAGCTTTAGCGAAGACAAGCGCTGACAGCTCAGTGTTGATCGGGACTGCAACTCGCGAGATAGCAATCCAGTACATCCAGGCCTCAACGCTCGAACTCAATACCATCGATCCGCCCAGAGCCAGAACCCAGAGATAACAAGCTTCGAGGTTCCAATACGGCGTGCCGCGCAACTCGAGGGACTTCAAAATCTGAAACAGCGCAACTTGAGGTCCAAAGCTCAAGACACAAGTGGCCATAGTAAAGATCATCTGAATAGCCAGCGGACCGGCATGTGCAAAGATAATGGCTACCCACAACTTGCGATTCTTCTTCGCACCCTCAAACCTTTCCCTCCTAAACGCAGCGCGCTGCGAAATTGCCAATTTCGGGATATCGTGCAATTCAAGATCCTTGTTCTTAACCACATACTTCAACAATCCACCCGCCCATGCAAAGCTGAACCGACCAAGCAGCGAAACCGAAAGTTCCTGCTCCACCAGCTGGTCCTCATGGTAAACATCCGGGCGACGAGGAAGCAGAATACAAAATATAGCCCGAAGGACAGCACTAGCAATCTGTGCCAGCTGGAGATAGATCCAAGACCGGGTGTGGTGCGACTTCAGCCCCGAAAACACGGCGGTACTCAACTCGACCGCGGGGACCGTGCAAGCGATAAGACTCCCGATGAACGCAACAGCGCCGAGTGCATACCGGGCTGTTGGTCGGGGTTCTGTAAAAAAGGCAATGGCTTGGACCGAGAGCAGGATCTAGAGGTTTTGATAAGTGTCGATCGGTCAAATTTGGGGTCATGTGGTCGAGTTACGTACCCACACCGCAAATTGCAGCCAGATCAATGGCGTCTGGTCCACGTCTACTTTTAAAGTTGCTAGCACGGCGAGTGCGAGCGTTACTAACAGTCCAGCTATGGAGAATAAGGCGATAGCGCTTCTTTGCCATTGATCTGAAAAGGCGCGGATGGATTCCTCGGTCGCCTCACCGTCCTCGTCGCGGTAGACATCTTTGGCGAGATCAATGGGGTTGTAGTGGGCTTTACGCACGCGCTGTAATATACTCTTGATCGCTGGAATGCTATTCAATGCTACTAGCCCCAGGGCTAGATAGCTCGTGGTAGTGGCCGGGAAAGCCATTCTTCATATCCGAAGAAAAAGGAGAAAAAGAGAAGAAAGAGACGATAAAGCAGAGTTGGGGCTTATCAACAGTATACAATATTTTCACCCAGGCGCTTATACTGTTTAGTGTTAATTGCGACATTGAGCCGCGAGACTACGCGGCCCATTCGTGACCGACTGTGACTCAAAATGGAATAATGACTCAGAATGTAATAGTGCATTGGCAATTATGTGTTTGAATGTCTACTTTCGATGTCTCATACATTTGCTCGTATTCAAGCAATATAATGGCGGATACTAAATGTTTAAATACATAGTGGAGATTGACTCCAAGGAGCCAAGAGTTATCTACTCAGTCATAACGCCTCCTAGCTTATGCCCCTTTGTGTAACTTCGTGCCACTTCATGCCAACTGTATATGTTGTATGTGTTTCCTCCTTCATCTCTTACCATATTGTAGTACGCTATTTGCTAATCCAAAACAGCTCTCCACCCCCGTCTCGCTACAAAAGCAACCCCCTCATCAACCAAAACATCGGCCCCCAACCGCCCCGTGATAACGCTCCTCTCAATCTCTGGCCCGTGCACATAAAACGGGAAGCCGTGCCCAGCCGTCGGAGTCCGAACCCACGTTTTAGTGGATCCTCGACTACTCTGACTCACATTATCATCATTGCCATTCACACACTGAAGCCCTGAAGCACTCCGGTCAAGACTAAGCCACCACCGCCGCTGATGGACCGACCCAATACTATTCTTAGAACCGGGGTATGCGTTATTGATCTGTATTTCCAGATCAGCCACATCATCATTATGGGTTGATAATGGACGTGGGTCTGTATCTGGAAGTGGATCTAGATGTGGTTTAGTATCAGATCCCGAGCTAAAATCCAAGTCTGCAGGCGCCTGTGATTTGTTGCGTTTACGACGTCGTTTCGCACCCTGGCGAAGCGGACGCGTGTAATCGGACGATTTATCCATTCGTAGAAGTAGGGTGTAGTTCTGAGGTAGACGTGTTCCATGTAGACGGACTCGGATTTTGCGCTGAGGGTGTTAGCAAGGCGCCTTGATTTCAGGGATTATGCTTACATTTTTAAATGCTTCTTGTAACTTCACGCTATCGGGGATATGGTCAAGAGTATCTTCTGAGGTATCTGAGCGGGAATCATCGGTTTCGGGTTCTGGGTCGCGATAGGGGAGAATTTCGTATTCTCCTGTGTCCCAGATTATCATGCTTCCTGTTTTCGGGGAGGCTGTTTCTATGAGGTGGTTCTGGTTGCGTGAGTATTGTGCCGATGGTGGTCCAGAAGAGAAGCGAGACACACCCATAGACAATGAATGCGAGTTTCGGTTGCATTGCGATTCAATCTTTCACTATTGGGATCGCCCGGCATTCCGTACATCACTGCCCAACTGACAGAACTTGTCTCTGAGAACTGTAATCGAAGATCATAGTGTGGTCCCGCGATTGGGTGGTCATGCTGGTGAATGACAAAATGGTGGCCATGGAGATGCTCATTGCGTTTGTACAGATCAACCCATTCATCAATCGGCAGTCGGAAAGTCTGCTGGTGAGAAGGACGAGTACACTGAGCCAGCTTAGTAGAAATTATTCTCAGATGATCCGTTACTTTCTCCTCCCCCGCTTCTATAGCAGCGAGACTGGCAGTAGCTTGTGATACAGTTGATGTGTCCTTCAACCGATTGGATCGTCTTTGCGGCGGAGAGACAGGTGCATTCAAGCTGGAGAGATTCAGTGACTCGCCATTTCGAGCAGTAGTACTTTGTTTGTTGGACTTTTGCTGGGTTTCCGGGGTGCAGCTGCGTTTCATGATCCGGAGGTAGTTGCGTTTCAAAACAGTATGTGCTGCGCTGGTTTGTGCTCTCAGTATACTGGGACACGCGGTGTGATTCATGGATGCAAGGAACTTTGCAGGTGGTCCACTGGTTATAGTTTGATAATGCAGCTTAGTCACTGACTTCGACCACATAGGCATCCAGGGTTACCATTTTGGGAAGATTGCTGACGTCAATCTCCCTTATATGAATATGGCAGAGTCCATGATTTTAAGATCTATTCCTGTCTTTTGTCTCCCTTCTTTCTGCCGTATCGATCTTATCTTTGATGCTTCTACCACTCTTATGCTATCTACCTACATCGGTCCTTTTTGGTAAGCCTTTCAATGGGCTGGGAATAATTAATAAGTGATCCCATTTTCATAAGAAATCGATACAGTCAATATATTTGGAGTCAGAAGTAGACTGCGACTTCGCTCATGGAAACGACATGTCCGAATGCCTACATATGTAAATTTTCACAAATCAACTCTGGCTTGGATATGTAACTTGAACCTATGCATTCTCTACATTGCCGTCTAGGGAGCCTATCCCCAACTCTCGGAGGGCTCGTGGACTTTGCTCTCCAACATGTTCTTATTACGTATGTTCAGACCCCGAACCAAAATCCACAACGAATAAATGGCTTCATTCAATTTAAAGCTACATCTATCAAATACCATTTAATCATCGTCCTCACTTTCAATGAGAGATACCAACAACTTCGGGATTAGGATCAAAGCTGGTAAAAATGCCAAACTGCCCCCGATACCACTTTAAATGCTCTCTCAAAGCGACCAACGATGGCGAGGACCAATAAAATCATTCGTACTAGGATTGATAGCCACACTCTGCGGGTTGTGGAACACATCCTGAGGATCAACAGCCGTTTTGATACTCTGAAGCCGGGGGAGATTCGTTCCCCAGTATGCCATCTGGCCATTTTTTATGAATGGATCGACATAGCCTGGATAAGAGCGCAGAGGACCAGACGGGCGGTTAGCGAGAACAACTTGGTGCAAACGATTGAGAAATCTCTTAGCGATGAAACTGGGAGGTTCAAACCCGACGACCGCATACGATTGCATCCACATGATGGCGTCGCGGTGAACGTAAGCTGTGGCGTTCATGGGGATATCGTTGGTTGCTCCCCCTTCCAGATTGAAAATAACCCACCATGCTTGTGTGCCCTTGGGTGCGACATCAAAGTATGTGAATAGAGTGACTAGGTCATGCTCGTTGAACAGCTGGTCCGCTGTGAAGGAGAGCGACTTGGAGTAGAAAGATGTGAGCAAGCTGCCGAACTTTTGAATCATGTAATCCTCGGCGGTATGGGCCAGCAAAGATAGCCAGTTGGTGATGTATGCCACGTTCCCCATGCCTCGGAACGGAAGGTTGTTTTCCAGTTCAAACTCATGATATTCCTCTCTGGTTCCGAAAAAGCTTCCCTCAATCACAATCCCATCTTGGAAGACCGTCAACTGTGATGAAAAGTTACGCGTAATGTTCGGCTTTGCGATGAGACTCTGCCAGTCCATGAAAAGCTTCACCTTGTCTAGCACATCTCCCTGACTGAATGTGTATGTATATTGAAGGGCAGCTTGAGGAATTGGCTGAGTGCGGACCTTGAATTGAGTCACGATGCCGAAACTAGCAGCTGCACCTTTGATAGCCCAAAATATGCCCTCATTCTGTGTATTCGATGCTGTCACCACGCTGGAATTAGCCAGGACCACTTCGGCCTCTAGAATGTGATCGAGGGCGGTTCCCCACTGCCGAGACATGAGTCCGAGACCACCAATCGTGAAATGACCGCCGACGCCAACCTGGGGACAGGAGCCATGTGTCATCGCTCTTCCACCTGCATGCAGAAGACGATCTTGGAGATCACCCAGGTTTGTACCAGCGCCAATAGTGGCGACATGCGTGTCGGGGTCCATGGAGAAATGTTGAAAGTTCTTCATGTCAACAACGACGTGACCATCGACTCCTCCGAGGCCTATCACACATGATGTTAGCAATATATCAATTGTGTTCAGAACTTTGCATGCCATAATTTCCATAGCTGTGTCCACCACTATACGCCTGTACATGGTACTTTGACTTGACAGCACAACGCACAATCTCAGCAATCTGGGTCGTGGTTTCGGGATAGGTTATCACGGCTGGATGCACTGGGTAGGCCAGGTTGTAGGAGGGCAAGGCCCGGAATTCGTGCAATATATCCCCACGGAACGTAACGAGATTGGTGTTGTTTCCAAGAGCAGCCATAAAGCACTCATGGCCTGGCAGACTGTTTTTGTTGCCCATATTGCGAGTATATCAAATGGAGAATATTGTAGAGGGGAAGTAGTGAGAAGTACAAAGACCTGGAAATCGAAGGAACTAAAGGCACTAGAGTTGAACAATTAGGAAGGAGCATGAATGCGATTGCTTAACGAAACTCACGTATTCACAAGTTTCACGGGCATTTCCAAGCACAAGCCATGGAGGTCGGCTGCTCATATACTGTGCTGGTAATTGGTGAGATTTTTACATTCGTAGTAAATTTCTCTAGACTGTAATTTGTACAACCTTTTTCAAAATATCTCTTGACTTGCCTGTTCCCCTATGACCAAAAAGTCTCTGTGCTTTCCTGTCAGGGAAGGGGAAATCTGCATGATGTGCAAATATGGTTGCTCAAGCATTAGGTCGTCATACCGGGGCATACAAACACTGTAACACACCTAAATAGACTCCAATTGACCGTATAAATTTACACATGAAAGAGATCCTTCTTAGGAATGGACACCAAAAAACCTGAGACGGGGTGGAAATGAATCCCGGGGACCACAGAACGGCGACGTGAATGGTCCCCGATCCGGCAATTATTCCTAAGAATGTGCAAACCCTATTTTGGCTCCTTTCTTTGCTTTTTACATTTTATACACAGCTGACAGTTTGATTCTATCAATTTCATTCTTCTATCGAGCACGCTGGGGAGATTGCTGTTCTCGTCATGATATCAAGGGAAAAAAAACGCCTTTTGACAATTTCAAATTAACGACTTCAATATGTTCACTCCGATTCACACCACCCTGGGTGCACTATTACTATTCCAAGGCTCGTCCGGGCTACTTGTTCATAATGGAGCTGTGTTCGGCATTTCCTCTCTTCTTTCCGGGTGTGCTTTGAACCCAAGCTGCGATAATGTGCCAATCATCGCAGGCCTGGTGTCCAGTCTGGTGCCGGTGTACCTCACAGCACCATCGCTGATCCCGAACTATCCTGTGCTGCCGGGTTCATGGGCCTCCATCGCTGCAACGGTAGGTATAGGTTTCTTGTTGGGATGGGGCACAAAGGTGAGTGAAGGAGGATCCGGCCTGGGGATACAGAAGTTGACTAATGTTGAATAAAGAATGGTCGAGGATGTACCTCGGGACACATGCTTTGTGGAATTTCACGCCTATCACCTCGCTCGCTGATTGCAACTGCTGTATTTTTTACAACAGCTTTATTGACGGCAAACTTCGTCAAAGGTGGATCCAATATCCCGGCCTGTAATGGAGTCCCATGCTATACGCCGGTATATCCATCGACATGGGAACTGGGATTCATGGCTTGCACAACTCTGGTTGCAGCTATCACCAACTTCATCATTATTCCTCGAAATGTTCATCGGTCGGAGAAATCAAGGGTCATATTTTCGTATGTCGCAGGGCTGGAGTTTGGCCTGGGTCTTTTGATGTCTGGAATGGCGGATCCAGCCAAGGTCCTCAGGTTCTTTGCCTTTTTGACAGACCATTCTCGATTTGATCCTTCGTTGGCGTTGATCATCTTGTTCGGAATTGGGCCATCTCTGTTCACCTTCCTCAAAGAGAAGCCGGGCCAAACGCTTGAAAAGGGAAAACCTGCCCCCAACCCGACACTCGCGAAGGAATGGCGGCTTCCAACAGCCACAGTGGGCGACATTGACTGGCGTTTCGTTGCTGGTTCAGTGGCGTTTGGTCTAGCCTGGGGACTGAGAGGCGTTTGCCCGGGACCTGCAATTCTGCGTACAGTGTTGCAACCGACTTGGGGATTGGCGACAATGGTCGGATACATTGTGGGCAACGTCTTGTAGTGATGTTCAGATGATATATAGATGATTCACATTGTTCGTCGGCTTTTAGTGTATGCTGAGTGATAAAACGGATAGGATTGAAATACGGAAAGGATGGCGGCACACAAGAGAAAATGCTGGGTATCTCAGGAGCTGCGTCCGGGATAATATTAGCAAAGTAAATAATACCATAGATTATGTACATATTCGAATTGTGAGAGAATATACGACGCTCGTTTCAAAATCAGTGCATTGGGTATATCATAGCTTGTGGACGTGGAGGATATGGGGGCCGGAAATGCAAACAGGTATAATAAATGGAAGAATGGCTTACAACTCAGTCTTCTTGTTAAGGCGGATGGCCACCGACTCAGCAGAATCTTCATAAGTGCGTGGCTGGACGGTGGATGGGTGGTCGAAATACCCTTCCAGCTCCATCCACTCAGCGGCAAAGGCGGCAACGAGCATACTCCAGTCTTCAACAGAATCCAGATCCAGATGTTCACCATCGTCGTCGATCGTGTGCCACACCGCAGGGAAGCCCTTGAAAGGGGCGTAATCAATAAGATGAAGGATTTCAACACCCTTGGCAAGAAATGGTAAATGGTCATCTTGAATACCGCCTAGAGGCATGAGCTTGTGGCCATCCTTCTCGGCATCAATAAACCATGAATTAGTCGAGGAAGACTTGAATTGTTTCAAAGACTTGAAGCGCTTTTCCAGCGCACCCAGGCTTTGATATGCCCAGTGCGTAGTCTCATAATAAGATTGAATGGTCGGGTCCTTTGCACCCAACAAATCCAGAAGCACAAAAAGAGAAATCGATGATAATGGAGTCTTGAACTCGGACATGGCCGGGTAGTATTGCTCATCCCAATGTGATGCCAGGGCACGCGCCCCATACAGGGAATCAGTATCCGTCCAATGGTCAAAGGCTTCTTCACCGTCAAGAAAGATAACCTGTATGCCCCGTTCCTCGTCCAAATACTCAGACAACCCCTGGTCCTTCAACGCGGTCCATTTCTTTTCCAGGGCAGCATCAATACTTCGGACCGCATGCATAATCATCGCGCATGGTGCAGCACTGTCGATGCCACCAATGAAACCCTTCGGCTCAATCTTGCTATCATAATGGGCAACTAGTGTCAACCGTCCGACGTCACCAACCTGTGCCCAAGGAGGATCACGCGTAGCGATGAAATTCTTGAAAGGCACATCTTTGCCCTTTGATGTAGGTGTTTTCGACGTAGAATTTTGAACCTCAATGGACCATTTCGGTAGTGTTGTTCGGAAGAAATCGGCGAAGTGGTTTAGAACAGCGGTGGAGCCTGGTGTGCCAGGGATGCGGGTTTGAAGTATAGGTGACAGTAGAGCGCCGTTTTGAATGTCGAAATCACTGTTTGGACGGGGGAGATTGCTGAGTGTCTGGTCTGAAATCTTCTCATATGCTTCCACGCGCAGTAGGAGTAAAAGGAAGCTTAGCAATAGTGCTACCATGCCAGTTATGTTGCGATAAGCCTTGCACATGGTGGTGGGTATTAGGAAACCTAGCGTAGCGGCATATGACCTGCATCAAGACTTTGCACCGCAATAATCAGACCTCATTCAGCCAAGTCAATGTAGGGTTCAACCATTGCAATGTTGTCAATCAGTCAATGTGGTATCACCATCGGAGAAGGCGGTGAGGAAGACGGTCAATCACTTTCTGGCCGAGGCGCGTATGGTTTATCGCGCTTATCGAGCCCCAACCACCTGCATCCTCTCATTCAGCTCAACGCTTCTCAAAATGCAGCCGCGAATACTGCTCTCTTCTCAATTGCGTAGGGCACTGCCATCAGCTACCCAGCGAAGCCTTCAGCAAAGCATCTGGGTTCGTTTCAAGTCACAAATTCCTCGTCCATCTCAGAAGCATATTTCACCTTTGCCCAAAGGCAAGGAAGTGACGTCTGCCGCGCCTGCTCCAGTACAGAGGACTCTCAGCCCAGCAAAGACTGGTACTCGCAATGGTTAGAGCAATTAATCTGACACCACGCGTTTGGGCTGACTCGCAATTGCAGGGCCACCAGAGCGGATACTGGTCTATTATGGTGGAACGGGGCGAGCCATATTCCTGGGCACTCTCAGAATCACAACGGTTCTTCTCTTTGGAGCCGCCTGTTTGATAGTTGCGCCCGCGTGTTCCGTCGCTGAATATCCGTGGTATGCTGTACCCGGAGGTATGACTCGTCCGTCACATGTAACGATCCAAACTGACCCCGTCATAGTCATCGTAACCGGTGCCCTGCCAATGCTCTTCGTTTCGTACACAGCTGCACCGTACGTGAATTTCATTCATTTGGCGCTGCCAGCCTTCGCCAGGAAGTCCCGAGAAGCTGCCGTCCAGTACGCAAAGGATCTACCTCCAACGGCCGTGTTGTACCTCACAAACATGCGGTTCAATACCATTCCTCGGCAGACCGCTGTGCGAATTGGTGACCTCATTCCCGTGAAGGACACCGTTCGGCCGGTCACGTTTGAAAACTTGAAACCCACACCCCAGCGTTGGTGGCAAGGAAAGGCTCCAACCAAGTTCTATGCTGATGCCAAGAGCAAGCCCGGACGGCAGACTTCGGCGTTTTTCCCAGAATTATGGAATGGAATCTACCAGCAGATTCAAAAAGCCAAACCCCAGTCACGTTTATAGGACGTCCCGCCGTGATTGGACACGATACCGTCAATATTTTGCCTCTTCAATCATCTGTTCGGGTTCATTTGGCGGGTCAATTGCGATAGTTTTCTAGCTCACTTTTCGAAAGGGATGGACAGACCTTCGTGAGATGTGAGGATAGACCAAAGCCAATCGGGTCAAATGTCACCACTGAACTGTACCAGAATAAGCTGACCGCCAGCGAATCCAGCCTAATACTTCTTGATTGTACTTCATTTCCAAGGTCTGGAAAGCCGTGAAAGGTGGGAATCACCCAGTTCTGCAGGATGCCTCCAATTCTGTGCCTCGAATATCATCTGGCTGTCTGGCTGTTTGTTTGTCCGGTCCTCGAAGAATTGATGGCCAACCACAGAATGACGGTTTGATCAACTCAAACTACGTTGCGTGTCTTCACAGCGGTCTCATCGCCTGTCAGTTATCTGCATCAGTCTAATCAGTTCTTTGTTCATTCAATCTTCATTCAATCCCGATTCAGCACATACGAGACGGCGCAATTGAACCCACTTGATAAGGCCATGTGCGTTGACAAAAGATTCACATTTGCCATACCTCTGTCCCATGTGTAGTTGATGACGATGGAAAAGAGCATGGTCCTGGACAAAAAACAAAACCAAACAAAAGAAAATTAAAAGAATTGAGTGAAATCGGCAGAGTTCATTTGCAAGTGCCTTTTTTGGCGGGGGGCGCTCCCTATTGTTATCACGTCGTCGAGAAATTCACCTATAAATTCTTTACGTTTTCATCCTTTCTACCTTTCTCTTTCTTCTATCCTTCGCATCTTTCAACTTTCCATACAATTTACCCATTAACTGCATCACCATTATGTCTACTCCTGTCAAAGAAAAGTCTACCCCGGCCAGAGCAAAGGCCACTCCATCCAAGGAGAAGGCCACTCCATCCAAGGAGAAGGCCAACGTCAAGGCTTTTGGTGAACTGTCCATGACCGAGAACAAACTGTTGGTTCTCGCCAACTACTACCATGAGACCAACGCCAAAGTATGTGTCCAATCAATACAAATTATATCGCCCGTTACTAATTCGTGACAATTCTAGATCGACTTCGAAAAGATCGCTGGGCTCGCCGACCTCCAAGCCAACTCTGCTCGCACCATCTACCGTTCCGGCAAGCGCAAGGTTGCGAAGATGTTCCTTGAGCCCGAGAACTCGCATGGAGACGCGGATGTTTCATCCAGCAACAGTCCCGTGGGCAAGACTGCAAAAGGCCGCGCCAAAGTAGCCACTCCTCGCTCCGCCAAGAAGGCCAAGCTCACCGAGGCCAATGGTGTTGCTGAGGCCGACCCCGAGGATGTTGCCAACCAGGGAGTCCTCAACAACGCTAGCGACGTGAACACCACTGGGACTGTCGAAAATGCCGAAGACGATAACGACTCTGGAATAGATTACTTCGAGCCTCGGCGTGATGTCGAATCCAAGAACTCCGGCATCGCCACCAACGAGCCTACCACCAAGGCTTATTCCGAAGACGAATTCGACTTTGAGCGTCGCCTTCCCGGCGAGCCCACCGAGGAGGAAGCTATCGTCACGCTCTTCGGAGAGCAGAACTAATCGCGCTTCACGCACCTCTTCCGTCTGTCTTTGTGATAGATAGATAAAACGGGCAAGAATTCAAGGTCGCGTTCGACACAACGCACTTGCACAGAAAACCAGAAAGAAGAAAAAAAGCCCCCAGGGGACGATGGACGTTTAATAACTGGTGTCGTCTAGCTCAAATTCCCTTGTCATCTAGCTATTCTTGGCTTTAATGAATGTACAAGCTCATGAAGGGTCCAGCCAACATTTTTCCTTATCGCGTGGTTAGATTTAGAATAACTATTGACTTTGAGTTTGAAATGCGGGTACTATCACGTGAACATCACGTCGGCTCCATAGTTCCCCGGACTTCTCACGTATTTCCCCCATTTTCTGCCTTACTTTCTAGGCTTCAATGTTTACAATCGATCACCTTAGGTAACATGGTGGCTTCAACTCAGCCTTGGGAATTTATAAAAATTAAGAATATCTGCGCTTGTTTAGCCATTACTTATGTCTCACTTGTAGTGCTCTAGGGCTAAAGGATCGTTCTTGGTTGCCCGTCACTTATCTTTTAATTATATTTCATCTTCTCATTCCACGTTGGTGGCATCTGCGTTTTCTGATTGCTATTTTGTTTTGGCACAAGGGCTAAGTAAGATTCCCCTACGCATAAGACATGTAAAGTAAGCTAGCTCTAATTAGAAAGTTCGATGGTAAAAGTAACTTGCGCTATGGAAATTTATAAGACAGGGTCAAAACTCCGTGCAAATAGACCGACATTTCAACCCAAAGAGACGTTCTCTTTAGGTGGTATTGTTTGTACAGCGGTGAGTGATGCGTTGAAGCCCACACCGGTGCCGAGTTCGGATCAATCAGGGGTATACGAGCAGTGAGATCAGACTTGCATTAATCCCGAACGTGGTCATGATGCCTGCGGGGACTGGCATTATTATAGATCAACAAAATGACATACATGGCGTATAGCAACTCATCGTGCTAGTTTCTGATTCATAGAGGAACGTTTTGGTGGTAACCCGATGTCCATTGAGATCATCACATAGCCACTTTTGCTGGGAGAGTACCTATTCGTGCACTATTTGACAGTAGGTGGGCTAGTAACACTCCACTACATTGACAGCGCTGTTGATACGCATGGGCAAGATTGTACCGGCGATGACGCTACGGGTTTTCACTATACATGGTGGTGAAGCTGTCATGTCCCGTCGATCTTGGCTGTATGAAAATAGTGCAGCGAGAACGACAAATGTAAATATGCGGCCTACTTATCATGCCACTAACCCAAGGTGAAATACGGTTTTGAGCACAGCAGTGGCGAGTATAATGGAGTCCAACCTACTGAGAATATCCTAAGCATCCAGAGTGGGAGCGATCGACTAGTATTTCAGACCGATGGGGTAGTGTATCTCGTCTTGCGCCTCTTTAGCTGCCTCTGCTGAGTGGGGTACTCGAAGTCTACTCGGCCCAGTAGATTCGAACGACTACCTTCGTCTACTCCACTACCCTCAACATTGCCTGCTTCTTCGACTTTGACATTATTAGTGGGTAGTCTTCCCAGATGAAACGAACTTTCTCGGTGAATTTTGGTGGTTGTTTGCGTGGCCCTCTCAGAGTTCTTGATTAATATCTAAAGGTCCTTGGCTATGTGATCTACACTGGCCTCGTGGGACTAGCCAGAGATTCTAGAAATAGGCAAAGGATTGTAGATTTGAAGTTTCTCTCACGTCATAGTAAGCATTATTCACAGTATACTCAGTTTCAAACTTCGACTCAAACTTCGAAGTAGCCAGATTGGAGGAGACATGGCTTTTATGCATTTCTTCACACAGAAGGAAATCGTAAAAAAAGGGTATGAGGAAGACATGCAGTAGGCGTAATGAACTATGATTTGAAAGGTATATCCATAAGTGTCGCCAGATTTCTTCAATTCAATGTATGTATAAACCCTCCACGGTCTAGGATAAGAATTAGTCGAATGAGTACAGCTCGCCGAATTGATATGTAGGCGAAATGTTTATTTGTTATACTTTCTGACATGAGTTTACCCTTCAATGTCTCTGTGATATAAGTCTAGCCTGTCTTTCACTTTTTTATAAGATACTGAATAACATTGTGACTAAATCTGACTACAATCAGTCACTAGAGTCCTGTTTCCGATATCTCGCGTAGATCATATTTTGCATCGCCAATTTCTACGTCCAATTCATACATAGATGTATTTGATCTTTTGCTGTTCACGTCGTCCTCTCCCGTGACCTTCCACTCGTCAACAACTTGCGACTCTTGAGCACCGCCAGCAAACTATTTCTTCTTCACTCAACCTCTGAGCCCTGATCATCAAATTCACCATTCATAACATCACCCAAACGACAAGATGTCCACCCCTACTTCTGACAAGAAAGCTTCTCAATTCGACGGTCTGACTGCCAACCAGTCTAAGCTGCTCCTGCTCGGGATTCTTTGCACCTCCGCTGATGGCAAGGTATGTTTTTGAACTTTTTGATTGTTTTGCAAAGTTTCTCAACCGTCCTTCCACCAAATTCCCTCTCTCTCTTGTATCTTATATTGCAGCCCACCAACAATTTTACACATGATTTTCCCATTAACACTTCCTCTTTCTAGATTGACTATGAGAAGCTGTCTGGTTTGGCTAAAATCAAAACATCATCCGCTGCAGTGATGTGGAGGGGAGCACGCCAGAGGCTTCAGCAGGTCGTTGAGACCAATAATGAAAATACCAATATCAACACCCCAACCAAGCCAAAGCCCGCTGCCAAGTCAAAGCCAGCTGTCAAGCGTCGCAAGAGGGCCCCTTCTCCCTCGCCCTCGCCTTCACCCTCGCCCTCACCCGAGCCCAAGTCAGAAGAGGAAATCGCTGAAGACGAAGCTACCGAGGAGCCTGACGTGAAGCTTGAGGCTCCTATGACTCCTGAGGCCAACATGACTGGCATCAAAGACGTTACAAGCATTTAAGCGATAGCACGCATGCCATGGCTTGCTACAAGTAAGATTGAAGCACGATTGATTCATTCACACGAGTTTCGGAGGAAATTTCTTTCAAAGGGATATGGATCTCTGGTTCACCATCTTGGGGAGGAGATGATGGAATTTACCAGTAGATATTTGCGAATAAAAACAAACCCGCTGTGCAAACAATTGATAACGTGCCTTGTAATGAACAATGGGTATTGGCACAAAGCCCTTAGAATATTCAAAAAGGTTCTTCTTTATCATAAAATATAGCAACATGGTAAACAGAATCTCTGTGTAAACTGCTGGAAATCCCCGGAGAGGCCCTCGGACTTCCTCCCAGCGAGATACGAAGCGCAGCAGCCTTCCAAAACTCAAGGAGCTCACACATGCTTCTGACTATGAGATGGAGGAGGCAGACACCCATGACTACCCCTCCTGCACTGTTAAGCAAGCTTCAGTTAGCTCGAAGAGCCAGAACGGTAGTGGAAATGGCAATGGCAAGCATGAGGTCGAAGCCTATGGCCTCGGTCCACGTGACAATGAAGTCGACCACGAAGCTATGGGTGGCCTTTCTCTTCAAGGTGATGAGCCTCAGACAATTTCATCTGCTGAGGAGAACCCCGAGGAGGTCCGGTCCTTGGCTTCTGCTTCTGATCATGATAAATGAGTGGAATCTTGTCAAATTGCTTTTGTTGAGTGCAAGTGATGTCAATGAATGAGGTGTTGGATTGGAATTTCTATGATGATGGTTACTACTCCGTGTCGTGTTATGGTCTTCTTGTTTATTTGCTATTTACTTGATGGTGGGAAAAGGTAAGATAGCTGGCTTTGTGGCGAAGTATCTATGATAGATTGAAATGCAGAAGTCGCTTCATTTTAAAGATGCACAACTGTAGAAATAACAGCCTAGATCCGCAGTCTGACAAGGAAATGATCTAACCGGACCAGATTTCCGAGGGCCATAAAAAGGGCCATAAAAAAACAAAAGAAAACCCCCGACACGGACGGCCGAAGAAAGTAAAAAGACTGACACAATAATTATAGGACCACATTATGAAGATGGAAGAGTAATTTATCACCAAACACATATCAGCAATCAAAGTGCCTCGATGGCCTTCATCAAGACATCAAGACCACGATCAGTGACATCGCCAGTGTTCGATTTCTCATCGGTGACAGATTCACGCAAAGCCCAGGCAACATCACTCCACCATCCGAGACCAACATACGCACCACCCTTCTGGCGATCAAGACTTTCCTTGAGTCGACTGGTGTGCTCCCATTGCTTAGCGGCGTCTTCGGCACATTCGATGACCTTGCTTGGAATGCCGCACATGGATGCGCAGTGCATACCGAAACTACCTTCGGCAACACCTTTCTCAAGCTTATACAGGAAAGTGACACGGCGCTCAACGTCGTCAACGTGGATTGCCATGCGCTTTGGTGCGATTTCTGGATGGTGCTCGAACTCCGCAGCGAGAGAGTGGTAGTGCGTTGCGAAGAAGCCCAGTGCGCCAATGTGCGTCGCGATGTGATGGAGTACAGCTTGTGCCACGGCAACACCGTCGTAGGAGCTGGTTCCGCGACCGAGCTCGTCCAGAATGACGAGGGAACGGGGGGTGGCTTCGGAGAGGATCTTTTTGGTTTCTGATAGTTCGACGAAGAATGTCGATTGAGCGGCGAAGATGTTGTCGTTTGCACCCAGACGGGACATGATGCGATCGACTGGAGTCAATCGTGCGGATTGGCACGGGAGGTAGCAGCCGATTTGAGCCATGATGACGGCAACACAGGTCTAGACTTGTTAGTAGGATAATTCAACATGGTAGACAGAACGCAGGCTAACATACCATTCGCAGGACAGTCGACTTTCCGGCCGCATTAGCACCAGTCAGCAAATCGATACTGGCGTGCTCGCCACCGAGCTGGATGTCGTTGGGGATAAAGTCTTCGACAGAGGATAAAAGACAAGGGTGACGGAGTTCCTCAAACTCAAGGACACTCCGCTCATCATCGACAAAGACCGGGCGGCAGCTGGGTTGGCCGATGGCCTCAGAAGCCTTAGCCAAGCTGATAAGGCAGTCAAGCTGCGAAACAATCCGGACAGCAGCCAGCCATGTGCCATAGTGCTCATCAAAGCGAGCATGGAATCGACCAGCGACTTCCTTAACAATCTGCCCGTGTGTTTCCTGCGCTTCTTGAAGCTTACGAATGAGACTGCGCAGCTCCGGGAAGTAGTACCGCTTGACCTGCTTGGTGGCCGACATTTGGTTCCAATCCTTAGGGATGTTCTTCACCTTGATCGGGACTTCGAGCTGGTAGATCTCTTTGCCGTTGTCTCGGAAACAAATGGCAGATGAACCCAAATCACGTCGAGCTTTCTTCAGTAGGTTATCAAGGTCCTTGTGCAGCCCCTCGATGATTTCCTGAGAGTCGTCAAAGTCTTCCTCAACACCGGTTTCTGGAACGAGAATGCCGTTCTCCTTTGCCTTTGGTCGGTCAAAGGCAGTCTTCCAGTATCCGAGGAGGGACGCCAAGTCAGGCATGGCGGTCGTCAGTTCTCCAATGATACTTTCACTTGAGCCGGCGCCGTTTTCTTTCAGAAGACCCATGGTATAGTCGATTTGCTCGAATCCTTCAAGAACACGAACAAAGTCCTGGGCCTTGCAGTTTCCAGCGTGGATGCGGGAGATCAGGCGTTCCAAGTCCGGCATTTTGATCAACTGCGACGAGAATTGGTCTCGAGTGCTGGGATCGGCATTCAATGAATCAACGGCGTCGAGTCGAGCATTTATTTTCTTTGCATCCACCAATGGGTGGCACACCCACTGCTTGAACATCCGCTTTCCGAACGGTGTGATACACCGGTTAAGAAGCTGGAACAGTGTTCCTTCGACACCACCATCAAAGGAGTTTGCAAAGATTTCCATGTTGATAAGAGTTTGACCATCTAGCACGAGACTAGTCGCCTTCTTGATGGGATCATACCATGTGAAATTTCCGATGGTGATCAAGTCCCGCTCAATCTTGAGCAGTCGCAAATAGGAAACCATGGCACCGAATGCACACATTAACAACTCCTTCTCACGGGCTTGACGAAGGGCTTCTGGCCAAGCTGTGAGGTTATCTTCATCGGGAGAGACAAAGTAATCACTTGCCTCAAGTTCGCGAATAGTGATGTCTGCGTCCCAGAACTCTTTTCCGGGCTTCATGAAGTTCCAGATTGTGGTTGGGTTAGTGTTGTTCTTGAGAATGCGCATGGCCTTGGTGGAGACACATGATTTCTCCAAAAGCAACTCTTGGGGACGGGTCTGCGCGACGAAAGTCTCAAACTTGGTCATGTCCACATCATCCACGAACTCAGACAAAAAGAATTGACCCGTGGCAGTATCAACGAATGTAATACCGAATGCGGGAAGTTCGTCAACGATGGCTTCCTTGATAGCAACACAGTAGGTGGACATATCATCCTGGAGCATGGAGCCCTCGACCAGGGTACCCGCTGTAAGAACACATGCAAGCTCTCGCTTGATGATTTTGTCCTCTTTTGCAGGCTTCTTGCCCTCCCTCTCGCGCATCTCCTTGCCAAGAGCAGATTCAGACTGATCCACGCGAGCGATCTTGTAGCCCTTGGCCACGAACTGGTTCGCCCAGTGGTCCAAACTCATCTCCGGGACACCGACCATACGCATGTTCACTCGGTCCGTGAGCTTCAGATCGAAGAGTTGGTGCCCAATAGTGGCATCATTTTCATAGAGCTCGTAGAATTTTCCCTTCTTGAAGAAAACGACGGTGTCCCAGAATTTCTGCTTGATTTCCCAGTACTGTTTCTCGAAAGGCGAGAACCGGCTCCATGCCATGGGAGGAATGTAAACTGTACGAGGGTCGTAGTCGGGGTGTCCTTTTGGATTACCGTCGATATCCTTGAGCGAAGCTAGCCATGAGTAACGCTGCTCTGGTTCTTTGATGTGGGCCTTTTCCTTCTTCGTGCTTGCCGGTGTTTTGGTAGACGAGACAGCTCTCTCCTTCCGAGGCTCCTTGTTTTCAGGGTCAAATGCCCACTTCTTCGCGGTTCCAGCTGAGCCCTCGCCCTCCGGTAGTTCCATGTCTAGGTCTTCGTCGAAGGAGGGAGGGGCGGGCAGGGGCGAGGATTTGGCTGAAGGCTTGCGTGCCGATTGTGTGGTAGGTCTCTTCCGCTTTTTGGACGGTGCGATTTCTTCATCAGAGTCATCTGCTACGACGAAATCGTCCATTTCTATCCCAAGTCAGTGGCAAGCAAATGGAAAGCAACATGTGATTGCGCAACATACCATCATCCGAGATCTCTGCATCTCCTTCCACGTCATTAAACTCATCCTCACTCTCCGGTTCCGTCCTTCTTCTCTTAGTCGCACGACCACCGACGCGGTCTTTGCGGTTGGGACGGAAGATGACTTCATCGTCGTCTTCGCCCTCGGAGTCTGACTCCTTGTAGCTGACCTTCTTCTTGCCCTGGAGACGGGTTAGCAGGATAAACAACTGACGCGATTATAAAAAGAAAACACTTACTCGACGTGAAGGCGACATGTTGGAGTCTTGTTCTTCCACCGCGGTAGTCTAAAGAGCAAGGTCAGAGAGGCGGACAAACAATAGACTTCACGTGAACTTACCTTTACACCATTTCCACTCTCCTCCTCATCATCTGGGACTGGAATATCACTACTTGGAACGGGACTCAAGTCTTGAGCAAAGCTCGAAAAGCTCCTCTTTTGATCTTTCGGGGTTGGCTTCGCCGCGCTTCCGCCACGCTGTTCAGCGGCTCTCTGGGCTGGAGACGAGGCGGGTTCACGTGTGCGATTTGCGGAAGGTGTCGCAGGCGAAGACTTCTGGAAAAACCCCAGGATGGACTTCTGACTGCGCATGTTCTGCGTATTGGGTGTTGCGCGCTTCAATGCGGGCGAAGACGCGGGCGGAGACGAGGCCGATGCTTTGGCCATGCTTTTTTATTATTGAACGGAATTGATTCGGACAATAGCAATTCTCAGTTCAGTTCTTGGTATTTTTTAACTGCAATGGCCCTGGGTGAATTGACGAAGGGAGCGAAGACGCGATAGGAGATAACGCGGATCGCGTCGACGCGTAAAACACCCGAGACTCGACCTGTTCGATTAAACACACCCGCTCTGCTCCACTATTACTTGGGGATTCTTATTGGACTAGAAGAATATGGTTGATAAATATTATACAGATTGGTTATTGTAAAATTACAGGTCTAGAGGATATTCATAGAATAGATTTAGGCCGATTCAGTCGTCTCGGCTTCAATCTCCTCCCATCCAGGAGCCGTGAGCCCTTGTTTGCGGAATTCTTCGTCGCTCACAATGGTGACGGACTTGAACTTCCACTTGCCTAATTTGAGGATCAACAGGTTATCGTTCAGAACAAACTCTTGGGTCTTTTCTGCGTTCCAAACGCGGATGGGGGTGAAAGACAGCTGGTCCGTCATGGGGCCACTGTCACCAGGGCGGCTTCCCACCTTAGCGCCGTTGTTCACAATGACGCGGTGGCCTTCGCTCTTGGACGAAACAAGACCCGCTGACCAGAGAATCTTATTGAACGGCTGATTGAACACGAGGGATCTGGGAAGTGTAACTTTCATATCACCCATGTTGGCAAAGTTGGTTTGAGGAGCATAAGGGTTGCCAGATTGAGGGGTATCGAAGCCAGCAGTGGGAGATTTAGCGTGGCTGGAAGGAGGGGCGGAAGATTTAGAGAGGGGGGATGGGGCGGCAGTTGAAGAACGAGGTCGGAAGAGCTGACGGTGTTGGAGAGCGACAGCATCAGCTTCAGCCTTGCCATGAATAAGCTCGACAAAGTCGAAGGCGAGCGCGTGTTGTGCAACACGCTTGGAAGGATCCTTATTCTGCTCTTCCATGATAGTCGCGATTTCAGGCAACGGGATAAAAGTGAATAGCTTGAGGTAGCGCTCGACGGTATCATCAGGCGTGCGCACGAAGAATTGATACAGCTCAAATGTAGAAGTCAGGTCCTTATCGAGCCAGATAGCATTGCCTGCGGATTTTCCAAACTTCTCGCCATTCGGAGCTGTGAGGAGTGGTGTAGTGAAACCAATAGGACGGTCCACTTCAGACTCCAACGGGTCGCGGAGTTGCTCATCGGCAGTGTTTCGACTGACAGACTTCACAGCTTCCATGCCGAAGAGAATATTTCCATACTGATCGGCACCTCCAACTTGGATCTGGGTACCCTTTTGGAACAATGTCCACCAATCCCAAGCTTGTAGGATAGGGTAGGAGAACTCAGCAAAGGACATACCATCACCGTGGCTCAATCGATTCTTGACACTAGCAGACATGTAAGCCCATGAAACATATATGGTGATGGCCTAGCAAAACTTACGTATCTCTCCCGAGCATGGGTCCAAGACGCATGAAAGCACCAAGGTCGCGCAGCACCTCAAGGAACGGCATGGAGTTCCACCAAGTATTGTTATTTGTCAACGCCCGCTTCCACATTGGGTGCCTTTCGTGTCCGTGTCTCCGGCCATATTGTTCAATGCTCGCACCCAATTTCTTCAATTGCATGTGCATACTGGCCATGTTTGCCTTTCGGATAGAGGAATGAACTGCGTCACGTCCCTTAAGACGCCCGCTAGGATCGCCAACTCTAGATGTAGCACCGCCGAGCTGGACAATGTTAGTTGAAGATGTTCCAATGAAGCGCGAATTCAATTGCGACTGACCAAAAATGTGACCGGCAAACCCCAGACATAACCCCAAGCCAAAACCATGAATGGGAGCATATGTCCAACATGCATTGACGGGGCAGTCGGGTCAATACCAACGTATATACCAGCCCGCTTCTCAGTCAAGACCTTATGCAACAAGTCGCGTTCTCTGCGGAGCAAACTAAAGTTAGCCCACCATTCAACCAATCCAACAGCAATACCATAGCAATGTCCTGGTGTAACTCACCCAACAACATCATGAATCAACCCTCGCTCCTCCAAGTGTTGTGCGAAATTCTTCCTCGTCCCAGCCTTAATCTCTTTGGCAAACCTAGCCCACTCGGCCTCCCCATCTTTCATGCGCTGAATATGTTTTTGTGTAATCCATCTTTGCTGCTGGAAGCATGTGCCAACCTTCAAGCCAAACAATGTAGGCCGATTGCTGTCTCTGCGCAGCGGAAGTGCTGTGGTTGCGGCAAAACTGCGCGCTCCAGATGGGGCCCGACCGGGGGTGAAGAGGTTTCGGTGAGGCGCTCGGCTGAGCGATGTCATCTGTGGCCTCATTGGACCGGTTTGCGAATGTGAAAATATAAGAAGATACTTGCAATTGCCCTCGAGTCTGGACACGATCAATAGAGCGGAGCTCCGAGAATCTTTCGATAAAGTCCGGATTATGGATGTTCCGGGCCTTATCTTTTGATGTGTTGATCTCTTGCCCAAGCGGGTGTTTTTTTACATTGTGCAGTGATTTCTTCGAGGGGAGAACTAACAATTCTTGGCATGGAATTTCTGGTAAAGAGTCTGCTCGGATAGAACAATGGGCAGTTGCCTCGATACATAGATCAGCCAACAAAAACCTGCACAAATGCCTCGTTACTCCATCCACTGTCCAACTTCATGGCTTTCCACGCCGCCAATACATCAATCGCCAACACATTAGCACTCTCTCCACCTTCCTTCCATACAGTCTTCTGTGGCACCGGCTTTCCAAGTATCGTGACCATGAAGTTCCGCGCAACACTTCTGTTTTGTAGATCTGAGAAATAGATACCAAGTGTTCCCAGGGCTTTCAAGCTGATGTTAAATCGCAAGCGCCCATTTTCAACCATTGAGATATCCGAGCTGATCACAGCTGCCGCACCGGTCATTTTGCCCAATAGTCCTAGCACAGCAACATGTGTCAGACTATTACCAGAAGCATTGCATCCATGGCTCCCTTTCAGAGTGAACAACCTAGTCGGATATGCGGTGAGGATTTCCCATCCCTTCGGCTCTAGTAATGTTGATACATAACAATCTTGAGTCAATGGTCGCATCAGATCCGATATCTTCCCACTGTTATGTGCCCGGACAATATACTGTCCTTGGGAATCCTCGTGGATACCTGGGAAATCCATCAACGAGACTATGCTGGAAGCCTCGGCGGAATGGATATTGAAAAGCCCGATGATTCCACTGCCTGTTTTCGCCCAGCCGGTGTAGCTTCCGACGCGCAAGACATGCCCTTCGTTGTAATCGTGGTACATATCAATAGTGCGTCCAATCACGCTCGGTCGAAGAGCAACCGTGATGTCTTTAACAGTTTGCGCGGTCAATTGATCAAGAAGGGTAAGATCATGTTTCCCGGGCTCATCCGTGATGTAGATCGGTCCACCTGATACACATCGTGCTGCTGCATGGAATGACGCATATGGATGATTTGTCTGGAACATATCCCAGTCCGGCAAGACGTTCAGATAACGGGTAAGTAGTGAGTTGTGCGCGTTGCAGAATAAATGCCATGGATGGGAGGCAGGGATCTCCGGGAAGAAGTCATCGGAGTTTCGTAATGGGAGAGTTGGTTTGTTGGTTGGCAATTGTGAGTGGAACATTATTTGAGGTGTCATTGAGCCGCAAGAGATTGCCCGATTGCTGAAATGCTTGAGTGATGAGATAGACCATGCATCTTGGTAGGAAGTCATGAATCTTCGGCGGTCCTCTGGGTCCTCGAGGAGATCAATGAAAAATTGTGCATCTGTTTTCACGGAGTCTATGCCCATACAGGCGAGATATTTATAGAATTCATCGTAAAATCGTTGGATGTCGTCCGGATCGATTGCAAGAATATTTCCGTCTGGGAGATTCTCCGCGATAGGTCCATTTGTGGCAGGATCTTTGATCTTAACTTGCTTGGTTTTGAACCTTTGGGCTAGATCACCCTCTGCAGATATACCTCCCCAGTACCCAAGCAGTGCATGCCAGACAGCGACATGTTCGATTCGGGGATGTTTTTGGCGAATCGAATCGACTGTATGCTTCAATCCCTTGGGAAATCCTTCCGCATGCGCCTCAAAGTGTTTCAAACCTCTCTTGAACTGAGATTGTCCCTCATTATCGTTTTGTTGCCAGCCGTCATCGATAATCAGATTTACAATGTTGATTCCATTGGCTTTCAATGAATCCAAAGCATGCAGTATTTTTTCTTCCGTGAGGTCCTGTCCCAAACTATTCCACGTACAATACGTGAGGCCATCAAACCACTGAGAGAGCCACTGTGCTGTCGGATCTTTTTCAACGAGCACCGTGTCATCGCCAGGGGGGACAAGGGAACAGGCTCGTCCAATGCCGTATCAATCGCTTCGACAAATGGTCTGACCACTTTTCGTGCCTCATAGATAACCGCAGACATGGCAACTTCGAAATTTTCTGCAGTTGCAATGAGCACATGGAACTTGGATAGCTCTGCATTGTCACTCCTTGCGTTAACAACAACTTCGCCATTCTTCCCGGACTGGAAAACAGTCAAGACATTATCGGTTCCTGATACTGCCAACAAAACTAAATGTACACCATCCGTGCGCAGGAATGAACAAAATACCGCATCTTCTGTGAGTCGAAACTCATTCTTCCCATGCCTCGGGCCTAGCCATGGACTCCAGACTCGCACTAGCGACATATACCTCGCTGTTGATGACGGAGTTCCAAGGGCAAGTTGTTTGAAAGTGGACACCCCTCCACTCACAGGGTCTATATCACCAGTTAAAGACCACAGTAGTGCTCCAGGCGCCTCACTCAGCCGCGACAAAATCTCCAGCTCATCGGGGAGATTGTCAATATACTTCCCAAGATCCTCTTTGGCTATTCGATCCGAAATATCCGTAGACGCAACCCTATCATGCTCAGAATGGCGTGGGCTATATATAATTTCGCCATCGCTCACGGGATGCTTCTGATTAGCCCACTGCCATTCTGCATCTGGGCCGTTCCGAAATCGAACCGTGAATTGGGCATGACCCCCTTCAGCAGATAGAACTATCTCTTCTGAAAATACATAACGATAGTATTTATAGTCGCTTTCTTGGCCACTCAATAGGGGTGCATGATTCGTGTTACAATTTCGCAGGGGCAGGTCTGTCCATTCGGAGCCAGTGATGTTGTGCCAGATCTGTGCTTCCCATGACTGTGCGGGGAACGAGGTACTGGACTCGATGGTCACAGTGAAACGTAGCTAATTTAGATATCAGTATCAAGTATCAACTTATTTAAATTGAGCAAGTCGCTAAAATACTCAGGTAACACAGTGTGTTGTAACACTCACCGCATCTTCTTGTTCGGTGCGTAGCACCTTCTGTGCCCTTCGGACACAGGTAATTTGCCCTAGGGGCGGATAGGATGTCACTCGCGCAAACATGGCCATTTGAGGTCGTACAAATGGTGTCTGTAGTCGGGATCTTTGTGTTGAGCCGCGAATGGGCAGGGTTGAGTTGTCTTTGGTGTTGACCTGCATTGAAGAGGGGTAGAGCCAAGTTCTGGGTCAACTTAACAGCGATCGAGACAGGATGATAATTTCGGTTATTTATTGGTTCTTCTTATGGGATTTCGATGACTATGGGGGTGAATGTAACATTTGGATTAGATACTCGGAAGTGGTTGGGTTTACCTTATGATGAAAGTGGCGGGGAAGCTATCACTCGCACCTCACCTCATGCAACACTACCATCCAACAACTCTTAAGTTCCGAAGCATTCATAGTGCCAAAGATCTGTGATATTTCTTCGTCCTATTGAAATACCAGAAGAACAATATCAAGAAGAAACACAACAGCTTCAACCCAGACTTGTCTAGTCCACCCAGACCAGATTCGCCGGACTATCCTCAGTATCTAAATGAGCCACCACGGAGACCGAGGTCTCATTATCGTCAAGCTTCCAAACTTCGATGAAGTTATTCTCTGCATCTGTAATCGCAAAGTATTGCTCCGAAAAGGTAGCGGGAGAGATGGCATTGGCTGCACCGCCAGACCCTGTTGTCGGCGTCAAGAACAGTCGCTCTTTGATCGCCCCGGTAGTACTGTCTAGAGAAAAGGCAGTCACAAATCCTGGATCTGTGGAGGTTCTCGACCGTGCTGTTGCGAAGAGGTATTTGGGATAATCTCCTTCTTTGGGGACAGAGAACATTACTTCATCGGACCAGTATAAAGAGGTGTTTGTATATCCTATCAAGTTCGATAATATTAGCAATTCCAAATTTGTAGAATCTTCATCTGGACTCATTGACAAGCCACTCACCAGAAGGAATTGTAGAGAATGTAGTATTGGTAGTAGTAATACGACCCGTTCTCGAATCTCTATTGAAGACTGCCACTTCATTCCCAGTCTCGAGCATGACATAGACATATGATCCTTGCGGAGATACTACTAGATGTCTTGGATTTCCGGTAACATTCATTTGCTGAATCTTGGACACCTTGTTGCTGGTAGCATCGTAGGAATGAGCCCAGACTGCACCGCCCATGTCATCGCCGCTGTAAATGAAGCGGTTGTCACTGCTGAGTGCGAGACCATGGACCCCCGATGCACTGCTGTATGATATGTTTGCCACGATGGATTTCAGGGTTCCCGAAGATGTGACGGTGATGGCTTGGGCTGGGCAGCCACTTGAGTAGGGAGCACCGAATACGGTCAAGGGCTTAGCGGTAGAAGAGACGATGTAGTTCGCATTGTTGCCTGTGACATTAATTTGTGATGAAAATGTGGACCTTTGGCCGAAACTTACAATTGCTGTCTGCTATAGACACCCCTCCTTTGTAAACGAGTGATTTGTTGGAATTGATGCCATAGCTGTGGTAGTTGCTTTCGTCGGCAATATACAGGTTCTGTTTACTGTTCTGTACAAAGGTCAGCCCTGCTGGTTAAACGCATAGGCATTCCCCTCTATCGTGAGGAATCGATGGGTCACTATAACCTACATCAGTAGCAATCCACTTGGAGCTCTGAATATTCAGGGTTCCGTTGTAGACCACACTCAAATTCGAGGTTGATTCGTCAAATTGAATTGCATAGAGCGAGTCACCGCTGAAAAATCCAGAATATAAACGGTGTGCTTTACCCATAACCAATGGGCTCAGAGATAGTATCGTCAACAGTCCACGGAAAAGAGACATTCTCGAAGCTGTAGAAAATAACTATAAATATTCAACTACGCCAAGAATGACATGCATCTTATAGCGAAATACAAGATCTCAACGATGTGTCAGCGGAGTAGAACAGCTCCGACGGGTCTAAAGAAATAGAGGACGCGTAATTAGAATGACGATTATTGATCGCCCGCCAATTTAAGCGTTGCAGATCCCCACCATTAAAGCTTAGTATATTGTTTATTCGAAAACTTTTGAGACGGTATTCAATTTGAAAACCTACACAGATAGACAACTATGCTGACTATTAGTTGATCTTGATGGTCAACTTGCCGAAGTGCTTCTGGGCCCACTGTTTCACACTGTCAGCATTCAACCAATTTAAGAGGAATCACGAATAGCCCACTCACCATGTATTCATAAGCCTCCTTGGCCTGGTCAAGGTTAAATAGCTTGTCATCCACAACAGGGTGGATATCATTGGCCTCGATGGCTCGAACCATATCCCTCATAAGGGCTTTGCTACCAACATAAACACCACGCACAGTGCAGATGTGAGTTAGTGTTTCCAAAATAGATGGCTGAGTCTTTGGGTCCACGCCTCCGAGGAATCCAATCACACTAATAATTCCTTCCAGCTTCACGCACTTGAAGCTCTGCTGAAGAGTCCCGCTGCCGCCCACTTCGATGATGTGATCCACGCCAACTCCGCCAGGAGTCAATTTGCGAGCAGCATCACCCCAGTTGGAGTCAGTCTTGTAGTTAATGATGTGGTCGGCACCAAGCTTCTTGAGCTTTTCGGCCTTCTCGGAAGAAGAGGTTGTCGCAATCACTGTCGCGCCTGCAGCCTTGGCGAACTACATCATCATCAGCACTGCTGATTCCGATCTGGAAATATAGCTTCCATTCTTACCTGCAGTCCAAACATGCTGACACCTCCAGTTCCCTGAACAAGAACCACCTGCCCGGGCTTCAATGGCTTCAGGCCATATAGCGCGTTCCAAGCGGTCAGCGCCGCGCATGACAAGGTACTAGCCTCGAGGGCAGTCAAGTTGGCCGGAGCCTTGACAAGACCCTGTTCATTGAACACGCCATACTCGCGAAGAGTACCGTCGATTACACCACCCAAGCCAGTAGTCGCGGCGTGCGAGTCGATCTCGCCATATTGGTGGCCCTGGTTGAAGAGGGTTGCGACATGGTCGCCCTTCTTGAACTCAGCGACCTTGGATCCCACTTCGACAACTTCACCGGCGCCATCAGAGCCTGGGACTACCGGGAATTTGAGAGCAAATGGATATGTGCCCTTTCATAAATGGAAGGCGTTAGTGGTCGCGGGTCTATGTTTTGACGAATGCTGAAACTTGAAATTCGCAATTTTCACCCTTACCTTTGGAATAATCAAATCGCGGTAATTCAATGACGCGGCTTGAAGTTTCACCAACACTTCATTCTCACCCACTTTCGGGACAGCAGCATCCTTAAAGACCAGGCCGTCGAGATCGTGCTCTTTATCTTGGACAATCCATTGTTTCATGTTTGAAGGAGACATGTTGATATTTTCGATTGATTACGGAGGATTTGGACAGATATTTTTACAACACAAGTTCAATATGGAGGGATGAGGAAGAGTTTATATCATCGAGGACCCTGACGTAGGCGATCCGCTTTTGGTTCCACATGACGACAAGATTATTAAGAAACAAACAATCCTATTAGATGCTCTTTGTTTTTGTATATAGTAGATGAGAGTTGAACCCTGTGGTATTGTAGGTTGTAGGGGTTCAATATCTTCGAAGCTCGCTGATACTCAATTGCGAAAACGTCGCTTGTTTACTTATCTGAAATCTTTTTGGCCGGAATATCACATCAAGACTCATCTTTGGTTACAGATTGTTTGACTCCATGCGCGTCCATATCTTCGACGCTAGGCCTGCAAAGATGTACTCCTCAATTGCAAAAAGACTTGGTATAGACTTGGGCAAACTTCACAATCGCAGACCAAAATTGCTCACAACACGCGCGTCACAATCAATAGGAGAACTACAAAACCTACTTTTTTTTATTATGCTCTTTTTTCTGTTACTATCAGTTAAAATTTATGCGAGCACTATAGCAGCCTCTATATTCATGTTCGATCGAAACTTGCAAGACGATCACGGTTATCCAAATAGCGAAGTATAGAGACGAGGCTAAAACGTAGCAAGTGGGCCCTACGGAGCTTGACCCAATTGTGCAATTTAGAGCTAATATCGCGCATAGTTTTATCCACTCAATCACTCAATCACTCAATAAAGACAAAGTACCTGTAGATTTGCCGATGGCGCGAGATCGACACAAAACCATGTCGCAATAAAGATCTTAGCGGGGGAGGGGTAAAAGCGACATAAATAGTTGCCAATCCCTCGTTTGTGTCGGCAACTATTCTGTATCCTTAACCTCACGACCAGCTTTGGGTTCATCAATTTCTACATCATGTCTCTTGGACGAACTTTCAAGCTCAACTCGGGATACGAGATCCCCGCGGTCGGTCTCGGAACTTGGGTATGCAAGCTTCCAACACTAACTGATCCTATGGCTAAATTAATTTTGTTCAGCTTTCTAAACCTCATGAAGTTGAAAATGCCGTCGAAACTGCCCTTCGCAAGGGTTATCGTCACATTGATGCGGCTGCATGTTATCAAAACGAGAACGAAGTAGGAAACGGCTGGAAGAAGTCCGGTGTTCCTCGCGAGGAGATCTTTGTCAGTGAAGCCTCAAAATATCCATTATACTGATAGTAACTTACATTTCCATCACTTTCTAGATCACCAGCAAGCTGTGGAACACTCATCACCACCCTGACCACGTGGAGGAGGCCATCAACAAAACATTGAAGGACCTCCAGACCGACTACTTGGATCTTTACCTGGTCAGTTCCTTCAGAGTTTCCCAATTTTAATCTCTAAACGTTGACCGACTTCCCCCAAAAGATCCACTGGCCCGTCGCTTTCGCACACACCAACGAAACTCTCACGCCAACAGACCCGGTGACGAAGCGGTTCCGCCTAGCCGATGTTCCGATCTCCGAGACCTGGGCCGCCCTTGAAAAGTTCGTCAAGGCGGGTAAGATCCGAAGCATTGGAATCAGTAATTTTACCATTGCAGCGACCAAGGAGCTACTAAAGACGGCTCAGATTCCTCCCGCTGCTAACCAGATTGAGGCCCATCCTTACTTGCTGCAGCCGGAGCTTTTCTCTTACCTGAAGGAGCAGAATATTCTCCCTGTTGCTTATTCCCCGCTTGGTAACAATATCTACGAATTGCCTCGGTAAGTACCCCGATGAACAACTTATTTGTCCAGGATGATATCGCTGATATATAACCCTAGTGTCGTCAATGACCCGGTTGTAGAAGATATCGCTAAGAAGCTCAACAAGGATCCTGCCCAGGTTCTTATTTCTTGGGCTATCCAGCGAGGCTCCGCAGTATTACCCAAGAGTGTTACGCCATCACGAATTGAGAGCAACTTTCAAGGTATGCTTTCATTCAACCCTTAGATTTTTTTTTAAATTGGGTAAGTACTCGATCTAATAGGTTAAATAGACTTCGTGATTCCCGATGAAGAGTTCGCGGCTCTTAACAAGCTTGATAAGAACACACGATACAACTATCCTTTCCGCTGGGGTGTTGATGTTTTCGAGGAGCTGGGAGCTGCTGAAGCTGAGCGACGTGCTGAAGAGCATGCTGCATCTCAGAGAGCTAATTAATTGCTTAATTGAGGAACGATATCATAGATACTGGATGAAATCAACCCCATTATTCCCGTATATATATCTCACTGATTGAACTCTTTGTACAAAAGGAGTTATCGCCTTTATTAAGTACTGGAGCAGTTCAAAATGATTGATGCGTTCTGATATTCGAAAAAGCTTCATGATTATAAGGTTACAACCTCCGTGGCTTGGAAGAGTGAAAGGAGAACTACATACTTCAGTGGATAAAGCCCACAACGTCGCACTGCCACCTGGCCACACAACTTGCTTTTGCCGATTTGTGAACTTATTCATTGAAATATCCTAAACTCAATCCCAAACCTATAACCAGAGTACAATAATTATAATCATTTGAGAGAAAATTCTACCAACATGTCATCATTCGTGAAGGACAATCGAGTCACCAAATCAAAGGCCAAAAGAACCAAACCGTCCACCCGACGCGTCTCCAGCAAAGGTAAATAACAACCGCACCACAGCAAAATCAAGCATACACAGCCACCTCAAGGTCCCAAAACATGCAAAAATATATCAATCCGCCATGAATTGTGGCAGAAAGTCTCATGTCTCATGTGCTAACGCCATCACTCAGCACTCCCACTCATCGAGCAAACCAACGCATTGTCAGTACGCGACTTCATCGCGCAATACGTACCAGCACTCTCAGAAAATGCGTCTTCGGAGAAAGACAGTCCAGACCAGCAAACCCCACCAACGCCAGTCGTGGACATCTACTCCGCAGCAACGATCTCCACCACAGACCTAGAGGCATGTCTAGATCTCATCGAGCAAACATCTAGCGAAGCATACACAGCCTCCAGCGAAGGCTGGTCACGTGTAAAAAAGCGTAAAGAGATGAAACTCCCAGACATGAAGTACCTGATTGTGCGCAGCGGCAGCGGCAGCGCGAGCGAAAACATCCCGACCGGAACCGATGAGCCGGGATCTTCGGCTCGGGACGTTCTTGGGTTCTCGTCTTTCATGGTTACTTACGAGGATGGGAAGGAGGTTATGTATTGCTATGAGATTCACCTGTCGCCGATGGCCCGGGGGCGGGGCGTCGGGAAGTGGCTTATGGGGCGGATGGAGGGGATTGGTCGGGCTGTCGGATTGGAGAAGGCTATGTTGACAGTTTTTAAGTCGAATGCCGTTGCGAGGGGCTTTTATGAGAGGCTTGGCTATGGTGTTGATGAGTACTCGCCTCGCCCGCGGAAGTTGCGGAATGGGACCATTAAGGAGGTTGATTATATGATATTGTCTAAGAGGTTGAAATGATTTGATTTGTTTCAATGCTAGTAATATGAGGACTGGGATATGCAAAAATTCGATGTAAGTTACACCTGTCTCACTTCGGCGCCTTGCTTTTCGGGATTTTCTTGTTCCCATTCGTCTCGGAGGGCGGCGAAGACTGTATCGGCTAGCAAGATCGAGAGGCCGAGACTCCATACTAGGGTGATGGCGTAAAAGAAATTGGCGTTTCCGGATCCTGCGTAGATCCAGAGATGGTAGAAAGCGGGGCCGAGCAGGCTTGAGTATAGAATCGCCGAGATAGCGAAAAAGGTGTATCTCATCACTGCGCATAGTTAGATATTGGGCATCCAGGGAAATCGGCGATCGCAACCACTCACATGGGAAAAGGTGCCGATACAACGGCAACATTGCAAAGAACAACGACGCATCTGAGATACTAGGGTATGGCTTGAAGATGGCGAAGACACCCAAAAGCGAAGCAATTACAAACAGAGGCTGTCGCTGGAAGCGAGCTGTAAGACCCCCGACATAGCTAGCCAGGTGAAGCCAGAAGACACCAATGAAGAACTCTCGGAACGAGTCAAACATCTCGATAAAGAAGTACCACCACAGACCAACATTGGGAGTTAAGTCTGGAACCAGCAGGTGGAAACCGTATGTCGCCGAGATGAACTCCCAAAAGTTGCCGGTGATTAAATAGGACAGACCGAGAAGCCCTGCAATACTAGCCAGGAGCAGACCACCGTGCTGGACGACATAGATAGCGATTTTGGGAGGGTTGGGCCCTTGCGCGCGTAGATCATAACAGAGTAGAACCAGCGGGATGAATAGCAGCGCAGGGTAAAGAGACAGGTAAAAGGCGAATCCTAGGGCTAGCATGGCATTGATACTGTTCCCCCCGACTGCATTGGAGACAGCAAATAGGATTCCAGATGTGGTGAACACGCTTGTTGACCGCGCTAAACATGTCGCAATCGTGAAGGGATTGAACAAGAACCTATTCGAGTAAGAATCATGGTATAAAAGACAGAACATTGAGGTTGCACATACCATGCAGCTACGGAAACTCCATCCCATCGCACGTGCTGCCGAACAGCTGTGTGTAGTCTTGACTTGACAGATTGACTAGATTCAGAAATTGTGACCAAGGCATGGGCATTCAAAAGGTCCACTAAAAAAGTAGAAAATGGCGGTGGGTAAGGGAAAGCTCTTCGCATCTGGAAGTAGAGCAAACAATGGTAGTAGGAGCGGGGCCTAGATCATCGAATGGCATTGTCAATTCTGGGAACAGATCGTGGAAGGAAACTGAATCCACGAACCTGGTGGAAGACACCGCCGTCATAAGGCGAGACATTTCCAATGTATAAAAACAAGCCTTCTTGGACTATACGTTGGTTAGTTTCACTGAATGCGGAGTCAATGCTCGGAGACACGTACGGCGCTTGAAGCTATTGACGGGTGTTGACACTTCGACTCTCCCAGTTAATAAATCGGGCAAAGAAGGAAATAAACATGTGAGAAGTAAGCGCAGCACAAAGGCTGCGCCAAAAACCACAACCTTCCGCCTGTCTATAGCCATTTTAGGGAAATTGGAGGTTGTTTAGATTCCAGTTGTTCTCTCTTTGACCCTGGACAACGCTCTCCGCCTTCGGTGCACGGACCACTATGTTGCGGAAGAAAAAAAAAAGATTATCAAGAAATTTTCTTCTTCTTATCAGCAGCCGATTGGATTTACTGACCTGACCACTTTTCATCATGGCGAGAATTAAGAAGAAGGGTATGCTTGATTTTGATGCTAGTTCAATTGACTTCTGCTAATGCCCTTTAGGCACCTCTGGCTCAGCCAAGAACTACATTACCAGAACTCAGGCCGTGCGCAAACTTCAGATCTCTCTACCGGATTTCCGTCGACTTTGCATTTTCAAGGGTAATTACTCCTTCTTTGAATGTTTCATCTGAATCGCAAAGTTAACAAGATCCTCGATATCAGGTATCTACCCTCGCGAGCCCCGTAATAAGAAGAAGGCCTCCAAGACCTCAACTCCCAACACCACCTTCTATTACACTAAGGATATTCAGTATCTGTTGCACGAGCCCCTCCTGAACAAGTTCCGTGACCAGAAGGCTCTTGCAAAGAAGATTGCCCGCTCCCTCGGCCGTGGAGAAGTCAGCGATGCGTCCCGTTTAGAAAAGAACCACGCCCCAAGACTCACTTTGGACCATGTCATTAAAGAACGTTACCCGACTTTTATCGATGCCCTCCGTGATCTTGACGATGCGCTTTCTCTTCTTTTCCTCTTCGCTACCCTTCCCTCCACCGACCATGTTCCCTCTAAGACCGTTGCGCTCTGCCAGCGCCTTTGCCATGAGTTCCAGCACTACTTGATCATGACCAACTCTCTGCGCAAATCATTCCTTTCCATCAAGGGTATCTACTACCAGGCTACTATCCAGGGTCAAGATATCATGTGGTTGGTTCCCTATCGTTTCGTGCAGCGTGTCAATGGCGACGTCGATTACCGTATCATGGCCACCTTCGTCGACTTCTACACCACCCTTTTGGGCTTCGTCAACTTCCGTCTCTACTCCGGAATTGGATTGCGCTACCCCCCTAAGTTCGATACCCGCAGTGATGAGAACGGTGCCGAGTTGGCCGCTTTCACCCTCGAGGGCCGCACAGTTGGTGAGGTGCCCAAGGCTCTCGAAGCCGGCAAGGCCCAGACCAACGGAAACTCCAACAAGGAAGTTTCCAAGGAGCTCCAAGCCAAGGTGGACAAGGTTATTAAGAAGGCCGGATTGGACCAGAGCACCGACGATCAAGCTATGGACACCACCGAAGAGACGAACGATGCCATCGACCACTTCGAGACTGCCGCCCCTGAAGCCGACGTTCTCCCCCAGCCCTCAATGAGCGGCAGCGAGGCCGGTGCTCTCTTCTCCCCCTTCGTGTTCTACATTTCCCGTGAGGCTCCCAAGGCCCCCCTGGAATTCATCCTGCGCTCATTCGGCTGCAAGCGCGTTGGCTGGGCCTCCGTGCTTGGCGATGGAGCCTTCACCCACGACGAGACCGACCCCCGCATCACTCACCAGATTGTCGACCGCCCCCAGCTTCCTCAAGAATCTCTCCCCGCCATCCCCGCTGCTGATGAGAGCGCCGTCCAGGTTCGCCCCGGATCCCGCATTCCCGGCCGCACCTACATCCAGCCCCAGTGGGTCTGGGACTGCATTAACGAGGGAAAGCTCCTGCGTGCTGATCTTTACGCTCCCGGCACCACTCTCCCTCCTCACTTGAGCCCTTGGGTCAAGGCTTCCCGCGGCGCTTACGACCCGCGCGCCACCCTGGCCGAGCAGGAAGAGGAAGATGAGGCTGAGATTGCCGCCGAGGCATCCGACAGCGACGAGGAGATGGCGGATGAGCCCGCTATCGAGGAGAAGGCCGAGGAGTCCGATGCAGAGTCTGTCGACGGAGGCATGGATGTCGCCGGCACCGACGATGACGAGAGCGAGGAGGAGTCCGATGAAGATGAGGACTTCGGTGGCTTCGAAGAGGGAGCCGCATCTGAGTCCGAGTCTGAAGATGAGGCCGCCCGCACTCAGCACCAGAAGGAGCTCGAGGCCGAAGCCGCCGGCCTGCCGTTCTCCTCTGCCGCTGCTGCTGACGAGGCCTCCAAGAAGAAGTCTGCTAAGAGCAAGAAGCTTGCTGCCAAGAAGCGTAGCGAAGACGAAGAGCTCGAGAGACAGAAGATGATGATGAGCCGGAAGAAGCGCAAGCTGCTCGAGAAGATGATGTACTCGAACAAGAAGACTGCTGATGAGTCTGCCAAGCTGCGTTCTAAGCGCCGTAAGCTCGAGAAGGGCGAGAAGGCTGACAAGAAGAACTAAAACTTGAATTGTGCATGTTAGATAGTGCTTTTCCGGGCGTTTGGTTTGGATATGTCCCATGTATAGGCCCTCAAAAATTTGTGATTGAAGTTTAATGCTATTTATCGGGATTCTATCCCAATTACATGTATACCTCTTGTTCAAGTAAAATATCATCCATAACACCTACAGTATTGCACGTTGTAACCGGTAGCTCCGAGATGTGGACCTCCATTTATGTGATTCGCGGCGATCACGATTAGCGCGCAACTCGTGGCCCCCATATTTTCCCGCGTCGCATGACACGCAACTTTATCCTCCATGCAGCCGTCGAATTTCGCACGTGATGGCTCCAGGCACATACTACTGGAAAGCGACGTTGGGCGTATTAGATGGTGTTCATCAGTTGATGGCGAAGATAGGTTTGATAGACCCTCTCGCAATGGTATTCAAAGCCGGGTCAGAGATAGGAGTGCTGAAACGCAATATGATTCTGATCGCATGCTGCTTTATCTTTGCGACGGTTGTCTTTTTTCCTCGACTAGGCGAGCACACCGTGCCACTGCGTGTTGGAAAAGTCGGCCCTGACTCTGGCTTACCATTGGATCCTCGTTATCCGTACCCGGAGTACAACAGCTCGTCTTGGAGGGTCACATGGAGAGGGCGTTATCGACCTTGTATTGGACCTGGGGGAGGGATTCTTAATTTCAGGGACGAGAGCACGGCCATGACGGGCTACCAATGGAACCAGTCAGGTTTGTGACCCACGACGAACTGATCATCATGAAAATCGTTGGCTTCCGGCATACTGATTGCATTCAGAATTCCCTGCCCCGATATTTGGTGGCTATGAGCCATGGAGTCTCGATGCGAGTCTCTGTGTTGACCCCCAGTCCCGGTATGGCGCATATGGCTACCAAGTCAGAGGCCCAGCAAATGGCACATCTCAAATCCCAAGTTTCATAAATGAGGATTGGGATGGTGTCAATTGGGCTGACTTGCAGCAGATCTGTTTGGAGAACAACTACGATCGGTATAACATGCTGAACCCCGCAGACAAGAGAGTTACACTCCACAAAGATCCTCAACCAGAAGTGAAAAATGAAGAGGGCGAAATTGACGAACCTCCAAATGCAAATGTCAATGGAGAAAGCCATATGAATCAGAAACGCCAGAGATATACTAAAGAAGGTATTCCAACTCGGGCCCATCCCAGATCAGTAGTCATCCTACGCTCCTGGCTTGGAAAGGAGTACACGGAAAATGATATCCTTAACATCCGCGCCATGATCATGGAGTTGTCCTTACTATCAGGTGCAGAGTACGAAGTCATACTATTGATCGACGCACACGACGAGATATTGCCTGATTCTGCGGACAAGGCCAGTATCGAAGAATTGAAAAAAGAACTTCCAGAAGAACTTCGTGGTCTTGCGGTTTATTTCAATATGGAGATCTTGAAAAATTGGTATCCGTTGATTGAGGCACATCAGTACGAAGTTCTATCTTCTCATGGAAATACCACAACACTAACAAGAGATTAGGGCAATGTTCCAATATTTTCAACCAGTGCAAATCTTTTCACAACTCCACCCACAATACGACTACATTTGGCAATTCGAGATGGATTCCCGGTACACCGGACACCATTATCACTTACTCGAGCAAGCAACCGCCTTCGCAAAGAAACAGCCTCGCCAAAATCTCTGGGAACGAAACTCCTACTTTTATATCCCCTCTATCCACGGAACATGGGATAACTTCACCAAAATGGTAGACGCTAGCATGATCGACCGCAAGACAATATGGGGTCCAGTCCCGGTAGAAGGCCTAAACGTTTCAAGCGACTCACCCATTCCACCACGCAAACCATCCAATAACGAAACCTCAACTTGGGGCATTGGCGAAGAAGCAGATGTAATAACCTGGCTACCACAATTCAACCCGCAAAACACAGACTGGCCGTACCGCGAAATAATCTACAATTTCATCCAAGGACCATCCATTCCCCGCCGCGCATCTCCTGTGGCAATGTCCCGACTGTCTGCGCGCGTGCTGAAGATCATGCACGAGAATTTAGTTGATGAGGGCCTGAGTCTGGTGTCGGAGATGACGCCCGCGTCGATGGCTCTGTATCATGGTTTGAAGGCTGTGCAGATCCCGCAGCCTGTTTACCATGCTCATGAATGGGATCCTGTGGAGCTGGATCGTCGTGCTAATACCAATCTGCCTGGGTATATTAGTGCTGGTCAGGATAGTATTTGGACTTGGGATTTGGCTCATGATATCTTGAAGAATATGACCTATATGTTTGACTCGGACTTTTCGGGCAGGCTTTATCAGGCTTGGTTGGGGAATGGTGAGGTTGAAGAGGTAAGCATAATGGTACTTTTAGTTCTTTTGTGTGAGTTGGACTGACTGTTTGCAGTGGAAGAGAGAGAATCGATCGATGTGCTTGCCTCCGATGTTGTTGCATCCTGTTAAAGATACCGTAATGTAGAATATGCACAAAATGGGTTCTGTTTTGTGGAAGTTAGGAATTTTATTGTTCTAAGCGCTACGCATTTTGAACTTTTAGCCGCATTTAACAAAAGATCCTTGATATCCTCCTGTGTTCGTCTGTTGTGTTCCTTCAGGCCCCCTATCTCTTTTGTCTGGCCCCCCAGCCAAACTTGTCCCCATTTGGGCCTTGAACCCGCCGGCGACGATCACTTACCAAATTTCCTCTTTCTCTATTCACAAGGGAGAGATAATCCTTATTTTCTCTCTCTAAATAAGATCATCATAATGAGTTTCCAGAAGTTGATAAAACTGATATTGTTAGGTCTTGCGGCCACGGAAAGCTCCGTCGTGTCTCTGTTCACTTATGATGCCCAGCCAACGCAATCCCTGGTGGCCTCTGACCCTTTCACCTTGTTGATGAAACTAATTAAAAACAGAGCCATTATTAATAAGGAAGTGACGAATTTTTGAAAGTTTCTTCATCCAATGGGCGAAGAATCAGGCTTACTTCATCCCCGTGGGATAAACCAGCTTTCCCTCTGCTTTGCGGTTAAGCACTGCCGACGTCCGATCCTTCTCCTTAACCACCGCCCTTAACCAGGTAATCTCACTCATTCATACAAAGGCCGGACCCAACAAGATAACACTCCCCACAGCGCCTCTTAAAAGGCAAACAAATCATCTGCCCGAGCCCAACAAGCAACTTGTTGATGTCATCCCACTTCTCATGCTGCAGTCAATCCCAAAGCAGCTCTTCGCGCCGTGGTTCTTTCCCGGGAATAATAGGTCCTCTGCGCAAAATGTATCTGTCTTTTAGGGTTGCGGATCTGACCCCAATTTCCCCGCATGTCTAGTAGGTGGTATTACTAGATGACTCATCCCTCGGCTCACATCCGAGCACCACGGTATATAAACTTTTGCTTTTTCTCTGCGATCAATGTGCAATATAAAGTGCCAATGGGGCTTGATTTTGGCACTTGAACACGCATCAACGCTCTTGTTGCACCGAGTATATACAATGGCATCAACCACATACCGGGGTGTGGGATGGATAGGTATGTCAAACACAACAATCTGGATATGCTCATTGTTGATAATCCTGTCAGGTCTGGGGAGCATGGGATGTGCGATGGCCACAAATGTTCAGAAGCTCTTGCTGCGAGAAGGGAGACCGGTTTTGAAGTTTTGGAATAGAACGGCATCTCGTGGTGCACCACTCGTATCACTTGGGGCCAGTGGATGCGACTCGATCGAGAGACTTGTCACTGAATGTGATATTATATTCATATCTGTAAGTATCAAACAGTGGATTAAAGCCTCAAAGAGGATTTGGACCGCACTTTCCATATTTCGATTGACCTTTTATCGCTGACAGTAACACGAGACGAGCGATGACACTGCCTTGATTTCCATTGTTGATCAAATTTTGGATGTGCAAAAGCTAGATGGAAAGGTGTTTGTAGACACCACCACTGTTCACCCCAATACCACAAAAGAAACGAGCGATAGATTGAAAAGTCGAAGCGCTGCTTTCATTGCTGGTGAGTGAGCGGGAGCGCGAGCCATGTCATTCAAACATTTCTCACATGCAACTTTAGCACCAGTGTTTGGAGCCACACCGGCTGCAGAGAGTGGCTCGGTATTGATGGCGATGGCTGGGCCAGGTAAAGCCGTGGAGATAGTTGCGCCGTTTGGGAAAGGTGTCATCGCCCGTGATGTGATGGTTGTGTCGGACCAGCCAGAACAGGCCAGTCTTCTCAAGACTCTAGGGTAATATCGAGCCTAGTTCATTGAAGGACAGACATGCTAATATAAAGCAGTAACTTTATCGTCGCCGGCACAATGGAAATTATAGGAGAGGCCCAAGTCTTAGCAGAAAAGAGCAAACTCGGCACCGGTACTCTTGAAAAATTGCTCGAGTTAAATTTCCCAGGCTTGGCACATTCTGACTCTACACGCATGACGCAGGGCGTGTACCTGCCAGAAGAAGGTAGGATCACACCAGGAGCAAACCAAAATGATAATTTCTTGCTCATATTATCTTCTAGGCACGTCCCCTTGGTCCAATTTGAACCTAGGAATCAAAGATGTTCAACACGGCATCAGTTGTGCAAAAGATGCCGGAACGAGGCTGAGGGTTGCTGAGGTGGCCTTGGAGAACATGATGCGAGCGAAGGACTTTTCCGACGCTCATGGTGGACGTCCGCTGGATTCATCCTCTGGATATGGTATAATACGCCAAGATGCTGGACTTGACTTTGAGAGTGATTTTGTGAAGGAAAGAGATGCCAAAAAGCAGCATGGCGACTCGAAATAATTTTGCAATGCGAACAGCCATTGTATCCCAATGCTTGTGAGAAGTTCCAAGGTTGAAGACACCAAAGCGATTTCCTAATGTGCTATTCTATACGTCCATGGGTAGTTTCCTAGCATCTACCTTTTTTCACAGTGCGTGGAAGGTAAAGCATTTTTCAATAGTTCTGCCAAACCACGAAAATACAAAAATGTAGGACTATATTCAAATCGGGCTATCACCGCCGGATTCAGCGACCCCTCCCCCCGCGTCAATTTGTAGCTATAACTAGGATCAAAACTAGCGGATCGATTGACAGCCACAGAAATCCAAGCCAAGATTCCATCTTGGATATCATCACCCAGCTTAACATAGTTGATAACTGGATCAGAAGTCGTAGCAACAACTTCTTCCAGAAACAAATCATCGTCCACGTTGCGCGTGATCGGCGTGAGATTCGTAGTGTACGGATATGTCGCCTCGACTTCATCGATCAAATCCTGGTCCCAGAACAATTGCCCAATATGGGCAACAGTACCGCCAACGACGGTGTTGTTGGGGAGTCGAGTCACATCTCCGATATGGGTGACGACGTGGAGATGTGTCGTGCGGTGATTATAGTGACCCGGAAACACAGTTCGGAATTTGGCGACGCCATCATCATCAGTCTCTTGCAAACCACGTAGGAAAGTAGCATTGAGATTAGATGTATCGCTCTCATCGCCATTGCCGTGCTGGGAAACGCCTGAGTAGACGCCTGTTGAGTTGCAGGTCCAAATATCCCACCAGGCACCTCTTAGTGGCTCACAAGTCTCGACGTCAATCAGTTGTGCGTCGAGAATCATGGGAATACCTAATTGTCCGTCCGTAATATCTGAGCGAATATGTTCGCCTCTAACATAAAACGGCCCGACCTTTCCTTCGGGATTAAGCACACATGTACGATTGGCGGCAAATAACACGGATTCCGGGGTGTTCAGAGTGATGCTCGTGTCGGTTACCAGATGTGATTTGCGAAGAGGATCTGGAAGATCGACATCATCATGTGGGGTGCTGATCTTTGAATCGGGATATGGACCTGGGCGAGTTGGGTCAAATAATGTCTGTTGGAACTGGCGCCGGTGTCCGTCGACGATATTCTGGCGGCGAGCGGCTGCACGCTTGTTCACGCCACTTTTTTCGAGCTTTAAATTGCAGTCGCCGTATCTTTCCAAAAGCCGAGAATGATATTCTCGCCTTTGCAGTCTTGTGGGTTCATCGCGTTTCTCATGTTCAGCGGGGTGGGCAGTACTCAAGACTGCGAGGCCGATGATCGGAAGGATAAGAGATTTTAGCAGCATATTTGTTTAACTTCGTTTCAAAATTTAATCAAAGATTGTCTCGAAATATCAAGACACAAGATATACCCCTCGTCATGAAACCTTCCAGTTTCGCATTATTGGCCGAGAAGCGGATGATATTTACTTCGGTGTAGGTCTCCATACTGGGACTAGCGCATTTCGGACATCCGGCATCCATTTCCCGGCTTTGGCTTCCTCATTGGATTTCCTCTTCATTCTTCTTGATTAGGTCGGACCACAGTGACGAGCAGCAGCCCACGGAATAATCATGTTTCTGTAGCAATTCCGCGCGGCATATGTCGAGGCCTTATGCATGCCCCATTTTTATTCGGCAACCGTTGGTCTCTCTCGCACTGTGAAAATCTACAGATACGTGCCAAGAGCTATACTCTCAGGGGCAGTTCCAACTACAGACAAACATTGTCCGATATGAGCTCCACGCGGAGCTTGGTCTATAGTCCGCGTCATTATTGATGTTCAGTGACTATTTCCAGTCCCAAAATTGTGCCATGGGTGATCCATGGACTACATAAAGTCCTGCTGATCACCTCTCAATTTGTTTATACCTCTCAAAGGTCAATCAAGAACATCTTCAAGCCCTAATGTTGAAGTTACTTCAAGTTCTTCTTGCTGCTCCAGCACTCGCCGCGGCGGCCAATTTCCCGGTCATTAAAAGCAATTACGGACCTGTCAATCGCCTTTCCGAGATGGCGTAACCGTGTACAAGGGTATTCCTTATGCAGCACCACCTACAGGCTCGAGACGCTGGACTCCTCCTAAAAAGCCCGACTCTTGGACTGAAACACTCAATGCCACCGCGTTCGGTCCCCAGTGTGCCCAGCCATACTCTGATGCTGGTATCTTCTCTTCTGGCAAGAATTCAACCAGCGAGGACTGCTTGACCTTGAACATCTGGACTCCGACCTACGACACCACCGATGCCACCGAGATTAAGAACAAGAATCTTCCCGTTTACGTTTGGATTTTCGGTGGCCGTTTTGAAGGTGGCTCTGGAGACGTTATCACCTATGATGGAACCGGTCTTGCCTCTAAGGATATCATTGTTGTTACTATGAACTACCGTCTCGGTGCCTTTGGTTTCCTTGCTCACCCTGACCTGTCCATTGAGTCTGGGCACAACAGCTCTGGAAACTACGGTATTCTGGACCAGCAATTTGCTCTTCGCTGGGTCCAAGACAACATTGCCCACTTCGGTGGAAATGCTAGCCAGGTCACTGTTGGTGGTCAGTCTGCCGGATCTGCCAGTGCATTGGACATGATGTGGAGTCCTCTCAGCAGCGGTTTGATTCACGGTGTTATTGCTGAAAGTGGTGCTCGTGGACCTCACGATCCTGCCACTGGCAGTGTGGCTACTAGCTACAACACTAAGGGTGTTGCTGAGGACTTCGGTGTCACCTTCCTGAAGACCATGAACGTCTCCTCGATTGCTGAGCTTCGAGAGCTCCCCATGGCCGACCTTATCGGCGAGGGCCAGCTTGTTGAAGACGATTATTTTGACGGCACTGCCTTCTCTGACCTCTGGTCTGGACCTCCCCCGCTGGCGTCCCGTGATCGACGGTTATGTGTTCCGTCACGGATATGGAGAGTCTCTTAACCTGGGTGCCCACGCCGATGTGCCCATCATGACCGGTAACAACAAGAATGAGAACGATGGAGGCGCTTCAACTGTCTCCGACTACAAGACCCTATGGACCAAGGTTTTCGGTAACTACTCTTCGGAGTTCTTCTCTCTCTACCCCGCCAAGACGGACACCCAGGCAAGTGATAACAGCAACGCTGTGCTTCTTGATATGGCCCGCGTTGGAACCTGGGAGTGGGCTGCTGAATGGGCTGCTGGTGGCGCGAAGAGTGATGTCTTTGTGTACTACTTCACAAAGGCTCCTGCTGAGGATGAAGAGGGCGGTGCCTACCACGGTGCTGAGATCTGGTATGCCTTTAATAACATTCCTTACTCGGACTACTCCAATGTTACTTGGAATGTTACCGATTACAAGATTGAATCTGTGATGTCTGAGTATTGGGCCAACTTCATCCGCACCGGCAACCCCAATGGTGATGGTTTGGTTCACTTCCCTGCGTCCTCCAGCAACTACTCCGCTATGCACCTGGGTAAATCTTTCGGTGCGGTGCCAATCGCTGCGTCCAAGAAGCGCATTGGCTTCCTTCGTCGCTGGATGTCTACTTTGCACCAGTACTGAGCTAGAAAAGCTTCGACTTTGTGATTTTGATGGCTGTGACATATAGAACCATCTTTAACATACAACTATTTTGTAACTAATCGATTCAACATAAACTTTGTTGTTCTTTGATGTCTCACTTACGATAGAAAAAAGGTCAATACTATTATGGCGTGTTTTCATCCGCCATGCTCGTCATCCAGAAAGTTTTATTCCGAGTGTGCATTGCGGCTGATTTACCGAAGATGGAAGAGAGGTCCGATTAAGCTCGGATATAAGCTTCGGGGTACTCTTCGGGGTATCCGAGGTGTCGTTTCCTCCCCGAGGACTAGAATCAGAAAACTGAATGAAAATAATTACCAGAGTGACAGTCGGCGTCTTTTCAGTTCTTATGTCATATCTCTTCGTTCAATCACAACTTGAGCGACCGGTCCAAGCGAAAATGTCATTCCGTTTACATCTTGTCCGGCACGCAGAAGGCACCCATAACCCAGGCCACGATACAACCATACACGACCCGCCATTGACAGCAAGGGGCATTGAGCAATCTCAAGATTTATGTCGGGACTTCCCACATAAGGACAGTGTTGGCCTGGTATTAGCATCTCCACTTCGACGCACTCTTCAAACAGCCCGTCTAGGGTTTCGGCATTCCATCGATGAAAAATATTACGCTCAGGGCTCCGGTGCAGGGATACCAAATGGCGCCAAGCTTGTGCTCGAGCCTGATATTCAGGCACACTCCGCTCGACCATGTGACTCCGGCTCTGATATTTCAGTTTTGCGCACCGAATTCTATGATCTTCCCTGGAAAATGATAGACTTGGATCCCATATTCCCCAAAAAGGAGGGTCCTTACGCGGAGGACTCTGAAACTTTGAAGTTACGCGGGGCTCGCATTCAGCGTCGGCTGGAAGAGAAATTTCAGGAGTTGAAGGGCAGTAGTCGGCCAGACATTGTCGTTGTTACACATGGCGGGTTTTTGAGATTCGTCAGTGGCAATGACAAACTTGGAGTTGGACAGGCGAAGTGGAAGACTTTGGTTGTCTCGTTTGATGAAAGTTCTGGAATTGTTATCGAATCATCCGAATAATGGTCAAGTCTCGGACTTGAGTTTAATATTGCAATAGATTCGATAGACTACAGCGTTTTGATAGACACTTTGATTTTTAACCTCTCTCATGTAACTCTGCTCGTCACGTCATCACTATTTGATGGACTATCCATCATTTGCCAGCGCTTGTTTGAGCATTTCTTTGTTTGCCATCTCTGGATGCCTGTATATGGGCATCCCAGGCCATAGATAGACAATCCATTATCTCTATCCATTTCCATTTCTCTGAGTGGATATATATTTAGTCTCCATTATCCATCACTATTTATCCAACAATGCGCATTAACCAAAAATCCAACAAACAAGTCCAAGGCTTACGATTTAAGTCCCAACGCATTTGATAACCCCGAAAAGATCTGCGGCTCCACATTTATATCCGAAGGCTTTGCCTAGAATGTATATTCCAGACAAGTTGCGAAGGTGTGAATTGGTCCCAAACTGTGATCATCATGTATTGACTCTGATGAGGAAGATAGATGGTAGATCGTTGCTCAGTGGTCGCGTACCATCCCCTAGGTAGGATCAAAAGCACGTTTCAATATAGCAACATGAGTGTTCTGCACAATTTTGAACTTATGATTTCTTTCTACTCTTCATTGATTCGTTTTCCTATCTCATTCACTCTTTCAAAGCTGCCATGAAGTTACTTTCCGCCCTGAACCCCGCAGTTATCGACACTCACTGCGGTACAATCAACGGCGGAGTCTCACCCTTTCGTGGAGGCGATAAGGCTTTCGTCTACAAAAAAATTCCCTTTGCCTAGCCTCCCACAGGTGCCAACCGCTGGACTCAAGTCCCTGGCCCATCCAAATGGGGAAAGCTGAATGTCACCGAATTCAGGCCACAATGCGCGCAAACAATTAGCGATGCTGGTATTTTTTTCCAGTGGAAAGACTACTACCAGTGAGGACTGTCTTTACCTCAATGTCTCCACACCGGCCTACAAGAACCAGACCGATATGTCGACCAAGGAGCTGCCAGTGCTGTTCTGGATATACGGTGAGCGATTCACCGGTGGTTCTGGCGATGTCAAGACTTACGATGGCACCAGTCTCGCGCAAAAGGACATTATTGTGGTAACCATCAACTATCGATTAGGTCCGTTCGGATACCTGGTCCATCCTGAATTGTCTGCCGAATCGAGTCAGAATAGCTCTGGAAACTATGGCATTCTTGATTAGCAAGCGGCTCTGCACTGGGTCAACAAGAACATTCAGCTGTTCGGTGGAGATCCTGATCAGATTATTGTGGGTAGCCAATCCGCTGGTTCTGCTATTGCCCTTGATGTGATGTGGAGCCCGTTGGCGAATGGTCTCGTGGAGGGCATCATTGCCAAAAGTTGCGCACGAGGAACACACGGCCCCATGACTAGAACCGTTGCCACTAGCTATCGTATCAAGGCAGCTGCTGAAAAGCAGGGAGTGGAGTTCCCGAAGGAAATGAATGTGAAATCTATCGCCCAGCTGCGCAATGTGTCGATGGAGTCTCTCCTCGAGTATGATTCGCTTTCTGACATAGTTTGGCAAGGAACTCAATTGGCAAGCCTCTCTGTGATATTCATGGAACCCCCTATGTGGCGGCCCAATATCGACGGCCATGTCTTCCCTAACAACTACTCGGGAGCGTTGCGCAACAACTCATGCCGATATCCCCATTCTCACTGGAAACAACAAGGACGAGTCCAGTGCCAGCCCGGATCTCAGGTATACCGCATCCAACTACCTCAAGCTGTACAGCAACCTGTTCGGCGACCTTTCTGGTGAGTTCTTTTTCTTGTACCCCGGCGCAAACAGCACTCAAGCATCAGAAAGCGCCAAGGAATTCTACCGTGATCTCAGCCGCGTCGGCACCTGGTGCTGGGCCGTCGACTGGGCCGCTGGCGGTGCCAAGAGCAACGTGTATACTTACTATTTCACCCACGCACCTGCCGAAAACCGCGATGAGGGTGCTTACCACGGGTTCGAGCTCTGGTATATCTTCAGCAACATCCCCTACGCTTGATATTCCAACGTCACCTGGAACAGTGAGGACTATGCTATCGAGAACAAGATGACCAACTGCTGGGCGAACTTCATTTGCACTGAATACCCTAATGGAAACGGATGCCGCAGTTCAAGCCTACTGTTAAGAGCCCCAAGAAGACTATGTGGCTAGATGATCCATGGGGGACAGATCCCCTGACCATGGACAGCAAGCGTATTCAGTTCCTGCACCAATAGACCGCCCGCTTGCCGGCTTGGTGATTCCATTGTCCAATTGCCGTCTGCTTTTGAGTCGTCATGTGGCTACAAGTCTTCATTTTCTTTTCTGATAGGTATTATAGAGTATAGATCGATTCGCGACTCATGTAAATAGACGTTGCTGCACAATGGGATGCCTAATTTCGATCATTTACGACCCGAAATTATTATATCACCATTCATGCGAAAGATTTGTCTCACTAAAGATGATTACATCAATTACAGCTTATGTTAACAGGGGGTCAACCATGTTTGTCAAATGTCCAATCACACCGATTGGTCATCTTCTTCACGTTCCGAGCAGAAGGTGCACCATGTCAAAGTGCCTCAGTTTGCCTATTTTTAACTGGCCATTTAGATCATGATTGTACCCCCTTCAAGGTAGTAGTGACCTAAAAACTACCTTTCACAGCCTCGGTGTAATTGACCCAGTTTGAGATGGCACGGCTGGTTATTCAATACTAGTCCCATCCAGACGTGACACTCGTACCTCAATCACACTATGCAGGCTGAGTCTTGTTGGCGTGTAGATTTGAGCTCTATACACGTTCGCAAAATCAGCTGCTCATTTCCTACCTTGGGATCTCAGCAACCTTCATTTCGACGTTGGGCCTGCTCCATCTCTGAGAGCCAGCAGAATATGGCGTGTGGCCTGGATGTCGGTAAATATACGCCATAAACATTCATCTTTGGAACGATATATGTTATATAGGCTTAAGCCATGATTCGGGAATGCTGTACCGAAGTGGACCAGCTTGGGGCCCGGGGGTTGGAAACAGAATATGAGGCTTAAAGTGAAACGGATACGTATCAAGACTACAAATACTGCCTTCCATCCTCTATTTGCAGTGCATTTTGCTTGCAACGCGTTTACTCTCTTTCTTGTACGACGAAATAAAAAATGCGATTTAATATCGCATCTGTCGTGGGTCTGGCTATCGCTCCTGCATTGGCGGGCTGCCCCTATGCTTGGGATGCTGGCATCAACGCTGACGACAATACAAATCCTCACCCACATGTGCCGCGTGATACAGTGCCATCAAAGTCAGTAGCAAGGATCCATTCGCCCACCCCATCAGTCGCAGCCAACAAGAAGGGTATCTTCTTGATGAACCGGATTGCCCCCGGCACCTCAAAACTGTATATCGCCAATGCAGACGGCACAAACGAGCGTGCTCTTTTAAAGAATCCCATTTACGAATATCACGCCGACTTTTCTCCCGACGGAAAATGGATTACCTTCACTGGTGAGCGAAATGGCGACGGAAACTCAGATATCTACCGAGTGCGTCCAGACGGGACCGATCTCCAACCAATTGTTGAATCTCCAGCTATGGAAGACAGTGTTGTGATTTCACCGAACGGAATACTCGCAGCATATGTCTCCACAGCAAACAACCACATAGCTAATATCTGGGTTAAAAACTTGAAGACAGGCGCCGAGTGGAACATCACCGACACTCCAGCTAACCGCCCGAATGGTACCATGATGCCCGGTCACTTCCGCCCTGCCTGGTCGCCTGATGGGGAGTGGCTTGCATTCTCCTCCGAACGTAACACACCCTGGGAAGGTCATGGAAAAGCTACGTACCTTGGTCTCGATGGCTGGGAGCATACCCAAGAGCTCGGCATTTATGTGGCTCGCCCCGATGGATCGGACTTTCGCCGTGTTGCACACCGCGCTGATCATTGTCTGGGATCCCCCAAGTGGTCGCCCGATGGTAAGCGGATTCTGTTCTACGAGATGACCCGTGGCGAGACTTGGGATGCCCACCGACCTGAGTATACCGGAGCTGCAAGCTCGACTATCGTTTCCGTTGAATTTGATGGTAAGAACCGCCGTATTGAGGTTGGTGGTACTGGTGTCAAGATATGGCCCCAGTACGTTACCGACACTACCATTGGATATCTTCTAAAAGGTGGCACGAATTTCGGACTGTACCTCACTAACGGTACTTATTATAATACAACACTCCGCTCTCCTTCTTGGTCTCCGGACGGAAAGTACGTCGTTTATGAGAAGATCGATTGGGAGCTTCGTCCCCTTTACAAAAGGCTCTACAGCTGGGACAGTGAATGGGACTACCGTTTCACCGATGTCTTCCCCCAAATCTCTTCAAAGGGTCGCTTGTCTATGACCGAAAGGCTCGGCAATTCGTCTATTGTGTCTTTCAACAAGGAAGGCAAAGATCTATCCCTCGTTTACGACCCTAATGACACCAACCTTGCCAACAAAGCCATGATTTCGTTAGGTCTTGCCGGAGCATACAACCCTAACTGGTCTGAAGACGGCGACTGGGTCGTCTTTGGAGTCGGCGCCTGGTTCGACCAGCGAGAGAAATATGGAGGCTGGATCGTTCGCTCTACCGCAAATGGCAGCCATTCTGAGGTTATTACTAGCAGTAACCACATTCTGGCTGGAGGAACGAAACTCAACACTGGTTTTCCCAGTTTCTCGCACGACGGCAAGAAAGTCGTCTACCGGGTTTGGGGTCCCGATAGCGCCCAGTACGGCACCAAGACTCAGATTGGTCTCCGAGTTATTGACCTCGAGACCAAGAATGTCACTCAAATCACCAGCGGCTGGGACAACCTTCCTGCCTTTTCGCCCGACGGGGAGCTTATCGTGTTTACCCGCAAAGTTACTTCCACAAACTACGATATCTGCACCGTTCGTCCTGATGGCAGTGACCTTCGTATTCTCACAAGCAGTGATGCCAACGATGCACACGCCGTCTGGCGCCAGGATGGCAAGATTATGTGGTCCACTGGCATGTACGGCTTCCAGTATGAATGCGCCTTGTATGATGATACTTTCCAGCCATACAGCCAAATCATGATTATGGACTCCGACGGCTCGAACAAAAGGCCTCTTACGAACTCCATTTGGGAAGACTCTATGCCCCTTTTCATTCCCAAAAATTGCTTCTAGTATGCTTTACTATTTCTAAAGTTAGAGCTACGTCACAATCTTGACTCAGACCTTCTTCGTCATAGAGTTCAATGATCTTATACCTGCTATATATTGTACATAGACAAATAACTGTTGTCTATACAAAGCGGCCTCAAAATAGATTTTGATAGCGAGTTATCTAGATCGAGAACAAGTTCTGAATTTAGGACATACAGAACATCCCTTGTGAACTCGAACCTGGCATCTCCGAAGCTTCTATACACACCTAGTCCAAAAGTCGGCCAGGCTTTGTCAACTAGGCTTCGATATAGTTGTAATTTGATTTCATGGTGTTTCCATACTGGTTCGGATACGACTCGCAGGCTTTGCAAATCCCAATTTTATGCTCGGCGCCTTCCACAAAAACTGTTGGGGCTGGCATGTCGGCCACAGGGCAGATTGCGGCAATTCCATGTCGAGTCATTGTGCTCAATATGATCAACAACCCACTGGTCGGCCCTTTTAATATACCATATTTTTCAATATGGAGATAAAATGATAACGAACAAACTGGAAGTTTAAGTATGAAGTGAGGAGGCTGACATCGACCTCGAAGGCGACTTTATATCTTCTCCTGGCAAAGATTTAGATCGGCTCTATGACGCACGCTCCAGTGCTATAAAGCTGATCCTCGACTTATCATATAGATTTTAATTGAACCATCCGGGATAGTATACTTTTTAGTTCTCACCAACTCCGTTCTTAGTCAATGCAATGAGCCTTTTAGGTTTTGCAACGGCTGCAAAAGCTGCCAAGTAGATTGTCTCAAACAATTCCCTCGATATGAATATCCCTAGTCGAACATAATGCAGCGTTCACGCAGATCACCGCTCTGAATTGTATCCAAAGCCGTGTGATCTGCCACTAATGGTTTTCGTACATGTTCCTGTCCCCAATTACCCACATAGTAGATTTCACTTCTTTCTCGGTCATCTAAGTGCATTGAACCCATTTCAAATAATTCATGGCACAAACAGTCATGCATGTACATTGTATGTGTTGAGATATAATAATGACGTAGACCTGTACGCTAACCTTTGCATAAAGTTATGGGAACGCTAATCCCGATTGAGAAATTGACCCCGAGGTAAAAGAGGCTGGAGGCGTCAGACCCCAATTGTGATGTTTGAAGAAGATTATTGTTTTGGTGAGGGCTTCGTTAAAATTCTCCAGTTCAATAGAGCACTTGGAATTGCCAATGAGTTCCGGGATCCAGGGCTGGTCTTGTGTTTCATTCGCCCATTTTTGAGTATCATAACATCCAGGCTAGGTTGGTCCCAGGATAAACAAAGCTTTTCACCTAACACAAATCTGTTAGGTAAATCTCTGTACCTTATCAGGCTGTTTACTCTCTTAAACATAACCGATTTCCTCCTAGATATTCGCTATCTATTCGGGGTGCTATTCGTCTAGCGTCTGAGGATATGCTAGATTCAAAGAATATTGAATGTCTGAACACATTCTCACTTTTCGTCTTGTGGCTGGGAAGTGCCATTTTGGAGCTTCAGTTCAATGGATTTGTCGAGGTCAGTTGATCAAGTTTGTCCTAGGTTCCACACAAAGAATCAAACTCAGTCGACAAATACGTTTGAAAAATGCCTAAAGAATTAGGCCAAGGAGTCTGAAATGATTAGAATACAAGATACAAGTTTTTTCTTTTTCAAAATTCATTCTACACATAGCGCTGTTACGACTTGTCTGCTCCTTCTGTCCAAGAAAATTCCATGGCATGAAGCAAAGGTCCGTCAGGCAGCGTGCGACCTATATATTCTTGATAAGTTATGTAATCTGGAAGCAAAGTCTTGGGCTTTTTCATGTGGCTTAGAGTTAGTCATGAAAATAGATAGTCATCGCAAAAGAGCTAATATAAATCAGTTTTCTAAAGTTGTATGCATCCTTGTATTGCCATTTTAGGTCTAGCGCATCAAAGTCTTGGCATTAAATCGTCGATATCACGCACGTGACTTGGTCGATTCACCCGCCTGGAATTTTTGACATCTTCAAGATCCATAAACATCAAAATTTTCCTCCAAAAAGTTCGGATTTTGCCTATCCAGGCACTGGAGAGCGATACACTCACTCCTGATGCTTTTCCCATGTCAAATGTGAATCATTTGCCGTTGGTACCAGCCTCTATGTAACACACGGCACCCTGCCGGTCTCGACCACTCGTACATAATAGGACAGATGACCAAGGTGTCCCCTAGGAATGTCTTCCTTCTCTGAGAATTTAATACCGGGCTCCGACTTTCTTCCTCCAGAATCTGCGCAACTGCCTCAATCATTATTCGGTGGCCCTAGCAGTGATGTCGGCCAGCAGCCCTCTTCTCAGCCAGAACCACCGAGAAGTTCGCTTTTCGCAGGCCCCTTCTCCCAATATGCCATCTTAGACCCTGTTCCAGAGTCTGAGCCTATGGATGAAGCTCCAGATGGACTCGAAGATGAACATGACACGATCATGCGAGAACGGCAATTCACGGCTGACAACGACTCTGATGCCGACAGTTTTCACGGAAGTGAACGCAGAGGCCGACGGCGTTCAAGGCGCAATTTAAGTTCTGGGCCTGTGGAGTATGGCCCGCCTGCAGAATCCAGCCAAGCTAGTATGAATTTAGCGTCTGAGCCGATTCAATACATAATTAACCGAGGTCTTGACCTGCCTCCTGGCACCGAACGACCAAACTTATTCGAAGGGGCCCCAAATTCGTGGAGAAATTACAATGCCGATGATATTGGGACATATGAAGCTATGATCACAGATCGGGGCAGAGATCTGAGCGCTCACCTTTACAACTCTTACGTGCTTCGCAGGCGAATGGAAGCTGCTCTGCAAGAGAATCCATCAATCGATGAGAACACACTACCACTCATGCCTAAGCGGTGGACTGCATGGCCGGATCGTGCTGCGAAAGTTCCACGTCTTGACGAGACTTTGCGCAATTACCTGGATGATCCCGGTACTATGTATATGGCGCCCGACCCACGGCCCAGCGCAAATCTAGAGGAAAGCATCTCGACATTGATGCTAAAGACCGCCAAGGAAAAATATCAAGCTCGGGAGTGGGATTACGAAGAAATCAAAAACGACATGGATGAGAAGGTCAATGATGAGGATTCAATGGAAACCGAAAATCCTGAAGATCCTGAAGATTCCGAAGATCTCGAGACCAAAGAGCACCTTGAACCCGTTGTTTCCGCCGTCATGCGGCCAATAATCCAAGCGGACGACGAAAAGTCATATCAACAAGTACGGCCGCTGGCACGCAGTATCATCTCCCAAGTAGACAAACTGCTGTACGGACTTCATTGTGCCATGAAAGGTCGTATGTATGAAGATGACTGCGATGACGAGGTTACTGAAGACGAAGACGAAGATGAAGAATACCCATGGGACTCATGGGACGAAGACGAATACGGATACGAGGACAGCGATGAGGACGAAGGAGAGGGTGTTCAACTTCCACAAAAAAGAACAAATAGGAGCAGCAGCTTATCACATGGTCGGAAACGCATACGAACTGGCTCTCCCCAAAACGAATCACCACCCCGTCACGTCAGTGCACGCAAAGAAGATGAAGAGGGGGGGGGAGGAGGAGGAGGAAGAAGAAGACGAGCAACCACAAGTAAGGAACCTATTGCAGCAAACGAAGAGACACGGGAGCAGAAGTCTATCCCGCACCATCAACGCACGCGCATCTGCAGAAAAAGATGCGGAAGACGAGCGTCTGTCAAATAAACTCCGAGATGGCGATGAGTCTTGTGATTTCGAGGACAGCGAGGACGACATCAGTTACCTCAGGGCCAAACGGAATCTGCGTGACTGGAGTGAAGTGCTAGGGCTAGCAGGGATGATGGACATATCTGCTACAGCGGTGATGCGCGCCTCCAAGCGTTGTGCCGACCTTTTCGGTGAAGATATGGAATTCCACACAATGACCGAAGGCCGGGTGAAAAAGCGGCGCAACAAGGATGGCGAGTGGAGATATACCTACACGGAAAGCGAAACCGACACCGAAGATGATATGTGTCCACCAAGTCCATCACGAAACTCACGGTCAATATCCCAGCCAGATTCAAAGTCTCGATCTCGATCAAGGACCGCACCGATAACCCCGTCCAAGAAACGCTCCAAGAAATACAAAACTCCCGCCTTGGTTCCTGCGTCTGGATCCTCGTCCCCGGCTCCAGGATCTGCAATGAATACCCTAGAACCACTCGCACCCACGAAGAAGCAGCCGAGCAAATCAAGGCCAGGTCTTGGAAAGGGCGCTCATCGAAAGGTGGATCTTGTTTGTCCCTTGGAGAATTGCCCTCGGCATACGAATGGCTTCTCACGAACATGGAATCTCAATCAACATATGAAGAAGGCTCATCCTTCATATGTTCCTCCTCCGGCTGAAGAATCAAATGAGCGGGGTGCTGTCACGCCTGGCAATGATGGGATTATCGAGGTGGACTAGCATGTGTATATTATATTTTATGTTAAGGTTTTCCCTAATTGTACAAGCAAGGGCTATTTACCCATGTTGGGGTCTACACATAGCGAAATTTACTTCACCCACCAGTGTCTATCAACGTGAGAATGCGAAGCTGCTATACCACTTTCCTAATTGAATTAGTGGCTACTCTGGAATAGTAGTTTGCCATTTGATGGATATAGCAGCATTTGCTTGTTTGTGCATTCGTGTGAATTGCATATCCATGATGTTTGTCACGCTTCCCTAGCTATAGATTGAGAGCTTTGTCCCTCATAAATCCCAGAATGTCATACTTCATCAGCATTCTTCATATCATCTGTTCCGCACATAGTGTGATCACACCACAATTCGACTTCATCTACTACCAAAACATTATAATCTGTATTGGTTAGCCTTTGAGTTCTCAAGGTGCGTAATAGATTGCTTGGGATTTAATGGATCATATCTTCTCCTGTCGAATATATATCTGGGGTCAAGACAACAATCATATGAATAGTCGCATGGAGCGTCCACGAGTCTTAGGTCTACAGTAACATATGATCTGGTTCTTTGCATTGCACCTGTATATGTAAACATCTTGTACTCCACCAAAGATCCACAAATAAGTATAGTCTCTAAAAAGAATCTTCTTGGGGTTATCACCGAGACATACATGTTCGGGAAAACCATTGAGGGGAGCCTGCACAGTGTCTTGCAAGCCATCAGCTGAATAGCCATTAGCATTGGTCAATATCTAGGGCCATTGCTAGCATATATACACTCAAACTAAAAGCATGCATTCAAGCCAAATGAGCTCTTCACATAAACTAACCAGTCTTACCTTCCCAACCCAGCGATCTTAAAAGGCCAGATTCACTTCAAGGAATCACCCTGAATATCTTCTTCCCCACGCGTACCCGAGTCTATACAAGACATGCATTGCTTGCACCGCTTACGCTAACCTAGTTCGACATTTCTGATAAGCCCACCAACATCACTCAAGATTGATGGACAAATCACGCGTTACTTCCAATCAGCATCCAAGACAGCTTGATATATTTCGAAATACACATCTTTCTAGATTTGGGTACACAAAGGAACCTTTCCAACTTTGAGGCGGTTCCTCCTTCTCATCTTTGAGTTCTTCACTTCGCACTTCCTCAATCATTTCGGAACATCTTTCACTTAGACATTGATAACAGATATCTGCTGGTGAGTTCAGGTCAAATTTTCACATTATTTCATATAGTTCTCGTCTCATCGCATTTTCTCCGTCCATCTGCATATATATTGGCAAGCAATCATTGATCATCCTACTTCTTTGACACAAAACCTACTTGTTTTACCACAACAGAACCCCTATTTCGCTACCGAACACTCATCATCTTTATTTCTTACGCTGATCACTGCATCGTGCCCACAAAAAGCCCATTCTATGATCACCTAACTTCTAAACATTGGCTCATACTAATAATTCTCAGATTTCAAGCGGTCATTTTATCAGTCTCCAAGTCTTCAAGTCTACAGTCATGGATTCATTCGGCCGACTTCCCTGGTTTGCCCTAGAGGCAGTCCTCTTGGACTTGCCTGACTTGCCCACATTGCATCAACTATACCAGGCGTCCCCAGCCGTCTTTAACTATCTCAATACTTCACCTGGATTTTTCCCAAGAGTCGTGGAGAGAATTATTGAACACTGGGACCTAGATCGAGGTGTCCATGAGAGGATTCAATTCTACTTTCGAGCACTGGTATACTTATGGTGGACAGAACAAGTATATCACATCTCCCAAGGCAGCCAATTGCAGCAGTTCCTCTCAGCCATCATCTCTGAGGTAGATTCTCTCTATAACTCGAATAGTGACCCTCTACGACATCTACGCACTCCGCTTCCCAGATCAACTCCTCTACGGCCTCTTCGCCGTCTGCTATCTTTCTCAAGCCACACCCGCATGAACGCACATGCGTTCTTCCACGAATGTGTTGCTCGATGCATGAAGGCAGATATCAAAAAGCTCAAAAACCGTTGGAAGCCATGGCCGACGGACGGTACCAGACCCGTTGGGGCTCCGCTAAAAGATCAAACTTTCGTAAATGTCCCTTCTTGGCTGGAAGAGCAGCGCTTGATCCAAATCTTCGTGTCTGTTCGGGTTAAATCGGAATTCCAACGGGCGACAGAAGAAAAGAGAACTTTGATTCACAAATCTATACTCGGCTGGAGAGATGGTGCCTCTCGATTCGCGACTTATGCTGAATATCTGGGGTGGTTGGGGGCGTGGATCGATTGCTCCTTTGCGATGAGAATGATGGGAAGAGAGAAAAAACATCAACAAAAGACGGCAGTCCTCAATTGGTTGAAGAACATCAACTCATTAGATGGACAACAGTGGAAGGCGTATAAGGAGTTTTACACATGTTGTAAGACGCATACACCTTTGACTGGGAACGGAAAGAGCAGGGCAAATGATGTTTATATTGACGATGTTCCGGGATGCTTTTGGGCACAAAGCCTGACAGTAGCGCGTCAGTCTGGAGTGCGCGAGGCGGGCTGGCGTGGAGACTTCTTGAAGTTCGGGGTCAGCTTTTTTGATCAACAAACACTGATGGCGTTTGGATTGATGTACAATTCTGACCGCTATGTGGATATCAAAGATCAAGCTTTTCGTTGGTCTTGTCTCCTGGTCTCATCAGACGAGAAGTCTGCAGACAAGGAGTCTGAACAGCCTACCACGAACAGCGGACTTCGGCGATCCGCACGACAGCGAAACCGAACAAAGTTTGCTATGACACAGTCTCCCTGACTAGGTCTTTGAGGTTGCTCAAACACCTCTGCCCATGACCTACTGTGTCAGAACAGTTCAACAGGCCCGGGCTATCTCAACATGAAAAGTGATTCAAATTGCGGACAGAGAAAAAGGAGAAAAGGAAGGAAGGAAATTGTATCAGCATGGCAGTTATCTGCTAACGTGGAGGAAACGTTTTTTCTTTCTTTTTGGCCTAGAGAGATAAGATTTGCAAAAACAAAAAAAAGTAGGAAAGATGCGGAAGTTTCAAAATGAATGGTGATGCCGACGAATGCCATTGAGCTCGATTTGTAGACATTGGATATAGATGTATTGAAGCATAGCTGCACGATTATGAATAGATAGAGCACGTTGACATAGAATTAGTTCACAAATTGTTACAAACTTGAGACATTTAGTGGGAGGGCATATAGAATTTTTGTCGTAGCACCTACCTAAGTACATATATATATATAGAACGAAAGGAAAGGTAAGGTAATGTGCAGAGTTCCAGGCATGAACTCTCATAATATCAAACTGTTGGGCTCGGGTATTACGAATACACTATCTCGGGGTTGAAGGGCGAATTCCGCTGTTTATTGGTTCAAGATACCGAAAGTTTCCAGGTCCGTGACTTCTATTGGTTGTCTGTTCCGCAATCGGTAATAAGTCAAACATTATTACCAGATCTATGAAATGCTACATTTCCATCAAAAAGAGTTTGTCGAATATTCGACGCCTATTCCTAGTAATATCCAAATACGAGGTGTAAAATAGGCCACTAAAGTTGATTCAAGCTCAGAGAAAAAGAAAAATGTTCATAACTAACAAGTGGCGAGCTCTAGAACCTCCTACAGCTCAAGTTAAGTATGAATGACATCAATGCAGCGATCCCCGCTTCAGCATGGAGCTTCCCTTCTGAGCTCAAGATTAATACTTATTACTCACATAATCACAAAATCACCATCGGAACAAACTCCGTCCTCGGTGCTTCTCGGACTCAGAGAGCAATCACCATTAAGCCCGTGCAAAACGAGACACCGGTCATTCCCCACCGTCTGGAATTGCTGCACCCTTTAAAGGCGTCTCCAACTCACTCCCCGCACTTTTTTGGCTCCGATCCTCTCCGCCCTCTTTTCTTGTATTCCTACCCCCTCTCTCCTCTTTGGAGAGCTTTGATTTATAATGGACCGCATCATTCGCCCTGTCGCCCGTCAATTGCTGAGACCCCGACCGAGATATCCCTTCAGAATTCCCCCAACCGCTCACGCTCAGAGACTCTACACAATGGGACACAGCGCGCCTCAGGTGAGATCTGCAGTTGAATGTGATTTGTTGGAAAATACTGATTCATTCGCCGTAGTTGAAAGACCAGTCGCTCTTCATCCAAAAGTCGTACATTAATGGCGAATGGGTCGATGCGAATTCCGGCGAGACCTTTGAGGTCCACGGTAAATACCGAAACGCTCCATTTCTCACACCCAACACATACTAATACTGTTCGTCCAGACCCGGCCACTGGCAAACTGATCGGAACATGCCCCGAGCTCGATACTGCCGACGTCGAAAAGGCGATCCAGGCCGCCTCAGAGGCTTTCCCCAAATTCCGCACAACCCTTGGCCGCGAGCGCGCGCGCATGCTCCGCCGGTGGTACCAATTGATGATCGATAACGCAGAGGATCTGGCCACGCTGATCACATGGGAGAACGGAAAGCCTCTGGCTGACGCAAAGGGAGAAGTCAACTATGCCGCCAGCTTCTTCGAGTGGTTCAGTGAGGAGGCACCCCGCACATACGGCGACACCATCCCTGCCTCCGTGCCCGGAAACCGGGTCATGACCGTCAAGCAGCCGGTCGGTGTTTGCGGTCTGATTACGCCATGGAACTTCCCCGCCGCTATGATCACCCGCAAGATCGGCCCCGCCCTGGCGGCGGGTTGCACGGTCGTTGCGAAGTCTCCCCAGGAGACACCCTTCACGGCCAACGCGCTGGCTGAGCTTGCGCACCGCGCTGGAATCCCCAAGGGCGTGGTCAACATCGTTACCTCTTCTAAGAACACCCCCGCCGTAGGCGAGCTGATCACCACCCACCCGGAGGTGCGCAAGGTTTCCTTCACCGGCTCGACTAATGTCGGCCGCATTCTCATGAAGCAGTCCGCTTCCACGATCAAGAAGGTCTCGTGGGAGCTGGGCGGCAACGCACCTTTCATTGTCTTCGACGACGTTGAGGACCTCGATGCCGCCGTCTCCGGAGCCATCGCCTCCAAGTTCCGCAGCTCTGGCCAGACCTGCGTATGCGCGAACCGCATCTACGTCCAGAAGGGCATCTACGAGGAGTTCACCAAGCGCTTCGTCCAGAAGGTCAAGGAGTTCAAGCTTGGCGGTGGTTTCGAGGACGGCATCACCCACGGACCTGTTATCCACGAGCGCGCCGCCAACAAGGCCCACGAGCACGTGACGGATGCTATCTCCAAGGGTGCAGTAGTTGCCGTTGGTGGCCAGAAGGCTACTGCGCTCGGCCCGAACTTCTACCACCCCACTGTGCTGACTGGCATGAGCAAGGACATGCTTCTCGCTTCGGAGGAGACCTTCGGCCCTGTCGCTGGTCTTTTCCCCTTCGAGACTGAGAAGGAGGTCGTTGACCTTGCTAACCGTGCCGAGGTCGGTCTTGCGGGTTACTTCTTCAGTGGTAATGTCCGTCGCATCTTCCGTGTTGCTGAGGCCCTGGAGGTCGGCATGGTTGGTGTCAACACTGGTTTGATCAGTGATGTTGCCTCGCCGTAAGTTTTTCTTTTCCTTCATATACTGCTATGACTAACTCCTTTTAGCTTCGGTGGTGTCAAGCAGAGTGGCTTCGGTCGTGAGGGCAGCAAGTACGGTATCGATGAGTTCATGACTATTAAGAGTGTGACTTTTGGCGGCATGGGTGAGCCCCTGCAGGAGTAAAAATTGGGTATATATCAATGTTTCGGAAACTTTATTATCTCTAGATGGATACAATGTCCATGCTATTTAAACGAATTTTATAAACGTCAAATCATCACAAATCATCATCACCGGGTTTGTCAAAGCTCTCCTTACAATACAGCCAGCGTAGCCAGTGTCGTTGAGCAAATTTTGCTGGTTGGTTTCCCGCTAGCTTGCTAGCCCCAGGAACCTCAAAGCCTAAGCCACTTGGCTACTCGGGTAATCAGTTGGAAATCACAACACTTTTGCATTTGACATAGGAACATTTACTTCCCAATTGGGAGGGTGGGTCTATGGTTCACGTGATGGGCTTGTCATGCATATTCATTACGCCTGAATTATCGGGTTTCTAATTTCAATCACATGACCTATACCAATATCTTCGCTTCGGCAGAATCCCATACCGCCTTATACATCTCCTTCTCTTACTACGAGAAATAAACCAGCAGCTTTCGTTCTCGCCAGAGAAGAAAAGAATTGGCACACTAACTTTTCAATCTCATAATTCCACACAAAAAGACATGCCATAGCCAACATGCGCCCTTCACCACATTTCCTCGCTGCCGTTGCCCGCAGCAGACCTTCAAAACTGAAGAAGCCATCCATCAGTCTAGACCATGTACGTGCAGCGCCACAACACACTCAATTGAGCATTCTTGCTAACGAAATAATCAGTTCATCCAAAGACAGCGGGTCCTGTCATTTTGGCGAGAAATCACCAGAGCACTAATAAGTACATACGCTTCTAATCTCAGCGTCCGCGTGAAATCAAATCACCAGTGCTAACTGCTACCAGAGATCCCGCCCTCGTCAACAAGGACGGAGCTGCATCACTATGCGCGCACGGAGTTCGAGCGCCATCGCGAACTGACGGATTTGGTAGGTTGTTGACTTTCATTTTGTGTGACTTGCCGTGGCATGTGGCTGACTTTTTTTTCTGGTAGCAACATATACGATATCTTCTTTCGGTAAGGCATTGAGTTTGATATTTGTTTCGGTCGATTGGTGCTAATGTTTACATAGACGGGCAAGTCAGAATTCGAGATGATGAGGCGCTATATTGATGAACAGGTTGCTGGTTGACTTGTTGGCACTCATGACTGCTCTTTTGTACATACTGGCAGAATAATAAATGACAAGTGATGGCGCAAGAAATAGCGAGTCCAAAACTCCATTTCATATATATTATTTGTTTGCCTGCAATAATCACTACAAGTAACTTATGCCTAGCTCCAATATATTCTCCATGACGCCCTGTTGATTCGCCAAGAGAGCCCACACTCTCGGTAGTCACGCGCTGAAGCCAATGCCAAGCAGTGCCATCCTTCAAATCGATAGCATGATATATATTACGGCGTTCCAACACTCGCTGTTTTGACAAAGCGCCGAGATATGATCGTCACGGACGTGCGAACTGCTTTAGTGAAACGAGCTAATGCTGCAGGTCCTAATTTTGAGATTGTGGACTAGATGTGTCTATTTTTCTGCGCGCTTATGATCCTATGTACCAGCAGCGTGGATTTGCAGTGTCGCACAGGGTCTTGGGGCGGTTGGGGTGAAGATGGGAGTGATAGGCTACGGCTTTACGGTGTTACGTGCCGGAGTGGATCTCATGGCGTAGGTCTACGAGTTTCGCCGAGGTGTGCTATCTTGTGCGGAGCATAGGAGAGTTAGTTTAGTGTCGATACAATGCGTTAGAACCTGATTTTGGTTATCATACTTTAGCCTCGGTTTTGGAAGACCGAGTTTTTACCGGTCGCAAAAGACTTGAAATGCGCAACATTGAATTAGAAGGCCTGTGAACCACTCGTGCTTGGTTTCGGTGCTGCAGTTTTCTTATGTACAAACAAATATTTCGCACATTCTCTGAGCTTGCTTAATTGACCCTGGATTATGCAAAATTCCTAACGGAAGGAGTTGAGTCTAGCGTCATTAGCTAGTTATCGCCGCGCTAATTTCTCGAACGGTGGGTAACTAAGGAGCGGCTTGTCCATCATCACCCGAGTATCGTATACCCCGCATCAAGGGACACACTTGGAATTCGGTCAAGTACTCCGTATATCTGAAAGTTGTGTAAATTGAGCATGAGTCTGACCACATATGTGCTATCAACTCTGATTCACGGAGTTCCCCGTCTTCAACAGAACCTTCGACCAGAGTGTAGAATCTCATACTGTATCAGTTATCAAGAACCCATCTGAGCGTTTGTTTACTAGCAATCAACTTTGGAAGAATCTTGGAAGAACCTTGGAAAGTATGATGTCAGTGATTAATAAGGAACAACTTTATGCCCAGGTGGACTTTCAAGTATTGTTGTAGGAAGGATTCTAGATCCCAATTAATGGACTGGCCTTGACTTATAATCTTGGACCATCCGGATTTGCCACCAGTTTTCTCCACACACTCTAATCGTATTCCTAATTATTCTAAAGCAATTTCCCTGTTCTGGGTCTGTTCATGCTCCACAGGCAGCTTGCACAGCGTGTTGTGGGACCTGAAGCTTCCTCGTCTGAATATGATGATTGGCCGGAAACGGATGTCGAACAGGTTGCAGCAGTGAAGCTTGCTATTATCCTGGCCGATCCTGGTTATCATCCTCTAGGGTCTTGACACCTGGGCACCACCTTGGAATACGTCATAGATTATGGTCTAGACTCGTTTCTATATATTTGTGAGAGTCTGCGTGAATATTTCAACCGTTTAATTCAATTCTTCTAAAAGATTTAGCAGAATCACTCCCGTGATTTGATTGATTTGATAATTTGATTTATATTTCTCTATTCATACTTCAACCCAATATCTTGCTTCCTAGCCAGGTATTATCTATTATTATTATATTATTATTCCCTGCAAGCCAGGTAGCGTGATCATGAAAGCCGTCTCACCACACACCGCCGCCGTCAGCCCCGAGCGGGCCAAGCACCTGGAGCGCAACCGTATCGCCGCCAACAAATGCCGCGAAAGAAAGAAGCGCGAACACAAACAGATCGAGCGCCGACTCAGCGACGAAACCGAGAAAAAAGAAATGCTCCTAGCACAGCTCAACTGTCTACGAGAAGAAGTCTGGGACCTAAAAAATATTATTTTTCAACACGCCGAGTGCGATGACCATCAAATCAACAACCAACTCAGAAGAATGACCCAGACCGCCATGGGCACCCAATCTGTCCCCCAAAAGGCCCATTCCGATATGGCCGCGCCCGATATGGCCGCGCCCGATATGACCGTTCCCGATATGAGCTTGTCGCCGACAACCTCGACTAAGACCTGGTCGGATGAATCGGTCGATGAAAGTACGAATATGACTATGAATATGATCGATCCGGGCGCATATCCTCAGGGTGATTGGACGGGTTTACCTAAAGTCGCCAATGACATGGTTTACGATCCGAATGGATCAACCGACTCACTGTTCGAGAACTTTATTGATGCAGACAACCTGTACACGTAGGGGGCGGAGGCTTGAGAAAAATTGGGGGCGTTTTTGAGTTATTTAGCGGTGATTCAACTAACTATTTTGTGTATATAATAATTATTCGGGCATACCAAGAGCTCGCAAGTGTACGCCTTTGATAAAAGGCACGATTTCCACGAATCAAAACGAGATTTATCGGATACTCTGTTGTACTACCCACATGGCCCTATTGCATGGTTTTCGCTTTCGCTTTCTTATAGCTTCCAAAGGTTGAAGAACTTTGAAGAACTTGAAAAACGAATGAGAATGCCGGAATTTGACGGGTGAATTTCCCATGACGAAGGGGCGTTGCCAGAATGCCCAAACCTGAAGAATGGGCAGATTTCGATCGGGGTCGCACGGGGCAAAGACTGGAGGATCACCTGTCGTACAATGCATGAGACTGCTGTCTACCACACAATTAAACGATGTCGATCAAAGCACGGGCTTGCAATTGGAAGAATACTACAGTATGCATAATAATGGCGTGGCATTGTGTGGAACGTACAAGATTCAATTGGGCCAAGCCCTGAGCCCTGTGAGCTTCGATCTGGAGACCGTACGCCTTTTGACGTCATCGGTCCACGAGGAACTATGACCTACCCCAACTTGTCCTTTGTTCTTATACTTCACCTTGGTATATCATTCTCACATATTACTTGATGACTTGATTACTTGTTCTATTTTCTTTGAACATCATCTCCCTCTATGTTTTATCTATAACTGATCCCTGTATATAGCACGCTTGTTATTTACTTGTCTCCGATGATGCCCGCGGCCCTACCTACGCCTCCCGACGGGGAAGAGCTGGCGAAATTCTCGCAAAAATCAGTAATGGGAACAGTATTTGAGACTACACAACGGTTAGATTCGGTAATTTGCAATCACCTGTCTGGTATGCTAAGATTATCTCAGTTATACCGAGTGGAAACCATTAGGTCTGGGAGTGTCTGGGCTTGTCTGGTATGATTCGCTGTTTTAGAGGATAAAGCCCTGAAACTAATATACAGTAAAACAGTTCCGCAAGAGACCGGATCGGTCATCGCACGGTTGCTGTAAAAAAGCTCGCCGAACCCTTCCATACAGAGGCTGTCGCCAGGCATATGTTTCGAGAAATCAAATTGCTGAGACAATTGCGTCATGAAAATGTGAGTCAATTGATGCTTTGAGGGGTCAGATCAATAGCTAACCCATCGTCAGATTATCAACCTTACCGACATATTTATCTCTCCATCCGAAGACATGTACGAAGACCGCACCTTGACAAGGACCCATAAACTAACAACCTCAGCTACCTGGTCACCGAACTGATGGCCACCGATCTAAACACAATCCTTAAAGCGAAAAAGGTCGAGGACCAATTCGCCCAATACTTCATGTACCAAATAATGGTGTGCGCTATCCCGAACTACAAAAAACATCAGCTAAACCACATTTCTAGCGCGGCCTGAAATATCTCCACTCAGCGGGTGTTGTCCACCGAGATCTAAAACCAAGCAACATCCTAGTGAACGAGAATTGCGACCTTAAGATATGCGACTTTGGCCTCGCCCGAATACAAGAGCTGCACATGACCGGTTACGTCTCAACGAGATTCTACCGCGCCCCGGAAATCATGCTCACCTGGCGCAATTATAACGAGAAAGTAGATATCTGGAGCGCGGGCTGCATCTTCGCGGAATTGTTACTCGGCGAACCTCTATTCCCGGGGAAGAACCACATCAACCAGTTTTGCGTCATCACCGATCTTCTTGGTAGCCCGCCGCCTGAAGTGATTGCAAATATTACAAGCGAGAACGTCAGTACCTAAAACCATGAAATCAATCTCTCGGGGTTTAGCGTGATTCAATACTAATTGGTATCTTACACCCAGACGCTAAATTTCATCCGATCACTACCAAAACGAGACCGGAAGCCCTTGTCACAGCTCCTCCCGAAAGCAAACGAGGACGGTACGCCTATAACAACCATTTCTTATCAACTATCAAACCAAAGTCTAACCCAAGCAGCGCTGAACTTAATCGACCAAATGCTCCAATTCGACCCCAACATCCGAATCACTGCGACAACCGCGCTCGAATCACCATATCTCGCACCATACCACGACCCGAACGACGAACCCATCGCAACGGAACCCTTCGACTGGGCGTTCCTTGAAGCGAACCTCCCGGCTGATATTTGGAAAACGATCATGTACGGCGAGGTTCTCGGGTTCCACGAACAAATGAATCAAAGTGGCCAGACTGGGCCGATGAAAACGATATATCAAGTCGATGGGATGGATCTGGGATGACTGATGTGATGATTGATGAATGCGGAATGATAATTATCTATTTTTCGGTTTATGTGTATGTTGTGTTTTCATGGAGCATACGGAACAGACAGCGGATACTATTTAATTGCAGTAGATTGAAATATATATTACATTTTCTATTTTGATTCTGCATTGGATTTAGGTATGCATGGAAAGAAAGAGTGGGTGGTGATTATCATATAAACATTATATTGAGACATAGCCAGATAACTGGTAATATTATACCCTGCATATATACAAGGGTGGTATTGCTCATCGAATCAACCGAGGGGTATCGTTTTCATCCAGGAACTTGGAGCCCTGCATAACTTGAAAAAAAGTCATTCCATAAACACGTAGTCTTCAGATCATTGTCTTAAACAGCCGAATCGGTGGTTGTGGTACCATTGGCAGTGGAATCAGCAGCAGCCATCTCGGGAGCAGGTTCATTGCGGTGGTTCTTTGCGTTGCGGCGCGAGTTGAACAGGTCCATGACGGCGAAGGTGTTGGTAATAGCGAACGTAGCCCTATGCAGATATAGTTAGAGATTTGCATGGCTTTTTCGCACAATTCGTGCTTAGACTCTTGTCTTACCATTGCACGGCACCGACAACGATCAAGGCCTGCAGAGCGTGGCAGCTGGTGTAGGTGCACGCGCTCGGCGAGGGAATGAGAGCAGCAAGGGCAATCCAGCCACTGAGCCAGAGACCGCCGGTGAGCAGCTCCATGAGGGGAATGGCGATTTCATGGGAAAACCGAGGGAAGGCAAGCGGTGCCAGGCCTAGATAGGGGACTGCGATGCCGGTTGTCCAGCAGCCGTTGAAGAGCATGAAGTAGACGACGTTTGAGTAGGACCATTCGTCGTAGAGAGAGGCGATTTCTGGGTCTAGTCAGTATGGTTTTGGTGGTTATGTTGGACCGAGTGACTGACCATATGCAGTCAGGCCGATGGTGGCCAGGGACAGGACTGCCTGCACGATTCGCAGGGGGTACACCCAGGAAAGCATTTTGGATGTGGTAGTTTGCTATTTTGATACGTATAGAATTGGGTATAGGGCCTTGTTGACAGTCTTGTGGAGGGAAATATTGAAAAGGAGATCTGCAGTCATGAGGGATTGCCATGGGCTTATATACTACATGTGAAAGACGGCCCACAAGGCGACTAATTTCTAGCTCGTATTCCACACGTCATGATGCTTCAGCGACTGGAAATAAATTAAGGGAAGATCAACAAAAGTCTTGCCGATTAAAGGGTAGAGTTCAGGGACTGAAAAGTTGGGCGCAGGTGGTGCGGTTCTGTTGTCATTCATAGACCCGGAGCGTTCCCGAATTAGGGTTTGGTAGTTCGTTTCCCCGCGACCATCTGTCTGATCAACAATCTACACTTGACCACCCTCATTTTCTGCTCAAGAGGTCACATCCCATGAGTTTGTATCGCATGAGTTGCACAGTAGTCTTGCCATTGGCATACACTGCACCGTCGTTCCGAACAGGAGAATCAGATGTTGCCGGCGCTAGAATGTCGATCTCACATGATAGCCTCGGCCAAGCAAACTCTTTCAAAGTCGGACTTCTGCTTTCTCGGAATCCTTTCCACCCTTTCCAGGATTTCGCCAAGGACAGGGTTTACCTTCATCGCTAGTGCCGTTATTCATGCTTGTTGTGCGGGTCGAGGCTTTCAACCTCGGTCCATCGTCTTCGAATTCGCCGAACACAACTGGCCTAGCTAGCAATGACATATTCAAGCCATCGTACTTCTGTCCCACATCCCTCACCGTCGAATGTCTACAATAATGTAGATCAGCAAACTCCTTTGAAGGGTCCACGATAGGAGAATTTCGATGCAATGCATATATGTACAAAAAAAATAACAATCTATATCTTACAACACGACCTCAATTCCTTGACACAAGCGCCTTAACAGCATCCAAAACACCAACAGACTTCTCATCCGCCGGCTCAATAGCAGACCGCGCCGCATCGGGCTCATTCCTTGGCGTAGGCTTATTCCCCGCTTCCTTAGCAGCCGCCTCAATAGAAGCATGTCGTTCCCTCCACTCGCGATCCTCCTTATCACGAACCTCCAGTTCCCGCAACCACGCATCGCGCTTCTCTTGCTTCTTCCGCAGCTCCACGGCCTGATCGAATTCCCGGCGCTGTTGCCGCTCCGTCTTGAAGTACATTCCTCCCGCGACGAGCGCGACTAACGTGAAGGCTTGCGCGTAGATACGGGCGCGGAACATCCGGTTCATTTCGACTGAGTCACCGGATTTCATGGATCGGTAGGCGCGGTAGAGGGCGTAGCATGTTGCGGCGCATCCTGGGGTTATTAGTTTAGTTGCGTGTAACGGGAGGGACTGTGGGCGTCGTAGAATCTGATTTTGGTTGTAAGGAGGTGACATACCTAGTGGGACGAGTGGCTCTTCCTTAAGGCGTCTGGTGAATTTCTGTACTCCGGTCTCTTCTGTGAACTGTCTTTAGGCTAAGTGTTAGCGGGGATTATTTGGGGTTTGGGTGTTGGTTCCAGATAGATACACGTGGTGCTTTATGCTGGGCTTGCGGATTAATATGATTTATGACATACTGGTTCTCGTCAAAAGACGAGGGCACTGGTTCGCGGCTCATGGTGATGGTGGTGTTCGGGGACGTGCGGAGTCCAATTCGGTGGGATGCGGAGTTTTCAAATAACAGGGATCTTGAGTCGTGATTTGCCAAGATCGGATAGTGAGTATCTGACTCGGTCTGACCGTTGGTTTATTTGAAGTTTCGAGGTTGGATTAGACTTGAAGCTTGAGCGCACAGGGTTGATCTGGTATGACGCCAAGTTTTCTGCCTTATGTAACTACGCCCCAACACATAAAGCTATCAAATCGTATTTTGTCGGGATTCTATCTAAATAATTTACTTGGTATATTTGGAGCGATTTGTTTAGGTGAAAAAAGCAGTCTTTGATCCTCGAGCATATAGAAAACATGATTTGAGATACAAATAATAAATATGCGCGCCTTGCGCCCCTGTACAACAAACCACCTGTATGTCGTTGCTGACCGCCATCTACTTCATGTCTTTCTCCCACAAACATGGAGGGGTCGAAAACCTGATCTGTCCACCAACCAGAAAATTGATCATTCGTCCTACCTTGATCTTTTTTCCCTCCAATTAATGCAACTTCGTAGTCCTCAAGACCTGGACAAGTCATTGTTTAGGGCTAAAGAGTTGATGACATAAGGCCTCCGATCACCGGTCCCCGCAAAGCAAAAAAGAGTCAGAGTCCCCAGAATCTCCCGTCTCTCAATTTCTTTCTGTTCAGTATCGGGAATTGCCTATTTTCTCTCGAGCAGATAATTCAACAAGCACATAATGTCTGACGACACTGCAACTAATGCTGTCGTAACGCCGGTTTCGCCAGTCACTCCCAAGATGAGTGGGCTCGCTCTGACTGAGTATACCGCTGCTCCGACGCCGCCCTCCGAACGCGAGCATCAAATTCCCGGATTGCCTCCTAACTGGGGTATCCCTGAAGCATTCCTTCTTCCCAATGGCTACCCGGATGTAAGTCCAGCTTGACAATTCAATCTGGGATCTCCAATTCTAACGCATTGCCCCGCGAATCTAGTACCTCCGATTGATTTTGACGTCACGGGTTTACGATGTTATTGAAGAGACCCCTCTTACCCATGCGGTCAACCTGAGCAACCGGCTGGAGAGCCGAGTCATGCTTAAGCGGGAGGATTTGCTCCCGGTTTTCAGCTTCAAGCTCCGTGGCGCATACAACAAGATGGCTCATTTGAACAACGAGCAACGGTGGAAAGGCGTCATTGCTTGCTCTGCAGGAAACCACGCACAGGGCGTGGCCTTCTCTGCCCGCAAGCTGAGAATTCCCGCTACTATCGTTATGCCCTCTGGTACCCCCGCCATTAAACACTTGAATGTCGCCCGTCTGGGAGGAAGCGTCGTTCTCCACGGACAGGATTTCGATTCCGCCAAGGAGGAAGCCCACCGGCTGGAGAAGCAGCACGGCCTGACCAACATCCCGCCATTCGATGACCCCTATGTCATCGCTGGTCAAGGAACCATCGGTATGGAGCTTCTGCGCCAGGCGAACTTGGATAAGCTGGAAGCTGTCTTCTGTGCTGTTGGTGGAGGTGGTCTTATTGCCGGAGTCGGTGTTTACCTCAAGCGCATCGCACCTCAAGTTAAGGTCATTGGTGTGGAGGCCTACGATGCGAACGCCATGGCACAGTCATTGGACACCGGCAACCGGGTATTCCTCAAGGAGGTCGGCCTCTTTGCCGACGGTGCGGCAGTCAAGACTGTTGGCGAGGAAACGTGGCGTCTCAGCCGTGATGTTATCGACGATATCATCCAGGTGTCCACCGACGAGACCTGCGCAGCCATCAAGGATGCCTTCGAGGATACCCGTTCCATTGTTGAGCCTGCCGGTGCTCTCGCTCTCGCCGGTCTGAAAAAGTACATCGCCAAGAACCCCAGCCCGGACCCCAACCGCGAACTCGTCGCCATCACCTCCGGTGCCAACATGGACTTCGACCGTCTGCGATTTGTTGCTGAGCGCGCCGCTCTCGGCGAGAAGAAGGAGGCACTCCTCTCCGTCAAGATCCCCGAGAAGCCCGGCGCATTTGCCAAGCTTGTCGAGGTTGTGCTTCCCCACGCCGTTACCGCCTTTAACTACCGCTACGCCCGCGAAGAGTCCGCCGACGTGCTGATGGGTATCTCCCTATCTGCCTCCACTGGCCGCGAAGACCTGATCAAGATCATGGAGGAGCTCGAGAAGGGCGGTATGAGCTGCCGAGATCTGAGCGACGACGAGCTTGCCAAGCGCCACCTACGATTCCTCGTCGGCGGACGTTGCGAGGTCGCCGATGAGCGCATCTTCATGTTCGAGTTCCCCGAGCGCCCCGGTGCTCTGGCCAAGTTCCTCACCACCCTCCGTCCCAACCAAAACATCTCTCTGTTCCACTACCGTAACTACGGTGGCGATGTCGGCAAGGTCTTGGCTGGTATTCAGTGCCCGTCTCCTGAGAAGGAGGACTTGGAGCACTTCCTGCACGATCTGGGCTATCCATTCAGCGAGCACACCGATTCCCCCACCTACAAGACTTTCCTACGTTCCGAATAAATTTGTTGCGGCCGCATAATTGCCAGACAATTGGAGTGTGGATAACGAGACGATGGATTGTTGATAACCTTTTATTGATTTAAGCGGCTTCAAGGTCTGGGCCTTTTTTGTCTGTTGGCGTTTGGTTCAATGCGATAGAATCTTTGTATCATAGGTCATAGTTTGCTTCAGATAGGTTTCATATTAGTAGCAAAAGTACAAATTTCCAACTTGTGTCTTTTATTACACCTAGAATATCATCATACCTATATCAGGCACATCTCACACTCTTCACTCGTATCCATATCGTACCAAGACACCCTTAGGGGACTCTCCTAATACATACTAACACAATTATGAGCACTCGTTAGGTCATCGAGAGTAAAATTGAATGATTGGACTAATAGACTACTGTTAAGAGGGCCTATAATATATACTAGTCCTGACATAAGACTGGGTATCCCGAGTTGATCCGGTTTACTATACGAAACATAGATTGTGTTTGGAAGGCTGTTGCCTGGCTTAGTGCCTATGTAGTATTTTACCACCCCCAGATCGAAACTATGTTCTCCTAAGTTTCCTTTCAAGCCTCACTTTCCTAGTTACATATTTGTAGACGTTCGCAATCCTCCCCGGCACTATCTCAAATACCCAAGGATCATCACTTTCCACCTTAGAGACAGGCCTTCCGGGTACCGCACAAATTGCAATGAAAGTAGCTCAAACAGGTAGCGTGGGGGAAGCAACGAGGATGACTGCAGTGATTCCGTATACAGCTGGGGTAACAAGAAAGATCTTCGTTCCTCTGTAAAATTCGCGCCCCTCGTTCTCTTAGCTGCAGTGTGTTGTTCACACTGATCTTCGGGGTGCAGTTACAGTTACAGATAGCCAGACCCAGAATTAGATTCAGTCGCTTCACGCGCATCAACAGCAGCCTTAGCGCTAGCCAAGGCACCATCCAGCTCATTGCACAGGTCATCACTAGCGATAGCAACGACCACGTCTTCCATGTCTTTCAAGTAGTAGCCTCCATTCTCGGCATGGAGAAGACCGTTCGGATTGATCTTCAGTAATCGTTTAGGGATTGTCTATCGTGGAGAATCGTGACGTCAGTCGGAGGTGAGGTCTGGTACCGGGTTAGACCTTCAACCATGACGTTCATGAAGCACAGGATGTAGACGAGAGAGGTGAAAATGTATTGCATGTTCTCTGTAGATATCTTAGTCATCTATCTCTCGGCCCCTGGGGCCTTGCATGCTTTCAAGGTTTTATAGCATAGATCTTCTATAAACATACCTTGAAAGAGGCGAAAAAGAACGATTGAAGCAGAAGATCCTATCTATTATCAAGGCTATTAGCTGTAGCAGTCAGTCGATGAACATAGCGAAGTAGAGAAGCCTAGAGAAGATGATTGACCTCTGATATTTCTAGTAGAAATTGGGTGCGTTTGTTAGCACCCAGTGCCAAACCCTATTAGGCCATCACATGAGAGCCAGATCCCTGAAAATTTGAGGGAAATTTACTGTGAGAAACAGAGACAAAGATGGGGAGAGGAGAATGTTCTTATAGTCTTCAAATTCAACTAGCTAGTCTAACTAAAGCCTCAAACTAGAGCCACTAAACGTAATGGAAAGTCTATTCAATTGTACAATAAGTATATCTCGGAGACCAGGTCAAGTGACCCTGGGGAGCATATAGTGGAAACTCTGGTATAACAGTCTGATCGATTGCCATAAGTGGTCTTTTTGGTTAATGCACCATTAAGAATATTCCCTGCTTGGTAATTAAGCCCAGAGTCTTAGTTTCCCTTACAATATCTTCGTAGTATGGTGCTTAGTCACCGCCCTAGGGAAGAGTAGGATTATCGACACGAAAGAACAGGGTGCTATATCATCCTAGTGGTTATGCTTCTAGGTGACAGGCATTGTAAGCTAGATGTTGGATTAAGTGGCATCTCCGGTTAAAAGGAAAGGGGCAATGCGTCGGGCTGAAAGCAAATGTGCAGTAGTCGGTGGGGGCTAGAATAAAAGGAAGGGGGCGGCGATGAGTGTAGGATAGAGAGGTAGGAAGAACGAAAAAGTGAGAGAAGGGAAGATGAGCAGCAAGGACGGGTCTTTGATGTCGGCGGCATTGAAGGTAGGGTTACGAGTAATTCACAGGTCCGCCGTTTACAGAATGTAACTGTCTATGCACAAAATCTGGCGAATTATTGTCTTTCTGCACATAATTGCTACCTACACTCTGGTCTTTGGGTGGAAAATTTTGTAGGGTTCGATCCTAATATCAAATGAATAGTAGATATACAATATCGGCACAAATAAAAATCCTCGATATAAGCTGTTTCCAGACCTTATAGACATGTAGTACAAAGCCTACCAATCAGCGCTGGGAAACTTTTCGGCCGATCGGCAATACAAAACCTCCGGCCAACATTTGCGATCGCAGAGAACCTTTGGAGCCAAAACATCAAAAGGACCCGCATCCCGATACCTCTTGCTTTTGATACGGGAAGGCTTGAGGCAAAGCCTCCAATTGATCGAGTTCCGTGAAAATATCCAAAAACCGAAATCCGCCATGTTCTCCCTCCGCACCGTCTTCGGTGCCTCCTCCGGTGCTCTCCGCCAGTACCTCCCCTCCGTGACCACTCGCGCCGCTTCATTACGGCCTTTTTCGCACATGATCCAGAATGGACTCACAAGGCTCCGTGGCCAAGCACAGACCGGCAGCGCGGTTGCCTTGGCGAATTCCTCCGCTAGACAGGTTGAGCAGGTCCGGGGGATGAAGACCCGGTCTTCTGTCAAGAGACTGTGTGATGGATGCAAGGTATGATTTGGCATGGTTCATATCGTTGCTCGTGTGTTGAACTGGGAATTTGATTTCGTGCTAACTCCATGGTATAGCCTGTCCACCGGAAAGGTCGTGTGTATATCATCTGGTGAGTTGCGGCATTCCCGCCATTGGGCGTTATACTTGGGAGATCTCCATTCTAATCTAATGTTCTCTTCTCTTTTCAGCTCGAAGAACCCTAAGCACAAGCAACGGCAAGGGAAATAGGGTGCTCACCCTCCTGCATTTTTTCCGATAGTGTGTGTTGCCTCGTTCCCCGGCAGCCTTTACTCGAATTCTTCGATGGGTTAAGATACACACCCGAGTTTGCAATTGTCTTCCAAAAGAAAATTGCCTGTTGTATGCGTTGGATATATGCCGTACGGGCTGTCGTATCGGAAACTTGGATCGGCGACACACCTTTTGCATTTTTGTTTCGAATCCAGACAGTGGCTGGATACCACGGCGCTTGTGTCTTTTTTCTTGTATATTAGTGTTGCAATCAGGTTTATTGGGCCTTCATGTTTCAATTCTACTCCATGATCTACAATCTTGACATTCTTGCCCGACATGTATGGATACATGCACTTTATCTGCATACTAGCTTTCTGGGCAAACTGACAAAACGAATTACCAACGACGTGATATTTATATTCACAGGATTCAGGCTTTACTCTCTTCATCACAGACAATTGTAATGTATCGATTCTGATGGGCCGATGGCAGATCACGTGCCCTGTTCCTGGCCCGAACTTTTTTTTCGGAGACAACTAAACATTCAATCCGCGTTGATTGTATCAATTCAGGCGAGAGCGGATCATCATGCGGTCTCCTTCTCTTGCACGGCTCCAAGTCCGTGCGGTAACTGGCTTGACCAGATCAGCCCGTTTCCAGCCCCAGACTCTCCTGCGCCAGCGATGCGCTTCCACGGCCGCGTTCCGGTCCGCCGCTATTGCGCCGGCTTATCAGTCGAAGTTGGGACAATGGGATCAGAGACGCAATGCATCTGCTACGGCTACTGCCATGTAAGTTTCCACCTGGAAATTCTTTTTTCTGTTTCTAATATTGTCATAGTCTCGAGGCTGCTAAGGAGAATCCCGATGGCTTGTCCCAAGCCGCCATTCTCGACAATCTTGACCCGGTCGAGGCCGCTCGTCTGAACAGGTGTCGTAACATTGGTATTGCGGTATGTGTCTTCTCAATTGCCTACAATTGTCTGGTTACCATGTCTAACGAGTTATTTTTCAGGCCCATATTGACAGTGGTAAAACCACCTGTACCGAGCGAGTTCTTTTCTACACTGGTCGTATCAAGGCTATCCACGAGGTCCGCGGGCGTGACAGTGTTGGTGCTAAGATGGACTCCATGGATTTGGAGCGTGAGAAGGGTATCACTATCCAGTCCGCAGCTACCTTCTGTGACTGGGTCAAGAAGGACAAGGAGGGCGTTGAGCACAAGTACCATCTCAACTTGATTGATACCCCCGGTCACATTGATTTCACCATCGAGGTCGAGAGAGCGCTGCGCGTTCTGGACGGTGCTGTCATGATTCTGTGTGCTGTCTCCGGTGTGCAGTCCCAAACGATTACCGTCGATCGCCAAATGCGCCGCTACAACGTTCCCCGTATCTCATTCGTGAACAAGATGGACCGCATGGGTGCCAACCCCTTCAAGGCTGTTGATCAGATTAACACTAAGCTTAAGATCCCTGCCGCTGCTGTTCAGGTTCCCATTGGTTCCGAGGACGAGTTCGAGGGTGTCGTTGATCTGATCCGCATGAAGGCCTTGTACAACGTTGGCGAGAGTGGTGAAGATATCGTAGTTAAGGACGAGATCCCTGAAAAGGTCAAGGCTATCGCCGAGGAGCGCCGAAACATGCTCATTGAGACTCTTGCCGATGTCGACGAGGAGATTGCCGAGATTTTCTTGGATGAGGCCGTCCCCAGTGAGGACCAAATCCGTGCTGCCATCCGCCGTGCTACCATTAGCTTGAAGTTCACTCCTGTCTTCATGGGATCTGCTCTGGCCAACAAGTCCGTCCAACCTATGCTTGACGGTGTTATCGACTTCCTTCCCAATCCTGCCGAGGTTGAGAACCTGGCCCTTGATCAGAAGCGTGACGAGGCATCCGTCAAGCTTGTCCCCTACAATTCTCTTCCCTTCGTCGGTCTGGCTTTCAAGCTCGAAGAGAGCAACTTCGGTCAATTGACCTACATCCGTGTGTACCAGGGTACCCTCCGCAAGGGCTCCAACGTCTTCAACGCTCGCAATAGCAAGAAGGTTAAGGTCCCCCGTATTGTCCGCATGCACTCCAACGAAATGGAGGAAGTCAGCGAAATTGGCGCTGGTGAGATCTGTGCCGTGTTCGGTATTGAGTGTGCTTCCGGTGACACCTTCACCGACGGAACTCTCGGCTACAGCATGTCTTCCATGTTCGTTCCCGAGCCCGTCATCTCGCTCTCCATCAAGCCCAAGCAGAGCAAGGATGGTGCCAATTTCTCCAAGGCCATGGCACGTTTCCAGAGAGAGGACCCCACCTTCCGAGTGACCTACGATAGCGAGAGCGACCAGACCATTATCTCCGGTATGGGTGAACTCCACCTCGACATTTACGTTGAGCGTATGCGCCGTGAATACCGCGTCGACTGCGAGACCGGTCAGCCCCAGGTCGCTTACCGTGAAACTATCGGCGGCCGTGTTGAGTTCGACCACCTGCTCAAGAAGCAGTCCGGTGGACCTGGTGAATACGCCCGTGTTATGGGATACATGGAGCCGACTGGTGCCCTCGAGGACAACAAGTTCGAGCAGGCAGTCGTCGGTGGCAGCATTTCCGAGAAGTTCTTGTACGCTTGCGAGAAGGGATTCAACTTGTCTTGTGACAAGGGTCCTCTGATCGGCCACAAGGTTCTCGGAACCCGCATGGTCATCAACGATGGTGCCACTCACATGACTGATTCCTCTGAAATGTCCTTCAAGAATGCCACCCAACAGGCGTTCCGCAAGGCTTTCGCCGAAAGCCAGCCCTCCGTCCTTGAGCCTCTGATGAAGACTGTTGTGACCGCTCCCACTGAGTTCCAGGGTGATGTTATCGGTCTCCTTAACAAGCGTGGTGCCACCATCAACGACACCGAGACTGGTGTCGACGAATTCACCATCTACGCTGACTGCAGTTTGAACGGCATGTTTGGCTTCAGTACCAACCTGCGCGCTGCTACCCAGGGCAAGGGTGAATACACCATGGAATTCAGCCACTACGAGAAGGCTCCGCCTCACATGCAGTATGTTTTGATCTTCCCCCTTCTATATATTTAACAAAATGCTAATCTGCTTCTTCTCTTACAGAAAGGAACTCATTGCCAAGTACCTCAAGGCCCAGGCTGACCGCCACAAAAAATAAACGACAAAACCTCCAACTATGTAATAACTCACTCCGACCTCTAGCGAAACCAACCAGGCAGTGCCTGGCTTTGGCTCTTTCTGGATCCAAGAAGCAGCATCTTTTGGTTTTGATCCCTTAAATAAGGGCAATCAATTACTGCTTCTTTCATCACAACCCCCCTGTACTATTTACGCATGGCACTATATCACCTTTGTGACTTTTGGGACCTGTATTTCAAGATCAAGATACTACTTTCTACTCTCCTGTCTGAACAAATAGATCTGTTTTATTATATCCATCTTTCTGCATTCTGGTTCTGATTACTGGGCATTGAACGGTTTGTGCATGCCCTTACTGACTCAAAATTCAATGCGGAAAGAAAAACTAGAGATGTTAGTTAGTAACAGCATTGAGAGAACCCGGTCAAAAAGATATCCATGTAGTCAAGAACAATTGCAATGCATAGATCCCAAATTCTCAACGCTTAAGCCATATATCGAGTAACGTCTACAGTTTCTGAAAAGCACTACGCAAGTCCTCGACTCCTCCCTTCCTCTTAAGCGCAGGACGAGGCGCAGGGTTGCTGTAATTCCAGGGACCAGAACCAAAATCGGGATCCGAGGGGGTAGGAGGAAGGGCCTTATCCAAACAAGCAGGGGCAATTGGACGAGGCGCTGACGAAGTCGGGTGAGTCTTCTTCTGTACATTGTCAGCGTTCATCTCCATACCCGGCTTCGTGTCTTGTTTGAATCGAAGTTTCGACTTCTTTTCCGCATTGAAGGTCCGCACACGCACAGTCTGAGAAAGCAAAACCCTGAAACTTTCGACAGGTGGGTGGGGGAGGGGTTTCTCGACCGGAATACGGGGCAAGCTTCGTTTAATTGTGGAAGTTGGGAGAGGTTTGCGACTGGGGTAGATGGGAAGGAGCTTTTTATTTTGTTGCTGGAGAATATTCTCCATGGCATCAATGACTTCATAAGGTCGAGGGAACTCATCCAAACAGTCATTGCTGTGGATGTTGAACCGGCGGAAGGACTGGATGATATGCATATCCTTCTCGCTGACGCCGGAGAACAAAGGAGACACGCTTGCCTCGTCCACCAGCTCGCCATTCTCGCCCAGCTTGTTTGTGATCTCGTCCAGTTCTTCGTCGTTGAGTCCGTCCAAGAACGAGGGCCATCTTAAATCGGCTGCCTCTGCGGCTGGGATGCGAGGTAGCAGCTCGTTCGTTGTTCCGGGATCTGTCCCCGCAGCATCATCGTCTGGATGCACCGCCACCTTGTCCCACAGGGAATTGCCAGCCTCGTCTCGGATTTGGTAGAAAGCCAATACATGCTGGGCGATATAGAGCTGGGTTTGATGCTCCCTCACCATTTTGGTGAGCCGATAATCGAGGTGATAGTCTTGCTCGTACAAAATGTGCACAAGGAACGCACCAATCGCATCGCCTGGGACTTGATCTTCCACCCACGCCCCGAGACATCTTCTCAGGTGGTGGATGGCGTTAAGGTCCCAAGAAATGGCTCGGCGACGGAATTTAACGTCAAGTATTTTCTCGGCGGCTTTGTCATATAGAAAGGTTTGGAAGAGGAAATCCAGGTGCCAGCGGCTGGTTCTGGCGATCATGTAGGAAAGGACGAACTTCGGGGTTTCTGGGCTGAAAGAGTCAGTTGTTGGTTTCCTAACTGGAGACATTGTGGCTGTTTGATGCCTCTGGATAAAGTCAATGGATGATATAAAAGCTGCTGAGTTCTGAAGTATATAGGAAGTGTGGATTGTGAGTAAATGGCAATATCCGATAGTTGGTTAGGTCCAGGCCAGTATTTAAATCTTTGGGTTCTATGCAGTGAAGATTTCTATTGTTGAGCAAATGTATGTATGAATAAAAGAAAAGAAAGAAATGATTGACTTCCAAGTCTTTGAATATATCCATGGCATTGTCCGCTAAAATCTGCCTTAAAGTGTTGCACGCAACAATGGACAGCGAAGGGCTTTGTATAATACCGAATTGTTCATTGTGGAGCTCAGTTCCTTGCAGATGGCATCTATCCTATACTTAAAAACGTTGAAAAAAGGATACGAAAAAGGACCGGTAGTCAGATGACAATAGGTTGATAATTAAGTGTCGCCATATAGCTGATATAGTATGTACAGCAAACCAAACATGGTAAAAGGTAAAAGGTAATTAGAGAAACATGCAACGCTCCATTAAACCATATATGGTAATTGTACAAAAAAAAAGACCAGCAGGCTTGCAGATGCACACTGGAGGGGTATATGCACGCCAGGAAAGGCGATGTAGTTAAAAACGATAATGTGAAATGAGAATTCCAAAGATGAGGGTATACGAAGGAAAGAGAGAAACAAGACAGACCCGAGTGTAACTTAGAGCCACAAGACCCATCGCACACCAGAAAAGAAGCCTCGGAAGACACCACGCACAAGCTTGAAAGCCATGACTATCAGCCACACCCACCAAAGCATAGCGACAAGGGCCCATTCCAAAAACATGAAACCGGTGCGGCGGATCCATCGCAATCGACGGCGTCGCTTACGAACACCTCTATCGAGAGCGTCGCTGAGCTGCTTCACGGCGAGAGTGCTCGTGGTGTTGAGCTGGACACACATATCCTCGGCGTCATTTGCCGTGGCTCGCACACGGGGAGCCAGTGATTCATTGACCATGGTTTCCAAGGTTTTGATTTGAGAACGGAGAGGCGAAGAGGTAGTGGTGGAGAAATGGTGCATGGATTGCTGGAACGAGAATTGGGTGGTTTCAAAGCGTTGAAGGAGGGTTTGAGCTGCGAGGTCGAATTCATTGATGCGCGTCACTCGTGAAATGGATGCGCTGGGCCCCAGGGAACTCTGGAGCCAATGGGGGGCCGGCTCACGAGTTGTGTGGGCTCTGCGAGTGATTTCGCGGGCCTTGATGCCTGACGACAAGAGAAGGGCCCGTGTGCGCTCGATTTCAGGTTTGCCAGGTACCCCGGAGTCAGCCGGAGTGTGGAGACTGCGCCCAGAGATACTCAACAAGCGCGACTTGCGCCCGAGAGTCCTGAACGTCTTCCCTCTGGCGATATCCCTGGCGATGCACGGGCTTTGGCAAGCCCAGTAACTGGAGGGCGGGTTAAACTGAAAGGAACAGAAGCATCCTTGATTTCGTGACGCTTTGCACGCCCTGTTTGCAGGGACGGGTTGAAGTCAAGTGTCTTGCTGCGCGGCAAAGCGGACCTCGAGTCATACTTTCGAGCAGAGGAAAGGCGTTCACGGGGACTGCCGAAGTCGGCCACCTCTGGAGTTTGGCTTCGCCCATCTTGCCGCAGGGGCGATGTAAAATTTGGAAGAGAGAGAAGAAAGTTGCGGGACGAGCTTTTGTCGAATTCTCTACGAGGCAAACGCCCAGGCTCCTCTGCGAATGTTGGCAGGCGCCGTAATGCTCCTTTAGAGCCGGATTTCTTGTCACTTTTGGGCTCTTCATCTGAATCACTGTCGTCTGAAACAAAAGTAGTGGCGGTCGACGACTTCCGAGAGTCGGGATCTGCATCTTTTTTCAAGATGAGGTCTCCGACTTTAGATACTTCATTCCCCACAATTTCTGCAATACGACCAGGTCCCTTGAATATTCCTCGTAATTTCGATTCGGGAGGATGAGGGCCCTTGCGGTACCGATTTCCATCCGTTCGATTTCCTTCTAACATGTCTTGATCATCTTGATAAGAGGAAGACACAACGTCAGGAAGAGGACTTGGTTCAAGCTTGGAAGCCCCTTCAGTGCGGTCAGGGGATGTCGCAATTTGCTGGTGTGGAGATTCAGGTTTCGGGATATCATCTTCGCGTTCTCGATATGCCTGTTTACTTTTGCTCCGCTCGTGGCGCGAGACAATTTTATGACGCAGACCCTTCTTGGTGGGTGACGGGGACCGACTAGAAGGAGGCGACAGATTCACAGCTATGCTTGGGAAGTAACCAGCATAGGCGGGAGAATTGGGTGCAGTGCTATCCATCCCTTCCACGGACATTCGAGGATCATACCGGTCGTCCACGCTGCCGGTTGGGGACACTGAAGACTTTCTGTGTTTGCGACTCTGTTTCGTATTAAGTGACAATGGGTCTGTTGGCTGAGGTGTCCTTCCCCGGTCATGCTCGGTATTGCGGGCAGCAGGAGATTTGGCGCGAGATATACGAGATCCCGAGGCTTGCGCATGTTCAACAAATCTCTGAACATGCTCGCGAAGATTTTCGCGAGATATGCGGGGTTTTTCGTCGGCAGAAGACTCTGAGCTTGAGCTTGAGACGCTGCCAGAACGCAATTTGACCTTATCCCACCGTGAGGGCTTCCTCGTGCTAGAGCCACTACGGCTACGCACGCTGCGAGAATGGCTTTTGAATCTGTGCCCTTGCCTTCCACGGCCCACGCTCTTGAATTCATGCGCCAATGCGGGATGGGCACTGGAGAGGGAAGTGCGCGGTGATGAATTTGCCTCGCCCTGATCTCCCACTTCAGCTGAAAGGCGTTGCTTGTAAGGGGTCGTAAAATCATCATGTGTGTTCATGACGACCAGTGCGGTAGGGTCAGGGTAGAGTTTGTAGCCATCCTTGTCCACCACCTTGGGTTTGTTAGAGCTATCTTCAAGCCATGCAGCATCCGCCAAGAGTTCTGCTGGCGAAATCTTCCAATCAATGCGTGGCCGACGAGCTTTCATGCTGCTTGTGCGGCTGACCCGCCGCAAGCTCGACGGAGGAGAGGTAGTCATCATGTCCATATCTTCATGCTCTCCAATAGATGCATGGCGTTGGCCTTGTTTAAAAGGTGGCAATTTCAAGCAGTCCAGTTGGTCATGTTCTTTTCGGCTGTACTTTTGCTCAACATTATCGATCCACTGATGAACTCTTTCCACGTCGTGCCACCCTTCGGCATCTGCATCAATGGTGCATTTCTCGCGATACCTGACTTTGCGATTGCGAATCATCTGAAGCGGATTGTAGCCGCGGTGAGGTTGCTGGGACTTCGAAGACTCTGGTGAGCCATCCTTGACTGCATCTCGAAGAGGTGGCAGCAAGGGAAGTAGCCGCATGTATTCATGAAATAAATCGAAGTGAATACGTGCTTTTTCCGCTCTAGCCAAAGTACTCTCGGAAAATTCATGGGCTCGGTAGTCTTCAACCGCAGAAGGAGGCAACAAATTCACAACAGATGACTGTTCTAAGCTCGGTAGTGTTCCCTGTGAGATACGGCCACCAGATATTTGAGTGAAATTGCGATAAGGCGAGTCACGTTGGAGATTCCTTGCGCGCGGAGATTGCGCATAGCTGTCTGCCGGGGGGACAACAGCAGGCTGAGAAACAGATATTGGCCTTCGGCCCGGGCCTGCAGGAATGCCCGAAGCTGTTCTCCTGCGAGATTCGTTAAGATTTAACGCAAGATTGACGATCTGCAGTGAGTCCCTATCAAACCCAGGAACCGACTGTTCGTTGTTATCCTGCGCCTCGGGCTGCGAGGAGCCTCCGGCGGGCTGCCAGTTCGAAGGCTGAGAAACCTGACGACTATCCACCGGGCTTGTAAGTTCATCTGCCTTAGACGGTTCGGAATCATTGTGCTTATGTCGGCTCCATGGGAACCGCGAGCGTTTTTTGGGGACCACGATATCCGGCTCCGGGACGCTGCGCTTTTCTTGGGCAGCTTTCGATGGACTAGGGCGGTGCAAGCCAACTCTAGTGCTTTTCGGCCGGGGTAAAGAGTCAAGCAAGAAACCGCCAGAGCTTGGAGTCCTGCGTTGAGCTTGTGTCCTTCGGTCTCCGTCACGGGAGCTGCTGCCCAACGTACTACCCTCCAGCTCTCCGCTCGCTCGGCCATCGTTCATCTGGGGCGTGGTTTGGTGAGATGAGCCTCCATCGGCTCGGATCAGAGGTGAAATATGTCCAGAGGATCGATCCCTTGTTCGTCTATTCGCCGGGGACATTGAGGATTGGGTTGGAGATTCGTTCGGTCGTTGCGACATTGCCGCGGGAAGAGCAACAATGCTAGATGGTCACTCTCAACAAAGGGACAGACATAATTTGACCAGAAACAAGCATGGATGCGATTTGCCAAATCGGCAAGGGTTCTCAAGCTCGCAGAAATAAAGACAAGATTGCATGATCAATCTGCACGACGTAACGTCCCCGATGTAGATCACAATGCGCGTCAGCCAGTATATTAGGTAATCCCTTTATTCGGCATCCATTCGGTATATTTTCATGTGGGGATATTCACTCTCTGAAGACTCAACCATTGAACTTGCTTTTGGGGCAAGTCTAGCAAAAGATAATTTGCGGGATATGTAACAATCAACATGTAGACACAAAGCAGTTTACACCTTCTATAGGCAAGTACACTTAAGAAAGTCTAGAATTTGGTTCTAAAGCACAAGTACAACTAGAGGTACAGTTCCTGTAGAAGACGAGGATATACAGGGTAAAATGAAATCAGTTTCGCTCAAAGTATGCGCTTACTCAACTCGCAAGCACTGGAGACGGGCCTCAGCCTCAATGACCTGTAGAAAAATGAGTTAGTTGAGTTGACACAAATATCCATATCAAAAGGGAACATGTGCGTACCTCGAGAGCCTGCTTGACTTCAAGAACCCTACGGACATCACTCAGCCAATCCTTGCTAAGAATCTTAGCCCAACCCTGGAGAGTGTTCATCTCCCGAGCGGCAGCATCAACATCGCCCTGGTGCAACAAACTCTCGGTGCGAACCAGAACGCTCTCAACATCATCGCCCTCAGACAAAGCATCCTTCTTGAACATGACCTTGCTCAGAACAAGACTGGCAGCGTGGCTGGCCACACCTGCATCCTCGGGGAGAAGGCTAGCCTTGCGGACTTCGCTTGCAACCCGGCGGAAACGTTCGATGATCTGAGTAGTGGAGGGAATACCGCGCTGGTAAGCTGTGGGGTTGATAGAGGCGATAGCAGCCTCAACAACGGAGTCACCAGCAGCGAGCTCCTTCACGGCAACAAGCTCACGGACGAAGGGGCGAGGAGTCTCGGCGCGCTCGACAACGGTGCGAACGGCGTCAAGGGCAACCTGCAGCTGCTGAGTCTTGAGGTTAGTGTCGATAACGTCACTCCATCCGGCAGTCAATTTCTCAAGCTCCTTGATGTCGGTAGTGAGCTCGGTAAGCTTGCTCAGACGGCCCTCACGCTCGCGCTCAACCAGACCTTGAACCTCGTGGATATACTTGCGGTTCAGCTCAATGGCCTGCTCAACAAGCTCGTTCTGAAGACGCTGCTCAGCGAGCTCCTGGGCGTGGCGGAGCTCGGTGTTGACCTTCTGCTGGTATGCGAGGGCGAGCTTCTCGCGCTCGGCCTCGAACTCCTCGCGGAATGAAGCAAGGTCAGTGCTGCGCACTTCCTCGAACTGACGCATCAGCTCCCGTGCGGACTCATCAAAGGTGGCGTGGATCTTGTTGATCTCCTCCTGGGCAGTGTCGCGAGCATCACTGCGGATAGCAGCTATCTTCTCCCCAATCTTCTCTAGCTCAGCCTTGGCCTTGGCAACGGGAGCGGAGTATTTGCTGGAATTTTCATCGGCGCTGATGACAGTGACGATGTCGTTGAAGGTCTTGACCAGTTCCTGGACAACAGAGTCGTCACCATCCTGCAACTGGAGCAATTCAATGGTGCTCGCAGCAACAGCTGGCTGTCTGGGATCCTCCAGGGAGACGGGCTTCTTCTCCTTGGGCTCGGATTTGGTTTCGGTCTTAGTGGACTTGGAAGCCTTGTCCTCCTTCGCCTTGATAACCGCAGTGCTGCGGTCCTCGGGCTTGGCAGTCGCGGGCTTGGTTTGGGCGTCATGAGTGGTGGCATCGTGAGATGCCTTCTTAGCGGCCTCACTGTCAGCCTTTTCCTCGCCAGCAACCTTCCAGGACAGACCGCTCTTGCTAGGGATTGTGACAGGCGCTCCCTCCTCTCTCGGTGCGACAGGAAGACGGTTCTGGTGTCTCAAGGCATTGGGGAAACGACGGTGGAAGTCGCGCTCTTCGAAGTAAAGAACGCATTGCTCGCCGTAGGGAATGTACTCGGTAAAGAAATCGTGGAAGTTATCGGACTTCATAGCCAGGAAGACACTGCCACCGTAGGCAAAGCCGGAGGTGAGGATCAGGTAAAGCAAGAATCGACGGAAAGAACCGGACTTGCGGGGAGCAGCAGCTGGAGACACAGGGGGGAGCTTGGATTCTGCAACATCGTTGTATTAGAATACGGGAGGAAGGCTTCAATGGCGGTTGGTGAAGGGGCTTCGTCATACCTTGTTCAGCGGCCTTCAAGATTGTCTCGGGAGGAACACTGGATTCAGACGAAGGGGAAGCTGGTGTCGGGCCACCAGTAGTAGGAGGTTTAGAATCGGCGAAGAATCGCTGCGCATCATGATTGTCAGTAGAGCATTGATTGAGGACGTGTGCATGGTCTTCCTACCTGGCCTGCGAGCCGGTTGCTTGCACCGGCCTTAGAGAGCCATTGTGAAGGGATCCGTTGGCGAACAGGGTTCGACAGCAATTGCCGACCCGGAGCAATCGAGGAGCGCAGCATGACCGCACAATCGCCAAGAAGGAATGGCTAGAAGTGATCAAAGAGATGGATAGGTAGCAAAACGGGAACTGGATGCTCGGATGCGATCCGCCCCGATAATCCTGCGGGCGGTCAGCGCGCCATTGCCCACCCTCCACACTATGTATACACACCGGAGTACTATGTAAAGTTGACAAAAGTTGCCAGCGGGTCCAGGGTGGTCTATCTAATCCTGTAGTGTGCTCTTTGAATGCTTTTACTGTCAATTCTAGCATTTCAATTAGATAATGGGGATGAATCGCTGGGTTGTTGATCAAAGAATTAACATTCGTGGATGGACAGTGCCTCACATCCACAGAGCATATGATGGAATTATTGATACCAGGCACTTGGTGACCAATTCTAGAGCTGCTTGATGAAACATGTTTCTAATCAAAGTTGCTATACCTAGAGCGGTGCCGGCAATATATAGACGGTCTGCTTAACGGTTTATTTCTAGAACATGAGAATTATTTGCACATCGAAAGCGATACTTGAGTTACCAGATCATTGCACTATTATCTGTACATACAGGAGAGAAAAATGTATTATTTGAGCATGACATACTAAGAGTTCTGGAAGAGACAAGGAAAGGGTAACGGAAATAGCAGGAATTCAGCCCAACAACCGATAGGACGAAAGATAAAAAGACCAGAAGACCAGATGCAGACGCCAGGTAAAAAGTAACAAGGGTTACAGGAAGAACAGCACCGTCAAGCATAGATAAATCCTGCCGCAGCATGTTTAGAGCCAAATTCCACATGCGTCCATGGAATTCAAATCCTTCTGCCAATTGGGAGACTTGATAGGCCTTGGTGGAACAGGCTGAGCAAGGACGAAAGAATCAAAGAAAAATCCGAGAGAGTTAAATTGATCACTAACCGAGAGTCTATCTCTCGGCTCCAGAGCGGTTGGGGAATGGTGCCAGAGTCGATTAAAATGACACTGGCGAAATCATAGATAGTCACAGAGTTATATCGCCATTGAGTGATGCTGGGTTGTATAGCATTCACCTTTCTCAAATGGCGAGTGGAGCGAGGGCGCAACGGCCCGCACGAATTATCACCAGATGATTGCTTAGCAGTTGCATGCACCAGCACCTTGAGTCCCAGGAGCCTCAGGTCGCAGGTCGACACCGGGTCGAGGAGCTGCCCGCGCGTTCCGAGGGCCAGCTGACTCCAGAGGCAGCTTCTTGGCGATGGCGGTGAAAAGTTCCTTCACGTTCGTTGAGGATTTGGCGGATGTTTCGAAGAACAGCAGACCCGCTTCGCGTGCGTAAGCCTCGGCATCAGCCTCTGAGATCGCCCGCTTAGAGGGGTCATCTGTGACAAGATCAAGCTTGTTGCCAGCCAGTGCGATCACAATGTTCTCATTAGCTTGGCGCTGAAGTTCCTTCACCCAAGACTTGGCTTTGTCTAACGAGGACTGTACAGAAGTCACATAATTAGCTTATATGCGCAAATGGCGGTTGAAGAGCCTGTGGCAGGACTGGACCATACAGCTTGGGTGATGTCATAGACGACCACAGCGCAGTTGGCATTCCGATAGTACATCGGAGCCAAGGACTTATACCGTTCCTGGCCAGCGGTATCCCAGATTTCGAACTTGACCGTAGTGGTATCATCAAGGGAGATTGTCTGTGTCAGGAAGGCGGCTCCGATTGTCGACTCGCGGTAATCATCGAATTGGTCCTGAACCGCGCTGTTAGTATTTCGAGCTTCATGTATGTTCGGCTCGCCGCGGGAGATAATCAAGCGATTATCGAGGACCTACTTTGACAAATCTGAGGACTAACGAACTCTGGAAGATAGCGGTCAAGTCAGCGGCCGATAAAGAAGATCGCAAGTGATGTCTCAAACCTTTCCAACGGCGGACTCTCCTATAAGTGCGGCATATTAGCAAACGATGATTCAAGATCGACATAGGAATAAGTCAACGGAAACACCTACCGAGAAGGACGAGCTTGAACTGGGCGAACCTTGCGCCCGGGCGGGCTCCTGCTGCTTGTCTGGAAGCCATAATAAGGAGAGAATGGGGGGTTTCTTGGGAGTCAAAGGGTAGATCGGGGGCACAAAGATGAGACAAGTATTGATATATCAATGTCACACAACCCTAATATTTGAGAGAAGTATTGTCTTTTTATTAAAAAAAAGTGAGAGAAAGATCCAAAGGGTTTCAAGAAATCAAAGTAGTTTAAGGCAGACAAGAATAGATGACGGAAGGCCCAGCCACAAGGGCAGCGGGGCGGTGTGGCTGTATTGACCAGAGTGCGCCTGCCCTGAACTTCCGCGGCTATCATGTGTTTGTGAAGTGCCTTTCTTTTATTATTGGAGTTTTGATGCTTGTTTCTCTTTCATTTTCTTGATTTAATTTCTTGGTCTTGACTCTCACACATGGCTCCTCCTATTCTCCCGTTTAGGGATATCAACTTGCATGCATCACCCTCCCACTATGCGTTTACTTCACCCTCATCTCGCCAGGCACCCACTTTGGTAGTCGACCGTCCGACTGGTGACTTGCGCTTGAATGATGGACCACTTTCAGGTGCCAAGCGGATTTCTAGTATCGCTGGAATCCTGGGAATTCTGAAATTGAAGCTTGGTAAATGTTGTCGCAATGATAGACTCAGGAGGTTGCGCTAACGAGTATAGACAAATACATCATTGTTATCACCAAAGCACAACCCATGGGACGGCTGCGCGGCCACATGGTCTACAAAGTTGCGGGAACCGAGTTCCTTCCCATGCGCGAACGACCACTCCGTGACACTGACGAAGATGCCTACCTCGCATTGGTCAAGGACCAGCTCCGAAGGGGTCCCTTGTACTTCTCCTACTCACTAGATATCACCAACAGCTTCCAGCGCCAATCTCAAACTCCGGCCAATATTCCGATGTGGAAAGGGGCAGACGACCGCTTTTTCTGGAACCGTTTCATTCAATCGGACCTCATCGATTTCAGTGCAGGAGCAAACGATACCAGTGGAATTCGCTATGGTCCCCAGCCAGGGGTTGATCCCTACATCTTGCCAGTGATGTTTGGCATGATGCGCATTACTCCTGCGAAGGTTAAGTCGACATCGTTCACATTCGCGCTTATCACCCGCCGTTCCAGACACAGAGCCGGAACGAGATACTTCTCCCGCGGAATCGACGAACAAGGCCATGTGTCAAACTACAACGAGACTGAACAGATTGTGATCTTGAACGACTCGAAGGGTGGGCTTTCTGGGTTTGGAGGAGGTCAATCGATGACAAGCGGCAAAGCTGGTCAAGACCTTCAGGTCTATTCTTTCGTCCAAACTCGAGGCAGCGTACCCGTGTTTTGGGCCGAAGTCAATGACCTGAAATATACGCCGAAGCTTCAGGTCCGTGGTGTCGAGACTGCGGTCGAAGCAGCGCGCAAGCATTTCTCTGAACAGATCCAAATTTATGGAGAAAACTACATGGTCAACCTCGTGAACCAAAAGGGCAGGGAAGAACGCGTCAAGCGCGCGTACGAGGATCTGGTTCGCAAATTAGTTTCTTCCACATCCGAAAGCACCGAGGCTGATGAAATGACCTCTGAAAAGATGCATGTCCTGGAACCCGGTTCCAAGCAGAAAGAAATGGATAGGTTGCACTATGTATACTTTGATTTCCACAATGAGACCAAGGGTCTCAAGTGGCATCGTGCAGAGTTACTGATGGGCCGTTTGAACGACGGACTTACCCAAGGTGGTTACTTCCGAGGGGTTGAGAACCCTGGCGCGCCTGGTGGCCAGCTGGATACTCGCTCCACACAAACCAGTGTTGTCCGAACGAATTGTATGGATTGTTTGGATCGCACCAACGTGGTGCAAAGTATGCTCGGTCGCTGGGCAATTACACGGCAGCTCATTGATGCAGGTGTTCTCCGCACTGGAGAAAATGCCGTTGATGACGCAGAATTTGCAGACTTATTCCGGAATATTTGGGCAGACAACGCAGATGTGGTCTCCAAGTCTTACTCTGGCACCGGTGCCTTGAAGACAGATTTCACCCGCACTGGCAAGCGTACCCGTGCAGGTATGCTGCAAGATTTGAACAATTCCATCACTCGATATGTACGCAACAACTTCATGGACGGCCCTCGCCAGGATGGCTTCGATGTCTTTCTAGGCACTTACCTTCCCGCGGACTCCACGTTTGCCAACATCCAACTGTTCCTCGACCAGCGCCCACTTGTCATTCAAGCAGTTCCTTATGTTCTTGCTGCCAGTGTGTTCATGGTCCTGGTTGCTCTTTTCACAAGACGTATGCCTGATGCTGCTGTCTGGCCCCTTCGCCTGTTCATGCTCTTCTGGGTTCTGGTGGCGGTTTACTGCTTTCGCTTTGTGCATGGACATGGCATGCTCTATGTAAGTTTTTTTTTCTAATCCAAGCCTCGAGGTATCATTTGGCTAATATGTTTTTAGGTCAACTGGCCCAAGCTCAATACGCCTGCTTTTGGCGCCGAAGGGTATCAGGATGCCCTCATCAAAGCAAGGTCCGATCCGATCGTCGGTAAGTGGCTTCCTGCCCGACGACACCAGCGCGGAATCAGCAATGCCCGTCTTGTATTCTTGGAGGAAGGAAAGACCAGGATTGAGTAAATACATCACTCTCCCCGGCGTTTATGGGACATTTGTCTTTTACCGCTTTCTCACTTCTCATACTTTGTATACTTCATGACCCTATCTTTTATTACCTTCATTCACCACAGCTGGCCCATCGGCTCTTGATTTCCTTGAATTTTTTTCCCTTCCATTCTAATGTCACTGGGTTTGTCCAATAAACCTTTTTCTATGCTCTTCACCCTGGCCGTGGCCATGATTCGATATGGTCCGATTACCCTCACTACATAGCTGCAGTCTTACAGTAACTGATGATTTCAATCAATGCAAGAATATTCCGAGCCAATGGGGTTTTCACCTTCAAGAGCTCTAAGCATCATAGAAACTAGTTATATATGTTCATAGGTACCTCTGACTGGATCGGGATGCGTAAGATAAGACACACGTGATCTTCCCGATCAGAGGCAGGCCATTTGGTTTCCCGAGGAGAATGGGAAGCAAACCGAACTATCCAAATAGTTAACCATAATCTTTGGAGCTGTCGGGGTGTTCTGTAACAACCCCGCCTGCTCGGTTTAAATTGCAGGCACAGGCTTGGATTGTCTATGAGAGGGCTCTGGGCCTCTATTCGCTGGCAGTTTTGCGCACGGCGAGTTTCAACTCGTTCGCCCACCATGACTCGCACATATGAGGTATCTCCGAGATCGGAATGATGGAAATTAGAAGTAAAGCTCAATTACTGACTTCTGTTCGGACAGGCTGCTATTGCAGCTCTCAATTCATTGCAGACTAATTATGCGGTTGTGGAAGAGCTCCGGAAATCTACATCGAGGCAGGAGATGAATGACCGCTCGCTCCCGGAGACAGTTGAATGGTTGCAGCGCATTGGATATAAGGTACGCCAATGGCAGGATATTGATGGACTCACAAACGGAGCTAATGCGATATTTTAAGCCTTCTGATCTCGACCGCTTGAATGCAATCCATGTCGCGGGCACCAAAGGCAAGGGCTCAACCTCCGCATTTATCTCAACAATCCTCTCCCAATACACCAAGGAAGAGTCCAACCAGCCCGCACCCAAACTCCACAAGATCGGTCTCTATACCTCTCCCCATCTCCGTTTCGCGCGCGAGCGCATAAAGATCGACAACGCGCCTTTGTCGGAGGAGCAATTCGCCCGCTATTTCTTTGAGGTATGGGATCGCCTTGAGCACTCCGCCAAGTTAGCCGGCGAAGACCCCACCGCACCGGGAATGAAACCCCAATATTTCCGATACTTGACGCTGATGGCGTTCCACACATACCTCAGTGAGGGCGTGGATGCTGCGGTGATCGAATGTGGAATCGGTGGTCAGTACGATTGCACCAACGTGATTCCGCAGCCCAAGGTGACTGCTATCACCAGTCTTGGCATCGATCACACTGCGATGCTTGGAACTACGATTGAGCAAATCGCATGGCATAAGGGTGGCATTATCAAGCGCGACGTAAGAGGGTTTGCCGCACCACAGCCTCCCAGCGCGGAGCAAGTTTTGGTCAAACGTGCCGAGGAGGCGGGCACCCAGCTGGATATTGTGGCTGGTCATTCTGAACTGCTTCCTCAGAGCAGCAAGGTTACCCTCGGGTTAGCTGGTGATTTCCAGTACACCAATGCCTCGGTGGCAGTCGCAACCGCAGCAGAGTTCTTGCGGAAGGCTGGCGTAGATGTCCCTGAAAATATCATGGATGGCCCCCTTCCTGCCAAGTTCAAGACTGGCCTTGAGGAAACTCGTCTAGGTGGCCGGTGCGAGACTCGGTTCGAAAAGAATGTCTCCTGGTACATCGATGGCGGCCATACACTAGAAAGTATCCGTCTGGCGGGACAGTGGTTTGCGTCGCGCATCCAGGCCGATTCATCATCTACCGATATCGCTGCTAAGAAGACCCGAATTTTGATCTTCAACCAGCAGACTCGGGATAGCACCGCTCTCGCGCGTGCACTCCACGAGACGCTCGCAGCAGCTCTTGCAAATGATACCCCATTCACACACGCCTTGTTCTGCACGAATATCACTTACAAGCAAGCGGGCTTCCGGCCTGACTTGGTCAGCATGAACACCAATGCTGACGACCTTGAACTCCTTCGAGTACAGAAATCCTTAGCTGAGGAGTGGAATGCTATTGATCCCCATGCCAAAACTCACGTGTTTGGTACCATCGAAGAGGCTGTTGATTTTGCACGGGATGTCGCCGGACAGGAACGCAAAGCGTTACAAAAGGATGAGGCGCCAGTCATGACCTTTGTTACTGGTAGCATCCATCTGGTTGGCGGGTTCCTCGACGTGGTCGAGACCAAGCCACCCAGCGATTTGTGATTTCCTGACGATTGAAAGCCCGGAGCTTCTAATCAGTTTCATTCTTGTATCAACTCTTGAGCTGCGTATTTGCAGTAGCATGGATAGGACATAGAGGTGTTTATGTGTGGATTTCAACAATTCTTCGATTCCCAACAATGCATTTGATTATTATCGCATCCTTGGGTGCATTAGTTCTGCTTTCGGTGTTGCCTAGTACATTGCCTATATTGCTGTGGCTCACATAGACCACTAAGAACCTATGATCTACTAAAACATAATATAAAGGAAACTTCTTGATATCTAACAATGAACATTTTCCCCTAAATTGCAAATGAACCTAGAGCGCAAACAGGGACCTCGGAAGTATTGTCGCATTGACAAAGGAAAACAGCCCGCAATCTTCCCCACTTCAATCCGCGGCGCTTGGAACGTGGGGCGCAACCTCAATTCCTCCTTCCACAACTCTTTGCACACGATCACAATATGTCGGACGGCGATAAGAAGGGCAAAGCGCCCCAGAACAATAAAGATGAAGATGGCAAGGGTAAGCCACCTCTCCAAACAAAAATCTCCGGAAATGCGCTGACTTTTGAGGACATCGGAAGGCAAGAAGCTTCCTCCCAAATTCGCATCTTTACTCCTAGAGCAAAACCCCGCCCTGAAGCAAGAACTCGCCAACATGAACAAGGATGAGGCCGCCGCCATACTGGCCAACATGGACCTTTCGCAGATGCTCACTGGACTGTCAGTGGGAGGCAAGAATCAAAAGGATATGGCTTCCTACAAGTTCTGGCAAACACAGCCTGTTCCCGCCTTCGAAGATGCCGCAAACAAGCAGATTACCCAGGGTCCTATCAAAATTATTGACCCAGAGAAGGTTCCTCAGACTCCCGGCGCACTCATCGAGGGATTCGAGTGGTGCACTCTTGACTTGACAAATGACGAGGAGCTGAAGGAGCTGTACGAACTTCTGAACAATCATTATGTGGAGGATGACAATGCCATGTTCCGGTTCAGCTACTCTCAGTCATTTTTGCATTGGTACGATGAACCCCGGATATCTGACCCCGTTTACTAGCGTCTCTAATGCTCCACTTAGGGCTCTTATGTCTCCTGGATGGAAGAAGGAATGGCACGTTGGTGTGCGCGCCACCAAGTCACGCAAGCTAGTTGCCTCAATCTGTGGTGTTCCCACTGAGCTTCGCGTCCGTGGCGAGCGCATCAAGGTGACGGAGATCAACTTCCTGTGCATCCACAAGAAACTACGCTCCAAGCGCCTGACCCCGGTTCTGATTAAGGAAATTACCCGTCGCTGCTATGTCAACGGCATCTACCAGGCCATCTACACCGGCGGTGTCATCCTCCCAACCCCCATCAGCTCGTGTCGATACTATCACCGCGCGTTGGACTGGCTGAAGCTCTACGAAGTTGGCTTCTCTCCTCTTCCCCACGGATCGACTAAGGCCCGCATGATCACCAAGAACCATCTCCCCAGCGCCACATTGACCCCAGGTCTGCGGCCCATGGAGTCCAAGGATATCGATGCCGTTTACGATCTGCTGGAGCGCTACATGCGCCGCTTTGATATGAACCAAGCCTTTACTCGTGAGGAAATCGACCATTGGCTGGTTTACAAGGAGCAGCCTGGCAAGGAACAGGTTGTTTGGTCGTATGTGGTCGAGGATCCCGAAACTCACAAGATCACCGACTTCGTCTCCTTCTACAACCTCGAGTCCACTGTAATCGACCATGCGAAGCACGAATCCGTTCACGCCGCCTACCTGTACTACTATGCTACTGAAACAGCGTTCTCTGACAATAAGAAGGCGTTCAAGGACCGCCTGCAGCTTTTGTTGAACGATGCACTGATCTGTGCCAAGAAGGTATGTTTACGTGCGTTTCGATGGTCCATTATTGTACTAATACTCGGTTTTAGGCCCATTTCGACGTGTTCAATGCCCTCACTTCGCATGATAATCCGCTGTTCCTTGAGGAGCTCAAGTTCGGCGCCGGCGATGGTCAGCTGCATTTCTACCTCTACAATTACCGTGCTGCACCTATTGCGGGTGGAATTAATGACAAGAACCTTCCCGATGAGTCTAAGATGGGAGGCGTTGGTATCGTCATGCTCTAAGCATGGCCTTTGGGTTAAACGGCGGATAGCTCGAACACGAATTTCTTTTGCCTGATAGTTTGCTAGCGATAAGCCAAAAAAAAACAATGTCAGGAAATATATAAAAACTGTTATAAATATAAATACAGATTCAAACATATCCAACGATATTCGAATGTATAGTTGCTCGTGACTACATAATTACTTAGGCATCTGTACATAACCAATTGCAGTTGTAAAATATATCTTGGCGTGACACTCCAGACGAGTCTAGCCCCTCGCATCGTTGATTGTTCGTCACTCCACTTTCTTTCACTTACGTACCCGATGAACTATTTTAGGACTGTCAATTTGTTCTTTTTGAGGGGTTTGTTATTCTGAGATCTTTCGAATCTTTTGAACCTTGACTTGATCTCGTCTATTCGAATATTGATATCACGCACCCAACATACCTACAGGAAGACAGTGGGGTTCCCGCATCATAACAATGGGTGCGGCTCAGTCGAATGATCATGGTACTTCAACACCAGGTAAGTCTTGCTTATTTATTTCAAGCTCGAAAACTCGAATACAATAATACACTCCCTGTCACAACTACTCAAAATGGCTTTGAGTTGAACATGCGAGCATCTTTATCGACAGCAGTACCTGACCATAAAACAGAGGAATTGAGCTACGTGCTCGCAGAGCGCTTTGCCACGAAATGTTTCACACCGTTAGAACTCACTCATTTCAAAGATAACTTTTTCTCGCGCGCTTCAGAGCAAGGAGGCCTGAAGTATTGGAATGAGAAAACACTCTCGGACTTCCTCGGCATCCCAGATGGCATCTGCACGTCTTCGCAAGAGCAGCCGCTGGATGCCGGTCCGGTTATTTTTCGTATGGTCTCCTATCTAGGCGCTTTTCCATTCCAGAATACGCTTGCTCCAAGTGTCTTGACGTTTGAGGCTATGGTTAAGGTGGTTGTGCTTCTTACCGATCGTTACGGGAAAGCCCTTAAGCGGGGACACAAGGATCGAGTCAAGTTACTATTTGGCAGCCTCGCAGATGTGGGAAGGAAGACTTCTGCGCCCACTGAGACTATTGAAGAGTCTACGGCTGGGGAAGCTGAAGCTCCCACTGGGAATTCTCACGCGCTGGGTTTCTCAATAGACGAGCCCGCAAACGATGATTATGATGAAGATGAGGATGATGATCTTGCGCTTGCGGCGTTAGAGTCACTTGATGCTATTGAGGTGTTCAAGCATGATCATAGAGTCGACAAAACGGTTTATGAAACCCGGATTTCAGTTGATACCCTCAGACGGTTACTCATGCTGCTTCTCGTGATTGCGCCGCTGAAACCGTTGGAATCTTTGAAAATTTATACGTCTGGTTTGAATACCGAGCGGATAGAGGCGGTTCGAAAAGAAGCAGACAGTATTATTGCTACCTTCTCGCCTTTGGAGAGCGATGGTGGCATATCATACAAGGCTTTCGCCCAAACAATATCGCTCTCTCTGCCATACATGTTCGATCCGCTCACTGCACTTTTCGAACACATGCTTTTCAGCAAAAATTTGGATCTCTCTCAACGCCGCCAAAATGGCCTAGTGACCGAGACAGAAGAAGAAGAGGTCCAAAAAGCCGAAGAATCTCTTCCACCGTCAGCCACAATAACGCTCCCAGGAAGCTTCGAGTCTACCATATTGAACCCGACTCTCATCTCACATCTTTCATTCTTCCTCCCTTCAACATCCCCCAACATGAACCTCCTCCGCAGTGGCGTCAAGCTTCACCCCGTATTCTCCACAAACGCCCACGGTTCCTCCCTAACCTCCTTCTCACACCACGTCCTGACCTGGCAATGCGCAACCCTCCTCATCCTCCAGGGAATACCAAAAGACTCATCAGACCAAGAGCCAGTAACCCTAGGCGCCTACATCCCCCAAACATGGAAAACAAACTCAACCATCAAGTCTTCGCACACCTCCGAGCTCCTTCCTTATCTCTTCCATTTATCCCCCAAACACCTCCTCCTCCCAGGGAACCCATCACCATCAATAAAGAAGCCTAATACCCCCCAAGCCTACTTCTCAACCGCAACCGGCATCGCAATCGGCTGCCAAATCCCCGCCCACTCACGCACGCAACAAACGCGCCCTAAACCCCTCGGCGCAGGAAGTCTCCTCATCGACGAGAACCTCGAGTCAGCAGAAATCCACACCGCACCAGTGGGCCACGACGGCGTCTTCTTACCAGCAACTGGTACATCACTCAGCGACCCGCCCACCAAGACAAAACTCGATCTGTATACCCTCGAGATCTGGGGCATTGTGCCGGACCCAGATGGCGGCTCAGAGTCTGGCCCCAGTGCGGTGGATGTGCAGCGTGCAAAATGGGAGTTTGAAGCGAGAGAGGCGGAACGCCGACGAAATATCAATCTCAAATCCGGCGCTGGTGATCCATCGGCGAATGACAGCGCCAGGTGGCTCTTGGAAGCAGCGGGTATTATTAGCGATGAGGGTAGACACTAGATTCGAGGCGCAGATGGGGCTTTTGCTCGATACGAAATAATGATAGGGTAGTAGTGGAAACTCGGGCACTTGCGTTTTAGATCAATTATCGTATCGTCTATCATATTACTTAAACGAAACCCATTTGGAACATAGCTACGAACGTTGATGTCATACCACCATCGGCGGCAGCCCACTAGGAGCATCATAGAAATCCTTCAAATCCTCCTCTTCCTCCTCCTCGAACTCGAAGCCGGTGGTTTCAACCTCTGACTCTTCTGCATGCTGGACACGAGAAAGACGGCTTCTGGTGCCTGCACCAGAAGAGGCAGGTGTACCTTCTGCCTCGAAGGGCTCATGGGCCTCTTCGCGTGGTAGCTGCAGTGCTAGGTATCCATCCGGGGAACGTTCAGCCCGGTCCATGATCTCGTTCATGTATTTGCGGACTTCGTCCGCTGGCTTCACCACACGAGCTAGCGGTTCTAAGATTTTGGCGTTGGGGGCGTGGATGCGGAAGGTCACTGGTTGCCAGTATTCTTTCAAATTTGCCTCGGATGGGGTGCTGGGTAGACCTGGTGTTGCAGGATCAATGGGCTCTTGCTTTTGGGGCGTGTCGGTTGGCGCGACTGGTTGGTTGGGTGCCGGGGACTCGTTCGGTTGTTGGCCTTTTTCGGCCTTGACCTTCTTGTCGCCTTTGGCTTTGGATGCACCCTTGCCCTTTGATTTGCTTTTGGATGCGCCTTCTGTGGGGACTTCGAGGGGGAATGGGGTATTTGGATCAACCTTTCGGACGACCAAGAATGAAGCAATGACTGTGTTTTCGGCTGGGAGCCATTCCAGAATTGTGTGTTCGGGAAACAGGTAACGGTCTCCGGAGCCAGCATGGCCTGACGTGCTGCTTCCGTACGGTGTCAAGGGAGAGGTGAATTCGAAAACCACGGCGCTGTAGCTCACTCGTGGAGGGGCGATTGGAATCGTTGGGGGTCGAGGGTATGAGCTAGGTGTACCATATTGAGGTGGGCGGGACTGGAGCGGAGCTTGGAGCCCGTAAGAAGGTTGTTGGTAGGGGGTGAACGGCGGTCCTGGCCGTGGTCCAAGTTGTTGAGCTCCTGCTGGCGGTAGAGGTTGTACTGCAGGGCTCTGCTGGGGTCCCGGCGTGGAGGCAGGAAGCGGTGTGCTTGCAGGGCCAGGAGTCGCAGAGTGCGAGGGCACTACTGCTGGACGCGCTGGTTCGGATGGCGTGGGTTGAGACGCAGCAGTCCCTGTGGCCGTCGGCTCTTCCTTGACGTTCACCGAGCCAGTAGCAATTGGAGCCTTTGATGTCTGGGAGGCTGGTTTTGCCTCGCTGTCTTGCTTCTGCGGTGGCTGAGGGGTGGATTGTGTTTGTGATGCCGGAGTAGGTGTTCCAGCCGCAGATTTCTGGCGTTGTTCTTGCTGTTCTCTCGATTTTATTATGGCGTTAAGTTCATCAATGTGTGCCTGGAAAGCCCGGAGCTGCTCCTGCGATGCCTGGCTGGAGGCCACGACGCGCATCAGTGCCTTGAGCTCGGGGTCTGCGGCTGCCCTTGTAGCCAGCATTTGAATCACGGGATCCGGACTAGGCTTCGCAGGTTGGCCATTGGGACCTTTCTGTCCTTGCGCCGGTCGTTGTCCTCCCTGGGGAGAGGGTGCGTTGCCTGTGTTCGGGCCATGGGGTTGCTGAGGTGAAGGCTGGCTTCCTGGATATCCGGGACGTCCTGCAGGAGCGGGAGAATATTGTGTAGGTCGTTGCGCATTAGATGGAGAGCCGTACGGTCTGTATACGGTATGGGGGACGCCCCATTGAACCGAAGGTCGCTGAGGGGGTGCGTATTGCAGACTTGGAGGTGCATTGGGATCTTTTACAACATAAATCACGGCATCGAACAGATGAGGTCCGACGGTGACATCGCATGGTCCGATCTTTAACATGGACTCCTTGGGTGGGTTTTTCTTTTCGATCTGCTCGCGCTTTGTCTTCTTGGGTTTTGTATAATATCGAACGAGGATGCCATCGCTCAACCACTTCTTCTTCGAGCGCTCGAGTGAGGTGAGGAGAACTGCGCTGCAAAAATAGAAACAACGATGTCAGCCATGTGTCAGATGAAAGCGGGTCGCAATGTCAAACCTTTCAGCGATTGACTGATACTCCTTGTCCGGCAATGTTTTCGATTGCCGGTGCCGGATAATAGGTAAGGGATCTGTATCCTTGATCTTCGTCGGTAAAGGAGCATCAACTGGTTCAGCTGGTGATGGCGCGCGCGGTGTAGGTGCTTTTTTCCTGTGAGATTGCGGCGTGGCTTCGGAGACACGTCTTTTGGCGGGTTCGCGTCGCTCGCGCGGCGGAAGCCTGCGCTTCTCGGCCATAGTTATTTGAAATGGTATACCGGCAATATATGAAATCAATGCGACCAGCGCAAAGGGTCAAGTATGATAGAGAGGGGAGAGCAGGCTGAGATGGAACAGAGGAGAGAGTGGATGAAGGAAGAAAAGACGCGATAGACGCGATAGTGTCTTATCGGCTTCTCCGCTCACCCCTTCGGGGCAAAGAGAACATCATTGACACCTGGGCATTGTATTGTTAGAACATCGATGCAAAATGGTTGAGCTCAAACCTATATTCAGAAAGGCCTACTGGTCTTTGGCAGCCGGTGGTCTGATCTATGTGCTCTTTATTATTTCCTTGACCTTCCCCGGGATTCAGCGTTTGTATGGATCGATTGTCCTGTGAAAAGAGTGAGCTAACATGTCGTAGTATGCTTTATGCCAATAAGATTAACCCTTCTATCTGGCAGGATATCAATCAAGTTGAGCAATTTGGATTTCTGAGTATGTTCCATGCAAGATCCACTGTCGGCCTGGTTAACAATTCCCAGGAATCCAAGTCCAACCGTTTCATCTGGTGACACCTGATAATGAAACAATCTATGGCTGGCACTTGATGCCGTTGCATCTTTGCCTTGAACATGAAATGGAACTTATGGAGAACACATCCTCAGGTCCGGCAGATGATTATACTACAACGACTGCATATAAACTACTTGCAAATGACCCCAATGCCCGAGTTGTGGTAAGCTGTGCGTATTAGACAGCCAAACTCCGGTCTGCAGCTAAGCTGACATGTATGAAAATAAGTCCATGGAAATGCAGCGCATTTAGCCTCTGCTCAGCGCCCGCACAATTACAACTCCATCCTCTCCGTTTCGACTCCGTCAAACCCAGTCCATGTTTTTGCAATCGACTACCGAGGCTTCGGTGTGAGCACCGGATTTCCCACTGAAGAAGGTGTCATCACAGATGGTGTCTCACTTCTTAACTTTATTACAGCAGGGCCTTTGAAGGTCCCCACATCTCGTATCGTCATCCTTGGCCAAAGTCTCGGAACTGCTGTGACAGCTGCGGTAGCTGAGCGATTTGCATTTGGATCGCCCGACCCTACAGCTCTCCAACCAGCCATCAAGAACGCCGAGCCTTTTGCCGGCGTCATTTTGCTGGCCTCATTCAGTAGTTTGGCCCATCTCATTGAGTCCTACAGCATCAAGGGGCTTACGCCGCCTATGTTATCTCCACTCATGGGATATCCGCGCTTCCAGAAATGGGTGATGAGCCATATTGTGGATCATTGGGACACGGCCGCAAGAGTGGCCCGTCTCACTGGCGTTGCTGCGGCTGAATCAGACGCCTTTGGCGTGAAGTATACTGACAAAAGTCTTGATTTGACGATTGTTCACGCCTTTGACGATGTTGATATCCCTTGGTATGAAGGACGCCGTGTTTGGAAGGCTGCCACTGCCGAGGACATTAAAGGTGCTCCGGGGCATTTGACATACTACAAGGCCGAGGATGGTGATCCAGTTGAGATCAAGATCTGGAAGAATGAGATCGACGGCCAAGATGGAACTGAGATTGTGAAGACCGTTAGATGGGAGCGGGTACGATATGGAGGTACGTTAAGTGATTTCTTTTTTAATACTGTCAGTTTAAGTAACTGACTGGGATGTCTTCATCTACTTAGGTCACAATCGTGTTGCATCAGGCTCAGTGGCTGGTCTTGCCGTCTTGAGGTCCTTCGAAGCGTGATCGCATAATATCACGTATCACACTACAGATTAGATCCGACAGACTCAATCACCTAGGTAACTGCCTCATGTTGCTTCATATATAATATTGTAAATACTCAATGTAAATACTATATCTACGCTAAATTACTACTGCTGGCCATACGCAGGGCAATGCCTCAAAGGTTCCCCTTAGGCGATTACGATACCTAGGAGATTGAGGTAGTCCTTTTATATCTCATATACCTATACCTAGGCATATACACATATGTAAACATAGTTCCATTTTTGGATTTGGTTTTCCAACAAATATTACGAAATGCTCTATGAGAGCCCTTGATGCCTACGATTTGGCTCGCAGGGTAAGCTAGCTAATTTGCCGTGCTTGAAAACAACAATCTAATCATACTATGCAGAAATAGCCGAAAGAGGAAAAAGACACGACGGGCGAAGGCTGGCTCGAAAAATTGTGTATTCCGTTGAAAAAGACTTTCGAAGGAGTGGACGATTCGAAGCATGAGAATGCACGTGTGGATGAGAAAGCACCCGTGAATGAGAAGGCACCCGTGGATACATAAATGAAATTTGTTCAAACAAGATTTTTATCTTCCTTGGGGGTTATCGAGCATATCATGTGGTTATTTACTCCAAGGTGACCACAGGCAAGAATAGTTTGGTCTAGTCCACTGTTTAGATACAACATAATCAAACAGCAAGGCTATAGTTACGAATATTCAGACAGTTGAGCCATTCGATATTCTCTAAATCAATGATGTGTCAATGTCGTGAAGTAGAACGACCTTTTGACCCGGTTTTTCCGTTCCTTGGTGTATCGGCCGCCTTGTTCCACGCATGACGCTCGCGCAGGGAGTGACGCGCTGGTGCACCACGATTGGTGACAACAGAGTGGTCGACTTGATTGACAGACTGCTGGTTGTGGGCGTTGTCGGACTCGGCATCGCTGTTAAACTTGAGGTCGTTGTAAGACCCGGACATACTAGCGGATCGCGAGCGCATTCTGAATGAAGAAATCAAATGAATATTATAGGGAAAAGTGAAGAATTTTTCTTCTGGTAGATTAAGCAAGAGATTAAGCAAGAAAGTATTGAGTACAAATACAAAAGAGGCACTCTAATATGGTGGCGGTGGTGGCACTAGCCCTGAGCGCATCTTGATGCAATACGTCCAAAGGGCCAATAAGTGTTCAGCCAAACCGGAACTCAGGGAGTGTAAATAAGCCTAGGCTCCGTCCCGGGCCAAGGCAGCCTTGATATCTACTTATTCCTTTATCTGGATTGAGGTTTAGTACTCTGTGAGATGTAAAATCCAGTATTCGGCTAATAGAAGCAGATCAATTGTCGCGATTTTTTCAGTGGAAGTTCTACGGCGAAAAAGTCAAATTGGATCTTTAAGCCTTGATGATAAGTAATCAAGGGACTATGTTTTTGAGGGTATTTCTGTACAGGATTAAAGAACAACGTTAAGTCTCGCGCGCAAGTCCAAAGTGCGATCAGCGTGGCAAGTGATAAACTTTCTCAACTCGAACCTCGGCCCAACATCAACAGCGAAGAAAATCTTAAGCGATGTACTTAGTCTGCGGGGACGACAGAATCTTTTGAAAACCTCTACAATACTGCAATCCTCGGAGAGATCCCTGTAAATTCATCTATAGTCCCAGTCCCTTGGTTCTACCCATCACATTCGGTTAGGTGCATTACTTAATTCCACCACGTTCCACTATGTCAGCTCGTCCCCAGATTACCTTTTACGTCGATATCGTCAGCCCTTTTGCCTGGATCGCATTTCATGTTCTGCGAGTATGCATTCTGAATCCTTTAAGTTGTTATTTCTTTTCTAACGGATTCTAGAATTCACCTGCCTTTGCGCAATGTGAAGTAACCTATGTCCCTATTCTCTTGGGCGGCTTGATGCAAGCATGTGGCAACAACCCCCCAATCAACATCAAGAGTAAGCTATTACCACCATATGGGCACGTCTTTTTACACAATTGACCCATTTCCACCACGTCTCTCTATACAACTAACCCATTTTGAAGACAAGAAAAACTACCTAGGCCAGCAGCGGGTGCGGTGGGCAAAGTACTTCTCCGTCCCGATCATCGAGGGATTCCCCAAAGGATTCCCTATTCGCACGATTTCCGTGCAACGCGCGTTGTGCGCTATCTCGCAGAGAACGCCCGATAAGCTCGCCGAAGTGATCAATGCAATTTTCGAGTCTTTCTGGGTCAATGGGAACACGACCGTCGGCGAGCCTGAGGGGTTCGCCCCTCTCATTGAAAGTGTTCTTGGAAAGCAAGAGACAGACGAGGTTATTTCTGCTGTAAGTGGTGAAGAACTGAATTGACTTGCAGGAAAGCGAACGCAACAAATGAGCTAATTTCGTATAGATGAATACACCAGACATCAAGGCCCTCCTGATCTCAAACACCGATAGATCGTTTAAGGCTGGGGCGTTTGGACTCCCCCTGGTTTGAGTGCACTAATTCTAAGGGCGAGACTGAGGGCTTCTGGGGGGTTGATCATCTTGGCCAGGTGGCTGATTTCCTCGGTCTAGATCGCTCCCTAGATAAGGGTTTCCGGGCTGCTCTCTAAGTGTGGCATGATCGTTTTGTTTGAGGATGTATATGTGAATAAATTTGCCTCTGATGGTGTCTGTCCCAATATCTAATCATACATATTCAATGAATGAGGATCCTGTCCCCAGAGAAGAGAAACCAGCGACATCCGCAGTGCTAACAGAAAGAAATGATCTAGATCTCCAGTCAATGGAGAGAAGATCCCGCAACGCCAATCCAATCCCATAAATCTAGTCTGTCGGTCGTACATGCGCATTGCTCATATGCTTGTTGCGTAAGAAATCACACACCCGCTCATTGGGCATGTTGTCGATGTGTTCGAACTCTTTCTGCGTTTCCTCGCTGAGAGCTACATAAACGTTAATAGAAAGATCCCATCACTATGCTCAAGAACTCACTTTCGGAAACCGTCTCCTCAACCGCCTTAGCACCGCTTGCAAGTGCATAAATCTGATCTTGTACCGTGTGCAATGCCTGAGGCACGCTCTCCATAACAGTTTCCTTAACAGCTCCCGCGCTGTCCTGCGCAACGGCCGATACAGAATTCCCTAATTCCGCCATCGAGCTCCCAGATGCCATGGAATCAATTCGGTTTTTCAGGCCTGCAATAACACCTTCTTCCTTTTGGTCACCTTGGTCGGTGTTGACGACCGTTTCCTCCTCGGCTTGGTTGCGTTGTTCGCGGGAGACTGAGGAATCGAGGTATAGCGTTTCGCTGGAGGGGGATCTGTCCATGGTGAAGTATGTGCGGTGTTTTGAATTGGAGAAATTTGTGGAGTCGGGGAATGACATTTCTGAGATTAAGTTAACTAAATAACAGCGCATAGGGCTGAAATTCGATCGACATGGATTCTTGCCTTGTTTCAAGACTTATATTGGCATGATGTCATGGTTCCACATAGTATAGGACCAAGGGTTTTGCGATCATTGTACAATGGGAAAAAAGAGGTAGATCTGCATTTCTTCATATCGTAGAAGAATTCGCTTGTTAACAAAGTCTGTCTTGTCTATGGTTCTTTTCCGAGGAAATATAGACAGATGGGAAGGTAATGTAAGTCAAAGTATACGTGGTACTTCAGAGCTACGAGTGGCGATATGCGACTCCACTTTCCCCGATTCAAGGCATCCTGGACTGGCGATGTTTCTGATCTAATTAGGTTGCCTTGCACGCTGTACGTTGTATATGGTGGGTATTCCATTAATAGACATTTCGCCATATCTTTCTAACTAGTTGTAAATAGCAGCCTGCAGACCAGGAATAATCTCAAGATCCTTCGGCTTGTAGGTATACTTCCCTTCCGCCGAGATCTGAACATCTCGATTCTTCCGTTGTTGCTGAGTTTGTCGAACGGTAACCCACTCCTCAGTAGTAAGGTGCTGGCCAAGCTCAGTGAAAGCATTTGTTGTCAGGCCAAGTCTCTGGAGAAGAGGACTGTTCTGAATCGGATCGAGGACAACATGGTTATTAGGCCTACATTGGATTAGCCCCCGTTGCTCAATAAAAAATAAAAAAAGAAAGAAAGAGAGAACAAACTCACCGAGCAAAGTACAGCACACCCAATCGATCAATATGAGCCTGATCAGGAGGTGGCGCATGCACCCGATGGATACTTGATTTGATCAAACCACCCGTAAGCGCCGTCAACGCATCGCAGGTGTTGATAGTGATAGTTCCGTCTTGCGGCTGCACCCACTTCCACTTCCCCTCTGAGTTGAGGATCTGTAGCGCGGCGACGGGTTGGCGGAATAGCAGCGTGACTGTTCCCAAGTCTGTGTGGCCGGGACTGTACAGCTCGCCGACCTTTTGGTTTTCTTCTGCACTACGGGCAGCATAATGCATGTAACGCAGGTGGTCTTCGCCCTTGACATCATATTGGTGGTCGCGGACTAGTTGGTCCTCGTCTGGAAGCTCGAGGAGAATGGCGAAAAGACGAAGGAGCTTCTCAACGACCTCGGTGTGGCATTTCTATTTTTTTTGTTAGTGGAAACACAGTGAGTTTAGAGAAATCGACCATACACGGCTGAATGCTTCAATTTCCTTGATGTTCTCGGCGAGAACCGAGGGCTGGGGTCGCTCGTGGTGACCGTCGAACTTTGGGATGTTGTACACCTGGACATTGTCCTTGATACCATTGCCTAGACTGAGTTGGGGGTCAAAGATAATTCTCAGACTCCTGCAAAGCTTTCTTACATTCGATGTCCAGCAGGGCGGTAGGAGTTGTATTCGCCCCTCGCGAGATCACTGGCACTGTGGAACTTGAGCTTCTCTTCAAGTGGCAACGCATAGAACTCGCGGCCTAGAGCAAACTGATTATCAATTTCTTCTTGGCTAATGTTGAAGTTTTTGACATAGAAGAAACCTATTGTGAGGGCATAGTCAGTAATTTAATCCACTAATATTCCATAGATTGCAGACTTGGTGGAGGCATATGTTGGGCAATGGGCCTTGGATAGACCTTAGCCTTGACGTGGGGAAAAGTCCAGACAACTTACCAACGTTCCTAACAGCATGTTCCAGCTGCTTGACGAGAGATTCTTTTCCTCCTGGCTGCTCATACTGATTCAAATCCAAAGTGATAAGCTCGGCCCAGTCAACTGACCGACATGCCCATATTAGCAAGATGCAATGAATAATTGGCAGATATTTCTCACGCTTCTCCTTGGTCACAGGGACCTGATCATATTTTTCAATGTATTTGCCCGGCATATTGAATGAATTGTCAACTCAATTATGAATACTATGAAGAATTACTTGGGAATATCCCGGATATTTCTAATTTACATCGAAGTATATCACCATCTAAAACCATCCGAGTATAAGTATCAAAAACACTCCGAGATACCCCGCAAGTATAACATTAGCAAGCCAAAAAGCACGTCATTAACATGATAGATGAGCCCTGCGATAGCGGCACTTCTTAGGGCTGCTCCACCTTTCAAATTTGGTGCAATTTGATTCGCATTAGACTAATTAACTTCAGCGCTCACCAAAATCCAATCATAGAGACATATCAAATAGCACACTGGCCTTTGCAGGTTGCCATAGATAACGGCTAATCTCCGGCTTTCAAGCAAATATGATACGCGCACGCCATCAAGCGGTGACATGTCGCCTCTTCCGGCGCATAAGCTTCAACAACAAAGATGCTACTCGTGTCGAGGGATCTTTATATCGACGCTCTAGATTTCCTCAATGAGAAATGGTGAAAGCGGGTGGGGGAATTTGTTAATACGCGTCTTGCCTCTTTGAATATGCTATACCTCAAAGCAAAGAACTTATTTTCCGTATAAGTAGCGACGACCAATGCCCAAGTCTAGCTCCTTGATAGAAGTTGAATCGGAAATTTAAATCCTGAGAGAGTCTGTTCGTCATGTCTGACTTGAAGCCAAAGGGTGCGAGATTGTCCCTGTTAGGCCTTGTCAAGGAGGTGTTCAATTGGTATCCATCTTCTTATCCCTCCGAAGAGAGAAAGTGAGTGGATACACGTTTAAGTCTATATGCGCTCTTATGCTGATCTTATCAGATTATTGTTCAAGCTGGACTTGTCGATTCTGATCTTTGCCTGTCTATGCTGTAAGTGCTAAACTCCAATAAACATCTCAAGCATACATAACTGACGATCATAGTTTTCGTCAAATACTTGGGTATGTCTTACCATCAATGAGTTGTCTCACACTCAAACCTAATATATTGAAGACCAGACAAACATCAGCAATGCCTACGTCAGTGGACTGAAAGAAGACTTCGGCCTGTATGGTAATGAGCTGAACTACTTCAATGTCTGCTACTATACATCATACGTGGTTTTTCAGATTCCCGGCCTGCTACTGATGTCCCGACCAAAGCTGTAAGTTGGCACATTGCTTCAATTAAAATAAAAAGTTTAACACTCCACAGTGCTCGCTGGCTCCTCCCTACCCTCGAAGTCCTCTGGGGTATCTGCACATTCGCACAAAGCCGAGTCACTAACGTAACGCAACTATACGCACTTCGCGTGCTGGTCGGTGCGCTGGAAGCACCCGTATTTGCTGGAACCCATTTCATCCTTGGTAAAATTATCTCTATCCAATGACGCCTATAATTTACTAACTATACCCTAGGGTCATGGTACACAGGGCCTGAGTTGTTCAAACGAGCCGGTACATGGTTTATTTGTAACCCTTTAGGCACCATGGTTAGCGGGTATCTCCAAGCAGCCGCTTATACGAATCTTTCTGGTGTTGGAGGAATGCCCGGGTGGAGGTGGTTGTTTGTCATTGATGGTATCTTCACTATTCCCGTTGCCTTGGTCGGTTTCCTCATTTTCCCTGGTATTCCCGGATCTCCCAGACCATTCTATTTGACAGAAAAAGATCTTGTGCTGGCAAAAGAAAGGACGAAGAGAGCCAAGATTCGCCAGCCTGGAAAAATGAGTCTGGACGTGTTTAAAAGGACATTCAAGAGGTGGCATATCTGGGTTTTTATTATGTGTTACGCGTGAGTATTGGATATATCATGATATGGTGCATTATAACTGCATGCTAACGCTCACATAGGTGCATGATCATTTGCTCTTATCCGATCAGTTACATGAGTCTGTGGCTCAAAGCAGAGGGATATTCTGTGACCCAGATCAATCAGCTGCCGACTGTGACTTACGCGATTAATATCGTGGCATCCTGGCTAGGAACAACTCTGGCAGCCATATATCCAGAATGGATCATCTATACTATTGCTTCGGCATTATGTCTCTTTGCGATATTGTGCATGATTGTTTGGAACATTCCCATCGCGCTGAAGTGAGTTTTACCCATCATTCAATTCCTTCGGAAGCATTTGCTAACTGTACTCTAAAGATTCGTAGCCTGGTATTTCCTAGGCGCAGCTGGATGCTTGAGTCCAATCTTGTACTCTACCATAAACATCATTGTCAGAGATGACGCCGAAGAGCGTGCTCTCATTATGGTAAGTACAAGTCTTCCCTGGGAGCGAAACGAGGTTATGCTCACATTCTCATGATATAGGGCTCTATGATGACTTTCGGTTATTCCTTCAATATCTGGGTCCCGTTGCTGGCGTATCCGACAGCCGGACCAGATGGTGCACCTAGATGGCGAAAGGGGTGGCCTATATCATTCGTTTTCTTCTTCCTTTTATGGGCTGGCTTTATCGCTTCCATACTTATATGGCGAAGGTAAGAATCAATCTAAGATCAATCCGAGAATGAACATCTCACTGACAAATATTTCAGTGAACAAAAGAAGGAGAATCGGCTGTCATCCCAGGAGAGTAGTGATGAAGAAAGGGATACCGTTGTCATTGATGGGTCTCCAGCGTTGAAAAATTAAGTCAATATTTCAGATTAGTTATTATGCACGCTATCGATATTTAGTTCGAAGCAAATATCATATAGTTCACAAAATAGTCGCGACGTGCTGGAAAAGACTGAGACCTATCCAACCCGCCAATCCGCCTATAAATCAGCGCCTTGGGCCATAAGATTTCGTGTAGAGATAAACAGCTCTCTAGTCACAGAGAACTTTCCAAATGCAGCCATTTCTTCCTGGATACTTCTTCTCCATCACCAATGCCCAAAAAGCCAATATACCCCGACACCCAAAAAGGAAATTAGGGCACCAAAACCAGGGCTACCCCTCCATCGCCGCGATAGTCTCCTCCGACTCTCCGCAGAATCAAACCAACAACAACCACGCAACCCTAACCATGGCCCCAATCCCCATAACAATCGTGACGGGCTTCCTCGGCTCAGGCAAGACAACCATCCTCCTCAACCTAATCCCCCAACTCCCCAAAACCTACAAACTCGCCCTCCTGAAAAACGAATTCGGCGATGTAGCAGTGGACTCGCAGCTTGCCTCGACGCAATCCATCAGCGGCGTCCGCGAACTACTCAACGGCTGCATCTGCTGCAACCTCGTCGGCCAACTCAGCGACGCCCTCGACCAGCTACGCTCAGAAGTTACCCCGGACCGCATCGTCATCGAGACAAGCGGCAGCGCGTTCCCGGCCACCCTTGCCATGGAGGTGAATCGGCTTGCGCGCGAGGGAGGGAATTTCGTTCTCGACGGCGTGATTAGCGTTATTGATGTGGAAAATTGGGAGGGATATGAGGATACTTCGTATACGGCGAAGATTCAAGCCAAGTATACGGATTTGATTGTTTTTAATAAGTGGGAGGGGCTAGAGGAGAAGTTTGATGTTGCGCTTGATCGTGTGGGCGATTTGGGGGTTGAGACGCCTTGGGTGAAGTCGAGTAAGGGCAGGGTTGATGCGGATGTTTTGCTCGGGATTGATGGGGCGCTGTTCAAGGACGCAGAGGCAGAGGCTGGGAAGAGTCATGATCATGACCATGACCATAAGCATGATCATCAGTCCGAGGTTGAGGTCTTGTCTGTTGTGTTGAAGTCTGCTGGGGCGATGGATGTCGCTGCTTTGGAGAAGTTCCTCGGTCTCGCGCCGAGGGAGGAGGTCTATCGCATTAAGGGCATTGTTCGCTGCTCGAACTTGGATCTTCCTGCGGAGACTTCTGATGACTTGCAGGCAAGACAGAAGATTAATACCCCCGGGGTGCAGCATTACATTCTGAACTGGGCGTTTGGACGCTGGACTTGTACGCCCTCTGCTGTGGTTGCGGAGTCTGCGGACCCGGCTGTCGCTGCCCGCATTACTTTAATCTTGGCGCGGTATGAGTCTGCCAAATGGAAGAAGAAGCTTGAAGCCGGGGGATTAATTCAAGCGACTGGGGGTGACGTGGAGCTGAGTGTGGAGCGTTTGGTCTAGAATTCGGAGCTGAGTGCTCCAGTGTATAGCTTGCCGTGTGTGATTTGTTCTCATGATACCTTAGAAATGCGACGATAGAACTTGATACAAATGATAAAACAACATCTACACTTTTCGCATTTTGTGCCTGAAAGCAAAAGGATCACAAAAGATGCTGTAAAAAGAACATACCGGAAAAGCGAACGCAGATGCAACGCAAGACGAGCTCTATTCTAATATAGATCTAGAGGACGGCAAAACAGGATGCAACGAAAACGCACGATAGGTACTATATTAGATGGCTAAAACAGAAGCCATCAAACCAAAAAGTATTTCCAAACAAACCAATACGCAACAAATCCATAATGTTCAAACGAAAGAATAGACTAATAGTTGAGAAGGGCAGAGGCACCAGTCTCGCTAGAGATGTAGATGACCTCATGGTTGTCGGAGAATCCATTGAAGCGAGTAGCGCTACACTTGGTGTAGGCTCCCATCTCCTCGAAGTAGAGCCAATCACCAGTGTTGATCAGGCCAGGCAACTGGATGCGCTCAGTGATGACATCAATGCCATCGCAGGTAGGACCCCAGATAGAGTAAGTGATCTTCTCCGAAGTCGCAGAGTTCGGAGAACCAGGCTGGGATCCCTCAGAGGCGCAGGTGAGGACCTGGGCAACGGGGTGCTGGTGGTCGAAGATGATGTTCGAGAAATTGCCATAGACGCCATCGTTCAAGTACAGCATGTATGCATCACGAGATTGATCCTCGGGGTCAGGGATATCACGTCGCGCAATCACATTGGCGGCCAGAGTGTAAGCGGTGGCTACGTAGTAGCGACCGGGCTCGGCAATGACACGAATGTTTGGTGGGAAGTAGGTGTCCACGGCTTCACCGAGAATTCCTGCAAACTTCTCAAAGGTGTCCTGGCAGAAGCCGCCGCCGACATCCAGAGTGTGGAGTTCGTGGCCGATCTCTTCTGCGTGGTCGAAGACCATACGCGCATCTTGGACAGCTTTGAGGAAAGCGCGAGGGTCCTCGGCACCGGATCCAACGTGGAAGCTGACTCCGACGACCTTGAGGTCCAGTTGGTAAGCAAGCTCGAGAAGTGAACGAGCTAGGTCCATGGAAGCTCCGAACTTCATGCTCAACCGGCACAGGCTGGTGGAGTCATCGGTCAAGATGCGGAGGTAGAGCTCCGCATCGGGGAAAGTGGCTTTGATTTTATACAGCTCATCGGCGTTGTCGAAAGTCATCTGCTTGACGCCAACCTCGGCGGCATAGCGCAAGTAGGACTTGGTTTTGCAGGGCTGCGCATAGATAATGCGGCTGGGATCAATGCCCGTCTGAAGGGCGAGATCGATCTCAGACTTGGAAGCACAGTCGAACCCATTTCCAAGTTGGGCCATAAGGCGCAGGACTTCAGGGTCCGGGTTGCATTTAACAGCTGTTGTATCGTTAGAACAATTCCGAATGATGAGATCCATTGGCAGGAGACCTACCATAAAAGGGCTTGACACGGCCCAAGTTCATCTTCCAGCGCATATGCTGGCGGTAGACCTCACCCATATCCGCCACATAGAAAGCATCCTCCTCACCAGGACCACAGTGGTCCACATCCACCTCCGCCGCACGCTTCTTCAACACCTCCAGAACCATATCCTTGGCAGTCAACGAAGATTGCGACAAGGTGTCCTCGCCATGACTGCTGACCAGACCAAGATGGTCCAAACTATTGTTATAGTCTTGTTTGATAGTGCATATTTCAGCAGTCGATACACACGCAGTCGGTGCCATAACTATGCCGCTGCGACTCAGCACAATTGGTGAAATAAGAGAAAATAAAGAAAATAGAAAGTATTTAACCGGCAGGCGACTGCGTGTTAGGGCGGACGAAAAGTGTCACAACCGTAGTTGACTGGACCAAGCCTCCTAGACCCTTCCCCCTGAAGAGGAAGAACCTTCGAAGAAGTCCTATGCGGCAGCTCAGAGGACGAGGGAATAATCTCCGGGGGCGTCAACGGGACGAAAAAAGGCGCACCGGACGAAAGTTCAGAAAGAACCAGGAGGTGGAATGTTGTTAAGAGTGTCGCGGAGACGTCGAGTGGATACAATTTGGCTAAGAACCAGAATGGAGGCTACTGGAGCCGTGGTGACCGGATCGCCTTTGGGGGGTCCAAAGGCTGTGGTCTAGCTTGGGGAAGTGGAACCAAAGTACCAATTCTGAGAGAAATTTATTAGCAAGTCTCGTTCAATGAAAACCAGGTGCTCAGATAGTTTTATGAGAGAAATAAAATGGACGGTTGGGAGAAGACCGGAAGGATCAAAATTTTTGGGGGAGGGAAATTTTTTTGGGCAGCGGGCAGCGGGCAGTGAGCTCATGGGATTTTGAGATCATTGGAGAGAATCAAACGCCTCAGAGTGTGACACACGGATACCCGGAATCAATCACATACAGAGAAACCAGAGAAAACGGAAATAAAATAAAAGACTCACCTATAGTTGAAAGTTGTTTACCCAAAAACGAGGGAAGATGGGAATCAAAAAAAAGAAAAAGAGATGACGGACTGTTCGTGGGGAAAAAAACCCGCTGCTTACGGCATCGGCGCCCGTCCCACCTAGGGTCTTTTCTTTAGGCACCAAGTTCCACTTCCCACTTTTCCCATTACTATTACTATATGCGTTGTAGGTACGGAGTAATTTGCGTTATTTTTGGTAACTAGCGCATGTCTGACTAGATTCAGCTAGTCAGCTAGTCAGCTAGCCCTCGCAAGGGTTAAGATTGTGACTGCATCAAATCCCCGTGCATTCGGGATTACATGGCATATGCGGTGTAGTTCTCGAGCTATGATTTGTTCCTGATGTGACGACTGCTCACATATCCCTGTTTGGATCAAACATTCAGTTCCAGGTACCGGTACATGTACTGTAGGTACGAGGCAGATCACTTGTATTGTGCACAGTTGTATGCTTACTGGCTGCATATGTGTATAGGTGGAGACTACGTTGGGTGGTTACATGTGTAAATACTGCATGTAAGCATCTAGTATATGTAGGTATCTAAGTAGGAATTGAAGCTTTACACCGTACGGCGTAGAAAGAGCAACAAAAAAGAAAAGGAAAAAGGGCCAGGCCCGTAAAGCTTTAAATGACGCAGAGTGCACGGACCAGGGATCGGCGATTTCCACAACAAAAAATATAGCCTTGAAGATTATTTGCGTACTCCGTATAGTACACTAAATAGTATATAGGATTTTGTTGATGGGCTTGGTATATACATTGTATTGGCACTATATCACTATATTTACAGCTGACGACTGTAGCAGTGGAACTCGATCTTATCCACCTCCCCATGTTGTGATGGAAGCTCCATACTCTCCATTTCCGACATAAATCCAGCAGACGCCATCAAATCGAAAAATTTCGTTTCGCTATCATGTCGTCTCTTCAGAGCCACCAAGATAACTGCGTCCGGGGATGTCCGAACCAATCGGTCTAGAGCAGAAACAAGCACTGGCAAGCTGTCTTCATTGTAGGTACAATCAGAGACAAGGATTAACTCGATAGGGCAGGAGCAGAGGTCATCCGGGGGGTTTCCCCAGTCGAGGTTTCGGTACTTAACACTGGACATGGTGGCTGGGTGAGAAGCATTAATATTGCGTGTTATTATGTCCTCGACCTCGGGGAGGTCCGTGAGTAAGACCGAACAGTTAGCGAGCATCTGCACCAAGCCGATGCCCACTATCCCACATCCTGCACCGAGCTCGACCACCTGAATAGGCGAGTTGCGGGTGATTGATAAAATCTTTTTCAAGGCGGGAATTTTAGATCCAACGATCTTGTGTTCATTTCTCGTGTGTTCAATTATCTTGGGCTCAGCGTCTCCCTTCTCAACCTTACGGGCGTGGTCCAGTTCATCAAGAGTACTGGAGAGGTATGCAACAGTTGCCAGACCCGCATCCCTGGAACATCCTTGTTTAGATTCTCGGCCCTGGGATACGTTGCAGAATAAATGGTAGATTAGCTTACCAGATATGCCGGGCGATGCTGTTTCCTGTCTCTTCCCAGATCTGTAGCGGTGGCCCGCAAACTAAGCCACTCATATGCCGCTTAACAAGCGCCTCGGCGTGTGTCGATTGAAGACTAAATGGAGCGCTGATTGCGCCCATCACCAATTGATACGGTTGAGCTAGAGGTTCAAATGGGGGTAAAGGACGTCGCTCTGTCGATCTTAAGGGTCGTCGTTCCGTTGATCTTAATGGTTTTGGCGGTGGTGTTTGAACTGTCAATACCAATGTTTTCTGAGCCAGATTGACCGGGAGAGGGCCAAGAGTAATTGGCAGCTCGCGATTATATGCATTCCATTTTGTCGGCTTTTCATATACAATTCGAGAGGTTTCCTCCCGGGCTGTCACCATTAAATCAACATCTTCAGCTAGAAACGAGTCCCCAAGATCGGTGGTGATACAGATGAGGGCGGATATGGAGACGGAGCCGTTCTGCTTCTGGATCCGAGGGGTTTTCAGGTACCGAATGTAGTAAACCATTCTCCAGAGAGAATACCGACGAGTTTGACCAATTCTCTCGTTTCTAAAAGCCTTCACCTTTGGAAATCTCAAAGATCCCCAAAAATTACCCCGGATTATCTCACTTGCCGGCTGACATAACCGAAATGACATCGTCGGCTTGCGACCACTACCCTCAACTCTAGTATCCCTGTTGTTTTTCTAATGTCGCCGGCGACAGTCGGGGGACTGAATTTCGCCTTGCCTAACCACATTTCTCCTCACTCTCGTCGTCATTGCCCAAGATGATGCGAACGCGCGACCCCCGCATCCGACAACGGATCAATCAGATCTCCCATAATCTTGAGACCGCCAACGAAACAGCGCAAGAAGGCCTCTACACTTTCTCCCACAATTACATATCTCCATGCTTTGCATCAATCGGAAACTGCGTAAATGCATGCACAGCCCCTTGCCTCCCGAGCCGAGAAGACCATCTCCGACGACGACGCCGCGGCCAAGCCGAAGCGAACTTTGATTTCTACGATGACTGGGACAACGAAGAACAAGATGACAGTCTATTAGGTTGGGGAACAGGAGAACTTGACCGACTCCTCGCTGGAAGCGGTCTGGCACGCGGACCTGCAGACCAACCGCGCCGCCAGAGGCGGATGAGCTACGGGACACGCAACACAAGGCGCAGGAGCACCGTGCACATTCCAGACAACCGCACTGATCCGACTGTGATTCCCAGCTCGTCGCTGCTTGGTTTCTTGGAGCGCTTTCCATGGAGACTGGGTGCACGGGGTGTCAAGTATCGGCCATCTGCTGCTGATCTGCAGGAGCACCCCGGTACCCGGCGGTACGCGCACGAAGATGAGCCGTTGATGGAGGTTTTGGATGACGATGAAGGCCCGCTATCGCCTACGCCTAAAGGTCGGAATCGGAGTGCTACGCAGTCTTCTCGTGGGACTGAGACCTCTCTCAGCTCGCGTGGTGATCTATTCCCTAGCGACGAAGAAGAGGATGCGGTTCCCCTGGACGATGAATTCGCGCTTGCTTTTGGGCGCCGTGGGACTGGCTTGGAATCGGATGATCAGTCGGGACCCAGGCCTGAGATTAAGTCTGGTTCTGCTTCTAGTCTTGGCGGTGCTTCGTCTGAGAATACGAAGCGCAAGAAGAAACGCTCTTCAAGGCGCTCAACTGGCCACAATGATACTTCCGTCCAAGACGTTGATACCCCATCATTGGCAGATATGAAGTCAGAAGAACAACGTGCAGCACTAGAAGAAGAAGCGGCAATTGCGAGAAGACGACTCGCTGCGCATGAACTGGCTCTAAGTCGAGGCCTTGATGCGCGAGGTGGTGATAAGGTAAGAAACTAAATTTGGAGTATGTGAAAATATATGTAACTGACACTTGTTTAGCTCACCGCAACATCTAAGAATCCAAGTCTCCTGTCACAAGATGAGGATAAACAACCTATTACTCCGAAAAGGACTTTCAGCGAATCATCAAGTCGTCGATTGTCTGGTTATCAAACCGAGCCTTTCCCAGCCCTTTCTATGTCACCTTCGTCATTGGCTATAGACTCTCCAGGCCTGTCAAAAGCTTCACCGAGAGCTATCTCACCCCATGAACTCGGTGATACTTCCACTTCTCTTGATTGAACGAGAGAACGAGTCTTGTTGACTTTTGCCTTTAATTTTGCTTTCAGTGATGTTTATGACCCTCCGTCAAGCATCACTTTTCTTGTATGATATTATGAGCGACTTTGCTGTACACAATACCCCATGACATGAATTGAAGAGTTTGACCAACATATATTCTTCGAACTTCTCAATTGTCCGATATGACAAAGGAATATAGACAATGATAATCAAAAACTCCATAGAGATACATTCCATCTGTGTTGTGAACATATGTATAGTGCATAAAAGAGACCCAAATGAACCTTGGAATATGTCAATCTACACCTTCAGTCTTCGGCAATCCACTTTAGCCCGTTAGCTTTGCTCCGCGTGCATAACAATTCTCTCCGACTCACCACAGGCCTTGGTCGGTTTAGGCCCACTACCGTTTAGGACCACTACCTAGGTATTGGCCCGGACCTCTATATGGCGAATCAGAATAGCCCTACATGACTTGCTGGAGCAATGGAAATCTTGAAATGTTTAGAAGTGAGTTTCGGGTTATCATCGTGAAGAAATACTAGCGTTTCTCCGCTTTCCCGCGATATAGGGCACCATAGCACTCGTATTCAAGGTTTATATAAAATTTAGCAAAGGTATATAATTGTGCATTTCTACGTTTATTCTCATATATATGTTCTCGCATTTTTAGTCCGTCCTGTGTAGACTTATAGGTCCAGGGCGGTTCCGAAAAATGTAGAAGAGAAGTGTGTCTCACGAATGCGGACTCACATTCCCTATGTTCTTGCGCCGACATTCTCCCACGAAGGGAAATGAATGTGACACCTGCCAACCAAAGGTGGTAACTGGTTGTAGATGTGATAAGCTCTGTGCACGAAGCACGTGAAGATCTTCAGCGCGGGTGGAGGTTATAAAAAGGGAGGGAAGAAAGAGAAAGAAGGTTTATGCAATCAAGTATGCACGGAGCTATGTACAAGAGAGTGACCATACAGACAGATGCAGGTATATAGAAATACATGGGGTTATAGAGTGGTGATACAAATACCTTTAACAGGGACAATCCCAAGTCAAGGGTGTGCTGTGCAGAAAAGGAAAAATGACTGTTGGATGGGGGTGTTGGGCCGATACCAGTTAAGTAGCGGCACCCATGGAAAGCTTCCGCACCTCCCATTCAGACTCGGTCCAATCTTTCTTCTCGCCGAGAACGCAAGTTGCTTGCCGCGAGGCATTCACCAGGAATTTATCGGCGGCGGCGTTCACGTCCTTGGCAGTGACATCCAAGACCTGTTCTCTCCAGCGCTGGTCCATTTCATGGGTGACACCGCTCATGAAATAACGAGCACCTTCATCGTCAACGCTAACAGGAGCATCGAGACCCTGGAAGATGCCAAGCTTGGCTTCTTCGATCTCACGCTCGGACCAGGCACGGTCTCTGGCAAAGATACCACTGTTTTTGAATACCTTCAACGAGTTCAAAGGGTTAGGGTCTCGGTAACTCATGAAGGTGAAGATACCCTTGATGGGTCCATTGCTGGCCCCGGCACCGTAGGCACCTCCCTTCTCACGAATTTCGGGGTGTAGGTAGTTGTGAGTGAGAAGTTGGGACAAGACGCTGAGAGGAGCACTGGATGGATCGATGAATGGCACGGTCTGGGTAGCTTGTCCAGAGTAGTAAACCTTGTATGGCATATCATAGAAGGCCTTGTCGGCTGACTTAAAGGCAGATGTGGTCAAGTTGGAGACTGGGGACTGGGTTTGAGGCAGTCTGGAAATCCACTTTTGCAAAGTAGACTCATTGCGAGCAGCACTCTCCGGTTCGCAGACCATGCGGACGCGAAGGTTAGACGAAGAGATGGCAAATGACTGAATGAGGCGGAGCTTTTCGATGAGCTCCTGGAGACGCTCGGGGGAAGACTCCGCATCCCGGAGCAGGTTAGCCGTGGCTTGCAGTTGCTCAAGACCAGACTGCTGCTCCTGGATCCAGAAACTGCGGGAAAGGCTGGCAGCCGCAGCATTGACGGCAAATCGGTGGCCGGTTCCTGCGATGGCGTCCAAGGCTCCATTGGTGGTCATCCGCAGAAGCTCCTGAATCATTGCGGGGGCAGCAGGGCTCGTGAAGTCGGTCTCTGTAACAAGAACCGAGAGCATTTCCAGCATCTCGGGAATGTTCTCGTCGATAGCGTATCCAGAGAACTGCATACCTTCCTTGAATTGGTCAAGGTGTGTCGGAGACGACACAAGGAAAGACGAGGTTGAAATACCTCCCGTCTTCAGCTTGATAAGATCTTCCCACTGCTCCATGGATCGATTTGCGGTTCCAAGACGCATGACGCAGTCGTTGAACAAAGGCATGAGCAACCGAAGATCATCGGGGAGATCTACAAAGTCGTTAAGGGCTTGGAAGTAAGTCAAGCCGTTGGTAGGGGCTTCGCGCCAAACGACGTCAGTGCCGTCGACCTTGGACTCCCTCACAGGCTTGCGTTCTTTCTCTCTTGAGATATCCTTTACTCTCAAGGAAGGAAGACAGCTCAGGTCGGCGTTGTGGGCATCCTCTTGGATCTTGAGAAGCTCCAACTCCTCCTCTCCAAGCTTGGTGACAGCCTTCTCAACAGATCCGTGCTGCTCGATAAGCTGAGCAAGTTTCGCGTCTTTGCGAACGACCTCCTTTTCGTCAAGCTCTTTGCTAAAAGTGGGCGTACCGACCATGGTAAAGGTCATGCACTGGTCGTTGATCAGATATTTTTCCACCAAAGACTCGAGATAACCAGGCTTCTCGTATCTGGCCTTGAATTCATTGATGACATCATTCCAAGCCAATTCTTTCATGGGGTTTGAGCCATTGAGCCAAGTCGAGATAGTCTTCTCCATCACGCCAATACCAAAGTTGGCGGTCTTGTGACGGAGGGAAAGTTCCAATTGATGAAGGAATCCTTGGACCTTTTCCTTGCTAAAACCAGCTGAAACTGATTCCCGGAAGGAGTTCTGGATCACATCTTTGATAGTTGAGGCATTGGCTTCGCTCACACCGTTAAGGCCAACGGAGAAGATTGGAGTTCGGCCGGAGGAATCAAGGCCAGTGTTTGGTGTGAAGGAAGAGCCAAGTCCACTCTCAACGAGAGCGCGGTACATAGGTGAGCCGTAGCCATCAAGAAGCAGCGAAGAAACGATTCCCACAGAGAAAGTTTCCACGATATCGGTTGAGTCTCCCATGTACCAAGAGGTCGAAGTCTTGTGCTGCTTATCTTCGTCGGCAAAGGTATCAATAGGACCGGGAACAATTACGTTCAATGGGCCCTTGCTGAGGTCAAGGGGTCGCTTTATATCGGTATCGGCTTGTCCCTTTTGGAAACCATCCAGCACGGCACCGATCTGTTGCAGATGATCGGCCAGAGGCATATCACCGTATGTGAGAATCTTGGAGTTGCTGGGGTGATAGTTGCGCTTCGAGAAGTCCGTCAATTGCTTGTGAGTGAGGTCGGTGATATACTCAGGGTCTCCACCCGAGTTATTGAGCGAAGGGAAGATGCTTTCCTTGAACTTAATGTAATAGAGGTAGTTTGCATCCGAGATTTGACCCTTCATCTCATTATAGACCACACCCTTGAACACAATATCCTGCAAGGAAAGATTTTGCTCAACTTGTCCAGGAACCGGCTGCAACGCTCGCGGATCTTCAGGACCCAAGCGCCATCCTTCTTGGCGAAAGTCTGATTCTTTAAGAAGAGGGTGCAGTGTGGCATCAAGATAGACCGACAGGAGGTTTTGGAAATCTTGCTGGTTGGTCGTGGCAAAGGGGTATGTGGTGTGATCGGAGGCTGTGAAAGCGTTCATGAAATTTGATAAGGAGCGAGGAAGCATCTTGAAAAAGGGATCTCGAATGGGATACCTTAAAATGCACGGTCAGCGTTGTATGTTACGATATCCAGGAGTATTCTGCTCACTTTTCACTACCACATAACGTGGTATGTTCCAGAATGTGAGGCACACCAGTAGCATCCGGCGGGTTTGTCTTAAATCCAATTCCAAACACATTGTTTTTATCATCTCGGGCAACATGCATATAGTCGGCATCTGTTTTGTCATGTTTCAACCAAACAGCTGTCAAGTGAAGTTCCGGAACATGCTTCTTTTCATGAAGAGTAAATCCATGGAGCTTCTCACCAACGTTGGGGAAGTTATCCAGGTTAGTCACCGTCGAAGCAGCTCTCAAAGTATTGCGAGAAAGGATACTCGGCTTTAATGAACGACCGAGAGGTTGTCGCAAGCTAGGTACTCGCGCTGTACCGAAGCGCATTGATGAGCGCAACATAATTGTAATTGTTGATATGTTGAAGAATGACCAAAAATCGAAACCCCGGAGTCGAAAAATGTCCAGATTCCGATCGCTTACATCATCCTCTTGCTAGCGTCTCAACCTAGGAGGTCCTAGAGCCTCAAGAATCAATACACAATACTAGTCTAGACCAAAAGAAACATAATAAAGAGAGATTCAATAGTGGTTATATCCCAATCTTCTAGTTTCCTCTCTATATAGACATACTATATGAATCTCTAGAAGAGAACCCTGTGGGAAGAAAGGACATGCGATTGCCTTTTCTGGAACCGATGACTAAGATTCTCCCCTCGTCGAAGTTCTGCTCCGAAAGACCACCGGTTGCTCTTTCCCAAATCGAAACGATAAACAAACGACACGAACATCCCAGAGCCCAGTGATCTCGCTTTTCGGGCCTTGTCTCTGGGATCTCTCATACCTCTGATTGATCCGCCTTCATCCTATCTACATCCCGCCCATTTCCAGCGCAAATTTTCCGAGTCACCCCCGTGACATAGGTTACTCCTGTGTGAATCGCCCGCAATGTCGACAACTACTATGGCAAAAAAGAACAAGGGGAAGAAAACAGCGGATCCCAACGAAACATCGAAATTACTGGCCGCCAAAATCTCACAGCTGGAGCAAGATGCCGCCGGCGAGAAAGACCAAGAGGCGGAAATTGGTGCGTGGCTCCCTTTGTATTCTGCGGTTTCATGAACACTCTTCCTGTTGGCTTGGTGCTACTGGATTCTGTGGTTAGTTAGGACATAAGAGTCAACTAACTTGGAGTTTGATGTATAGAGCGCGAGGTCAAGAAAGCAACCCGGGATCTCAATCAACTGCTAAACAACATTGAGTCGCCCATGACCCGTCTCGAGACTGTCCATAAAAAGTACACCGAACTTTTGGCAGATATGAAGAAGTTGGACCGCGATTACTCCAAGAGCAAGAAGCGGGCCGATCAGCTGCAGAAGGACCAGGACAAGGGAAAGTCCGATCTCAGCAAGACTGTTACAATGAAAGATAAGCTTGAAAAGCTGTGCCGAGAGCTTACGAAGGAAAACAAGAAGGTCAAGGTGGGTCAAACAGTCTGCGCCGAGAGACGGATGCGCCGAGCAACCTGGAGGACCTGTCCGCTAAACCACGTCACAGGACGAGAATAAGAAGTTGGAAGATACCGAAAAGAAAGCGCGCTTGATTGTCAACGAGCGTCTCGATTCTCTTCTCTATGACATCCAAGACGTCATGGCCGCCAAGGGCAACCCCCGCAGTGAGAAGATGGATGTTGATCTGGATGAAGCGTACGATCTCGATTTTGCGTGAGGTTGAAGCTGGGCTATGCTGACTCCAATTTTATAGGCTCCGTGTCAAGCTAAAGACCATCAGTGAGCAGTTCGATACGCGCGATATGCATTACCGGGGCCTTCTCCGGGGCAAGGACTCCGAGATACAAAGTCTTGCCTCCAAGTTCGAGGATCAGCGCCGTGCTGGTGAAGTCGAGGCCAATCGCAGCCGAGCTTTGACCTCTCAAGTTTCCACCTTCTCCCACACCGAGGCCGAGTTGCGCAGCCAACTCAACATTTACGTGGAGAAGTTCAAACAGGTACTATTTCAGCTACTTTGGGGCTCCCATCACCCATTGGACATATCCTGGAATTCCCTGATCACTAACAACCCCCAGGTCGAGGATACCCTGAACAACAGCAACGACCTTTTCCTTACGTTCCGGAAAGAAATGGAAGAAATGTCCAAGAAGACCAAGCGTCTGGAGAAGGAAAACCATACACTGAACCGGAAGCACGAGCAAACCAACCGCAATATCCTGGAAATGGCAGAGGAAAGGACCCGCAATCATGAAGAGCTGGAAAGATGGCGACGGAAGTGCCACCACCTTGAGGCCCTGTGCCGACGCATGCAAGATCAGGGCCGAGGCGAAGGTCTTGCCCTAGCCGAAGGCGTCGATCACCTAGAGGGGGACGACGAAGGCACCGAAAGTGAATACGATGATGACTACGAGGACGACGATGAGGATATTAGTGATGAAGAAGACCTCGAGCTACCCCCTGCCCGAGTCGACCAACCCTCAGAGAAGCCCGTCTTTGGCCCAACTCCGCCCCCAAATCTACTGGAGGCACGAGCAAATGGCAACGCTGCGGTGGTTAATGGCTGTCACTAACCCGATTTTTTCGAGATTCTTCGAATTTATTTGTCGATTCTGATTCAAGCGACTTGGTCACTTTGGATAAAGACGTTTAGTGTCTTGGAGCTTTTACTTTGGCCTCAAGGTAAAGCTTTCTGTCTTTCTGTTGCCTTACATGACTTGCAAGTACAGAACTGCATTCATTTTGAATTGCACATTGTAGAAAGTCTGCCATCTGTTTTTGACTAGTCATGAGGATTTGAGGATTACCAACTCCTCCATGTGAGGTTTCCTCAACTTCATCATGAATGTTCCAAATCTTACCGAGTTTCAAGTGATTTTTTGTACAAGTACATGCCATATTATCAACAATGAAAAGAATATGCCAAAAGAAAAGAGAAGAAACAACGCATTACTTGTGCACAGTTCATTGCGTGATATTTCCCAAAGTCGATCGATATCTATAGTTTACTCCCCGGGCCTGTAATATATGAGCCTCCAACCTTGAGCACATCAACAGCCTGCTCAACCATCTCCTTTACAATAATTCCAGCCGGTTGAATTGCCTTTACACTAGCCGAAACATCACCCATGAGGAATGGCATATCAATATCCTTCTCATTCTCCAAATCATGCATCATCGGCACAACACCCTTAGAAGTCAACGCCGCAATATCAGCCGGTCTCTCCTCCCACTCCTTGATATACTCATTAGGCAGCATACGCAACGGCCGACCAGAGATCACAAGCGTTCGCTTGGTCTCACCGTACTGCGCCGCAACAACGGCCTCTTTGTGCAATCGACTGGCGCCACTCTCCTCAGAAGCCACAAAGCGAGTTCCAACCCAAACACCCGCAGCTCCCAGCATCAACGACGCCGCCAGACTGCGCCCATCATTGACACCACCAGCGGCAACAACCAGCGCCGGCTGCCCAGTCAACGGACTCTTATACCGCCGCGCAACATCCACGACAGCAGGAACGAGCACTGAGAACGGTATCTCACCCGTATGGCCACCTCCCTCGCCACCCTGCGCACAAACAATATCAACGCCGGCCTTGAGCGCCTTTTCGGCGTGTTTAGGCGCGCCGACCATGTTCATAATCAGGATGCCGGCCTCGTGCAGGCGCTTTATTGTTTTTGCGGGTGGCACGCCCACGGCTGAAACGAAGAGGCTTGCGCCGTGGGATATGGTGACTTCAATCAGCTCGTCTAGGTGGCCGTGCGTGTAGTCGTGGTTTGTTGCTCGTGCTGAGCCCCCGACTTGGGGGAGGGCGAGGTCCACCCCGAATGGTAAAGATGGGTCCCGGAGGAGGGACTTCAGCTCAGTGAGCATTTCTGAGAGTTGATCTGGGGTGTAACCTAGTCCGCCTATTGTGCCTAGACCACCGGCATTGGAGACTGCTGCTGCTAGTGGTGCGCCTGAAGCTCGAGCCATGCCGGCTAGTAGGACTGGATGTTGGATTTTGAGGAGTTTGCATAGTGGTGTTTGGAGAGACATGGTGAGGTACTTGTTGGGTATTTGTAGTTCTCAACCTTGGAAATTGTTCAGTTGATTTTATTGTTGAATGTCCACGGGTGTTTTAGAGGATTTAGCTCCAGTATATATGCAGGAGGTGTAGAATATATAGATCTTGCCTTGGAAAAGAATGCGGGGAACCCCCGGACCGAGGCTGGTCGATCTACACTGTGGTTTATGAATTTGCATATTTCCCGCGTTCTTTTATACGCGATTCATTGATTGTAGGTACGAGGTATAAATTATCTGAAAGGGGGCTATTCAATGCTTCGATTTAATTTAGGTACAGTTTATATGTAGCTGTCTACATGTATGTACATATGTATATATGTATGTGAAGTAGCCATCTGTACTCTCATGAACAATATTATATGGAGTAAAAAAGAGGGGGGAAACATTAGATCAATTGGAACTGGAAAGATTCGTGAAAAGTTAGAAATATTTATACATGTAATCTGTTGGGCTTGATTCTTACGATTTTCGATGGTGACCAGTATTGACCAGTTGGCGCAAACTCCCAAAGTGGGAATGTAATTGAACGCGCTAACCGACGCGTGGGCGCGTCAAACCAACCCTTCGCAACCTCATCCGGAGAACTTGCGTCAACAATGATGGCGCCGGATACACAAAATTACGGCTTCTTATGCCCTCCAAGGTAAATACTCTTGATCTATCATTCCGATTGCAGTTGTTGCCTATGGCTTTTGCTGACCGTTGAATGCCCTGTGCTCTGATAGCAAGGAGGAGCAGGAACAAGAACCAGTCTACCGCACACCGTCCCATTACAAACCTTATTCGACATTTCATCTACCAACTGGTGCTGGACGGCACTACAAGCAGCAATATAGCGACGTGTATTTCTTGCGACTCGCCAAATTGAAGCCCAGCGTGGAACAAGTAGCCACGGATGCGTGGGAGGGACTAGTTGTAAGCGCTCTCGGTCCTGAACGGCCTCGTTCGGGTCTGGTAAATCAAACTATCTGACATAAAAATCACTATTCAGATTGCCGGAGAGAAAGTGCGACGGGTTGACCGAGTCCTCGATGTCCGACAAGGCGAGCTGTGCTGGGTGGCCGGCACGGTGTACATGGACCTACCAATGAAGCCCAACATTTTGGATGATCTCACAAAAGAGGTCAGTCTTATGATATAATGCCAGTTGGTTTTTGCGGCTGCTAACAATCACAAGAACTTCACATCTGCACCACCTCCTCGCCGCACCTACACCGACCCCTCCAACCCCTCTTTAACCCAGATAATGATGGAAGATGAGTCCGGCCGCTTACGACTTACCGGAAACTTTTTACGCTCTACCCAACTGGCTACAGGTGCCATTGTTGCTGCCCTTGGAACCGAGAATGCCAATGGAGACTTTGAGGTTATTGATATTAAATTGCCGGATCTGGCTCCGCAACCTCAACGTTGGGAAGGCATGACCCCGGAGAATGGATCTGAAATTACTGGAAAGGAGCACGGCAAGATCGCTTTCGTCAGTGGTCTAGGAATTACAGGAACATCGAGCGATACTCTTGCTTTGGAACTATTGACAGATTATCTCCTTGGCTATACAGGATTCTCAGGCAACGAAGAAAACAGTCCTTCCTCGAGCGCCTCAAAAATAACCCGCTTGGTGATTGCGGGTAACTCGCTCGGAGCCAGTGTCACAGTTGATGTGGCAGCATCATCTGCTGCAAAGGCTCAACCGAAAAAGTATGGTTACGATGCCTCTGCATACAACGCCTCGCCTGTCACACAACTTGACAACTTCCTCGCGGAGATATTGCCCAGCATTCCCGTGACACTCATGCCGGGCGAGAAAGATCCTGCGAACTTTTCTCTTCCCCAACAGGGCATTCACCGCGCCATGTTCCCCCAGGCACGTGCATACTCGGCGCCTCCTCCTAAAGTCGACGAGAAGACCGAGCCGGGTTGGTTCGATAGTGTGACGAACCCCTGGGATGGCGAGGTGGAAGGGTGGAGACTGTGGGGGTGTAGCGGTCAGAATGTCGACGACGTCCTCCGGTATCTCACTATTGAAGGCGGCGACAGCAGCCCAGACGGCAGCAACGATTCTGATGCCCGTATTCGCATCATGGAAGCTATGCTCCGCTGGCGCTGTGGCGTTCCCACCGCGCCTGACACCATCTGTATGTTTGGTCTCATTATCCTACTCCGTGGGTTATTACTAACATTCTCCAGGGTCTTATCCATACCAATCCGATGATCCGTATGTTCTTGAATACTGTCCACATATCTTCTTCGCTGGCAACCAGCCGGAGTTCAAGACTGCCACCATTGAAGGCGATGTCCCTCTCCGTCTAGATGGCGACACCGAGATGACGAATGCTGACGATGGCTCCGATCTTCCCCGTGTTCGATTATTGGCAATTCCCAAGTTCAACGAAACCGGTGAACTGATTTTGGTTGATAGCGAAACGCTGGAAGTTGAGGTCGTTCGGTTTGGCATTTTCAGAGGGCAAGAAGAACAAAAATGAATTGAAAGATATGCCTGTTTAAAATGGCACTAATAAAATATATCGCCGTTTATAAAAAATAGTAGGACAGGACAGGACAGGACAGGACGGGACGGGCATAGATCGAATCGTGGCCTGCACCAACCTGCGTGATGCATTTGACATGTGTACCTTTGCCTCCTGGGAAATGTTTACAATATTGTACCCTTGCAAATATTCTCGTTCCGGTCGCCCTCCCAAGCCAATTGATAGGCTCCGCGGATCGAGCCCCCCAATACACTCACGCAGCGGTCTGCGCGGGTGCAAGTGGGGCCCCGGGGACAGCATCTCTGTTATTGGCTGCATCACTCTGTCTGGGCATCCCACACATCCACGATGGGATCGATCAGTGGTTGTGCCTTGCGTTGGTTGATATCCCTTCAGACGATTCTTCAGCGCGCGGAGCTTTCAACGTTACGGTTGTACACGGAATGTGTCCAGCTTTGGGAGTATATTTTGTCTATCTAATATCTTGATCCTGTTTTCCTGTAAATCATCTCGAGCGAAAAGAAATTTAATTATACATATAACTGATTACAAATGACCTTATCTACCGAAGCTATCGTTGCAATTGTTGCATTGTTTATTGCCGTCGCTCAATTGTTCTACACTATTTGGAAGACTCTGCTCAAAGATAAAACAAAAGCAACAAAAGCGCAGTCAGGTAGTGAGAAAATTTCGATTATGAGGATTCATGTGCTCATTGTTTAATAGCTACCAGTCCGACAGCAACGGAAAATCCACGGAATACAGAGCAACATCTCGAGGAAGGATGGGGGTCTCAAAGTGACAGACATAGTACGCTATATTCTATATGTCTTGTGGTAGACCTGACTGATCTTAGATGCTCTTCTCTAGACCATAAACAAACCGGGGTCTTCTACTCAGAGCGGGTGTTTCATCTAAGGCGCTTTGATTGATCAATGGTCTTGGGTAATAGTTGTGATTCCTTCGCAATTCAGCGAAATTTCGTCTACTGTACTATCAGAATCTCGGGATACAACTTATACATTTCTGTTGTGTGTTCTATATCGCTTTAGGTTCAGCGGCTTCGACAGAATGAGGCCATTACTATGGTGGTTACTCATAAATGAAAATATGACTTGAGGAAGCATAGTTCAGTGTTATTTTTCAGAACTTTGACCAGATTGTATGAGTATCTTGTGTACGAAGAGTTGTTCTATAGCAATGTGAAGTTGATACCCGGAGTGACTCCACGCGCCAAGACCCACATTTGGAAGATTCCATCCCACCAACTTTCCTTGCCATCTCTTTCATACTTTCCTTCTTTTCATTGAGATCACTATAGAATTATACGAAATCGTATCGCTCGATATGAGCACATCTAGCTGATTGATTTTAAATCCACAACCAAGAAGATATCCGTCCAAACCTTCACAATGTTGCTCAATGCCAACATCGGTAAGTGCCTGCTATACCCACAATTTATATCCTTCCCCAGAAAGCTGGCACCTGGGCATATGGACAGTTTGAGACCAAGATAAAACAGAGTTAGCTGATCGTACTAAATTACATGAACACAGCCCTCTCTTCATCAAAAGCTCTCCTAGTCCCATATTCATCGTGGCACGTACCTCAATACCATGAATGGATGAAAGACCCGGTGAGTAACGTCGTCATGAAATTAACTCAATTTCGCCTTTCGATGAAAACCACCCACTAACAACCCCCTAGGATATCCAAGAAGCAACTGCCTCAGAGCCATTAAGCATAGAAGAAGAATACTCGATGCAACGCAGCTGGCGCCAAGACGCCGACAAATTAACATTCATCGTCTGCCGAGCAATATCAACAGGCTCCGAAGGCGACATTCCAAGCCAAAGCCAGCTCCTAGGTGAAAGTGACTCGCCGGCCAGCATGGTCGGCGACATCAATCTGTTCCTCCGCATTGACGATGGCGACGAAGGCAACAGCCCGCCGCAAATCGTCGGCGAGATCGAGCTCATGGTGGCCGAGAAAGTGAACCAGCGGCGCGGATTTGGGCGTGCGGCGCTGCTTATGTTCATGAGGTATATTATTCAGAATCAAGGGGCGATCTTGGATGAATTTGTTGGTGGGGGTGATGTTGATGTAGAGACTGTGAGAAAGTTAAAGACTGGGGTTGAGACAGCGGGATCGTCGGAGGGTTTATCGCTTGAATGTTTTAGTGTTAAGATCGGACAGGCGAATTTGAGGAGTTTGGCGCTGTTCGAGTCGACGGGTTTTGTGAGGTGTTCGGATGAGCCGAACTTCTTTGGCGAGTTTGAGTTGCGATGTACGGATTTGAGTCTTGGGAGCATCGATGGGGCGCTTGATAAGGCTGGTGTTAAGGGGTTTATTGCTTTGCCTTATGGACGTACGGAATAAAGCAGGGTTGTGGATACTTCCAAGTATATAGCATTTCATCTTACTCAAAACTATAATAGGACAACTATAACGACAGATTCTCGTAGCAGCATTCCCCAATGGCTTGTCTCCGTTTCAAGTTCAAGCAGAGAATAAAGCAGGGCCCGGAATAGGATAGCTGGTCAGCGTAGTGTACAGATTAAATAAGATGCCAGCATCAGTATTCTTGTACAACGCCTCACCGAGTGTGCCAGCAGGAGTAGCACTACCGCCCCCAGTTACCTGCAAGTTGATACACTGCGGGTAATTCTGAGCCCCATTCAATTGACCTGCAGAGTGAAGACCGATAAGCTCATGGCGCATCACATAGTTACCGGCAGCAATAGTCGAGGGGATTGTAACTGTCCACCGGTTCCCAGCAGCGATGAGCTGGTCTGTAGCCCATGTGCCCGGTGGAGTAGACCCATCGATGAGACCCTTCTCTTCAATCTTGAAGAACTCCAGAGTGGCTTTGTCGACTGTGCTACAGTCTCCATTGCATGCAGCCAGATATGTGATGACTGGGCCGTGGTGAGAGTCTGGCCAGGGTGTCCATTGAATATCGATGTTGGAGCCTGCGGTAACGGTAGCGCTCAGCGCGGCGTTGACTCCATTCCGGTGACATATTATGTTCGGCGCTTGGTATTCGGTGCCGTCTTCGAAACCGAGGTCTGTGGCTGTTGTCGCCCAGCCGACACTTTGGGGAGGGTTTGTCATGTACGGATACTTGTCGACAAGATAGCCGGTATAGCTAATAGTGGGATTAATTGTCAAGTTATGGAGGGGTTGTGTTTAGGACTCTTACTTTTGGCCGTTAGCTACTATACTGGAAACGTAGCCATGGCCTGCAACAAGGGAGGCAGATACAAGAAGAGTTGATACGGTAGCTAGCTTGGAGAATGCCATGCTGTTAAAATATCTCGTGAAAGCTTGGGTGGGTTTTGGAAGGAGTAGGAATTGAAACATGGGACGGTTGATCTATATACCTCAATTCCATGGTCCTACTAGATCCAATTCAGCAGTCTGTGTGACCATTTATCTACCTTAAAACATCTACCTGGGCTTCCTCTTTTGCATGTCCGTTCTGGCCTTGGAATAGCCTCGGACAAACTTCTCTTGGCTGCGACACCTCATCTACAAAAGCAGAACGTCAACAGTGACCGCAAGTGCTTGTTGGTGGAAGATCATACAGCTGTGACTGTTTATGATTTATGGATCTAAATAGGAAACCCTCAGTGTCTGAGAACACGGGAGCGAAATGTATCACAGTCATGGGGTCAGCTTCGCCATGCCAACGAAGAACGCCACTTAACTCACAATGTTAGATATCAGACCCTTCATACCTAATGGATGTATAGGTATACATCCATGGATATTTTGCGGAGTGCAGAAGCCATGGGCAAGTATATCCGGGGTAACTTCCATCGCTAAGTTCTGCAGCCAAGAATGGTAATGCGTTGTGATGATCCGGGGTAGCGGGCCGACCGGCAATTGAGCAATTGCATACGCAATATATTGTTATGATCCGTAGTCCTTCATTTGAGATGTGATGCCAAGAGGACCTGCGACGTGCCAAGCAATACAGTCCTAGAGAGAGTAATATGTATAGGAGCTAAATGCCGTGGCCTGGGGAGTAATGATCTACGAAGGTGCCCATGTCCTTGGCTAGAAATTCGTTGTTTGATCTTTAGATGCTCACAATCAATGATCCTACAAGTTCATTACATTTGGAATTGAGGATGTAACCTTCCATTTTTTATGCTAACATTATATATATATATATATATATGCATGTAGAATGCGAAAGTGTCTAGGACCAGCAAGTGATAACAAGACTGGCGACAATAGAATCATTCAATGAAATGTGAGTGACAAATTCACTGCAAATGTTAGTGATGACATGTCAGTCCATTTTATCCAGATCCTGTTTACATGCGCATGCAATCCGATGACCATGAAGAATTCTGTCAGCCCTAGCATGTACAGCCAGAGAAAAGAAAGTCCACCCCCGCTCATTGAGACAAGCCATCATATTATCCGGGAACTTATCCTCTTCAGACATCAACTCGCGGAGCAGGTTGTAGCAGTCGACGGAGTCATCTCGAATAATTCCGGTGATAAGATCGTTGCAGGCATTAAATGGTTCTTCATTCACAAGTAGCTGCCATATCATGGACTCGGACACCGCAGAGCTGGGATTCAGACACCACTGATTGCTCACGCGGTCACTAATATAGTCGCGTACTTTTCGACCCATCATCCAGTTTTTGACCAATTGTTCTAAGACTTTGTTATTAGTTTTCATCAGCTTTTTCATGGCGCAGAAGCTCTGGTGGGTTAGTTCGACACCGCTCCATAATATCTTGCCTAACATATCGAAGACAATCTCTACTGGGCACACACTAAGGTTCCCTGAAAGAGATTCAAGAGCATTGTTGTTGCATATTCTTTTACAGCCATTTCCATGAATTGCTTGGACTGAAACGGGTTGAAATATACATTGATATCTGAAGAACATCAGGGAACAAACAAGACCCATGATGGTGAGATATCAATGCTACCGAAGTGGCTATTGTTGCTGAACCTTCATTTCGAGATGTGAGTAAACTTATATATCCACAAAAAGAAACCAGAGGGCCTAGTGGGTATGGCCTTCTTTGAGATTAGAGCAATAAAGACATTCACACGCGGCAGTTCATAATTGTTTTGTACGTGACAATGGGATTGTGTTTATTGTAATAAGATGTGTGCTTTGAGCAAACTTCCGAAGACACAGCTACCTGTTGTAACCAAATCAAGTCCTCTGTCACAGTATTGTATATGTAAGTACCATCCAAACTGCCTGTTACCTATCCTCGATGGATACCCATGGACAGGCCTGGAACTTATATATGACCGAGATTTCAATTCTCGACGAAAGATCTCATCCAATTGGTAAGTCGCGGCCGTCAGAATATAGTCGTACATAGGTACTCTAGATGAGTTTAAGCAGCTCCTACTTTGTTTATATGTACAAAGAAACATAGGTCTCAGCGTCTCGGAACATTGAACAAAGGCCTCTGGAGTTGCGATTATGATGCGGCAAGTCATACATGGCTACGAAATGATCGAGGAAGAGCATACGGACGATGAAAATGGCAATAAACGGCTCTCCACCAACGTGATAAGCAGAAGCGAAAGCAAAAGCAAAGAGCCAGCGAGATCCTTCAACAAACAACCAAAGCGGCGCAAACCAGGGCCCGAAAGCAGGTTTTCAAAGACCGATTTGATGGAGTAGCCACCGCGCCGGCTAGGGAGGTAAGATCCAGGCCCGCGTGCACCACTGCAGGACTATATTTAGTATACTAGCAAGTGCTCGACGGCGAGGAGCAGCCCGGGGACAACGATAGGCACTAGATTCCGTGAGCTCAATTAGCATTATCACAAGGGACGTGCTCCACAAGGCTGAGATTGAAGAAGTGGGCAAAATCAAGATCAATGAGCAGGGTGACGGGAAAAGGTGGCGATCGTGGTTAGAATGATGTTGAACTTGGAGATCGGAGTTTTAAGGCTACAGTCGATAACTATCCAATCTATTTGTCCATAAGTGCGACTAAAGTCGTAGTCGAACAGTCATTCCATGATAAGAATAATGGATTGGGAGTCTCAACTGAAAGAGAGAACCTAGTAATGGTATTTCAACTGTTTTTTTCATTGGTTTGTAGGGACCGGAAGCTCCGACAAAAGCGTTCCTCGAGTGCGTCCAGAAAATGCGAGTCGTCTGACCGGTGAATAATAGCAGCCGGTGTCAAAGACGCAAAGAAAACCCCTCCGGCGCAAACTTCATGCTCCACGCCACGGAGACATTCCCGTGTCGGCTCGCAGAGGGACCAAGCCCATGTCATGTATCCCCCCAACAGTTGGTCTTGCATGTATCAACAACCAATCACGCCGCACTCCGATCATCCATCCATTCCATTGTCACCGAATTTAGTTGGACTTCTTGGTGCCCTTGGAGACGTCAACGACCTTGAGGGCTGTGAAAAGAAAAGCAATTGTCAGCATATGTTCAGCGCGGAATCCGATTTCCATATCCCAAAGTTGTATTTTATTTTCAAATTTCCGAACTTTAACACAAGACGGCGGAGTGGCGCGATCGCAACGTACCAGGGGGAAGGGACTGCTTGAGCTTGTCGGCCTTGTCGGAATCCTTCAGGACAAGGGTGTACAGGTTGGTAGAGCAGCGGACCTTGAACTTGGTCTGCTGGGTCTTGCGGTTCTTCTTGATACCGGCGGCTAAAGGCGTAAACAGTCAGCATCGATCACGAACATCGAAGTCCTGTTTCGGGTCTGAAAATTGGCGGAACGTACATGAGGCATCCTTGCGGCGGCAGATCTCAATGAACTGCTTGATATCGGAGACTTCGGAAGGCATGATGACGGTTGCGGGTGTTTTAAAGCAAGGTGCAAAAGAGAAAGCTCACTGTCGACACTGGCCTCTAAGATGACTGTGTGCGGATCACATTAGGGCTTGGAGCTGCGGAAGCCCTCTTTTCTTAGTCATGCGTATGATGCCTCAGGCTTTCAAGGAGGGGCTGGTGTGGCTGGTGAAATAAACGTGGCTGGTGTTGTGGTGGCGGCGGGTGGATGAGACGAACGGTTGATAACGGTTTCATTCTCCGGCTCCTCCACCATGATGTGAGGTGATGTGAAGTCGTAGAATGTCATTGGACGATTTATCCATCGTTTATCAACAGTATATCCGGGCCACCTTTTCGAATTCCTACTTCCCAACCGTGAGTGGTGCCGCAGTCGCTGCGGTGGTTGAATGTCCGGGGGTTCAAGATCCATTCCCTCCAGATCCACGCTTTGCCGGGCAGACTGTCCTTTTGCCGTAACATGCAGGTGGACTCGGTACTTTTTCCAAAATGCGATGCTGCACAATATGTCAATCTCTGTTTGGTATTGACGCTTCACCGAAGATCAACCATACCCTTGAATTATGGCACCCCCAACAGCAACGACAAAGGTAACAGAGGACAAGAAAATGACTGCATCCATGCCGTCACTCATCAAAATGGGCTTGAGGTCATTAGGAGTGGTTTAGAACAAGAACGAGAGACTGGATATTATAGATATGCGTTGCAATGTAGTAGTAATATTGGTACAATGAAGTGACAAATTGTGTCAAACTATGTTTTGAACTACTCAGTATTTACGTTTGCAATTGATTGATGGAAAGTGCTATGCATATAGTGGAAGTCGTTGAAGTCGTAGTATATGAAGAAGTTGCAGGTATAATCAAGGCAACAGCGAAGGGTGGCGTGGAGTGGCGGTGCTCCGAACTGACATCTAACTCACATTCAATACTTTCACATATGTGTCTTTTGCACCGTGTCCCTTCATAAAGGTCGTTCTTTTTCCTCTTTTTCATCCAGATTCAAAGTCAAAAGATCCGAACATTTTTGAAACACGTCAGGTATTAAGGACAATTACATCATACTTCAACATGCCGACCCCTTTAGATCGAGCATTGAATTCCAAGGTACTATCACTATATTTATATCTAAGATGGATATCTAATGCTCTCTAGAACCTTTTCCTTGGTACATGAACCTGATTTGAAGCACCCGATTATTTTTCTGACCACAATTCCCATGTAGGGTTTGCAGGAATGGTCACAGCAGTGGCAGCCTTTTCCATATGGGGCAGCGATGTCCTGCCTGCCCAAGCTGATCCCACTGGCAGTGAGTGCAAATTATGTTATAATGCAAATCAAAGACTGATGACGTCTAGACCCAGAAGATTGGACATTGGATGAAATAAAAAGATGGCTTCGCGCAGTATGTATTTGGTGACTTGGTCTAGCCCGACCAAGTAATAATGATACAAAGCTTTTGGATCTCACACTGACCAATCAAACCAGAGAGGACTGTTGCCAAACGAGAGTGCGACGCGCGAGGAGCTACTCGAAAGAGTCAAAGCAAACCTGCGCATACCACGCAAGACATCGGCTGGGCCGTGATTTCCATAAAAATGGGAGTACACATCGATATTTCCTTTTTTCCCCTGGCGTTTGATTCCCTAGTTTTGAAAAATTCAACAAGTCGTCTATATTACTTGCATTATTCGTCGATGATCCAATATCATTCGTAATTGGCGTGGATCTTTGGGAAACCGTTCATTCGGTGGCACATCATACGACGTGAGGTATTATGGCAATTCATTAGGTGAGCTTTTTGTAGTTTGTCGAAAGCAGCGATTGCGGTGGTTCAAACAACCAGACGGAAGTTCTGGCTTTGGATCAAGAAGTCCTTGCGGCCTCGCACACGGTCGGCGGATGGGTTCGGGGTCAACACGATGGTTTCGCTAAATCCGCGCTGCGGTTGATCGCGGCTTTCTCCATAGCGCACCGCTCCACTGACGAGAATGACAAGCGACATGTCCTTGACTCCCATTTCCGATTGCGGCTTCACTCCGCCACTCGGCAGGAGGGTAGGGTAGGCCTTGTTGATGATCTGACAATCATATGATTGGATCTCAAAGCTCGAAGGCGGCATTTGGTTGATGAAGATGTCTTGTACTGCGGCGCCGTCCGACACAGGGTTTCCATTGAATATGATAGTTTGCGGGTTGGCATCGTAAAAGGAGCTGATGGATTCACGGTTTGACCTCAAGGCCTGGTAAAATGTTTGGACAAATTCGGTCGCAGCTAGATAAGGCGAAAGCAAAAGTCAGTTACTTTCATGGGATAAAATAGCTTCCTTCAAACCTACCTTCGGTGGAAACCTTGGTCAAGGTATCGTCGCTCACTGACGCCATTGTGATCGGGTGGATTAATTCAATGAATGTACAGAGTAGAGGCGCAACAGTGAAAGCGTAGAAAAATGGCCGAGACTTGCGGAGAAGCTCGGACCACCCGAAATCAGTCGCGCGGAATACCATGCGCAATACTTTGACTTCCCTTTATCACATCCTCAATGGCTGCGAGAATGCCACTGCGCTCGTTATTTAGGACGTCTCAGCTGATTAGCTCGAGACGTCCGTGGACCTGCACATCCTGCAAGCATGGCTGGAAGATTCCCAGGCGCGGAGTTGCTACTGGACCCCAAAAGTCCAAGCCGTACTATGTGACGACACCGATTTTCTATGTCAATGCTGGTGAGTGCTGCTCAAGCATTTTTTGAAATAAGATTCTAATCTTCTGTCTCATTCTAGCTCCTCACGTCGGTCATTTGTACACTATGGTCATCGCCGACATCATGAAGCGTTGGCAGGTCGTGCTCGGGAATACAGATGCTCAATTGTTGACCGGAACCGACGAGCATGGCATGAAGGTATTGCAGAGACAATTGTTGTATGGATTATGGATGATAGTTGACATCATTCCTAGATCCAGCAAGCCGCTATACAAGCCGGCATGGACACACAGGCATTTTGCGACATGAACTGCCGAACCTTTGAGGTATGAATCTCTCACTCTAATCCAGCAGCGTAGCTAATTTTTTTTTTTAATATCGTATAGGCTCTAGTGAAAGCTGCAAACCTTGACAACGACCATTTCATCAGGACCACCGACCCATCGCATCGAGATGCTGTTCAATATTTCTGGGTACGCGGCCGCAAATTCTTATGATAGAGCATCACTGATCAATAGTAGGAAATGCTCCAACACCGGGGATATATCTATACTTCGAAGCACGAAGGCTGGTACTCAGTCAGCGATGAGACATTCTATCCCCAAGCGCAAGTGCAGAATTCCTTGGATCCGACAACAGGCCGGAAACGCATGGTAAGGAACCCGGAAGCACGATAGTCAGTAAAGTACTCACCTCGCATAGGTTTCGATAGAGACTGGGAAAGAGGTTGAGTGGTCCTCCGAGACCAACTACCACTTCCGCCTCTCGGCCTTCAAGGATCGTCTACTTGAACTGTACAAGAGGGAGGATTCCTTTATTACCCCTACGTCGTACACATCTGCTGTGATCAATTCCGTTATCACGGGTTTGCAGGACCTCTCGATTTCTAGACCCGTGGAACGTCTGACATGGGGTATCCCGGTTCCCGGCGATGCTTCGCAGACTATCTATGTGTGGTTAGATGCTTTGGTTAACTACCTGACCAAAGCTGGATACCCGTTCCCGCCCGGGAAGGAAATCACATCTGCATGGCCTGCGGATTTGCACATTGTTGGTAAAGATATCGTTCGGTAAGTTCACGAATTCACCCGAATGGGGTGCAAAGCTAATCGCCCGGTAGATTCCATTGCGTTTACTGGCCTGCATTCCTTATGGCACTTGACCTTCCACTGCCCCGGAAGGTCTTGGTGCACGGACACTGGACGATGAATCGCGAAAAGATGTCCAAGTCTACAGGAAATGTTGTAAATCCATTTTTCGCCATTGAACGGTTTGGAGTCGATGGTATGCGGTTTTTCCTAGCTTACCGGGGAGGTTTATCGGAAGATTCGGATTTCGATAACTCGTTTATTATCCGGGATTATAAGAAATGGCTCCAGAATGGCCTCGGAAACCTTGCTCAGCGCACAATCGGATGTGCGCGTGGCAATTTGCGGTCGTGCATTGTAGATGCCGCGTCTGATAAGCTTCCAACTGCCACCCCCGAGGACCTGGAACATCAAACAATGTTGGTACAGGCGCCCCCCAAGGTCGCCGAGCTTATGGAGAATCTGAACCCTCGTGCCGCGTTGCATGGAATTATGAGCATAATCGAGCAGGTAAGATGCGATCGCCCCCGCACGGCTTCCGAACTATTATTGACTTTTGTCTAGACCAACAAGTACTTCCATGCTGCGGAGCCGTGGAAAAGTCCCGAACCCCAACGGGTGCTCTACAATGTGGTAGAATCGTTGCGGATTGCTGGCATTTTATTGCAACCGTTCATGCCCGGCAAGTCTCATGACCTTCTAGAAATGCTCCGTGTAGATACCTCGGACCCCTCCAAGCGGGCATTCGCGGCCACGGCGTACGGTTCGGATCCAGATTACGGTGAGGGCGTTAAGAAAGGTATTCTTTTCCCTCCTTTACTCACAGAGGAGTAATGTCCTGTTTTTGAGCTTTCAATTTGATAAGAGGAATCGACTGGGGACCAATGAGGATCGACCGAGAATAGAGATTTGCATCAATTCCGCTCTTAGATGCACCAGTCTGAGGTTTTTTTCCCGGGTCCTCCACAAGTTGAAAGCTGAGACGCTAGGTTTCCCTCGCCCGGCCACTCTAAAAGAATTCGATATGTCATAACTCCACTATAATTGGGGAATGGCCTTCAAGGTTATCGACGGGAAAGATTGGACGAGAATCGTGGACTGCGGGACAGTCCTATCAAGTCGGAAAACTCGACTTTTCCGCCGGGAAACATTTGCCCTACTTTGTTTGTATACCATGTATATCAATGTTTCAATATTTGTATGGGCGTTTTGAATGTTTCAATATTTATTTATTCTCATCCTGACATCTCCTTATCTCTCTCTATTTTGGTCAATCTGGTTATTTTATACCCAACTGTGGTGTAACGACTCACTATTTTGGGAAACTTATCCTTTATACTTCTGATCCTACGATTCCTCCGGCGAACGACGAAATCGTTCATTCTCTTCCATTTGTTCAACACATATAAAAATGGGGAGCATTGACATTTCCGCCTGCGACGTACCGCAGTTGAAGACGCCATGGATCGAGACACCCTTGGTCGAGTCCGCCTGTCTCTCTCGGGCAGCTGGATGTAGGATCTTCCTGAAGCTGGAGAACGTCCAGCCTAGTGGCTCTTTCAAGTCCCGTGCTATGGGCAACCAGATTCTCTCCCACCTTCGAAACCCTGAAAATGTAGGCCGCCGAGTCCACTTCTACGCTTCATCAGGAGGCAACGCCGGCCTAGCAGCCGTCTGTGCAGCCCGGAGCCTGGGATACCCTTGCACCGTTGTGGTCCCCATGGGCACCAAGCCCTTGATGCTTGACAAGATCCGGGCCGCAGGTGCAGCGGACGTCATCCGTCACGGCGAGACCTTCTCCGAGGCAGGAGAGTACATGCGGGAAACTATCATGAAGACCAGCAACGGCAACGACTACGATGTGATTAAGATTGCCCTGCACCCATTCGATAACCAGCCCATCTGGGAAGGAAACAGCACCATCATCGACGAGCTCGAGACTCAGCTCCCTCCCGCCACCAGCCCCGAAGACAAAAAGGCCTACAACGACCGGGCCCTCCCCTTAGATTCCATCATCTGCAGTGTCGGTGGCGGTGGTCTCCTCAACGGCCTCGTCCAGGGCATCGAAAAGCGCCGACAGAAAAAGCAGGCCACCTCCGCATCCACCCCCAACCCCATCCATCTCCTTGCCATCGAAACGGCCGGTACCGATTCCCTGGCAGCAGCCATCGCCAAAAACTCCCTCGTCTCCCTCCCCAAGATCACATCCCAAGCCATCTCCCTCGGAGCCGTTCGCGTCTCGGAAACAACCTTCCAATACGCCGTTTCCCCGCCCCCAGGCATCCAGGTGCACAGCGCCGTGCTCTCAGACGCAGACGCAGCACGCGGCGTGCTCCGCCTCGCCAACGACGAGCGGCTCCTCGTCGAACTTGCATGCGGCGTTTGTGTAGAGGCGGCCATCGGCGACGCTGCTTCTGCTGTCTCCGCGTCGGGGCCTGCCGGCGCTCAGAGCATCAAGAAGCGGAAGAGGGGATCTAATGATACCGTCGTCTCCTACCGTGATGAGGGGTACGGGGATGACCGGTCCATCTCTACGGATAATGAGACTGACCTAGAGACTGACGCGGAGCTCGGCGATGCTAAGCTCAACTCTAAGCTCAAGCAGCTCGTCCCCGATCTCAACCCTAACAGCAGGGTTGTTATCATCGTCTGCGGTGGTAGCTATGTCAATATTGATATGGCTTCTGAGTGGCGCAAGATGCTGGATGAAGGGTGGGCATGATTTATTGATGATGATTGAACTTGTTATTTTTTTTGATACCTCTTTTTTTCGACTTCTATGTTTAATTTGCGGCACTACACCTTTTGTTTTGTTTATTTCTCTTCTGGAACCGGGTTTGTTTATATTCAACTGCAATCCTCTTGATAGAGTTCTTTTTTACATTTGCATCGTTCATCTATACAAATTATACAGTGAATTTTTTTAATCAAAAAGGAAATTTCAATTGGACGCAATCAATCTCGATTCATGACCCAAGATCTTAAGCCCAATAAACGTATTCACAAAAAAGAAGATCAGGCCACATATCAAACAGCCTTTGCACCAACTCAAGCCACAATCTGATCCAATTTCCGAATGCGATAATCCCAATAATTCTTCCGAATAGGATCATACTTCTCCTTGAGCATAGTGAACATACGAACCGCCTCCGCCTCCGCGCCGTTCCCCGCATGCAAATCAGCCAACCACTCAACAGCATGCGAACTCTTAACGGCACCTTCCGAAACGAAGCCCGCAACAAACTTCTCCCACTCTCCAAGCTCCCTCCCAGCAGCCCTCAACACACCCCGCGCATACCACCACGGACTCCGATTCTCCGGCGCGCGCAGAATAGCCTCCTGCGCGAACTTCAGCTCGCCATCGATAACGTCCTCATCGACCAGTGGCAGCCGGCCCTTGTCGGCCGGCGCCGTGCTCATATCGCCTGCATTCACCATCCCCGCGTCTGGCGAGGAGGTGTCCCGCGGTCCGAAGCGCAGCATGTACCTGTGGTTCCAGGCGGAGTTGTTGCGCACGTCGGCTTTTAGAAGAGCTTCCACGTCTTCTAGCTCGCGGGGCTCGTCCCAGAGCTGGAAGTGGCGCACAAGCCAGTGGCGATAGGTCCATACGTGGTAGTTCTTTGAGTCTTGGGCGAACATCTCCATTAGGAAGTCTGCTTCTTTGGGTGGGAAGGTTGGGAAGTGTGCTTTTGATGACATTAAGACTTGACGGTGGTGCCTAATTGAGGTGTTAGTTTTTTTTTTGGCTTTGTCTTGTTGTCCTTTCGTCTTTGTGGTTTATTCGGGGTTGTCGGACATACCAGATTTGATAATTTTTGAGATATTTTAATGAAACATCATTCAGCCAGCTCAACTCCTCGTTGATGTCTCTTTCCAGTGCAAAGAGGATCTTTGCTCGGTAAATCCTGTAAATGATATTAGATATGTGGTGGCTTGATGAGGAGGTAGCATTAATTAGCCAATCAACTTACCATACGGTGTAGTGCGCCGGGTTCATCGAGATCACATTCTCGGTTAGCTTTAATGCCCGCTCAGACATCTCGTTGGCGGCCATCACGGCACGCAGATATGATGTCGCCTCGAGATACTCGGGTGGGTAGGCGATGGTAGCCAGCGGCATGGCGCCCGAGCTTGAGCCATCGTCCAGCTCAATTGGGGTGATGTCTGCCCATTCAGGATTGGCAGAATAGTCTCCTTCCATTTTTAAGTGGCGGAGATATAATTGGGGGGGGGAAAGAGACCGAGTGCCGATGCAATCAAATGGTGGGGTACAAAGATAGCAAATGCACAGGATGACTTAGGATTGACTTCAAAGAATGAGATCTGCCGTGATGAGATCAAATTATGTAACTTCAATCAATCAACCTTTTGTTTAAATGAAAAACGTCTGAATCCAAGACCGAAGACGCGAAATGCGGCGGATATAAAACATGAGGTGGAGGTGGGGCGCGTCAGTGCCTCAGGCGGTAACAAAGAAAAGCCGAACAATACGAACGAAACTCGTTCTTCCTATTCTTCTTTCTTGTTCAATGGGAAAAGAAATAGAAGAAAAAAAAAGATTCGATGCTATTATTGATAATTCCACAGTCTCTTCTGCTCTTCAATCCACCATTTCCCCACTTTCTCGGCATCCGATAGCCACTTCCCGGCCTCGTCTCCATGTTTTCTTTGTACATGACCAATTAATTCCTCCAAAGACCAACCATGCAATGGATTCAGCTCGTCTGGATCTGTATCCAAATTTGAAAACATATACTCGAAGTCCTCGCTGAGTGGCAATATGAGCCGATACGGAACTGCCGCGGACCCAACACTGAGCATTGTTCCTCCAGGGTTGATGATGCCAAAATTCCATGCTTGACGGCCATTGTGGGTAGCTTGGTATGGGCGGATTAGTGACTGTCCCTCATATTCGTTCATAAGATCTAGAGCTACGCTCGAGTCCATGTCGTTCAATGACCCGGAGTTGACCAGTAGATCGAGAATGGTTGGCACAACAGACATTGACGTTGCATTGGCTGTGATCTGAAGCCTGGGCAATAGCGGGTGCCGAAAGACCAAGGGGATACGGAAGTTACTGATGTGTCCGTTCTCATAGGTCCCGGATACTGGGGCATCTTCGGGGAATGCTTGGCCACTGCTTGAAGTCAGGTTGTTTGTTCTTCGTATGAGAAACCTAAAGAATTCATAACTTACTGGTCCCCCACGAGGACAACTAGTGTCTCGTTTGCAATGCCAGAGTCGTCGAGCACTTTCATTATATCGCCGAGCCATGTGTCGACGTATCGAACCGCGTTGAGGTATTTGTTCATGTCCTCGTGCTTGGCCACGAGGCCTTCGTCTGAGAAGTACTGTTCCTCGTGATAATCTTTGGGTGTACCCCATGGGTGATGAGTTGTGCTTGTGAAGTGTGACAAAAAGAGTCTCTCGTTTTTCTCGATCGCTGAATTGACCACATCTTTCAGGTAAGGGTATATTTCATATTCCGGGTATCTAGGTAATGTTAGCAACGTAGAAATTTGAATTGGGATGACATACAACTTACCCAAAGTAGTTTATTTCTTCCATGCCCTTGTGGTAATGCTTCGCACTGGGCTGATCAATATCCTCGCGATATATGGCTTCTTGGAACCCCATCCTCTTGTTGAGCACGTCTTGCTCATCATAAAGTCCTGTAATAGACTGCATAAATACCGAGCTCCAGTTGCGGCCGTGGATGTGCTCCAGCCCAGAGCTGGAGATATATGTGCGTTTTGAAGTCGTTTTTTCTTTGAGCGTGTTGAACAACTCCAAGACTTGCATGATACAAGGTTGATAATTCTCAGATTTTGCCTCGTCCATGAAATTAACTGGCAGTGGGCCTGCACCACAGTAGTTCATCACAGCACTCTTGAATGATAGACTGCTGCCGGTCAGGATGCCGTTGAAGTTGATTCCACCCATTTCTGGCCCAGTTGCGTCCCACCATTGATCCCCAGAATCAGTAGAAACATTTTTGTGCACTGAGAAGCCACTCGCTTCGCCGGTAATCTTCTCAGAAATTGGAGTCAACTTTGATAGTTTGGTATTTGCTTTTCGTATGGTTTCGGGGTCTTGCGTCTTGTAAGATGACAGGATCTCTTCATGCAGATGTGAACCTGCTTTAAAGGGGAATATATCCTTTCTAGCACTCTCCATCAGCACAAGCACGACATGCGTGATGGGAATTTTGTGATTTTTGAGAGCCTTCGCCACGGGCTCAAGTAATTCAAGGTCGAGATTTGTGATCCGCAAAGGATCCTCCGTGGGGCTGTAAATATTCTTCCGTGAAGTATGATTTCCAGTCTGAGGGGCGTTCTCTTCTTTATCACCATGGAGGCTCTCCTTTCCCCAGCGCCTGAATCCTTCAGGTAGCTTCCCAGATGCCCAAGTGGGTTGTGCATCTTTGGCGGTTTGCTTTCCTGGAGTCCAGCCCTTGAAGTGATCGCGAGGACCTTCCCAATATTCTTCCCCAACTAGGCTTGGAATTGGAAATGCTTGGTCTCCAGTCTGATGTAACTCCGTTGGCCTTGATCCCAATGCCTGGATAAAAGTGAATGGAATAGCGCCTGACATATGGTTGTAAGGTACTTGAGGCCGAGCAAAGCGTAACAGACCAATGTATATAAGAGCCAGAAAAGTCCACAGTTGAGCGAGCCGGGTTGCGCGCGGCTTTCTCTGCGAAGTAGCAAGAGTCTCTTCGTCTGCCTTCTCAGTCTGTTCAACTCTAGACAGCGCAGAAAACCAACAGTTCATCACTGTATATATCCAAGATTTGAGCAACCATGATACAACAAACAATATACCTGCAGCTCCGAGGAATGACCTCAGACCGCTAAGCATTAACTTCCTGCCTTCTGGATCATTTCCCACAGTTGTGGCGGCGTCCCACCGGATCTCACTGCCAGTAACAAAGTAGAATCCGATTTGGGAGGAGCACAAAGTGAAGCACAAAAGTCTGTTGTTGTCAGGGCCCATACTTTGATGATTGACTGTTGAAAGATACTCACGTGGTTGCTACTGTAACTGCATTTCCCACCATAAACTTGAGACCCGTGCACTTGAAGAGTAAAACCCATGCGAATATGCATGAAATGGCTTCTAAAATGAAGAATGTCGGAAAATATAGCGCAAATTGGCCCCGGGGAAGGGAGGAGGCATGTTGAAACAGATGCAGTGTTTTAGACGATACCACCGATAAAGCCAAAAGCGAGAAAACGAAAGGTCGAATAGAGGACTGGCGCGAAGAGATCATAATGGGTGAGAAGAAATTGACAACTTCAAAGCATTCATGGTGAACTTAGAGTCAACGTCAACTTGGGTAATGTTCAACGGCCTTGGAAGCAGTAGAACACGGCGTATCGTGGCCAGACTTCAGCGCCAAGCCCGAATCTGTGGTATCGAGTTTCGTAGAAGTTCGCTATTGATAGAGTGAATGGAAGAAAAAGTAAACCATGTTGGCTGTCAAACTTTGAGAATTGTTAGCAATATAGATGCGGTGTTTTTAGACTGCTATTGGGGATTGCCTGAAACCGGCATGGTGAGGTCTGATTTCATCTTCAAAGGTCATGGTCTGCGAGTAAAACCTGACTCGACTTAAGGTCAATACGATGTGGTGCTCCCGGGGAATTTGGAGAATAGCCTCAAGATAGTTACTGCCCAACCAAAATTAACACTTCTATAGCTTTGAAGCTCTCTGTACAGGCTTGGGCTGTTGAGCTTCTACCAAACCCACCAAAAGACATTGAGTCAAATGATTTATGCGGGTCTGGTTTAAAGAGGAAAGGGGTCAGGCGAGCAAGGGCGCATGTGCTCACCTTCTGCTTTGGGCACATTCCAGGAACATACTCTGGAATGCAGGGATGGATCTGCAATTTCTCTTACCAAATAATAATTCGACTTTGTCTTTGTGTTCTGAGCATGCATGCAACTGACCAGATGGCATTTTACAAAGGCTCCAGAAAGAGTAGTGAATTTCCTAATAGTAAACAATTAGACGATCCTCGGTTGACTATTGATACATGCATATAAACACAAATGTTCCATAAATTTCACCCAAACGTCTCACCACCATTCTCCAGGTACTCAGTTTCTTCAGGAGTAGACACTCTCCCCAGCGCCTGGTTCCGATGGGGGTAGCGCCCGAAACGCTCAATAATCACTTTGTGCCGTTTCTCGTAGTCAAAGGTCTGACTTAGAAATGCTTGAAGTTCATTTGATTTCTTTTTTAGAGCACTATGGCATTTTTTGTCCTCCTCGCCAAGGGTCGATGGATCCATAGCCAGAAGATCATTCATCTCCCTGGCTGTATCCTCGTGCATCTTGATAGCTTGCTCATGAGCAGCTAAGCTTTCTGAGTGCATAAGAGGCATATGGAACCAAGTTCGATAAGCCAGCCGGTACTTGAAATACGGCAATTGAGTCGGAATTCCTTGATCGAGTGCTTGGAGGGCAATCTCCTCAGCTAGGGGGTCAAAATACCCAAAGACCACCTTCGACTCGTCTCCCCGGTAGCAATTGCGGGGAATTTGGTCAAGTAGAAGAATGATACTCAACCAATGCAATGGAGAAGATGGGTTCACTGCAGATAGAATATCTGATGCCGAAGCTTTAGAGCCAATTATAGTCTGCAGGACAGGGCGAAATTGGTCGCTGTTCGGGGTTGTTAATTTCTTCGTCGTAATTTGAGAACGAATCAAAAATCAACTTACACACATGCCTTATCAAAAGCTTCATCCCGAGTGAACCATTTACCCATCTCGCTCCATCCCGGCAAAACCAGTGACTCCTCGTCGGAAAGATGGTCGAACCAGAACTTATGCACGTCATCAAGGAGAGCTGGTGTCAAAGTCTGCTTCAGTTCAGCAGAGCTTGACATTGTACGCGAAGTCGAATGAAATCTGCAGGTTTTAATATCCTTGTGATTTTTCTGTGGCAATTGAAATCGATTGGCCTGTGTCCGGCTTGGGCTCAATATCAGACCAGTTGCCGGGATCACCACTGGTTTGATGATCAATTTTCTCGAGACTTGAGTGAGTCTCTTTGATACTGGCTATTTTGATATTAGGTTGAAGCGAGCTATCGATTTAAGCAACAACTCACCCTCAGATGAAGTACCATGATTGAGTGTAGGACTGTAGATGTCAATTACCAAGCACTAAACCCCCGAGCCTCGGAGCTCGGAGCCCACGGCCCCGGGCCCCACGCGCTCAGTCATCATGGAGCTTGACTCTGCACATCGTTTCTAATGTTTCCAATGTTTTCTTTACTTCAAATGTTGTTTTCCCCCTGTATACTTCTCAAAAACTGCCAGACTTACTAGTCAACCTCGTTCTGTTTTCGTTCTGTATACAATGTGTTGATAACATGCAGCCAAGTCGCCCAAAGAGGCAAAAAGGTCCCGTTATCTCGATCTCGATAAGCCCCCCGCACGGTCTTCAGGGCTTGACATACTCCGCATTTTTGATGTCGGATTGTTCTGACGGATTCATGTCCTCAAATGCGTGATGCGCCGAGTTAAGAAATCCCGGAATGGCTGTGCGAGATGCAAGAGTAAACGGGTTGGTGTCTTTTGTCAAGAACCAAACATACATGTAGCTAACAAAAACAGGTCAAATGTGGCGAGGAGAAACCACATTGCAATCGCTGTACACGTCTAGGCGTCCATTGCCCCGGCTATGCCCAATCTCTGCGCTGGGTAACCAGATATGACCAGTCTAGTCCAGCTGCTTCGGCTTCGGCATCGGAGGTGAGAACCACGAGCCCTGCAGTTTCTGCGTCGACTGCTACAATTCAACCGACAACCCAAGTCGACGATAATTCGACTCAAGATGATTCAAATTTCCAGGCGAACAACGAACAAGAGCCCTCGGATCTCGGATTAGACGCACCAAATAGCCTTTGTGATGATCTATGGAATCTTCCCGGTCACGGGTCTTTACCTGAACTGACAGATCTCTCTGAGCCGTCTCCGATGGCGGCTGCGTCGACGTCATTCTCACCTTCGAGAGATTTCTCCCATGATCTTGGACAATCAATGGATGCGACAGTAGATCTTTCGCATTTTCTATCACTTATTGGGCCATCTCCAGTGGAAGAACATACCGACAATGTGTACCAGGACTTCTCGCCCTCGGCTATTGTTCGAAGCTATCCTCCCGTGTCGCGCCGCTACACACCACGTAAATTCATGACTATGTCTCGCTCACTGAACAACCCATCATGGACATTGATCGAGTACTATTTCAAGGAAGTGGCGGCGCTATTTTCCAGTTATGACAGCCAAATGAACCCATTCCGAACCACGGTCTCTCGTCTTTGGGGTTCTTCGCTGGCAATGTGCCGGACAATGCAAAGCATGGCCGCTGCAACGCTGGTTAACGAGTTTCCTCAATTTGGGCCGATGGGTCGGAAGATGCGTGACGAAGCAGTTGAAATAATCTCGCGCGAAACAGTGATAGACGACAAATCATTGCTGGCGCTACTCATGCTCGGTCAGACAGCAAGCTGGCACGATCCAACTGATTTGGGCATATCATTTTTCAACCTACTCCGCAAACAACTCAACACCATAGCTTCGTCATCGAACAGCCCTGAATTTGGATTCCCTAAGAATGACAGCAACAATTACCGGTTCTTCGAAGAAGCTTTGATTTACTGGGAGATGCTACTTTCATTTGTTGCAGACAATGACAAGATCCTGTTATCGGATGACTCACAAGCTGGCTCATCTATGGGCGAGCCTCTTGTTCTGCAACGAGTTCCACATCCATGGACTGGCATAGCCCGCGATACCCAATTCACAGTGCACGAGGTGGGGCAACTCATCCGCCGTGAGCGGAAACGCATTCGTTCAAGGCGATTCACCTCCAAAGATGATATAGCCCGTGGTCAAGTGGCAATCGAGAAAGCCAGTGAATTAGAAGAGCGCCTATTGGCTCTTGCCCATCCCTCCGAGGCGGAAATTGTCAGCCCTGGTGATGACGACACACCAGTCTGGCATCTTCTGACAATGGCTGAGGCCTACAGATGCACTGGCCTCATGCAGCTATATCGTGTCTTTCCCGATCTTCTTCACAAGCGCCTCCCAGTCTCAGAAACCAGTCCTTCTCAATACCGAGATAGCACGTGTTCAACAGCCCGTGATCCAATTTTTCCTATCGACCTGGACAGCATGAACTTATCGGCTGGATTTGGCATTTCAAACCCCGAAATGCACAGCACGAATACTCAAAATGCCTCGCCATCTCCGCTGCCCTCCAGTCACAATCTTTACCAAAACCATTCTCGCTCCCAACCACCAATAACCCAAGAAACTTCTCACCCAGAAACCGTCTCCAACAACTGGCTTACCGAATTCGCAGTCACAAACCTCTCCCGACTAAAGACTATCCCACTGGAGTCCCGCACCCGCTGTCTCCAGCCTTTCCTGCTCGTAGCCTCGTGCTCAGAGCTTCGACTCCCGTCTCTCTCCACAGATATCGATACCCAGAGAGACGCTTCGAACCAACACGGCGAAGCGTATACGGAAGGCGAAAGCAATCCCTCCAATCCAAACTCATTGCCCAGCATTTCAATGGAAGCCATCGAAGTCTCGCGCACCCGAAAGTTTATCCTCGGCCGTTTGACTTCATATCTGCATGTATTGCCGCCTAAACCAATTCGTGTTTGTCTCAACTTGGTGAATGAGGTTTGGAGACGACTTGATGCCGGGGATGAGGATGCTTATTGGGTGGATGTTATGATTGAGAAGGGGTGGGAAACTACTATGGGGTAATATTGGACAGTCCTTGTTTGAGGTGGCTGCTAGTCTAATACCTGAATGTTGCTTGGATTGGCTTGTTGCACTTTACGTGTACATAGTCTCCTCCTGTTCTACATGTTATTAATTTTTATTTGGTGCTTTTTGCAGACACCATGATTGTGATCATATGAGGGCTTGCCGGGGGATGTCACATCTTTATTCTATGATTAACTGAACTTATGGACAGAGTGAAGCACGGCCTTTAGCTGACTATTGGGTAGAACTTATAACATGCAACCAAATGATATCATCGCCTTATACTACATTTAGGACCAGATAGAGAGAAAAAGTTCGTAAACTTCATGAAAAACTAAATCAGTGTCAGAGTAAAATACAACGACTCCCGAATTCCCACTTCTGTGTTTGCATCAAATTCCGAGTTGCAAATGGCGCGACTTAGAAGATCAAAAAAGATCCCGGATACAAAGATGAAAGATCAAGTGCTCGGGAAGAGCTACTTGCTACCGCTGCTGGCGCCACTGCCACTGCCGCGAGTGTACCCGTTCCACCAGTTTGAAAACATGCCGCCCTTTGCAGCTTGCTCATTCCAGCTTGCGCGGCGGGCGGTCATTTCGGGGTCTGTGGAGTCCCGTTTCTGGGACTGCAGGTTGGCAAAGAGGCCGGCAGAAGAGCCGCCGGAGCTGGAGCGGCGGCGCTCGCTTACAGTTGGGATGGCTGGGGAGCCATTTGCGTTGTTGGCGGTGTTTGATGAGTTGGAGGTGGTGGAGTCCTTCATTGTTGTTAGGATTGGGCTTTGGTAATGTAGTCAAGATGACGGTGAATGGTTAACGTATGCCGGTATTTGGGGATGGGGTTATCGTAAGGGAGAGGAGAGGCCTTGGATGTTATAGGGGAGAAGTAAAGGGAATATTTTATGAAAGCAAAATGAAATAAATACAAGGAATCGAAAGAGGCAAAAATCACCTACCCTTCGAGTAGCATTTTCGGTTCCAGGGGGCATCGCCCACGCAGCACGAGCACTAGGCCCCTTGGCACCACCATTCATCCAGACATTAAGGTGTTCGTGACGGTCGCCGGCAGTTCCGTGCCAGTGGCGGCGGGTATTGTCGTCAGACATATTGGATATGTCGAGGCAAACGGAGTAATCCGTAATGATGGTTTGAGTGACGTCTGTCTCTTGAAAGGATGTTAGATTAACGAGAACGAGAGATCGATCGGGTTTGAAAGGAAATATTGAAAATGGCAGAGATGTAGGGATATTGATAATTAATCATGAGATAACCATAGGGGAAGTCAAAGACGTCATTGTAATGTTCGGGTGGTTTGCCGTTTGGGGAAGAGGAATTACTATATGCATAGTCGTTGGTATGAAATGGATAGCACATACCTTTTTCTTTTCCAAGGTGGGCTTGGATTTCAATAGAATTGAATAAAAAAAAGAAGAGATGTCACGGAGAGGGGAAGCTGCCTTATAAGACGAAAGCACCAAAGAACAAGGGTGGTATTCAAAGGGACATAAGCCGTATATGATCACGAGCTGTATATTCCATTGGTGAATCACAGACTTGGGAACATATGGATCTCAGCCAGACACATGCTGCAGAGAAGTCTAGGTATGGTCTAGTCCTGTCCAATGCGGACCATGTAACCATACAATAGATTCTAAAGCCAATTGCGAAGTTAAATGGAGTCAGTCCGGATGGCTTTTGTTTGGAATACTTCCAAGTAACATAGAGTACCTATTTGGCATGATGTATTTAATGTAATTGATGTACTGCGATGTAATATGATGTACCCTAAAGTGGCTTGACGTAGTCGGAATGCGGGGAAAGCTAGGTGGCGAATCAGCTTACTTAACTCAATGACGGGGATAGTATGTAGTCTTGAAGGCATTGGTTGAGATTCTAGAATTAAGCTATGAATATTAGAATCGGTTAATATGAAGGGTAGCTTCTCGAATTCTAAAATAATGTAACTCACCAAAGATTCAATATACACATCCAACCCTAACCCTCACAGCCTCGCCACCTTTCCAGTATCGGCATCCCTCAACCTCTTCCAAACCCTAACACCCTCATCTAAAGCCCCATCCTCCCGAATCTCAACATCTCCATCGCTCTTCAACACTCTAACCATTTTAGCCCCAGAAGTGCCCCATCCAAACTCCTCATAACCCATAACAAAGCGACCCAGAGGGCCAACAAAAGCATCTTTAATAAGGCTCTTCTCACCGTCCTCCAACGACTTCCCATTTCCAAAGAACCAAATAGGGTAATCCGACGAATGTGTAACCCCCCACTCAACCGGCATAGCCTCATCCATGCACTTCGCACGCCACTCAATGCGATATCGATACAATAGCCGCGACGCATCAACAGCACCAGAATTCCGTGTCAGCGCATGCGCAAGACCACGCTGCATTTGGTGCACCTGCATATCGGCGTAGATTCTACCCCACGCATCATCAACCCAGTCCTTACAGTTGTCTGGCAGTTTCCCGGACGGATAGTATTGTGCGATGACCGCGTCGACAATGTGCTCCGGGTAGTCGGCAATGAGGCGAGTGCGGAGTGCAGAAAGCGTATTGCCCTTGGGAGGGAACCATGTGCTGTAGAGGAAGCGCTCGTCGGCACATTCGCCGATCATAATGCGGACATTGCGGGAAAGTATCTTGCGCGCAAAATCGCCGCTATCAAGGCTTGTGAAGAGGGCTGGCGAGATAAAGTCCCCATCTGTTGTTGGTCGGAATTGATGAATTTCGATGGTTTTCGCTGCGTCGAGGAGTCGCTTCGCGGGGATCGAACGTAGACGAGCAAGCTTCTCACTTGCTGGGAGGGATCGTGGGATGTCCAAAACAGCTAGAAGCTGGTCGAACTGATTCTGGGTCTCCGCTGGGTGCTTTGGTTGCACGGCTGGGCTGTTAGACCAAATACAGGCCTGGCGGACGATTGATTTCTCCTCGGGTTGACGGAGATCGTACGCCAGTTGGTGAAAGACGGAGTTGGCACCGGCTGAATATCCCGAGATGGTAATGTTATTAGGATTGCCCCCAAACAGCTGGATGTTTTCCTTTATCCATTCTAGCGCGAGTCTCTGGTCCCAGAATCCGTGGTTTCCAACCGTCTCCCCGGCCGAAGCAGCATCTTGCTCCAGCTCGGACGAGTATAGGAATCCAAATAAATTTACCCGATATGCTGGCATCACGACCACAGCTTTGAAATTCGTCTCACCGATCAATGCAGCGGCATTGAATGAGTTGGGTGTCCCAAATTGAAGCCATCCGCCATCTTCGGAATCAATCAGCACTTTTCAATCGCCTGCTTGGTGGAGATTACTCACGAATGAAAACAAAGACAGGCCAACCCCCTGCCGGTGGTTTTCCAACAGGCGTCCAGATATTACACTGGAAACAATCCTCACTCCATGCATCTGGATTTTCGGGCGATAGATTCAGGAAGCCCGGCTGAGGACACAACCCCGCTCCGCCATTGTGGTTACCCGGCGCATTCTTGCTGCCGTAGCTGAAGGAGGTTGGGAGGGGCTTCGCACGGCGCCAGCGCTGGGAAGGAGCGAGGCCATATCGAATGCCACCGAAGTAATGGCATAGATCCCGGGAATTTGGAGAAGGCGCCGAAATCGTTACTCCCTGAATTGTGCCGCGGTGGGCAAGATTTGTTAGGTGCGGGCGGCGGATTGTTTCCATATTGACGCTAATGTTTGGAGCTGGAGTTGGGAGTTGTACTTGTAGTAATTATAGGTTCGTTGGTAGGATTATTTCAGCCTCGGGGATAATTTGGTTAATGCGGATAAACAACTAAGTCTAAATGACAATATTCAGGGTCCGATGGGAGTCTCTCGTCCTTTAAAACACTGGCCATTGATTCCACAATTCCGGAAGATAAGTTGTAGCCGAGAGATAAAGAGGCGATTGGATCTCATTGGTGAGGGGAGACGAGGAGATCGGCAATTTGCAATTGGCGTCAAAGAGAGAGGTAAGAAAGGCATTTGCGGGGAGAACGGCTAGGTCCGCTCGGGGCCAGATTTGGCAGCCGAGGTGCTTATCTACATATCTACATATTTATGTATCAATGATCGCTACCTAGGTACATCTTGGGGCCATAAGACTCAGAACTAGAATAAATTCCTAAGAGAATGTGAAGATGGTCTCTCGATTGATTTTCAGAAGAGGAAAACGATGTGGACTTCGCCTTGTCCAAATTCCAGACCATTAACTTAACCAAGAGAGATACCGCAAGGATGATCCCGCATGAGACGGTGCTTATTATGGCAGCCTTGGTATTGGTGGTGTAGAAGAACTCTCCTGGTGAGTATTCTGGATTCATTAGTGGATATAAACGGGAATCTAGGCAAGAGTACACACGAGGCCTTTGCATGCCTCCAGCGCTCGCCCGTTACACATAGACACCATTTGGGCCATCCAAAGAATTCAAGATCCCAGGAAATAATCGAAGGTTTATTGACTACGCGTTGATTGCGTCTTCGCAAATTGCTAACCCACTTCTAGCCCTTCGCCGCTCCTCTCCCACTTCCTCTACCTTTCCCATGTCTGGTGCTCGGATGCAGACCATTACTGCTCCTACTCTGGCTCTGCTGAAGTGTGCGAAATGGCTCTCCATCGTCTGCACCTCGATATATATGCTCCATGCGCCAAATATCAGAACTCTCGAAATCAGACAAGACCCCTCTATGCAGCTGTTGGGGTTGCGTTAATGATTGGAGCCCGCGTTGACGAAAGATTCAAGGTGTCGCCTCTACTTCGCGCAGAAATGGTGCAAAGACCAGCTCACTATTTGTGAGAACGAAACCGGGACGTGTCCGCAGCATATAAACTAAATTAGGCCGTGCGACATGGCTTTCCCTTTTCCGTTTCAGTGCTCGCCCCTGAGTATTACATAATCATCAATATTTAGTTAACTACCTCTTAACTAGTTAGTTACTGAGCAATTATGTAAGTAGATGGCTCGCTCACTGAGCGTCATTCGGCTTCTGGCGAGACGCTATCTAGAGTGCTAGATGGCCGAACTTTTAGTTCTACTCATGGTGTCTAGGTGCATGGACCAAGACCATTTCCTGTTCAATGGAACTCAAGTATGCTTGTCCACATGGATGAGTCAACCTGAGTACGGCCCAATTTGCCCTGAATGACAGAGTTCTCTATGCCTTTGATGCGGAAATTATGGTTACTGGAATTTTGACTAAAGAGGTCACTATGTTCTCATGTTTCATACAATCTAGACAAATTCACTGCTTTGATTCTCACCAATACATTCCAGTCCAGTAGATCAAGATAGCTCCTTCATGCTGCATGATTCTAGCCTGCTAGTCCAATTCAGCAAATTGAACCCAATGATTATTCCGTGTGCTCAAAGAGTAGTATCTATAACAAAAATTGGAAGAGTTCTCCAAGGATAACGTAGTGCACATGACATCCAGTTTATCCGCAATACAAAATTCTCACTGCAGTTCAGGACGAGTGATCTCGTCATTATCTCCAGCGCTCTTTGAGACGTATTTGGTCTTCAGATGTTGAATGATCACTCCAGATAGACCACCAACCGTTCTTCCTTTCGAGATCTCTATCAGACTGACCTCGATGCCCAGGTTCCGACGAGTCCAGCTCCTGATCTCAATGGACAGTAGCGAGTCAATTGCCATATTGGCCACTTGTTCATCGTCCATGCCGCCTGCCTGCGCCAGATGCCGTGTAACTAGCTGAGCAATCTCCTTACGGATGGTCACTTCGGTATTTGGTTCGTCCAGAACAGCCGGATTCTGTTCGACATTCTGCAGAAGAGACATGAGCTCGTCGTTTCTCAACTGAGCAACTTGCTCCCCCTCGGTCTCCAAGTTCAAATACAAAGCAAATCTCGCCTCTGGTACCCACATAGGGCGGCATTTGGGACTCGAGGTAGGCTTGGTGTTGCTTAGTCCGGCAATGACGCTACCTGATGGGCTTTGCAGGCATGACTGGGTAATGGTGAGCTGTAAAGCTTCTATCACGTCCCTTTCCACTAACATGCGGAATGAGGCAGCACGGCAGAGCTGTAGGGAGTTGGCGTCACGGCTCACTAAGCCAGCATCTTCAACTGGTCCGAGTCTCAGAACAGATGAGGGCAAGCCTATCTGCCGCCGGTATTGGGTGAAGCTGTCTAGGAAAGTGTTGGCGGCGGCATAGTTGGTCTGGCCAGTATAACCACAAGTTCCAGATGCTGAGCCAAACACCACGAAAAATTCAAGGCCCTTCTTAGGCACGGCATGATGTAAGTTCCAGGTTCCTTGGACCTTGGGTTCAAGGCATGAGATCCATTCCTCATAAGTCATTCTGGAAAATGTTCGATCCTTTGTATAAGTTGGTTAGCATTCGTCAATAACACAACTGCCGTCTCTTTCTCTTACCCTCAAAGCCAACGACATTTGAAGAACACCCGCAAGAGGCTTCTTGCACTGCGAGACAGCTCGATTCACATCATCTATGGAAGTCACACTGCCAGCCACACAAATCGCCTTGCAGCCTTGTACCTCAAGCTCATGAAGAAATTCCTGGTCTTCCTCAGACTTTCCAGCACTTCGAGACAAGTATACCAAGTGCTTTGCTCCTTTTTCCACCATCCAAGTTGATACCACACGCCCAAGTCCACCAAGACCCCCAACAAGCAGATACGATGCGTCTGTAGAGAGAGAAAACCTAGGTTTTCCCACCGAGCAGTTAAGCTGCTTAGGATCACTAGGCATCTTCACCAAGATCTTACCCATGTGAACACCTTGTTGCATATATCGAAATGCATCCACAACCTCCGTCGCATCAAACACCTTCACTGGGCGAATGGGTGAAATCCTGCCCTCTTTGTACCAATTCAAAAATTGAGAGATCAGTCCTTCAAATACTTGGGGGTTTTCATCACCTATCTCGTTGAGGTCCACGCCAAAAAAGGCTCGGTTCTTGCCAAACGGCATCATACTAAGCACCCCGTTGGTCAAGAAATCCCGCTTGCCGAGCTCAATCATTCTCCCGAACTTGGCTACACATTCCCACGAGGCATGTAGTAACTTTCCGGCTAGGGAGTTCAGAACAATATCTACTCCTCGACCATTGGTCTCCCGCAAAATGGCGGGTAGGAACTCGGCACTCCTAGAGTTGAAGATCCTATTGCGGGAAATGCCATGATGCTCCATAAGATATTGGACTTTCTCTTCGCTCCCTACGGTGGCAAATATCTGGCGAAATTAGCTTTGCGCCTGAGAGCAGAGATACTGCCACATACCTCGGCGCCGATTAGTTTGCATATATGAATAGAAGCCAAGCCAACACCGCCACAGGCCGAGTGGATCAATACAGTCTAATAATGTCAGCGCGTGGATAAGGCAATGCATATTAGTTGTGCTCAGACCTGATCCTTTTTCAGCATGCCTAGGTGAATCAACGAGTATATTGCCGTCGCATATACAGACGGCATGGTAGCCGCATCTTCAAGAGACAAGGTTCTTGGAAGCTTGGAGCATCTCGTTTGAGATGTCACAATCCGATCACCGAAAATTCCGGAATTGGTCACAGCTACTCTATCGCCCGATTCCAAGCTGACCACGTCAGATCCGACGCGACGAACGATACCGCTGCCTTCAATGCCTAGACACTCTTTGTCCCCAAACACACCCATGACAACCATGACGTCCTACAAGCTGGTCAGATCCCGTACCCCTGAGTTCTTCCTTCTGGACGAACAACATACCCTAAAGTTCAAAGCAATGTAGTGCATGTCGACTTCAACCTGGTCGTCTGCCAACTGTAACTCATCAGTGGCGGTCCAGTGGAGCGTATCGACCAGACCATATTCATCGATATCCAGCTTTTTGGGCAGTTCTTTTGGGTGATGGACAGGTTGCATCTGCATCGGGGATCCCCAATGGCACCGGCTCACATTCACAGTACCTTGTTCAAAAGTAAATTCATACTCTGGGTCCATTAAGGAAATATCGGGGGACCTCTGAATCTTTTCATAGACCTGTACAAGTGCATTTGCTGCAGAATCGTCAAAGCATTCAGTTTCAAAGGTTGATATATCTAGAGTCATTTCGTGCCTCAAGGCCCGGACGAAACCCAGGATAAACCCGTGATTAGGGTCTGTGCAGCTGGTCTGAGCTAGCCTGGTCACCCAGAGGAATTGGCCGCGGTCCGCTTTGGTGATATATTGTTGAAGATCATCAAATCCCTGTGCGCTCATGTTGGAGAGAAATGGGCTTGTTGATTCCAACAGAGAGATGATACATTTGTTAGCTGGCGGGTGGTCAGCTAAAGTGCCCCAATCGACTGCATAACCCTTGGCACGGAAACAGTGGGCGACCTTGATTGCCCAGCTGTCTCGACGATCATCGATCAAAAGTAAGATCTCTTTCGGTACAAGTGGTACTTGAATGACACTTGAAAGCATGGTAAAGTTATTCTGATATGGTGGGTCCAGGTCGTATATCATGGCTTCATTGCCTTTAAATCCAGCTGCGCGTAACTGGCAGTCCCATCTCTCCGGCGAGACATAAGGCTTGTTAGGTCTTTCGTCATTCTCTCCGAGCCACCAGCCAGGAAGAATCCCCTATTCATGGTCAGCGTGTGCATTTAATTAGAGAACTTGCAGTATATACCATGATATAGTCGGTTACCAATATGTCTGTGAATAGTTGTGTTAGGCCTTACGATCCCCGAGCTTCAGCAAAATATTCATACCTGGGTGTAACTCGTGAAGCAGCAAGCGTCCTTTAGGCGCGAGAAGCATGTGAACATGCGCCAATGATGTTGCAAGTCGAGGGGTGGCATGAAGAACCTAAGTTTGTGAGAAGACATCAAAGAGGCAACAGACAAGTGCTCACATTGGAAGCAATGATAAGGTCAAAACTATGCAGGTCAAATCCTTGTTCTTTGGGGTCCTTGGTGATATCGAGAACTTTATAGTGAATATTTTTGTAATCGGCAAACTTCTCTTCTGCGGCCACCAAGAATCCCGAAGAGACATCTGAGAACGTATATGTGGAAAATAATCGCGAACCCTCACGGGTTCGAAGATGTTTCAATACTTCTTGAGTGGCACTTCCTGTTCCAGCACCAATCTCCAGGATACGGACTCGAGGATTCGAATGGCCTATAAGCGATAGGAAGCGACTCCAGTCACACATTGGCTGTAGCGCTGCATAATATCTTTCCAAGCGTTGATCGGCCATCAGAAGATCCAGAGATGTAGTCTTGCCACTCGCAAGGTCCAAAGAATTGTCGTAAACGACCCGCATACATTCTGAGAAAACAGCGAGTGTGGCTCCTGGGGTCTGGAATGGTAGGAGGAAGGCTTCGATGAGGCTGTGCCGACTCGCTGAGTTCATCTGAGCCCACTCTAGCGATTCTGGAAACATTTGACTGTTCCCTTCACGAATTTTCACAGCCTCAGAATTGACCCAACTCTTCCACTTCACAAGGTGTGGTATCGTAGGTTCGACACCAGAAAGTCGATCACCAGTCTCCAGAATGTAGAGAAGACTGACTTTTGCCAGGACAGCTATTGCATGCTTAGATATAGTCTCATGATCTGACTCTGCAAGCCTCATGGGAAGCAGCGCACTCGTGGGTAGCAAGTCAATGTCCGGCTCCCACCTGATTTGCGAGATCAGTGGAATACTGCATTCTCCGGCGTTGTGGTGATCCAAGGCAAAGAATTTGGCTTTTTTTAGGGATAGTGAAACGATGTTATCGCTGATTAAAGTGGCATCTCCAAATTGATTTCCTCTCCCTCCATCACTGACCTGGACCCCAAGATTCATCTGTGAGATAGAGTCTCGAACATAAAGCTGCTCAATGGCTGCTGGGATGACAATTCGGTCGATCTTGCGGGCTATGCCATTGACCATTGCAACACTCATCAATTGCAAACATTGGTCAATCACGGTTGGATGGAGAGTGTAATGACTGACTGGAGTAGCACTCTTATTGCAAATCCTTGCACTAGCCATGTGCTCTATAGGACTGACTGAGATACCATCCAAACCTTGGAATTGTGGACCATAGTCCAGACCGTACTGGGCCAAAGTCTTGTACCATTTCTCCGAGTTGACTGGACGAGCATGGCGCTTTATCTCTCTTGTCTCTGGTGCATGATCGTAATGTGCCCTGACTTCACCATGGCAATGTTTGATCCATCCAGTCCCATCATGTGTAATGATTGTAAAGGTATACCAGTCAGAGTCAACAAGGTCATTGAGTTTCACTGGTCTCAAAGTTGTGATGAGCTCAGTAGGTTGTCCGTCCTTCAAGGTAAGGGGCAATTTGAAAAAGATATTCCTTATTGAGTAATCTATGCCACTGATGTTGAGTTGCCGAATTGCTTCGCCTGCCATAGCGATGTATCCAGCAGCTGGGAAAATAACTTCTCCTTGAACGACATGATCCCAGATCCATGGTACATTTTCTAACTGCAGCATATTCCTCCAAGATGGCTCTAGGTCAGAGGATTCCGCAGTTCGCGCTCCCAGGATCTCATGGTGAGGCATGGAGCGTAATCTCCAGTCGCGGGCTGCACGGGTTTCATGCCAATATCTTGTATTATGTAGCCAAGGATAAGCTGGGAGGTCTGGTAAGGTGGTACCAAAACCATTGACCATCAACAGATCAATTGGGAAGCCATTGTTGTAAATAGAGCCTGCAGTGGAGAGTAACATAGACCGGGAGTCATGATCGTTCCGAGTAAGTGTTGGGATGTAAATAGGGTCAACTTTCAAACTCTCAGCTTGGAAAATCTGCCGGAGGGGTCCTGAGAGAGCAGAATGTGGTCCTATTTCCAGAAATCCTGGGTTCTGCAACTCTCGAAGAATGCAGCGGACTGCTCCTGAGAAGAGGACCGGAGACTCCAAGTTACGCCGCCAATATTTGGCGCTGAGCTCATTGGGATCTGTGATGGTTGTGGATGTGACGCTCGAAAACATTGGAAGCATATCCTTGTCATGCTCAATATGTTGCAAAATAGCAGACTCATACAGAGCTCCAGGTGCATGCATATGATCTGCGGTCGAGTTAGGATGTTATTTTATGGTGAACTGAGCAGTTGGTTGAGATTCTTACAGGAATGATACCCAATATTCACTCGGAGTCGCCGACATAGCACGTCTGGGAGGTCTGCCTTTATTTTTTGAATCGCGCGCTCGATCCCTTCCTTGTCCCCAGAAAGTGTCACGCTCTGCGGACTGTTCTCACAGGCTACAGCGATACTGTTGTCCAGGAAACGGGCGACATCATCACGATTCAAGCCAACGGCTACCATAGCACCCTTCCCTTCCTCGTCTCTGCATATCTTCCCGCGATAATATGCAATTATGATAGCTGATCTTGCTGTTATGGCACCAGCTGCGTAGGCTGCAGCAATCTCTCCACTGGAGTGTCCAACAACTGAAAATGGCTCAACTCCCCAGTTTTTCAGCAGGTTGACCAGCCCTATCTGGAGCGCAGTACAAAGGGGCTGGGAGAATTCAGCCTTGTTGACACGACTGGCATCTCCCACCTTGCAAAGCTCATCTGTACTGGCATCAGTATGTCATTCTCATCTTTGAGTGCTGGGTCGCTTACGCTCCAACGACCATTCAGGAGAATCGCTCAGCTCCTGTAAAACTTTATCTAGATCCTTTATATCGTTCCTAAATGCATCAAATCTATGCATCAAATCTTTCCCCATGGCTGGCCACTGCGCACCCTGACCAGTGAAAGTCCAAATCAGCCCGGACGATCCAGCTTTGCGGGCCTGGAGCCATGAAAGATCAATTGCCTTATCGGGCCGGGTAACTGCAAATGCGCGGTATTCCAGGTGCTCACGCCGAACACCGAGAGTATAGGCCAAATTGTGCAACTCAGCTGGGTGGTTTTTGGCGTATTGGGCGACATCCTGAGTCCTGATTTGCAGGCTGTCTGCACAATTTGCCGAAACAACAAAAAGTCGAGCGCCCGGGCATTCAACAAATTCCCGCTGACTGTCGCCACAAACTACTGAACTAGAATCTAAAATGACATGTGCATTGGCACCTCCAATTCCAAAGCAATTTACACTGACTCTCTCGGTGCGATCCTTCGGCCATGGCATTTGGTTCAAAGGAACTTGGAGTTTGGCTTCTTTGAAAGGGATATTAGGGTTGGGTGCGTCAAAGAAGATGTTTGGCGGTATTGTCTTGTGTTCGAGAGAAAGAACAGCTTTGATCACACTGGTAATCCCTGACGCACCCTCTGAATGACCTACATTGGGTTTGACCTACCGTTGTTAATGAATAGTGACCACGCATTGATAGCAGTACTCACTGATCCGAGAATTATTCCGTTCTGGTTGAATAACTTTGCCACAACGCCGGTTTCTGCGGTATCCCCGATAATAGTACCGGTTCCATGGCACTCAAAAAACGCTGTCTGGGCAATGTCGCCAAGCATCGCCTTCTCGTAGGCCTTTCGAATGAGCTTCTCCTGCGACAGGGAGCCGGGTGTTGTGATGCTCGGGGTATGCCCATCACAGTTGGTCGAGGTCGAACGGATGATGGCTCGGATGGGATCATTGTCTCTAAGAGCATCACTGAGGGGCTTAATGTAGATCGCATTGATTGCTTCACCTCGACCGTAGCCATCTGCCTTCTCATCAAATGTACGACACACCCCCGTTGGTGACAAAACCAAGTTGCTGGACATGGTGGTAGTCATCGTGGGTGTCAAGATGAGATTAGTCCCCGCAACAATAGCTGACGAACATTCTCCGGAATACAATGACTGACAGGCCTCGTGTAGGCCAACAAGCGATGCAGAGCAGCCAGTTCTTAGAGTCATACTGTAGTTTGATATCAGCCATCCACCCGCCAATCTATGCCTAGCACGTGTCCACAGACCTTGGCCCCTGGAGATCAAATTCATACGAGACACGATTTGCAAGAGCAAAGTCACCTGTTCCTAGTACATGATACCGGTCGACACTCTGGGGATCCTTGCTGCCAAGATCCAACCAGTCCTCACCAAAGCTCCCGACAAAGCATCCGATGTCTTTACCTCGCCAGTTGGTCACCCCAGCGCTTTCAAAGCACTCCCACACAATTTCAAGCAGCTGTCGTTGTTGGGGATCCATTCGTGCCGCCTCATATGCACTGATTGAAAAAAATGACGCATCGAAGTGTGCGGGATCTTGCTGTAAAAAGTATCCGCGCTTCGCCCTCACAGAGTTAGGTTTTGACTCATGATAAAACGAGTCAACCTTATAACGAGACTCCGGGACCTCACACAAACCGTCTTTCTTATCGATCAGGAACTCCCAGAACGCTTCCGGGGAGTTTACCCCGCCAGGAAGTCGCAAGGCCATACCCGTGATCGCAATTGGGGGACACCCCTTTCCGCCATGTGCTGCTAGAGTAGGAGGATTTTCTGCAAAGGATTTGCAATAAGAGGTGGAGAAGACAGCCTGATCTGCTTCATCCATCCGAAGCTTAATTACGTCCATCTTCTGATCGGGCGTAGGTTCGATGGTAGAGGATATTGCGGGCCGGAGCATGGTGACAAACAACGAAAAATTTGGATAGTTATCTAGATCCAAGAAGAATTTTAAGGATCTGATTCGAGCTCATGCTTTGTGGAATCTGGGGAAAGCCAATGGTTTTGGAAAATAGGGTTGTATGTGGCAAGGGTTGTATGCGGCAAGGGTTGTATGTAAGGGGAGCCGCACTGCATGTCGGTGTAAAAAAAACTCAGCTCACATTTATGCGAGAGTGCACTGTGAAGAGAGTGCACTGTGAAGAGAGTGCACTGTGAAGAGAGTGCACTGTGAAGAGAGTGCACTGTGAAGAGAGTGCACTGTGAAGAGAGTGCACTGTGAAGAGAGTGCACTGTGAAGAGAGTGCACTGTGAAGAGAGTGCACTGTGAAGAGAGTGCACTGTGAAGAGAGTGTACCACGTTAGGGGTGCGGTCCCTAAGCAAGGAGAGCAGTGGGTGGTGGAAGAAATATCCCTTATCTGGCTTTCCCAGTACCTTCATGCTCATCAAAAGTAGCAAATTATTTATACATCAATTCCCACGTGTAGCCCAAGGTAAGTTGTGGCATTTTTGCAATTTAACCACGCTCCAGTTGCTCCAAGCAACCTATGTAATGATCTAATTGATCTATCAGAGATTACGAGAATGGATAGTTACAACTATCAGCTCCAATATTCGACCCTTGCGATCCCATAACTATTCATTCAAATGTCTACTATACAAAGAACCATTCTCAAATGGCAGCGCGCCCCGCTTCAGCCAGCTGTGAGCGAGTTTGGACTGTCGCTCGACACGGCGCTTTAAGAAGGCCTCTGGGTCGTGATCACCCAAGTCGAGGCCCAAGGGGCCCTTTAACTGCTTCAAGTGGGATGATCGCGCGCAGTCAATCTTCCAGTCGCGCCAGAATCGTTGGATCATCTGGAAGAAATACGGTGCCAATGAATGGCTCTGCTGGAACTCTATCTTTTGGGCATCTTCTTTCACTTCGCGTGGAATATGGCGGTGAAACCGGTTGCCCATTTCGCCACATGTCCAGGTGGCGTACAGGTCCGCAGCAGCGTGGACAATTCCTGTCGTTCCTTGAGCAAGGTGGGCCAAACATACAATCGCCACCAGATCAACAGGAATCTCATCGCAGATTGGATGTGTTGGGAGCGTCTCCTCGAGTTGCAGTAGCCCGTGGTTTCGATTTCCCAAAATCAAGTGGATAAAGGAATGGGCTGGGGTCGCCCCATCTCTGCCGTACAAAGGGTAAGGGTCTTGAATGGCGGGTGCAATAAACGAAGGCCGCACGATCAGGATGGGAAACGCGTGGCCGCCGTCCAGGATCAGACGCTCGGCTAGATGTTTAGCTAGGGCGTAAGGGGCAGCGAATTGATCGGTGGCGGCTGATTTACCCGTGGCGATGATTGTATCCAATTCCACGATCGGGTTCGGATGCAAGGGGTAGATACGCTCCTCGATCGAACCGTCCGGGAGGAAGCTGTTCACATATGTGGTCGAAATCTGCAAGAAACACTGTAGTCGAGTGAAGCCAGCCAGAATAGTGGTCAAGGTCAGATGTGCCGTGCAATTGGGCAGAATTGTTTCTGACAAGCTTTGGTGCAGAGAGATATCACCTGCGCTGTTGATCACCACCGTGACCTCTTGCTTGAGGAGCTCGAGATCGGTGGCTGATAAAGCAAGATCGGGTTGGGTCATATCGCCCACCATGAAATTGACTTTACCGGTATCCAGGATATCGTCTACCTGCTCTGGCATAAAATGCTCCCATTTCTCAACGGCTTGTCGGATAGAACCTCGAACAAGCACGAAGATTTTGGAAGTTGGAAGTTTGAGACTCAGCTTGTAAAGGAGACAGCCTCCCAGGTTGCCGGTGGCGCCTGTCAAGAAGATCACCTGTCCTCGGTACCAGTCCGAATCCATCGCGATAGATTCGGTTTGGTTGGTGGAGCGTTTCTGACAGGAACAATGTCAAGACAACTCTGGGGCAACTTGTTGGGGAATCAATTTGCCAACACAACAAGGCAAACTCATTGGTCTTCAGCGGTGAATGAAATGTAGCCCCCTTACTCGGACTTTTCAGGCGAGGCTCATACCTTGTTGTACCCCCTTCTTGAGGGCAGGAAATGCTAGCGATGCTTGGATAGGCTAATAATTGGGGACAACCACCCAATGTTAAGTTATTCACCACCATCATTTAATTCAGGCTTCTGCTGTCCAGTCCTCAAAAATTTCCCTCAAAATTTACCGACGCCCACATAACGAGGGTCCCACACACATTTGTCCGAATTCTTCAGATTCCAACATTGCTCATGAATTAGGTCAACATCTACGATTTAATAGGTTTTGTGTACCAAGTAAATGTATTTAATACTAGTTCCATAAGAAACACCAGATCAGTCCTCTGTTTTCTTCAGATGCTTACTTAGTCGGCTATAATTAAAGTAAGGTAGGTAACACGCGATAGATTTCCCCAGAGGTTGAAACCCCTAATTAGAAAGTTTGCATAAGCCAATGGACTGCATGTGCGGCCTGTGCACATCGGTACTGACCCAGCCCTGCCACTTGGCCCATCCTCCTATCCGTAGCGAGATCAAGATGCAGCTGCGCCATGCTTGCTGGCTTCCTAGACGTGCGTATCTAGGATGACTTGAGGGATGCACTTCATTTCGTCACGCCTGCACTGACGCCTGTACCCCGAAGGCACTTGAAGACCTCTGGCACACGTCAGGCACGCGAGGTGATTGTAAACTATCCACTGATCTGGCAATAGACCAAGCGTGTATGTGCAAGTCGTGCGAGAATTCTCGCGTATTTTGCGGCCTCGGGTGTTCACGTTGCTGTCGAATTTTGATCTTGTCTTTGTTCTCACAGGGATCCTAGCTGTTCCCGCCCCTTCCAAAAGTCTCATAGCCATGCCAACAACAGCAATAGGTTTGAACGGCGTAAGCTCAAATTCATATTGCGGATCTGCATGGTATCCCTGGCCATCCACGCCATTGACTGATAACCCTTCGATCTCCAAGTATAGCAAACACGCTGCGATGGGAGCACTGTAGGCAAGGAACCTGGATTCCATGAAATTTTTTTAACATATTTCGGTTTTAACAAGCCCAAGTGAACCGATCCACCCTTCCTCAGCTACCGAGGGTCGTGATATAGGAACAAAGGAGAGCATGAACTAGCTTAGATTTTATGTAATCTGAACTGGGACGATGGCTAGCTGATGGCTCGTAAATCAATAGACACGGGGCTCACGGAAAATTGACTAATGTTCTTTACTTTCTCCGGCTAGATTGCTAAAATTTACCTACGTTTCTATTTCACAATTTTTCAATTTTCAATAAAAGACAACAAAAGAGTCCATCTGCTTTTGTTTAGCACAGTATAACGCAGTTCACAAGCGAGTGGCACCGCCCCCTACCCCCACCCAAAACCATCGTATTAAATGCGAGATGAAATGCAAGATTTCACGACCTTTTGACTCCATAACCATGACTTAGGCGTAGACAATACGTGTTAAGATATAGGACTGTGATTCATCACGTTTAACATGGTGTTTAGAAGCAATATGTTTAACTGCATCTATATCCCTTATCTCGCCATCTACAATCTCCAATCAGTCTGAGTTGTCATCTTCACCCTTACGGCTAGCTTGAGCTTTTGCCGATCTATTCTAGGATCTTGAATTTGACTGCAGCGTGAACTGTACACCAGTGAGCATCGTCTCATCTAACTTGGCACACAGATTACCTGCAAATAGAGGGTGCCAATTGAAAGAAACGGAAATGACTCACCAGCGAACTGAAGGCCATCTACTCATAACACAACAGAACAGCTCTCTCTTATCTGGCTTACCTCCGTTTCCGTTAGTCTCTACCCAGTTTTGCAATGTGCTTGAACCAATGGTCTTGAAAAAAAGGCTAAACCGAGGGATGCCTAAAACGGGATGGGAACAAGGCCCATGGGTCTATTTGCAAAAGTATTCCCGTTCTGCGGGCCCTTGCATATGTTGTTATAGGCGTGGTATTTGAGCTGTTTTACGGCATTTCCTCCCTTTCCAGTTAGTCATATAGAAAACAACCAGTGGTGCACCTTCCAAGATAACTTATATATGTGGTTTCTCGAAGACAATTGTTACCCGCTACTTTGTCTTAGATTTCTCAATCCCAGCAACCACATCATCGCCCGCATCTAGCGACCATGGAATCAATTCAAGATCGCCCTTGCAAATGTTCGCGGCTTGATTGCCTGAAATCCGAGCTTGAACACTACTGGCGACACATTGATTTGGTTCATGTCTTGGTCTTGGTTATCTCTCCCGTCTTCCTCTGCCTGGCCACGCAGTATATTCATTTTCAACGGCAGACAGCTCTATGGACATTGTTTCTCTTCCCCGTTGGCAACCTTGCCATAACAGCAGGTATCTATTCTGACCACGTAGCAAAGCAATATCGGCTTATCATTACATAGGCTATCACCGACTCTGGGCCCATAAAACTTATCACGCGAGTTTGCCGCTGCGATACTTCCTTGCCATCGTCGGGGCAGGAATGTTTCAATGGTCTATCCTATGGTGGTGTACTCATCACAGGAGCCACCACCGCTACACGGATACTAACAGAGACCCGTACAACGCCCGGAGAGGGTTTTTTTATTCCCACATGGGCTGGCTTCTCTTCCCTACACCCGAAAAATGGGGAGCAGTTGACGTGTCGGATTTGAAAAAAGACACGGTTGTGGTATGGCAGGACAAGTATTATGTCCCGCTCGCTAGAATGGTATCCATGTTGTTCCCTAGTATGGTTGCCCATGTTGGCTGGAATGATTGGCAAGGGGGTCTCCTCTACGCCGGTGCGATCCGAGTTTACCTCGGCTTGCACTTTACTTTTCTAGTCAACTCACTGGCCCACTGGATGGGAGACCAGCCCTATGGGGACAAATTTACTCCACGCCAAAACCTGCTGGTGGCCATTATCACGTGTGGCGAAGGGTACCACAACTTCCATCATGTCTTTCCCTCCGACTACCGAAATGGTGTTCACTGGTATGATCTGGACCCGACCAAGTGGTTCATCTGGTCGTGTGAACAACTTCGGCTGGCATCTCAACTCTCCCGTATTCCTGATCGGGAGATAGAATATGCGAGGAATCTTATGTTGAGGATGAGCTGCGCTGGGCCTGATACCTATACCATCCCGCTCGACAGTCCTACAATGACCTGGGAAGAATTTGAGAGGCAAGCCAAAGCGGGTCGGTGCTTAGTATGTATTGCTGGGTTTGTATATGATTTAATAGACTTCATGCACGATCATCCAGGAGGGCCCAAACTAATTCAACAGGTGGTTGGGAAGGAGGCGACGTCTGTATTTTATGAGGAATTTCATCATTCACCTCATGCCACCAATCTCCTGGCAAGCATGCGAATAGCCACGATTCATATAGGGAGAAGCCGGAATAAAACTTACAGGATGACGAACACATGATCTTTGAACTATAGATCAGTTCTATATTTCTCCAGTTTTCTAAAAATATCGAGGCAGATATATCTGAACTGTTTCTATTTCACATGGCCAGCGCCTGTGTGGCAGGGGAGGCTCGAGTTGCGATTTTATGTATATACGTACCCATGAATTACCCACAACCTGCCAAGAACTTACGAGCAAATCGAGTACACAAATATAGGTGTAAAACAAAATGTTTACTTATTTTAGCTTGTGCGATATTTTACATATTACTTTTGATTCATCCTCTTGGCGGAAGTCAAGTTTTGTCCGTGCTTTAGTGAGTCCTACGCTAGTCTAGTCCAACTGTATAGCAATCAAAGGTTCAAAATCAGTCAATGTTCTCGATATAAATTGAGAAACCTAATAATTAAGTCTCTAATGGTGAAATTTTTATGTACATAACTCAAGCAAAAAACGAATTTGATAGAAAAATTGGCGTTTGAACTATGTTCTGGATAGTTCCGCATTCCTTCACCATCCCCTGCTTACCCGATGTTCTTACTGTAGATACACTTGGGGAAGCTTTCTGTTAGACTATGCAACGTACTCCTCATGCTAGAGGCCTAAATTCCAAGGTCAGCATTATCTTGAACTTGAATTAAATTGTAGAATGTTGTCTTACCACTACTTAATTATTGAATTTTCAAGTTACATATTATCTAGTCGACTATATACTCCCCATAATAAACAGACGCGTGAGTATATTGCTCTCCATTCCAAATAACCATTGACAATTTGTCTTCCATTCTTTCATGTCGGCTCCATTCCAACCCGGAAAATCCGAATGCTTTTGATGTAGTTATGTGAGAAGCACTATGCTTCCTCCATTGGCTGGGCTGGCCCCACGTTTATATACCCTACAACCTGCATCCTTCAGCTCGTATGTGGATGCCCCGATATCTCACCAAATTTTCACCGGCAGCTCACCGGATACACCAGCTTTTAATTCCTTCAACTTCACGCACGCTATCTTAGTCCTGCCATTATGCGACTCGGTCAGCCATTGACTCTTGCATTCGCAACATGCCTCGGCGTTTCTCCGGGAGTGGTGGCTATAATGGGCACTTCTTGTATCAGTGTTCTAAAATCCATGGGCCAAGTGCCTGGACTTTTGCTGGAGAACGTCCGACGGCAGTCATGCGAGGCCGGCTGCGAGCCGAGGCTAGACATCTGGGACAAGTACGCGAAGGAAGCTGTTCTCCGCCCTCTTGTTGAAGATGGGGCCAAACACTGTGAAGCTCCTGAGAGCCAAGAAGCAGTATTCAACTTTTTGGACCAAATTTTCCAAAAAATAAAATTGCAGTGCTCTGAGAAACTCAGTAGCGAGAGCCACTTTTGTGATCACCCCGAGAGATTGAAACCGTTTGTGGACTGCGCCAAGGCAAACGCGATTCCGAACTCGATCAGCTCCCTGCCCATGGTACTTCCCTACATGTCAGAGCGAACATGCAAAAATACGAACGACTACGCAACAAGCTCCCAGTTGTGGGAGCATGATTTCCCAAAGCATCTCGCCAAGTACATTCATCAATGCCATGAGCTATGATTATGAGATATTCTTATGGGCAATTGTAAGTACTGACCTCCAAGGACCCCTGTCAAATACGGTTTCGGAGACAAGAACTGATTAGACATCAGATGTACGTTATGTCTTCCAATCTAAGAGGGTAAATGTATTCGATGACGAGAGGAAAGGAATGGACAGGTGGAGGGTTGACAAAGCACAATGGAGGAAAAACAGAACAGTTCGGCTTTCTAGGTTATACATTTGTAGCGGAATTTTGTTAGGTTCAAGTTTTTGTAAATGCAAGGCTTGGTTTGATGCCCATTTTTTGATAGGAATGTTATCAGGAATTCTGTTAGCTCTCCCCAGGGGCAACCCTACAGCATAATATGACGTCAAACAGAAACATGGAGTAGAGAGCCGTTCAGTTCTTTAACACTAATTTGAGCATATACCGTCTCGTTCAAATAAATACATTGGCTCATGCCAGAGTCTGTTAATTGACCATACTCAATGATCAGCCCCATCTATTTTATTCCGCAAATCTAACTTTTCCGCTTCCCCGCCTCAATAGTTGATGAAAACTTTGATGAGTCTCAAGGGTACTTTGCCAATGTCTCATAATGGGTTTGGAAATTAGACAGATGTTGTTGTTTTAAATTATACTAGCAGGCTAGAATAATGCAACATGAAGGAGCTATCTTGATCTACTGGGAACTGTCATTCCCGAGATCGGGGTAATCGGGCTTTACTCAGGTTTCATTAGCTCATCTCTGTGGACGAGCATATCTGAATTTAATGGGACAGAAAAATGGTCTTGGTCTATGCACCAAGCTAGGAATTGAATCCTGGAGGACTGTATGAATGGACAATTAACACACTTAAGGATACAAGGCATCTTCTATTCACCGATCAAGATTTCTCATGTGTCTCAGCAGTCATGAACTGCAATCCTGTCTCTAACCGTCCATACTTTGCATACAGATAGTCCAGCAGGTAGTATTCGCGTGGTCTCCAGGGATGAGTGTGCCCAGTCTTTAGCATACGATCTTCGGCTGCTTTGACATAGGTTGACTTTAAATTGATCAAACTCTGGCTTTTCATGCCCTTGGCATTTGCAAGATGAGGTACAGCTGCACTCTTGCCATGCCGAGCTAAATATTTGAGCAAACGACACATGAGCACCGTATTGAGATCCGCACCCAGCGTCCACGTCGTGGTCGGATACCCAATAAGACAGAAAGCGTTGGGAATGTCTTGCAACATGAGTCCATTCCATACGAACTTGTTTGAAATGTCGCAAGCCTTTCCATTTATGAATAGCTGCACCCCACCCCAAGCCTGCATATGAAGTCCTGTTGCAGTGACAATTATATCTGCAGGTAGAAACTCTTCCGTATCGAGGAGGATCCCCATGTCAGTGACTGCTTGGATGGTGGCTGTCCTGACATCGGCACGGCCCCTTTTGAGACTGGTGAAAAAGTCACCACCTGGGGAGACGCACGGGCGCTGGTCCCAGGGAGGATACTGTGGTTGGAAATGTGGAGTTGAGCTTACATTAGCTGGCAATTGAGCACGCATGAGAAAGCAGAGGATCCATTGCGCGGTTCGGGGCATGGATCTGCAGAACCAGTAGAAAAGCTGAAGGCCAATGATCCAACCGATACGGAGCAAGCGCGAGGGAAGCCAATTCAGCCAATCACCCCGAGGAATGGTGAGTATGTACGATGGGCTTCGTTGCAGCATGGTGACATGGGATGCCTTCTCAGCGAGCTTGGGCAAGAGTGTTATAGCAGTGGCGCCACTGCCAATAACAATGATCCTCTTTCCAGCATAATCAAAGTCTCGGGGCCAGAACTGCGGGTGCAGTACATTTCCGTTGAACTGCTCTATTCCTGGTATTGTTGTTGCCAATGCTTTATCATATCGGTAATAGCCGGTCCCGAAGACCACATATCTGGCCTGTAATTGCTTTATAGTACCGTTGGTTTTCAGGGTCCATCGTTGGCTTTTGTCGGACCAGCTTGCTGCTGTGAGCTGATGATGAAATAGAATGTGCTGGTCAATTCCATGTGCCACCGCCGCGTCTCGGATATACTGGGCGACTGAAGCTCCCTCGGCGAATGGGCGGCCTGTCCAGGGATACCATGGAAAGCTCAAGGTGTAGCAATCCGAGTCGGCGCGAATTCCAGGGTAACGAAACAAATTCCACGTCCCTCCTATATCCCCTCGAGTCTCGATGATTGCGAAGTTCCAGCCAGGGAATTCACTTTGGATGTGGTGGGCAGTGTTAATTCCAGATAGTCCAGCCCCAATAATCACGATATCCAGACACGAGTTCACCATAATAAACGATAAACGGGGTGGAGTCTAAGCAGAAATTATCTTCTGTACCTAAAACTGTAAGGTATATGGTAATTTATTCCAAATATGCAAGGGGCAATTGATACGGGAAGCATCATTCATCAAATCCATACCTTGTCCATCTCCCTCGCGTTGAATTGATCATAGGGCCATTATAAGTGAAAGCACCCTTTGTGATGATACATGGACCTCTCTTCCGCTTGCCTAGTCGTCTAATGGAGTGGATTGCGACATTGCCCGTGGACGGGCACTATTTAACGCTAGAGCCTATGGGACTTGAGTATCTCGGTAGACTTACACAAACCCCAACCCACGATGGGCACGCCCACGAAAGTCCAATATGGCATAGAATACTAGTCTTGGCGTTCATAAAGCTGCTGAATTTTCAAATAATTGACTGAGGGTTTGTCACAGCACTGTAGACTTCAACCAGTGCAGCACCCCAGCTGCCGCGGACTAGAAATTAGGTACGCTTTTGTTTTCTAGAGCGCCAGCTTTTTTCTAGTCCGTGCCAGCTGCAACCCGCCAGTGCAGTACTCACTAATTGCTGAGGCAAATCCCCAGCGGTGAATCTTGGTGCGGGAACCTCTTTTTTTTGTTTACCCGTCGCGACGAAAATGAATGCGGGAAATTCCGAATTGGAGTTAAGAAAACATGATTTTGTGATTATCAATCAGGGTATGCTCATGTCTTGTTTGAATTTCATCTGCTTTGCAGAAGTGTGTTGGGCTTTTGGTCAAAGTCAAAACATGTCTAGCGGCCGCGTTTCCAAGGAAAAATGCATAGACAGGTATAGCTTATGATCCGATAGAAGCCTCCAATCAAGATTATTATTCTAAAAGTGTTTGCTAGGGTCAGTCTAAACATATCAATCTCAGAAATTAGGTGATCTGGGTCTCACCCTATGTCTAAGCCAAACCTCGCGAGTATGTACCCGTTGAATTGTGCGGCGGACTTGATATCGTATAAATGAGAAAAGGGCAAAACATGTTTTGTAAAATATGCCTCTGCAAACCAGGTCTAAGAATCGGTGTGAGTTACAGTGAGTCGATGCATATTTGAGGAGGGGGGAGAAAATTTGCTGCACTCACCCCTGGGCAAAGGTACCAAAACCACTCGAGGTGCCAAGATTTGACAGTTGAAAGAAGAGGACCATAGCCATTACAAATCCCCACAACGAGGCAAGTGAGTAAAGATATCAAGAGGGCGTTCTCACGCCGAGCCATCGAGGCTACCATGGAGGCAATTCCGAAGACACCTGGTAGAAGACGTGGTCAATAACAGAATGACTATCCATCCGACGAAATCCAGGACCCAACCACCCTAACTTACAATAGAAATAAATCATGTTCATCAGCAACAAGTCTCCGAAGGATACGATTGGAGTTGCCAGGATGACGTAAAAAGACGTAAAGTGGAGCGAAGATAGAGCGATGCATGGAAGAGTCGATAGGTCCTTGCCTAGGAAAAAAGCACTTCTGGAATGACCAGAATCAATTTCTCGAAAAAATACCTCTCCTATATTCGATTCGAATTAGTGATTATGTTGTTTAATAGGCGGGGAATATCACTCACGCCCACCCCCGAAAATCTCAACACCTGCTGGGACAGCCGCAAGGCCTTCATTGTAGCTATAATCAGCTAAACCATCGCCTAATTAGATAAGACTGTGAAGACATACTTATAGCTAAGGTTGATAGCAGTGCGAGCTGTGTAACCAAGGTATAGTCAACGGCACTGGAAAGTAGCTGAAAGGGATCTTTGAAGACTCCATGGAACAGGTGGCCGTCAAACGTATATACGGCGAGCCCAATCATTAGTCCGGACGCTGCAGCAACGAAATGTATTGTCATCAAGACAGTATATCGTCGACATTGTTGGCTGCTTTCACGACAGAAATTGAGCCAGAGTTGTCGATACCATGGTGCCATTCGTGACATCACTTCTGCTGATATCCTCTCTAAGGCTTCTCCAGATGTACGGTCATTGACGACTATAGCTGTTGGCACATGCTCCATATCCAAATCGATCATTGGGTTGACAGATGAAATTATGTCCAGAAGTGCGTCGGCAAAGTTGTAGGAATCTGAGAACGTATATCCTTTGGATGTGAAAAATGCTTCAGCTTCTGCAGCATTTCCGAGGAAGACCTGTCGTCCTGAACGAAGAAGGAGAACATTGTCCAGGATCTCAAAAATGTCTGCTCGGGGTTGATGCATAACGCAGACGATTGTGACTCCCATGGTGGAAATTGTCTTTAGTATCTTGAGCAAAGATAAAGCCGAGGAAGCATCAAGTCCAGAAGTTGGTTCATCCAAGACTAATGCGAGTGGAGTGGCAACAAGTTGAATTGCAATACTCACCCTTTTGCGTTCCCCGCCGGAGAGTCGACACACCCTGCTATTTCGGATATGGAGTAAGCCCATACAGGACAATATACAAAGAACGTGTTTTTCAATAGAAGCTCTAGTCCTGGCCCCTGTGAGACGAACGCGAGCTGAATAAAGCACACTCTCTCTGACAGTAAAGTCACTTAAGACTGAATCATCTTGAGGAACGAAACCAATCAGATGTTTGAATCTGGGCAGAGCCACCTCCACTCCATTCAAAATAACAGATCCGCATGACTGATGTGTTCTTCCTGCTAACACTTTGACAAGGGTTGCTAAAAGATGTGTTTTAGCTTCGCTCTTAAGATACGCGTCCAGAAAAATATAACACACATTTGCCAGCGCCAGATGGGCCTAAAATACCAAGTAATGTGCCTTTTGGAACCATACCTGTGATACCTTGAAATATTGGGGTTTCTTGGTTTTTTGGAAGAAATTCGAGATCACGAAATCCAATGTCGATACCGAGAGTGCTAAAGCTCGAGTTCTGCCTCATAGAAGAGGAGAAATCTACGGTTTCTGGAGAATGGTCGGGACTCTGGTTGTCTATAACCGTAGCTATAGCCGCAGGATCGCTGATTGAGTCAAACTGATATCTTTTCTTTTCCTTCAGGCGTATCTTGACCAACGTTTGCTTTAATGCGCTTCTCCACTTGACGGGAATATTGAAGAATAGGGATAAAGCAATGAGAATAACATCGGCAATTATCAAAATGAGAAATCCAAGTAAATGAAACTCTCTCAAACTGCCATTGGGGCAAACCGACAATGGCATGCAACGAATGGGTTCTGTTGTTCCCAGGGGGCAGAAATGTCGTGAAGGACATTCGATCCGCTCCCGGCCTCCAACCGGGCAGTAAAACCTGGCAGGGCACACCATGGGCTCATAGATTCCTTGAAAGTTGCTGCATGTGTTCGAGAATTGCTGAAGCCGTGTTACCAAGCAATCAGAAACTGGTGGACAATATTCTGGTGGGAACTCATCGGTGTTATTAGGACCTGACAAAAGTAAAAAGAACCAGATTAGAATCAGTATGTAGAGTAATGGAGATTGAAAGAAAAAAGAGGAAAACTATGACCACGTACAAAAAAAGCCCTCGATGCAAACATGAGAGGTTGCGAGTTGAATTGGGTCTCCTCCAGACCGGCATCGTGTGCTGCCTGCCATCGTCGCCATCTCAAAGTTATGATGACAAGACCGTATTATTTTCCCCAACAGGGTACACTGAAGAAGTAGCCACCTGAAATAGCCCAGGGGATCTCTTTTTTGCGTCCAGTCGAGACGCAACTGCTTCAAGATTACATTCCTGCATACCACTACTTTGTTCATGTTGATATGCCTTGGTATTTCATTCTATATTGTTCTGCCACGTTCATGGGTACTATCCATTTCTTAGGGCTAGACTTTTCCCCCAAAAGCTTGTATTCACGAGCTCCTGATTCCTGGCATTTCCCTCACCCCTTAGCTAGCCTTGCTTTACGCGCATGTCAGCGCCCAGCCTAGTCTAACCATTTGACACGGGACCCGTCCAGAACTAGATCGTGCAATAAACTACGATTCTGTATGGAGTTTTTCGTTTCTCCCCCAGAGAAAGAGCGGGCTCCGCAACCCGACATGTAGTAATAGCGATATCAGAGCGAGTTCAATGCAGGTGAAGTTATACCGAGAGCCCCGGCGGTATTGTGCTTGGACCCCAGGAGAAGCTACTGTAACGGCTCGAACAACAATGAATATCGCGTAGGAGATTGCTGCTTATCCAGCGTTCTAGGCCCAGTGTGAGGTAGTATCCGACACTAAAAGAAGACCATTCAGAGAATTCGATGCCAAGGACGTGCGATTACTTCAATGACTTGCGGTAACCAAGATGCCAAGTTTCTGTCTGTTGGGGATCGGTGTGACATTCTGATATGTCTATCCCTACATTCTTTCCCCCTGCATGAGCATTGTAATATCTACAAAAACTGGGCAGGTCTCACATCACTTGTTGCAACAATTAGTGTCGCGCATCCGCCTCTGCCACACCCTGCGGTAGACTGCATTGGAGCGGACAATACACCCTCCTTTCTTCAGATTCCTAGGGTTTGGGACCGGAAATCAAAATTAACACTCGAGTATTTTCGATCAAACTTGGACGATCATCGACTTTATATTTAGGTAAATCCCTCACTGATGAAGCTCAACACAGATTGATCACTTCTATCTTTTGAATTTCGAACGATGGAACCCAACCCAAATCTGGAAGTCTTCAAGAGACATACAGTTTTCCTGACAGGAAGTACCGGTGCCCTTGGCGCTTGTCTTCTGTATAAACTTGCCGTGCAACTTCCCACGAGCAAAATTTACGTTCTCATCCGCTCATCACCCGACGTTGCCCTCAGCAAATGGCGACGTTTATTGCAGGCCAAATTTGAATCTGTCATCAAATCGGAAAGAATTCACTTTATTCGTGGCGATATGACTCAGCCCAACTTTGGCATAGAAAACTCTTCCATGGAAAGGTTGCGCCGAGAAGTCACACTGATCTTCAATACTGCGGCAAATATCACTTTAAACTCTGAGATATCCGAAGCTATTGCAGAAAACTGTTTACCAGCCTTGGAGCTTGCACGTATTGCGTCTGGATTTCTTGTTTTGGGGTTATTTGTCCAGATCTCAACCGCCTACGTGAATAGTTTTCTTCCCGATGGTGAGATAGAGGAGAAAGTCTACCACGTTTCGGACGACGATCCTGAAGACGTATTGGCGTCAATTCTTAGTTCTGGAAGCTCGAGTGATACTGATCGATTCGCTTCATCCTACGCTCATGCCAAATACCTGCTGGAGCGCCTTCTTCTCCAAAGACATCCTGCCCTTCCATTGATGCTTCTGCGCCCAGCATGTTTTGGCCCTTCAATACGCGATCCATACAGATTGTACGGCCCAGACAAGTCACTTCCTTTGAACAAATTTGCACAAACCTTTATCGCTTTACGTGATCCCGCGCAGATTTGGCATGCTACCGAGGGATCCAAAAGTGGAACCAACGTTTTGGACGAAATTCCCGTGGATTTCGTTGCGAATGCTTGCCTTCTTCATGCAGCGAACAAGACGTACGGAATTGTCCATGTTGGTTCCGAACTTAGCGTTTCGCGTACTTTCGATGACTTTCTCGCCCTTTACCGACTTGTGATTCCACGAGAAGACCAATTATCTGGAGTTGTGTTTGTACAAGACCGAGCCCAGGATCAATGCTTTCTAGCTGATCTAGTCAAGGTTGCTACGCGTAATTGGAAGTTCAATTGTAGTCGCTCTAAGTGGATCAAAGGAATCGGTGGCCCGTTGTCTTTAGATGTTCCTGCTGCTGAGGTGGAGGAACTCCAGAGAGAAAATGTCCGGCTCTTATACCACAAGGCAAACAGTCGAATGCAAAAGCTCTGAGAAACATGCCTTTTTGAACCTTTATTGCTCCTTTATCGGTTGAGTTAAATAGAATAGTTCTCTAGATGGCTCCATTTGCTACAGGCATCCCTTCACACATTCGATACTGCAAAACTCATATATCTTCGTTCAAAGCAGATGGACTACAAAATTTGTGGTAGATTGAATCACCCTGGGTTCTCGTTACTCGCCGGATGACTTTCGAGAGTGATACCAGGGATTTTCAGGAATACCATCAAATGGCGTCTGCAGGTGTCGAGGTGTATTTGGACAGTCTCTCGATATAGATGTAGTTCTAAATCTTATTTCTTTGGTTCCAAATTCCTCTGAACTACAACTGACAATCCAGCAAGATCGTTATAGAATAAAAGAAGAGAAGGTAGAAGAGAAGCGAAGTGGAATATTCTTAGCTCCTAGAAAAGAGAGCAAGCAGCAGCATCAGGGAACTGCCTGATAGCAGGGCAAATACAATACATGAATAGAGGCACTAATCCCATCTAATGATTGGGTAGAAAGACCACACTATAGTTTGCTTGCACTCGGTCCACACTAACATCGATTAAATCAATTCAAGACGTTAAAGTGAAAACTCCGCGAGATCAAGCTTAGCTCATGACGAAATGCCAAACCGAGTTCTGCCGGTTGGCATATTGGGCTAGCAGACAACCGAAACAAGATTGCACACTGTGCCCATCAATTCTGACAATGCTGCATTCACATAAAGCTAGCTTGCCGTCGTGTCAAAATTTCGCACTGTTTGCTTCCTCCTTTTTTGGTAAGATGTCCCTTGGGCGAAATTGAAGCATAGGGCCCTTTGACAAACCAAATATGCGATCAATCAACTGAAACTCCTCCGAGTTTCCCCTACCGGGTTTCTGGGTACCCAAATCGGCCCTCAGTTCGTCATATGCTCTTTCTGGAGTTCGAAAATCGTACACCAGTAACAGTGATGCAATTGTGAGTAATAACTCCAAATAAGCCAGTGACTCGCCGATGCAAGATCTTGGACCAGATGAGAAGGGATTGAACGCTGACTTTTTGGTGTTAGAACCTGTCGTATCACTCTCGTCACTATTGAGCCATCGTTCCGGAATGAATTCATGTGGGTTGTGAAAATATGCAGCGTTGTGATGTAGACTGTACAATCCCGTACCGACAGTGTAGCCCTCTGGGATGAAGTGGCCATCAATTGTCTCACCTCCCTCACCAATTTCTCTCCATGGACTCGATCCAATGGGGGGCGATATTCGCAAGCTCTCTTTGACACATGCTGCGAAATATTTGCAACTTTCGAGCTGAGACCCAAGGCGAACTTCAGCCACAGAATTGAAAACATCACGCAGCTCATTCGCGGCCTTTTCGTACCTCTGACGGCATTTACTCAAATAGAACAGCAATGCACACATAGCTGTTGCTGTGGTATCAAGTCCTAGAATGGAAAATCACTGTTAGTACTATTTTCTATGTTGACTTTCACTCGTCTGTGATATCACCCACCAGCGATAACCAGTACACCGATTTCCGACTGTATCTCTGTCATGCTCAGGAGTCCTTCATGTGACTTGCAATTTGCACCTGCAAGGGATGTGAAGACATCATCACCTCGGTTTATTCCCGATTGTGCACTGATAGCCGCTCGAATGAATTTCCAGAAGCTCCTGGTGCCTCGAACTGATTTTCCGAAAATCATTTTGTCTGCCCGAAAGACCCTCAAGAGGGGTTGATAGACAAGTACGCTATTTCTCACGCTGGCGTCTTTGATGTCTTGGATAATATGGCGGTGTTTTGCAGAGTTGAGGAGGTCGTAATTGAAGCCGAACATGAAATCTGACACGGCATCAAAGGTGAAATACCTCAACCATTCCGACATGTCCATAGGCGGCCCCCAAGCGTCACTTTCATTAGCTTGCTTTCCGACCTGGGACACCTTGCTAATCAGAGTATTGATGTGCTCTTTCACCCGATCTTGAAACTGAGAGATTCTCCTTCTGGTGAAAGCTGGGCCTATCAGCCTGCGACGCTTTGCGTGTTCTTTTTTGTTGTACATGGTGATCAGATTTGCTGCCCTCGGGTTTAGCTTGGAAATCTGTCGATGCTTCCAAATATTTCTTCCCGAAGCGTATATGTCTATGATTCTCATTTAGCAGAGATCTCCACAGATGGTTATGTGACTTGCCTCTATGTCCTGACGCGGTATTGAAAAGTAAAGCGTTTGGCCCATAACGAACAACCGGGCCTGAGCATCGTAAATAAACAGAAACACAGAAGTATTTCAGGCCAATGAAATCTGGCTCACTCACCATATTTGTCGTGACAGTGCCAAATGTCTATGTGTAAATCTCCTTTCCATGCGTGATAGACTCCTCTAATCACACTGAATTTGGCTACAATTGGCCCAGGAAATTTTGCCAGAGGATGGAAGTAGACTTGGTGTATGTAGTAACCGGATGTCTGATAGTGGTATTCTTATTAGTTGCTCATAATCAAGAGGGTAGTAACGGTATAGTAGTCATTAGCAGTAGAGATAACCTAAAGAACTATCAACCCACAACGGAAGCTTTCTTACTAGGATAGTGATAGCAATGGTAGTCAGCATTAACCAATGATTTCCCAGGGAAGTCTCTGGCGCCGCAGGAAACAGTTGAAAAGCCGTTCCCATATTGTGATAAGTCGTCTTCAATCATGCAAGATTTATTCCGAAGGGTAAGCACGAAATTCCACAGTAATGTTCAACATTCCATGAGAAGTTGCTGGATATTTACCAATGAAAGAATATTAACCTGTTATGAGGGTATAAGACACAACATTCTTGTCTTCAAGAATCCTAATATGGCCTTCCTAATGATTACACGTTGGAATCGTCGCCGATTAGAGCGAGCAATCTACTCCGAGGGAAACAGCCATCAGCGTTTCTGTCTCATTTTGAAAATTCCATCTACATCGTGTAATGGCACTTCGAAGGGATGGCAAAATTGATCGGCAGAACTTAATTATCATTGAGGTTATAAGAGATATCTTGATTGGTTGACAATGTAACCTCTCTTCAAATACAACGAACAAGGCTTCGCATCACCCTGAGGTCCCAGGAGGTCTCCCTTATCTGTAGCCACCGCGTATTTTCAGGCAGGGGGCGTAATTATTCTAAAAGGTAAACAAGGTACAAGGCTTTTCGCGCGTCTTATTGGTCAGTTTGAAATTTTATTCAACAACTCTTGACTTTTAAGGAGCGACTTAGAGCCGAGCTACTACTTCCGCCAAATCCGCACCGTCTCAATGCCTCCGATATCAAAGAGGCCGATGTTGTTGTAGAAAGGTCAGCGAAACGACAGTACGAACAAGGAGACGTGACGCGCACACTGAGACGCAAGGTAGACATGGCCTCTGAGAATCGAGGGACATTCCAACAAGCCACAGTCATTCGCTCCTCTGCTCAAACCTGCTAAATGAAGCACCCAGACCAGAATCGGATCGGATGTCAGTAGGATCATCTTGTCCTAATTCTCCGACCGTGAGTGGCTGAGATCCAATCCAAACACTTGGTTTTCATACCATTTCACACCTGGTATGTTGAAATCAAACCCATTGGGACTACGGTCATTCCGCTTTAAGCCTGGTTGAGCTTTGATCGACAACCAATTCGCTACGATGAACGAAGTCGTCTAGCTATTGTCCGATATGACAGGGAAGTTTTTGGTGTTTTGTTTCATATAGCCAATAAATAGTTCTTTGAGGACACTTGGCAATCCGTTCAGGATGCTTGAACTTAGGCCATTGAGAAAGCCAAAGCGTCACAATGGACACAATCTCTGGACATGGCCGGGGAAGAAAACCGTGGCAGGTTGCGACCTTCATGAAACTACGAAAAGATTGGGGCTTTTGTCCCGGTTATGAAAGCTCGACGATGACGAGCACATCGATACCGAGGACACGACATACGCTTTCTCGGATATCATCTTTATCTTTCCCGAAATGGCCGGACCTAATGAACCCCGCGAAGACTTCTGAGGCTATGTAGGCTAGTGTCTACAAGGATTCGGTGGAAGGAATACTGTTTAATTCGTACCCAAGCAAGAAAAAGCAGATAGCCTAAATCCATCGACATAACAAGGACATCATAAGAAGCAAGACATAAAAACGCTAGAAAAATCATTGAAGTAGCATCACGCATCACGTAGAGTAGATGAATCGGTCTCGTACAAAATCGCAACGCTTTTATGCCTTGCTGATCTTGCAGACCAGATCTTGGCCATCAACAGAGTCACCCTCCCGGACCTGGAGCTCGGACACCTTTCCGCTGTGCGGGGCGGAAATCACCATTTCCTTTGAGACTGTTAGTAACTTGGACAAGTAGATGTTGGGAGATATTTGTAACTTACCATCTTCATGGCGCTCAGCACCGCAATGGGGTCACCCTTCTTGACCTCGTGGCCGTCGTGAATGCGGATCTCAACCACGACACCGCTCATAGGAGCACCGACCTGGCTGCTGTCTGCAGCGTCGGCCTTGGGACGGGCAATGTTGTCGACTGAGGCCTTCTTGTCATCAACGCTGACCTGGCGAACTTCACCGTTGACCTCGTAGAAGACCTCACGCTGGCCAGTCTGCTCGGAGAGAGGACCAATGGCAAGCAGCTTCAGGATCAGGACCTTGCCCTTCTCCAGCTCGACGTGGAACTCCTCGCCGATCTCGGGTCTAGCCAAGAAGTATCGGGTAGGAAGAACGGAAAGATCACCGAACTTCTGCACGAACTTCTTGTAGTCATCGTACACCTTGGGGTACATGGCGTAACTGGCGACGTCGCACTCGGTGGCAGCACCGTACTTCTCGCGGATCTCGTTCTTGATCTTGATGAGATCCATGGGCTCGAGGTACAGACCGGGGCGCTTGTCGAGCTTGCGGCGGCCACGGAGGGCCTTGGTGCGCAGGGGCTCGGGGAAACCGCCGTAGGGTTGGCCCATAAGACCCTCGAAGAATTCAAGGACCGAGCCGGGGAAGTCGAGCTGATCAGCCCGGTCGATCACATCCTGGGCGGACAGCTTGTTGCTGACAATCCAAGAGGCAAAGTCGCCACACACCTTGGAAGAGGGGGTGACCTTAACGATATCGCCCAGCAATTCGTTGGCCACCTCGTAAGCCTTCTTGGTCTCAGCCCACTGCTGTCCAAGACCCAACTGGCTGGCCTGGAAAATCAGGTTGGTCAGTTGGCCACCGGGGATCTCGTGCTCGTACACCTCGGGATCGGGACCAGTCAGACCAGCCTCGAAGGGAGAGTAGAGCAAACGAAGTTGGGCCCAGTAGGAGTCAAGAGCGCGGACATGTGAGAGGTCCAAACCAGGGTCGTACTGGGTACCCTGGAGGGAAGCAAGGAGAGCACCAATGCTGGGCTGCGAGGTCATACCGGACAGACTGTCGGTAGCAGCGTCGACAGCATCAGCACCGGCCTCGGCACACGCAATCATGGAGGCAACACCGGTTCCGGCCGAGTCGTGGGTGTGGACGTGGATTGGGAGATCGGGGTAACGCTCGCGGATGCCTCCGATCAGGATGCGAGCGGCCTGGGGCTTGAGCACACCGGCCATGTCCTTGATTCCAAGAACATGGGGACCCATCTTGACAATCTTGTCAACCAAGCCCATGTAGTACTCGAAGCTGTACTTCTTCTTGGGGTTCAACATGTCACCGCTGTAGCACATGGTGGCCTCAACGACACCGCCAGCCTCGTGGACAGCCTTAATACCAACCTCAAGCTGGTCAAGATCGTTAAGGGCATCAAAAACACGGAAAATGTCGACACCGTACTTCTTGGCCTGCTTACAGAAGTGGTAGATGGCATTGTCAGGGAGAGATGAGTAAGCAACGCCGTTGGCGCCACGAAGCAGCATCTGGAAGGGAATGTTAGGAACAGCCTTGCGCATCTTGCGGAGTCTGTCCCAAGGATCCTCATAGAGGAAGCGCATAGCGACGTCGAATGTAGCTCCACCCCAGCACTCCAGAGAGTAGGCGTTGCTCAAAGCGTGGCTAGTCTCGGCAGCGATGTTCAGCATATCGATTGTTCGCACACGAGTGGCAAGCAACGACTGGTGGGCATCACGCCAGGTGGTGTCCATGATCAAGCAGCCCTTGTTGGCGCGCACTGCGCGAGCCCAGGCCTCGGGGCCTTGGCTGTCCAAAATCTGCTTCCATCCCTTGGTAGCAGGGGAAGAAACGTCAATGGGCTTGCCAGCAGCATCATGGAGAGTGGGCCTGATGATCTCGCCCTTGAACTTGGGCTCACCAATTTGGCCCTTGATGCTACTACCGTTGACAGCAAGGTCACCAAGGTAGGTGAGCAACTTCTGGGCACGGTTTTGACTGTTGACGAGGGTGAACAGCTCGGGGGTATCATCAATGAAAGTGGTCCAGCAAGTGCCATCGATGAAAGTAGGGTGGCTCAGCAGCGAGGCAAGGAAAGGAATGTTCGTCTTGACACCGCGGATACGGAACTCAACCAGAGCACGCAGCATCTTGCGGCGGGATATTTCATATGTCGAGCCACGGCAAGTGCACTTAACCAGCATAGAATCGTAGTGAGGAGTGATGATGGCACCAGCAAATCCGTTGCCACCGTCCAGACGGACTCCGTTACCACCGGCAGACCGATAAACCTCGATCTTGCCAGTATCGGGGGAGAATCCATTGGATGGGTCCTCAGTAGTGATACGGCATTGGATAGCAAATCCTCGAGTAGAAATGCGGTCCTGAGTCAATCCGAGTCTATAATCCACTCGTTAGCATGTTACACTCTATCTGATCCGTGGAATTTCCTTACTGTTCCAAAGAAGCACCGGCGGCAATCTGGATCTGTGCCGCCACCAGATCGATGCCTGTGATTTCCTCTGTAATCGTGTGCTCTACCTGAATACGAGGGTTCACCTCGATAAAGTATGCCTTGTTGTCTGCTGGCGAATACAAGAACTCAGCAGTACCAGCATTGCGGTAGCCGACATGCTTAGCCAGTCTCACTGCATCGGCCAACATCTTGTCACGGACATCGACAGGGAGATCCTTTGCCGGGGCAATTTCGACGACCTTCTGGTGACGACGCTGAACAGAGCAATCACGCTCGAAAAGATGAACGACATTGCCGTGGTTGTCACCCAAAAGCTGAACCTCAATGTGCTTAGGTTGGTAGAGGAAACGCTCGACAAAAACGGTACCATTGCCGAAGGCACTCAAAGCCTCGGACGTAGCACGTTCGAAAGCTTCGGCCAGGCTAGCCTGGTCATTGACAACACGCATACCACGGCCACCACCACCAAAGGCAGCCTTGATGATGATAGGGAAGCCGTATTTATCAGTGAATTCCTTCACTTCCTCGAACTTCGCAATGGGGCCCGGTGTTCCGGGGACAACGGGGACATTGCATGCAATAGCAACATTGCGAGCAGAAACCTTGTCACCAAGAGCATCGATAGTCTCAGGCTTGGGACCGACGAAGACAATGCCTGCCTTCTCGACATTACGGGCGAACTCGGCGTTCTCCGAAAGGAAACCATAACCGGGATGAATCAGGTGAACGCCGTGCTCGACGGCAATCTTGATAATTTCATCACCGGCCAAATAGGCACCAACGGGGGTGTATTGGCCCCGCTTTCCGATCATGTAGGCCTCATCGGCCTTCTGACGATGCATACCGAGACGGTCCTCGTGTGAGTAGACAGCGACTGTCTGGAGAGACAATTCGTGTGCGGTACGGAAGATACGGATGGGAATTTCACCACGGTTGGCGACTAGAATCTTTTGGAAGTGCATGATGGTGGAGTTGGCGCGCAGACGGCGGTGGACTGAGTCCTGGTGGTGCTCATTGTGGTCCTCGATGAAGTCGGCATCATCGATGGCAGACTCCGGCTGGCGGTGGGAAGCCATTGTGAATGTGTGTGTGAGAGAGGAATATATTACAGGAATTCAGAACTGTTGGTGTTAATAATGAGGGGTCCCGCTATCAACGGCGATGAAGTAAGGCGGTGACTCACTATAAGCTGGGGAGCTCTCTCCGGGTCCAACTTAGGCCGATTTCGGCACAATTGGTTGTGGTAGTTAATTAGGAACAGGAACTGTAAGGTAGGATGAGAATTGTGGGTAGAATATGATATGAGAATATGAGAATGAGAGAGAAGAGGAAAAAAAAGATGGCCGAGTCAGAAACCTTGGGGGGGAAGTGCCGATAGATAAAGGAGGGGAATCACAAGCTCGATCTGCATGTCACAGATACTTTCCGGGGGGAGGACAGACTCCAGGAATGAGGTAACGAGTACTTACGGGAGGTTCACCGGCACACCGGGAAATCCAATTGACTTGTTGCAATGATCAAATCAAATAGAATAAAAATTCTCTAAATCACACTAAATCACTAAATTGACTATTTAAATAAAAATATTATAATACGATTTGCTAATTCTATGCGGGGCTGACTACTATGGTACTTTACGGTGTATGTACACTCCAGGGACTCTATGATGCCATGTAGCTGCGGGCAACACTACTTAATTCCACTATGCACACTAACGGACTACATAGACGAAAAGTTCTCATGATCTCACCCACGATAACCCTAGGACTTCATATCGGGTGGTTTAGGTAAAGTCCGGGGAATCGACCTCGGGTCCTCGGGACGAAAAACAAATTCACATCTAGAAGATCTCTTGAGGCATGTCTATGCGGATATTCACGGGAAACTGGGAAGAGTCCGGGGGAGATTCGGAGAACTCTCGACATGCGCAGGAGGGAGGAGAGGGGATCGGACCAATCGCCATAACAGATTAATCACAATGTTGTCTATGTCCTGTTAGTGGACTTATCCTCATAAGCAACTGGTAACTATTAATCTTGACTACCAATTGTGGAAAAACAGTTCACCTCGGGGAAGATATGTCCGAGCTATAGCAAATTTAACGGTTAGGGTTCCGATTTGAAAACTCATTACAATTTCTATTATCCATTCTTCTTACTCCGTACTCAGAGAACACCAGCTTAAAATCTGTGTTCGGTCATGCGTACAAATTCTCTAGAGGAAAGGATCACCTTCATCTCCGATACTTGGCCGATGGCTAATCTTTGACGCTATTTGATTTGTACACTCAGTCTCCAAGGTTCCCCCTCTTTCTCTCCTCATTCCTACAATACTGTACATATGTACTCAAATCTCAATTTTCATCCCTTACACCGCCGTCCCGCTTGGCATTCCGGCGGGTGATCTCCCGCTATATCGAAAATGTATGACAGGTACGACTCCGGCCAGTCCTGTCGCTGACATTGCGCACAAAAGCCAAGAAGCCAAGAGCGCGGCATTCCGAGGCCAATCTTTCAATGGTTCTGAAGGGAAATTTCAATGCGCCAAGATCTTGATACCGCCGAGCTATTCCACTCAACTAGCATCTAATAGTAATCTCGACAGCCAACCTTGGAACCTGAGACAATATCCTCCGGTGGGCACGTAAGCTGAATAATTGCCTTGGAAATTGTCTCCAGAATCTTGCAGTGCCCAGCATCTAAGGAACTTCCCCTTACTCCATACTCTTGTTCAGCTATAAGGTGGCTGGATGAAGGGCTGGTTGAAGGTTGGGGCTGTTCAATCACCGCTCAAAGCTCTTATCTCCCCCAGGCCTGGAACCAAAATTTCGTTTCCGTGATACCCTCACCACCGCATCCACCCCCTTTAGATCTGTTTCCTTTTTTTTTTGCTTTTTGTTACACTTGGCCTGCATGCGGAAAAATTCACTGCCATCATTCCGCCAGTAGCCCTTTTGCTAGCACCCCACGATTTTCGGGGATAAAGACTTCCCCGGAAAATTGTCCCTTCCATCCAGCCGGGCCGGTAGCTGACGTTTGAGGCTCGTCGGCACTCTACAGGTAGCAAAGCGATAGATGGGTTTTCTTTTTCAAAAAAAATTAAAAAGTTAAGTTATGCTCAGTTGTACAAAGATCTGCGTAATAAAGGTGGGGGGAAAAGGTAAGATACTGCCTAAAATATACCAAAATCAAAAGCACCTCGGCATCAATGCTAGGCCGCCATCACACTTTATGGGCAAGGCCAAGTTGATAAGGCCGATCTGCAGAAATAATCGCCATCTCATGCCATGATTTACCTTGGCGGCTTGGCGGGAAACCTGCATTCTACACCGAATTCCCTATGGATCTGGGGGACACTTGGCAGCCTCAAATTTGTGGAAAATCGGGAATTGCACTCTGCGGTGAGCCTTGGAATACTATTATACTGTACGGAATCAATTTCACAGGTAAGAACATAAACAATCACAATGCTATTACTGAGATCGGGCCATGACCCAGACACTTGAAGCATTAAAACGCAAAACCTATCAAATACATGCGGACGAAGAAAAGAAAATAATTCAAAGCAAGATTAATCATGAGTTCCCCCTTTGGTACCCTTTCGGTGTGACCAATACCTCCACATAATGAAGTCGTGTCTTTTGCAACCCCGGAAACCATCACCTCCGCTGTATGTTACAAATGCAAAAAAGAAACGTAAGAATCAAAAGCGAAAGCATTGCTCAGCTCTAGAATCCGCGATACCCAGTTGCCTGGGGGTGAGACCGCCGCCGTTAGACTGCGGGCCCTGGGTCAACATGAGTCGTGAGCCTTGCAGGATGGGAGTGTTGTCCTCCTCTGTGCGGGTCTGCTTCTCGCGGTTCTTGCGCTCCTCATTGTCCTTCTTGAGCAACTCGATAGCCCGGGTTTGCTCGCAGAGGAAGTTGATCATGAAGGGCATGGTGAAGTCGTGAAGGCCCTTGCGCCATGAGATTTCCATGATGACGTCGGGGCGGATGAGGTCGTAGCAGGCATAGAGCATGCCGACGTAGCACTCACGGCTGCCAATATCAACGAACTGTGTCTAGTTAGTAGAGATTCAAGTGTTGGGAATGAATTCAAACTTACGTAGCGAAGGAGATCCTCCACAACATCGGACTTGGCAGAGATGGCAGCAGTTTCAATGGCATCCTTGTAGAGCTTGTCCTGCTTGGAGAGCGCAATTGACTTCTCCCAGCGCTTGTTGTTACGGTAGATGTTGGCGGCAATTTGGCGGAAGAAGATAAGGTCGTGCTTCTCAAGACGTTGGGCAAGGTCAACAGCATCGAAGTTGTCATTCTGGTCCACGGAGTCCTTGAGCAGCTTGTGGTCCTCCTCCTCAATCAAAATTTCATTGATGGCGTCATTGACAGCCCGCTTGTTCTGGGATTGGACGTTGAGCAGGAAGGGCTTGATCAAGGGAATGTTGTCAGAGCTCTGGAAGATGCGAACAACACGGTTGACATCAATACGAGGGGTCAAGACCTGGAGCAAGTCAGTGAGCAGAAGAGGCTGCTCCTGGAGGTAGAAGTTGAGCGACCGGTAGTAGATTTCCAGGTTGGCAACCTTTACGATGATGTCCTTGAAGGAGTGGTGCTCCCAAGCATCGGCGGCGCGCTCCATCATGGCAAGGGCAGCGTTGTCCCACTCGTCGTAGTGGCAGTACAAGAAGACCAGCTCGGGCCAGAGGTTGGCTTCTTCGGAAGCCCGGATCATCTTGGGGATGTTGATGCGGGACCAGAAGAGCTTCAGGTGCTCCATGACACGGTCGGGGTGGTACTTGGACAGAGCAATGCCAAGCTCGGTGAACATGCCCATGTGAGCACGCTCAAGACCAAGACCAGCCTCCAAGACGGCGATCAGCTCATCAAAGTATCCATTGCGCTCGTACTGGCGGACGAGGCTTTGCAACTCCTCGGCGTGAACGATGAGGTTCAGACCGCAAATCTGGGCAAGACGGAATTCCTTCTTGTTGACGCAGGCCTCGTTGACCTGCTTCCAGACCTTGACGCTGTTGGCCTTGCGGGCGCACTCAACGGCGGCTTGGTAATCTTCTAGGTGGACCAAGGTAGTGGCCAACTTAGCCCAGTTGGAGATCTGGGTGAAGAAGATCTTAGCAGCATTGTGATAGCCTTCAGCGTAGGCCTTGTCACCGGACGCTTCAATATCCGCAACATTGGTGGAGCGGAGGAAGTCCTCAAGCTCAGCAAGCTGGTCAAGACGTGCGAAGCAGAAGGCAAGACCAGTGTCGATGGCGGGCTCACGCAGGGTCTTGCGGGCCATGCGAAGGAACTTGACGAGATCCTCATCCTTTCCAGCATGAGTGGCGGTTTCAATCACCTCGTTGTAGTTAGAAGGGTCCTCGGCACGGATGTAAGACTCGATGGAGTCAGTCACACGAAGGCCATCCAGCTGGGCTTTGGCAACCTTGCTCCAGACCTCGGACAGCTCGACACGCTCGGCGAACTCCTGAGCACGGTCGATGCTGACAATGTTCTCCACCAGAACATTCACAGCGGCCAGGTAGTTGTTGACCTTCTTGTAGACCTCAAAGGCCTCCTCGTATAGACCAACACCAATACACATCTCAGCGATCTCATCAGCAGAGAAATCGTTGAGCTGGTGGATGTAATCCATCAGACGGCCCTTGTCGGCCTTAGCGGCAGTCAACATCAGGAGGTTCTGCAAGCTGGTATTGTCACTGAAAGGCGAAGGCTCAAGGATAATCTTCTCAAGCAGCTCGATCAGTTCACCAGGCAAGTCAGCCTCGAGGAAGGACTTGACAGCCACAGACACCTTCTCAGGCTCAGTAGACTCAGGAACCGCGGTGGCGATAACCTGATCCACAAGGGAACGGCGGCCCTCGTTGTTCTCGCTCAGAACAAAGGTCCAGATCTCGGGATCGGCACGCTCCACAAGGTAGCGAGCCTGAGCACGGTACATGGAGTTTTCGTTGGTGATGCTAATGAGCTCCAAGTCATTCTGACCCTTGCGATAGGCGATGTAGGCCAGGTTGGGATCGCGCTTTTCGCAGTACTTTCCGACGGTGAGGGTGTCGTACATGTCATTCTCCTTAAGGAACTTCTCTGGATCGTTGTTACTGTCGATGTAAATCTTGGCAAGAGCGTTGTAGACAGCTTGCTGTTGGTTTCCGGTGGCCAGAGTGGCCTCGAGGAAGGGCAAAAGCAACTTGAGGCGGTTTCGGCTCTCGACCTCCGAGACAAGCTCATCGATTGGGATAACGGACGGGTCAACAGTGGAAAGCAGGTTCTTGATGATGCTCTCTTCACAATCAACATCAAGCAAGCCACCAACAACAGCAGGTGCACGAGCAGGGTTGACGCGTTGGACGTAGACCTCAATTGACTTGAACTGTTGGCTCTGGTAGAGGTACAGGACGAGATCGTGGATGAAGTTGAAACGATCGCACACGATGATCAAAGGAAGTTGCTCGGTCAGACGAGCCTCCTTCAGGAAATTCTTCACCTTCTCGGGGTTGTAGTAGTTGCTCTCACGGCAGATACGCTCAACTTCAGTGACCTGGTTCATGGCGGTAGCAGCCTCAATATACTTGAAGTGCACCTCAGGGTCCTCGCTGAGGTTAACAATGCTTCCCAGGTAGTAGTAAAGACCCTCGGCGGTGCGGTACTTCTCCAGAAGATCAATCAACCGGTTGGAACCAAGAAGATCAGAGAATTTGGTAGCGATCTGAACCACAGACTGCAGGTTCTGGCGGATATTCGACTCCAGCATGGTGTCCAAGCAGTCCAAAGTCTGCTCCACGGACAGACGACCGAAGTAGGCCATCAGCCACTCAGGGCTCAGCTTGTCGGTGCGGACGATGTTGCGCTTGATAACAGCGGGGTCTTCTGAGTTCTCCAGTGCGCGCTGAATGAGGCCAGCACCCTCGCAAAGTTGAGCAATACGAGGACGATCGTAGTGGGTGAAGATCTCATTGCCAAGAATGGCATCAGCCACCTGGGGGGCGTTGACCAAGTTCATCTCCAAAAGACGAGTCTGCAGATGGCCGTGCTCTGGCTTGTTGTCCTTGAGAGCATCCAGGAGGAATGAAGTTGCCTGCTGAACCATGTTCTGAGACAAGAACACGTCAACGACCCGGTCAAGGTCAACCAACGCGCCGCTCTCCTCATTGGCGAGCTGGGTAGCAAACTCAGCGCCCTTCTCGGGGTTGACGCGAACAATGTGCTGAAGAAGCTGGGTGTAGTCCGGCTGGTATCCAGCTTGCTTAGAGTAGGCAAGAATCTTGTCGAACTGACCAGTCTCTGCGAATCCAGCAACAACCTTGTGTGGAATATTGGCTTGAAGATAAACGGTCAGAGCAAGGGGCATGTCATAAGGACGAATAATGTCACCCAGCTCCTCGGAGCTCTCGAGCTTCTTCTCAGACATCCACTTTTCAAGCAAGTGCTTGCGGTTCTGCTGCAGAACGGGTCGAACAAGTTCGACACTCTCGTACTTGTTGAGCGAGCCCTTATCCAACAGCATGCCAAAGTACTGCAAGATGACCGACATCTGACCGGTCTGAGGGGCGTTCTTGAAGCGGTTGATAGTGTCGGGGGTTCGGAGGAAACCACGGGGGGAGTTAGCGGCAATCTTAGCGGCTGCGGCGTAATCCTGCGAAGCCATGAGTGTGTCAAACTGCTGCTGGTACAAGTGGTCCGCGCCGGGAAGGCCGGCCTTCGAGGCAAGTTTGATGGCAAGACCGGACATGGCAGGGTTTTCCATCAGATATTGAACGATAGTGGACTCATCGACGCTAACAGAGAGGACTTGACCCTTACGGTTCACGCCGACAAGGCCGGCACCCTCGCTATCCGCAGCTGTGGTGAAAATTGTCTCACTGGAGATGCGGTTCATGAAGATGCATGTACCGGTCTCGAGATCATAAAGGTGGATAAAGCCGTATTTCGTAACAAGGTAGACCACATCGTACTTGCTGGACACCTGCATCGCGACAGGGAAATCGTTAACCGCCTCTTGTGGGAAGTACACCTCCACGGCTTTCTTTTGGAATCGTGGGTTGGGTTCCTGGTGATCGATTTCGGCGATCTGGAGCTTAGCGCCCGTCTGAGTGCGCACGGCAAAAGTGAAGAGGCTGTGAGGTAGGGGAGATCCCTCGACATTGATGTTCGCAAAAGAAGCGGCGTGACCTTCGATAAACTGGGAGATCCCACGCTCCTTCGAGAAGAGCTGCATCGATCCCACAACACGGCCCTGCTGCTGGCTGATACCAACCACGACCATCCACTTCTCCTCGGCGTTCACGCGGTAGTTGATAATTTGGCATCCCTAAATATCGTCCGTAGGTTAGCAAAACTAAGCTTCCACCGTTTCCACATCGCAAAATCACATACAGCAAGATTAGGAAGTCGGTCGAACATCTTCACGGGGTTCTGTTGTGTGGCATCGTAGACATCCCAGTGGTAAACCGCTGATTCGGTGACCAGACCGAGGGATGTTTCGCTGAACCACTTCCAGTAGACAATATCTTCATTCATCACGGCAGACTTGAGCTTTTGCTTCGCCCCGAGGTCGAAAATCTGGATGGTGCGGCCCTGCGCCTTGAGGGCAATAATGTTCTTGCTCCAGTGCATGATCGCACTATCAGCGTTGATGGGGCGCCGTAGAACTTCATTGTTGTTCTTGAGGTCGATAATGATAACTTGAGGCTTGTCGTCTTCGTCGAGCTTTTGGCGAACACAAACGTAGTGATCAGATTCTAGTGTCTAGAATGGAGGTCAGTCGGGTCTGGCCATTGTTTTGAGGGGTAGTCGCAAGGCAACCATGGACAACTCACACATGAAGTAAATCCAATTGAAGCCGGCTATGGATCGAAACGTCAGTAACTTTATAAGAGTATCGAAAGCACATCCATGCGCAGCCGATGGTTCCGTCTCGAAGCCGGAGGAACTCGCGAGACACCGCCGGGAATGGTTGTACGTACCGCAATACCGACGGAGGTCAACTGTAGAATCGAGGCGTTGGTCAATTTAAAAGGCTTCAATCGCAATCATACAGGTATGAGGGGCACATACATTGACCAGCTCTGTGAACTTGATGGGAAGGGGAGCCATATTTACGTAGGCCGCAAGTACGACCTAGTCCGAACGAAACGCCACGCAAAGAAGGCAGGAGAATTGAAGTATGTTGAGAAAGGGTGACAGAATGCGAATGTCAATGAAAGGAAAAAGAAAGAAGAAGGTGTATGGAGAGAGAAGGAGGGGGAGGGATAGATCTGGTGGATGCGGAAGTGACCTCAGGAGGCCGCTGTTGTCGTTGCTGAGGTGTCGCTTATGAGTGATCACGTGATACAGGGGCTTGGGAGCTGGGCTATCAGGCTCCAAGTAAAGAAAGTATTGGGGATAAGAAGAGATATAAAGCGAATTCAAAGCAAGCTATTGCTATTAGGCAGTGGTTTTCTCTCTCGTTTGTCACTCAGAAACTGATTTAAGAGAAGTGATCACAACATAGATCGGACAGTTAGTCCTTTAGGAGTAGCTGACCGCCCTCATATAGTCCTCATTGTTTACTACAGCTCCCAGCATCTTGCACCTTTGACACCTTTCCTTTCTGTTCCTTTTTTTTCAATATGCTAGTGATTGTTTCTATGTCACCTACTTATGTTTGAGCAAGATTTATGGATACAGACATACAGACATTGTATGCACATATACACTCAGGCATATCATCACACTTTAAGAATATAACTCATTATACACAAATGAAAGTCATTGACATCCAAACCACAAAGATAAGCTGCATCAAAGTTAGGGAACGTGCTCCATGCTACAGTCGTATAAGCCCTGCATGACCTCGTGGCTAAACAAGCCAAGACAAGAAGGGAAGTTGGAAATTGGCCCCTTTAACCGGATCCACCTTAGTGGGCCCTGTCATCATTCTAGATGCGCCGCAACTTACGGACGTCATCCGGAGTAGAGTACAACATACATGCCTTGAAAACCCCCGGAAACACCTTATATTCGCGGTTTTTCATTGGGTATCAAGAGATATTGAGCCTCGACATATTCACAATTGCAAAGGGGTTGGCAGGTTACCTCAGATAAATGTATATAAAATACCCCACACAAATAAATAATGGATAAAAAGTGATGCCCAAAAGGCCATTGCCTGATTTTCTACTCCATACACGGAATGTATATTCACTATTTTACTGTAACTAAGGTTTTCTTTATCAACTGACTGCCAACCTTCCCCGGATACCCAAATCAAGACATCGCACAACCACCGAGGCCAATCTAACCGATGACAACAGCCTGCTAGAGCCGTGGAGGAAGTCTCCCCGCGAGTCCAAGCCACAACATAATCTTGGATTCCGAACCGGAGCCATTGGATTGCATATCGGCCCCTATTTGACTCAAGGTTTTCGGCGCAAGGGATCAATGGCCACGCGCCCAGCGCCATCCGGCTTGCTGTTGCTTGTCTGTGTCGGCTGAGCCAAGTCCGGAAGAATCTAACTCGGCATGGTCGTACTGGCGCCAAGCCAGCCTTAAAACGTAAGATGGGGGATGTCTATCATATGGCAACTCGGTATTGGAGGGCAACGTGCTTCCAAGCCCTTGGCGGCTGCTTGGCATCTCAGCGGACTGGTATATCCCCGCGTCAAAACACGGAACATCCTGGGGTGCAGGGACATCTATTATCTCTCCACGAGGAAAATGCGGGTTGATAATGCGGGGTGAGGCCATCTTTCGCATATAAAATCCGGGGTGCTGACGTAGAACTTGAGAGAAACAGCCTCCTTTCAGAGAATCTGGAGGAATTTCGACAAGCAAGTCTACACTGAGGTCTTCTGGTCTGCTTTTTTGAGGGTGATCTGTTAATTCTGCTATATAGCTTGCCAACCCTCGAATATCTTCAAGTTTTTTTTCTCAATCGACATCTTTATTCGGTATATAGATGGCCAAGATGGCATCTTCCAATGAGCCGGCAGACCCCATTCCAAAGGGTATGTTTGCCTCTGCACGCCAGGCCTTTGGAGATCTCTTTATTTGGAAGCAGCGTGTCGAGGTAACCAATGAATATGGCGAGTCTCATACGGAATGGCAAGCCCCAGAGCCCATCGAGAACCCGATCAGCCTAATGGCACAGCTTTCAGCTCGTGATTGGTTATTCTTCATTGTAGGACTTGTCGCATGGACTGCTGACGCATTCGACTTCCATGCCTTGTCCATTCAGACAGTGAAGCTGGCAGAGTATTACGGCAGATCAAAGACTGATATCTCGACTGCGATTACCTTGACCCTGTTGCTGAGAAGTGTAGGCGCTGCATTCTTTGGTCTTGCGGGTGACAAATATGGCCGTAAATGGCCCATGGTTCTCAACATGATCATTCTGGGAATTTTACAAATTGCTACAATCTACAGCAAGACTTTCCAGCAGTTCTTGGCTGTGCGAAGTCTTTTCGGCCTTTTCATGGGTGGTGTGTATGGAAATGCCATTGCCATGGCGTTAGAACATTGCCCGTGAGTATTCAGCCTTGGGGCTGAATGATTGTAATTAATATGTCTCTCACGTAGTGTCAACGCGAGAGGACTCATGTCCGGAATTCTTCAACAAGGCTACTCGCTGGGCTATGTCTTTGCAGCATGTGCCAATCTTGGTGTGGGAGGTGCAACCGATAGTTGGAAGACCGTCTTCTGGATTGCTGGTTAGCTCACCCCTAGTTGGATGTATCAACTAACGTCATCCGTTGCTAACGTTCTTTTAACCCAGCCGGTATCTCAATTGCTGTTGGTCTTATCCGCATATGTTTCCCCGAGTCCAAGGCTTTCATCGAAGCCAAGAAGGCTGGCAAACGGACATTGACCGCAGGCGAATTTTGGAGGGAGACGATAGCTATGTTAGGCAAGGAGTGGCGTATGTGCATCTACTGCATAATTCTTATGACCTGGGTACGTTTTGTTCGCTCTCTTAGCTTCTATTCCAGTCTAATTGGTCTTTAATAGTTCAACTTCTATTCCCATACATCGCAAGACTCATACACCACCTTCATGCTCACCTCGAAAGAGCTCGAGAACGCCGGTGCGTCCAGGGCGTCCATTTTGATGAAGACAGGGGCCTGTGTTGGTGGAACCATTATTGGATACTTGTCCCAGTTTGTCGGCCGCCGAAGGGCAATCATTGTCGCTGCCTTTGTGTCTGGGGTACTCATTCCAGCGTGGATTCTTCCACAGGGCGAGAGAGCTTTGAGTGCGACGGGATTCTTCATGCAGTTCTTTGTTCAGGGTGCATGGGGTGTGATCCCTATCCATTTGAACGAACTTTCCCCTCCAGCATTCCGATCTTCATTCCCTGGTCTCACTTACCAGCTCGGAAATATGATTTCCTCGCCATCAGCGCAGATCGTCAACGCCGTCTCTGAATCCATCTCAGTCACAAGTGCATCGGGCCATCGGGTTAACGCTTATGGCCCTGTTATGGGAGTTGCCACTGCCATTATTGCAGTCGGAATTATTGCCACCACTGCGGTTGGTCCTGAGAAGCGTGGTCGCCGCTTCGAGAACGTTGTCGCTGGAGTTGATGAGTCTGCCAATGCCAAGACGATGGATTTGGAAGTCGGTGACAAGGAACATGATAAGTCGCGGGATGAGATAATTGAATTGACGGATCGAAAGAAGTAATCGTCTTCTCTGGCGGTGGTTTTGGTGATGACTATGTACTTTCGGGGGCTGGAGCTGGGTTGAAGAGCTATATCTTGTTATTCTGGATTAAGCTTCGAGTCTACGGGAGTACATATCTAAATTTGCTTGCTATTTAATGCCCGTTTTATGATCCTATCCTTGTTATATGTTTGAGAAATATCACTCAAACCGTGCCAAAATAAAATTAAACAAAATGAACATTCATCAGAAAGCGATTGAAATCAGAATTTGATAGGCTATATATCTGACTTAGTCGAAAGATCCTCCCACATTTTCAGTTGTTGCAAGGTATCCTCGCATTTCTTGCGAATGGCGGCAACGGCATCAGAGCCAAGCGGCAATTGACTCGGCCACTCCTTTCCCGCTGTGCCATTCTCCCCTTTAACAACATCAATGACACATTCAACACCCTTTCTAGGATCTCCAGCTTGATTTCCATCCAGCATCCGAAATTGGCCTGCCATAAACTCGGTCAAGCTTTTGTAGTCCTCGAACCTGGTTTCGACGGACTTGCTGTTTTTCTGGGTCAAAAGGTCGGTACGAAACGTGCCAGGTTCGACAAGCAGGGTTTTGATCCCAAAAGTTGCTACCTCTCTGGATAGCGATTCAACGGCATCTAAGGGTTATATATGTTAGCGCGGCGAGGTTGAAGCCGTGAAATACTCGACATACAATGAATAGCAGCTTTCGAGGCGCAATAGGCTCCGACTACTGGGGCACCGTCCCATGCAACCATCGAGCCAACAAATATGATGGTACCGGTTTTGTTGCTTCGTAGGTGGGGGAGGAATGATCTAGTTGTATTCAGGGTCCCAAAGACATTGGTGTTGAATTGGTTGTACCAGTCGTCATGGCTAGTGTCGACGATATTTTAGTATTTGGCTCAAAAGTCCTGCTGAGAAGAAATGGGAAAATGCCTACCTAGTATCCTCGACAGTGCCGAATTGGGTGTATCCAGCATTGTTCACCAGGACATCAATTCTTCCGTACACGGAGATTGCTTCGATAGCTTTGCGGTCCAGCTCCGCCTGCGGATCAGTGACATCAAGCTGCAAGACTGCTGCTCCAAGTTCTCGAAGATGGGCTATATTGTCCACGTTACGAGCTGTCGCGATCACCTTGTCACCACGACCAAGGGCAGCTTTGACAAATTCGCTTCCAAGGCCGGAAGATGTTCCTGTAACAAGCCAAACTTTGCTGGCCATGGTGCTGGTAATTTTCAAATGGATTTCAAAAAATAGATAGAAGAATATATATGTATCAATTTCTCTATTCAACGGTAGGAGAGGTGGAATCCAGGTCTATTTATGTTGAAATACCTGAACCTATATCGAAACAGACAGACCAATGAAATATAATTTATGGCCTTCTATTCCAGCCAAAGGCTAATAATCATTGCACTGGTATTAACAAATCGGGTGGCATTGATAGCTAAAAGCGGAGATAAGCGTGGGGATAAGAATCGCGACCCGATGGTCTTCGGATATTAAGTTGAATTTCGGACGGGCATGATCTACACTTTCAGCTTTCCAACAACCCAGAGAACTTACCAGTAAACTTTGCATAATGATTCCATTAGATAGTATCTCATTTACCGTGGTTTTTCTTAACTCAAGGGGCGATCAATTCGCTTATTGGCCTGACTATCAATTCTCGTATATTTTCTGATGCTGTATCCTATCTGTGTAAATAGGAGAATATGTCATGTATGTCATTTATAAATTTTCATTCCAATGGCTGCATATGCAATTTGTTTGGACAATTCGACGGCTCAGCAAAATAAAGTAGTGCCTACTTTGCACAAACTCGGGTTATCATCGTGAACTTCTCCCGTATGGGTGCGCTGGAGTCAGTGGCCCTTTCACAAGCGGGCTGCTATGTGTCCAATATAAATACGACCAAGTCGTACTGTAGCCTGACATATCTGGTGCCAGCTAGTGATGGGACCTTCGAATAACATCGTCGGCAACAACATCGCTCTACAAGCTACGAGCTACGAGTTTACGACTAAGATGCAGGGTTCCCCTACAAGGATAGGGATAAGGAAAGACAAAGATAGGCCAGAACAAGGTACCCAATTCACCACGAGAGAACTCCCGGGTGTAAAGGGACCGACTCTTTGACGAAGCCGTGATAAGGCATTCTCAAGCGAGCCATGGCAAGACACCAGATCGAAATCTAGTGTCTGCCATCCTTTTCAACAATGGTTATGCGGAAAACATCACCACTAGTGAAGCCTCATTGTGAAAAGGGAAAGCAGCAGTAAAAATGGTATAATGTGAATTCATGTCTCTCCCACGCCTATCCTGGTTGTCAGAGTACAAAATCAAGACATGTAACGCAGTGAATCAAGGGACCCGCTGGGTGGTGACGGGTTGCCCATGCGCAAATTTTGTTTCCTCCGGGAAGTACGCAAGATAATTTTTTGGTTCTTGTCGAGTAATTCGTACTTCACAGGCCCCTTCCCAACTGTTGACACCTTAGCCCAAACGCGAAAAGCGCTTAGCGGATGATACCGTCGAAACGAGTCTTGAACCACTTCATGGTCTCGGCAGTGGTGATGCGGTGGTTAACACCGATCTTGGCCTGAGCACGGCGGCGCTTGGCAACGCGGGCACCGGGGCGGTCCCTAAGTCGTTTGTTAGCATAATTGAACTGTAATCTCCAAAGAGATTGTCTTATTCCACTTACATGCAGACGAAGAAGTCCATTCCGTAGATACCGATACCGGGGTCGTACTTGATACCGAGATCGATGTGCTCGGAGATACCGAAACCGAAGTTACCAGTCTCGGAGAAGTTGCGCTTGCGGAGCTCGTATTCCTTGACCTTGAGACCACGCTCGAGGATCTCCTCGGCCTTGGCGCCACGGACGGTGACGTGGACAGAGATCTTCTCGTTACGACGGATACCGAAGGTACGGACGGTGTAACGGGCCTTGGAGTAGACAGGGGTCTGACCGGACAGCTGCTCAAGCACCTTGGCGGCACGGGTGAGTCTGATAGTGGATTAGCCAGATACTTCAATTTCAATTTCACATTGCTAATTACCTATCACCAGACTCTCCGACGGAGATGTTAAGAGTGAGCTTGCTCAGACGCAGCGCCCGGTTGGGGTTCTCAGCCTTGGAAGGAGCGGACTGCATTATGTTAGATTCGAGATTCAAGATTATAGATGAGTGTTGTGCGCCCGCAGGACAAAGACGGTGATCCAGATGCAGAATAAATGGAAAACAGTAGCAGTTTTTATGGAATGAACAGGTTTGCGGCAGGATTATGAACATACCATGACGGCGGTTGTTGGGCGTGAAGTGGTTGTCGACTGAAGAGACGGAGTAGATCATGAAATCTTTTGGGAAGTGTGCGTGAATTGTAAATTACGTAATACACGTGACTCTGAGGAGCCCTATTATGGCCTCATTATGCAGGCAGTAACTGTTGCCTGAATAGTAAGGCCAATAAAACTAATCACGTGTCTCGGAGAACGCCAGGCGGACACCTGCGGCAATTGTGTCCACTCACATAAGCAATGCCGCACATCACGTGATCTCAAGATCTGGCAGGGCGAGAGCTCAAGAGCTTCACGACTGTGGAAAGATCTCGCATCTTTGATCAACCCACCCATAGTAGAGAGACTTGTTCTATCTACTGTTTTTAATTTTTTGCTCGTCTAAGTCGCATACGTGCGCACACTTTAGCTATCATGGCTACCAACAAAATGGTGAGTTTCTCATTCTGATTCGAATCACAAGTCATGCGGTCAATGACTGTCGCTAACTTCTATTATACAGCAAAACCTGGTGAGTCCGGACCTATCAACTCTGTATGCTCAATTGCATCATCTGACTTATATTGCAGATCAACTACCGGATGCGCGTGACCCTGAACGATGGTCGCCAAATGACCGGTTCTATGTTGGCGTTCGATAAGGTACTTGGCCTTTCCCCGGGAATAGAAGTGCATAGCTAACATTCCTATCCTTTAGCACATGAACCTTGTTCTTGCAGACACAGAAGAATTCCGTCGCATCAAGCGGAAGTCCAAGCCCACCGCCGGTCCCACGAACGCCCCGCTGGTCGAAGCAGAAGAGAAGCGAACTCTCGGCTTGACTATCGTTCGCGGAACTCAAGTTGTCTCCTGCTCTGTTGACGGTCCTCCCCCTGCCGATCCCTCTGCTCGACTCGGCACCGCCGGCCCCGGTGCTGCTGCTACTCTCGCCGCCGGTCCAGGTATCAGCAAGCCCGCTGGCCGTGGCCTGCCTGTCGGACTCGGAGGCCCTGCAGCCGGTGTTGGTGGACCCGCTCCTCCTGGCGGCTTTGGTTTTCCCCCCGGCGGCTTCCCGGGTGCACCTCCCCCAGGCTTTGCTGGACGTGGAGGTCCCCAAGGTGGACCTCGTAAGTACACTCACGAAAAGTTATTTTGATTTGCTGGAACTGTAATTGACTCATGACGTTTTAGCTGGATTTGCCCCTCCTCCTGGATTTGCTCCTCAGGGTGGTCCCCGTAAGTTTTCCTAAATTATCATTCGATTCAATGCCCCATACTAATTCGGATTTCACAGCTGCCGGTTTCCAGCCCCCTCCTGGATTCCAGCCTCCTGGCCAGGGACGTGGTTTCCCTCCCCCGGGCTTTGGTGGCAGGTAATTTCAAGACGTGTATAGAGGAAGATTCTACGCTACATATCATCGGCGGTCTAATCTCACCGAGAAAGCAACATGGGCGGTTCAGTGCAGAAGAAAAGCCATTGTCAACGCCTGCAGCGAAAGACAACGATACACGAACAGGCTAGATCAACCCAAATTCTACTGGGCAAGGCGTTGCGGCGCATGGATGGAGGTCGTGTCGAGGAACAGGGACAAAAAGACTGAAATCCTTTTGAATTCGCATTATGTCAAAAATAATGCTAGCTTTTTTGTTAAACGCGGCCTTTTCCATCCAAATCAATGACATTATCGATATCTTACATACAGATCTGGTTAATTGAGATATGTGTCTACATATCTTTGTTAGTCTTGCATGATTAACCCAAAGTTCATTTTATATTAGACCCCTCAAGTCTACTTAGGTAGTTATATACATACTGCCTATATAAGAAAGACTCTCCTTAATTCTAGACAAAACTAGGCCGTGTTTTCCAAAAATTATTTTCGTATTGGAATTGAGTCTATTGACGAGTGAACCCAGCATGTTATATATTTCCCCTTCAGATGCTGCGCAAATCCACCTCCATTATTTACAAAGAAGATATTAAACAACAAATAAGGGTCTTGTCACTCACCATCTCCATTCTTCAAATCTAAATTATTGGGAAGATTGTGTATTCAAAGACCAGATTTAGCAGACCTCGAATGTAGTACTGGCTCACGTGATGCGGCCGACGCCGGGTGGTTGAGCGATTCCGCATCCTTCAGATAACAACCTCACCTCCCCCGAACTCAATCCAGTGTGATACCTTCCAGCAACTTCGTCATGGCTGCTGTTATTAAGGCTATCAACGCCAAGATCCGCTCCAATGCGGTGCTCGACTATGTCTGCTCAACCCGTACGTATCGACTTCAAGTTTCCCGAAGCTTCCCGCACCGAGATCGGCCAATGGCGAATGAGATGAAAGGAGAATAAGCATTACAAGGGACCATGACAAAACAAAAGATCTCTGATCTATCATGTCATTTGCACAACATTGAGTCGTCACCGAATCGCGCAGACTGCTAACCGTCAATGGCGTCTTGTAGACTTCTGGGGCCCCGTCTCCAACTTCGGTATCCCTATCGCCGCTGTGATGGATACACAGAAGGACGCTGAGATGTAGGTTTGGATCCCTTGATTGCTCGGAGCTTGAGGTTTTGCTCATTGCGTCTCTCGCTTGACCCGAATGATCTCACAGCCATTATGCTGATACCTTCGCCTTGTAGTATCTCCGGACCCATGACCGGTGCCCTGGTTATCTACGCCGCTACCTTCATGCGCTACTCCCTCGCTGTCACCCCCAAGAACTACCTCCTTTTCGCCTGCCACTTGACCAACTTTGGCGCTCAGACTACCCAGGCATACCGTTATCTGAACTACTGGAAGTATGTTACCTCTCCCAGGATATTTCACCTCGGACTCTGTCCTGGTGCCCAACAACGATTGAGTACAGAAACTGATACTTCTTCTTTTTGCAGCTGGGGTGGCCGTGAGAAGCAGCTCGCCGAGCAGGCCGCTAAGGGCGGTGCCGCTACCGAGGCCGGTGCTTAAATCACCTCTGCGAGCAGAGATTGATTGTACCTTTTCCGTTTTTCGTTGGGGCTCTTCTAAGTATCTATATCCTGCGACATCGTAACCCCATACATATATGATCTGATGGTCCTTGTCTTGAGGCAAAAGAGATGGTCTTGAGCAAAGCTAAAAGAGGCATATAGAGAGAATTGTGGGTTCGAAAAAAGACACTTAGCTATCACCCTTGGCTGCTATGTAGCTCCAGTGGGTTGATAGTCACTGTACATAGGCTCTTTTTTGCGCTTGAATTATACTACATTCTGGAACCTTGGAATTTATCCATGGATGACTTGGCTGCAGCTTTTCTAGAACTCTGAAAGACTAATGGTAGCAAGAAGATATCCGTAGGTTAGATCCAAAGATAGACACAAAGGTACATTCAAATATATATGACTGAGTAGATAGACCAAGAGACCCGAATATATGTATACAAATGGTCGCTCGACCCGCAAATAAGGCCAACTATACCGGCAGTCGCCCAAAATTTGTAAAATCCCACAGCTGCTCCCCGTACACATGTCGAAGCAGCTAATAGTAGCTCAATGAAATGCCAGCAGGGTGGAATAAAACCACGAAATGCAACAGGAACCAAATGGCTAAATCGCCACGCTCTAATAAAAACAAAGTGAACACAAAAGATCCATCTCAGTGAGAGTCACAGTATCCTGGGCTCTGGGGAACCTCGGGGCCCATCCAGCTCTTGAGGGTAAGGAATGTCGTATAGATACAACAGATGGTACCGAAGACAGCAAGAGTGACGTCGGCGATAGCTTGGCGTTTCGAGCGAGCACAAGCGCGCAGGTGCAGGAGGGGCTGAAGTGACATGTCGAGTTAGTCATGCGATTATGTGAGTGTTAGATGGAAATGGCACAAGAACATACCGGGTACACGTAGATCAATGGAACACAAGCAAAGCTTCCGACTAGCGAGACGAATTTATCAAGATCATCCGCGCCACACCAGGCAACAACGGCACAGACCCCAACAAGGAAGAAACGGAAGCCATTTTTCTTCCACTTGATGTATGGGTTGTACTTGCCACTGCGGGTGAACAACTCATTCTCCATGATGCGGATTGCGGGGAAGAGTTGCAGCGGAGTGCTCAGCAAGATGGCGAGTGAGTAGAGGAATTGAACGACGTTGACAAATTTGTCATCCTGGGGAAGGTTGAGAAGGATAACAGTCTTGGTTGAGGATCCATAAGCCGCGTAACTCAAGGCACCTGCAGAGAGGAAGATGAATGTGATGACGACCATTACACCAGCCAGCACACCAGGGAACCTATTTGGCTGCTTCATCGACTCTTGAATTGGAATGATAAGACCGATGCCTTCGTAGGTGAAAATTGCGGTACCAATGAACATGGACCAAGTGGCCGGGTTGAAGGATTTGACATCAGAAATGCCGCCCTGGGCGACCAAAGTACTGACATCGTAGTAGTAGATGTAGAGCAAGCCCAAGAGAATAAAGACATCAGCAATCAGCGCCGTGAAGCCAAGTTTGCTGATATCCCGAATCAAAGACAGCGGTAGGAAGATGATCAGCTGCAACAACACCACGTACTTAATATCAATGAAAGTGGCGCACTTGCTCACGGCCAGTACGAATGCTTGCAGATTTTGCGAAACGAAGACAATGTACGCTGACACGAAGCCCAATTGACTGAGGACAATTGATCCGAGAATGATGCGTCGCATGTGCTTTCCATATAGAATGCCACCAATGTCACCGAAAGAACCTTCGATCTTCATGCGAGTATTGACTAGGAGAATGAAGGCATAGTAACTCAGAATAGAGACTCCCAACAGCACCATGCTACTGAAGAGCATACCGCCGTTCAAGAAGGCACGAGGAAGGAATAAGATACCGGTACCAACAAAGGACTTAAGTAGCAAAAGTACCGCACCTGTTGCAGTTGTTGTTCCTGCCGGAGAGCGTTGCTTGTGCTTTCTCTTTTTCCGACCCGGGGTCTCTGGCTGCAACAGCGCGGCGTCTTCTCCGGATTCCCTGCCCTCTTCTGGTTCGTCCCAGGCATCAGACGAGAAGTACTCATCTGGCCCTAGGACCTCATCATCTTCTTCTAACTCTTCTCCAGCGAAATGTCCGTAGAGAGTCAAGAATTCCAAGAAGCTCGTAGTGGGTAGTTGAGGCGCGCCATGTCCATGGGAAGCGCCTTGAACGGACCCCTGAGCGCTTCCACGCACAGGACTTCCAACTGCTCTCCGGAGATAGTCTCTCCGAAATCCTCCTGGAACTTGGATTGTATTGATGTCTTCTGTCTCAGCCTCTGGCCTTGGACGACTGAGACTGAAACTTTTGCTGCGCAAGTAGCGGCCTGCGGCCTCGGCCTCGGCATCCTCTGCCCAACGGTACACTTGCCGTGTAATATCACCACCTTGCAATTGTAAACTGGAGAAGTGGTCATCGCCGCCAAAGCTGGTAGCGACCTCGGATAGGTTATCTCCATGGTCCGTCACTAGATGTCTCTTGATAACCTCAGGGTCTTCGTTGGGAGCCGTCCCCGGGGAGTCGGGTCCAATTTTGGTATCGAAAGAACCATACTGAGAGGCAACTGGGCGGTTATCTAGGGTCGGATGCAGGGCAGGAGACCCATTGTGGCGTGAGGGAGTTCCAAACCTCGGCGGCGAGCGACCAAAGCTTTCTTGGAGTTGGGATGCGATTATTGATTGACCAGGACCAGGAAGCGAGGCTTGATTGGTGTATGACTTTGAGAATTCCTGATCGGAGGTGTTTGTGACAGGTCGCATAGCCGGGATACCCTGTCTAGATGACAAAGATGTCCCCAAAGAAGGGGAGGGCACTGGGGAGGCGAGTCGTGCCATGGAAGCCTGCCTGTTACCAAAGTCAGGCCCAGGAGACCTTGAACGTATCGAGGACGAGGCTATCGGCATAGACCGGGTTGGGGTTAAAGATGAACCCTCTCCATTATCTGCCATTTTGAAGGTGACCTCAGGGTCAACTTAGCTCCTGATGTGGTGCCCGTGTTCAGACTTGGTAAATGGGCATGGAAAAATCAGCCCGGACTTTAAACCAACAGTTTTCAGCTGGTATAAGTTCTCGGGGAGACAAGTGCGTGAAAAGTTTGGAATGTAACTGAGGAGTGTTTGAGACACGAACTAGCAACGCTAAGCGGCGAGGCCATGGCCGATCAGCCCCAAGTGCGGTTGACGGCATTTGCACTGTTTGCACACCAACGTCATCTCAAATATCGTACTTTGTGCTTGTTTTTTCTTATGCAAAATAGCTGTTTCTTCGCAGACTCGATAGTCTTGCTGAGACTATTGGTTCCTGTTAATTGAATTGTGTTAATAAACGTGCCCACATGTTGATATTATAAGCATTGCATCTGACATGACTCCCGAACGAGTCGGAGATTCCTCCGACTCCCTGTCTCGGCGGCGCCCTAATTTCTCGACTCGAACCGCCCAAGAAGATGTATCTCGTCTTGCACCTGGAGACTCGGCTCATTCAACCTCCGATGAACGTACTCGACTACTACCCTGGCCACCAACTCGATGGGCTCGTCCATATGAGCCCATAAACTCCTCGGAACCAGCAGAGAATCAACAAAATTCATCGTCTACGGATTATTTCCACGGAATATCTCGATGGTGGCACGAAAGGGGGGAAACTGACCAGGAACATGGGACTAACGGAGATATTGTACCACGACGTGTGTCCTTGTCTGCGGGTCCTCTTCGCGACTCTAGTGTGGATAAGAAGGACAAGAGTGGACATCGATCTCGATCGATGGATGAGCCGAAGAAGCTTGGCACATTCTCAGGTGTTTTTGTCCCTACAACCTTAAATGTGTTGAGTATTCTTATGTTCCTTCGATTCGGATTCATTCTGGGACAAGCTGGTGTATTGGGCATTTTAGGTGAGCATACATCCAGAGTAATATTCTCGCCGGTCTAATGTATTACAGGATTGCTCATTGTGTCATACACCATCAACCTTGTGACGACCATGTCTCTGTCCGCAATTGCGACAAACGGGACAGTCCGAGGTGGTGGTGCATACTACCTTATCTCTAGATCTCTAGGCCCCGAGTTTGGTGGTTCCATTGGCATTGTGTTCTATCTCGGCTACGTATTCAACACCGGTATGAATGCTGTTGGTCTGGTGGACTGTTTTACCCAGAACTTTGGGACAGAGTCAGGTGAATGGGCCAACTTCCTGCAGGAAGGCTTTTGGTGGCAGTACTTATGGGGAACCGTCATACTCGTGTTTTGCACGGGTATTTGTTTGGCAGGAAGCTCTATCTTTGCGAGAGCAAGTAACGGACTTCTGGTAATTCTTCTGGTGGCGACCTTCAGCATTCCACTTTCTGCAATTTTCTTGAAGCCGTTCCCGGTTCCCCGTCAAGGTGTTGAATTCACAGGACTCAGCTTGAAAACTTTGATGGGTAATCTCAAACCTCATTTGACCAAAGGAGCTGCAGGAAGTCAGATCAAAGGGCGAGAAAATTTCCAAGATCTTTTTGGTATTCTGTTTCCGGCCACGGGAGGCATTTTTGCGTAAGTCATATACAAATGCTGCCAAGTCCATTTTACTGATTGGGTATTAGCGGTGCGAGTATGTCTGGTGACCTGAAGAACCCAAGCAAGGCTATTCCCAAGGGTACACTCTCGGGATTGGCCTTGACTTTTGTCTCCTATGGACTTGTTATTCTTGCCCTGGCCGCCTCTGTCACTCGTGATTCTTTCTATAACAATGTGAACGTGATTCAAGTGGTAAGTTACCGGCCATTTTTAGTAGAACATACCCTGATTGAATATAGGTCAACGCCTCTGATAGTGTCATCCTTCTTGGAGAATTTGCAACCAGTTTCTTCTCTGCACTCATGGGTGTTATTGGATCCGCGAAACTCCTTCAGGCAATCGCGCGAGATAGCCTATTGCCCGGAATAGGAATATTCGCCCAAGGAACACGGAAGGCTGACGATCCGGTATACGCAATCATTGTGACATTCGTGTTTGCCCAAGCTACGATGCTTTTTGACATCAATCGTATCGCGTCTTTTGTTACAATGACTTATTTGATGACTTTCCTTGTGACGAATCTTGCCTGTTTTCTCTTGAAGATTGGCTCCGCGCCCAACTTTCGTCCGTCATTCCACTACTTCAACTGGCAGACTGCGGCAGCGGGAACGTTGGTTAGTGGTGTCAGCATGTTCTTTGTGGATGGTCTTTATGCCACCGGATGCGTGGGAATCCTGGTCATCCTCTTCCTACTGATCCATTACAGCTCGCCACCCAAGCCTTGGGGTGATGTCAGTCAGAGCTTGATCTACCACCAAGTTCGTAAATATTTGCTTCGCCTGCGCCAGGAACATGTCAAGTTCTGGCGTCCTCAGATCTTGCTTTTTGTCAGCGATCTGGACAAGCAGTATAAAATGGTTTCTTTCTGCAACTCGCTGAAGAAAGGGGCGTTATTTGTGTTAGCCCATGTCCTTGTGACTGATGACTTTTCAGCAGCTGTTCCTGAAGCACGTCGTCAGCAGACAGCGTGGACCAAGTTTGTGGAATATTCCAAAATTAAAGCATTTGTAAACATCTCCATTTCGCCCGCCGCGGAATGGGGAATGAGGAATATTGTACTTAATTCTGGATTGGGAGGCATGCGACCGAACATCGTTGTGATCGATCAATTCCGACAAGACCAGTCGCTTGTTGAGACATACTCTTCAAGCAGTGGCCGCAGAGACTCCAAGACTAGACGTCCAAGTACGCGACCAGAGGAGCCAAACCAGCCTGGACTATCAAACCCGCCCATGAGTGGGCAGAGCTATGTTACGATTCTTGAAGACCTGTTGTTCAAGCTTCGAATCAACGTTGCAGTGGCGAAAGGCTTCGAGGACTTGGAGCTCCCTGACCCTCATGGTCGCCACACTAAGAAGTACATTGACTTGTGGCCGATTCAAATGTCCGCCGAGCTTGGGGCTGATAGCGAAAGCAAGCAAAATGTGCTAACCACTAACTTCGACACCTACACCTTGATTCTTCAGTTGGGCTGCATTCTCAACACTGTTCCATCGTGGAAGAAGACGTACAAAATTCGAGTTGCAGTTTTTGTGGAATACGAGACCGACATTGAAGATGAAAGAGGACGAGTTGAAGCCCTTCTTGACAAACTAAGAATCGAAGCTGAGGTTCTCGTCTTCTGGCTTGCCTGCGGTAACCTTCAGGCATACCGAATCGTTGTGAATGGCGATACCTCCACGGCTTCAGTCGATGACCAGGAGAAGATTCAAACTGCCTTACAAGGAGAGGACTGGTGGCAAGGAGTTGTACGAGCTCGTGCTCAAGCACAGGATCCACAGGACTCAGACAAGGGAAGCGACAGTTTACACCTCGACAAAGCGTATAGCTGGCAGGGCCCGTCGAGTCAAGACAGCGGTGCCAGGACTCTGCAACAGCGAGTGAGCGGTTTGAGAAAACTAATTCAGTCTACCCGCCGCAGACGGTCTGTGTCCAGTTTCCGGGCTCTAGGAGGAGTAAACCTTGGAATGCAAACACATCGCTTGCTAGATGCGTTCGTCGACTACGACAGCTCTGATGACCCGAGTGAGAGCGAAGACAGTGACCTGGAAGCCTATATTAGCGACCGAGAGCCCGAGGACGGCGGTGAAGATATAACTAGCGCTCGTAATGAGGCCGTGCCGGTTTCCGGTTCTTCAAGACTCCTTGGTCGATCCAAAACCGATGATTGCGGTCCTAGCGCAGATTCTCCAAGCACACCTGTGCCCCGGAGTTCTCAGGCGAGAAGTCCGTCGGACCAGAGAATCCCATCTATCATTGAAACTGGCGATGACGCTTCGCCAAAAAGTAAAACCCCCGTCCGTCGGCCTCCCATAAGCCGTTCTGCATCTAGCAATCGGTTCAGCTCTTCGCCCATCCCCGAAGCCAAAGTGGACCCCGAGGCTGAGGGCAACGGACCATCCATCATGTTTGCTGCGCAAAACTCACCTCCCCGGTTTGCAAACAAGCTAGATTCTATCTACGCTCGCCGCCCATCTGCTGTATCTCCTAGCTCTCCTGGCGCACACGCCACAGGATATCCCGGTGTGGCCTCGGTCCCATTGTCTTTCAACGATCTCCCCAGTCGCGCCCAGCATTTGATTCTGAACGAGTTGATGGTCCAGCAGAGTGGTGATACGGCTGTCATTTTCACTACTCTACCATCTCCCGTGGAGGGGACTTCGCTTAGTGTGGAGGACAGTGCATCTTACTTGAGTGACCTAGAGGTGCTGTGGCAAGATCTCCCACCCTGTCTGCTTGTGCACAGTAATAGTATGACAGTGACGATGAACCTATGATTAATGACCCTGTTTCGTACCGGCGCCGAGTGGTACATTGCGTTAAACTTTGTGATCTTTTCAAACACATACAGATATGGGTTCCCCTTTACATTACCTAGCAGTGTATCCATGCACAAGTACAGTGTAACATTGCATTTTAATTCTACATAGACAAAATTTCATTTTACCGGGTTGAAAATACTATTGTTACTATTGTGTTAATTATAATATTCGATTCGATTACTCGTCAAGTCCTTTTATTGAGACAAAGGACATACGATGTAGAGATGATCATCCGGGCGCTACTGCACGCCACGAAATCTCTGCGCTCGGAAGATTTCTAGAAGTCTAACCAAATATTTCTGGTATAATGAGATTAGTACTCCATATAGGCAAGCCCTAAGTAACTCAAGTAAATAAATAAGTATAATCATAACCAGTAATCCAGCCCTGGAGTAATTGAGTAATGTCCACCCGCTGACCAATTGATTATTGGTGTGGCTGTGATTGGGCACGGATCCCCTGGTATACTCCGTACTCTGTACACTCAGGCACTGCTTCTCCATCTTTTTGACCTCCCCAGTTCTTCCAAAGGGTCTTGGCCTCACCACTTCTCTCTACTACTACTTTCACTTTGTTTTTTTTATGACTATGCTGGTTGATTGTTTGCCATTTTTTATCTTTTACCCCTTAATTGCTAATCCTCGCCTCCTTTATCCCGGAGTTCCTTGTCATGCCTGAGACACGATTGCCCGCCAGCCTGAGAGCCGCAAATACCGTTTCGCGTCGTACAGTTGATTTCTTGTCTGTGCGCCCTAAGGATGTGAATGGAAAGGGGGTGGCCGACGACACAGATACCTCCGACTGCGCATCCTCCTCCGCCTCCGCAGAATCCCACGAGATGAATGGCACCAAGATAAATGGCACCGAGACAAATGGTACCGACAAGCTAAAGCGCCCCATAATGGCTCGCAAGGCCTCCTCACCCATGGCACCCACCTTTATGGTGTCAGCACCAGGCAAGGTGATCGTATTCGGCGAGCATGCTGTGGTTCATGGCAAGGCTGCTATGGCCGCAGCTATCTCTCTTCGATCCTATCTCCTTGTCACCACCCTCTCCAAATCACAGCGCACAATCACACTGAACTTCCGAGACCTTGGATTTAGTCACACCTGGAACATTGACGACCTACCTTGGGACAAGTTCCGCGAGCCATCGAAAAAGAAGTACTATTACAGCCTTGTCACCCAACTCGATCCTGAACTTGTCGATGCAATCCAGCCACACCTACAGGGAGTCTCCAAGGGTCTCCCGGAAGAACAGCGCAAAATTCACGTCCGTTCCGCCTCCTCATTTCTATACCTTTTTCTCTCCCTAGGTTCACCGGAAAGCCCAGGCGCTATCTACACTCTTCGATCCACCATTCCAACCGGGGCTGGCCTAGGCAGCAGTGCCAGTGTCTGCGTCTGTCTAAGTTCCGCGCTACTTCTACAAATCCGCACCCTTTCCGGCCCCCACCCCGACCAACCTATAGAGGAGGCCGAAACACAGATCGAGCGCATCAACCGCTGGGCATTTGTTGGAGAGCTCTGCATCCATGGCAACCCCAGCGGGGTAGACAACACGGTGGCCGCAGGCGGCAAGGCTGTGATTTTCCGGCGTCAGCGTTACACGGATCCCCCAACGGTCATCCCTCTACCCACCTTCCCCGAGCTACCCCTCCTCCTTGTCAACACCCAACAGGCGCGTTCTACACATACCGAAGTTGAGAAAGTAGGAAACCTCCGACAAGCCCATCCAGTTGTGGCCGAATCGATTCTTAATGGCATTGACGAAGTGACACGCTCTGCACAACGCTTAATCGAGGATCCCGAGTCCGAGGACTCTAAATTCAGTATCTCCGAGGCCACGCTCGACTACTTCGGCACCCTGATCCGTATCAACCACGGCTTCCTCGTCTCTCTAGGCGTCTCCCACCCCCGCCTAGAGCGCATCCGTGAACTTGTTGATTTCGCAGACATCGGCTGGACGAAGTTGACTGGGGCAGGCGGTGGCGGTTGTGCGATCACGCTCCTCCGCCCTAATGCCGACCCGAGCGTTAAGCAGGACCTTGAAGCGAAATTTGCCGACGAAGGCTTCATCAAATACGAGGTCACCCTGGGTGGCGACGGCGTCGGTGTTTTGTACCCCGCCGTTCTGCGCAACGGCTCCCACGAAGAGGGCGGCGAGGAGATCGATCAGCAGAAATTCGAAGAAGCCGAGGGCCCTGAAGGCATCGAGCGTCTTGTTGGTGTCGGAGTTGGAGTTGAAGAGAAGAGAGGGGGCTGGAAGTTTTGGAAGCGAGCCTAGTAACTCTGAGGATGTGAATATTCTCGGTGCTACGCCTTTAATTTGGTCTCACCACCCCTCCTGACAGGCATGTGGCATTGTACATCTACACCGTCTGCCTTGTCCCTTTTTCAATTGCTGAGACTTCGTCCCCTTGGGTTTCTTCTATTCATGTCCCTTTCTCTGTACACTTCATTCACCATATGCATTATACACCCACTTTTACTTCCATGGATGTTAAATTCCATTGGTAATTTTTTTTCAATCCCTGTGACCGTCTCTTTTCCATATCTTATTCTTTCAACTTTCGGGGTTTCGGGTCTTTTCTCTGTGCATGAAACAAGTCGATGCTGCTGCTATGAATTACACGACTAATGGACAGATATCTCCCAAATAAGTATTCCTCTATTCTAGCATGTGCCTCCCGGAGGTCTTATACACCTAATAGTCAACCTTTACTATTCTTTCGCCACTTCAATAACAATCTTCTTAGCAGAAACCCCTTCCTTCAAAAGATCCAGACCCTCTTGAGCCCTCTCCAAGCCCTCAATAATTATCGGGTCAGGCTTAGTCTGGAAGCTCCCAGCAGCCAAAGCCTCCGGGAGATACTTACGCCACACGGCATCCCCGACATCTAGGTTAACCAACCCCGGTGCCAACCCATTAACTACCAACTCGTAAGCAACAAACTTAGACTCCCGAGCTCTCTGAGGAAAACACATACCGAAAACACCCTTCACATTATCCGGAAGCCCAGCAATAGGCGAAAGCGTGATAGGCAATGTCCCACCACCCAGCTTCCCGAAAATCCCCCCAGATGCAATCTGCGTACTTTCGCTACCGATCGTATCGAATACGTAATCACCTTCTTTCAACACCTCCAAAATCTTACCCACAACATCTGGATCCTGATGATCAAAGACACGGGATGCCCCCAGCCTCTTTACATACTCGATGTTTGCCCTACCAGCCGTAGCAACAACCTCTAGTCCAGCGGCGCGCGCAAGCTGCACCGCAGAACTACCAACCGATGAGCTCCCGCCCCAGATCAGGATTCTCTTGCCTGTAGGCGCGGGATTGGGATTCACGGATGGGTACGGGAGATCGAGGATGTGGAACAGGGCAGATGCAGCCGTTGAAACCGATAGAGGGAGCACGGCGGCATTTGCCAGTGAGATGTTCGCTGGGATGGCCGAGACTAGGATCTCGCGAGTGGTGGCATATCGCTGGAACCCGGCATTGGATTTCTTTTGGGTGATCAGGCCGTCGCAGTGACTGTGGAATGTTAGGAAATTGATGGCTCGTTTAAGCACATACCTAGATACGGGTGTTTTCTATTCATGTTTAGCTTACCCTATCACCCGTTGTCCTAACTGGAACCGCGTAACGCTAGAGCCGAGCTGCACGATCGTGCCGGCTACGTCGGTACCGAAGATGTAGGGGTATGGTAATTCGAAATTGGGGCTGTCTTGAAGCTATGATTGTTGTTAGAGGGTGATTGGTAGTTGAGATTGATGATACTTGCCTTCCAATCAACGGGATTGACGGCGGCATAGGCGACTTTGATAACGACTTCGTTTTCGGCGGGATCTGGGCTGGGGCCTGGACCAAGTTTAAACGGCTTCGCACCTGCAGCGGTTTGCCATGCTGCTTCGTTGGAGAATTGGGACATGTTGATTGGTCTTGGGATAGTTGAGTAGAAGTAGAAAATGATGCCGTGGTTGAAATATAGCTACGTGGGTCTAGTATATTTATATTTGGGCTAGAATTGGATTTGTATAGATTTCCTTCCAAGGTTCGAGATATCCATCATACATCCTCATAAGATATGACAAATCCTCATAAATAAACCTTGGTAAACCGAATGAGATTTGTAAAGAAAGGATTATGATTTCTAAGCATAAGATGCAGCCCTAGATCCCTGAAATCTTACAGGATCGCGCTAAAAAAAAAACAGCCGAATCAGAAACAACCAGATAAGGTGACACCATAAACTCCAAATAATGCTCAGATAGAATCAATTCTTTCCAGGCTTCGGCATCCCTGTTCCAGCGCCTCAGTCACTTTCTCTAAGCACCTAGTTCCAGTTGCAGCAGCAAAAAATCCAAGGAAAACCTTGCTTGGCCGCAGGACACGACTCAGATATTCAGGGTGAAACTGCACACCCACAAACCAGGGGTGATTGCGTAGCTCGACAATCTCCATACGCTTTCCCGTTTCGTCTTTAGCGACGAAGGAAAGGCCAGCTTCCTCGAGCCTGTCAACCATATCCGGATTGACCTCGTAGCGGTGGCGGTGACGCTCTTCAATCCGCGAGACAGGTCCATACAATGCCCGTACTTTTGACCACTCGGTGTCCTTTTGGAAAATGCATGGGTGCTTTCCCAAGCGCATAGTACCACCGAGTTTGTCTTTGTCAGTTTCAGGCATGTAGACAATAACATTGTTCTTCGCCAGCGGGTGAGGTTCTTCACTCCCCGGGTCCTCAATCCCAATCGATTGGGAATACTCTATGATTGCAAGCTGCATACCAAGACAAACACCCAAGAATGGCTTGTTGTTGATCCTCGCCCAGTTAATAGCCTTGATCATCCCCGTCGTAGCGCGAACTCCAAAACCACCGGGCACGAGAACACCCCTCGCAGAACACAAGTCGTGCCATGCTTTGTGGTACTTAGCTGGCGAGTCTATGTAGGATTCCGGATCAAGGTCTGACGCGTTAATCCATATGATTTCGACTCTCTTGTGGCAATACATAGCGGCGTGCTCAAGCGACTTCGAGATACTCAAATATGCGTCTTTGTGAGAGACGTATTTGCCAACAAGGGCAATCGGAATCGAAAGCGTATCTTGGATTGCTTCTTGGCTTTGGATGAGATCCACCCAGTCTTTCCACATATGACTGCCGTCTGCTATGCGTTGGGTAGGTGTGCGAGGTAGTGAAGAGGGAATATCGAGGTATTTGCTGATGGCATAGAGGAAGTTCTGTCTTTCCAGAAGTATCGGCACGTGGTATGTTGATGATACGTCGTGTACTCCGAAGACCTGCTCTGGCTCCACAGAGCACATGGATGCAATTTTTTCAGTAGTGGCTGGATCTAGTGGTACTGCGCAGCGGCAGGCAATCTTATTGAATTAGAGCAGAGTTAGACATGGCGTTTGTAGTAGATGACGTATAGTAGATCGCGTACCAAATCTGGATTCAGACCAGCCCTTCGAACATCCCCCGTAGATCTCTGGGTTGGCTTGGTCTTCTGCTCACCAGAGGCTCCCGGCCTAGGATTTTAAGTCAGCATCCATCACCTGGAAGTTTGATGGACCTCCGAGTCAGTTTGATGAGATATAGCCCAAGCCCAAGCAAAGAGCAAGTGAAGGCGAAGTGAACTTACGGCACGATAGGGACGAATGAAACATGTATCTGAACAAAGTTCCCTTTGCCAGCTCTCTTGCGAAGTTGAGCCAGAGCATAGATGAATGGAGAGCTCTCGATATCACCTACAGTACCACCAAGCTCGATGGTACACACATCAGGTTCAGCACCTGACTCGTCAACGGGGACTCTAGCCACTCTCTCAATCCATGCTTGGATTGCATCAGTAACATGGGGGACGACCTGAACGGTTTTGCCAAGATAGTGTCCGACTCTCTCCGCATCGATGACTTGCTGGTAAATCTTTCCAGTTGTAAGGTTGTGGTCGCGACCAAGGGTTGTCAAAAGATAACGCTCGTAATTGCCGAGATCAAGGTCCATCTCCCCACCATCATCTGCAACGTAGACTTCTCCATGTCTGATTCGATCAGTATGTGGGTCAATCTGTTTGTAGGTTGATATATACTGACTCGAGAGGGCTCATAGTGCCCGCATCGATATTAATGTAGGAATCGATTTTGATGCTGCTGACGACGAGTCCTTTGCTCTGTAGAAGCAGACCAGCACTTGATGCTATTATGCCCTTGCCCACCCCCGATATCACACCTAACGCAACGCCGTTAGTCTTCTACTTGGAGACATAGAAACAGCCCCGCTTTTGTTTCCATCGGAAAACCGCCTGAAGATCCCTTATCACTCACCTCCAGATACCACCACGTATTTCATATTGTTACTATCAAGATGTATGAGAAGCCAAATATTTGACAAGTGAAGCAATGTCTTGCGACAAAAGATACAAATGTATATGTATGAATTCCTACATAGAAACAAACCACGCTATTCCTATTATGGAGTATGACATGGGCCGGCATATTAGACACCGCCTCATACACCGCCCAACTATAAAATCCCATTTATTGTTGCCTGAATTTTATGGCTGAAATAATATGATGTTATTCACCAGCTGTGCCATGTTTCTATATTAAAGTGTTGTTAATTGAAATTTGCTTCATACTCCGTACTGATCATGTGAATCATGCACATTCGGAATTTATATTGTAACTAGAGGGTGAGTGCTCTCTCGTGGCCGCATAATGATACGAGTATCCGACGTCATGACTCCAATCTAACACGCAACCAACCTTGACAAGTCAATGTACACCTATGTGGAGATGAAAATTGCGATGTGCAAGCCAGCTAAATTCTTATTCAGCCCGGATGTCAAAGCTATGTCCATCAATTGGACAACCACTTCCCTCTGGGTTGGAGATGTCAGTGGACCCAAACTCTATGTCTGATTTCAGAGATGATTTGTGGGCCTCCATATCAGGGTCCATGATGCCTATGTGGAGCAGGCTGTCCTGCCAGATTCAGCAGCGAATCACACTAGATACCCATACAAAATGCTGCGTCCAAGACAGGGGCAACGCATCAGACAAAGCTTGACCTTTCCCGGCATGGTATCTTCTTTCCACCTTTGCTTTGCTTTGTGACTCCTACCAATATCGTTGTCTGAAGATTGACCTGCTATGAAATCGAATTCTGTGACGTACTCTAGTCTTGGTGCTGCGAGATGTATCGCTCTGGCTACGTGCCTTGCCGGCGCTTTAGCTTACAGCAATGGCTCAGTTGATCCTATCAGTTTGACTATTTCAAGTGAGGGTGGAAACAAGTCAAGCCCTCTGTTATATGGAATCATGTTCGAGGTCAGTACAGCTCGACTCTTGAGATCAATGACCGTTTCGCTAACATTTCGGCTTTCTAGGAAATGGACCATTCTGGTATGGAATCCGCATTGAGTGAGCCCACAAGCCCTACTGACAGACTAAGGTGACGGTGGAATCCACGGACAATTACTACAGAACAATGGCTTTCAAGGAACCAGCCTAAGTCTCACTTCTTATGCGCCGGTAGGCAATGTGATAATTTCACAGGATTCGTCAAAGCCCGTGAGCAAAGCGATTACGTCTTCTCTCAACGTCGAAGTACCCGATGGAGTCACAGAGTATGTTGGGTTTGCAAATACTGGCTACAATGGGATTCCCGTTACAAGTGCCACATACAATAGCTCCTTCTGGATGATGGGCAATTACTCAGGAACGATTAATTTGCAGCTTGTCGGCACAATGAGTGGTAAAATATATGCGGATCACAACTTGACTGTCAAGAGCACGGAATCAAAATTTACTGAATTCAAGACCACATTCAACACAACCTACTCTCCAGATGGGTACAATGAGTGGCATTTGACGTTCGATGGGTCGAAAGTGGGTGGCAGCTCACTCAACTTTGGCTACATCCAGTTGTTCCCGCCGACATTCAAAGGACGAGAGAATGGTTTACGAGATGATCTTGCTTCATTCCTAGACGAGGCCAACCCAGCATTCCTCCGTTTCCCGGGTGGTAACAACCTCGAAGGATTGGAGGTTGATACCCGCTGGAAATGGAACACCACAATTGGGCCTGTGGTAGATCGACCGGGGAGAGAAAGCGATTGGTTTTACCCCAACACAGATGCTCTTGGCCTGGATGAGTATTTATGGTGGTGTGAGGATATGAATATGGCACCTCTTCTGGCTCTCTGGGCAGGCAAGTCATATGGCGATATTTTATCAGGACCAGACCTCGAACCTTTCATTGAGGATATCATGAATGAGATGGAATATCTCTTTGGAGATGATTCGACACACTATGGGAACCTGCGAGCGCAGAACGGCCGAAAGAAGCCATGGAAGGTCGACCTTATTGAAATTGGCAATGAAGACGACCTCACTGGCGGCTGTGAGAGCTATCCAGACCGATTCAACCAAATCTACAAGGCGATTCGCGACAAATACCCGGACATCAGTTTCATTGCTTCTAATGGAGATTACAAGTGTCTGCCATCACCACTCCCCGAAAATGTTATCATTGACCTACACCTCTACCGAAAGCCCGATGATTTCGTGAAGTTGTTCAACCAGTTTGACAACCAGCCACGGAACCAATCTGTGATGATCGGCGAGTTTGGATGTCGGAATACAACAAGTCCCGATGGAGACTATTGGCCATTTATGCAAGGCAGCTGCAGCGAAGCTGTATATATGATTGGAATGGAGCGGAACAGTGATGTTGTCAAGATGGCGGCTTATGCGCCTCTGTTACAGCACTTTGACTTCGCGTCATGGTCGGTAAGAACACCCCAGGATCAAGTCTTGCACCTTCATCGAGAGCTACAACTAACTGTGCTCTCATAGCCAACATTATATGGGTTCAACAATACCCCAAACTCCATCACCCCTTCGACCTCGTACTTCGTTACAAAGATGTTCGCATCTAACAAAGGCGACACAATTCTCTCAGTTGAGTCATCGGCGGAATTTGGACCGGTTTATTGGGTGGCTTCAAAGACAGACTCGCAGTACTATTTGAAACTGGCGAACTATGGAACTGAAGAGCAGACTGTGAAAGTGAGTATACCAGGCACAAAAACCGGTAAGCTGGAGGTCCTCGCGGCTCCTCAGTACCAGGGAGATACGCCATTCAACGCCCAAGTACAAACTGTCACCACCAGTATCTTCAATTCCCAAGGAAATTATTCGATAGTCATGGATCCTTGGGCTGTTGCTGTCTTGGCGGTCTCCTAAATCAAAAGAGATGAAGCATGGATTTGGACATTTGACATTATCCCGTGATCCTGTATGAATAGACGGTATGTATGCGATTCATAGACTATCATAATGATATAACAGTTGTATTCGAGAAATATGATATTAAAATGCAATTCAATCCAAAATCTGCACCGGGACCTCAACAATCTTATCCCGCAAATAATCCGCAAATCCCTTACCAAATCCATCCAGTCGACTTGAACTACTAACACCCCTTCCAAGAATTCCATAAATCACAAAGTGCACGGCATGAATATGTGGGAATTCCACCCTCTCGACCAGGAAGGACTCGTCCCAATCGTCGTCAGCGGCCATCATAGTGCGTACACGCTCACGGCTCATATAAGAGCGCAACCAAGGCCAATGTTCGGCGTTGGGGACAAATATTCCAAAGTTGAGATTTGCTCCTTTGTCGCCTGAACGGGCTAGAGCAATGTCGCCGAGTCTGATCGACCGTGTGGGAGATTGGAGAAGCGCTACTTCATCATTTGATGGACTGTGATCGTAACTTAAGCGAGGCTGGAGATCTTCGTATGATGAGGGATAGCCTATTGGGAACGCGGTGAAAGACTCGGGTCCATCGATAAGAACGATCGACTCGACAAGGGCGTTCTGCTCAACGAGGGCGGGATAGTATGCTAGGATCGGGCGGGGGACTGCTGTACGCATATCGAGGGAAGAATGGAAACCTATCAAGCCATAGTTAATCAATCAATCTACATGTTTCAATGGGAAATCTTTTGTACCGGAGAAATGTTTGAGAGAAACATCTTTCATTGCTTTTGCCACAGCGAGAACGGCATCAGCCTCGACCGCAGCAACGAAAATGCGAAGATATGTGGTACTTTGCTGCTGCGACGTAGGATTAGGAGCGGGAACACCGATTCTATATCATCGGTGAGTAGTGGTCAAGTCGGAAAACAGGGTTATGTACCTTTGAAATTCAAGGGTATCAATGCGCTCCATTGCCTCCTTTGGGATAAAGTGACGAAGTTGGGTTTCAATCAGATCCCACTTCCGAGTGGTTCCATAACCAGTGGCGTTGAGTAGGAGTTGAGACTCAAAACCACCGGGGTAGAAGACCGCTAGCTTCGTGGTTGGCGGGGGAGGGTATCCACGAATACCACTTACACGAACCCTGAAACATGGTTAGATGAGTCTTCTGATTGGATATTGTGAGCGAAGTAATTACCTATCCTCCCCAACTTGTTCAACAACAACGTCGTCTAAACCAGCGCTGACATCGCTGTTCAGATAGACATTTCCTTGAAGCTCGTATAGGAATTGACACTTGACCGTATCAACATTCACCATGCCACCCGTGTTTAAATGTTTCGTAATAATGCACGAGCCATCTGCATCAATTTCCGCAATGGGGAAGCCAGGCTCAACCAAAGTGTCAATGGGGTAGCGATCAAATCCAGAGAAATTGCCACCAGTGACATATGCCGAACATTCAATGAGGTGACCTGCAATCAGGGAGCCCGCAAGACGGTCGTAGTCAGACTCATCCCAAGAATGCCAGTACCAGGCGGCGGCAATAACAGGACTAGCATCTGCTACACGACCGCAGATGATAATATCAGCCTTACGGCGGAGCCCTTCCACAATACCTCGAGCCCCGAGGTATGCGTGTGCCGATACCATGGGCACGGGCTTTTCAGAATGGGTGAATGCATAAGTAAGGGGGCCAGGCTTCACGAATTGGTTTCCAGCATCAAGATGCTTCAGTTCATCTGCAGATCGGGGCATGTTAGGACCGAACTTTGGGTACAGATCATCTCCTTCCAAGTAAGCGACTCGCAAAGCAAGCCCTTTCTTGCGGGCCTGTATGGTTCAGCATCTGAAGTTCTTCTTAAAGCCATAGATCTTACCAGTTCGTCCACCCTGAGAGCCAATCCCTTGGGATTGAGGGCACCCCCGTTGATTACAACTTTAATCCCCTTTTCGGCAATGACATCGATGGTCTGCTTGAGGCCTTCCCACGCTGTTTCCTCGTATCCAGGGTGGTTCCCGGATTTGAAAGCTTGAGCATTGTTTGCCATATTGACCTCTTCGTACAATTAGAACATTGTATGTCGTTCACTGATAAATGTCAATAAACATACCTGCCAGGTAATCACCTGTAATGAAATCAACATCGCCCAAAGTGGCCTGGCGATACATCTCATATTCAGGATCCCCTGCATTGTTAAATTAGCAATGTCTCTTTCCTCTATTAGATACATAGTCCTATTCCTATGTGTGTCCATATGTTCATACCATGATAACCTGAGCAATTGGCGATTCTGACTGGTCGTCGGCTATTTTCACCCGAGCTGAACGCCATTGTATAGTTTAAATGTATATTTAATCGTTGATTGTATCAAAATTGAACTTGCTTCAAAGAAAAAATTTTATATGGAATATGGATCGCAGAATCTCTTCCTTTTTTAAGATTTCACTGAAATAATGTATTCTCTTTAAGCAGCACAACCCCTCAGTTACCGGCTTGAAAGCTGGGAAAATATATGGGCCGATCCCTGTTAACTATGCGACACGAACGAGTCATAACTCCCGTGGGCCGTGGAACTTTCGAAGAGCCGGCCTCCGAAGCGGGTCGCCAATCGGGAAAGACTGGACCTTGAAATGGGACTTTTGCATTGCGCATCAAGCCTCGGATGTCTTCCGGCGCGGCTAGAATTGGCTTTTGTCCCGCGGGATTATGAAATTATGAAATGGCCGATCGCCGTGGGATTCGCGCATGCTGCCTTTTGTGGATAGGCGTCGAGTCTGAAGGCCAATAGTATGATTCCACTAATTGGTGGATGATCGGACAGTGTGTCACGTTTATCTCATGTTATTTAGTGCAATTATATAAAGGTAACGGCATCTGCCAGTGAAGTTTGTTCACTAATCTTCATAATTACTTCTTTTTTTCTTCAAGCCAAATCACAATGCATCGGACTATCCCCGGAGACGAGGTCTACGGACCTGGAACCTACATTGACAAGGAATTCCTCCCGGTACCAGAAGACTCCCGCCGCGTCTTCGAACTGCTCGCATCGAAAACCCCTGGTTTCACGAAGGATACCGCGCTATGGGATACCGTCAAGTTCGAAGGTCGACCTGATCCTATGGTGCCTGGCCCAATGAAGTCCCCAGTTGTCACAGCAGCCTTGCATGCCATGTGTGGAGTGGTTGCAAACGAGCTATTGGAGCTTCGAGACAGCAAACTAGCGAAAGAAGCAAGCGTCACCGTGAATACGGACCATGCTGGCCTCTGGCTTGCGTCAACCTTCACTGCATTCGTGAAAGGCAAAGATATCTCCGACCTTGCAAGGGCCGGGGAACTGGCCGGTATCTTTGACAGAGACTTTGAGAAGGGTTTCGGTGTTGGCCCATTGTCCGGTCGAGCAACTGCTCTGTATCCCACAAAGGACCCCAAAGTTTGGTATCAGCTACATGGATCTTTGGATGCGAGTAAGACCCTTGAATCCATGGGGATCGACATGAATGTTCCTTTGAAGGACTTCAAGGAAGGATATGAATATCTACGGGACCATGTACAGAAGTGGAGCGCCGATGAGCTTGAAATGCACAATGTGAGGCATGGATTGTGTGGAAGCATCTGCTACTCGCCTGAAGGTTGGAGGAAGACTGAAATGGGGAAGCGTCTTGCCGAGCACCCTCTCATCAATTATACCCATGAGTCGTATGCGCAATCGACTGCTCCCTCCCCCCTGAGCCAACTACCTGATCGTCGTCCCCTTGCTGGAATCAAGGTTGTGGAGATGGTTCGAATTATCGCCGGGCCCACGGTCGGTGTAACTCTGGCATCATTTGGCGCCGACGTGATCCGGGTTAACTGCAGCCGACTGGCAGATCTAAACGTATGTGGAGTTTGTTTCCTTGTCATGAAAACCCAATGCTAATCATCCACAAAAGGTTCTCCAACTGGTCCTCAATGCGGGAAAACGTACAATCGACCTCGACATTGGAAAAGAGGAGGACATGGCACGTCTTATGGAGCTCGTGGGCGAAGCGGATGTGTTTGTCCAAGGCTTCCGTTACGGATCGCTCGATCGGAAAGGTCTCGGGTTGCAGAGCATGCTCAGTATTGCAGCCAAAAGGAACAAGGGTATCGTATATGTCGACGAAAATTGTTACGGTCCATCGGGTCCATTCGCCGAGAGACCAGGCTGGCAGCAGATTGGGGACGCTGCATCAGGCGCATCATACGTAATGGGTCGGTCGATGGGATTCGACGAGGGAACGAGTGTTCTTCCCCCACTGCCAATTTCCGATATGAATACAGGCGTTATTGGTGCTCTGGCGACGATGATGGCAATCAGAGACCGGGCCCAAAAGGGAGGCTCGTACCACGTGGTCAGCTCGCTCGTAGCAGCAGATACTATTTTGGTTGAAGAGGAAATTGGTCTCTACCCCGTCGATGTGGTTCAAAAGACTCTCGATACATTCAAGTTTGCGCGCTCTTCTCCTGACCAGTTCGTCGCGGAGATTTTGCTCCAGGTCATTGATGGATGGAAGCGGGTCTTCCCGGAATATCTTGCACAGGACTCACCATTCATGATGAGCTTCGCAGACAGCCCATGGGGACCAATGGATCTCTTGAGGCCCGTGGCCACACTAAATAATAAGGATGCTAGCCCTATTTGGACACAGCCTCCTGTTCCTAATTGCTATCACGACAGAAACATCACCTGGGCATGATCTTTCTCTAGAGATACCGATTTAGGTTGCTAGATGAGTACATAGTATATAGCTTCATGAATATGATGTGGCATCACAATCCTCCAGAAGCCCCACTCAAATCATATGGTCCGAAATCATAAGCTGGAGGAACACCTGCTAACATGTCTTGCCAATTCCAAGAAAGGGGGGCAGGATACGGTAGCTGTCCTAGATTTTGTGGAATTTGCTCTGGAGCAGGCATATTTGAAGATGGAAAATCGCTTGGATCATTGCGAGTTGGTTGGGGCTGGTTGAAGTCTCCCCCCGTCAACTGGGTCTGGGGTAGATAGTCATTCTGCGCCCAGATTTGCCATTGCGGGCGAGTAACAGTTGGCTGATTATTGCTCATGGGATTCGGCTCAGGGTTTCTAGCCCGATGTAACTCTTTTTTGGCTTCATGTTCGAAGTCGGAGCACAACGCTAACACATAGTCTAAGTATGTGTCTTGTTCTTGGGATGCAACCTTTGAAAGGAAATTTACAACCGTATGGATCATAGAAATATCCGATTCGGTGTCGGGGCGCGAAGGATCGATGAGAATTTCCGAGAAGAGTGCCACTGAAGCTGCTCCTGGGAAGTAAACAATGCTCCTGCTTGGAATGTTAGTATCTCGGCAAGATTTCACGCATGAGAGCACATCACCATTCAAAGGATTGGCCAAAGTCATCTCGAACTTGGCCGATCAAATCAATAGCAGCGCGTGCTGCTTCCAGGGATTGTTGCATTGAGGTCTCTCGATCAATCAGTGGTCCTGGCGGGATAGCACCTTCATTCTGCGGGCTGGCTGGCCAGCGTCGAGGAAGCAGGCAGACTCGGTGAATATTGAGATAGCAACAATGGTATGCAAAATGGAGCCTCAATATGTATGGGCGGAAGGCATGGTGATTGAGCGAAAAGTTTCGTTGCGGTCGAAGGCTCGGCGGAATACTTTGTTTCCAGGCTTCAATATCGTCAAAGCACGACCTCACATCTTTCATCAATTCTTCCTTGGGTTTCTTGAAAGCGTGGGTGCTATACAGCTCATCACAAACTCGCCGTTGGATCAAAGCAAATCGAGCTAGTGCCGAGAAAAAGTTGAACTTTGAGTTTCCGACTTCCATCACGCCTAGACCATCAGGTGGATCTTCTCGGGGTAGCAGAGTACTGAAATCGCGGGTATCCTGAGCTGCAGGACGACCGGTCCGCTGACAGATGTCGGCGTCCAGCATAAACGCCATCCAAAAGACCCTCCTCCGTTCCTCAACCTGAGACGCCGGGAGATCAAAGGAGTTAGACTTGTGCAACCCAATAGATTGCGACAGCCGCACAGCAGCAGCGGCAAACATGAACAGAGGCTGGGGGTTTGGCGTGCCTTGGAAGAAAAATGCCAGACCAAGAAGAGCTTGGACAGCTAGTAGGTCACACGTCCGCATAAACAGCTCTGTGACCACGTTCATTGCGTTTTTGACGTGACCCAGGCAGCTTTGCCAGTCATCGCTGCTAGCGCCTGGGCTCTCTGCCCTTTGCCTGTATCCCATAGCAAGAACAATGTTTAGTGCAGCCCACCATGACGGACTTTCGCTGGGATTCCACGAAAAATGTCTATTGATCATTCCCATGAAGCTTTCGGAGTCAAACAAAGGTAGGGCTTTGTTGAACGTGGCAAAATACTCCTGGACCAGTTCTAGTATGACGGTCTTCGATGGCAGGGGGTGTGAGCATCTTCTCTGGAAATCATCTTTGAGAGCTCGGGGATACCAATCAGCTAGCCTCCATCGGCTGCCGTTTCTCTGGGCGACATGGCGCCACGAATTATTCCCCGTTTTACTTTCAAGCCAACCCACACCCTCAGGGGAGACAATTGAAAATTGGGAGGATGCACCTGGAAGTCGGTAGAATCAGCAAGGTCAACCGTGAAACCATTGTCGGTGAGCCAATACTGACCAAAAAAGCGCATGGCGCCTTTCGGGGTTTTAAGGGTATATGACCCTCCGTCGCCATCGCCTCGATCGGCCTCGGCCTCGAAGGGCACTGAAATGGTATCATCTTTTGGAGACGGTAGTTCTGAATCAGATTCATCTGAGAGCTGGACATGTTCTGGGCCTGTGTTATCGTCACTCATGAGTCGTCTCCTTTTAGTGGTGTGCGCTTCATTCAATTCATCTTGTAATGATCGAATGCGCTGTTCCAGCTCTTGAAGACGTTCTTCACTACGAAACTGTTTAGCTTCTTGGATTGAACAAACATAGGTTAATGTACCGATTGGGCTTCTTCCTGCGTCGCACGGTGTCTTCGTACTTGCAGGGCAAGTCAAACGTTCTGCAGGAAACACAAACCGGTCGAGTCCCATCACATTTGACCTTCTTTCTTCTACAAATACTGCATGCCTTTGCACGGAAGAAAAGTTAGAGTCAATGCCCAATTAAAATGGGAATTCAGAACGGAGTATATAGGGGGAGTTGGGGCGAGTTGATACCTTGGCAACGCGTACAAGGTTGCTAGTATTCCCATCCATGATACAAAACGTCTTAGTAGCAGCACCAGACCTGAACAAATCCTTTCAATTTGCGAAAATCAATCCCGTTCATTCATATTGAATGTTTAAAAGTGTGTCTTAAAGTTGGAAACACCACGACACTTCCGCAGCTCCGACGGTATCCAGGCACCAAGGCATAAATGATGACTCAGTAAGTTCGAGTTTGTTGCCTCAGGCAACAACCATAATTGAGATAGATCGACTGATCAGATTCAACACCTTGATCACTTTACAATTTCCCCAACTTATTGGCTTGTGACAAATTCTGGATTGTGTGCTCAGCTCAGATTGTGTACTCCCCGTTTGAATCCATCGGGGAGGATCATCGGTACACGGCAAAAGCGGCGTAGAACATATCCGAGGTCTGGGGTTCTAGAAAACCTACACTTTTCGCCGAAATACATTGTTTATCGGTCTAGATCAAAGCCATATTGATCATTACATGCCTCACCCAAATATTACCAGGTAGTCCTTATCAAAATCTCTTGGAAAGGTCCAAAGGAGCAAACCTCGATCGAGGTGAGTACAATGAGTGCTACAGTGAGCAAACTGGAGTAAACGTCAGTATCTGACTGTCCTAGCTCTGGCCATCATGGTAACAACCGTATGGCACATATGCTACTGCTAATGAGATGATGTGATTCACTTGATACAAATTGGATGATCCTTGCGTTCCCCTCCAAATGCATGTACTTTCATTTTCATGTCCCGAAGGCTAACCAGGTACTTCTATACTCTTAGTGATTAGAGAACTTCCAAATGATAGCCATCTCAATTAGTCGAATATATCGTCTCTCAAAGTCGTTCCGATGTAACAGTGGATGTTTGTCTGCAACAACCCAATCTAAGGGTAACAAATAGCCGCGAGCCATGATCAACTAACTCTAAATGTCTCGCTCGTAGAGGGCGGATTGTTCACTGACCGTAGGGAATATAGTATATGTCGCACCGATCCAGACATGTTGTGAGCACTTGTTTGCGCTACCTTTGCTTCACCTTAGATAAATGATGGTGGCTCAGGCCATGGTCACACTCTTCTCTGCATGACAGCATGCCCACTTGATAAGGTTACCTCTCCTTGGTAAATTATATCGATAGGCGATGTAACCGTAAAACAAAGCGGACTTTTATCAAAGAAGCCGAGACATGTTGAGCAATGAGAAAACATAAAGCCACGATGTGAATAAATATACAGAATCTATTGGCTGAAGTTGACATCGTCTCTATGTTGCCGTTCACTATGTTTCAAAGCCTCACTGTCAAAGAACAAGCATGGTTACAATGTTCGAAGACAAATGCAACCTATGACAGAAGTTATCAGCTTTGATGGGTCAATTTGCAGGCATGATGTTTGCCAAGTCGTATGGATTGGCTTGAAATGGTAAAGTTGACTCTAAAAACAGGAATTCAGCTTTTCATGGTTCAATAAATCTTGAATATAAAAGTATTTGAGCTAACCCTTCATCTGAATCTTTCTATCGCCAAGTCAACAATATATCCCCAAGCAAATAACAGGACAGAACTTTCGATCGATCCACAATGGTCGCCATCTGCATCCGATCTCTCCTTTGCGTTCTCGGAATTGCCTCCCTGAGCGCATCAGCTGCAGTCGAACTCCCTAAGAATGTCCCCAAACCCGCGGAGCAACACGACGCATGGACCAGTACCGAGTACTGTAAGTGTACATGAAACGGGTCCGCAATTTCAAGACGCGCTGACACGAAAGCAGGCACGGACTACTACACTGTTAGCGACGGGGATACCTGCTGGGATATCATTTCACGGAACCAGAATCGGTTCACCATGAGTCAGCTGATGTGCTGGAACACCGATATCAATCCGTGGTGTTCCAATCTCATTCCTGGCCGACAGGTTTGCGTCGGTGTTCAGCGCCCTGGACCCGTTTGCTAGAGGCTCTTGTTAATTGCAATATTGTGACAAGTCTCGTTGCAACTTAAAGTATTCAATCTTGGATACTGTTGAGCTTTCAAGTTGTTTGATGGAAAAAATAACAGGGTGATTTTTGAATTGGCTTTTTTGCAGATTTCAACAAAACGTTCATTAAATCACATTTGCGCCGATTTTCTTTGGATAAACATTCCTTCTGTTAATATTCCATCTTCAGTATTCACAGAGCAGTCTTATACCCTGCTTCGTCCCCAGGCGTTTTGTAGAAATTCTCTGAAGGTGACTGGTTTCACCTCTGGGAACTGAGCGTTGAGACGATCCTTTGGCAATTGAAACACATTATTGACTGTGAGTCTACTCACTAGCGCAGTCATCTCTTTGATTTCATCTGATGAGGAGTCTACACCTTCTGGTTGAGGAGGGACGGTGACGTTCCCAGCCGTGATCTGCTCCAAGGTATCATAGGTGACTTTGAATTTCTTGCCTGTCCCAGGAAACATTGTGAGTATCACTGAAGCCCAGGTGGGGATTTAAAACTAGTGCACTTACCGGTGAATTCTTCCGCCAATTCCAGTACCTGGTTGTAGGTGACCTCGTCGCCAACAATGATACTGAACTCAGGCCAGTTGTCAAGATCAAGTGCTTTGACCAAGTAAGTGGCCAGATCATATGTATAGGTCATACATATCACGTTGTCACCATTCCCTGGAATCGCAGCCGTGCCACTCGCTATGTCAATTCCAAAGGTAAATGGTTGTAGGTGTGTTTGGACATAAGGCATTCCCCAGTAGTCCATGAAAAAGCCAGGGATTACCCTGGTATATTCCAGCCCACTAGCCTTGAGACGTTCTGCCGCATCGAGCCACCATTGAATGCTCGGGTCAATTGAAAGTAGACTTATGGGGTAATTGTTTTAGCGAAAAAGATCATGCAGATGGAAGCGAAAAACCTACTTTGGGGTTTGTATGAAAGAGTATTCACTTGGAATAAATCTTTTCGTTGATACCGACTTCTCTCCAGCTTCGATCAAGTTCAACTGAGACTGGCTGGTCTCATCAGAAACAAGACCAATCGCTGATATTATGGTGTGGATCTTGTGTCGCTCAAATTCATGTGCCATAGAGGGAATGTCATCGTAATTGATTTGCAAATTTTGAACTTTTTGTGAGGAATTTTCCTGCCTAGCCTGCGAGACACATAAGTATTCGCTCGATAGCAGAGTCCCGGCATAAACATACAGTGCGTGATAAAATGACAACGTCGAATTTAGATTCCAGTAATTTTTCAACAATGGTTTTTCCCACCCCACCACTTCCACCAGCGACTGCAATAACAACCATGGCTTATGGGAGGCGTAATTCAATCGGAATATCGAGTTCAATGGCAAAAAGAAGTGAAGTTGAACAACGGCGGGTTCCCCGCGGATACCCCACTATAGCAAATTTTGGCGAATTTGCCTTCAGCTGGACACAAAAGCCTAGAAGAATCCAATTACGGTGACATTTAAGTCGGCATTCAGCTGAGCTTATCGTCAGACCGCAATTCAATAATCTAAAATTGGACAAGCAGTGTCGGGGACTCGGGCTTCAGATGTCGGCGAACTCTAACGGAACATGACTAATATCGGAGCGAAAAGGATATAAAAAGCAACTCTCCCGTTGTAACAACCAGCATTCAGCCTTGAAATACCTCTACCCCCAATCTATTTCAATCTCATCATGTGTAGGAAAGCCAGCTGCTCGAACTGCAGTAAGTTTCAATTAGTCTCGCATGTAGACAATAGCTAACTGTTGACCACAGATAAGGCCACCTGGTGGGGTTGCGGAATCCATATTCCTTCTGTGATGGACTTTATTCCCAAAAGCGAGTGGTGTGAATGCGAACCCAAGGTCGAGAAGGATGGCAAGACGTATCCTCCAAAGGCTGCAACGGCACCTTGACTCGATGGCTGTTTGATATGCTAGGGCTGCGTGCTTGAAGCATTGTGAAGTGGAGTTGCATATTTCAAAGATGTCAAGTGTCAGGGATGTGTTGAGAGGGTGTTATCTGAAGTTGGAGCGGCAAATTTGATAGAATTTTGGTACTGGTGCAAGTTTTCATAAGTTGCATAAATATGTAGGTACAACTCTACAAAAGCAGAACAGGCTTGGAGGATCCAATCTATTTAATAAATCGCGTCTAAAGAGCTTGGAAGCAGTTTATACTAAAGATATGCAACTGTAATGATATTCAAAGAATGTAAATCACTGCATGTGCACAATTGAAACATGAACTGGAAAGAGACCCCAAAGAAATGGATGTAAAGAAAGACCAGAACAGAAAGCTCGATCGAAAGACGGATTGAAAGCATTTTGAAAAGTCAAAATGTTATGAAAGGCCCAAAATAAACAATCCCAAGTACAAGAAATGAACTAAAACCAAGCGGTGGGCAATTGACCCCCCATGTATATGTGACAAAAGATCCTTGATCAGGGGCACGCTTGCTTCCAATCATCTTCCTCTTCATCGGCTGACCCTGCCCCTACCTCCCCTGGCACCTCTTCCTCTGCCCCTGAATGCTCTGCCCCGGACTGCTTTGCCCCGGACTGCTTGTCTTATTGCTTTCACCATGTGTGCTGGTGGTCCACCTCCTGGCGATGGTGGTAACATGATGGGCGGTGGCCCCGGCAAATCAAAGGAATAACCTTCGGGCATTTCTACCATGCTCACATCTAGTTCACGCTTGTGATTAGTAAAATGAAGCAGGCCCAGTCCATTTGGACAGGTCCCAGTATAAAACGCAAATCGTGGGAAAGGGCCCGAAAGGAAAGTCACACGACCGGCCATTCCTGGTTGTGTCTCGAGAATACAGGCCGGAACCTTGAGCCAGCAACTCATAAATTTGTTGAGGAATGGGACCTGCACTGTGATGTCAAGTTCTACAACCTTGGACATCAGAACGCCCGATGGGGTTTCCACTATAGTATAACCTAGTACTGTAGCATTGGTGCCCAGTTCCTCGATTTCCTCGAGACTTTCTCTTGGAATGGCCATGATATCTGCACCAGTGTCATATAGTACAGAGAATGTGCGGCTTTTAAGGATTTCAGGTGGTCTAGGCCGGTCTTGAGCTGTAACCCATATGTCAAACTATATAATAGATACAAGTCAGAAAGAAGGACGCAAAGTACAAGATAGGGGCATCATACCTTCACTGCTCTTGCGGAGTTGTATGGCACAAAGACAGCAAACTCCCCCATGTTATTGGGTCCTGCTTGTAAAAGCTAGATATCACATCTTGAATCAGAGAATGAGCACCAAATTTGGATGGAAGACAATATCAACTTACACCCTCCACCCACCAAGACTTAGTGGCATCATTCTCCAGCGTCATTTGCTCATGAAGCTCTCGGTTGAATTTTGTGGGTGTATTGAGTTGCAAACCATTGGACCAATAAGTCACCATGCCCTCGGACCATTTCAATTCGCCTGCCCTATAAGCCTTCAGCAAAGCCCGGACATTCGGAAGCTGTACATCTGGGTCTCCTTTGGTTTCGAGATGATCTTTTATGAGCTTCAACGCATGCAGTCGTTGGACGATCTCATAACTGAGACCCGTCGGCTCGGAACCGATCATGGCATTGCGTGCGTTCCTCGCAGCCAAGAGACTGTCCAACCGGATTTCGAAGACTCGAGGCATAATCCCATCCTCCAACCTCTCAAAACATCTATCAATTTGAGCATCGACATCGTCGTAGTCTAAATCCGGCTCGTTGGCATTCCAGCCTTCCGGAACATCCTCTATGTTCGTGATAGGCTCATCACCATCATGTTTCCATCTCTGTTGTCTTGGAGGAAAGTGCCGTTTTGGGCGAGGAGGAACTCCAACGCCCGCCATTTGTTCCATGACGATGTAGGAAACGTTGTTCAAAAGTTTTTCTGGCTGCATACCCATTTCGGTCATCTCCTCAATCTCCTCTTCGGTCTGTGAATACACGGCACCCTTGCCTTTCGCTATAGAGGCCTCAGACATCACGACTGAAGGTGGCGTCACAGATCTGGACCTAGCTCTGCCGAGACCTCTAGGCTTCTTGGGAGGTGGGGTCTGAGAGTCGGATGCCTCAACGGCCTCGGCCTCCGAGGGTGGCTCTTGCACTCGCTTCCGTGTGCCTTTCCGTGGGGGCATATTGAACAATATGAAAAGGACAAGGTCACAGATGATAGAATATTCAAGCGGGCTTGACTTTTCGGGTTGTAATATTACCAAAATGGAGGGTTGTATAGGGGTATTTGTAGGAAGCAATCAAAGAAACTGAATTTCATGGATACAAAGAGCCACCACGGATTGAACCGATCCAGGACAAAGTAGATAGCAGTGCAGTTGATGAGGACAAAGACAATGGACATAATGAGGCGCCATCTCACGCCTTCTATTTTGGGATTTCTGGAAATACTTGCGTTAGACAAAGACCCAAAGATGAATTTCTCCGTTGGTAGATATGTATCTTTTTCCATCCAATTGCCGAGAGCTCTTTCGTATCGACCCAGCCCATAGTGCTGTGGGGTCCCAGACGCTCAAAGCCAAATGAATCTTTCTTTCAAAGAACTGACTATGCTTTGCAACGCCCTGCCGAGAACAAAGGATAATATCCACCAGGGCTTACCTTTTGATTTAGGCTGTTCACTTGACAGGACATAGACTTTCTACCCGACATGCATATTGGCCCATGAAGTTGAGAAAGACGGTTACTTACACTAAGGTTTTTCAGTGGTATGCGATCTAAATTAGGGAACAAGTTGGAAGATGAAGATGCACACCGGCTGTGGACTCCCTTCTAAACCAGCACGGAGCTGGTGAAATGCGGAGTTATAACTCTGCATTCATTGATCAAATGCTTTGCCAGGGATTCCTAGGCTTTGAGGCAGAGATTGACACAATGAAAAGCCCGCAGTGGTGCTACATGGTGCTACTGCTTGTTCAGGTAATGTGCATGTCGTACAAGTAGTTACATATGTAGTTATGAGGCACAAGTTTGAAAGCAGAACAGAATATCTCCATATAAATATTTACCTACAAGGATAGAAAAGATCTATTCCATAAACCGTCAATTTCTAACCAGTATGCACCTTAATTCTTTCTCGATCATTTCCATACGTGAATATCATGTAGATCAATCACAAAAAAGCGCAGAAAGAACGGGGCAATTTTTCCGACCTTAAAAAAACAAGGAACGGTCGTACTAACACGGGAGGGGATGGGCAGGAGCAAAAAAGAAACCATGAAGAGTGAATAAAGAGAAACATGCCATTACGTCAGAATCTAAGCCTTGATCGCTGCGCCCAATGCACCACCACCGAATTGTTGGCCACCGGGGCGACGATCGCTCTGAGGCAGGCGAGCACCTCCACGGCCACCACCACGACCACCGCCGCGGCCGCCGCGGCCACCACGGGCACCGGGACCGTGTTCGCGCTGGAAGGCGTTGGCCATGCCCTGGGTGCGCTGCTCGAGGGTCTTTTCGTTGGACTCGAGGAGGCTGGTGGACTTGTCGGCCAGGGTGACAATCTGGGACTGGAGGCGGGAGAGCTCGACGCCCTTGCGGAAGATGATAGCGTCGTTGACCTGGTCGAGAGCGGCGGCGAGCTCCTCGTGGGAGATCATGCGGGAGATGATGGAGATGATCTTCTTGGCCTCAAGCTCGAACATGGAGGCCAGGGAGGAGATAGAGAGGCTGTCATAGTAAGGGGCGTAGGTGAAGAGGTAGGTGCGCAGACCCTCCTCTTGGGTCTGCTGAGACAGCATAGCCTTGATCTTCTCGGGCTGGGGCATGAGGTCCCAGATCTTGATCGCAGCGAAGGTAGAGGCGGAGAGCTTCCAGTCACCGGCGGCGAGAGCCTTGGCACCGGCGATCACACCGTCACGGGTGTTCTCGGGGGGTCCGGTGAACACTTGACGCTCGTTGTAGTCCAACATGCGGCGGAAGGTCTTGGAGATCATGCGGCGGCGCAGCTCGGGGGAAGAGGAGGTCTGGGCCATCAGGGGGAACCTCGAGCAGAGCACTGCTGGTGAGGTACACACACTCGAGCAACTCGAGGTTGATGTGCATGTGGAAGGGCAGCTGGCGCTGGCGTTCCAGGCGCTCCTGCTCGGGGGATACGGTAGAGTAGCGCTGCATGATGATACCCTGGGCGAGAAGTTCCTTTTGACGACCGCTGCCGCAGATCTCACCGAGGGTGTTCTGGGCCTCGTAGATGAGACCAGCACGGAAGGCACAGAGACCAATCTGAACAAGGGTGCGGTTAAACAGAATCTGGGTGCTGACGTCGAAGGTGGAGATGTTCTCAGTCAAGTGAGACATGAGCATCAAGTCGCGAGACTTGTAGTATTGGTCGTGCAAGGCGAGGAAGTAGATCTGGCAGAGCATGGCGCGGGCGCGGGGAATTCCATCGCTGTGCTGGAACAAGTAGTTGCAAATGGCAGCAACAAGGCTCTGGATATCTCCGACTGTGGAGCCAAGAGTAACGGCGGACTTGAAATTTGTGGGAACAGCCTTGTCCTTGGATTCCTCAGCGATGCTGATGACCACCTCGGGCTTGAAGTAGATGTGCTCCAACCGTCTGAGGACAACTCTGTTCATGGAGTCCTGTCCGTTCTTATCTGCGCCCTGGAGGCTCTCAACATAGAGTTGAGAGCGAACAAGGTTGTTGTAGAGGTCCTGCTCGCTCTTGAGCACATCGATGTACTCTTGTGTGTGGGGATCGATCTCGCGGAGGCTGCGGTTCAAGTCGTCATCGAGTCTCTCAACCAGAGAGATGCAGCTTCCAGGGATGTAGAAAATCTCGCCGTCTTCAACAGTGGGCTGCTTCTCATCATCCTCCCATTCGTCGGCACTTTCGCTGACGACGAACTGGCGGTTGTCCTCAAGGACTGACAGAAGAGCGGAGTACTCCTCTGAGGCAGCCTTCCATTGTTCAGCGCTCATGTAGCTCTGGTTGGTTGTGGAGGTCAAATCGAAGCGGGTGGAGATGAGGGTCATGTAGGTTCGGATGCGTTGGTAGGGAGTGGTGGCAACCTCGAGGAGCTTCTGCATGGTGCGGATCTGGTCGGCACGGTCGGTGTTCTTCTTTCCGCGGGACTCGACAATAATGCGGAGGTGCTTGAGAATGCTCTCCGGGGTGTACTGGAGTGTCTTACCACCACGGCCGACGGTAGCGAATCCATCGTCCTCGCCGCCAGCGGCGGCAGCAGCGGCGAAGTTCTCGATCTTCTCGACCCTGGTGGGCTTGGGGGCGGGAGCAGGAGCGGCCTTCACCTCGACTTCCTCAGCCATGAAGGCATCCTTGTCGGCGCGATATTTATCGATCAGAGTCGCGTACTCCTTGTTGTTCTTCTTGATCTTCTGCTTAACCGCGTTGAAGCCCTTGCTGTTGCTGGCGTTCATCTTCTTGTTCGAGGCCTTTTGCTTGATGGCGGTCTCGTTGGTAAAGTCTTCGAGGTCCGCTACCGCTTGAATGTAGATTTTGGGTGTCGGGCCGATGACCTTCAGCATCTGACGGTTGAGGTTGTCGAACTCTGCGAATGGATCACGTCAGTCCAACTTGTTCCTATATCCCCCGGAATTTGCCGCATTTCCAATCTTTCAAGACACATGAAGACTCACCAGTGGCAATGACAGCCCAGTCGTTGATCTTCTGGGCGTTGTCGATCAGGCGAATGGTGCTCTCAACACCCTCGAGACGCTTGTCCTTAGCGGACTTGACAACTGTGACCTTCTCCTCCTCCTCACTCTCATCACTGTCGCTCCCGTGCATGAACCTGGAGGCACCGGAGCGTTTTTCCTTGCCATCCTCGACTTCGGACTCGGATTCAGATTCTGAGGAAGACCCCTCCTCGGAAGATTCCTCGCTGTCTGAGCCGGAGCGGTAAACCTCCTCCTCCTCATCAGACGAGCTGTCGCTGTCGCTGCCGGAGCCGTAGAAGAAACGCGACGCCATATTTGCGGATTGCGGTTTCGGTAATAGGAAATGGCGATCCAAAAGCTGAAAAGTCAGGTCGTCGGCGACACAAAGTTGAAGTTCCCGCAGTTGAGAGCCACACACGAAATTTAAGCGAGGGGCTGACTAAACCCAATTAGGACTAGTGTCTATAACAAAGAACATTGACTATAAATTCTTCGTCCTCTTACTTCTTTAGACAAGACTGGTTTTGGTTATTTTGATAGCTGAGGAATGCCAAACGAGATAGCGCAATCCATTTTCAGACTTCTTTACATGCATAGACTGCTACCTTGATCTTCATGCACTAAGGGATTGAAACTGTGGCCTGACTGATCAGGCATCAAGGGCAAGTTGAGTACAAATAGCTGGGATTTAGGTATCTAGAAGAGAGCAAAACTAATGATTAAATCAGAAGAAATTAGTTTTTAATGAAACAGTTCTGGGCGACATCAAAATTGCAACTAACTACCTATAACGCAAATCCAATTAGTTATATACTGCCTAAGTGAGATGTGAGTTTTTGGTTTATATGGAAAGTTTAGCCTTTATAGATAAATACTCTACTCCCCGGGGCCGTAGAATGTCCACATGTGTTATAGGCCTATCCATAAATATGTACATACAGGATTTGTTTTATCCAAACCTAAGGGATGGCCTAGAGTGTGGTCTCATCCAAAAAAGGGAAATTGATATTAATCCCTTGAATTCATACATGTTCCATTTGCTATTTCACTCAAATCTACTAGTTACTGTGTACAGACCAAATTAATACCCAAACTAGAAAGGACATGCCGCATGCACCATAGCAGGTAGCCAAAAGGACCCTGTCGAACTTTAGGCCAATGGATCAACCCCCCCAAAATCTGAAACTAAGCCAAAGGTAGATTACGAGGGAGACCAAAAAATAAATGAGATCGTTCTTTCATACACCATCCAGGCTATGCCAAGAGAGAAAGGAAGATGAAAAAGGCAATCAGATATACCGAAGAGAGCAATATGCCTAAGAAAAGAAGATAGCACAACATAATTGGGATCGTAACAGAGCAAGAAACGCAATGAAACAATGAAACAGACGAAGATGCGGGGAGTGATCTCTTGCCGCGAAGCATGGGGCCACTGATGGGCACAACTCGGAGTGTGAGAGTGCAGATCGATCCAGCACTAGTAATGCAGATCGTGTATCAGCGGTCCAAGACCATCGCAGACCGCGCCAACCCACCGAAGGGTCGTTTTGTTGACTCATACCTACAAGAGCCGGCCAGGCGAAAATAACTTGGCTGGCAAGGGGCGGGTCAGTAAAACCACGGGCTACGAGACTGGGGCTCATTGACAATTGGTCAGGATGGAACAATGTTTGCCAGCTCTTGAGTGATGGGGAACACCTGGGCATATGATATACCCATAAGCTGAGATCTCCTAGTGCCACTGGTTCTGACTCATGTATCCTTCACTCAGCACACCGTCCTCGAGGGTTCGGATGAAATCTCGGTTGCGTTGGTTCCCACTATTCCCACTATTTGCTCGGCTTCCACGGCGACGCTGGTTGGCGTTGGCGTTGGCATCGACATACCCATCGGGAGGAGGAGGGTAGTATGCAGGGCTGGGTTGCAGCCGGATAGGTGCGTTGGGGTCCAGGTGACTAGCAACTCGTTGGATGGTACTTGGGATTCCTCCATTAGGATCCATGGTAGATGCCCGCTGGCGACCTGCGCGCGTTGTCGCTTGTGCGTAGAGACTCTGAGGGGGAACTTGGTTGCCTGGCATCATTCCCATCTGATGACCGTAGCCTGGTAGCTGGGTAGGGTATGGGGGAGGCGGGGCCCCTTGCGGGTACATGCCGTTGTACATGGGCGGGGCTTGCGCCTGAGGCGGGGTTTGGAACTGATTCATCTGCGCCGCGTAGGCATTTTGCGCATGTGCCGCCTGCGCTGCTCTCTGCTTGCTAGCAGCCTCAGCCTGCTGTTGCTGTTGAACACCAGGAGCGGGCTTATTGGCGGTCGAATACTTTAGGTTCATTGGTGGCATGAAGGGACCAGTGAACTTCTGTTGGGTGATGAATGGATGCAACTTGGCCTGTTGTGGTGACCAGCGCTCGAGGGGGTTGATAGATAGGAGTCCCCGAACGAAGTCAATGAATGCAATGCGATTGTTCAGCTCTAGTTATTATTAGCTAGGTTCCAAGGTGGATGGAGACCCAACATACCTCGCTCAACCTCTGGTTGCTTCATGTTCTTCCGAGGCATCGGGTAGCTTCGGATGATTTCCTCCAATGTCGAGGCAGAGAAGTACTTCTTGCTTGGCTGTTCCTTGGTGTTGTGCTCTCTTGAATACTGCTCCAAGCTCTTGAGACGGTATGTCTTTCTCCCAAACTCGTCTTGCGTCTTTTCGAAGAACTCACCCGACTGCTTGCCCATCTCAAGCATCCATGTTGGTGGGATGCCGAGCATCTCGACAATTCGACAAACTTGATTGTATTCGGAAGATCCTGGGAACAAAGGCAAACCAAGGAACAGTTCCACGACAATGCAGCCAAGTGACCACATGTCAATGGCGGATGAGTAGCTTAAGGAAAGTCAGCGAGAACATGGCAAGGAAGGCGGGAGCACATACGGCAAGCCCAATAGTACTTCAGGGGATCGATAAAATCTTGACTGAATGTAGGTGTAGACCGTTTGTCGTTCATCACAGGCGGAGCCAAAATCAATGACCTTGATAATAGGGCTCTCGAGGCTAGGGAAGTGTTAGCAAAGAGCATGGGCAGCTAAGAGAAGAACCACTGACTTTTTCAAGAGAATGTTCTCTGGCTTCAGATCACAATGGATCAGATGCGCCTTGTTCAACAAGCTCAGAGCATTCAACAACTGTTGAGCAAACACGCGGACGAGGGTGGTACTGAGTCCACGGAACTGGTTTTGCTTAATGAGCTCGTAGAGGTTGACACTAAGCAATTCGAAAGCAAGACACAGATGCTGACGGTGAATGAATGTGTCTTTCAGGCGAAGCAAATGGTGATCGTCGTTCTTGTCATACTTGCTGTTCAACTGTGGGGCATCAGCAGACGTTCAACCGACCAAAATTGGGAGAAAAAATACCAAATCTAGCACAGAGACCTCCATCATACTCTGGTTGAAATAAGCTGTCTTGTTCTTGATGACCTTGACAGCCACTACCTCTCCTGTTTTCAAGTTCTGGCATTTCACGACTTGACCGAAAGTACCTTGGCCTAAAACATCGAGAATAAGGTATCGATTCCTATATTTGAAAAGAAGTTTTTGTCAGTCCAGGAATCTACCATCCATGGGAGATAAGGTGCGTACTTATGACCGGCTTCTTCACTTCCAAGGATATCGTTGACATAGAGGATATAGTCGCTATCTTCGTTGTCATACCCATCATTCTTGACTCCCTTGCTTGGCTTTGTCAACACACGTCTGGGGTTCCTCGAGGACTCGTAGTTAAATCCGGGGTTGCAGATTCGATAGGTGGCGGGAAGGTGGGTTGTCAGCGATTGAAGCGGCTGAAAGAGTTAGTACAAGTCATTACGATACCGGTGGGGTAGTCTGAGCACTCACACTGATGAATCCACCTTCAGGATTAGCACGCCGATATGCGGGTTGGATATTCATACGTGGCTGCAGCTCTTGCACGGACTGAATCTTCTGAAACTTTGGTACAGGACCACGACCGGGTACGAGAGGTGGCTGAGATGGCAAGGAACCGGAGCGCGGCGATCGCGACTCCCCAAATCCGGGACTCATGTGCGAAGAGGCGGAGGGAGGGTAGTACTGGTCTGGGCTGAGATCACCGGATTGGAGGGGAGGTAGCCTAGGAGCGCGATTGGCTGGTGTTATGTTATGTTAGCAAAATACAGAGAGATTAGATGCAGTGACCGGTTTCAAGCTCACATGGCGGCGATTGATATCCCTGGGGTGGTGATGCATATTCCGGCTTGGAGGGCGACCGCCGTGAAGCACTCTGGGGTGCGGATGGGAATCCATACGAGCCCTGGGACTTACCAGGACTAGTGGGATATGACATCGGCGGCGAAACAACGTTCGCCGGCGAGTACCTGCGAGCAGCCGATGACTCTTCTGCCTGATTCAAAAATTGTGATGAAGCGCGAGTGTGATTTGGCCTCGACGGGTACTTTGCCCGGTTGTACGGGTCGGCCTCCTCCATGGTGGTATCCGCGTCGGTGACATAATCCCGGGTACGTGGTGTGGCGGCGGGCGACGAAGCCATGGAAACAGTCTTCGAGTTGGTGCCAACTGAAGGAGCTTTGGATGTGGTACCGGGTGTTTGAAAGGTCTCATACGTGTATCCAACGGGGGGTGATGGTTGTGTCTGACCGTATTTCGAGGGTACTTGCTGAGGATGAGACGCCAACCCAGTATTGAACTGCGGATGACCCATTAAAGGGTCCTGGTATGGCTGCCAACCAGGATCCATTGTGGAAACCTTCTCTTGGTGCAAACAAATGTCAAGTGTCCTCGAACACTACGATCAGGGTCCGTGGGATGCCAGCGGGGATGATGGTAACGCGACCGCAGGTGGGGGAAGCCCAAACGCAATTCGAAGAACAGGACAAAGAAAGAAGTGAATTGACGTTTAGAGCGCGATATTGCACTTCATCATTTAAGGAATTGTTGGTGAAGACAAGTTTCGCAGGGGAGGGGCGGTCGCAATTTGGTTGCGACGCAGTAGACGTAGGCGGCTGGCGGCTGGGGGGGGTGGGAAGTGCTCGGCCTCAGAAGAACTGAGTTGGGACCCGATACAAACGGGAAACCAACGACAAGGAGAGCATCAACAAAGGAGTAATTAGACCAGGTTCGAGAACGCACAAGAGGTCAAAATAGATGAAGATGAAGAAGAGAAGGAGAGGGGAAAGTTGTAGTGGAGGTGAACTTTCTCAAATCTACTTGATTTCGTCCAAGTTGACTATAGCTACATTAATAACTCCATAGATGTACCACAATATGGTATTGTGCATACTACTTCTTTTTTCTATATAAAAAAAAAATAAGAGGGCGTATACAACCTATCAGGTATACAAATAGATTTAATCATAATAATATCATAATAAAAATATATATAATATCGAAGTTCCTCGACTTTGGATTGTGGTCTCCTTGGCGACGTGACTTCTTATGATCGACTTCCGTTGCATACCCAACTGTCAAGCCCAATACCATATTGAACCCTCTACACTCCGTATTATGTATTTTTCCTCCACAACTTGTAGGAGTTTTATAAATATCTTTAATCCTGTAATACTTTCAAGCCTCACATTTTCTGATCTCGTATACAGGTTGTTTTCTGCGACGTCATCGATTCTCAATAAGATGCACATTGGGATTATGTACGAATTTCCAAATTTCCAAATGCATGAATTTGACTCATTCAATTACATATGTAGAATAAAGGACAAAAGTAATTAACAGTGGAATCCAGTAGATTTCATAATGACTCGAATCATAACAATGGGTACTTCATACGGAATACGGAGTACACAGAAACTAATTGAACAATTGTAGGAGCCTTGGCCCGGGCGCAAATTGATCAGTCATCAATGGCGGTGTACTTACAGGGCTGGCGGCGAACAAGATTAGTAATATAATGCCATTGCCTCCGATAAAAAGATTTGAGCTAGTCCTATTCTGTCAATGACTGTTCATCCTAACTTCGATCGTTGCCTTTGTCTGTTGTAATTTGTACGCAAATTCACAATGTCTTCACTTGTGATACACATATCACCTTAGACTCTCACTTAACCTCACTGCATACCATTCATACTTGAAGGCAACCATGGCTACCGAAGAGGCGACTCGCCTGCGCGGCCTACAGGCCGATGTGCGAAACCAAGATGACCTCGAAAGAGACATCACTCGGCAGGTATGCATTACCCTGGATTATTAAACTCGGGCTTTTCTCATATCTATTGTTAGGCCGATAAGGCTCTGGCCGAAAAGGCGGAGGAAAATGACATCAAGCGGCTAGAGAAAGCCCTTGTGGAGCGGGAGTAAGAATCCACACCCTCAGATCTGATAAACTCGCTAATCATGATTTCAGACGGGTCGGCTCGGAGATCACCAAGGTGCATCGGCGCCTTGGACAGCCCGTCGGGGCCGCCACTCGCCATAGACAAGAGACTGAGCTGAAAAGGTTGGAAATGCGCAAGGCGGATTTGGGGAAGGACCTGAAGGAGATACAAGACCGCATTGATGCACGACGTCAATCACAGGATAATGCAACCGCACCGCATGGGTCGGGGCGTTTGCCAAATGAGTCTCGCCGCGACTATCTTCTCCGAACCGGCAAGATCACCCCGTTTGCATTGATGAACGAGGGTTCCAGAGACGGGCCCCTCGCTAACCTTCAAGATGCCCTTATCGATACCGAAGATCAGCAGAATGAAGCTGAAGAGCGCGAACGAGCCAAGAATCTGCCGGCTGTCTCCCATCGCGATCTTGCCCGTCCAGACCTTGACTTCGAAACAGTTGCGCCACCCAAACGAAGAAAACTGGATCGCCCCAGCTCTCCAGGGGCTGACTCCTCTGCGAGCTATGTAGCCTCCGATGAGGGTCACGTTACATCGGAAGATGAAGAGTTCATGCCTGATACTCTGCCTGACACCAAGTCAAGTCGTAAGCGCAAACCGGTCAAGGGAAAAGTGAAGAACCAACTCGAGGATCTGAGCGGAGTTGATGATGGCAACGAGACTGTTTATCAGGCTCGACTCCAGGAGTGGATCAGTCGTCGAAGCACTGCTAGAAAGAACGCTGAGAATTATTCCATCGAAGACGATTCGCCTGAACAAGAGGAGTGGCTCAAGCCTCATCCTACTGAACCAGCCATGGAACTTGACAATGGCTTGCGTGTTCCTGGAGACATCAGTCGCTTTCTCTTCCCTTATCAGAAGACCGGTGTCCAATGGCTTTGGGAGTTGCACCAACAATCCGTTGGCGGTATCATCGGCGATGAGATGGGACTAGGGAAAACAATCCAAGCAATCGCATATCTTGCATCATTGCATCACAGCCAGAAACTCACCAAGCCGGCCATCATAGTTTGCCCTGCAACTCTCATGAAGCAATGGGTGAATGAGTTCCATCGCTGGTGGCCAGCCTTCCGGGTCTCAATCCTACATTCGTCCGGCAGCGGAATGATAAACCTTGGCAAAGAAAGTAGTCGAGAGAATGCGCTCACATCAGAAATGATGGGCAGCTATGGCTCTCGGCACCTATCTGCTGGCCAGAAGGCAGCGAAGAAAATCATCAAACGAGTCATCGAGGAAGGGCATATTCTCGTAACTACTTACTCTGGGCTTCAATCTTATGCAGACACTCTGGTTGATGTCGACTGGGACTGTGCTATCCTCGATGAGGGCCACAAAATTCGCAACCCAGACGCTGGTATCACTTTCAGTTGCAAGGAACTCCGTACTCCCCACCGCATCATCCTCTCTGGAACTCCCATGCAGAATAGTCTGGTCGACCTATGGTCCTTATTTGACTTCGTTTTCCCAATGCGTCTTGGCAATTTGGTCACATTCAAGAACCAATTTGAGAATCCCATCCGCCAGGGTGGGTATGCATCTGCATCCAATCTCCAAGTACAGACAGCTGCGAAATGCGCGGAAACTCTCAAAGATGCCATCAGTCCATACCTTCTCCAACGGTTCAAAGCCGATGTGACATCCGACTTGCCGCAGAAAAGCGAACAGGTCATTTTCTGCAAATTGACCCAACTCCAGCGAAGCATCTACAAAAGATTTTTAAACTCCGATGATATGGCCTCCATTGTCAGGGGTAAGAGGAACTCGTTATATGGAATTGATATTTTGCGCAAGATCTGCAACCATCCAGACTTGGGAGACCACACTCTGCGGTCTCACGACTCAGACTATGGTGATAGCTCAAGGTCCGGCAAGATGCAGGTGTTGAAAGAACTGCTTGAGGTCTGGAGAGATACCGGCCACAAAACCCTGCTCTTTTCACAGGGCCGTCTGACGCTGGACATCATTGAAAAATTCCTTGGGACGCTAGGTGGTTTCAATTACCGTCGGATGGATGGCACTACTCCAATCAAGGAGCGCCAGTCCATGGTTGACGAATTCAACAATGATCCCGACCTCCATGTCTTTTTGCTCACCACGCGTGTGGGTGGAATTGGAGTGAACTTGACAGGTGCTGACCGTGTCATTATCTACGATCCCGATTGGAATCCGTCGACCGACTTGCAGGCGCGTGAGCGTGCTTGGAGACTGGGTCAAAAGCGGGATGTTACCATCTTCCGCCTGATGACCAAGGGTACCATTGAAGAGAAGATCTACCATCGACAGATCTTCAAGCAATTCTTGACCAACAAGATCACTCGCGATCCTCATCAACGCGAAGGTTTCCAGCTGAGCGATCTCTACGATCTGTTCACGCTTGAAGAAGATGACGACAAGGAACTAGAGACAACCAAGCTTTTCAAAAACGCCGAAGTCACTTACCAGGAAGAGTCCAAAGACTCCGGTGACAAGAAGGGTAAATCTGCCGTGAAACCCAAGGAAGAAGACATCAATGAACTCCAGGGTGTCGCAAAGGTGGAAGAATTCAAGAACACAGAAGAAGAAGACAAGAACGCCAAAACCTCCGAGGACCGCATCATGCATGGAATCTTCGCCCGTTCGGGCGTGCACTCCGCCCTCGAGCACGATCAAATTGTCAACGGCAAGCGAGTCATTCGCGCAGACCCCAAACTCATCGAGGCCGAAGCACGCCGTATCGCCAACGAAGCTGCGGAGGAACTCCGAAAAGCCGAACAAACGGCTCGCACCCTTCCAATCGGACTCCCCACTTGGACCGGACAGTTCGGTATGGGTGGCCGCCCTCAGAACGGAGGTAGTTCCGCCCGACCCAGGGGAGCAGGACCTTCATCCAGCTCCCTGTTGGAAAGACTGAATCCTGCTGCTGCGCCCGCAGATACCAGCTCTTCATCTTCATCGACGCGCATGCCCCGTGGCAAAGACTTTATGCCTCTGATCCGTGATTACCTCGCTTCTCGACGTGGGCCCACTGTCACCAAGATGATTGTGGATCACTTCACCCATTACTGTAACAATGCTCAGCGTGTGGCCGAGTTCCAGGAGATGCTGAAGAAGGTTGCCACCCTCACTCGTGGTCGTGATGGTCGGGGACTTTGGACTCTCAAACCTGAGTTTGCTAAAGATAGCAATGCTCGGGGAAGATGAATTTTGAGCATTACGGCCGCACCCTGATAGGGCAGGTGTTGTTCTTATTATGCTTTTTTTCTTGGTGCTAGGCTTTCTGTCAACGGTAAAAACTCCAGGGGTGGTTTTTTGTAATTAATTGTTAATCTGGGGATGTGTATGATAGTTTCATGACTGATGAGAAATGACAATGCCACCAATGCCAACAAATACTTCCAAGCGTAAATACAATGTTGTACAATGTATTCATATGTACACTGCGCCCCTATTGCTCAATTATAGATACCATGTGACTACATATGTTACATAAGTATATCGTAGGGCTCTCCTTCCCTGGCCGCTAGACACATGTTAGGCACATGCTTAAAACGCCCTGTGGGACTTATTTACTTGGCATGAAGACCATTTACACTTCACAATGTACGCCAAGTACAAATGAATCTAATGTTTCAACCACATCGACAATGTACGGTACAATCTACAATGCACGATACGTTATACGATGTGCCAGTACATACAACAAAGAAAGGGGCCAACTATATTGCATTTCAACAGTGGGCCATTCTATTTCCGAACAAATTGTCTGGCGATGATGTCAAATTCTCTAGAAGCGAGGTGAACCCCGAACTAAACAGGTAAAAGATTTTCGTGTACAAAAAAATGATACACTAAACTCAGGGGAAAGATCCACTGATCTTGGCGTTTGTTTGTTTTTCTTTACTTCTTTACTTCTTCAAGGTCTCTTTGGTGCTTTTTGCATTTTACCTCCAGGTTTCTTCTCAAACACATGAGGTCACCTGTGAAACAAGACTCCTCTTCTACTTTTGTGCAACGTAAGCTAGGGGGTTGCTTTATTGACATCTCTCTCTCTAATCATCCATATCGGGGTGGATGTGATCTGCATTTGATCATAGCTATGACTGGTTCGGATGTTACTAGTAAAATACCCACTTAGGATGTCCGGGATGTCGATTGTAATCACTTATTGAAGGATCCAGTGGGTTGTTCCTTTCATTTACCCCATACTTGGGCTCTAACACGGAGTCGTACTGAGATGTATCAGGATGTGCCTTGCATGCAAAAGAAAAACAAAGGTAGAAAATAAAAATTAAACCAAACAGCGAATGGCCGAAGGTGAAAAAACACCACAAAACGAGCCGAGTTACCAATTAACAGTCAATGATGAAGTAAAAGAATGAAAGTCCAATATTGTAGAGTTATACTACCACGTACATAGTACTCCATCAAGTAGCAAAGAATAAATGCCTCGATATCCACTGAAACTTCTATTTTGATCCAAGGAACGAAACAACTCCACCGTGGACCAACTGTTGATCTCCCCGACATCCAACGTATAAATGCGCCACTCCCTTAACATAAAACAAACTCGAAACCCCATTATTTCTACACATCTCCAAACTCTTTCACTTTTACACCCGTCATCCAAAATGAAGTTCTTCGCAACCATCGCCCTGCTAGCCACTGCCGTGGCCGCCGCCCCAGCTGAGAAGCTCTTCAATCTTAAGACCTCCGGCGCTTCCAACAGCACCCACAACGACCTGTACCTCTCCGTCGGCCGCGGTGTCGTTCCCGACCCCCTCAACAGCGAGGCCGTCTTCGCCGGTGCCGCCTCCAACCGCGCCGCCTCCTTCTACTTCGTCAACAGCACTATCTACTGGAACACCGGTTCCACCCAGGCTCCCTATGCCCTGGACCTGATCAACGTCGAGGGTAAGCTCAACCCCGCCTGGATTTAAATCCCACCTTGAATTTTGCTGACGGCTTTGTAGGCGTCCGCAAGGAACGCGCCCAGATTAGCGTCGACCCTACCACCGGCTCTAAGGGCTTCTCTATCACTCCCGAGGGTGTGAAGGGACCCAGCGAGACCTGGGACGGATGGCTGTGTAAGTTGGTTTCTATTTATTTTTGTCTTGGTTGTTTATCTCTGCGGAATCAGCCAGCTGACTTTATTTATACAGGGTGCCCCGTCAATGCCGAGGCCGGTCAATTCTACCCCAACCTGCACTTCCTCAGCAAGAGCGTGCAGGAGCCGGCTGTTCCTGCTGGATGTGATAAGATCAACCTCCAGGCTGTGCCCAGGACCTCTGCTTAAAATTGTGCTGGACTTTGGAAACTCGTGGCGAGTGTCGGTTTATAACACATACTTCTAGCACTTGTATTATTTATTGTTTTTTGAAATTTCTTGTACATTCGTTTCGGCACATTTCGGCGTATCAAGCAACCTAACTGATCATATATTGATAATTTCTTCTGTGCCTATTTCCCCAAGAACATCGTAGACTGCTATATACAAATGCCTCTAGCATATGAATCACCACTCTCGCTAAGTCCGTGTATGCCACAAAATAGAAAGATCCACCGATCTCCACGATTGGTTTCTGTGTGGTACCTTGAACCGGACTTTCACCCACACGGAACCGGGGTACATGAACCCTCGTTGGATCGCCACCCCCGCGTCTTGTAACCTCGATGGACCGAAGCCAGGCACCCACCCTGTTGGAATTGACAGCTAGGTAGCTGGTGCTGTTGGTGCAGCTTGTGGTTGGCCATGGATATCAATGGCTTTTGTTGTACCTTGGCTGATGGCAAATACAATTTTGGTTCCTGCAGTCACCAGAAGGAGGGCTAGGATAGACAACAGGATATTGGACATGTCATACATTCAATTCACTGTCTTACAATTCTGCCATTCCCAATTATTGTCATTACTTTCATGGCTGTTGCCAGTGTGGCTTTGGGTTGAACTATAGGAGGCTATATCTAGGTAAATTGATGCCCTTTTTTGGGCTGGATATAGCACTATAGGCTGATAGTTGATACATAGAGTGTTTGCATTATTTGGCTCGAGTTTCTTCATTTGTTTCACTCCCTGTGATATATTCTTACTCTTGGTGATTTGTTCTGATACTGAAGTATACATATCAAGTACCACATCTATGATGGGTGGTCTCACAGAGACCAGGTACTCAGGTATACCAACAACCTTGGAATCAAGATATTTTGTTTGTAATATTTCCTAAGAAGCGCAAAGGTCAACTATGAATTTTATATGTAGAAAAGGAGCATTTTTCTTCCTACCAATTTGTGACTAATGTTATAAGGTTACAATCTATGAGGAACCTCGGGAGTGGATACAATTTGTTGATCACTAAGATTCCCCATAGTTATATTGTAGTTGTTGTTTATTGTGTGTTTAGAGGTAAACAAGTAGTATTATAAGAGTCTACCTGGAACACAACTTTCTTTTCAGCTTTGCAATACATCATTTAAGTCTTACAGTCAATATATAAGACTTATCAAAGACTAGATCACTTGATAATTGCAGCCACACTATTAATAGGTGATGTCTCACATCTTGCCTGTTTTGGTTTAGCCCCGTAAGTCAAACCTCCCTCTCTCTTCTGTTTCTGTTTCTCTTGTCCCTCTGAGAAATTTTGTTCCTTTCTCTAATTATTTTTAGCGAACCGACACTCGTTTGATCTTCTGTTTGAAATTGTTATTGACAAAATCGCTAAGATCCCACATTCCCGTGATCTGCATTGTTTCAGGGTCCAGAGTCGTCAAGGGATTAATAACCATTTTCTGCACTCCACGTCCTTTTGATCGTCCTTCAACCGAATTGCTTGGCCCAAACACCAAATCCATACTTTATCTCAACACGGACTTGATTCGACAAGTCACATCGGATTGTACAAGGAGTGTGATCAGTCCAGCTCACTTTCAGCCCAGGGACCAATACCCCGGTCGCCTAATCCTCGACCCTCCTGATCATCTTAAATCTCTATCCCGCCATCAACATGCGTTTCATCTTCCTGAGTGTGCTTTGCACTGTCTTGTTGTTGGGGACAATATCCTCGGCTTGGCCGTGGCGTCCCTATGGTATTCTCGGTGGCTCCCTGGACAAGCGAGCAGGTAAGGCAATATCGCCCTGATTTACTCCAGCCCATGCTGACCCCATACCTCAGACACCACTGAAACCAGTGCCGCCGGGACCTCTGAACAGAAGACGGCTGCCTCCACTGCCTCCGAGACTGCGTCCAGCACCACAGGAGGCACCACAGGGACCACCACCGGAACCAACACCAAGACCGGCACAAGCACAGATACCGCGACCGGTTCAGAGACAGCCACTGGCAAGACCACGGGCACCAACACAAAGACGGGAACTAGCAAGACCACTGCCACTACCTCAATCTCCATCGACCCTGCTGCCGCTGCTGGCGGCGTGTCGATGATTACCCCCGCCTCCTCGTCTACCACCTACTACAAGATCGGACAGGATGTGACCTTCGTCTGGAACTATACATCGCTCTCGGTCACTCCTTCTGCAGTCAATGTCGTCGCGTCGTGTAGTTTGAACTCGCAGGTTTACACTCTGACCTCAAACATGAGTGTTGAGCAAACCGGATCCGTCGTTTGGGATACTGGAAAGTACAAGCAGACTGCGACCATTCCGCTGCTCACCGCTTCCTATACTCTGTTCATATACGATGCCAGCAAAGAGCTCGGTGACACTGCGAGCGCTGGTTACTTGAGCTCACAGATTGGCTACTCCTTTGGCATGTACTCGCCCCAGCCTTACACTTCACTCGGCTGTAAGTTTTCTCATCTCATCTGTATTATCAAGCATTTAACTAACCCCAGCAGCATTTGAATGTGTCACCTGCAACGGTGCCCTGTCTGCCACTACCCGACAAGCCCTCAAGTTCACTTGTGGTATGGCTTTGATTACCTTCGCCTCGTTCACTTGGTTCGCGGGTAGCGCTGGTGTCTTGGCCACTTGAGGTACTCGTTCACTACTTGCATTGACTTCTCATGAACATACTACTTTTTTTTATCGGTTTTGGGGCGTTGCATTGTTCGAGCGATTTGATTTATGATAATAGCAAGAAAATGGCGTTGCATGACAAGTTCACATAGGATGGATATTTATTGATATTTTGCATCTCACTTGTTACTTTTCTTTGCAATAGTTAAGCAGAGATGTTTCTTTTTCTTCAATTTTTGTGTTTTCGGTTATGTTTCTGCAACTAATACAACAACTGTCAATAAGTCTTTACCCACTCCTATAATTGCTAGCATAAATACTTGGTGACAGGGGTGTACATTTCGTGTTTGTCCAAACCTTCCTTAAGGCATCGCAGAAATAGTCCTTTAATCGAAAGATACGCAAACCAGCGCACTATGTGTGTAAATTACCATCAATTTCTGATGAAGCGTAGTTGGGCTCGAATGATATGATCATCACGGAAACTCAGATCAAACCTAGCATATATCGTCGATGACGTTTCATTCATATATTCCTAGCTGGCTTGGATCCTTGCATGGCGATATCTTATTAGTTTGTAGCAACAAAGGATTTAAGGCCGAGATTATCTCATGCGTGGAAGTTCTCGGGGTGTTTTATTACGTGAATAAAACAAAGACTGAGATAGTTAACCTCAGCTCCGATGCATTATTGGATCAACTGAGACAAGCTAACAAACCAGGTAATGCGATCTTTGTGGGGACTACATTTAAAAGTAGAACCCAGTCTCAAATAGGAAATGCTGCAGGGAAACCGTCAAAAGGAATGAGCTGTTTGCAACCAAGAAAATGTTCATTGACTATATCTGCGAAGAGCTCTAGAGGGTGTATAAAAAGAACTGGAAGCGCTATACCTCTCAAAATTTGACCCAACACATGCAATTGAACCATATGCACCCTCTCATCTATCTCTAAATATCCAAATTTTTAGGCAGAATCATGCCCCAATCGCAATTAGGCTGGATCTGGCCAAAAGACCCTCGCCCTGGAAACCCCTCGCACTGGCCACGACGCTGGCGGCTCTTCGACGTTCTTGCAAACAAAGGGCCGGACATCTATGTCGGAAAAATCAACCAGCCCAAAGGGGAAAACAAAAGAGCGTCTAAACCATCCGAACCAGGGCCCACACAAGGCGAGTGGTCACGATGGGACAGCAATTCATACAATCCAGACGACGAATACAGCCCGTTTCCGTGGGTGAAACGCCGCTCCGGTGAACGGTATGACTTTCGTACGAGGAAGTACCATATCCCGGACCATGGAACTTGGTGTGCGGTTGAATACTGTAATGGAAGGCGTGAGAAGAGAGGTAAATGGGTTGGGAAGAATGAGGTGCATTGTATACCGAGGCGGTATTGGGACCGAAATGGGGTTGAATATCCGGCAAACTTTTGGCATGATACTGTTTATGGGAGGCATAGGGATTGAGTGAGAACCACACAAACTTGGATGAAAAGTAGTGATATTGACGGAACAGTTTTGTGAATAGGTGGAAATCTTATATGGTTCATTCTGGATAGATCGCTTTGAATGCCCCAGTCATCATTATTATACGAAGAAAATCAAAATGTAATGCTTCTCCCCATTTATAGATTCCTACATGGTATCCAGCAAAAGCCCTGGCGTGGTCTCTTCCCAAGTATAGTATAGCCATTCAAGCACAACCAGAGTGCAATGCATCGAATGCATATATGCGTGGTTGTCCTTCAGCGAACTGTTGATTCGGCTGAGGACGGCGGAGAGTTGGAAGTTGAGCTCCATCATTGGTTAGCCGGGTGCACTTCACACATGGCGTTTGCTTGATATCTGCATAGGAAGAAACCATGTCCTAGACGCATGTCAGCATGTTTTTTTTCCGAGTCAATAGCTAGACAAACCAGCAAGAAAGTAAGATCCCATTTCCGAGGACGAGAACCCACGCAATCCAATATAGAAATTTCCATTTTCGTCAGTGCTCGACTCCCAGTCTGAATCGAAACCTCCCATTCAGAGACCGGGGTTCCAGGTCCAGGAATCCCTTTAAGCAAGAAGACGACGCCCACCCTGACGAGTGCCACGGCTAGAGAGTCTGCACCATTTTCTGCGTTGACCCGTACGCCTGGCACACCGCGCTCAGTGAACCGCTCCAGTACTTTTTGCCATTCTCCATCAGCTGATTGGGCTGTAGCTCGTTCAGCTTCCTCGTCTTCTCGCTGGCGCTGTTCAATTTTCGAGTTTTCTTCCTGAGATAATTCCTTCAAAAGAACATCGTAATCTCTCTCCCATTTTCCGGTGGGCTGCATCATCTGCCCATTAGATTCATTGATACGTGACTCGACATGGTCCCAGACAGATTTTAGTTCCGGGTCTCGCCACAAGGACTGGAAATGCTGAACATCTGCGACGCGCGCACGTGCCGTCTCATCCAAATTAGCTCGTAGGACCCGAGGCGTTTCCGCAACTGGGTTGTTCACAGTTGCTTTGTTTGGATTTGCAATTGGCACAAGTGGCTCCAATAGGCCCTGTGGCATGAATTGGCGCAGTTCATGGATCTAGACATCTCGTGAGCTTGGTTGGACAAAACAAGGCCTTGCTGGCCATGTGCTTACTTTTCGCTCAAGCTCTTGCAGCTTTGCTAATGAGGAGACAAGTTGGAATTCTGAGTCCAGGCGTGAGGCGTTGCCGTTGCTGGCTGCTGGCCCTTGGATGGAGTTTTGATTGGCAGCCATTGACGGGGCAGTGGATATGGTTGTTTAATAAATTGTTGGGGGTGGTGCTGATGCCTCTTAAATTCAGTCTCGTGATACTGTGGCGTACATGAACGTAAAAGCGCTCACTTTACTTTTAAAAGTGAGGGTCAAGTACGGTGGAAGACAATGAGTCGATCAGCGGTGGTTTTATGGCCGATGGGACTCCACAGCACTGGCTGCAATATAGTGTGAAATCAAAAGATCAGATCAAATAGCATCGGACAATTGTCCGATATTGATTTTAAGATTCAGTTGACTTAAAGATTGATATTTTTGTTGCTTCAATGTGAAGAAGATGAGAAAGGATGAAAGCGCAGACGGGAGCCACAACCAATCAGGGAACTTCCAGCCACAAGTGAATGCGCCACGATGGCTGGTGCATATTATTATATAATCGATTTCATAGCACTACAGAGCCCTTCATGGCTATAGAAATTTATGATTTTCATTTGTGTTTGTTTTCCTTGGCACAATGTGTCAAGGATGAAAGATTTTTGATTGTGAGTACATGTCTTGTATATGGCTTAGTATTAGCGCGACAGCAGCTGTCCCTTGGCCTACAATGTATCACTTTGAGTGAGTCTAAGTTGAAACAAGCTCTGATCAAACAACGTTGCTTTGAAGACGAACGACGATCGCCGTTAAGAAATAAACTCAGTTTAGATATTTCTAAGAAGCGTCCCTGATGCCAATATACTGGTCTTTGTTGGTCAATGAGGTGACAGGAGCCAAATGTTCCATGGTCACTCTTTTGGACGTAGCTCTTCAAGAACCTTTGATGGTCGAGCCGTCATGCAGGTGATCTCGGATTATTGAGTCTATAAATATAGCTTGGAGGAGTAGGAAAAAAAATCACAAACAGAGCCACAAGAGTTTATCAACATCAATCAGCAAAGCAACCTTCCATTCCTACCTTGACCTCATCATGTCTAACTTCAATCCTGACCTTAACCCCAACAACAATTCCGCCGACAGGGACTACGTCGAGGACCTCGATCAATCGGATCGCATTTTGAAAATACCTGCCAGGCACCAGGAAGCAGCGACCGGAGTAGGAGCACCGGTGACGAGGGCTCAGCACCGCACCGCTGCTTATGCAGCCGGCACTCTTACGGCCGAGATGATATTCAGCGCACCAATAATGACTGCTGCACAATGCAGCAACCTGTTCATTCGAACAGGCACTTATTGCCCGAAATCGATAGATCATTCATCATTCTGCCAGCGCTGCTTCCTCCGCTTGCAGGAGAACCCTGAGCACAGTTGCGTTTTGATACAGGGCCACAAAGCATGTCAGTGGTGTGCTCGTGTGCACCAACGTTGCATTCAAGTATGATCAACCATTTTATGCGGGTTTCGTTTGGTTTTTCCGGCCAGAGAAGCTAACCGCACATAGGTCCCTGAGGAGTACAACGACCTCGTGCGCACTGCACTTGGACTGAGTGGGGCTGCACAGGCTCAGGCAATTGCTGATGTCCGGCAGCGAATCCGGACAAGAACTCGTCATCTCAACCAGGAGGCTAGAGAGCGGGCGGCAGCAAATGGCCAGGCTGCCCCTGCAGAGCAAGCCCAAGAAGAGTAGCTTTTGTCTTCAGCTTTGACCATGACAGAAAGTTAGCGATAGACTAGCGTTGGACTTTGATGGATAGATAGATTAGATTTATAGAGGCTTGTAGATTTTGATTTCACGAGCACCGAGAATCGAGAGCATGCGTACTTGGTATGGAAGCGGTCGGTCCCTTCAGGATGCTGTCACATCTTGCTGTCTAGTGGCTTTTATTTTCTTTGGTTATGACCAAGGAGTCTTCAGTGGCATTGTTAGGAATGAAGAACGGAGGAAACAAGTCGGTTATCCTGATGACTCGGAAGAGGGTATCATTGTTAGTTGTTATAACCTGGGCTATCTTCTAAGCCCTAAGCCCTAAAGCCCTTTATTCCGAAGTCTTGTTCGCCGCTGTCGGCATTGTCGTAGCATACTGGTTCGACATGTCCTTCGTCGGCGGACCTATCGTCTGGCGACTACCTATTGCCATGCAAATCATTTTTGCCATCTTGGTTATCGTGTTGATATTTGGCCTACCCGAGTCCCCTCGATGGCTCGTGAATCACGGACAGGAACAAGAAGCCATGGAAGTTCTATGTGCTGTATATGATCGTGAGCCATATGACGATTTCATCGTCAATGAGCGTGGAGGGACCATGTCTGCTATTGAAATAAAAGATGCGGTGAGCAGATAGTCTTTCTGGAAGATCTTCCGGAATGACGAAGTGAAGATTGGCCAACGAGTGCTCCTCGCTTGGGGCATACAGCTCATGAACCAGGTTGGTGGAATCAACTTGGTCATATACTTCGTACCGCAACCTGCATCTTGAGGATATTGATTTGATCTTCTCTCGGGGCGGGGACCCTGTTGATCAAGCGAGGAAGATGGCAGCAGAAACTAAGGCGCATGGAAATATTCAGACCAAGCAAGAAGATGATGAAGTTGCTAGTACCTTTTGGGTCGCACGGACCGGGTACGTAGTATTGGTGTGGAGCGCGTGTGATTAGCGTGCCCCTGAAAAATCGTAGATAAGTGATTACTACTCTGTATAGGCCCAAGTAATGTTTGATTTCGTTATTCATGACCCCTATATTCGAAATATTTCTTCGGTCATCGACTCTAAAAAGCCACAATGACAGAAGGCCAAATACCAAAAGACTTCCTACGGGGCCCGCCCCCAAACGCAACCCTCCGCAAACTCAACTTCGAGAAAACAAACCCACCCATTCCTGCATTCAAAGGCCAATTTGCCGCGATAGTAGAAAATCTGATAACAGAAGCCGAATGCAAAGAATTTATCCGACTGGCAGAAGAATCAACGCGAACTGAGCTCCCGGACTCAACACTCTCTCCCCCAAAATGGGTACGCGCCATGGTCAACGTCGGCGATGGCAGAGAAGTCATGTCCACTGACCATCGAAAGAGTCAACGAATAATATTTGATTCATTTGACCTTGCAGGTCGAGTCATGGACAGACTGATGCCCTTCATGCGTGAGTGTGAAATCGATGTTATCAAGAATCAGCCGCGGGTTACGGGCCGTGATCCTGCAAGCCAGGGCGAAGTGCTTCGTCTCACTCGGCTGAATGAGCGTCTTCGGGTTCTACGATACGAGGGCGGTGATTATTTCCGTCCTCATTGTGATGGTTGCTACGTTACTCCTGACGGAAAAGAGTTGTCACTTTTTACTATTCATTTGTATCTGAACGGCGATGGGGAACAGGATATGGAGGAGCTAAAGCCGCATATTGAGCGGGCGGAGAAGAGGAATAGACTGTTTAAAAAGTTTGATTTAGCTCCGATTGACTCTGAAGAGGTTGGAGTAGGTAGCAAAGAGCATCCTTCAGCTTTGGAGTCAGCGGATAAGAGTGATACTCTCCTTGGTGGAGCGACTTCGTTTACGGATGGATTTATCTTGAAAAATTCTGTACGTATATTTCCCAAGGCGGGATCTGTACTTATCTTTCAGCAAAGAAATATGCTTCACGGTGGGGACGATGTGTTTCGGGGCGTGAAGTACACCGTGAGGACGGATGTTATGTATGCGAGTGTATAGTGCACAAAAGAAAAGATTGCTCTACATAACTATGCCTCGTTACAGCCTAGCTGAGCTCCCAACCCTTGCATGACCTCATATCAGCAAACCAATCCTGCACATATGCCAACCCCGAATGAGGCCCATAAATGTCCGTTTCCCACTGAGGCAACGGGGCATCGAGTCCAGTCTCTTTCAGACATGTTTCTCTCAAATGCTCTATGCTTCCACCACGGTCATAGATGGAGGACTCGCTCAGTCTGCTACGTTCCATTCGCATCTGGGTCCGCAACGCCTCGGTCTCGATCTCATTTACCGTGAAATCCTTGTTGACAACAGTACCATACGCAGTGCGAGCCCCCTCAGCCGTGACAAGCTTTCGGTGTACTTCCAGAGCAACTTTTTCCGCTGGACGAGTCAAAGGATCACCCAGTCCGCCACCACCCCAAGTCACCCACTCAAGAAGATCACCCGGATCAACACGAATGTGATCGCATTTTGAAGGTAAAATCTCGGTGGAAGGGCTGTTCTCGGACTTAGAGTACCGATACAGTATTTTGCGGGATCGCTGTCCCGGCTTTCCGCCTTTCAACCCCCACGGCTTGGTGAACCATCGGTCATCATGCAGACTGAACTCTCCACGCGCCAGAAACCGGTATAGCGTACGCTGAGCATTGCCACCGCGGTAAAACCCAGCGCCACCACTGTCAGCCACGCTTTCATTTGCTTCGATACGCAGAGGGTAATTGAGTTCTATGATTTCTGTAGGAATAGCCTTGATCGCAGGGAAGAGACAGTGGCAATCGGGGCCATCGCCGGCTTGTCGTGCAGGTACACCCCCGAAGCCAATTTGGTAGAGCTGATACCATTCACCATCTGGCTTAAATCCAGAATAGAAGAAATGGGGGGAGTCACTGAAACCAGCTGCGGCCTGGTAAGAGTCTTGCTTCTGGCCGATCAGAGCCTGAACAATGTCCAGGGTTCGGCCGAGGAAGTGAGTTCGGCATGAGATGGGCGCAGGGCGAACAGGCTTCAGAACTGATCCTTGAGGGATTTGCACGTCGATTAAGTCATGGAAACCGTCGTTGATAACCGTGCCCGGAGCAGCAGCTGCAATGAGGTAGTATCCGATGAACATCCTGAACATTGTCTCTGAGAGATAGAAGTTGATACTTCTCTCACTTTGTGGAGATGTACCACTCCAGTCGAACCGAAGCCGGTGGCCGTCCACCTTTTTCATGGTGCAGGTCAATGCCCAGGGTCCAACGCCATGTCCGTCGTCATCGACAAAGTCCGTGAATTTGCTTTCCAGGTCATCAAATTGACGCTCAATGATCTTTGCAAATCCAGTGCGATTCCGGTACAGCAGCTCAGAGCAAGCGGCCAAATATACCTCACTGCCGAAACGGGTGGCCAGTTCGCGAACTCTGGTGGCGGCCATAGAGCAGGATGCAACAATGGCAGTCAGATCAGAGCGATACCATGCCGGCTGGCGAGAGTTGCGACAAAGAAGGTCGACCAGATCTTTGTTCATAACGCCACGGGTATACAACTTGATGCACGGAATCTGCACGCCGTCATCAAAGACGGATGTCGCGTTGATGGACATGCTTCCAGGAACGATACCTCCGACATCTGTCAAGTGGCCAAATTGCGACGCGAATCCGATGATCCGACCATCGTGGAAGATTGGCAAAAAGGCAATGATGTCGTTGAGGTGGCTGATAGCACCCTGAACTTGGTAGGTGTCATTGGTAATGAACACATCACCCTCCTCGATAGTACCATTCCACACGTCAAGGAATTGAGTGATAAAACTGCCAAATTGACCGACCAGCATCTTGCCCTGGCAGTCTGTTATGACATTGAATTCATCCTGTTGCTCTCGGATGGCTGGGGACATACTACATCGCAGCATCATCTTATCCATCTCGCCGCGAATGGAGGCCAGTGTTGAGGATATTAGTGTAGGGATTAACGGGGTGCTCTTGACAAGCTCTTTGGCCGACTCGGCGGTGTGTGTGGTAACAGTGGCAGGTTTCTTGTCGAGAGGGTTGATCAAGATATTTCCAATGCGGTCAATCTCACCGTAATAGCCAGGGAGAATGAGTGTATTGCTGTCCATTTCGGAGATGATACACGGACCTGTCAATTGAATGCCCTGTTTGCTAATCTTTTGGCGATCCCATAGTGTTGCTGGTTTCTCTTCGCCTTGAAAGATAATATTTTGCTCGCCAATCTTTGCATCCGGGGGAGGACTGGTGGACTGTTCAACTTCAGGAATATCAATACCAGGTGAGTCATCTTCCAACACAACTCCCAGTCTCATCAATTCAAGCTCAAAGTCTGGCAAGCAGTAAGTGAACATCTGCTGGTGCTGTTGGTCAAACTTCTGTCGCAATAGAATATGCCACTTCTCAGTGCTGAGGGTCAGATCCTCTTGTGTAAGATCAATGGTGATCATCAAAGCTTGGCCTTTGTACCGGAGGTCTGCTTGATAGGCCGTTTTCCATGATACAGGCCATAGATCACCAGCAGTTCTTGATAGAGTATCGCGGCACTCTCGCTCTAGTGTTTGATACTGTTCCTGAGCCTCCAGAACAGTCGTTCCGGAGAGAATGCGAATGAAGGTGGCCGACTGCTCGTGTCTGAGCTTGGTAGTCACATCGCCCTGTGCACATAGGATTCCAGGGGAAGGTGGGATAATCACAGGCCAGGCCCCGAGCAGCTGACCCACGGCGTTGGCATGTAGAGGGCCGGCACCTCCGAAAGCGACTAGTGCAAATTCACGAGGATCATAACCCTGCTCGACGGATACAAGACGCAAGGCACCATACATTGTCTCGTTGATGATTGTGATAATATCCTCGGCTGTTTGGGTGACAGGAAGCTTCATCTGGTTCGCAATGTCCTCGACAGCAGCCATGGCAGCTTGAACATCCAATGCGAACTCACCACCCAGCAACGTTTTGGGTAGATATCCCAAGACCAAATTTGCATCCGTCACGGTGGCCTGCTTTCCGCCTTTTCCATATGATGCTGGCCCGGGAGCTGCACCAGCGCTCTCAGGGCCTACCCGCAAGGTTTCCGTGAGCTCCATGTATGTTGTGATTGAACCTCCACCCGCGCCCACAGTCTTGATGTCAACTGCAGGTGCCCGAACAGAAAGACTCTCTACAACAGTCTCCCGTCGGAGCTGAGGCTGCCCATTGTAAATTAAAGCGCAGTCCGTAGAGGTTCCTCCCATGTCCAATGTAATCAGATTCTTGTACGGCGTACTCCGAGCCACAACATCTGCCACTCCCTTAACGCCCCCAGCGGGGCCCGACATGAGGATGTTCACTGGTAGCTCAGAAGCTAGAGCCAGACTAGTCAGACCACCATCGCTTTTGAGAACCCGAATAGCCTCACTTTCCGTAGCAAGCGCCTTGGAGAGATTGTGCAGATAGTTTGCAACAACGGGCTTTACCAACGTGTTGGTACAGGTCGTGACGGTCCGCTCATACTCCCCGACTTCACGCAAGACATCTGCAGAACAATTGATGGCGATATCGGCCCCAAGCTCCTCTCGAACTATTTGCGCAACCACTCGCTCATGGGCCTCATTGCTATGTGAGTTCAACAATGAGATAGCGACTGCTTCTGGCTTCTGTCGTGCCAACTCCTTCAAACTTTGTCGCAGATCTTCGACATCAACTGCTGTTACTGTTTCGCCCTGTACAGACATGCGTTCTTTACACTGGACGACTCGCTCAAGTGGCACTATAGGCTCTGGTGGCGTCCAATGCAGCCACGCACCCAGTCCACCCGGGATCTGGGAGCGGCGCAATGCCAATATATCCTTATGGCCAGCAGTCACAATGAGTGCTGTGCGGGCACCCTTTCCTTCGAGGACTGCATTAGTTGCAGTTGTCGTACCATGATGAATAAACTGGAATTTTCCCGACCAGCTAAACTGCTCCTGGAGCACTTCACGAGCCTTGGCTATTCCCTGTTGAATACCGATGCTTTGATCTGGGATGGTTGTTGGAACTTTTGCTCGCACTGTTTTTCCATGTGGGGTGAACACGTAAACATCTGTGAATGTCCCGCCGACATCAACTCCTAGTTGATAGCCTTTCTCTGTGGGCTCTTGCATGGTGCAGTAGTTTATGTTTGGGCCTCAGTAGACTTAGGAGTGGGTGAAGAACCAAGACTCTGGGGAGAAATTTGGAAATGTTGAAGTTTTGAAAAATCGTTGTCTAAGATTGAGCACCCGAGTTTATTAATGTTATCGCATCTTGCACGGGCGAATCCGCTGTCAAAGAATGGGAATAAGTTGTCGTTCTTTACCTTTTTTGTCTCAGTGGGGCGCATATTGCCAATGATATCGATCATGCATGGTGGGTTGTACCTGCAACTAGCCAGCCTTGATGACACGATGGGAGGGGTTTGATCCCCTTTGAGATTCCCGACAATAATGACCATAAGTGCTCTAGTACATAATTATATATGCACACTGATTGGCTTCTAAAGTTGCTTGGTATGGAACATCTGCAATGAGATTCAGTTGATGACTGGCATTTCATACTTGGTTTTGTTGGTCGCCAACAACCTTGGAAGGCATGCTGGGCCTATTCTATGCTGGAACCACTTCCATCTGGAGCCATCTGATTAGGCTGGCCTATTGCTGGCCCATATTTGGCAACAGCAAATGATTTCTTGCAGTCTAAATAATGTCATCCGCAAATGAGGTAGAATGTTTTCTTTGCTCACCTCCTTGCTCACCTCGTTTTTGGCTTTGACAGAATTACAAGCCTATGTAGCAACGTCAAGCGAACAGAACATTGCCAAACATATTGTAAAGAAGATGTGCGATAGCTCATGCTCACAGGTGGATCTGTCGATATGAATGAATACCTTCATACCGTCCGAGTATGTAGTCGTAGACGTGAAGTTATACTGGGAACTTTCCACGCGGGCCGCGTCTACCCGTAGTCTTGGCATTGATCCAAAAAAGCCACAATCGCGTCAACTCCACGATAAATGCGACTTTACAAAACAAACCCAAAATTGCCTCAAGTAAATCGCCTATCCTCCATTCAGTCCAGGCAAAGAACGACATCCACGAAAATGACAATCACCAAGAATTTCATTCTCCCAGGCTCGGTGCAAGAGCTTCCCGTTGGCCCAAACTCAAAATTCTTTATTGCCTTCGTCTCCTCATCAGATCCCATCACCAAGCAGGCCTGGTGCCCAGACGTACGCGCCGCCCTGCCACATATCAACGAAGCTTTTGACACCGAGGATGCCCCAGCTCTAGCTATTGTTGAGGTGGGCCAGAAGCCTGAGTGAGTTCTACCGTAGATGTTTTCCCCCTTCCCTAGAGCAATGAGGGATGGATACACACAACTTGTGCATGATGTGTTGTAACTTTAGCTGACATTCTACCTTCTAGGTGGAATAACCCACAAAATGCCTATAGGACAACTTGGAGCACCAAGAACATTCCGGCCCTGGTCCGCTACGAGTATGTCAATGGAGAGGTAACTGAAACGAAGAGGCTAGTGGAGGGTGAAATTCTGAATAAGGAAAAACTTCAAGACTTCATGATTTGAGAATTTTTGATGTTGTGCTCTTCTGTGGGACTCAATTTTCTCTTGCTTTGCGCAATTATCTAGGATGTTGGACCAACAGGCGAAATTTCGAGCTCCAAGCAAGAATGATCGAGGGAAATGGTGAGATTACATTAGCCTTTAGCCAACACAAACAATTTTATGCTTAACATGCATCAAGTAGACCGGCTGGGTATCATCCACCCCAAAGTCACTAAACATAAAGATGGATCCTTGAAATCGTAGCGAGAACGGCTATGAATGTTACTGGGGCGCCAGAAAAACAAAACCACCACATGTTTTATCCTCAATATTCTGTTCATTAACAATGAAAGTTATGATTACAAACATTTATACAACAAGTGAAATTGCAAAGTGATATCTATATGGCAAAACAACAAGAAGACAGGAAAGTAGCAAGTGGGGAGAATAGCACAACATAATGGTAGTGCTCCTATGTGATAATAGGAGTTTGGCACCTTCACCGGCACCATTCAACATAGCATAGAGTAATGCTATTTGTCCTTCAATATTTTCGTCGTCAATTATGGCCTCACTGAATATGAGAAGCTCCATGTTTGATGGGTTGGTTCAATGAAGAGGCTATATGCAGTGGTGTCTGGTTTAAGAGATCATGCGTCCTCGATAAGAAAGAATTGTTAAGATAAGGGTTGCCCTAATCCCGGGCAACAACAAGAGAAGGGGGGAAGGGCCTGTTAATAGCGCGCTGGGCATTGAGTTGAGGTGGTGAACACCGGCGAATGCTCACTATTTTAAGTTTATTTTGTTTTCTGTGTTTTAGATTTTTTTTCCCTTCATAGAACAAGATTAATTGCAAAATGCAGTATGTCTAAGTGACATCCTCAGACTACACGAACTAACTAAATAGTCAAAGTCCCGGTAAGCGGAAGGTCCCTGCTATTGCGTCCCACATAGATCTGGTATGTTCCACGCTGAAGCAGCCATTGCTGTGCATCAGTATCCCATGTACTCAAATCCCGCCGAGTCAGATTGAAAGTCACCGTTGTCGATTTGCCAGGCTTGATCAAGACCTTCTCAAAGCCACGAAGTTGCCGTGCTGGGCCGTTAGGAATACCTACATAGAGCTGCGCGACTTCCTTTCCATCGACACTTCCAGTGTTCTTCACGGTCGCAGAGATCTTGACTAGCGTATCAAAGAGGCGAGGGTTTCCGCCAGGAAGGATTGATGTCTTGGCAGGATAATTGGCCGAAGACGCCGATGTCTTTGATACCTTCAGATTGGAGTAGCCAAATGTGGTGTATGAAAGACCATAACCAAAGGCGTACTGGGGCTCAATTCCATTCTTATCAAAGGCACGGTAGTCGATATATACTCCTTCAGAAAAGTTGGCCTGAGGGAAATACTGATACTCCCCTTCGGGCTCGGCTGGTTGAAGCAGGGTGCCATAGTCGGATTCTTTCTTTGCGACGGTATATGGTAGCTTGCCTGAAGGGTTGGCATCTCCATAGAGGATGTCTACCAATGCGCGACCAGTGTCCTGGCCTGGGAGATGGGCAAAGATGATACCGGTCACATTCGCATGGTCTACCCAAGACTCGACGGTCCGGATTCCAGCACTGTGAACCACAACGATGGTGTTTGCACAGTTATCTGCGACGTTTGTCACAATAGCGTCACTGTGGGTATCGGAGAGGGCTTCGCGGTCGACGCCTTCGGTGGCGTACGCATTGATAAAAACCAGACATACGTCTGACACATAGTTGACAGTAGGCTTCTCTGAAGTAAAGTCCCAAAGAACAGAAGAGCCATCTGCATAGGCTCGACGCTGAATGGCCTCTATTGGGGAATCAATGTAGGCGGGCGAGTTGGAGCCAGATCCTCCGCCAGTATACAGAGTTCCATTCTGATATAGGATTGATCGCTCTGCAGTAGAAAAGCTTAAGGAGCCTGCAAGTGTGTAAGACATCGGACTATAGGCGTCATACCCGAAAACTGATATGAGCTTCGGGGATTTGAGAGGAAGTGCGTTGTTTTGATTCTTTGCCAGAACGTGCCCCTCAATGGCCGACTGCAAAAGAACTGATTGTGCTGCCTTGGAGGTAGCAACTACAGCCTGGTGGTCTGCACTTATGCTGGATGGCATGCCGACACCGGGGTGTTTGAACACAGAATCTTGATCAAGATAATACCAGGTGGCCATCAGTCTGTTGATTGCATTCAGTCCTCGCTGGTCAAGTTTCCGAATGTCGTTAATACTGACCTTGTAATCATATCGTCCAAGCGAGATGCCTCCATGGTTCCATTTGAAATTGCAGTGGTCAGATTGCTGTTCCAAACGCTTGAACTCGGCATGACCACGTCTAAACCTGCATTGGCGGAAGCGATTCCACCATGCTGAGCGTACCAGTCAGTGACCACATAACCTGTGATATATATCGGTGAGAATCTTTGTCTTGATGAAGAGTTTGGGCTGGATCTGCTCACCTTGGAAACCGAGTTCTGTTTTCAACAAACCGTTGAGGGTTTTGCTATTCTGGCATCCATATGAATTGTTCAATCGGTTGTAAGAACACATGACACACGCGGCGCCAGCGAGGACTGCATCCTGAAAGGGCCACAGATAGAGTTCGTGGATTGTCTTGTCGTCGATGTTGGAAGAGACGGACTCAACATAGTTTCCGTTAGAATCGGTGAGTGGATTGCGGTCAGTCTCTTGTTCGTTTCCGATGAAATGCTAACGAAAGTTCAGACATTGCAGTTGCTCGATACCTGATTTACAATACCTTGAGAGATGTAGCAACATTCTGTGACTGGAGACCCTTGACAGATTCAGAGACCAGGATGCCGCTCAGGTAAGGATCGGCAGCAAACCCTTCCCAGTTACGACCACCAAGTGCAACACGGCCGAGCGGGCCAACGACAGGCCCTAAAATCATATTCACGCCCTTGGTGCGGAATTCCTTGCCCATGTATGTACCTCGATCATTGGCAAGATCACGGTTCCAACTAAAGAAACAGATTAGTAGCGGTTAGTCGAGTTTGCATATTGGAACACCATCTGGATGACGAACCTTGCTCCCACGTGGACTCCAGACGACCAGCCGTTGACGAAGTCGGTCCCTCTCTGTAGGTAGTTTTGATTAATAAAATAGTTTCTAGTTATCAAAAGGTACTAACCAAGCCATTTCCCGCGTCGCTCACACAAATACCCGGGAATCCTAAACGAGGGATACTTTGGATATTTCCCGAGCATCCATTGTCAGAGGAGACACCTGCAGTAAGATTGACTTTCTCGTCATCAGATAGCTTGGCAACAAAAGCTTTAGCTTTCTGATATGCGGAAGTCCAATCTCCAGCGCCAGTTCCCTCCGCTACTCGGTGTGTTAGCAAATTCTCGCAAGGATATGTGGCCAAGAAACGAGAAAGCATAGAAGATTTGACGTACGAGAAGGATAGACTGCGGGAGACTCCCCATAAAAGGACGCATCACTAGTAATGACATCTTTTGCGACAGCCAGGTGCCCGGCTGTAATTCCTAGTAGTAGGCCTACCTTCCCCCAAGAAGTGAGCATTTTGAGTAGAGAAATGATAGTACAGTATCTTTTATTCCCAGATGCTTCCTAAGTAGCAGATTCAAGGTTCCCTTTATACCATCCAGCCCCTCATCTTCGGATTTAGTACTTGGAAGTCTTAAGTGCTACATTCTTAGACTGACCGGGTATACATCGGCAAGACAGAACTCAATATCTCCTGTTAGTGCCGCAAAATCCGGAAGGCGTTTCCTTTCCGGTTAGTGTTAGAGTAAAATGTGATCCAGTCCCATCACCAAGAAGGTATGAGCGAGAAATATCTCGCTGCTAACAGGCACCGTTACACCGAGGTGGCTTACTTCTAAGAGATGGAGAAGCAGAATGAGGTAACTTCTTGATCATTGAAGGCCCAAGCCATCTCATGTGCCGAATTTACCTTACACTAGCTGATTGCGGAGGTGGGGAAATTCCCCGCGGGGGATCTTGTTGTCGGATCTTCTGGACACCACCTTGGTCCGAAGGGGAACTTTGAATTTCCCTGGCCCGCAAGACTAGTATATTAGAGCCTATCTTTGCCATTTCAAAGGTAAACAAGTATTATTTGTAGTTGTTATAGGACTAGTACACAACAGAGATGATCCATGGATATGATAAGTGGTCAACTGCTAACATAAGGGAAAGTAGGGCTCGGTAGACTTCGCCCGATACGTGGAATGCGTCAAGTGGGGTGATAGTACGTAGTTCTGCTTGAACTTCCCCACTTACTTGTTCCTGGCACTTATAATGTTGTTAGGGGACACCGGTTCTTTTGAACAGCGAGCCATGGACACTGGCTATTCGAAAAAAGTAAGGTACCATGTAAATGTTGCCAGAATTGATTCATCATTCCTTTTATATCGATTGCCTATGATCTTTGAGTTTTGAACAAGAATACGCGTCCCACCTTTAAAGGCAATAAGCCTATAAATCCATGCCGCCACAGACATCCCCCACATTTTAGCCTGGTCATAGACCCAACTACGCCGCAGTCCCGAGGAGGGCCTCACACCCGATCAGCTTTATTGTCGAATAAGAAATTTCAACCTCGGCAGATTTTTCAAGGTCTATCCTTTCATGTACATAGTTTTCCAACTGTGATTTTACCCTATCACTCTTACAAGAGGAGTCTAGTAGATAGAATAGAGGCTTATCCCGTCATAAAATACTTAAAACGCAGCATGCATGTTCCGCTGTTTAGTGAAGCTTATGAAAAGCAGGCTAATACTTTTTCCATATCGTCGTGTGGCGATCGGCGTCTGGGGTGATCTCCCTCCGATGTGACTTTATTTTTTCTATAAAAAAAAAGCGAAGAACTGACGGGTAGAAAAAGAGTCGGCCTGAAAAGGACTCACAATGTAAGACTTTACTAGTTCGATTGTTGCCTCGCGTACCACGCCCATTCATGTGCTAGTCTTGTATTGATAAATGTCTCAAAGTTTTAGTACGCTTCGGTAATTATGATCGACACCTAGCTTTGTGTTGCGGAAATATCGGTACTAGGCGTAAGTCGCATGCCGACTTCAAGTAACCTCTCATGTCTTAGTTCGATTCAAGCAAGGACTGTTAGCCATCTGCGATGGAAATCGCAGTTTTGGCTGCTTTGACTCAATTCCATTCTTGGTGTAAATCTGGTACTTTTATTATGCGCACAAGTAACGCCAGTCCGTGCATGAAGAAAAGCAATATAGAATATCTTGAAACAATCTTCTATATCAACCCCCAAATAGTCCTATATCTTGTGAATATCATTCCCATGGTTGGTCCTGCCTATACTGAACTATCGTTCTACCGCCTTGAAATTTCGAGTGCAAGGCCGTTTCATATATATATAAAACCCAATCTCATCTTTTAGATGATTATCCGACATAGCAGAATCAACGAGTCAGAAGAGAAGGTTCTACACCGTCGTGGAAAATGCCACGAATGATACGGAGCACATGGCACTAGATTTTTTAGGTAGGGTTAGCGTGGTGACCACTGACACGATACTTAGATAGTTACGTATATGGACATGTCATGTTGAGAGCGAAAGGTGCCCTGAGCACCTCAGGGAAACACTTTCATTTTGTACATTGCACTATCCTCGAATGAATCCCAATCTATGTGGGTCAGATGAGGAAAGCTAAGCTAGCTAGTTGTTTTGGTGGCGGTCGGAGGTGGACGGAGATTAAGTGGCTGTATTATTGTCGACTCAATCGTTAGTTACTTGAATCAAAACATGACTCAGTCTTAAGATTTGCTTACAGAAAATAGGAGTAAATAACATGGGGTTGGTGCACAATGTGTATCTTGTGCATGCTTAAATTCGATCGATGGATCGAACAAATGTCACCTGGGCCGATTATACGTTTTCTCCCCGGTCCCTTAATTTGTGAACACAATAACCAACTTTGCCGTGAATATGATTCGACGAGAGTACGGTTAAATCTGCTAAATTCTTCAAGAACTTGTTCTCGAAGACCCGGGATCCGATAATTCGGTACCAGTCAAAATCAAACCCACCCTTGGCGTAGGGTTAGACTGGAGGCTATACCCACTTTTCCTTCTTCCACTGCCGACTTTCCAGGTTTCAGGTTGGAATAACGAATCGGCAACATTGGCAGCTCCACCGGCGATAACTATAGGGTTGAGCTAAACCAACATAGATATACAATAGGCGATCAATGGAGATTTAGATACTGTGTAATCCGCAAATGCTCGTGTCGGTATCCCCACCATGGTTGGAGTATCCGCCAGCACTAGTCAAGATCTTTTTTTCCCATTATACCCTTCCTGCTATCACTTCTTCACTTCAAAACCTCAGAACCCCGTGGCAACAAGAATCGAGTTCTGAAGGTATTGACAGACTACCGGCAGCACCTTAAGGTCAACCCAAGATCCGGCTCATTCCTGACACCATGGTCCTCTACGCCGATGCTGCCCCGGGTCTGGCGGGCAGCACCATCATGTTGACGATATTGGCATTTATAACCTACGGCTTGCGGGTTTACTGCAGAGTGTCTCGCAGATCATGGGGTACTGAAGACTGGATCATGACTGTAGCATTGGTTAGTGCCACAAGAAGAAATTTTCCGAGACTCGACTGACAAGTAAACGAAAGATACCATTTGCCGTGCTTGTGGCGGGGTGCGCTGGTGGCGCATTTAATGGAATTGGTGCGCGTAACTCGACACTCGCAAAGGCCGGTAATGAAAAGTACATGGCAGACGGGAAGAAGGTAAGCACTACTTCGATCATGTTGACCAACATAGCACTGATCAATCTACCAGTTCTTTCTTATCTTCGAAGTCGGATACTGTTCTGCTATCATTCCCATTAAACTCAGCATCAGTTGGATGTTGATTCGAGTGGCACAAGGGCGCAAGCTATACGTCTACATACAATATGCCGTTATTGCTACATTCGTTTCTATGAACATTATCGCTTTGATCTTCATTCTGACCAATTGCATACCCGTGGAGTAAGTCTTTCCTCGCGAACAATTCTCTACAAAAGACCAGATGCTGACCCCATTGTAGAGCTGCTTGGAGCGATGAAGCTCTTAGCAATGGAGGTCATTGCAAGGCAAGCTATGTACTTGCTGATGTTTACTACGCGTGTACCGCTGTCAATATCGTTACAGACTGGATAACTGCTTTCCTGTATGGACCTCAACCCTATCGATGTTGCGCCAAAAAAACTAAACACTGACCTCTTTGATAGACCAGTTCCTCTACTTTGGAACGTGCAGATCAATCGCAATACCAAGATCTCAATCGTTGGCTTGATGGGTCTCGGTATCTTGTGTGTAGTTCCAAATTCCAAAGGCGTTGCCTTTTATGGTGCTGACCTTTCATTCTTATAGTGCATCGCTGTCGGCATGCGTACGACTCAAGTATACTGTCGCATTGACTAACCAGACCGACTTCCTCTACAGCGTTGCGGATGTCGTCATCTGGGGATTCGCAGAAAACAGCATCGGCATGATCGTGGGGAATGTGGCAACTCTCCGCCCGCTATTCCGAATTCTCCGTGATGGCAAAACCTCAGACTACAAGAATTACAACCAATCACCTGGATTCAATAGTTCCCTTCGCACTGGCGGACCCATGCACTCACGAAATTACGAGCTCGGCGAGAACGTCAAGGGCCTCAACCACATGACGATGACCTCAGAAATAGATCACAACCCACGGGGTAGCCTGAGCGATGGGGACAGCCAGAAGGAAATTCTCGACAATGGTCAACGGCCCGGCCAAGCCGACATCGTCGTCAGTCGCCAAGTTGTCGTGGCATATGACTGATCTTGAATCCACAGACATGATGAGTTGTTCTCGGCCTTGATACAATCATTTAATTACACTGAATCATATTTTAATAATCGCTTATAGCAAAGGGCATCGGGCAGGTATATGTCTGGGCTTTCGCTCTCGTTGAGAGGGAGGTGGACCGGAGTCCAATATCTATCAACGATGCGGTCGAACAGGCTGTTATATTACTCCATCATTCCAGGCCTAGTTGCAACCTTCCCAATACTATCCACCCAGCCATCTTTCTGATCAGAGAAGATTTCCTGTACTAATTCCCCGCACGCGGCCCGATGCTCGTCATCCAACGTTCCGGATTTAATAACGATATCATCGGGCTGGTCTTCGGCCTGCGACGTAAAGGGTGTCCCACAATCACCGCAAAACTGGCGCCGTGTCTTGAAACCTCTGTTGCTGTTGGTAAGGTATAGCTTTGGTGTGCCGGTAGTCCAAATCAGGTTGGCTTTGGGGACGAAGATGTTGGCGGAGAATCCGGAGCCCGTATAGCGCTTACAGTCCCTACAGTGACAGAGAATGACCTGTATGATGAGAAAAATAATAAGCTTCTATCCCAACTACCATCATTGGCTTTTGTAATTGGGGTATAGGTACCTTGGGGAACGGCTTGTCAGCGGGGAGATCGACGCGGTAGGTGATTTTACGACACACACACGCGCCAGTCAGGGTATTTTGTGCCATGTTCAGTCGTTTTGGCTATTCTTCGAGTTTCTTATATCAATAAGTGGTTGAAGTGCTGGAAACCTTTAGTGAAGGTGAGACTTTTAAAGGACACAATGCTGGCCCCGTAATTGTAAGCCGGAGGCCCGCGCTATCTCCGGAGGAGCTATTTCCGGTGTTGTCTGGGTGGCTGTACAAGGCGCGAAATGAGGCTCAAACTGCACGGGCTCAAACCCCCTCTTTTTTTCTCTCTTTTGCCTTGCCTTCCTACTATGTAAATAAAGTGCACAGTCTGACCTCTCCAAGCTTGTCTTCAGATGGTACAAGTCTATATATAACTCAACGCTCAACCGATTGAAACAATATATTCCCTACACCAAAGGACATGTTTATAACTTATCAATTACAAATACGAATATGCTCAACGTCGAGAAACAAGTTGTCATTTCATCCACTGTGGGAATCATTGAACCCTAGATGCATATAAGAAGTGACTTCATAGACACCCTTTTTTCCAGCATCTCAAGCGGCTTGGCTGTTATCCACCTGAAGTTCCTTTACTTCAACGCCATGGAATTTCCGAAATACTACTCGTGCCATTGGCCGAAATGAGCCTGTTTGTCTAAGGTCAAACGTCATCCTACTTTGAAATGAAACCGTATCTGTAATATTATAATATAGCTGACTATGAAGTGATCAGCTCTTTCATTGTTCTAGCCCCTCTATTGATTTCGCGTAAGAGACCATTATTGTGAAAATATGTGGTTGGTTTCAATTAATGGTACTTCGAAGGGACCTTCCTTCCTATATGGCATACATGCCAATGTAGTACATAGTACCTGTTGAGCTCATCTCCTCAGTATGGCATCGGTTCTGCTACGCTCGGCCCGATCCAAAGCAAGTCAGTCCGCCGGAATTGCAAACGCCAGTCGTTAGGAAGGAAAGTTAATGATGTGCACACATGTGCAAATTGATCCAAAGAGACAAATCACATATTAATAATTGTCACACCCAGTATAGTACAGTCGCACCGAATAAAATGCAAGTCGCGCCAAATATAGTACAGGAACGTCGAGTCATAACCGACAAAAGGCGAGCAAAACAGAAGCTCCAATATAATATAGTGTACAAGGCTGTGTGGTGGGTTGGCTTAGCTGCCAGTCACCCGCAGCACAAATTCATAGACGCCAAGGGTGATGACAGCCGATGGCAAAGATCGGATCATATGAGGGGCTAGGCCTCCGTACAAGCCTGCCATACCTTCTTCTTTAGCGATGGTACGGAAACATTGTACCAGGCCCGTGTATTTGGCCCGGCCGTTCTCCATAGGCGCCTGGCGCAATCTTGTTCGCATAACCTGGTCGGTGATGTTAGCTTAATGTAAAGCTCAACGGTTAGGCTAATATAGTGTACCTCATGAGGATATGTTATCAAGCCCGCGATTAGCTTCGCGGAACTCGCGGCACCACTAGTACTAACCCAGTGGGAGAATTCCTCCCACATAGGAGTCCCGGATCCCTCAATGGGTTTTAATGTCTCGCGGAGGCTGGTTTTCAGCCGCTCATAGAGGACCAAGTGCAAAGCCGTTTCGATTGAGCCAAGGTAGCTAGCACTCATTCCTCTGTAGAAACCACGTACTCCCTCTTTCCGTAGGGTTTGTCTAATGCAATCAATACTATTGCGGTATTGACGACTCGAAGCTCCGCTAGCATTTGTTCGTGATTTATCAAGTTGCAATCTGGTCTTAACCAGCCAGATTGGGTTTGTTGCAGTGGATGTTGCGAGTCCAGCGCACATCGCAGCCTGGGCATGAACGAGGGGAGAATCTTCGGTGCGTCCCAAGAGTTTGGCTCCGATATGTTTGCAATTTCCGTAGACGTAGAACTTGATCGCAGTCGCAGGGACTACACCCGCTACACTCGGTCCAAGACCTCGAAAAAAAGCTCGCCAGCCCTCGGCACGGTATATTGAGTTGACGATTTGTATCGTTTTGTGATTGGATCCATGACGGGGCTGTGGTGTTTGAAGAGAGTGAGTGGACTGGCTCTGTGTTTGGTAAAAGTCGGATTGAAGGCGTGTTCTCAAGACATCAAGAGGTGAAGTCACGATTGCAGTAGCAAATCCACCGCTCCTAAACGAGATGGATATGTTAGAAGAATGCAGATCGTGACAGATGGAAAATACTTACGCGCCCGCAAGAAGGTGTACCCATGAGGCCACTTGCTTCTTTGGCTTGACATCAGCAGACCCGTTTGGAGTCGCTCTCTCTGTCTGCTGATACACGGACTGAACCTTTCCCTCCATGGTGATGTCAATTGAGAGCGAAGAGTTCAATGGTTAACAGTGGACACTTTTTTTTCCCCGATAAGATGATAACAAAGTCACGTGCAGTTATCATCACGTGCTCGTAAAAATCCACACGGGCAACCAATCACAATTCATTGCATGTGAGACGATCGCGCTCGCAGTGGGGGCCTGCCCGCGGGTGACTTGACGGAACCTGATTATCTACGCCATTCGAACGCTTCTAAGTACATGGTACCTTTGCAGTATTCTGCAACCCATAGAAATCATGCAAGTATGATCTTTATTGGACCGATTGGTAGGAAAAGATCGTTGGATTAATGCGACAAGTCTGGTCTTGGAGAGATTGATTATGGAAGAGCGAGTCAATATATCATTAACACCGTACAAAATATATTCAAAGTTCAGCCGGTACCAATTCGGCGATCGTCGCAGATTGAGAGCTCATGAGGACTGTCTGACAAAATCATCTCAGCGCATCTCCATTCCCCTACCACCTGATAACCTTTGTGGGGAAGAATTCATCAATGAGTTCCATATAGTAAGGCTGTTTGGGGGACTTCATATTAGCACATATTGCAGTCATATCTCAAAAGGGAAAGGTGTTCAGCTTACCTTAAGCTTCTCCGGATCGGGCTTTTCGTCGCTCTTGCTATACAAATCATATGGGTTGAATGCCCTCACGGCTTCGAGCATCTTGTGGTCATGCTCATTCATAAACTCATGGTATGCACCCTCTCTGTGCCACGGATAGAACGAGTGGTACCGAATCATTGCTAGGCCCTCTTCAGGAATGGTGGATTGGTCTTTGACAATATGATAAAGGTATTCATCGTGGCCCCAGCAAAGCATGACATTCTCCAATCCACAGCCAGGAGAATAGATTCCGTACTTTGTGCTGTAGATCTCGTTGTTATAATCCTCGTTATCCTTGAAGGACTTGTTGCCGAAGATGATTCTATCGTCAAAGGCACAGCCGACTGCGAAGGTGTCACCAACAACATCCCACTGTCCTTTGGCTCCGAAGAAAAACAAGAGCTTTCCAAGGTCATGAATAAGCCCGACCAATTGCATCCATCGAGGCTTTCCTTCATTGCGGATCGCTTCCGCTGACTGCAGCAGGTGGGTCATTTGGGACTCGTCAGTGTCGGGGTCACATTCGTCAATGAAAGTATTCAGCTTCTCCATTGCTTCCCAGACAGTCATATGAGCACGAGTCTGGGTTTTGAAGTCGTTGCGTGCTTTGAGGTTGTACGCTACTGTCTGAAGCGTGTGCTGCTGGGCGTAGAAGTTCTTCAATTGATCACAAGCATCCTCGAACTGACGGAATCCGGCCTTGTCTTTGGCCTTGTCAAATTCTGACTCGTCATATAGGCCTCTCTCTTTCTTGAGGTCCGTCTTGTGGATGTTAACGGCGTCAATGTTGTCGGACATGGTCTCGAGACCGATCGGGGCGGATTGCACTGCGACAGCCATGTTTGCGGGTCGGTGTTCTTGCAGAGGGCTATGGTTCGAATGCTTTGGTGGATTAAGTTACAGTAGAGATAACTGAGCTGTGATTTTCTGGTCCTCTCGTCGGAAGGATGTAACGAAATTTATACCTGAGTTCCTAAATGTTTTGATATCTCCTCGGGTCGCGGTTTCCGCAATATGAGATTTACCTGACATTGAATGAGGATCATTGATCGGTTTCTTGCTTCCGACTTCTTTCAGGGCATCATAACTATGACGTTGTGATATGACTTCAATGCTCGTATTAATGGGCAGCTCAATGTGGAAAGCGAATTCCGTTGTTGATTAGAATGCTCACCGGGGCATTTACAGGCCTTTAATTTTTGAATAACGAGGTAACATAGCGACCCTTGATACCTGGAGTCAAATGCAAAGGTGTGGTGGACTAATCAAAACAGCCTAGCTTTTTCATATGGTTTGAAGCCGTTTGCTCAGACGGACAACATTTGAAAGACTAGGAACTTGATCTATATGATTTGAATGCTTGTTTCAAAGAGGCAGTTTCTCGTTCCTTTCACTCGATTCATGTATTCTCTGCTCATTTCAGAATATTAGATTTGTTGGCGACGAATTGTTTCCAATCTAATCAACAAATGCAATTTTGGTCCCTACGGCTCTTTTCTTTGAGCTGAATTTCTGCTCGGAATTGAGCCAACATAGTTTGTAATTATGCTGCCAACAGTAGTGTCCTCTATTGTTCGCGGCTGTTCGACTCCGGTCCAATCGCCATTCAAAAAAAGTCTCTGACTGTGCTCTGATGAAATTATGCTACTTTGTCATTGCCCCAAGAATCGACGCATTCTGGTATCTTACAGCTTATGCACATTTATCGACTTTTATTCCATATCTAACCCCAGATAAGTTTAAGTTTCTCCAGATTTTCGGGATGAAATCCCGATTCTAGTTGGTTCTGTTCTTTCTGATCTTCATTTAAGCGGTACTTCACTAAGGACTCTTCTGCATTCACTAGAAGTTGGATTGCCAGACAAGTATAGACTTTAGGTGCCGAGCAAAAGAATCTCTCCATTATTGTGGTTTTACCAAGGGGCGGAAGTAGTGTTCAGTGCTCTAGCAGTGGCCATTTGAGGAAGTTTTGCATCAAACCCGCTGTGGCAATGGATCCTGGCTTGGCTGAATTTAGAAATATTGCTAGTTGTCCTCGGAGAACAGAATCCGAGTATTTATTGGCAGTCTGTAATAAACATCTTAGCCATCATGTCCCCAATCATTCCACCGAGCTTGTGTCAGGCACGATTGGCTCGGAATTATTGAATAAAATATGATACTGGCATTCTGAGAGACGCAAAAGGCCAGCTCATGTTCCTCGTCAAAATAAGCAATAGCAATTTTTGGATACACGCTCTTTGAGCATGTTCCAAAATCAACTTCACGAATTGCGGGATCATTGCTAACACTAAGGCCTCGCTCACGCAAACGTCTATCAATTCTGACAATGATGGCTTTCCAGGATTCCCAGTGAGCGAATTCTTCTTTTATGCATGATCTTATCCAATTTCTAATTCATATAATATCACAGGTGCTCATTTGATACCAGGGGGAGTTTTCTGGGGAAAATGTGGGGCTCAAAGCTAATTCAACTCGGGCTTCATTTTCCGTAGCATAGTAAAGCAGCCATGTATACATCGACAATTACCTAGAATGATTTTTAAGTAGGTTAGTATATTCGGGATTATATTCGATTGGATGGTTTGCTCAGTGACTATGACTGTGACGTTCTAAAGATTCTACCGTTTCTGTAGTCTACTAGCGCCCACCACAACCCTAGCAGACCAGAGCAGGACAGATCTGGTCCAGACGGATCCGAGAGCAGAAGTAGAGATTATATCGAATACTTATTAGCTACCAGGGCTAGCTAGGCGTTGAAGTGTAGTTCCCTTTTGTTTCTCTCAACTTCCCTCATTGCCCGATATAGAAACTAACCTTCTTGAGTCCCCGCACTTTCGACTATTTGTAATTTTATTTTACAAAATGGCCTCCCTTACGTTAATAAGACGACTTCTCTCTAAAGTTATCATTGCCAATCATTTTTTCCACCTCGGCCCGCCATAAAGCCGGGCTTATTAATATTATCGTCTTATCGGTCTCGTCTTTGTATCTTGATGCTTACCATAGGCAAAATCTTTGACATAAAAGAGACAAAAGCCCTCAGTCTGCGATACTATTCAACTCTCATAACCTCAAAATGTCATCCACAAATAACATCGCCTTCACCGCCCCAATCAACCCACTAGGGGTAACGCCCGTGCTTACCCCAGAACAGATCTGGAACGGACTTCTCCTCAAGATCCGATCCGCAGAGACCTTTGTCCCAGCAGCGATTCAGTCCACAAAGGTCGTCAATGAGTTCGTCGATCCATCAACTGGCAACTCGGTCGTCGTTCGCGAAGTCCTGTTTCGCGAAACGCAAAAGACTGTGCAGGAGACTGTCACAGCGTTCGAGACTACCCGGGTGGAATTTGTACAGCCGGATGGAAGCAAGATCAGCAATGTGGTCAGTGCTGGAGCCGGTGATGAGCTCTACATGACATATGTATTCGAGTGGAGACATCCTGACGTGTCAAAGGAGGAGTTGAGAGCGCTATATGAGAAGGAGAAGAAGATGAGCCAGATGGCGGTTGAAGGGACGATCAAGGTGTTGAGACAGTTGGTTCAAGAGAAGAAGCTTTGAAGCTGAATGTGGTGGAAGCGAGGGCTTCATACTATCATGAATTCCACCGTCGACCTTCGATCATCCTCTCAGTAAATTCGACGCCATATTCCCCACATCTCTGGTATAGATCATTCCCAGCATAATGATGAATCAAGGTTTTCCTCTTTATACACCTGGTCCCAGTCATACTATCCACAAGCAAAGCAGTCGTAGTCGAGTCAACTGGTTTCCTTCGAGCATGCAACGCCCAAATAAAAACTGACGGATCAACAGGCCCATCGTCAAGCTCACCAACATTCATATAACGGAAAAAGGTGACACGTTTCTTCACATGGATCAGCCGGATACTAAGCGCCCATTCCTGGCGTGTTAATAAAACCGCGTCAAGCTCCAACTCCATCAATCCACCACACTGCCTCAGCAAATACCAGCAACTCTTAATATCATCCCACCCATCCCACAGCGGTTCCCGCCACTGTGCAAACGAACTGGGGAAATCATTATTACGATAACCATGGATCGGCATGAATGATATTCTCCTCAACCACGACCGCACCTGGGGGCGGATTGTACCCAGAAACCCTATTAGGAGACAAGGATGCTCGAATGCAAACCAATTCTCCGTCCAGAAGATAGGGGCTGCTTCCTTCCAGAAGCGCTTGCTGACTAGGAGGAGTGCGAGGTTTTTGCGTCTCGCGCATAGACAGGGTAGAGACCTCATGCATGGCCTTCTTTCGATGCGCCCGTTCAGGTCCCAATAACAATTGTCGCAGAGGTACTCGTTGCTTTGGGGGGTTGTCCACTGGCTTCGAGCTGGGGATTTGAAGATTTCGATTTGTGCTTCCATGTTCCAATTGTTATGGTGGCAGTTTGCACATTGGGGCCCGTCTGCTCGGTATGAACGGTAGTCACTTGGGCCTGGTCTTGTGCATACCAGCTGTACTTTGCATCTTTCGTGGCGGAGGTTGAATTTGCACGGTTGGACGAGGAGTTGGCGGTAGATAATGTTTCTTATTTCTGGTGGGAGGGAGAAGAATCTAGGGTTGTCAGATTGGAAGTTTAGGGTGAGATATGTCGATACCTTTTGAGAAGAGGTGAGTCTTCAGTCTCTTTCGGCTCTAGGTGGTTAAATGCATTCTGTGCTTCTGGTGCTTTCGATCTTGCTCGTTGAACGCCTTTTGGAATGACGCGCAAGTCTCGGCGCTGGTAATACTGATGAACCTTTGAGCCGATCGCTGAGGTTTTATCTGCCATTTAATGCATGAAACTCAATGATTATGTAAATGAAAAGATTATTCAAGATGAAGCTCAAACTAATCAATTGAATTAATTTATCCAAAGCAGTCTGCTGCCTAACATAAGTGCTTACGCGGGGACTAGATGTGGAAAAAACATCGCCACAAGGTTGTGAAACACTTTTACACTTTCACTCTTACATGCCCTTTGAGTGTATATTATGACTCACACAAGTTTTTCATTCTTTTAAATCTACATAATTATATAGAGATACTAATTTTGTATCTAAGCCCGAGGAACCAGCACCTTGCCCTCCGACACACTAACGGCAGTGCCCCTAAGCACAACCTGTTCAATCTTCTTCTCCCCATCCAGCGTAACCTCGACACCGATATCACTCCGGCGTCCCATCTCAACACCCTGCACAAAATGATACTGATGCTGCTGACTAGCCACGCCCTCCGTAAGCGCCAAATAAGCCGCAAGCCCACTGGCCGAGCTACCAGTAGCAGGGTCCTCCAAATTCCCAAGCATCATCCTTGAGCGGAAAACCTTCTGCTTCAAAGCATCATCATAAACATCCCGCACAAAGAAATAAACACAGACCAACCCCGCCTTCCACCCCTCATCAAGATACTCAGTATCAGCAGCAGAGATCAGCTCACCACCAGTCGCAGGCGTAACAGCAGCCAGCGCCTCAAGCGAGGCCAACTCAATGAACAACTGACTCATACCATTGACAATAGAAAACAGCGGGAATGTCGCCTCTTTCGGTATGAACGGTGCCAGGGTCGGGTGCAAGCGCAATAGCTCTGAAGCGCTGAATCGCGCAGCATGAATGCGTGTGTTGTGCGCAATCTGCGCAGCCACATACTTCGTCGCGCTGTCTTGCACGGAAATGGGGATGTCACCCGATTTTGTTGCGAGGGTGGTGACCCCGCTGCCGTCGGCGGGGTCTGTCGAGTGGGACAGGAACCATGAGGCTGCGCCGATGGTTGGATGGCCTGCGAAGGGGATTTCACAGTCTGTGGTGAAAATGTCGATGGTTCGCTTGGAGTTCTCGCGGACTGGGTGCACGAAGATACTCTCCGACAGGTTGAATTCACGGGCGATGGTTTGCTTTTGGCTTTGGGTTAGAGCCTTGGACTCATCTTCTGGGAGGAAGACTACGGCCAGCGGGTTGCCTGAATATGGTGTTGATGTGAAGACATCGAGGGTGACGAAGTTGAGTTGAGTCATGGTTTTGTCGAGGTGTAGAGTTGTAGAGGTGTAAAGCGGATATCAACGGATGCTGAATTGGTTTTATACTCCGATCTCCACTTTTCGCTTTGACTCATGTCCTGCGCCCTTCTAACTACAATCTTTTCAGTGGGGCACGTTTTGCGAATATCGGTAGGTATACGTTGTATATTGTTCAGGGTAAAATAAAATCCTCCGGCATGCCTCTCTGTTCTCCCCATAGTTTGAATCCCTCAATCAATGCTTTACCAAATGCAGGATCATACTTCAATCCATCAGCAGCAGACGTCATCCGGCCAGTTCTCCACAAAGCCCAATCCTCAACCATCACCCCCTCGGCCCGCAAAATCCCAACCGCTACATCGACAATCCCGGGCCGGTCGGCACAGCTGTAAAATACCGTGGCACCACAAGTCCCACAGAAAGTACGTAGCACACCCTCACTGGATTTGTAGCTTTTAGAAGATCCGATGATTAAATCTCCTGGGTGTGGGGAGATGTGATCAGTCGGCACGAACATCCAAGCTATGACATTTGACCCATCAACCAGTCGACAATCATCGCAGATGTCGAGAACAGCGAGCCATTTGTTTGGATCCTGTGGCAAGATCCATCCTTTACTTCTGGGACTGGCGATGAAATCTGGTCTGGGGCGGGAAATGGAGAACGAGACTCCGCCGCAATGGCATTTGGCGAGTAACTTTTTCGACTCTGCCTCTGCGTCTTTCTGGCCGTGTTCGCTATTGTTATTATCGGTCAAGAGATCGGGATTAAAGACGTCAAGCTGGCGTCCATCGATGTGCGAAAGTATCGCCGAAAGACCACCGTCGGATGAAGACTTTGTAAAAGTATGCGAGCGCATTTCCCATAAATTGTGGTTCGGTTCAGTAAAAATAGCTGTAGAAATCACCCAGTTGCCATCATCATGTCCTAAGTCTCCCACATGACAACCACAAGTACTGCAGAAGTGCCTGGTGCCCATAGATTCAGCATGATTATACGATGTCAACATCGACATGTTAGATGGGACAATGAACTGCGGTGCGACTCCGTCTGGGAGTGGAGCGTGAAATATGCATGGTGTGCCATGGGTGCGGCGGCAGACGCTGCAGTGGCAAATGTGAACTTTGAGGGGGAATAATTCTGCGAGGATGGTGATGGTGAAGTTGATGCTTTTGCAGTGACAGGCTGCAGTAAGAGTTCTAAGTGACATGTTGGATTTGGGAAAGAGATGAAGTGGGAAAGAGTATGGCTTTGTAGTCTGGGGGAAGACGAGTGTGGGGAAGCTCGTATTATTTAAGTTCGCCAGTAACACCAGTAGTTGGCATACTTCAGGGCTGTGCGCTGCGTGTTATCCAATGAAGATAATGGGTCATAAAAATGGTAATGATTCTAGGTATCTGCTTTACAATGCCAATGCAACGCCTCGTCAAGTCATAAACATATCACCAAGATTCCCTTATTCGGAGTCACTTTCGATCACAAAACCGCCACGCATACGTCTGCGAGCTGAAGCAACGGGGACATCCTCGTCATCATCAGCCTCCGGGACTTCGGGCTTGCTCGGACGATCACGGCTGAACGCAAGATCGTCGTCGAAGGCAAGATCGTCCCCATCAGATACAATACGGTCTTCGTCATCTATGAGGTCGTTCTGAGAGTGAGATGATTGGGCATCGAGTTCTGCCATCAGGATATCACCGTCGGCATCACTCTCAGCGCTGGCAGAACCAGAGTCACGACGCTGTCGCTTCGACTTTTCGGCTGCACCGGTGTCACTAGTTCGCTTGCGTGCAGCAGCTTTCTTGCCTTTATCTTTGCTTGACTTCTCTGAATGCCCAGGCCCAGTAAGCAGAGCTTTTTTAACTTCGGCAGCTTGTTTCTTTCGACGCTCTTCTTCGAGGCGGAAAAATTCTCTGTCGGCTTCCTCGTCACTTTCGTCGTCACTTGCGTGGATGAATAGATCACTCTTGATCTTTGCCTGTCGAGAGAGGGCATTCGATAGACGGGCGTCACGCCGCGCTTCCAGGGTCTCATCATCTAGCGGTTCCCTTTCGGCGCTGGGCTTTGATTTCTTCTTGCGCTTCTTCTTTAGCTCATCTAGCGCACTAGCTTTTGACCGTAGGTTCGCGGGGAATAGAGGTCCTTCCGGAACGTCCTCGCCTTCGGAGTCCGATCCAAAGTTGACGTCGAGTGTGCCTTGGAGCATGTCACCCCGGCCAGATCCTCTATCCTTCTTTTGGAGGTGCTTGCGGGGATCATCGTCGCCCTCTCCTGAGAAGGGGGTTTGAAGGGCCTTCAGTATCTCAGAGATAGACTCCCGCAGGTCATCATGTTTCAAAGATGATGGGACAATCCAAGAAGCACCAAGCACATCTTCTACACCCAGGCGCTCGAAGCCAACGATATTCATGAGCAGACGAAGCCTTGCGTTCGAAAACATGGCACTCTGTATGAACTCGTCCTTACCCTTGACAGCTGTTGTAGAGTCAGTTTGGTTCCACGTTCTCAGATAGTATTGGGGGGCATACGGATCATTGGGTTGGGAACGCTGACGGTCTCAGGATTCTCAGCGCGACGAGCTTCTTCTTGTGCTTCCCATGACTCTCGCTCAGAGGCCGCGGAGCTTAAGACATCTTTAATCCATTTCACCAAATCCGCCCTTCCGTCGAGAACCAGTGCTCCAACCACAATGTGGAGTTTTGACTCTTTTGTAGTCGCCTCTGTCGATGTGATAACAAGCTCTGGTGGTGGTCGCTTGGAAGCCGATATCGTTTGCTTTTCGTGCCCATACTCAAGGTAATAAACCGTGGAGTTGATCTTGCTGAATAGCAGCTCAGTAATCAAGGCAGGACGCTGATCGAGCTTCTTAATCAGGCGTCGAATAATTTGCCTGGTCAATTCCTCCCATTCCTTGAAAACCGGCATACTGGAGTCCATAGGCCCTGGTCCCTTGATCATTCGGTGGAAAAGACTAATGATGTCAACACGGAACAGCAAGACAGTCATCTCCTGCTTAAACGCAATGCGGTAAAAGTAACGGTGAGCGCGTTTGAGTTGTTCAGCGTTCAGTTCTTTGTAGAACTCGGTGAATTTTATAAATGTGTCCACGCAAGCCTGGTTGCAGAACTTGGCCGCGAATCGCTTGAAGTCGAAATTACGCTCCTTGCTGACCTGGGCGGCTTCTTCCATATCTTCGTCTTCCGAGTCACGCTCTTCGTCGTTGTCCGCTCCTTCTTGTTGAGCAGCTTTGTCGGCCTTCTTCTGCTTGCGCCTGGCTTTGCGTCGCGAGCGAATTTGCATGTCGGCGTTATCTTTGGAGTATCTTTCCAACATCCGCAAGAAGACATGTGATAGCTCTGTGCAGGCATCTAAGTAACCAAAGCTTTGGTCTTTATATCCACGCACAATAGCCAGAATTCGGTCGTGGGTTGTTTCTTCGTAGAAAATTCGGTTTTGAATATTCTCCGCGATTTCTTGGTCTTCGTCAAGTGGTGATGCTGCCATCTCTTGAACAGTCAAGAGAATCTGCGTGAAGCAACGCATTTGAGCATTGAGATCTTCCCATTCTTTGTTGTCCAGGCTGCTCTGCATCGCCCGATTAAGAGAGACGAATGTCTCTTGGTTAAGAACGCCTGCAACCAAGCCATAGCTATCAGGCTCAATGTCTTTGGCTTTACCGCCATTTTGTGCAGTGCGTTGGCGGGTCTGTCGAGCCCGGCGGACTCGCTCTGCTTCCAGGAACCAGCCTACAGTATAGAAGAACTGCCGGGTATTGATGTCCAGCACTCGCTCAGCCTCACGCTCGATTGCTTTGCGCACGTGGGTGAAGAGGGGATTGAAACCGGAATCCAAGAACTCTTCCACGAAAGTTCTCAGATTTGTAGTGGCTTCGGAATTGAGATGAGCGGGCATGTTGAAGTTGCTGTTTTGTACCGAATCTTCTTGCTTGCGGCGAGGCTTAGGCTTGTTCCACTTTTTGCTCTGGTCCATCTTTTGAAGTGTGGTCTGATCGTCGCGCAATACACTTTGTCCTGAGACAGTGGACACTTTCCCTTCGTCTCGTTTGACCCATATCATTGTACCGAATCTATTATGGCGTGTGGGGGCATTCTTTTGGTATTCTCTTCGTACCATGTTCTCTTTATGTAAGATAGCAGCCAAGTCGTTGTTCCCTTTGCCGCTTTTTTTCTCTTCGTCCATAAAGAGCTTCTCGACATTGACACCTTTAACAAGGTGGAACAAAGTCTCCAAGAGAACGATGTCTTGAAGGTTAAAATCCTCGCCGACATTGGAACACATGGTCAGGAGGAGGGCAAAGGCATCTTGCTGGTGGAAAGCATTGATAGTCGCTGACCTGGATGTCTCCTCCTCGTCACCTTCTCCCGCAAGTCTGGTATTCGGGGATATGATCGCAATATTTCGTAGGAAGTACAGCATCAACTTGAGGATACCTTCTTCTCGGGATTCACGTTCGGATCGAGGGGTCGCCATGCTTGGAAGGGCGATTCGGATAACGGAGCGCAATATATTCGAGCCGCCAGCTTTAAGAACGCCTCGCTTGTACTGCACTTGCGCTTGGAGAAGGTAGGGGGTGTGGCGATGGTGGTTGACTGTCATCTGGCTGTGAAATTCCAGCGGCCATGTCAGAGGAACAAGCAGCTCCAAACACGCTAGCGCAATCCTGGTCGTATGCTTGCTCTTCTGCCCGGTTGCCCACCAGAGGGAGAGGATTGGAAGTAGATCACCATTGATCACGTTGGCCTCTCCCAGGCACCGCGCAACGTCCATGCGATTGTTCTTTTCATCGTACAGTTTGAGCCAGCGTTTGATATCGCGTAAGCAGGCCAGGGCGTCATCTCCGAGTACATATCGATCGGCATGTTCACCATTGAAACCTCCGAGCTAGAAACTGAATTAGTAAATCACTCTCAATCGAAAATGCACAACAGTAAATCAAAACTTACAGCGGTGACCAGGCCATAAACATAGTTGCGAACATCTGGGTCGACGACTTGTACGTCGTGACCTAGAGGAACAACCTCTTCATCCATGATTGATTTGTCTTCCGAATCGAGTGAAATGGGAACGCGTCGACGCGTTGAGGCTCGGCGATTCGGAGAAACTGGACGCCGCTAGAGAGCCGAAGATAACCGATATCCTTACGAATCAGATTTGCGGCCAACTTGGTCTTTGGCAGAATATCAGATACATAATATAGATCAAAAGATTCGTGTCTAAAATCCCATTTTACAAACATCACAAGGCTGGTATATAAATAATACTTAAAATGAGTGCCCAGCTTATTCCGATCAATGAAGTCATTCCGTCCACAACATCACACTCTTCTTCAAATGAGTCAAATTATACATATCTGATTACAAGGCGGTAAGCATGATATAACCGTTTGGCCGCTAATTTTAAAACTACGGGGAAAGCATGTGAAGTCATGGCAGGATCCCCATTGCTTCCCTCTCACTTACTTTCTTCACTCCTCTGATTACTTGTATACCTGCAGGAATAATTGCAGCCATGTTTGCCTCTTCAATTCGCCTCGCCTCCCTCCCCAAGGGCCCCCTCATGGCTCGGAACTTCAGCTGCACATCCGCAGCCCGTGCAGCCGAGGTGAAGTCGCTGGGTGTTATCGGTGCGGGCCAAATGGTAAGTGAATTGGACTCTACAATTTCACTGTAAATCTAACAGTGTTAGGGTCTGGGAATTGCTCTCGTCGCTGCACAGAAAGCGAAGGTCCCTGTCACACTTGTCGACACCTCGCAGGCTTCTTTGGATAAGGGCCTCAAGTTTGCCGGTACGCCAAGCTTCACTCATTTTTCCACATCTCTTATCTCTAAATTACATTGAACATCAGATAAGCTTCTTGAGAAGGATGTTGCTAAGCAGCGCCTCACCCGCGAGCAAGCTGACGCTGCCCGTGGTCTTCTGATTCCGAGTCTCAAAATGGATGACCTATCCTCTGTTGACTTTGTTATTGAAGCTGTTCCTGAGATCCCCGACCTCAAGACAAAGATCTTTGCCAACTTGGCACAGATTGCCCCCAAGCATGCAATCCTTGCCACAAACACATCTTCTATCTCTATCACTAAGATTGCCGCTGCCACCAGCGCGGACCCCAAAGACCTCCAGGCTTCCTCCCGAGTCATCTCCACTCACTTCATGAACCCGGTGCCAATTCAGAAGGGTGTGGAGATTATCCGTGGTCTCCAAACCTCTCAGGAGACAATGGACACAGCAATTGCCTTCGTGGAGCGAATGGGCAAGGTCGCTTCCGTGTCCGCCGATTCACCTGGATTCCTGGCCAACCGCATTCTCATGCCGTACCTCAACGAGGCAATAATCTGCTTGGAAACCGGGGTTGGTGGTCGCGAGGACATTGACAACATCATGAAGACCGGTACTAACGTACCTATGGGTCCCCTCGTTCTGGCCGACTTTATCGGTCTGGATACATGTCTCGCCATCATGAATGTCCTTCACCAGGAGACTGGTGACAGCAAGTATAGACCTGCCGGACTTCTGCGCCGTATGGTGGATGCTGGCTGGTTAGGCAAGAAGAGTGGCAAGGGCTTCTACGACTACTAGATACCCTATCTTTTGGACAGGGACAAAGCATTCTCAGAGGTCTTGCCCTGAATGTGAAAATAATTTCAACCGCGATACCCCGCATGTATCCTGTTTTATAGATCGCGAGTGAAAATACACATCGATTGATTATCCTAAACATGTTTCATTAAATCCCTCCATCTTCTCGTCTCTCAGAAACCTCAACACGCCGCATGTCCCCCGTCTCTTCTTCCGTCCAGACGTTCGACATCCGCCTGCTCCATTGCAGCGACAAGTGTATTGACATCCAGGTCCCCATTTCCTGCTAGTTCTTCCCCCTGTTCACCTGTAGAACATTTGCATCTCCCATGTTGGCCACCACACATATAGCTTTTGGACCTTATGTCAGTAACGAAGCTTGCACATCTGGGTAGTCCCATTCATCAACGTACCAAAATTGATTTCCACATAAACAAGAAATGTGGTTACACCCATCCACCTTCTCAACTACAAAGTGACACCGGGCACATCGTTGCCATTTGTTCTCCTTCGCCATCCTCAAAACAGCCCTCACGTTCTCATCTTCCGAACATGGCCAGGGACTATGTGCAAAGTCGCGGCAATTAGAGCAAACCTTTGCCCGGCAATAAGGACAAACTTGAGTGCCTGGACGTGACCCTTTCTTCTTCGGGTGTATCCATTTCCCACAGGTTGCTCGAGGACAGTACAAACGCTCTTGGGGGAGGATAGCCTGCTCTTGCGACTGGGCAATGTACCGTTTTTGGTTCCGGGAACTCATCACTGATATAATCATTTCAAGCGGTATTTCTTTCATGCAGCATTTTGCCGGGAATTGTTCTGGGTTCTCCAGGGTCGTTGATGCCATTCGGCGGAGGCACAGTGGACAATATTTATGTCCGCAAGGAGCAGCTAATAATTTTCTGGCCGCGATAGCTTGAAAGCAACCTGTGCAACATCTGTAAGTGTTAGTATCTCTAATCCTCAGTAAATTGGAAGTTACTCACAAAGATAAATCTCCATGGATCTTGTTGAGCGCGTTATCCAGGTAGGTTCGAATCGCTTGCATACATGACGGGCGCGTAGTCATCTTACAGGCAAGGGACGTTGCTTGAATGAGGTTTTGAATAGTGATTATGTCAATTGAGTAGGATAAAAGTAAATAATTGTTAACAGCAAATGCTGCTGCTGGCTCACAGAGCATTCTTATTCAGAGCTGTAGAGTGTCTCGCCGCTAAGACCTGTATAGCCAAGGTTGAGCAAACACTATTTATCTCTTGTTCTCGGAAGATTCCATCGTTTCTTGTGATGATGAGGTTACACTAAGGCCGCCAGTGTATTCCCAAGCTTGCACAAATGAGCTCTCTGCAGCTTTTGAGTCTTTCTATCTAGCCTCGCTTGAAACAATATCGAAGAGGACTCTAGTGATATAACATTCAACTGTGTTAAGTCAACAGGGCAACAACCCTTGGAATTGGAACCAATGAAGCATCCATGGATTTGCAAGGTTCATAGAGGCAGAACCTCCCAGTTTAGAATAAGAGCGAGTAATGGCCCCATCATTTGAAGTACAATGTTCTAAGCTTTGATGAATTACTCAAATAGACTGTTTGTATGGACTTGATTCGAACTAGACAAAAGTCATCTTGAAATAGGGTATCACTAATGCAATAAATACTGCCGATTTAGGCCACCATAAACTCCCAAAAACTATCTTCGCGACTGGTATTAGATAATGCCGGCAAATCGTCGGCCAGCCCATCCTGAACCGTATTCTTGATATTCTTGACGAGTGATGGCTACCTTGCTGAGCTCTTCTCTGTTGCTGGCGAGGCGAGAACCTCCGAGCCACGTTGAGTGAACGGGGCTATTTGAATGTTAATAATGTTCTCGGTGGTAAACAGGCGAGTGTAAACTTACTCTGTAGCTCGGCGCACCCTCACTACACATTCGGCAGAAGCGATCTGCCGTAATTCAGTCTCCCTAGGAACAGATTTCGGTCAGTTGAAGTCCCGGCCAATTGACTTTGAAGAACTTACAATCTTTGCATAAATCCTGGAATCAAAGCATTTCCCCCAACCACTATGACATTGGCCAAGAAGGCAGAATGCAGGCCAGTCGGAAGAGCCGACAACCCCTGCAGGATCATATCAGGTATACCAGCTGACTTCATACCGATATCGCCTGGTGTAAACAGAAGCTCTGGAACAGCGAAGCGTTCATTGCCCAGGACCAGTACGTCTTCTGACAAAACCTCAGCGCTGAGCCCAGAAAGCGCCCCCTTCTTCTTTTTGGCGTGCATAAGAGGGTCATGGGGTCGGATGAAGCCCTTCTTATTTGCGTTTGGGTCTGGAAGGACATAATCCAACACAATTCCTTCCTCTGAACTGGCCTGTCGCTTCCGACCTATTTTCCATGTTTGTTCCAAATCACCAGCGAAATCATTGCTCACATAGCACACCGCCTCCTTGACTTCATTCATGATATATGTTTCGTCCACCATGTTGTACTGTCTCATTGAAACGATTTCTTTCAAGTAGTTGGTAAGGTGCTTGCCTCCAAGATCGAGCCTTCGGATTCCTCGTTGAAGCGCTTGGCCTTTGTAGACTGGCGTCACTGTCGTGTGCGAGTAGCCAGAGTCGACTACCAGTAAGCAATCTGCTGGCAATGCTTCCTGCGTCTGGGTGAGGGGATCGCCGAAAAGAGAATGGATTTCGTTCCACGCATTGAGGGCTGGACCTTTAAACAATTTCGAGTCAGCACCGAGTCAAGCACAACAACATGGCTCCAGGCATCATACCTAAGCATCTTGCATATCCTCCGAATCCCCATTCTTCCATAACCATCTCATCAGTGTGTCGTTGTAAAATCGGCAAAGCGTTTGGCGCTTCAGTGAGCACTAGTGTAGTGTCTTCCGGATTCGCAATTCTTAGCCCCTTATTCCGAGCCGACGCCTTGTCCTCAAAGAAAGATTGTTCCCAGATCTCTCTCTCCGCTTCCCAGTTCACAACATATCCCTTCTCCACCGGGCGCCGGAACATCGTCTCATTCCAGTCATTGACAGTCGAGAGTTGGGATCCGATCACAATTTTGTTATCGCGTGTCTTGACAATAGCATTTGGTATCGAGGAGCAGGCCGAAACAGCTTCGTCGGGTGTGAGAGCAGAAGCATAGCCGGCTTTGATCATGTACGCGCCATTGTCGATTATGAAGGTCTTGTCGGGCAGTTGCCGCGATGGTTCGGCATGCTGCGTGGGTGTCACAGGCGTCTTTGGGGGAGCTCGAGCCCTTGCTGTTCCCATTGTTATAGACGAATGGTGGTCAAAAGCTTAGAGCCACGAGAAGCTTGAATCATGAAGCGTTTGTCTTGTTTGGAGAACTGACCGCTTAGGTAATCTGATACTCGCCGCCCGCGGACGGGGCCGACAGCTTACGCCGACATTCGCGATCTAGATTCCTACATTCTGGGTTTGAAAGAGAATTTATTACATGAGGATTGCCCTGTTCGACATTTCAATCGTCACTGTGGATGTCAGAGGTATGAGTCTTTGGATATGGCAATATTAAAATAGGTTGGGGCTCATAGTCAACTATAGAAAGCATTCTGCATCAAACATCACAAACCCTCCAAGGAATGGCAATCCTGTAATAGGGATTAAGAAAGAGATACTGCAAGCTCTCCATGACATCGTTGAAATCCCAAGGCAACTTTCAATCAAAGGTGGTTGGTGGTGGCTTGGGTCTGCCATGAAACAAGCCCAATGATCACAGCCTAGTAGGGGGGAGAAGCTTCAATAAGAGAAGCAGATATGTAGCTCATCATCAAGATTCTAAATAACTAAATAATCAACTACATTCATATGCAATCCAAAATCTTCGACATATAGATCCAGGTGACCCCGCAGAGCCCTAATCAGCCCCGCGGCCATTATCAGGCCCAACCGCCTAAATTTTTTTCTCTACAACACCCCCTCCAAAGCACCGCCAGTGGTAGGCTCACGACTCTCAAAATGTCAAAACAACTATCCACCGTCTTTACCACGACTTTGACCCTCATTGAACAATTCCAAGCCGCCATCACCACACCCCCACCAGCGGCTGTAACCGAAGCCGCAGGAAATGACACCGAAGCGCTGCCCCTCCTTACGGTCTCGTCGACCGCGCTCAAAGCTCACGTCACAAAACTCTCCCTTCTCGCCATCACCTCGCCTTTCACCCACTCCGCCGTTGGTACTGTCCTCCGCGAGCTGAATGAGTCTGTTCTGCCGTCGCTCGTCACCGCGGTGCTCCTTGTCACTCCGGCGCAATACACGAAGGCGTTCCATTCCGAAGCCTTGGCCTTGGTACAGACCGTTTTGACAGAACTCGTCTCTCTTGTGAAGGAAGTCAAGCGCGTCGACAACAAGAAAGAGCAAGAAAAAAAGGATACTAAGAAGGAGGGCGATTTGACTAAGTCTGAGAAGGATGCTGTGACACTTGCTACTGGACGTGTCTGGGATGCTTGTGATGTCGTGACTGATGTCGCAAACAAGGGTGTTGTCGGGTTTGTGATGCGCCGCGTTGAGCAATGGCGGGATCTGGTTCGCGACGCGGTTGAGGAGATCGAGGATTGGGATCCTGAAGATGATGATGATGATGATTTCATGGATGAACTTATTGGGGAGGATGAGAAGGATGAGAAGGATGAGGACTCGGAGGATGATGAGGAGGAAACTGCCGCCCTCCACGAACACAAGAAATCCACCCTTCGATTCCTCAAGCCTGTTGCTCAGGTCTACCCTGCGATCCTCAACAACCGGCTAAAAAACGCCGGAACTGCGCCTTTGGATTCATCCGCCAATGTCAAGACATTAGAGGCCCTGATGCAGAACCTACAAGCTATCTCAGAACATGTTGATGAGGCGGCTGGTGGGCTGTACGAGGCCAAATTCGAACGGTCTGCTGAGTACCTGCAGAAGACGAAAAAGTGTGCCGAGGAAGCGGTCAACTTGGTTATTTCGCCCTGGGGCGCTGCGGACGATGCACCGGCAGACAAGTTCATTACTTGGTCAAAGACATGGCTCAAGGTCATTGATGAAGTTAGCAAGACAGCTGGCGAGAATTGAATGAATACGCCTGTCACAAAGTTGCGCATAAGCTGATGATGAAATGACAAAAGCCCGAGAGGAACTAGCCAGCGATATTATGTATATGTACATAGAAAAAAGAACAAACATGGCGATATTATACACGTCATTTCAAATCATGACCTCCAACCAGAGCTGTGTTCCTAGAACTCCTCCTCGCTAGCTTCGTTTTCTTTTTCCCATTCTGGAAGATCCTTCAACGGGATACGCTCTCGCAAGAACTCCAAGATAGCATCAGTCCCCTTGGCAACTATCTGCCACCGGGGAACTCTGAATCGATTGCCAGCGACCTCAAAGCGCATCAACGCTGAACCAGTACCCCAGTTCTGAGGGTCCCGCTTGGCAGCTAGCAGGCCGATCTTCGGGGGTAGGGAATCAATGTCATTGTTACTGAGGTCCAATGCCTGTAGCCCTTGAACAGATTCAAAATCCAGGCTAGCAATCTTGTTGTGGGAAGCCACGATAGTCTTGAGTTCCGGGTAAGAAGATCGCAGGTTTGGGAGATGCCCCTTCAAACGGTTGTGCGATACATCTAAGAAGGTCAAGGACGGGGCTACCAGGTTGCCCAAGAGAGGCTCCCAAGATGTCAAGGAGGTTGCATTCAGAGTCAGCGACTGAAGCTTCGGAAGCTCGATCGGGGAGGACAAGCACTCGGTGCCATTTAGGGGGTTATGAGAGAGATCAAGCTCAACCAAACTCTGCGCGAGCATTTCAAGTGCAGGAGCGGGGAAGCAGCTCAGCTGGTTATTCTGCAAATAGAGGCACCGAATATCTTGCGAGGGAATCATCCCCAGTTGCTCCACGGTGAGGTCAGTCATATCGGCGAAGGACTTGTCAAGAGTCCCACCCGATTTAATCTGCCAGCTGCCATCGAGCATGGGATTTTCAGGTGCCAGGGTGAACTGGGTTGCCACTGAACCCTCATCGTCTGTATCCTGGGGGTCAGGGTCGCACCGGCTTCGGAGTTCTCGTTTGATATCTTCAGTATCCATGTTCAAGAACCGGCGTTCACGAAGCGGATTGCTAGAGACTTTGAGGAATGTAAGGCTTTCCATGGACCCTATCTTGTCGTCCAAACGCGTTATGTCATTCCCTGTGAAATCGGCCTTGTTGAGGCTCTTGAGCTCCACAAACCCTGATGGAAGCTCGGTGATTTTATTTTCTTCCGCTGAGAGCGTCGATAGTGACTGCCAAGAAGACATGCATGGAAGATGCGTGATGCGGTTGACTCCAATTAGGAGAGTGTGTAGATTAGGAAGGTCAAGTGTGTCATTGGATGAAAAGACCACCACCGCATTGTTGGCAATGTTCAAGTACTGCAATGTGTCCCAACGATCGACTGAAGCAGGGACCAAAGTGCCTTCCAGTCTGTTTTTCTGCGCATTCAGAGTCTTCAGAGGTAGTTTGCTGAACAACTCAAATGGCAAAGAAGTCAATTTGTTCTCACTGACATCCAAGGTCCTCAGAGAGCTCAATCCAACAAGCTCATCTGGAAGTTTGGTGAGTTTGTTGCCGCGCAGGTCCAAGAATTCCAGATTATTAAGCCGGCCAAAGACGGTAGCCAGTTCCCCTTGCAGTTGATTATTCGCAAGTTTCAAATCTGTCAGAGACTTTATCTCTGTAATAATCTCAATACGATCCATCTCCAAAGAATTATTCGATAGATTGAGAGTGCGTAAACTTTGCAGTTGTCGAAGGCCCATGGGTAGGGATTTCAGTATATTGCCATGAAGATCCAATGTCTCAATGCCTCCGAACTGAAGTCCTCGGTCATCACTATCTGGATCAAATTCCTCGGGATTGATGTCTGGGAAGACTTCATCTGAGATCTGTTCCAACTCATTGTCCGCGGCGATAAATTTAACAAGATCTACATTTTCGAACCAGTTTGCGTTGTCAGAATCGTAATCGTACATTGTTAGCACTTCTTTGGGGATTTCCGTTAAAGCAAATGCCGCAATGTTCAGCTGGCCGGTAGCACGCGCTGTCTGGACGCGCTTTCGCATCACCAGAGAGCTGGGACCCTTGGGCAGCTCATCGAACGGATCTTCGTCGTCGACGTTCCCCCACGAAACAGCAGGCTGGGTCTGGGCAATCGGCTTTTGAGGGTTTTCCTGTTTCTCTCCTTCTGTTACTGCCTTGCGTGCAGCTTTTGCCTTTGCTATAGTCTCGCGGAGGGTGCTTGAAGACTTGGAGACTTTCCTAGCTTCAATTTCTGCCTGTTGCTCTGGGGACAGCTCCTCTTGTGCGTTGGACGAAGCGGAGACGTATCTTGACGATGTTGAAGGGGAGCGTAATGTAGAGGCCTGTTGTATTCCGACTTTTCGTGTTTTCTTCACTTGCAATGGCCTCTCCGGTGGACCCATGTTTGTCTTCTTATCTGCTGCCTGTTTTGTGGGAGACGGCCGAGCTAGCGATAGCCTGGACGTATTCTTAACCCCATTGGGTCTGATAGGCAAAGTTTTCTTGGTTGGCGAACTGATATCCGAGCCACTATGGTCACCGATCACGATGCTCTGTCGGGCAGCCGGTTGCTTCAATCTTGATGGGCTCACGCTCTCCTCGGAGGCACGAACCGGGGAGAGAGACGATGTGGCCGACATACGAGAGGCTGAGGACGGGAGGCGTAACTTGGATACAGGCTGCGTGTATGGTTCGTTGCTATTCGTCGCAACAGACGAAGCCCTGGATGGTGACCTCGAAACACTTGATACATTAGATGGGGCACGAGACGGGGATCGGATAGGACTGGAGCTATTAAAAAAGCTGGCCTGCCTTTTCACTGAAGCCGGCGATGGTGGTATTTGTGCCAAAGTCTCCAGCGTCCGCTCAGACAAAGATGAGCGTACCCCGCTGCGACCTCGTACTTCTTGACTTGATGTGATTGATTCGGTGTCATCGTCCGCTTGAACTGAGCTCACTTCCTCCGAAACATGTGTATCGTCTTCCCCGCCTTGGGTTTCATTCTGCTTCCGGGCAAGGACAGGCTCATCTTGGTGCTTTTGGGGCGCCAGAAAGCGTGAGGTCGGCTTTTTCACAAGCGTGTCATATGATGGTCGCCGCAGTCTCTTTTCGTCCAATCCTGGATCGGCCCGTAGTCTATCTCGAGAAGGTGATGGTTTGATCGATTTTGGAGCCGTACTCGTCGGTAAAGGTAGTCTTGAGGCTGGCCGTGGAATGCCACTTGTGGGTCGTGGGATACCGCTTAAAGGGCGGTTTGCAGTCCTGGGTTGTCCATCCATGATGATCCAATTACTCGCGTTGGTCGATGAGGGAGAAATCTGTCAAAATTTGGGCACTCATATCCGATGATTTGGTGCGAGACAAAGAATGTGGAGGGCGGGGGACACACGCAATTTCAACCCTATCGGGTATGTCAGAATCGTGGCCGGAAGACGAAAACTTGGCGGTTAAAGAAATGGGAGTTGATTGTTTACATTTCCCAGATCTCTGTAGACGCCTTAGGCATCATGTTTTAAACCCGATCTGGAATCTGATACATGTTTTAATGAAAGACACTGATCTATTTCAGACTTTGCCCTATACTTTTTGGATATACCAATGCAAATTATTGGACCTTAATTATTTAGTGGCAATGGGTGTCAATGACAATTTGTAGCGGCTGTAAACTAGGTATGGATGTGAAGATATATATACTTCAGAAGAGTGGTGCTACTTTGCAAGCAAATCTATTCAAATTCTTTTACACCACAACGCTAATTGACGATAAATTGGCTGCCTAAAATGGCGACATCCATTTGACGCTGGCTTATGGCAGTAATATTGACCTGTTAAGTGGCATGTCAGATGCAAGAGCATGTGGCCACCACTTGGCATATCCCCCATATTACTGTGCAGGTACTCGAGGCTTGAAAAGACCGTGAACTAAGTCAGTCGCCCAACAATATATTAGATAAAGACTTTGATCGGCTGCCTACGTTCATTATCTCGTAAACCCCCAACAATGGAGGGGTTCACGAGCAGACATTGTACTTCCGTAGGCGGGCAGAAATTTGCTTTGGTGAACTCCCATGCTGTAGATAGAAGATTCTTGACACCGCCTCCGGCAGTGACTGTGCGCTCGTACGCATTTTGGAGTCCATTAAACAACATCCAACCGGTTCCTACGCCTTCATGGACATGCCCAAACACATGCAATTTTGGTTTCACTCTCCATAGCGTCCGTAGTAGATGAGCACAGCCCAACTTTAGTAAGTCAAGATGAGCAAGTGGTGGACTATGAGTGATTAGTATGTCGATTCCATCTGGCACTGAGCTAGCCCATATATCTTGATCCTGGGGATATTGGAACGCCCAGTTACCATGACGCGTAGAGCAAGGACTTCCATAGACTTGAAGCTGACGACCATTCGGACAAGAAATTGTTACTTCCTGATTTTCTAGGTAAATAACGTCGCCCCAGTCGAGCTGGGCCCGCTCAGAGGCTGCTCGGCCCGATAGATCGTCCCGTGCTGAATCAAGTAAAAGCACATGATTACCAGCAATAACGATCTTGGCAAAATGAGACTGGGCGCTTAGCCAGGTGAGTGCTGCCTGAAGCTCCTTGAAAGACCCAGATTGCGTAAGATCACCAGCATGAATCAAGACGTCCCCGTCTGGAACACTGATTTGGGTGTTATGAGTATCGGAGATGCAGACAATAGCAACGGGACGCGTGATTGGCGTAGCTGGAATGGGTTGATGCCAACTGTAAAGCTTCTGTGCGAGAAACATGCAAGGCTGGGCCCGGAACTTTTGCCATGGTCCGGGTCGCTGTCGGTTAAGCATTTCGTTGAAGGTGGACATGGCGAGAGACTTGAGACATGAGCAGGGAGACTTGAGACATGAGCAGGGAGACTTGAGACATGAGCAGGGAGACTTGAGACATGAGCAGGGAGACTTGAGACATGAGCAGGGAGAAGTGAGCGTGTAGAATAGCGGTCTGTCTGGGATAAAGGATGTCGCATCGATCCCCCAGGCATATATGTGTTACATATTAGGAATGGCTGCAGGCACATGAAACCAAGCTCTTCTCTCGTACCCACGTATGTTCGTACCTTGGGTACCTTATGGCCACATACTATGTGCGTAATAATGACCTAGAAGATGACAAAATAACGCTCAAGAGCAAAAAGAAGAAGAGCTGACACTCGGAGTCGAACCGAGGCTCATCATGACTACTGATACGATATGTCTGTCGTGAAACCAAGTTTTCGTATACCTGCAGACAACCTCAACAAAATAGTGTTTGCCACTTCATTGATATAATCATGACTTATAATAACATACCTGTCCAATTCTTTCAAATTCTAACCATACTTAAGTATGACTTAAATCTCGTACTTACGTATGAAAGTAATATCTAAAAGAAATGACTCTTGCCGTCATCAATCAGAAAGCTCTATAAAAAGTAAAAATTAATTGCCATATGTTAACTTCGGAACGTGGCTTATAAAGGACCAGCCCGATAGTCATTTTAAGGTTGGTTCTCTCTCTTTTGCGACCATTGAATTTTGTGCCATACGGTATACGGAGTACATACAGTTCAGTGAGATCAAATTGCCGAAAGGGTTTGAAGATTTCCGAACAGTTCCACAGACTCCAAAATATGTAGCATTTTTTCTTTGGAATGTATGCAAGTATCTTTTTTTTTCTTTTTTACGTACATTTGAGTGTCTTTTACTTGGATTGATCTACTTTCGTTACAGGGTGAAATAGATTAAGAGACCACAAAGCAGATGATATCACTCAATCTGATCAAGCTTATCGGTTGCCTACCCAACCCCCCCAAGTGCTTGTCTGTGTCGCGGGTGTTTACTTGAACTGAGCGTCCCGTGACGATTGGACTAACCTAATTGGGAGAAGAGTGGAGCCACAAACCAAAATAACGAGCTCTGATTGGTTCATATTCTTAGATGATTGGCTGGGGCTGGGACAGGCACTAAACCTAAAGCGGGCATATGAGGAAAGGGCACTTCTCCGTTCCCAGCCCCCCCTCAATAACTGCAAGCTGTAACCTCTTCCCTCTTAAGACCTCAAACTCCATTATTCTCCCTTCTTTCATCCTTTGTCTACTCCAGATACTTCACGCCCCTTGCACTATCAATATCCTTTGTGTGTTCTCTCATATCTGGTTTCCGAGGCAACATACCCATCTGTGCGATTGATCCAAACTGAGATTCCCGACTATTACCAGTCTCCGGTATGTATTATTGAAGTTCTTGGTGATCCCTTCTATTAAAAAAAGGCTTGAAATGAAATGAATGCTGATAACGAAGATAGTGTGAGGATCCATTTCCCCGCGGCTAAACCCTCGTGGTCTTATCAAATCGATATCTTAGATCGATAATCAAATCTTTTAACCATGTCTCAAAACACAACCTCAAGCACCTTGGAGGCTCCAGTGGAGATTGTGCCATCGACTCCAGTTCGTCGTGCTACTCTTTCCCCTTCGCCAGATCTCAGCACCCAGCGCACATCATCCCAAGCGGATAAGAAGTTCCTCTCACCCCCGCCAGTGTCGTCATCAGATATGACTCCCCCACCATCAACTCAAATCCCTGGGGCTCCGCTTCGATCTCGCTCACACTCCCGTTCATTGAGTCCCACGCGGGTGACGCAAGCCGAACTGGACAAGTCTTTGTGCGATGCGTATGGGGCCTCCGAGAACCTGCCAACCGCTGAACAAATCGACAGCGCTAGCGAATCTCAGCTGCGCGTTATTGCTAAAGAGCTTCTCGCCGTTGCTCGAGAATCGCGTATGTCTGCCTTGCACTTCAAACTCCAGAACAGCTTGGTCTCTTTCGCAAGTAACGAAGCTGTGAAGCGCGCCGAGGTTGAGCATCAACTCGCCAAGCGTGAAGTCGAGATTATTCAGAGCGCAGAGTATCGCAGTCGCTCACATCCTGTGGACCCCACCACCCCAAAGCAGCCTCAGTCTACCTTGCATCCTGATTATCTCTCGGTTGTCCAGCGCTCGCAAGAACTGGAACAACTCAACTCGGTTCTAGATAAAAGACTTCGAAAAGCCAAGCGAGCGATTGATGATGCTACCAGTCGATCGATGGACCTTGAGGAGCAGAACCTCATGCTAAGGCAACGTATTGGCGACAACCGAAAGCACTTTACACAGATCTTCAGCTACGGCACTATGTCGCCGGGTACCCAGAATGAGATTCACAACATGTGCCACGGTGAACATACTGATGGCCTCGCCGCGCTTCTTTATGCCGACAAACTCACCAACCAAACGCATGCTTACGGTGCCCACTCTGCAACCTCCGTTCCAGTGACTCCAAACCAGCCCAAGAACCACTACCTCTCGTCAATTGGACAGCCAAAGGATGACCACTACGACAGCGATAGCACTGTCTCTCTCTCTGCATCCGAGGTGGTGGAAGAGAGAATTCCCTCCCCGCAACACATGCGCTCCACTGTTCCCAAGAGTAGCACCCTGCTTCAGACTAAGTTGTTCGGTCAGGTGCAAAAGCCTGGCGTCGAGCGATCTCGCGCTGGCAAGCGCAAGGCAGCCAATGAAGACAACGGTGCCACCGCGAAAAAGTCCCGGACCGGTGATGGTATCGGCCTGGGCATCAATGCTTAGGTTCATACCCCATGGCTTCACGAAGACCTCGTGTTACCAACCTTGCTATGATTCATGACCTAGCGTTGATTTGTTTTTTTTACGACTAAGGGACCTTTACGAATGATGAAGACATGCCAAATGTGGTGTTTTCAAACTAGCGACTGAAATTTTTTGTTTTGATTATGAGAGGCCATGCGACGGCGATCCATGGCCATTGACAGGTGGCGTTTTTAAATTGGCTTTCGGGTATAGGAATCATGGCTTGTCTATTTCGCGCCAATCAGTCATGAACTGAGGGCGAAATGAAGACGTTTATTCAGTTCAAAAGAAGTTCTTGAATTTGGAGAACTCCTGAGTTGGGATGGTATTGTACAATAGGAATAGAGTCCTCTGCTACCAATAACAAAGATGCAAAAATAAAAAAAATAAAAAAAAGAACACTTGTGCATTATTATAGAGTCTCAAAGAAAAATCAGACATGATCTCATCTGAACATTGATATTATAGTCAAAATGCTAGTTCACCACTCTGCGGAGTATAATCGCAATATCAAAAATAAAAGAAAATCCAAAAAACGCCAAAGTCGAAAACGCTGGCAGATTACCGAATCGGGAATAGTTAGGGCTCGCTAAGCGAGGCGGTGAGTCAGTCAGCGGGCGGCCACACGAAAAATGGGAAGTTCATTTTCTGCCGTGAAGGGAGATCTGACCAGCAACCCTCGACGACCACCACCCGGCTTGTTCCCCATCCGTCAACATGGTGCGTTCCCTTTCCCTGAATGGAAGATACAATGAAGGATTCGACTTGTGCGATTGAATGGAATCGACGACTCGAAATATGGCGAATGGTTGACTGATTGTGTGTGGGATATATAGGCGATCAAGCACAACAACCAGATTCAGAAGAACCGTGAGTGACCCGTCGCTGAGCATTCTGTGATCGCCTGGAAACAGACGAGACACTGGACCTTTGAAAATTAAATGAATGGTGGTTAACGATTTTTTGATTAGACTTCCACAAGGACTGGCAGCGTCGTGTGCGAGTGCACTTCGACCAGGTACGACTCTCCAACATTTCCCCCCCCGAACCAGAGAAATTTTCTTTCCGAAAGATATCGCAAACCACCGGAATCGACGGAAAATTTTTTCAACACAGGATATGAATTTGGTCGACTAACATGAATCCTACAGCCCGGCCGGAAGCACCGTCGTCGTGAGGCCCGTATCGCCAAGGCGGCCGCTGTTGCCCCCCGCCCCGTGGACAAGCTGCGTCCCGTTGTCCGATGCCCCACCGTCAAGTACAACCGTCGTGTCCGTGCTGGCCGTGGTTTCACCCTCGCTGAGCTGAAGGTAAATTGAGCCGCAAACAAATTTGTGGAGGAGCCAAGGAAGAACGCTATACTAACTCAACTCGCTTTACAGGAAGCTGGTATCCCCAAGAAGCTTGCTCCTACCGTCGGTATCTCGGTTGACCACCGCCGTACCAACTACTCCAAGGAGTCCCTGGTTGCCAACGTTGCCCGTCTCCAGGACTACAAGGCTCGTCTGATCCTCTTCCCCCGCAAGAGCGGTCAGTTCAAGAAGCTCGACTCCTCCCCCGAGGACGTCAAGGCCGCCAAGGCCACCGTTGCCGAGGGCAAGCGTGACGGCATCATCACCCGCGTTGACGCCACCTTCCCCATCACCAACCCCACCGCCGCCGAGGCCGTCACTGAGGTCAAGCGTGACGCTCTCCCCGAGGGTGAGAAGGCTGCCTACCGCCGTCTCCGTGAGGCCCGTGCTGAGGCCCGCTACCGCGGTATGCGCGAGAAGCGTGCTCGCGTCAAGGCCGATGACGAGGCTAACGCCAAGAAATAAATGTGTTAATTCCCTGCTCGTGCTGATGATGATGATCGGGTCGGTTTTCGAATCGGGGATTAGTGTACTTTGGCATGGCGTTGTGCCGCTTCCTTGATTCCCTCCTCCTCCCCCAACTTTACTCCTTTTTGTCTCTAAAAGAAAGAACTCGGAAGATCTCTCGAAATTCAAAACCGCTCAATTCTCTCATTTTTGGCTTGTATGCCAGTGCTTCGTATTATTATGCCTGTTGGACTGGTAGCGAGGCTATTGTGCTTTATGCTTGTACCTGAACATCTTGGCCGTAGTTACTTCATGAGCTCCTTATGATTGGTCACCAGTGGAGGTCAACGCTTGGGAGCCTATCTCGGATATAACGGTTAAGCATGTCTTTGCATGTAGTATCAAAAAAATACATACGTAGTTAACTATGTAGTCAGTCACCAGTATCAACATGTTTGAACACCAATGCCGAAGTCTTTCATGATAATATTTCCATCGACGGATCATTAAATTCACAGTGAGCTATTGCTGGGGTATCTTCAGAAATCCACGCTAAATAATTACAACGCCAACGCTAACAGCCGCATAGTGGTGTCAAAGACCACCAAACAAAGTAGCAAGAGCACCCTCTGTCGCCCTCAAAACCGAATCAACATGAATACCTCCCTCAACACCTCGAGCCAAAGACCCATCTTCACGAAGCAGCGCATGAAAGAGCCTCTTTGTCTCATGATCGATTTTTTTGTCTCCACCAGGAACCGAGACAGCGATCTCGGGCCGTAGCTGAGGTTCTCCAGTCCATTCATCCAACACCAAGCTGTTCGCTAACATGACCCGAGGAGTGGAGCCGGGGGATTTGGGTTTAAGAACCATTGAACATCGATCGAGATGCGGAACCAACCGTCGTAGCTCGGAAACTGTGATGGTCCCATTCTCACTTGCAGGCTCGACATCACCTCTACCCTGCGAGGCCCGGGGTCCGTATTTATGGTCGATGTGAGCCCACAACCGAGCACGCACAACTGCGCTTTCCCAGTACCTGTTGATGCCCCAACACAGCGTTGCCACATCGAGTTTTAGGAGATGGTTTTCTAAGCGGGAATCTATCCACCGGCGGAGCGCTTCAGGCATTTTTCTTTTCTTGCTCTCGCTGCCAGTGGGCACAGACAAGGATGTCAAACATTGAGACTCTGGATTTGTCTCATAGACAACAGTCACGCTGTAGAGACTTGCTGGAAAAGGTGACGGGGGACAAAATGTCATAGTGTGTGTCTCTGACATCCCTTCCTTGTGCGATGATCGGCTTGTACGTGTCTTGAGTCTCAGGGGTGCGAAAACAGTCAAATATGGTAGTGCTTGTGAGGATTCTTGCAAAGCAAATGGGTTTGTTGGTAAAGGTGACGCCTGACGTTTGGGGCGAGGTATGTTGGCAGAAAATGGGAGTAAAGTGGCAAGAAGAGAAGATATTGGCTTTGAAGCTGTCTGAGGCACAGGTAAATTCGTGCGGTTTGCCTGTTCAGATGCGATTAAAGACCTGGGATTTGTCAGCTGTGGTTATGTCCATTGTTTTTTTGGTAAACTCACAAGAATTTGTCGAGGCCTCTTGTGTTAGTTATTAAATCAGGGTTGGTTTCGATCTTTTTGGCCCATGTTTCCAGTTCCTCAACTTCTTCTCTTAAACTTCGCAAATCGGCAGCAAGCTTGTTGCGTGAACTTCGCTTGTCCCGGACAACTACAGAGAATCCACCTGGATATGAAGATGTCTCTTCATCCTCTGGGTCGTCCGAGGGAAATGATTGGAAGTTCACTGCTTTCAAGGGGCTTTCATACAGTGGATTGGTAATTCGTCTTCTGGATCGTTTCTCTAGTCGCATACTCGGGCTGCTGCTGAAACCTTTCGGTCGATCCGGTGCTTTTTCTAGACCCAATTGTGTTGGAGTAGGAGGCAGATCGGGTTCGAAATCATCTCCATACATGAATTCAGGATCTGGTCCCATGTCGATATCCGCGTCTCTTGTCGCGCTTCCCAATTCCAATGCTAATTGACCCTCGGGGGTATCGGCTTCGGGATTCGTTGGAGGCGGGACTGGAGAGCCAAACACTAAATCTCCTGGGAGAATCTTTTTTGGGATCCTGCGCGGAGGTTTCGAAAATGCCTGGATTCCGCTGGAGCGCCTGTTTGGTGAACTTTCGGGGGCTTCAGACCCTCTTGGTCTAGTGAGGGGACTGCCAGACGCATTGAGCGAGGGTCGAAGCGCTTTTCGATCGCGCAATCCAAACATTCGAGGGTCCTGTTGTGCATTTCCTTTGATTTTCATTCGTCGGGCAGGTGATCTGCTGAGCGCGCGCTCCAATACATCTGGATTCGATCGCGCGAGACTGGCTCTTGTTGGTGATTGATAAGAAGGTCTCCTTGGCCGGCCCAACTCATTTGGAGGGAGTTCTGGCACTACAGGAATGCCTGTCGTTTCGCTAGTTTTCCGTCTTTTGGCGGGGGAGTCCATTGTCGCGTGGGGTGTTCTATCTTGAAGCGGCGCGCAGGCGATGAAGATAAACAACGTTGTTTGCAATGTTTGCACTATGACTTAATCTCCCACTTCCCGGGGTCTTGACTTTCTCCTACTCACATCATGGAGTGTCTTTCGACTGGCGCGAGACACTCGCTCAAGAGGCTGGGCTTTCAACTCTACTCCCTTCCTCGTATGTCATGTCCTTCATTTGTTGCATATAGACAATATGGGCTGGTCCCGACCCCCCGGCGCATGAAATTCCACAGCCAATCCGATCAGTCCGAACAGTCCGGTTCCTCAAACACACGAGCATCCCTGGAGGAAATCCCTGAGTCTCCTCAGGCTCAACCACTGACAGGATATTACTCACTGGTTCTGAATTCGCCCACATCCTATGGCCGTGCACCGACATCGCGGCCGACGCCTACTCGGCCCGAAGCCGAACCAACACCGGCATCTCCCGTCCAGCCTCAAACGCCGCAAGAAAAAATGGCCATTGTGTTCGGCACCCGCCTCGCTGGACCAGGTCGGTCCTCACGCTACAATCCTGGCGAAGCTCCAGAGTCGATGTGGAAAACCATCAATGGAGTACCCATCCCTCCGCAACCCGAAGAACCAGATAACTGCTGCATGAGCGGCTGTGTACATTGCGTTTGGGATGACTTCCGGGATGAGATGGAGGAATGGGGAATTCGAGTCACAACCGCCAAAGCCAAAGGTGGTGCCGAGAAGGGTACGCAGGACATGCGCTCGGCACCTAGATCGGAAGTCAACTCGGCCAGTGGCAGCATGGATGATGACGGTGGAGGTAGCGAGACAAATTGGACTATGCCAAGTCAAGATAAAGATTTGTTTGCCAATATTCCTGTTGGTATTCGAGAATTCATGAAGATCGAGAAAAAATTGCGGGCGAAGCATCAGAAAGAGGCCACCTCGTGAACTTTCAGGGACTCCTTGACTCGTTGGAGTTATGCCCTGTGCGATACTACATTGGAAAAATATGAGAAGATGTGTCTATAGCACATTAGACATAGATGGTATATAGATGGACTGTACATAACCTTGCAAATGATGTCACGAACATATTATTTACCGTACTGGTTGATTATTTTAAACTATACTTAGCTTTGGGGTCTAATTTTTATGATCTGATATGAACATTGCCCAGGTATATCAATGATTATCATCGCAGCTGTGTGCTAGATTCATCTTTGTGATGCATAAACCTGCTCCGCCAGAGCGCCAAGACTTCGTTCGGACTTAAGGACGCGGTCTTTTTTTTTTTCTGGACTGTTGTTTGATCAATTGGCGCCGTGATTTTTCTCGTCCACACATGCTGCCACACAGTTTCTCTCGAATAAATTGCTAAACTCTAGAAACCTTCGTTCGTTACTTTCACCTGTCCCACCGAGCCCCCGGGGCAACTTGATCATCCCCATACAATGCGCGCAAACGCCGGTCCTACCTTGCCGTGAAAACACGGCCTTAACACAATGGCCACAGGCATAAGCGCATGCCTTCATATTCGGAATATCCCACCGTCTCTTTCTGTCCGGAATGAATCCCAATCAGCTATTATGGGTCAGAGACTTCAGCGGTTGAGATTGCGACAATTCCCCAGAAAGATACACACGGTCTCCCAAATCGCCGCGCTATCTCAGTCCTCCCTCAGCTTGAGATCAGCAGGTGCTCTCATTTCTGGCAATCGATATGCACTCGAAGAACACCGGTTAATAAAACGTGGTTCTTATCTTATGGACCATCGAAGTGTACGCGAGCTCTCGAATACAAGTCAATTATCATCTCAGCAAGTCGCCAATGAACAAATGCCAAGTAATGAGGACAATTCGGGGGGAATATCTTCCGAGAAGCCTACCAGTCAGCTTACCAGGCCGAATCTTGACATTTTTATCCAAGATGACTTGTTGATGACATTTGACAAGGATGCAAGAGAGGGTCTGACACAGGCCAATCTCGCAATGAAAACCGTGGAACTTCATAGTGACAAGAATTATGGCAAGCCAAACAAGGCCTTTTCCCATTCCACAAACCCTGAGTCTGTGAAATTGAGAAACATCGCGTTGTTGAAAAGCAAGAAACGGGCCGAGACCTCCACGTATGAAACATACAGAGCTCTTAGGAAACAGATGATGGCCTTGCCTGTGCGGAAATATGGAAATAAGGTATTGAATCTTATCAAAAGCAACACCTACAGCATCCTTGTTGCAGAGACTGGATCCGGGAAGTCCACGCAGTTACCTCAGCTCATTTTAGATGATGCAATCGCAAGTTCTGTCGGCGCTCGCTGTAGGATTCTTTGTGTTCAACCACGGCAAATTGCAGCAACTTCATTGGCAAGGCGGGTAGCTCGCGAAAGAAGTGAGAAGCTCGGTGACACTGTTGGTTATAGTATACGGTTCGATCACTGCCATCCACCTGACCACGGATTTATCAAATATTGCACAACGGGGATTTTGTTGAACATATTGAAGGGTGGACCTGCCAGCTTGGATCAGTTCTCCCACATTATACTCGATGAGGTTCATGTCCGTGATGTTCAGATCGATGTGGTGATGATGCTCCTAAAACGCGCGATCGAGCAGCGTCAGAGTATAGGGGCAAATGTGCCGAAGGTTATTTTGATGAGTGCAACCGTTTCTGTCGACCTTTTTGCTTCCTATCTCGGCTCCAAAGCGCCAGATGGAAAAATTATGCCTGCTCCTCATTTGACTATTCCCGGACGTACTTTCGAGGTAAAGAGACATTATCTTGAAGAAGTTGTTCACAACATCACCCATTCCTTGCCGCCAGATGTTCTGTCGGTTCTCTTTCGGAAAGACAAAGATACAGCCTTATTCCTGAACAATCATTTCAAAGCCTTTGATAACTCGAAGCAAAACGAAAACCTACCTGCGCCAAAGCCGCACCTCAGCACTGGGGGAGATCACCCGCCGCAGCAGTATCTCCCAACCCAGGAGACAAATGTTAGTGAACTTGCAGAGTTGAATGTACCTTCTGGTTTGATATCTGCAACCATTCTTTCGCTTTTGTGTACAACAAACGAAGGTTCCATTCTTGCTTTTGTTCCCGGAATCAAACAGATTAACCTGATCGCCTCGCAAATGAAATCTATCGGCCCTCAGTTTGGTTTTAATTTTGAAGACGCAGATTTGTTCAAGATCATTAGGTTGCATTCAGAAATACCAAACGAACACCGCGAACTTTCCGTTCCAGCTCCTCCAGGTTGCAGAAGGATTATCATTGCGACCGACATAGCGGAAGCATCTCTTACCATTCCCGATGTGAGGTTTGTTGTTGATTCTGGCAAGGCAAACCAGATGAATTACATCACTGAAGAGCAAATTGGGGAATTAACCCCCCGCTGGATCAGCAAATCTGCTGCCCTACAGCGGGCAGGGCGTGCGGGAAGAACACAGGCTGGAGATTACTATTTTCTTGGGTCTTCACAGCAGTTCGAAAACCTAAGAATGACAAAATCACCCGAAATTACGCGCGCAAATCTCGAAGAACTCTGCTTGCTTACCAAAAGAGCGAGTTTGGGGACGTCGGATTCCATCTCAGATCTTCTTGGACAAACCCTTGAGCCACCCAGTGACGCCAGGATTCATGCTGCCTTGGAATCTTTGAAAGATCTACAGGCATTGGACGACAGGGAAGAATTCACTGGTCTTGGCCACCTTCTCGAGAAACTGGATATGGACCCATTCCTTGGAAAGTTGGTTGTTCTGGGCATCATATTCCGCTGTTTGGACCCTATGGTGATCCTTGCAAGTCTTGGGTCGCCGTCAAAGCTTTTCCAGCGCCTTGTCAGTGGACTTGATCGCAAAACTTTGAGCGAATCACGTTCTGCTTTCAACCAAGGATTGCAGAGCAGCCACATGGTTGACATCAACGCCTATCGGGCCCTCCGAGCTCAATCTTCCGAAAAGGCTGCTGCTAAATTTGCTCACTCGCACTGCATGGATTACGACGCTTTTATGAAAGCTAAATCAGTAGGCCATCAGATTCTGGCGAAGTTGCATCAAGTGGGATTAATCAACAAGGCCCCTAACCCTAATTCGCGTGGTTTGTTTGGTGACTTGAGCATGAATGCCAATTCCAATAACGAGAATCTTGTCAAAGCCCTCTTGGTACATAGCCTTTCTCCCAAACTGGCTGTGAAACGCGCTCATACTTCTTTCATCCGAATCAAACCTGGAGTTCCCGTGTCCAGGGCAAAGCCAAGCCCGGAAACCGCCATATATGCATTTGCTCGCAAGTGGTCAACCAGAGATATCCCCTTGGGTATATCAGATTTAACTCAAATCCGTCCACTGGCTGCTTGCCTCTTGACAAGAAAGTTAGAATTGGAGCAAGACAAGCTTGTTTTGGACTCCTGGCTGAACCTCAGAATAAAGAATGAGGGTTTTTCAAAGGAAGAAATTTCCGAGAACTTGATCCAACAGCACCAACTCTTGAACGACGTCAGTATCTTGCCATTAGTCAACATTTCATGTGCTAATATCCTACAGGCCCTTCACACTGCCTTTGAAGCTCTCCCCAACAAGGATTTGGGTGATTGGGAAAAAAATAATAAGTATATATCCGCCCGCAAAAATCTTTTCACCAACCTTGAGAACACAATGGAACTCATTGTAAATATGGATATCCCACGGGTGGCTCCTAAGGCACCACAGCACTGGGAAGAGTAATGGTGGAAGAGACAGACTTGTACAATAGCCCATAACTACACATACATTTTGCATTTATAAGGACAAGAAGGTCCGGTCATCACTTGTGCTGTATACCTGCTCTTCTTAATAGCTAGGTAATCTTTGTCTATGAAGTGCAAGACTTGTCGGTATCCTCAATTTTCATCTACATAAATACTTAATTGGAGAACTCCCCTGTTTGACAAAGGTCCAATTGTCCGCAATCATGTGAGTCTAAAGATTATGCAGTTGCATAAAACACCTGCCGAACTATGCAGAGCTCATAAGTCATAAGTTTTTGTGCTACATAGACAATCTACGTGTCGAGGAGCGTTACATACATTAGTTTGTAACACTAGCTTGTTCCGTGACGTTTCTTTTGCCGTGTGATTCGTATTATCACGAAGTTGCCCATTGTTCAAGATGAATCTTCCAAGCCCTCGAGGTTGTCTGCATATCTAACATATCCAAGTAGGTATTACTCGCTCTTGATCCAAAGTCGGAGAGCAGGACTCTCCTTCGAGCCAAAGAACAATCTTTTCTAAGTCTTTGTCCAGATTAGAACTTAACTGCGCGACAATTCAAGGTAATCCCTGTGAGCGGAAAGTATGCCGTGAAGAGTGCGGGGCTTCCATTCATAGATCGTCGTAATGAAGACTTTTTGAAGCATTATTATCAATGTCGTACTTATACGCTGTACATTGATGCGGGGAGTACGGCTATAAGTATGTGGGATATTTCGTGGAAGTTGACTGTTGTCTGTCCTTTAGCTTGATATCTTTATATTTCCAATCATGGCGGTCATTCCTGATATTCCAGCAAATTCGGGTACGAAAGTCTTCGCGGACATTATTTTTACCTTGTTTGGACTGGGTTTTATTCTGGTAATCATGAGTTCCTCCTGACTGTTTTAAGACTTTGACTGACTAGTTGTTGTGTCTCGAACTAGATTCCGCTTTATCTTATTGGTCTCGTCGTCTACAATGTCTACTTTCATCCTTTGTCCCAGTATCCGGGTCCAAAGTTCATGGCAGCAACTCGGATACCTTATATGCGAATGATCTTAAGTGGTCGATATCCACAAAAGACCAAGGCACTGCACCAACAGTACGGTGATGTAGTTCGCATTGCTCCAGACGAACTTTCCTTTACAAATGGTGAGGCCTGGAAGCCAATCTATGGGACTCGTACCGGCCACAGTCAGAAGCCCAAAGATTATCGATTCTATGCTCCCACCTTCGGAGGAAATCCCAGTATTATTGTCTCCAATGATGCAGACCATTCTCGCTTTCGTCGCTTGTTATCACACGCGTTTTCTGATAGTTCATTGCGTGGTCAGGAACCTATCATCAAGAATTATGTTGATCTGTTAATGCAACGCTTGCATGAGAATATTTTGGATGGAAAAAATGCCGTTGACATGGTTGCTTGGTACAACTTTACAACATTTGATATCATTGGCGACCTTGCTTTCGGGGAGTCATTCGACTGTCTCAAGAACTCAGAGTACCACCCGTGGATAAGCATTCTCTTCAGTTCTCTCAAGTATGCCGCCTATACAAATGTTGCTCGTCGGCTTCCAGGATCAAAATACCTCGTTCCACTTATTACTCCCAAGAAAATTGTTTCCCGGAGAAATACACACCTAGCATTGACCGAAGAAAAGGTCAAAGGCCGGATAACTAAGTCGAATGAAAGGCCAGATTTCTTTGGAAACATCCTCAAGCACAACAATACTGAGAAAGGGTTCAGTTTCCCAGAATTGATAACCAACGGTAGTACTTTGATCATCGCCGGCTCCGAAACTACTGCAACTTTGCTTTCAGGGGTGACCTACCTGCTCTTGAGAAACCCACTTGTGCTGGCTAAGCTTCAAGATGAGATCAGATCAGCCTTCACCAAGGAGGAAGAGATTACACTGGAATCCTGCAACAAGTTAGAATATTGTCTTGCAGTTCTCACCGAGACTCTCCGAATGTACCCTCCGGTCGCGGTGGGACTACCTCGGATTGTTGATGCTCAAGGTGATATGATTGCTGGAAACTGGGTCCCAGGAGGTGTGAGTACAGGATTTGCTTCCCAACGAGTCGAAGAACTTTACTTACACTTTCATTTCAGACTATCGTTTCCGTCTCACAGCTTTCTGCCAGCCATTCCCCAGCCAATTTCAAGGATCCTGAGAAATTTATCCCAGAACGCCATATGGATGATCCTCGCTTTGCTAATGACAGCAAAACTGCAATGCAGCCGTTCAGCTTCGGCCCTAGAAACTGCATTGGACGAAAGTAAGTTTAATGTCATCTTTCAACCCTCGTACATACATTCAAAGATATGATACTTATGCTGACTTCTCTAGCTTGGCATATGTTGAAATGCGTATAATTCTGGCCCGCATGGTCTTCAACTTTGACATGGAATTGGATCAGCCTGAACAGGACTGGACGGATCAAGAATGCTTTGTTCTATGGGACAAGCCAAAGTTGATGGTCAGGCTAAAACCAAGGCACACGGTCTAGCTGAGATTATCAGTGCTATATAGGCTCTCTGTCAAATAAAGGAGGGTATCTTTGTAGCTGATATCAGATCAAAGGTCTTCTAGGCATTGAGGCCGGAGAGAGAAGGAATCACATTATGGGAGTAGCTGAAGTTTTTAGTTAACTAGACGAGACGATAAAATCATTTTGAAAAGCCGATCGTTGTCTTAATTCAGTAAGTCAAAAACAGAATCTCTTTCACTGACACTCTCTACCTTATCAAAATTAGAGTTTCATAAAATTTGGTGGTCTAGTATTCTAGGCTTGTATATAGGCGTGCCCTAATAAATGCAAAGATTCTATGTGTACAATTCGTAGTCCAGGCAGTAAATATTACAGCACATAAACTTCCCTCTTAAAGACATCCATGGAAGTATCTTCACACCACTTACTATGACCAATCAACGCCAAAAACCCCTGCATATGTATAACATGCTTAACACAACGAAGTACAATGTAGGTCAATTTATAGATCTGACCGCCCTTTCACCGCCCCCACACCTCGGCAAAAAAAAGCACCGCCGCAGCAAACACCGACTGGAGTCCGCCATAATTCGACGTTGACAAGCAAGCAAGATGTCTCTCTCCAAAAGCGAGTCAGACGTCATCCTCAACCGGGCAAACGTCGCCTTGTCCCGCAGTCAACGCCTCGTGGCATCATGGCTCCCCCAAAAATCAGAAGACGAACTAGCAAATGCCAAAACCGACGAAGAACTACAACGAGAAGAAGATGAGATCTTCACGGCCGTTCCAGAGACGTAAGTAGCAGGCGTTAGCAACACATGCCACACGCCCATTCCTCCCCTCTGCAGATCCATTCCCGCCGAATCGAAAAGCTAACAACCAAACCCAGACTCGGCGTCGGAGCCCCCCTCCCCCAAAAAGCCGCCGACGGAAGCTGGAACCGGAGCGAACTAGACTCAAACGATAAGCTGCGCAAACAATTACTCGGCAAAAATTATGATCGCGTCATGAAGGCCGCTGCAGAACAGAAGGCCGCTGCTAAGGCCGCTGCCCTGCCTGTTGCCAGTACTTCTGAGACGAAGGCGGACGAAGATGATGACGATGAAGAAGATGGGCGTTCTGCTATGCTTGCTCGTCAGAAGAATAAGAGGAAGGGTGGTGCCGGCGGTGTGCATCCGGCTGCGGCTGCGGCTGCGGTCGCAGCGCCTGATGCGAATAACGATGATGAGAGTGCGCCGAAGGGCCCTGTGCGGTCGAAAGGGAGGAAGAAGGCGACGAGCTATCTTGATGAGCTTCTGGCCGAGCGTGCTAAAAAAAGAAAGAAGAAGTGAGGCTCTTGCGGTAATTGGGTTCAATACATGTTACGCATAAATTTGCGCGAGCATTCTGGAAGAGCTGTGATCTTGGGTCCCTTCGGCGCTGGACGCGAAATGGGGCTCTTGATACTGGCTTGGGACCTAAGCATTTCAGCAAAGCCGAATGTTTGCCAATACCGCTGGCTATAGCGGAGACTTCAATGCTCATCAATAATGGCTAGAAGACTGTCATTAGCGGGTCATCAGCTGCTATTTACCATTTCCAGATATTCAGATACCAAGCATGATCAAAGACTGCAGAGTAACCAATGGTTTCGATGGATAGAGGAAATAGGCAATATAAAGTACAATACAATTCAATCTCAGTCTTGCTCTAGGTGCCACAAGATTCAATGTTTTTTTTTGCTCCGCCCAACCCAAGGGTATATATGATATGCTGTTTGAACGAAGTATGGATCCGGGGCCCTGTCAGTCCAGGCGCCGGGATTTGCAGGCCTCCACCAGAATTAAATATCCAAAAATGAGAAAAGAGACATCTACAGGCACAATTAGAAATGTTGAACAGAGCAAAGAGCACATTCCACTGAAACCCTTTGCTCTGGTCCATGGTACATATGCAGGTCAGAAGAAGAAAAGGAAGAAGGGGAGAATGGGGTGGGCCGGTCCAAGATGTATACAATTGATCGCTTGGACAAGAAACGGCGCCAGAATTAGAATGGATATGCTGACATCGCATTTATTCTAGCCGTTTCCGCTTGCGATCTTCTAACATTGCCTGCTGGTCCTCGTCGGGTCTTTCGGCGGTGTCAGCGGGATTGAGCAACGAATGAACGTTGCTCGCCATGCTGGAGCGACGCGTTGCAGGCAATGAAGACCCAGGTGGGAATCTAGAGTTCCCGAGTGTCCAACCGTTGTCAACGCCTAGCATGGATGGTGAAGGTTCGGCAGTTGGGGGTGTGGCATGGCGGGACTGTTCTTGGAGACGGCGGGGAGCACCCATTTCGTATTGGGCGAGGACATCACGAACTTGTTGGTCACTAGAGACCGGGGTTTGGTGCCCCGGAGATGGAGGCCAAGGGCCACTGGGAAGGTTGCCAGGCGGGTAGGGAGAGCCGGCTGAGGGCGACCAGCCGTGTTGGCGTATATCGGCAGAGGTGTGGCGCCGGGCTAGACTGGGTCCTGGGGAAGTTGAGACTGATAGAGGATGAGGCATTGGTTGCTGTGGGGGTGCCGGTACAGGGGGTTGCGGCCGAGCGTATGTTGTGGAATTGGCGCCGCCAATCGAACCATAGCGGCGAGGGGATACTGATAGGTGAGGAGGGACGGGAGGTCGGATCATGTTGTTGGGTCTAGGTGTGGGGTCCATCATGGATTGTCGACGGGAATCATCCTGGGGCATTTGGCGTGGAGATAAAGGTGGACCGGGATCGGCCATGTTGGCGAAATAGGGCTGCCGTGGGGGCATAAGCGACTCGTGGGGAGTTTCGAGGGCGCGGACGTTTTCAATGTGTTTCTCAACTTCTCGTTGCATGCTCAAAACTGGAGGTTGTTAGTGTGCGTGACCATGGATTTGTGGTGTAAAAGTTGACATACCATCGCGAAAGAGAGGACTTTCTCTTTCGGGTACAACGGCCTGAAGGAAGCGTGAGATAGAATGCGTCCACTGAAGTCAAAACATTAGCACCGAGACACCCTGCGCCCAAGTTGATGGAGGACATACTTGGTAGCATTTTGTCAGACTCTCGGTCATAGCCTGACATCTCGAGCTTAATGTCATGTTGCTCTCTTCCGCTCGGGATAACCGCGCATGCATATCAAATAGCGTGTGTTCAAGATTCATGAATCTAGCTTCGGTCGCATCGGGCACGGGTTCGGCAGGTGTACCAGGTTGTGAAGTAGCAGCTTTGTGTCCGGGGAACGAATCGCGATGGATAAGGGCATGCCTAGAGGCACGGCGTTTAATCTCTCGTAGACCAGCTAGATCACCTCTTTTGAAGTTGCCATTGCCATGTTTAAACTCCCAGAGGGCAGAGTCCGGGGACCCTGTGTGAAACACATCGCTCACTGGCACACAATAGTCAGAAGCTGTTCAATCGAACCTAGCGGGCTGAATCACCTACCTTTATGAAATCCATACATATTTAGCTGTCGGACGAATGAGGAGATATTGGTGTGCTTGAAGTACGAGCTGCGAGGGTCAGCAAAGCCTCATTGGTAGAGAGTATGGTACTCACGCGAGTACTTTGGAGAATTCCGAGGTGGGCGACATAACAAAGCTATCGTTCGTACCCGACCAGGAAATGAGATGTTGAATGCTGGGATCTTCTAACATACTGTTCCAACGGTAAGCTCCTTGCTCGGAGGAAAGCGCAGGCCGACAACATACTTGTAGAGCTTGTGAATGAATGCAGTTTGAACGACTTTCGGTTGTTGAGCTGCAGCTGCAGCACCGATGGCCGGGTTAGGGACACTCAAGGAATTGTTTCCTTCAGCACCATTGGTAATTCCGCTCATTCGATCGCCGTCGGGGCTACCATGCGCGCCCGCGGGCGGAGGGGTGCTATCCATTCTCGAATGCTGACCGGACGAGGACAGAACGGGGATGTTTCGTGTTCTACCGGGGGCATCTGAAACCCCGGCGAAAGAGATTCTAGAGTCGGCGAGTCGACTCATGTCGGAGGTGAAGGAGCTGAAATTGGTCGGAGTGGGTGCGACGGGAGCGTGAGGGGTGCTAATTTGGACGCGATGGGAACCGTTTACGCTCGTGCCGAAGAACGTGGGAAGGGTGTTATATCGGGGAAAATCAACCAAAAGTCGATATTTCTGTCATTATGCCACAAGATTTAGAATGAAATAGAAATAATAAAGAAAAAGTGAAAGTGAAAGGGTCGAGTAAACTGTAGAGAGAGAAAGAAGAAGAAGAAGAAAATAATAGAAAAGGAAGATGTCAAAGATGTTCTGGAAAAAAAAGAGCTGCGGGGGGGGAAGGGGGCAAGAACAGCTTCAGAGAAGTTGTACAGGGATAACTTCAGTTATATTATAAGAAGAAAAGAAAAGAGACAAAAAGAGACAAAACAGACAATGCATGAACCCGAAGAATAGAACGATGTGGAAAATCGATCATCTCCAGTCAAATTAGAGAAAAGGGGTGAAGAATGATTCTAACTATTTTACTGGCACTACGCCTATTGGCTTAGATTAGGATTGAGAAGACTATATAGTTATGTGTAGTACGTGCATTTTATGAATGTTTAATCAGATATAACTTCTTCAGGGCCCTGTTTTATACACTTATAACACAATTTTATACATACGTACATACTGAATTCTATGCATTTTCTTTATTTTCAATGTTATAACGATATAGTTACTATTTTTTACACATACTAAGAATTCTAAAATAATCATTACTTCGGTATTCACATATTCGTAGATCCATCCGAGAATTTTCTGAAAATTCAATTATCCTATCGCTCATGCTCCGTCTACGGGTGTAATGCGCACCCATTGGCCAGGGCTAGTATGCTCATAGGTTCGTGATTAAACTGATAGGGGGCTTCCTCGGAGTGGTAGGAGGCTTCCATGCCTCGTCAAAAGTCCAGAGAAAGGTTTGATCATGCTGCGAGCATATAACAAACTCATCATCTCCCTGCATCTCCAGAGGATACATCATATGTTGCTCCCATTCCGCTACCATGACCTTTCTGGGACAAGAAGCTAAATCAAGATGATACTTCACAGCTCCTGCAGGTACGGTAGAAACCATCTGCTGTTCGAAACCAATGTACAGCTCATGACTGTTTGGTATCCGTTGGCCATACACCAGTTCCTGGTCTAAGTAGCATGGTGGAAGGAAACACCAGCCAAACCATGTGATTGAGTGTGCAGCAACAGTATCATCGATATCTAGCGAGAAATACACCGTTTCATGGGGTTCAACGTCGCCTTCTCGAGCTTCTGTACTCATTTCTATCGTCGTGAAAGAGGATTGGCCGGCGCGAAACAGAATTCTTTCCTCGAATCTAATGTCCCATCCCTTGGGAAGAGAGATAAGAGATGAAAGGTCATGGTGTTGCAATGAAACGCTCTGAAGCCGGTCGCCCTGAAGCGAAATTCTCTGGACTTGCAGCTGATATCCCTCCCATTCACGATGATCCAATTTCCCGTGAGGTACATGTTGACCGTCCTTCTTTTGAATGCAAATCATAGATATTTGGCTCTCTGATGCATGAAGAGACATTGTAAGAATGTGATCTTGAAAAATGGCTGTGTGAGCAAGACCAGAAAGAAAAGAGAAGTGTATGATTTGGTTGCGATAATGGAAGACCACATTGACTCCATTGACCATAACGCGGAGGAAGTTCGTTGAAGACAAGCGAAATGACTTGTGTTGGTCCGTTCGGACATTCCAGACATGACAGTGCCTATTAAACTAAGGTCAGGGCCTGTCCAAAATAGTGCTTTCCATACGACATACCCTCGTATCGACACAGCTGTGACCAGATCAGCTGACACTTGAACCACTTCCAATAATTCACGGTTCTCAGTGGTGTACCGTTTGAGTTGACCAGTTCTCAAAAACAGCAGGTAGAGAAAGTCGTCTTCAGTATTGGAGAGCCATGCAAGCATTCCGTCACAATAAGAGAAACACCTTACTGAGTTTGACTCAAAGTCAAAGCAAGATTCTAACTCAACGAGAGCCGCGGGTCGGCCATGCTCCATGCGCCATCTTCTTTTAAGGATAGACTCAAGGCCAGAAACTGATTTGCACAGGGACAAAGTAGAGTATTTCCTTGGTATTGTTCTCATTTTAGACTGCAATACGGTGGAACAAGATAGAAGTTCCCTCCATCGCTTGGAGACCTGGATCTCATCAGCAAAATATATAAGTCACGATAGCAGACAGCACTTACTCTTCGATGTACAAAGATGTCTCCCAAGTCGAAATATTGAGCCACAAGGCATGCAATTTCCATGGGCAACTGGCCGAATATGTCGCGTTGAAACGTAAATTCTTTAATGTAACTACTGATCTCGTGCATCTCGCGAGGAGTTAAGGCTTGGAAGATGCCTTGGTAGCTGTTCTAAATCAGCCCCTGTTTCTACCCATAGTTCACATGACATACACAGCTCGACGGCTCTGTGAGTCATTGAGCGCAAGAAACCCATTCAAAATAGATTGGACAGATGCATCTGTGTTCATGATGAAATGAATGTTGTTTCGGTGTATGCTTGGCCCCGTAGTGGTCCGCATCCGAGTTCAAGAGAGGCAAAGACAAGAAAATGAGTCTGTGGTTTTTTTCTTCTATTCGGTAGCTCTTTTCCAAGATGAGATAGTAATGATAAAGAAAGAGGGTGAAAAGGTGCGATGTGCAATGAGAAAAACTAACGAGGTTGGGTTCCGCTGCAGCATGTCAAACGGCGACCAATCCCCTCCCACCCGGGCACAGATCTCGAAGTCTGCTCATTTCACCAAAATGTATTCATCAGGCGGTTGAACCTTGGAACACAGAATCGAGAATTTCAACCCCAATCTATTAAAGAGCTATACGTACAATACAACCTACAACATACGAAGAATCAAGATAACTATCAACTCTAACACATCCCTTCCGATTAGGAACTGATATAGATCATAGAAACACTCAAGAATACAGTGACAAAAGAAAATAAATGACACAGGAACAGGCGCAAAAGCATCAAGATGTCTAGATGTCACAGCGGCGGTTCAATTCAATTCGCCTCGAAAAAAGAAAATGCTCTATATTAGGTGACTTAAATACCCAGGGTGAACTCGACACCGACATCGATCTCGCGGGCCATCTTGACGACCTTGGAGAACTGGACGGACTTCTCGGCAGCGTTCTGGAGGTCTTCAATGGAGAAGATCTTCAGGCCGGACTCGTTGATAAGCTTGTGGGCCTGCTCCATGTTGGTACCCTGCAGACGGGCGACAATGGGAGTGCGGAGGTTCATCTCCTGCACAACGTTGATGAGACCCTGGGCGATGGCATCACAGCGGACGATACCACCGAAGATGTTGACGAAGACAGCGGAGACCTTGGGGTCGCTGGTGATCAGCTCGAAGGCGCTCTTGATGGCCTGGGGGGTGGCACCACCGCCGACGTCGAGGAAGTTAGCGGGAGAACCGCCGTTCAGCTTGATGATGTCCATGGTGGCCATGGCGAGACCGGCACCGTTGACTAGAATTCGGGGTTAGCATTGCGAGGGCTTTGGCTGACGGAGGAATTCTTACCGAGGCAGCCGATGTCACCATCGAGCTTGATGAAGTTGAGGCCGTGCCTGGAAAGTGACAAAGTCAGTAATTGTTGCTTCCTGCGTCCATCAATCAAAACTCACTCAGCAGCCTTGACCTCATCAGCATCCTCCTGGGAAACATCGCGCCACGAGAAAGCCTCCTTCTGACGGAACTCAGCGTTGTCATCGAAGCCAAGCTTGGCGTCCATAGCCAGAACCTGGTGGTCGGAGGTCTCGGAAAGGGGGTTGATCTCGAGCTGGGTAGCATCGCGCTCCATGAAGCACTTGTAGAGGTTCTGGATGGTGGACTTGGCCTCCTCAATGCACTGCGGGGAGAAGCCAAGGTCGGTAGCGATAGTGCGGGCGATCTCGTCAGTGACACCGACGTGGATATCGATGGGGGTGGTGATGATAGCCTCGGGGTTCTCCTTGGCGACAGCCTCGATATCCATACCTCCCTGGGAGGAGGAGACGATCACGGGGCCACGGGTGGTGCGGTCCAGGAGAACAGCAAGGTAGAATTCACGGCGGGCGAACTTGCGCTCACAAATGTAGACAGAGTTACAGATACGGCCACCGGCACCAGTCTGCTTGGTGACGAGCTTGTGACCGATCATCTGGCCAGCGAACATCTTGGCCTCGGTAGGACTAGGTATCTATCAGTTTCATTGCGCGTCCTAGTTTCAATTTTGTTGTATACTCACGAGTAGATGACACGGACACCACCCTTCAGACCGTTGTCGAAGGTACCCTTACCACGGCCACCGGCAAGAACCTGGGCCTTGATAACGAGATCATCACCACCTGCTAATGTTCAGCAATCGCGTTCGAAAGGGAGGATCAAGTTGGAATTACCGATGGACTTAGCAATAGCCTCAGCCTCTTGGGGAGTGTTGGCGACCTCACCCTGGGGGACACCGACACCGTACTATATTGTTGATCAGCGAACCGAGTCCGGTTTTTTTTTCTCGGGCGCCCGAAAGAGAAACGCGGTTCCACATACCGACTTGAGAAGCTTTGCGGAGAGGTACTCGTGAATAGAAAGGTTACGCTTCTGGACAGCGAGGCGGCTCTGGACGGCGGGTTGCTATATTCCATCATCATCGTCAGTAAATATTCGAATGTACCGGGCGCGGTCCTATCAAGGTACACTCACCGTCGCAGCCTTGAAGGCCGCGGCAACGGGACGACCACGGGCGAATCTGAACATGATGGAGTATTAAAAGAGGGGAGAGGAGAGGTATAAAAGGGCACAAGCAAAAATGGCCCTGGACTGAATATGGGGGTGGTAAAGGGTCGGTACGGGGAGAACAGCTTTCTTTTTCACGGCGTTCTCTTCGGGATGACATTGAGTCGCGGTAAAACCGGGTGCCTGGACCAATCAGAGTGCGGTATTTACCTTACCTCAGCAAGTACCGGGGCCAACGCGAATATAATCGGAATCGCTTCTGTTCATCGGCACTTTGTTTCTTTGCTTTCTTACGGTTCTTGTGCTTCTTTTTGAAGGTTTTGATCTGAATCAACACTGTTATCCTCAATTTCTTCATCTGTCACTCTATTTTGGCAATGAAATAACTCCAACACAACCTGCCAAGTTCCCCCTTATTTGCCTGAGGCATTTTTGATCTTCCATAGTTTGAACATTTTAGTCATGAGCCGACCAAACAGTCCCGACCATGCCCAGCCTCCCGACAACGTCCAAATCAACCAGCTAGCACGACCTTCCCAAATCCAGTTCTTACGACCTTGAGCCCAAGGCCACAGCCAGCGCCACGGTGCCGATCCATATAGTACTTGCGAAACGACGCTACGGGCGTAAGTATCGTTCGGCATGGCATTATGCTGGCTGTGCTTCACGCGAGTGAGATACTCGGTCTCAATGGGGGTATATAAAGAACCCGGCTGGAGAGTGCGATCGGTTCGCGCAATACGCGATTGAACACCACCGGTCACAATGGTTGTGACATGGACGCTGTTGTCTCGTCAGAAACCTTGAACATCAATAGGACTTCTGGGGGATATCAAACGTACCCGAATGGGGCTAGCTCCACGCGAAGAGTATCACTGAACGAGTGCAGTGCTGCTTTGGAGGCGTTGTAGACAGAACCGAACACGTACGGGATGATCTAGGACATGTTAGTTCTAGATACCCAAAGTCGCGCGGGTCGTAGACTCACCCCGGCCACAGAGCCAATTTGGACAATAGTACCCTTCGCCTTGATCAGCAAAGGCAGGAAAGTCTGGCACATAGTAATGACGGCGAACAGATTGGTCTCAAATGTCTGGCGAACCTCGGAGAGCTCTGCTTCCATAGCTGGAACGGTGTAATCTGTATCAATCAGTATCTGGCACAGATATTTCATCGAGGTCGTATAAACAAGAGGTTACATACTTCGACCACTGTTCCAAGGTTCTTCGTTAGTCAAGAGAACCTAAATACCGTCCACAGATAAGGCATAGAAAACTCACGCATTGTTAACGAGGTAATCGAGGCCCTTATTCCCAAGCCTTTTCTCAACATCCGCGAAACACACTTTAACGCTCTCCGGGTCATCAACTGTAAGGCTAAGGGTTTCAATTCCGAGGTCGGCAAGATCAGAGATAGTCGCGGCATCGCGAGCAGTGGCTAGCACGCGCAGTCCCTTGCGGTTAAACTCGCGCGCGAGAGAATTTCCAATGCCACCAAGGGAACATCTACAGTAGGCTTTAGCTGTTGTTGATATCACCTTCTTGTCAACAGTTGCAAGTCACATACCCCGTGATAAGCACCGATCTGCGAGTGTCGGTCACTTCTGTCATGTTGCAAATATGAGAATCTAAAGCTCAGCAGATAGGGATAGTAGAATTGTTGTTCGTATTCAAGGACTTTACGTTGTAAAGAACAGTGGAGACTTAAAAGATGCCTCGGCCTTTTCACTTCACAGGCATATTTCCAAAAAGGCTAGATGTATTCAATGTAACTTTACGGTATGTTTAACCCAAAGTTGCTTTTTATCTGTGACGGAATATTGATACTCCCGTAACGAAGTGTTTTACATTACACATGTACTCATCATCCCATCATGTCCACGGGTTTGACTGCATTATTGGATCAATTGACCTCATATAGGTAAGCACTTAATCGCAGTGTATAAAGCACTGTAGTGATTGGTTTCCCAATCCAATATTCTGGATTCCAAAATAAGATCTCTAGGTACCTTTCACATAGGGATTACGTATAAGAGATACACAAAAATACCTATATACGGTGGAATATCTTAAAGCGCAAATTAGATAGGAGCAACTATAGAGGTGAGAGCGCTGAGGTGCTAATAAGTTAATCTAACCGCCCCCTACCTAGCTAACTACTTTGCATCTTTCTACCTATGTAGTCAAGATATTTGCATTCATATATATGATGTACCATTCATGTGTGCCTATCATAGAATATACCTAAAATCGTATTCTGTACTAAAAGCAAGCCTTGAATTGGGATATGGCCGGCGACCGCAAGTCAGATCTGTCGACTGCCAAGGATAAAATATAAGTGTCGTTCTAAATGATCTATACTATCGATTGTTTCGCGATATGCAAGGCTTCCCATAGTACATGACAGCTAAACTCTATCAAGCATACCAATCATAGCACTGTTATGCTAGATCTTCAAATGTTTGCATTGTTCCTTATGATATAGCTCTATTCACCACTGAAACCCATGATTATCCTAACCCTTTCTCTGATCTACCGCACGGCATACTTAGATGGTTCACTTGTCGGTATAGATTTTGGACCAATTCCATACAATTCAAACTATAATTGGTCACACACGAATCATCTACAAATGTATCATAATTTTCAGAATCGGCACCTTCAAAACAGAGAGATTTACCCTATTTCATTGCTTCACAAGTGGGGGCGACGTGCCGATTCCCGAAGAGACGTAAATTCAGCAAATGACATAGCCGGATAACCTGTTTCCCGCTAGTGTCCGGACGACGATCACTGGGATTTCCATCTATTTTGTCCAATCTTGTACAATCTTGTAAGATCCATGCGCAAGAATTCTCACATTAGTGAAATGATTATGCCGGTTGGACTACCGCCTTATACCATCCATGCTGAGATCATCAATTCAAGGTACTTCTGGAGATTTTTGTCAGTCCCCACATTAATGCCCGGCAATCTTCAATCCCAGCGAGCCATCGTCTTCTCCACGGAGACAGCAATTCGATCGGCCGCTATTATTTAATTAAACAGGGCTGGCTTCGACAGAAACCTAAATTTGAGCCTGATTTTTTTTTCTCTCGCAACAGCATCTCATTTGCTACGATATACTTCTATCGTCGTCCATGCTATATTATCTACAAACAGCAAGATACCGCGGAACAAGCGGGGAAGCCATCTTGTTTACCGGGTTTGCATATGATCTTTAAACCCGTTCGCAGTTGAACCAGCCATGGCCACTGAAGATGAAGAAGATCCTCCCCGGCACATGCGAATTCCCGGCGAAGATGGATATCGAACACCAACCATCGAAGACGCAGAGCGGGCGCTCTCTATCCTAGGCGCTATCCCAGAACGTCCCGTTAGCCAAGTGCGCGAGGCACATTCCAGTGCCTTAGAGGCAGCCCTGCAAAGAGCCTCATCACGGGCGACTGTTAAATCTGAGAAACCGAGTAAAGACAACGCCTGTCATGAACATAATGGCCTGGGTCTATTCGGGCTTCGGCGCACAGTATCCGGCGAGCTCAGCTGGAAAAAGCGCATTCGACATGTTACGTGGGCGTATTTTACGCTTACTATGGCCACTGGCGGGCTAGCCAATGTTTTATATCAAGGTGCGTGGTTTTGTATTTTTCGCTGTGGAGATCTACTGACAATAACCAGTTCCTTTCCGATTCAAAGGTTTGGATACCATTGGAGTTGTTGTTTTCTTAATAAATATCGCTGCATACCTCATTATCTGGGCTCTTTTGCTTGTTCGATTCTATCACTACCCCTACACATTCAAAGCGTCTTTTATGCATCCAACAGAATCACTATTTGTGCCCGCATCAATAGTATCTTTCGGGACAATCCTAATCAACATATCGCAATATGGACCGGAAAATACAGGCCCATGGTTGCTGCGCGCATGTTGCATATTATTTTGGATCGACGCCGCTCTCGCCGTGATGTTCTCCGCGGGCATTTACCTCCTTTTATGGTCAACACAGACATTTACCATCGCCCAAATGACTCCGATCTGGATCTTTCCTGCCTACCCAATGCTTATTATCGGTCCGCATGCTGGAATTCTCAGTGGGAAGCTTGATCCGGCCGAGTCTCTGCCTGTGATCATTGGCGGTACGACTATCCAGGGCGTGGGGTTTTTGGTTTCGCTGATGGTTTATTCGGCCTTCATTTACCGACTGATGACACAGAAGCTTCCGAGGGAGAACATTCGTCCGGGTATGTTTGTCTCTGTCGGACCGAGTGGGTTCACGGTCGCGGGACTTGTAAATATGGCTGCCGAGGCGAAGAGGTCTTTTCCCGTGGATTTCATGGGCAATGGGGCGTTGGCCGCCGATGTATTGAAAATTGTTGCTGATTTTTCATGCTTGTGGTTGTGGGGGTATGTTCATCTTTTTCCATTTTGTCTACTCTTCTAACTCTAAAATAGATTGGCGATATTCTTTTTCATTATCGCAAGTGCAGCTCATTGGTCCGCTATTGGGCATGGGCGTATGGTCTTCTCGATGACCTGGTTTTCGTTCGTTTTCCCAAATACCGCACTGATCACCGCTACTTTTGCCATTGGAAAGGCGTTTTCTTGCAAGGCTATCAATATCATTGGGTGTGTGGCAGTACTTCCACTTCTGTTGATGTACTTCTTCGTTTGTTATATGATGATTCGTGCCATCTTGACACGGCAGATTCTCTGGCCTCAGAAAGGCGAAGATAGAGATGAGGGTGGCTTTGAGATTCTTCGGGTTAAATCCGCCGCTTTGGCTGGTGACAGTAGTTCTAGCCCTGTATAGAACAATGGAACACTTATTGCGATCTGCGATTGTGATTCTTAGTTCGGAGAACTTCGACTTCAACTCTACTCTTTCTATCTCGGGATATCAAAGGACTGTCTTTGGGGTTTTGCTGATTGCTAAACAACCTGTCTTCGTCTCATAAATAGCAATATAAATAATTTGGGTGTCCAACATTTGTGCGTGTGGTTCGAAACTGTCAAGAATACCTAATGATTAATCTTAGGAATTGATGATTCTCATAGACCACTGAATCCTCAATTTATACAAGCATTTGACCTATCAAAGTCCAATTCTTACCTATCAAACAAGAAACTAAACACATCCCCAACCCTAAATCTTATAGAATATCTACAAATGTGGATGAATCGGCAATCTTGTCCACCTTCACTATAAAAGAAGACAGATATTTTATGCAAAAAGCATACCAGAGCAATAAAGCGTCCTCTTCCGTATATTACGCGTGGAATCACATTGCATTCAAACAAACTTCGAACTCCCGGATTGAACTTGCACATACACCTAGGTAGCACCAGCTTCGCATAAGTTCTATGCATAACATGACCCGAGTAATGTTGCGCAATACAAAGAAAATTAAACCAAACTTTATCCGTCAATTATTCTGAGTCAACTTCTCTGTCGATTCGATGAGCCCTTCGTGAGTGCTCATCCCTGTTGTCCTTTCGGTTGAACAGTCTGTTACAGTTTGCATATGAGCATTTGAAGGACTGGGGTGAAACATGCTTTGTTTCCAAGTGTCGCATCACAGATCCTTTCGTAGAAAAGAGCTTCTTGCAATCCTTCCATTCACATGTAAAAGGACGGACCGAACTATATAAATGGATCCAGGTTAGCAAAATTCATAGGCAGTATGCTTGTCGAAGCTTGCAACCTACTCGGATTCTTTTCTTTCATTGGAAATTTGGGGAGCTTTGTGCTTGAGTGCCTCGGGATGGTTGTGTGTTTTTTCCAAACAACCTGTAGAGGACATTTGTGGCATTCCATGAGACCAGTTGGCATTGTGCTGAGTGGCAACATCCAACACGGATGCTTTGGGCTCGCTAGGAGTGGTCGAAGGATGGTTTGCCCTGCCGGAATCGATGCTATGAAGCTCAACTCCACCCAAACCTATTCGGGCAGACGAATCAGGTTGAGGGCATTGGATCAGAGAGTCATAGAAAGAATACCCTGTGAAGAAAGTCGGTATGTTCTCGACGAGAGCAGATGATGGGTTCCCAATGAACTCCTGATCATACTTCAGATCCTCAGTTTCCTGGCCAGCTTCACCAAACAAAGGGCAGTCCCCTGTGAAGCTGTTGTATGATGTCCACGCCATAATGGAATATTGAACAAGGTATGTAGACATTCAGCGAAGGTAGAACTTATATGTACCATGTAACAATATTAAAATATCAAAGATATACAGATCAAACAAGGTGTATTTGTATTCTACCATGTAACACTGTTGTATTACAAATTTCAAGATATACAGATCAAACAAGGTGTATATATATTCTACCACGGTGATAGCGCGGGATCTAACGTGGGGCGTCAGATTTAAGCACCAATCAATCAAGACTTAGAAGCATGTTTCGACTCGACAGCTGTCATATTCCAGGTAAATTACGAATTCGGCGTATCCGTCGTTACCGCATATTGGATAATAAGTAAACACCAAGCTCTACAGCGGTGTGCACTGCCTCAAATTGCCAAGAAATGCCCAGGTGACAGGCCTAGATTCACCCAATAACTAGGTAGGAGACAATTATTCGAAAAGGGATTGCAAGCTTTGCTTATTGTTGACCAATATCGCTGTTCTACTACTTCCAAGGTTGTAAATCGCTTGATTGAATAATTTATATCTATTATATATAACCTCCCCGACAATAATGTCATAATGGAGGGCGAGGCAAACGTACCTGGTGTTTCTGTCTATGTTCGAGCTGTATTTCCTCCAAACCAATTGATCCAAAAGTCAAGATCCAAAATCCAAGTCCAAAAACCCAAAAGTAGACCAAGAAGCCCAAGTTGGAAAAACAAACCCCAGTTCAAAAAACTGCAAAAAATGGACCCGCCGGGAATTGAACCCGGGACCCCCCGCATGCGAAGCGGGTATTATACCCCTAAACCACAGGCCCATTTGTTGGCAGGAGTTAGCCTTGTTTATTTCATGATTGAAATAAATATAACCAGAATTAGCCACTGATATCAAAGCCCTAATCCCAAGGTAAAGAGACTCATGCATATAATCAAAAAATTGAAATTTTGCAAATAACCTGAATGTCATTTAAACTGACGAGCCTTGCAGTTAGTAGATGTATCCTCTTTGCCAGAAAATACACATTTTCTGGATTTCAACAACGACATACGTGCGGTACCTGGCTGCTTTGCATTGCGGTATAGTTAAATCTAACTTGTCATGGGCATACACGGAGAGAGTCATTGCGGCCTGTTTTAGACAGATTCTGAAGCCTTAGGGCCATGTCATCAGGATTGGCGATTGTGGAGGGGGCTGTTGTGCCGCTCATCATGGGATGACAGAAGGCACTTTTGGCGGCCTGGTAGAATCTTCCGACGTGAGGGATTTCTTCTTCTTGGCGGGACGTTGCGAGGGTGATTCATGCTTGAGGAGATCTAGCAAAGCTCCCTCAATACGAGCTTGTTGATCTCGCACACTGGAAAAGGCGCCAATAAGGATTGAACTGTCGGGTTGAACAACCCTAAATTGATCAATATGGCCCAGAAACCGGTGCGAGTCTTGATATTGTATGCAAAGTAAACAACAATGGGCCGGAACTGCAGAGAGAAGAGAAGATCTTGGTACAGCTTTGCCTAACAACATATCAATTAGCATTAGAAAATATCTAAACGCTGTATGTAGCCCTTTTATATAAACATAGAGAGTTGGTGACAAGTAAAGAACTCTCGGGTAAACCTGAGTTAGTTCACACCATGTTGAGCCCACTGAAATGAGACGAAATGCCTACTACACCTTCATTTAATCGTCAAAAGACAACTGGAAGTAACAGTAAAGTAAGAACAAAGTAAAGAGAAACCTAAGTGAAACTGAAAGCAATTGCATTGTACTCAAGTACAGGGGTATCTAATCAAACAAAAAATCCAACAAACCAACAAAAGACCGACATCACAGAATTTTGTATCCCACCTCTCCTCTCTCTCATCACAAGAGTCAACCCTCAAAAGCCCCCCGTTGGCTCATCCTTGGGCTTCAAATTGAGCCCCAGGGAGGGTGAATCACCACCCCCACTCCCCATCTTTCCCTTCTTCTTTGACTGTGGGGACTTCGAAATGCGCCCCGAGCCCATCATATCCTCCGAACCACCGGACGACTTTCGGCCGCGAGACACACTCCGGTCCCGCGAAGGCATCCGGAGGAGCAAACGCTGCACACCCTTCTCCACCGTATCGGGAATCTTGGGCACCGGGGGCCGCTTCTGCGGGCTTAGTCCCCGGCGCGGGGTGCGTGCCTTGCGCCGGGAGGCGACCACGGACGGGGATACCTCGTGAGAGGCGTCGGGCATAGTTGTCGCCGCGACAGTGGTCTTGGGGGTTTTTCGGGTGCCGCGGCGAGGTGTGGCCGGGCGGGGAGTTGCTGGGGCCGGGGTCGCGGCTTTGGGAGGTTTGCGGGCGCGCAGTTGCCGCTCGGTGAGTGCAGCGCGGGCAAGTTCGGTATCTCGGAAGCTCTGGGTCTGCCGGTTGGGAATGAGCTTCTTGTTGAGCTCAGCTGCGGCGACTGCCCAGGGGACTTCTGGGGCGAGTGGAATGTTGAAGTCAGCGTCCCCTGCTGACTTGCGGTCTCGCCCGGGCGTCACCACTTTCGCCGTGGAGGATTCGGTGGATGCGAGGTAAGTGGTTGAGGTCTTAGTGCGCCGTTTCCCGGGCATCATTGCGGCATCCAGCTCGTTGAGGTTGGTTGCGGACCACCACTCGGGATTGTAGGTGTATGGAAGGGTGGTCGCTTTGGAGAGCTTGGATGCTGGTCCAGTCCCTTCGCTCAGACCAGCCAGGTGACTGAGGACACCAGAGGACAGGGCGCGGTCACTGTAGCCGCCTTCCAGAACGCTGATGACACGCCCATCGACGCCAAGTCCTTCTTCCTGGGACATGCGAACAACATCGGCAGTGAATCTGGCGTAGAATTCCGTAGGCACATTCACCACGTGGCGCTGCATTCCGCCGCCTTCCCACTCGCTTGCATCAAAGCCAGCAGAGATGAAAATAGCAGCCTTGGGAGGAGGTGAAGCTGGGTTTTTGGCGTGAGCCTCAGCAAGCTCCTTCGAGTGGTGGCGCAGGAATTTGCGGGCTTTGGTGAGTAAGGTGACGTATTTCGTGTTGTACAGTTTCCAGAATTTCTCTGTAGAATCCCATTCTTCAAGATGAACGTTCCAGATGGATTGATTGTGTGCGCCATCAATACAGAGGCTAGCACCGAAAACCTTTTCGCGTTCACCCCACTCACAAGGAAAGGAATTGATATCGTGAAGACTATAGTAGCCGATTGGAGCCTTGCCATAGGGAGAGAGATTTTTGAACTCAGTCAGCTCCGGCGAATTGTGTTTTGCATAGTGAGCTTGCTGCGCTTTGGTGAGGATTTTCGAGTTGTGCTCAAAGGCGATATCCTGAGATCCATCACCGTGGTGGAGATCGAAATCCAGGATGGCAGCATGGGTAAGTCCGTGGGTTGTAACTGCATGAGAAATGCCGACGTGAACATTATTGATCCAACAGAAGCCGGAGGGAATATCAGATGAACAGTGATGACCAGGCGGCCGAATACAAACAAAGACACGCTCAATGGGGCCGGGGTTGAAGACAGCATCGACACCTTCACAGACACCTCCCAACGCTCCTTCAAAGGCATTGAGGGATTCGGCACAAAGATAAAGATCATTTTTAGACAGCTCAGGTCCGCTCATAGCCAGACCATCGTTGTTCATTGTGTGTTGCCGGGCCACTTCGAGTTGCTCTTGTTGAACCCGTGTGTCAGCGATTGCAGTCATCCATTTTAATTCTGACATCCATTTGATTCCGTGGACATTCGTAACAGCAGTTTCAGCTAGATGAACCTTGCGATCAGTGTTGACAATCCGAAATGGGAAATCCAGTTCATCCACAGGCACATGGGGGTTTGGTGCGAATCGCTCTCCGGAGTGTCGAAGGCCGAGGCGGACGTATGCCATAGAAACTCCAATTGTACAGGCGCGAATGCGCTCCGGTCTCTCAACATACGTTTGGAGATCACTTTTGCTTGTATTGAGACGAGAAAAACGATGTCCGTAGCAGTCATCATGCATTATAACAGCAACTTTGGTGCATAAATCGACAGATTTGTGTAGCTCGAGTTCTTGTTCGAAGTGTTCGGCCGCAACAGACGCGGGAGTTGGGACTGCAGGCTCCGGAGCCGGACCGAAAGCGAGGCGAGCAGAAGGCATTGAGGGAGACACAGTGGTCGTCGGAGACCCCGCGGACTTGGGAGATGTGCGACGTGGGTCAATTGGAGAAGTAGGCTTGAAAGCTCCGGAGACTGAGCGAAGAGACGCAGTAGACTTGCGCTTTTGTAACGCGGGGAGTGACTTGCGGCGTTCGTCTCGGGCAGAGGAACCGTTTGATTGAAGAGGAATAGCAGGAACAACAGGAGCAAGTCGAACAGGAAGTTGGGATGAAACATTTAAAAGACGTGGGGATGGAGGTAACGGTGTTGATGTCGCTGTCGCCAGAGTCATGCGATTCAGGGACTCGGTCAATTCACAATGCGATTCATCAACTGAGTTATTGTTGACATTGTTCCCGAATGGAGACGGGTCCCCTTGAGTGGAGGGGAGCTTGGGCGGGTCCATTTTGGCATCGACTTCATTCACGAAGATGGAAATCAATTATTATGGATATGAAGAAGAATAAGAAGTTGGAAGACTGGATACAGTCGTAGCTGAATAGAAGTAGTTGAATAGGAGACAAAGGAAGCAAATAAAACAACGGAAACCAAGAAAGGGAGTGGGGGAAGTTCACATGTTTTGCGCGTCCACATATGGGGCAAGGGGTCAGCAGATCATCCATACCATTGACAACTATAACATTGAACACATAACAGAGACATACTAGAGCATAACAGAGCATTCTTTATTAAATTTTCATTTTTGAACTAGAAAATTGTCTTACTATGATATGTAAAAGGATTATATCTATCTTTGTTTCTTTTCTCTTTTTCTGGTGGTTTCTACTAGGATCTTCATACCTAATGTTAACTATAGCATATAGTTACTTGACGATCTGATAACAGTAGAACAATAGAAAACCAAAGGAACTATAATTTTCTGGTAGTACCACACTTTTCGTAGTAGAATACTGAATATAAAAACATAATAATAAGAGCAATAAAAGAATCGAATCTCATGTAAATCATAATCTCCCCAAATCCCAAAATCCTGATAAAACTCCGTAAACCCGCAGAATTCTATCCACCCAAAACACCAAAGCTGAAAAAAAATAGCCAAAGGCAGGGAAAAAAGTCATGAATCAGATGCAGATATCATTAACGCGACCTCAGTCCCCGCCACTGATACCACTGAAACCAGCGGCGGCCAAGGGAAGCCTTTTCATCCATAGACTCCTGAGACCTGCGGCGTAACTTATTTTCTTCCTTGCGGGTCTGGTTCTCGGACTTGAACCTGCAGGTTGCGTGTGAGTTGCAGAAGCAGTGCATATGCACAGTTTCGACGCTGACGCCCGGACAGCTGTTGCGGCGGACGCCGGCGCAAGCGCTGTTGCCGGCATCTTCTTCGCATTGGCACCATTCGTAGAGTGTGAAGTATTGGCGACACATGATGAATAGATGTGATTATGATGCTTTTGGAACTTGGAAATTTTGCAGATTGGCTTTTGGATCAGTTCCCAATGCGGTTTGACTGGTAAATGGTCGATGTGATGTGTTTGTTCCGTTTCGGGAAATGGGTGATGATTGTGAGATGTGTCGAGTTGTCAACTGTAGATGACCAATGTTGGTATGGCAATGCAATCGAGATGCCAAATGCCGTGTGATGTGTTAATGCGGCGTTATAGCTCCAGCTACTAGGCCTATGTGGAAAGTCCAGCAGAGTATGGTGTAGAGATAAATATGGTCAGTGTACCCAGGGGTCAGTCCAGCTGAGATGAGAGGGCAATGGCTGGAGATGGTATGGGGTGAAGTTGAAGAAGTTCAGTGAAGAAATAATCCACGAGGGGGGATGTCAGCACATATTAAGCTATTTGGGGTCCCCAAGCGTCAGAGATCAGTGGAGTAATGATGAGTGAATACTAGTCATTGACTGGTTCTATGAATGGAACCACGGCTATTGATTGGTCCTGACGTCAAAGACGCTGTTATTAATTCTTTTTTTAAATTACTATAGAGTAATTGTATTATAGATTATAGGTTCATACACTATTCCAGTACTAGTGGCTCAATATCCTGTTGGGTCTTATCCCCATCCGTCAGCCTGAGCTACGGGTTACATCTGACACGGCGAACCAGGTCGTATTTTCGTAGCCGAGGGCGCCTTTTTTGCTTGGTACCACTAACCCTGGACAGGTAGTCAACAGCTAGCTAGTAGTACTGGCAATTAAGAATAGTGAACTTGGCGCCCAGATGGAGCCTTGAAGGAAGTAGTGCTCTGTATGGTCTGAGGTAATGAAAATACGGTCTTGGCTGGAAGAAATAAGCCAGAAAAAGAAAACACAAGGCGGCTATTGTTCTGTTTCACCAGGTTCAACAAAGCTGTTTTGAAGATGACAATTCTGCAGCCTTATTGAAATAGTACAAATATTAAAAATAGAGACCAGACTTGCATCGAAGTAGTTTGAAACCCAACGGCGACAATTTGATCGACAAGAGTAGCCGGAAACCAGTCAGCCCTGACAGATTGGTCTGGGGCAGAGGGGATCCGCCCACTACCGGCGCTCCGTAGGGTTCCTTCTCCGAGCCTGCAATTCCGTGATTGGTGCAGTTAGTTGTTTGGCTTGCCGCCAGGAGTTCCGGGATTACCTGCCGGCAAGGTATTGGCTCCAGCAAACGATGAAATATAGAGTTGCAGTCAGATGACATTCCTGTCGGATAGATCGAGATGATCTCACCGTCAACTGTCGATCTTCAAGATTTTGAGACGCAAACGGAAGCCGTAAACTATGAGGCGTAGACCGGGCTGGACCTGTGGCTGTGGATTGGGCCAAGTCACGTGTCGCGGAACTCCCCGAGCTGGTGCCTGAGGCGGCTATCAAAGTCCGCTTTCTATAGCTCTCGGACTTGATTTGCTTCAACTGACCCCATTCGCAAGGTGTACATTTCATTACACACCGACAACGCCCACGGCAAAACACCGAGACAACACAACCAAGCACTACACAGACAATCATCTCAATCGCAACCCACTCCCAATATCAGGGCAACCAAACCCAATGACAACACCATCCGAACCCCCAAACATGGCAACACCCGCGCGGACCTCAGCCCTCCTCGCCAACCTGACCGCCGTATCCGCGCGCATCAGTGCAGCAGCACAGCAATCCCCAACCCCAGCCAAAGCAATCCGCCTGGTAGCAGTTTCAAAATTGAAACCTGCAAGCGACGCTCTAGCTCTGCACCAATCCGCCTCACAAGTGCACTTCGGCGAAAATTACCTTCAGGAGCTCCTCGAGAAATCCCGCCGCCTCCCTCCAACCATAAAATGGCACTTTATCGGCGGTCTCCAAAGCAACAAGTGTGTGACGCTCGCGCGGGACGTGCGCGGTCTCTGGGCCGTTGAGAGCGTCGACTCAGATAAGAAAGCCAAGCTCCTTGATAAAGGCTGGGGCGAGCGAGCAGAGGATGTCAAGGCACACGCTGAAGATGGCGAGAGACTGCGTATCTACGTGCAGGTTAATACATCCGGGGAGTCGAACAAGGCGGGCGTTGAGCCGGAAAAGGCCACTGAGCTTTGTCGCTATATTCGGGAGCAGTGTCACCGGTTGAAGCTGCAGGGTGTCATGACTATTGGGGCTATTGCGCGGTCGAGGGATACCACGCCGGAGAATGAGAATGAGGATTTTGTTTGTTTGCGCGAGACTAGGGATCGGGTTGTCAAGGAGCTTGGGCTAGTGGGGGATGATGCGGAGCTAGAGCTTAGTATGGGGATGAGTTCGGATTTCGAGGGCGCTATTGCGCTTGGGAGTGATCAGGTGCGGGTTGGGACGACGATCTTTGGTGATAGACCGCCTAAGGCGGAGGCGACAGTTTGAAGGGTTTTGGGTTACGAGTTACGACTATGCGTTTGGAGGGTAGACTTGTTTGGGCTTGAGGCAGAGGTGCAGTGATGTTGGCTCTGTGAAGAGAGCAATGGGTTAAACCACTGTATACTGTATCATTATAGAACAGTCAATTACGGGTGCCTCCAGGCATTACCAATGATTTCTGAGCCCTCTTCAATCTCAAGCACTAGACAAAAAGATAAAAACATGTTACATCGCAGGATTAGTTGGAGAACTCCACAGTGACAGGGAATCGGGGATGATGAGAGAGAAGAGAAGGGGGGGGATTTATACTTGGGCTACATGGTGCCTTCCCAAAGAACAACAGACTCCGCGGTAATCAAGAACAGTAGGAGCGACTGTCCGCCAGCTCCAGAGAAGAAAAGACAACTACGGAAGGAAATAATTAAGAGACATTGTCGCTAGTATTTGACTTAGGAATCCAATTAGAGATATACATGAAAGCTCCCAACAGACTATTCGTCTGCCCGCATGCCCTGCGCCAATTTTTGCTCCATTTGTCTGACCAACGACTGAGGCACATTTTCTTGGGTGGCACGGATTGTAACGCGGTACATCTAGAGATAGAGTTAGCAAGCCCGCACAGAAATTGTCAAGGCAAGAGGCATAATTGATACATACCGACTTCTCGTAGTTGGGCTCCAGCCGCAGCAGACAGCCGGTCTTACCACCCTCGAACTGGAACACGGCACAGCCAACAATGTTGTGAGAGTTTGGATCGACGCCATCCAGGATTTTGAAGGCGAAACCCTCCACGATTCTTCTGGTGAAAGCCTCATTGATGGTCTTGTTCTTACCTGACAAACCGAAGGTCTTCTGTGCTTCCAATGGAGCACCGCCAATTTGGCGCCATCGCTTGAAGAATTCCTCGGCTGAGAGTGTCGAGGACTCCATGTAACGGTGCATCAGAATAGGCAGTTGGAGGGTGTAGGCCTGTAGAGCACCGGCCAGGTATGAGATACGGATAGTTGGCGCATCTACGAAAGGACCATGTGCTGTGCAGAAGAGAGTCTGCTGCGTCTGCCCGGAAGCTGGGACAGTTGGCTCGGGTAGATTTTTGGTATCGATCTTCAGTTGAGGAGAGGCTGGGTTGTCGACGGTTGTGGTAAGGGATCCGATCGGGTAAGTAGACTTGTTCGAAATGTATAGCTTCACGACACCCATTGGGCCACGATACTCTGAGCGCAGTCCGACTTGGATCTGGGCGTCTTCGAAAAGCACGCCTTCACGGGTGAAGAACAGGCGATTGTAGCCGATATCCCATTCGGGTGTCAGATGAGCGGCACTGGCCATGTTGGGAGCTGGGCCGGAGGGACCACTGAAATCCAGACCGGCCAAGTCGCCTGATGAACTGACTGCGTTGGACGAGGTGGTCGGGGTGGTCGGGGTGCCGTTTGAGCCGGTCTTTGTCCCATGCACGATCGTCGTGAAGGTACGCTTGAGACCCGTGTTTTGTGCCAAGAGCATTTCTTGCTTGTCTGCATTGGCGGCCTTGCCACCGATGACCCAGGTCTTCTTCTCACTAGCACCGGCTGTCTTCTGGTGCAACCGAGAGAGCAGAATAGAGGTTCGCTCCGAGAATGGGGGCATCTCATCGCATACTGTTCGAAGTAGATCGTCGGTGGGGAGAGTCGCCAGTGACAAGTATTCAAATGCTCGTTGCTGTAGTTCGGAATCGGGAGAGTGGCTGTACAAGCGGAAGATTTGCAGGAGCTGAGGTTTGATTTCGGGGAACAGGTTAACGAATTTGACGAACGAGGACAAGATCATAGCCCGTGCATTGTCAGAGCTGGAGAACATCTTGGCCTGCAGGGCTAGGAACTGTTCAATGGGACTGGAGCCTGCGTTTTCGGCGATGAGGTGACCGAATTCGCCCAGGACATAGCAGCCAATCTTCACCAAGCTTTCATGGCAATCAGATTTCATGTAGCCCAGAAGAGTGTGTGCTGCATAGGCCTGCAGTTCTTCATTGTTGGTCACAATTTGAATCACTCGCTGCCACACTTCATCGTTGACATGTTCACCAGCCAGTGAGAGCAGCTTCAGGGTCATGTCGATGTACCACTGTGCATCAGCGGCATATTTTTCTGTAAGAATAGCGACCTTCAACACCATCTCCTCTCGAATGGCATAGTCGGCCGTCTGGAGGTATCGGAGAAGCTCGTTCACAATCGGTCCTGCATTACTGGTGTCGCACATGCTGTATAACAAATCCAATCCTTTGCGTCGGACACTAATATCACGGTCTCGAAGCGAACCTAAGATAATGTTTTGATGTTTTTTAATTGGATCAAGGGTTTCAGCCCGAGCGGCGAAATGGGTCAACGCGTCTAGACCGAGGTATCTAACGTTGGTCTCGCGAGACTGGATATATTTGCCCAGGCGAGCAGAGATTTGCAGCATAAGATTGTGCTCGGAGTCCAGGTGGATGAGGAGGTTGATGGCTTCGAAGAGAATTGCGTTCTGGGCATTGTTCTGCTGAACGTTCTTAGGTGTTTCCATGGCTGCTTGCATCATCTGCGACAGGGATTCCCTGATTATCTCGCGAACATGGCTGTCCTCTGAGATAGATGTGAGTAATTGGGTGACAATTATACAGAGGGCCAAACATACCTGATGGAGGATAATACTGTAGCAAACGTAAGAACTTGACCTGAATCCATGGACAGGGCACACGGTAGTAGAGATAGTCTGGGGCGATATCATTATCAACCACAATCCTTTTCAATCGCTGCGCAGCTTTGACGTAACAGCCCTTATATTCCTCAGGCAAATCCTGAGCGAGCGCCATGACCAAAGAGGTTACGGAAAGAGTAACACCCATGTCGGGATCATCCATAATTGATATGATTCTTTCGGCCCATTCATTGCGCACGATACCGGGGTATTTGCGGTACAACCGAAGGAGCGTTAGAGCAGCCTTCTTCTTGACGAAAGCTTTAGAGGTACTGGCAAAGGTAAGCATATAATAAGAAAAAGAGCAAGTATTCAAAACTCACGGTGAAATGAGAAGCCTGTGGACCTCCGACCCCAGTGCCTCTCCAAGTTCTTTACCACCAACATTAGCCACTGCATGCAGCGCTAAGCAGTTGTTCAATTCATGATGATCGAGCAGATCCTTCCGGATACTGTTCACAACCAAATGAAGCAGCTCATGTTCTTCATGCAAGAACAGTGTGACGGCCAGATATCCGATCTGTTTCTCGGAGTACTTGGACGAGGAGATGAGGTTCACAGCCTCGAGATGTCCGAAATCAACATCATAGCCCTGAATGTAGACGTAAAGCAGCTTGCAGACATATTTCTTCTTCTGGTAACCATTGAGATTCCCAGACTTAAACTTTTGCCGGATGTTGGCGAGCTCCTTATTTACGCGCTTCTCCTCAAGTTCTCTAGCGCGAGCATTCCGCAGATCAGCGATGAACTGGACAAGTCCTCGCATGGACGACATGATGGCAGATATGAAAGTTCGCGGTTAATGGCCGTGACGGAAGAGACGGTTATGGTATAGCGGGGTTTCGATCGAGGCTCGCCCTCGCATGCCACGCGGGATATCACCTCAGGGAGTTCCGGATCGCGATCGCACAACGTCACACAACCATATCCCGGTTATGTTGGCGAAAGAGCGATAGGGCATTGGCTATACAGCGAGTCGGCGAAGATTGCGGGTGGGCTCAATGAGCTCCTTGGAAAACAGGGGGTTAGACGTGGTATAGGTCCTAGGAAGCTTGTCAGCACTAAGTGGGTAGACCGGGGGCATCCGATTGACCGCGGTCGACCAACGTACAGAATAGGGCCCAATCTAGCGATTCCAGGAGAAACAGGCCGAGCAACACGCGAAGTCGAGTTGAATCCATCCCCGTAAATTGTCCGCTCCGTATTTCCTTTGGGCCACTTCCGCCGTCGATCCCGGGTTCCGCTGTGGCGGTGTGTGGCTGCGGAGGAACACTGATCCGAGGTGGCTGTGTCACTCTTAGGCTCTATGGACTCTAACTGTGGACATATTACATAATACTGGGCCTGTGGTTTAGGGGTATAATACCCGCTTCGCATGCGGGGGGTCCCGGGTTCAATTCCCGGCGGGTCCAACTTTTTTTGACTTTTTTTGTTTTTTTTTTTTTGGTACCATGGCGAGACCTCCTACGTACAAGGTAGGGTTCGGATGTGATACGGTTGCATTCACTCCGGTTTGATGTAGTGAGCATGTATTTTGTTTTTTATCCTAGACGTCGTGACCAAAGAGAGATTTGAAGAATATTCACCATTGACAACTCTTGGATCATATTTGATGCAAGTGATTTGACCATTTGCATATCAAACAAGCTTAAATAAAGCACGGATACCTAGACATCAATCGATATCAAGATCTATTTTACGCAGCGAATAGAAAAAGCAAACAATAACTGCATAGGTACTAGAACCCCTCCACAACTATCTACACCATCTACATTAATATTTATATGCTCTATATATCGCACGGTGTAGTAAAATAGAAATTAACTTCTCATTTCATATCTCATGAAGTAGTTATTTGATCAAGCCCAAAAGCAAGTATCCACCATGTATGCCCGATCCAAAGACGCCACCATCCTTGAAGGATGTAGATGCAATTTAATGAGAGGAGCCAATCCTCCTATCAAAGAAATAAAAGAAAAGAAAAGAAAAGAGGAGCAAGGGAGCCAAATCACTTAAGCAGTGGTAGTGAAGTCGACCTCAAGAGCAGAGTCGACACCAGCGGCCTTCTCGCAGGTGCAGGAGGCCTCGGGTCGGCTGCCACAGGGGCAAGCGGCACCGGTAACAGCCTGGTTCTCGCTGGTTGAGCGCTCACAAGTGCACTGACCGGCAGGACGGGCGCCTATTTGAGATACGTTAGTAAATGTATTATGTTTTTCCGATATATGGTAAAATAGTCACTTACGGCATGAGCAGCGGGGACCGGAGACAGTGTTCTCAGAGGAAGCCTTGTTACAGCTGCAGTTCAAAGCGCTCTGCTCGCCACAGGAGCACTTGGCCTGAGCGGCGCAGACGCAGGTGCCATCCTGAGTGGTCTTGCAGCAGGTAGTAGTGGGGTGGACCATTTTGACGGTTGGGGAAATTTAATATGACGTAAATTCCAAGAATTCAAGGTTGAAGTGATTGAGTAGTGAGTTTGCGAGTTTGCAAGATTGTCAAGATACTTGAATGATTTGATATGATGAGAAAAGCAAAGTAGGGTACTTCTACTTTATTTATACTGATTCTGTACTGATTCTGAATGCGTCAGAGAGCAATGGGGATTAGAAATGGACGATCTCTGATTGGTTAGATTGAGGAGGTCACGTGGCACCATGACCTCTTTCGATGGCCTCTGATTGGTCAAAGTAAATATTCGCCTCTTGAGTGGCCAGGTGTTGTTGGCCTGACTGTGGATGTTGATTCAAGCAAGGAACTGAATGACCTTTGTCTTAATTTTGATTCGATGAATTGAATTGGGATGACCCCTGTTGATTGACCTAGCTTCTACCAGCTCATTCTACTCAGTTGGTTCGGCTATTGGAAGGTCGGAGATTTGCCAGAACTAATGTTATGCATGCAAGGGAACTACTTTTTAGTTGCATCGGGAGTTCTGACTCTAATGATTCGCTGTCCGAGACCAGTATCAGCTATGAATTGACTATGAATTGAATTCATCTATGGAAGATAAGAAGATACGGGAATAATGCACAATTTAGTTTGATTTTATTGGGACATGGCAGTCAACGTCTGTTCCCACCGTAACAGCATCTCTAGCTACTTAGAGACATAACGTGTCATCGTTTCACACCAAGGCTATGCAGCGAAAACGAGAAACAATTAACATTAGAAAAATTTGTCTCCCAAAAATGATCGCTAGATTCAGACCCAAAAGCAACGCAACAAGATGAAAATAACATGACAATATAAAATCAAAAAGCCTCAGAATGTAGATGCACTTTAACCCAATATAAAGACAGTGATAAAACAAGAGAAAGAAAAGGAACCCCAAATGAACCAGAAACCAGAAACTGAAGACGCTGTGAGATGATTAAGATTAAAACACGCTGATGTAGATTGAAGATTCTTGGTTAACCCAGCTAACCAGTTAACCAGAAGGCTGAGACGAAAGATCGAGATTGTTGTTGAAAAACAGGCGGGGGCATAGCAAGTAGGACTGATGACCAATTCATCCAAGCCCACTCGCATTGCTCCTTTCACTGCTGAATATAGTTGGAATAATTGTAAGGCGGATTGCCAAATTTGGCACTAGACTCAGAGCCAAAGGCGGTTGGGAGGCTCAGATTCGAGGTGTTGGCTTGTGTATAGGGAATTGTGCCCATAGGGGCTGCGGTAGTATCGTAGGAGTATGGCCGGTAATCTTGTGGTGCGGAAACCGGCATATTTGACATGGTGGTCAGGGGACGGCCTTGGGTCGGTAGTTGAGAGCCCATTCCAAGGGTGTAATTTTGTTGTTGCGAGCCTGTAGAAATCATCGTATTAGACAACCGGTGTTGGCTGGACTGTGTGGTGCTGGGGGAACCAACCTAGTGTATTCATATCGTAGGTCATATGTGCATTTTGGGAGTCTGTTGGTGACACGGAGCCTTCGAAAGATTGATGTTGCTCATATCCCGCCATGCCACCTGGGTGTCGGGGTACGGCATACTCCATTGGTCGTCTCATATATGGCATGCCTGGCTGATTTGTCTGCCCCGCGAATCGGTTGTGTACTCCGTATCCCGCATACGGGGAGGGATGGGTGGACGTATCAGATAGGCTGCTTGATCTGGTGATTGAGTAGTCGCTGCGTACAGTTCTATGTAAATCGGACATGGACGCGGACGCAGCAGGCCGGAAAATTTGACCTTGCCCAGTTGAGGACATATAAGTCCCTGCTGTCGAAGCAGAGCTGAGAGGCGAGACGAGATACTCGTCTTCATTTGGCCGGGGGAAACATTCGGTTCGCAGCGTCCTCAGAGACCCAAAATCTGGATTTGGGGCTGCGTATCCTGACGGAGATGCCACTGGCGTGACACCTGACGATTTGCCCCCAAAGGGCGTGCGGAGAACTTTTGTGGTATCGAAATCATCAGGAAGGGCCCGAGATTTAAGCATTCTCTCCCGGTCATTGGTAGTGAGACGCTTAAGCTTTGCTCGCCTGGTAGTACATCCACGTTAGACAGGAACGGAAGACTCGACCAGTGAACTCCCTACCTATTTTGGAACCAGACTTGGACTTGACGCGGCGTCAGCCCAGGAATTTCCTTTGACAGACGTTCTCTATGCGCAGCATCGGGATGTGCCTGGCGAGTGAACTCGCTCATCAAGAAGCGGGTTTGGTTGTGTGTTAGACTATGTTCGTGATCAGTAAAAAGGCTCTACACTTTGCCCGAGAGGTAAACCAGTCCCATACCGAAATCGCTTCATCTTCTTCTTTTCCATCGACGGTGATATGTTATTGTCGTCGCTTCCCATCATATCTTTATCATCGTCGGGACTAATCGTCGACTCCCGGTCATGGTCGTCCCCCGGATCATGCGAACCCGTAAAAGATGAAACACCGGTCTCTTCAGGGTGACCACCGTGCCCGACCAGGGGCTGAGTGGTGGCAAAGACCCGCTGGTTCAGACTAGGAATCTCCAACTTGACGCGTGGCAACATGTCCTGTTTCGCCGCTTCCAACCTGTGGTTGATCGTATCTCGCGATGAGACTTCTCTCCCAGAATACGACACCAAACCAGGCATGCTGACAGGTTGTGCTCCTGGATGAGTCAAGGCATTTTCAGCCTTATATCCAGCCGGTTGCATCTCAGCAAGACGATTGGGAACAGAAGCAGGAACTCCAGGCTCCTCTTTTCTCTGTACAGAGAAACGTGGTGAGATAGTCCGAGGCCCCAAGGAAAGCCTTTCACTATTTCGAGCCGAAGATAGATGAGATGAGACTGCAGACAGGGGTGAAGGAACTGGCGAAGATAAGGACGGCAACCAAAGACAAGGGCCGCCGACTGACATGGTAAGGGCCGAAGTTGTGTGTGGTTGCCCTTTCTTTACCCACGGAGATTTCGTGAAATCGCACCTTGAGTTAGGACTCTTTTGGAAGGAAAAAGAATCCCAGAAGTAAGGCGTCGAACTAAGCACAGCAATAGGAGAAAATCAAGCCCAAAGAGGAATTAATAACGGCGTACTTTCCCCGAGATGAGACGTCTGTGGGTCTGATCGAAGTATCGGGGCGCTTGCACACAAGAATCAGGGTTTCTTCTGCTATTAAACGGAATAAAGGGTGAAGCAGCGTGTTCCAGACTTCAGATGTTCTTGTGAAGAGGGGAAACAAGGCGCCAAATGAAATGTTGTCAGGTGAAGAATCGGTGTGTGTGTGTAGTCCAGAAGAGGAGAAAGAGAGGAAATGAAAACAAGGCCTAAACTAAACCACCTGTCAAGCGGGACAAGTTTCTAGCCTTCTTCTTTTTTTTTTTCTTTTTCCCTTAATTTTCTTTTCTCACGTTTTGATCTGAGATGTGTTTCCGTTTATTTCTGATGATCGTTACGCAGCTTGGTAGTTGCTGGAAGGTAACAGAGTAAAAGGAATATCCACCAGGTGAAAGTGTGGTACCTCAGTAGAACACAATGCCGTTAGACTAGGATCTACCGGAGATATCCCAGTGCAAGGAGGCAAATAATGTTAAAGGGATCAATAGCCAAGCGAGGCAAAAGAGCGGAGGAGGTGGAAATAGGTCGGGATATTAAACGGACGCCCGCAATACCCCCTCAGGGTCCACAAGTATAGTCACAGGTATGGACCGGGAAATTTCAGTATACAAAATACTCGATATGGTTCTGTTTCTTCACTTCGAGTAAATGGAGACAAAAAAAGGAAAAAGAAGTCAGACGTTTGAAGAGGGGAGGTTGGTTCACCGACGATCTTTTTAACGGTCGTAACGGTTAACTCAGATGTTCAAAAGCCAAATATGGAATATGAAAAACCAAGGAATTGACCGGACAAGCTATGGTGGGCAGGTTCAATCCAGCGATCACCCTCTTCTGGGAAAGGGGAGTGGGACTGAGGGGCGTAAGACTACAAAGACTACATATGCATCGTAGAAACGAAAGACCACAGATCATGGACTCAGTGCACGAGTCCACAGATCAGCACCCGATCTATTTACTGAATGAAGATCCCATACCGAAAGGTCCATAGCGTCTTTTATTAACCTCACTGGTAAAACACCAGGTTACAGATGGTATATAATGATACAGAGATTACGGATACACTAGTTGGTGTCGGTATCAACTAAAAGGATCGCCTTCGGAGAATATAAATCGAATCCCGCCCGATCCATTATCTCTACCTGGCGTAAAGGGTTCACTCTAGGGCGGCCCAGTACTCCGTATAGGTAGTTAGTCACCTTTTTAAGACCAGCAACACACGAGTAATATCACTCTGGAAGTTCGAACGAGTACGGGGTAAAGACAGGCGTGCACAGAGCACATGACTCCATCAGGCCACAATATGGCCACGGCCGAATCTTTGCCATGGAATACGCTTGGATCTGTGGCGAATAGCATGTCTACCTGAGCCGAAAGGCTTAGTGGGCACTTCCGTGCCAATTCAGCTCAGACAAGCTTGGACACTAAATGGATTTGAACAAAAGTATGGGTCCAGCGGGACCAGGATTCAGAGAGGCAGTGCCAGATTATAAGTTTTACAACAAGCTCTTCCATGCACGATGGATGTGGAATGGAGTTTGTCCACGGATCTCAGCTCGGATCTGTATGGACCGAGAGACCAGAAATGAAAAAAAGCCAGGTGTTGCTACTTGCATGAGCAGTGAGCCAACCGTTGCAGACGAAAAGGCACTAAACCCTTGCTCACCGGCCGGAACTTAGCAGGCCATGTGGGAAGGACCAGTCGGCTGTGTTAGTGGCGTGGTGGTATCCATAAGCGGCACTCTTAGCCGCCGGACCCTCGGGGCTATCGATCAAGAAGGATAACAGCCACTCAGCGGTCTGCCCGCCACATTCCATCGCGAATGGATGGCTCGGAAACATGCGAAGACTTGTCGAGACCGGTGGAGTTCCCAACCTTTCATTTTATTTTAAATATATCAGAAAACGAGAAAAAGAAAATAATAACATAATACGAATACCGAACCGAAAAGCAAAAACAAATGCATTGGATATACGGAGTAGAGAGCCTCATTGGCAAGAATATTGGGCCCTGAAACTTTTAACGGAGGCGTAACCAGGCGGGGCCCCCCGATACCAGTAATACTAGGATCCATTTTCCGGAACGATAGCCTTCGTAGAGCCTCTGCCCGAGTGAGAAATTCGATAGTTTCGTTTACTACGACGGCGATGCCCTCATCAGGTAAGGCCACCAAGCGGACCATGCGCCTTGTACCGATGAATGATGAGCCACTAGAATTTGGCAACGAGAATCAAAAAGGGAGGTTGACCATGGTTCGGTAGATGTCTCTTGTAACCCTCCCCCACCGGGAAGCCTTGTAAATCTCCACAATTGATATGAAACAAACCAGGTCGCAGGAATGTAAAATGAGTTGAAAGCCAGAGCAGAAGGAAGGAAATCGATATCATTGCAGAATGACTGTGGATCAGTAATTGACCAACGACCACTTGCAAGAAGAGTACAATTCGGGAATACCGAATGGTGGATACAGGTACAGTCCAAGTTTAATGGAGTTTCTTGAGTTTTTTCTTCTTTCTCTTTTTCAGCTCTTTCGGAGTCAGCCACATCATTTACTAACTGAGCCACGTATACAACAACTAGGCATACATAGGTAGATTTGACTAATGTACACAATACAAGTGGGACCGGATTGGATCGAGCATATGGTGTTGTTCCCCATAGAAAATCCGTCGAACGTGGAGCAAAAGCAAAATGAGAAAGGAATGGAATGGGTCCCGGAGGAGAAAACTCGGAGCCGTTAACTACGATCCCGAATCACAATGCATAGATTTTGGCCCCTACGGCCGAAACTCCGACGATCTCTACGTAGTCTTCAACCTATGCCGTTGAAATGAGGTCAATCTTCGACTACGAATACAAAATGAAAAAAAAGCAAGAAATGAAAGAGAAAAAAAAGAACAAGAAAAAAAAAAAAACCGAGGAAGCGGCAAATTGTGGTTTAGGATTTGCTCAGGGCCTCAGACAACGCCCCTTCTAATCTCTCACATCTCTCCCTAATGGTCCAATTGTGGCTTCTGGAACGTGCTGTGCGGGGGAAAAATAAAGAGAGATCGAGACATCACGATCGAGACATTGACAAAAGGACAACTTTAATTTCCCATGGCCCTTTTCATTTCGTTTAATCAAGCATGGATTCTAGATTCTAGGCACGTCAAGACTAAATAACTACTAGTACTACATTGTATAATGTATGAATAATAGAATACATACCATGAATATTGTAACTCGCTTCGATTCTTTACAGGTGACGCAAGCCGATCTCTTGGCTGAGCAATGGCAGTGAAATTTCCGGCAAAATGGGCCGAGGCCCTGCATGGAATGCATTGGTGTATAACCTTCCAATATGGCCTATGACCTATCAGCGGGCAGTATTTGGGGAGGAATGAGAGTGCGATTACAAGTTTCTGTAGAACTAGGCATAGGTAGATAAGATCAATTAGAATCTAACGGCATTTACGAGCACGGATGGAGACTGTGGGATTTCAAAATAGAGAATTGAAAATTATGAAAATCAAATAAACCAAGTATCCATGGTTCAATTGTCTGACATATTCCTCGATTGAGAAGAACTTGCGAATCTGTTTTTTCCCCCTACACTTGTCACTTAAGCACGCTACTCTTAGCGAGAATGAGACATCGTTATAATCATTCAATACCTGCACAAGCGTTGAGCTTCGTCTCCACGGCCCCGTCGACGCTACACAAGATACGGAGTGAACAAGGAAGAAGATACGGAATAGTCCTCGGAAATACTAAACCGGACGTAACTATGGATCTTACCGAGGTATGAAAGCATGGACCATTGTCTTGGAACTAGCTGATATACACTTCCGGGAATGTCCCACATAGAACTATATGGTATTCAACGTTGGACGGGTGCCTGATGCATTGAACCCCAGAAGATCAATGCGTAGTCTTATTTTTCTTTTTCTTTTCTTTTTCTTCTGGAAAACGTTAGAAAAAAAAAGTAGTACTTGCATTGCCACGAACTGCTAAAAACAAATCAAGTCCACGGACGCGAAGGATCAGTCTAAAAGGGGGCCAAAACAACGGCATAGAGTCCACTTCTGCAACCAAATGGATTTATGTTATCTTCTTACCTCGTGGTCTCCTTGTTTTTGTTTTTTTATTTTATTTATTTTGACTAACTATGGGGGGAGGGGGGATTTTCTTAATCCTTCATGTTAGCTCTGTTCTTCGAATCCTCTAACACCGAAGCCAATCAAGTTTACCCCTAGTACTCCGTACGGCCCCTAGGCTTGTGATCGGAAGAAAAAAAAAGTGTAAGTGAAACATGGCTGCGACAGTTCCCCTCAATCTAATGCCACTGGTGATAATTAAGAGAGGGTCGAAGAACATTCTGGATAATTAATATCCGTCGTATTGGGGAATATGTTGCATTTTGGTTCCCAGTATATTACTTTTATTTTTTGAACTACTGCAGGAACGTCCGTTGTGATTATTCTTATTATTCCAACCCATTTATTTGTATTAAAGTTGCCGATCAATTCAAGAATCTTGGTCTCCACGTCGGTAGCTAAACAAAAATGTGATTTGAGATTCCGCCCTGGTCCGCCGTGTGCTCCATCGATACCGTGCCTTCGGGTGTGAAGATTCATCGCTTCTGCTAGCGGCCGTAAAGTCCACTGAGCCTAAGCCCGCTTCCCGTTAGGTCCCCGGAGAAGTCGGACTCGGATCGAAAGAAGCCACCGTGCCGCGATGGGCCATTAAGTGCTTGTGCGTGCGGTTTGATCGGCATCTTGCCCGATCTGGTCAGCGATGGAGAGTGTGAGGAATATTGAAGCATGTCCCATCCCTGAGATGAAGCCCCTGAAAGGGCCCTGGAAAAGGGGAGCGGAAAAATGGACCAAAATCACAGGGTCAAAGGATCTGGCTACCCAGGATGACCCGAGATGAAAATCGATAGTCGTATTCGGGAAAATCTTGCTGGTCCTTCACTGGCGGCAAGCGGAGATGTCACAGACCATGCAGGTGCACGGATGTGCTAATTTCTTTCCCAGGTGGTTTGCATTGGTGCTGTGATGTAGATGCATGAAATTCTGCAAGCTGCCAGGACAATTTGGGTGTGATTGCTCGCGACATTACCGCGTCAGACAAAACCAGCCCATTGGAGGATTAACTCCGAAGGAAAGGAGGTCAAAGCCATCGAGTATCTCCAACATGTATCTTCAAGAAGCCCCATTCCGGCATTAGGTGGCAGGGCCCTCTTTCGAGGCACTAGAGGCGGCAAGGGCCTCGTTCCCGACGGCGCTCGGATTTTGTGTTTCTTCACGGGTGACGTCTTTGTTTTCGTCTTGCATCTCTTGGTCATCTGTGGCCTGAGGGACATCCTGGATGTGTGAGTCATGACCACTCTCCGAATGCTCGGCAGCAGTGGTATCTTTGTTCTCGACAGAATCTTGGACCTCAGGTCCATTGGCCCCGGCTGATTGTGCGATTTCAACAGTATCCTTAGATTCACCAGACTCTTGGGCATCGGCAGGTACGTCTTGAGCTCCATCTAGGGACTGAGGAAAATCCTTTGGGTCGCCAGTGTGGTGCTCGGCATTCTCTTCATTCGTTGTAGGGGTTTCGAACAAAATTTGTAGGTTGTCATCTACAATTTTATCAAACGCAGCGAATTTTCCTTTTGCAGACAGGCGCAAGATCCGCCAGGACTTGCTGGCTTTGGCGCCCTCAGCGATCGCCTTATCATCGTCGGTCATCGCCATGTCGATATCCATTTCATCGTCCATGATACCCTTCATGAAAGAGTCTGCGGAAGGCACGTTGTAGCGGTCAGATTCCTTGAGTCGTTCTATATTGGCCAGGGCTTCGCTATCGGAGAGGAATTTCAGATCAAGAGAACCCATCGGAGAGGGACGAATGCGTTTGTTTGCATAAGTCTTCGCGGCATTCTCGCGGAAAGTCGTGTATTCTGCCGAAGAGATGGATGGCCGTTCAATCAATGGACAACCTTCAGCTTTCCACCGTGCCCAGTTTTTGTCCCGAGACAGGACTGTGTCCACCATGCGATAGTAGAACTTGCCACCAGGCCCTTGCTGCAGATAATCCTCGATATTCCTTCTGATATTGATTGCCCACTTTGTGTCTTCCTCGTTTAGAGTAAAGCCGTAGAGTACGGATTTGTTTGTGGTATTCGTTAGGCGTGTTTTGGCCTTCGGGGTGAGAGAAAGCACAAAGTCGAGGAGAATAAGAGCTTGGACAAGAACGTGTCGGCGGAAAGCAGTATCACTAATCTCAAGATCGAACAAATCCCGACTGGTCAGATATTTCGGATTAAAGCTGGTGGCAACCTCTGTGCCATCTTCGATACGCTTGCGTTTTGACGACTTGCGGGCATCTTCTGAAGCGCGGGAAGCGCTGTGATTTTCCATTTCGGTGTTGATGTTTTTGAATGCGGATAAAGTCGCTTCAAGACCGGCTTTGAAAGATGCAAAACGTTCTGAATCGAACATCTTGCTTGGTGCTGAAAAAAAGGCCTGGAGGCCCCAGAAGAGTGGATAAAGTGCATCGAGGTCGACGTCTTCCGATTTTTTCCCATCGCCCGTCGAGACGACAACCCTGGGTAGCTTTGCTGTCTGCTCAGAGGGAGTTCCCAGCTGATCCGCATCTGGCTCTCCAGGTGTCGCGATTTCAGCGCCTCCACTCACTGTTGGATCTTGCACCTTGTTTTCGCCTGACTCTTTTGCGATCTCGTCGAAAGTGGTGACATTTTCGGAGTGGAATTCGCCACGAAGGTTGACGGAGCTTTTGTCGCCAAGTGGGAAGCTCTGGAAGAGGTAGATAAATACCCGGCCGCAGAATACTGTGTCCTCTGCACGCGAAAGTCGGCGAAGAAGCTCGTTGCAGGATCGTAGGATAACCAAGCTTTTTTGCTTGAAGTGTTTCTTGTGGGAGAGTCAGCTTGATGATAGGCCGAGAGTACAAAAGGCGAATCAAACCTTGGTATTCCTTTCCCTTCGAGACTCCAGGTAATCAAAGACCTTGCGACAGCCGTCGATAGTTTGACTGTCCAAAAGTTCTTCAATGAGCCAGAAGATGAGGCCGGGTTCGCATTGTTCTGATAGGCGTTAGAGCTACTCCATATGAGCTATAAACCGAAAACTGACCGTTATCGGAGAAGATCGAGACGATGTCAAGGAGGTTCCAGATCTGAATGAATGCAGGGTCGTTGATGGAGGTCGAGGCCTGTGATCAAATAGTTAGCATTGCTTTCAAAAACCTGGACCTTGAACAAGTCATACCAAGACGCGATAGAACTTCTCACGAAACGCGATTTCGACAGCCGCAAGCCTAGTCTGCTGGCTTAAGTGTTTAGTAGCCTCGTGATGATCCGCCGGAAGTTGCCAAATCGATTCGCCGAGGTGTGTCTCAGACAGAGGAGGCTCGATATCTTCGTCGGGTTTGACCTGCGTAGCGCGATCCAGGAGGTTGTCGACCTGCTCTCTGTAGATCTGGACGCCGGCAACATCCTCATTCGCCATCTTAAAGGACTTAATTGAGCTCAGTTTGAGCCTCCTGTTAAGATGAAGCAAATAAATCGAAGGTTGGAGGAATGAAAGAGAGGGGGAAAGCCAGAGGGAGTGATCGAAGAAAGCGGCTCGGCGGCAACAAAAGCCAAGACTTTTGGAAAAAGCTCCCCCAGCTTCAACTTCACTTCCGACTGCGCCAATCCAACCCCACGTTCCCAACAACCAAATTATCAGGTTACGGGAATGACTACTGCGATGGCGCAGAGTCTCGAGTCCAGACCTACTGTCGTTGACTTTCGCGATGACAGCCCGTGGGTGCAATTAGCCAAGGCCCACTGGTTGGATGTGAAGGTCCGCAAGGCCAAACCTGATGTGATCAAGAAGCAATTATGGGATCCTCTGGAAGCAGAGTCTTTCAACAATCGTTCCTTGTTGATATTGGAGAATTTGAATATTCTCGAGAAGTAAGATAACTATATACTGTCGTCATTTCCACTGGGCTAACTGATCCAGGTTCCTCTGGCCAACCTACACCGAAGATGCTTCGAATCACCATGTACTATTGGTCGCATTGATTGTCAGTGTCAAGCATCGTGAACATTTGCCCATATGGGACATCTTCTCCGATCGCGCCGATGACTTCTCCCATCTCTTCCACCGCATCCTCTCCATGAGCATCGATCACTCCCTCCCGACGCGCTCCCGACTTTCCATCATCTCTTTCATCATTAGCGCTTTCCAGTCCCTCGAGAATGTATTGATTCGGAAAGAGTGTGCGCCCCTAGTCTCAATTTCGGTCTGGCATAACCTGGCTAGCGATGAGACGAGAGATCGCATCATCGCTAAGGCCCCGTCTCTGAAGAAGGCATGGAAAGCCTCTGGGAAGCGATACGAGGCTGGCGACGAGGCTGCAAAAGCGAAGATGCGCTTTGAGCGTTCATGGCTATACACAATGCTCTTGGACTTCATTCAGAAGCTCAATGCACCTGAAAAGGCCGAGGACCTGCTGTATTGCGAGCGATTCCTTGAGCTGTTGGTTGACCTCGAAAGCCAGCTTCCCACTAGACGCTATGTGAACACATTATTGAAAGATCTCAATCTTCTATCGGTTATTCGTCTGTCGCAGATTTACCGTGATCCCGAAAACGCTCTCCTCCGCGACTTCCACAGCCTCCTCAAGCATTTTGTTGAATTTGCGATTGATGATTACACCGGTGAGGCTCTCACCCCACAGGGAGTCTACGATCTACACTGCCAAGGATTGGCTCAGTTGCAGAGAACCTCGATGAAGCTTTTCAAGGACAAATTGATGATCCTTGCACTGTCTAATCTGGGTTCAATCGAGCAGCGATCAGATCTAGAGGGACAATTATCTTCACTAGACGATTCAGAGCTCCAGACGCTCAGCTCTGCCTTGGGATTCCGCACGACTTATCCAAAGTCGGCCAACATCACTCCAGACCGCCAGTTTTACCTGGAAGTCCTGACATCATTCTACGAGCGCAAGGTCCCCTTCCAAGAAACAGTTGAGAAGCTGAGTCCGCTCCCGACGGAAGAAAACCTGTATGATCCGGCTTTGCTCAGAAATGAGACATATGACGGATCAAGGCCTCTCGCTATTCCAAAATTGAACCTTCAATACTTGAGCCTTGGGGACTTCCTTTGGCGCTCGTTCCTTCTGTATCGCTCAGAAGCTTTCTTCCAAATCCGCAAGGATATGGAGTCCATTGTCAAGCGCATGCAGCCAAAGGCAGCTCGTGACGGAAGCCTAGCCTTTGAGGGATTTTCTCGGATGGCGATTCCAATCTCGAAGCCGGCTATCATTGATGTGGCACCACCCAAGGTCGGTGCGTCAAATCCGGCTTTCGTGCGGGCCGAGATTGCCATAGAGGTAGGAAGGCTCACTGATAATGTGAGGAAAGAATGGGATTCACTTCGACCCGATGATGTGGTCTATCTGATGGCAGTCCAAGGGCAGGGCGCAGAGGCGCCTCGAATGACCCATCTTCGAACTGCCGAGATTGTACAGGTTCTCGACGAGGAACGCCGGGCATTGCGCCAATTCCCTGGTCAGACTAATGGACACTTGCCCAAAGGTCGGCTGCGCAGGTTGATTGTCAACTTGGACGCGGCTGCATTCAAGGCTGATAAGGACCTACAGAGCAAGGGCAAGCCGGATATTTACCCCCTAATCAACATAGTTGCGCGACGAAAGGGCAGAGAGAACAATTTCAAGTCCATTCTCCAGACCATGCAAAAGCTCATTGTCTCGGATATGGCGCTTCCTTCGTGGCTTCAAGACATTTTCCTTGGCTACGGAGACCCTGCCGGTGCGCGATACACACAATTGCCCAACCGACTCCAGACTGTTGATTTCCGTGATACTTTTTTGGACTGGTCTCACCTGATTGAGAGTATTCCAGGCATCGAACCCTCAGGAGCTGAGAATTCCAGCTTCGGCCCGCCATATGTTCTTGAATATGTCAACCAAGAGCCGGCAGCAGAACCACCTGCGCCTAAAAAGCGACGCCGGGAGCAACCCCAGGAAGAGCTGGTATCTACCACTGTGCGCGTTTCCACATATAAGCCACCAAACCGCGGCCCATATCCCGTTGATGTCCCCAAGTTGAATAAAGTACGATTCACTCCTGCTCAGGTAGAAGCAATCGCATCTGGCACACAGCCTGGACTCACTGTCATTGTGGGACCTCCTGGCACTGGAAAAACAGATGTCACCACACAAATCATCAACAATATCTACCACAACTTCCCCAATGAAAGGACATTGCTTATTGCGCACAGCAACCAAGCGCTCAACCAACTATTCCAAAAAATCATCGCCCTTGACATCGACAAGCGCCACCTCTTGCGTCTGGGTCATGGCGAGGAAGAATTAGATACCGATTCTAACTACAGCAAGCATGGACGAGTGGAATCCTTCCTTGAAAATCGCAACGAATATCTCGCTGAAGTCATGCGCTTGGCTGCATCTCTTGGGATTGAGGGCGCACACGGGAATTCATGCGAGACAGCAGGCTACTTCAACACAGTCTATGTCCAACCGACCTGGGCCAAATTCTGGGATCAAGCAAACTCTGAAGGAGTATCAAATGAAGAGATTGTCGAATCGTTCCCATTCCACTCATACTTCTCAACTGCTCCACAGCCGCTCTTCAATGCTGAAGCCACGAAGGAGTCTATCATCGACACTGCTGCGGGCTGCCAACGCCACATTGCTAAGCTATTCTCTGAACTGGAAGACATCCGACCATTCGAAATTTTGCGACAACCTCGTGACAAGGCAAACTACCTTCTTTTGAAGGAAGCTAGAATTGTGGCAATGACCTCCACCCATGCCGCGATGCGCCGACAAGAAATTGCCGACCTAGGCTTCCACTACGACAACGTGGTCATGGAAGAAGCCGCCCAGATTACCGAAGTCGAAAGCTTCATCCCCAACGCCCTGCAAAACATGAAGAACGGCGAGCTTCCCCTCAAGCGTGTCGTTCTCTGTGGTGATCACTACCAGAACTCGCCCGTTATCCAAAATATGGCTTTCCGCCAGTACGCCAATTTCGAGCAGAGTCTCTTCTTGCGACTGGCGCGACTTGGTGTTCCCGTTATCGACCTAGACAAGCAAGGACGCGCAAGATCAAGCATTGCAGAGCTCTTCCGCTGGAGGTATAAGGAACTTGGTGATCTTCCAGTCGTTGAAACTGCCCCAGAGTACCAGAAAGCCAATGCCGGTTTCCAGTTCGATTACCAGTTTATAAATGTTCCGGATTACCAGGGATCCGGAGAGCGCGAGCCCACCCCCCACTTCATTCAGAATCTGGGTGAGGCCGAGTACGCAGTCGCCCTGTATCAATACATGCGACTGCTAGGCTACCCTGCCTCCAAGATCTCCATCTTAGCCACGTATGCTGGACAAACGGCTCTGATTCGAGATGTCTTGAGCCATCGCTGCGGCAAGAACCCCATGTTTGGAATGCCCAAGATCGTGACGACGGTCGATCGTTACCAGGGAGAGCAGAATGATTGTGAGTTTGATACCCCAACATATTCTTTTCATTGGAGGTGAGAAATACTGACACCAAACAGACGTAATTCTTTCCCTCACTCGTACCCGTAGCGTCGGGTATCTCCGTGACGTCCGCCGTCTGACGGTAGCGCTCTCCCGAGCCCGACTGGGTCTCTATATTCTCGGCCGCCGCGAAGTCTTCGAGTCCTGCTACGAGCTCAAGCCCGCCTTCGACCTCCTCCTGCAGCGTCCAGACAAGCTGATGCTTGCGCCTGGCGAGATGTTCCCGTCTTCACGGGATGCTAGCGCTGCCGTGGACGGCACGCCTATGGAAAGCGTTGAGCATCTCGGCCAGTATGTCTTTGAGATGACGCAGGCTAAAGTCAAGGCCATGGGTGATGGCGATATCACGATTGAAGATGCAGCTCCCGCTGAGGAGGATGGTCTTTTGGATGAAGACGAGGACGAGCTTATGGGTGCAGATGACGACGAGGAAATTGTATGACCTAACTAGCTAGATAATTGCGTAAATTTTTTATCTAGCTCTCAGATACAAAAGAGTTGCTGATACGGGAATTGCACCTTTTTCTGACTTCTCCAAGTACCGGATCTAATTAACGCCGTGTGAAAATTAACTCGACTTGTGCTGTGGTCTTTTCCCCCTTGCAAACTTTCTAGACTTTAGTCTGACTTACCGTCAGGCCATCAGACGCCCCCTTCCCTAACTATACGGTATTATTTACTCTAAAACGCTCACTTTGCCTACAGCAATTACTCATAATCTATATGGTTATGTTTCAATTTGGAAGAGTTGGGCCATCCTAGCATAATACAACGTGAGTAAATACTCCTGTACAAGTGTGGCAAAAGACAATAACCGGCTCCTTAATACATGGATTCCTCCGAGGTCTGCATTGTTTGTAGACCGTGTCATTGCCCCTTAGTCCTTGATTTTGTTCATCTCTTCCACAATGTTTTGAGGATCCTTCCAAGCCAGAGTTACGTATCTAGAGAGGATTAGTATTTTTAAAAATAAAGAAAGGTGATTAGCGAATTCTCACTTTGTATGACTTCCGCGGGCGACGACGTGTCCATTAGGGTTAGTGAACTCAATTGAAGTAAAGGCCAATGTCTTGCCAACTGCGCATGGTTAGTTGGGTTCGAAATCGACTCTACAAAGAAGCAAAAGACAGAGCTTCTTTGGTGATTCTGAAACATACACTTGTCACATTTCACCTCCTGATAACCAAAGTCAGTATCCACGCGTGGTTAATTGGATGAGAGAAAGACATACTGCCAAGATTCGGTCACCAACTTTACCTCCTGAATTCAGATAAGTCACTAGTGATTTGCCTCCAATTAGAAAATGAAGCTCCTCTCAAGTTGCTGTCCCATAGACTCACCGTTCAAATCGGTTGACACGCCTGTCGAGAACAGGCCCCGGGATGCCACGGCCAGAGAGCCACCAAGATCCACTAAGAGAAAATGAAGTCAGGAACCGGATCAGTGGTGCACTTAGTAGGACTACTTTACCCATGCTAGCGATAGTGCCTCCGTGGAGGATGTTCAGACGGTTCTATATGATAAGTATAGAGGTCAACAATTCCATAGGAATACTCGAAAATAACTCGTGTAACTGGCGTTGTGCGAGTAGACATACTGTGTGCTCCTTCTGAATATCCAACTCAAAGTTGACTAGGCCAGGTCTGGCGGCTGTAACACGGAGCTATACTGACAGTCAGTGATATGTTCAAAGAACGTACCCAAGATACATCTGGACACGCTTACGTTGTTTAGAAGACTTCAAAGAAACCATCAAATTGAATCGTCAGTTTCTGAAGGGCATTTCAACAATAAACGCCAGTAAAGATGCATTTCATACCGAGGTTCCAGACCCGAGGTAGCTCGGAACGACTCCCACACCTAGAGGTTGCGAAATACGTCAGCGAATTGGATTGACTAACAGATATATATTCACTTACAGAGCGTACAAACTTGAGAGAGGCCATTCTCGCAATTAATTAAAGGTTTGAAGTTGCAATGTCGTCGGATACCAAGTCCTGTCTTGCTATCGGGGAGGAATCTCGGAGTTGCGCTTTGTGGCCGCTTCGGCCACCGTACGGGCGTCATCTCAATCATTCAATCATTTCATTCAAGTTCACTTCCGGTTGAACTCAAGAAGTCGGAGTTTCTCAGCTCAATATGGCGAGCGCGACATCTCGTCCTCTTGAATATCTAGAAGGTCTTCCCGGGACGACCTTTTACAAGTTATACCAGCAGCCATCTACTGCGCTTGCGATCTTTCGTCGCATGCTACCTGATCTGGGTATGTTGAGCTCATCCATCTAGAAATTGTCCCACTAACAGTCACAATAGCAAAATGCTTTGTCATGGCCTTACTGTATTTGAAAGATCCTCTTCCAACCGCAGATTTGGAAGTCTGGGTTAGCGCAGACAGCAAAAAGTGAGCCATTCGTCTTATCGCATCACTGGATGCCCGACTGACTGCTTGATACAAGGGAACGTGATAATGCGATTTCGATATTAGGTCGACTACATATTCTCTCTACCACACTCACCGGGGAAAACGTGCGAGCCTACATGCTCACCAACCCGTTCGCAGCTTCGCTTCGACAAGCGCTGATGGGCGCTGAGGATTCACAGTCATTCGGTGTATTCTCCCAAGCTCCTGGACACGCCCAGACTTCCGTCGCCGAATTGGACGAATATGCCAGACGCCAGTGGGAGGGTGTGATGGGATACATGGTTGGAACAAGTGCTTTCAGTGGACAGCGTGACGCGGTCAATCTGAGCAAGGGCGTCAAGCAGCTTCTCCAGGCAGGGCACCTGGTTGAGGTCAGAGGAAATCGTGTCGATATCACAAAAGACGGATTCGGATTCGTTCTCCAAGATGTGAACACCCAGGTCTGGCATATCTTGATCCTCTATGTCGAAAGCGCAGAGGCCATCGGCATGGATAGCGTTGAAGTCCTCTCGTTCTTGTTTCTTCTCAGCAGTCTGGAACTCGGACAGTCCTACGACAAAAGCCATATGACGCCCAATCAACTCCGCACTCTCACCGACCTCACCGACTTCGGTATTGTCTATCAAGATGACGCCGAGGCCACACGCTTTTACCCAACCCGTCTTGCAACAACTCTCACTTCCGACTCCAGCGCTCTAGGCAACCCTGTCACGGGCTCCCTCACCGGCCCAGTAGGCCAGAGCACTGGCTCGGGCTCAGGTTTCATCATCATCGAAACCAACTATCGACTTTATGCATACACATCATCACCTCTACAAATATCCCTCATCTCCCTCTTTACAAACCTGAAATACCGGTTCCCAAATCTTGTCACAGGAAAAATCACAAGACAGTCCGTTCGAAGAGCCATCGAAATGGGCATCACGGCAGACCAAATAATCTCGTACCTTCTGTCGCATGCCCACCCCCAGCTGCGAAAGCACAGCGCCGCCCAACCCAGTACCAAGGGGGTTCCAGCATCTGTCCTTCCGCCCACCGTAACAGATCAGATCCGACTGTGGCAACTGGAGCGTGATCGTCTCCGCGCCACGGCTGGGTTTTTGTTCAAGGATTTCACCAGCTTGGCCGAATACCAGGCTCCTTGTCAGTATGCCGCGGAGATCGGTGTGCTGGTTTGGAAGTCGGATCGGAAGCGCATGTTCTTTGTCACCCGACATGAACAAGTTGCGATGTTCTTGCGGAATCAAAAAGGAGGTGGGCGTTGATGCTGCTAGCCCAGGCGAAAGCGTTGATTATGAACCTGGAAGACAGGTGGGCAACACAAGGTGTTTTTGGGACTATTTACGACATAACGAACTCACAGCTAGTTCTCTTTTGACATAGCTGTTATAAAAACTGTACAATAAAAGGGTATTATGAACCTAGGCCGATAAAGCCTCTCTTACAATTATAATAGTATGCGCACTGAGCTAACTTATGAATTACAACCCAACCTTCCGTTTATAAGTAGCCCACTCCCCACCTAGCCCCATCTTTCGATAAGTAATATAAGTATCCCCGGCCACATCATGCGGTAGAATAACTCTAACATCCGAAACCCTCGCCTCAGCAGAAACCATCGGTACCAGCAAATCCTCTGGCATAGGAAGTAGACACCCAGTTGGCAAATTAAGACCCACATCACCAGCATAAAAATCCCCCTCTTCAAGACCAATAACCTCCTCCAAAACCCTAGCCAACAGAGGACCGTTCCATACTCCCTCTCGATGAGGCGCCGCTCTCAGCGCCCTAACAGCTTGTCTACGAATCCGCGGAACACGGCACTTCAGCGCTGTGTAATATACAGGCGGGATATATCCGGTTTCAACGGTAAACCCGTCCCCGCCACAGTCTGGCGCCTGAAGGAGGTCATTCATGGAGGCGGACTTTTCTAGGATCTCAAGGAGGGATGACTCTAGGATGCAGTCCATGTCGGATAAGCTTTTGAAGTCTTTGAAGATGTTTTGGAGGTCGGCGGATTGAGTGGTTATTTTTGAGAGGTCTGCTTCGCGGAAATTGGTTGCTGTCCAGCTTTTCCACAAATCGAGGAATCCGGACATTATTGCTATGAAGTTTTCTGTGTACGAGTCAAAGATTATTTCTTCCTTTGATGATTCTGAGAGGCACACTGAGGCCATTATTGTGCCCATTTCGTGGTATACTCGTAAGAGGAGATAGCCGAATTTGTCTCGGCCGGGTGTCTTGTCGGTTTCCAGACGGGCGAGAGTGGCAGTGTATGCTTTTTTCCAAAGAGCGAGGTCTGCTAAGATGCGGATCTGGGTGTTGACCATTTCTTCGTTGCTTCGTGAGCGGTGTTCGTGGTGAAATGCTTCCAGACAGTGGATTCTGTTCAGGTGGTCGTCCAGACTGCGTCGGGCTTCTAGGAGCGACGCGAATATGTATGGGAGAGTAGCTCGCGGATGTTGCGCCACAAAACATATATTTGAAGGTATGTGACCAAACATGGCGGATTGAGTGCCTAATCGGGCGTAGGCATCGACTAGGGCGTTGTAGGCAAAGTCTTCGTCGGGAAGCAGAGCTTTAGGAGTCATTGGAGATCGACGTGCTGGGTGGGAAAGATCGGCGAGGAGTTTCATGCCAAATCGAAGATGTGCACTGCCCATATGATACTGGCCTCGCAAATATTCCAATGTGACAAAGAGCATGCATGTAATCAGGGCGACTCGAAGAGAATGACTAGTCTGGATTGTATTGGTGCGTAGATACTGAATGGCTCTATTATACTGTTGCAAAGTAAAACGCTCACCATCGAACTTGTTCAACGCAGCTGCAGCTTTTGAATTATAGCGCTGCTCAGATCGATGGGCAGACGAGAGGGCAATGACTGCGTGGCGGACGGCGGGTTCCTGTGCACTAGCCTGGAAGATCAAAATTTCCCAAAAGTCCGACTGAAACAGACCAGCGAACTTCTTTGCGGTTCGTTTGATCAGCCAGTCGAAGCAAACTTGTTCCTCGGCGTTGAGGCAGCCGGAGGGGACCGGAGTGCAGTAAACGGAGAGAGCCCGATTACTTTGCGGTGGCGCATAGGGAGTTCCACCACCGCCCCAGATGCCGTAACCATCGCAGATTCGACTTGTTGAAACACAACGTCGACAAGCTGGTCGCCCCTCATCACATTTAACGCGACGTATCCTTTTGTCTTGTTAGAGGGACAGAGGGACTCTAGACGCGGGTCGGCAATACTTACTTGCAGGTTTTGCATCCTGATTTGACCTTCCTTTTACGGATTGGGGTTAATTTTACCATGGCAGCAGAATATATTGAATAACATCGAGATCATTGAGATAAATGAGAAGACGGAGGTTAAAGAGATGCGTATAACTATCGGACTTAATTGTTTAAGTGCGGATCGAGTTGATTGGCCCAGTCGCATTTTACTCGCTTTGATTGGTCGAATCTCACCAAAGGTACCCATTTCATCACGTTAATTGGCTGTTTTCCTCTATATCCATCCGAAAATGGCATCAAAAGTTTAACTCCTAACGGACTTAGATTGTGGATTCATCTATGACTCTATAAGACTCGGGGTAATTCTTGAATCTCTCCGAGTACATCTATATAAGGTACCATTACCTCAAATATTTTTTTCTACCATCATCTTTCATCCCACGATAACATCTCATTAAGACTCCTTCAACCAATTCAAGATGTCTCTTCCCACTCGATCCCTTGGCCGCAATGGCCCACAGGTCCCTGCAGTTGGCCTTGGACTCATGAGTCTCGGTGACGTCTATGGATCCGCCGGCTCTCTCGAGGACAAGGTAGCCTTCCTCGAACATGCCCATTCGATCGGTGCCAGATTCTGGGATACCGCCGACGTGTACTTTGACAGCGAAGATGCAGTTGGGGAGTGGATAAAGAAATCAGGACACCGCAATGACATCTTCCTGGCCACCAAGTTTGGACTGAAGTTCGATCTTGCCGCAGGCATCCAGACGGTCCACTCCGACCCCGAGTATATCAGGGTTGCCTGCGAGAAGAGTCTGAAACGACTCGGTGTCGATACCATCGATCTTTATTACTGCCACCGCGTTGATGGAGTGACACCCATTGAACAGACTATCGAAACTATGGTTGAGTTGAAGAAGTAAGAACTGCGCCATCGTATCCAGAGATCTGTCACTAAATCCAAATTAGCCAAGGCAAAATCAAGCATCTTGGTCTATCCGAATGCTCTGCATCTACTCTGCGCCGAGCCCATGCCGTACACCCCATTGCAGCATACCAGGTGGAGTACAGCCCTTTCGCTCTGGACATCGAATCATCCACCACAGATGTCTTGAACACCTGCCGCGAGCTTGGCATCACTGTCATTGCCTATAGCCCCGTTGGCCGAGGAATCTTGACTGGACACATCCAGTCATTTTCCGACATTCCCGAAAATGACTTCCGTCGCATGCTGCCCAAGTATGCAGAGGAGAACTTCCCCAAGATCAAGGAATTGGTCCAGGGACTGAAACTTGTTGCTGAGAAGCATGACAGTTCGCCCGCGCAGGTTGCGATTGCCTGGCTTCTTGCCCAGGGCTCTGATATCATTCCCATCCCTGGAACAAAATCGATTAAGAACCTTGATGAAAATTTCCGTTCCATCAATCTTCGTCTGACAGAGAGGGAGTTGAAGGACGTTCGAGAATTGATTGATCGAACCGAGATTCCTGGACTGCGGTATCCCGATATGTGAGTTCATATTATTTCGGTTCTGGACGCCGAGGCCTCGAAAAAGCCGATCAGTTACTAATATTGCACTAGTATGATGGACTGCGTATTCGGTGATACTCCGCCACTTTAGGTGCAGAGCCTCTAACTTATTATTGATATCATATCTCTCAGCTTATGCATGTCATTTAACGATTGGGCCAATATCTCACATCCTCGTACCCCAGAAATTCGATCTGACATACCTTAAATTAGGCTCGATCTCTTCCAAAATTAACAAATGAGATCCCCTTATATTACCGTTGAGCTTTGGACCCTGACAATGAAATCAATCACTACACACAAAGACACGGCAAGTGGGTCACTAATCTGGAGAGAACAGGCATTTGATTTGCGAAAATAATCCACTTAGCTACACTTGGCATTCCTTCGGGGGCAGAACGGGGCGCCTCCGAGTTATTATTACTATTAGGGGGAAAAAACCCCGCATAGGAAAAGTGGAAAAAAAAACTAATATCGTCACTCGCGGTCCGTGTGTTTTTTTTCTTCTTCTCCTGAACACATACCAGATATCAGATCTTCCCGATGAGGATATGTCATCTACCAGTGATTCTAGTCCAGGAAATTGGATTACCGGAAGTTACACAGGCGACAGCAATGGTGTACGAATCACAATCGCGACCTTCGTCGGTGTCGCATGGTACAACGTGATTGAACTGATCGTACTGATCTTCCTCACCTTCAAACGATATGAGGGTCCCTATTTTTGGAGCATGTTGATAGCCAGCGTGGGCATTTTGCCATACTCCGTCGGTTATCTGATCAAATTCTTCGATCTCACATCTGCAACATGGGTCCCGGTCACACTATTAACGATTGGCTGGTGGACGATGGTGACTGGTCAGTCATTCGTGCTGTACTCACGACTTCATCTGATCATTCAAAATATGCGCGTGCTGCGTTATGTGCGGACTATGATCATCACGAATATCTTCCTGCTGCACGTGCCCACGACGGTGCTCACGTATGCGGCTAATTTCTCCAATTCGCAAACTTGCGTCGATGGCTACGATATTATGGAGAAGTTGCAGTTGACGGGATTCTGTGTGCAGGAAGTGATTATCTCTGGCTTGTACATGTGGGAGACAAATCGCATGCTGCGCACGAATCAAGATCATGTTAGTCGCAAGACAATCATGCAGCTGCTCGCTGTCAACGTCTCTTGTATTCTCATGGATATTGCGTTGATGATTATCGAGTTTATGAATTTCTATATTTACCAGACAACTCTCAAGGCCACGCTGTACAGCATCAAACTGAAACTCGAAATTGCTGTCTTGGGGAAGCTGGTCAACATCGCTCACCAGCATATGTGGAGAACCTCATCTTTCAATGTTGCCGGTGGGCAGTATCCATCGTTTGTTGACCCGAGCCGTGCCCTGCATGATTTCAACCACGCAGATTCGATGGCTACCAGCTCGGGTTCTAAGGGTCGTGTGTCTGGAACTGAAGCCATGGAATCCGACCTTCGAGTAGCGGCTTGAGCCTCAACCCTCCAAAGCCCGCAACCCCCCCAAGATCCGATGTTCTGTCGATCTACTCTACAGCTCTGCCACAAAATTTGCTGCTAGCGAACTATCACCGCTGCCGCAGTCCATTTCCGCAAGACGACCTGCGAGAGGCGTCTCGGACAAGCATCCCACCGAGGTGCACCACATGACTGTGCCGCAGTGAGGTATTTTTCGACCTCCGAATCATTAAAGAATTCCAAACCGAGCACTCCAGGCTCTGGCGGGACAGTCTGCATACTCCCGATCATGCAGAGCTGCCCAAGCAAACTGGGAGACACATCTTTTCTCTTCAGATGGAGAGAGACCGGAGTCATGTATATAAGATACCCTGCTCTACGGAGAACGATGTCACGAACTTATGCCATCACAATTCCCAACCAATAGCGATCTTTCACTGACCAAATCAAAGCACTTAATCATGAAGCTTCTCAATGTGGTCTTTCTTCGTACATACTCAAACTAGTTCTGGTCCCGTCAACGCCAAGTTTATCAGCGATAAAGATCGTCTGCCAACTCGGCCAAATCGTAACATATAACGCAGTCAAACCCGGATCACGTCACTCAAAAAAAAAATTAAAAAAAATCGAAAGTCCTTCAATTCGATGTACCCGGCTGCCGATCCCGAAGGCGCCTACAACCGGGCCGGTGAACATTGGCGGGGAGCCGATAGCGATAAGCACACAAACCCCGAACAATTTAAACAAAGGGAAAAAGGGTATATTGGAAATCTAACACATGTATCCGTATCTGTATGCTTAATTGTAAATGATAGTGCCAATCAAGACCCTTTCCGCCGACCATCCAGCTGGTCATGCAAATAAAGCCGCCCCTCAGTATTAGTGAATCCACCAATACCGAAAGCGGGGATAATGCGACACATCCGCAGCAGGGACGCGCCAATCCAGTCACGACTGACGCGTCCGAGGCGTTCTTTAGTGGGCATCACCTGTGGTCGGTTGTACAGGTCCAATCCGAGGAGGTGAATGGGGGTGCTGATTAGCTGGATTGAGGCGGGGATGGCCAGCTGGGCGATGAGGATCTTGAGGTATTCTTGGGAGGCCACTGAGTCTGGGATTGAGGCGGAGACCATGGCGGGGAGGCTGAAGGAGCCGAAGATAGTGAGGCCGTCGCGGAGGAGAAAGGCGGAGTAAGTTGCTAGTGGGATACGGGTGCGGCCGAATGAGCGGGCTGTTTTGGGGGCTGAGGTTGGGGAGGATGAGGCTGTAGAGGGTGTATTGGCTGTATTGGGGATTGGAGTTGATGTGGGAGTTGGAGTTGATGTTGGTGGGGTTGTAGAAGCTGTCTTTTTAATTGAGGTGTTGGGCTGACCGAATAATTGGGCGAATTTGACGTCCTTCCAGATTCCCACGGAGGAATTGACTATGAATGTGGTGGCGAATGTGGTCATTCCTGCAATTGCGTGGTCGATGTTTGGATACCACTTGCCCAGGATTGTCTCTGTGGCATTTGCTGTTGCGAAAGTTGCCGTGTAAAGGGACCAGACAAGAAGACTTGGTCGAGATGTTAAGAAGGTTGCGGGTTGTGTGATAGAGAACCAGAGGTGTCGACGGAATGCTGGGAACATAGGTTGATTGTAGAAAGATTTCTCAACGACGAGTCTGTGCGATATCGTTAGGGCATGCTCATCATATGGATATCGCGTTGACTTGCCTGTCAAAGATCATGACGGCTGGGGTAATCAGGGTCGCTGAACCTGCAGCAACAACAACGTCTGCAGCCAGAAGTTCAGCCATGCGGCTTTTGGTATGCTGGATGTTGAAAGGCAATGCCTTATCCTCCATTTTCTGCGTCATGATATGCGTAGAATATGCGTTCAATCAAATAGGCAATGCTATCATTATTTGGTCGTGGCAATCTGATGGTTATATTGACTTGTTTTCGTGTAGAGACCGGAACAGGTGAATCGTATATGCTTAAAAGGACTGTGATAGTTAGAATCAACAAACCCAACGCGGGGCAGATTGTATGAGACAACTTACTGTGGATCAACGCTGGAACCCAATTAGGGCTATTGACTTTGATGGGATGAGAATATGAGAAGAGCAACAAAAAGAGTGAGAGAGAGTGTGTAAGAAGGAGAATAGAAATGACGGTAGATATAACCCCACGGAGTATTCGATAGTGTAATGGCAACCACCTTATCGAAATTCAAGCAGCTTCAACATTTATAGATGGATTCGCTCAAAAAGACAACGCGTCGGCGAAGCGAGCCAATTACAGCCCCGACCGGGCCGGCGGCCGGTGATGCATACGGCCCGGTGATTGGTGAGTTTCCCCCGGAGATCGACGTGTTAAAATCCAGGGTCAAGAGATTCTAGAAACATTTGTGTGTGGTTTTACTTTTAATTTTTGTTACACTATCATAACTATTTCTTTCTATACAAAATCATAAAATCATAGTTTGACGCGTACGGTTGCCCTAAAAGGAATCATGCTTTGATCCTCCCCGCATTTCCCCGATGACATTTATTACTATTCATTGTTCAAAATCGTCAACGGCTTTCACCGAGTTCTCTTCTACGGGGATTACGTTTCACCCTACACCTTACGAGCCAAGAACGAGTATGCTGTTCTTCACTAGTGAATCTCATGCACAAAAGCTTCGCCCCTATTCTCCAATAGATGATCACGATAGCCAGAGATAAGAATCCCGGGAAATATGCACGGCCTATTTAGTTTTAGTCTACGAGTACAGAGTAGATAAATTCTCTAATTTACTACAAGGACCATGGTCAATCTACCTTCACTATATTATAGACATGATTTACACCCTTCTTGAATCATTTCACACACCCTCAACCCTAAATAGGATGTGACACAAGACATTGTCGGTGAAGACTCAACATTTGGGCATTCAAAGATCTAGTTTCTGTCTTATGACTGGGCATCAATAATGAGTGGACCCAAAGAGATTCCTTGTTCCACTTTAACAGGATATCGGCACCGCGGGGTTTGGGGTGATTCATCAATCATTCTGACTCAGAATTTAGGCACGCGAGATGGTGGTGTCGTAACTAACTTGTCAAAGAATCTTGGCCTCAGGCCATTATACCTATGGTCTTCCTATTTCGTTGCTAATTTTCTGTCTTACTCTTAGTAATATAGTCAGAATGTAAGATTTTCTCCCTTTTGCTCATCTTTGCAGCTATAATCCGGTTCATAGATAAAATCTATTGGTATTTACCTCGTACACTACAACTAACAAATCAACAAAAAGCCCAGAGAAGCTTCAAGCTTTCTTTTAACTCATACCAAGAAAAATTATAAGTGGGGAGTGTGAATAAGAACGCAAGGGGACTCTAAGCATGGTGATACTGAAACAAAGAAAAAAACAAAGGATTGGACCTCTCCATGTCGTGATATATGATTCCTCGACTACAAAAGGTCCAAGTTTGAGAAACTATTGAGAGATCCACCAAGATCGCTAGTTCCCTTTATCCTGAGCATTTTTGTCTAGTGAAGGAAATAAGTCTAATCACCCTGTCATTTGGCTTGGTTCGGCAATGGCCAAGTCAATTGAAATCACCTAGTTGGCCAAGTTTGATTTATTTCGTAATTGACCGATCGACTCGGTCCATACAATTTGAGGACCTTTCACCCTCCTTTGAATGGGTAAGGAATTTTCCAAGCTGAGTTCGAATATGATAACGAATTCTCAAAGATTGAGAGAGACTATACATATGTAGTTATCTCACAACATAATGGCATTATCCAAAAAATCTTCGGTAATTGACATTACCTTCTATTCGCGAGAACTGGTGATATATAAATCTAACAGAAACGGTTGATGCGAAAACCATGTCCCTACAACAGTGTTTAGAGATTGTCGCTAAATACTCACAGTCAAAATCATTTGAGAAAAGCATAAAAGATATCTAGAAAGACAAGGACAAAGGACTGGTAGGATAGGTACACAATATACGCAGAAGTACGAGAACACAACCACAAAGCGACAAGAGTGAAAATATTCCTTTTTCTTACAACCCAATTGAGTACCTTGTTGCTAAAAATCTAAGCTCATTGCCCTTAGATCATAATGAAATGCTTCGTAGACAGGACCTCTTACGTACAAGTGGAGCCAATCCAGCAATTGTCCACACGTTGTAGGCAGCAAAATTACCCCTGTCAACGATTATCGCAATAATCCGACGAAATCCCCAGACTTGATTCGCTAGTTATTGAAAGACAATCTAAAGCTTGTTCTTAGTTCAGCCCTGTAGGGCTGAGTGGGTTCTTTCAGGCCAAGCTAGTGCACGTCCTGTTGCCGAGTCTTTCTCTTGAATAGACAGGCTGGATCCATCATGACGAGCGAGATGAGTATTAGTAATGGAAGGGCTACCTAGTACATTTCATTTTTAGCCCAGCGGTCCTGCTTTTAGAATGCTGCATTTTGCCGGAGTTTTTAACAACTTAGTCCAGTTCGGTTTATACAATGAGAGGACCGAAGAAATCTTGGCTCGGCCCAGCCCGTCCGACTAAGCCTAAGAACGCCTGCTCGCTTTTCAAAGGATGCAGCTTCAAGCTTCTGTGCGCTGCATTCTCTTTTGGGCTATTGGGGATGTCGAGAGGTAGGTCGGATATCCTTGGAAGTTTTGGAAATCACCAAAACTAAGAAATAGGACTCGACGAGGGCCTTATATCGACCACAGTTGCTCAAAACTCCTTCATCAAAGAATTCGAAATTCGAGCAAGCTATCTCGACTCTTCGCAGCAGGCCAATCGACTGTCCAATATCACATCGATGGTTCATATCGGCAGTATCCCGGGAGCATTGATCGCTTTTATCTTATGCGAAAGGATCGGTCTGTTATGGTCCATGAGACAACTTTGCCTGCTCTGGTTAACAGGTGTTATCATTGTGATCACTTCCACTGGGAACTTGGGGCAACTGTACGCAGGTCGATTCATAATGGGGCTTGGGATAGGACAGGCCGGCGTTGTGGCACCGACTTATCTGGCAGAGATTGCACCTGCTTATGCTCGGGGAATGCTGGTCAGCATTTTTGCTATGTCGGAGTATATTGGCATCATGGTTGGGGTATGGATGTACGGGTAAATTCAATGTTGTTTGCGCTGACTGTCATAGTATTTCTCCGCTTGGGGTGCTTCGTTGCATATATCAAGCAGCAGCGCCAGACAGTGGATCATTCCTCAAAGCACGCAAATAATTGTTGCGGGGACTCTATTTCTGTCATCCTTTCTATGCGAAGAGAGCCCCCGGTATCTGGGAAAAATAGGAGACTGGAATGCAGCGAAACATACACTGGGAAGTTTGTGGGGTCTGTCTGAGCAACACCCTGATGTAGTGTCAGAGATCCAAGGGATTCAAGCTCAGTTAGTCACAGACTACGATTGGAGCATGAGTGAATCTTGGTTCAAAAGCGTAAAGGAATTATTGACGGTTAAGTCAAACCAAAAAAGATTGATTTTCGTGATCTCTGCGCAAGTCCTTGCCCAATGGTCTGGGGCAAATTCTCTCACCAGTAAGCAATGCCCAACCCAGTTCTTATTCTCCATATTTACCGCAATATAGCATATGCACCTGAATTATTCTCGCTCTTTGGGATAGGTGGACAATCCGAGAAACTGTTCGTGACTGCAATTTTCGGCGCAATGAAGTTCATAGCGTCTCTTCTGTGTGCCATTCTTTTGATCGATCGCATCGGGCGCAAACGATCTTTGATAGCAGGAATTGTAGTGCAGCAGTTTGCAATGTTTTATATTGCAATCTTCCTCACGGTGGAGCCATCCTCCAACGGCGATTCAGGATCCACGAAAAAAGCAGCGATTGCAGCGATCGTTTTTATTTACTTTGTTGGAATTGGTTGGGCGATGGGATGGAATTCCATCCAGTATCTCATCAACACGGAAATATTCCCGTTGCGGGTTCGGTCGACAGGATCCAGTCTTTTGATGACTTTTCACTATGCCAATCGGTATGGTCTATCGAAGGTATGTTCAGGACGTGGGGTTTCAAAATAGCATCCAATTGCTGATACATTCAGGCTGTTCCATCGATGTTACTTGAAGATGCTCTCCAGCCAATGGGGACATTCTGGTTCTTTGCTGTGATGACTTTCTTTGGAATGTTGTGGACATGGATCTTACTCCCTGAAACTGCTGGCCAGAGTTTGGAGGAGACAAATGCTCTTTTTTCTTGAAGTATACAACAAATAAGTATCAAATGACTCGCAATTTCCATCTTTCTTGGTATGAGCCTCTTAGAATTGAGTATAGCGGAAACTTTGCACCGTATGTCCATCGAAGGGTCTCGACGTCTTCCCACCGACAGATCCCGTGCTGCCACCCAACTTTAGCGTTCGCTGATCGCGTGAAGACAGAACTTCCACGCTTGGATGTTCTGATAAATAATGCAGGAATAAATTCGCCCGAGTGGAAGGTCTAAGAGGGCTATGAACAAGTCGTCCAGGTGAACGTCCTTAATATCTTTTTACTAGCACTGTCCCTGTTGCCTAAGCTAGAGGCGACGAGCGCCACACTAGCGGAGAAGAAGCTACAACCTCATCTAGTAATCCTGAGCTCCGAGGCGCTCTGATTAGCCAAATTCCCGGAGATCAATGCCCCTGAGCAATACGTGAAGCTAAATGACAAGAGCGATTTTAGTCAGTAAATGAGGTCTATTTTCTATGCTCCGTAAGTTTGGAGTAATTATTTCTCTATCTGTATTATACTTAGCGTGTTTTGGGTTATGATTGCAGAAGCAATTTTCTTATGCAAAGCACGGAAGCCAATCTCGAATGCAGAACTACTAAGACTCCAGCGACAGGCAGACATCTCTACCTAGTGCTAGGGACGAGTATTTAAGCAGTAGTTCAGCCCACTGCTCGAAGAAACCAAGATATCTTCGGGGAGATTGAAACACGGGTGCTCAGCGAGCGAAGAGCCACCGCGGGGGTATCGCACAAATCTGCCGACCTCGACGACGACATAGCCAAGGTGTCCGCGCCACCCTACCTCGCTAAACATCAAAACTCGGAAGTCCATACTTACGTTCTCATGTATGTATTAGCTAGGCCTTACTCTCAGCCTATCCTGTTACTAACACGCGAACTAAATCAATATGCGCGGCCCGCCCTGCCGACATCGTGGAATGGCTAAGGCTATGCCTTGCCTTATCGCGCCATAAATGACCCGTGGGCCACCGACGATGACCATATTCCCCTCGAACGCTCTTTTAGACCGCGCCTACGGTATAAAATCTAATTCGGTCAGTCGACTCGAGACCAACTCACGAATGTTCAAAACACTCGACCTACAACCAACCACATATTTAGAAGTATGGATGTTTCATTGTATCCCTTCAATTTTGGGTTTCATCCCGCATCAATACCCTAAGCTGCCATCACTATACCGCCTCCTCGCAAAATCATCAACGTCTGTGATACTCAACCGTGGTCATACATCGAAACTGCCCCAAGGCATGATTGTACCGCCTTTGAAAATTTGTCTGTCATTTTTGTCTACTTTGACTTTCTTTCTTACCTTGCTCTCATTTTTGAAGACCCAACAAAGCCGCGCCATTTAGGCAGGCTAACAACGGGAATGGCAATAGGCCACGACAGGCCTCGGCGAGGCTCTAAATTCGCTTAGGAAGTGGTGCACGAAACATGTACGTACTTGGATTTATATGGTTATTATAACTTGCATATAGTTTTGAAAGTTGATTTCCTGACTAGACCAAAAACACGAATCCGTACCCAGCCTAGTGGTTTGTGGTTTATAGTCTAACTTCGACGAGGGGTTAGGGTAAATGAATTATACACACACGCATAAGCTGTACTGAGATACAATACGTCTATGAATATATATAAACCCCTACTATTAAGCCTCACCGGCTATACAACCTCCCACTGCCATCTATATCTGTCCACCATGCCAAGTCGCTGCCCACTCCTGCATTCGCACAAAAAGAGTACTCTGAATCATGCCTAGCCTTAATCGCTGCGAGGCGTGGATATTTAGCACCAAAATAATCCAATTTCCAGTGTGCATTGTTCCACATCGCCTCATTAATATAGCATCCACTGTCTGGGGTGGGCAGCCGGGACCTGTCGACCCAGTCCACTACGGCCAGAAGACCCCCTTAGGCTCCCCTTTTCCGTTTCCCTCAAACGTAGATAAGGATATTATCCCGTGGGAACAAAGCAATAGCTAAGGAAATTGTATTCATTGTTGATACAGATTCTTTTGGCACAGCTCACAAGTCTTTCTTGACGGGATGTAGAAAGAATAGGAAGAATAAATTGATGGCAAAAACTATCAGACATTGCAACAATACAGAGGAAGGATATGACCTTCAACTAGAAAATAAAAGTATCTTTACACTTTATTTTTAGAAAGGCGTGGATTTCAATGAAGTGAGCTTTAATCAAGTTTTCACGAAGTACAAGCTTCCAGCCGAGTGACTATTAGTTAATTAAAATGGGCCCTGGAATGGGCCATGGAATGGGCCTTTGACGATCAGTCCTATTTGGTCAATTAGGGCTGCGGAAATTTTCTTCCGATTCTTCCTGTTTTCTGATTTATTCTACCCTTGTGACGAGAACCAAGACAACTTCAGGATAGTATCAAAGTCCATTGATCATACTACCAAAAGTATCGACCACTTAAATATGTTTAAGGTAAGACAGATGGCATTTGCTGATTGTTTGCCAATAAATTCTGCAAGGGAGTGGAGTTGATCGCAGATCGGTGATAGTTCTCTTGATTATTAGTGGAGAATGTGTCCATTCTTTTATGAGACAAGGACCAGAGCAGCGACCATGCTTGGTTTAATTCCTGTTGGGCCAATTTGTCGGGCACAAACAGCTGTGCCCTTGAGACTTTTAGCAACAACATTGCTCATAACTACATAGGCATGTTAAGTACTCCGCACTTTTGTCAAGATTTCTTTCGAAGATGAGAGCGCAGTGGTTATAGGCATCAGTAGTGAAAAAAACAATACTTAACTCCATATGGCCGGTGTTCGCTACGGTATGCACCTTCACCTCGAGACACCAATCATGGACCAGATGAAATATCTCTGAGATCTCAGTGTGCAGATCTTATGCTAGCGGCATGCCGAGACTTCAAACTCACCAATCTGATCGGTATTCCCCCGAGGGGTAGGCCAGATCTCCACAAGGCAGTCGATGATGAGATCTCTGGTCAAAAGCCCCGATCGCTCACCCATCAAGGAATGCCAATTTGACTCTCCTTCGAGTTACAAGCCCTCCATGTGTACATAAAAAATGTCCCTGACTGAGAAATCAACCGGGGAATCCCCTCAAGCCAAGGAAATCCCACGATGGCGCATGATTTTCGACCCAGGCTGTGTCTCTCAATCAATCATCGACCATGAATACAGCGGCTCCGGCACCGAAGAAGACCCTTACCAAGTCTCCTGGGTAGAGAATGACCCGCGTAATCCGATGCTGTTTTCTCCAGTCTCTAGGTGGCTCATCACGATTCTGGTGGGGATTGAGACTCTGTCGGTGGCTTTGGTATCCTCTGCGTACTCAGGCAGCATTGCGGAGATTATTACAGAGTTCCAAATAAGCGAAGAAGTCGCTCTGCTTGGTATTTCGCTTTTCGTTCTCGGATTTGCTGTTGGCCCCTTGTTCTGGGCGCCCCTGAGTGAGCTGTACGGGCGTCGATATGTTCTTATCGCGAGCGCGACAGGTCTGACTGCTTTCACGTTGGGCGCGGCTGGGTCAAGAAATATCTGGACATTGCTCATCCTGCGATTCTTTGGAGGATGTCTGGGATCTGCGCCGTTCGCCGTGGCTGGTGCTGTTATTGCGGATACCTTTCCTGCTATCATTCGTGGTTTGGCTAGCGGATTATACTGTGCTGCACCATTCCTGGGTCCAATCTTAGGACCCATTGTCGGTGGCTTCTTGTCAGAAGCTGCTGGTTGGCGATGGGTTGAGGTCCTAGTTGCATGTTTTTCGGCGCTTTTTGGGATTATTTGCCTTATTGCCTTGCCCGAGACCTACGCGCCTGTTCTGCTAAATAAACGTGCCGCGCGTCTCTCTTCGATCACTGGCCGTGTTTATCGTAGCAAGATCGAGATTGAGCAAGGCAGAAAACATCCGGCAACAGTGTTCAAAATTGCTATCTGTCGGCCATGGGTACTTCTTTTCCGTGAGCCAATTGTTATGCTCTTGTCGGTTTATCTCGCAATCATCTACGGAATGTAAGTTTCCATACTCGACATGCTTGATTAAATCGTTCATCTATACTGATACCTGATGTCCCAGCTTGTATTTGTTCTTCGCTGCCATGCCAATCGTCTTTGAGACTGGACGTGGCTGGAGCGAAGGAATCACTGGCCTTGCTTTCTTGGGAATATTGGTCGGTATTCTTTGTTCAGCGGTAGCCACGTTCCCGATGTACTTCAGATACAAGAAAAGAGTTTTGTCAACCGTTGGAAGAGTTCCACCAGAAGCTCGACTCCCCGACACTTTCATCGGCGCTATTGCGCTACCAGCGGGGCTGTTTTGGTTTGCCTGGACCAATTCTCCTTCGATACATTGGATGGTCCCAATCGCAGCTGGTATTCCTTTCGGATATGGGATGATCACAGTGTTCCTCCCCATCCTAAATTATCTGATCGATGCGTACACGATTTACGCGGCATCCGTTTTGGCTGCCAACGCCTCACTGCGCTCAACCTTTGGCGCCGTATTTCCCCTGTTTACAACGCCAATGTACAAAAATCTTGGTATCCACTGGGCATCATCCATCCCTGCATTTTCGGCCCTCGCATGCGTACCCATGCCATTTTTGCTTTACCGCTACGGTGCAGTGATTCGAAAGCGATGCCATTACGCTGCAGAATCAGACGCCGTCATGGAGAAGCTATTTGGGAAGCCTGCTCTTCCCGAGCAAGCCGCTCCCAAAGAGGTGGAAACCGGTGCATCAGATTAATAATTGTAAATATTGAACCATAAGAGCTAGATCCGCCTTCACAGGCATCTATCGTTGTGTCATTTGAAACAAGAGAGGGCACAACAAAAAGAATTGGCCTAACCAAGAAAAGAAGCAACCCGTATATAATTCAGGAAAAAAATCATGTCAAAGAAAACCACAGCCTCATCTAGCAGTAAGATGCGGTGGAGTTGATAGAGTGAATGACATCAGCATCAATAAGATTTTCGTAAGACCAGTAGTCCTTCTGGGTACCCTGTCCATCAACGACAGCACTGCTGTTGTGCTTAATGTTCCAGAAGGATCCACCCTGAGCATAGAAGCTCCAGGCATAGCGCTGGGTGTTGAAGAGATTCTCGCGGTTGGCAAAGGTGTTGCTATACAAAGTCTGCAGAGCCCATTCGCCAACAAACACAGGGAACTTTCCATCTCCACCAACAACGGATGCCTGACCACAGATAGCGCCATTAGCCCACTGGGAGTAGACACCGGAGGCAGCGAAGTAGTAGACGTGGGTGTCGATGACGAGGTTGGTGCCGTTGGGGAACAGGGGAGACCAGTGCTCCTCGCCGAGGAAGCAGTCCTGGAGCATGAGGGGAATGCGCTTGTCAACACGGGCAATGCGAGACAACACACCCTGAGAGTACTTCACAATCCAGTTGGTTCCGTTGGTGGTCAGAGTGTTGGGAGAGGCAAAAGCGGACGGATTATCAGAGGCTTCGTTGATGGGAGCAATGGTGAAAGCCCAAGGGTATCCGGTTTCGACGAAGAAATCAAGCACCTGATCGACTGCCTGTAAAGAGTAACCCAAGTTGGTGCTGTTGAAGAACCAGCCGTCATTTCCGACCTTCTCGCCAATGTCGAGAGAGTTGACACCACCGGGAAGGGAGTGCAGACCAACGATGACCCGCATGTTGTAGTTCTCAATAGCATAGACAGAGATCTTTTTCAAGTACTCTTTCTGGTTGCCATGGTAAAGAGCAGAGCCGGGGACCTTGATCCAGGCAGCGTAGGTGGTAGGGATGCGAAGAGTGTTGACGCCAACGGCAGCGAGCTTGTCAATGTCGGCAGTGGTCACAAAGGTGGCATAGCGTTCCTCGAGGACGGGGCCGCAACGGGCTCCGAGAGTCTCACAGAAGGTCCATTCATCGGCTGCATCGGGAGCGTATTGGTCCCACCAGTACTGATTGAAGACCTGCTCCTGCTCGAGCCAGCCACCGAGGTTGACACCGTTGGCCTTGTACTTGGTCCAGTCAGTCCACTCTCCAGCGGAGACAGTAGCGGTGACTGATGCCAAGGTGGTGGTGTATGTTTTGGTAGCCTTGTGGCCGAGGGAAGAGGCAGTAGTCACAATAGTGCGAACGGCAGTGTTTGAGGTGGATGCAGTGTACAGGTTAGTGTTGATACCGGAGCCGACTGCATTGCCACCAGCGACGGGAGCAGTGTTCTTGGCCACAGTGTTAGTGGCATCGGCAGTGGACTCAGTAGTGGCAGGCAGTCTAAGTGGCGATTGGTTAACCGTTGAATCGAAAATGAATGGTTACATGTCAACTTACTGGTTGGTGACTTTAGTCTTGGTACCAATTTGAGTGATGACGGTGCGGTCATTCTCGTTGACAGAAGAGACAGAATTATCGGTATGGGCACTGTGGTTTGTCTGATCACTTCCAACATTTTCAGTGTTTGCAGCAACAGCAGTAGCAGTGATAGTGGCGGTTGAAATGGTCTTGGTGAGAGTAGAAGTCGCGGTTGCGTAGACAGTAGTCTGCAAGCGAGTGGGGGCATTGGTGCAGTCAATCAAGATAGTATTGTCGATAGTGACAACAGCATTCTCTTCAAGTTCAACGTCAACAACAATGGGGTACTCGATGATACTAAGAGACAGATGCAGGACCTCTCCAGTGAACAGGGAGTTGGAACAAGTGTCTTGGGCCGATCTGGCCTGGATCACTCCAGCGGATGCAGCCCCGAATGAGGCCGCAGCAGCGACAAACTCGGAAAAACGCATGTTTAGTTATAACGAGTGACTATTATGGAAGAAAAAGCGAAGGAAACTGGTCGGGCCAGAGAAAGAGTGTAAACTGCCTGCCAACTGGGATCTCTAGAATGTTGGGGGATCTACATTGCTTTATAGAAATGCGTTGTTTGATCTTGAACCCCTCGACATTATACCGGCTCTTTTTCGGGGAAATTTAGACCGACACATCTCTCGCAGTGTCGAGTTATAAATAAAAAAGACCCTCTTACATAGCCGAGACGCATGGGTTCTGCCTGGCTTTGTGAATCTCGAGATAAATTTTATGGAATGGATGGGTCTTTAGTTCGGCAAAAGCCCATTGCAGCAGCAAGAGCCGACGATACAAATTTGCCGGTCCATAAATATGGAACGAACGAGCGCCAAAGTAAATCCAGAGTCTATATCGCAGCCTAGCGCATTACACGGTGCGTTGAGAGCCGTAGCTTCAGTTTCACGGCCCCAGTTCATAGTAATTTGCAAGAGATATGCCCAATAGAAGAAGGAAAAAATAATCATCGGTATAACGGTTTCAATATTAACCCTAGCTCGTACCCGTGGATCCACTACTCTAGATTCGGTACCTGGTTCACCTTTGGATCGTGGCGTTCAACTGAACGCTTATCAAAGATATAACAGTACTAGTGGTCCGGATTTCCCGGGAAAAAGTCGTTAAATGTCTCGGATAACTTGATCTCGCATACCACGTGCTTAACAGGTTGTCCACGATCCACCTGGTTTAACTTGAATAATACGATACAAACACAAAGTATTAAGCCTAGGCAATATTGTCACAATATTATAGATCTGTCTCTTCACTACAAAATCCATATCCAAATATCTAAAACAAAGTCCGTTTCGGTTTATAATTCGCTGAGACAAGAGGTGTGCTATATATTAGTCGGGTTCTACTCAACTTCAGACTTGTTTTCGAAACCACAAGCCCTTAGATGTGTTTCGCTAGCATTGTATTCCAAATTTTGAATCCCTTACAAATCAGTGAGGACAAATTTGCCCTGAACCCAACCATGGAACTGGGAAAAGCCTCTTGACTAGTGGACCCACCACCTTCTAGATATAGTAAGGTGCTTAGGGTACTATCTCTTCTGCAAGTTTCTCAAGCCCTGGAGGGTAAATCTCCTTAAACATGTAATTATTCCTACGGAAAACCCGGCAAATTCTGCCAAGCGGCTGTAGGCTCCGGGATTTGAATCCATGAATGACGTTTTCCATCCAGGAAGCCTTCATAAGGCGAGAGACGGCGGCTCCGAGGAAGAAAAGCCAAGGGCATCGAGCCTAGACTCAGTATCGAGTATTTTGTTCCCTCGATACGATTGCGAAATGAATCACTCTACCAAAAATCTTACATGGCTGACAACCACTTGAAGTCAAGCAGGGCTTTGGTACACTCTCTCGGAGGAGCTTATTCTTGCGTTCCCTTCAAAAAATGGCTATAAGGCTTCAAGACAATCACAACAGATGATACTTCATTGCAATTCCTATGTCTTCTATTTCATCACTTATTTTGATCAATACCATGGCGTTCTGAAGGCTTTGTGAAGAGTAAAGACTGACAATTTCAAGGTTTTTCATAGACAGGGAATAAGAACTCCGTGGCCATCAAAATGTACGACTCGGCTGAATTTTTTCTAAACCTGAAGTTCTCTATTCTCACTATCTTCTCCCTTAATACGTCTCCAGGATTCCAGGGACTAACTCCGATTACAACTCGTTATCTCCGCAATTAGCTAAGCCGCCCAGAATCTTCTCCGCATTAGTCACATGGCGATTGTGCCAGCGCGTTCCAACAGTTCGCATAGTCAAGTTCCTGTACCATATTGTATATTTGTCCTGCATTTTGAGCGCTATCTTCCCAACCCTACTTTTGTTTAACCATGTCGCCCGTAACCGTGTCGAAAGGGCAAAGCCCATCCAGCCCGGACGAGTCCTTTACCCAAATGGCCGACACAGACCTCGAATCAATCGGCCGCCACTGCCAATACGAATACTGCGGACAACTAGATTTCCTCCCATTCCGCTGCGAGTCCTGCCGCAGCACATACTGTCTAGATCACCGCTCTGAAACCGCCCACCAATGCCCCAAAGAAGGCGAATGGGCCCGTCGTCGCAACCCCCAAACCAATGAAAACGGCCCCGCCCCCGAAAAGCCCTCTATCTACAACACAGACCAGTGTTATCACGTCCAATGCAAAACCCTTATCAACACCCTCAAAGACCCCGCCGTCCGCTGCCCCCAATGCAACCACCAATACTGCCTGAAGCACCGCCTTCGCGAAGAACACAATTGCGCCAAGGTTACCCCGCTGGGGGCGCGGGCCGGGAATTCAGCATCGCCAAATGAGACGATTAAATCTATGTTTGCACGCGTGCGCACCTGGGGCCGCGATAAGCAGAATGCTGCTGGTGGGTCGCTTCTGCCCAGTCTGCCGAAAATGAAGCCCAAGCCGAATAGCCCGGCTGCGCGTGCGGTGGCTGTAAATGGTCTCAAGCGCTCTGCCAAGGGCGATGCTTCGGTTCCGGCGGATAAGAGGCTGTATCTGCATACTGTTGGCTCGGCGGAGACGCAGGCTGCTGAGCCGCCTTCGGGGGATTTCTTTTTCGATTCGCGGTGGAAGGTTGGTCGTGTACTTGATGATGCAGCGAAGAAGTTGCGTGTTGAGAATTTGAATAATCGGGTTGGCGGAGAAGATGCGAAACTCCGGGTCTTTCACGTGGAATCGGGGGATTTCTTGAACTTCTCGGAGCCTATTGGTGCTGGGAAAGTTAAGCAGGGTGACACGATCGTGTTGTTACGCGGTGCTGGGGCTGTCCTTGGGAGTTCATGATGCGACTTCTGCGTCGCTCTTCGCCTTTTTTTGCCCTTTTTTGCTCGATTTCGGAGCACATTCACAGCCTGATACAGCCTGAAGCATATTTATGAATGCGATATGATGATGTATACTTTGAGCCAAATGTACACATAGACTTGCGATATAAATGCATTACTATTTCCTCATCTACAGTAGCTTATAATATGCATCGCAAAAAAAAGGTGGTATCATACAAATATCGTAAATCGGATAGTGGCCTTGAGTAATTAAAAGGACCCACATTAGACGCTCATCTTCATCTTGATAATCTTATGAGGCTTATATCCAATGACTTCAAACTCATCTTCTTTCCAGCCATCGACGTCTGCACTACCACGGTCATCACGCTTGATCTTCAGCTCAGGGAACTCTGTCGGTTCCCGAGTGAGCTGCTCGTTGAGCGCATCGACATGGTCAAGATACACATGAGCATCTCCCATGGTGTGAATAAGGGTTCCAGGGTGTAAGTCTGCAGCGTGGGCAAGGATATGAGTGAGAAGAGCATAAGAGGCGATGTTGAAGGGGACACCAAGACCCATGTCACAAGAGCGCTGGTAGAGCACGCAAGACAGGGTACCCTTCTCCGTTGGGCGGCCAGTCCTCTCATCAAGTTTCATGGTGGGTGGGAAGGAGACATAAAATTGAGCGAACATGTGGCACGGGGGCAGAGCCATCTTGGTCAAATCGGCGGGGTTCCATGCGCTCATAATAATGCGGCGGTCGAAGGGGTTGTTAATTAGTTTGTTAACAACCTCCTTGAGCTGGTCAACTCCTTGGCCGGTATAGTCTGTTTTGGCATCGACGTACTCGGCGCCAAAGTGGCGCCATTGAAAGCCGTACACGGGCCCCAAGTCGCCTTCTTCACGATGGCCGAGGCCGGACTTGTCGAGGAACTCACGGCTGCCGTTTCCATCCCAGATCTTGATGCCAGCCTCGGAAAGGGGCAATGATGAAGTGCAGCCGGAGATGAACCAGAGAAGCTCGGCAAGCACCGCACGAAGAAAGACTCGCTTGGTGGTGAGAAGTGGCAAGACAGAGATTGGGTCGCCGCCTTCTGGGTTTGGCTTCGAAAGGGAGAATCGGAGCTGTGGAGGTGCGAAGATTGACTTTGTACCTGTGCCTGTGCGATCGGGTCGGTGTTCGCCTTCAGAGAGGATTGTACGGATCAAGTTGAGGTATTGGTGCTCTTCGTGCGAAGGGTCTTGTGGCGAAGACGCCACATGGACTGCGGTAGCTTGATCTTTGGTCATGGTGCAAAATGGGGTATCAAAAGGGTTTACGCGCGTTCAATTACCCAGGATAGATGGTATAATGAGAACGCTACGAAGATCTCGGTATCTCGCAAAGAGAGGATGCTGAAGATCGGCAGATCGCGTCGACGCGACACGCGGTCACGTGTACGGAAATCACTTCGATTTGTGATCCCCGCAGGCTTTAATGTGTCAGCAGAACCTGAGGCAGGAAGTGGGCCGGGGTCGTTTTCCACTTTCTGGGTTGTGTATACTTCGGGGATGTGGGATACTGATGAATACGGGGAGGGGATATAGCGAAACAATTTACTACACTATTGAGCGACGACCTCATTAGCAAATGTACCTCTTCATTCGATCCCTCAACTTCAGCGACGAATCTAGCCCCGGAGGTATCAACTATGAGGGTATTAAAACCAAGCATACCCCAACATCAACCGCAGCTGGCTCTATCAACTTTTCTTTTTGGAGGCCTAGAGCCAACAGCTCTCCCACCTAGTCGTGGTCTTTTTCAGTTTTCCTGTCAGCTTCTTTATTCGCTCAGACTATAACCAATTTCATGTAAATTATGTCTGCACATACAATGGAAGTACCCCTCGGTTGTTGTATAATAGTAACTAGTGTAACAGCAAGAAAGCATACATTACAATTCTTGACGATCAAATGACAACAGCTGCGTTGAAGAGAATTAGCTGCAAGTCGTCACATATATGCTCACGCATACCGATATACTGCAGCCACTTTCGCGAAATGAGTATACCATTGATCAAATATGACCATCGTCGAGAGAGTAGATGCCTAGGTACATGTGTGCCTTGAGAGAACCAGCCCCTCGAACTATGATAGAACGGAAGGATTCATCCGAACTCCTTTTGATAATCCCGCAGTTGAAGAATCTTCCGTCGCACGAACCGCTCTCGAACTCTGAGCATTCCATCATCTGATGCAGTGAATTGACGGACCCTCTCTTCGATTGAAACACCAGCTCCCCAGCAGAAATCATCAAGCAGCTCCCAGTACAGAGTATCCACAGCCAGGAAATTGCGACACGCAAGAATGAACCAGGCAGATTTGTCCTGAATTGATTGCCGCATACGGACAGATAACCGATTAGATGTGGTTTGGGTCTCGTTTTGTTGCTCTATCCACTCCAGACATTCTAGGAATAAATCTGCTTTAGGCATGAAAGCTGATAAGAAAGCATCCGCGCCTTGATCATTGAGGATATCATGCGGACGTTGCAGAAGCAGCCAGGAGGGAATAGAACCAGCAAATTGTGCCGGAGCCGCATAGCAGAACTCCCAGTCAATAACACCAGTAACTCGGAACTGGTCATCAAGAAGAACATTCCCGGGCCCAAACTCATCACAGAATAACTTGAAAGGCCCATGGTTATCAGGTCGATTGATGAACTTCAACGCAAGAGCCTTCATCAAGTGCCGCGTAGCATATTTCATCCGACAATCCGCAGCATCATAAACACTATTCCGCTGCTGCTCCAATTGCACAGACTGCAGCCCAAGCAGCGAAGCCACATAATCCGTCGAACTATGATAAACCCCAGTACCAAAGACCCCTATATCAATCCCATAAGCTCTCACCAGCTCATTCATTTCCCGAGTCCACGGCGACCCCGAAATACAAAATCCACTCTCCCCACTGCCCAAATTCCCAATCATATCAAACTCCAAGCTCCAAAGATGCAACAGCACCTCCGCCATCCGCGTATACAGCACACGCAAAACCTTCGGATCAACATCCCCCAATCCAGTCTCGGCTATGATATCAGCGACCGTCCTGCCCTCAACCCAAGTCATGATAACAAACGGCCCAAGGCCAGTGGGATTCTCATTGGCCGTCCCGTGAGCAACGACGCGGGGAACAGGGATGTCCGTGTTCGCGGCTACATATTGCATGGCGATGACTTCGTGCACGACCTTGGCGTCAGACATTGTTTTGCCCGGGAGCGGGAATCGGATAAGCCAGTCTTCGCCGCCATCGTCCCAGTGGAGGCGCCAGCTGAAGTTGTGAGTGCCGCGGTGGAGAGAGCGCAGCCAGCAGTCTGGGCGGCCGCGGTAGCGGCCTGCTAGCGTACAAATTGCTTTGGAGGAGGTTGTGGCAGTTTTTATCCAGCTTGCTGTTTGAGTGTCGTGGAGTTTGGTTTTTACTTTGTCGGTGTCCATTTTGGTGGGTTTATGGTATTTGAGGAGGGGCTTTAGGGGACTGGGTTGTGTTTTCATCTCTTACGATCATGGCGTGTGGATTTTGTGAGGAGTCAAATCTTGAAAAAGAGGTTCTTCACGCGAAGAAACTCTTCACGGGAACGAATTCTTCACGGGAACCGTTGGAATAATTAGCGTGGGGTTGTCTGTCCCCACTATTTAAAGTCGAGGTACATTGTCTTTCGGTCAATTGGAATCTTCCAAGAAAGGAAGTATATCCGATGATTCAGATAAGAGGGAACTACATGTATTATAGACGCCCTTGTTTACTTTCTCGGTCGGAGCTCTTCTACAGTAGAACTAAATCCAGACATAAATCCGAAGGTGCTAGAACCAAAATTATGATCATGATAATGCAATTCACAGGGTATGATCCCGAAAACAATAAACAGCATTGGGTCAAACCTCAATGTACTCTAACGAGGGGACCCAGCCCGAAGCCCTGGTATATCACAAAAACGCCCAAACGCGAAATAATTCAGAAGGGAGCAAAGGCAAGCTCGTAAGCAAATGCCAAGCTCATCTTCGCATGCTGCAGCATATGATCGAAGCTCAAATACTCGATCTTATCCTCGGTGGTGTGGATCTTCTTATCCGAGTTCTCGAACTGGGACTCGATCACAAACGCAGACGGGTATCCGTATCGACTGGCAGAAGCATGATCCGAGCACGCATATCCACATTTCGTCTCAACATAGGGCACATCGCAGTAAGCGGTGATAACCTCCTTGATGAAAGCAGTCAATCCGGGATCAACAAAATCAACAATAACACCGACAGACTCCTCCTGTCCCGCGTCAAGAGTACCCTGCACGTAGCCTGTCATATCCTGTTGTAGCATGGCCTTTACATTGCGCGCGTCCTTCTTGTACTGCGCATAGACAGCCTGCGAGCCGAGCAGACCGCCCTCTTCGGCGGAGTACCAGTGGAACTCAACTGTGTTGCGGGCTTTACCGTGTGCGATGGTCTCCGACCGCAGCAGGGCGCGAAGAGCTTCGAGGATAGTCACCGTTCCGCTGCCATCGTCGTCGGCGCCGGGAGCGGCCAGGAATGACGGGAAGAAGAGGTTGATGCTGTCCTGGTGGGAGCCGAGCACGACTGTATTGTTGGTCTCGCCGGGGATGCGGGCGATGATGCTGAACTGGCCCCAGGGGTGGGCGAAGCGCTCGACGGTGGCGCCGTGGTCGCTGGCGCCAGATTCGTGGATCGCGGCGGTTACTTGGTCAAAGAGCCAGGTTGCGGACTCAATGCCCGTTTGGGATTTGTAGTACCGGGTATGGAAGGAGGTGAAGTGTTCGAGGTTGCTGCGCATGTTTTTTTTATCGAGGGTTTTAAATAGCGGGTGAATTGCTTCCGAATGAGACATCTCCCCTGGGTATTTTACAGTCCGGGTGGTGTAGAGGGTGCCGTAAGCGCCTGATTGATATTCCTCGGTGACATCAATGAAGTTTACACCATCCTGTGGAGGTTAGTATCATGTTGAGATAGATAAGCATATTAACTTACCAATTTTAGGGACCATTTTTCTTCATCGGTGACCCACCGGGTTCGGTATGGGGCCAGCTCGATCAAAGACTTGGACTGAGGGGTTTGAACGATTGAAGGCGCCAACGGTTGTTGTTCGGGGTTGACGAGCACCATGGCAGTTGCCGTTGCGCTTAGCGCAAAAGAAGTGAGGAACTTCATAATGAAATTAATGGAATTAACGTAATGATGAAATAAGAATAAGGTCAGAAATCAGGGACCAGAGTTTCTTAAGAAAAAGCTTTTGAGTGAAGGGCGCTAACCAGGTATTACTCAGGTATCACGCGCCCTTCGCCAAGGCATTTTTGGACCCCGCGCGCTAAAGACCGAGGCTCTGTCACATTTTATTCTATTTATTGTCTCTAGTACTAGGACTAGTACTACTAGTCCCTTCCGATCTATCCGGAACATGATTCATTGCACTGGATTAGATTTTTATTTCCATATGAAGTTCAAATATCTTGAATAATGCTAGATTGTTCTGTGTGATAATCGAGGTAAGCGTTACAAAATATCTACCCAAGTACATACGCACCTATACATTGTCCAATGAGTACCTTATCCAAGCAAAGCAAGGGCAATTCTGGGGTGATCGGAGAGTGGAGAAACAGGTGCCTAATGTAACTCCACTATGACTGCGCCATGACTCAGAGAAGATAAGACTGTGAGCCTCGAGTACATATCCAGTTGCAATTGGGGGCCAATTGTTTAGTTTGAAACTGAAAAACAAGAAGACAAACGAGGAAGAAAAAAGTGTTAGGACTTGTACACAGCCTCTTGGTCTTTTTTAGTTCCTTGTTAGTTCCTTAGTCCTTAGTTCCTTCCCTTCCGGGTTGCTCCTGGTCATCCCTAAAGAAGAAACTAGGGCTAGGGCTACATGGTTCCCACTTTCCACCAATCAACGATCAGCGAGTTGTCCCGTGCAGATATCGACCTGTGAGAGGCCTTGTATCCATCGCCCTTATCTCCCTTCTCCGGGTCTATCCTATCCTTATCCCCCTCTTCTCCCTTCTCCCCTTCTACATCTCTTGTGTACTGCATCAATCTCAAAATGGCTATTCATCCTCGCCTGCGCCCAGAGGGAGGGCACCTTTCGCCTCAACAAGCCCGCGCCATTTCCGCATGGACCGAGCAGCATGCAGCAACTTCCCTGCAGGACATAATCCTGTCGGACTCCGCAGACCGCACTCCGCCCTCACCGACACCGACGCGTTCAGCCCTGCGCGATACCACCGTGTCTCTATCAATCCCGCTAGACGATGAACCCCCGAAGATTCAGGCCGAGTCTCGCCCAACTGTCAGCTTCCGACGCCGAGCACCACTGCGCGAGAGCGCAAGTTCCAAGTCTCGAGAGGCTGTGTTGAAGGGCAAAGATGGGAGTCGGAGGAGACAACGCTGGGAGAACGGTACGTTGGTGCGATAGATATATTGGCCTTCAAATCTATATCTATATGCTTTTGCTTCGGCGCATCACATACTGACCAGACAAGACCGCCTCCTGCATAATCCCTGGGCAGAGCCACCGTCCCCTAAGGACTGGGATGTTACACCCACCTATACGCGCCACAACCCCATGCCGTATTATCTCGCCCCGCTGTGGGACGTGCACTACTCCCATGTGAAAGATCAGCAGACGGACCAGAAGATTGCCGAGCGCGCCAATGAGAAGCACCACGTCCCCAAAGAACTGCGCGCGAAGCTGAAACATGCGCGCGCTGCGCGGGGCATGCTACAAGATCTGGAAGAGGAGGTCCGGCTCTTTATCCGGAAGTGGAATGAGAAGCAGCTTCTACTTGAGAAGGAGGGATTGCAGGATGCACCCGAGAACTCGTGCAGTGATGACTCGGAAGATGAGATTGTCTTTGTTGGTCGTAATGGGTTGATGCATGATGCCCCTGAGCGGAAGGAGAGGCTCCGCTTGCTCCGGCAGGAGATTAGTTCGCATAGTGAGCGAGATGGCGAAAAGATGGTGCTTGAGACGATGGCTGATGATAGGGCTGCTGGGTTTGGGTATGTTGATACTCTCATGTTCTTTCTGCGGGGTACTGATTAATTGCTAGTCGTTGGCTGGTTCACTCCATCGCGGCCTATTATGGACTGCACACTTGGTCTGTCACGGTGGATGATCGACGAGAAGCCTATGTCGGCTTCCGACCTCCTGTACCAGGAAGTCAGACTGGACTCGTTTCCCATTCACTGTGCCACACCGCTTTGATTAAGCCCGGTGATGAGCTTCCTCGGCCTCTCCATGCGCAGGTCTAGGCTGTCCTTTCTTCTTTCTGCTTTCAGATGGCACATACGCTTCGCCGTTTGGGTAATGTTGACGGATATTGTAATCATTGCGACCTAACTTAGGTGGCTTGTTGACTGTTACATAGATTTATGAACATATTTTTTCGGTCGCATTCATGCTGCCAAGGGATATTTTCTCGTAGATGCATATCCCTTGACTTGGACGACATCACAACAGCGGTCAATGAGAACTGCGTGTTCGATTTCCAAGGTTCTGACGTTCTGGAGTCATGGGCATCTACGGTCTTGACGCTAGTTCAGAAGGTTCTATACTAGTCTGTGCGTCGAGACTACTTACCAGTAGATACATGCCGTCATGCGGAATCTGTAAAGCCGACATCGGCATGCTGAGATCAAGATACCTGGGGAATCAGATATGAAGGGCTAAGTTAGACCGACCTATACTATCTGAGAACACGTTGCCTATGTATACTACTGTGTTGTATAGTTCATTATTCAATATAGTAACATGCACATATAGGTACATATGTAGTACAACAATAAATACAATACTACCACTTAATCAATGTCCATGTCTCATGACCCCACCACGAAACAATGGATCGGAACGGACCGCGGAGGGCCCACGGTTTGCAAGTACAATATTGGTACGGAGTACAACTACGATAACTACTTATCGTACTTTTTATGACGGTGGACTCGATTTTGTCTGCCAAGTCAGCACCGCTTGGACCCTGACGGCCTGAACCCTGACATAATGAAAGAATCTTGTGTCCAGGCCCGTCCAACGCAGGCCCCCTGCCATTTGACTGGTTCCCTATCGACACCGAAAAAAAGAGAAGGGGGGTCCAGCTGCGAATAGCGAGCAGACACAAAAGCACAGCTTATTCTCGCTCTAACTCTGGGACACATCACACAACCTCAAAGCGCACTAGGGGGGATTGTTTCACTTCTTATAGGTTTGATTGATTGTGTCGGCCTTGCGACTTGACTGTTCGACCGTGATACTTCTTTATTGCGGCGCATGTATCTGCCGATGGTTGAATTTGGTTGTGCGACGGTGGCTATGGGCTTCGTAAATAACTTAGATTTGAGCTTCCACCTATTAAGTAAATCAGCTAGATTTTTGGCGGCTGGAGATTAGCTACGTAGACTTCGTGCGTTCCATACAGTATAGTGGAGAGTAAGAGAAAAGTGGGCGATTGGGTACAAACAATGACGAGTTTACATTCTCGACCTAAGAAGTTCTAAATACTTCGGATTACATTTTGTGACAGTCCAGTTTTCCACATTCTGCTCTTTCTTGTTTCTGGCCAAGGTGGTTTTGCTTGTATCTCTTTTGACACCTCCACTTTCTTTCTCTCTCTCGCCATTCTTTCTACCATCTCAATATTTCTTAAAAAGGAAATCCCCCACCCCTGCTACTGATTACGCTGACTACTCTTTCATCTAATCTTGGCTGTCATATGATTCTCACTCGCATTTATTGAACACCCCTGATAATAACTCAACGTTGCGCGGGAAGGCCTTAAATTTTACTCACATACCACCAAGAATCTGTTATTATCCCTCCGGACCCCGCGTCATGGGAATTTAACCCCTCTCTTGAATAAAATTTAATGATTCGGAATCATTCGGACCATCACTATTGATCCGGTGTGATCGCTGCAATATACGTTAATTTATCATCCGACGGCGCTTACAGCGTGACTTATCTGACTCCCGATCTCCGCGGTCTTGATTTCGGGGTCTCTTCGCTCGCATCACTGTGGTGTAAATCACACTATTCGAATATCTCTTTAGCCTCATATACAACATGGGTTCCTATAAATCATACCAAGACGGCAGTTCCAGTTCAACCGACAGCTCAACATCAAGAAGCACCGCAGCAACAGTGCACAGCCAGAGATCAAGAGATAGAGGTACCGCCCTCGTAGTCTCAAATCAAAAATCATCAGATCCAGCCCCACACCTATATTCACACAGGCAAGACCATTCGTCTAGACCACCCAGACCTCGCTCGTCAACATCAACATACGCCTCGACCACAAATTCAGTCGAGCTCCAAGAACCAGAGGAACACCAGCAATATGGTGTAACAGAGCGCACAGATTTCTACTCCCTAGACGCATTCCCCTCGACTCCCTCTTCATTCGCCCCACTATTCCCCTCCTCCAGACGTCTACTAATCCGCCATGACGACACCACCGTCGACGGAAACATGAACCTGCGTGTTGACACCCCAGTCCACATCCGCGACGGCACTCAGCGCGACGTCATCCTCTTCCATCTCCGGATGTACGATCTCTTTTCCCGCAAATTCTCCTTCCGCCGCTACTGCCGCGACTCCGGCCGCGAGGTATGTCATTGCGCACGCCGAGAAGTTGTCTCTGCCGAAGATCGACGGCCCCAGCCGCGGCGGTCGTGGAGTAGTGTTTTTGGACTGAGGCCGGGTTCTTCGGGGACGTGTGCGCCGGGTGAGCTAAAACGACAAGACTCGGGGTTCTCGGCGCATAGCCATACCCATGAGATGGAGGACAGCAGTGGAGAGAAGCTGCCCATTCTGGCGGACACCATCTTGCTCGAGTTCTCAAATTACGCTCATGTTGAGCTCCGCCGTAGGGGCGGCACTAGTAAGAAGTATGAATTCGAGTACTGGTCAACTAAGTACCAGTGGCGAAGGGAGATGCGCAAAGAGGGCGATCTGCAGGAGGTTTCGTATTTCCTTGTCGATACGCGCTCTGGGAAGACCGTTGCACATCTGGTGCCCGACACACTTGCGCCCCTGGAAGTTGCTGAGGAGGAAAGTAAGGGTGGTTGGGTACCGCCTTCTTCGATGTGGATCAGTGATCCAGAGGTTTATCGGACGATGCCTGATGTTGCCGAGTGAGTACCTTCCTTTTCGGTCTGTCTTTTGAATGTGATGGGCCAGCTTAGACATGTTTGCTTCTTTCCCCCTCTTTTCCGTTTTTGCTTCTTTGCTAGTAGCAAATGGTTCGCGGACAACACACTATGCAGCATGTATTACATTGTATGCACTAAACAAATCACCGACAAATCCTTGCTGAAGAACCCCTGCAAACGGTGACGAGATTTGAGGCTGACGAAGTTTTTCGTGGATAGTGTCATTGTTGCTACAGGGATCGTGGCGCTAGTTGACGACTGCATTCGTCGTCGCTGGCATTCTGAGCGTCGACCTTCTTGGATTCTTCCTGCGCAACACTCGCTGACGAAGAGTCTGGAGCGTATGGACCCTCGTAGCTTGATCGGCCAAGTACTTCAGCGGCGTGGATCTGCTTGAGCTGCGTTGGCGATCTTGTTCAGGTCCGGGATTTGGTCCTTCGCTTATAAATTAACACACCTTTGTAAAGAATGAGTTGGTCCTGCATTAGCTTGAACGTTTTTGGGACACGGGGCTTGATTCTCGTGTATAATGACCTAACGATATGAGTGACGGAGATCTTTGTTTTGTTGATCTGATTTTGAGTTTGGTATAGCTTCTCTTCTTGTGGATGATTGAACCTTTTTTTATTCATTTCTTCTATTTCTCTTTTTTTTTTTTTTTTTGAATCCTTCTATCATTAGCTTCATTTTCTCTTTTGGGATTTCTCTTCGGTTCCATCCTTGCCATCCGTGTCCAATGCCACGCATACATTTGGCTGAATGAGACCTCGGATCTCTCGCGGCCTGACTTCGGCCGATCGTCTAATACGGATTTGACAGGGAACCGAACAGCTCTGCAGTTAATGGGTTCCACTTCACTTCATATTGCATCTAGGATTGGAGCAGGTTTTGGGTAACTCACATTTGCACCTAGCGCTGCCTTACCTATTGTATCCTCATCACGCGCTGCTATGCTGGCGCTGCATGTCTTGTAGTATGGAGCTTTTGGAATCTGACCGCCGGTTCTATTTGAGTCTCAATTCCTGTTTGAATCTCCATTTTCGATCTAGTCTTCTCAGCGTACCATGGTTCTCGTTGAGCTCCGGCGCTAGCTGTGATATAAACCATGGTTCATTTTGTGGGCCGCCATAACCGCAATGCACTCACGGCCTAACGATTTGATTGTAAACCAACGTCACTACTAAGGCAGATTACGGGAAAATAGAGGAACTAGCTTACCGGATAAGTGAAGAGACGGCAGCTGTTTCTTGCTTTTTTAGGGCTTGATCGATTGGCTCTGAATGAATCTTTTCTTTAGCGCGAGCCAGAGCCCAAAAAAGGACCCTTGCTGGCCTTGCTGCCTTACGGGTAAACAAGAAGCAACCAATGTGATGCCAATTATATTCTTAGCATGCTTTTACGCTAGTTCGATTAACAATATACTGCTTAAGTACCGTTATGTACGTAGTTTATTGTGCAGTAACGGCAGATTAGATTGGGTGCGGGGCAACGAACACCAAGCCCCTCACTGGGACCATCTGGCCAATTTAGACGCCCTACAATGACACGGTCTAGTCCTCTGTCGAACATGTCGAGCATACTCGGCTGTTTCTCTCGCGACGTGTTTTGTGCATACTCGACGTAGCCGCTTTACTGAGAACCATGGTTGAGGATATTGTCTACTCTGCATGTATGCCCAACACGTTCGCGCTCTACCAGCGCGCGAACCGCCCAAACTGCATAGTAAAATGAACGATGGGCTGTCAGTGCATTTCATCGGTCGCCGTTCCATGGTTCACTTCTCTGCACATCACGCGGTTAACCCATCAACGGCACTAGCCGACCCCATGAAATGAACTAGGGGCTTTTAGTCAGATTTTGGACCTCTCATCTCTCTGCAGGACACGGCCTCTGATGATTTCTGACGTCTTTGATGGAATTGCTTCATCCGCTCCTCCTTTAGTAGTATTTTCTTCTCTTCTAATCCTGGGCCGACAGCAACTGTTCATGCAAAGCGGCCCGGCCGGTGGCTTTGGAAGGTGCCCAGCACCCCCGAGTTCACTGGAAGGTCGAATTCAGCTTCATTCAATAGTCAATGATCTCATTCATCATGATGAGCTGGCAATGCTTTTTTTATTTTTCGATGCGGCCCAACTTGAGGATTAAATCGACGTTTCGGGCATCTTCCACTATTCGCTCCAAGCAAAAAATACACATTAAAATTAAATGTGAAGAGCTATGACACTGACGCTGTGGCCACAGGCTCCGCTTTTTGGGCAGATATTACCTACATATCAACCCCTCATGCAGTCCATACCTCAGGGTTGTTCCAGAAGACCGCGGTTCCACCGATACGGTTGGAGTCAATGCGCAGCTAATCTACAGTACGTTTGTAAATGACATTGTAGCCCTTTTTTTATTGATTCAATTCATAAAGTACAATATCTTCGAGTGAGCCGATGGGGAAGAATATTATAGAAGAAAAAGAAAAGAAAATATGCAAATCTCAAACTAACGTGGGGTTCTCTGAGTTGTTCACTTTTCTATCCAATCCGCTTTCAACGTCACCCCGAAAGCTACCATTTATTCTGGATCCCTCAAAACAAACTAGCCAATATCTCCTTTCCATTTCTGCCTGTCAATGTGTGGCGGGATCTGTCGTGGGAGCTTCCGGTTTGCCCCTCTCCCCTCCCTAACCCTTACATGCCCTCTAGCGTTTCTTCAAGGGCTGGTTTTTGCTTAGTCGGCGTGCGCCGGGCCGTTCCAGAGTGCAGCCTCAATGATCCGCAGCTTTTACCTCAAATCTGTTCCTTTACTGGTTGATAAGGGAGGGGAATATACGGCTGACGCTGGGCCATGTCCACATTGACATGCATACGCCCCCCTCCGTTAGGTTTGACGGTTAGGCTCCTGTTTGCTCCCAGGGGAAAAGAAATAAAAAAGAAATCGAAAAAGAATATTGAAATTAAAAAAAATATATCCAAAAAAAACCAATCTTGAAAAAAAGAAAGAAAATTTCATCTCCCCGAGAACGGTTTTTTTGGCCTTGAAGATATGGCCCACTGTTTATATGACTCCCCGCTCCCCATGTTGTCTTCGTTTGGAAGGATATTTTTTTTAAGTAAACCTCTTGAGAGATTTGAAACAAGTCCAATTGATCTTGTGTGATATATTCTTTCTTATATCTTTCGGTGGTTTCCCTGAAGCTTGACTTCTTCTTTACTTCTTGGTCTTCATTGCCTTCAATTGAGTTGCCAAAGACTATTGTTGATTCTTAACGTACCCCCCACCTTCAATCCCACTTCATATCACCTCAATTGCAAAGCTTAGTCGACGACTACCCGCTATTACCTCTTTTCCATACAACAACAATGTCATACTCTACCAGTCCACAAGCAAGTGCTGGAGCTCGGCCCAGCTGGCAAGATCAGCTCCAGGGTAAGCCATTGGAAAGGAAGCCAGGCCTCATCGGCCCCAGTCATACCAAACATGTGATGAAAGTACCCGGCTGACCATCTGTAGAGCATTGTAGGAGCACCAAGACATCTCCCCCTGTCTTCAACATTGTCTCCGATCGGCGAGGTACTTGCCCAATTTTCATTATTCCCCTTCCCCCTCAGCCCTCTTCGTCCACCGTCTTTTCTTCCCACGGACGGTTTTATTTTATTTCCCTTCTTATTTCTCGGCCCGTTACAGAGACACACACACCTTGCCTTTACCCACCGCGGTGTGCCTCGTTTGTCGGCATTGCAGGAAGGAGTGGAGTCTTGCAGAAAACGAAACAGAAAAATGCCCCCCTCATTCATTTGTACACCGACTTTTAGGTTCCGAGCCTTTGACAGCGGATAGCTAATCGTCTTTACTTCGGAATTGCAGGAGGTCGTACTGCCTGGTCCAGCACCGTTACCGTCCAAGGCCAGAATATCGCTGCTCGTTACTGGTATGATGGTCAGTACATCAACAATGCCAAAGAAGACGCTGCCGAGGTCGCTTTGAAAACTTTGAATCAGCAACCTCGGACTTCCACCGTCTTTCCGGGCCAATTGTATACCCAGCAACAACAGACGACCGGCTATGGTCGCGGAGCTGGCGGGTTCTGATCATCTACAATTTTCAAACATTTCCTACTAGTCTTGGGCGGCATTCTCTTCCCTTCTTGTGTTTTTATCAAATTTTTCGGTTCCTGATTTAGACTGAATCCCTTGCTTTTCTTTTCCTGGATACGAGTTGCTCGTTTTGGTTTGTTTTCAATTGCTGTGGAGGACACTGCACCGGATCCACTGTTCTCAAACCCATAACTTGCTGTTGCGTTGCGTTCTCTCACTTGCGTCTTCGCATGCAGGAAAAACTACCCCCTACACCGCACTCCTTCCACCTCTTCCGTCGTCGACAGTCCAATGCTCTCCGAATCCTGCAGATGCATGCATTACCGCCGGTCTTCGCTAGTCCCACCGCTCCCGGTTTCTGCAAGACTTGCCCACGGTGGCTCGCCTGAAGTGCAAACTCATTCGATGAGCGTGGTGGGATGACCGCTGGGGCAGACAAAACAATAAAGGCATATGCAACATCTCTGCCCGGGTGACTGCTTCCAAATGCAGGTCACTACCTTGTTTCGCACCTGTGGAACTCTAGACCCGTCGCTGTGACACCCTGTTCAAGATCCCGACGGCCCAGTACAGTACGTTTATGGTCTTTATTGACTGCGCGTCGGGATTTGTATGATGCATCGCAGGTTAGACTGTGTTTTGGCTCTTTTGGGCTTCACACATGCACGTTTGCTGATCACTGCACTGCAAGTGTGCTCAGAGACATACGACACATTACTTTCCGACAGACTTTTGGCTCTCCCCCCGATTGAGCATCGTACAGGTCATCTTTGTTTTGATTTGATTTGATTTTGATTTGTGGTCTGTCTCGACACAAATAATGTGAGGATACGTACTCTATTATGGCTGTGACTGGCTCTGTTGGAGGGTTTCGGGTCTAGGTTCTATGCATTGTGTCAAGTGACTGCTACTTGACCTTCGAGAACATATGACATGTCATGCTCAGTGTGAGCGACGTCGTACCCGCACAAATTTGAATCCTTCTGTCCCGCTGCATAGCTCGGGCGACAATTTTGTGACATTCTTTCAAGCCTGACGCAAGACAACTTTCTTTCTTCTATTGGACTTTCCTTTGGAGATACAGGCAGATCTCCGCCTCCCTGTCACCGCAAATATGATCCAGTGATCTGAATCTCAAATTATAGTTGGCAACACAGAGTGGCGATGACAACAGACAAAAAAAAGGTCTCAAGGAGTTTCAGGGACAAGAAAGGATATGGATATCTCGAACCCTGGGTATCAGTTTACTCAGGATTTCGATTGGATTTCCAACTGCTAATTTATTTTGCTTGTTCAATTTCTTTTGCAAATTGAGTGTATGCGTTCAACGGAAGGAGTTCTTTGGTTTGCTTTTTGGCTTCCTTGGTCTATTTTGAAGTTGTGTCATGTTTGGGGGATCTGGACATGGAACCGGGGTTATCGATTGTGTTGGTATCATTAACGGATGGTGCTGGACTTGCGGCTGTAATGGTCAAGGTTGGGCTCTATCAGCTGTTTTTTCTTTTTTGTTTCCTATTATGACTACAGAATCTCCAATCGACAGAGTACCTTTGATTAGTGGATCTTCCTCGTATTTCAATAGGCTACGGGGAATGGCAGAGTCTCTCCGGTTGGAATATAAGTTAGCCGCTAGGTGCGGACGTGGTACATGCTGCTCTCCTTAGAGATACTGTTGAAATCGTTGCGGGTTCTTGCCGCACTGGCCTCCCGGCCGAGATTACACATCCGTGGGTAGGACAGCGTTGCCATGTGTCTAGCCAAACATTAATCTCCGACACGGACATCTGAGTTGGGCAGCATTTCACAGACCCGATGTTCTTCTTTGTATTCAAAAGACGGGATATAGCAAGGTCTGTTGATAATATACAAATAGCGAAGTAAATAAAGGCGTGTTTATACCAAAGTAGACCCGACGTCAGATGTTGGTCTGTGACTTTTGACTGAACCATGGAACGGTGAACTCTAATAACTAGCAGCCCTAATTGTTAATTCCAACCAACCTCCCCCTTGCGGTCCTATCTGTATAGGCCAAGAAGGGAGAATCTTGAAATTTTTGTTTACCTCTTTCATTATCTCAGTTAATGGCACGAGTAATCTTGCTGCAAAATTGAAAACCCTCTATTGCGAGCCTCATCTGAACAATGATCGCCAAGACGCTTGCTGGATATGGCGTCGCCCGCCTCGAATCAAAAGCCGCCCGTGAACCCAGGCTACCATGCCCGGGTGACAATGCTCAGCCTTGTTTGAGTGGTGGCTATGTTGCTGATTCTATACACAAAAAAAGAAAATAAAGTAAGTTAAAGAGATAGCAATATATTCCAAACCAGGCAGAAAAGAAAATTAACATTTTCTTAAGTCTATATTTCCGTCGTTCATGACGAGCAATAAATCAAGTTTCTCTATCCAATTTCCATCTCAACCCCATCATACCACTTCCACACCAGAATCTTAAGATACAGAGATACAAGATAGTTCTCTTATTTCGATCCCAACATTTTCCTTCAGTCTGATAGATACCATCATGTGTTTCGGCTCGTCAAGCAGCAAGAAGAACAGCTCTCTGCCTCCACGGCAGGTCAACGTTGTGTCCAGTCGGCCTGCAAAAGCCAGCTATGGGTATAAAAAATATCCAAAGCGTGGTAAACATAATGGTTCCGGCGGGGATGGAGGAGGAGATGGTGGTGGTGGAGGCGGCGGTGATGGAGGATGTGGAGGTGGTGATGGAGGAGGTGGAGGGGGTGGTGGCGAATAAAATTTATTGATGGAACAACTGCCTTAATCATTAATTGAATCGTGACGATGCAAGAATAAGGAAGGACATTGATGGTTCGACGTTTGGATGAGACTAGACAGAACAGAGTCAGGGCGAAATGTCCAGCACGACCCGTTATTTGAGCCCTGAATCATGTTAACATCTTGGAATATGAGCTCCAGGACGGAATTTCGAAATTTTGCAATATGTCATGTCATGATTGGAATAATCAGAATTTATATTTGAAGAAGCTTTGCAGGCTTCTGATGGCATTTGCAATATACGACTTCATATGGCTGAAAGCTGGGAATAGCCCTACGCAGTATAACTCTTTGACTCTTTCTTCGGCCGCCTTCTATCCCAGCCATATGTGTCTAGTATGCAAATTGTTTTCCATCTCTTGCCCCATCTCCACGACGATTCCTCCATCCGTAGTAGAGTCTCAATAGAATGCAACCAGCTGTGACAAAAAACAGCAGCGCCGCATTTGTCCAATGGCCTGTGGGATATCCAATCTTTGCCTCGTCACTTTTGTAGATCCATACACCAACAATCTGGCCAGGTGCACCAAACGACACGTTGAGTGCGATTGCAAGACCTGCACCTGCCGTTGAACGAATATTGGAGGAAAGCCAACCTAGTAGTGGGGGTATACATGCAAAAGCGCCACTGGCTGCAACAATGAGACACCCATAGCGACTCTGTATTATCAATTAGATGATTTGTCAATCAAGATGAGATGGTTCGTTAAACTGTGGCGACTCACTAGATATGCACTGGCAGGGAGCACAGCAGATGCCAGGAAGCCCATTGCACCGATAAAAGAGAAGATGGCGGAATGGAGACCACGGCTGCAGAGTGGAAATATCAGTTCAGGGGTAGAACTTGAACTGGAAAGAAGTCAAACATACCTATTAAAATGGTCTGCAGACCATGACACACCCACCGTTACGACATAGGCCACCGCATATGGAGGCACAGTCATTAGCTGAGCACGAAGATCAGAATATCCCAGACCGGAGGTAATAGCTGGCGTGAACAATGACAGACTTGAAAATGGTGTAGAGATGCCGAAATACACCGCATAATGAGCATACAATCTCCAATCCGTCAGCGTACCCTTCGCATCCTCCCAAGACATAGCATGCGCAGAACCCTTAGAGCCCTCTAAAACCAGTCTCTGAGCCGCCAATTCTTTTTCCTTGACAGTAAGCCATTTCGCCGTCTCTGGATAATCTGGCAAAAGAAACCAGACCAGAACAGCGGATGCGCACGAGGGCGCGCCTTCGATGATGAATAGCCATCTCCACGCAGAAAGACCATGAGCGCCATTCATGTGACCAACACCAAAAGCAATAGCACCGCCAAAAGCGCCGGCTAGGGTTGCTGATGCGAGAATCAGGGCTACACGCATGGATCTTTCGGAGTTGCGGTACCAAAACGTGAGGTAGTATACGAAGCCCGGGAAAAGGCCAGCTTCCATTACACCAAGCAAGAATCTTAATCCTGTAACTTGAGCGTAGTTGTGCGCACCCCCCAGTCCCATCGTCGTTGCCCCCCAGGAGAGCATGAGGAAGGCGATCCAGCGCTGACCTAAGTTAGTAATTATTGATAATGTAGATATGCCGTATATCACGATGAACGTACACTAGGTCGAAGCTTTTTCAGGAAATAGTTGGATGGTACTTCAAATAAAGCATATGCGATGAGAAAAACCATCAATGCGATTCTTCAGGCTGTTAGTGCTTTACCGACTGAATAATCCAGGCCAAACCCACGTAAATTGAAAAGAAGTCATATTAGTCTCCGTCAGAAGATCATTGCCGGTATCTGCATTTAGGATTTTGGCATTGCCTGCTCTAGTTAAATTTGAACTCTACGGATATGAGATGTAAGGAAACTTACCAATGTTAGACCGATCGAGATAGCAAAGTAGGTAGATTGTCGCACATAAGGGAACAATGCGTAGGTCTTGTTTCCAGAGTAAGGCCTTTTCTCGCGCTTCAAGATCAGGGTCGACAAAATTAGAGCTTTCTGGCTAGATAGATGTCAGTTCTCGCACAGTCCCAGATATCCACTCCGATCTGTTCAACAAGGGGTAATGTCAAGGTTAGTAGATACCTCTAAAGCTTGTTCAACGTCTTGCATGTACTTTTCAGCCGTCATCTTGACAAAGTCTGCCGGGACTCGCACACACGAGAGCTGTGTTAAGAGGAACAGAATTGGGGGAGATCGGAGTTCTCTCTTTGATTGCTTGTTTTTCGGCTTGCTTTAGCTTCCCCGGGCTTTGTCCCCCGCACTAAAGGCATTCGGCATTCTTCCGAGGCACCGACATTGGGTGAAATTGGGTTATCCGATCTCGGTGATTAGCTTTTAGGGTTCGAAGCCCTCTAATTTCCATCAACACACTGTCTCGTAAATCTGAAAGCTGCCGTTTGAGTGGGTGTTGAATTGGGGGTTTCCCCGGATCTCCACGTTGACACCTCACGTCTAGGGTCAAGATCAAAATATTGTATTATGAGCAACCGGTGTCATAAAGTAATAAAACAGATATGACTCTGCACAACAGCCAAGTTCGGGGTTTATTTTTCTCAAAACAGTTTAGTGAGGATGTGTTCGTAGCGGAGAATTTGGACAGTGGAAGTGCCAACATTGAGTCTTAAGGCGAAGCAAATAGTAACCCCAATAGTAAAATTCAGCTTGTTTCCACGGAAATCAAAAAGAAAAGCCAATTGATCAATGTATATCGACGATAAAAAGCTCTCGAAAGCCTTTTTTGTATAGAAGAGCCTCGCAGTGCAAACCAAGCAAACAGCTTATCAGATAAAATGTTCCAGATCGCATAACAAGTCCACCACCCCTCTCCATGCTATGCCAATATCTCCTAAGGCAATCCGCTAAAAGATCTACGGTCCTTTCTATATCAGTCGCAACCATGTCCACAACCACTAAGCCCCTCCACAAACCCATGCCCTCCGCACTGACCTTTGATCGTCACGCTAAATGTTCGGTACGACAACACCCCTCCAAGACCTAGACCTCCAATGGCATATACCTGACTCGTTTGATTATTACACTCATAGACAACCAAGGCCCGCGCGAGTACCCTCCGATTACCCCATGGCGAAGTTTCTCTGCCGATCTTCATGCCCGTCGCGACACAGGCATCCCTCAAAGGCCTGACATACGACCAGTTGCGCGAGACAGGATGCATGCTATGCTTGAATAACACCTACCATCTAGGGTTGAAGCCAGGCCAGGCAGTTCTGGACGCAGTAGGTGGGGCGCATAAGTTACAAAATTGGGATCGTAATCTGTTGACTGATAGCGGCGGGTGAGCTACGCTTCCCCTCATATATCTGCAATATAGTACTGACCGGGTACTGTTTCTCAAGTTTCCAAATGGTATCGCTTCTAGAATTGGCAACTGTCACAGAAGAAGGAGTGCGCTTCCTCAGTCCACATGACGGCTCACCCATGTCAGTCTCTTGCATTTGCCGTGTGGTCAAATTTGCAAAAGGCTAATTGTTTGTCAGGCTCCTTACTCCCGAACACTCGATTTCTCTCCAAAATTCTATCGGATCCGATATCATCATGCAATTAGATGATGTGATTGCCACTACTTCACCGGATCATGCTCGCATCAAAGAAGCTATGGACCGCTCCGTGAGATGGCTAGATCGTTGCATCGAAGAACACAAATATCCCGAGAGACAAAATCTCTTCTGTATCATCCAGGGTGGTCTGGATCTTGAATTGCGGAAGCAGTGCTGCGAGGAGATGGTAGCACGAGATACTCCCGGTATCGCCATTGGAGGCCTTTCTGGTGGAGAGGCGAAGGAAGAATTCTGCAAAGTGTATGGATTTTAATACTTGCAAAATTATTGTGAGACTGACAAAACCATAGAGTGGATACATGCACTGATGTGCTGCCGGAGAATAAACCTAGATACGTTATGGGCGTGGTATGTCTTGTCGATACCTATTTTATATAATCGCTAATCAGTATACAGGGATATCCAGAGGACATTGTCGTAGCAGTGGCTCTAGGCGCAGACATGTTCGATTGTGTGTGGCCGACACGAACAGCGGTAAGGTTGACCGCACCATGCTCATTGTGCTTTGATACTGACATCAACCAGCGCTTCGGAGATGCTATCGTCTCTTCCGGAACTCTGAAGCTAAGCAATAGACGCTTCGCTGATGATTTCCGCCCGGTCGAGGAAGGATGTACCTGTGCATGCTGCCGTCCAACCGACCAGGGAGGCCTTGGACTGACAAGGGCATACATGCACCATATAACCGCCAAGGAGACTGTTGGCGCCCATCTGTACGTGAATTGACGCTGGTTTCTCGCTCCACCACTAACATATTCAGCCTGACTATCCACAATGTTCACTATATGTTGAATATGATGAAAAATATCCGACAAGCTATCCTTGATGATCAATACCCCACTTACCTTCGCAAGTTCTTCTCCAACATCTATGGAGGCGACAAGACGAAGTTCCCTGAATGGGCAGTTGGTGCTCTGCGTGGAGTTGGCGTGGACTTGTTGGCGGACTCATGACGGAATAACTCTGATTGATATTGGTCAATGAGTTGGCGCCATTGAAAACGAGATATTTATGTCTTAACTCCCGGCTATAGAAGTGTGTGCATATATAGCGGTGCTAGGTTCCACAGACAAAAGAATATTGCATCAAGGAGTTATTGAAGCAAACCCCGCTTGAACTCAAAAAACAAGTCCTAGATTGGTGGATAATGCAAATGATATGATTATGTGGGTATCAAAATCAACCTTGAAACATTTAATTACAACCCGCGCACCTTCCGCACAGCCTCAAGTATCCTCCCATGAACCGAAGCCGGTCCAACAACCATTCCATGACACCCAGCCAGAGTGCGTCCCAGCGCACAGTCAACCGGTTTCCCCTCAAGATCTGTAACACGGACACCAAGCTCTTGCACAATAAGCATGCCACCGGCATGATCCCAGATCTTCGACCGATAGTCCTCCGACAACGGCAGCTTCACAAACGCATTACACCCACCCTGCACTGCAATGGCGACATACCGCATCTGTGCAGACCATAAATCAACCGGGTTCGGCCACGCACAGCCCAATTCCGCCGCGACTCGACCATGCGCTTCGAGATCCTGCGTCTTCGCCGCCCGCGTATCGATAAATTTCACCAAAGCCGTATCTTCAATCTGCGGCACTTGGTCAAGCGCGCGCCCGGGAAGCAAAGCGCCCGTTCCCAGAGGCCGAATGGTAACACCCTGCCCAACGACCGCGGACAGCATCTGGCCGTGGCCGTCGCGATCAACCCGATCCTCCGCAACAGGCCCAGAAGCCATCAGATTCGGACAACCGATAACACCGATTTTCTGGATCCCATTTTCAACTAGCGATAGACAAACAGCGTATTGCTCACCGCGGATGAAGGTCGCCGTGCCGTCTACGGGGTCGAGGGTCCAGGTGCGGGACGTGGGTGTGCAAGCGCCTTTCGCGCCGAGATCAATCAGATCGAGCAGCTCATCGCGGGTGGTGGGTGTATGGAGGAGGGCTTCGCTGGATGGGTCGTCGAGGTGGATTGAGGTTGCGAGATCCCAGGTTCGCTCAAGGAGAGTGGGGTTCGAGCGGAGGGCTGTGGCGTCTTCTTCACCGACTATGTCGTCGTTCGGGAAGACGTGGTGAATTGCGGCGATGATGGAGGCTTGCGCGGCGAAGTCGGCGATTGTTACGGGGGAATCGTCGCTCTTGTCCAGGGCGCCTTTATCCACCGCTAACAGAAGTTGTTCTGTTAAGAGAGCTGCTCTTTGGACGGCTAGACTGGCTAGTTGGAGCTCTTGGGCATAGGGGGTTGGGGTTGCCATATTGGTGATTGAGATTGGTGATCCCGTGGAACATTCAAAGTCAATTGGATACAGAATATGCAATTGGTAGAAATGTACAGATGAGATTATTTTCATGGAGGGGCATCACGTGCGGTGAATCACCGGTGAGTTCACTACGTCATCGGATCCAAGGTCCACAGGTAGACCTAGATGGTATTGTATATAATGTAGAACATAGTAGAGATGGAGATGTCTCCAAGAGATTTGAAATTTTTCTCAGTACCTTGGGGTCTTCGGTCAACTTTTCTTTTGAGGGAATCAAGTGCATTAGGAAATAATGAAATGTTAAATCGAAGAGACCCTATATAGAAGCCATTTAGATGCTAATCCAGCAGATGAGTGAGTGCTTATACATCTAGACTCAAGATATAGTACACATGTAAGTTTAATGGTATATATATAACTAAATATATGTGGAATTAAACAGCGGTGAAGTAAATTCCAATCCATAGAATCTTGACAACATTGTAGAATATATATGTTAGTTAGCACTAGCCCCTTGCCCCGCATGTCTCCTTACGTCGATCCTCCAACGTACGATCATGTTGCACTACAAAGGTAACTAACATATATACATAGTTATATACATACACTATGCGCCTAAATATCACTTGGGGTACTTCAATGTCATGTAAGTACGAGATCAGTGTTCCACACCTATTTATAGGCTAGAATCCACGCTGTAACAACTGTTTCATAGCCCAACCGGATAGCGGGTCTAATTTTCCTTGATTTGCCTAGACTTTTTTTTTTCAAGGTTTTACTCCTTCATCCCTCAGAATACTTTCAACGTATGATAATTTGAGCTGTCTTTTGTTTCGCAATATTGGGCTGTGCACGGTGATCGAAAGTTGCGCCATTTCAGGTTACAGTTCTCCATATGCGGAGTAAACTTTGAGCGCAGAGTGCTCAATTCTGGTATTTCACCAGGGACGAAATTGCTTGACCATATTTAAAGAAGCTATGATGTCCCTAACTACGATGAAGCGATCATCTTATTCAATTCATAGCCCTAAGCACTAAATCAAAGTACTAAAGAGTACCTTGGTTACGGTTCCAAATAAGGTTGATGTCATCGACTACACTTTTTTCTTGTTTCCCTTCATTTTCTTTTCTTATTTCCCCCATTGGATGGATCATATGATCTGATGACCTTATGCGGGGAACTACCCTTGGAACCTTGGCAACCTCTACTAGGTGTTACGCTATATATTATAAGACTGCCCCTCTTCTAGACCTTCACTTCTCTACATCTACGGAGTATCTTCATAGCTATCATGGCTTCCTTCAATCCCTTCGCTAGACGTGAAACTCACAGTGCTAGCTCTTTAAATACCTACCGCGTCCTCGTACCCCTCACCTGGGCGCTGGTCTTGATAACCGGCCTCTATTACTCATTCAATTCGCCCGACGATATCAAGAAGGGCAAGAAGATCTGGAAAGGAGCCAACAAGCACAACACTCCATTCAGTCAGAATAACACAGTGACTGGGATTTACTGGTTAGTTCAATCCACATATATCAACTTTCCACCTTACCTCTACCCGTTCTCTCCAGCTCCACATATATCGACCATCAACCCTAATCACATTTCCAGGATCCTCCTACTTCTCTCTCAGCTCAGCTACGTCTGGCACCTCTTTTCAAAGAACAATGTTCTCGTTACAGCCGCAGCCAATGTAGCCACCCACTTCATCCTGAATAATCTGTTCCTCTTTGCATGGATCCTCCTCTGGACTCGCAATCACTTCTGGGGCGCCGAGATTATCCTCATCGCTCACTTGATTAACCAAACTGTCACCTACTGGCGTCACCGCGGCCTGCCGGCCTTCGTACACCTTCCCGCTGTTGCCGGTCCCTATGCGTGGACACTAACAGCACTTTTCTGGAACGGTGCGGTAGCAGTCCACAGTCACAACCTTCCTGGTCGTATTGTTGCGAATATCTTTATCTGGGTTATTCTTGCAATCGGCTTATTTGATATCGTCATCCGTGAGGACTATATTCTTGGCTACTGCTTGAGTTTGTTGTCACTGTGTGAGTGGAACCCCTTATCGTTTTATGTTATTCGGCATAATTTCTTCTTGAGTCGAGTATGTGTGCTAACATACACATAGCGCTGGCACTCCAACAGATCTCTATCAAGATCATTGCCCTGCAGTGGATCTTTGCTTTTGTCGTCTTTGGTGTGTTCTTGGCTTCCACGCTCTACATCTCGACTACCAAGTACACTGGCCGCGACAGTCTCTTCCGCAGCATTGCTCACCCTGAGTCTTCGGACCGTGAGCGTGAGCCATTGCTTAACGAGGGGGTGTGAAATGTCGTCATGACCCACCGAATCCTCTCGCTTGGTCTAATTTTAGGGTCGGATCCTAGCGGAGAAGGAAAGTTTGGGAAACACGCAGGCTATATTTTGGACTCGACAATTATGCACTCTTTTATTCCGATACCACATGTAGTAATGCTTTGAATTAGCCCTTTTTATTCGGGTCAATGAATTTTGACCCACCTGGGCTTACGATGTTGAATATGCGTTCTTGATATTTGCTTTGAATCAAATGGACGGAAAATAATAATAATCACAAGCAAGGAATAACAATAATAGCAAATCATCTATGGAGTAGCACAACAAAATAGTACGATAGTATTAAATATATTTGTCAGTTGTAGGCAGAGGGGTAGAGACTTCGGCGCGTACAAAACACAGTTGCCCTGACAACCGACTTTCACCTCCACTTTGTTGATACAAGCTGCGGACGAACCGGCCTGGACTTGTTTGCCGACTCTATTCTTTTATCTTTTAATACTGTCTCCGCATTGTCCCCTCTGACTTCTTCATTATCTGGCTTGTGTGTCGAGCTCGAGTATTGATTGTAAGGCATTCCTCATCCGCATTCCTCAACTATCCACTAACCTTCGGAACCTGACAGCCCCATTTCAGTGATAGTGAGAAACAAGTGACTCTTGCGCAAGCCGTCTTATCCCTAAGAACCCAAGGGCCAGTGCAATGAGGTAGTGAGTTGTATATCAACAACAGATTCAATCATGAACCGCCATCCACCATCCAGTTACGGCGACGCGCCGCCTGGATACCCCGATGAGACATCCTCTTTTCTGTCTGATCCCGAATCACCAATCAATGCATCGCGCCTCAATGGTGGTACAATGCGCCTGCTACCAACCAGTAGTGATGGGGCCGATGACATGAGTAGTGCCAGAGCTCCCTCGCCTTCTCATTACAATTATGAACCAGACTATGATCACACCCCGTATGTGTTTCCCAACCCTACCAATGCAACCTTATTTCTTTTCACATTCCAGTGGTTTCCCTCGCTACGGAGCCACATTCATCATCAACTTTAAGTCATTGCTTGACGTGGTCGGGAGAATGGAAGAAAGCTTGTGCGTGGGTCATTGTTCGTGAATGAACATTGCTACTGCGCTTGAGCTGGGTTCCTGCCTCGTTGATCCCCAAGAAACATTGTGCACTTGCTTTCCCTACCAGCGTACATTGTGTTCGCTCCCACGTCGGCCATCTTCCAGCCAGCTTCAAGCAAAATGGAACGCCCTTTAAGACCAAGGTCTAACATCAGAACGCGCCATTCTAGGACCGGACAAGAGCCCGCATATGATCATTATTACCAGGTTCCTAGCGCGTCTTCGCCTTCACGCCCCCCATCCAGCTTAGGCAGCGGGCCTCATATGCCACCTCCCACAGCAAGTCTCGCAGACACATCCGTTTACCCTTCTATTCCTCCACGCACAGGATCTCCAATCCGTCCATGGAGCCCATCACACATTCGTCCCCCATCTGTGTCAAGTGTTGGTTACGAACGCTCCGATATCAACGGCAGTCCTCGACCTGGTACCCCTAGCTCAAGATATGGAGGTAGTCCTCGTCGGCCATTACCTCCTGCTCCGTTGTTTTCGGGACCAAAATCAACAGTAGACACCAGCATTGACATCGGTGATGGCCTCAGTGGAGACGATCCATTTGGGGGCGATGGCCGGACTATCCATCATACATCACGCGGCAGCGTTCGATCATTTATGAGCGAGTCAACAATGTTGGGCGATGAAAAGGACCTGCAAAAAGTCGATCTTGAAGACGAGGACGATGGAGACGAAACTGGCACTCTCGATCCTAATCTGCACTACGGTCCAGCCCCAGAGAAACAAGGCCGTCGCGGTGTTCGTTCCAAGCAGGTGGCCAAAAAAGAGGTCCAGCTTGTTAACGGCGAGCTGATCTTGGAGTGTAAGATCCCGACTATCCTGCACAGTTTTCTGCCCCGTCGCGATGAGCGCGAGTTCACGCATATGCGGTACACTGCCGTTACATCCGACCCCGATGACTTTGCGGAGCGCGGGTACAAGCTTCGCCAGCAGATTGGAACAACCACCCGTGAAACTGAGTTGTTTATTTGTGTTACCATGTACAACGAAGATGAAATTGGTTTTACGCGCACCATGCATGGTATCATGCAGAACATCAGTCACTTCTGTTCCCGAACCAAGTCTCGCACTTGGGGCCGTGATGGGTGGAAGAAGATTGTCGTTTGTATCGTCGCTGATGGACGTAAGAAGGTTCACCCGCGTACTCTTAACGCTTTGGCTGCCCTCGGTGTTTACCAGGAGGGTATTGCGAAAAACATTGTCAACCAAAAAGAAGTCCAGGCCCACGTGTACGAATACACAACTCAGGTCTCGCTCGATGACGATCTCAAGTTTAAGGGTGCTGAGAAGGGCATTGTGCCCTGTCAAGTCATTTTCTGTCTAAAGGAACACAACAAGAAGAAGTTGAATTCCCACCGTTGGTTCTTCAATGCCTTCGGACGTGCTCTTCAGCCTAATATTTGCATTCTGCTCGATGTCGGTACCCGCCCAGAGCAAACTGCTCTCTACCACCTATGGAAGGCCTTTGATCAAGACTCCAATGTCGCCGGTGCTGCCGGTGAGATTAAGGCTGGCAAAGGAAAGCACTGGCTTGGTCTCCTCAATCCCCTTGTTGCCAGTCAGAATTTCGAATACAAAATGTCGAACATTCTTGATAAGCCATTGGAATCAGTCTTTGGATACATTACGGTGCTTCCTGGTGCGCTGAGTGCGTACCGTTTCTTCGCCTTGCAGAACGATGCAGATGGTCACGGCCCACTCAACCAGTATTTCAAGGGTGAGACACTGCACGGTCAAGATGCGGACGTTTTTACGGCCAATATGTACTTAGCCGAGGATCGTATTCTTTGCTGGGAGTTGGTTGCAAAGCGAGAAGAGAGATGGGTGCTTAAATTTGTCAAGAACGCTGTTGGTGAGACCGATGTGCCAGATACGGTGCCCGAGTTCATTTCCCAGCGTCGCCGTTGGCTAAACGGTGCTTTCTTCGCGGCTGTTTACTCCATTTTCAATGCGAAGCAGATCTGGTACACAGATCATACTTTTGCCAGAAAGGTCCTGCTTCATATTGAATTCTTCTATCAATTCCTCAATCTTCTGTTTACCTACTTCGGTCTTGTGAGTGACTTTTTCCCCCTTTTTCCCTCAACCTCTGCTGACTTTCCACAGGCCAATTTTTATCTTGCTTTCTACTTCATTGCTGGCTCTTTGACTGATGAGAAGCTTGATCCCTTTGGACACAATATGGGCAAATACTTTTTCGTTGTTTTGAAATATGCTTGTGTTTTGGTCATGTGCCTGCAGTTCATTATCTCTCTGGGTAATCGACCGCAAGGTGCCAAGAACATGTATCTTTCCGGCATTGTCGTGTACGCGATTATTATGTTCTACACCGTCTTCTGTGCACTATATCTCGTTGTCAAGGAACTGATGGCACGAGCGGGTATAGGAAGCGACGATATGGCAGTGAGCGACAGTCTCATGATGAACATCGTTTTATCCATGCTTTCAACCGTCGGCCTCTACTTCTATACCTCCTTCCTCTACCTGGACCCATGGCACATGTTCACATCCTCCGCTCAATACTTCCTCCTTATGCCAAGTTACATTTGCATCTTGCAGGTTTACGCTTTCTGCAATACCCACGATGTGACATGGGGAACGAAGGGAGACAACGTGATTAACACAGACCTCGGTGCCGCAAAGGTCATTAAGGGCTCAACCGTCGTTGTCGAAATGCCTTCGGAGCAACTCGACATTGACTCTGGCTATGACGCTGCCCTCCGCAACCTCCGTGATCGCCTCGAGGTGCCTGAGCCCCCACCATCCGATTCCCAGCTGCAGGAGGATTACTACCGCGCTGTGCGCACCTATATGGTTTCCATCTGGATGGTTGCGAATGTTGTTCTCGGGATGGCCATTTCGGAAGTCTACGGTGTTGATGCCGGCGGTACAAACATTTACCTTTCTATTATCCTCTGGTCTGTGGCTGTTCTCGCTGGTATTCGTGCTATCGGCTCAACTGCCTACGCTATCCTCCACCTTGTTCACAAGATTGTTGAAGCAAAGACGAAGTTCGATGCCGGTAATATGAGCAACTTCGCCCCTAGCTCCTACGGTGGATCGAGTGTCGGTGCCACTTCCGAGTCTAATAAAAGTGCGGCTCGTCCTGTGCGCTACGGTGGTGGTACATCGATTAAGGATAAGCTTTCTGAGGCTCGATGGTCTGCTGGTCGCGCGGTCAATAAAGCTATGTTCTGGCGCAAGTAGATTGCGATTTTGTTCACTTTGAGTTGGAATTCCCATCATCTTCTGGTGTTATCTTTGGCGTTTTCTTTAAGATATCAGGGGTATAATCTTTTTTTTCTTTGTTTCATGATGGAAATATTGTCACGATATTGCTTTTTGTTTACTAGTCTGATTTTGCTTTTTAATGCCCGTTGCCCTTTGTTTTTGGAAATGTGGACATGTCTGGTGATGGATGTATTTATGCTTTTTCATGGGATGTCAAATTAATGCACCGGATGATCAGTTAACTAAGCATTTGCTCTGTCTCTACATCGTACCTAGCTTTCGCTAAGGCTCGTAAAGAATGGGCGGCTGCTTAGCCCTCGCTTCTGCCGATGCTAAGCCAATAGCCGGATGTGAGAACACGATTTGATGAATATACAAAGTGTCAAGAGCCCCATCTTCTCTCTCCAGATATCACTGCCATCATGTTGATGATCTACCCCTGGACATAATTCATCTCATTGTGCGCGATCTTAATGGCAATGATCTCGCTCACCTGGTATCATCATGATCCCAACTGAACGCTATGTTACGACAAAGTCTCTACACCGACGAGACCTGGAAAAAGAACCACTAGAACGGAGGAATAGAGAGTCCGAGAGAGCATAACTGACATCGTCAGACTTGCTAGACAGGATGTACTCGGGTACAGAAGTCAATTTGTCCTTGGTGGATCCGCCATTTTGAATTTGTTGTCTAAAGTTGTAAACTTTTTGTATGAAAATGAAAGGACGGTTACACCCAAAATGAGAAAGGAAGTGGAAGATACCGTTCATGCTGAATTAGATCGTGGCTTCATACAAGACCAGAAACCAAACTCGATAGCTATTCGTTGTTAAGTGAAAGAATAGATGGTTCCAAAATGCAGGGTAAGATGATGATTGATTAATTTACCCAGAACTAGCCTGATAATACTGATTCGCATATAATAATGAGCGTGAGTGTGCCAAATTTGCACAAAAATATCTAATAACAATACCCATTCAGGGAGCCAACATTATACAGTTGATCCACCACAATTCAAACATGCCAAAATATTCCCAGGAAGCAGCGGCCATTGGGCTGTGAGTCCACAAATGGGGCGGTGTTGTGAATGGAATTTTTGCCTTATGCAGAGGCGTCGGCGGAAGCATCAGCGGAGGCATTGGCCGAAGCATTGGCTTCAGCGGAAGCATTAGCAGAGGCAGAGGCGTTCGCGGAAGCGTGGGCCTCAGCAGAGGCCTGGGCAGATGCAGAGCCACTAAGAGAGCCGCTTGCACCGCCTGAGGTGCCTGTTGGGCCGGGGATAGCAAAGCTCACACTGGTGCTCCAGCTAATTTCCTGGGGGAAGTTCCAGTGCCAGAGCCTACGCCACCAGAGACGCTTGTACCAGACGAACCAGATCCGGAACCGCTAACACCAGCGGAGCCATTGCCAGAAACATCAGTCCCAGAAGAACCCGAGTCGGAAGAACCGGAAGCAGGGGAGCTGGACTCGGGAGATGCGGCGCCAGAAGAACTCGCGCCGAGAGAGCCGGTTCCAGAAGCACCACCAGAAGCACCGCCAGAGGCACCACCGGAGACACCAGCGCCGAGAGATTCAGATCCAGAGGCACCACCAGAAGCGCTACCAGAACCACCAAGACCAGCGCTTCCTGAAGTGCTTGCACCAAGGGAACCAGTTCCTGAGGCACCACCAGAAGTGCTACCAGAAGCACCGAGTTCAGCACCACCAGTAGCACCGGCGCCGACAGAGCCAGTTCCAGAAGCACCACCGGAGAGACTGCCAGATCCACCGAGACCAGCACCACCGGTAGCACCGGCACCGACAGCTCCAGTTCCAGAAGCACCACCGGAGAGACTGCCAGAGCCACCGAGCCCAGCGGAGCCGGAGCCACCACCAGAGGCACTGCCAGATCCACTGAGACCAGCACTTCCAGAGCCGCCAATACCAGCGGAGCCTGAATCATCAGCGCCAAGGGATCCAGTACCAGAAGCACCACCAGAGGCGCTGCCGGAGCCACTAAGGCCTGCGGAGCCAGATCCGCCGAGCTCGGCGCTACCAGAGTCACCTAGACCCGCACCGCCAGATGAGCTTGCGCCAAGAGACCCAGTTCCAGAGGTATCGCCAGAAGCGCTGCTAGATCCACCGAGACCAAGACCAGCGCTGCCAGAGCCACCAAGGCCGAGGCCGGCGCCGAGACCGCTAGTAGCAGATCCCCCGAGGCTAGCGGAGCCAGATCCAGAGGCATCAGCGGAGGCATCGGCAGAGGCATCGGCAGAGGCGTCGGCAGAGGCGTCGGCGGAAGAGTCGGCGGAACCACTGGCGGAAGCGGAGCCGCCACCCAACCAGCTAGGAATAAAAGAGCTAAGACCACCGCTAGCAGAGCCGCTACCACTGCCCTCGCCGCTGAGAGCGGAATCGAGCCAAAGGCAGGGTTCGCGAGTCTCGAGGGTTTTGTTAAAGGGGGCTGCGAGAGCAGTACCCGCAAGGAAAAGGATCGCAGTATTCTTCATGTTGCCGGAACGATGAAGAAGGAAAAGAAAGATAGAGTGCTGATGATTGACTCTGGAGGAAAGAAAGAAAAAGAAGAGCGAATGGAAATCAAGCTGATCCAGTCAACTGAAGCAAAAGAAGGAAGTGAGGTGATGATGAGAACTGATAGGTGTTGGAAGATGCCCGTTCTTATAGCCCTCTCGAGGTATGGATCGGGCCGAGAAATGATCATATTCTGGTGAGTGGGCTCATGCTCGATTGCGCTCGTTCTTGAAAATTGAGCAATATCTTGCCGTGCATTGTTGGTGAAACTACGGCTCTGCCCGTGTCTTGTGGTGTCCTGTTTCAGAGTACCACAAGTCCAGTTCGTCGAGTTCATTTTCATTTTCGAGATGTTCGGGACCGGTCGTTTCATATGCCTCATAATTGAGCTTGCGATTTCTTCGAGCCTAGCGAAGAACAAGGTGAACAGAATTTTATCAATCACACCATGAAAGCACAAAGTGTTGAAGGCGTATAGATCTGGGTGGGGACCGCCTGTGCATCGTATACAATGCTCAAGCCACTCGATGAACCCTGTTTCTTCATACTCACCAGAGGCTAGGTCAAAGGAACTGATACAGAAGGTTGTTTTATTTAGATAAACAGGAACAGGTGATTGGCCGAATTGACTCAAAATTGAGTCGTTCTGCCAAAATTATCTCGAAACTCCATACAGTGGACACCAAATGGGTTCGGGGTTCTCAGTGCCCGCGTCCGATAATTTCGAACGCCGAACCGTTCGTGAATCCAATGGTTCTGTGCGAGATGCTTCTTTTTAGGTGGTCGTGCTGTCAGGGGATAATTAAGGAGAAGGTGGATTCTAAGTAGCTTGTGAGCCAGTCGCAACCTTCGCCATATACACGAGATCCACCTACAAGAAAACAATGAAGACTTGAGCAACAATGAAGACTTGAGCATGAGGTTTTGTCCAGTTCTGTTTCGAAGATCAATTGAGTGTAGATATTCAGAGCTTCAAAGTCCAGTTACGTGCAACCTCAGAACAATTTCTGAGATCAATGGACCAAGCCCCTTTGCACTTGACAAAATGCACATAACGGAGCTTCGAAAAAGGAGCTTTGTTTCTTGGGTCGTCACAGGAAATGCACCGCTAAAGCAGTCTCTGAGGATCATCGCCCCACAGTGCATGAGATCAGTGTAGTTCGTTTCAGCTTTAGGGTATTTGCTAAGACAATTCCTAACGCCCCACACTGCAAAATAGCATAGTCTGTCACTTCCGCTATGGTCGAAGATAATTGAACTCGGCAAAACTGGCTTGCTTCGTCTAAAAACTAAAATCAAAAAGTCCAAATTCTTGGTGGTTAAGCGGGCAAAAATAGAACCAACCCCTTGACTACCCCAACCTATTTTATCCTAAACATTTAAACCAAGGATATGAAAACAGCCAGGGCTATCTGAATCTTGGTTTGGTACTTGCATACCTAGTCAAGCACACGGAAAAGAAGGAAAGGCGGGAAATGGAAAGCAAACACATTTCTTCGTAGGAGGAACATCTTCATCCTGCTTCTACTTTGCCATCCATTAATGTGTGACGCTGCCACCAGGGTGGAAAAACACAGTAAAATTGCGTTGCTTTAAAGTGTACTCTTTTATGATCAACTAGAGAAGATTAGCAAGGAGAAGAAGGCATGAGTCAACGGTGGATAAGACGAATGCGCTTCGCGGAATTCTCGAGTACACTGATTCTGTTCTAGATGAATGATCTGTCACTCTCCAGTCTATCTGCTGTCTTATATACGGCACCGCTGTCTAGCATCAGTCTTTTGTTTTTTCCAAGGAGAATCTTAAAATCTCACAGACATCAACATCAAAGCTCCATAGGGTGTAGTCAGTGCATGCTCTGTTGTAAAATATGATTGTGAAACAAGTTTCCGTCGTTATCAAAGAGTGGTCAGGGTCACAGAGAACCTTGCAGGCTATCAATAACTACTCGACGATTTTGAGCAGAGACATCGTGAAGAAGCGGAACTAAAGGAAGCCTGGCATACTCAGCGCTCCGCCTCCTAAGATCAAACACAGATTCCATATGTTTTTTATCTCTTCATCTTAACTTTCCCACTTCATCAACCTACATAAACCATCCCACTTTCTATTCCACCTCTTTTTCTTTATTCAAACCATTGTCAAAGTTCTTCAGTTCCTTGAGCTCATTCTTTATCGAATCCATCGTCAAGGTTCTCAAACTTATTCAGCTCATACGCGTTTTGAGCTAGAAGGACAGCTTCTTGTCTTCGCCTCATTCAACCGAGCGCGCTACCCTCACTTTCACCTCATTCACCACTGCGTTTTCCATACAGGTTCACGCCCTCAGTGAGAATCTGACATCAACATTCGCCTCACTTGCGAGCACTCGGCACTCAGCTGCGCGCTCACTTCAGCCGCAGTCTCAAAAGTATCTGGTAGGCCACTATATCAGAGCTAAATGTTGGATCAGATCTCGACGTGTGGTGATATGTATAGATGAGATCGTGTCCAAGAGGCCTAAAAACATATAAAAGTCTCCTCGTCTAGCGATATCATAAGTTGGTTCGCTGCCATATATATATATAATCGAAAGGGGATTAAAGATACACCTGTAGTAATGACAATGATTTCAGATTTTGTCGCCAGACTTTCTGGACGGAAGATATATTTTGGATCCTTGAATGAAACTCTGGGTCGTACGGGTAAATAATTTAGCCGGTACCGTCGACGGTCTAGATCCTATAAACAGTCTCGCCAATAGATTTTACGGTCGATTGTGCGATGAGCCTTGGGTTGTCTCGCTTGACAAAGGAGCACATCTGCCGGGCATTAGCCAGTGGAGTCAATCTAGTAATATCAACAACAACGCCACGAGTGACGATTCATGAATCTTCCCGCCCCCACACTACAATCCTGGATGTCTCAAGGGTACAAAGAGAAGCCAGGCTACAGCCTCATACCAACTACAGCAGAGATAGGGCGAGCGGGTTACGAGCGAGCTGTCTCTCGGCAGTGATGGCGGAGGTGACTTCCGATATGGGCTCATGGAGGAAGCCAAACTACTGGATAAGCGTAGCCCGTTGAGTGACTGGACTTAAATCTCATCTGTAGCCGTTCTCTTGATCTTGATGACGCCCATTCCCAGGTTAGGAGGACATAGGAACAAGACATTGCAACCATGGCACCCACCGATGCAGATAAGATGATGTATTCGGACTCCGACACCCGGGTCGAGGTGTGAGTATCGTTACTATCCCATTCATGACTCAACTAAGATTGTTATACTTTTCATGGTCTAATTAAAGTCGTGAGCGGACGCCTCATTCACCATCTTGAACGCTCCTTTGCCCTCGAAGTCACCCTCGATTTGGTGAAGGGGGCCGATTTCTTCTGTCACAAACCGCCCATGCACTTCCATGTGCAAGAAGAATATATTGAATCAATTCAAGGCCGCCTGGTGCTGGAGATTGACGGCCGGGAAGTGGTGCTAAAGCCAGGTGATGGGCCTTACAGCAACAAGCCGTACAAAGACCATCGATCGTACCCTCTTTCGCTAGATCGGCAATAAGATGGCAATACAGTGGTCAAGTTCCTGTTATCGGGTGAGAAGACCGACAGCGTGAACTAAGCCCGGTTTCCTTTGAGAATTGGTACCAGTATCAGAATGATTTGGTTGTGAATGGGGCTAAGATTTACCTGATCCAGCTGTTTAGCGTATGTCCTCCTTCCATTCCTATCCTTTGAATGTTTCGGTCTCATGTCTGACTCATGGATACAGGTATTTGACGCCGGTGGAACGTACATCTCCCTCCCGTGGTGGGTTCCTTTTGGGCAGACCGTTTCACGCACTATGGGCCTCGTCGTGGGGCGATGGGTGGGCGGTTTACTGGGCTATCAGCCTTTCTATCGTAAATGGACGTCAGATTGGGATTTGGCTTGCCAAAAGATGAAATATTCGTTCTTTCAACGGCGATTTGCCGATCACTCAAAAGTGTTGGATTGATATAGCAAATGATTCATGTAACCACGCGGCTCGTGAGATAGTCCTCCTCAAATCACCTACATGTCTTCAATCACAACGTGAACTATCCGCTCCTATGATTGTTGCTATCTACTCCGAAATGGTCTTGAGAACCTCCTCCACATTTGCAAAGGCTAGTTCTTCTTTGGTCTCCTTCCAGAGCTGTTCAGAGATCTTCTCTCCCTCTGCGGTGTAGATGATCGGTGCCAACCTGTAAACGGTTTAGCGATAGCTTTAATCATGATACATATGGAAGCAACTCACGGCACAATTTTCTGAAAGGAGAGAAACTCGCCATGCGTCTCCTGGCCATGTTTGACGGCTGCATCGGTGATCATTCGGGCTCCAACAGCAGCGGTGTTGGCCAGCCGGCGCATCACGACTTTCGCGATCGCTCCAGAGAAAGTCTTATTATGCTCACGGTTGAATTCGGAATCGTGAACAGAGCCCGGCGACGCGGCATTGATGACCACCACAGAAGGCGGTACAATAGAGGCCAAATATGACAGGAAGAACTGTCCCAGCAGCTTGGAGACCATCATCCGATCCAAGGGGTCTACCTTAGCGTCCTTCTGGTCGAGCGATGCCAGCAGCGGGAAACTTTTCTTCTCCTTGAAGGCTGTCCACGCAGAGACTTCCGATGAGACAATCGTAATCCGACTCGGACCCCCTTGCGCGGCGCGTTTTTCTTTAACCACCGGGAGCAGTAGAATTGCCAGCAGGGCTGTCGAGAGATAATTGACCTGGATCATCTCATCATGGCCCGTCTCGGGGTTAAAGACGCGTGTTGCGTTGCCGATGCCGATGTTCAGCACGACAATATCCAACCGGGGGAGGCTCTTGGTACGCTCCGCAAAGGCGACGATAGAGTCATAGTCGGACTGATCAAGTTTCCAGACCTCGATGCTATCATCGCACAGACTCCGGCCTGCGGCTAACTTCTTCTTCGCTGTCTGGCCTCTCTCTTCACTGCGGACGGCAAGAATGAGCTTGCTCAGTCCCAGGTCGAGGAGCTGCCGGCTAGTTTCCAGGCCTACCCCCGTGTTGGATCCGGTCACCAAAGCAGTCTTGCCCACGAGGCTGACTCCCTGGACCGTGACGGGCTTGACGGTGAGCTGGTTGTAGAAGAAGCGAGGCACGCTGGCCTGCTTTTCCGGAGTCACGTCGAACTTGGTCCCCATTTCTTCAGCTGATGAGGTGAGATATCAAAGGTGGGTCCGTAAGGAGGGTTAGAAAGGGAGTGGAATGTTTCTAATGTGTGGAATGGAGGAGATTGAGTTGGCCGCGACTAGTCTCTTGGATTGATACACGGGTCGATCTGCCCTAATCGACAATAGGAAAATGCCAAGCATGTCAGATTTTAGTTCGTTCTTAAGGCGATCGCTATCTTCGGGTAACTTAACCCGGATCCTGTAATAGCCTTGTCGGATGTGCGATCCGGGACCTGGACAGAGCTATTGTCCTATTCAGACCGTAAGATTGTATCACGACAAGTATATAGCGGTGTGGCCATCCGGTCCCCATCTCGCAGGCATTCCGAGAGGGGATCAACCACAATGGATTACTTACAGAGGCCATGAACCTGCTCAGTGCCCTAATTGGGGCGTCTGCAGCAGGGGCTCTAGCAGCCTCCAAGGGCGATGTGGCTAAATTCTCCTCCTTTGTGCAGCGCCTCGGGCTATCCACTGCCGATACCCGTACCCTGGCGGCGCAGTATGCAAAGGCTAGGGGCCCCGTTGCTATTTAAAACATTGCGTGTTTGACTGCCTAGGCCATTCTTGGCACCGTCGATACATCGCCCCTCAACCAGAATACTGTGGAGGTGAATTGGTAGGATGTTGTCACTTTGATTTGTGTATGTTCGGGCTTCTTGCTGACCACACCGTGCAGGTCCGAATCATGCGTCGCAGAGCCCCACTGCATCATTCAGCCCGAGGGAGCCCAGGATGTTTCCACCACGGTCAAAGTCATCAACTTCTTCCAGGTGAAATTTGCACTGCGCAGTGGCGGACACTCGCCGAACCCCGGCTAGTCGAGCGTCAGTAGCCAAGGTATCCTGCTCGAATTGTCTCGATTGAACTCTGTCAGCTTGTCGACCGATGGTCAGATAGCAAGTGTCGGTCCGGTTCTTCGCTGGGGCGAAGTTACGACGGCATGAAACGCCGAGAAGGCCGTGGTGATCCGGGGGAGACTGCCCACGGTGGGTGTCGGTGGTCTGATTCTCAGAGGTAAGTTACGAAGGCGTCTTTGCTTTTGGACCGAAAGAAGTGTCTAACGAGGAATTACAGGAGAATACCATCACATGTCTAATCAATCGCTTTGGCCTGGGCAGCAGACAACGTGAAGAATTTGGAGGTTGTCTGGCAAACGCAACAATTGTCAACGCCAAAGCAAAGCAGAACAATGATCTATTCTGGGCCCTCAAGGGCGGTGGGCCCAACTATGGCATCGTCTCTCGTTATGATCTTAACACCGTGCTGGTCTACAAGATCTGGGGGCAATTGATGATTTACGCCCCCGATCAAGCCGGCGCCGTTCTGGATGCCTTTACGGGGTGGCAGCTCAACGGAGCCTCGGATTTCAAATCGACCGTGGCCATTGACATCTCCTTGACATCTGTAGTCATTGGGCTTGTTTACTCCGAGCCAGCTGACAATCCCAGCGCGTTTGCGCCATACTATAATCTCGAACCGCTAAGCCCTATTTACCACACCCTATGGTCGTATGTGCTTGTTCTTTCTATTAGAGAAAAGATATAGGCAAATAATCAATATATTCGATGATAATGATACTGATGTCAAGGATTTTGAATGCATATATTATAATAGCGAAAATAAACGATATCTCTCAAGAGGATTGAGGCTATCAAAGCACTTTTGTATAATCAAGAATTAGACCAACTAAAAATGAGCATGAAGGGCCTAAAAATTACTCGAACTCCTTATTGACCGGGCTTCACTTGAACGAACAGAGACAAATGATACTGTAAGATTAATTGATTTCCCAGGTAGGGAATGACCTCCTAAGGTGGAATATTGCCGATCATCTTAATAATTGAGTTATGCTAGGGGCTTTTGATTTAACTCAAATTTACTGTGTCGATTACGTTGACAAAAGACTATATCAAAAAAGGGAAGTGAATAAAAACACATGTGCCTACCCCGGTAGACCCAATTAGTTTGAAAGAGCTATGAAACTTTGTTGTGTGGGGTTGAATTGTCTCGAACAAGTCTTTCATCACATTAAAGCTTCGTTTCTTCATAAGATTCACTTTTTACCTAGGTAGGAAGGCCGAAAAGTCTCCGATACTTTCAGGTCTGGTCAATTTAACCAGGAAAATCATGTTACTCAGAGATAGCTCAACTTAAACCACACCAAATTCCGTTGATTAAGATAAATTTAAACGTACCATGGGCAGAGTGACCTTGGACAGTAGATCTGTTCAAGGTGTCCAAGACTGATCGAATATAGAAATACCTGCCAAGAATGAAGATCGTCTGGTGATATGTCCAGACCAATCAGATTTGCGGATGTTTGAAGTCAAAATACAAGCTAATTGGTCTGATCCATGGCCGGGGTATATCCAGCTCTACAGGGTTCATCCATGGTAGAGATGATCGACAATACCAGAGATCCCTTTCCAACAACATTCAACGATATTTTACGTAGTCAATAGCTAGTACACTATTGTTATTCAGTGGCCGAGCACCCGGGGCTTTTGAAGAAATTAAGAAAGAAAAAAAAGGCAAAAGATTCACACGGAGGAAACGTTGATCACCATATCTAGAGAATCATTTGAAGTCATTTATCGGTCTGTTCGACATAAAGATTCGTTCGATTGCATCATAGGGGAGTAGAGGAGTATATTGAGATGAAGAGGTCAGGAGAAATCTAAGTTTCAGATCCGGCCTGGCGGGTTGTTTCCAATGGCCGCAAAAGGAAATCGGTCGGAAAGTACCTCACCTCTGCGACTTTTAATTAACTCAAAATCAAAGGTGAATAGCATGCCAGGACAAACCAAATCATGGTTCGACTGAGCCCCGGCACCTACTGTCATGACTTAACCTTGCCGATATCCGGGGATTCCGGATGCGGCTGGTGGAGCTCCCACGAACATTTCGTGGTTAAAGCCAAGAAATCCGGGTGATTTTTCCTGTATATCTATAGAACGGCGATGTTAATTGCCCATTGATTGGCCCATTGAGCTAAAGGTAGACAACCCCCATTGGGCTCGAACGATTGAATTGGCTTTCAGTGTTGAGGCAAAACCCTAAATGGGGTCGTTCTTTGCAAGGAATCAATTGAATTGTGTCATAGGTCAGACTCTAGACTGCTAGATGATCGATCTTGCGGTGTTAGAGTCGCGCCCGTGCGACAGAAATTAGACAAAAGCCGTAGAAATATCATTGACAATGTATGAAATAACCCTATCAATTTTATGAAATATCCACAATGCATTCACAATTGGCTTCCGAGCCAGAAATTATCCCTAATATGGAGAAAATGAAGAGCAAAATGTCAAGTCCAGGTGACATGATGAAAGATAGAGGTACAATGCAGGAAGTAGCTGACTGCTGCCATTGTGCTGTGGAGGAATTGGACGACCTGTATCCCTGTACGCCTCTACAAGAGGGGATGATGGCTACCACCTTCAAGGAATCAGCAGCATATACCGTTGAATACACCTATCAACTGCCATCTGATGTTGAAGCAAGGCGTTTTCGTGAAGCTTGGAAGAACGTCGCCCAGGCGAATCCAATTCTCCGTACCCGCATTGTTTCAACAGCGCAGCATGGTTGTGTCCAGGTTGTTGTTAGGCGCAATCCACCATGGCAGATGCAAAGCCCACAGCAGACTCAACAACACGGAAATGCTGTCTCCTGGGAAATGGGGGCACCCCTTGTCCGATTCACATTGAAATCGGACCCCAGTGGCTATGAATTCCAGGTATTGATCCACCATGCTCTGTGCGAAGACTGGTCAATGGCCCTGTTGCTGCATCAGGTAGAGGCAGCTTACAGAGGTGAACTGTTAACACCGCGCCCATTCCGACCATTTATCGAATACATCGGCATGCAACGTCCAAAGGCAGATGAGTATTGGACCGAAATGTTCAAGTCTGCCGATCAGAGCGAGATGAAGACATTTCCATGCCTGCCCAGACCGGGCTATCAACCTCGACCTGCAACGACTATGTATCACACCATGGCTCTAGCCCCAGGCCACGACACTAGCTTCAGTCTAAACACCAAGATGCGACTGTCATGGGCCATACTGCAGTCGCTTCATACAGGGACAGTCGACACGTTGTTTGGTTCCATTGATTCAGGGCGCGGAATGGCAGTCCCAGGGATCGAAAGCGTCAGCGGACCAACACTGGCCTGCATTCCTGTCCAAATTGTCTTGAATCCCGATGACCGTGTAGTCGATGCTTTAAAAGCCGTGCGGGCGCAATGGCTGAGAGAAATGGAATTTGGACAAATTGGGTTGCAAAATCTACTTCATTTGGGCCCAGGACCAGCAGCGGCATGTAAATTCCTAACGCTGCTGGCGGTCGAACCCCGTGAGAAGCACAGTGCGCCACGTATGTTTGCTACCAAAAGGGAGGTACAAAAGGTGTACGATACCTATCCATTCATCCTGCGCTGCCGGGACTCATCACAGGGTGTTACAATAGAGGCACACTTTGATCCGGTTGTGATTACGGATCGACAAACCGAACGGGTCTTTCAACAACTGGAAAACATCTATCAACAGGTCAATAAAGCGCCTGAAACCACGCTCCGAGAAATCAATATTTTGAGTTCACAAGATGAATCCAACCTGATAGAGCTAAATCTGCCGATTCCTCCCCCAGCTTCGCAGACCCTGCATGACCTCATCCACGATCGTGTTGAGATGTGGCCGGAGGCCCCAGCCATTTCGAGTTGGGATGGAGATATGACATATAAGGCTCTTGACGATATGTCGTCAGCAATAGCAGCCCAGCTTGTCACGCGAGGAATACGACCGAGAACTCACGTAGCCGTTTGTGTTGAGAAAGGCAAATGGATGCCAATCGCTATGCTGAGTGTAATGAAGGCCGGTGCGGCTTTTGTTCTGCTTGATCCATCACATCCACCTGCAAGACTGAAACAAATATGGAGACAACTCGATGCTCAATTTATCATTACGTCGAAGGCCCATTCAGAGCGTGTGTCGGAGTTGCCGGGCCAGGCGTTTCACATTGATACTGAAACGCGGAAATTTACTCCCGTACCCGGCATGGATTTGCCACTGGTGATGCCTGTAGATCCTGTTTACGTCACTTTTACATCTGGGTCAACAGGAACTCCGAAGGGTGCAATTTCCCACCATGACGGGTTCGCGTCGAGTGCATTAGCTCACGGAAGGTTGTACGGATTCACGCAAGAGTCACGCGTTCTTCAATTTGCATCTCCGGCATTCGACTCATGTATTATTGAGCAGCTCACCACATTGATCTTTGGTGGATGCGTGTGCATTCCCACGGCTAGTGACTGTCACAGCTCGCTTTCCAACGCGATCAACACATTTGGCGTGAACGTGGCCTGCCTCACACCAACTGTCGCTCGAATCCTATCGCCTGAGTCCTTGCCGACTCTACGGTCACTTATCTTTGTCGGCGAGGCGGTTATAGCGGCTGACGTCAAACAGTGGCAACAGTTTGTCAATGTTCGAAACGCCTATGGACCGGCTGAATGCTCGGCCGTCTTCAGCGTGCAGCCCAATTTACAGTCTTGTGATGCTTCGAATATTGGTTTCTCCACAGGCTGTGTTGGATGGATCGTACACCCGGACGATCACGAAATCTTGATGCCTGTCGGTTGCATAGGAGAGTTAGTGATTGAAGGCCCAACTGTCAGTCGAGGTTACTTGCGGAATCCCAAACAAACCGCTGAAGCCTTTATCACTGTTCCATCCTGGCGCCAACGTCTTGGCGGGAATGGCGGAATAATGTACAAGACAGGCGACCTCGTACAGTATGCTAAGAATGACGATGGGAGCATCTGCTATTTAGGGCGTAAAGGCACCCAAGTCAAGTTCCACGGTCAGCGCATTGAAATGGCAGACATCGAGTATCATTTGCGCTCCGCATTTCCAGATTCCCAACAGGTTGTCGCAGAGATGCTGCCGACGAAGGAGCCGCTTCTAGTTGCCTTCATATACTTGCCCGACAACAGTTCCCCATCATCAGGCAACAAAGGAAAAGTTTTCTACAATGAGCCCAGCAACGATTTCCGACTGCAATCCTCAGCCGCTCAGGATAGACTGGCAAACTCACTGCCTTCTTTTATGATCCCAAGGCTGTTTCTGCCGGTGGCACACATTCCACTCACTGCTTCCAGCAAGACCGACCGTCGAGCTTTAAGAGAACATGCAGCCTCGCTATCTTGGAACGAGCTTCAAGATTATCGGGCGTCTAGCGGGACACCGCATCGGGGATCCACGCCCAATGAGGCAGTGCTACAGAATATTTGGGCCCAAATTCTGAACCGAAAGCCGGAGGAGATGGGCGTGAATGAGAATTTCTTCCGCCTGGGAGGAGATTCTGTTAGTGCGATGCAGATAAGCGCAAGCTGCCAATCTGCTGGATTCAAACTCACTGTTGCCAATATCATGGAGTTTCCAACAATTGCTGAGCTTTCGGAGATAATGCAAGTGTGCAGCAATCAATCGGCGATATCACTTCAGCCGGGCACTGATGAGGAGCAGTCGGGGGAATGGTTTGACCTATCCCCAATCCAGCAACTATTCTTCGAAAAAATGCCCGAAGGACATAATGGCTTTACACAGCAGTTCATGTTGCGACTGTCGGAGTCGATCAATGCGTCCAAGATTCAACAAGCGATGGAGCTGGTGGTTCGGGAGCATTCCATGCTACGAGCATGCTTCAAGCGCTCCTCCGATGGCAGATGGAGGCAATCCATTCGAAAAGCCACCGAAGAGACTTTCATGTTTAGGCATCACCCAATACCGAGTCCTGAGTCGCATGCCTTGCGGGCCATACTTGGAGAAAGCCAACGTGCAATGGACATTCAAAGTGGGAGAGTTCTGGCCGTCGATCTCATAATCACACCCAAGGAACAGTATTTATCAGTCATGGCACACCATCTGGTCATCGATCTGGTGTCTTGGCGTGTGTTGTTGCAGGATCTAGAAGATGTTTTGACCACTGGTTCTATCGGGGGCCTCCCTTCCCTGCCTTTCCTGCAATGGTGCCGCATGCAAAAACTGTACAGCAAAGAATGCCTTGACCCTAGTACCTCAATCCCAACCGACATTCCCAGCCCTCCTTCGGAGTACTGGGGGACTTCAGTAAGCACAAAACCTAACACTTGGGGTGAAACCAACCACGAGTCGATTTCCATTTCAGAGGATGCCACCCGTGCAATTTTGAGCTCCTGTAACGATGCGTTCCACACACGTCCAGTTGAAATCATTCATGCCGCGATCATACGCGCATTTTCGGACGTCTTTGATAATCGGGTTGCGCCGACTGTATTCAGTGAAGGCCATGGACGAGAGCCTTGGGATTCAGAGATTGATATATCTCGGACGATCGGCTGGTATACAACTATGGTCCCTTTCTTTGTTGATGCAAACCGCGGCCAACCCGTCGCCGATCTTCTAGTGCAAGTGAAGGAGCGCCGACGTTCGATGCCTAGCAATGGGTGGGAGTATTTCGCTTCCCGCTATCATCACGAAGATGGATCCAAATATTGCCAGAGCCATGAGCCCATGGAAATCCTCTTCAACTACACCGGCCTCTTCCAGCAGCTAGAGAGGTCTGATGCGCTACTACAATTGGCCACCTTACCTGATCATGATCTAGTCCCCATTCCGGCCGATTTGTCCCGGTTCGCACTGATTGATATCTCCGCGACGGTCATGGAAGGTCGTCTGCTCATCTCGTTCTGGTACAACAAACACATGGAGCATGCTGAGAAATTAAATCAATGGATTCACGAATGCACGAAAGTGCTTGAGAAATTACCAGCAACCTTGCAGCAGACTGGACACTTCACCCTGTCTGACTTCCCTTTGTTGTCGATCAAGGAGGAAGCAGACCTGCAGCGATTGATTGGTCACATCAACAATACTTGCAAGTTTCCCCAGAGCAACATCGAAGATATTTATCAATTATCGCCCATTCAACTAGGAATGTGGCTGAGTCAACTGAAAAGCCCCGATATGTATTGGTCGCATATGGAATGGTTCATTCGCCCTTCCTCGGCTCTTGTGGCCATAGACCTCACGAAGTGCCGGAGCGCATGGCAGAGCGTGGTTGATCGTCATCCTATTCTGCGCACTGTCTTTACAGAGAGTCTGGATGGCAGTGGGCAGCCAGTTCAAGTTGTCTTGCGGAAAGTCACCGCAGCTATTCACACTGAAAACGCCACAGATTTTGAGAAAGATGTGACTTCGTCGAATGCCGAAGAAGAATGGATAGGAAAAGCCCCTCACAGAATTTTCCTCCAAATTCAGCCCGATGGCAGTGTTCTTTGTAAATTGAGTATCCACCACATGCTAGTGGATGGTGCTACTCGCACCCTGATCCTATCTGACTTTCGTGAAGCGTATGATGATCGTCTGACCGACAAACCGGGTTCTCCTTACAGCTCCTTCCTAACCTACCTGCGAGAAAAAGACAGCTCGGGGTCATTGAAATATTGGAGGCAGTATTTGCAAGGCGCCCACCCGTGCACTTTTCCCTCGCTGGAGTCCGTTGATATTGGGCAAGAGACGCTGCATTCGGTTCCATTGCGGTTTCCCTTCAGTCAGAGCCTACAGAAATTCTGTCAGCAGCGGGGAATCACCGTTTCCAATCTCTTTCAAATTGCATGGGGCCTAGTCCTGCGTGCTTACACCGGCTCTGATGCCGTATGCTTTGGCTTCCTGGCGTCCGGGCGAGATATTGCATTACAAGATGCGCATTGCATTGCGGGGCCTATGATGAACCTTCTGATCTGTCGCCTTACCCTCAATGAAGATGCAAAAATCAAGTCAATTCTTGTAGAAAACCAAAGCGCATATGCCCGCAGCTTGGGAAATCAGCATTTTGGGTTAGCAGACGTTGTTCATTCGCTGGGTTTGTCAGACCAGCCTCTGTTTAATACAGCGATGTCGTTGCAATGGGAGAAGTATGATCCTGAAGCAACAAAAGGTCATGGCACCAAGCTTGATTTTGTCGGTGGACGCGACCATACAGAGGTATGCCAGGGGAAGATCACCTGCACAGGGTTAACGACCTTACTAACTGATTGCAGTATCCCCTCACCGTCAATTTGGCGATTGGTAGCCAGGACATTCATGGCGACCTAACTTACAGGAGAGATACCCTCTCTGATATCCAAGCTGAGTTTGTTGCGGATGCATTCCAGCATGCAGCGGTGCAAATATTGGACCCGGAGAACAGCTACATCTCCGATATTGAACTGCTTGGACCAACCAACCGGGCACATCTTTTGGATCTAAATGGAGAAATTCCGCCACCGGTACTGTCCTGTATACAAGCCAAAGTTCACGAAAATGCGCGGAATGAGCCAAGTGCAAATTCAGTAGAGGCTTGGGACGGAAGCTTTACTTACCAAGAGCTTGTCACGTTATCATCGTGCCTTGCTCACTCCCTAGTTCAACACGGGGTTGGTCCGGAGATATTCGTGCCGATATGTTGCGACAAGAGTAGGTGGGCTGTCGTCGCCATACTTGCAGTGTTGAAAGCAGGCGGTGCTTTTATTCTTTTGGACCCTTCGCACCCGTTGGATCGCTTGCAGGACATGTTGCAAGGGGACTTCGATTGTCCTTTGATTCTGACATGCTCCTCTCGCGCCGATAAAGCATTGGGTCTTGTGTCTAGCGCAATTGTTGTGGACGATAAGCAGCAATGGTATACCGAAAGTCATAGCGTTGGATCTACGGCTGAAACATCACCCACATCTGCGGCATATGCAATCTTCACGTCCGGGTCCACTGGAAAGCCGAAGGCCAGCATCATCGAACACCAGTCATTTTTGTCCGCCGCCGAAGCGCACCGCAAAGTGCTTCGCTTGGGACCTGGTTCCAGAGTCCTTCAGTTTGCTTCATACGCATTTGATGCCAGCATCGTCGAGATCCTTTCAACTTTACTCGTCGGAGGTTGTGTATGCATCCCTTCCGACTCTGATCGTCAAAGTCGCCTGCAGGATACCATGCATGAGCTTTTGGTGAATTGGACGCTTCTGACACCATCTGTGGCCCGACTTCTGAATCCTCAAGATCTTCCTTGTCTCAAAATATTAGTCCTTGGTGGTGAGGGTATGAGTCATGACGATGTGCGCCGTTGGTCCCCCCATGTTCAGCTCATGAATGCGTATGGCCCATCTGAATGTTCAGTGATTGCAACTGCGCAACCATCCTCGCGGGCTTTGGCCGTTAACCCAGCCAATATCGGGCAACCTGTTGGGGGTGTTGCTTGGGTAGTTCATCCAAGTAATCCCAATCTCAGAGCTCCAATCGGGGCTCTTGGAGAGCTTCTAATTGAAGGTCCCATTGTTGGTCGAGGATATCGCAACCGTCCACTGCTCACGAAATGTGCAAAACCAGAGACACCAGCCTGGCTAGAAAATATCCGAGGAACTGCAGACTGCTCCTTGTATAGAACAGGCGATCTCGTACGCTATCTACCCGATGGATCCATGCATTACCTTGGTCGGAAGGATCGCCAGGTGAAGTTGAACGGCCAGCGGCTCGAGCTGCACGAAGTCGAATACAACGTACAGCGATGTTTCCCAGGAAGGCCGGAAGTTTTTGCTAGCATGGTAAAGCCCGAAGACGAGGGGAGTACCTACCTGGTGGCCTCTGTTCATCAACCCTCGTTCTCCGTTATCGCACCCGATTTCGCCGCCACAGTGCAGCAGGTGAAATCCCAGCTGGAGGCAGAGGTCCCTGCTTTCCTCATACCGACAGCAATGATTCCACTTCTTGAAGTACCGCGGATGCCAAATGGAAAGGTCGACCTTAACAAGATCTGTGCAAATGCAGGAAGTTCCCTAAGATCCCAAAGCTTTGCATCGGTTGACAAAGCAAAATTCGTCCCCGATGCGGAACTAAGCCAGGCTGAATGCTGTATTCGACTCCTATGGAGCAAAGTTCTCCGACACCCCGCAACAGCTATCGGGCCAAGTGATCATTTCTTCCGCCTCGGGGGGGATTCGGTGGGAGTCATGAAGGTAGCGTCGTGCGCAGGCGCTGAGGGTCTGAAACTCACGGCAGGGGACATCTTTTTGCATCCCGTCCTGCGTGATCTCGCCCAGGTCTATATTCAGAGTCTGTCAAAAACAGAAGCCGAGCCCTTGGAACCATTCAGCCTTCTCCAGCCCCATCATCAGATTGAGGCTCGGAACGTAGCCAGCCTTCAATGCGATATCCCAACTACCGAAATCGAAGACATATTCCCTTGCACCCCATTGCAAGCTGGCCTTGTAGCTCTGGCTGCCGAGAAAGCTGGTGCCTATGTCGCGCAGCACCGTTATCGACTCCCCGAGGGCATTGACCTTGATCGATTGCAGCACACCTGGGAAAGAACATCGGCCGTCCATCCTATCCTTCGAACTAGAATTGTGGAACTGCCTGATCTTGGATGCCTGCAAGTTGTGCTCCAAAATCCTGACTTGGGCTGGAGAGTCACCGAAAATGAACCAGAGGCGCTATTGGAGTCGGAAGCTATATTTGGCAAACCATTGGTTCGTGTGAATGTTCTCCGTCACAAGCCGGACATCCAGGGTTTCGACCAATATACATTGGTTTTGATGATGCATCATGCGCTATATGACGCATGGACCCTGCCTCAACTCATCGAGTATGTTCGCGTCGCCTACAAAGATCCAAAGCATGAGCTCAAGGAGCCCGCTCCATTTCAAAGATTTGTGAAATACACAAGCTCTCATTCCACACCTGCCCTCCAAGCTTGGCGTGAGCAACTGAAAGACATCTCAGCAACACCATTCCCCACTTTGCCAACCCCATCCTATCGGCCCAAGGCACTAGCACAAAAATACATGTCAGTAATTACCGGCCCATTTTCAGAGCATTCAGTTACCAAAAGCACTGCCATTGCATTCTCCTGGGCTATTGTGCAGTCACAGTATCAGAGCGTCGATGATGTCATTTTTGGAGTTGTGTCCACAGGTCGTCAAGCTCCAGTGCTAGGGATTGAAACAATGACTGGTCCGACCATTGCAACCGCACCATTGCGGGTTACGCTGAGTTCCGATGATACAGTAATTCAGGGACTGGAAACACTCCAAGCTCGGATGGCCCAGATGGTTTCGCTTGAGCAGGCCGGCTTATCACAGATCTCCAAACTGGGGCCTGATGGTAAACTAGCTTGTTCTTTCCAGACTCTGTTAAACATCGAGTCACCATCTGGCAAAGTTCATGAAGAGGACGAAAGTCTCATGCAGCATATCGACACCGCTGCTGGGGAGGGTGCTTTTAGTACATATGCGCTCCAGCTAACATGTACTATGGATTCGGATATGGTTGATGTTGAAGCTTTGTTTGACCAGAATGTGGTGCCACCTTGGCAAATGCAACGCATATTGGACCAATTCAGTCACATTCTGCAGTATGTCTGTCGCGTTCCCGATTGTTTGGTGGAGGACATCCCAGTTCTCAACGATCATGATCGTCGCCAACTCCAGGAGTGGAACACCCCAGCCAGTCTTCAGATGCCTGTCACTGTTACAGAGATGATTTCTCAACATTTCACTACCCAACCGTTAGCTCCCGCTGTGACAGGATGGGATGGAACTTGGAATTACCAGGAGCTAGAGCAGATTGCTGGCAAACTAGTCACGGTTCTAGATCGACACGACATTGGATCGGAGAGCTTAGTTCCCATCTACATGGAGCGCTCGACATGGACGATAGTTGCCATTCTCGGTGTGATCCAGACCGGAGCTGCTTTTGTTCTCCTGGATACATCTACTCCCATCTCTCGTCTTCAGACTATCTGTGAGGAAATTCAAGCTTCCTTTATCTTGACTGGGCGAGAGACTGCCACTACTGGCAAGCAACTAGCACCGACCGCTATTCTTGTTTCTGCGGATACTCTCACACCGGAGCAATCGACGGACTGCAGCGAGAGGCATATTTTCCCAGATCAACCTCTCTATACTGTCTTCACCTCTGGTTCAACTGGTCAACCAAAGGGCGTCGTAATCGAGCATGGCGCATTCGTCACTATGGCGCTAGCATGTGCGCGTCGGATCGATTTGAGATACGATTCCCGCCTGCTCCAGGTGGCATCTTACGCCTTCGACGTCAGCATTGGGGAGATCCTCGGTGTTCTCATTACCGGAGGATGTCTGTGCGTTTTGTCCGATTCCGAACGCCAGGAAGGCCTTCCCCAAGCGGTGTCCAAGATGAAACCATCGCATGCCATCTTCACGCCTACATTGCTTCGAGTATGGACTCCGCCCGACCTTCAAGGTATTGGAACTATTGTCATCACAGGCGAGGCCGCACGACAGAGTGACATTCAGCAGTGGGCACACAAGGTTCACTTGATCAATAACTATGGCCCTGCTGAGTGTACTGTATTTTCCACTTCTCAAGGCCCTCTTCGTCCAGATTCTGCGGTCACAAACATCGGATATCCACTCGCAGGATGTGCTTGGGTTGCGCATCGGCAAGATCCTAACAGGCCAATACCACTTGGAGCTGTCGGCGAACTACTCTTGCAAGGTCCGCTAGTCGGTCGTGGGTACCTTAACAATCCCGATCAAACAGCGGCCGCGTTCGTCCCTTGTCCACAGTGGGTGGAAGAGATCGTTCCCGGCAGTGACGATTCTACCTTCCATCGGGTCTACCGCACAGGTGACCTGGCCAAATTTGAAGCAGATGGTTCTTTGGTTTACCTTGGACGCAGAGACCATCAAGTCAAGCTGCGCGGTCAACGTTTCGAGCTGAGCGAGGTCGAGGACAACATCCAACACTACTTCCCCGGAACACTCCGAGATGTGGTCGCGGAAATCGTGACGCCTGCTGGAAGAACCACAGCCCCTTGCCTAGTCGCATTCTTGCTCCTCGATCAATTTAAAAATGAACAGCGCGCACAGAATGCGCCTTTAACGCCGCTGGCGTTGGACATAGCAGTGCCGCCGAATTTCGAGGCAAATATCTCCACTCTCAAAGAAAAACAACGGGAGACACTGCCTGATTATATGGTCCCTTCCGCCTTTGTCCCACTGGCTCAGATGCCGCGCACCATTGGTGGGAAAGTCGATCGACGTCGCCTGCGAGACACGACGATGCAAGTATCTCGACTAGAACTGGAGTCTTTTGCACCAGCTACCACCACAAAAGAAGCAATGGTATCGGAAGATCAGAGGTTACTCCAGGCTATTTGGTCCAGGGCTTTGAGAATTACAGCATCAGACATTGGAGCAGACGACAGCTTTTTCAGACTGGGCGGCGACTCGATATCCGCCTTGCAGGCCACATCGCAGGCTCGAGCCAAGGGAATGTCGCACGCTGTGGCAGATCTCTTCCGGTTGAAGACAATCCGCAAGATTGCGCTGGAGTTCCCGACATCACCAGTTGCTGCTCCAGTCCCGCCTCTGTCGGATAAAGTGGCTAGTCGGACATCGGACATCAATGGGGTAGTCCACCCATGTACGCCGGCCCAGAGAGCCATTCTTTTAAGCCAGGTACAAGACCAGAGCAGCTATGCACCGCAGTTCTTGTGGCATGTATCAGCACGCAAGTTCGATGTGGACGTTCATCAGCTGGCGAACGCATGGCAGAAGGTCGTTCATCGACATCCAGCACTGCGAGTGACCTTCCATCCGGACGAATCACATCAGGATTACTTTCAACAGGTCGTTAGGGACGCTATAGAAGCCCCAGTGTCGATAGTTCCCGAATTGACGGATATTCCCCCGGATATGCCCGGCCCCATCACAACCTTGGGACAGATCCCACATTATCTCACTATCTACCGAACCGCTGCTAATGATGTTATTTGCTGCCTCGATATCAACCATGCAGTGATCGATGCGACCTCTATCTCAATTGTGGAGAATGATCTGCGCCGCGCCTACCACTTCGAACATCTCAATCCACATGGTGAGGCGTACGAGCGTTATTTGAACCTGGCTCTGCAAGATCAACCCGAGGCCGCTCAGGAATACTTTGCGTCCTATCTGGCAGACCTTCCATCGCCAACTCTTCTCCCTCGGCCATGTTCCACGGCAGGCAATCAAGATCTAAACGGCCCCCAAGATACAATGAACCAGATCGATATGAATTTGTCGTGTGCTGGATCAGAGATCGAGACGTTCTGCCGCTGGACGGACTGGACGCTACCTAACGTCTTGTATTTCGCATGGGCATTGACCCTATCCTCTTTCACAGGTACCCAAGACGTATGTTTCGGCTCTCTCACAAGCGGCCGCCATTTAGCAGTGCCCCATCTTGCGGATGCAGTCGGCCAATTTTCTAACATGTCTGTATGTCGGATTCGTCTTATTCCGAATGGCGGGCTTGATGAAGCCGCATTAGATCTCCAAGAGCACTATGGCCATGTTCTCACCCATCAGACCTTCCCGCTCGTGTCAATTGCCCGTTCAGCAGGGGTAACTGTGGATGAGATAGCCTTGACAGCCGTCAATGTCCAATACGTCAACTCTTCTACGTCCCAAGATGATTTCCAAGATTGGCTTGATTTGAAACCCCTCAGCGGACGAGATCCTACTATAGTGAGTACCACCTACCAGTACAAATTGTAGTGTGCAACGGCTAATCAGAATTGCGAAATAGCAAGATGTCATGCTATATGTGTTGGTGGAGGAGACAGGAAACCTGCGCGTGTGCATGTCGCATCGTTCATCGCACATCTCGTCTGAACTCGCGACACAGCTGGCGCAGTATTTCGATTTGGCTGTTTCTGCTGTTTTGCAGAAGGAGCACGGTCTCGTAAGAGACCTGCAAATTTTCAGCGCCGCTGACGAGCTACTTCTTCGCTCTTGGAACACCCCGCTGCGCAGCCTAGAGCCCGTATGCATTCATCAAGTTATTAACCGACGTGCATTGGAGCAATCAGCCATGGTCGCTGTCAGCGGTTGGGATGGTGAATTTACTTACAAGGAATTGGAGCAAGAGGCTTCCAGGACTGCTGCGGCCCTCATTGCTAAGGGATGCAAATCGGGAGACCATATCCCTGTTTGCTTTGAGAAATCCCGCTGGGCAATAGTCGCTATCTTAGCGGTTATGAAGGCTGGGGCCACCTTTGTACCTCTTGATCCGACTCACCCCTTGGCCAGGCTACAAGAAATTTGCCGTCGAGTTCAAGCAAATCTCATCATTTCTTCAGCTAATAAGGAAGCACTGAGCTATAAATTGGCCGTCGATGTTCTTGTCGTCAAGGATGTGCGCCATGAGGGAGATGAGGCGGTTCCTGCCATCAATCACACTGTGGACCCTGAGCAGGCCGCATACATTCTGTTTACCTCCGGCAGTACTGGAGTTCCCAAGGGTGTACTCATTTCTCATTCAGCATATACCTATGCTGCGAGTGCACACATCCACGCACTCTCGCTGGATTCCGAATCTTGCGTATTGCAGTTCTCGTCTTACTCATTTGACGTGGCGATAATGGAGATTTTGACAACTTTGATCGCAGGCGGTACGATCTGTATCATTTCGGATGATGAGCGGAGTCAGATGCTGCTTGCAGGTGTCTGCCCTAGGCAGGTGACGCACGCTTTCTTGACGCCGTCTCTCATCAGTGCATTGGATCCGGCTCGTGCCTCATGGGTGCAAATCATTGCCCTGATAGGTGAACCAGTTTATCCCGGCCATGTTGGTCAGTGGTATGGTGCCTGTCGCTTGATAAATGCATACGGGCCGACCGAGGGCTCTGTAATCAACACCACGCGCCCTGAGCTGTCCCCAGAATCAGATACCGTCAACATCGGATGGCCACTGGATGTTCATTGCTGGGTGGTTAATCCGCATGATCATGATAAGCTCCTACCTCTTGGGGCCATCGGAGAACTGATGCTCTGCGGTCCGACCATTGCTCACGGGTATCTCAATCAAGAAGAAAAAACCAAGCAAAATTTCCCAGAGGCCCCGCAATGGGTAAGCCGGTTCTTCTCTGATGTGCCTACTTGCTGGAGATTTTACAAGACGGGAGATCTCGTTCGCTACGATACCAAGGATGGCTCTCTCCGGTTTGAGGGGCGAAAAGACGAGCAGGTCAAAGTCAGAGGACAGCGGATCGAGCTTGGAGATATCGAGTATCACGCACAACGCTGTTTCCCTGGAGCTCGGGAGGTTATCGTCGATCAAGTCACGTTACGAGAGACGAAACACTCGGTTTCTCCAGGCCATCAGAAAATACCACGACTGGTTGCATGGGTTTGTCTGGGATCAGATGGTCCCGACGCCACTTCAAACGTTGGTGCAGAGAAAGACGCCATGGAGACCTTTTTGAGGTCGCCTGACCGAGCTTTCCATATAGCTGCCGCCACAGCCCTAGCGGATCTGCGAAACGCCCTCCCTAGCTATATGGTTCCATACATGTTCCTGCCAGTTAGAGAGTTACCTCTCATGAAGTCTGGAAAGACTGACCGAAAACAACTGAAACAGGCTACCTCGGCCATTGATGTTGAGGAGTTCGGTGGATTCACAGGCGAAGCAGTCGACAAGCAACCAGCCGAAACCAAAACAGAGGCTAAACTGCATTCGATTCTTGTTGACTTACTGGAGCTCGAATCGGAGGTGGTTGGCGTAGAAGACAGCTTTTTCCACCTTGGAGGTGATTCGATCCTGGCCATGAAGCTCGCGGCCCATGCGCGGGAGCAAGGTCTCAAACTCAGCTCCCATGACATCCTCCGCCACCCGACCATCCGGCATTGGGCCCAGATTGTTGATAGTGCCGATGAGAAATCTCCATCCAGATCTCAACAGTACACGCCGTTCTCATTGATCAAAGACAGCGATCGTCAAGCGATTCTTTCGACGCCTTTGAAGAATGGCGTTGTTGAGGACATTATTCCCGCCCTCGAAGTGCAGGTGTATTATATCCGGAACTCATCTCCTGTGTCCTTTGCCAATGTGTTTTCAGAACGTCTCGATTTCTCTCGTCTGCAAGAAGCTTGCTTGAAGGCAGTGCATGAATACAGCAATTTGCGCTCCATGTTTGTCACCATCAAGGACCAGATGTTCCAGGTGGTTCTCCAAGATTCCAAACCTATCTTTGAGTTCGTGGAAGACGACGACCCGGAAGCTTATATGGGCCGTCTATCGCGCAAGAAGCAGGTCCCTGCCACCGTGCAGGGAGAAATGCCTGTTCGTTTCACGATCGTTACCGCGCCCGGACGACCCCAGTGGGTATTCATCGTTCAACTTTCGCATGCCCAGTATGATGGGGGTTGTCTGGGAATCCTCTGGGAGGCTATCGGAGCTGCTTACTCGGGCTGCACGTTGCCACCCGTCACAGACTTCCGGCATCTGGTCCACCACAGACGGGGATATGATAATCGGGAACATCTGGCGTTTTGGAAAAAGTACCTCGCAGGATCCTGTACCAGTGCATTAGATCCGATGATGCTTGCTGGATTCCCCGGACCACCGGATAAAGACACTGTTCCACGTCAAGTCCGACGAGAAATCCCCAAACCGAGCCTCTTGTCGGAGATCACACTTGCCAATCTCGTGAAGGCCGCGTTATCTTGGATCCTTTTCCGTAGCTCCAACCGGTCGGACATTGTGCTTGGTCAGGTCGTCCACGGACGCGGCAGTTCCCTTCCGGGAATCGACACGGTCTTCGGGCCCTGTGTCACATTTTTGCCCATTCGCATTTTCAATGATCCGTCGTGGACTGTCGCAGATCTTCTGCAACACGTGCAGACACAGCAGCTTGCGACTATTCCCCATGACTCTGTGTCACTTATGGATATCGCGACGCAATCTACAGATTGGGGACAACATGCCAAGTTTGGTGTTGTTGTACACCACCAAGGCCTTGGTGCGGATGGTTGTCTGGAAATCGATGGTGTAGCATCGTCGTCCAGCGCGGGATGGGGAATACCAAGAGCTATCCCAGGGCAGGTGACGGTAACCTCACTAGAACAAGAAACAAGTCTGGACCTCATTATAGCTGGCCCTGTGGATGCGTTGGATGAGGAAAAAGCGGAGAGCTTTGCAGATAAGCTGGCAGAGGCGATTGGTTTGTTTTCCACTGGGTTGAATTTGCCCCTGACTACATTGGGGTTGGAAAATGAATCAACCTGATTGCACTCGCAAATTGGGATGGGATTGATACCAGCAGATAATGGGAGTATGCAATTGCCTCGGTCTTTGAGAAAGAAAGAGAAAGATACCCAGGTGGTGAACTTCAAATTCTGTGGTTTCACACTGCGCTGCGCTGCGCAGCACACTGTTGTTCGGCTTTTTATACAAATTGAATGTAGAATTTTGTAAAGATTTTGCTTGTATTAAATTCATAAAAATGAAACAAAATATATATTTTCCACAGAAGGTTTCTGCTGCAACTTGTATAAGTTTCTTAAGATATTTGAATTTATTCATGTAATTTTGGTGTGCAAACGGTTCTTATACCACCAATCACCCTTCAAGGGCCTTGATGCAAGTTCCAACGGAGCATTGAAAGATATATATATATATTAAGTTCAGTGGAGATAGGTTGAGTAAACATTTAGGAGAGTGATCTGAATCCCATCACAGATATATGTCGCCAGATAATTTACATAGAGCGGAATGAATGAGTGGAATGTTGTTTGAGGAGAGAGGAATGCCCTACTGATCTAGGGCTTGTGCTTGACACTGAAATATAATTAGCAAGGGTGTACCGCTGAGTCCCAGGGATATGTAGTATACGCACCATCTGCCAATAAGGGCCCTTTCTGCGCAGCAATTCGTGATGTGAGCCCTTTTCAAGAATCTTAGACCCTTGACCTCGCGCGCCCTCGCCAAAGACGAAAATCACATCCGCTTTCTGGATCGTCGCCAGACGGTGCGCAACAGCAATAATAGTCATACTCTTCTTACCAGCCAGCCGCTCCATGGCCTCTTGGACGAGTTTCTCGGATTGAGAGTCAAGACTGGATGTGGCTTCGTCCAGTAGCAGGAGTAGCGGTTTCCGGATCAGCGCCCGGGCAATACAAAGACGCTGCTTCTGGCCGCCACTGAGGGAAGTTTGGGCATTGACACCGAGTCCAGTAAGGTAGCCCTCCGGGAGAGAGCTAATGAAATCATGGATCTCAGCGTCTTTGCATGCTTGGATCATGCGTTCTTCTGTCTGCAGATCTTCGTTATCTTCAATACCGAGAAGTAAGTTGTCTCGGATGGTTCCCTCGAATAACTTGGGTTCCTGTGCCACCAGGGACAATGCCTTTCGATAGGATGCCCGTTGGATGGAGGATATGTCTCGGCCACCGAAGAGGATCTTCCCGCTGGTGGGGTCATAGAATCTTTCAAGAAGCGATATTACTGTTGACTTTCCGCAGCCTGAGGGGCCGACAAATGCGACAAATTGGCCGCTTTCAATGGAAATGTTAAGATCGGAAAAGGTGGACACGTTGCGAGACTGATAACTGAACGAGACATCGCAGAGCTCGACTGATGGACGTAGGTCTTGCGGCATGGGCTCGGCGGACGGGCTCTCAAGCTGACCCTGGGAGGGTTTTCGTGCGGAAAGAATTCGATTTGCGGATGCCTTGGCCTGTGCTACGTTGGGACCGAAGGAGAGGAATTGACCCGCCGCCTGGCCACCTTGGATAATCGCAATATAAACAACGAAGAATGCCACGGGGCCATATTCGCGGGATGCCAAGAGTTGTCCACCATACCTGTTGATGGGAATTGTCAGTCTTGGCTGAAAGCGATATGTCTATATGTGAATAGGTAGGCCCAACTTACCAAAACGTGAGGGCCATGGCACAAAGTTCAACACTGTCAGAAAACGCGAATATCAAGGTCGCATACCATGACTTCCGGAATGCCTTGGTTCTTTGCTCTTTCAGCAAAGTCGAATATCTTTCGATAATGGTGCTCTCCATCGTAAGAGCGGAGACAGTACGGAATGCCCTGATAGCCTCCGTCGCAAATTTGGAGCTATCCGCGTAGACTTCGGCGTTCATAGATTCAAAATGCGTCTCATAACGAATTCGCATAAAAGCCGCAAGCAAAATGAAGGGCATCGCTCCGAAAAATGTGACCGCTGCAAGTTTCCAGCCAAACGAGAATGAGATCGCCACACATCCGGCAACATTAAAAATCGAAATAAGTGGGAACACCCCCATCGGGCCTAACAGATCTTGAATCTGTTTTGGGTCCAGGGAAAGCCGTGAGATCAAAGTACCAGATGAGTTTTCTTCACAATCGTAGAATGATACCGGCCTTTTGAGGGTATTTGCAAAATAATCTTTACGGTAGCTGGATCCAATATACTGATGTTTGTTAGAAGAGATAAGGTGAGACGGGTATATGCCGACATACCATGGACATTGTATTGGCAGAGGTCCCCAGTAGAAAGTAGAAGGTAGACATAGCAATGGCTAGGACAAAAAACATCAAGGCCCAGAAATTAGCTTGATCAACCAGTTTCTGGCCTGTAAACTGAAACACCTGTATCAACTGGGCGAAGAGCCAACTTTGCAATGCGTAACCAGCTTTGAGGATTGCATTAGTTTGTGGCTCCGGTGCTAATTCATCGATCAAGTGTTGGTTGGGCACTTACATCCAGCTCCAATCGCAGACGCGATAGTCAAGACATAGAGAATCCAGTGACTGCGATGCTCGTAGAAAATAATTCCCAAGCTCCTCATGAGTCCCATGCTTTTAGCTTTCTTCGCAACTTGCGCTTCTTCCTCTTTTTCTTCGCCAACTGGATAGTCATGCGGGCGGATTTCTTCTTTCTGGGAAATGAGCAACTCTTCTGTCCCACTCTCCGTGGAGGCATCTAATGGCTCCAGCTGCTGTGCGTTCACCAAGCTGTGATACACTGCGCCCTGTAGCATGAGCTCTTGATGAGACCCTTGTTCCACGCAAGTCCCATCCTGCATTACAACGATATTATCTGCTTTGCGGACCGTCGACAAGCGATGAGCAATCATGATTGTAGTTCTGTCCTTAGACACTCGGTCTAGCGCCGCCTGTACGACCTTTTCACCGCGCACATCAATAGAGCTTGTTGCTTCGTCAAGGACGAGAATTGGAGGCTGCCCGACGATGCTTCGGGCGATGGCGAGTCTTTGCCGTTGTCCTCCACTCAAGGTGATACCACCTTCGCCGACCTTTGTGGAATAGCCCTGCTCAGTTTAAGATTATTTATTAGCTCTTGAAACCATCAGGTCTTCGAAATGCGGAGAATTCAATGACAAACCTCGGGTAGTCTCTCTATGAATTCATCGGCATATGCTTCCCTGCAAGCTGCAGTAACGAGTTCCAACTTTACAGATTCGGTCTCGTTCTCCCACTTGGATCCTATCAACCCAAAGGCCACATTTTGGTAGATGGAATCATTGAAGAGAAACGGCTCTTGCTGGACTAGCCCGACTTGCGATCTCCACCACTTGACGTCCAAGTCGTTGATATTATGACCATCAACGAGTACTCTTCCACTAGTTGAATCATCGGCGCCATCAGAGATTGCTTCAATCCGATACCATCTCTCAATTAAAGCTACTATGGTGCTTTTCCCTGAACCTGAAGGTCCGACGAGTGCTGTGGTCTTGCCCCGTGGGAAGCTTGCGCTGAACCCCTTCAAAACCTGCGTGTCAGGACGAGTTGGATACGCGAACTTGATGTTTTCAAAGATGATATCCGCTTGACTGGTGACTTCGGGGTCACGGAGACCACCCAGCGAGGCTGGCTCTGAATCTATCACTCCGAAGAATGCGCCCGAGGCACTGATCGCTTTGGAAATCGCCATTAGTGGCGCAGCAATACCTCCCATCACCGTCACGACCAATAGTACTGAAAAGAAGACCCTAAACAGATGTGAGTAAATGCGACCAGCAACTTTCAGTTAAAAAAACCATACGTAATCACAGTATTGATGTTCGCAATATGGCCTTCCCGATACAACTTCAATCCAAACCAGAATGCCAGCGCAAAACTGACATACATGGCGAAAAACAACGTTGCAAGATGAGTTCCTGTCACCAGTGACATCTTCAGTCCACGTTTACGGGCTTCGTCAATCCACTGCGAGTGCTTTTTGGTGAGAGGAGCCTCTGCGCCCAACGAGAACACCGTACGGATAGAACTAAACGCATCTGCGGCGATCGAGGCATGTTTATTATCAGCTTCGTCAATATGTTGCTGGCCCTTGATCAGGAAAGGGACCGTGAGACAGAAACACAACACGACAAAAAGAATCGCCGAGCTCACAACGAGTGTTAAGGCCCACGAGTAGCGGAATGCGATGGCGTATGCGGCGACCAGCAGGGCCAGTGATTGGAATAGAATAGCAAGGCGATCTGAAACACTCTGTTGGATCGTGTTCGACTGCGCCGTGATGGCGTTACTCACGGAACCCACGGATATCTCGTCTAATTTGCTGATAGGCATCGAGAATAGCGACTGAGTATATTCGAGTCGCAAGGCTGCCGATGCATAGAGACTGACAATTCGGAAGCATATCTGATGAATGGTGAGCTAAGTCTCGCCGATCTTGTTTCGATTTAAAACCAACCATGGCAATATAAGTAAGCGCGAACTTGCCGATAAACAAGTACACGATGTACAAACTAAGCCTCAGTCAGCCGGGAATGAGGAGTGAGAGAGACGAAGTAGGGCCGAACCTGCTTTTGTTGACAGATGCTTTGAACGTCTGCTCATTAAAACTCGTGTCTGGTAAGGCATACGAGTTGAAATCACCGACAATCTTGCCGAAAACAATGTTCATCAAAGGAAGTGCCTGGAGAAGTTAGAAGTTGACCTGATTGACTGGATTAAGCCTCCATACGATTCCTGAGCCCATGGCACATAGCATTCCCACGATCATGGCGAAAACTCCTCCATGTCGAGAGCCATAAGAGAGAATTCTCTGAAGGAATGTCAGTGCTCTGACAAAAAAACCCACAAGCTGTACATAGAAGAAGAAAAGTATTGTATTACCAAATAGCTGGAGAGAGACGCTGGCTTAGTTGTAATCTCCTTTCCTTTGTCAAGGGAGATGCTGGATTCATCAGGTTGGTTGGCGATCTTCGTTTCTTGGTGGAGAGTGGTTTCTTGTATTTCCCCGGTCGGGGAAGAAGACGAGGTCATTGCTTTGCGATCTGTAGGCTCAACAATGCTACAGACTTTCTGTCGTCATTGCGAGACCTGACATTAAAAGGGGGATGATAGAAAACACCTTTGATAGAGAAGTATATATAGAAAAAATAACTATTAAAGAAAGGATACATAGGCTGAAACATTGGAGGCCCGCAGATGACAGATATTACAGGTCAACTAATTGGCTCGGGCCCTCTGCAGCCTAATGCCAACACGAGAGTCATAGACTAAACGAAGGGCCTAGGTTTGGCTCAGTCTAGCTAATTCTAATTAAGTCTGATTAGGTAAAATGGTGCGCTACGACGTCGGAAGAACCAAATTGAGTAAATGTTTGCAATGATGTAACGACTTGTGTTCCCGTGGATTCACTTAGGGTTTTTCCCCTCGGCGGATGTAACGGATCATAGATTGAAATCTTAATGTTTTGACGTGGAAGATGCAATTACAAAGTTCACATTACCTTGCGAGTTTGGTACAACTTGTTAATTTGTTCACTGGTAGAAACTCACGCAACATCCATCGTCAAGTTAGAGCGTGGTATAACAGTCACAAGTTCATGATAACTCTGATAACTCTGCACTTTACTCGAATGCAAAGGTGTCTATTTCTTCTCCATATTATATAGTACCTTCAGTTTGGCAAGCTCAAATATGAGTATATTCCGACAAACAAGTACCGCAATCATAGAGTGAAATAAGCAACATGCTAGAGAATACAAGCGTACCCAGGATAGCATGACAGGATGTCATAGCAGCTAAAATCCAATCTTATATCACAATATGAATGTTCTCGACCTTGAGTTTGACTTTCGGTGGCAGGTTTTCGTTCGAGTAGCCCACAATGAGCCAAGTAAGCCGGCCGTGGAAAAGGTTGCCGTTTAAAAACCTTATTGTGATTTCTGCGATCACCATCAAATCCCATCATTTCATCCATTTGACTCAAAGGGCTGTACAAGAATTTGCCACCCGAAACATGATCAATTCGGCGAGTTCGAAGTAGCAACCCAAATGCCGCCCACAGATGAGCAACCGGTCCGAAGAACGACCTGGCGAGTAGGAAATATGGGTCGCCCGGTGCAAACGCCAGTATTTTATAGAACTATAACTCATAGCTAGTCGCCAAAACAAAGCCATAATCAATTATCGCAATCAAGTGTGACGAGAACAAAGTAGGCATAAGCCCATCATGGTCGTCTTCAGAAAGTTCAAGAGCCTCAAGCGGGTTGCGACGTTCAACCGGTCGCAAAGGGGCAACAGCAGGTGAGCCGGCGGCTAGCATGATCGCGAGAAATGCACATTTCCCGACCGCCGGCAGGAGAGAGATTTGGTCAATGTTGGACCCGAGCACGGCCAGTGTCGCCGGGGCTAAACCTAGTGACACGCTGGAGGTGGCCATATCGCTCTTCATAAACTCAGGACATGCTTTCATGATACAGTTGACTAACGGCACGGTCAACTGCTCGGCAAAGTTAGGTAGGGTAGCCCGATAGATTAGGTCAAGTCTCTTCTTCTTTTTGGTTAAGCAAATCTCGTATATAGACAAGTCACACGCCGCGAAAACACGTGGCTTACTCTACAATTTTCAATCGGAATCCGGGCGTTTCGTCGTGCTCAGAAAGCTCTTTCCACAACCGTTAGCCACCGAATCGAACAGTCGTCTTGGGCCAATTTGTGAAAGATCCAGAAAGGTAATCTTCGGTTATCTACTCTATATTTACACAGTAGTTTATTCTCCAACAAATTATGGTATGGATTAGAGCGAGATAATTGTAAACACTATGTTGTGTTCATAGCTTGGTTTTTCTATGCATCTTTCGCCCAATCTAGCAGAGTCGCAGAAGTGGTCACTGTGTGGGGATGGCTGGGGCCCAGTATTCGTTTTTGCTTAGCTACGCAAACTTCTAGCAAATCCAGAGCATTTTTATGCAAACCTGAGCATTTCAAGATACGAGCAACATTGGTCATACTCATTACCGTGGACGGATGATCCTCACCATAATTTTTCTTGCGAGTTTCCATAACCCGCACAAAGAGCTTCTCGGCCTCTCCGCATCGACCTTGGCTCCAGTATGTTGATGCCAGGTTGACCATGCTCGTTAGTGTATCAGGGTGATCATTGCCCAGAAGCGTCTTGCGAGTCTCCATCACCTCCTTGTTAAGGCTTTCAGCCTCCTCAAATCTGCGTTGATTCCTATAAGTAGATGCTAAGTTCGCCAGACTTGCCAGTAAGTCAGGATGATTTTTGCAAAGCTTCATCTTGCGAGCCTCTGCCACTTGCATATGGAGCTTTTCGGCTTCCCCCATCGGTGCTGTCGCATATAGATCGTCGCCAGGTTGCTCATGCTGCTAAGCATGTTGGGGTGATTTTCGCCAATTTGCCTTTTGCGAGCCTCTATAACCTGCATGTGGAGGTTCTCAGCGTCTTGCCATCGGCCCTGCTCCGAATATATAAAAGCATGGTTGTTCATGCTCGTGAGCGTATGAGGATGATCCTTGCCAAAGTTTCGTTTGAAGATGCTCACAATCTGCGCAGAGAGCGTCACAGCCTCAACAAATTGCCCCTGTCTCATGTACGTCATCGCCAGATTTCCCATACTCTTTAGCGTGTTTGGGTGCTCCTGGCCATATTTAGCCTTGAAGACCTCTGAGACCTGCAAAAACAGCTCCTTGGCCTTGGCCAATCGGCCCTGGCTCACATATGTCGATGCCAGGTTGGCCATAATTGCTAGCGTGTCAGGATGCTCTTCCCCAAGCTTTTTTTTGAAAATCTTCATCACATGCACAAAAAGCAGCTCCGCCTCACCCAATCGACCCTGCTCTTTATACGTTGATGCCAGGTTGGCCGTGGTCATCAGCGTAGCAGTATGGCCCACACCGAGCTTGTGCTTGCGAATCTCCAAGACTTGCAGCTCCAGCTGCTCCGCTTCCCCCATCGGCCCTGTTCCCTATACGTCGATGCTAAGCTGGCCATGCTTATCAGCGTTTTGGCATGTTCTACACCCAGCTTCGTCATGCGAGTCTCCATGATCTGCTCCTCCAGTTGCGCCGCTTCTCCCCATCGGCCCTCAAGTGAGTATGCCCTTGCTAACATCGCTGTGCTTGCGAGCGTGTCTTCATCTTCGCCACCCAGGAATTTCGCTCTTTGAAATCTCGATTTGAGTGCCATTTTTCTCACATCTGCGACATTGCCAATTTCCGATGCAAACCATGCACATCTATAAAGGAGTGTAGCCCAATCTAGTAGCGACCTTTCATTTTCTGGCCGCTGAGACATTGCCGAACGAACGTGAGGATATAGCACCCGACATTTTCCCCAATTCTCATATTGACCGGTAGGGAATTCGCGGTACAAAACACCGATGAATTTTTCCTTCCATCTATTTATTTGTCCATGAGACTTGAGCCATGAGCGCGTAGTCAGTTGCACCAGTCGATGCATTGTGAAGAATGTACCGCACTCGCTAGTAGATACGAGCAAATAGTCTCTCAATGTCATCACATCATCTTCGAATTCAGGTCCTGTATCAGATTCAGATGATGTCACCTCGTCAGGGTCATTGTGAAACTCTGAAGTAGATTTGTAACGAGACTCTAAATGCGGTCGAACAAGAGTCTCTGGTATCCCTTGACGATCGAAAAAGCTCATGAAGGCCAGTAGTTCTGCAGCAGATGGCTGCTTGCGCTGAATGTAATTGAATGATATTTGCCAAGTCACCAGGATTGAGTTTTTTGCTTCCCAATCTCTATCAAGACATGCCGCCTCTTTTTCAAGAAGCTTGATCGCTTCGCGATCACTCGCTTGGAAGTCTTTAAGATATTGTGATACCGAATAGCGAGGGGCTCGGGCTCTAATATAGCTAGCCGCTTGGGCAATTGCAAGCGGCATAAATTCGAGCACTTCCACTAATGTTTGACTTTGCTGACTTTGCTGACTTTGCTGTGGCTGTCCAAGTTTTCTTTGGAAAAGCTGTAGTGCCTCAAATTTCTCCATCGGCTCAATCTCAATCAAGTCCTTGTAACTGACCATCTTGAGTGCAACGTCTCTGCTCCGACACGTAATGATGATCGATCCATGCGGGCCCCTTGGGATATATTCAGAAAGGGGTTTTGTGAAGGCATTCGGTGGCTCTTTCATTGGATCTCCCTTTTTGACTACCGGAATTGGACAAAGAATTTCATAGTCATCAGCATTATCAAGGATACAAACCCATCTTCCTTTCCCCTTATCCCGCAGCCAGCTCTCGACCAATTGCAATATATTAGAATTAGGATCCTGACGACCCGGGATCTTAACCTGGTCTGCAATGTCCCGAAAACTTTGTTCAAACCGGGCTTCATTACTTGCATGAACCCAGAAAACCCAAGTCGATGGCGACTCGGATCGGATTTGATAGGAGTATTCGATGGCAAGTCGCGATTTCCTTCGAGTCATAAGCAAGAAATGATATACCTGTCGTTTTGCACTCACCCGACACCGCCGAGACCGACCAGCGCTATTCTCGATCCTGGCACTGAGCTCTTCTCGTAAATCTGATGAAGAAGGGTGTCGCGACTGACAAAGTCCGGATCGCGCGCGAACGGAACAGTTGATAATGGGTTGGGTGGAGTTTCCGATGGCTCTTGTTTAGGAAGTGGTGGTTAGTCACGATCTTGAGCTTGTCCCGTCCCCACTTACTTGGAGACAGATAGAACTCTGCCGTGATCGGGCCACGGTTATCTCCGATCTGAATGCCATGGTTGTTGCCAGGGAACGATATCGATGTCATAATCAGATCACTGTTTATGTTCTTTGGGTTACATACGAAGGGTCGTTGTCTGACTCTCAGCTGAAAGAGGGGCTCATGCTCAGCTTCATTATCAGGTGACCTTCCGGCGCTAAGATGATGATCATTCTGGCATTGCATTGGCGGAAACCCCACCTCGAGTATTCTGTATTAGATGAGTTTCCAGGAACTGTATCGGATGGAGCCAGAACTCTCTCAACAAGCGCAGCATGCGATAGCCAGCGAGGTCCCGCGGGCTGGAGAACCCACTTTGACACTATCACTTTGAAAGAGTCTAGCTGCTGGCAGTTTCAAGTGCACGAAAGGACAGTATCAGATCGTATTTCGTTGATGACTTAGCGAAACTAACTCATGAAGTTCCAGTCAGCAACGAGCTTTTCTTTGACGTCCGCAATCTTGAGAGGGCCCCCAAGTTCTCAGGAACTGTGAGGTCGCCAACTTACGTGCATTCGCTTCAGCAGTCTACCACCGGCCCTGCCAGGCTCTCCTTCATCAACGTCCAGTTTACCATCCACAATGTGGCGCCAAGACTCCCTCTCTCAAAGTATATCTTTGTTTGCTCCGTTTGCAGAATCAACATTCTAGAAGTTAGAGATACCATACAGGCGTGATACAGAAGCTAGTTTTGGCTGTTATAGTGTTTCCAGAAATTGGTGTCACCATCTATACTCTTCTTTTCTTTTTTTAAGCCTAGTCATTTTGTGATAAACTTTGTTATTCAATTCTTCATTCTCGATTACGCCATCTCGTCTACGAATAAAAATGAGTCATATGTAAAATTGGCTTCAGAAGAGTAGGCTGGTTTCCCTCAGCGTGACAACGAAGAGCCACAGGAACTTGACATTTCCATATTAATTGCCTGATAACGGACACAATGTTACCGCCTTCGCTCATGCTAAATTCTCGGGCCGGTGAGACTGGCGTGACATCTGAATTTGACTTTCAGTCATCTGGACTTGATACAACTGTAGCATGAGTGAGAGTGAAGATTTGAGGAAATCTATCTGCTCCACCATATTCAAACTATCCCTTTTCACTAGATTCCATGTGAGCTTTTTTACCAGCTGATACTTGTAGATCCTGGCATATCTAGACAGAAGTGCATCCATTTCTTTCATAAGACATTCATTCTCATGGAGTATTGAGGTGCCTGCTGCCCGTAGTTCCTCACTGAATGACATGGCAGTGATGACACTCAAAGCCGATCTCAGCAGTTCCGAGTATTGTCTTAACCTCTGTGAAAGAAGCCGCACTTCTTTGCACTCGCCATTCGTATCACGGAAAATGTTTGACAAATTCAAGGATAGCTCAGCAGCTAATGCGTAGAATCCTAAGATACTAGCTACACCGGACAGCGGATCCAGCCTCGGGAATCTGCTAGCCTTAGCTTTGGTGTCATATCGAGACCAAGGCTCATCTGAGCTACTGCTCTGATTACGATCCGGTTGTAGTGAGTCGACCACATTGCCAAGTCCTAGCATATGAGTCATTGTGCTTTGTCGCAAAGGGACAGAAGGTGGAGGGTATGGATGCAATTGGTCGTTCTGCTCCACGTGTACTCTTTCCTCCCAGGATAGTTTATCAAGCTTCATCGAGGTCAGATATTCATCGATGTCATCAGCTAAACTTTGCTGGGCATTATAAAGTGCGCTAGTTCCTTGGACCTCAAGAGGATCATGTCGATTTGTGGATTGCTGTTCGCTTGAATGAGATGTAGAAGGCGGTCCATTTTCTCTTTGCATAGAATCAAATGGCATAGAAAGTATAATATCGTTTGAGTCATCCGGCAGCGTATTCACCCTCCCAGGAAGCTGTATAGCCGGTCTCGTCAGGAGTCGTTTATAAACAATATTTGTTAAATCATAAACTTGGCGATAGGATTCATATCCTCCTATAAAAGGAGGAGCTATGGGGGAATATCGCACTTGAGAAATGCTGTAAAACGAGCCGTCATTGCGCAGTTGATTATGCGATGGTGATACGGCCATGGACGGTGACTGTGGACGATTGCCTATAATTGCGCTTCACGGGAGATTAGTAGGCTTTTTGCCACCAAGTTAGACTAATACTTACAGCATGCTTGCCTGTATGGTTAGTTGAGCAAGTTGAACGTAACTTCCGAGACCCTTCCTGAACGTTTCGAGGTCCTCGGCGGCTAGGAGAGCCCATTGGACCTTTCTTGGAGCACTGCGAATTGAGCCTCGGCTGGAATCCTTGCCCATCGACTTTTCATATTGCGCAATGCTCTTTTTGAACCTCTCGACAAGTCTTTGGATATTTGTCGAATTTTCAGATATTTTTTCCCGAAATGACTCAGGAACGATGGCAAGATCGAGCTTTTCGATTTCTTCTATGAGAGAAAGAAAAGCTCCACATTGCTCTTCAGCCTGCTGGAACTGGAATGTGGAGCCGTTCTCTTTGAGGGAAGAAATAATCTTCCGCGCAAAATTTGCGAAGAGGAAGATGTCACCTGGGCTAAAACCAAAACTCATGATTGATTCCAATGATCGAAGCTGTCGCTGATTTCGCGCTTAATGAGCCTGGTAGGGTTGGGGGGACGGATGCTGTGCACATACCGAAGATGCAACTTGGACGGAGATATCGTAGAAAGGGGGAAAAGAGAATTAGTTGGTCGAGCCCGTGGAACCCCGCCCGCGTTTCCACGGGCCGGCCCTCTCCGCAAGATTGCAAAGAATCCACTACGGGCTTCTATAGTTCACCACGTGAGCCTTGTATACATTGTGTAGTTTTACTAGAAATATGCAATACCACATAAAATGCATTTTACGGTGTCCCTCATTTTAATGCGGCCCGGTCAATGATCAACCCACGCTAAGGCCTTAACATTGGGTCCAGGAAAGAGTTACTTAGTGTGCATCGGTCAAGACGATTTCGAGAATGACTATAGCGCACCCTAACCACTGTCAAATTGTTACTATGTTGATTTTCAAATATTAAATCGCGATTCTGCTGTCATATACTACTAGATTATGCCTAAATAAGCAAAGCTGGAGCATGATCCCTTCAGATCAAGGCCCCTTTAGCGGTGAAATAATGCATTGTCCATACCTAGAACATATCTCGGTTCTAGCTATATCCTGTAATGCTGGAGAATAGAGCTATGGAATCCTCAAAGAAGCTGGTTGTAATGAGACTATGCAGGTTGAGGAGCAACTGATCCGACTATAAGGGGGAAGTTCCGTTAACGAAAAGGATTCAGATTTAGTGTCACCAAAGAAGATGCAATTAGGATTAGTGACACCAACAAAGATAATATGCCCTTGATGACTCTGGTCAAGGGCACAAAAGGGAGCCCTAACTCGGGCCCATTTGTGGAGGGCAAGAATGAGTCTCTGTACAAGAACATTACATTGTTGACGCTCCTCCATCTATTCATTCCATATCCACTATCGTATCTACTGGATTGACAGGCTGATCACCCCTGACCTGGTAATTTTCTCACAAGTAGGTAGTCATATAATGCTTCTAGTTTTATCAGTATAATGCTGCGTGGTCGTCTAGCTCTAATGGAGGGATCTTTCATGGTGCCGAAACAGCCGTAGATTAGACCGGACTCTGAAGATCACGCGCTTGCTGTAGTATGTAGCTGTAGCTATTTCGGAAGCAGTCAGCTTATCACTTAGGGTTATGACACGCATTATTCCCAGTGTAGATTCTGCTAGGTCAGGAGCTATAATCTATTCTATGAGTAGCGTGGAGAATTGGTTTCTTTATTAAGTCCCTATGGTAGAATGGTAAAAATTTATGGAAGAGGGAGAAGGGGAGGAGGGGTAGATAGGGGCTCTTTATAGACTATACTAAAGTAAGCTTAGCGTTTCTTAGCATTGGTTGTTTCGAAGAAGGGCTCGAGAAAGAATATCTGTGTGTAAGTGGTGAAACTAGTTTCGATCTATCTTGTATGCGTAGATATGTAGAAAAACCCCTGTTTTGGCGGCTGCATGGATAGGATCATATTAGCGTGGAAGTCTGACCACTTGATGCCACCCTTCATTTCGATGGACCTATAACAAACCATACCTCGGCACATAAAAGACGAATTGTTCTACACACCACGACTGATGTGTATCAATGTTAAATCTTGGTCCACGGGTGGCACAATAGGTGTGACTGAAAAAGTGCCTTTTCTCTACAGGGAAAATAAAAACCACAATCCCGCAAGTTCTCCGCGTGTGACATTAATAATCTTCGTATTTTCTGAGTCTCAAAGGTATCATCAAGAGTAAAGTCTCATCTAGTTCTTTCTATATATACAAAAATGTGCAGGATATTCCGCTTCCAAAATTAATTATAATTTACAAGTCGCGTCCCAATTCACCCAATTCAATCCCAGGAGTGCGATGGCGATCATCATAATCAAGACCCCACTGATCCCCCGTCTCACCAGCAAATTCTCCAACTCTATACCTATGATCTTGAGTAAGAATGAAAGTCTCACGTTCCTTCTCACTCAGATCATAGGCATTCCCGCAGTCGGCTGCCAACGAGCTATCCACGACGAACGGAATGAGGGAACCGATAGAACGAGGAATTCGTATCCCCTTGTACTTTCTGAAGCGAACCAAAAACACCACCAGGAGAGCAGATGTGTCCACACAAACAAGGCAGATGATGATCACAACTAGAACACTGGATGGCATTAATCCCCAGAGAGATTCTGTGGCTATCGCTTTTGCCGGTACGGCATCATGCGATGGTAGATGCTCAAGGTATCTGTCCCGCCATAAGGCTAGGTGGGCACTGAAAACTCGTCGGTAGACGGACTGCACGACGAGAGTCAAGTGATGGGTAGTTATTTCGGTGGTGTTGGGAAATAATGAGTCGTATGTAGACGTTGTCAACAGTCCAGACCAATCGTGACGATGCATCGAGGTGGGACTATGGTATGGCAGAGTTCGAGAGAAGTTCGTAAGTCGTTGGTTGAATAGGCCCAGGCTATTGGAAGCGTTCTGGAACAGAGGCCCGTTTGTGATGGAGCTTGCCTTGACAGCCTGGTAGGATTGGATCATTCCGTTGGAGTCGAATTGGACATCGAAGTCTTGAATCAGAATCTTCGGCTGACATTGCAAGGCGATGGAGTCTGGGGAGTGGTTTCCTGGCCCGCCAGAATTAACCCAAGAAGCCAAAATGAAAATGCTTGAGGTCTGGCAGGTATCTGTTCCGTTGGGCGTATAAAACCGAATAGAGTGATCGGTCACGTTCGGATTGAGACTTTTCTCCTGGATTTCAGTTGCGAGTTCGACTGTACATTTCGATCCCGTTCTGTCCCCAAATAATGTATAATTCCAAATATCCATTGTAGCAAGACTTTTTTGGGGGTAAATGGCACGGCATTCAACATCGGCTCCAATACCCCGTGTTTGGGAAGTAAATATTGCCCAGCTATCGTCGTCGTCATCCTCATCGTCCTCCTCCTGTTCACCGACGTCGTCGTAATCATCACCTGTGTCGTCTCCTTGAGAAGTGCGAATAGAGAACGGAATGAAGAAGAATTCTGGCGAGACCCATGGCAAAAAGGAAACATTGTTCATTAACCGACTGGCGGCCATTATAGATTCACCGACACCCGTTTCATTGACATGGCTCTGAAAGATGGCAGTATTGTATTCCTTGACCACCGATGAAGTCGAAGATTTGTAGACCTGTAATTGAGGCTCAAAGACACCACCACTTAGCACGCGCAGCACGAGGTCTGCTAGACACACCAGGGATATACCAAACAGCAAGATTGGCTTTCGGCGGCGCGTTCGGGTCAGCGCCATATACGGCGTCCTGAAATTACGATTTGCGAGGATGGATTCTTTGGCGTTGGCCATTCCTTCTTGCAGGCGGATCCAAGGCTCCATCGCACTCAGGTTGCGGTATATTGATGTGACGAGAGAACCAATGATGGAGGCGATGGCAGTTGGTGCGTACGATAGGAACGTCATCGTGACTGTCCCTCCAGTGGTGGCGTATGCATCTATGTTTTTCAATCGAAGGTATGATAGACTGACTCCGAAAGAAGCCAATACGCCCATGATTAACACAGATTCTATCAGAAACCAGGGGAGAATCAAAAAGTGCGGAGAAGGATCGCGACGCTTGTTGATGTTTGGAGGTATCAGCTGATCAGATGGTGGCTGTGTGCGATCGACGATGCAAAGCCTTGGTTCTCCTGAGACGTCGACCCATTCAACCCATTTTTCTTTCGACCATTGACGGAGCTGGCGAGTTGTTGATTGTCGGAAATTTGGATGCGATAACAGGAGCTTGGTAGATGGCGCGAAAAGTCGAGTGATTATTGCACACTGGGCAGCGATTGATCCGGGATCCCATTGCAGGAAGTTGCTTCGACGATGATACACGGATGCCAACATGCCGAGGAGAGCCAAGCTGAGAATTAGAATGACCTCGGTGATTATTGCGGCATTGGGCGTGACCTCTAAAATCACCACATAGCTTGATTCCGCTGCAGGAACAACCGTTGGACTAGCGGCAGGGTTGAAGAGTTTGTTGATAATCATGATGAAGTGTTCGTTCCAGGAGGATTGCATTTTTTTAATGTATGCAGCAGAGGTGATGACCTTCTGGTCGCTGGCAATAACGGATATGTTTTCAGCAGTCGCGGAAGAATTGGAGTACACTTCACTCTGGGGTGGCGATATGTATCTGGAGGAGATCAAATTATGAAATCCTTGCACATAAAACTCAGCTGAGTCGAGGGGTTTGATACTCTCAGTGTCGATTTGCACGTCTGCGATAGAAGAATTGTAGTTGAGGGTGACTTCGGCTTGTGCTTGGTGATAGACCGGTGTGCAACCAAATGCAGTGACATTGGATTCGGTAACGTTCCCCTCAGCAAGTCTCAAGTCCAAAATTACACCAAATAGGCCGAAAGAGCTGCAGCCGTCGCCTGGAATGAAAGTAGAATTGGTCTCCGTGTTGTTGTACACGGGTGCCCAGTAACGTGCCTGAAAATCCCCCTTGTCGGAATCCTGGGTGATAATTTCAAGGTCAAGACCAATTTGACATCGGGTGCTATCATCTTCCTCAACTCCACCATGGAGCTCAAAATCGCGCATTTCCCATAGCCAGCCCTGGTGGTTGTTTCCCAAGCCGCTTGTTGAGTTCACAGGTGAGAATGTGCCATTAAACGTCCTTGTCTGAGATCCGGTGGCGCAGGTGAGGTTTGACCAGTATACTGTTTGGGTGAGGGTCAATAATGAGCTCTCGTTTTCGTCGTCGACGGGAATAGAGACAGGCGCCGCGGCGAAGGCCGAGGGACGGGACAAAAACAAACTGCCCAAATCGGACCGACCCATAACTCCATGATGCGCAATACCGGAGTTGAACCAAGCCGTTTGAGTGTCGATATCGATTATTGACGGCCAAGTCTTGACTACTTTGTGTTCCACCAGAAGATTTTCATCCAATACAATGATACCGGATACCAAGGTTGGGAGGAACATGCGAAAGATCATGGAGGTGGACGCAACGCAAAAAACAATCCAATGGCGGTTCCGAGCAGCGATGATAGAGGCGGTCACTCCATTGCTGCAATAGTTAGTGAACAGCACTTTGGCCGGGGTTGCTTTTGATTTCGCCAGTTGAAAGTAAATCTCCAGTCGAAATACATCCTGGGCGCAAATGTCGAGGAGAACGATGGCGAGCAAAACGATGACCAATGGCAGATAGGTGTAAGCTTGCCAAGTAACCCCCGGGAGATCTTCTGGATATTTCCAATGAACGAGAGATCCTTTTCTTTGAGAGTACTGGCGCAGTGTCTCAACCAATGCGAGCATTAATACTAGCAGGCCCGCTAACGAGAGGAGATAAGTCTTGCGCAATGATGCGGGAAGCCAACCTATGGATGGTCTCCTCTTTTCATCTCCCTCCCCTTGGCTTTGCATCCTGGCGGAGGTTTCGATGAATAACGGGCGCTCAACCTGTGGGGGGTATAGAAACTACACTAGATGTCAATATCATAGAACTTCAGATGCGCTAAATGTGATTTCAATGACCTACCGATGACTTGATTTATCACTGAGTCCATGTTGTCAAAATAGCATAACGAAGCCCCTGCTCTATCGCACTGCTATACTAGCATCAGCAGTATAGGTTCGAGAGTGAGCTGCCGTATTCTATTAGTTGTTGAATGATAATATGTGCAACATTGACTCAGGGGGGAGGGGGAGGCTGAAAGGCGAATTCAATACAAGGTTTTTTTTCCCTTTCCCTCTCGGTATCTTAATTCCAAGACTCCATCAAATGGGGTTCACCGTTGCTAAAAATGAAAAAAATTGGGAGATTAATGGACTTTGATTGGCTCAAGCTCGGCAACCAAACCTATATTTCCAGACTAACAAATGATAATCGGTTTTGAGGAGACAAAGTGGGGTCAAGTGGAGTAGAATGGGCCATGAACTGTCAACTCGTTGGGTCTCTGAACGCGGTAGATATCTTGGCGGTTTCAGTTCTCGCGATTTAATGGCCAATAAGAGTGCAGCCCAACCTCACTATCGGGATTCTCCGCGGAGAAGATAGATATCTGATCTGGCACAGAGTACGGAGAAGAAAATTCTCAAATCATAAAATTCACAAGGGGGGCTAGTTATCATTGAATGTTTATTTATATACTGGGGTAAATCTTCGAATCTCTATCTTAGAGCCACGAGGTCCCACAAGGTAAACCGACATAATCATCATGCCATTTCTTCTTTAGGCTAATGCTTAAACTCACTAAAATCTTACAGTGGGAACTTTTCAAGAAACCCCACCTTTTCCGTTCTAGTTCTAACTTAATCTCTCAAATAATACAGTATTGGAATTGTCTATGCAAATTCCATTACATTAATTGACAAGTGCTTATTGTATCAGAGTTGACCCTTATAACTTGTTTTGCTCATGGAGCAAATAAATGGGGCCGTTCGGCTTTGATCTCAGTCCCTTGAAGTGGGGGGCTGAAGCCAATTATTTTGCTATATTGTAGTATAGCTCCAGGGTAGTTCGAGGCTTGTTTCCTTCTACTGTGCCGGTGAAAATTGCTTGGCAGGCAGGTGGCGGCCACGTCGCTATAGATTTTTCTTACCTATTTTTATAACTCAATCGCTCAATTAACTTCAATCCCCGCCTGCATTCTAGTAATAATATAAATCATCATAGTTATTAAATCATCTTAACGGGGCCATTATTGAGAGCCCAATTTTGGGGTTATAGAATTGGTGCGACATTAAAAGTGACTTTACCTGGCCCAAAGAGGTTACAAATGTAAGGCCTACGATTTATTCCAGAACTGACATCCTGATCATATATGATTTGCGCTACTATACTGCTTACTCTGATTTTCAAGAAATGAAAATGAAAATGCATAATTCTCCAGGGCTAGAAAGTCATAGACAACTAATCAACACAGTAGAGTGGACTATTTGACGGAGATCATCCAAGACTGAAAGGTTTCTGGGGCCATTACAATATCTTCCCAAGGTCACGGAATTTGACTCAAGCTGCTCTTTCAATCTTGTACAATATTCACGATGCGATCTGGAAGCATATATTGAACTTTGCTCAGTTAGGACTAGCGTGATGATAGTATCCGTGGATGGTTCTTGAACCGGGGGACCCTGCATCAATTTACTAATTCTCGAGCTGTTGAATGCCTCCAAATCTAGAACATATTACTATGACATTTAAGTGTATTTGCCATCTAGTTGATGTGCCGGAAGTAGCGTGTCTCACCTAGAAATCTTGCATTCATATGAAGCCTTTGAAGGCCAGGATCACTCTTGTGAAGCTTGCAAAGACTTGTAGGCAAGACAGGATGGGCAGAACGGGAGGTTTAAGACAACATCCAGCTCGAAAAGCAAAGCCAAAGTGAAACCAGGCACATCCAACATGACCCTTTGGGTGGTTGAAGACTAGCAGAACAAGACGAGCTTGTTTGTCTCTAAAGTGCCATTTTTCGTTGTGCGATACAACTTACAATGTCAGAGATGAATAAAGTTCGTATACATCACTCAAAGAATTTTGTTTTAACCTCACTTGTCGTTGACTTCTGACTATGAGTTCCATACAACTATCGGTTCGTAGATAATTTTAGCCGAGGTAAATGCCGTAGCTTTTCAACTGCCATATCACCAAGTTTCGCCTACAATCACGCAAAACGATACTGAAAACCGTGGTATTTCCTACCTCGCAATTGCCATCCTATAATATGAAAGCTAACATCAGATCTGAGACTATTTCCAAATTATGGCGATTCAAAATCAATTATAGGTTACTACCCCATTATATTCACCCCGCTCTTCGTCGGTTGATCCGATTTCGCATAAGACACCGAAGATATTGTATTAATAATATGTCTGAGGGGTTGTGGATTTTTTTCAATCCTTTTTTATACTCAATCGCCGGTTTTAAGAGCGAGTTGTGCAATATACTTCACAATTTTGAGCATGTTTTCGGAAAAAGAAGTCAAGACAGTACCTGGCACACCGGAGGTCACAGATCTAGCACCTATTGCTGTAGATATTAATGAGTCCTGCGACGCAAATTCAACATCAATGAAGGCTCGGGTTAGTGGATGTCTTCAAGTCCTTGGTGCTTTCTTTATATTCTTCAATGTTTGGTTTGTGAATCCACCAGTTGGCGCTGAATTTAAGAACTCACTGCTATCTAGGGGGTTGAGTTTCGCATTTGGATCGTTCCAAAGCTTCTATGCACTCACGTTTATCTCATCATCAACAGCATCCAACATCGCCTGGATTGGTACTATCCAATCATGGCTCCTAATTGTCGGTGGCCTATTATCGGGCCCGCTCTTTGATCTCGGCTACTACCAGAGCATGGTTTTTGTTGGTAGTTTCTTGGGTGTCCTCGGTATGATGATGCTCAGTCTTGCAGATCAGTACTATGCGATATTCTTGAGTCAGGGAGTATGTATGGGTCTTGGCTTTGGTCTACTTTATGTTCCAAGTGTGGCATTGGTCAGTCGGTCTTTTACATCGAGGAGAGCTGTCGCTTTGGGTGTATCGACTAGTGGTGCCCCTGCCGGGGGTATAATATACACCATCATGTTTAACCAGCTTATATCGAAAGTTGGCTTCCCGTGGACAGTTCGCCTTATGGGATTCGTGATGCTTTTCTTGTTTGTCGCGGCAGCAATCCTTCTTTTGGTCCCCGAAAGGAATACCCGAAAAGTTGATAATACACAACGCAGAAGCTTGATTGACATGCGAGCTTTCAAAGATCTACCTTTTTGGAGTTTTACATTTGCCAACTTTTTCCTTTATCTTGGTTATATCACGCCTTTCTATTATATTCCAACCTATGCGGAAACAAAATTGGACACTTCACGTTCAATGGCTTCCAATGTGTTATTGATATCTCAGGCATCTTCAATTATCGGCCGTGTTGTCTTGACTTTATTCGCTCATTACTATGGGTCCATGGTATCCTGGATTTCCTGTGGTATACTCTCTGGCATCTTGTGTCTAAGCTGGATCAGTGCAGACAATCTGGTTAGATTTGTTCTATATGCAGCATTTTATGGTACGTGATGAATCTTCAGCCATCGCTATAAACATTTGTCATGACTTACGCAAATCGAAGGTGCAATCTCTGGGGCGTTGATTCCTCTTCCACCGAGTGTCTTTTCCCATGTCTGTCCGGATCCCAAAAGCCTTGGTACCTGGCTTGGGATGGCGCAAAGCTTGAGTAGCTTTGCATCACTACTGGGACCACCGGTAGCGGGTGCACTAGCTTCAATTGGCTCGAATGGTAGTGCAGATTTAAATTATCTTGGTATTCAACTGTTCAGTGGAATAACTATGGGATTCGGTGCATTCCAGTTGATAGGACTGTGGTATTTACTCTACACAAAAAGGGGCAAAAGGGGATTGTTCTAGAAGCACTAATATGAAACGCACCGATACACAATGTCTTAAAAGCTTGGAAACATTTGATAATGAAGTTAACTGGCTGCAACAATATTAACGGATAGTCGCCGGTCGCTAGGAATTCACAATTTAAACCGTTGTTGGGATTTGTTCCAAATTTTACATACATAGGTACATATACATGTATGAAAGACACAAAAAGGCCGAGTGGAAAGGTGTGCACAAGAGGCATATCATAGAAAGGACAATCGAGTTGTCTTTGGCACGAAGATATAGTCGTAGCAAAAGCGGCAATTGGTCAAATTCGCCGACAGCAAATCAGGGCCCGTATCACGTGATATCGGTATTTCTGACGAATAACATTCGCGTGAGTCATTGATAGCCCATCAGTACTAAATAAAAGGCCTGGACAATTATAAAGCTCAGCTCTCAGTTTTCAACTCCAAGCATTATTGTAATTGAATCCTCAATTCACAAACATGACATCGCTACGCCAAAAAGGCCCACTATGCTCCCTCGCTCCAGCTATTTTACCATCAGCCAAAACACTTCCAGGCCGGACAATCACCCTCGAGAAACTGGAGCCAAAACATGCCGAGGATCTATTCAATGTCACTGGTGGGACTGACCCAGCAAGAGGATCTCTCTGGGATTACATGTTCGACGAACCGTACTCCGACCTCAAAACATTCCAGGAAAGCATCGCTTCCAAATCCACTTCCAATGATCCATTTTTCTATGCAATTATCGATCAGCGCAAGACACTGCCCACCTTCGGAAAGGCAGTTGGTTATTTGTCTTTGATGCGAATGGTTCCCAGCCACTTAAACATCGAAATCGGGAATGTGATGTACTCGTCTACTCTCCAGCGCACTACTGGAGCCACGGAGGCGATCTATCTCCTGGCACAGCATTCATTCCATGATCTTGGGTACCGGAGATTGGAATGGAAGTGCCATTCGCTGAATGAGCCTTCGAGGCGTGCTGCTTTGCGCTTAGGTTTTACATTCGAGGGAATCTTCCGGCAACATATGATTGTGAAAGGAAGGAGCAGGGATACAGCTTGGTTTTCGATTTTGAAGGATGAGTGGGATACATCCTTGAAATCTTCAATGGACAAGTGGCTGGATGCTGAAAACTTTCGAGATGATGGTAGTCAGATCAAGTCATTGCAGGATTTGAGGGCTGAGCTGGGGGCATGAGTTATCCATTATACATATGTATACTTTCAAACTTCTCCTGTTGTCACTATAGGTGCAACAATACTGATACTATATTCTAAATAATAGAATAAAGACATATGCTCACTGAACAACGGAAGCGAGCGGGTTAGAAAGCTGCATATTTAATTGCAAAGTTATGCTTTTTATCTTCAATATCGGAGGGTACACGAACTTCGGCCAGTAGACTTGATTCTCCAACTTCCTACACTTCTATGCTGCAATATTCGTATATCTATTTGTAGGAATGAACCATCATAGAATCCTGGTAGAGCGTCCCGACGTACTTCGTCTTAAAAAGATAACTACCTACATACTATTATGCTTACGATAACGTGGAAATTACTTGTCGATATAGATACAAAGATATTCATGTTCTGTCTACGCTTCTCCGAGCCATTGTCCTAGATGGTCTCAGCATCTGGTTCAATCCTTCCGATTCTCTTTCAGGGGTCGTATGATCCTTCCCTACTGTGGGTCATGTTATTTACTGGCACGTTTATTCTTCATAACACCTGCAGTGTGTGCTAGTCGATGTTCCTTATCTTTCTTGGGTGGGGAGGATATCGCCCAGTTCAATCTCTATGATACTTCATCGCATGACATACAACTTAGCCATTCTATCAAACGAGTCTGTAATAAAAATAGCGGAGCGAGGAAGTCGGGGGCATTTACAGTGATCATGATATAATGTGATCAGTCACGAGAACTAAGGTGTGACAACACCCACATAAAGGATCTCGATCCGAGATCTACTCCGAGCCCACCGATGTTCTCCGAGATCGCGAGATCGCATTCATAGGCAAACTTCCAAGATCGACCATTATAATTGCCAGGATAGGAATAAAACCATTGCCAAGAAAGACTAGAACAATGCGTGCAATTGAATTGACCGATCACAACGAGGCGGGTCCACGGTTCTTTTGGTCGGTCTCAGTGGGGATACTATTTAGTTCCTTTCTTACCAGGTTGTATACTACGAAGGATCCATTGATTTGTGTTCACAGGAAGTTGTCCAAGTGGTCTATAAATACTATCCGACTCCTTCATCTTCCTTCATCCAAGCTCCTCAAAGCCCCCCATCCTCTCCAAATGTCTACAGCAGCAGAAACAAAAGAAAGTACCACACTGGTCTCACCTGCACCAGAGTACGGCTTCAGCGGCGTCAACTGGTCAGACTACATCAAATTTCGACCTATTTATCCAACTTCATTTTTCGAGAAAATCTTCGCCTACCATTCCCAAAAGACAAGAGCAACATGGTCTACAGCCCACGACATCGGCGCTGGTTGCGGAATCGTATCAGCTAGTCTCGCTCCTCACTTCAATAACGTCATTGTCTCCGATCCCAACGAAGGTTACTCCACACTCGCCCGCAAGATCTTAGTTGAGGAATCACGACTACCCGAAGCAAAATTCAAATTCCTACAAGAAAGTGCTGGAAACAGCTCCTTGGAGCCTGCCACTGTTGACCTCATCGCGGCTTGCGAATGTATCCATTGGACGAGACCTGATGATGCGATCAAGGGTTTCGCTCGAGAACTTCGCGCGGGTGGAACTCTTGCCATTTCACTATATACCCGGCCGCGGATTGTAGATAACGAGCGTGCTCAAATGGCTTGGAGGGCAATCTTTGAATACTATGCTGGGCAAGTGAAGAGCCCGTTGTTTGATCATGCACTTCGGATCTTGAACACGGGCACTGAAGCTTGGGGATTCCCGGAAGAGGATTGGGAGTCTGTGAAGAGAGTTTATGTCAATGCTGAAGGGAGTCTTGATGCTTTCAAGATCAATGATTTAGTTCTTGAGAGTAAAGTCAAGGAAGGAGAAGGAATTTTTTGGGAAGAGAATGTTCAGGAGTGGATGGATGAGCAAGATATTACTTGGTTCAGAGGATATGCGGCTACCTGGTCGAAGCCAGATGTTGCAGAAGAAGAAGTGATACCTCTTTGGAATGAGTTGGAGCAAGCTCTTGACGGCAAGAAGGCCAGAACCGCCACACCGCTCGCTTTGGCTTTTGCTACAAAGAAATAGTTGATTGTATTGTTTTCTTGCTATCATAATCTCATTCAATATTTGACACATCAACTATTCCAAATTATTTACAACTTTGAATCATCCTTTCCACTAATGATCTCTTCAACAACCTTAGCCGCCGCCAAAGTCTCTTCATCTTTGAATCGTCTCCCAGAAATCTGCAATCCAACCGGCGCACCCTCATACCGCTCGGGGCCCTGATACTTACGCCACTCTCTCTCATCAACTTCATCTCGCGGAACATACCCCTTATCCTGCTCCGTCAAAACATCCAATCTGGAATCGACGGTGAGCCCAGACGGAAATACAGCAGAAGGTAGATCTACGATGTTCCAGACCGCGGTATAGTTCCAATACTGTGACTCTCCCATCACAGCTGCCACGCCGGGATATGTCGGTGAGAGAATGAAGTCAACACCCCGACGCTTCATCAGAGCATGATATTCATCTCGATAAATATCGCGCTGCTCTTGCAGAGCCCAGGTTTCACTATGTGAGAGGGGCTTGGCTCGGCTGTATGCGAGAGCCCATTCTGTCAGTGGACGTGCCGGCTCGCCTGATTCTGCGAGGAGATCACGCTGTCTGAGGGCTGCGTCGGGGTAGTAGAGGGCAGACTCGATGGATATTAGTGATAAGTAAGAAGGCTGCGAAGAATCATTGACTTACAATAACTTCCCATCCATGCTGGTGCTTATACGGTTCCCAGTCCACGACCTTGATTCCCGCCGCTACCAGCTTATCCTTGGCATGTCGCAAGGCACGATTGATAGGAGGATGAGGGCGGACACAGCTGGTCGAACATTAATAAAATACTCAATCAAGCTCAGACTCAACTTACCCATCATCCCACATAATAGCAACAGTCATATCCCGCGTGGGAGCAACATTCCTCCAGGGCAAAGGCATCAACGACGTCTCAACATCCCAAGGCTCCTGATCCAACACGGCTTTCTGGAACAGCTCCAGATCTTCCATAGAGCTACTAGACATTGGCCCAACGACACCACGGATAGTCTCCTGTCCGGACGAGGCAACTTTGATTCCGGTACCTGGATTCCGTAGCGAGGAAGGGCGGAATCCATAGGCGCCACAGAATGCTGCTGGGCAGCGAATCGATCCGCCAATGTCGGTGCCGATTCCCAATGGTGCGCAGCGGAATCCCATTGAGGCACCCTCGCCCCCAGAAGATCCGCCTGGGGTTAGAGTGCGATTGTGGGGGTTTACGGTTGTGCCTGTGATGTTGTTGCTGCAGCAAAGATGCTGGGTTGTGTTAGTTGGTGATATTTGACAGTGAGTTGATATGATCTGAAGATACGTACCATCAGTGACTGAGGCTGGTTAGTTCTGACATGAAACACTGCGCCGGCTTTGGATAGTAGTTGTAGGAGAAGGGCATCTTCCGTGTAGACCTTGTCGACCCTGTTATTATGACTGTCAGCAGTGTTTTAGGCCGGGATAACAATGCTTTGCTCACCAAGCCACATATCCTGTGTTGCATGTTCGATTTTTCATGGAAATATGCTCCTTGACACTGATTGGAACACCATGCTGTAGGTCAATCATTAGTCTTCTTATCTCAACTGGAGTGAACATTTATATGGACCTACCAACGGTCCGACCAATCTCCCCGTGCGCCGATAATATTCATCCAACTCTTTAGCACGAGAAATCGCCTCCTCAGCCATGAATTCGGTAGCGAAATTGAGCTGGAAGTACTATTAATACCAAAATTCGAAAGCAAGATAACGCTCACAATCTCACCAGTTGATGACCCAGAACAGCCCTCTTCAAAAAGGCAATCACCACTTCTTCTGCCGTCAGTTCTCCCTTTTCCATTTCCGTTACCAATGCTGTAGCAGACATTTCCGTAATGGTAAGCTCGCGCGCAGTCAATAAGCCGCTTTTGCGGGGAAAATCATTCACGCTCTTCTGTGAGGCTGGCGGCAGCTTGTCGGCAGGAAGAAGCCATTGCTTTGGAATAGAGTTACTCAATATTTCTTTGCCCTTTTGAGCTTCAAGTTCCCAGTTGAGGGTCATGATGGTAATTTATTAATTGAACGTCTTGATTGGAAAGATGTATATTCGATCTCGAAAGGTGGAATCATATAAACAAACAGTGGCACACGGAAAAGGAACTCGGGTCGTATTTGATTCCCCCGCACAAGTCAAGCTCTATTGGGAGACATGTAGCTATCTCGGAATCGGAATATGGAATCCTACTGGACTACAGCATCCAATAGCCACACTGCCGCAGGCATTCCCGCCCCAAATAGTGGAGAGACATGCACCTCTTAATCGTAAAATTGGAGGGGTTTTGCTCGTTAGGGAATGGATCGCTGCGGAGCAATTCCGTTATGACTCCAATCTTATCGTTCAATAAATCGCTCGGGGTTTACTCCAGTTGCATAGATCCTATCTTCGGACGTCGAAGTTTCTTCGTTCCTTGGTATCCAAGTGTACTTAGGTTTTTTTTTCTATAGAAAAAAAAAGCCATGGCAGTAGCATATACGGATATACGAATATATAGACCAAACAAAAAAGAAATCTCTCCCTCGGGGAATCGAACCCCGGTCTCCCGCGCTTATCGGTTTTAATGACAAGCGGAAATCATCACCACTAGACCAAGGAAGATGTGATGGTCGAGTTACTGCTCGGCCACTTGGCTGGTTGATGGAAGATATGGCCAGTAGAAGATCTATGATGAGGAAAGTTGATTACCTATTTAGAAATTGCTATAACACGCATTCTTCTTCTAGAACCATTTTTCAACCAATATTCTTTTAGTAGCCGACACTGTATTTGAAATTTTGAGTCTTGGTTGTTTGTTTCTCTTTTCCATTTTAGAAGTTCTTAGGTTGGTCCGTTGAACTATTCTAACCTAGAATTTTTGTATAGTGATCATCCAATATATATTAACAACGCCAATGCTTATGCTTAAGTTTCAACAACCCATCTACATTTCCATCGGCCTCACATTCATTGTACACCAAAAAATTACCCAGAAGAAGATTGCTGGTTTTTGAGATAAATCTGTCTCTTTCTTTTTTTCTTTTTTCAGTTTTGAGCAAAAAACCATAGTATAGATACGCCGAATGACTACTTAGTCTTGCTGGGAATCTCTCTTGAGTTTGTCACACCATCTATAGGATGAGCATAGACAGCAATGCTTATATATTTTAGTTCACGCTTAGTATGACCACACATATGTAGTTCATCCACTCCAAGCCTCTAGCCACAGCAAGTAAGCTGTTCGCAAAGGGTCCCACAGATAACCTGGCAACGGGATGATTTGTCGCTGTCCTGAGTAACATCGGCCTCGGCACCATCATCGGAGAGTTCGGGTTGCAGTGTCACTGAGTGGATTCCATAAGCGTGGAAACATCCATTGATCACCTTGGCAATCTTGATAAAGTCTTCGACAGAATCCTCGGATACAACGACGTGCACGGATGCGAGGGTCTTTTCTTGGTTGAGGCGCCAGATGTGGAGTTCATGGATTGATATAACGCCTTTGATCTGATGGTTATTAGTATTGGGGAAAAAAAGTCCGATAGTGCCTATAAGATCACTTTTTACCTTCTCCAGGTCGTGTTTCACATCACACATGCTCACACCAGTGGGTGCACTTTCCAGCAAAATCAATCCGGCATTGCGCACTTCGAGTATTGTTAACTTTGCCTGCTGTTTGGTTATAAACGAGAGAATCGGACTCACTTAGTGGAAGAGAAGACAGGATGATGAGTATAGCAATAAACATGCTCACGCCAGGGTCGGCATAGTAGCGAGCGGGATGAGGTGCTGCAAGCCAGATAATTAGACCGGCAGCCATAACGCCCAGGTTGTTAATCGCATCGCCAATGACGTGGATCATGACTCCCGTCATTCCAAGGTCGCCGTGATCATGTCCACCGTGGCCGTGACTGTGACTAAGACCACCAGAGTCCGCGCAATGAGGTGTGTCGAGGTGCAAATGTTTGTGATCATGATGCTACCTCGTGTCAGTTTCCTTGATCATACTTCCGATGAATGTTGATGCATACCACGGCGTGCGAGTCTTGGTATTGCTCTACAACTTGAAGATCCGGGACTTCAACTGTAGATGGGCCATGACCATGGCCATGGCCGTGTTCTAGCTTGAGTTAGTTTGGTATGTAGGATGTGGACCTATAAATGCCATACCATGGAGGAAGATAACGCTAATAATATTTAGGCCTAGTCCAATGCAGCCAATAATAAACATCATCTTGGGATTATTGACATCTAGAAGAATGGTTAGAATTCCGAGAGTAGACAATATTTAGCTCAAACATATTGACTCACGTTGTAGGGCGATGAATCGCTCAATAGACTGTAAAAAAATACTGATACCCAAACCAAGCAAAAGAACACCATTGAAAAAGGCACCTAGCAGTTGGGCCCGCTGCCAACCAAACGAAAGTTCTTTGGGTGAGTCGGCCTGCTCGGATTTCTACAGGACCCATATCAGTATGATTCCAACAAGGTAGATTGAAACGGCTATGTACCTTCAAAGCAACAAGTGCAATAATGAAACCAACCAAGTCGTTCAGCTGAGTAAAGTGTTAATTCCATAGTTAGAGATTTGACCAGAAAGAAAAAAAAAACCTACATAGTGAAAGGCATCGGCAATAAGAGCAATAGAGTGGGTATAAAATCCCACTTTCCAGTGTCAGTATTTTATCTCCAAACAAGAAAAGGGCACCGACAGGAGATCTCAGCCAGAAAGAAGCAAGTCGAAATCCCAATGACAACACTTAGACGAGTCGAGCGCGCGATATGAAACACCATGATGAGATAACTCAGTAGCAAAGAACAGATGATTGATCTCTAGGTATGCGATCTAAAGAACCGAACAAAACTAACACAATGGCGCGAAAGGAAAAGTGTTCTGGTGTCAGTTGATACAAGTCATCTGCTAAGCACTGAGAGGCAAAGTAAAGTAGAAGTCAATCAAGGAAATGAATGACAGTTCGTAGTTGCTGTCTACAACAAGAATATTCTGTCAGGATCTGAATACTTCTGCCTCAAAGTCTTAGTTGGGAAAGCAATCGTCCGATGTCTCCGCCGTGTAACTAAACCTGTCTTCTCCGATCCTCCGGCCGCATAAAACTATGTAAGGCGGTATGCAGGAAGGTCAATATTATACATTGGGTGTCTATGCATAAGGTGTGTCTCATTTTATGGCATCCAAGGTGAAAATTCAAAATTCGCTGGGGTATGTTATGACATTGACATAAGGTAAATTAGGGCTTGGTGCAATGTCCGGTATAGAGACAAGAAATGCAAAATGAGGACCCGGGGGAGTTCCTAGGGGTAAGGGGAATCCGGAAATCCCCCAGCCCTATACAAACCTGTTAATTTTGGTGCTCTATTGCAGATCAGACGAGGAATGCATGTTACCCTCCAATGCCCTGGGCGTATGTGTCACCCGTGAATGTGAGAATCCGCCTTTTGCTACGATGCTACACAAGTAAACAATAATATTCAAATGGTTCAATTTCATTAACTACACACACTTTCACCATTATATGTCTTTGTCGAAATTAAGCAGCAATCTGATCAGATAATCCATCCAACTCACGTGCCCAGTTTCGGTGTTGCGAAACATGCCAGATAAACTGTTCCGCCAACCCCTTGGCATCACCTGCAATCTTCCCAACCTTCAACAACGACGCGGCATCTCCATACCCAGTAACAACACCATACGACTCCTTCAAGGAAGCTCCACTCTGCGCGACCTCAACCTCAGGAAGATTGATCTGGCGCTGAATAAATGGCACAGCCTCGTTGGATCCCGCAATTGCCTTGAGATGAGAGAATGACTCTGCAATCCAGTGCTTCGCTACACCGTTCTTGGCCAGCGCTTGCACATGCTTGCCACCGGGAACATACACAGCATCAAAGAGTGTCGATCGCATACCCACGAAGAAGTGGTCTGGTACAACAGTCTGTCCAGACTCAGATGTCACACCTTGTCGCTGCGCGCCGATCGTGAAGACGAATGCACCTTGTGCTTGTAGCACTTCTTTCATCGTCGCATACTGGTTGTAGTCGAAACCGTCGGCTAGGAGGATTGAGATGCGACGCGTCTCGATAGTCGGCTTCTCGGGCATGTATTCTAGCTGGCTGAGACCCTTTGCTTTGATTCCTTTGTTTTCTTTGAGGGCTTTGGTGGGCGTGTCACCGCCAACGTTTGTCGCAACTGCCTTGGCTAGGTCGAGATCGATTGAGGCCAGGCGCTCTGTCATGCGCTTGTAGACGACTGGATCGTCGCAGTGATCAAGTTCGAAAGAAAAGGCCTTTGTGACGTGCATCTTTTCAATAGCCGAGAGCGAGTTGTAAAACACTTGCGCTTGGTTGAAGTGCTCTTTGAACTTGTCCGACAAGGCGCGCTTCTTGGCTCCCTCCACCTTCTGTGGGTAACTGACGAAGCCGCCCTCGGCTGCCGTTGCAGGTGGGTTTGCGTCAAACCGGTTCGGCCAGTAATTGACTGTACCCTTGGTTATGCGATGTCTGCCCTGGCCATCGCGGTTCACCAGACTCATGTATGGACAAACAGGCCGGTTAATGGGCAATTCTTGCCAGTTAGGACCGAGACGTGAGAGCTGTGTATCGAAGTATGAGAAGTTGCGGCCCTGCAGCAACGGATCGTCGGAGAAATCGATACCAGGTACGATGTGGCTAGTACAGAAAGCAACCTGCTCAGTTTGGGGGAAGAACTCGTCGATATTGCGGTTCAATTCCATCTCGCCAATGTAGCGAATAGGAACGAGCTCTTCGGGCCAGACCTTGGTAGCATCCAGAGGGTCAAACTCGAAGTCATCGAGCTTCTCCTCGGGAATAAGCTGGAGACCGAACTTCCAGCGCGGGAAGTGGCCGGCTTCGATGGCGTCCATGAGATCCTTGCGGTGGAAGTCGGGATCCTGGCCGCCGATCTTCAACGCCTCATCCCAGACGAGCGAATGCACACCCAGCTCGGGGGTGAAGTGGAACTTGACGAAATGACGCTTTCCCTCCTTATTAATCAGAGAATAGGTGTTCACACCGAAACCCTGCATCATCCGGTATGACCGGGGAATAGCACGATCAGACATAATCTGCGACTCGTCAGCACATGACCAAAAACTACAAACACTCGGAAAACGTAATACTAACCCACTGATTCATATGGGTCACCTCAGAATGCAGATACTGGAAATCCCAGAAATTATTATGCGCACTCTGACCCTGCGGCACCTCATTATGCGGCTCAGGCTTCACGGCATGGATAACATCTGGGAATTTGATCGAATCCTGAATGAAGAAAACCGGAATGTTATTGCCAACAATATCCCAGTTTCCTTCAGACGTATACATCTTGACAGCGAACCCGCGCACATCACGAACTGTATCCGCGCTGCCCTTACTACCCTGCACAGTCGAGAAGCGCACGAACAAAGGCGTCGACCGAGTGGTATCTGTCAAGATACCGGCCGTCGTTACGTCCTCCGCACTCTCGTATAGTTTGAAGGTGCCGAAGGCACCTGTGCCACGAGCGTGCACGACTCGCTCGGGAATGCGCTCGTGATCAAAGCGCATAATCTGATCGAATGAGCTTCAATTCGCATTAATACCTTTTGGGGGTTCGCCGCAACACACCTTCTCGCGCGCAATTTGATCTTCCAGAAGCCCTGGTCCGGTCCGCTTCTCATCGGCAACTCGGAGCCAGTGGTCTGGGTCTGAGATCTTAATGCCATAGTCTGTAGTCATGTGCTGGTTGGCGTGGCCATCGACGGTGTCCTTGGCCAAATCGGCGGACTTGCCGTCCGCGGTTTTGGAGTTATTCAATGCCATAGTTAATATCGACCCAAAACAAAGAGGATAGCTGGTTGTAGAGAAATGAAAAGAAAAAAGTGAAGGCCACAGGCAAGTTTATCAAGTGCAAGAAAAGTCTAATTGTTACATCAATGATGTAATGAATGCATTACAGGGTTGCGCAATCCAATCACCATTTCATAAAAGCAAATCATGCATACGAGAACGAGATCAATCAGACTAAACTATTTGTTCTCCAGGGCTACGGGTCTCTCGCGTGGAGTTGGGGTCAATTGCAAGGCCATGGCAGCTGTATGACCGTATACCTGATCATCACACATTCCGAACCAATACCGAGGAAGGCGCCAAAACCTGACCCACGCAAAGCAGACAGGAAATATTGCGAATTCTAGCCCTCCCATTTGTGGAGCTGGTTCCTTCAATCCACGAGAGCCGGTAGCTGCGGGAGCTTCATCCTTGTTTTTTTGGGTGGTCGATCATGGTTCCACTTTTGCACAATAACAGTTCGCTGGGGATGGATATACAGGTCGATTACCAATCGATGACGTGAAGGTCTGGAATTGGCTTCTTATTCATTCAATATGGCCTCTAAGCAGGGCTTTAGGGTGCAATTGTATGTCGGACAATCTGGTGCGGTGCTTAATAGATGTTGGGGTATTTGTAGTCAGAACACAGTGACGTCACTTGATATCAAGGTGTAATCCATCGCCAAATTGATGTTTCAATAAGACGAGAGATAGTATAGGAAAACATATGTATGAATATTGAAAAAATGCTAAATACATCTATGTGCACATCTATCTATGGCTATGGCTAATTCCTGAGGAAGAACTGCAGGAGAAAATAAGAGAGTCAAGGCTAAAAAGCTACATATTATCCTCACTCCAATGACTCCTCGTCTTCTTCCAAGCATCCCTATCCTCCTGGTTCTCCTTGGCGTTTGCCCCAAGCCCCAGACCCCTCTCAACCCACTCCTTGCTCCCCATTTCCGAAAGTCTAGAAAGAGCACGCGCAAACGCAAATCGCTCCTCGTCACCGCTGAAGATAGACGTGTTCTTCAACGCTTGCACAGACATGCCAAGATCGTCCATTAGGTTTCGCATGGCATCCGAGAGATCGGAGTGATCGCCGGCGTCTTTCAGTGTGCTTTTCACGTCTGATTCGGAGAGGAAGAGGTTCGCGAGTGGCACTGCAGTTGTGAGGACTAGTTTGGCCTGCTTATGTGTTAGCCATTCATTCATCACATAGCCTAGGTGTATAGGTGTGTTCTTACCCTGCTTTCGTAGACCGCATCGATAAACGTGATGAATCGTCGCGCTAGGTCGCGCTGCGTGTGGTTCATGCCTGGTACATCTGTTACGATGAATGAATCGTAATGCCGGACTAGCTCTAGGTAGTCCGCTGCACCGGTGGCTGTACCGATGAGTTCCTGAAAGGTGAAACGTGCGGCTTTACCGCTAGCCTGCGGGACCTTGATTGTGCGGCCCCACACAACCTGCGAGTCGGCATGGGGCGGGTCGTTGACAGGATCGCCGAGGAAATCGAACCACTTTTGCGCGTGGCGCGAGGCGTCTTCGCCGAGGGGGTGGTGGTAGACTGCTGCTGGAGGACGGGGGATTTTGCGGTAGTCTGTTGGGGAGTTGAGGTTGATGACGGAGAGGTCGGTTTTGAGAAGGTTGATGCATGGGATGAAGGATTCGCGCTGTATGCCATTTTTGTAGAGGTCGTCGGGGTGGCGGTTGGATGTTGTGACTAGGACGACGCCGTGAGACATGAGAATTTCGAGGAGTCTGGGTATTGTCAGTAAGGTAATCGGACTGAAGTGAATAGTAGATACACGCACCGTCTCAGGATCATTGCATCCGCCACATCTGTGCATTGGAACTCATCGAAGCAGAGCACGCCCGCAGTCTCGGCAATATCCGCCGCAACCATGGGCAGCGCATCGAAGTCATTTCCATACTTCATCTTTACGACGTGCATGCGCTTATGTACATCCTGCATAAAGTTATGGAAATGAATCCGCGTCTTGTCTTTAATATTCGGCGGCAGTGTATCAAAGAACAGGTCCATCAACATGGTCTTTCCACAACCAACATCACCATACATATACAATCCCTTGGGCAAGTTATCAGGAATCGCCGACTTGGCAGGCTTCTTTGCGCCAAAAAGCGAGCCAAAGAATCCAGACTTCGGCTGCGGATCTAGCAATTCAGGATCCGGGTGCACGACTTTCGGCGGGTTATAGTCTTTCAGTGCCTCGAAGAGGTCTTGCAGGCCTTGAATGATACCTATAACGGAAAGATGTCAGTTCACGTTCCCCTTACCAAACGAAGTGACTTACCTCGTTGGTACTCATCGTCTCGTAACCGTCCCTCTTCAACACGCACATCGTACTCCTTCATCGGCCCGTCTTCCGGCGCAGAGGGAACCTTGTCTTCCTCCGCGACGCTGGCGAGGCCCCGCGCTTTTGACACGAGTCGGTGCGACATGCGCTCGTAAACACATGTTGACGGAGATCTGTGCGGCCTCCGCGGTGTATTGAGAACCCTCCGCTCGGTGGTATAGGATCTTCGCGCACCCCGCAACGTCGCAGGACGGACACGTTGCGCGCGAAGTGCACTTGGGAAGCACTCTGTGCATAGCTTTGCCGATGGGCGGCTCATGTTCTCAGTCTTTTGTTTGTGTCCGCAGTGGAAGTCGAGTTGTCCGGAGGTCGTTTTGAGCGGTTGGGTGTTAACCGAGGTATTGTTGGTGGCTGTTGTTTTTCTTCCGGGAAGCGGCGACAAGTACGCAACGCAGGGCAGGTAAACCAACAGAGAGACCGGTGTATGTACAGACCGCCACGACCTTGTGACCGCAATGAATATACAGCTGAGAAACAGCCTCGTCCTCATCGAAAAAGGTCGGAACTCGGCCCGAGTCACGTGATTCGGAAATACTTCGGCAATCCCAACCTACGCAAGCATCTGAATTGTTAAGATGGTAATTATATTGATATTGAAAAGAGCTGTGAAGAAACATAACTCAAATAGCAGAGAAAAAAAGGCCTCCCCGGTATATGCACGAGAAGAAGAACGTATGTACACATCACAGAAGCAGGCAGACCGGGGTATGATCCTGAACAGGAACAGGATGAATATAGATCCAATGCGAAGCAGAACAAAAGGAAAACCAAGAAGGCGTAGATATCGGGAAACAAAAAGATGAAAGAAAAGAAAAATCAAAAAGAGAACATAGCAAAAGATCGGCAAAACGTCAAAGAAACCATGGCATACATCTCGCATCAGATTCGTAACATCGCGATATTCGTCCTTGTGGATAAATCGCTCAGGCTGATGACCTCGAAAAAAAAAACACGCATGCCAAAAACGCCAATGCACCCATACTCATTGCAACCATTAACCAAAACAAGTCTATCGCAACACTGGAAATCAACGCGAATGCTTTTATGCGATGTTGACGAAGAGCGTCAGCTTGACGTTTCGCTGCATGGCACTCTCTAGGTCCTGATCGGTATTGAGATCGATATAAGAGCCAGACGACTCATCACGGTACTGCACGACGATTTCTTCCTGGATCTTCAACCGGTCCGAAAGCTTGTCTTTAAGATGTTGCATGCTTACGCCGGATGGGATGCGGATGGCAATCAGGTCGTCTTGGAAGAATACCTTGACTTTCATCGCGCTATTGGCTGAAGCGCCGGAGGCTTGAGTGAGGGAACTGGCTTGGCGGTTCATGGGGGGCTTGGCTTGTTGGGATGGTGGTGCGCGCTGTTGCGATTGCGAAATACGGTCTGTGGACGCGTGGATCTGTTGCTGTGAGGATTGCCGAGACACGCTTTGCGTCGATTCGACACCACCAGACTGATGGGAAGCATCGGAGTATCGGGTATCCTCACCGAAGGCGGCGGGGTCGATTTCGAAGTCGCCTTCGCGGGGCGCGAAGAGTTCGCGCACAAGGCTGCAGCGGGAGATGTGTGGGGGCATCGAAAGGAGCTTCTTGATATATTCGTCGAGGTTTTGTCGACGGCCGTTGGAGATCGCGTCGGTTACGTGGGTAACGGGGCCGGGCATGAATGGGAGTGTGCGTGCGCGGCCACGGTTGCCCGCTTCGTCTTCGAATTGGGTCAGAAGGGCGATTTGGAAATCGTAGAAATCGTGGTAGTAACGCGATAATTCCCAGCAGCGACCGTCTTCCATCTTCGCCTCGATAATGTACCAGTATTTGTCGTTGTCGAAACAGTAGCGCGGAATATAGGCCGAGATGGGAATGAGAAGGGGGTAGCCCTGTTGAGCGGGTGCTTGCGACAGAGTTCCTCGGCTGGCATTGCGTTGGTGGTCCTATTCAAGCGCATCGCATTAGCAAAGGAATCACGAACGGAGACAAAAGGTGCAAGTCCAGAAATATCACATATCACATACATAACCGTTGCCATTCTGACTCGACTGAGACTGGTGGCCTGGGTGGCTCATGGACATTTTGTCCATGCCGGAGTTGACAGCCATCATTTGGCCACCACCGTGGCCCTCGATCTTGCCGAGTGTGATACTGCTGTTCTTGTACTCGGCGGTCATCTTCTTCCACTCCTCCACTTTGGGAACACCGGCGCGTCGCACCGCGTCCAACGGATCAGTCACAGCCTGATTGCTCTGCATATCGCGCAACTCAATAAAAGAGACGGGAATCAAACCAGGACCGCCGAGACGACCGATAGGTTTCGCGACAAACCACTCCGGGTTGGACTGAGCAATGACGATAATCGCCTCACCAGCCTTGGCGTCCAATTCATCGGGTCGCTCAGCCTGAAAATCGTATTGCACAACACCATAAACCATGGCGCCCTGGCCTTTTAGAGCAGACATTCTGAATGCGCCGTTCTTGGGGAGGTGGGTAGAGTCAGGAAGACGGTCGGAGAATCCAGAGTCGTTGGACAAATCGCCGGAACCCCCACTATCCCTCTCGTTTTTGCCGATAACCTCAAAAAAGGAGACGGGCACGAGCCCCCTCGCACTAGGGATCAGCGGATTGCACGCTTCGTACCAATCTAAGTCGTCCTCCCTGCTGATAACGTGAAAGAAATCTCCCTTGCTGAATGCCAATTCCTGGGTGGTCCCTTCGGGGGTATAGTCGTAAAGGGCTTTGATTACCTAGAAAGCAACGAAATGCGGTCAGTCACTTGTGCCAAGAATTGGAAATTCGAAGTGGGACAGAGAGGGGTTTATGAAGGAATAACTGGAGGACGACTCACTTTTTTCGGGGGCAAGATGGCAATGGCGGACTTGGGTGTAATGGAGATATGGTGATGTTTCTCTTTCTCCCCCTTCAAGGATCGCCTAATAGCCTTTGAAACCGGATTAATTTTTTTAGGCCAAATAAATAAATGATAATACTCGAGGGAACTTACCTTCATGTTGACGAGGAGTTGCAAAAAGAAAAAGGTTAGGGAGTTCACCTTCCCTCTCTCTCTCTCTCTAATAATGTTCTGAACCAATGATCCCCAGGTAACTAATAATAATATGTATTGCGGTTCCAACCATGCCCCTGGTGATGGCCCGCTTTTTCCTTCTTTCTTTGATCTTTGGGGGGTTTGGATTTTTATTATCTTTTATTCCAGGTACATTATTGTATGAATTTATTTCCTTGGTACTCCGTACATGTATACCTGTATGTATAATATGGATCTGCATCGTTAGATTTGATCTGTGTTATATTATTCAATTCTATTCTACTCTGTATCAGCGTCGTCAATATTCTTATTTTCAGTATTGTCGTATCATTACAGATGACGACAGCTTAGGGTCTAAACTTAGAACGCTACTCCGTATGTATCTACATATGTTCTTCCACCTACAACGTATATAACCTCTACATATAGGTACCTATACTTGGCAAACAACACAAAGAGCACAAAGAATATGTTCAATATATCACATACATTGATATTAATCTATATAAATACTACATACATTACATGGGTGAAAGTAAGGTACATATCACTGTGTATTGGGCACTAGCGGCTATACATGTAGGTACAATCACACCCTAACTTAGTGCTCTCTACCAAATGTGACTCTGTACCCCTCGAAATATTTGAACTAAGGCATGGGGCAGTTAAGGTACAGCAGTACTCAATATATGGTTGACTCACCAAAACAGTACTCAACACACAAAAAAAAGGTGTTTGCCCCATGGTCCAGCCAAGCCTCAACCACGGCGCTGACGTTGTTTTCCCCCAATCTGCTAGGATCGGCACTTGCTCTTTTTTTTTCTTTTTTTTCCTTCTTCTTTTTTGGATTCCTTTATGCCAAATTAATTAAAGATGTCCATTTAGGGCTAATAGTAACATTATACATAACATATGAAAGATATATAGTTAACTAAATGCTATCTGAGAATAAAATGTATCAAAGAATGGATGGAAAACAAAGGCCTAGAATATGGTTTAATTATCATCGCTAAATTAAAATTCCGGGGCTGACTGAATGCGCGGTTCCTGCAATTTACCGAGGTTTTATCCCCCTTCATTCTTTTTGTCAAGTATCGTCCTAATTATTGGTATACATATATATATGTAGGTAACGAGATAAGATAGCATCGCAAATGTCTTGTCGATCATCGGCTATAATCAAGAATATCAAAGCCGTTGAAAAACTACCCACCATGGTTGAAATTCCTTCGAGAACAATTCTTCGCTTGGCGGGTCCCCGCACTCCCCAATGAGAAACTTGCCTCGTGATCCACGCGCAATCTTCGGACATCATCCTCACATGGCCATCTTAGTGGTACGATCCAGTTTGAACTTCATATTGGTTCGCACATGTCCATGGAGAGGGAAGCTGGAAAGAAATAATTCAAGCCTCCATACTGGAGTGGCGTTCAATGTGGCGGGATCTATCTAGAGAAATTACCATGTATGAGAGTATTGGTTAAACATATGCAATTGATGGATGGATCTGATCGTATCTACTCGAAATGACACCTCTAGACCCATGCAGAGATGTGATACCCTCTGATCTGTGAAATGGAACTCCAGAACGAGACGCCGGTGAGTATTAGTATCGTGTGTCCAGTGGCAGTAATCCTAGAGACCGGGGGCCCAAGGAAACGAGAAGAAAGATAAGAAGAATGCAGAGGAAATGGAGGCCTCAATGTAAAGGCTTAGATAATCATGCGCCCGTGAACGCCTGCCGCTTTGGAGAACACGCCAAAAAAAGGGAAGAAAATGACCAGAGAAGTTCGATGATTTACGAGCATCCGTGGGACTGGATGGACGGTGAAAACGTGTTAGATCTGGCCCTTGATATCGACAACACGATGGGCATCTGCTTTGGCCTGTTCGAACAGCGAGCCTGCCTTGCCTGTCAACAGCCGTACAGCTCCGTTCTTCTCTTCTAACAACTCCGCGGAGGAGTTGTCAAGGACGAAACGGGCAGTCTGTTCATCAGACTCGAACCCTAATTCTTCTGTAATGAACCGAATGTTGACATCTGGTTTGTATCTGCGAATAAGATGTTAGCTACAAGATTCAAATAAGCAGAAAGATCAGAGGGAGACTCACGCTCTAGACATAGCCGCCAGAGCACTCAGCCGCTCACGATCCACAAACATATCCATGAGATAGGCTCCCATGTTAGGGGTATCAAGGTAAAGCTGGAAAAAACGATGGTAGTTCCCGAGCGCAAGAGCAGAGCGGACATTCAGGGCATGCTTCACGGCCAGGTCTTTCTTATCTTCCGCGGTCACGTCCGCTAGCGCGTCGTTCATCGCCGTCCAATTCCGAGTGTAAATGAAATAGAGAATACGATAGGCCTTGAATTCCGTCGGGTGTCCTCCCAGCTGCTGCGAATATAACACCCGTAGCTGGGTTTGGCACTGGTTGTACTCACCAAGATCCCCTTTCTCCAAGGCGATGCGTGCATGGATTTCATAAACGGTGACCGTGAAGTCAGTTCGTATGTGCTGGACTGTCAAGTCCTGACGCAGAGATTTGAATTGGTCGCAGATATAACCGTAGTTGCCATCATTTTTCCATTTTCTTTTCAACAGTTCCAGGGCCTTCTGCAGGACAGGCAGAGGACGAACGGTGTCTGGGTTGGGGGCGGATGTCAAGCGGAAGTAGTTCTTCTCCAGGGTTTGGCATCGCCCGACCACGGGACCTTGGTCTGCCGCAGGACTGCGTGCCGGGGACCCGACAGGCGATGAGGGAGAGTTTCCGTTGCCCAGATCGAAACGCTTCCGCCTCATTTCCAAATTAGCTTTGGACTTACTTGACTGGTCCACTGCTATGCGGGGTTTCTTTTTCTCTGTGGTTGGGTGAGTAACTCGATCTTCAAAACGACTGGGGTTAGCTGATCTCCACGGGGGCGATCCGGTTTCCGACTGGTGGGCATCGGTGGACTTTCTCTTCCGAGTAGCGTTTCCGGGAGAGGATGGGTGAGCGGATGCCCAGTTGGAGGAAGCCGGGTTGGTCAGGATCTTATTGCGCTCATTTTGGACCATAACCTGTGGCAAAGGTAGTCTCTCCCAGTCGATCATTCCCAGCGTGTCATTCTTCGCTGCATCGGTAATCACGTGTTTCAACTTCTCTTGCATTTCGGGAATGCTCACGCTGGCAATTTGATTCTCAGGGGCGAAGCAACGTTGCACGTATGATCGGACGGGAGGCGGGAACTGCACACGCGTTCGGGATTCGTCCTCAGGAGATTCTTGTTTGGCCGGTTGAGAGATAGATCCGTTTGCGGGTTTGGGTGTACTAGATGCGAGGCTACGACGGGCTTGAACTGGAATGTAGGCAGGGGTCGCTGTTCGGTTGTAAGCGTGCTGACTCGACACTTGGATCATGTGGTACGGCTCACCAGTTGGAGGAAACGCAGACGTTCGAGCCATCGGGGCTGAAGCAGTCGAGCGCCAAGGTGGAACACTGGAATTCATGCCGCAAATATCTGGAGATACAGATGGAAAATTTGGGCAAAACAAAGAAGACACAAAGATGAAAGAAATATGGAAGCTACGAAGGGGGCAAGAGTCGAGGCACGGTCGGAAGGATGAATGTTTGATCCTACGCCGCAGTTGAGACTGGTTTTGACTTGAAGAGAAAGGGAGATGAGTATTTATTTGCAAGGATGAGATGGATGGAGAGTCAAATGTGCTTTGAAGTGTGTAGTCCACAAAGGACGGTGAAGATGGCTCGCTTACCTCACCGGATCTTTGTTTGTCCGATATTCTCTTATCGGCTTATCGCAATCACCCTAGACTTGGCGAACTCATGCTCTCTTTACTTCATGGATCTCCTTGATACTGGGAGCTGGTTGAATCCCCATGTTCTTCAAGTCACTGGACCTGACTACTGCGCTCAGACCCTTGTTATTGCCCGATGAAACCGTCCTCTTTGTCCAAGATGCAGTAGGGCTGTATAAAGGGTAAGCAGCTCCCGATGACGGTGACGATGATGCGGGGTGCTAATTGCCAATGGTTAGGAAATACAAAATCCAGAATTACCAGAATGGCCATGCCTATCTCACATCTCATAGAGTATGTTACGTCGCGGTCGACGACCCGCGCAAATACTCTGTGGCTATTGATCTGAAAGAACTGGATCGCGTAGAGTCTCAGGTATGACATGCATATACAATTGAGAGCCTCTCTTGAAGCCTTATTTGGAAGTTTTCTTTCACTCGCTGACAAGCTCTTTGACAGGCTGGCTTCCTGAAATCCTCCCCAAAACTAACGATATATCCCAAACCACAAAAGAAAACCGACAAGTCGAGGAGTGCAACGTCTAGCCCCGCTGTCTCCCAGCAATCGACGCTCCATCCGACGCAGTCATTGTCTCACCTTCCACAAACGAATCACTCCCAGGGATCGGCACCTTTTAAACCAATAAATGCGACTTGGGTTTGTCCCATATGCACATTCTCCAACCCAGTGCCTTCCAACTTTGATCCCGCGACAGCTAGTGCAGCTACACATTTGCCTCCTTGCCTAGCATGTGGGATAAAGCCACCATTTACGACGGTACTGAAAGCAGCAATCAGTGCTGCAACGACCCGAGATTCTCCCCTGCCTAGCATGGTCTCATCCCCAGCCATCCCACAGAATACCCCACAACCTAACAACAGTGGGTCTGTTGGCCCCGGAGGATCTGTTTCCTGCCCCCGTTGTACATTTGTGAACCACCCATCTCTCTCTGAATGCGAGATTTGCGGAGCGCCTCTATCTGCTGGCCCTTCAGGCAACGCCAACCGTGTAGACTCCCCTGCGCCATTATTCGAACAATCTCATATCGCAAACACGGAAGTCAGTGATAGTATCAAGCTTTCTTTCCGGGAAGGTGGTGATAAGACTTTCTATGAGAGGCTTAGAGGAGCCTTGGTTCAGAGAAAATGGCTCTTGCAAGATGCGCCTCCTGTCCCTCCGCCATCTCAGGCCACATCCTCCCCGGGTTTACCTCCTTCTGCCAATGGCGTTGAAAGTCCCCAAATTTCAGCTCCTCGACCTGCAGGCGTTGGCATCGCTGGATTAGAGCGGCGGGGACTAGAAGCGCGGAAGAAGAATGAGCTAGTCATAGGTAACGCCTTTGAAGATCTGGAGGCCTTGATGGCCTCTGCTAAGCAAATCGTTGCTCTAGCCGAGACCTTAGCTCGAGAATCCGGCATGACTACAAACGACGGCTCAGCCGAGACTAGCGCGGTACTTTCCGAGTCTGCAGCAGCATTAGGAATGGTCACCACCAAAGACATGCTCAGTTCAGGATCAGAGAATCTTTACCTGTCAGAGCTTTCGCGTGACCTGGCGGAATACCTCACAGATGACCGGAAAGGTATTCTACAACGAGAAGGCGGTATCATGAGTCTTATAGACCTCTGGGCGGTCTTCAACCGCTCGCGCAACGGGGTAGAACTCGCCAGCCCTGCCGATTTCCAAAAAGCAGCCGAGCTATGGGAAAAGCTCAAATTACCCGTTCGTCTTCGGCGGTTCAAAAGTGGTCTTCTTGTCGTCCAGCGATTCGACTGGAGTGACGAGAAGACGATCGGAAAACTGCAGGACTGGATGGAGGAACTCCGACGCTTTCCTCCTGATGATCCTGTTCCTTGGGATTGGACTCTCTTCGGGCGGGCTGTTACAGCACAAGAGGCTGCGCATCGCTTCAAGTGGAGCGTCGGGGTGGCTGCTGAAGAGCTGGAGATGGCTGAAGATCGGGGCATTCTCTGTCGCGAAGAAGGGATCGAGGGTCTTAGATTCTGGAACAATCATATATCATCGGAGCTTGATGATTTCTCTCGTCTTCTTATTTGAGGCGTGTCTATATGCATTTTCTCATAGAACCCATGGATACAAGGGCTGTGAAAACAGCCCGCATACTAAGAATCAAATTCTACAATTGCTCGAGGTAGCAGGTGTTATTTCCACTCTATTCTTCGTCGTTCTCGCTAAATATGCTAACCCTAAGCCTGCACCAAATGAAGTCTTGAGTGCACCAACCCACCTTTGGAGGATTCTTGCCAGATAGATATGTCTATATTGTAAACCACGGGCCTGAGATGGCCCAAACTACAATTAGCAAATCCCCATTATTGTTACGCAGGCCGATCAGTCATCCCCAAATTGTGGTCTACTCTCGATGACGACGATCCGACTCAAACACAGTAAACCCGTCGACTCCACGCCCATATTGTCCGCCAGTGCGGAAGAACTCGGTCACCACTCCGATGGCATAACAAGTTGCTGCAGTAGCCGCTCCGGCAAAGAGCATTCTGCGAATTGCAGCGAGGAAGAAAGATCGAGACTCTGCCATTGGTTTGGGGTCGAGGATAGATGATCCAGTTCCTGAATTTGACTAGGTCGGTGTGTTAGTAAATCACTCAGATATACGGTTTACTGTCCACTCACCTCTGCAGTGGATTGTCCCGAGGATCCGCGAGGTGGGGGAGTGAAGTCCTTTGAGTCTTGAGCATGTTTTGCAATTTCTGCATGGACTGCTGGGTCTTGCTCTCCAGTTTTTTGGGTAGAATGAAGGGCGCTGTGAATCTTTCGGAAAACAATAATGTTACCTCCGCCGGCTACTATTTCATAGCCGTCTTTTTGCATCTTCTCAAAGTACGGGAGGAACTTCGCGGGATTTTGGAGTCGTGACAGAATCTCACTTGGGCGGGTTTCTTCGTCGATGTCGAAGAATGAGTCTGATTTTGCGGTCATAACTTTTGATGTTGAGGAGTCGAATGCGAAAATATGAAATTCTGGGAAAGCCTGCTGGGATGCTGATAATTGAGGACTATCTTCGGTGGCGGGCGTTTGGTTTTGGATGATGAAGTCACCAATTTGGCCTTCCAAAGCATCAAAATTCGAAGGGCGATCATGTTCCTTCGACTTTGAAGCGAATTGAGTATTGGTATCATTAGCACCTAAGGCATCAAGATCGTTGTTCGCATCGAAGCCACTGGCACTTGCGGAATCAGCAATGAGCATTGCGTCTAGTTCACTGCCAGGTGAATAGTCAACGTTGATACTGGCTGACTTTGCGGTGTCCAGGCTTGGGGTCATTGCCTCTTGGAACGGTCCATCTTCAGCTGAAGTTGGGTCAACAGTGAGCTTGGCGTCAAGTTCACTTCCAGGAGGACAATCGACAAACGGGTTGACTTCTGACTGGCGATTTTGTTTGCTAATCGACTCAGACAATATATGTGCTTCTATTTCGCTGCCCGGGGAACAGTCAACGCTTTCCCGTGGGATTAGTTGCTCTGATTCGGTGTTTGTCTGAACGTGATCATCAGATTCAATGTTCCGACTAACGAGCTCAGCAGTGAGATTGGCTTTCAAATCATTACCCAGTGGGCAATCTACATTATTTCTGGACGACGCATCCGGGTGTTTAGTGCTTACTTCGGACAACAAACTTTTGCCGGGTCGATTGGCCGGATCAGAGAGGAACTTGGCTTCGAGTTCACTTCCAGAGGGACACTCCACATCTACACCAGAGGTGAGACCCGCATCCGAGTTTGGTTTCTTGTCTGTGCTGTTGGGCTCAGTTCTTGCTGTTTCAGCTTGTTTCGAGCGTGCAGATTCAGCAATGAACAACGATTCCAGTTCGTGTCCAGGCGACCAATCAATATTGACATTTGCTTTCTTTGTTGTCTCCTCGGGAACTTGTACTCTGGCCTGCGCACTTTGTGTCGTAGGGCTGGATGTAAAAAGTGCTTCCAACTCGTTACCTGGAGTGCATTCAGCCGTCGATTGTGAGCCGAGCAGACTCTCGGTATTCAACTGAGAATTATCCTGTTTTCCACCTCCAACCAAGCTTGGATTAGCTGTGAACTTTTTCTCCCCTTCGTTTCCTGTACGGGACTCAAGGTTTGTTTCACTATTGAAAGTCTGAGATGTTGTGCGCGCCATGGGTGCCATGGGTGCCATGGGTGCCATACGACCACTGATAGGGTCATACTGGAGTCCAATATGATTGTCGTCGCTCCTTGTCTGCCATTGAGCTGCACCCGTTGAACTGGTTTTGATTGGCCTTTCTGTGCTTGAGGACGACTGAAGGAAGTCATTCCATGATGTATCGCATCTCTCGGACTTGCGGAAGGAATCCAATCTACGCCCGAAGAGGGCACGGTAAGGGTCGGCCTCAATGTACTGTTTCAAAAGCTCCATGCGCTTGTAAGAGTCTAAATTCCAATATTTATTCCCCTGGCCAGTTGAGGTATCAGAGAGACCCGAACGGCACTGCAAAAAACCCCAGCTCCAGCTTGAGTGCCTCTGGCTTGGAGTGGCAGGCCCATCCTGGCGTCCTTCTTTCTTTCGCTGATTGGATAGAGGATGCCGTTGATATTTGTAGATGTCTTGTAAGATACGTTCGCTGTTCTCGCCCTGACTGCGACTATGGGATCTGTGGATGGCTACCAGTCGGGAGAATGCGGGGGTGGTGGCTCTGCACTCTGGCGTTCTGATAGACCTTGCAGCCCAGGCACCCATGATGGGTCGAATCTGATGTTCCCTCCCGACAATCAATCTGAGACGGTATTGAGGGTCTGATCATATGGCAGTGGCTCCCGTTGCCGATCGGGTCCACTTACGGGTACAGTGACGGGTGCTGGTATTATGGGCCGGGTGTGTGTGCTACCGATGCCGTTGAAAAAAATAACAACGATTAGCCTTCATAGAGCAACAAGTTTGATGCAGATCTCAATAATTTCACCTTTGTAGAACAAGCAAAAGAACATTGAAGTTAAAACAAGGACGAGAGAAAGGCGTGAGAAACTGGAGGACTGCGTTTGGTCAACCAATCAGACAACGTAACCCGACTTCACCCCGCCAAGCTGTGTCAGCAAACTCGACGTCATAATTAATACTCACATACATCTTTATGGATGTACTAACTCACTTTTGATGAGGCTCATGTATGTAGAGTAATGATAAAATCATTCAATACAAATGGGAGGCCCAATCATGGTAAGTAGGCTGCCAGTATGGAACGATATATCGTCCGTGCAATCCTCTGGATGAACTGAGCCTCAGCATTTATAGTCAGTGAAGTGTCAGATCTGATTTTGTTTTATCATTTAGTTGATTTCTTCTATCTAACCCTCCACGAGTGATGAGTAATTGTTGCTTGGTGTGTTTTGCCCGTGGATATCATTTCCATGTGTCAGATTATTGCTGGCAGTTGATGTACATATAGTTATATATATCCTCCATAGGTTCCGGGTCTATATTGCGCCAGAATATCATTTATTTGGGTTTTAATAAAAGATTCAAAAGCTTTTAATTGTTGACAAACTGTCCATTGAATTGAACTTCATGATTCATATCAAACGTATCCCCTCATCGCAGACCGCAGGCCGCAGCGTGAGTGACAGTGGGGTAGCGCGAAGGGCTTTATCGATTAGAAATCCCCCGCAGATTCCCTTCAATTTTAAGAACATTCGATTTCACCCAATTCATCTCTTCCCCATTTAGCTTTAAAATGTCCAAAGCAGCACGATTCGCCGTCCGCACAGATCGTGCACCCCTTCCACCCCCATTCCTCTCTCAAGGCCTGGTCGTCGGGGATGTGGTCCACTGCTCCGGCCAGGTAGGAGCCGACCCAGCCACGGGCAAACTGGTGGAGGGGAGCATCCAGAACCGAACAGTATGAACACACTTGATTTGCCTGCAAAATACATTCTAACACAATCAGCGACAAATCCTCCGCAACCTGAACGCCGTCCTTGAGGCGGGCGGCTCAAGTCTCCATGACGCTATCAAAGTCAACATCTTCCTTACAGACATGGCTGATTTCTCCGCCGTAAACGAAGTTTATGTTACTTTCTTCTCGGATCCCAAGCCGGTAAGTAAACTATGGACTTTGAATTGATGGAGAATTCCATTGGTCTAGACTTCCTCTATACCCCTGCGTATTTTGTACAACGTGTAAAAAATGCAAAAGTGGGCCATGCTCATCATCCTTAGGTGCGTACCTGTGTTTGCGTCAAATCCCTCCCATTAGGAACGGATGTTGAAATCGAATGTTCTGGTCTGGTTACGAAGAGTGGCACTGGGCGCAGCTCTAGACTTTGAAGGGTCTGCAGAGTGACGGTGACGTGGAGAATAATGGATAGGGCAGAACACTCCACCCAAGTCGTTTCATGGCCATATCGAACGGCTCCTCGCGTCACTGCTCAACTGACATGGGCTAGAATGTCAAGTGTCTCCACCGAAAGAAATGCGCGAGAAAACGGGTCACATGATTTTTGTATATCTTACATCACATTTGGAAATATTACAGATTCGATCGGCATAAAATACCTATAGACTGTGTATGTGGCGTTTGATTAATTACAGGCTGAAACCAAGGATAAAGGTGGAGAACGGAGCTATAGTGTTCAGGAACAGGGTTAGCGCCTGGACTGGTCCTTGGTACAGTTAAATGACAACGCCCCTATTTATGGAAGTATAAAACTAATGAGCTATTAAGTCACAAGTCATAGATGTGGTAGTGAAGAGCCACAATATATCTCTAAGCGCCTGGAGATATCCGACTTTTACCAAAGACAATTGTGGCTGAGCTAGTGGGTTATAATTATTCATCATGACTCTCTCGCATATTCGGCGCTCGTTTCTTTGTTCCTGCGTCTTCCAAGGATTCTCGAATCCGGGATGCCATGCAGCATGCAGCCATAAACTTCCTTTACAAAGTCAAAAAGACCGTACCTACATGGATCAAATGAAATGAATTTGAAAACACAACATTGTATGGATACGAGGCTGCTTCTCTGGTATTCACATTGCTCGGCATGAGATCACCCAATCTCAAACATGTGAAGAATGCTGTTACAAAAGTGACGACAAGAATGAGGGGTCTTTGCAGTTCTCCTCCATTCCGATCGACGGCACGTGGTGTATTGATCATTCTGTCATTGCCTGAGAATTCAAGGTCAACTTCAAATTGATGGGTTGAAGGTGTCCGTCTTGTCATTTTTCTCTGGATGCAGCCTAAATCTCAAGAGTATGAAACATTTTTGATATCTGCCGGGACCAAATTTGAGTCAAGATTCATCCCCTGCATGATAATAAACTTAACTATTGATAAATAGCAACCATGTTGTACTTGCAAGGCAGTTTTCTGCGACAATCATACCAAAAAAAACCAAAGCAAAAAAAGATCAAAACACTAGCGGCAACCACGGGGCCAACCTTTACCGAAGAGGAGTACGGAGTAAGGTTCTAAAGAGCGGCTAGTCAACGTCCATGTTGATTCGTGATTTGATCTCTTTGTTGATCTCATGCCGGAAATGGCCAAGTGGACAAAACTAGCCGGGGGATTAAAGCCACTAACGATGGAAGTGGTAACGTGAGCCGGGTACCTGAAAGGTCTGTGTATTGTGTACTCTGGTGGTAAGGGGCTTTAGTGCAGTATTGGGGCCACGCACTTTGAGAACTAAACACACAGGACCGCGCGTGTGGAAAGGGCCCACTTAGTTGACGCCGTCGGCCTGGGCCTTGCAACGGACTGAACTTTGCTGGGGTTTTGTTTAGGCTTTTCTTGCCTTTTCTTGCATTTTTGTTCGCCATTGAGATTAGGATGAGCGGCCTGTGGCGAGCTTTGAATCCGTTATTTTGGATTATCGAGTCGTCCTCCGGGGCTAGTGATCGCTTACAATATTGTAGATGAGTTTCTTCTAGACCCTGATTCGGACATTCCATGGATTTTGTCTTCCTTCAATGGGATAGTTATGGATTATGAATAAAATTGTTCTTTGATAGAGTACGTCGGATTTGATAAACGGTTCAATTGACTTTATATCTGGTTTGTTGATTTACTTGCAGAATTTGCTTATAATCCTTTTCAGTCTCGATCTCAATTTGAATGGATTTACAATCTCATCTTTCTTTTTTCGTGATTGTCGATCCACGGTATTCTCAATGGGTCAGGATTTGCTATCATCGTTCCACAGACGAACTGCCTGACGGTGGCATTGAAAATATGCCCCGAATACATATACAACGGTTGCGATATTGTACAGTGATATGGGTGTGGTTGTAGGTACCAACATCTTATACTTATAGTGAAGAGATCGTGGACCTATAGAAAACGGGTTGATCCTTTCCCTGAGCATTAATCTTTTCTGCATTGACCTGTCATGCTTTAGTTGCCTTGATCTTGGCAACGTAGGATATCAATAGCTCATCGGAGAGCACGTTCGATAGTAGCTTAGCTTTTGAATTAGTGCTATTGACAGATGAAGGTTCCATTGTTTGCAAGCATACAGAGTATGTACAGAATAGAGACATATACTGTCAACGGCACAGGTACAGATACATCGTAAAATGTCGTTACTGACAAAAATCATCGTAGGTAATGATCATAATTAAATGAGGTGCGTGTACATAACCCAATAGCCCCAACAATTGTCATAAATTACCATAATTTACGGTAAATTACCAATGTTGACGCTCTGCCACAACGTGTCCCGCCCCCCATTCCCCCTAATTACAGAGATCCTCTTCTCTCATCCTCGACTTCATTCATTCATTATTCACTCCTTTCTTTCTTCTCCTTGTCAGCTTTGCTGTATTCGTTGACTAAGGGTGTTCTCGACCTGGGACCTAATTCCCCTTGCATCGGTCGCATCAATTTTCTTTGAAACTCGGTTGCCCTGACGGTCTACAAGTCGTCGTTCACTCCTTACAGCTTATTCAAGCACACACTCGCTTTTCGCCTTTTTGGGGTCGTTTCAGATTCATCACCCCTTTCCGTTCGTTTACACTTGATCGCGCCTATCTTTTGGTCTTTTGGTCTGTCTCATCGGTTGCCATCGAGACCTTGGATATCTTCAACTATCGAAACCCTGCCGCAATTGCGAATATATCACGACCCGTCCGAAGTCTGGTTGTGTTGGGAACATACCTCTTGTCACACCTGATATTTTTATGAGGTGTTAACAGACGGTATCCTATCCCATCTTGTACGCTGACCTTGGACACGCTCTGAGTTATCACGTACAGAATTGTTCAACATGCGTCCCGACGCCATCTCTGTTCTCGCGGCCTTCCTCGCGGTAGGCGGCTTGGACCTTGTGGCTGCCCAGGAAGCCCCCGAAGCCCATGTGGACCGACCGCGCTTTTACTTCCCCAAGGAAGTCAAGCGGACCATTCGCAACAGTGCCCGGAGCGCTGATACCAACACAGGTTTCTTCGATGGTATTTTTGACAACTTCCTTTCCCAAGGATCTTTAACTCAGCCCGAGGTTACTCCCACCCCCTCGACCACCCCTTCACCAGTCGCCGAGAGCCAGAAGGGCCAAGAAGTTGTTGTTGTGACGATCTCCGTCGACCCTAAGAATCCAGAGATCACTCACCGTATCACCGGCACTACGACTATTGGTGGTGAGCCGACTGCTACCACCACCTCAACCACCAAGCAGACCGAAGCTGCGAGCACGGACAACACCCAGAAGAGCTCCGACGCTGCTTCCGCCAATGCAGACACCACTAGCAAGCAGGCAGCGGCCGTCGACTCATCAACAAAGGCCTCATCTACAGCTGCTTCAACCTCCAGCGACAATTTGCTTGGTGACGTTGGTTCAGGTGTTGCTAATCTCCTCGGTGGAGACTCTACAACATCGACTCCCGCAGCTGCCTCAACTGCTTCGACTGTGACCCCTGCTGTCGATTCATCGGTTCGGGCTGCGACTACGGCTGCTTCCACCGCCAGCTCCAGCTCTAGTGGCAATCTGCTCGGCGACATTGGCTCGGGTGTTGCCGGTCTGCTCGGTGGAGACTCTACTACTTCGACTGCTGCGGTTGCCTCGGCCACCTCGACTGCGACTCCCACCGTCGACTCATCAGTCCAGGCTTCGACTACCCCGGCTTCATCTGCTACCCAATCTTCAAGTGGTAATGTTTTGAGTGACCTTGGCTCGGATGTGGGTGACCTTCTCGGTGTGAACTCTAAGACTTCCAGCACCGCCTCAAGCGCATCGACCGTAGACTCTTCGGCTAAGGCATCCACTACCCCTGCTTCTACCACCGCAGCTTCCAGCGACAACATCTTTGGAGACATCGGCTCAGGCGTTGGTAACCTCCTAGGTGGCTCGACTACCACGACCACCTCTGGCTCTGCGACTCCCACCGGATCTGGCGTGAAGAGTCCTGACTCTAGCAAGGCCAGCGTAAGCTCGACTAGCTCTGGGTCTGATCTCCTTGACCTTTTGGGTCTGGGTGGTGACAACTCTTCCACTGCCAACAGCACCAGCGCTACCGCGTTTGACACCTCCAGCCTGCCTACTATCCCCGTGAGCGTTCCTGCTTCTGCCACTAACTCAGTCTTGGTGACACCCACTCCAACTTCGGGTGATTTGCTCGGTGGGCTTACCTCCGGCGTGGATTCTCTCCTTGGTCTTACGGGCACTGGAAGCACCGCATTGATCCCTACTGCCTCAATCCCTACTGGTAACCCCAAGTCAACTGGCCTTATTCCCACACTTCCCACAATGGGACTTGGAGGTAGCAGCACTGCACTGATCCCAACTCCCACCAACTCCATTGGAACAATCCCCGTGCCTCACTCGCCTGGTTCTGATTCAGCCTCTACCTCTGCCTCCGGCTCCGGCTCCGGCACTACTTCAGTCCCCATCTTGGGCACAACCGCTGGTTCTCAAGAGACCCCTAAGGTTCCCACGCCAACCTCCCACCCCGCTTCCACTCCCGTCCCTGTGGCGACTAGCGAAGCGAGCACGAGCAAGACCACCGTGGAACCCCAGACTACCCACACCGAGACGCCCACCCCTGTTCCTTCCACTTCCACTTCCAACGACAATGACTGGATGCCCTCGACCATTCTCATCGTGCCTACTGTTTCCACCACTGAGAGCGCCACCTCCGGTGAGACAGCGAAGCCCAAGGCAACCTCGCTCCCTGGCTCTATTACTCCATCGAACGAAGTGAACGAGGCCCCATCTGACTCTATCCTGCTTCAACTTGGTTTCAACGGCCAGCTGCCATGGTCCTTCGTCGCAACCACCCCTCTGTCCTCATCGCAGATCTTCAACTACACCCCTCAGGCTATTGAGAACGCTCTGCCAACTCTCTCCGCCAAGGACAGCCCAGTTATGCTTGCACTTGAGCCCTACTACAACTGGCAGGCTACTGGCTACAACGCCACTATCGCGGTCTTCTATTTCCCTCGCGACAAGGTCGATGCTTTGAATGCGCTAAAGGTCAACCCTAACTCTGCTCTTTACAACCAGGCCAGTGAATCCATCAAGTCGCTGATGACCATGGTTGACCCTACAATCCCTCTCGAGTTCTCTGGCAACTACCCCACTGCGGGCACTGCCTCGACCGGCAATGGCAGTGACGGTGGTGACAATGGTAACAACGATGGTGGTAAAAACACCAACAGCGATGGCTCTGCCAGCAGCTCCAAGGCCAAGGCCAGCTCCATCGGTATTGGAGTCGGTGTCGTTGCTGGTGCTGCCGCTTACGGTGCTGGTATGTTCTGGGTTGCCCGTCGTTACCGCAAGAGAAAGCAGCTGCACCAACGCTCTAGCTCCACCGTTGAGCAGATGAGCCAAGGTGGTTCCGTTGCCGGTTCTATGATGGCTGCCGGCGGCCGTGCCCCCAGCCATGGCAGCCGCGGTACCGCTCGCTCCCAGATGATCAGTGCTCCCGTCATGGCAGAGAACTCTTTGGGTTGGAATTAAATGCGCTTTTGACTGTGCGAACGTATAAACGGCTTATTCCATCAAAACTCCTTTTGGACTTTACGACGACAACTGAGGGCATCGGGCCTTCCGAGTCAACTATCTCCCAGATAACTGCTCTTTTCATGCGCTCATGCTCTCGCCATTCAACAGAGGCAGGGACAGAGGGACTGCACAAAATTTCCTTTTCATTGTCCATCATCCTACATGTCACATATCAGGTATCTCTTCTTTTTGTGCAATTTTTGATCGGCCACTTTTTTTTCTCAACATGATACTCCGAGCGATGTCCTCGCTGCGTGTGTCGCGTTGCACACTTTTTTTCCTTTCTTGAAATATTCCCCCTTTTGTTCACCAAAGACTTTTTTCTTATCCCTTTACTCCTTTCAATGGCACTGGGACAACCAAATTTGGGATGAAATCTTTTCTCTACTTTGGCTGGTGCCACTTTGAAATCTCTCTTATGATTTACTGGTCTTCTTTATGTCCTTTGGACTTGCACATTAATTTTTGGTTTTGGGTGGTTAGAACTCATATTTGCCCCGTGATGTGGTTTTGTTTTTCAGCCCTCATTCCCTCCCTCTCTCCTTATCTCTCTTGACATCTATCCCTGTCTCTCTGTGTTGTATTTGAATTTTTTTTTGCGTTTTTGTACAAATGTATGAAGTGTGTCCCAAGTCCTGTGTGGCCTTGAAGATGTGGAGAGTGTTTGTGAGCCTGTGAATGAGATGAGTAGATCTCCTTGCTATTTCTCTCCATCTTTTTATAGTACTGGACGTAGTGTATGTGGGCTTTTTTATTGTTGTAGTAGCCCTTGCTTGCATTGAAGTGTTCTGGGTCTACCTAACAACGTGGACGACAAACCTCATCGTCTACCAATGAAGTCTGCTCCAGTTGTTATTCTGTTAGACTAACAATGCTTAACAGTTGATTGATTGGAACAATCTATGCACACAAAGGCCACAGAACTACACCAATCAAGTCCAGCTAATATAAATAAATCAATCTCTTTGCTTATGATTTCAATATTACATAGACATGAATGTCACACTTTTGTGTTGAATCGCCAACAGTGCCAACTTATCCAGATCCGAATCAGAAAGCTCCTGTTTATCCTGCTTTTGTTTTTGGATCACCAGATTTTGCCCATAGCGATGCTCAAAGTCCACATCGGCGTCCCATTTGAAGAGAGGAGAGCTTTCACGGAAAAAGTATGGTTGGCCATTCTTCTCAACGAGGTCAAAGTTCTGCCGATGCGAGGATCTGTGTGCTGTGATAAATGTACCGTTTGTGAGCACTGCAATACTACAATGCCAAGGGCTCATGGAGAATGAATCCCGTTGTGGGACAAGAGGACAAGATAACTTTGTCAGTCCCGATGAAGGATGAATGGAGAGCCGTAGTGAATCAGGGTAGACTTGGCGTACCAGCTCTGCGTATTCCTGTATAACATTGAGGTCAGTGAGATAACAGTTTTATGCAGTGGAAGTTGAATTACTCACTACGCCTCGAATGATCATGGCTTTGGCAATCGATTTGATTTTCTTTTTGTATTGTTTCGGACCAGCGCAGCCCTTGGTCACAGGGCTGAATTTTAGGTCGACTTTCATGAACTTGTCGTATCCTGCATGGAATCAACAGTGAAATTCAAATCAAGAAAAGGCCATTTCTTACCATTATATGTCCGAAGATAATCTTCATCACTTTTCAAAAATTTGTCAACATCAAATCCAGGTTGCCCGCATCTCCGATGAATTTCAGCCCTTGATATGCCACAGAGTTTCACATATTCCGCCTTGGAAATACGAGCACCAGAATAGAGGCCGAGCATATTCATAATGCGATGGAATTGGACACAAGCATATCCTTTCTCAGCAGCAATCTTCCGCAGTCGATTTCCATATTCCCAGACTTCTTCGTCAGAAATCCCGGTGAGATCTAGATTCTTGATTAGTTTTCAATTTTACAACGCTCTTAGTCTTATATATAGAGATCCCAAACATACCATTATAGCAAATTCCATCCGTGACAATAACCACAATCGCACCTGGCGGATAGACAGCCTTGATATCCCGACAAAGATTCACCAATCTGGCCAACCCAAGCTCTTCACCCAAATCTGGAAGTGCCCCCAACACCTTATCCATCCGATTGTTACTCTTCATGGGAAAGGCAGGCAGAACCATAGGAATGGCTCGATTGGCCGTGACATGTGTCTGAACACGCGGCGTGAAAGATGACCGGCCTAGCCATTCTCCTGCTGCAGTCGTGCGTTCATGAGAGCCATACTTCTCCACGATATTTATAATCTCCTCCGCTTTCAGTCGAGTTGAGGCAAGACATGCCTCTAGGGTTTCAGGTTGGGTGTTTTCGGTTTCGGCCTTGGGGACAACTGGGACTGGTCTTGGTAGGAGGAGCGCTCGAGTCCTTGGAGTGAGGGTGACTCGATCGGAGGAGATGAGGTCGAGCAAAGTGGGAGTCTCGACTATCGCTGTGGCTAGCATTTTGATACCGTTATCGTGTATCGATATGATAGTGAAAAGGGATGTCGCTCAAGCCAGGGATGAAAAAAAGGGATAGATCAGACCGTATCTTAAGTACTTAGAACAAATAAGGAGACTATTCCACGGACCTGAAATGGACATTCGTGGCTGCTATAGCCACTGACTTTTGTTTCTAGTTCTTACGTCTCGGCATATTTGCAGACTCGAACATATCTACCACCAAATCTCATTGGTGCCTCCCTTTACTTCATATTTGTGGAAAATTTCCCTCCAATTGCATATTTTGATTCATTCTACAGAGTTATGCAATTGCGTAGAACTCTGGGCAATGGTAATGCTTACGATCATATTACATGTGCGCTGGTTTCAGTGTGTGGCTTGAAGCATGACTTTTACGTAGGTTGTATGTCCAGATTAGACAATTGATGGAACATAATAAGAAATAGAGCCGCATGAATACGAATTATTGGGAGGCCACGAGGTGAAACCTTGGAAGTTTTAGTATTTTTGAATAGTATTCAACAAATTTCTCCATGGCTGTTGAACTGACTGACTATTAATGCATCATCCGGCGCACAGGGGAGTTTCTTGATTGGGCTAATGAAAAGTCCCTCACACAACAACCGGGATAAGAGGGAGCTAACAATACTCATGGGGATCTGACATTGAAGACAAAACTAGGCCACATTTGTGCTTTATTGCATTGGCCTTGAGAGCTGACTGCTAATAACAGTGAATCTAACAATGCAGGGACTCCAATGAAAGTTCGAGATGGGGAGAATTATCACAGGCGAAGTATATCAAAGCTGCATGCACCACCGAGGTACAATTTCCATAATACTGCAGTCTCGAGGGATGTCACAAGGTCCATTTCAAACCGGACTGTAGTTAGTGACCGTGTCTCCATGCCAAGAACTAGTGGTCATCAAAATGATATACTTCTCGCGTCATACTTTTGATTTTATACCTCCATAACTTAAATTAAGAACAACTTGCATGAAGTGAGTCCATTTGAGCAAACCTTCACAAAAAATACGAGGCGTCCCGTTCCCGCTCCCACCGATATTCCATCCGTTTTGCAGTCTGTGTGCCGATTTCAATCCCACCATAGTGCGCTGAGATGAACTCCAACATAACGTCGATCCCTGCTGTGATTCCGGCGGATGACCAAATCTCGATTCCAGGCAGCAGTGATGATCCAGACCCTGCATGCTTGGGTATAGTATCCCGCAACCACCGTTTGTTGGGCTGCCAGTTCACTGCGTGTGATAACCCGGTGACATCTTCATAGCGAGCTGAGTTGGTGGTTGCCTGGAGATCGTTCAATAGACCTGTTTGGGAAAGGACATGGCTGCCCGTGCAGATAGTGATGACACTGTGCCGAACAAATGGCGCAAGATCGACGATAAAGTCCTGGACTTCCTTCGTGTTGGAGACTTTGCATTTTCCAGATGTAGTACCGTTGGCGTAAATTCGATCCAGCCTCGTCCCCGGTCCTCCAGGGATAATCAACACATCGACAGGCTTGATGTAACTACTTCCATCATTGGCAACCTTCCCCGCTTTCAGGGCGGAAATCACATCAGCAAAAGTACATTGTGGCACCATATGTTGGTTGCAAGCCGTGTTGATGCTTGAGGTAGGGATATCAAATTTCCAGTTGGCTTGTGGAGGCGGGACTGGCTTCACTGAGACTGGGTCTAGAGTTGCGGCTGAGACCGTCAGGGTGATGCCCGCCGTGTCAGGGTACTGTGTGCGGATATTGAGAATGTCGAGTGGGGCCGCTACATCTAGCAGTTGGAATCCAGGGAACAATGGAAGATGGTAGTGGATCGGTCTGGGTGCCATCTTGTGTAACGCTGAATTAGAGCAGAAGCGTCGAAAGATGAGTGGTTGGAGAGAACGTGGTCGCAGGGTGCTCATGCCGAACAAAGCGGGGCAACCCCTGTGTGATTCCTTTTGCTAAAAAACTGGTTTTCTTGAAGGAGATAAACGAAAGCGAGAGTGAATCAACACAAGGGATATGTATACACAGGGGCACGGTGCTCAGGGCCACATGACTGAATTTGGTCTAGCAGAAGACCTCAATATCAAAATATCTGACTAAGAACGCATGTAGGACACATGAAGAGCACATATAATAGAATATCAAAAATATAGATTTAATTGTAAAAAATCGAGCTCAATGTATAATTGAGACCATACCTACATGGGAATAAGGGGAAAGCTAAGTGCCTAAAGCGGAAGTAAGAGATGATTAGCTAGGAAGAAAGCCTTTTAAGACAAAAGAATAAATAAGTAGATAACCGAGAAAAGAGCGAGAAAACCCAGGGATTTATGATGGGAGAGCAGTCAAAGATACGTAGGTTCCACAAAGGAAAATGGTGGATATCGAGTGCCTTAATTAAGGTAGCACCTACAATATTGTCTCCGACCTGAATTCCAAGTGTACAACGTATTGTCCATCATCATCCTCGGAATGAGACGTCTGTTTACACAGCATGATTTGATATTCAAATTCGATCATATACAGTACATTGTATTGTCACGCTCCCGAGAAGTGAGACCCGACTACGAACAACGCTCCGGTCAAAATGCAAATACCCCCAAAGAGCTGCGCGTACAGGTAATCGCCTCCTCGCAGGGCAATCAACCGTCCTGCAATGTATGGGCCAGTCAGTAGCGGAATGCTATTGATCGTGGTGATCATCCCAACACGCGTGCCCGATTTCTCCGGGTCTTTCGAACCGAAGTATGCATTGGCAGCGGGTAATTGACTTTGGGCACAGTTGACCAGCAGTCCATACACAGTGGCCCAAACGAACATGCCAGTATGAGTATGAACACCAATCCACCCTAGAATGGCGATGCCGCAAGGGATAGAGACTGCAATGCAGGTTCTCACTGCACCCAGCCACCGATCTGCCACAAATGCAGATATGATGCGGGAGGGCACGCCAACCCCGTTCATTAGAATCAATAGGAGAAGGGAATCCGAGGGAGTAAATCCAGTGTGGGTCTGCGCATATTGTCGGAGCTAAAGATATAATTAGTTCTGTGGTCAGGTATGATGAGGTGAAACCAAACCCACATAGATGTATGCAAAATAGATGCCCTCGAAAATAAGAAATGACCCGATCGAGAAAAGGAGGTAAGAGCGCTCTCGGAACGCACTCAAGTCAACCCAAGGAGGGGGACTGCGAGGCTTAATCCTAGATCGGGTAAATGCCACAATAATGACACTGTTAAAAAGGATGATCAGAGCCATAACTCGGACCGTCCACGCGAACCCAATAACGTCAAAGCACTTGTATGCGACAACAGGAAAAACCATTCCTCCAGTCGCGGCGCCACAAGAAGCCAGTGATACGGCCATAACTCGCTTCGTTTTGAAGTATGTTGCGTAAAGCGCGATCATTGGGCTGAAGATAAGCCCGTGGCCAATTCCACTGACCAAGCCTTGCGCCAACCAAAAATGCCATAGTTTTGTGCCAAATGAGGTCCCAAGCGCGCCGGCAACCTGGAAAAAACATCCAAGAGCAATACAGTGCCGAAGATAACCTGCATCCATGGTTCGACCGGAGAACATGGCCAAAAAGTGGACCAGGAACATCTGCAGGGCTCCGATCCATGATGCATTGGCTGGGCTGACATGGAGATGACTGACGTAGTACTCTTGGAAAAAACCATAGCTTTTGTGCATTAGCGGAGGAAGTCGGCTTTAAATGTGATAGGGCTCTCTTACGATGTGATATAGCCCCATACATTGAATACAACCAAATGTCCGGTCAGCACCTGGGTCCAGGCCACGAGACCTCCGTCGGGGATTTCATTATTCTCGGCTTTCTGTTCTTCGTCTTGTTGATGGGGATCAGGACGGACGAATAGCGGGGATTCTTCACTGAGGGTATTGGTATATGTAGTAGCTGATGTGGTGTATGATTCGGTGTTCGTGGACAAGTGCACTTGGTTTACCCCATTACTTGAATGAGACGTTGGAGTCTGTCCCATATTGCCGAGGAGAAACAAGTTTTTCAAGTCAAGGATCGAAGAAGAATTTATGATGTGGCGAACGGAGAGTATATGAGGAGGTGTGAAATGCGACTCCCTCGATTGCAACATTGTGGAGTTCAAATATCCGCACCCTGCAGTTACCCTTGTTTATTTTTCTTTCAATACTGCATGACTGCATGTATGCATACACGCACAAAGTACATTATACGAAGTGCAAGTTAACTGAATAATAATAAATTACTGTAAACTATAAAACTCACTGCATTCGGGTTCTGCTACGCGACTAAACTACATAAAATCCACAACGCCGTTCATCTTACAACACAAGCACGTATTTATTCCTTTGCCATGAAATTTGAATATGCCCCGGAAGAGATACCTGAGAAGGTTGTTAAGGTATTAAAGAAGTTTTCCTTACACTCGAGTAAAGATGGCCATGACGAAGATGTGGGAAAGGTGTTCGAAACCGTGCCTGAAAAGCTCAAGGAAGATATCGCTGCAAACCAACCAATAACAATGGTTTTGCCTGCCTTTCCATGGAAGAATCCAAACAAGGACAAAGTAATTGGGGACGGTGCTGATTTGGGGGAAGAGTTGGGGCTTGCAAAATTGAATCATTTGTGCGAGGAGATCTCAAAGGTCTATCCTTACGGGGCAAGACTGATTCTCATATGCGATGGACCTGTGTATAATGGTAGGCTGCATGCTAAATCCATCGAGAGATGGGATGATCAACAAAAACAGAATTTGACTGACTGGCACAGACTTGGTTGGAGTGCCCGATGACGAATATTACGAATATGGCATTCAGTTGCGCAAAATGGCTCGGGAAAAGCAGTTTTCTTCAATCCAATTCATACGGCTTATGGATCTGCTCGGACTGGGCGATGGAGAGAAAATCTCCAAGCCAGATTATCTGCGTCTTGTTTCCACCTGCAGGAAGAAACTGATGTCGTCTGCATACTTCAATCCGAAATTTGACATTGAGTATGAATTGAAGACAAATCCGGATACCAAGACAACATACGATAGCTACTTCAGGCGTATCTCAGAGGATCTAAAATGGGCCAAGGGATTTGACCCAGTCGTTGCAGGCGACCCGACGCTCTATGCGATGGAGGTATCCAAGATGGCGAAGACCATGATCAACCGACTCATTGTAAGTACTGCGCCATGACAAGCATGTTTTCTTTTTGGGTTAAGTATTGACGCAATCTGTTTTGAACTTGGCAGGCATACGAGGCCGTCATTAACGCGACCCTGGGGAAACACATTCGGCTTTCTATCCACCCATCTGTAGGTCGGAACAAAATCTCCATTCCTCTCCTGCGTCAAGGCGAAATGTTTGGGGACATGCCTTGGCATGCCAGTGTGGTCGTGCTATCAAATGGGAGGTTCCAGACGGGAAATTCGCAAGATTTTCGAAAATTGTACGAGATCGTCATGAAAAATGGCCGGCCGTATTATTTCAGAGAGCGGAGCCCATTGTATGAATGGACGGCAGAAGTGGAGTTTGACCACGATTATGATGGCTTGATCGTGAAGAACCCCCTTTCGAGAGCTCAAATCCTGGGTAAGGATGACCGCATGAAGCTAGCTCGTCTAATCATTCAACATCAAGATAAATCAGTTCGAGTGGAGGGGTTTGAGGTGCCAAATGATGCATGATTATTCAAAAGCTCTCAAATCTCAGCTCAAATCTGTTTGCTGTATGTTCAATCTCAATCAGTCTTCGAGTTTGTGGCAAGAAAGAAAGTGCCTTGTCTGCTTCAATGCGACTAGTATTCCTCCTCATATGTTCACTCATCCCATCCTGCTGCATTGACTAAACGCCAACTTTATAAGCTAGTGGCTCAATTTATAGAGACCCAAGGACTTCAATGACTTCTTTCTCGGTTTCCTGCAGTAACACAGTGCAACCAAACGCGATGTTCCGGTTGCTGATATTTAAGATGAGGTTAGTATAATTACATCGACCCGTAACCCGTAAATAACCACCGAAAGCACCGATGTTCTTACCACCGTGGCACATTCTGATACTATGAATGAACTTGAGAGATTCCAGTACCTGTGGGGTTATTCGGAGTACAGTTTCTTGACAGAGCTTTTCATTGCCCTCACAATAATGCCCTCGGACTTTAACAACGAAAGGGCCAAATAATTCAACTTCAAGGCACTAGTGGACCCCGTTAGGGCCTTTGTGGGTGGAGGAATTAAGCACCTGGACAATGTAGTTGACAGAAAGTCCTTGAGAACTTTCTCTAAGAGCTTTGAGTTATCTCGGCTGGTTCTTACCTCCATGGACGCTCACTTTCCCAAAGAGTCCAACGGCTGCCCTCTGGGCTGTACTTGCGGAAGGGACAGCCGCAACAGACAGGTCGGTATCGGGTGGAGGCTCATACCTTTGGCATGGTGGAGAAAATTCATTCAAACACCTGCCCCGAGGGCAATTGATGTGTTGGAAACCCCCGATGCTTCCTACTTGCTTATGACCCAAGTCCCAGGCCGTCCAATCGGTCAGCTGTTTAACACGATGAAGGGCAAGCAAGTGAAAAACGCTGTAACAGGCCTCAAACGGCATAGCGCCGAGCTGCGAGCAATCCCCAACGAAGCCAGCATGTTTTCAAATCTGCAAACCTGAAGGTGATGCGATCTTGGACTGGCGCCTCCCTCGCAGCCAGTCAGAGAAATTGCGCTTCCACAAAGAGACTGACTTTCACAACTCTTTGACTGAGATGATGACTGATGATACTCGCAAGCGGGCGCATGAATCAAAAGTATTCCTTTCTTATTTGACTGCCTGTCGAACGATATACCCCGCAGTCTTCGAATCACACATATTTGATGCACTCCATGTTGCCATCGACCAAACCAGCACTGATTCACCCGCAGTAAGCCCCCTCAAATAGAGAACCGTCAATGCAATCAAATAACTGCCTCAGCTCATCATCATCTCCCATCATCGTCCAGAGATAGATCCCAGAGCGCCAGTGTCCAACATCTCATCCACCTCGGAAATGTGTCAAGCTTATCCATAATTGGGAATACTTCTCTCAGATTCCTTCATATCAAATCCTCATATATCGTTATAGAATCGGTAGCTAAAAGGCTCTCCTTTCCCTCTGCCTTGACCCATCTCTGGCTTCAGCATCATAAGTACACACGCAGCTCTTTTCATTCCAAAGAAGATGTTCCAGAGGAATTTGTGCAAGAGACTCAAACCAAGGAAGATCTTTGTCGAGCTATTATGCAACAACGACATTCACTGGAGACATTGAATGTGACTGGATGGGGCATATCTCCTCCCCCCAATGAACAAGTGCAACTGATTCCCCGCTACGTGAAAACAAGGGCATCTTTGGGGGACGGTTCACTGGGGCAATATAGATGGTTGAAAGGGCTCGTGTGCAGCATGGATTTAAACCATTTTCTTCATCTCCTTGAACGAACAACCGTTTTTATCGCCGAGATGTGATGAATTGCTTGAAACTTTGTAAATAATATGTGGATTTTAGTTAGGTAGGTTGCCCCAGGATATCAGTAGAAGTAGGAGATCAGGGAGTGGAAAATGATATATACAAGAAATAGGAGAGGGGCGCGGTCACGCAAGAAAATAGCACTCTCTAATGAGAGATGAGCAGAACCAAAGTGGTGGAAATCACTCGCTCTTCTTCTTCTCATCTGCTTCAGTAGACTTTCCAAACCAGCTCGTCAGGGATGAAATTACACTGTTTTGTTCACCGGACTGTCGACGTAGCTCGCGTGCCCGCTCCCGCTCGGCTTTATACTCATCCCAAGAAAGATTGGCTGCGGCCGCAGCGCGAACCTCCTCCTCTTCTCGGGGAGGTAGAGTCTTGCCCGGAAGAGGGCGGACAGCTGCTTCTCCGCCGTAAGCGCGCAGACCAGTGCGGAATGCCCATTCGACAGCTTCGTCGACGGGATGGTCGAAGATGTAGGGAAGGAAGGGGACAACAGCGAGACCCAACTATAACAATTGTCAGTATCACTTCATTCCATAGCCTCTGGGTATCCTTGAGGAACACATACACCAATAGGCGTCCAAGTCCGAATAAATGCCATCTTAACATCCTTCACCATTCTTCCAGAGTACCGCACGACACTGTGAATTGTGAACGCAGGCAAACCCATACTGGCGATACTTTGGAACACAGCACGCTTAGCCATGACCATACGATAATCTTCTGCAAGCGGGATCTCAGGCGTAGTCCAGTTCAGCGCATCCTTGGGTCCCTGGTTGCCGATGGTCATATTTCCAGTTGCCATACCCTTGATAATCTGGTCCTGTGAAGGTTCGCTGGCATCTTTGTATGCGTCGCCAGCGGGAGCGAGAGCTCTCCAGTTTCGTAGGTAAGCTTTGTAACCTTCGTGGCCGACGTCGCCTATCAGGTAACTCCAGGAAATTCCGTAGGCGGAACGCACTAGCCACGGGTGCGCGATTGGGCGGAAGGATTCACCGATGTCAGAGGTGTAGGCGACCTGGCAAGTTTAGCTGTTGTCCGGGGAGATGGAATTTAGTCCATACATAGCGATGAGCGGAGATTAAGATTGTGCGGATTCGGTTGGCGTATGCTGCATAACGGAATGGTGTATCTGTAGAGTTGACAGAGCTATCGGAGGTTCCCATGATTAGTTGTGTTCGATGTAGAGTACAAGGTGCTTGGTTTTGGAGAGGAGCTGATTTGCGGGAGAGAGACCGATGACATATGAAGTGGGACGGAGTTAGGCCTTGATTTTCGGGCTTCTTACTCAGACCACGCGACACCTTGCACCTTTGTCTCTGTCTTTCTCTCGCGCGCTCTTTTCTCTCTTTTGTTTTGTGAAAAAGTAACAACGAGACTTGAAATGTACATACTATCCAGAGTATAAATCATCGTAAAAATCTTCTTCGCGATCGACAAGTTGTTGTAACTTTGCGGGGAGCTTCTTCTGAACTACAGGCTTGTCCAGCAATTCCTGCGGAGGAGATGGAGATGGAGGCTCTTCCTGTCGATTGCCCCAGGCCATTTTGTAATCGCAAATCGCAAGATCAAAAAATCAGTTGTAAGTCTAAGGACCGAGGCCTATGCACAAGCCAAGTAAACAGAGAAACGAGAGAAAAGAAGTGGGCGGGGAAAGAATGGAGGGCTATGCAAGGGAGGAATCGTTATTATTAAAAGCTCTCATATTAACCGCGTACCACAGCCGAAGGCGCAGCTATAGCCGGGGTATATAGCAATTGCCCGTGGAATAGGGTACATCCCGAGGTACTCTCCCGTGATCTGGGGTAGAAGCATATACATTGTAGAGCCGTTACCAGAAATGTGTCAGGGCCGCATCGTTATTGATTTTCAACATCTCCGAAGTTTTCGGCTTCAACTTTGCTCTTCTCCGTCGGCTTCTTCTGTACATCTCGGTATATCAATGCCCGCTTGATCTTCATATGGTGACCCGTGACGTCTCCCCTTCCCCGAAAGACCGGGGATAATCGGATACACCCGGGTGATGGAAAATCTTACCTAATTGCTGAGTCAGATATTGCGTTCCGAAGTCAGGTGATACCTCTAACCTAATGAGGAAAGGCGGTCTCGGTGCCGACCTCGTCGTTTGGTCCAAGCCTGAGGATTCCGTCCACATCGCCAGTTGAACCTTTAGCTGAACCTCAATTCAAATCCTACAAAATGGTTGTCTACTACCAGATCGCCGGCAAGAAGGTCGGCTCCCACGTCGTAAGTTCCCATCATCCCCTCGCGCCCTCATCCCTTTCTCTCCTCGTGCCGATACTGCGAATCATGAAAGCTAACCGGGTCCTCGCTATCTTCGCAATAGCTCGCCATGGCCACCCTCGGCAGCATCTTCGCCGGTTCCTGGCTTGCCGCTGGCGGCGGTGAGAAGCCCAAGACCATCCAGGGCCCTCCCATCAACGCTTCTTCCAAGGACGAGGAGAACTTCATCCAGTATGTTCAACATCTTTTCAACCGCGATTCGCACCTCGGATCTGGTGAAATTCTACTCGATCATTATACTAACCAATCACTTTGAAGGAATTTCATGAAAGAGGTCGATGGCGGCGATAAGAAACCCGCTCAGCACTAGACAACCCCTCGATCCGGTTTTTATTGATGGAGCGATCATCTGCAGATAGGACTATGAATTGAACTATACTGCCCGCCCGCTAGCTCTGGTGCCATTTCTAGCGCGATGTATATCACCTTTTCGCGGCATTTTTGTGACGAATTTTCGAGCTACACGGACCGATCTTGGGATGCCGGCGGATGCGGTTGATCTGTATATAGGAGGCGTGTACGCTGCATAGAAAATGTTCCTCCTGACATCGGTTCCTCCGCCTGTTTTTCCATGTGTGCATCGACGGTCCACCGCGGAAGATGAAGAAGCGAATGGTGCGATCATATCTGATGCAATTTCACACCGGGCGGCTCGGAGTCTCTGCTATCACAAAATTCTTCTGGGATGTTTTGCCCAGCATGAAGATTGGGTGTCGGAGCTTGTGATAGCTTGCGCGGTCGTTGAAAGCACGTTTGTAGAGGCTTCGAGGACTCGTAGACAATTTGTGAAGCGTAAATATAAACAGCACCAAGAAAGCTACAAGTAAAACAACCTCAATTCCAAGGTTTCATACCAGAGCCTTACCTACATCATGCAATGACCATCGTTCACCGAGCTGATTTCCTGTGGTGCTACTAATTCGACCTAGCAACCTAAAAAAGCTCATCAGCCACAATCACTTCCCATCCGCAACACCTCCATAATAACCTCTTTCCAACAACTTTTCCCTTTCACCACCCACAAACAAACCAAAAAAAAAATGAAACCCCTCCCTTTCCCATTCCCCTTAAACATCGGCACAGACATCGTCCACATCCCACGAATAACCCGCCTCCTAGCGCGCCCAAACTACCTCGGCCGCTTCACGCGCCGCATCCTCTGCCACACCGAGCAATCAGACTTCTACACCCGATTCAGCGACTCCCTTGAAGCCCAAAAAGCCGCCCACCAACAACCGCCCCCCGTCCCGGCCGATGTAACGCGCTGGCTGGCCGGACGCTTCGCGGCCAAGGAGGCGGCGCGCAAGGCGGCACCGGAGGGCGCGGCTTCAATTGGCTGGAAGGATGTTATAGTTCGGGTTCAGGAGGATGGAGGTGCGTTTGGGGTTGGGGTCAGTCGCAGGCCTGAGATTGTATATCTTCCCCGCGGAGATGGGGATGAAGGGAGGGTTGCGAAATTGTCGATATCTCATGATGGGGAGTATGTTGTTGCTACGGTTTTAGCAGCTGGGTGATTGGGCTGTGTGCCGAACTGCTGGCTCCATGCTGGTGTGTTTAATTGCGTCGCGCTGTTGCTGTGTTTGGTCCAGCTCGTAGTGTTGGACATGCGCTCGACAACGGTTTATACCTGCCTCGCGGGAATCTCGCGACGCCAGTACTTTGATGCGTTATCATTGAAAGGTCAATCACCCTACACGAGATGGGTTTCTCATTCTAAGCCAAAGTTTTGCTACCAACGTGCCATCGGTCTCAATTGGCAGCATTTCAAGGCGGCTAGCCTGGAGCATGGAGAAAGGCCAAGGCACGTCCGCCAGACGTCCGGACCAGATGACCTTGGCCTATTCTCCCCTCTTTACATACCCTGCCGAGTACTCACCATCGGTGATCACAACTGGCTATAATCAACGCCACTGAAGGACTGAAGGAGAGCGCCGAAGATTTCGTTTCACCCTCCGCAACTCTTATCTTTGAGAAAATGAAATGAAATGTCCACGACAACAAGACGTGTGGACATCATTGAAACATTTATATACATGAAAATCCTCAAATCTTGGACTCATCTGTAGAGCTATAGTTTGCTTTTAGTCGGAGAAGCGGGGAAGAATCCTTATCGTCTATCAACCTTGACCTCGACTTACCTCGAAACACATGATTCAACCAATAGAGTAACTCCAAATAAAATACATGGGCCATTGTGAGTACTCGTGTACTTACCTCTCAACAGATCCCCTCTCAATTACTCCCTCACTGCTCACTCTCAGCACCCCGAGCTGCCCGATCTCTGCTAACCCGCCACCAGAGACCATACAAAATGCCATTCTCTCACCACAGCCACTCAGGCCAATTCTGCCCAGGCCATGCGCAGAACTCGCTGGAAGATGTGATCCAAACGGCCATCAGTAAAAAGATGCAAGTCTTCTGCCTGACTGAACACATGCCCCGCCATAAAGAAGATTTCTACCCAGAAGAAGTGCGCAACTGCAACTCCCTCCATTTGTTACGAAAGCATATATTAACCCAATTCTAGAATGAGTCCGGAAGCACAGAAGAAAGCCATGCAGAAAATGAAGCCGCATACTGGAAAGAAGCAGTTCGGCTGCGCGAAAAATATGCCTCCCAGATCAAGATCATTATCGGGTTTGAGATCGATTGGATCAGACCCGCCTCTAGAGATCTGATTGAACGCTCTCTTGCTCGGTTCCCATTTGAATTCTTCATCGGGTCTGTTCATCACATGCATACTGTGCCGATTGACTATGATCGGCCGATGTATGAGCAGGCGAGAGAGTTAGCTGGTGGGACTGATGAGCGCTTGTTTGAGGATTACTTCGATGCGCAACTTGATATGTTGCAGCAGTTGCAGCCGCTTGTTGTTGGTCACTTTGATTTGATCAGGCTAAAAAGTGATGATATGGAGGGCAGCTTTACGCAGTGGCCTGGTGTTTGGAGCAAAATTTTACGGAACTTGGATCTGATCGCTTCTTATGGTGGTATGCTGGAGATTAATTCGGCTGCTTTGCGAAAAGGGATGAGTGAGCCTTATCCTAAGGCTGAGATTTGCAAGGTGAGAGGGTGTTTCACATGTATTTTTCTCGGGTCTATGACTGATCTGATTCTAGGAATTTGTGGCACGGGGCGGCCGCTTTGTTCTATCTGATGATAGTCATGGCGTTGATCAAGTGGCTTTGAACTTCCCTCGCGTATTAGAGTTCCTGGGCCGCGCTGGTATCTCCGAACTTCATTACCTACAGTTGGGAAATCCGTCGGTGACTTCCATTGTGCCCGATGCTCGTTTCCCCCTAACACAGGTCGCGTCTATTTCGGTGGAGGAATTGGGCAAGATGGAATTTTGGTCATAGTCTCTAAGCTATGCAAATTGAGCTCGAGTTTCAGCCTAGCATTGATTTCCAATCCTATTCCGAATACCTGCATATACTTCCCCGCTATTATCCGGGGAGGGGTAAATCGAAGCTCCTTTTCCCCGTCAGAATCCGTGCAAATGACCTGGTCCTAATCCATTGCATGGGGCGTGGCTTTTCTAGATGTCCCAATCATTGCAGTAATCGCAGCCATGTGGCACAGGCGACTTCTCCCGGCAGATCATAGTGTTGAGGGCTATTCTTTCGCGCATGTAGTACTTAAGTAGTAAAGAGCATATTCCTAATCGGCACGCAATGCGATATATGAAAAGCGCCATTCTCTTATCGGAGGAAAATACAGGCAATATATCTTTAGAATTGAAAGTAACGAAACCAGTAGAGAAGACGCCAAATAGCTACCTACATACTCCGTACATAAATGTGAACATCATTGCATTCCGCCTTCGAGAAAAAAGTGGATAAGCCGCCCCTCCAAGCTCTCCCCTCTTTTCTTCCTCATTTTGCTCTTTACCTTTTGCAACACTTTGATTTACTATTAGATATACATCAATTCAAAATGGGCGTCGAAAAGAAGATTCTGAAGGCCGGTAACGGCGTTGACTTCCCCAAGGAGGGCGAGAAAGTCGCCATGCACTACACTGGCTGCCTCTACGATGAGAAGGCCGAGCACAAGATGGGCACCAAGTAAGTCAATGCCTCGGATCATTCAATATATATTCTAATCTATCTTCAAATAGGTTCGACAGCTCCCGTGACCGCGGCGAACCCCTTGCCAGCCCCATCGGTGTCGGTCGTCTCATCAGAGGTGCGTTGCTGTCTTTGCGCAAGATCCCAGATAGCTTGTTTAGGCTCCATTTCCCACACAACTTTGCTAAACTGATTTAGGTTGGGATGAGGGTGTTCCCACCATGTCTCTCGGCGAGCGTGCTATCCTCACTATTACTCCGTTAGTTTTTTTTCCATTTTTCCCTTGCGATACTTGTCAAACTCTGCTAACTCATTGTCTTTCAAAAGTGACTACGGTTACGGTGACCGGTACGTCCCAATCCTGGTTCAATTCTCAACCTACAACAGTCTTCAATACCTATACACTCATTGAATCTACACCTTCGATATCCGTGAGCTGGACCACGCTGACTTAAACTCCTTCTAGTGGCTTCCCCGGTCTGATCCCCGCCAACTCCACCCTTGTCTTGTAAGTATTCCATTGTCGTTAATATCGGATGCAACTGCAAAGATCAAATACTGATAATATTGAAGCGACGTTGAGCTCGTCAAAATCGGTACCCGCAGCGCTCCTCCCTCTTAAAAGCCAATCGCTGGTTCCCGCAAATTACAAAATGACGGATTGAAAAGGCCAAGTTTGGACCACAAGTACTTGTTCAATTTGATAGGCTACTTGGGTAGCAAATTTAAAGCTCAGTCTTGCGGTTCGTTAATTTGACTTGGTACTCAAGGAGAGTCAACTGAACTAGCATATATCTGCCATTATCTCTCGTTTCTGCAATATAGTAGACTACATGACCCAGTACCCCGCTTTTAACCCTCTACCTCACGATGCTATTGATATATTTGATTCCATCAGCGCGGTACGTATCAGCCTCAGCATAACTTTCATTCCGGGGCAGACGAAGCACGAAATTTGAGTCCACCGTTCTAGAAGTATATTTTGGCCATTTCGGGATCCCGGACACTAGAACGAATCAGCAACCAGCTTCAAACTCAATAGTTAAAGGAGGTGAATACTAACCACCATGCCCATTCGGGTCCAAATCCGCCACGAACGATGTCCACATCCGCGCTGCCATCTGCCCTAGTTCCAATCGCGCAGGGTCAGATCCCAGCGGTGTGATTGTTTGCACAGGGTTTGCAAAAACGAAAGGTATCTGTGTATCCAACATAGTCAATAATCACTTCCGAGATCCTTGATGCGCAAATCTAAATCAAACATACCTCTGCGAAATGCTGTACTCCAATGGTCGTCGAACTATTCAAGGTTGCCACATCCCATCTGTACGAAAACACACTCTCCTTGAAACTAGACATTGTCTGCGCTAGCATTCGTCGTGGCGCTACCATTGTCAGATCACCCGCCATAGACTCGTATCGCTTGTACATGAGCCCGAGGGAAGGCCATGTCACATTTCCCCAGCCGTAGGGACAGCCAATGGCTGAAATGTTGGGGTAGTGGGTTAGGAGCTCCGTGGCCTGGGAACGGTTGAGCACCCATCGCTTGGATGCTATTGCATCTTTTAGCATCTCATGCTATAGAGCTCGGGAATGCTGAGAATGGAATACATACTGGTCAATTGATCAATGCAGTCCTCATCGGTGTTTGTTCCTGTCGTCCCAAAACTGGTGCCTTCGTCGGTATTCGTGCCTAGCAATACAGGTACTTTGGCGAGTTTGCCTTGCTTGTAGCTTATCTGCGGATATTGGGTTATGAAGGATCCATCGATAGTTGCAAACCACTCTAGTCCCTCGAATGCTGCACTGTATAAGGTTGCGTATGGTAGCTCGCGGAGACATTGCAGGGTACTCGTGGAGTTGGTACAACTGTAGTATATTAGCTTCTGTTGGTAAAAATTTGTCTGATAGACATACCCGGCTCTTTCGACAATTCGGTCGTACATTGGCTGGTGCCATTCGGTGCCATTGTATGGGGGACCGACAGCATTCCCCGAGTCCATGATTGCTGGTTATGTTAGCCTTTAATTCGGAATCGATGATAGATTATGAATACCTGCTCTGAACAGGCCTTCATTGTTGCCATTGTTTGTTACCAAATGAGCACCAACACTATAAGCACCACTGTATGCCATATGGTAAGCATATCGTGAAAGAAAAAAAAAATGAAAAACACAAAACCTGATTCCAAGTAACTCACGCAGACTCGCCCCAGATAGTGATCTTATTAGGATCACCACCGAACGCTTCAATATTTTTCTTCACCCATCGCATAGCCGTGCGCTGGTCACGCAATGCCAAGTTGGTATTTCCCTCGGCCTATTATGTTGTCAATCAGACCCTTGAGTTTACGGGACATTTATCAATAGTCTTACCCTCACTTCCTCCGAGTCAAGGAATCCAAATGCCGACAATCGGTAGTTGATAGAAACGCCCATGACAGGTTTTCCATTTAAAGCGCTCTGTTCGACGATATAGCTCATGTTATACCTATGTGCAAGTTAGGAAAAGAGCACAACTTATAGATAAAAGAGATTCGGCTCTATTCATCAGTCACATACCTCGGATCAGCAGTCGCACCCTGCGTCCATCCACCGCCAAAGATCCAGATCACAACAGGAAGCAATCCTTGATCTTCGGTTTGAGGACGAATGATATTCAGATTCAGACAATCTTCATTTAAAGTGACAAGACCCTGATTTACCAAATTGGTAGTATCGGATCCATAGGCAGGGCAGTCGTGGCCATACTGCGTGGCATTGTAGTATGACAATTTGGCAGTGGTGCTTTGTGCAGTAGATAGGTCGTATACACCGGAGTTGCTGTCGTTGGATGCGTAGGTAGTCTTGAGCTGAGCTGGTGTAAAGCGGGTTGGTTCATCGGCATATTTAACGCCCAAGAACAGATCTTGATTGAATTGTGGAAGTGAGCGGCCCACAAATATTGCCTTTGCACCTGTATTGCTGGTTAGGGTTACTGTTGGGGGGCTAGATGAGGTTGCTGTTGCTTTGAGAGGATTGGCTATTACCCCAGAAAGGATAGCGAGGCACAAGGCAGAGCGCATTATTGGGGAGCGTGGTGCTAGCTGCATCTTGTATAGGCTGAGAACTGCCTAGCATGAGGCATTATAAGGACACGATCATTCTTTATATACTGTTATCTCTGCCAACCCATGGCCAAGTCCTTAGTTGCAGCTCATGGAGAATTAGGGTGATCCTCCCGTCCGAGAGATTGTCTTCAAATTAGACTAACCCCACCAGTAGAGAGGGATTATTTAGAAAGAATATATGAATGCTATTGTTTTCTTGAATGCTCATAGGTGGGAAAATAGAGCTGGGGGAACTTTGGGGTAAATAAGGTGGAGAGTGCAGCTCCCCACAGAACTTGATTTAATTGGTTCTTGGAATACTCAGTTTGTTGATTTTCATGCTTGATTCGGATCTGATGGTTGGCATAACTTATATATATAGTCTGCCAAACCGTTTAGTTAGAGTTACGGGAGGTTCCAAAGAGCAGCTTAACTACAGTAGGACATGGTGACATGATAAAGGAACCTCAAGATATCAGACTGCAAAGACAACGGTCTAGGAGAAGAAAGTATAATTCTAAATGGTGGAGTATCGGACTGGAGGGCCGTGGTATAGGAGAAAATGGCCGCCACCGTAGAGTACTAAAAGTACTGTACATCCATGCAAGGCGAAGACAGGTTGATTCAAATCTGCCCGAGGCAACAAATGTATCCCTCCATATTGCAGCACCGAGCATCCAATAGGACGAAGGTGCTACATGCAGAGAGATGGCGAGATAGCAAGATCAGAGGTGCCCTATCTCGTCTTTTGTGCATGCGATGATCCATTGCGGCCGAGTATTAGAGTGACCTAGCGACGGACAATGCCAACGCCATGGCAGAAAGAAACAAGCACCAAGCCGCTGGGGGGAAAAACAGGTGGAGAGAAATGCAAAGATTGTGAAGTTCAAATTCACATGGATCAACTCTTATTATGTACGCTTGGAAATTCAATCAAACACCTTAATCGTCCTTGGCCCGTTCGCCATATGCGCTTGAACCAGAGCCAGCACCAAAATCAGCTGCACGAGACCTGCTCGCTGCCACCACTGAAGGGCTATTATACCGGATGGATGAAGATGAGGACAATGTACCCTGTAACTCGGATCTCTGCGAAGCGCCCTTGAAGGGACTTGGAGAGTTCCGGCCGTCTACCACCCCATCGTCAAGTTCAATTAGGTCGTCCATCCGCCAGATGTTGCGTCCTCGGGTGTTGCCAGGCTGGCTTGGTGGTTGCTGGAGCTCATTGATGCCGGCCTTGGCTCGCGTTGCTACTTTGCGAACCCACCCCTCGAAAGCGCCGCCGATGTTCTCGAGTCCTGTCGATGCATTGGAGGTGACGGTTGAAGCGGACTCGAAAGAAGCTTTACGGGCATTGTCTGGGGGTGGTCCTGGTGCTAAGTTAGGCATGTGCTGTGCGAAAAAGCGGGTGAATCCATCTAGTGCGGGCCCTGGTCCGGTTGATGTGGGATCAAGGGTTCCCACTCCGGTGCCAGATAGATGGATACTACTGCGTTGGCGACGGTGCTGAGGACGAGTAGGATTTGTGGATTTCGGCTTGGATTGGTTGCCGTTAGGTCGAGTTCGTGGTAGTATGCCGAAGGGTGAAGGTGGAGGTGGTGACCCAGAGGGAGACGGGGGAGTGACTGTTTCTCGATACGAGCCCGGAGGTTCTGCATCCGAGTAAGATGTAGATTTTCGACGCGTACGAGGGAAAAAGCCCAATGCCCTTCGAGGAACACGGCCTATTTGTACTGGTTTGGGGAAACCATCCATCTGCACCCAGGTTTCGTGCTTCCAGACTTGATTGGAATCCGCCTCAGGAGTTGCAGATGTCTCCTGCTCTGTAGTCGCCTCGTCGGTATATGTATCTGTAGGGGCTATAGAGCTGTCACTTGGGTCCTCCGTGTCAGGGCTCAAAAGATCCACAGGCTCTTTGGGTATAGGGCGGCCTTTTACAGAGCACGCATCGACTGGCAGTAGAACGGTGTTTCTGCTCTGGATATCGTCATTAGGCCAGAAGCCGTTTGATTTACGGAATACTGCAGCCTGGCAACCGTATTTGATCGTTACACCGGTGATAGTATCTGTCGGTAGCACGTTATGGATGTAAGCCAGGGCGTCTTCGTCATGCCCGGGATCAACCGCTTGCTGTGAAGTGTCGCCAGAGTCGCGTCGTTTGTGTGTAAATGTGCGACTTGCGATCGAGTCACTGTCAGCAAGAAGGAGTGCCTCTCTTTTTTTGGCTTGAACCAGAGCTTGTCGTTCCTCCTTGGTCCCAGTCCCAAATTCTGGGGCGTTTGGTGCCGACGGACCCCACGTTGACCTCGGGGCACTCTTGATATATACGTCTGATCGCGATGGTTTCCTTCGCGTGTGTGTCTTTGTCGTATTATTTGAAGTGACTCGTCCTGCATCACTACCTAGTACTGAAGACGCTAGGCTTTGGAGAGAGGACCATGAGGAGTCCAGGAAGTCCGCAGCACCCCGCGATGATGTAGCCTTCGATGATCCATTCCAAGCAAATGAAGATGTCTCGTTGCGGCTACCTCGATTGGTTGATTCGGTGGCGCGGGACGGGTGTGTCATAGGAAGTGGTGATGCTCCACGGGATGACAATGGCGAGGGGGTTCTGCGAGAGCGAGTCGTCCCGATCTCGGCTGGTGCAAGAGTCGTTGATAATGCCGAGGAGAAAGGCTGGGAATCACTCTGGTAAGAATAGTTTGAACCATTATTGTCGTCGTCATCATCCATGAATGAAACTAAGCGCCGAGGGCGCGATCGGACTGTGGAGGTGGAGGTAGTGCTTGCGCTGACAGCGTTGGGGCCCGGGGAAGCATTGGCAAAGCTGTTTTGGGAACTCATTCCTGTTGAGTCCAAGGACAGTCTGCTTAATGTTGTGAAATAAATGCCCCCTTAGTAGTTTGTACCGCCAAGGCATCAGTTGCCATCAGTTGCTCTCCTAGTAACCCATTCGTCATTCCTCGGAGTCGCATTCGTAGGCTTTGTACGTGACCACGCTTTACTTTGACTATTGGTCAAAGTATTCAAAGTATAAGATAACAACAGAAAGCACAGAATGCGAGGTGAGGGAGGTTTCAAAGCCGATAGGAGGTCAGGGAGGGTGACAGTGTGACGATAACGACCCGCAAAGCAGAGTACAGAACCCTTGGAACGCGGAGTATCACGATTCGATAGGAAAGAAATAACAAAAATATTAGAACAGGATAGTTTAGCCGCAATTTGTACAAACCAACAATTGCTCAAGCCACGACGTAAGAGAGAGTTGCGTTCGGGGGGGCGCTGGATGATCGGCAGGTGACTTCGCCGCTCGGTAAAGTAGCGGTACATGACGTTGCCAGGAGAAAGCCACATATTACGTGTACCTATACATCCCTGTCAGGTACATCGTCTGATATAAATTATCTTGAAACATATATGTACACAAGAGGCAATAATTGTATTAAATCGCCTACATTTGAAGCAAAGATTGTACACATCAATTCTATGATCAAATCATACAGAAAATAGGCCAAAAGACAACATGGCCATTAAATCCAACGGCATTTCCAGCACGTAACGCCAAGTCTTCGCACTGCGGGACAAGGGACAAGGGAGGAATAGAGGAGTAGAGAAAGAAAGAGATTAAATTAATCCAAATGACTGGAAATCTCTCACTCTGGAGGCTCAGCCATCACAGAGTGTCGGGTCTCAGCTTCCGATGCAGCTTCGGACTCGGTGCTCCAGTCTCCATCTTCCTTTTCACTGACTTTCCCGGTTGGGGTAGGCAATGAAGTCGGTTGGGGAATGACCTTGACGCCACCAGCCCGAGAAAAGAAATCTTCCGTGCGCAGACCCCGAACTTCTTGGGGGTCCATTGCATCCATGTTCATGCCACTGGCCTTCTTTGTTCGGATGAGTTCCCGCACAGGAACCATCGCGGCATCACGACATGCTTCCTTGATATCGCTACCTGACATTCCAGCCATGGTCTTGACTAGGTAGTGTAGGTCGAAATTTTCCCGATCAACCTTGGTGTCTTTGAGAATAATGCCGAGAATGCGAAGTCGCTGGGCAATTGGGGGAAGAGTCACGGGGAATTTCTTGGGCATTCTTCGGAGAATGGCCTCATCAATGTCTTGAATGCGGTTCGTGGCTCCGAGAACGACAATCCGTTGTGGCTCTCCTGTGGAATTTGCCGATGTGAGACCATCCCAGTGAGTCATGAACTCTGCTTTCACCATGCCACTGGCCTCGTGTTCGCCACTTCTCCGGGTTCCGAGCACAGCATCGATCTCATCAATGAAGACGATAGCCGGTTGCAACTTGCGCGCAAGCGAAAACACGGCATTGACCAACTTATTGGAGTCGCCGTACCATTTCTCAGTCAATGTTGAGATGTGCAAGTTGATAAAGCACGCACCACTCTCGGATGCTAGAGCTTTGGCAAGCATAGTCTTTCCGCAGCCAGGCGGACCATATAGAAGGACTCCCGAGGGTGCACTCAGGAGAGACGATGTAGAGGCGTAGAGGTGAGGCATAGTCAACGGGTAAATGACAGATTCCTTCAGTTCCTCAATGATCTCTTCCAAACCACCAATATCTTCAAATGACACTGAGATATCATCTGGCGCAACAACATCCATCGCAATCGCTTGTTCGTATTGGTTCAAAGTAAGATCTCGCTTTCGTTGCCCTTTCCCACGCTTTCCATCATTTCCCCGAGAAGTATCATCCCCGTCATTCCCGCCTTCCAATCGACGTAAGATGGCTGCGGACTTTTGGCGCTGTTCTTCTTTCTTCTGGCTCTCCGGGTCGAAATCAAGGCGTGATATAAGGTAGCGAATGAGGAAGTATGCAGAGGCAGACTATAAACTGCGTTAGTAACATTGAGATAAATTACCAGATTATCAACTTACAGTGCCTGCTACCATCACCATTTCTTGGAAGAACTGCTGCCATCTCCGGCCGCCGGCTGAAGCCATGGTGATAAGGGAATGATTAGATAAAGCCTACCTAGGCAAGGATGGCGCAGAAGAAAAAACGATGATGTTTCAAAACTGTATATTAAAGATAAAAAGAAGAAGTTAATTAGACGACACAAGGATTAACAAAGTGAGAGCCGAAGCGCCGAAGATCAGTTGGCTCGGGAGTCACATGTCGTAAGGCGGAGAGATGTTGTTGTCCACCGGTCCGCGTTCGCGCCTAAGTATGCAAAGCACAACATCATCTTGTTTGCTGCACAATGCCCAAACGCAAAGCTACTTCACAAATTTCTGGGCTTATGAGCTCAGATGACGAAGACCTGATTCAGATGCACAAAGAAACAGATACCCACGAAGAGCCACCCGCCAAAAAACGAAGAGGCAGACCGCGTACTTCCAATGAAAATGTGACCGAAACAAAGCCTACCAAACCTACTACACGAGCCAAGAAGCAGCACGTTGCTGCTGATAAGACAGAAAATTCCACAGGGAAGAAGCCCGCCCGTCGAGGACGACCGAAAGGCAGCAGCCGTGTATCGCAAGACGCTGAAACGCCTGCGACAGCAGAGACAGAGGAAATGGAGCCTGAAGCCGCAGCGCCCGACCAGGAAAATGAAGATCCTCGCGCCCTAAAAGAGACAAAGAAACCACCAACCAAGGCAACTAAAGCCAAGGCCGCGACAGTTGCTACACGCGGTCGGGGACGTGGGAAGCAGCTTCAAACAGATGGTGAATTCGAGTTCACTCCGAGCGGTACGCGACACACAAGCGCCCCGGAAACCCGCGAAGAAGCGACAGAGCCCAGCCCTCTCTCTCGTGGAACACTCCGAGGGAAGAAGGTTCCCGAAGTGGAAGAAACACAACAGAATACGGAATCTGCAGCAGACCTCATAGAAGAGTCGGGCCCCCCGAACCTCCTCGCCTTTCAATGTCCCCGGCGAAGAACCGCTCTCGGATATCCATGTTACGCAACCCACAAGAGTCTCCCCGTAAACGCAAGCTAGGCGTCGACTCCGAACAGGGTGGTGATCCAGAGCTGAGGCGTAGGCTGGGTGAGCTTACCAAGAAGAATGATGCATTGGAAATTAAGTATCGCAATCTCCGTGAGATCGGGATCGTGGAAGCCAATGCCAACATGGAGAAGCTGCGAAAGCAGACTGAGACTATCACTACAGGTATGTCTTGTGTTGATCTACAGTACCAGGCAGATGAACTGATATAAAACTTTTCTCAAAGCATCCAATGAGCTGGTAGCTTCATTGAAAGCTGAGCTAGAGGCCCAGCGAAAGTTGGGCACCCAAAGCCGCGGGCTTCAGAAGCAACTCAAAGACCGTGATAGTGACGTGGCTCGACTGCAAGCCAATGCAGATGAAGCACGCGCCCAACTTGCCTCCGCGCAATCTGAAATCAAAGCCCTGCAGACTAAGCTGGCAGCAGCACGAAACACAGCTGCCAGTGTTGAGGGGGCGTCCAAGATCCCCGGCAGTGCCATCAAGGGTGGCGGCACCAACCGTGCAAATGCAGCTGCTAATGCCGAAGCGGCTCAGGCTGCTCAGCTTGCCCAGCTCAAAGAAGATCTCTACAGTGATCTAACTGGTCTGATTATTCGTGATGTCAAGAACAGGGATTCTGATCATGTATATGATTGTATTCAGACCGGAATCAACGGTAGTAAGTTGTCCCTTTTTACAATTGCCGATCTTATTCTAAAACCTTGCAGCTCTTCATTTCCATTTGGCGGTACCGAAGGAATCGGCGGATTTCAACAATACAGAATTCCAATACTTGCCTCTTTTGGATGCTAACCGTGATCGAGATCTCGTTAACATGCTGCCAGACTTTTTGGCGGTGGATATCACTTTCAAGCGTGGGCAAGCTGCCAAGTTCTATACGCGCGTCATTGATGCTTTGACAAAGCGGCGATCTCTTCCAGCGTAAAAGCAGTGCATGTTATTATATAGTGCTTTTATTGGAGTTTATTCATTTTTAGGAGTCTGTCAGAGGTTGGGAATGTAATGCTGATTCAATGTTCAATATTCTAAGTATTCATCTAGAGACAAGTGCAAAGTACAAGTAACTAATTGAAGTAGTAAACAACGGAGTGTACAATTAACAGCTTGTGATTGGCTCACCGCCAAGGTTCCCCCGATTGCAGCCAAAAAGTTGACGTGTTGCGTTTGACAGTTATGCTTCATATCACCTTTTCGTGATTTCTTCTTTGCTTACTTTGTGGCAGTGGACCACTTCCACTCTTTTGCTTCCCCAAAGTTCCCTGAGAGGAGAAACATCATGGCGCGTCTCGGCCGCGTCGGGTTTCTGGCCCTCGCAGTGGTCTTCCACTTGATCTATACATACTCAATCTTCGATATCTACTTCGTGAGCCCTATTGTGAGTGGCATGCAATCATATGGTGTCAAGCGACCCTCCGGAACCCCTGCCCCAGCCAAACGTCTTGTCCTATTTGTCGCCGACGGCCTGCGCGCCGACAAGGCTTTCCAGGCTTTCCCTGACCCGTCCCCGGACGCCGATCCAAACAACGACGAATTGATCCGTTTATCGCCATTCATTCGCTCCAAAGTCCTCTCCCATGGAACTTTTGGTGTCTCCCATACCCGCGTACCCACCGAATCCCGCCCTGGTCATGTTGCGCTTATCGCGGGCCTCTATGAGGATGTCTCCGCCGTCACTACCGGGTGGAAGTTGAACCCGGTCAACTTCGACAGTGTGTTCAACCAGAGCAGGCATACATGGAGCTGGGGAAGTCCTGATATTCTTCCTATGTTCAAGGAGGGTGCGGTGCCTGGGAGGGTCGATGCCGAGATGTACAGTGAAGAGGCGGAGGATTTCACCGTTGATGCAACGCATCTGGATACCTGGGTGTTCGACAAGGTCCATGGGCTCTTTGAGTCGGCTAAGACGGATCCAGAATTGGATCGCAAGCTAAGGGACGACAAGCTTGTATTCTTCCTCCACTTGCTTGGCTTGGACACTACCGGTCACTCGTTCCGGCCCTACTCGAACGAATACCTGCACAATATCAAAGTGGTGGATCGTGGAGTCCAGGCCGTTACCAAATTGGTGGATGATTTCTACGGCGATGACAAGACAGCTTTTGTCTTCACCGCTGACCATGGCATGAGTGACACCGGCAGCCACGGCGACGGTCATCCAGACAACACAAGGACCCCGCTGGTTGCCTGGGGTTCTGGCGTCGCTCACCCACAGTACTCGACTAGCGGGATTGCCACGGGCCATGAGGATGGGTTCTCGGCTGATTGGGGTTTCGACCAGGTCCGCCGCCACGATGTCGCACAGGCCGATGTGGCCGCCCTCATGGCATACCTCGTTGGCTTGGACTTCCCTGTGAACTCAGTTGGGAAATTGCCGCTGGAATTCATCAATGCGAGCCCCCAGGAGAAGGCGCAGGCCGCTCTCGCCAATACGCAGGGTGTTCTGGAGATGTACCGCGTCAAAGAAGAGCAGAAGAGACATGCCGTTATCCGTTATGTGCCTTATGAGCCTCTGTCTGGGTTCCACGAGAACTCCATTGAAGCTCGACTGGCAAGGATTGAGGCGCTTATCTCTAGTGGTGACCATGACCAGGCTATTTGGGTGTCTTCTGAGCTTCTTCGCGCTGCTCTTGAGGGACTGCGCTACCTGCAAACATATGACTGGTTATTCCTACGTACTATCGTTTCTGTTGGCTATCTTGGCTGGATCGCTTATGCATTGACTACGGTGATTGACCTGCATGTTCTGCATGGAACATCAGACACACACCGCACGACGGCGAGCATCTCATTCTTCTCTTCTATCTTGGTTGCCCTATTCTCAGTGTTCCTGTACCAGGGCTCGTCCTGGCGCTACTACTTCTATGCGTTCTTCCCGGTTTACTTCTGGGAAGAAGTATTTGCGCGTCGTAGGGCTTTGATTGCAGGACGTGAGATTGTATTGGGCCATGTGCGCTCTTTCACTGGATATCTCAAGTTTGGCCTTCAATTCTTGGCTTTCCTTGGTGTGATGGAAGCTATGGTTCAGTCTTATTTCCACCGGGAAATTTTCACAGTGTGCTTTGCTTTGGGTGCATTTTGGCCTGTGGTCCATGGCTTTGGCTTCATTCGCAGCCATGCAACTCTTTCTGCGACCTGGGCTCTTGGCTGTGGGCTAATGAGCTTGTTCACCCTTCTCCCGGTTATCAAAGTTGAAAACATTGATACAATGTAAGCTCTGTTCTCTGTCATTCTCGCTCATGCTTGACTAATTATGTGCAGTACTTATGGCGGCTTGGCCATGTTCCTTACCGGAGTCCTATATTTGCTGTTCGAGGATGCTATCATTGGATCCAGGGGACCAAATGCAATTGGTCGTGTCGGCTCACGCATCATCATGGGAACTCAGCTTGGCCTGGTTCTCCTTGCTGTAGTTGTCACTAGATCATCTGTGTTCTCTCTTCAGGCTCGCCAGGGCCTGCCATTCGGAAACCTCGTCGTTGGATGGGTTGTCTTTGGTAAGTGGAAATGCATTTCTTATGCCTTGCTTATGTCTTCGGTGAAGAGACGCTAACTAAGTTCTAGTGGCTTCCCTGACACTTCCATTCTTCCACCGTCTTTACCCTAACAGCAACTATCTCCACCGGCTCATGATCATTTTCCTGACCTTCTCGCCGACATTTATCATTCTCACAATTTCATGGGAGGGACTGTTCTACTTCGTTTTCTGCATGACCATTGTGTCATGGGTTCGTCTCGAGCACGCTATCTACGTCCACACCACAGGATCCAATGTGACCAAGCAGCAAAATGCTGGCGACAGCTCTACAACACAGCCCGCGAACACCGGTTCAGCGATCGTTGACGGGCAAACCTTTTACTACCGCGCCCTGACTCTGTCAGATGTCCGCGTGGCACTTTTCTTCTTCTTCCTCTTGCAATCCGCCTTCTTTAGCACCGGAAATGTCGCCTCGATCTCGACCTTCTCCCTCGACAGTGTTCGCCGACTGGTTCCAGTCTTCGATCCCTTCGCTCAAGGTGCTCTCTTGATCCTTCAAATCCTCATCCCCTTCGCTGTCATCAGTGCCAACCTGGGAATCCTCAACCGCCGTCTGGAGGTTCCTCCCAGCGCACTATTCATGGTCGTTATGGCCATCTCCGACATCATGACCCTCAATTTCTTTTACATGGTACGCGACGAAGGTTCATGGCTTGAAATTGGCATGACAATCTCGCACTTTTGTATTGCAAGCGCCCTCTGCACTTTTGTGGCTGGCCTAGAGTTCCTTAGCGAGCTCTTTGTGAGTGGTGTGCATTTCCCTGTGCTAACGGATGTCGGGTCCGCAGTGGTCCAGACCATTGACGACGCCACGGAATGTGGCCACGAGGACCGCAAGGAACCGAAAAAGTCTCAGTCCAATGGGGCCAAACAGTCCAAGTCCAAGCCCAAGGGACGAGGTAAGGGCAAATCAGCACGCTAGTGTAAGGAAATAGTATAATGCAAAGGGGACCCTACCCCCGGAATCGTACGGGACTATATTTATGTTTAATTGGGACATTCATGTATTCTATCGTCATTCTACATTCTAGCATATAGACTACGCTCGGAGATCCTGCTTTATCAGGCCGAGATCTGATCGATCCCGACCCAATATAATTTCCACGCTGCTACACCACTCCACTTGAAACCCCGACGTCTCCATCTCAGTGGACACGGACGCATAGTTGCTTCCGATACAACCGGTCACCCGAATCTCACGATGAGCCCTAAGGCACTCCCGCTTTACTCCGGGTGAACGGGCCTAGTCTGGTGCCTGACAGTAGTTGTTCCTTGCTTGTATCCGAATGGAGAATACGGTGCAGCAGATCTAGCAGGCGGAAATAGACTGGCGAGTAATCTCATTGGTCGAAGCTGGACTTGCCGAGGTATCACAGGCCAACGGTTGTTGTGGCTGTTCAGGGCTTACGATGGTCAATTGTCTATCATGTCACTTGTCATTTGTCTGTCTTTGAAGGATTCTGTGGAATCTTTATGGATTGTATTCCCCGTGGATTCCCCGCAGACTTCTTTTTCTCTCTGTTTTTTTGTTTCCCCCGTCTTTTTCCCCCGCAATCTTGACTTTGACTTTGATTTTGACTTTGACATATTGTAGATGATGACTTTGGGGTTCGGCTATAATGATCTACAACTATGCTATTTAGATTAATGTCTGAAACATGGACTTGTATCAGTGCGCAAATGTTGGAATTGATACTTCCAGTGTCACCTGCTCAGGTGGTACTCCTATGTGGTATATACATAACTGCATAGTTCATATATCCATGCGTTGTTTTCGGAAATCTGGCATTTAGTACATAATACACATAGATACTCGATAGCCAGTGTGTACCTGGACATGCACATAAGTCACAGGTCACACTGCATACTATAATGGCCCGTGTCCGAATCTGCGTTATACTCAAATTCCCGAGAGTCCGAATCATAAGGTCTCGTATAGTGTAGGTCGTCATTCGCTCACATCAAAGTACAATCGTGTGAAGCTAGCGCAGGATGCTAAGGGGCCAGCCATCACGGTGAGAGTGCTTTTCGGGGTGATCGTCCCGAGTGGAGGCTGAAGACTGGGGGAGTTGGCTATTTCCACGCGTTGTGGAGCAAACCCCTAAATAGGGTAAGTCGGCCTAGCGTCCCTGGGCCTTTCCATGGGAGACTTGTCTTATTTGACCAGGCAATTGCCAATTGCCAATTGCCAATTGAAATATGGAGACTGGAGGCTGGAGACCAAGACTGGATACTGGGTACTGAGTATGGAGAAATTCATACTGGAAAATGGCAAGCGTTTTGAGATATCTCATTCCAGATGTCTGGGTTTCAAGTGTTTCCCCTCTGTCGATCATTCCAGCCTTTTGGTTTCCTGCACACCGATTCTACTAAATTATGGAGTTAGCGTCAGAGGATGATATTTCCAATGGTCTGACAAGGTCTTCTTGGGCCCCTATTTGTTTGAATCCTTTATAAAGGTAGGCGGAATATCCGGAATGTGTTCAACATATAAATCAATCTCATTGGTCATATAGAATATAGAATATATAGAATAATAATCTACCAGAAAATCAGAGAAGAGAGAGTGTGTGAGGTGAAGTGAAGTTGCTGACCAAATTATCTGGGGCTAATTGCCACAGCCCAACGGTCGCTTTGATATTCTTCCAACTTCACCATCGCCCTCTCTCTCATTTTCCCCCTCTACTTTTATTTTCTGTGCCCTTCTATTCCGTATCTGTTCCGGTAATTTTTCTTATTTTCTTACTTTCTTGATCGCGTGGCGTATCCGGTTGCGCAGTCCGATCCCTCTCGGTTCTACTTAGGCCACGCTATATACCCTTACATATCGCTTCGAGCTTCTTCTTCCCTCCCCTCGAATAAATTTGGATGGAGATCGTGTGCAATGAGTACTACGACTGAATTCCAGACCGAACAACATTCGGATACGCAAGGCAGTCCAGCCCCGAGCAATGCGGGCTCAACGGGTACTTCAGGCATCACGGTGCGCAATGGGCCACAAGGCCAGCCGTTGAGTTTTAGAAGGTGAGAGCTTCTTCATCCTTTTGAATTTGTCGGATCGCGATATCAGGAAATCGATATACGGGATTATATGGAATCATATGGGGTTATATAGGTTATAATGAGCTATTGCTATGCGTGATATGCCCAGTCGCGGGGGTGCGGGCGCAAACCGGTCGTGACAGGGGGGTTTCGACTTCATCCCTGGAAACTTGCGAAGAGATTAAGCATTTATAGCGCGATGCTGACTTTTTATTTAATCTCAGACAACGTGCATCACGCGCGTGTGAGGTACGTCGATTTTTTTATGTTTCGAGGGGAACGCGACTCAGCCGAGGTTCTCACGCACCTCGGCTCTGTTGCTTATCGCCGCGCATAACTGCATGATGTATCACTTGGGATGAAAGCTGACGATCTCTTCTTTATTTTACTCAATTAGACATGTCATGCTCGTAAGGTGAGTTTCTACCCGGTCGCGTATCATTTTTTTTTATCTTTACCTTGTCGGCCACTAACCATCTGCTAGGTCCGATGTGATGCAGCTAGTCTAGGCGTGCCCTGCACCAATTGTGTCGCTTTCTCCATCGAATGCAAGATCCCCTCGCCGAAACGAAAGAAGACAAACCAGAGCAAAAGCAAGGATGATACCCGGTACGACGATAGTCCTCCCCAAAGCGCCTCATCGCTAGTCGACGCTGCGGTCGCCCACTTCCGGCCCGACACGGACGAACAAGCCGATCCTCGATCCGGCTCTATCTCTGCGCCCAGGGAACATGAACACGGATCCGAGTCCGATGAGAAGAACAATGCCTTCGGGTACCGAAATAACCGCATGGGGGTTGAAGGCATGCCCAAAACAGCCCTCTCCGAGGCCGAGGCCGCCCAACAAGCTTCGGTCAATAATGCCTATGCTCAATTTATGAAGCCCAAGTTTGCTCGAGCTCCGATTAAAGAGGCTGGCCGGGTCGCTTATCTGGGCGAGTCTTCAAATCTGTCCCTTCTGGTTCAAGATCGCCATGGAACAACGGATGTCGTGCACTACCCTCTCCCACCGAATATCAGAGGATCCCGTGCCCGCCTGACAGACTTGGATAACTTGGAGATCGATATTCTGCACCAACGTGGCGCGTTCTTGCTCCCGCCAAAACCACTTTGTGATGAATTGGTCGAGGCTTATTTCAAATGGGTGGCCCCGGTGGTACCGATCATCAACAAGAGTCGCTTCATGCGTCACTACCGTGACCCTAAGAACCCGCCCTCGCTGCTATTGTTGCAGGCGATTCTGCTGGCAGGATCGAGAGTCTGCACGAATCCACAACTCATGGATGCTAATGGCTCGACAACACCCGCTGCCATGACTTTCTACAAGCGTGCCAAAGCGTTGTATGATGCTAATTATGAGGATGATCGAGTCACTATTGTGCAGGCATTAGTACTTCTGGGTTGGTATTGGGAAGGACCTGAAGGTGAGTTTAATTCGTGTGCGTGAAATCTGTCTCTTCTAATTAGTCTCAGATGTTACCAAGAATGTGTTCTATTGGACAAGGGTTGCGATGGTTGTCGCTCAGGGCTCTGGAATGCACCGCAGTGTTGAAATGTCCCAGTTGAACAAACCTGACAAGAGGCTGTGGAAGAGAATTTGGTGGACCTTGTTCACCAGGGACCGTTCTGTGGCCGTCGCATTGGGACGACCAATTGGAATCAATACAGACGACTCTGATGTTGAGATGGTGACCGAGGACGACTTCATCGAGGATGAGCTCGATACCCCTGCTGAGTATCCGGCAGATCCAGTCCATGTCCAGTTCTTCCTGCAGTATGTCAAGTTGTGTGAGATCATGGGGTTGGTACTGTCGCAGCAGTACTCTGTAGCTTCCAAGTCCCGACGCATGAACGCAATGGACCTCACCCACTCCGACATGGCCTTGGCCGATTGGCTGCAGAACTGTCCCAAAGAAGTATGCTGGCAACGTTCTCGGCATCACTTTTGGGCAGCTCTCTTACATTCGAACTATTACACTACGCTCTGCCTTCTGCACCGAGCCCATATGCCGCCTGCCTCGTCCGCGCCCAATAATTACAGAGTGGAAGAAATGGCCTACCCTTCACGTACAATCGCCTTTCAGGCTGCAGGCATGATCACTTCCATTGTCGAAAACCTGCAGGCGCATGGCGAGATCCGGTATACGCCTGCCTTCATTGTCTACAGCTTGTTCTCCGCATTGATCATGCATGTGTATCAAATGCGTTCGTCGGTCCCTTCCATCGTCGCCACATGCCAAGAGAGAATCAACGTGTGTATGCTAGCCCTTAAGGATGTATCAAAGGTCTGGCTAGTCGCCAAGATGGTGAACACCTTATTCGAGTCGATTCTCGGAAACAAAGTGCTGGAAGAGCGACTTCAGAAGGCCGCCGGGCGGAGACACCAACGCACGCGACATGGCGAGGGCGCTGCTCCCAGGAGGCCCGAGCCACCAAAGCGCAAGTTTGATGACATGGACCTCGGCGTGCCAAACGGCGGCCCTACTCCACCCGTCTCATACGAGCGTTCCCGACCCCAGACTCCCGCCGTCACTCCCTCCCGGGAACTTAATCAACCCCCTATCGGCGGCCAACAATCCCCCTAACACACATCGCGGCCCTCATGACCCAATGACAGGGAACGGCAACTCGCGCGCCAACACCCGGCCCACGACCCCCTTCAATGGCCAATTCTCTCTCCCCGCCACACCCCCAGACTTCTTCCTCGTGACCCGCACCTCACCCAATCTCTCCCCCTCCCTCTGGGAGAATTTCCAGCCCGACCAGCTATTCCCAGACGGTACAGCCTTCTTCCCGGAATTAACCTCGCCCCAACCACCGGCATCCGTGGATCCAAACCTGCAGCTTCCACCGCAAATGCCCAGCATGCCGCCCCGTCCTCCAATGATGAACAACCAGCCCGTCCACGGCCGAACCATGTCCGTTTCACAGGGCAGTCCGCCCATGATGCCTGGTATCCCGGGGGCCATGGGTATGCAGCCTCAGCCTCCGCCACATATGTTCATGGAGGGCCAACACCAGCATTGGCCACCTATGCAGGGTCTTGATGGGACGATGAGTGGTGCCGCTATGGATGCTGCTAGTCAAGACAATGATACTTGGAGTAGTAGTTCTCGTAGTGGGCCTACTGCACCGACTACATTGAATGTCGAAGATTGGTTCCAGTTCTTTGGTATCAATGGTGGTTTTGGTGATTTGGCTACTTGATTGTCTAATCTTTTTTTTGCTCTATATACTTGAAGCTTTTCGCAAAATGAGTTTGGGTGGTTTTGGGCGTTTGGTTTTCCAGATCGCAGGGGGTCTGATTTGGGGATATCCAGGAGGAAGTAGTCATGTGTATTTTGTGTATTTTTTTGTCTCTTTCTTTTGTTCAGTATTGATGGGAAAATTGGGGCATCCAAGGAGTTGGAGTATATGTATACAAGTTTCGAATTGACGTACCATTTCTTCTGACCTTAACTAAGCCAATAACTAAGATAATGGTTATACCTCTCTATAACGATATCACAACCAGATTGGCCCGAGATACTATCAAAATCACCCCACACCACCATAATCATACCTCTTTATAATGAATGATTATTTGCTTATTGGGAAATCAACCTGTCAATCGTCATCAAACGCGTCGCGACCCCTGTAACCCCCCATTTACTGCTGATCTCGAAATTACTTAGTCTTCCTTTCCCAATTCACAATTCCCAACTCTCATTTCTTATGTCACATCTTTCTTTTTCCACCCAAAATGCCCCCAAAGAGAAAGTCCACCGACGCGCCAGGCCCGGCGAAGAAGTCGCGCGCAGCCTCCCCATCACTAGACGAGGAAAAAGACCCTGAGATAACAAAAATTCTCAACAAGCGCTGGTCTCGCGTTTCTGTAACACGCAATGCAGACGAAGGTTTCAGACTCGACAATCGCGATCCAGTCAAGGCTTTTACCTTCACCTGTTTTGGTCGCGCACCTTGGTTTTTCCCCGGGTACGAGGATGACGAGGAAAACGATTTAGACGAGAGCGACGAAGAATTGGAAGACTATGAAAAGGAGGAAATGGAGGAGAAGAGAAAGAACAAGGAGGTGAGTATTCCTTTGGTCTCTCTTGCAATATATCGAATATGGAATATAGGCACTGACGTTCATATAGGAAGCAAACCCCGCGTCTATACTCAAGCCTGCTGCTGAGTTCCCGGATGAGAAGTGGATTTTCACCCACGCTGGGATTCGCAGGTTCTCTGCCTATACTGCATCTACTACCGTGCGGGATGCGGAGAATTTCGGCTTGCAGGTCTACAATGATTCTTATGGCTATGGGATCATAGAGTTGGTTGAGAATATGCTTGTCGATTTTGAGGAGGTTAAAGCCGATTGGAAGAAGCAGTGGGCTGTCTGTGAAGGTGTTGCAATTTACATGCAGGGTGATACTATCATGCCTATGATTGGGTATGCCTCTGGACTTGATCCTAAAATTGAATTAGTACTAATGAAAACAGTTGTGAATGTGGGGATGAGGTCAACGAGCTGTGTCATGCTGTTGTTGACATGTTCCTTTCCTTGCTCGCTCAGTTGGAGCGAAAGGATTTGCTGAAACCTGACTCCGAAATCAAGAACATTGGCGCTGTAATGGGCTTGTTTATTCGCTTCATCATTGACGTTGAGGGCTCTGGTATTGACTGGGAGGATCATGAATTCAAGATCAAGGCATATGCGGCCAAGCACGATATCACGATCCATGGTCTGACTGGAAAGAGATATACGACACCGGCCAAGGAGGGTATCGAGCTTCCAGCGGCTACAGACAAAGACCCTTGGGGTTGGAACAAACTCTTTGGGAGTCTCCGGAAGGAGAAGGGTAAACACTTTGGCGGCGATAGCACAGATATTACCTCGTGGACACCTGCGGAGCGCAAGAACCATGCCTATGGTAGAAAGGATCCTTTCTCGGCGAAAGACCTTGCAGAGATCAAAAAGGGCGGTATCATAGGCCCGGCTTAAATGGAAAGAGGTTGTGTACATTCTCGAGAAAGTTTGTATTTATCTATCTATCATTCTGAGCTCTGCATACCAGAACCATCCACTGAATTCATACCTAAATGCCCCAAATGCCCAAGGGATCAGATCCTTGACTTCCTCTGGACATTTGCAGCTTCTTCACGCGCCTGACTAGCGTTCCAACCATTAATGGGCCGACCAATGTGCACAGCGTAATTGCCCATATAACCACCAAATAGGTCTCAGACGGCCCTTCCGATGATTCAGTGGAGAATATCCCCTGGCTTTCTGCGATGGACGCAATCAGGTATCCGACTTCACCTCTAGCTACCATTGCCAGACCCAAGATGAAAGGTGGATATAAAGACTTAGGCTTTGGAGGGAGATATGTTTGTGAACGGGGCGCAGGGTTGTTCGTTGACTCATGTTGGTTGGAATTATTTAGAGTTTGCCCTATATTGCTACATTTGGGTTTCGTCCGAGAAGGAGTCTTCTCTTTTTTCGAGGGCTTGGTGGCTCGGGGTCTGGCGCAGGAGGAACGAACGTACGCGAATGGCCTTTTGACCATAGAAACCAGATCCAGTATGGGGTTTGAAGAAAATCGAACGAGCCAAAGTCCGGTTATTATTTTGCCAATTGTCATCAAAATGGCATATATTATGCCGCGCCAGACAATTTGACCCGAGAACATCTTGGTGATTGGGATTGCAAATCCAATGGATGCCTATCATGTTAGTATTGTTCATCTAGTTTTGAACGGGCACTCACAAAGAAAAGGGGAAGGAGGACTCGGTTGTTGGCCTCTTTATAGTATATTTCGTATACCAATGCACCTGTTGGTGTGTTATGAGGCGTTTCAGTTTTCTGAACAGGCTGCACGCGAGTCTCGGCCGCGTTTGTATCCTCTTCTTGGAGACCGCGTGCACGTCTCTGGGCGGAAGTATTGTGCTCTTGGGAATTGGAGCACATCTGAGAGACAACCTGCTCTGAAGGAGAAGGTGGGATCTTTGATTCAGCAACCAGCCCATCAAACCAAGAGACAACCACACCAGCAAGATAAGCAGCAAAGAGGCTGGATGTGCCAGCATACGTCGCACTAGCCACAATTCCAACTAGAACACAGGTCTGGGCCAGAAATGCAGATTGAGCCGTGCTTGTGAATGCCGGGAATTTGTCTTTACAGGCAATCAGCTTCTTCAACACCGGTTGCAAACAAAATGCACACAGTAGTAGTAGGCCAACGGCAAACCCGAGTGACACGAAAATGGGCCGGATGATAGTCACCGCGCTGAATGATGCGGTGCTCCCACCCAGGTTCGAGATAATCTGGACCATGACTAGACCGACTACATCGTCTAGCATTGCGGCGCTGGTTGTTACTGTGCCGAGTCGTGTGATGGTCAATTGAGTGGTGGAGAGGATGGTGAAGGTGGTTCCGAGACTTGTTGCACTTAAAGCTGCACCAGCTGAAAAGGCTTGAAGAGGTGTTGCTGATACAAGTTCCATGAGGATGAATGATAGACCCATTGGTGCACATATTCCAGTTAAGGCAACGGCCATTGAAAGTAGGATGTTTGCCTTCAAGGCCTTGATTGAAGTTGATAGGCCGCCTGATTATTGTCAGCAATGGCGTTCTAATTATTGAATGTAATCACAGCTCACCTTCGTAGATCAAGAGTATTAAGCCCAGATATCCAATCTGTTGGATCACTGTTTCTGTCTCTTGGTCGAGCCATTTCGCCCCTGGGGTGCCCCACAGGACGCCGATGAATAGTTGACCAATTAACCCGCAATATAGCAAGTTGTTTAGGAAGGTGTTGGCTATGTTCAAGACTAGGAGAAATCCTGTGTAGTTGAGGACTGTTTTGATAGATGGCTCATGGTATGCAAATGCGGCCTCTGATTCGGCCATTTTGCGGGCTATCTAGGTCGTAATGATATGGGACTATTTGATAAAACAACAGACTCCATAGAGAGGTATAGGGCGGGCGGTAAAGTCGAGTATATTAAAATAGCTATATGATATATGATATAGAAAAAATCTTTGAAGATATAGGAGGTTGTATTCAGTTACCCGAGTCCTAGCCAAGGATGACTAACTAGACCTTACCGGGGCTTCCAACGTTCTTTTTACAGCTTAACCTATGATCCTACAACATCATAACAATGTTCAGCATTCCTAGGGTTCTAAGGGAACAAATCCTAATTGAGGTAATTCTTTTTCTCTAAATAGCCTATTATAATGTAGAAGGCTTACATTCCAACAAAATGACGAAAATGACCTAAATAGCCATTGAAGGGTTTTGTATGTATTCTAATAATGGAGATACTTAGCTAGTCGGTATATATCAGTATATTCTGATCTATAACTTCACGATATAGCACATATAGATACATATATTCAACGATATAAATCTATATTTATCAAGAGTAGTAGTAGTAGAGTGATACAGTAGTTGACTCATAGATCTCCGCATGTTTGCTAAACTCCTTTGGGACTAGTGGATGACGAAATCGCCAAACTTGCAAATGGACCAATCAGAGAGAAGCGGAAGAGTCAGCTTTTGTCCGGGGGTAGAAGCGAAACAGAAAGATATGTGACTTGTTGGGAACTTCTTCCTTATTTCTCTTTATTCTTCTTATACTATTACCTCTTCTCTGAACATTGCTTTGTGTATTGCATAGTATTGTTCGTTTACTACAGATTCCTTCAACTCTCGCTCCTCATATCTTTCTCTCTTTCTGCCCCGCTCTGCAGCGATGTCGGCCTCTGGAAATAACGCTGCGTCGGGGTCGACCAGCGGTGTGAAGAGTTATCCTAAGGTTGATCTATCAGGCAATGACCTTCCACCTTCCCCCGCCCCTTCTAGCCCTCATCCGGGTCGCAGATACAACATTGCCACTGAGTTGGTCTTCACCGAGGGCAGTGACCAATACAATGCCAGCAGTGTCCCTATCTACCAGGTATACATTCATCCAATTGCTGTCAATGAGGCCGTAACATCAATTAATCATGGATACAGAGTGCTACCTTCAAGCAAACCTCTAATGCTGGCGGTGGTGAATATGATTATACACGGTCCGGTAACCCCACCCGCACACACCTCGAGCGACACTTGGCCAAAATCATGTCCGCACAGCGCGCCCTCGTGGTGTCATCCGGCATGGCAGCTCTGGACGTGATTACCCGACTCCTCCGCCCCGGTGATGAGGTTGTCACCGGTGACGACCTCTACGGCGGCACTAACCGTTTGCTTAAGTACCTCTCAACCAACGGCGGCATCATCGTTCACCACGTCGACACCACAAGCCCCGAAAAGGTTCAAGAGGTCTTGAGCGAAAAGACCACCATGGTCCTCCTCGAAACCCCCACAAACCCCCTCATCAAGATCGTCGATATCGGCGCCATCGCTACCGCCGCCCACGAGGCCAACCCCAAATGTATCGTCTCCGTCGATAACACCATGATGTCCCCCCTCCTCCTGAACCCACTTGACTTCGGTGCCGACGTCGTGTACGAAAGTGGGACCAAGTACCTCTCCGGCCACCACGATCTGATGGCCGGTGTCATTGCCGTGAATGATACGGAGCTCGGTGAACGCCTGTACTTCCCCATCAACGCATCTGGATGCGGCCTGTCACCATTTGACTCGTGGCTGCTGCTGCGCGGCGTCAAGACCCTTAAGGTCCGCATGGATCAACAGCAGAGCAATGCTCAGCGCATTGCGGAGTTCCTCGAGTCAAATGGCTTCAAGGTCCGCTACCCTGGTCTGCGGTCACACCCACAATACGAATTGCACAACTCCATGGCGCGGGGCGCTGGTGCTGTGCTCTCATTCGAGACGGGTGATACAGTGGTCAGCGAGCGCATTGTCGAAAGTGCTAAGATTTGGGCTATCAGTGTCAGCTTTGGCTGTGTCAACAGTCTGATCAGTATGCCCTGCCGTATGAGCCATGCTAGCATTGACGCGAAGACGCGGGCGGAACGCGCCATGCCTGAGGACTTAATCCGACTGTGCGTTGGTATCGAGGATGCTGATGATTTGATTGATGATTTGCGCCGCGCGGTATGTTTTTTTCCCCCGCCCCTTGCATTCGGGGATTTGATACTAACCCTTTCTTAGTTGGTGGAAGCCGGGGCGGTCAAAGTGACTTTGGACGGTATTGAGGCTCTTTAGGAATAGTTATGTTATATTGGCGTTGGGGATTTAAAATAAACATAACGAACTACAAATTTACATCTAACATCTATCTATATTTATATATATATCTACTCGGTACATGCTATAAGATTCTCTGATGTAGAGCGTTTATCGTTTATCCGGCAGATACAAGTCGGGCCGGCATCGGAGACCCGGCGCCGGGTCGCGCCCGGGTCATTATCGTCCGAAGCAGTTCGCGATTTTGATATAACTTCGCATTTGTAATTCATTCTGCTTTATTTGTGCTTCTTTCCCCGCGTTTTCTGGCCTGCACATACCTCCAAATACAATCGGAATGCCATTAATATCAACATCATGTCGACAATAAACTCAAAACAGAGTATCACTCGCTCAACATGGAATACAAAAGATCTGGGAAAGCGACTCGGCGTCGACTTCGCCAGCGCAGCAACTGCCGGCGCGTTAACATGTCCATTAATCACAATCATTGACCGGTAGGGATCCTCCGGAGCATCAACTTGTCAAAGCTAATTTCCCCAGCGCAATCATGGAAAAAGCCTCTAAAGGCTTCCCAATCCAACAAACAATAACATCCTGTCTCCGATCAATGGTCGCCCAACCAAGAGCTTTCTTCTTCAGCACTCCATTCCTCCTAATATACACCCTCTACGGCTCCACCTACCTCACCGCAAACGCAATCGATACCGTTACCTCCACGATGCGCAACCATAGCTACGACAGCGTAGACACCGGCTTCGCGAAATTCATCACCACAACAACCGTCAACATGGCAATCTGCGTCTACAAAGATGCCCGCTTCGCCAAAATGTTCGGCGCCAACGAATCACCAACACGTTGTCACCCAACCCCCTCGCCATCCGCTCCCAAAATCCCCAAAACCTCTTACTCCCTCTTCTGCCTCCGAGACAGCATCACAATCTTCGCCTCGTTCAATGTCCCCGCCCAAATTGCACCCTTAATCCCCGATTTTATGGCTTCAACGCCTGGCATGAAAGCCTCGCTAGCCCAGTTCTCCTGTCCGGCTCTCATGCAGTTCGTCAGTACACCTATGCACCTGCTCGGGTTGGATCTGTATAACCGGCAGCCAGCGGGTGGGCTACCGTGGACCGATCGTGTTTGTCGGATTCGTCGCGATTATGTCGCTAGTTGCTTTGCGAGAATGGGCAAGATTGTTCCCGCTTATGGTATTGGGGGAACTGTTAATGTGAGGATGAGGAGTTATTTGATGAATCTGATTCAAGGTTGAGCTCTCAACCAGAGCTCAACCAGAGCTCAACCCTGAATGGGTATGGGGATGTAATGACTTCATGAGATTTGTTTTATTAGACTTGCATGCGCGATCAAGGATCCCTTTCTCTCCACTCTGATTTATGGATATCTCAAATGGTGTTGGCTGGATTTGATTCTGGGTTCGGGTTTTTATTTTCAGATTCTTGTTTAGACTGTGATATACCTATGCAGTACAGACTTGGCTTTGGACTGGTTTATATTGTCCTGGCTGTAATAACATTGATTTACTCCCGTTGATATTAATTTGATACCATGAAGACTATATGTGATTGAAAGGCCATAGCTATATTATTCCATCCTGTCAATACATCCTATCCTCTACTACCAAGCAAATCAAATGTAGGAGAAAGAATTAATATATACTTTTGATGTAAATACAGATCCACAGAAATTAAGAGCAATATCAAACCAGCAGATAATACTCAACTCACCACCTAGAACCAGTTAGCAAATCACCGAGGAAATAAGAACCAAAAAACACTTACACGAAAGGCTCCGAGTGCAAATACAGTTCCTCAATCTCGCCCCCAAAAACCCGACTCTGCGCAACAGCAGCCGCATTCCTCGTATCATGCAACATAGAAGCAGGCCCACAGACCAAAACCCCGACCCGCTGCTTCCTACCAACATGCGTCCCCTGCGTATGAGCCATAGCAACAGTCCTCGCAAGCAAACCGGGAAGATCAGGCCTCGCATTGCGATGCACATTCAAACTGAACCTCCCCGTCGTGGTAATCTCCCTCGGCACCTTGCCGGACTTAAGATCATCCTCAGAACTAGACGATATCCCCGACTCACGCTGGCCAGTAACGTGGACCGAAACCGAAGTCTCGAATCCATTGTCGGAAGATGCCAGCATCGTCGATTCAGAAAGTCGTCGCTCAATCTCCTCAATATACCAATCCGCCATGGCGTGGTCCCGCGTTGAAAACACAACCTGAAGATTCCGTCGCTGATTGTGCTTCTCCTGCTCTGCGATTTCCATCCCAGACACCCGGAGTGCTTCGTCGACCATCGCGAGCGAGAACCCACCCCCAGAACCGCCAGCAATAACGAGAATAGTGTCGAACTGAGCCATATGAGGCTCGCTGACGCCGCCGTATGGACCCTCGACTAGGATCCTCTTCGTGCATCCGGGCCTTTGGGCAGCCATTGCTCGGAGACGACCAGTTACGCCACCCCGGGGCTTGATATAGAAGACTAGTTCGGAGATGGTGTCGGTGCAGGCCGATGAGATGGTGAATGGGTGGGCGGTTAGGAGATGCAGATCTGATGTTAGGAACCGGACGAAGACGTGTTGCCCTGGAGTCCATTTCATCTTCGATGGGACGGACACACGGATTAGGCCGCCTGGTAAAAGATCTAGCGTTGCTTTGTGCATTCCGTGCAATAGGTAGGTGCGTGTGTGGCTGACTATTAGGCTGGAAAGGTAAATTGCGCCGGAAGCTATGAAGTAGTCCCTGGTTTGTGTTAGTGGGGTTTTTTTAATTTGATGCAGATTGGGCGTACCAGGATGACAGACGGAAGTCGCAGTGCAGGAAGAAGAAGACGACAAAAACCACGGCTACGAGAATGTGTGTTGCCTTGAAAAATTCGTAGAATCGGTTGCTGGAGGTGTTAGGTCTTCGTCTTAAGCCGGTCATGTATGATCTTACCGAATGAATGGCAGAGACATCAGGGTAAGATATGTCTGCGAAATGAGGGAGACAACTCCCGTCCAGTATGCTACACTCGTTTTCCACTGGTGCATCATATCCCCTTTCCATATATGATAGATTATGTAGGGGAAGGTATGAATCAGAGCCAACACGAACATCGCATAACTCGTCCAGTGGTGAAACACCTGGAGTTTCTCATGTGGAATACCAGTCAAGACAGCAATCATATTGGCCTTTGTGCTCAATGCCCTAGTAAAAGTCAGCGCCAGCTCAAATAAATTCAATTCCACTCCACACTCACAGCACGAAAGGCAATAGCGCAAGGGCCATCCACCCAGCCCTGGTCGCAATCGGTGGGCTACTCCCATAAGAAGCATCTGTCGGCCAATAATAAGGCTGTGGACCAAGTGTCATACCTATGGGCAGTCAGCTGCAAGCCCATAATTTCATATCTTGTGATTGAACCCACCGAAAAAGAATGCAGCGCCTAAAACCCCCAAGATGACAACGCCTAGTGCTGGAGACCAGTAGCGCAATGCGGGCGATCTATATCCGCGATAAGAGAAATATCGCGAGACCGAAGTGAACATGCGCCATGGTCGAGTCCGCTTGACCCTGTCCGGGGCGAGTCTGACTAGCAGGTTTGAGATGGTGAAGATACCGATCACGGCACACATGAAGTATATGGTGTTGAGCGCATAGACATGATCAGCTTGGTACCTGATTTGATTAGCATCATCTCCTGTATAAATAGTCAGAGACCCATACCAGTATCGCCAGGAATAATTGCGATAACGACATTGAGCATCGGTCAGTGTGCAATTATCCTCACGAGACGAGTGAAGCATCACCGGCTGGTCTAGCCAGGGTGTGCCTGTGCTCATTTTCATGTCCATCTTCACCAAACAAATTGAATCACATTAGTTGTGAAGGAGAATCGGATCTCATAACACACTATAAGGCGATCTGCAAGATTAAGTTTGGTGGCTGCAGCCATCGTTGTATTGGTAAAAAGAAAGGTTCCATGGTTTCCGAATGTCTGTTTTGACAGCCGAAAACAGAGAGAGAGCCCTAGAGCCCTGGGATAGCCCCTGGATAATTAATTATTGAGGGAGTTTCAGATTCCCGTTATGACATTCCCGCCGATCACGCCCGAAGGGAGATCTGCTCAGAATTGAGCACATTTTCTGATGAACCCGCAGTCAGATCTGGCTAGTGCATATTCTAGAATCGTCAATAAAAACACTAAAGCGAAGCTAGAGCAGATTTGAGCTTATACTATTGCATAATTGTAAATATAATTCCCGATACATGATTTGCTACAGTGTAAATTGCATGCGGAGAGAAGGGTCTGAGAGCCGATTCTTTTACGAGTGTAATACGTCAAAGCTAAACAATAATATTGAAAGTGTCATAGGGTAGTAGTGCCAAACAATGAACCAAATCGATGATTCAAAAGGAACAAGAAAACGAAAGAAAAAAGAAAAAAAGAAAAAAAGAACAAACTGGGAGTAGAATATACCCGCATCGGGACTAGCGTCTCACATGGTCAAGACCAACCCTACATTCCCCTGTCAAAGGAATTATTCAAGGGGCACCGCTTGGACGGAAACAGTAGCCCCCAGCGACTTTCCAATGACCCTCTCCCCAATAAACGGCTTCAAAGCACCATACCCACCGCATACACTATCCGCTTCGAGACCTTTGGCCCGAAGCACGCTCGTAGCCACGCGTGCCGAATCTCCATTATAGCACACTACGAGAACGTGTCGAAGATTAGATACGTCGTGGAACATCTTCTCCATCTCCACCCATTGCGCCTCGAGGACCCCTGCATCCGAGAACGGTGATGGGGTGTGTGGCCCCAGGCTGGTGAGGGGTTTGTTCAATGAGCCTGGGAGGTGCCAGATGTTATAGTCAGTGCTTTGGCGGAGATCGAGTACTTGGGATTGTGGCTTTAGAATTATTTCGTCGAGGTCTGTTGTTTGAGTTGGAGAGCTGTAGAATTCTGGTAGAACTTCTAGGGCTTCGCGTTCCCAGCTTTCATCGTACCGGTGGAGGTCGACCTTTGTTAGGCGCTGTTGGTGCTTTGTTAGTTCTGCCATTTTTTCATGTGGTAAGTCCTTGGGGAGGGGAATGGAGGGGGGGGATTTACCTCATTTCGGATTGGATGGAATGAGTTCTCGTCCAACTTTTGGAAGTACTCATCGATATACTGATATGGCAGGTCGCAGCATAGGAACACGCAGTGAATTATTCCGTCCGGACCCGCGAGCTCAGATAGCGTTCCAGCGGCTTTGCGCTTTTCCAATGTCTGGAATAGTCCTTGGAGATTGAACCCGGACGAGGGGCCGCAGACTAGTCCCTCGCGGCACAGATTCAAGGATAGAGTATAAGATTCCATAGAACCGACTTCTTCAATCGTATCCACAGCATCTTTCCACGGAAACTCGACTGGCCGCATTAGAGCGTAGGACCTTGGTCCGGGTACCCTATCGCCGGGAGCTGTGCAAACACCCAATCTGTAGACCGATGGTTTGACATCTTTGAAGTAGGTGCCCAGCCCGGTCATTGTGCCTGACGTGCCCATGCCGGCGCAAAGGACATTGATTTCAGGTAATTGTTTGAATATTTGGGGTCCTGTCCAGCGGACATGGGATTGCCAGTTGTTGTTGTTTTCATATTGGTTTGGGTTGACGATTGAGTCGGATTCTAGGGCTGTTCGCCGGGCGTTTTGGATCCCGCCTCGTTCATCAACCGGTTCTGGCTGGGAAGGCCCGCCAAAGAGAGTGATATCCAGTCCAAAAAACTGCATTAACTTCAATTTGGCGTCGCTGGTCTTGTTGCTTAGGAAAGCCCGCGTATCATTCACACCGTGCATGACTCGGGCCACCATTGACATGGAAATCACCGTTGAGCCGGAGCTGTACTCAATGATTCGGTTTGTCTGTCCAGGTACAACACTAGACTCGAGCATGTTCAATGCTAGCTGGTGTTAGCCTGTCTTTGGCGTGCTATAGCAGATTGACATACCTGGCATTGCCTTTACATTGTTCGCTGGATGCATAGTCATCATTTTAGCATAGATGCGTACACCATCTTCATAATAAGGGTTCAGATGTGGTGGCAGCTCTACAAGAGGCAGAGGAGGCTGAGAGTCAGGATTGAAGTATTTCTTCAACGAGTCCGTGCCGAAGTAAACATTGCGTTCATTGATGTTGGCCATTTTTTCGGATGTATTTGGGATTCCAAACTCCTACAAGAGAAAAGATATACAGGAGAAAAGAATATAAATCTAAAACTCTCACGAGCTGGGTTATGAATCTATATAGCGTCTACCATCTGCCTTCGGCGTCTGAGCAGAAAAGTAAAATCCTCTCATGGCTCCACCATAAAAGACCTCGGATAAATCTGACAAACATCAAAGCCAGTCAACGTGGACTCAACGTGGATGGAAGCGCCGGAAATTGGCCACGATTTGCAAGGAACAAGGCAATTGCGAGCGATCTCGGGGATATCGACATCCAATTGTCGATCAGACCCTGTATATCGCGCAGCCCCTCTTTGTCAAAAGGTAGTATAAAAACGTTGAAAACGGAATAATTCGCACTGCGCCTGCGTCATTCTGGTATTCGCGATGTCTTGGTCGTCAATGTTCCAGAATTTAAGGTGTCACCTTGGCATTTGACAAGGTCCCCCTTACTATTCCCGCAGGTACTCGTGCAGTTTTCATTAGTTGATTGATATTCAGAGATACATACAATTCGCTGAGTTATTTCAAATAAAAAAGTACAAAAAAGTATAACGAAACGGGGCGGGTACCTTGAGAGTGTTTGAGAAGGTTTACTCTGCAGATCTTCTGTCAAGGTGCTCGGATAGCCAATTTGCCGATCTATGTCGAAATCACCATAGGATTATTGTCTCTTTTTTACTTTAGTATTGCTTCCTTTTCTTTTTCGTCTTTCTTTTCTTTGCTTTCTGTTTGGTATCTTTGAAAACGGCTGCCCTTGATATACTTGATACACCATGACAGGGGTACAAAATCCTTCAAACGAAGGGTCTGAAAAGAATGAAGCCCAAGTCACATTTAACGAGCAAACTAATTACGTGCCTAAGAGCACTATCATCACAGTTAGTGCGACAAAGGCAAAAATAGCCCAATTACTAACATTGGCATAGATCTTTCTGGCATGCTCAAGCGTCGACCTATTGGCTTTGATGGACCAGACGACCCTAGCAGCCAGTTTATCCATCATAGGAAACGCTCTAGGAGCTAGTGACCAGACCTCATGGATCTCAGGTGGTTACTTTGTGTCAGTATAATTATATTCTTGTACCTCTCATACTCCCACACTAATCCTACTTGTAGAACATCAACATGTTTCCAACTTCTGTATGGAAAACTGTCCGACATCTGGTCTCGCAAACTAGTTCTTTTCGTCGGTCTCGCAATCTTTTTCTTTGGATCACTAGCAGCATCTCTAGCCCAGACAGCGACGCAATTAATCATCTTCCGCGCCTTCACTGGTGTCGGCGGTGGCGGCTTAATGACAGTCGCACAGATGATAGTCAGTGATGTCGTCCCACTTCGTGAACGAGGCAAATATCAAGGTATTCTAGGAGCCGTTGTTGCTATCGCCAACGGAATCGGCCCTATTATTGGCGGTGCTTTGGCCTCCATCTCAGAGGATTCGTGGAGATGGATTTTCCGCTTGAACTTGCCATTAACGGCACTGACTACTCTGGCTGTGTTGTTCTTTATGCCCCTTCGGAAAGTCACTGGCGATTGGAAAGTTAAGTTGAAGGCGATTGATTTCTTCGGTGCGCTTTTGGCGCTTGGTGGAACTTCGATTTTGCTTCTTGGGTTGACTTGGGGTGGTGGCGAGTATTCGTGGGACTCGACGCATGTAATTGCAACGCTCGTCGTCGGGTTTGCTATCTCTGTTGCTTTTGTTGCTTGGCAGTGGAAGGGTACGTCGATGCCGCTGGTCCCCATGCATATTTTCAAAGGGAGAATTGTGAATGGTGCTTGCTTGACTATGTTCATCAATGGATGGAACTTCTTGGTGCAAGTTTACTACATTCCCACTTTTTATCAGTTGGTGTTTGGGTATTCTACGGTAAAAGCAGCGGCGATGCTGCTGCCTATTACCCTTATGCAAAGTATGACCTGTTTTCTCATCATTTAGTTACAATACTAACTCAATTGACAGCTGTTAGTAGTACAGGATCTGGCCTTGTTGTGCACTGGGTTGGTCGCTATCGAGAAAGTATCCTGTTTGGATGGATTGTCTGGGCTGTTGGCCTTGGTCTCTTGTCCACACTTGACAAGCACTCCAGTTTGGGGAAGCAAATTGGATATGGTATTTTGACCGGTGTCGGAGTTGGAAATACATTGCAGCCGTAGGTTTCTGCCAGAAATCATCAATTTGGTCATCTTGCTTATCTCTATATAGCTCTCTCATTGCCGTTCAAGCTGGCGTTGAAAGACGCGACATGGCCGTGGTGACGTCGTTTAGGAAGTAAGTAAATCCATTGATCTTGTCCTGAATAAATCTAACAGCGAATAGCTTCGTTCGAAATCTCGGGGGTACTCTTGGATTGGCTATTGCTGGGACTATCATGTAAGGCTATCTAATCCATTGAGTGGTTCTTCTACTAACAAAACATAGTAACAACATTGTTTCGTCATCTATCTCAGTCCTTAATCTTGATGATATAGAGTCCCGATCACTTTTGTCTAGCCCACAGAGCTACTTATCCAAGTTGTCTGCAGAGGAAGCCGAGCACGTTCGCGATGTGCTGACACCGGCCTACCAAAAGGGCTTCCGAATTATCTTCATTATAGGAGCATCTCTTGCGGCCCTTGCCTTCCTCTTGGCTGTTTGGTTAATGCCACAAGTTGAGTTGAATCGAGCAGACGATCAAGCTTTGAAGCAGGAAGCGAAAAAACGAGTGGAGAGAGAATTGAAGAAACAAGATAACAAAGTGTAAGCTTTCCGTATCAAGGAGACTGTTGCGGATAGACCCCTTGTTGCTAGTCAGACACTTCTTCATACATATCTTTGCAGATCTGCACATCTTTATACGCCTCTCAGTTCATCTCTGTTTAAAGTCCTCCTAGATATATCCTCCTGTATACATATTCCCCTGCCCTATAAATATAAGTTCACAGATTCTCCGTTTCCCTCCTTCGTCACAGCGAGCCTAAGTACCTAATGAACTACGTCACCATAGACCCTAGGGACACATGAAAAGCTTCGATTGCCCAGGTTCTGTTTTGTAAGAGTCATAATATTAAGGTTGCTACCTGAAGATAGTTTGCAACACCCTGCACAACGAATTCATCCCTAGCCAATGGCTTTCACTCTATCTGAAGCTGTCAGATAATCAATGGCGCTCGCACGGCTCCAGCTCGCTCAGGGCAATGTCCAAGGTCTCCAATGCCTGCACCATATTCTCAATGGCAGCGTTGACGCGGTTGTTTCTCTGGAGAGCCTCATCCGGTGCATAGCGAATACTTTGCAGATCTCGAAGACGTACGGGTTGGTTTCGATCCAGTCACTCACGGGCAGTATCTAGGATCAGATTAGCGACAGTCAATCCACTGCCACTTCGCCACCAGCCTGTTGTAAGATGCTGTGAAGACCTGAGGTTTTAGGGACTGTTGGATTATAGAAGATAGACGAGGAGATAGGTGGAGAATACCACACTTCCCAAACTCCCGGAGATGACTAAACCTGCCTCAAAAAGTTTGTATCCTCGTATGTGCCGATAAATACGTATTCGCATCCTAGGTTCTGCATATATCGTAGTGGCTGTGCAATCTTTTGCTGTAGCTCACGGCAATGTAAAACGGCAGTCTTAAGGTTATACGCCTGACACAAGGAACCTTTCACTCGCCAACCAGTTTGATACAGGCGGCACCAGCCTGACGCGGCTCGAATGGCCGTAGGTATGGGTTTTTGCCCGGCATCTTGTAGTTGCTCCATATTTCGAAACAAAACAATCAGCAACCCCACAATTCAATAGTTAATCACCGATAGACTCTTCAAAGTAAGTCTATGAGAGCCATACTTTTTCTTTGGAACGCAAGCTTGTATGATAGCTTCGGGCGAGCTGTGAATTTTCGTGGTTGGTGTTGGTCACCATTTTCGCGCGAAACCCATCTGCTCCGCTTTCACGGAATATTCGTAAGGGGTAGTGTGATGCAAGGTGATTTGAAGATGATTCATCCACAGTTGCACAGCGAGGGCTATACAGGTCGGTGACAGAGATTGGAAGGAAAGCAAACTTACTTGGGATGGGCCGTTTTGAGGTCTCCATGTTGTTTTCTTTTGTACCCTTGCTCTTGTGAGAGGAGTAAACACAACAACCAGTGAGATTAAGTATGTTCAAGCGCAGTTGATGTAAAAGGAAACATATTTATGCCAACAATGGCAGTTGAACAGGAAGTAGGAAATGGGTTCGGTGAATGTGTCAAGGCGCTTTTTTAGAGAAGTAAATTGGTATCTATAACCAGCTGCCTACGAAGGTATATGAACACCGGGGTCAAATACCTCATTATAGCTTGTTATGGACCACTGCAAATATATATCTCTGCTGTGCCTCGTAATAGCAAAGACTCTTGTTTTATAACCACTCACTATATTATCATAAGTAAGAGCTTTCATTTATCGAATTAGATTCTATAGCAGATGTGAGAGGCAACTAAATAATATCTGAGATAGGAGTGAGAGATAAGAAAGGGAAGATGATAGCGGGAGTAGAATCCAGCTAGGTAATCACAACATATATGATCAATCCATGACATGTACATCGTAAAAACCCTTTCGATTCCAAAACTTGACAAATTGCCGTATCATATTCCCATCTAGTGAACGATATGCAATATCCGGTCGACCTCGCAGAACCTCGACAGCTTGATCCGCGCGATACCACGGGGTATATTGGCTGGCTGTCCAGCGTGTGAGTGGCCCCCGAACTGGCTCCCGGAACATTGGCATCAGCGGTGCCAACGGTCCATCTGGCTCTTGCTCTTTAGCAACCTGTGCCACCCAGTCATCATAGTCCACTAGGCGCACCGGATACCCAGCATCGTTGAGCACCCGACAGGTATCTTCAACCGTGACTGAATGAACTTGATCTGGCGAAACAAGGCAATACGATCGACCGAGATTAGCGTTATCCGCGGCGATATGAAGCATCGCGTTGACCACATAGTCAAGCGTCACATATTCCAGTCGTTGAACCAGGCTAGGCCAAGTCCCCATTTGAATGCATCCTACCAGAAGTCGTGACATAAAGTCTGATGGATTACTACAGCCTGTATCTGGGTCTCCGATCACAAACCCAGGTCTGTAAATTGTGATCGGTAATCCGCGGTCTCGCATGCGTCGCACCATAGACTCCGCAGTCCACTGGCTTTGCGAGTAGCCTAGATCAAAGCGGACACCTTGCACATGGGGGAGCAGCGGCCCATCTTCTTCCACCGCTTCAGTTCCGAGCGTATACCCTGTTGTACCCCATACATCGATTGTGGACATATAGTGGAACCCCTTCCGGCGACCGGCGGCAGCCAGCCGGAGCATATTGCAGGTACCGAGGACGTTGGATGAACGGTGTTCGCGATATGATTCGCAGAAGTTGATCTTTGCTCCGAGATGAAAGATAACGGACGCCCAGTTCGCAAACCGCTCGAACTTCTCCTTCCCAACACCAAGGGTCCGGTCAGAGAGATCACCCTCAACAAAGACCAACTTCTCCCGCGCTTCCACTGAGTCAGGCCACAAGTCATATTTCTCAAGACAACGTTGCACACGCATCGCTGCAGACACTCCTTCTTGACCACGGACCAAGCATGCGATCTGCTTGACCGTGGGACGGATCATTAGATCGTGCAAGACACGTCCACCCACGAAGCCTGTGGCCCCCGTAAGAAATACCCTTCCTTCGTCTGGAGCATCCCACTGCGGCACCATCTCAATGTCATCAACGAGGTCGATGTCGCCAATCCAGACCTTGCTGTCGTCGGGGGCATTCTGACGCCTGTGGCTTTCTGCGGCTTCGGTTTTGGAAGTAATCACATCACACAGGTCTGAGAGTCGGGAGTTCCGGTTGAGCTTTTCCATTGTGATGATACAGTCTAAAATTCTCTGGATGTGGCCGATCAATGCCGCGGCTTGGAGCGAGGTTCCGCCGAGGGCAAAAAAGTCATCGTCGTCTTGGATGTGTGGCTTGTTTAACATCTCCGTCCAGATCTTCCGAACCTCTGCCTTGATACGTTCATTCTCATCTGACCCCCAGTCTTTCGGATTCACCTTGCTTGTAGAATTGTGGGATTGGTTGCCGGTCTCTTCTTTGAGTGACTGAAGCTGTTGCTGAAGCAGCTGTTTGTAGTCCACTTTACCTGTCGCGGTGAGTGGGAGCTTGCTGACAAATTCAATAGTGTTTGGGATCATGTAGGCTGACAGCCGTTCTCTCATCAAGCCAAAAAGGTCCTCTTCGCTTGGGGAAGGTGATGTACTATCTACCAAAACGAAAGCTACCAGTGCTTCTGCGCCTTTTCTAGAGAGAGGCGGCTGCTGAATGACAGCGGCACCTTTGATCCCATCAACTGACTTGAGAGTGCGCTCGATTTCACCCAGCTCAATCCTGAATCCATTGTGTTTGACCTGATTATCCTTGCGGCCGATGAAGTCAAGAACATCGGAGCTAGATCGCCATTCGGCTAGGTCGCCTGTTCGATAAAGTCGTACAGTGCCGCTCTGGTCCTCACCCAGCCCCTTTGAGGACCGCGCGTTGATCAGATGTTCTCGAGGGAAATCGACGAAAGATGTCATGTTCTCTTTCTCTCGCTTCCAATATCCGAGCGACTGCTGCGGTCCTGCAATGCAGATTTCGCCCTGTTTTCCTGGCTCGTAGATGACACGATCCTCCTCAAGTAGGAAGACCTCCATGTCGCCCACGGCTCGGCCAATGCTGATTCGATCTCCTCTTGTCTCTGGCATGGTTACTTCATACATAGTGGCGAGAGTAGTACACTCCGTTGGGCCATAAGTATTCCACAGATGTTGTGGGGGGCCGTCACTCTCTAGGACTCTCCTCATTGCTTGCGCATTTGCTACATCACCAGCAGTAAGCACATGGCGGAGAGACCGGTAGGTATCCGGGGATGCGAACGCTGTGACTTCAAATAATGCTGCCATCAGAATAGTAACAGTAATTTGGTTGTCTCTCAGAAAGCGGTGGAAGGCTTTCGGATCTGTGGCGATATGTCGGGGAACAGTCACGATCGTAGCACCGGCGATGAGAGTTACCCATATTTCAAACAAACTGAGATCAAAACCAGGATTGTTGAACTCGGTAACCCGGTCAGTCTGTTCCAGTGGAGTCATAGGTGTCTGGGTTGCCAGGTGCAGAATCCCCGATGCTCGGATCTGCACTGCTTTTGGCTTGCCCGTCGAGCCTGAAGTAAAAAGGATGTGACTTCGGTCTGGAGGGAGTTCCTGCTGCAGGAGCTTTTCCACAGACACCGATGGTCCGTCCGAACCAAGAGAGATGGGGATCAGCTTGAATCCCGAATCAATCAGCGATTGACGCCATATCTCGGTGGAATTGTCGGCGTCAACGATCAAGCGTTCAACTTCGACATCATGAAGCATGTCAAAGATGCGCTCCTCTGGTAAAGAGGGCGAAGGCTCCATTGGAACGCATGTTCCACCGGCAAAACGTACTGCGAGCTGGGCCACGACTTGTTCGATACCGGGGCCGAGTAAAATTCCGATAGGCTCTTCTAGGGGGACTTGGTATTATTCTCAAGCAGTGAGTGTGCTAGGTAGCTTGATTCACTGACAAGCTCAGTGTAGGTCAATGACTTGGATTCATCGAGGACGGCCAGGGCGTTGGGGGTACGCTGAGCGTGGGTAAGGATAATATCTTCCATGGTGACTCGAGCAACGGCGAGTTTGAATCAGGATTGGTTATTTTGGTGTTCTGGTGTTCTGGTATTCTGGTGTCCGTACAATGGTGAAAGTGCAAATAGGAATTTGAAGAATGAAACCAGAACTGACAGAATGCCGCTTTTTTAAAAGGATTTCCTCGGCACGCGGCATATATGATGATATGAAGCTCTGTACAACAGCATAGCGTTAATGATATCATATAAAAAGTGATTTTGCCCGCAGTATGTCTTGATTTTGCAAAGCACCAAGGGCATCCTCCGTGGCAAATACTGATCATTTGTTGGAAGAACTTGTCGTGAACAGGTATAACAGAAAGATGACACAGTCAATAACCGTGGCAACTCGTAATCAAACCTTAAGCTTCAATTTGAGGATTATAATGACGTGCAAGAGGCCCATAGGCTTCGTGCGCAGTGTTCGTGCGCAGTGCATTTCTTGATTTATCCACCTCCAAGTACAAGGATCGGCAGTCTGAACTCGCAAGAAATCCATGTATGACCTGATATAACAGACCTTTAACATTTGTGATTGAACAAAGTAAAACAATGCTACGCTTTGTCCGCTGGGAACACAGTTCCGGCATACATATAATTGGCGGATAAACTAAGCGAGCTAGATGGAATGGACAATCTGAAGAGATTGGAAAGTGGGGCGAGTTTGCACAATTGGACAAGTGCATATGCAGGCATCTGAAGTTGGTATAGTCCCCGGAACCCTAGAGAAAATCAGTGCTGGTTCTTCACGAAAGGTGTCAGCGGAAAGTCTAAATTGCACCGCGGTGTTCAACGGCTATTTTGCTAAATTCTCCACCTCAATGCCGCCTATCTACCCTCTCTGAGTTGCTTTTACTTGAGATCTCATATAACTGCTTTGTTTGATAATTTAGATCAAACATTTCCCTCGCCAATTATCGCTTCTTTTCTATTGCTGGGTTTCTGGCTTTTTTTTAAAAAAAACATCAGATAATATAACAAGTCCTGACCCCTACTACGTATAAGATGTCAACGGGTCTTGAATACTGATATATACACTCTTCCAATGAAAAGTATGCTAAAGGCCGATGTATTGACTTCTTGGGAGCTCGGTCCTACTAGTCCTTGCAAGCCAGATGCCTACAGGTTGGCAGTTCAATGTGTTAAGAGAAGCAGGGGCTTTCGAAGAAGGACTGACATGGTGTCATTCGTACCTGCTATAGGTCCATCGGAGTTCTGTAAATCCTAAGCGGCAGCCTGCTAGGCGTGCGTAAATGTCATTGCTCCGTTGCACATGTTGCATTACAACATTCACGATATGGATTGCTTATCTTATCCATTTCAAGCTTCTCCGATATCATAAACTTTTGTATCTCTTGATATTCCAGGTTCCTTGGCAATATCGTGCGCACAGCCCGCTTCACTGTGTCGGTAGTCTGCTTGAGGCTTACATTGGGTAGTTCACCATGCATACACAAATTTCCGCTGCAGAAGGAGACGAGATTCCGCGAATGAAAACCTGCAATCTCCAGCATCCATGCGACATGATTATTATAGATCTTTTCACGTGACAGATTCTGTCCGAGGCTTACTATAATATAACAAAGGTGCGCCTCACGGGCCTTCTCTCCAACCTGAAATAAACTCACATGATGATATCAACAGGGTACTTTCCAGGGATTTATGATAAGCGATGACATAACACATATTCCCGAATAGAGCAGCATACTACATGCTAGCTCCAGCATGACAATCAATTTCTGTATGTCTTTAGGAATGAATTTCGTGGAGAAAGCGGATACTAGGGGCTTTCTGAATTGATATAAATAAGTAAATCAGCATCTGCTGCTGGTTATGCCAAATGTATCTTGAATAAATCCGAGATATAATTGCTCTGACCCCATCTCACCGTATCCCACCTATGCCAACATGTCCGTCAATCGCCCTTTAACCGATCTCCTCAAGACCGTGCCATCACTTCATAGGGCCAAACTATGTTCGGTGTCACAAAGAAGCCTCGGAACCTCAAATACAGTGCATTGCTCTTTTCATCGGACATCGGGGCACTCCGGAGATGCCCTAACGAGGAAGTGCCAGGCCGCTCTAGAGAATCGCCACCAGAAAGGAAGATTGATCGAGCCAGCAAATCCACAGAAGACTGGTCAGATGGTAGATTTTGGCTCCAACGACACACTTTCGCTTGCCTCCTCAGGAGCACTACGCCAAGCCTTTCTCGATGAACTTGCCCAACATCCTGATTTTGAAATTGGTAGTCGATCCTCGCGGATTCTTGAAGGGACTACCCAGTACCTTCTGGACCTGGAGAAACACATGGCTCAATTTCACCGAGCAGAATCTGCACTGTTTTTCCCGTCTGGATATGAGGCCAATGTAGCCATCTGGTCGACGATTCCCCAGCCTGGTGATGTTGTCGTATACGACGAGTATATCCACGCTAGTATTCATGATGGAATGCGCCAGGGAAGAGCAATGACTCGGATGTTTTCTCATAATAGCTGTGCATCCCTTCGAGAGTGCCTATTGAACATATGCCAGACAGACCCCACCGTGGCAAACGGAGAACAAAGGGTGTTCATAGCTCTCGAATCGTTTTACAGCATGGATGCCGACATGGCACCTGTGCATGAAATGTTAAAGCTGACGAAAGAGATCCTGCCCCATGGTAACGCGATTTTCTCGATTGATGAGGCCCATTCTAATGGCGTGGTTGGCGAAAATGGATCAGGCTACATTTGCCACTACGGTCTCGAGAATGAATTTCCCATCCGACTGCACACGTGTGGAAAAGGACTCGGCTCAACAGGAGGTAAGCCCGTCGGCCTTGAACAAACTCTGTGAATGCATTCAATATATAAGACTTGACTTTCTGACCCATCAGCAGCTGTTGTACTTGCTAATCCCGCCATCCGTTCTTATCTGATCAACTACGCGAGGGGCCTGATATTCTCTACGGCACCAGCATTTCCATCGTTGGCGGCCGTGAAAGGAGGGTACAACATTCTGGCCAGCAAGGAAGGCAAGGAGGTGAGTTTCCAGGGCAATGGTCAGTGATCGGTTTGGGAGGGTTCCATTAACGAATGACTAGCGTCGCACTCGTCTACAGAATAATATTCGCCATTTTTATGAGAAGCTCACTTGTCATTCAAAATGGGCGAAATGTGTATTCGGCGGGATCCTCAGCCTCCCTACGGAGAAAACCTGGGATACTGGTCCATATCTTGTCCCTATTATCCCACTTATCACGGATCTTGGACAAGCAGCGAGCCTTGCTCAGAAATTACAGGACGCTGGTTATCATGTGAATCCGGTGTTCTTCCCTATCGTGCCTCGAGAAAAGGAGCGAGTCCGGTTGGTTATGCATGCAGACAACACCACAGCTCAGATTGACGAGATTGTGGACTTAATAATGGACTGGTCGATGGAACGTCTTGCGGGCCAGCTCGGGAAACCAGCTAGTCTTGTGTGCGGTGGGGACATATATCAGAACACACCTTTTTCCGACTGAGCATTATCCGGTTTCTTTGAAATGTTGGTAGATTCATCATTCAATACCACTTGGCTCTTTGCACCGTATTGATAATTGGCATCCTCATCCGAGGCCAGGGCAGACCTTCACAAGGAAAGTGCCTCTAGCCATTTGAACATATTCTCAGTCAGATAAAACTATTTTGCGGATCATGAAGATCATACAACGGGCAATGAAATATGACAAATGATTAATTGAATTGCAGACGAAGGATAGAAGGCGAGATCTGTATATCTACTGTATAGCCTAGAATGCGTTCAGGATGAATGTGATCTATTAGTTACTAGCGGTAAGTTACCGCTCCATGCGCTAACATATTTCAGCCCACATGTTGTCAGTGAACCCTCGAAATGAGCCATCAGCTTGGCAAAGATCTGCTACTCAACCCTGATTTCAAGTTTTGAGGTAGTGTCTTCATTCGGATTGATGCATTTGGGCACCAAAAATGGCATCTTGCATTTGTTCGCTGACATGTTTGATTTCCTTGATCAAAGTGTCATACAAGGAACTAATGACGTATCCCTAGGGTGAAGATGGAGGGCAAGATATAAAACTCCCTAGAACATATACTGACAAGCATTCGAGTTTGATATCTTGTGCCTCAAACACAATACAGAATACCAATATTGATCAAGATGGAAATACTATCAGCCAACCTCAACTCCTGTCTCAAGAGACGAAAAGAAGATGGCCGTTTGATGACACCATATGTCATGTCGACACATTCTGAAAAAGTTGACTTCGCCTCGAATGATACCCTCTCGCTGAGCTCTTCGCGTGACCTCAGCAAAGCCTTCCTGGAGGAGCTGGATCGAAACGCGGGATTCGAAATAGGAAGCGGATCTTCACGCTCTCTTAGTGGTACTACTGAATACCTGGCCAACTTAGAGAGCAAATTGAGAGACTTTCATGGCGCCGAAGAAGCAATTATCTTCAACTCTGGATTTGATGCTAACGTGGCTCTTTGGTCCACGGTTCCTCAAATTGGTGATGTTGTTCTCTACGACGAATACGTCCATGCTAGTATCCATGACGGAATGCGTCGTGGACGTGCTCGCACCCAATCATTCCGACATAATGACTTTGTGGATTTGAGAAAGCATCTAACAGAGTTGAAGACCGATGAAGGGGTTGCTGAAGGCCAGAAGGTGGTCTTTGTGGCAGTGGAGTCATTTTACAGTATGGATGGAGATGTGGTCCCTCTGGAGGAGATGGTGAAGGTTGCTAAGGAGATGCTGCCAAAAGGGAATGCAGTACTGGTGGTCGATGAAGCTCATTCGAATGGTATCGTTGGACCTAATGGATCCGGTGTGGTTTCGCATCTTGGTCTTGAGAGCCACATTGGGTTGCGAGTCCATACATGTGGGAAGGCGTTAGGATCAACCGGAGGTAAATACGACGAACAGTCGCCCGTTATGACGCAACTAACAGTAACAGCTGTTTTGCTTTGCAACAAAGCTATCAAATCCTATCTTATCAATTACGCTCGCAACGCTATATTCAGCACGGCTCCGACCTTCGTGACGCTGGCTGGAATCCGAGCGGGATATAATTTGTTAGCAAGTGAAACTGGTCACCGGGTATGTTTTTGCCGTACCATCATGTGAGGATGGGAGGTTAATTATATGTACTCAGCGCCGTCATAACCTCGAAAGAAATGTCCAACTCTTCCATCGACTTCTCCAAGAGCACTCGACATGGCAGGAGGGTTCTAAGCAGGATGTCTTGTCGGTTGTCGACGGAGCGACACGATTATCTGGGCCTTTCTATTGCCCTATCGTTGCGATGATGACACGCCCCGGAGAATCTGACGACCTAGCTGATACAATTCGGTGTGCGGGATATCTGATCAATCCTGTGAAGTATCCAATTGTCCCAAAGGGCCTAGAGCGGGTGCGTATAATGTTACACGCTGATAACACGGACGAGCAGATTCTAGATCTGGTCCAAGTTATCGTGGGCTGGTTGAAGGAGAGAATGGAGTGAGGATTAGCCTAAATTGGGACTAGCACGTGTGAGAAAGAATATTATTGATTTTTAACCTTTAGACTACATTTAAGAAAGTAAATACGGTGGATTTTTCGTAACAAAACATGCTATGCTGATGTTGTAGAAAGACATCACTCCGAACAAAAAGCAAAAAGTGTGCTCTTCCAGAGGAATCAGTATGATATAGTGAATTTTTATGGACAGCAGAGTTGCAAATGAAAGGCAAGAGATTTCACAACGGGTTTGTACGTAAAACACACATCGAGTGGTGGTGGACTCGTTAGCTTTTAATGAGTTGTCAACTGTAATTGTGATAGTGATTTGATTCGACATGGGTATTCATCCAAATCACCCCTCCCAACTTAAGATGATCAATGAAATTGACGGATACGGACTCTGTATCTTTTGGTGACTCTGAAATCCCCAAGGCTGGACTTGTCTTTGGAAGTAGAAAAATTGGTCTTCCTAATCTTTCGTATGCCTTTCGATACAGAGACTGGGTCGGCAGCGTTGCTAAATATCCTAGGAGCAAACTTGAAGTCAACGGGCTATAAAGAAGAAGGAGAAGAAGCAAACGCTATGAGCTCTGCTCTTGGCGGGATGCCGCTGGCTCTTAAACAGGTCGGTAGATTGATTGTCCTCAGAGGGATACCTCTAGAGCGCTGTTTCGCATCATACAATAAAATCTCGTTTAGCGTAGATGCTAAGAGCACAATGAGCATGAATCGCAGCCACACCCTAGCGACCGATTGGGAGACGGCGTTGAGTCAACTCTCGGGATTCAGCAAGATTCTCCTCATTATCTTGTCATTCCTACATTCTGACTACATACATCAGTCAATCCTGAAGGATGGCGCTCTCCAAATGAATAACCCCACCTTGGAGTTCATGATGAACGCTACAGAGTATGCACCTCGCCTATTGAGCCAGCTCACGTTCACTCGCCTCAAAAAAATTCCTAGATACCCAAGAGGTGCTACTTTGAGGCGCTCTTGCTCGCAAGTCAAGCGAGACTGGAATCATAGCTATGCGCCAGCTGGTCCAATGTACAGTCATCCGTCAAATGAGTACTCAAGATCGAAAGAAGATGGTTTCCCTTACAGCAGCTATCCTCACGGCGAATTTCCCGAATACAAATAGCCCCGACATTGGCCGGGGCGGTTGCGCTTAGAGATGGCATACACAGTCTTGATAGAAATTACGTTCTAGTGAATGTGGCTGCATCTGACTTTGAAAATCTTGTCCCTTGGATGCTGTGGTGATTCAATTTTAGTAGAACTATCAATACACATATCATAGCATACGATTCTCAGTTCTTTTAGAAACGGTAAATTTTGCAAGTTTTGACTCGTCTTAGTTTGGCTAAGGAACGAGGCTAGGAGAAGTGGTGGCAGTGTGGAAGTCCCTAATGTAAAAGCAATTGAAAACAATGTTTTCCTCTTCAAGCTTACATTGAGCCTGAAGAACGGCGTAATTAACTTGCATACACACGGTCCTAATCATTGGGTCAGGAGCGACCGTGGCTTTGCGGCTATATTGGGGCTGGCCTGGTGCATATGCGCAGGTAAGACTAAGGTTGCATTCAGACATCCCTAGCGTTGCCCCAATGAAACAATTTCACCATCAATTGGATTGTAAGTACAAGGCGTCGTCACGTTCATTTGTTATTGTATCAGACATGAATAGTGACCAAATACATCTTGTAGACTAGATTACTGCTGTCGCAAGAAATAAAATACGTACTGTTTTTGAACGTTAGGAGTCAGCTGCAGAGAGTTAAATTCCAGGGTCTGCATGCTAATACTACAACGTACTTTTGCCTTGTTTTGGACTTCACGGCGATAGTTCCAATTCCCGTTACGACGATTATTGGACCGTAGATCATTCCGCTATAAGGACGCACTTCACAGGGGATGGACCGTGAAGTGTTTCTAGGCTTCCGTCTTGCAGGATGACCTGGCTAAATTTGGTCATATCGCCGGGATCAAGATGAGCCTCATGTTGCTTATATATCTTATTGGTTCATCTGAGAATCACGATCGGTGTATAAGGTTACAATGGCAGCAATGCCCTTGCCAATCCTCATATTTTGTTGAACTTCAAACTTGCTGGCTCGTATCCATGCAGGTAAGATCCCCTGCATCCTGATCTCCACATCACAATCAACCACATGATGTACCAGCGTCACCACCACATTAGGACAATGTTCACTTGGGGGCCTTTCTTGAGCATGCTTCTCTTGTATCCACTATTGTCTACTGACTTCTATAAAGAGCTACTTGACTCCCCTCCTATATCACAGCATTCGGAAACCATTCAATCTTCCCTCACTATTCCTATAGTCATTGCATACCCTTAGAGGCACAGGATCCTACGAGCTCAAACTTTGAATACCCATAATGCGGTTCTCAACCTCCATCCTCACCACGGCCCTGATTGCTGGCGGTGCAGTCTCAACCGTCCACGCAGCATTGCCCAAGGCTAATGAGTACAAATCCTCTGACTGGTAAGCTATCTCAATCCATACATCCATCATCGTTTCAGTCCATCATGTACTCACCACATTTTCCTAGTTCTGGTGCACTCAACTACGGTCACCACTCTGCCTTCCTCGGGGATGTCACCATGGACGACTCGTCGCACTCTGTCTACCTTGCAGGTGCCAATTGGGTCGGCTTCTCCGACAAGACTAGCAATGGTGGCAAATGCAGTGGCTCGGCATTGACCGTGTTGCAGGGGGAGTGTAACAATCTTGACACCGCTCACCCGGGGAAGCGGATCAAGTGTGTTAGAAACATTGACTGAGCTGGCAGTCTAGCAATGTAATTAGGTTTTAATTCATCGAAGATATACGAACATTGGACTTTTTTAGGCAAAGGCTGGCTTATAATTCATTAAAAACCCACACAGGGACTTTTATAGTTACTCACTTCAACTCTACCTTAAGAAGAACTTTCACCATTGAAGGTGATCACCGATCACATAGTTTATCTCATGATGAGTTTCATGGTAGGTTGCTGAATTCTAAGAGAATTGATCAGGGAGATGTTGAGAAGCTTGTATGGCCACGTGCTCCAAACATCAGTGATAGAATGCTTGGCATTTCGGCCTCATTAAAAAGGCACCGATAATTGCAAGGCGGTGTGTTATTGATGCAAACCCGTCAAACATGATGAGTCAGCTCCGTAAAAAGTGAAGTGAAGGCGGGGCAAAAAAAAAATCACAAGTCTTATCGCACTTCAATTCTTCATCCTAATTCAGTAGAGCTGTGGTTTCTACCTTGACTCTAAAATGGCGATGGATTTAGATGCCGCAGTGCCTATGTCACTGGATTCCCACCCTGTCTCAGCTACGTAAGATTATCGTCGCCACAATCATGTCCCCCGCAGCGTGCTAACAGATTCTAGTATTCTTTGCTGCAACTGTGGTGCCCCTATCGATGGAACCATTTCAGCTGGAGCGCTGTGTTCAGACTGCTTGAGGCTGAATGTTGATGTTTCAGCAGGGTAAGTCTGGAATTACCCCGCGTACAACACGGGCAATGACTGATAGATCGGATCTCTAGTATCCAACGTGAAGCAGTTCTCCACTCCTGCAGAGACTGTGAGCGATGGCTCCAACCTCCCAACAGCTGGGTCGTCGCTGCTCCCGAGTCAAAGGAACTACTCGCCGTTTGTCTGAAGCGTCTTCGTGGCTTATCGAAGGTCCGGATCATCGACGCTAGTTTCATTTGGACTGAGCCTCACTCTCGCCGTGTCAAAGTCAAGATCACTATCCAACAAGAAGCCTTCCAAGGTACAATCATTCAGCAAACGTTCGAGGTCGAATACGTGGTCGCTTCGCAGCAGTGCGATGACTGCAAAAAGTCTTACACACACAACACATGGAGGGCAGCAGTCCAAGTACGACAGAAAGTGCCTCACAAGCGTACCTTCCTCTACTTGGAGCAGCTGATTCTGAAGAGCGGCGCCCACAATGATACTGTCAACATCAAAGAGGCCAAGGATGGTCTTGATTTCTATTTTGCGCAACGAAACCACGCCGAGAAGATGGTTGAATTCCTCACTTCGGTTGTGCCGTGCAAAATGAAAAAGTCTCAAGAGTTGATCTCTATGGATATTCATACCAGTACAAGTTCTTACAAATTTACGTACTCAGTGGAAATTGTGCCTATTTGCAAGGACGATCTTGTCGCACTACCTATCAAGCTTGCTCGCCAGCTAGGCAATATCTCGCCTCTGACTTTGTGCCACCGAGTCGGAAACTCGGTGAATCTCTTGGACCCTGCCACTCTTCAGACTGCCGAAATCCCGACAGGCACATATTGGCGTTCGCCATTCCGAAACTTGGCTGATGTCACTGAGTTGAAGGAGTTTATCATCATGGATATGGAGTTCATGGATATGGACTCTAGCCCCAAGGCCAAGGGCAAATTCCGCCTTGCTGAGCTCACAGTTGCTCGCTCCTCAGACCTCGGTTCCAACGACATTACTTACTTCACACGCTCACACCTTGGCGCAATCCTGCACGTGGGAGACGCTGTGTTGGGCTACCACCTTAGCGGAACCAGATTCAACGATGATAACTTTGAGGCCATTGAGGCGAATAAGCAGTACAGTTCGAGAATTCCGGATGTTGTCCTTGTTAAGAAGTCATACGCCCGCAAGAAGAAGGCTAAGAACCGCGCGTGGCGCCTCAAGCGTATGGCCCGCGAATACGAGGAGGAGGCTGTTGCCGCTGCCGCCGCCGGTGCTGGCCAGCAGACCCGCCGCGAGCAGCAGGAAGCCAACCGTCTCGAGCAGGACTATGAGATGTTCTTGCGTGATGTTGAGGAAGACCAAGAGCTACGACAAACACTTAATCTCTACAAGGCTAGCACACAACCCCTGGGTGACGATATGGATGAGGACGATGATAACGACGATGAAAATGGAGTGCCGCAGATCAACATGGATGAGCTGCTTGATGACTTTGATGAGCTCAATATGGGCAATTAATGAGCACATGCACATGATGAATCTATGTTCCAGAGGCTGGCGTTCCGTGGCGAATCTAAGACAATTAAATAGGTCTTTCAAAAAGAATATAAGCTGTTTAACGATTGCATACACTTTTACCTGCGCCGCAAATAATGTAGACTCAACAAACGAGCATACACAGTATGCTATAAGCCGGAGTTAGCCCTCGGCTGCCGTTGTGATTCGCTATCATCAAATGTATTTAAATGGATTATGATGAACATTTGTGTCGAACAAATATCTCTTTGCCGTTGGGTCGCCAACGGTTGGTGGATGAGTCGGCGCCAAGGGAGTCTGTTTGAAACGCAGGTTCTATCAATAATTTATTGGCTGTGTTGCGCTCGGTATATTGTATTTATTGTCTTTCATGCCACAACCGCCCTTTTCATTCTTCTTTTACTCACTCAAATTCGATCGATTATTCACATAGTTATAATTCTCCGATTGTTTGTTGCAAGCCCGACCAAAGATACCTTGTCAACCTCGCAACCCGAGAAGATCATAAAGTACCAGCACATGTGGTATTTGACACACTCAGACCTGAAACCTGTATGATTGCATTCGCGAATATTTCAGGCGCCTGGTACGGGATATTTTCTCCAACGCCGGGTAGTCGGTAGTGGCAACGCGGCCCCGTGAAGAATTTTGCTGCAGCAGAAGCATCCGCTGGTGGCAGAACAATACTGTCTTCCGGGTCCAGAGTAACTGACGGAACCGTGATAGTCGGTAGATTATCCAGTTTATTTGCAAGTTCCGCGAAGGATGGGTCTCCAGGCGCGTAAAGAAGTCGGTTGCGGTAAAAATTGACTGTGATGTCGACAAAGTCAGGATTGAACAGCGCCGTGGTTGTGAGGTCGAGATATTCTTCAGTAAAATTCCATCCGATCGAGTTCTTTTCCCAAAGTGTTTTCGTCCAGTCTTTTGGACGTTCAGCCAGACCCGCCGCGCCTCGAGGCGTGAGGAAGGCGTAGTAATACCATCGCGTTGCTTCAGCATTGGGGTCTGTGGGGACCCAAGCAGTGCTTCGATTTTGAACAAGATAGCTGTTGGCAGCAACCATACGAGTACACCGCTCTGGCCACAGGGCAGTCGCTACATTCACAGCGACACTGCCCCAATCGTAGCCTGCACAAATTGCCGTATCAATATGGAGGGCATCCATCAACGCAATCAGGTCGTATCCCAGAGCGGCTTGTTCAGCACTTCGGGGGGTATTTTGATGCAAAAATCTAGTTCCTCCATAGCCGCGCAAGTACGGTACGATGACTCGGTATCCTTGATTGACGAGCAGGGGAACCACAGGAGCGAATGCGTCTATCGAGTATGGGAAGCCGTGGATCAAAACCACCGTTTCGCCGCCAAGTGGACCATCCTCGAAATATTCGACGTTCAGTAAACTGGGACTAGCGGTGACTGCTCTTTTTAAGGGTGCTAGCTGTTTGGTATAACCTTCAGTCAAAGGAGACGCCACAATCAGATTAACAAACAGTGGTGCCGAAACGGCGAACAAAAATAGATTCAAGTGCATGGCAGAATTGAGTGCTGTTTTCTGCTTTGCATTGAAAATTCCACTGAAGGTTTCAACCTACTGCTTCAATAAATACCAGGTCAGTGAGGCTATGTTCAACCTGCGCCCTATTTGCAAGCCTCCACAAACTCCAAGATCATGCCGTCAGCATAAGCACTAAAGTAAGTGCTGAAATTTACGTATCCTTTTGCCTAATCGACTCACCTGCAAGGCAAGCTCCTCGGATTAATGATTGAAAGAACAGCGCTTCATTCTCATTCTTTGACCGAGTGAGAAGCCATGGAGCTGCAGGGCGTCCGCTAGTCCGCATTCCCAAGCCCACACTACTACAAAAAGGATTGAGGATTACACTTTGCTAAACCCCAGAGTCCACGTTTCAAATCATGTCCAATAGTATGCTGGCAATCAGGGACCTCAGTACTCTGCTTTTACCCGAGCTTCGCCTGAGAAGTCATCATCACGGATTGATCGGAATTTCGCATGTCCCTTGATTACATTGGCTCTATTTACAGTGATATAAACATGCAATCCCATCGAACTAGTCCAAAAGCATGAACACAATCAATGGTATCGCTCAAGGCCCTCACTTCCATCTGGCAGCAGCCTCGCCCCACCCGACGAAGTCGATCTTCCATCATCAACTTGAACTGTGATGTCTGTCTTGACAGTAACACAGCGATCATCAAGATGTTCGGGCATCTCAGCCTTGGAAACCCGACTCTCAGAACGCTCATGTCCATGGCCATCCCACCGGATCGCAGGATTCTCCTCGTCACAAGCCTGTGTATTGGTCGCTGTGGCGGAATCAAGCCATTGATCTTTAGCATTTGCTTTGCGGCGCTTGAGTTCCACCTCTTGTTCGTGATCGTTGTTATTTGATGAGCGGGAGCGGGACCAGTAGGCAGGAGAGCGACCTTCACGTCTGTGGTCTACAAAGGCGCGAAGGAAAAGACGTGCTACTGGGGCACAAGAGGCTAACAAGATACTATAGTTCTCGATTCTGGGATCGTTAGTGGATCTTCAATATAATAGCGATGACAGGAGATGTTCTTACTTTACCCAGAGAACAAAAGAGACTATGTTGTATGTGAAATCTAGTCGGTTACCGAGAGATTTGAGTTTCTAGTCTTACTGTCAGACGATATTCTGTGATCTCACTCGGGTTAGAGTAGACTAAAGCTCACATAAGTTTTCACGATAGACGCGCAGCCGGATAGAATGAGTGGCCCACTCAGTGTGATAGTTTGCCATATTCGACGGGATCGAACAGTACCACTGATCTTGCAAAATTGAGACCAAAACGATAGGTTTGGGTTACGGTGCAGGGTTCTTAAAAAGAATTGCCATAGTTCAACTGCGGCGAGCACAGCAAGGAAGAAGTCGATGATAGTGTTAAAGCCTGGCGATTGTCAGTTTGAGCTTATTAAAGGTAAAGATAGCCAAAGTATTTTGACATACCTCCTTGAACAAAGCCAACGGTGGCTTGCACTGTTGGTGACTGGCATATGACGGAACCGTCTTCGGGGAGTGGTGTCCACATATAGTGAAAATATTGAACTCGATTCGCCTGCAAACTCAGTTAGAATAGAGCGCTCATGGGAAGGAGAAAAGCTGCATACGGTGTGGTATGGGTTGGGTCCACACTGGACAATAATCTGAACAATGGTGATCATATTGACTACGAGCTGAACAATAGCGCAGACGATAATTGAGATGCGAATCTTCTTATCGCTTGCAGCAAAGCAAGTCAAAAGAAACCACATCATCCCAGAGCGAGAAACCATCGCGGATGCGACGGCCAGTGGCTGTGAGAGGAAATCCCATTTCATAGCATGGAAACGCTCATCGGCAGTCAAATAGAAGAAGTGTCTCCCGAGTCCCCAATTTGCGCTTGAAGGGTTAGCCGCCGATAGAGAGATGAATGAGACTGGGCTAACCTCTTTTGAATGAAAGTCATATGACTGACATCGAGCCCATATGCAACAAAGAAGAAGAAGTCTTCAATGCCCCATACTCGCCCCGGCGCGGTGACCTGAGGCAAGGCACATCGAACCCAGACTTTGATTGCATAACGGAACACCAAGGTCACACCCACAATGGATGTGAGAGCCTGATTGACGTTTAGTACATGCATATATGCACCCGAACGTAAGCCAAGAGTATATCATCTTACCCAGCAGGCCTGAAAGGTGCCAGTTCCTGTCAAACATGAGTTAGAGGCTATGCATCATTCAAATTCGGATCTGGGAGGCAAACATACCGATGTCAACATCCCCCTCACCGGGTCTCGGAATTTCCATGATGAAGATGAAACGCGAGAGCAAGACGTATCAGCACCAAGAGTACTTTAAGAGTGCTTTAAGAGTGCTTGAAAGATCTTGATTGCAGCGCGGGGGTCAATTCAAATACTCCTCATTCCATTTATGCAATGAGAAACCCAAAATCTGCATCGGGTAGATCAGATATATCAAAAACAAAACCAGAATCCGACCCAAGACCAGGGACTAGGTCAAAGTATGAAGACTGAAAGTTCCTGGAATGGAGAATAGTTGGAGTTCGCGCGATTTACCCTGACACGAACTACTCTACACGTCAGAACCCTGACTGAAATCGACCCTCCTGTCGGGTCGGGGGATGTCAAGTACCGAGAGGGTCAGACTGGAACAAGGGATGCAAGGCAAATCAGGGACAACAGCCACATAGGTGGGCAGAATAGGCTCGAAGGAACTGAGTTTCCGTAAAAGAGCGCGCATGCAAAGTTTTGCTGTGTATAATCCCTGCTTGGTAGCTATTCATAGTATCCACAAATCCACAAATCCACAAAGAAAGGCGATGATGATCTTCTGATCACAGAGTTAGCTAGCTATTGGGCTGACAAGGCCCAACCATGTGGACTCTGTAACACAGGCAACATTCCTATGGGTGGAGCTGGTTGAGGAGCCGTTCAATAGCTATGCAATACCATGCACTCGCAGCAAGGGATACGATGAGAAAAACCAAACATGGTTGAGAAAGTAATTTGAGACATGAGAGCGTGGGATTGGAGAATAAAGGCAAATACAAATTTACCCAGATTCAATAAATTGTACAACTGATCTGTATAAGGTGTTTAATGCACTTGTGGCTTAATTTGGACTTCACACAAATCGACCGTGGATATTTTGGGTTGCAGATCCAAGAATTTGACACTCGGACCATTGCTGTAAGAAGATCAACATCCGAGAAATCCTCGAACTGCGTGAAATAATAAGCTTTGTATAAGCGACGCTATTGAAGATCTATTTGGTCGATGTGATCGATGTGATAAGTGGAAGTGATGTATCAATATTTCCCCTCAACGGAAAGTACCGAACACTCATTTTTCAGTAAATCAAAGTAAAATCGCATTGCATCATCTAACTGGTATGACCATCTAACTAATTACTTTCCTCATCTCCACCAAAGATTCACCAGCCCTAACATATTTCTCAAAAGTGACCTCCAATCCCGTCAAACCCGCTATCTGCCGCCACTCAGTCGCGCTCCGCTCACGCCCGCCATACAAAGCAATCATGCTCGCATGAAGCGAAGTATAAGTCAAATTTTTCGCATATTCGATAATTAGCACTCTCGAACCTGGAGCCATGGCCCGGGAAATTTTCTGCAATAATTCCACAGCATCCAGATCAGGCAAATTATGCAAAATATGTTGTAGCGAGTACACCCGCGCACCTTGAATTGGCTGCTCACTCGATTCCTTGTAATTCCACTCCATTAGAGTGACCCCAGGCACGGAGTCGATATCGGCGTTGAACTCCTGCACGATTAATTCCTTTGTTTCGAGTTGCGGGTAATCGGCTTGTACTTCAAGGAGCAACTCCCCGCGCCCACCGCCGATATCAACCATTGCCACAGAGTCAGAGCCAGCGAGCGCGCTGTCTAGATCGTAGCCCATAGACTTGACGCGCTCCGGGAACGTCCCAAACTTGAGGAACTTCCCAACCATAAAATGGTTGAAACTGTCCATGCGGCCCTGTTTCTCCATAATAGAGTACGTGTGCTTGGATGCCAGATCAGGTTGACCCATTAGCTGGTATGCGTACTGCAGGGGGCCATCTGCATCGGCAAACGGATAAGCAAAGCCCGTGTCCTGAAGCTTCTTCATCAGGAACGCGCCTGCCATTAGGCCTTCGGTGGTACTGGTTGGGATTAGTTTGCGATTTGGGAGCTGTAAGGGAAACGGGACTGACAAATGCAGTGCGCCATGCTGCGCGGATGGCATGGCGACCATGTGTTTTGTGATTGCATTTGCAGCGAAGATGTCCTCGGCCACGCGCTCGACCAAGCCGAGCCCAGACATGATGTACAAGGTGTCCGCTATAGGGAGCTTCGTGTTAGTGCAATTTCCACGTATAATTTTGACCAATTCTAGGACTGCATACAGGCTAATCTGGTACCTATACTTGTGTTAGTCCAAGGAAAGTTATAGCTAATAGGACTGATGCCAAAAGCCATATCAATTAGGCTTCATCCCAGTAACGGTCAAGCACATACTTAGTTCAGGTTCATTTTTCCCTCGCGCTTTGATACGCGCATTACAGGTTTTCGTCACTTCATCAGCGGTCGCAGTGCCATGGCCAACGATGATGTTGAAGAGATCAAAGTGAATAGCGACCGGGACAAACCCCAACGATGCAGGCTACGACAGAATGAGATTCAGTGTTGTCTGACGGGTTGGTCGCACTCACCACTGTGACAGTTGCTGCGAGGGCGGCGCCCGGAGGCGCAACAGGGGTCGAGGATGATAGGCCAAGAAGACCGGCTAGGCGGTTTAGAAAGGACATGATGCGATGGCTTCAAGAATAGAATTGTTCCTGTCGACAGAAAGAATCGAGTTGGCAGGCGGGCAAGTATTATGGTTGGTCGAGTATAGAGTCTAGACTACTATATCGAGGTGGGTTCCGACCGGCAAGAATTACGCTTCATGATGAGTGGGTTTGCGAGATGAAATTACAATGAACATCTACAGGAGCTGGATCAAATAGGCTTGGATTATTACTTGGATTCATGTGCCCCGAGATAGATAATTGGACGCCTGGAATATGGATATGCGCAAGCAAGGGGTATCACATCAAGCCCTAGCAATGCCACGGAAATACGGCGGCATAAGCTAAGCGCCAATCTGCAAAAAAGAACGAATAAGAATGCGATCCCAGATCCTTTCGCAAATTAAAACAAGAATCAGGGATCGGCTAAGTGGCCCGACGCCTAGAGCGATACGATCTACTAGCTTATAATTTAGTACTTTGTGATATATTCACTCCACAAACTTTCTCATATATCGGAACTCAGATCTGCTCAACTTGTTAAGCTCGATATATCACATCTTACAGTATCAGTCATTATTTTCCGAGACTTCAGACAAAACCTGCGCGACAAAAGCCACGCGAGAATCTCCAAGCCATGTGTCGAATCTGAGAACCGTCCATGCATAAAACCTTTAGTGCCCGTCGCACAAAACAGAGAAAGAGAAGATCTTCACTCTATTACCTCCTTGCTTGGACTATTGGCGACTTACTTTCCTCGACAAAATCAATACAATATTGTAGGTACTCTGTACCAGGCACAGCAGCGCATATCGACAATGGAGAAACCGTCTCTCACCGAGAGCACACACGAATTGGAAACAGCATGTGCATCGGCGTCGCATTCAACCCATGACTTGAAGTCCGCCGATGCGGATTCGGAAATGGCCACGGATGTCATGAACCCGCGAAACTGGACCCAAAGGCGAAAAACACTACTCTTCGTATCTTTGATGACTAGCTCACTCTTAGCTGATGGGTATGTATGGCCGGTCGATAGGCGAAACACATATCGCCAGCGCAGAACTGGTCTAAATTCATATGCTGACTGAGTCATGCAGGGCGATGGTTTGGGGTGGCACGTTGGTTACTGAGCAGGCTATGGACTGGGGTGTCAGTGTTACTCATTCAGCGACTAGTATGAACTATGGGATTCTGCTACAGGGGTTTGGGGGCATTTTTGCTGTTCCACTTATTGAAGCGTATGGTCGGTGAGTTGTTTAGCCTTCCGATCTCTGGAGCTTTGTTAATAGGTTCAGTTTGCCGATCTGGTTGTGGCCACAAGTTATCACGATGTTGATGGTGCTGGGGGCGACACTTTCCAATGACTGGTCGACATTCACTACGTTCCGCTCTTTGCAGGGTCTTTTTGGAACAGTACCTCAAGTGATCGGTCTACCGATAATTCATGATATGTATACTCCTGAAGGTAGGTTTTCTCCCGGGTGTACGTGACTTACGCTAATTAGATCAGAATGGCCGCGAATGATTAACATCTGGTAAGACCTCACTATCATGCGATCGGCGGTGTATTTCGATACTGACAATTAACAGGGGCACCACGTTCCTCGTCGGGCCGTTCCTCGGTCCCGCAATCGCAGGATACGTCAGCGCTGGAACAGACTGGCGCACTTCCTTCGGGGTTCTAACAGCCATCTACGGCATGTCCACGATCATGGTGATTCTCTTTGGCTATGAAACTTACTACATGCCTGGAAAGACGTCTGGTCACTCACGTCTCGCATCTCATTTTGGGATTGGAAACACCGGTCTTCCCAAAGTACCCACGTTGCTATACTCTTGTCGAGAAGTTGTGACTTATGTGTTAAGGTTCCCGTTGCTGATGACTGGTGAGTACTTCTGTCCTTGATAATGACCGCAGTCACTAACATGCTTGCTAACAGGAATGACTATTCTGGTAACATTTACATGGCCAATTGGTAAGTGTGGACATCTCCATTTCCATAAACCTCCTTGTTCAGCTACTGACTTTTCAGGTATCACAACCACAATCGATACTTTCCTGCATAGTCCTCCCTACCTCTTCGATACCATCGAAGCGTCATCAATGCGATTTGCAGGCGTAATCGGCGCCTTATGCGGTATGTACTTTGCATGAATTTCCTCCGTCCATCTAACAACTTTCAGGTTGGGCCGTGGGCCACTTCTTCAACGACTGGATCTTCAAACGCCATGCCTCAACCTGGCGAACGGGACTCCGTCTCCACGGGGTATGGTTCCCGATCGGCAGCATGGCCTGCGGGCTTATCACCTACGGGCTGACGATGCATTTTGGCAAACACTGGATTGGCCTTGCCTTCGGATGGATCATGGTAAATATTGGAATGGTTGCGACGATCGTGTAAGTGCATGTCTTCTCATCTTGCTTCGCATCACTTGCCTAATATTTCTGCTCAGTGCAATTTCAGCATATGCATTGGAAAAGTACCCCGAGCAATCAACATGCGTTTCAGCAATTCTGAATATGTGGCGGACGTGTGGGGGATTCGCAGTGGGTTATTTCCAGCCACAATGGATCGTGCGTAATGGTATCGGACTTGTGTTTGGGATCCAGGCTGTTATTGTGGTTGTGGCTGCTGTTTTGACTATTACTCCTGTTTTGATGTGGGAGGCGAAAAGGCGGTTGCAGGCGTCTCAGGATGTGTAAGTGATGTTTATGCGATTACCATGATGTATACATAATGTCCCTTGCAGGAAAAATTCCCCCTTCCCGGAGTTAGGGGTATTCTCTGCTTCTTTCTCGATCTTGGTCTTGTTAGCTAGCAAAAAAGCGTTGTAGAATGTTAAGCGTATCCTGATAGCCTCTTTCTCCAACAGATCGATAACTTCGATATCGTCAGTACCATTTCAAACCCAAGTAAACTGGAAGTACGCACAAGTCGACCCTATGATCTTCCGCTTCTTTTCGGGGTCAGAAACACCCGCAAGACGACTTAAGAACAGCTCGCCAGCCTCAACGACTGTGAGATCAATGCCAAGGTGCTTTCCGAGAGTAAGCTTAACCTCCTGGCACTCATTAAGGCGCATACATCCAGTGTCGATGAGGATGGCTTTGAAGCGATTTCCAATGGCCTCACGCATTAGGGCAGCTCCCACAGTGCTATCGACGCCTCCCGACACAGCACCTAGGACGAGAGCTCGGTCACTGACAAGGTCTCGGATGCGAGCGATCTCAAGCTGGGCGAAGTCGCCCATTTTCCAATTCGGCTGAGCTCCGCAGATATCAACACTAAAGTTACGGAGGATCTCGCTTCCGCGGGGTGTCTAAATCATAATTAGAGGGGGCTATAGTGCAAGGGGTCAGGATAACGAACGCGTTCGAGCTCAGGATGGAACTGAACGCCTAATCACCTTGTTAGCAAATTCCCTTACTAGGCCGCCAGGCAGCTAAGTGGAAGACAAACCAAAGATAGGCTTCTCCTCGTGGGTGATGTTAGCGTACTCTGAGTCCTTAGTGGCACCAATGACCACAAACCCCTTTTTAAAGTCAATAATAGTGCTCCTGAAACGAACTCATTTCACATACAGTAGGCAGTCTAACTAGCTTATCGAAGTGTGACATAAATATAGGAATCTCATCTCCTAAACCAGCGAAAAGCCGGTCGACATTACTATTCACCTTAGTTGTTGTAACGTCGGCGTGGCCATACTCTGCGAGGACAGTGTCAGAATTGACTTCAGATATTGTTCCAAAGGTTACAAACCTCGTGCCTCTCCGCGGGCAACATTCTTTGCGTCGATTCTCCATGCGATTTCCTGGCAGGTATAGCTAGGTGAATAGTATTAGTATCAGTGTTATACCGGTATCTGCCGAGGCAAGCCATACCAAATACCCCTATACCTCGCGTATTAGTCCAGCTTCAATTTTTAAAATACCTAGGAAGGTCGAAAGAGCACTCACAAAATAGTTACACCAAGGTCAAAAATAGCGGGATCAACATCTGCACATATGGAGATAAGTATAGGCAATAGGATGTTCAGGGGACGAAAACCTTACGGGGCGAGCCCTCGTCATAGACAGAAGCAGGATCTAGTAGCTCAGTCAGACCTCGGCACAAACCATGCACAAACCGTGCATCATTAGTGACTTGACTTTATAACTCCAGAGAACACGATTCCTTTAGGCTTCCATGTCAGATCAGCGATCTTAGTGGTACATGGAAGCAGCTCAGCGAAGACGCCGAGAGCCCGAAGCCGTCGCAGAATGAGATGGGTCGTTTGAGACTTCAACAACGGAAGTCAGCATTTGCCATTATGACTCATTTAAAGAGGTCTCAGGAGCCAGGCGGCGGTAATGAAGCTCCGTTATGTGAAAGAGGCCCAAAGAGCGGTAGATTGGAATGGGCAGATGGGCAGATGGGCAGGGGGACCCCCGATACATACGCCAAAATTGAGAACGAGCATAGTGTAGAAAGTCAAGTGTGAGTCAATCTATTCTTTATGCGTTTGTAAAGGTGATTGATCGCAAGTTACGGAGAGTGAGGACAAGTGAGTTTCCAAGCTCGCCAATCGAACCCTCTGTAGAATACTGATGGTACGTACGTCGAAGTTGTTATGAGGCGCTTCAGCCTCAATGTTAGGAGCCATGATGATCATGGTTTCGGTGTTTCGAGACAATTGGCGGGGTTCTCAAAGTCAAGAAATTAAGATGAAAAGCACAGTTGATACCGCCTCTTAGATAGGATACCGCCTTCAAAATGGTGAGTTGTGAGTCAGATAAATAATTTAAAGTGCGGCAGCTGTACCCGTGTCAACGCGACTCAGCCCTCAATGATTCCCTCAATGACTGGGGTCTTCAGGAGCGGTCACGAGTTACATCGCGTTTAGGTCCTTATTTCAGCAATAACGATAAAAGATACCAGATTGTAAAGGGCTACCAGGACCGACTAATTTAACCAAATGAATCCAGAATAAATCTTTTAGTAAACGGCAAAAATATACAACAATGAGGATTCGCTGATGGTCACTACTAACTTACCGGCGTGTGGTCCAGGTACGGCTGAGCGGACGGGAAGCCCCTGTTCTCCACACCGTAAGATTTGAGTTATGATAGTCAATGATCATCGTAGGTGCCATAGAATATACAATGTATATCCTCAACATACCTAGGTAGAGTGCTAGCGGGATATATGCATATCTAATGCTTGAAGTAGATGTTGATCGTTTCAATAGATTAGTTTCACATAGTGATCCGTGCACACACACGTGGCTGAAACATGTCAGGTGATGTACTCATGCCTGATTCTCCAGGCCCTCAACTCAGATCCACGGGCGCTAAAACACGAAACATACGCCTCCGAGGCTTATTCCTGTTGGCATTTTTGACATCAGCGCCTTGGGTTTAAGATAACCCTACTGCTCACGAAAATGTGCAATTAAAATCTGCTAATGCTTCACTGACTTACCCCTGATCTGATCTTCGCCTCCTGAACGCTCCTCACCTTTACTGTTAGTCGATCATTGCCTCATGATTTCAAGTCCCGCAAACGATGACGCTTCCCGTGGGGCTAGTGGCAGGCCCTGAGAAACGCCACAGCCTCGTTGGTTCATGGGCCGCGTGGTCGTTGATCTATCCCCAGTAAATTTGTCTCTGAGCCTATCAAATGACGCTGTTTGGAGCTTCAACCGAATATGGTGTGTGCCTGTTCTGCCAGTTCTTGGATCGTCCACTCTACACGCCCGAGTTAGTGTCGAACTGGTTTGTCAACGGCGATCACTGACCCTTTTTTTCTCTTGTGCATTGCATGTCATTAAGCGCTTGTTCCCTCTCTTCTTTTTTTCCCTCGTCCTCCACTCTTCTGAATGGCCTCCAGTTTCATTTCACCACTGATAGTTTGTTCCTGAACGCCTACCATGTTCAGCTCTCCGCGACGATGGCTCTTCATCGTCTTTCCGCTCCTTACATTTAGCTTGATATTTTATATTTTTCGACTACCTGACTCCGATCCGTTACCCATGAACACTGAAGTCCCTCAATCCGAAGAAACAATCGTGGTAGGAGAGGAGAAGCCGACACAAGACCCTCCCCAAACACAGTCGTCACAACAATCCCTAGAAGACAAATGCGGCCACCTCCTTCACCAACTCGACGATGTGATGGTGGTCCTAAAAACAGGAGCAACCGAATCCCTCGAAAAAGTCCCGATCCATCTTCGCACTACCCTCCAATGCGTGCCCCATTTCGCTATCTTCTCCGACTACGAAGAAACAATCAACGGCGTACGAACATATGATATCCTCCAAAACGTCAGCTCCGAAACCAGAGAACGCGAACCCGAATTTGGTATCTACCGTCGCCTCCAAGAAGTCGGCCGCGAAGGCCTAACGGAAGCAGAGTGGGGCGACGACCAAAATGGCCCTCTCGGGAAGACCAACAACCCCGGCTGGAAACTCGACAAATGGAAGTTCCTTCCAATGATCGACGGCGCTTTGGAAGCCATGCCCGATGCTAAGTGGTACGTCTTCCTGGAAGCCGACACATACATGGTCTGGCCGAATCTGGTAAACTGGCTGTCGCACCTCGACCACGAGCGCCACTACTACCTCGGCAGCCCGATGCAGATCGGCGACGTCCTCTTCGGCTATGGCGGCGCTGGCATTGTCCTCTCAAGCTATACAATGAACCTGCTCAGCCAGCATCGCGCACAGGCCCAGTCCGAGCTTGAAGAAATGACAGCGAGCGAGTGGGCGGGCGACTGTGCGCTAGCACGAGCTCTGCACGACGTCCGCGTCGATCTCACATGGGCATGGCCGATGATGATGACGTCTCGACCATGGGAAATTGACCATTTCTCTGAAGGCTACGGGCGACAGCCGTGGTGTTACCCGGTCATCTCGTACCATCACATGGGACCGGATGATATCGAAGAGATGTGGAAGTTTGATCGGGGATTCTTTGCCAGTGGCAAGAATGCCCTATTGCTCCATGCGGACGTCTACCAGAAACTCATTTATAATGATTCTTTTGCGGCGCTGGATGATTGGGATAATCTGTCCGGGGCGCGGGTTGATTTCGCGGATGGGACCCTTCCCAGCGTTGGTGTCTGTGCTGAGGTCTGTGCTCGGAACGAGGAGTGTTTGCAGTATTCGTTCGATGAGACGAAGGGCGTCTGCAAGCATGCTTCTACGACTTTTGCCGGCGTTCCCAAAAACCTCACTTCGTCGGGCTGGATTAGGCCGCGCGTTTCAAAGCTCCTCAAGGCATTCCAATCCTCTTGCGAGCAAGTCGAATACATCTTTGATTGATTGCTCTTCACTTATTTCTTTGTTTCTGTGTACATATACATTTCCCTTGTCTCTCCCTCTTTTTCTTTTCTACACTTGACCTTGCATATATTCCCACGTTTGAGAACGTGATGCCCTGTTTCCGAGAGTCATTGGCGAGGCGTTTCCCCATGGCGCTGTTTTGGCGTCTGCTGGCAGACAAAAAAACACTACACTTTTGGTCGCTGACCATTTCCACTTCATTTTTCATACCTGTCATTTGCATCTGATCTTTCTAGCGATACCAAGGTTCTACATCAAACAATTGAAAGCAGTTCAAACCTATTCTTGCGCAAATTTGCACAAAAGATTGAGTTATAATACTCGTTGGGTATCGATCGCACTACGTTCAAAGGAAATCCCTGCATGATTCTCCACGAATACCTTGATTTTCTTCGACTTTCTCCCCAATTCATAAGCAAGCTGTAAATCACCAAGATCATCGCCCGACCCTGTCTCAAACCGGCCAACTATCAGAGGCAGAACCGAATTCTTCCAAAGCACAGGTTGGCATTTTCTACCATAATATCCCGTCGCCATCAGCAGCGCAGTGGACAAAACCACAGTCCCGATTGGAAGGATGGCGTACGCCATCTGACATGAATGTATGTCTCATTGCGAAAATGGTGAAGCGTACTACGCTACGGGGAAACAATAATTGGGTTTCTTAAGTGTATTAATGAATAAATGCCGTATCCTAGCAACTCGGTCTAATTCATTTTGAACCTGGACTCTCAAATTTGATTACGAAGTTCAGCATCTTATCCTGAATGAATCTTGCGTGAGGTTTATCTACCCAAGAGACATCAAACACCCAGGGTCAGTAGCAAAGCTTATTGTCTCCGCTGAGTTCGTAGACCTGTTTCGACTTCATATTGAACTTTTTGCTTTTTCGAACGTAGGGGTCACCGACACTTGCCAATATTGTCCAATATTGCATTTGAACCCCATACTGTGATCGATCACATAGAAGCAATACTAAGTTATACTCGGATTTTCTTCACACACCGACTAAACTAGACCACAGATCTCACCATAGATGATACCCAATTCAGAAGATTGTCTGCACGGTACCGAGAGTGGCAGACTAGTGAAGCACATACTTTGCTTGGCGGTGGCTTTGCGAAGTGGTTGATTCGCGCACTAACGAAGATCGTCGCGATCGTCGCTGTACTGTCGCGGTCAGTGGAGATGATCAGGGTGGGGAGCAAACACTATCCTGTTATGATGTCGACGGGATCATATAAATGGAGGTTCCCCCGGCCCTACAATATTGTACCTTGCAGAATTTCCACTGCGACCATGTCATCCCGCCAAATCGTTCTGTGCTTTGATGGCACAGGCAACACATTTACCACTGATGGTACCGAGACCAATGTTTTGAAAATCTGCCGCATGCTTGAACGAACTGATGAACAATGTAAGTCTTCTTAATGTAGTTAGGGAGTCTAAGCTAACCACATCCAGTATGCTATTACCAACGTATGGACCGTCAACCAGTCTCTCAAATTTTTCAATTGAATACTGACCAAACAGCGGGAATTGGAACCGATATCACTCCAGGCTCTCTGGCCAGCACGACCATTCAAAAGCACAGCAGGCTGAGCAACAGCAAAGCACTCAACCTGGCGTTGGGCAAATCCTTTGATCGCCATGTTCTAGGCGGATACCGCTTCCTAATGCGACACTACCGCGAAGGAACTAAAATCTTCATCTTCGGATTCTCACGCGGTGCATATACCGCACGATTCCTCAACGAGATGCTCGATTTCGTCGGTTTGCTGGGTCCCGACAACGAGGAAGTAATCCCCTTCATCTGGGACGCCTTTGCGTCATGGAAATTGGGCCGAACCAACAACAAGCAAGAAGCGAAGAAAAAGGCCTACCAGGTCTTGAAATCCAGTCGTGAGGTCCTGTCCCGACCAGTGCCCAGGGTCCATTTCCTAGGAATGTTCGACGCAGTTAACAGCATCGCCGATTTTGAAGTAAATGTCGATGCAATGCCCGCAACAAAAGTGATCCGGCATGCCGTCAGTATCGACGAACGAAGGATCAAATTCCGACCAGTGCTGCTGGGGATTCAGCAACCGGAGCAGTCTAAAAATTCCCACCCTCGCAAATCAAGTGGAGAGAAACCCCTAACAAATTCTGATGACGATGCCGAAACTGCCTCCGGGCCACCTGTCTTGCCTGAAATTCCGAACGTGAGCACACACAGCCGCAACGCGGACCTTGGAACGAACGACGAAGATCAGGTAGACGTGGAGGAGATGTGGTTCCCAGGCGGTCATGCCGACATTGGCGGTGGCTGGGATCTCGAAGCCGGCGAGGCATGGCCGTTAAGTCATGCACCTCTCGTGTGGATGGTGCGTGAGGCGCAAAATGCCGGACTTCGACTTGATGCTTCAAAGATGAAGGCGCTGGAATGCATCGAGGAACATGATGGTGACTATACCTCCATCGAAGAGGGTGGGAAGGATCAAGCTTCGGAAGCTGCGGATGAGATGTCTTGTTCTCACAAAGATTTTGTAAATGCGCTCCAGATTGGTGGTATGAAAGGGCGTATTCATGATCTTCTCAATTATGGAAGTGGACTTCCCATGGCTTCTGTTCTTTCTTGGCAGTTTATGGAGTACCTGCCTTTGCGAAGAATGGAAGTCCAAGCTGATGGACAGTGGAAGGCTGTGCGCTGGCCGCCGCCTCGGGGTCAGGCTCGTGATATTCCCACCGACGCGCGCATTCATGTTTCCGCTATTCAGCGGATGAGGTCTGACGCATCTTATCGGCCTGCCGGTTTGATATTTGGCTCATCGGAAGCTGATACAAATGGCTCTGGCATTGGAGACTGGACTGTGCATTCTCATGAAGGTGACCCAGTGCGAGAGCGATATGTGCGCGATCTCTCCCGGTGATGGATTTCAATTATAATGTCGTTTTGAAAGATCTCGTTTTGTTTCGGAGGTTGGGTGAATGGACCATAAGTTGGTGCGATATAATTGTTTCAAACAGGCAGGTTACTTTGTCCACTTTCGAGGTTGATCAGGTGTGATACACAAAGTGAAAAAGAGAAGCACATCTACACGAGAGACACTCCCAAATAGCTGACAGCATGATATGTATTCACTATCAATACTAGCAACTACCATTGCCGTATCACTCGCCATCTGCAAACATCACCGGTCCCGCACAGATATTCCTAAACATTCATGCTCAACACGCCAAGATACTTGCAATCGAGCTGAACAGCATCCTGTGGATTATCCACGCATTCCCATAAAGACTTTGAGGTAAGCTTAGCCTGTCCCTTCTCTTGAATGGGACCAGAAACCCTCTCCAGCTCGAGCGTGAAGGACTTGAGGTCCACAGGACCATCAGGGAATCGAATGTAGTATTGGCCGTTGTTGCAGCGGGCGTTTCCCTTGGGAGATGAGCCGTAAGACCTGAATTAAGATGGAGGTTAGTATGTTTTCCTGGAATTGAGAAATTAGAACATTATACCAAATCAAGTTGCAGTCGGTGGGTGTATCTTCAGGGTAGTTTGGGTCGGTGACGATGAAGTGCATGGCGGCACCAGTGGCAGAGGCTTTGGCCCAGAGATCACTTATTTGGATGGAGTTTCTGCGCTCAACATTGAATGGGAATGCGAGGGCAGATGCGGCTGCCAAAAGCACTGAGACAATGGTGAACTTCATATTGACTGATTGGAAGAAGTGGTGTCCGAATTGAGTGAGGAATATATGTGCCGTGATAATATTGATAATCCTCGAAATCGGCGGGAGAGAGCCTTATTATATACCTTAGCTGTCTGCTTATTTAGTTATACAAAGGTTGCTTATAAGGCATCCCATCTGGCTGAGACAGCTTGAGATAGTCGAGCCAATCTGTAGGTGGAACACCACGAATTGTCACATCGAGAGTATCTGACGCATAATGACTGGTCTTCATTCTTCTAAAAATGTAATGTGGCATTTTGTAGGTCATGATTGGATGATGAACTCTTCGTAGTTCTATTTCGAGGCCAACTGTCGAACAATTCTGTAAGGCCCCCAGAGGTCGATCTTTGCCTCATATGGGTCTTGGACCCTGAACATCTCACAACAATTGTCAAGGGTAGGAAGATTTATCATTTGCAAGCTCAAGCATAGGTTTGTCAGTGGATACAAAAGGCTCAAATAAACTGATTTGACCCAGAGAGCTAAGGATAATTATATTTATATAGAAATTCCTGTGAATATAGTGACTGTACCCTTCAGTACCCATCCATGCCGACGAACAATCTGTCCAACTGTAGACTCGATCACGAAAATCACCGCAATATCAAGTCCACTAGTTGCATGATAAATTTGTGAATAGCACAGCAATAAAAACAAAGCACACCACGTGAATGCATGCACGAGAAAAGGAACCCGACCAAGACTCAACCTAAAACAAGCCCAACTGCCGCAGGAAACGCTCTCGTTCGCGTAAAAGATACAGAAATACATGCAAGCCAAGCAGAGTCTTCTCGGAGCTCATAACTTCCGAAGCAGTACTCCGTACAGCTCTCACCAACACCGAAGATCTCCGCCCCTTGGGGCTAAAGTGCGTGCTTGGCGCCTGTCTTGGCTTCATCTTAACCGAAGCATGCCAAGCGTGAAGGATGGATTGCCACAATGAGACTGACTGAAGAGATTTGCAGCAATTTAGGGTAGGTTGGTGGGATGCGTACTGGTACTTGTTAATGGTCGAAATCGGAACGTTGGTGGAGTATACATCAAAGTCAACGACTTATGACAGAGCACATTCATAATCTTATACCAAGGTTGCTAGCTTAAAACTCACCGTCACAGGAACCAAGACCGCTTGCAAGCCTTTCATGTTAGCAACTTCCGATTTATTCCCTCAATTTCCGACGTCGCCTTAGCTTTGCCGAAGTCGCTTCTTGGGCATCGCATTCAATCGGGAATCGGAAAATACTGCCACAGTCCAGTTTGTCAATTTTCCTCGTAATATGACCCATGTCTGGGACCCAAGATACCTGGGAGATCTGATTAGATTGGAATATTACAGCTAGATTACACCCAATGCAGTCGGGCAAACCTTCCCGTCCATGTTCTTAATTGAGCCACTTTCGGTGTAAAGGCGAAACCTTACAATACGCTAGAAGCCCTTGGCTAAATACTATTGGTCTGACTGATTAACCCATGCTCAGAGAACATTATCAGATCATCTGATATGAGGATAGGGCGCTCTAGACTTGCCGGACATGCAATTAGGAATTTTTCTTATAAAGACAACATCCCGATTGTCAAGAGGGCATTTTATATATATCTACCAAGATCAGAGATTGATTCAAGCCCCTTGAAATCCACCATTGGGTCTCTGATGATGGAAAAAATCATCGTCTCAGATCAGGTCACACCGGCCGAGCGCAGCCACGATGCTGAGAAGGCGGTTAGTCGACAGGCCGTGTATGAAAATGACCAAGCGAGCATCTCTGATAAAGACTCCGTCGAGTTCCAAGGAGGTGTGAGACGCGTACGAGCAATCACCTCTTCATGGTCTACCAAGACACTGATCCTGGTGTTCGTCCTGTGAGTCCACCCCATCCGACAAGACACCCAATCTAACAACCCAGTCTGTACCTCGTCTCCTTCGTCGACGCCCTCCTAGTATCAGTCCAGGGCTCACTGAACCCATACATAACATCCGAATTCGGCAAACATGGCCTTCTCACGGTCGTCAGCGTGGTGTCGACCATCCTTGGAGGGTCCTCAAAGCTAACTTTGGCAAAAATAATCGACATCTGGGGCCGAGTGGAGGGGTTCCTCTTCATGCTATTGATTATGGTGATCGGATTAATCATGAAGGCTACATGTACCAGTATTGAGATGTACACGGCCGCACACACATTGTACTGGGTTGGACATATCGGACTTGGATACGTGGTTGAAATCATGTTGGCTGATATGACCACGCTCAAGAACCGTATGATTATGCTTGGTATCAACGGTACACCTGGTATCTGCAGTACATTTGCCGGACCAAAGATTGCTGCGCTGTTCTATGCAAACCTAAACTTCCGGTGGGCATTCGGTGCATTCGTGATCATGCTCGTTGGCGTCTGTATTCCTGTCTGCGTGGTTATGTTGTTGATGCAGCGGAGGGCTGAAAAGAGCGGGCGGCTCACAAAGGAGAAATCTGGACGGTCGTGGTGGCAGTCAATTGTCCATTACTTTATAGAGTTTGATGGTGCGTATCGAGCTCATACTCGCTGTTGATATGACTAACGTTCTCAGTTGTTGGAATCATCCTGATTACAGCTGCTTTCTCTCTCATCTTGATCCCATTCAGCATTGCCGCATACGGACCTAAGGGCTGGGCAACAGACTACATCATCGCGATGGAGGTTTTGGGTGTTCTCTGTGTCCCGGGGTTTTACATCTGGGAGCGATACTTCTCCCCCGTACAATTCCTACCATGGAAGTATCTAAAGGAACCAACCATGATTGGCTCGTGCATGCTATACGGAGTGATGTTCCTCTCCGTCTTGTAAGTTCTCCAGCAATGCCCTGTAGAAATTCAACTAACACCCCACAGCGCCTGGAACAGCTACTTCAGTTCTTACCTCCAAGTTGTGCACCGGCTCGACATCACGACAGCTGGCTACGTTCTCAACTCCTTCTCCTTGACCTCCTTCATCTTCAGCCCAATATTTGGCGTGTAAGTCTGAGCTCAAACTCCTTCTTTCAAACACCACTGACTACGAACTAGCCTAATCCGTATAACTGGTGAATACAAATGGACTGTGATGGCCGGCATTCCAATCTTCCTCCTAGGAACAGCTCTTCTAATCCCCTTCCGCCAACCTTCCACTCACGTCGGAATTCTAACAATGACGCAAATCCTCGTCGGTCTCGGAACCTGCCTCTTCACCGTCTGCGGACAACTCGCCATCATGGCGATGGTCTCGCACCAAGAAGTCGCCGTTGTGCTGGCAATCTACGGGCTATTCGGCTCGATCGGCGCGGCCGTTGGTTCGGCAATTGCAGGCGCGATGTGGAACAACATCACCGAGAAGCAAATATATGCACGGCTTCCGGAGGCGAGCAAACATCTTGCTGCTAGTATCTTTGGGAGTATGGTGACGCAGATGTCGTATGCAGATGGGAGTGCGGAGCGGACGGCGATTGTCGGAGCTTATGCCGATGTGCAGAGAAAGATGGTCATTGTTGGCGTCTGCTTTGTGCCGGTTTGCATTCTCTGTACTTGGTTTTGGAGGGCGGTCAATGTGAAGAAGTTGATGAAGGAGCAGACAACAGGGAACGTCTGGTAGGTGTCTGGTGGGGGATTGGATAAGATTGGTAAGGAGGGGAAGTTGGAGAGTATGTGAGGGTGGTTTTAAAAGCGAGGTTTATATATGTAGATATGAATGGAGTATATAGTGGGCCTGAATCTGATGTAGGACATACTTCCTGATTGAGAAGGTGGGACATATATACTTGCACACGTGATCTTCAGCCAATTGGATCTCCTTCATACGTTATATCCATGGATCGGACCAACTTACCTCCACTATGCTTTATAGCTTATACCTTAAATAGATTATGGGAAGCGCTTGGTGAATCTTCCATAATCGAACAGAATAAATTCGCAAATACGCTCTTTACAGCGCGGGTATATGTACAATAAACAAAAGCCGATCTAGCTATCTTGCCTCCTCCCCAAAAGTCTCAGGGAAGAAACCCGGCGGTGGCCAAATATCCGCAATGGAAGGTGGGTGGAGAGGCTGCGACCCGCCCAATCGATCAGGGTCATGACAGAAAGCCTGGAAAGTGGAGTCATCGAGGAAGCCAAAGTCTTTCAGGCCTGCTTCGCGGTTTGTCGACCACTCTGTCGTATCTAGGTATGCGAGGTCTTTGAAGATGGCGTCTATGTCGCCTATTGGGGAAACTCCGTGAGTTGAGACACCGTGCATGGAGGAGGATGACTCGGGCGTTTGGGGTTGTGGTTGTGGGAGGGGATGGGGACGTTGGTAAGGATTCTGATCTGGGCCACTGCGGGGGATTTTGTCCGGTAGTGAGATGTCCATCATTAAATCTGCGTTTTCCATGACTGTATCTTTTGGTGTGTGAGATTGGTTGTCGACCGGCATTGTGATGCCGAGGATGGAGGAGGAGTAGTCGTCTGGTAGGCGGGATGGGGGTTGCATTGAGAATGGATGGGTGTTAGGGAAAGGGCCGAGGTCTTTGGACTGCCATCGTTCCATGACAGAGACTAATGAACTATAGGCAGGCCATGTAGATGCGAAGCCTGTTATTTTGTGGCGGAACTCCTCTGCCCAGCGGGCGAAGGGGAAGGTTTCTGAATCGGGGGTGTTGCGCAGAAAGTGCGCCTGCTCGGCGATTGTACGAAGACTCAATTCGAAAATCGGGGGGAGACCGCACATCGGGAAGTTCTCCAGGTGTTGTGTGACCATTGACAAACCTCGATAGAGTAGCTTTTTGGCGCCTTCTGTTGCGGGTCGTTGGGAACGGTGCAGCCCCTGCTCTCCGGGTAGTAGCTGGAGATACAACCACAGCAGCGTGGCGACATATGTCAGGCCGAGGTAGCTCTGGTGTGGTAACAAAGCAGAATGACGCTCTGGGTAGATGCTTTCCGGTCCGATCAGGCGACATCCAAGAGGCAGGCAGTCGTCCCACTGCTTCAGCTCCATGACCAGCTGCTGTGCAAAGGTGGCCATATTGAAACCAGACGACATGTGACGGGAGATTTTGTTGAGAACGCTTGATAGCTCTACCAAGCGGTTGAAACAGCTCAAAGCCAGGAGAGGTCCTCGACGCGGCGAGTTCTTAGCGCCATGCGGAGCCCCCATCGGCGGTAACACATCCACCCACGAATTCCACTCTTCTAGCCCATCTTCCTCCAACAAACCCACGGCAGCTAAATCGTTCGGGGGCATAGCGGGACTGCGCGAAAGGCGGAACGAAAGCATAGAATCAATGACAAAACAGCCCAGAAAGACCACCTTCCCTTGACGAAGTTCATCAGACCGCCTCGAGTCAACATACGAGCCGAGCCCCATCGCAACAGCCATGCGCACTGCCTGGCCACTCAATAACCAGGCGGCGGTCCAATCTTCCAGGCCCGAATTAACCAAGGTCAGCAACAGTAACGCCTGAATATGGCCTAGCTCATAGCGCTCTTTCTCGGCAGGAATGAGATTTCGCGAGACGGCATAATACTCCTTCGCCAAAGCGACCGACCCAGGACCAGCCCGAGAATTCGATCGCGACTGAGCAATCGTGTAACTAAGTATCGCCCACAAAGCAGCATGATCACCAGACCCCGGTGAAGCAGTGGCGACAGAGAAAGGCGCATTAGCATAGAGGTAAGAAGCGCGGAGAACATTATGCTTCGCAACAACCGGAAACCACGAATGTGTAGCAGAGAAGTAAATATCCAGCAGCTGCGACGTCTGAGGCGGTAATTGCAACGCATGCAGACTCGGGACCTGAAATCCTCTCTCCTCATCCACCCGAACGCGCTTAGCAGACGAAGAACCCGACACGACGCGCGGAGCATCCGGACCCAAGGGGGCCCGCGAAGTCCTCACGGAATCATCCACGCGCGCACGCTTCCCCGACAAGGGAGGCAGCGGATCGGAATTGGACAGCATTTTCTCCAGCGCGCCATACAGTCGACTCGTTTTCCAAGACTCATGTAGAGATTCCGAAGCGGCGTCTTCCGACCAAACGGACATGAGATTATCGCGGCGGTCTGCCGATTCCGCCGTTGCGCCTAGCATGGTGAGCATGGTATCTTCGAAGCCATCGATGTTACAAATTGACAAGGCCCATAGTTTTTCCAGACCGCGAACGTAGCCTTCGGGCAGACCGCGCTTTTTAGCATGGGGATCGTAGGAGCAAGATTGGTTGGAGGTTTTGCAGGCGGAACAGGTAGGGCGGATGCCGTCGCATTTATCCTAGTTATAGGACGTTAGGTGAGACCAGAAAGGCCAAAATAAAGTGGAAAGAAGTACCTTTTTACTGCGACAGCGATCGCAGGCTCTTGAGACCCTCTTTCGTCGAGGGGTTTTGTCGGAGACCTCCATTTAGGTTGATTGAGATTGATGAGCCATGTAGGGATGCGCTGAAGTGGCGCGTAATAAAGGATAAAGAGGAAGAGGAAGAATACAGAAAGGAAAAAAAAGATTATATAAAATTGCAAGTTTGTATTGAATTAGAACTTTCGGCTTGTAGAGGCCGAGGGTGATATCGGGACTTGATCGGGAGGTGATGAAGTGAAGGTCGGAGACTCGGGTTTTCCCCACGTCCCCACGATTTTCCCACAACGTTCTTCTTTTTTTGGTGTCTACTACTAGTCTCTATATTCTTATTTCTATATTTAAAGGAGGCTATGATCAATAGTTGTTTCTGTAAATAGATCATAACTTCTTGGATTTATCTCATCTTCAACATAATGCCTACAAGAATATTATAATAGATGAATGCCGACCTCTAGTTCCGTTCGGATTTACCATTTCATGAACTGCCGACCATCGGCAATTCCGTCCTTGGCCTCGGATTGAATTTATATATTGTAAAGTGTGAGATTCGATAGTGGAGCAAGTGTACGGAGTATAAAAAGTGAAAATTGAAAGACGACAGATATCACCCCACAAATTTTAGGTGAATAGGGGGGACAGGGGACAGGGGACAGGGAACAGAACAGGGTACAACATCTAAAAACAGCAATGACTACGGCATCCCGAGAGCCTCCCGAATTCGGGGCGGAGCCGGTGGAGATATCAAGCTGAACATGCATAAATGTGCACTCTAGATGTCATCGTGTCGATCCCTTAGTTCCATACAGATGTATTCAGATGTGAGACATATACGTACACCCGCAAAAATGCAAGTCCGAGCCGGAGATAGCTGATGTATCTGATGTATCATCAAGGATCAAAAGACATAAGTATACTCCTTCCGGAGTAGAGAGATTCGTAATATCAATCGATACAAGGTAGGTATAAAAGAGATATCAAGCCGAGGAAGGGGAAAAGCCTTTTGCCGAGGAGGCGGTCGGCAGTTCGTCTGGGGAAATTATACTGCCACTCGAGACCACTTGAGCTGCTCTTTGCTTTGCCTCTCTTTCTGTACGTTTGCTTCAAACTTCGCATTCACTTATTTCCACCTTAACGATGGCGTATTGATTCATCATGATCAGCCCTAAACCAATCCTCGATTCCACAAAAGATTCCACGCTCAACGAATCCACCTCAAACTATACACTGTCCCGCACTTTTCCCCCCGATGCCTCCCTTGTCTTAGTCGGAGTCCGCGGCTGCGGCAAGCGCTCTCTAGGCTTCGTAGCTGCAACAGCATTGAAACGCCGCTTTATAACCGAAGACCACTACTTTAAGGAATCAACCGGAGTAACGCGACAAGAATATCTCAAAGAACATGGCAGCCAAGAATTCCAGCGCCGGGACATTGAAGTCCTCAAGTCAATGCTGGACACCCATCGTACAGGATGTGTAATGGAGTGCGGACTAGGCAGTCTCACCCGACCCGTACAAAAACATCTACGGGAATATGCCCGCACCAACCCCGTCGTCCATTTGTTACGCGACATCGATCGCATCCAGCAATTGCTCGGTCTGGAGGACCAGGCGGTGCGACTATTCAGAGAAGGAGATCCGTTGCATCGGATGTGTTCGAATTTTGAATTCTATAATCTAGAAGACCGGACGCGGGCGCCGGACGATGGGAGTCCAGATCGGAAATCGGCGGATTACTCGTTTAAATTACAAGATGTGAAGGAGGATTTCACGCGCTTCGTTCAATTCATCACTGGACTGGATGTGAATTACTCGAATTATGACTCGCCGTTTGTGCTGCTGGAGACACCACCAGAACTGCGATCTTTCACACATGCTATCTTCATTCGATCGTCGGATTTGATCGCTGATAATGTCAAATTAGCGGAACTTGAGTCCGGTGGAGATGCCATTGAGCTTTGCGTTGATAGCTGGAACTCGGGTATGCAAGCAACCATCAGCAAACAAGTTTCTGTGCTGCGTCGAAATGCACGAGCTCCAATAATTCTCTCTGTCGACGCATCTTCCACCGGACTTGGCCCTCCAGAGGCCAACCCTACACGATATTTCGATATCCTCGAGCACGGTCTACGTCTGGGAGTGGAATATCTCGTCGCAGACCTAACCCAGAACCAATCCAAACTCGATAGGGTTATCCAAAGTCGCGGAAACACAAAGATCATCGGCCAGCAAGTCTTCGAACCCTCCTCCCCAGCTTGGAACAGTCCAGACTGTGAGGCAATCTATACCACAGCCTCAAAACAAGGCTTCCAACTTGTCCGACTTCTCCGCATTGCCAACTCGCGCGAGGACAATGCCGCCGTAATCGAATTCTCCAACAAAATCCGCTCCCTCCCGGGTGCAAATCCACCCTTAATAGCCTACAACATCGGCTCCCTAGGCCGTACCTCTCAAGTATTCAACTCAATACTCACATCTGTTACACACCCCGCTATAACAAGCCCCAAACACACGCACGACCCCCAAATCACCTCCCGCGACGCCGTCCAAGCCCTCTTCGCAAGCTACACCCTCGACCCCCTAAAATTCTACATCTCGGGCGAAAACGTCACCTACAGTCTCTCACCCGCAATGCACAACGCAGCCCACTCCCACTGCGGTATGGGCCACACATACAGCATCCCCCCTCCCCCTCCCTAGCAATGCTCGACCAACTAGGCCGAGACCCACACTTCGGCGGCTCAAGCGTGGTACAACCCTGGCGGGTAGCTGTGTACCAAAAGTTAACCTCAAAAAGCCGGCATGCGGAAGCCATCGGCGCAATAAATACCATCATGCCTCTCCGCGGCGCAAACGGCAAATTCTACCCCCTGCAGGAACAAGCCGCACGTAGGAACCAGTCTGGCACCGTGCTGGGCTGGTACGGCGAGAACACAGACTGGCTGGGTATCATGACCTGCATTACGCGGCATCTGTCGCCGCGCAACGCCGTCAGCGCCAAGACCACGGCGCTGGTCGTTGGTGCGGGCGGTATGGCGCGCGCTGCGATCTATGCGATGTTGCGACTTGGGTGTCGCAAGATCTTCATCTATAATCGTACGCGGGAGCGGGCAGAAGAGGTCGCGCGGCATTTCAATTCGTGGGCTGCAGGCGGGGAGGATGTTGTGCGTGTTATTGGGTCTTTGGAAGACTCGTGGCCGGATGATGTGCAGCCTAGTCTTGTTGCAAGCTGTGTGCCTGCTGATCCGGACCGGGATGAGCCCCCGGCAAATTTTGAGATGCCGGGGCAGTGGCTGGGGAGTTTGACGGGGGGTGTCATCCTTGAGGTGAGTTTCTGCAAGATATTGGACGAAATGCAATGTTTTGAAGTACGTGGAATATGTGAATGCTAATGTTGAATAGTTGGCTTATAAACCCCTCGACACACCGCTCCTTCGACAGATGCGTCGGGTGCGCAGTGAAACGGGCCGTCCTTGGGTGTTGTCCGATGGGTTGGAGAATGTGATTGAGCAGGGCATTGCGCAGTTCGAGCTGATGACTGGGCGCAAGGCGCCGAGGCGGCTGATGGCTTATGAGGTTTTGAGGAATTATGTGGGCGATGGGGGGCGGTTTGACGAGAAGACCATTCAGGCGAGGTTGGATGGGGTTGAGTCTGGTTAGGATAGATGGGTACATTGAGTTGAATTGCATCGCACATCTCGCTTCCATTGTATACGCGGAGATGCAGGTGGTTTCATATACTTGTGTACACCGTTTTCAGATATTATCTCTAGTATAGCACCTTCGTGCAGAACGCAGCCTTGTCTTCTATTCAAGCCCTGAAGTGCTAACCCTGGACTAAACCACTACTTAGTCAAAAGTCAGCGCAGGTGGGACCTTATGGCTATATGGTGGAGTTTCAGACATATTGTAATAGACCCCAATTGCTTCATGCATGAAAATATTGACTTTACGACGCCGGGTATGGAAAAGCATATCTGCAGCATAGTTCCAGTTGTAGTCAGTGACGAAGAGAGGGTGACTATGCAAGCCGAGATTAGGGATCGGAAGGCTAACTGGACGCATTGGCCATATCGGGATGATGGGGCTTGTAGTCTGCCTGGGGATCTTAGAAATTAATGCCAATGTGGTTTAACAACAAGCTTGAGGTATAGAATCAAACTTGCAAACCCCAAGAGATCCATAACTAGTGAAAGATATGTCAGGACTTACGAAGAGTACTAGTAACCTGATGGCGGGGTTTCCTTGATGCACAAGATGACGATCGCTTCAGCTGGTGCATGAGACCGGGGCCTCATAGGCAATGCCCCTCAATCCAAAGTGAGATAGAGCACCATGTGTGTGCGACCTATCGAAAAGCCATCAAAAATTGAAATTGGAAGTGTCACCTATTCCCTGCTCATCTACAGAGTACCAGTCAAAGTACTTCTTTCTCACGATCGGGATACAAAACATCAAAACCTCGTGTTTCAGACAAATCTAAGGTACGTCTCTATGGCCAGAGCTGGAACGACATACGGCATGTTTTACTAAGTACAGCATCTCAGAGGCCCAAAGTCCATGAAAGATAGAAGCAAAATGTAAGACCAATGCAGCAATCAAAACAGGGCAATGTTGAAGAAGCATTTATTTCAGATGTGTGATAATGTACGAGGTATATTTGGATTGTGCGGCCATGAAGCTATAGTCTATATCGCTCGATGTCCTTCTGCCATTCAAAATGGAGAGACCTGCCCCCCTGATCAACGTGAAGACGTCCACGACTGGCAAGAAGACGATGATGACGATGAATGCCCTGCGTGTAAGGGAGCAACACCACCGGAAACACCATGAAGATGTTAAAATCAGCCAGTAAAAAGCAGGTCATTCGAGTCATTCGTTCTCTTTATTCTCGCTCCGCATAGTTTCAATCATCTTTTGCTCCTGCTTGCCGCCCCATGTATATGAAGCAGCCTTGATCTTCGCTTTTTCGGCCCATCCATCACGAGAAATGAACGTTCTGGATATATAGTCAGCAAATGCCTCTACAAATGTTCAACAACCTACAATTTACCGTTCTGTCGACTTGCAAAATATATTTGATGGGGAAGTTCCATGGTGTCTTTTTTATTGAGTGGCTGGGTGACATTTAGATCGAGAATAAAGCATCGTTTCAAAGGCTGTTCGGAGTCGAAGTCACCGGGAATATGAATAATGTCGTACCCTATGGGCCGAATTGTAGGATTAAAAGGGCGGTTTAAGATAGATGAGCAGAATGCCTCTCCGAGTCTTGTATGGCGCCGTTGGGGACTGCCTTCTATATCAGTTACACAGGCATAGACTATTATTCTGGTAGGATTCATGTTGTTGAAGTTGTGGAGTGACTAAAGGTATGGGATTGAGAAGTAGTGATAAGAACAACTATCGAGGGCTGTATCTTCAGAATGAGTGTATGCACAACGTACATATGTACAGAGTCAGACTGTACTCGCGTGAAAACCACCAACTGGCGAGATAACACTATCGTTACACCGCCCAATGTACCGCCTCGATTAATTTGTTTGGTCAACTTCACTTCACTCCGAGATCTTGTTCTTTCACATTGAACAGCGTTAGCTGCTCTCACAATGCCAGGTCTCTCCCCCGAAGATTCCATAACATGGAAGAAACGCAAGAGAGAAGATGAACTGGCCCCTCGACCGTAAGTCTGACATTCCCTAAGCAGAAAGCACCTCGGCCTAACACCACCAGAACATACATACCCTCATTCCGAGTAGAGGAATACAACTGCCCTCTCTCCAACGAGCCAAATTTCAGACCGCGCTGTCTCCCCCGGAAACGCCGCCACGTCAATGTCCAAAGCCCCTACCTCCTCCAACATCAACCTCAACATCAACCACAATCCCACCTCGCCCCAATCTACCAAACAACAGATTCATACTCACCACCAATCTCACCCAAAACCCTCGTCCCCCTGCACTATCCACAATCAGCGTCTCCCTCAGCCCTCCGCCCATGCCACATCTGCCACCGCCGCCCTACAACCCGGCAAGTCCTCGACGCCTACGCAGACTGCGATTTGTGTCACGAACGGGCATGCTTCATCTGTCTGCGCCAATGCGACAGTGCAAGTTGCGGCGGGAGTTTGTCAGCGCTTGGAACTCTCGATCCAGAACCACATGAAGATCTCCATCCAAATTCAACCGCAGATAGGGTAGCCCCCAGGAAGATTTGCTCGGGCTGTGCCGTTGAAGATGTGACAGAGTCTGGGGCGGAGATTGTCCGCTGTCTGGATTGTGTGCGGGGATGGGAAATCCCGAATGGCTGGGCTCTTGATGATATGCATATGCATCAAGACTGAGGATGGTCTGGGGTAAATTCCCATACGAGAATGACGACATAATTTTGACTAGACGGAGTTTGGACTTTGCTTGGACTGGATAGGCTTGGCTATTTCTTTGGACGTTTTTTGTTATTTTTTTTAATGGCGAGGCCATTACTTGGACTGTTTGCACGGCATATAGCATATTGATACCAAGGTATAATTCACGATACTCAATTCCTCAATGCGAACCTATCTGTAAAATGCAAGAAAACATCGGGTATAACCGAAATCAAGAACCAACACGCAGTATGCATATTCAACAACTAACCTACCGTCCAAACCTCATCTGCGCACCAGCATAATGCCACAGACCACGCATATACCCCTGATACTCAACCGCCTCCCCATCCCCATTGAGTCCATGGGAACGTCCACCCGTGCAGTACATCTCCGTCAGGCGAATCTGCCAAGGTGGATACCCATCAAGCTTAAGGAAGGGACCAAAGACGAGTAACAGGTCCGGTTCGGGCTTGAGGACTGTATCGGCGCCAGCAGGGGTGGTGATCTCGCTGATCTCCGCATCGACGAGTTCCGGAGTGATATCCTCTGGCGAGAGCTTGCCATTTTGACTCATTTCTGCTAGTGTTTTGGTAAGGTCGACGAGGGTTTCCCGGCCATCTGTTGAGGAAAGGAGGAGGATTGTCAGGGTTGATTTGCTTTTGTCGGATGTTGATGGGCCGTGAACTGGGTGGTGGGGTGCGTAGAGATGAAGGTTTGGTTGTTGGCTCGGGGAGCCGTAGTAGCTGGCCAGTTTTGTAGTGATTATTTGGTGGAGGGCTGGAATGCAGGATTTCAAGACGCCTACAAAAAGAGAGTTAGTACGAATGTCATCTCGAATCAAAGAAAAAGTCAAAGAAAAAAAGAAGGCAACTCACCTGTCTTCTCGTAAATACTCAACTGAGGAATCCCCGCACATGAACTCCAGGCCGCAAGCTCGGCAACCTCATCCATAAGCACGGCAAGGGAATCTTCCTCTTTCCGCAAGGTAAGGATAGTACTCAAATGCGTCGGCAGCCTCTTCAGCCCGCGCACATCCTTACGAATGAGTTCCGGCGTGCGGTGGTGGTGGTAGACAATTGCGAAAACCCGATCCACAACTGCATGATAAGCCTGCAGGAGACGGACAACAATGCCGAAGATAATATGGGTGAAGGCGTAGGCGAAGTGATGGAGCTGAGATTTGAAGAACGAGCGAACGGGGGTTTTGCGTGGTTTGCGACGCTCGCGGGAATGCGAGGCAGGGACCTCAAAGTCTTCCGGGATATAGTTTTTTACGAGGGATTCGCGCTCTGCGACGCTGAGCTTTTGGCCGTCATTGCGTAAATATTCCCTGAGGCGGTCTTGGTCTCGTTGGAAGACCATTTCGGGGTTTTGGGGTGTTGGTGAGGGAGAAGTGGACGATTTTGAGAAGTTGTTCGGGGGTGGATGAGGTCGCGGGAGTTGGTCTTCTTCTTGTACGACAACCTATATGTTGTGAATATGAACTATTTATATAATGGAATTTCACCTTATTGTATAATTGTTTTGATCTCCATAACTACATATGTATCTCCTAATTAATTATTGACTTCGCCACTGCCAATATGTGCTGCCTAGTTTAAGTATATCGTGGCCTTTTTGACATGATTTATGGCAATTCATGCAATGAAATTGATCTGAATAAATCATTGAATTCGGCGGGTATTTTGCCAATTCCGAGTCAATTCCGAAATGTATACGGAGTACATTGTATGTACTTAGAAATCTATAACTATAGCAATGACGTTAGTTATCAGTTGTTCATGAAGTTGACCTCTACCCGCAACATCTCCAAAACGCGCTTCCCCGGATTCCTCTTCTCAACAACCTGAGCGCAATCCACCTAAGTCAGCCCGGTTCAGCTCAGCAACAGGCACTGTGCAGGTGGACTTGAGGTGTCTACACATATGTCACCATGATGGACAATGCATCCCTTAACCCCCGCACCGTATTCCCCCAAGGACCAAGCTTCACCCTAGAAGACTTCTCCAGCCGGGACTTCATAGTGAAAGAATTTATCGAAGCGCTATCCGACACAGCAATTTCCACCCGACGCTCAATAGGTCCCGTCTCGAACCAGCCGTTCGACCCAAAGCCGCTAATCCGCACCTTTGAAGGCGCCCAACGCCGCCTAAACGAGCTATCCGGCGATCTCGAGCTCCGCGAGAATGAACTTTCCGCTGCTGTGCGCCGCGCAGAAGCACAACACAGCCAGAATCTCAATACCCTCGGTCAGAAATTGCGTCATACGATCGAATCCTTCCAGCAGCTGGATACGTCGCTGAATTCCGGTCGTGATGCGGGCGGGACGGGCAATATGGCGGTTGAGACGGGAAGGCGGCTAGAAGAGCTTGATCGGCAACGGCGGAGAGCGCTGGACGCCCATTTCCTCATTCAGTGCTGGGATGGGGTCTGCAATCGTGGTGAGATATCGTTGTTAGAAGCATTGCGACGGTCGGGCACCGGTGAGGCGAAGGTCAGGTCTGCTCATATTGCGCGACAGCTGCTGCGGATCAGTCAGCGGTTGGATCCGCAGAGTTGGCAGGAGCATTCATCGAACAGGAATGGCAATAGCAATGGGTATGAGAGTTCGTCAGAGGATTTGAGTGAGAGTCCTGCGCCAAGACGAAATACCAGGGAGATTATTGAGAAGTTTTCTGAGACGCTGGAAAAGGATTTGTTGAAGCAGTTTGATGATTTCTATCGAAAGGCCAACTTTGATGGGATGAGGGACTGTGCGACTGTTCTGCAGGATTTCAATAGTGGTGCCAGTGTCATTGCGCTGTTCGTCAACCAACATCAATTCTTCATTGATCGCAGCCAGCTCGTTACTGAGGAGGTTGGCGGGGATCCCGAGTCATGGGAGAAATTGGCCGACCCAGATGCAGAGTTACCTGGTGTGGAACCTAGTCTTCAGTCGTTGATCGATGAGGTCAAGATTGTTGTACAGGAGGAATCTGCAATCATTCGACGGGCGTTTCCCTACTATGAGCAAGTGCTGGGTAAATTTCTACAGCGGGTGTTCCAGCAATCGATCCAGCAAAGGCTTGAAATGGTCTTGGAGAAAGCTTCTGGGGCTTCGTCGCTGGCTTTCCTACGTTGTCTACAAAGCTCACGCGGGTATATCAGTGCCTTAATTGAAGACCTAAAACAGCACGGATTGACCGAACATCCCGATCCTGTCTCATCTCAAACAGCTGTGTTGTTGGATCAACAATTAGAGGACTTGTTTGTTCCCTATTTTGTCGGATCGTCATACATCGAACGCGAGAAGCGAACCCTGGAAGAACTCCTGCAAGCGGTTTTATTCAAATTCACATCCTACCATGCCCGGCGCAAGAAGGCCGCAACAACTTTCATGGCTTCCATCCGAGCAGGGTCGGAGCTTCTCTCCACGACCAGGGATGCATTCATCAACCGATTGGACTCACCCGAAGTCTCGCCAATCCAACGTAGAGTCCTTCTCAGCGTAGCTAAGATCAGCGAAACGCTAGAGACAACGCGATTGACCGAGATCAAGCTCACAGAAGAAGACGGCCAGCCAAACCTCAGTGACGCCAAACGCATGCTCAAGTGGCTAGCAGAGGCCGTGGGCCGAGGTCTCGAACTGAGCGTCAACAGCGATACTCCAAAGGATGTATCGGCTTTGTTGAACTTGCTTCTGATCACAATGGGAGACGGATACGTGGATGTGTGTCTTGACGCCGCTCTGGAAGCGGCAACTTCACAAGAGTCCGCCAAGGCAGAGCCCGACTTTTCATATCTTTTCTCGGTGCGGACAACAATCAGCATTACTACATTGATGGTGATGTGTGTTCATGCAGTGCTTCTCCCCCTGTCAGCAGGGAGCATCACTACCCGGCGAGACATGGAGAAGCGCACAACTCAGACAACTTCACGGATCGAAGACAAAATCAACACTATCGAGCAGAAGACCATCGACGCAACTTTGGCTTGGGTAACAAGACTTCTATCTGGACAGAAAAAGAACGACTTCCGACCAAGAGAAAGCGACAACACAGCTTGGCTGGAGATGCTCCAAACACCCGTACGTATAGATCCGAATCCAATATCCGTTTAAGATCATATTCACCTGATACTAATTTATCCCAGACCTGTGCCTCCATAACATCCTTCCTAACCCGCCTCCACAACATCGCCCGCACATCCCTCCCATCTAGCGGCGCCAATATCCGCCAAGTCCTGACAGAAATCGCACTCGGCACTCGCCGCCTGCTCCTAGACCACTTCAAACGCTTCTCGGTTAGTGGGCCGGGTGGTCTGATGGTCACCAAAGATATGACCCAATATGCCGAGTTGTTCAAATCATGGGACATCGATGACGAAGCCAAGGGCCCAGGTGGCGCGCTGGACGTGTTACTCGAAGTGGGCAGTTTATTCGTTATTGGCCTTGAAGCTCTGAGGGAGCGCATTCGCGGCGGTGCTGCAAGTGGAACTACCGGGTCTTCGGGGTCGGGGCCATCGGTGAGGAACGCTCAAGAGGGCAAGTTAAGTGTGCAGGAAGTTAGGGCTTATGTTTCCAGAAGGGAGGACTCAAATACTTTTGCTATGCAACAAGTTCTTAATGCTTTGTAATGAGTGGAATTCATGTTTGGTTAGACTCTTTGATTTTTGATCATGGTTTATGGTGTCTTCTGTCTTGTTATCCAAGACATGATTGTTTTGATGCATGCTCCCGTTTCTGTCCCTGCTTATTGGGTGGAGTTTGGCAGACTTTATAGTCTGTCTCGATCTTCCGATTTTCTATTTCCTGGTGCCTTAATTGTTATCTCTAGGGCTTCTATAGCAAGATATCCTCTTGGTGTAGTTGTATTACCTATATACATTCCTTGTGATAAAGTTTGCGGGGGAAGAAGGTGGCTTCGCCACTAGGCAACTTAATAGAATGATTCCCCCATAAAACGACACGATTCTAGCCTCTTATTGAGTTGGCGATGCATACCGAAGATACCATCGTACTAGGTCCCGGGCCTGGTTGGCGCATGTGGATGCCGCTGGTCCCTGGGAGCTTGGGAGCTCTAACATCTGTCCGATGCCACATCTCTATCTGAAGATGCGTGACCCACTCTTTGAAAGGTATCCTCGCCTCTCAGCATCAAAATAGAAGCTTGAGGGTTCAAGTCAGGAGAAGGCTGTGCATCCGGCTGCTCGTGTTCCGTATACATGTGATCTTGCAAAATTTTGTATCTTCCCCGGTACCTAAAGTCAGACGGTTAGACGTATTGCAGCTTGAGATGATCTGCCCAAAATTTGAGCCCCTGCATCTTGATTTTGACTTCGGTGGATAATGAAAAGATCTAACTACGACTGTTTTCAGTTAAGGGTCCTGAATCTGGTGCTGATGTTATCCCATCAACTAAACTGACCAACCTCAGACTTAGTCGTTTTATGGTTGGGGCTGCTGTCCGTAGAAATTCTTCGAGGCTATTCACCGTCACCGCGATCGAATGAAGATGAAGTTCCTCTAGCTTGGAAAATATAATCATTTAAGAGAGATCCTTAGAGTAGAGAGGAGATAATTCTTCTATGGGACTCCATTAGGCAAAGGTCGGGGTCTTTAGTGTCGGTGCAACTGTGACTAGAACATAAAGAAGACGTTGAAAGGTGTCTTTATCGAATGTTTCTGGTTCGTGATCTTTAAAGCGAATGCGTATATGTAGAGTCGTTAGGCCGTTTAAGAGTGGAAGCAGTAATTGATACTACGACTCTGGCAGTTGAAAAGATTTTAAATTCATACCGCAGGAGATATGGCCGCACATGTGGAGGGCTTAGACCTTTTGACTGGATTTGATTATGGCGTTAAGCAGTTGTGAGAATGCTAAGTCGTAAGGCATATACGGCATCTTCTGATGAAGCATTAGAAACGTCTTAAACTTGAACTGGCTCTTCATTCACGTAAGCCTAGGCAGGCAAAACTAGTATGCTTTGCTATTTCAAGGAGGAAATTTGTTTCGTAAGACCGTAACCTAAGGGTAACAGCGTTTTCGAGGCGCGGCAGGCATTTCTTAAGGGTACTAAACAGTCCCGAGGATTCGAGAATGGCACGGTGTTCTGTCATGGTAGCTTCGAAGACGGCAAATAGAGCCTTACGCTTAGCCTGAATTTCATTCGATTCTTCTATTGTTGGACGGCGTCTCCATTTTAACAAATGATTCTTATGTCTACCTTTGTAAAACTTGCCTTATCCAATTGTGTCTAGCCTTCGAACAAGTTCGGGATGATCCAAATTTCTTCGACCGAGCCACGAAGAGTTTTACTGGCTGCGATCTGCTCTAGGCGGTTAAGGCTTTCACGGGTGAGAAGAAGCGAGATTCTTTAAAGTATCGGGTGGTATAGACTTCTAGTGTGCTGCCGTGTATTTGTTGGCAAGTGATCCTGAGCGCGCCCCAACCTTAGGGCTCTAGATACTCACAAATATGAGTCAATAGCTCCAAAGGCAAGCCTGTAATTGACATATTACGTAGATTTAGTTTGGCCACAAAAAGTTATGCTCTGTTGGTAACCTTGAATCTGTGATCACGTGAACCGCGAAGGATGGTGTTGAATGAGAATCGAATGAGATTGGCAGAGGGGGGCAATTCATACAGAATTCCGATTCAGGAGGTGCCGATACAGGAGCTGCCAGTACGACCGCAGTGGGGGCAACTCAGTCGCGTCGGGGGCAATTCAGGTGTACTACAATAGCAGATAGCCCCCACGTTGTACGGCCCACACTTAAGCAGCGAGAATAATAAACTAATGTTGAAGCCAATTTCGAATAGATTCCCAGTTCTCTTTCCATACCCACAATTGGATTTACGATGATAGTAATTGGAAATAGAATTGCAACTTCTTATTGATTGTCCGCTAGCAACAGAGAGGATGACACATAATATTATACCCCACCAACCATTTGACAGGTGATTGAACCGCTATTTCCCCAATTTTCATTTGAAATTGTGCCATAATCCCCATTCCGAGGCCGCATCTAGGCCCCATCTAGAGATTGACCCATTCTTGGAGGAATTCAGCACGGAACGTGGCCGGTGTCGTACGAACTCTACAAGAGCATCAAATCATTGGTCGAGTGCTTGCGGTTACAACAGACAATGCGTCGAATAAAGCTACAATTGTGGCTGCAGTCAATGATACGTTCCAGGCTTTAAAGCAAACCACTGATTCTGCGATTATTCAAATCCCTTGTATTGCATATGTGATTCAGCTTAGTTTGAATGATCTACTTGGAAAGATAAAGGCATCACCAAAGAATGATACTGTGGAGCTTGAGTGGAAAGACGATGTAGTAAGAGCCCTATGTGCTCGACAGCAAAAGCAAGAGATTGCTGCCACACTAAACAAGGTTAGTTGTCTTACTATCTATTATACAAAAATCATACTTATATCTATGTATTTTAGGCTCGCAGTCTTGCTTTCTATATCAATGCCAGCCCTCAACGTCGTGATGCTTTCTTTGGTTTACAGCCTGATTAACCGAAGCTTGTGCCTATTCAGGATGTACGAAGCGATGGAATTCAGCATATCTCATGCTTCGGCGAGCTAAGAGACTACAAGCAGTGTCTGATACATTCTGCTCGCAGTACGATCAGCCTTATTTTGCACTTGGTACAGAAGAGTGGCGACAAATTGACTATCTAATGTTTATCCTACAGCATCGAGTTGCGATTCAATAAATAATTTCAGCTTAAATACCCATACAGATACAAGATTTGATATCATCGCCTGGGTGGAGTAAAATACCGTACACACAATCACACAGGACTATTTATTTTCCGCACGTCTTCTTGATCGAGTCTAGTTGATCTTGACATCAGTGTTACAGAAAGTATGAAAGAGTATAGGTAGTGACACCGATTTCTGGAAGTACTGTACCTTAACTGGTGGAAAACCAAAGCCATACCATCTTTTGCTCAATTTTATTTTAAACTGTGTGGATCATACTTTGGAAACTTATGTTGTGGTGTTTGAGGCTCAAGGAAGGGGATTGAAAACCCAATCGCCAGCCTCAGCAGTAGATATTTCACGGCTTGTAGCCTTGGAGACTCAAAGCGTGTTATTGGTCAAACTTTCATTGGATCTGCTTGGAGGCTACATTTCATGACCAGTTCTTGTGTGCGAGCTATGAGTTTGGTTAGCGGCTTCGGTTTTTTGTAATGTATAATTAGGACAAGAATAACGCCAAAGCGACAAAACAGATGAGATTAAAACTCAATCTCTCATGTGTATTCCCTTTGCTACGATAGACCAAGATAAACACCTCCACCACGCCTGTTATGGGGATCTAATTATTTAAGGTATCACGCAGAGCATCAATACGGCATTTGGTCAATAGCAGAATCCAATCTCTTGAAAATCTGGAATCGATGTTGTTCACGACACATGTATGATCGTCGTAGAGCCAGCAGCCAGGTTGACAAATTAATACCAACTTTTCTTGGCTCTTCGGGGTCTAGATGTTTTCTAGAAATTTTTCCAAGTACTATTCCTACCCGAAGTGGACTGTGGAACTAATCTGAAACCGCGATCAAGGGTCAAGTCTGAGTGACCGTTCAATGGTCAACCTTGGATGGCTCAGGTACAAGTGGCTCATATAGGCAGGTACCCTTCATACAATGACGCAAAAACCAATACCCAATGCGCTGACCCACTAACGGGCAATTTCGCGCCCTGAAATTGAGCTGAGAACCACGGTACCACTACTGATCTAAAGACAGAGAACTTCCACATTTCTACACAATCCGGTTTTGGCTATTGATAAACAAGCTGGTTTAATATATGCAATGACTGCATTGTCACTGGCTAAACCTGTTACTGATCATCGAATTGATCATCATGATTAACAGTTGTACAGCAATTGATCCTATTAGCCCCGGAGTTCCGTAGCGGCGGGAACCGGCTGCCTAACCGAGAGGGCTAGAATTTGCAAAATATTTTGCCATGTGCGAGGTAGCATTGAGGTGGTATTCTTGAAATTATTTTCTGTCGTAGGATCAAGCCATTTAAGCGGAATTAACAGGCCCGAAGGGTCAGTTTTATAATGCGAATCAAGCTATCAACAGTGTGAATCGATACTGCAAGTACAAAAGGTAGTAACTGTGACTTGAATTTGAGTATTCGACATTCTAGTAATGTTTCGTATCATACTCCGTAGAAAAGGTGCGTAAGCTCAGGGGGAAAAGGTTATAAGCAATAAGAAAGGCCTGTGGCTTTTGGTGGCTTTTGTGGCTGAATTTGTCGTTAGCTCCGGCCCGAAACTTAAAAAACTCGGTTAGCAAACGAAATGCTTTCTTTTTGAGTTTGGGCTTCAATTTTTCCAAGGTTCGCCTTATCGTTAAAAATGAATCTAAAAAATAGATGTATATCCTCATAGTCATTAGGTGGTGTATTTTTTAGAGTCCAATTGGCATCAGTTAGGGATACTTGTCAAAGAGCTAAGGCATTCCACCACTAACTTCGGCAGTTGGTTAGTGTGTCTGTAGACGACGTACCAAGCTCCACCGCCATTACGAGGCACGGCATCAGAGACAAGCAACGGCGGTAATATGTAGCTAACTTTAGCACACACCAACAAGGAAGTAAACAATGTCGATCAATGGACCAGATCTCGGATTGTGTTTCCACCGACCTAACAACGACAGTGTGGTTCATAAGGCTGGTGCACTAAAATCTCTGAAGCTCCACCACGCATACTTACTCTGGGCAAATTTGAGGGCGAAAATTTGGAGAGAATCTTTTATGGAGGTATCCTTTAGATTGACTTTGCCATTACCAGTTGTCTTTTGGCGATTTGCAGCGTTTTGAGCCTCTGAAAAGTTGAATAGTCATGTCACAACATCCACATGGAATATGCCGACAAGGCGAAATATGGTCCATTTGGTCCACGGTAGCCCAGAGAAATCCCTCAAATTGGATTTCTCATTGGCCTATTCTTAGTCAACCCCATCAATATCCATCGGGTACCTGAGTCCACACTAATGGTCGAAGGTTCCTGCATTCCGGTCTGACTGGAGGGCATCTCGGCGCAGAACCAAAACAGGAAGCTTCTATACGCTCGTACCATGTCATTCTCACAACAAACAACCACGTTTATAAACGATATACAACTTCTAACCAATCAAAATGATATTTCATTTTACTGCTTTTCTTGGGTCCTGTTATTCAGGGTCTTCGATTCCTTCATCTCTTTAGTCCCAAGTTTGAGCTCAGGTCACTATACTGCTAGGAGGCCCCATCTCATCATCAAATCTTCGGCCCCATATGACCTAGTCTAGCAGCGAGACCGAGCGATGGCCCACAGCTAGACAAGAATTTACTCCGTAGATATCCTGATTTCAAGTAATTCGAACTAGATTTGAATAAATGGAAGGCTCTTCCTAAGATCCTTTTTTTTCGTAGCGAGCTTTTCACTCTTTTCTGGTGACTTTGGGTCGCCGTCCATTCGTTCCGATCATAATACAGGGTCTGATTCATTGAGCATATATCCATAATGGAGGAGGAAAACAGCCCCCAAAGCTCCGTGGAGGATGTCTTCATTCCCAAAGAGCTGCTCACAACTGCTAAATTCAATTCGCCTTGGGAGTTGGCACGATGGGAACAATCTCTTCCGGAAAACAATCGTATCTCTATTCCAGCTCAACCTCGCACGTCGCCCAACCGTCCTTACAGTCTTTCTGCTTTGCGAGCCGTAGCAAGACCTCGATCTGCAATCCGGCCCAGAGGACGCAGTGATCCCCCAGCATTCCAAGGTATGTAAATCTGCCCGTATTTCAAACTACACTATTTCCATTTTATCTTCATATATCATTCCATTCCGGGTTTTATATCAATGTCGTACCTGTTATCTTCTTCCTCTACTGCATAAATCTGATATTAGGATATTCCAGGCGAAATCTTTGATTTCTTTGCAAAGCCAGCCACATTTGAGCCCGCATCACCTATACCGGAAAAAGAACCAATCTCGCCAGTGCAAAATGCTTTTCTGAACCCGTCAAGCAAGGCTAGCTCTACCACTTTCAGCAGTGAACAGAGAAATTTACAAGAAGTTTACGAAAAAGCCAAATTAAGAGGCGTTGCCATCCAACGCAAGCATTGGGTCCGGCTTTTGTTCGAATATAGCATCTACGCATTCCTGGTTCTTTTTATATATTTTGTCCTCGTCGGTATGCCGCTGTGGAAAGGCGCCGTTTGGTGGTTATATTATGTCGTTCGAACCAAGTTCGTTATCCAGGGTGGATACGCAATTACGATTGGTTTGGCTGCATTGTGAGTGCCCATCTGGATTCAAAGATCTGAGTTTCACTAACACTTTTTAGATACGCATTCTGCCCCCTGATGATCCTCTTCGAAAATGACCCACCAGCAATTCCCGAATCAGAAGACACCCCCGATTTAGAAAGCAACACTTCAAATGTCAAAACGACAGCGCTGCTGATCCCCTGCTATAAATCAGCCACAATCATCGGCCCAACTCTCACAGCTGCGCTGAAAATCTTCCCCAAAGAAAACATTTTTGTTATTGCAAACGGCAATTCCAAAACACCCCTCGACAATACAGAAGAAGTTTGTAAACCATTTGGGGTCAACCACCTCTGGGTTCCCATTGGTTCAAAGATTGTCGCCCAGTTCGTCGGCTGTTATGCGGCAAAAGATTTCGAAAATGCCGTTCTCATTGATGACGACTGCTTGCTACCACCGAATTTCCCTATCGTCAGCGACAGACTCAAGGGAAGTGTCAAGTGCCTCGGATACACGATCAAGAGCGTTGGCCCCAATTCCTCGAAAGGAACATACTGCCAGCAGGCACAGGATCTGGAGTACAAAATGTCCGGCATTCAACGGGCGTTCTTTGGCAAATTTGGAAGTGCAACCTTCCCTCACGGCGCTATCTCGCTTTGGAATATCGAGTTTCTGAAACAGACTTTCCATGAACATCCCGGTTTCTCAGTATCCGAAGATTGGTTCTTCGGTGACGCATGTCGACGTCTTGGGGGACGGATCACTATGTGCTCACAGGTATTTGTCGAAACTGAGACTCCATCCTCGGTCTTTATCAGTGGGAGCGGTAGTCGCGGTGGATTTGGTGAAATGACCATCTTCCAGCAGCGATTTAAAAGATGGAATTTCTTCTTTGTTGTCGGCATGTACTATGATTTGAAATATATCCTCACAAGTTGGAAGCTTGGCTGGTGGGAATTTGGGGCGAAGCTTTGCGTATTCCAAGAGGTGTGTGCAATGCAATGCCTAATCTCTTTCGAATTCACTGACTAACTTCATTCAGGTTTACGAAACACTGATTTACCTCTTCGCTCCATTTATACTACCGATCTCTTTTGTCGTGCGCCCTTCATTCTGCGGAATGTTGCTCGGCGTGACGATCGGAATGTACATTATCAACGTGATAATTTTCAACGAGATCCACTTGCGCCTGAAGAAAGAACGCATCAACTGGAAAGTGCTTTTGTTTTATTACACATTCTATAAGATCGCTTTGACAGTCATCAACGTGTTCAGCTGTTATTGGTCTTTGTACAAATACGCACGATACTTCGCGAAGAGGCATCCCAAGGTCATTGAAGACAGGGATGCAGTTGAAGTTCTACTCAGTCTTGAGAAAGATTCCAGACGCTCGTCCATGGAGGATGATGTCATTCCACTTGACGCGGCAGGGGAGCTAGGTCGTGGCCTTGGCCGGAAGTTAACCCTTACAAAGGTTCAGGCTGGCAAGAAGCCGACTCAGCAGGGATTCGATGAGAAGGCGGCTGCTATGGGGTGGACTTGATTTATATTTTGACGGTGACATGGATTTCGCGGACGTTTTATGACATGATTATTGTAGACTTTACATTTAATGACACTCTGATTACTTTCCTTTTTAGTGAATCTGGCGTTGCTACCCCGAGCCACACGAGGACAACACTCGACGTGGCCCTTGTATCTGATGAATCGGTTCATGGCATCCAGAAACCCGTTCCCAGCAAAGCACCGATGAAAGTGAACGGATTTGTAATTTGAGCAGAAACAGCACCACTGGTCGCATTATAGCATTCGAACGAGATATTACTTGCCAAACGACCCATATTCTTAAGCTCAATGAAAGGTGTGCAATCGAAATTTGTAGAATTTCTTGATGGCAGGACTCTGAATGTTGTCAAAACTGAAGGACCAGATTGATTATTCAACGCCTCCTTCTGCTGGGCGATAAAGGGATCACTGTCCTTTTGGTTAGAGATTCGCGACCATTTCATAGCAGTGGTTTAACGTACAAGAAGTCACTTCCGATATTGATCTCGCCAAGTTGTATGGAGGAAACATTCCTTGGCCAGTACCAAGTCTGGATTTGATTACCTTGGTCATCCGAACCGTAAATTGAGGTCAAATTTAGAGCAGTAGCGTAGTAAATTTCAATTTCGAAGCCACCGGTCCAATTCATGGCTTTGGGTGGAAGAGTGATATCCTTCATGATGGGTCTCATATCTTTGATAGATCTGGAGAGAGCGGAGATTGTCAAACAGGAGCTACAGATGAAACAGGAGCTCCAGATGAATGATGGAAACATCACTTCTCAATTTCAAAGAATCAACATTAAGTGAGTCAATTTGTGAGCTGCGCTTAATATCTGTAACACCGCCAGTGAGAACTAATTCGTCGATGCTCATTTCGGTTGTCGAAGATCCTCCCAATGTGACAGATGAGTTGTCATAGACCCTGAGAGATTCGACAGATTTGAATCCAATGAGAATGTTATTGATGTTTGGAAATGGACCGTTAATCCATGCCCGGCTTAGATTGAGCTGGTTATCAGTCAAACTATCGATAGAGTCAATTTTTATCGAAAGAAGATCCATGTCTGTTGTATTGCGTAGCCTGGTGTGGTGGAGTGTTGTGAGATTCGGAGGGCCAAGGGTAAATGTATATGCGGATTCAAAACTCGTGATGTCTAAGTAGTTGAGATCATAGGCATAGCGTCCTACTTCAAACCGGTCATTCACAGATGTGAGACTGGGCAAGGTCAAGTTGCGAATTTTCGAATCACGGACTCCGAACTCGATCGCATCAGCTTTCCTCAAAGTTGAACTGGACAGTGTATAATATGGCTGATCATTATTTCTAGTCGGACCCGCCCCGAGGGTGCCTGCGATCACTTCCACGCCGTCGAGGTTGATGTGTTGGACGGTGACATTGTCGGTGAATGGACCGATGGCAACGTGGCCATACACAATTTTACAATTCTGGCGAAGAGTCTCTGCATCGGCCGGGGACTTGATCCAGGTCGAGTCGCAGTCGACAGCCAAAGCATCTAGGAATTCATAGCGAAGTCTTACACAAGCAGCATAATGACACGGCTAGCACAGCTTGGATCGCTGACACTTGAGAGACACCGAACATTTTGCATCCAATGGTCTTGTCGGTACTGAAACTGCAGATCAGAGTCAAATGTAGCTGAATGTAGCACTGGGGCAATTGTTGCCATGTGTAATAAACTTGAGCCCCTGACAGAAAAAGAACTTTCGAACAACGGGCGCCACCCCCAGAATCCCGTAGCGCATGCAATCCTGCGCCCAATCCAATAGGGAGAAACAACGAAACATTGCCTCATATCGCTTAGCTCCGTAGCGCCTTGTCGGGAGATGTGATTGGGCTGAGGGGCAACCGCGCCCCGAGGTCTTGGCCGCTACTAGTACGGAGTAGTATGTCTTGGATTTACTTTCAAGGCGATCCAGACGAGTCAGCAGTGGGAGTGCCCAGGTCATTGTGGTGGCACCAACTAATCGACACGAAGGTACTCTTCCAGTGGTCATATGCTAATTCCGTTGTAAAGAAAACATTACAGGCGTGGTGTGACCTAAAACGATGAAGTTGCCTATCTAAAAGCAGCAAGTCAACCGATTTAGGAACACACTCTCGTATATCTTCATCCCAAGGTTGTAGCACATATCAGAGTAAGCTCAAAAGGATTTAGATTTGACTTAAAAGTGGAAACTCCGCTGTGGTTTTGCGGAACGGCAAAGTTCCGCCTTTGTCGGCTTGGCGCCCAAGATTGAGAGACATCTAGCATACTGAAAGGGGAAAACTCCCCGTGGACTGACCAATATGAAAGAAAAGGCCTGTAAGAAGATAACCGGTCTCATTTGCAAGGGTCAAAAAGTGGAAGACATAAGTTCCATTAACCAGCCATCATATAGACTGTCATCTCCAAAGAATGAAGCATCCGGCAGATTAACCCCATTGAAATCGTATGGAGAAGGCTCAATGGGGGCCATATCATAGAAGCCAAGCTTTGCTTCCCATTCAGGGCGAAGGGATCGAAGAATCTGTGCGGACCGAGAAAATATGTCACCATTAGGATAGTTGCTGTTATCAATGCCAATAGCAGTAGGAACTTGCTCCAAATTATTGAGTCGATTCAAGATAGAAAGGGGATTTGTAGTCTGTTGAACACAGGTTTTATCCCAGTTTGGAGCATCGAGTGTTGCAAGGCGGTAGAGGACGAGAAGGCACCGAGAGATTTGGGAAAAAACAGGGAAAGTGAACGAAACATATCCTGAGGGAGGTATCATAAGAAGAGTTTCGAACCATGAGTTAATTGATGTGAGTGCATGAAAAAGATGGTCTAGTCGAGGTCTTTTCAAATCGGTAGGAGTAAGAGATAGAGAAAAAATGGTGATCTCCAGCTCGTCGCTATAAAGATGTAGCAAGAGTACTAAATCATGAGGTATTTAGGATTCGGTGGAATTTAGTAATGAAGAAGGGAATATGGGACGTACCATCTCTTGGTAAAGATTTGAAGATTTGTACCTTCATGTCCGAGAACAGTGCGGCCCCATTTTCAGCCCGTCTGGCGGCATCGGATGTATCATTCAACCATCCCTGATGGGTTCTGTTTTTCTCAATTATGAGACGCATTTTAACGAGCTGGATTAGGATCTCATCATTGGCACATTCCTTCTGTTCATCTAAAATTTGGAGACATTCATCCAAATGTGTTGTCCATCGAAATGTTTCAATCTTTTGAAGAAATGAAGATTTTCTGTTCAGATCGGTCAAACCCCATTTGTATCATGCCAGAAATATATTCAACATACATTGACGTGATTAAGTAGCAACCCATCACCGCTCTGCGCTCTTCCATAGTACGAGGGGTAGAAGAAGGTCTCGGGGATCGGTGAAGATTGAAATTCGATGGCATTGTTTGGACCGGTTTGTTCAGACCAAGGTCAAAAACCAATGATGTCGCAAGATGTGTGAAAGCAGATAGAAAAGGCTTTGGATGGAATTGATGAAACTGATAGCTCGCCCTTTGCTCAGAAGTCAGACCTCGTAATGCTTCAAATATTGAAATTGCTACTTAAGTATCTTACCAGCCAATAAATGTCAGCAGCCCCAATAAGAGATCAATACTTTCATTAGATTGAACTACTATCTCCTGTGCTATTATTTGGCGTATTTTAAGACCAAGTGCATGCTGACGAGCGGTACACTTGGTGCTGATCGCCATAATGCAAAGCCAAAGAAATGGTCGCTCTTGGCGAAGTTGCCCGGCACTCTTTTCGAAGGGAATGTAAATGAATGGAAAATATTCCAACTTGAATGTTCGGAAGTGATTGAGACATTCTTCTGACTCATGTGAGCAGATATCACTTAGGCCTGGTGAGTATGTTAAGTCGATCGTTAGTGGTGTGCTTCTGTTGCTTTGATCTCCATCGGGGCAGTTCCAGGAAGATCGATGTTCGGAAGTTGGTGCCAGATCTTTCTCACTGTTTCCGAGTTTTGAAGATACTTTTAAAGAATTCACAACTGGTGAAAGTGGGACACCATTTTGGCCCCCAAATTTCATCAGAGATACGAGACTATCTATTTTTTCTTCTAGTCGACTCGTTTGAGAGGTAGCGGCAGACTTTTTTGCAACTCCCCGCCGTCGTACGGTTTTTGCTGGCGTGCATTCTTTGCTCGTTTTATAGCACCTGGTTAGGTCAGTCTCAATGGTTGCTATCGTGATTAGGGTGTTCGGCCTACCGCTGACACGGCCCGCCCACGGCGCGAACGATGCATTTGCGCTTAGATTGAGCGCAGTTGGCACAAGAAAAGCTGTATGCGGCTGGCTTATCGGCCAAAGATGAAGGGTTTGGATCCATGCTTAACAGAGCAGTTCTCCTTCAAAAATCACGTCGTGAGATTTTATAAATATCCAATGTTAGACGAAGGAGCTATGATTCACGTCACAATCAGCGTATGAGCCATTGCATCGGATATATGATCTTCCGTGACTAACAATAGAGTCATATGGGCACGTCCCAATGCTTCGCGTTTTGCTTATTGATTAAGAAAGAAAACTCCTTTGACAGGAGATAACATGGCTTGAATTACTAGTAGTATACAGAGCACTGGTTGGGTTCAATTATCATATCTTTGAAGTTAAAGTGATGATTATTCAGGCACATCGCGGATCTCTGGTCTCAATTCAAATGCTAGATAAATAATCGAAGAAAATGGTCTACTCTTCGCAAAATCGATAAGAGATTGGCAATAAATTTGAAATGAGATGCAGAATTAGGCATTTGACACTGATTTCGTGATCCGAATATCCTTCCAGCCCATGAAGCAAGAAAAGAACAAGCACCCGCAAGCCATTCCTGTCGTCAAATAAAACACTCGACCAACGCTTTTAGAGTAGGCTAAAAGCACTCCGTCTAGCTGCCCTTCAGAAACATATGAGCGGAACTGGGTGGCGCCTGCATCAATGATTGTCTGAGGATCCACAGAAGGGGCATATGTGGGTATCAGTTTTGAAAGGCTGTTGGTGAACACAGTGTCTGCAAGGCTGAGACATAAGGCTCCTGCGAAGGTTTGACTGAACATCACCAATGCAGTGGCTAATGGGATCTGTGAAGGTGGAAGGACATTCTGAACCGCAATAATGGGCTTGGATGAAAGTTAGCGTCATTGAATTTTACAAGGAAATTCCGTCCCCTTTGTCCTTACTATCTGTAATCCCAGGCTGCGAGATGCCCCAGAAAGAATCTGGTATCCGACCCATTTTGCTGTTGTTGTATGAGGTGATAAATTTGACAGCAGGCCGTTAGAAACCGCCATGAGTGAGCTACAAATGAGAATTATCGGGAGATAGTAGCCGACTCTTTGTACTGGGCACAGTGTCAACAAATGTGCAGGATGTGAAGGGAGCTTGTAACTTACTTATCTTGCCAGAAAAGATAGCGCCAAATAAGTGAGCAACAATACTGGGGAGAAGATGAACACCGCTCATGAACGGACTGTCGCTTTTCACTGCCTGAAAATAGACAGGAAGATACCATAACAGGCAGAAGACCTGAGCCATGAGCAGTCCATAGGACAGGCTGCTGGACCACACGATTCTTTTTCGAATCATCGAAAATGGTATCATAGCCTTATCACCCTGCCTGTAATCCCAAAAGATAAAAACAACAGACGTAGCGCCGGCTCCGCAGAAAAGTCCAATCACCTGAGAGCTATGCCAACTAAATTGATTGCCACCATACTGAAGGGCGAGCAGCAGCTGAATTGCAGACGAAGCGAAGAGAGAAAAGCCAACAATATCCAGCTGACCCGGTAATGCCCTAATAGCGGTGGTGAGTTTCTGTTTGGGAAGAACCTCGGGGATTTTGACAAAGGCGAGCATGATTGCAACCACGCCCCCAATTAGAAGATTGACGTAGAAGCCTGCCAGATTAATGTGAGCTTGAGAATATCTCCTTTGTATTCTTGTTGAACGTACACCATCGCCATGTTGTATATTCCGTCAATGCACCTCCAATCAGGGGTCCAGCTACCAATCCTACCTGTGAAACTTCAATGCGAATTAATACGGAAACAAGAGAGTAACAAAAGGTGACCACTTACCCCCCATCACAATACCTATGATTGTGGGACGCTTAGACATAGGTACGCATCCAGAGACAATCGTAAAAGCTCCGTTCAAGATGCCTGAGCCTCCGATTCCAGCGATCGCTCGTCCAATAATCAACATATTTGATGATGTAGCAATCGCACATATTAAAGAGCCCAGCTCAAAGACGAAGAAGAAGCCCATGAATGTCCACTACTCAGAGTATTAGCAAAAGAAACATCATTGAAATATCGAGAAGGAAAGACAAATGAATTTACCTTTGTGTTAAGATTCATATAGACTCTTCCCGTGAGTGGTTGAATCGCCGCACTGCGAAAAAATTAGTCGACAAACAAAGACAATTTTGGAATAGAACCAGACCTTGCAAGTTGATATGAGCTTCCATACCAACCGACATCAGCAAGAGAATGAAATTCGCTCGTTATTCGTGGAATTGCCTGTGTTTTATGATGAGCGGGGAGTCTCAATCCAATGTCTCTGCACCAACTGACCGTTGAAACAATTGAAGTATCCAATAGCATCAGAAGGCATACGAGTGCGACGGCAGTGATGATATTGAAAAGTTTGAATCCGGCCGCCCATTCATTTTCCTTCGAGTTCAGGCAAGATGCCATGCTCACTTCAGGATGAACAGCCAGCTCTGGTTTGACCCTTTCTGGCGAAAAGATACGAAAAGCCTTTTCTTTATCTCCGTCGTCGAGATTTTGTGGATGTGTTCTGTTCAAAGAGGCTGCACTGGAAGACGACATTTCTGTATCATTTGGGAAATGAAGCTGCCGCGATCAAATCTGTGAGACTTGAACCGATGAAGTCGATTCTGTAAATTGTAAAAATACTTTGGAAGATATTGATTGTCACTTATACAATTGTTTATATATCAGTTACTTCGTGAATTTTGTGCTTGCGGAATTGGATGAAACCCGCAATCATGAAACCCGCAAGGGGGCCAAACCCGCAATGTTTTGTTCATCAGTTTCAAAATGAGTAACAACGTTATTTGTAATGTTCGGCATCTTGCGAAAAGTGATCCCATAGAGAACAATCAGCAATCAGAGCAAAGTACACCATAGATCGCGAGGTAATGTTATGGTTGAAAAGTCAAGAAAAGTTGTCATATTACAGCGTCATCATGGATGTCTCTCTCAAGTAGTCCGTCCCTCTGGCGTATGGAGCCCAACTAACTGACCGTCCCTGTTAAATGCAATATGATCCAAAGCGTTTAGTGGCTCTACGGGCTACACTCGCAGAGGAATACCAGGCCATTACTTGTGTGAGATCATAATTGGTTATGCAACGTCCCCTTTCCCGAGCATTTAAACTTCAGAAGACCACAGCATTGAAGATAGATGGAAGAAGCAGGGAAATAATTGCATATTTCATTGTTTACGAAAAAGATGGTGGAATTTATGGTGGATTTCCTATAGTGACCTGCAGTATGAATTCTACAGGATATATCTGAAAGACCTATTCTGCTGATCAGTTTGGTCCAGCTGAAGTACATCCTCGCCCTCACTCAGGTTGACCTGGCGAGTTTCCTCCGGGTCAATCTTGACGCCTTGCTCCGTATCACGGCGAGCATTCTCCCACATGAGATAAAATCGAAACGCGATTACTAGACCAATGGTAATAGCGTAGCAGACCAAAATCGTGGTATAAGCAGTCTTAACAGGAATTGATTAGCCGTGGATTTTGTTGATTGTTTTCCCTATAAAGCAGGGCCAGGGCGATACATACGTGATACTCAGGTGCTTCCGTCGAAATGAAGAACTGCGGGCCGCTAAGATTGCCCGCACAATATCCCAAAAATATCATGGCCATAACAGTCGATTTCTTCGTGAAGCCTGCAATATTACTCGCTGCCAGTGATAGCATCAACGGGAATGCTGGGGAAACTGCCATCACAAGCCAAAACCCAGCCAGCCGCGGTAATTTGTCGGTCGACGGTAGAAGTTTTACCATAAGGATCCCGGCCATCGCCATCAAGAAAATAAGCACGAGATTAATAAGGCGAGATTTCCGAATTGTGGAACTCAAGACAGCGGATAGAAGAACCGTGACTAGCTGGAATGCAGATGCCGGCAATCCCATCAGGATTGTCTGATATTTATCATATCCGAAGCCATTGATGATCAGGGTGTTAAACTAGGTGTCATGTTAGTCTTTTATAAGTATTTGGATTAGAATGAACTCTTACGCTCGTTGTCCCTCCGTTGGGTACACAAATGACGAACGAGAAGAGGAAGAACCACCATGTTTTTACATCCTTCAGGCTTTCGATAAATTGATTGCGGTCCCAAGACTTGGTTTGCACGGTCTTTTGGAACTTATAAGGACGCAGCGCCGCGAACTCTCGCTCCGAGTCCGAGAGAAAGCCGGCAGTTTGCGGAGAGTCGGGTAGGTAGAAAAATGTCACAACAGACCATGCAACCGTAATAAGGCCAAATAGCAAGAAAAGAAGCTAGGGAAGTTAGCGATAGATCTTTCGCAGAAGTCGGAGAACATCGAACCTTCCACTGGGCGATGCTACCCTCATAACTGAGAAGACCGTAGGCAATCAAAGAGCCGATGATGCTGGCGAGTGCATTTCCTGCAAACCAGATGGAATGTCGTGAGACGTGTTCTCGTGGTGTATACCACATTCCCGTAATTAGAGAAAATCCAGGACTTATAGCGCTCTCAAACACACCCAGCAGCGTTCGAAGAGCCATGAGACTCGCATAGCTGTTGGTGACAGCATGGAGGGTCAGAACAACGCCCCAGAGGAAACTGCGATGTGAGCAAGAATATTTCACCACAGTGAGGATGTTGGCTTACATCAAGATACTGAGATATTTCCCTAAAGGAAACTTCACAAAGCCAAGTGAGATTGGATAGCATGCGCAGAGATAACCGATGTAAAAAATGCTGGACGTCCAACTATACTGTTGGCCAACAAGGTTCTGTGCCCACAGTCAACGTTGATAATAAATTGAAAGTATTCTGAGCGTGCGTACAAGATCTTCTCGAAGTCCAAGTATTGCACTATACGAAAGGCTGGTTTCTGGTCGCGATAGATTAGGTTTGCAATCTAGGAAAATTGGAGATAGAACTTAACAGACTGTCTAGAAACTGTAGGCCGTAAGAGACGATCAAGATCGGCATTAGACTACCAAAATAGTAAGAATCGGCGCCCCATCGGAAAGCAAGGGATGAGAGTTACCGTAGATCGATCTTGCGAATCAACTTTTTCTCGTCTTCTGGATCAAGGTTTTCTGTCATGCCAGATTCAACGAACATATTTTTATTTTTAAAATCTGGTTTTATGTCCGCAGTTTCGCTGGTGAGGGTCTTGGCCTCCATGGTGCAAAGAAAGTGAGGGTTAACTCAAACCCCTTTGAGAAAAAGGAAATAAAGAAAACTAGTGAAATTCGATCTGGGGTGTGTCAAAGGAAAGGAGGGGATGTGTGATAGTTATGACTACATATGTAGTATCACATAGAATTAAAAGATCCCGAGGAACATGGGGGGAGGGGGCAGATAACGAGGGAATCCCTACATAGATGCACAACCAAACACTGTGAATGGAGGACAGGTCGGCTGCTACATCTGGACTCCACACTTGCACTCTTGGCTTGGATCTTGCTTCATAGCCAAATAATCATCATTGGTCAGATTAATCGATGCCAAGGTGGGGAGAATGTCGAAGCTGACTACACCGTAAATGGTAAGTATCAGCTTCACTAGAGTGACAAAGGTGCAAAGGAGGACTATGAGAATATTGGTCGGATTTATCTGCAAGATAGAAGCATATGAAATAATCAGCACCGATTGCAATATTTCTCAATACTTACCATTCTTTAATCGAGGACTATACTCCGCTCGGTGCCGTGACTTTCTTGCATAGGCTTTCACGATCGATTCGATGCAAGGAATAACTAGGTCGCTTTGAATCCATGGAAGGAGTTCATGTTTATTGAAGAAAGGGGAGTACAGAAAAGCTGCGTGGTTATCGCGTCAATTACGCTTAATCATAACCACCTACCTAGGTATTCATGGAACCCTAGCTTCTGAATAAGTTATTTTTCCCTATATGGCATTCAAACTTTGAGTAGAACATATTTTATTATCCTCAATACTAAAAAGATAATCAATATATATTTCTATAACCCGGGACAGTACCATTTTTGACAAACACGATGCATCGACGAGTTCCAAGACCAAGGTCATTAAGCCTATTCACGTTTATAACTGCAATATTGGTTATAACCGTACTTGAGCAATGTTCTATCACATACGACCATAGGGTGTGGAAAACAGGGCTTCCCGTCCGCTCAGCCGTACTTAAGCCAAGTATTCAACGCAGTCAATAGTCAATGCGCCCTTAGTGCTTAAGCGGCACTCTAGGGTGAGTGTGGGTGATATGGGTGAGAAGTCTCGAGACTGGGGTGAGAGAGGTGAGAACGGGGTGACAATTCTCACCCTTGGGGTGACAGGGGCTGATTCACTCTGAACCTATGCCCGTCAAAGACATAAATACAAGCCGCGAGGCCCTTCTCTTGCTCTGCCATGATTTTATTTACATTTCCTTGCCATTCAAACTATGTTCTCCGAAAAGAATCTCCAGAAAGCACTCCAGGAGCGTATCGCACGTGCCGCATCACGTGGATTCACACGTGAATATCAAAACGAGAAGGAAGAAGAGGATAACACTATCTGCTACCGTGAGCTAGCGCCTGCTACGCTAGGCAAATACGGCTATGCACTTGGCAATTGGGCTCTGTAAGGTTGACTCGTATTTCACCGATCTTAATCTCTGATTAGTAGCAGATGGAGGCTTTCCCGTAACGAGTCCACAGATTCGAATTTTCCTAACTCGCCTGTCCTAACTCCCCAACTTTTGAAACTTTTCGCAGAGTTTTATATTGCATCGCGCGATAAAATTCCGAAGCAAAAGACGGTTTGTAATGTATTCACTAGCTTTACATCACAGTGGGAGCGAGACACTTCTCGGCCCCTTTCCGATGAGGTCAAGCGGGATGTTCTTAACGTAAGAAGTAACACTTATCCTTTTCTGGAGCTTACTGCTAACATATAAAACCAAAGTATATTAGAACTACCCTAACCGTGAAATACGAGCTCCCTACAAAGTCTAAAGAGCGGTTCCTGGTCAACGGAAAGGACATAGATTACCTGCTGCGACACCTGTTTGTAAATGACTGTCACGATTATGCACACGAGAGAGCACGCGTGCAGACCGGAAGTTCTCTTTCTTTATTTGCTGGCTCGGGTGCAAGAGCTGGGGCTATCGTCGAATCAAGTTCTTATCGCAACACAAATGAATGCTTATATTATAGGGTTTGTATCTTGATGACATTGATTCCTGATGACATCAAAACTAACCAATCATGATCAGCACCTTGAATTTCATCTCAAATGGAGCAAGGAAAGGGGGTCTTTGATACGTTGGGTGACAATTGATCCCCAATTCTTAAAAGGATGGCGTTATCGCGATGATACCACCTTGTGAGTTTACGAATTATAATTATTCTATTTTGAAAACGCTAATATGAACAATCATAGGCCAAAGAATTGGTTCAGGGAGCATCCGGTTCTTGGGAAGAGCTTTGTCTTTTGGGTAATCGTTCATGGGGTCGCGGATGGTGCCTTTAAAGGGCATGCCTCTGTGACAGAGGTTCTTGCCGCAAAGCCACCTAAGGGAAGAGAGTCATGGACCCTAGAATGGAACGAAACCGCAAAGAATCTCCCATTCTTCAGAATGGTCACTTCTAAAGGACCTAAGTCAACAAAAGCATTGACCTTCTCTTCATTGCGGCACAACTTCACTAGCTTAGCCCAGCGCGATGGGTTCAAAGACCAGTTGCGAGTACATGGAATTCGAGGCGGCGTTGCAAACAAGGTTGACCGTAAGTACATGTATGCCGTCGCGCCTTAACTTTACTAAGAAAATCAGCAAAGGCTTCTCAGGCTACTCGTAGTCAGGCTCTTGATCACCAGAGTCATGACACCTATATCAAATATCAGTCTTCTTTGAAGGCATTAGATATACAGGCCTTATTCTATGATTTAGAGCCTGATTACGAATGCCGCGATATGGAACAAAGCATGTCTCATCACCGAGACTCGAACGTGCCACTCCAGCTTAATGCAGCTACGATTGCACAATTCCAAAATGACGATGAAATTGTTAAGATGAATCAGAGAATTGCCCACATAACCAAGGAGATTGCTAGAAGACTAGAAGGAAATGAGGACCTCGTATCCGAACGGAATCGTCTTTATAGCAAGAAAGCAAAAAGATTGCTAGCCTGGAAGAAGGATTTTATCAAAGACTGGTGGGATAATTCATACGCTGAGTATGTTTCTGGGAACGACTTCTCCGAACGCGACTCAACACCTCTTTTTGACATCTACAAGAAATATCTACCAGAGCGCTCCCGTCTCAGCGAGAATCTATTTAAGGAGGCAACTCTAGACAGTGAACTTGGACAACAGTGCCTAGAAGACATGGTCGCGATTTGCACGTCGACAGAACGTGCCGTTTACTATCCGGGCATGACCCCCGAGGAAGGCCGCTGTCCAATATGCAATAAGTTTATGCTAGAGTGAGTGTACCTAAAGAGTATTATAGATCAAAAGGTTAACAAGAAGACAGCGTTCCACTACAAGGGAGAGCCAAGCATATCCTACAGTGTCGAAGAAAATCCTTGAATGGCGCACAATACCAGCAGCGCTATAAGAACGAAAAGCGCGCCCATCGACGCGTACAGCGCAACTTTGTTCAATTTTGTTATCTTTGCGCTGAAATCTTCCTCGACGAAGATTCCTGGAAGAACCATTGCAAGTGCCATCTCGGTAGCCTCAAACCCCGATGTGGTCTCTTAACCTTCCGCTCCACACTCATTGCCCCAGGTTTCTGTCCATTCTGCTTAGGCGACAAAAGCAAGAAACCAGACGAGAGATTTCAACAATGGGTCGCAAAAGCAACTCTTTTAAATCACATTGACGAACACTTAGGGCCAGCGGACTCTTCAGCCGCAGTCTTCTGCCCTCATCCATACTGCGAAGAAAGGAACTATCTTGACACCTCCCAACTCAGGCGACACTTCTATGATGCGCATTCAATCGAAGAGCCTCGGTCAAATTGCGTTAATCGAAAAAGGAAGTGGCAGCTTCAGTCAGAGCCCGCAGGAACTACTTTCGAGAACTTGAGTGATGAAATATTGTCGAGCCCAGAGAATAATTTTCTCACCGCAACTCTGCCAACTACTTCTGATGATTGTGATGATTGTGATGATTCTGATGATTCCGGTGATTCTGATGATTCGCATATAAGCTCTATAAATGATCTCTTTTTAGAGTTCATGCGCTTTGATGAGAGCATTGAATAGTGTGACGGCTTCGGTACTGACTAGGACGGTGGAGACTATTCGTCCCTGGCTATTTATTCAATGGAACATGTTCGAACGATGTAAGATTAACGGCACATTCCTTGGCCATAGAGTAGATAGATATGTTATTCTATTTATTTCCCTAGACTTATCATTACCTTAGCAATGCCTACGGCCGTGGTGAAGAAGTAATGTATAGGGATGTTCGAAATCAGTTTCACCACTTATACACAATACACAGAGACTCTTTCTCGAACCTTCTTTCGAAACACGCTATACCTATTGCAGCTACTCTACCCCTGAGCTCTGTTCTTGGCAGTACTGGAAAGACGCGCGCGTTGCGCGCATCTGCCCTGAAACGAAGAAACGAGAAATTGAAGAAAGACGTGAATTACCGAATTATAGAGAACATAGAAGGGGAAAGTAAATAGTCTCCAGCAACTAGAAGATAAAATCCTATAATAGATCATCAAACGAAAGAAAGGGCGAAGAAGCAGAAACGTACAACAGCAGAGATTCGCATGTAGTCACCCACACCATACCACTAATATGCCGGCGTGTGGCGTAAGTGGAGCTGAGCGGACGGGAAGCCCTGTTCGCCTCGACCCAGCACTAGGCCATAGTCAGGGTCACGACGGGCGACTTGATATAGGTCCGGGGCCCCAACTCGGGTTTTCAACATTACAAACACGCTAAAACCCGCGACTACATACATTATGCATTTTTTAGGCTGTATCATGGAATACTTCTATTACAAGCTACACTTTCTGGCGTCCTTTAGATTTGTGCAAATTATTTGGGCCAATCCAATTCGATTGATTGGTTCCTATCGAGGCAATACCGTACAACACCCCCAGAATGTTTCGCAAAAATTCGCAACCAGGTTCTACCAACAAACCCAGTTTTTCTCGATCAAGTCATTTGCCTGATGGGAATCCGACAGAGCTAGACATATCTCATTCTTGCGATATATCTGCTGCGAGGAGTCCCTTGCATTTTCATATTCCCGTACTAGCAAACAATACACAGCCAGATGCTTGGTCGAATAAACTTAAATACAGGCTTTCTCATGGCATTAGGCCCTCAATTTTTTTGGCATGCTCACTTAATATATTTTATCAACTATGACTGACTTAGGTCCAGCCTGTCTCGCTATCGCTATGACCATGGCGTTTTATTTCAGTTAACTCATTGTTACGGCACCCAACCCTTCCCCAGAAAAGAAGAATCGCCATCGAAAGGATCGCATCGTCTTTTAGACCGACAAGCTCTTGGCCATGGCACGATGGACTATCATCCCACTTGCCATTTACCATGTGCTTCTAACAGTGGTTTTACACTACGCTCCCACTCACATATCACAAATTTGCCCCCTGGTCCAAAATGTCAGCTCAAAAGTCTTTACGTTGAATGTATTGTCTGTCGCTGCACTCCTCCTCATTTACGTTGGCGCGTATGTACGTCTCGCAGCCTATCGTGGGATCGGTAAACAGTTTACGTTCCAACTTGCCCCGCCAAACTATTTGGCTACAACAGGCATCTATAACTGGATCCAGCATCCGAGCTATACAGTACTAGCAATGGTTTTCCTTGGTGGTTTGTCATTGTTCCTTTGATGGGACGCAACTCCTGGTTGCTGGATCTCGGAGTCGGCATTGTCTCGGTGGCATGGCTGGGGGGCGGGCACAAGTGCGGGATTCATGATAGTATTTTTATTGCTATTGGCAGTAAGGGTACGAGACGAAGAGGATATGCTAGGACAAAAATTTGAACAGGAGTGGAAGAAATGGCATCGCTCAACAAAGAGGTTCATTCCAGGTCTTCTCTGAAAGAAGTCCTTTGAACATCCAATTGAGTGCGTATGATAATTTATACAACACTGGCAAGGGCGTTGACTTACTGCTACAGTACGGCCAGGATAAGTGCGATTTCATACTTCGTCCGCCCTCCTGATATGGACTCTGAATTTACACCTTCTTGTATGGGTTTCCTTCTTGCATTAACTTTCACGGCCAAGCAGCCATTCTATCACCTATCTCTTCATTTGAAGTGCAATGTTATTAATCAAAATACTATTGGATGAGCTAAACATGAGACCTACCTGGAGAGGACTATTTAGGTGCTCTAATACGCACATGGCGAGGTCTACTTAGGCGTTGTTATGGTAATAGAGAGACAAAATTTTGATAATAGAAGCTAGTTTTCCATCCCACGACTTCGGGGCGGCGAGACCACAGATAGATTTAGGTACGTGTTTGTGCTATGATGTATCAAACACTCCCTTTGCCAGATGGTGTATGGATCTTAGTACTAGAATCGTTGCCGGAATGAATAATGGTAAGATGAGGTAATTCTGCAAGTCTTTTGTTTAAGCATGCACTCAGACAGCTCGCAAGGGCTCCTTTGCTAAGTTTGCCAAGTTTGCCAAGTAAAACAATTCAGGATCTCGCCACCTTAAACACCACAGATGACTTCAATGTGCAACTTCGAGATTCAGCGAAGGCTCAATTATGCAAGGGGGCATTTTACTGGACAATATCGAAGACGTTACAAAGACGTTACAAGGTCGATCGATCGATGGGCCCAATAGGGAGAGTATGGTATAGGCTTGCCCAGCCAAGTAATAATAATTACTGTGTTCGACCTGCATGCGTATCCAATTAGTCAATATCCTAAGCGGCTTTGTGTCTTAGTACATGTGAGACCAATTTCTCCATTCTAATTCGCTCGGTTAGCAATATTAGGATCGGAAGAGCAGCCAGAATCCTACGGCTGGAAATGCCGCAAGGAGATATGATCCAGCAGCTCAATGCGGTCTCCATCAAGCAATGTTTTTAATGGTAGTAAACAAACTGTACTAATGCTGCTTTATGATATAGGTATGCAATATTCCTCACACTGTCGTGAACAGTTCATCCTTGCCTTCCTTCTTCATGCCCTTAGGATTTGTCTAGCAACGCCACTCCCGAGCCTCCACAAAATGGAGACAGTTTTCCAATTTACACCAGCTGCGCTAGTTTCTTCTGGCAGTTCTCGGTGGATGCTAGCAACAATCGCGGTTACCACCTTAGTAAGGAAACTTTTATGTTGGCAGAACTTTTCATCACTTGTTCCCCTCAATACCTCCAATATTGGTCTCGTGATTACTAAGATGACTGGCAAAATCAAGTTACAGGATACTGCGTATATCAAGCCTTCTTTCATCCTTTAGCAAAATTCCCTGGGCCGTCCCTAGCCAAGTTCAGTGTGGCCAGAGCAATATATCACGTATTGAAAGGTGATATTCATATAGATATATGGTACTGTCACGAGAAATACGGTGAGTGGAGCAATCTCCCATTAGCTGAGCTTCGTCTGTGATTTGCATTAATTTATCGAGGTGATAAAGAACAGTTGTACAGGCACTAGCGAAATCTGCTTCCTCCCCAACGACTGCTTTTCTTCTCTCGGGCTCCACTGCCAAGGCCTTAGTGCGCAGTTCTTAATCTACGGTCAATTAAAAAGAAATTGTGATGCTGAATATGACGATACCGGCAAACCATGGTACAGTGTGCTTACAATACAACAAAATTGCCTCTGATATCTACCACATGGTATGATGTGAGAAATGAGGCTGAGAACCATGTTTGTTTTGTTTGATATGTTTTGTTTGCTTATCAGATTGGTGATGAAACCTCCATAAATTGCCGGCACTCCGGGGTACGTATAGCAATTCAGAAAGCTTCATATTTATCTGAGGATCCTAAAATATCACCTGATCTGATGCCTGTCATATGGGTCCAAACCCCGTAAGCAGGATAGGGCAACAGACAGCCGGCCCAAGTAGTGAGAGTACATGTCTTTAATTTACTGAGGTAAACAAAGGTTAGGTCGACTGAAAAAAAACCAAGCAGGTTCATTTGGGTTCTGTGCTTCTTATCCAATTATTGTTTGAATGGCTGGGTCAAGGATGATGGATCATGGACAAAGTATTCCAGTACTGAGAGTCAGGACTATAGCACAACTACCTAGGGAGAGAACAAAAATGACGATATGGGGGTATTAAGAAGTTTGAGTTGAACATGGTAATGTGGGATCATGATGAAACCTTCAGCCTTTTGGAAGGGGGAGGTTGGGAGGTCGACTGATCAGCACATTGATGTTTCTGGAGAAGTTTCACTATATGGTGGTATCCTCCCCGACGAGCTGCTTGAAGGGCATTTCCGTACTCCCCACCCTGGGCATTGACATTGGCTCCCTGCTCTAGCAGCATCTGTGCGATCTTCTCGTGTCCCCTAGAACAAGCAGCCTGGAGGGCATTTCCGTAATCTCCACCCTGGGCATTGACATTGGCTCCCTGCTCTAGCAGCATCTGTGCGATCTTCTCGTGTCCCCTAGAACAAGCAGCCTGGAGGGCATTTCCGTAATCTCCACCCTGGGCATTGACATCGGCTCCTCGCTCTAGCAGCATCAGTGCGATCTTGTCGTGTCCTCCGGCACAAGCCGCCTGGAGGGCATTTCCGTACTCTCCACCCTGGGCGTTGACATCGGCTCCTCGCTCTAGCAGCATCTGTGCGACCTTGTCGTGTCCACTAGAACAAGCAGCCTGGAAGGCATGTCCATAAAATCCACCCTGGGCGTTGACATCGGCTCCTCGCTCTAACAGCATCTGGGTGATCTTGTCGTGTCCTCCGTCACAAGCAGCCTGGAGGGCATTTCCGTACTCTCCACCCTGGGCGTTGACATCGGCTCCTCGCTCTAGCAGCATCTGTGCGACCTTGTCGTGTCCACTAGAACAAGCAGCCTGGAAGGCATGTCCATAAAATCCACCCTGGGCGTTGACATCGGCTCCTCGCTCTAGCAGCATCAGTGCGATCTTATCGTGTCCTCCGTCACAAGCAGCCTGGAGAGCATTTCCGTACTCTCCACCCTGGGCATTGACATTGGCTCCCTGCTCTAGCAGCATCAGTGCGATCTTGTCGTGTCCTCCGGCACAAGCCGCCTGGAGGGCATGTCCATAATATCCACCCTGGGCGTTGACATCGGCTCCTCGCTCTAGCAGCATCAGTGCGATCTTATCGTGTCCTCCGTCACAAGCAGCCTGGAGGGCATTTCCGAAGCGACCACCCTGGGCGTTGACATCGGCTCCTCGCTCTAGCAGCATCTGTGCGACCTTGTCGTGTCCTCTAGAACAAGCAGCCTGGAGGGCATTTCCGTAAGGTCCACCCTGGGCGTTAACATCGGATCCTCGCTCTAGCAGCATCAGTGCGATCTTGTCGTGTCCTCCGGCACAAGCAGCCTGGAGGGGATTTCCGAAGCGACCACCCTGGGCGTTGACATCGGCTCCTCGCTCTAGCAGCATCTGTGCGATCTTGTCGTGTCCACCGTAACAAGCAGCCTGGAGGGCATGTCCATAATATTCACTCTGGGCGTTGACATCGGCTCCTCGCTCTAACAGCATCTGTGCGATCTTGTCGTGTCCCCTAGAACAAGCAGCCTGGAGGGCATTTCCGTAATCTCCACCCTGGGCATTGACATTGGCTCCCTGCTCTAGCAGCATCTGTGCGATCTTGTCGTGTCCCCTAGAACAAGCAGCCTGGAGGGCATTTCCGTAATCTCCACCCTGGGCATTGACATCGGCTCCTCGCTCTAACAGCATCTGTGCGATCTTGTCGTGTCCCCTAGAACAAGCAGCCTGGAGGGCATTTCCGTAGTCTCCACCCTGGGCATTGACATCGGCTCCTCGCTCTAGCAGCATCAGTGCGATCTTGTCGTGTCCTCTGGCACAAGCAGCCTGGAGGGCATTCCCGTGGCGTCCACCCTGGGTGTTGACGTCGGCTCCTCGCTCTAGTAGTAGTTCCACAATCCTATCGTTTCCATTTAATGACGCCCACATGACTGGGTATGTTGTTGTATCATCAGGTGTATTGACATCACTTTTATCCACACCAAGTATATACTGTACCTCATGTTCATGGCCATTGAATGCTGCCAGGTGTAGTGCACTCATTACAGGAATCTCTTCGTATGGTCTGACTGCTTTCCAATAAATGGGAAACCACATTGAGAATAGATTTCCCGTTATGTCGTATAATCGATGCACTCGGTCGGTTTCCTTTTGAATTGAAGTCAAAGCCATGCTTCTTACGTGATCGGGCCAGTGTGCTGCTGAATATTCCAAGAAACATCCACTAAGGGAGCCTGATTTATCTTCATCTCCATCGTATTCTATATCCTCCATCAACAAGTATCTTAAACAGATCTCAGCCATTTGATCTTCCGCGTGGGTCAGGCTGTTCCAGTATGCAGAATTGGGATAGCTAGAATTTTTCTTGCCAATGAGAAATTCCCTGGCTGTTTGATGGATGAGATAGATCTTCGAATTGTTTGTGAAGACAAACAAGCCGCAAAGTTGTCGGAGCTTCTTTTCCAACTGGACTGGATCTAGCTCAGCCTGTTTTAATGTTTGTGGGTCTGAGATAGTGGCAATACCCAGCGCAATGGCCATCTCTTGTATTGTCAGGGGACGTCGTGCCGCCACAATGATTTCCAAGACCTTTTGGACTGTATCCATTTCATTGACTGGGACTCGACAAAGTATTTTTTCATATGCCGCATTCACAGAAGACGGTACTAGTGTTATCGAGTTCGCTCCGGGCCGAAGGCTGTGCTTTAAGGTAGCACGGATGTCATCAATGGCTAGGTGTAGCCAAAGATATGTACGGTGTTCCATTTGAAGCAGCTTTTTTTCAACTTGATGGTGAAGCTCTGGTGACAGTGGTACCGTTTCAGCCAGTTCTCTCACCCGAGTCCTCACCACCAGATCAACCTCCTCGTGGATCTGGTCATTATGCTCCTCCCCCTTGATATGTATATGTGGGAAAGAATCGGTGATTGCTCGAAAGTGATCCTGTATATGATCGTAGGGACGACTGGTGACCAGGAATTTCAAACAGATTTCATCTGTTGATGAAGATGGCTGGCGATGAAACGCTTGAAGCTTTTCGATTAACCGGCGCTGATCGGTTTCACGACATTCATCAAGTGCATCGAATATGCAAATGGTCTCGCACGAGATGTCAGCTGATGTTGCCGCCATCAAGATCCGCCAAAGCTCATCAACTTCTTGTCGAACGGTCCCCCCATTCTTTTCCCAAGCCGGAATGGCATGTTGTAATAGATGAGGCTGCTGGCTGAATAGCTGATGAAGTACCGAACATAGTGCTGTAGCAAGATTGTTCTGTTCGTCATTGTCTTTAAAGAAAAAGTAACATATTCTCACAGATGGATGAGAGCTCTCTAAGTAGTCATCGATTATTGATCTGGCTAAGACAGACTTGCCGCAACCTGGGTCAGCCGACACCCAGAGAAGGTCGTTGCAGTTGCTCTCCCACCAACGGATGTATTCAGAGCTCTGGAGAGCCCATCGACAGGTTCCCCCAGCTCGTTTAGGGTTTATGTTCTTTTGCTCCGCGTAGTTGACGACCTTGAACACTTGGTAACAACGGCGCTGTTGATCTGTTAAGACTCTTGCTTTCCGTTCACTAAAGTGTCGTTCTTTTTGACTGTATGCTTGATCTAAGCGATGTTGGATGCCTTTCAGCTCCTCTAAGTAATGCCAAAGTCATTATTTGCTGACAAAATCATTAAAAGACTGCGCTAGACTAACCAGACACAACAGCACTTATCCTCTCCTCGGCTTCAATTCTGTTGAGAGGGATTCTCTGTAGAAGGTCTTTCGCGTATGCAGCTGCTACCATAGCTGCATACCCTTGCCACTCTTTGTTCTTATGTGAGTCGGAGTAATCGCAGATACCCCTGATGACTAGACATGGGAAAGTGTTCACCAGCCCCGCTGCTTCCATTTCAAAACAGAGAACGTCTTTTTCTGCAGCTAGTCGATCGCGAATCAAAGCATCCTTCATTAACTGGTTGGCAGATGCAATAAGACCATAGTGAATTGCAGGATTATCTTCATGATCGGACCGCTCACGCCGCGGGAGCCAGTTTGAGGCATCATTTGCACAGGATGCAGCACCGCAATCTAATTCATGGTTGACAGAGGGCTGGAAGAGCCTATCTGTGGTTGATTCTGGACGTTTATATTCGCTGCGCAGCCGAACGTTTGTGTCGAGAATGATGTCGATGGCCTCCGTAAGCTGATGGCCCTTTCTCTTATATTGTGCCTGTATTCCCGTCATCGCAGTGCGAAGTGTCGTTGGTGGCTGGTTTAGAAACCGCGTATGTTGAAAACTTTGCCCTTGGATCGACTTGCCAAAGTCGTACTGGAAGACACCACCCTGATTGCCACGAGGCGCACTGACCACGACATCGCCCAGACGTACATCATGCTTTTCGCTTGGTACGCCGCCACCGATGCCGACCATGAGGCCTACCCTGACGTTGTGAAAGGTATTCAGCATGTTCGTCGCTACATTGGCCGCGGAAGCTGTGCCATATTCACCATCCGGCAAGACGGCGATCACAACATTGTGCTCGTGCATCTTGCCTAATGTATAGTCGTTAGTGTCATTTGGCGACACAAAGCTAGGTTTTTTGTGCTCTTCATCGAGGAATTCTTGTGCGGCAACGTATTCCACGGGCAAGGCGCATATCCAGCCCACAGTGTACCCCGCAGGATCTGACATGGCTTCAACGCGAGAGAAAAAGCCTGAAAATCAGTTGCCCGCGTGACCTTTCGAAAGTCCTGACGTTTGGTGTGCAATAGAGGCCTAACTCATGGGGACTACATATGCCACTATGAGCAAAGGAGAGCGGAGGAGGCTTGAGAGAAGGAAAGAAGCCCTGTAAGACAGAGGGAAAATGTTTGCCAACCGGGGAAACTCAGCCTCATGATGAACACGACGTGCAGCAGCGGGCGGTTAGAGATGAGATGCTATTGGCAGGAGCCGTCTTCTCCATCCTATCGATACAAAGAAATGCCAAGACCACCCTTGGAATGCACTCATCTTGTCCAATTTATTGTGTGATGCAATTGACGGTTGTTGGCAGAGATATCCGACCAGTGTATCCTTTCATGAAGTCTCATTCCTGGGGAAGTCTGTTCTGCTGAATTGGCAACGGGGCGCGCCGCACCGAAACCTCAAGGCCATATTTCGTGGACCCACTTCTACCGGAAGAGCCATCAATAGTAAATCAACCCCGCCTTGACCTACCTGCCTCACTAGGTCACGTGTTATCTGACGGCATGGAAATGCCATGATCCACTCTATCAAACCGACGTAATATTCTATGATATTCCTTGGAAATGGGGAGTCACTATTCCAGATTAGTGAAAACATCAGCATCTAATCTTCGAATCACGAAGGCGGTCAGAATTCTGCGTCCTTGGCCTAAGCTAAGATCCCACAATACAGCGGGAATCGAAAAACTGTTCGAATTGGATACAAGGGGGAAAAATGAATTACTATGATCGTAATCTGACATTTATAAGTTGATGCGGTTTAACGGAGAATTATCAATGGAAGCAGTAATTTGAGGGCGGCAACTATCGATGGATCTTTCGTAGCCAATCGCCCTGCAAGACAATGATCACGTGGATTATCCAATACTGAATACTGAGAATATCCTAATCAAAAACCATGCCTCCAAATGTTGAGTACATTTGAGATTATTATTTCGCTGTGAATTACAACCCAATACATTCAGGAAGGATTTTATATTGATGCCCGTTGAATAAATTTTGGCGCTAGTACCTTGGCAGTGGGTCCCCAGAAAAGAAAAGCAAGTGTTAGGGAGGAAGCAGATTTCGCTAGTGACTGGCACAACTGGAGACTTTTGTGGAATCTACGATCTAGATTGAGTTTCTTCCGAGTGACTGTAGTGAAGACGGACTTGGTTTGGAAGCCGCACACGTCGAGGAAAACGACTCTAGAGCTTTGCGGAGTGCCACGTGGCGACAATACCGATTTCCTGTACTGATTGAGAGTGATGGCGGGACGGGCCGCGATGCGAACCCCTGAACCGCCCGACCGCGACGAACGCGAAGCTTCGCCACCGCGACTGGCAAGACCGAAACGCATCACCAGACCACCCCGAATCTATGCTCAAGAACAAGAAATCGACAATGAACAGAGGCAGACGCGACCTCAGCAAAAGAAGAGGACTGGACCCGAATCTCAGCCTGATAGGGCAACTTCGGATGGCTCCGCGACCGAGAGCGACAACCTCGATGTGAACGATTTGGTGAAAGAGATCGCCAAACTCAGGACAGAAATCAGACTACGAGACGAGTTGCACAAGGAAGAACTACAAAAAGCCAAAGCAGAGTTCGGTGCTGCCCTCGCCGGGGTCCGGCACGAGCTACAGAACCTGACAGACAGGACCCCGACATCGCAGTGCAACTCCGAAGCGTGCGCCCAGACTGGTCACGATGAAATCCTCCGAGAAATCCAATTCCTACGTGAAGAAATCAGCGCTCCCGCTTTCACAGGTTCCCCGTCCTATGCCGATGTCGCCCGCACTCCCCCGCTCAGCCACCCGAGTAATATACGGAGCCTCTCGACATCGAACACAACACCAACCACGTTCACCGACACACTCTATTGCACAATCGACACCTCCAGGATGGCAGAGAACGAAAACGAGAGGATGTCTGCAGGCTCTATCCGGGCGGCAGTGGAGACAGAGATCCGAGCGACGGCAGACCACACGCATCGGCGTTGTCGCGCCGTCACTGTGGACCCGAAGAACACGAACCGGATCAGAATAGCGTGCCGCGACGAAGCCGAGCACCAGCTGATCAAAAAAGTGGCGGAATCCCAAATCGGTGCGGGGGCACGGGTGCTTCGGGATGAGCTTTACCCTATCAAAGTTGACAGCGTTAACAAAGCCGTAGTTCTGGATGAAAAAGATGAGATCCGTGCCGGAGCAGCAGCAGCCTTTAGCGAGGAGAACGAAGCCACCGTTGCGAAAGTCGCATGGCTTAGCAAGAGGGAGAGCGCAAAAGCATATGGGTCAATGGTCGTCTACCTCACTAAAGGTAGTGACGCACGGAGACTGCTAGCCGACGGGTTCTTCCATGCTGGGGGAGAATCCGGCGTGACCAGCACCTTCGAGCATCGACCACGACCGATGCAATGCTATAAGTGCTAGGAGATTGGGCACAAGGCTTTTTAGTGCAAGAATGCCTAGAGATGCGCAAAGTGCGCCGTAGAAGGCCATCGCCACAGTAGCTGCGACCAGACAGTTCCGAAGTGCGTTCCATGCGGGGGCCCTCATAAATCGTTTAGCAGAAACTGTCGGAAGCTCTATCCGCCACGCAATGAATAAAACGCTCCGAGTGATACAACTGAACGTGAGGAAACGGGGTGAAGTGCATGAAAGCCTCATAAACGACCAAGATACCGCAAACGCAGTGGCAATAGCGATCTAGGAACCCCAGGCGAGGAGGATTTAAGGCCGGCTCTTAACCACCCCGATGGGACATCATAAATGGACTAATATGGTCCCCTCCACGTGGAGCGAAGGGAGATGGGCGGTTCGAAGCATGCTGTGGGTAAATAAGGATGTGGAAGCGGAGCAAGTACAGATCGAGTCGCCGGACCTAACAGCGGCTGTCATTCGGCTTCCTGAGCGACGGATTTTGATAGCATCGGCCTATGTGGAAGGAGGCAATGCCGCTGCGTTGAACGACGTTTGCGATCACCTCAGAAAAGCTATCACCAAAGTACGGCGAGACTCGGGAACGGTGGTAGAGATCATGATCATGGGGGACTTTAACCGCCATGATCAACTGTGGGGAGGAGACGAGGTGTCCTCGGTCAGACAAGGCGAAGCGGAATCGATCATCGATCTCATGAATGAATTTGGACTCAGCAGCCTGCTTAAACGAGGCACGAAGACATGGCACGGCGGAGGATATTCGGGAGACTGCGAGTCGACGATCGACCTCGTTCTCGCCTCGGAAAACTTAACGGACTCGATGATCAAATGTGCGGTCCACGGAACGGGGCACGGCTCAGATCATGTTACCATTAAGACCATTTTTGATGTGCCTTGGACAGCTCCAACGCAGACAGACAGACTGCTGCTCAAGAATGCACCGTGGAAAGAGATCAATGCCAGAATCGCGAGCACGCTAACTGCCACTCCGGTAGAAGGTTCCGTGCAGCAGAAGACCGATCGGCTGATGTGCGCGGTGTCGGAAGCGGTTCGTGCGTTGACGCCGAAGGCCAAACCGTCACCGCACGCAAAGCGGTGGTGGACGGCGGACCTGACACAACTTCGTCAGATATACACACATTAGAGAAACCACGCCCGCTCGGAACGACGAGCAGGACGAAAGGTGCCACAGCTGGAGGACATGGCTGCAAGCGCGGCGAAACAATATCATGACGCGATTCGGAAACAAAAGAAGAAACACTAGAATGAGTTTCTGGCCGACAACGACAACATTTGGAAAGCTGCCAAGTATCTCAAATCTGGGGAAGATGCAGCCTTCGGGAAGGTACCACAGCTCGTCAAAGCAAATGGAACGGTTACCACCGATCATGGGGAGCAGGCGGAAGAACTACTGACTCAATTCTTCCCGCCGCTGCCGGACAGCATTGATGATGAGGGGATTAGACCACAAAGAGCGCCAGTGGATATGCCGGCCATCACCATGGAAGAGGTAGAACGGCAGTTGCTTGCAACGAAGCCCTGGAAGGCACCAGGCGAGGATGGCCTGCCGGCAATAGTGTGGAAGATGACCTGGCCCACGGTCAAACACCGGGTTCTCGATCTCTTCCAGGCGTCACTGGAAGAAGGCACGCTGCCGAAACAGTGGCGACACGCCAAGATCATCCCACTGAGAAAACCGAACAAGGAAGACTACACCATTGCCAAGGCATGGCGGCCGATCTCACTGCTCGCCACATTAGGCAAGATCCTAGAATCGGTGGTGGCACCTGATCAGCTTCGATGTCAAGGGGGCCTACAATGGGGTCTGTAAGGAACGATTGATCCAGAGGATGAAGGCGCGAGGTATACCGGAAGTTCTGCTTCGGTGGGTTAAGGCGTTCTGCTCGGGACGAACGGCGACCATCCAGATCAATGGGCAAATATCTGAGATCCAAAACCTACCACAAGCTGGACTACCTCAGGGCTCGCCCCTGTCTCCCATCCTGTCAACGCCGACCTCGTGCAGAGACCGATCGACGGCCAAGGAGGAGCAATTGCCTTCGTGGATGACTTTACCGCGTGGGTGACAGGGCCAACCGTGCAGAGTAATCGGGACGGTATCACAACCATCGTCAATGAAGCGCTCGACTGGGAGAAGAGGAGTGGAGCAACTTTTGAAGCAGACAAAACGGCGATCATACATTTCGCACCAAAGGCTCGCAAAGTGGATCAAGAGCCGTTCACTGTCAAGGGACAGACGGTCGTGCCTAAGATCAAGGTCAAAATCCTCGGGGTCCTGATGGACACGCGATTGGAGTTCAAGGAACATATTGCCAGGGCAGCGTCCAAAGGTCTGGAGGCAGCGATGGAGCTTCGACGACTCCGAGGTCTCTCTCCAGCGACAGCGCGGCAGCTGTTCTCGTCGACAGTAGCTCCAGTGGTGGACTATGCCTCGAACGTCTGGATGCACGCCCTCAAGAATCAAAACATAGGACCGATCAACCGGGTGCAAAGGGTAGGAGCGCAAGCAATTGTGGGCACATTCCTCACCGTGGCGACCAGCGTAGCGGAGGCCGAGGCCCATATCGCCGCGGCACGACACCGATTCTGGAGACGAGCCGTGAAGATGTGGACGGACCTCCACACACTACCAGAGACCAATCCTCTCCGCAGAAACACAGATCGGATCAGGAAATTCAGGAGATACCACCGCTCACCACTGTACCAAGTAGCGGACGCGCTGAAAAACATCGACATGGAATCGCTGGAAACCATCAATCCGTTCACACTGGCACCATGGGAAGCACGCGTACAGACTGATGATGAGCCTGTCTCAGATTGGTCAACTGTACCGGGCGGATCAATGCGGATCGCGTTCAGCAGCTCGGCACGGAACGAGCTGGTCGGATTTGGAGTGGCGATCGAGAAACAACCACCCCGCTATCGGAAAGTGAGACTGAAGACCTTGTCCGTCACGTTGAGCGCGAGGACAGAGCACAATCCGTTTTCCGCGGAGCTGGCGGCAATAGCGCATACACTCAAGACACTCGTGGGATTGAAAGACTTTAGGATCACGTTGATCACGAGCAACAAAGGGGCAGCTCTCACGCTGAAGAATCCGCGACCACAGTCGGGCCAGGAATTTGTCTGTCAAATCTACAAGCTGATGAGAAGACTGCAGAAGCATGGAAATCAGATCAGCGTCCGGTGGATCCCCATTAGCGAAGACAACAAACTACTAGGGCTGGCGAAAGAGCAGGCGAGAGCCGCGACGAAAGAAGATGCCATCCTGCAAGGACAGGTCCCCAAAATGAAATCGACGACTCTAAAGATCGCGCGTACCCAAGCAATCCCCAGCAGTAAGCTACCCGAGAGCATCGGGAAACATTCGAGACGAGTGGATAAAGCCCTTCCGGGAAAACACACGCGACAGCTGTATGACCGATTATCGTGGAAAGAAGCAAGCGTGCTGTCCCAGCTCCGCACGGGGATGGCAAGACTCAATGGATATCTCTTTCGAATCAATGCCGCCAAGACAGATCAATGTACATGTGGACAAGCAAGAGAGACGGTAGACCACTTTCTCTTTCGATGTCGGAAGTGGACCGCGCACCGGACGGAAATGCTGCAATGTACCCACACTCACCGAAGTAACATGTCCTTCTTCTTGGGAGGGAAGTCACCCTCCGATGATCAAAAGTGGAAGCCGAATTTGGAAGCAGTGCGAGCGTCAATACGATTCGCCATCGCCACGGGCCGACTTGAGGCCACCTAGACTTGCCGACGAACTGATAGAATACCTCTTTTCACTAACCCCCAACCCCTTGTAGCAGACGATAGACGCGCTTCAACTGCCGAGGATAGGATGTTGAACACTTGGAGAAGCGCCTTCAAGCCAGTCTACTAACCAATACTAACCCACAGGGACCGACTATGAGATTGGAAGCTAAGATATCAAATACGGAAGGAAGTACTGTATGGGCTCCAAGGAGACACGGCGTATACCCAAACATGCATGTATTGGTAGATTAGTGATAGTTGCCCTCTCGGCTCAGCCGCCGGGCGTTAATGAATTGTGTGTGTGTGTGTGGCACAACTGGATATCAAACAGGTGGTGTACATACATTCACTTCTGGAATTGATCTCGCCAAGATTATCAAGGAAATTAATTCGTGACGATCTACGGGTTCACATCTCCGTCAACTGGGCTCACATCATCTGGGTTTTCCACTTCTCGCCGTAGCCAGTTTTCTACAGCTGGTATATACCGCTGCGCGATGATAACAGCATCAAGCCCTGGCGGAAATGGGTCTAGGCTGGCATCTTGCTCGCCTCGCTCCAGCAACCATCCATCAACCTCAAGCTGGTCCTTCGCTGATTATCATTTGTAGTATTGCCTTTGCCACTTATTCCACATTTTGAAATCACCATCCCGAGACACTCATTTACCACTGAATCAGTGCATTCTATGGACCAATATACATGTTTCATGTAAACATATGCAGATTGGTAGTAAAAGGTAAGTCGACTCTTGTAATCAAGCTCATCACCACACCAAGCTGCAAGCCCCCCTTGTGCGGCTGTAGCGTCATCTGAAACGACCTCGCCTGATAGGCAAGTAGTAAACCAGATTGGATGATGACTCAGGAGATTCAGCCTCCAAGCAATGTTGTTCCACCGTTGGGCCAACCACAACGTTCGCTACTGCAAAGGGAATGAGACAAAATATGAGAGACAATTTGAATGGAGCCATTTCTGTTGTAATATGTCAATAAAACTCATACAAATCACTAAAATCAGCAAAATCTGGGTAACTTACCCAGACGAGAGATTTCAACAATCGGTCGCAAAAGCAACTCTTTTGAATCACATTGACGAACACTCAGGGTCAGCGGACTCTTCAGCCGCGATCTTCTGCCCCCATCCATACTGCGAAGAAAGGAACTATGTCTCACCTCCCTTTCACGGGCTCGATTACTTCATGTTAGAAGATGCCTAATTTGATAATGAAGCGAAGAAAAGCTCACTGACAGTTGCTTAATGATCTTGCGACCGGAGCTCCTTTACAAATCACAGCATCCAAAATCATGGCCGTCAATGAATGAACCTGGGTAGAATGATATAGATATTGAAATTAAGCGGACCAGTCCAAAATCTCGGTCTGACCCCATCTAGTATATTGAAAGTACAGTACGTAGTGGACAAGTTCGGCTTCTACAAGATTTACACTCTTTCGCTCTTTTTCGGCGCCACAGTGGGCCACTATGCTAACTTTGGTACTAGCCTGGATTTGCGTAATTGAAGCACCGGGATGAACATGAAAATACCCGAGCAAGAGTAAATTACATGTATTACTAGAACACGGCGATACGCCTTTAGAAATTAGATCGCGGACCAGTGGTAGCTTGCCTTACTTTTCTAATCGCTTCAGATGAGGTAAAGACCCAAAGATCTAAAGTCCACGAGAAAAATACTACCGTATACATCAACGACGTACACACAAATTTAGAACAACGAAACATCAGAGATCTCCTTCGCATTCACGTTACTGATGTGGAAAACCCGTTAGGGAAAAACCACATCCAAAGAGACCAATATGCTTGTTCAATCTAAGAGCGGGAGAATAAGCTACATAATCTATGAATTTCGAAAGGAAAAGCTCACTCGCGTAGGTTCCAGCGATTCTTTCATTAGGGCCCAGAGCAGCTAAAGATTGAATCCGATGTTGCCGATGCGGTAGATGGAGAAGCTTCCGATGAAGACGATGCCGATGCCGATGAAGACGGTGCTGATGAAGACGATGACGATGCCGATGAAGACGGTGCTGATGAAGACGATGACGATGAAGATGAAGACGATGACGATGAAGACGATGACGATAAAGACGATGACGATGAAGAAGGTTCCAATAGAGAGGATGTCAATGGAGACGATGCTGCTGAAGGTAAGTTGGAAGCAATGCACGAGCTGCCAACCTTCAATCCATCCTCCAATGTGCATCCTGCTTCGGCTCCATTTTGGTTGAAAAACTTAACAACCCCATCCTTGTTTACTTCTATCCATGCCGCAGGTCGGTCGTTTATCGTGCCACAAATAACCACACTCAACCTTGAGTAGCCTTTTCGTGTACCATGTGTAACCTCGCTTATATCTAGAGATTTGTTAATACTGATGGTATGTCAGGGGAGTTATTATTAACCTGAACAACTATTTCCATTAAGGAGGCCAAAAGGTGCTGAGTGTCCCGTGCAGCCATGGTTATCATCCGACCATATCACGCATTGACGGTCGTAATCAATAACTTGGAGAGTGCCACCTAAGGCGGCGCTTATGTAAACGCTAGCGAGAAGCAGGAAAATAGAAAGAGCCATTTATGTGACTTTCAATAGGATTCAAGAACGATACGAAGGGTAAAGTATCTCTGGACACAAGGTATAACAAAAAGCCGCGACTTTGTCTACCATATCTGCGGATTTAAATGTTCACAAGATTCTTGATAGATTGAGACAGAACCGTGGCAATAACCCTTCAACCCTTGCGAACACGATTTACGACACGATTTGCGACACCCTTTACGGCACCCTTTGTGCGACACTCTTTATGACACCTTGTGCGATACTGTTTTTGGTTGAAGGCACCGCCGACTAATGGGCCTAATTTTATTTCTACGAAAACTTACCTCGCTAGCCCCTTAATAGGTAGGTCTGTTTATTACGAGTCTATAGGGTCGTAGCACAGACCACGCTACACCGGTGCTTGTATAGTGCCGGGGTTGCTGTATCTGCAGCGGGTCATTCGTGGAATAAGTAACGAGGTGACCCCGCAAATGACCGATAACGATTGCAAGTTTTATTCAGCCTAAGATCAATCGGATCTAGACTTTGAAGCGCAAGTTATTGTTAGGAATCAATTCCTGCCATTTTTGGTCCTGGATCACGCATCGAAGGCTCCAACAGGCTTAGAAGTAAGGACTGTATCATCCAGCAAATACTATAAAACTAAGACTTTCTAGGATGAAAGGAACAGTGTCCTGGTTCTGTGTGTCTTGCCATGATAGCGATTCCCATCGCATGAAGATCAAATTTATAGCACATGAGCCTGGGTCCCATCTTGTTTGCTTTTGGTCACATTTACTCCCTGCTAAGCGGCGCATCAATATCAATACTCTATGCGCAATTTGCTTGGAGAAAACCAACCTTCTATCATCCAAGGAACAGCGAGCATTCATCTCTAAGAAGAAAGATCAAATCATGTTTGAAAGAAACGTTCCTTGGGCGAAACAGGAGTGGGAATTTTGGGTGACTTGTCGTGAATGTCAACGCATCAACGACTCTTTACGACAGAATGAGGGGTTGTATGTTCAACTTGTTGGTGGAGCTAGTATATTTTAAACTCTTGGTGCTTTAAATCCTCAGTTCTTAAGACTGGGCGGATCCCTTGCATAACCATTGCTTAGTGAAATTCAATAAGTCAATTTAAGAGCCTCGATTTGTTGTTGTGTCGGTCTTTTGGCAGAGTTCTGTCTCTAATCTACAATGCCCATATGCACAGATCGGCTTCAATACATGGCTCATTGAACCCGAATTGTCTTATAATAAAATTTGTGGAAGCTTAACAGGAACAAACAACTTAAGTGATGAGAGGATTTGGTATAAGAACCCTCCTATGGGTCTAAATTGGTAATCATAACTCCTCAGAAGATGTCCTATCCTTCTGGCGCTTCCCGGGTCGATTACCTGCAGATTCTGCCTTTCTCTTCCCCGTATGAACGTCATAGTGCATAACGTAATGTCGAAGTTTGTCCGCTGAGATTGTTCCTTCTTGCCCCTTTTCATGGCTTGGATTGTCTGTTTTCCCAACCAGTATCAATCGTTCTTTCAATGCTACTTCGTACACCTTGTTCACATCCGGAACTCCAAGCCCATACTGATTAACCACCATGAAAATATGATCCCTTGCAAGAGCTTGCAGAGTTGCTCGGAGATTGAGTCCGCCATCCAAGGAGAATTTGTAGTAAGTTCGCGATTCGAATAGGTAGACAACAATCACTTCTTGATGTGATTTATACCACATCGAAAGGATCTCAGGAACCTTCCGATGAATGGTTATGAAGCTTTTTATTTCCATTGGTTGAGGCATTTCCTCAAATCCGGCCGCCAATGGTGCAATATCACGATCAGGAGTTCCACTTGGGTGGTCATGCATTTCTACTGGCTCGGGGTTGAAATCTTCTTCTGTCGTATCTGGTCCGGAGTTTGTGGGCGGTTGGTGGACTTCTTCCGAAAGCGAGGAATTCGTACGTTCAACTGCAGGAAGCTCCTCTTCAAAATCTATATCTGCCTCGACAGATTCGGGGGCGGCTTCGGCAAGCCTGAGGGGACTTTGGGGTGGGGCAGCTTGCCGTTCATCCCAGAGTTGGTTGAATAAAGTTTTTCCAAAAAAGCAGCCGATGATATCTTTTATCACACCAAGCGACGTTACATATTCCGATTGTGGCTGATCAGGACCAAACATTTGGTTGGCAAAAATGTTTCTGCGCTGCCGATCATACTCATCTCGCGTGGGGCTGTTAAATCGGTGGCTCGCTTCGAGTTCTGGGTCATTTGTCGTGAATTGGGCTGTAGTACCTTCCTCCTCCGCATACTTAGGAAGATTCCACAAGAAGCTACCAAGTCTTTTAGACATTGATTGCACTCTATGCTCTTCGTATTTGTAGAATCCCTCCCTGCAAAGAGATTTGAAAAGGCCTTGTGCCATATGTTGCCCCAAATTTTGATTTCGAAGTAGGCTAATTTGATCGGATTTAAAGCCCAATCGCGAAGCCAATATAGCAAGCTTATTCAAGCTTACATCCTCAGTGGACCATTCAAACCCTTTTCCAATCTTTCTTACGCGGCTTCCTTGGTGGACAAAATGTCTGCAAGCAAAAAGCCAAAGCTGTATCACAGATACAGAGAATGAGGTTTCACTCTGCTGAATAGTTGTAAATTCGTTCTCTGTGGTCTGAACTTCAAGCAATCCTCCAGTTCCGATTATATTCCATTGACTAAGCATGACTTTTTTGAAGCTTCCTTTGAATTTTGGAGGGCAGAGACTGTGGAGCGCTCTTGCTGGACGTTCAATAAACAGTGTATCTTGGATAAGTGTATTGAGAGATATTATTCTCCCAGACGTTTGGAGAAGTCGACTCTTGAGTGCCTCCCTGTCTTCAGTAATTCTAACAAGAGGAAAAATTGTTTTTGAATCCATGAGGTCGGTGACGCGTTTTCGGTCTGCCAGAGAGATACAAGGCATTAACCCTTCAATATAGTACACGGAATCCGAGTCGACCAGCGACCCGTACTGAGAACCAAAAAGGTTTGCCCATATTTCCTGTATTTCGCATAAGTAATGATGCAAGATCTAGGAAGTTAGCTATGAACAAAACATGCGTTTATCAAACATACGTCTGGACATTTAAGTCCTAGCATCCTGGTGATTTGGGAAGATCTCAAAGGTTTCCATAGCCCAACGTAGGGCAATAACTTATCAAGAATGTCGAGCCGATTAGCATCACGTTGCAAGCGTCGTATCTGTTTCCGACAATCTTCGGAACCAAGTCTAGCCCACCATTTCTGCTCCAGGGCAACATTTTGTGAGATTTGGTATGACCTAAGGGTTCGATATATTTCGCCGACAGTGAAGCTTATACTTTCTGTCGATTCCTCGCGTAATTGGGCGAGTGCATCAGTCGAGATATCTAAAAGCATCATAAGTCTTCAAAGACAGCAGACATTTGTTGATGTGCCCTACCATCTAAATAGAGATCAACTAGCCATGTAATCTCTCCGAATTTCTCGCCAGCTTTTAAACGATGTTTCCCGTATACACAAGTTATGAGATCCTCTCTTTCTAACAGAAGATGTGGCTGATTTATGGGGTCGAGGAGTGCTTCTCGAGTAAGGTTTGACTTTACAAGTGCTCTTCCCAAAACTCCCCGTTCGATGGTCGCGCAAACTCTGTGCTCAGGTTCTAGATTACCGCAACCTTCAATTTCAAACATTTTAAGGAGTTTTTCCACATTTTTCTCGGCGATCTCTCGTGTTCCTATGAGATGGTTGGCTTCAAATTGAAGATGCTGTAACTTGATAATTGCGCATCCCTGATAACTCTGTAATCTTTGAATGGCGAGGCTGTTCGTTCGGTGACCAAGAAGGTTTTCGCTTGTATCCATTTTTCAAATCTTGTTTTGCTCAGAGAAAAGATGGGTTAGAGAAAGAAAGAAGGGCATTAAAAAAAAAGGAAGGAAAGCAAGGCCGTGACGACTTAAAATGTTCTGCGACACTAAAACCGTGTCGCACCAAATGCCTCGCGTATGGGTCCTACCGCCTTGTTTACAAATCAGAAAACAGGAGGGACAAATACAATATAAGAGCCCAGTCTCCCACGTATAGTAATACTCATAATTCCCAAACAAATCGTCCCTATGCGTTTGAACCATCTTTCTTTCTCGCTCTTCATTCTGTCATCGGCATGGGCAGGTCCCGACAATTGTTGGTACGATTTTAATTCTGATTCTAGAGCTTTGACACATTCGTGCCAGGTCTATGATGATGGGGGCGTTGTTTATACATCTTCTTTAAAGCAGAGTGATTGTCTTCGAAATGATGATGGCAAGCTTCTATTCCAGAATGGGTAGGTTCCAGATCATTATTCTTCTCAGTCGTTTTGTGTCAAATGGACAACCTATTTACTTTTATAAAGTGGAGGAGCTGCCTGTACGGATTGCTTTGAGCAGTCAGGTGCAAGTGAGGACATAGTTGGCATGATCTATAGAGGGAAGTCGAGACCCTCGAATTACCTTAGATGCTCGTGTCCCGATGAATCCGGCAAGACCAAGGCAGCGTCAATTCAACTCAGTAGGTGGTCACATGAAAGCTGATGATGAATTTGGATTTATTAACCATTGAAAGACTCCGTTTTATCAACCGTGTCTTCTTATAGTTTGGCTTGTGGCGTCACCACGGCGACTGTCTCGACGTCGGTCCCCTCCCGAGCCACATCATCGGCAGTGCCAACATCCGCGCTGCGTGTCTAGCTTACCAAGGTGTAGAGGTCAAATTGAATATTTTGTGTCAGATTAGTGCCTGAAGATGCCTGGTCTTTGACCGTTTTCTTATTGTAAATGAAGCTATTCCCATCATCTTCATCGTGAGATAATTTCCAGTTTATCAAAAGCTCTCTTTCACAATAACCAGATACATGATCAACGAGCTTCTATAGAGTAGGGCTTACTCTCCAGTAAGTCCTTACTCTCCAGTAAGTCCTTACTCTCCAGTAAGTCCCTACTCTCCAGTAAGTCCCTACTCTCCAGTAAGTCCCTACTCTCCAGTGAGTCCCTACTCTCCAGTAAGTCCCTACTCTCCAGTGAGTCCCTACTCTCCAGTAAGTCCCTACTCTCCAGTGAGTCCCTACTCTCCAGTAAGTCCCTACTCTCCAGTGAGTCCCTACTCTCCAGTGAGTCCCTACTCTCCAGTGAGTCCCTACTCTCCAGTGAGTCCCTACTCTCCAGTGAGTCCCTACTCTCCAGTGAGTCCCTACTCTCCAGTAAGTCCCTACTCTCCAGTAAGTCCCTACTCTCCAGTGAGTCCCTACTCTCCAGTAAGTCCCTACTCTCCAGTAGGCCCCTCTCTATAAGTAGCAACTCTCTATAGTAGCACAAGATGCTAATGCAAAGCAACGAAGATACTCTGCGCTATCTACAGCACGTACACTAATCTGTAAGCTAGGCTGTAAAACTATACTATCTTGCGTGTCTGAATCCGACTCTTCTCTGACATCGCACCAGGGAGCAGTATATGATGCAAATTGTCTGTGTTATTACCAACGGACTGTCCCGGAGAGTTGACCACCAGCTAAGCTAGGTACTCTTGGCAGACATCTTTAATGCTGTTTTCTAGATCTACAACATGGTACTATCAAATCATTCTTTGTGAGTTTACAATGCATGTATTTTCTACTGATCTGGTCTTAGACACCTAGAATTGGCTTCGTTCTCTCTCACGGCTTGAGGAAGGCGCGCAAGCTTCCAGTTTGACCCCAAGGCTGAAACTCAGGTTCGAATAACTCGACGTTTTTATCTACGCGTGACCTAACCAAGTTCCTGATATCATGCCGAGTTTGGGCCTGCGCACAAACTAATTTCAAGATGAGTGAGATATTTCGCAATAGATTGTGAGTACAAGACTTACCCATTACAAGCATTTTCCCCATTTGGCCTTTTATTTCTATATCAAGCTGCTGTTCCCAATTGACGTGTCCGCTATGTACATCGATGAGCCCATTCTCACCGATGTGTTGAATATCGTCCTCCGACTGAGCACGTAGTGGGTCATGAATTGATACGTGAAGCATCTGCCTAGCGTAAGTAAATGGCATCCTTAATACAGAAGCGGGTACTAACGTATCCATTATCTTGCCTAACGAGGACCTGTAGTAAGTCTCGCGCACTCTCGTAATCACCAACCCTATCTAACTGCCAGACGAGCGAGATCCTCTGTGTGCATATTTGGGCCTTTTCATGGCCATCGAGAAGCTCCTTAATATATGGCAACTGAGCTGCGATACCGATACCGGTAGCAACTAAAAAGATATGTCCATAGTCGCCGACTTTGCTGTTTAACCTCCAGTTAACAGACGACGGGCCAAACGGGCCATCAATCCAACCTCCGAAGTCTCTGTTTGGCTCAATGCGATCAAAGAGTCTCTTTGTGAAACCGGAACGGGGACGAAGCAGAATTGAGATTGAAACCGCCCGGCCATTGATATCACTCTCCCACCAGGTGATAGTAAATGGGTGTGACTGAAAAAGATAAAAAAGTCCTACGGAAGGAACACCCAGGTTGATGCGTTGACCGGCGCGCACTGCCCATGGTCTAGGCAATGATAGTGTCATTCGAGCGACATCACCCACATAGGGTTGTAACTTCATTTGGACATGGCTTCTTCCTACCACCACATTGCGATATATGATGCGAATCAGCTGCAACACCCCCGTGATAGCTAGCGTACATGTGTACACCAGTGGGAATACCCACAAACTCCCTTCAGTTGACTGAGTGTGCTGCCATATTGCATATATCATCGTCACCGCGCACGCAATGTGGGTGAGAAGAAATACCTCGTAGACCCTTTTCTTGATTAGGGGCAAGATTATCAAAGCCAAGAACAAACAGGCCGCCTTTACCGGATTTCAGTATTCAAACACAGTTTAGGAAAGGCGAGAAAGCTTACTAGCAGACCGTAGAATTGCATCTCGTTTGCCCAAGAGATCAGCCTCGATCGAGCAACGATTATAACATGAGCCAGAGCCTCGAAGAAAGCTACTAACGCAAACGATCGATGTAGAAATCCGTAAGAGTAGAGGGATACTCCAAGGAGACGAGCTGTGAATTCGTAACCACCACCCAAAAACATTGGGAATAAGTTAATGAGTGAGAGCTTCGCTGCTCGATTACCAGCATCTTGGATGGAATGAACCCGCACAACATTGCAGATGCCAGTGCCGGCATAATAAACAACTGTTAAGATTAAATGCATCCTTGATGTACCTCCAAATCCGAGGAATCGCCAATAAGACCTGGCATAAATCACATGGCGTAATAGAAACGGTCGAACTCGAGAAGATAAGAAAGGTGAGGTTGATAAGAATGAGCATATGCATAAAGTAAGACGGTACAACAGGAATGAGGAAGCCGTAAGACCGAGAACTACCCCGTATATTGCCTCCGGTGTAGTCGGAAAATGAGTGACGGCAAATGAAGTCATTTGGGCGAAAAAGCAGAAACTTTCTTCTTTACTTTGGCGCAAACCAGGCGTATTTATACCCCTTCATTATCTTCTCTACTCGATTTCTCTCTTGGCGGCCAGCGATGATCAAAAAAAGCGTCTGTTACCTATTAGCACTAGAAGATGTGGCCCGGGTGCATACTCAGATCTCCGCAACCCTGTTAGTAATAGCTAGTGTCTATCTTAGTTTTGCGAAGCGAAAAGGGGGGTGGGTGGAACGCCCGACGGCGAAAATAAAATGCTTGGCGTGCGCAACTCTGCTTTCGTGTCCGCGACTCTGCTTTCGTGTCCGCGACTCTGCTTTCACGTCCGCGACTCTGCTTTCACGACCGCGACTCTGCTTTCATAGCCGCTAGTCTTGACCTTTGCCACGGTTCCGTCACAGCCTGACAATGAATATCCCCACTACGGCTTCGGATGTCATCTGCGACACTGGAAAGGTAGCAAAATTCGACTTCGTCATCCACTTATGCCCTAAGGAAACTAACAATGCTTGACCGAATAGAAATTATCATAATGCCTCCTTCGGTATCAGTAGCTTGCCAACAATAGTCCATGCCAGCATGGTTAAGATGACTCAGTTTGAAGATTTGAATAATCCTTCCCCAACAATTGCTGAAAACAATTTCGATGCACCTATTCCTGAGAGGTGAGTTCTTTAATTAGACTTTCCGCCGAGATCTCAATATTGAAATCAACTAGACATGGCTTTCCCCACCTTGGACACCCCACTCAGAAGTATTCTATGAATTGGGAAGTCGATCAGGCGGGTTACGGATCACTCAGCCTTGGCAACTATTTTGGATACTCAACTGTCCTGATAAAAAAAAAAACCGCCGAAAAAAAGCTTGCTAGCTTCTCTAAACTGCAAGCTGCATTCCATGAGAATGTAGTGGGCCTCGTAGAGGCTTTTCACGATAGCAAAGCCACTTATTTTGTTTACAACTACTATGGATTTGCTGTCAATCTTTCGCAAGTTAGCTCAACTCCCGTCGTGCATTTAAGTGAGACCGATCTCGCAAGCATCTGCAGGAGCGTTCTTAGGGGTCTTCAGTATATTCATGAAAATCTTTTGATAGTCCACGGGCGTGTCAACTGTGACAACATTATCTTATGTTCCGATGGAGCCATTAAAATAGGTAAGTGTCATATACTACCTTCCTTCATTGATAAAAGACTCATTTAGTCAGCAAACATTGGAGACAGCATGGTAGATGATGGCCCTGCGTCCATGGATCTAGATCGCGAAAAAGTTGGATTATTGTTGCTTCAACTCGGTGATCCACAGAGATCTCTGAACAAATCTGAAAACCAAGCTAGAGTCCCACAAACGGGGCGTAAGCTATCAAAATACGCGGTTCACTTTGTGGAGCACATTGGCTCATCGTCATATTCTTACTTGTTCGAGGTTGGGCTGCTATGCAATATTCCTAGTCTCACGCTTACACCTCACAGCATGCATTTTTGCAGCAAGCGGATTCAGACAGTCGGACGTGGTATTTGATACCTCATTATCTGGATACAATCATGTACTGGGGTGTTCTACTATAAGAAATTGAAAGATAAATTGGGGGAGATCCCTACTGATCCGCAATGACAGGCTCATATTTCTTGTTCTGTTCGCTTTATCTGCAAGCGACTCAACGTTGGTTTCTCACTTCAGTCAAAACGGAAAACCATATATAGAATTTTGAGTTTCCTATGATTTTCCTAATTACTTGAATGCAATTTAAACAAAGGAATTCAGTTCATCTTCTTGCGTTATCCTTCATCTCTGACCGTTTCCCCGCAATAATATTGTTTAAAGAGTAGGTAATTCTTAGACATGGACAGGATGTTGGTAGTTGCGAGACATCTGATTGTGTTCCCGTTTCAGTCTCTCTAGTTTGCCAAATTTATAAATGTATAGCAGAATAAGAGAGCAGGCAACGGACAGGCCAGATGTAATCACAGTCAAAAGTACCATGATGGACCAATCGCCATCATGAGCAGTATATAAGCTAATAATCGTGGTAAGAAAACCGGCCAATGCATTAAGAAGCGTAGGACTAACAGCATTAGGAGAGATCTCGTATCATTAATGCGCGACACTCACATAAAAATACGATTAATAAGCCAAATATAATTCCCGCGAAATTCCCAGAACAGCCAGCCCATGATCGCCAAACCCGAGACAAACAGTACACATGCCGTTGCGAGAAGGGGAGGATTCTGGATAGTATTCAAAATCCACTCCCCGGCTTCATTTTCCGCGAGGCCATCATGGATTTTGTCGGACTTTTGGAGAGAGGTGAACGTTCCAGGAATCACCAGATAGCCAGCAAGAAGTATCCAGTGGGCTGTACTAGCAAGAACGTTGTCTTGCCAGGCAATCGCGTCCGCTTCTAAGATCATGCGTACGTAACTGGATTCGAACGGCTCGTAAGTCAAACCGCCGGCTTGATTGTCGGGATGAACAGAAGATTGAGTCGCCATGTTTTTATTTATGAATTCGATAAACTATCATAGAGAGGGCAGGCTTTTCTACTTAAGACACCCCGCGGTACACAAAACGGCTCGCAGAAGAATAGAGGAAATAAACTATTATTACAAAATCAAGAGCGTAGCCTAATATAGATGACACCCACTTAACGCTCGTTCCAATCTAACAGAAAGGAGGGAATGTCACCATGTACCATTTTTGTTGTGGCTAGATCATGCGGTGCCTACTTAGAATTTGTTTATCATGGTTTGTAATTATTGTCTGCGGGTATTGTAGAGCCTTAATTATCGTCGTCATTAGCTTGACTTCCGATGCGGATGCCTAGAGGTAAGGTTTTGAAATAGTGCCGCTTCAAACTCCACGCCCCCCCAGGGTTGGCAAGATGCAGAAATTCGTCCTTTTCACCATATCAGGGATGCCACAGAGAATCGAAAATGCAAGAGATACTTACTTTTGCCATGCTTTCCGCGGTTGTATCTTTCTTACTTTTTTGCACAAATAAATAGGCTAGCCGTGAAAGAGGTGACGTATTTAGATCATCGCTTGACTCGAGGACTGCGGCGGTCCGGTCGCTTAGGAACACTACAATTGACCCAACGTCTTGAATATCTTTCTGCATCGTGTCGGCGGAATCTTTTTTCAACAAGCATTCTCCGATGTTTGCTTCTTGTGAATTAGTGAAGTTCAAATTGAAAGCACGAGACATACCAAGCTTGACTTCGCCTTGCCAAGTAAGAAGGACATTGCTGAAATCTAGCAAGCCATATGAAGTCTTCAAGGCCGAGTGAATAAATTTAAGTCCTTCCAAGATCTCTTTGCAAACTGTCGCTATGTCTGCGTCGCTGAATTGAACATTTCCCGCAACACAACCAAGACTGATCGCCAAATGCTCATACTCGTAGACCAAATGAAGTTTATCCCCAGATTGGAAGTGATCAATCAAGGATAGAATGTTTCTGTGACTGGCAAATTGCAGTCCTCGAATAGATCGCATCTTTCCAGCGTCACGGCACTTTATCAGACATATGGGGAGGTTCTTAGTGTCTTTCAAGGCTATTATTCCTGTTCCAGCCTGGTCAATGTTGTATGATTTGTGAAACTTGTCGAGTGGGCTTTGCTTGGAAAGGGCATGAGATGCACTCTTTTCGCTTGGTTTGATGGGAACACCTATTCGGTGTAGATGGTTTCTCTCGACGGGCTTCTTCGGCGGGCTTGCTTCTCCCCCAGTATCCTGCTTCACATCGTCATCTCTTCCATTGAACTCGGATTCCTTCGCATTAACAATTCCTCTCTTTGACCACAATTGATTTGGTAAAATAGTTTGCCGCTTGGTGCTTGGCTCCATTCCGTAAGTTCTGTGTCGGATCCTTTTAGGTTCAATTCATAAGGAGATAGTGGGTGAACACTTTATTCTTTGGCCGTGAGGGAGAGTGACCGGTGATTTAAAATAGAGTATGTGGAAATGCCCTTTTGATTGGCTGGTCGTGCCCTTGCTCCTCATTCCTGCCACGGCTTACCCACCAGCTCCGATCTCGGGAATGGCATATGAATCAAAAACAGTGTCGCAGCATTAACTAATATCCGAATCTGCAAGTCGCCAGCAAGAGGAAAGCGTCCGACGATACTCTCGGTCACCACAATAATAAGCTTGCTACCGAAGATGTATTTCTACCAGGTTGGTGCTATTGTTGATTTCCGGGTAGTTATGCTGTGAGACCTCAAGCGGGTGGTTCATCGAAGACGAGGCTTAGCCTACCTATTCCTATGAGAGTTGGAGATGCCGCTTGTAGGCTGATCGACGCCTGGATACTCTGTACAAATGAAGACGTCTCTGAATGGAATGGGAGGCAATTCTTCGGAGACTTTTACTCGGCCTACAGAACGATTCGTGAACAGCTACGAGCTTTACCAATCTACAGTTATCCTAACAAATAAAAATTGCACACAAATTTCATGATTAGAATGCTATAACATCTAATCAGAAACATATAGTATAGTCTCGTCATGGCTTTTGCCATGATCATGCTCGCGCGATATGATCTTCAAAGCCTCTTCATCAGCAACAACATTAGCTGGATCCATGTCCCTGTAGAGATCCTCTAAGAATCGAAACTCCTTCGATCTGGCGGCGAAATACCGAGTGAGCTGAGACAAGTCACTCTCGGAGCTTCCCCGAAGGCTTTCGACCTTACTGAAGCTCGATCGTTTCAATTTGGGATACTGCTGTTCCTACCAGTATCTCAGCTGAATGGAACATCTTTTGAGCGCTGTCTTACTCACCAGCTTCTCATCACTAGGGGGCCACGATCTATCATCGACTGTGTTATAGACGAACGATTCTCGCTGATGATTGATGACCAGGTATACTTTTGCATCGCAGAGCTTGACAAGCTCATGAGCTTTGACTTTCAATGTCTGGGATCGCCTCTTGAATTTGTTTCGGGAGTTCCTTTTAGGATCGGGCCCACCCATGGCTTCGAATGCTAATGCAGAATATGAGAAAGAGGTAACAAAACTCTATAAGTTGGCGACATAACAAAGCTTTCACACGGATGGAAATGATTTCATATATATATCCTAAATTTCTCTCCCATTACTTTACACGCGTCATAAATACATTCCAGGTTTAATACCGGTTTACACAAGTGGGCGTTTTCTAGGATAAATTTCCCCGGAGCCTCTCGATTCGCGCTTGCGTCTCCGACCCCTGGCAGAGGTTCGGATCACATCACAGCTCTGGCAAGGTTCTCGGCAAGGAGACCCATGGTTATCATGACCAAACGAAGACAGCAGGCCTTGGCTTGAAACAAAAGATGCCACACTCTCAGGGAAACCCCCAATCCTCCAGCGCTTTTTAGACTTGGTTTGTATATATATATTCACCGTGTAGTCCAGATGGCGGGTTAAGAAAGAAATGGAGCGGTTATAGCATCCACATGAGGGGCAGAGACTGTCTAGACCCCCGAAATCGTCGATCAATCCACAATCTGAGACATAGCTAAGCCCATCGGGGTAAAGATTTTCCAAGGCCAAAATCACCTTTCGAGCCGGTCCTTTGCAGCGCACTGACCCGCGACACCAAAATGGAGTTGTGGTATTTTCTGGCAATAAACCGACAACAAAGAATAATCTAGAGACGAGTAGTGTAGTTGCCGCATCCTGGGCCATTCGCGCACTCCCGACTTGGAGGAGAACGAGATTGCGATAGTCCTCCATGGTCTTGACAGCGTCAATAGTGTGGGGTGTGTTTCCTAGAGGCACGTCTAGGCGGTGACTATCATTTTTGACCGAATCACTGAGACGACCCCGCCACTTTCTCCAATCGTTATCTGACTCCATGGTAGACATCCACGCATCAAAACCCCGGCGCACAAAACCGTCGCGAAAAATGTGGCGGAAATGCGGAGTCTGATTACTCGACTGCGCTTTTCCAGTACCCAGAGACAGCATTCTTGTAGACCCGATGGCTGTGGGCCAGATTTGGTGCGAGACCTGATGCGCAATTTCCCCTGCAAAGTTATACTTTAGTCCACCGTCTTGAAAGGAACCGATTCCCTGTAGATCCGCTGGCGTAAAAAAACTTGCGATCCAATGGTTAGCTCCACTCGGGCAAAAGATCGCATGGGATCGACCTACAACGGGGCGGCGGCAGTAGCTCTTGCTCTAAAGTTTAGTTAGCGCTAACCGTGGAAGGCGGGGTGCATGTCGGGATCAAGCCTACATTCGCCACACAGTTGGTTCATTTCGTGTATCATCTGGCCGTATTATTCGGAAGTCTAGTGGCATTAGTAGGAACGTGGCGGCAATGAACATTGAACTTGCCGTTTTCATCCCTTGACTCATGGGACTCATGGGACACGTTGAAGTTCCCTATCACAAAAGTACTTGTATCCCTGGAAATGCTAGTGGTTACCACCCCAACCTTCGGGCCGGAGCGTCGTGGTCCAAGAGGATCGTCTCGGGCGGCACCAAAAATACGACGATGCTCACCAAAAGCACTTTTCAGGGCGGCATCAAAGACACGTGAATCGTAGCAGCTGTCATGTAGAAGCCACTGGACCCATTTAGCCATGTCCCCAAATACAGATATAAAGCCGAAGACTTGGCGAAGCAGCAGAGGCAAAAAAGAAGGGCGTCTTTCACGGAAAATACAACGTGCCAAGGTATTAAATCGCTCCGAGCAATCTGTGACATTCCATTTCATTGCGAATAACCCTAGCGCGATAAGCCCACCTAAAATATCTATTATTAGGTTTCCTGATTGGACGACACCATAATTGCATCATGAGGCGGCTGACTGACCGGAACTTGTCCCGAGTGCGAGATCTACCACGTCTTGTATCGCGCACGGGCGCAGATGTTCCTGCACCAGAAGCAGGAACTCCAACGGAATTACCCCTCTAACCCCACCGCCGTCGATGGCAAGAATTGTAGGGCTCATAGTCGGCGGAAGAACATCTACCACTAACGGCCTCTGGTAGAGGCAACAGAGACAACCCTTGATGGTGAACTGATACTCCAATCCTAAGGTAGGCCTGCCGAAAATCTGAGCACATCGGTCGCACACTGTATGTCCACATGCCAGAACATGTTGCGCAGAACGCAGAAGACAAAATAGACAGATACGACTGCTTCGCATGCGAGATAACTGACCACTGGAGGACTTGAGTTGTTCTCTGCGTAAATTTGCCGAGGAGACTGCGTTCTCCGAGAATCGCTCGTATAAGCGCATAAAATTAGATTCAACAAGATCAGTTTCTTTCCCGGGACACATCTCGGGCCATAATGCCTTGGAAATACGATACGCCGTAATAACAACGGACCGGTACAACGTTTTAAATACCATGCCGGGGTTTATAGCTATCTTATGTTAGCTTCGGCCTATGAAACGTTAACACGGGACTGACCAAGCATCTTGGGTACATAATGATCCATGAAAAGCGCTGACGCAATTGTTGGGGCCAATCCCGAGAGGGGGAGATTAGCGCGGTGGCCGATCTCAAGATAATGCGCCAAATGCGATTCTGCGCACCAACTTACTGGGCGATCCCTCCTCGTTGCTTTCACAAAATCGAAAGGATGAGAAATATCCTTTAAGGTGTGTTGGATCGCTAATTGAAATAATGCCTTCAAATGCGTTGCATTCGGCCGGGCTTGATTTTCTTGTCGGATAGAGGAGACGGCATCGACTTGTTCTGTGATTAACGCTTTGATGCGTTGGAATTTTGTGATATCGGAGAACTGATGGTCCTGTAGGTATAAAGATATAGAGCTAGAGAACACCCTAGATAGATCGTTATATCCGCTCTCTTGGATTCCCCTGTTGAGTAATCCTATATCAGACATATCCCTCTCGCCTTTTCTCACCGATGGGCCATAAATAAATATCACCCTTGGTAAATATCGCGAAGAAAAGGAGGATGCAGAACGAAGCTGTAAACAGCTAACTAGAAAGTGCACGACCTCTTCAATGCAGGTAGCGTCGTCAATGAAGACGCAAACTACATCTGTGAAGACAAATATCAATCGCGACCACAGTACCAGTAGTATTTTGGCCGCTGAATAGTTGTTCCACAAAATTGGATGGCCAACGCCGGCCTCAAATCTCTTCGCAGTGTAAAACTTGTCGGTGTGCGGAATTTCACCATCAGCCAATAACACTGGCCGGCGGCTTTCTAAGGAAGCGACATCGTATCGCAATTTTATTGGCGCCTCAGATTCATGCCTTCTTATATTGTTCAGAGGGTAGAGCTGCTGAAGAGCGTGATTCTTGGTTTTCCCGCCGAGGAATACACATAATGATGGATATTGGTTGTCTTGATCGCGCAACTCGGAGACCACACGTTGCAGCCGGCCGTGGTCCTGGATTGCAAACGTAGAATCTTCACGGGTGCCAACATCAAGCCAGCCAATGTCTATAGAATTCTGCATGGTGAAGTGAAACTTAGAAACATGCTTCTCTTGTGCCTTACGGTGCGAAGTATTTGAATGTTAACAGTAGTCCTTCATTTGGCAAACGTGTTTCAAAACTAGGGTGATATTATCGCCCACATTTTTACTAATTAATCAAGGAAAAGCGTTCTCACCTCGTTCTCACCCCGTTCTCACCCTAGCCCACTTTGACTGGTATAGATTCCAGACTGGGCTGTACTTTTGTCAAGAGCCGCTCTGGCCTCCATCAAATCCAAGAGGCAAAAGTTAAACAGGGGTAACAGCGCCAGGGTATGCCATGTCTTGGGCTTTGTTAGCTAAGCAATTAAGAACAAAGCAAGAAATATAAGTCGGTATCCGGCATCTAAAACTAATTTAAATCCTTCTATTTTGCCTCAAACATGTCTTATGAGGAGTCCATGGCATTCAATGTCCCTGCCAATCTGTGGGAGACCCCTACTTCCTCTCTATGTTTTGACACCAACGAAACCACGCTTTATACACAAGAAAACATTGACTCATACAATGGTCTGGATGCTTTCGTTCAACAGCACAATTTGGCCATGGGAAATGAATGTTTTGAGTCTGAAGGGTGCCCCGAATCCACTAGGGCCCCTCTGATGACAGGGCCGTACGGTGATGGATGCGACTATCGATCAAATGGGATTAGGTATCCATTTTCTCCACGTTAATTCCTAGCTAGAGCTAAGAATCTTGTAGCCAAACCGAATTGCTTTTGTCAGCCCCAATTAGCACGCACGTCTCCGAGGAGACTGACACTACCTTGCATACGGATACAGAGCTATCTCTCACCTTGAAGCAATTTATGACTATGATAGGCCAGTTTAGTGTCCTTTCTCAAACGCTAGGCACTAAGATCGAAGGCCTAAATAGCCGCTTCGATGATATGGAGCACCGTTTGGACAGTATGGAGCACCGAATGGAAAGTCTGGAGGACAGCATGGCCAAATTGCATCAAGAAACGCAATGCTTGGAGGCCAGGTTCAAAACTATCAATGAATATCTTCTAGAGGTCATAAGGAGGGAGCAAACGGTAATGCAGGAACTTGGTGAACTAGCAAGTCGCTACCATGAGCAAGATATATAACTAGCTTTTGATCACTAGCACATTTCAATTTCGACAATATGCACTGTTATTTTCTAAAAGAGATGAAAAGAAGCCAAACTATACTAAGATTGCAACCGGTAGATCTCACAGCTCAGAGTTCCTTCACGTCCAATGGTTCCTTGCACATTTCAAAATCTATAAAAAACCCCTAGCTCCGCCGCTAGATTCGGATCCCCAAAGCCTTAAGTACTGCTGCTCCGACTCATGTAGGCGCGCTGTTGCCCGTGCGAGAGAATCTTCTAGGGAGCTGAAGATATCAAACACGCTTTCTTGGAATTGGAAGAGTATCTGTTGGGTCTCTTTGTGCCACTGAAGCTCGGCTCTGAGATAGCTCATCTGATACGCAGTTTCTTCGAGCTGGGACTTCAAATCTGGAGATTGTCGCTTTGAATGCTGCAACCGGGACTGTAGTCTCTCTAGGTTGGATGATGTGCCTCCTAGGCATAAGATTTGATGGTCCGTAGGAGTAATTTCCTCGGATATGGGTTCAAGCCGTTGACCAACATATCGACTCATTGTAATGTGTAGAATATGCAATCAAAACTAAAGACGAGAGGCTTCGACCTTAGCTTGGCATGGAAACAACTTGTAGAGAAAAAAGGAGGCTTACAGCGCCCTTTTCTAGAAGCATGCAGATCTTATCCGCGATGCGCTCTATCACCCCATGACGTAAGCAGAGGTGAGACTGATCAGGGCGATATAACGCCACTTACAACACAAAAACTGAGACTTGTGTATTTTCTAGAGTATAGACATTAATACTCGAGCATGTCATCTAATGAGATGGGAGTGTTGGATGAAGGATCTATAGGTGATACCGGAAAAGAAGGACTACCCGACGATTTCTGTGATGAGGATGGGCGGCCATAACTCTGACCGTTTTGCAGGCAGCATATCGTTCGTTGTCGTATCGATACGTGTAGCTATCTCGGACCAACTCTGGCCCGTGAGAATGTCTCCACAACTCGGCGTGAATCTTTCCGCGACACCGAAAATGACTCGCGACACTAAAAACAACTTATGACACCAGCCAAATCCTGCGACACTGAATCCAGTCCTAAGTTAGTAGGTTCTGGCAGCCCACGGTTACCTTTGTTGTATCACCTCCTAAAGAGTTTAACAACCGATAAAAGAGGCGACTTTTCAGGTCTTCGTAGGCTAAACTAATTGTTCAAGATATGTCTTCCGGAACCCAATATCAAAATCTAGAGGTAGCGCCGTCATCTGCTACTATTCGTCGAGTAAAGCCTACATTCAATCCACAATACGCAATACATATGCTGATTCATTAATTAGGACCACATCGACACCGCAACATATAACCACGACGTCTTCCTCTTGGTAGAGAAGCTTTTGCGACAAGAACAACAGTCCAAGCTTTACCAAGAACGCTTAGAACTCAGAATCAATAGCGATTCTGTGGCGTATCAAAAATTACACCTCTATTGTGAAAGGTCGATTTCTGGGATGCAGCATCAAAAATCGCAGCTTGAGGTTTCATTGCGCCATGCGACGGAAACTTGTCAAGCATTATCTCAAAGTCTCCACTTGGAAAGGGACAAAGTGCGGGAGCTCGAGTCTCGTCTCAATGAGGTATACCCAAATATTGATTCATGGTTACATCGATTGAATCAAGAAAAGCAAAATTCCCGATCTGCCGATGACAAGGAAACAATGGATCGTCTTTTGCTGGAAAATCACCGTCAGCGAGAGTCGATCAATTGTCTTCAGTCTATCCTCCATGCTCGGGAACAGACTGTGCAAGATCTTCAGTCTACTTTAGACCAGTTGTCTCAACGACTCCCCAAAGAAAATGGGGGGTTATTTAGGTCCTCTGTTCGCTCGTCAGAAGAACCGAATGTCAAAATCATCACGAATACACCTTCGACCAAGAGCTGAGATATTAGATAGGATAGTTTGCGTGCTGCGCGAGGTTCTTCAATATTATTTCCTCCAAGTTCACATAATAATGTTATTTTTTCCGTTCTAGTCGTCTATATAGGATGGTTGGAAAAATAATGGACGGGCGTGTCAACCCAAACGAGTCTGCATCTGTGGAAATTGGCGCAGCGTTGGGGAAGTGCTAATGCACGAGATCTTGAATCAAGTAATGGTAGACATTCCTTGTTCCCCAAAACTCAAATTTGAGCCACATGGGGTTTATGGAGATCACTACCTAAAGGGGGCCCGGAAGCTACCGGCCCATTCCAAACCTTTCATTACACTGACGACCTGCCTCCAAACCGTTTAATGGCATGATAAATGACAAATCAAAGAACTAATCTCATATTTTCTTCTTTATATTTCGCCATCCCGGAATCTCGGCCCATTTCATATTGGAGCCCCATTTCCTATTGGAGCCCCATTGCGCTAAACATCTTAATCACCAAATGGGGCGTAAATTTCCGTTCACATTGGATATTATATGGGCCGTCTATTCCCTGGTAAACGGGACACGGTCTATTAGGCAGCCACGATAACCGATAATAAAATCTATCCCAACCATCAAGGCTGTTGTGGCCGATAAGTAGCTAGAGCTCACATCTACAACCAAAGCTAATTATCAATTCTGCCAGGATTCTGAGACAGTGTCGCAGTCGCGGTGGCCAACATGGGATCGCAATAACAAGGATCGGTGACCAATGAGCGCAGAAGAGCTGTATGCATTATATAATTCTAGCAGCACTGTTTTTGTTATCCCTGCGCCGAGTAAGTGGATAGAATTTCTTATCCTTACAGAGCTAGGGCGTCAATTTGGAATTTTTGCAATGGGACTCAGCAATGAAACAAATTTTATATAGCATTGTACAACTCCTGTCAGCCCATATGGTTTCTTATTTTGTCCATTCCCACTCAAACAGATAACTTCCAAAAAAATGCATTTCGGTCGTTGCAGTTTACTCTGTGGTGCTACTACGATAGCTGGAAGACAGTGTGCCGGTTCATTTTCACCAAAGTTTCAAGACCACAGGCACACAGCCAGCCTCCGGGCACAGGTATATATGAAATCATGAACATGTAACTGAATGTAACTGATAATTCTAACATAATCATATAAGGATGAAGACATGGCGACATTTTGTGCCACCTTTTCGGAAGCCAATCAGGCTCCAGACGGCAGTGTCTCTATGGATGTAGTGATACTCACTATCGTTTTCATCCCTGCTGAATCGATACTAGCCAATATTCAAAGAAAGTAAATGCTATGGCTGTATTACGGATTCCATAGGGCTAATGAAGTATACATTAGCACTGCAGCGCTTGATGCGTATCTATCGGAATACCTCGACTGCTTCTATGGAAAGGAGACTCTTTCAGCAATTTCTACCTTAACGCCGAAGGATATCAATTGGAACAAAGATCAAATTTACAACAGGGTAACAGAGATTCTACCTGAATCTTTTGTCCCAATTACAATTGACGGCAGTATTACGGCAAAGCCAGTGTGGCCGCCGGTACAAGTCACTGCAACTACTGGTATTCTAAAGGCCACAAATGCAGCTACTCCAACCAAACATCCTTGGGCACTGGATAGCGCCACAGCCTTCATGGTGGCAGGGTCAATCGTGTTGGCTTTGGTGCTGGGCTGTGTTGGCTGGAGTATACCAGGGCTCCCTTCTTTCTAGTTCGACCGAAGGCCTATTAATTCCAAATTTATGCCCAAGAGATTAGATATTCGAGCTTCTTGCTTTTCAATTTATGACCTTTTGATCCTTTGATACTTAAATAAAGAGATCCAAAGACCAAATGGCTACAGTGCCGACCGCTATCGCCTTCCATATCGAACAACACATAGAAGCTCTTTTGAACCCTAATCACATGATATGCTAATCCATATTTGGTTAAGTTATGTTTCAATATCTGTTTCAAGTGTGAATCGTATGACTCGGATCAAGTAAATTACCAACTTGGGTATCTGTACATTTAGTAGTACAGATCTAAAACATACCAGGACAACCATTGAACAGGTATCATCTACCGCACGGGACTCTGAGTAAATTAATCGTATCTTTCATGCATCGTCCGTCCACAGGATAGATAGATTCAGGCTTCGGTTATACCAATGATTTCACCGTAGCCTTCTCCACGTTGACGCTGTGATATTACGATCCTATTTAAGTCATACAGAAGATAAACTGCAGTGATGTAGCCATTTTTCCGAATTCCATTACAGGCATGCAATTCTTGTAGTCTTATTATTTAAACAATCTAGCGAATTTCTTAATAGCCCGCCGTGCCGTACTAGCATTGAGATGTGCGACCTTCTCATTGTTTGGCAGTGCTCGCTGGTACATCTCCTCTGCCTCTTTTAGCTTCCCTTGATCAGAGTAGAGATTGCTAAGGTTGTTGACTGTATTTAGAGTGGACGTATGATCTGGGCCGAGGGCCTTGTCATAGCCTGCTAGTGCTCGCTGGTACATCTCCTCTGCCTCTTTCAGCTTCCCTTGATCTCTGTAGAGAATGCCAAGACAGTGGACTGTATTTAGAGTGGACGTATGATCTGGGCCGAGGGCCTTGTCATAGCCTGCCAGTGCTCGCTGGTACATCTCCTCTGCCTCTTTCAGCTTGCCTTGATCAAAGTAGAGAATGCCAAGGTTGTTGACTGTATCTAGAGTGAATGTATGATCTGGGCCGAGGGCCTTCTCCTTGCCTGCCAGTGCTCGCTGATACATCTCCTCTGCCTCTTTCAGCTTGCCTTGATCAAAGTAGAGAATGCCAAGGTTGTTGACTGTAGCTAGAGTGAATGTATGATCTGGGCCGAGGGCCTTGTCATAGCCTGCCAATGCTCGCTGATACATCTCCTCTGCCTCTTTCAGCTTCCCTTGATTTTTGTAGAGATTGCCAAGGTTGTTGACTGTATCTAGAGTGAATGTATGATCTGGGCCGAGGGCCTTGTCATAGCCTGCCAATGCTCGCTGATACATCTCCTCTGCCTCTTTCAGCTTCCCTTGATTTTTGTAGAGATTGCCAAGGTTGTTGACTGTATCTAGAGTGGATGTATGATCTGGGCCGAGGGCCTTGTCATAGCCTGCCAGTGCTCGCTGGTACATCTCCTCTGCCTCTTTCAGCTTCCCTTGATCAGAGTAGAGAATGCCAAGACAGTGGACTGAATCTAGGGTGGACGTATGATCTGGGCCGAGGGCCTTGTCATAGCCTGCCAGTGCTCGCTGGTACATGTCCTCTGCCTCTTTCAGCTTCCCTTGATCTCTGTAGAGATTGCCAAGTCCATGAAATCCTCCCAAAATGGAAAGTTTGTCGGCAGAGTATTGTCTATTGCGCACGGCAATCGCGTGTGGAATAAGCCGTCGCTCTAGCCTCGTATAATCACGTTCACTTGCAGTAGGAACCGAGTATCCAACACATACGAGTGCTAGTTCATTAAGCTGGAGGGAATCCACACTTTTATCCGTGCTGGCTATGTGGATGCACCAATCCTGTACTACAGGATGCATCGCATAGCTTCCTTTTTGTTGCTTTGTGTAAACAAGAGAGAATTCTATCAAGGGCCTCACGCAATCTCTGAACCCAAGTTCACTTGAGATGGCTCTTTCGAGCCAATCTGGAACTTCGGAGCTATTAGATGCATTTCCTAATAACTCGAACCAAATATCACGATTATCGAAGCAGGCAAGTAACAATAGAAGGTCTGCTGCCCTTGGGTCACGCCTCTGGATTTCACGATATGAGATCATCCATGTTTGTAGCATATTGCCTTGCTGGTACTGACGTCCAGGATTTGATTGCCGCTGTAGCTTAGACCAAGCTTCTTGGTAGTACTGCAAGTACTTAGTGATGCTGGTTCCAGTTTCCCGCATAAAAGCCCCGGCGATAACGATGGCCAAAGGTAGTCCATCTAGACGATTGGCAAGAGTAAGGAGATCTGTATATATTAGTATTATCTGTAACGTCTTTTTTGGAAGTGCTTTAGTACCTGGATTGACATCAAATTTGCTGGTGGTGTTCCTTGCTGATAGACCACTGCTTTGTCGGAGTAATTCAATTGAGTTATGAGAGTCAAGCCTGTGAACTGGGAAAGACTTCCCTAGCTCACTCAGCGTTTGAAGTCGAGAAGTGATAAGGATAGAGCCATGGTCTGCTTTGGGGAAAAATTCCGCAATATCATATCCCTTATCAGCAGCGCTATTAAAAGGGGAGTATCGATCGATGTTGTCAAAAATGATCAGCCAGCGCGAGTTGCCCTCCAATGCTAGCCACCGTAGCATATGTCTGGCTCGTTGCTCTACCTCTCCTTCATTAGTCGCCTCGCTATCCCAACCCTGTCCTGGTAGTCGGTTTAAGGCAAAGCTTAACGATTGTAAGAGCGTATCTCGATCCTTGCCACTAAGCCAGAAGATAGCCGTAAAATCACTTTTATGATCTCGCGCGAAGCGAATCGCTAGCTGTGTTTTTCCCATCCCACCAAGCCCATGAAGGATTGCAACTTTCCGCGATGTCGAATTTGTTGGTTGGAGATACTGCCATAGATTATCTAGCTCGTTTTGTCGCCCAATAAATTCCTCAATCACAGGAACTGCGGTAAGGTCTAGGGGGATGTTGAAGCGGTGGACTACACACGGAAAGCTTGATTTAGTCATCAGGTTTAATCAGATAAGGAATGCCACGAATTTAGATTTAGAAACTCTTACCAGAGTCTGCTAGAGTATCTCGTGCTGTTGGAGTAGTCTCAATCTGGTCGATTGGAACTATTAAAACAAGCTCCTTAGCATAGGCTGCTGCCACTGCTGCCGCATATCCTTGCCATTCCTTATTTTTATGTGAGTCAGCATAGTCGCAAATGCCCCGGATCACTAAGCAAGGAAAGTCATTCATAAGTCCGGCCGCTTCCATTTCCACACAGAGGACCCCTAGTTCCTGAGCTAGCTGATCTCTCTGTTTGCCATCTTTCACTACTTGATTTCCAGATGCAATCAGTCCATAGTGAATTACCGGTTCTTCATGATCCCGAGAAGGCCGTAGAGTCAGTTTTGACTTATCACAATCGACGCACGTGGCTGATGCTCTATGGTCATATTCAGTTTGGTATAAAAAGTCGCTCTTGGTCGGTCGTGCAAAATTCGCAGCCGTCCGCGATTTCATTTTGGCTTGGACGTCGGATATGAATTCAAAGACTCGACTGTCTTCGGTGAAGTGGTGGGCTTGGAGTGTAGCGAGGGCAGTTAGCAGGACCTTAGGTGGCCGGTTCAGCATCCCTGTTCGTTGGAATTGACCGCCACTTAACGCTTTGCCGAGATCGTATTGAATCACGCCTCCAGATGTGTCCGCTGGCTGGCTCACCACAATGTCGCCTAGTCGAATATCTGCGTTGCTGCTTGGTACCCCTCCACCGATACCGACCATTAGACCGAACCGGATAGAGTGGAAAGTCGAGAGCAACTGCATCGCTACTGTAGCAGCTGATACGTTCCCATAAGCACCGCTTGGTAAACAGGCAATAACGATGTTGTGATCCCCGATATTTCCCAGAATGTACGTATTTTGGTCTGTCGGCGGCCGTGGTAGACTCGGGTGTTTGGAGTCTAACATCAGCTTTGCGGCTGCCATCTCCAAGGGTAAGGCGCATATCCATCCGACCGTGTAATCGCCATGGGATAGAGAGGCCCTGGCTGCCATGATGAGAAAAAAGAACGTTTAGGTTTGAAGATCGAATAGCCTATGAATTTCTCTGAACATGAGACAAACAGATTCATTATACAGCCAAAGTTTGGGGAATGAAATCTAGAGTTCAGGAGTGGAGAGCGGGGTTAAAAAGTGAGGCGAAGTCAAAATATTCTCACAACCAATCATTTTGTGTAGTGGAGAGTGGAACTGTTGACAGGTTGCGCTTTCAAGGGCTGCCATGTTTGCTCAATTTGCATCGAACTTCCAGTCTAGGCGTCAAATTGTAGACTTGTATCTTCTATACTGGTATCTTAAACTTCTGGTATTGATTACCTTGTTCACTACAAAACGAATGATTTACGCGCTATTCTTGTTTGGATTAGCGTATCATGTGATTAGGGTTTGAAAGACGATCTCTCTGTTCCTGACATGGAAGGCGAACGCGGTCGCTACTGTATCATTCGTCTGGGTTTCTCTATTGGAACTTTTTTCTCTCTTTTTGTGAATAGGAAAGATGTACCTCGTTTCCTTTTATGTTATGAAGAAACCCCCAGACAACTGTAAAAGAAAACATGGTGGCACATAAATACAGGGTTATTTAATTCGCAAGTTTAATTTCAGGCATGAGATATGACCACGAGCAGGAAATAGAACCCTTCATTTTCCATTGATCGTCAGACTTGAGAAGAAAATGCCTCAAATGGTTAAGACCTAGCTCTGTGATCATGAAATATATGAGTTCTTCCTGTAAGCGAGGCTACGGTACACAGGCACTTTTTGCTCGGCACTGTGTCGAAAATAGTTGGTTCGAGGTATCCGGAACAGTGTCGCAACATTTGCTGTGATTAGAATAGCAGTTATTGCCATAAAACCACAGCTACACAGAACGCATGACGAGGGGAATTGGAAGTATATAATCGAATGCTTATCTCACTCCGAGGAGGAAAAACCTTCTTTGCACTCTTAGATCAGTTCAACCAAGACTCTCCTAGATTTGAAGCACAATGGGATTTTTGGCAGATCTACCCTTCGAGTTATTGAGATTGATTGTTGTCGACCTCGATCATGACTCCATGAAATCGTTTTCCCTCGTCAATAAAATTTGCAGATCGGTCAGCACCCCGGACATTTTTCGCACCTTCAAAGTCGAGTTCTCAGAGCAAGGCATGAAGAGGTTCGAGAGGCTAGCAATTTCCTCTTTGGCGCAGTATGTGAGAGTGCTTCATTATGATGCATTAGAGTTGGTCGACCCATGTATGTGATTACCCAGCTCTTTATTCGGCTCTTTACTTATTTTTCCAGTGATCCAGCATTGGGACTATTTTTCTGCCTGCATCTACACTCCACAGGAGTATGCTAGAGATCAAAAAGATTTCCATTGGGCACTTCAAGGAAAGCAGTTTTCCTACAACGCGATATTTGCCTATTTCAAAAGACTTGCTATAGCTCAGAATATGCTTTTGAAAGAGCGGATGGATATCCATATATTTACGGGCTCACTTCGGCATCTCTTTAACCTGAGTACTGTTAAGCTCTCTTTTCATGGAGCCAAAGAGGATCAGCTTCTTTGGTTCGCTCATCGCATATTTCTTAGTTCTGGTGAGAACTCACTTCTTGTTCACCTTGAGGCGATACTTAGGGGGGTGGTTGCAGCCCAGGATACCGGACTAGCCTTGAAACGTTTCGAAATTGATGGAATGCATTCCAAGCTTACCACCAAGGACAACAATATCCTGGAAGTTGCAAAGGCTGCTTTGGCAAAAGTTGAGAGCTTGAAGCTTATAGATAGCCCTAGGTTTCTGGAATTTCTCTCCTCTGTCCCTTTACCTTCTTTGAGGCGTCTCGAACTGGAGCAATGTTGGTCTGTAGGCCTGGGTATAAAATCTTTCTTGCAACCCCGAGATGGGAGAGTACTGCATGCATTTTTCAAAGAAAAGAATCAGGTTTATCATGAAACATGGAATCCAGATGGTCACTCAGACCTCCAATTGTTGTTAGAAGCCTCTTTCTGCTCTAGGAACATTGACCTACGAGAATGCCTTTTACTTATAAGAGATGATATATGATTGTCCAGATTTGACCATCATTTCCAGTCCAGGACGAACTACAAAAAGCAGATTTCTAAATGACATAAGACTGCGGCACCTGAAACGGGTCGCACGCAGAGTAGCAATACATAAAGCAGTCGAGCATCTGTATTGTTGACGTTTGATTTCTAAGTAAGATGGACGAACAAATCCAGCTGTCAGGTAATAAGAAGCGGGCTTCTTGGCGATCAACTTGCCGAGCGCGACTCTCTCAGCATATATGTAAGGTCCATATCCTTCTTGAAATGATGTGTATTAATATTTCTGACCAGTCGAGAGAGTTGGAATTAAAGTAGATCCTTCTGAGGTGCGATTGAAGACAGAGGACGAATGTCTCTATGCATGGCAGATAGAAGATCCATCCCTCGAGCATCTTTTTCAGAAGCATATGAGTAAACACTCGATAGGCGCCTACATGCTGCTTTACCGCGAAGTGGGCCAGAAATTTTTTGCAGTCCCTGCAAAGGTAAATCGAGTGGCCCTCGAGGATGAATCATTAAGCTCATTGACTTTATAGTGCAAAGACAAACAAGCGGAGTTTGATATTGTTGCTCAAATGCAAGCCGAAAACGAGAGTCTCGCAGAGAAACTGAAGATAGTCCAAGATAAAGCATTTCACTACAAGGAGGTTGCGACACAAGCGGAAGCTGAGATTAAAGACCAAAAATCAATCATCCGGGAAGCACAAATGACCATTCATATTCACCAACAGGACATTTCGAACTGGATGGCCGTTGCCGAGTGGTATCAGATGAAATGTTTCCAATGCTCAAATGTATTGGGACAAATGATGGCATTCTTACAAGACACTACATCTAATGATGGGTGACGAGCGGTGCTCCTTAAGCTTCTTGGGCCTTCGTACTTCTTTTGTCTTACACTTTTACAGTTCTATCTTAAATCCAAGCGTTACCATCTTCAGGTATGATACAGTATTGCAGTGGATTTGCCCAGAGTTGAGAACGAGGAACTTAAATGAGAGTACTCAGATATGTTAATGTAGAACGATTCGCACCTAAAAAGCTCTTGTTCTACTGTAATTGGTTTATATGGGAGTTTTCACAAAAAGTACCGCGTTCCACGTTCTCACAAGCTTCCTAGGATAATCCAGCCCGTACGCCAAAAGCCGGGCCAGAATGGACCAGGATAGAGCTATATTCCATTTGCTTGCTCTTTTGGCCTGTAGCCTTTTTTTGGGTCTGCAGCACTGTTTTGGGTCTGCAGCACTGTTTTGGGTCTGCAGCACTGTTTTGGGTCTGCAGCACTGTTTTGGGTCTGCAGCACTGTTTTGGGTCTGCAGCACTGTTTTGGGCCTGCAGCATTGTTTTTGGCCTGCAGCATTGTTTTGGGCCTGCAGCACTGTTTTGGGCCTGCAGCACTGTTTTGGGCCTGCAGCACTGTTTTTGGCCTGCAGCATTGTTTTAGGCCTGCAGCAATGTACTTGGAATCCGCAACCTTGACTCAAGTGCACGGGCTCTTATACCCACTGCCGCGCATCTAAAATTGTATCAAATGATTCTTCTTCCTCTGAAAACATAACACTAAAGATTTCAATAAACTTCAATAGAATTTGTGTTTGGCTATGGCTCGAAAGTCGAAAAAGAGGGCCCAGAGAAATGCCCGTGATATGCAAACACCCGCACCCACGGAAGGGGGCTCCGACTCCGAATCCCAACAAGCTGAATCCTCGAGAACGCAAGAATTGAGGCAAAAGGCTCGTCGAGATAGAGAAGGCAAAACGCCTGAACGAAATGTGATATTTGCTAGAAGTCCAACTCGTCAAGGCGACTTTGCCCCAAATGCGAGTGACCATGAATCAAACGACGGAACGGATAGCGAATTCGGCGATGCTTCTGAACAAGATGCTCCGATTGAACAAGAACCAGAACCACTTAGACGCTGGGTCAAGGATATTATTCGAAGAGAGACATCGAAACATTCAGTAACAATGGTCGAGGAGTTCTTCACAAGCGACGAGCCGAAGTACGAAGAATGTCGTCATTTCTTTAAGGTTCTTAACCAAGAAATTCGAATAGCCAATGAAAAGCATCATGTCGACAAGGATACGGGTACCATTCCCGAGAAAGGCTACAATGCCCTATGCAGGCCCTGGCGGCAAGCAGCAAGAACGGCAGAAGCAAACGGCTCCCCGGAGGAGTTTTGGTCGGCTTTCAATAAGACTCGTGATCTTCTGACCCTCTTTAATAAACGACATTATCTTCCTAAGCACTGGAATATCAGTCCGATATGGGCCGAGCAAATAATTGGGACACCAAATCCCAGAATTGAGCAAGACGACAGCTCCACTTCTGGCAGGGATGAGCTCTCAGCCAATGAAGAGTCCGGTGCTGAACAAGACAGTGATGTCGATCACGATGAGCTCACAGGCCTTGATGCCTTAGAAGCGAGAACCATGAAACAGCAACGCCAATTGAGCTCGGCTAAAGTGCTGTTCTGGTGGCCCAAAGGTACCGGATCCCAGACCTTCGTGCGGTACGGAAGCCGCTCCACGCCGATCTATCGGATTCGAGCTGGGTCACACGAGAGCTACAACCCAAGTCAAGTAGAACGTGTTTTGACGACTAAGACTCGCGGCACTGCTAAAGAGATCGGGACTAGGGATGGGCATCCTGAAGAGTTCTGGAAATACAAACGAAAAGACGTAGAGGACATTATTGGCATCGGTTGGAAGATCGAACAGGATGATGAGCAGGGGCTAGATCCTCTCAACTTGCTCCAGCCCGCGAAAGGCATGATCTATCCGCAAACTCGGATTCTTGTCAAATGGAAAGATGGTATTTTTACTCTGGAAGGACGATCTTTCATCCGTCGCATCACAGCCGGCTCAGCCTTAGACGGCGATAGAGTGATTTATCAAAAGGCCGAAGAGCTTGAGACTAACTATCGCAAAAAGCATGGGTGGAATGATATCAAAGATGATGATTATGATGATGAAGATAGCGACAGTGAAAGCGACGGCTCAATTGAGCAAGACAGTGGTCGTAACAGAAGGCATCGTGGCAAGACTGCTCGTCACTCAAACCCACGCAGACCGAAGACGAGAAGCCCCATCAAGAGCGAATATAGTGATGAGAGTGAAGCCTCTACTCAGCCAACGCACAGCCGCTATAGAAGATACCGCAGCGAGCCAAAAAATCAGAAACCAGCCCATAAAAAAGCAAAAGCGGCTAGGATAGAAGAGCTCGAACGGGAGATTCAGAAGTTACGCAACTCGACCTCACCTCAAGGACGCGAAGGGCGGCGGAGAGCTCGAGGCAGAGGCGATCGGGGGCGCACAGCATGATCATCATTTACCTTTTAGTACTGTTATGAGCCGGTCTCAAACAGCCCGGCAATTTGTTTGTTCGGTGATTTTGCTTTTCTTTGTTACATCAAGGGGTTTTAAACCTCAAACTCGTTCACTTCAATGAGCTAGCCTTACGTTATCTATTGCTTTTGTTTTTGTTTATAGTTCATCCATTTTAGCTTACAGACTGCCAGATTCAAGCTATTTCCTCAATGATCGTATTTCCTTACCATTCTCCTCCTTAAGCAGATATACTTCAATATGGATTGCTGTCAGCCAACTTATGATCGTTGAACCCAATTCTGTCGCTGAAAAAGATCGGGATGGACTGGGAAAAGAGCGAGAGAAAATTGTGAGCAAGATCCAGTGGTATCAATCATAGGGTGAAAAGGTCCTGAAAGGGGGTGCGGGCGCATGTTTTGGACGAATCTCAGCATCTGACCTATAATGGGATAGCTCAGAATGCACACCGTACAAGACGGCTTTCGAAGCATCAGCAAAATACCTCGACTTTCCAGATCTCGGAGCATGCTTTTATCTGCCAAGGCCGAGCTGCATCATCCTTTCCCCTTACTTTTCTCCCTATCGATGCTTACGAGTCATTCTTTATTATGTCTCAAAGCCAGCTTTCCGACTTTGCATCGTCACTTTATGGTGGATATTGAGGAGCAAGATGATCCAAGAACCACTACAGGATGACTTCCGTAGACTACTGAAAGGTCCCGCGAAACGCAGGTTTATCGGATCCTGCGCAAGGCTCAAGGATCTGCTGTGCCTGTCTTTTTGGGAAAAATTTGACTTAGCAAAGATCTATCTCCTGCATGGTGCTGGACAGGTCCGCCATATGCTCGTAATAGGCTGAGGCGGTAGGTGCACGGCCACGATGGAGCTGATGCAACGGCTCCGCCGCGAGATTCACGAATCATACAAGGAAATAAAAGCTCTCAGGATAGTACATGAAGACCTCAGGTGAGACAGTGTCCTTTGGAGTGAAGAGCTCGGGCGTGCTCTAATCATCGACTTTCACCGTTCTACTCTGAGATGCCGACCGACTAAGCAGCAACCGGGGGCCGTAAACGACGACTGTGTCGAGTGGAGGCAGGAGATTCAAAACGTCTTCGGGTTTCGTGATAAGGAAATCTATTTTCTACCTGTTAAATTAGAGATTTTATTCTTGCGACTCAAATTGCCATGGGCACCTATATTATCCGAGGCGAAGTGCGCTCCTTATTCATGTGCATTGACACCACCCGACTTATTATGTGAGCCGGACCCTCATTATAAGAGCATTGCAGACTGTCATTCAATTCTGATACCTAAAATTGTCGTGTATAAACCGAAAACATCGCGGTGAACCCTGACAGCAGAATTATCCGCTCAAGTTTGCCATGCGTGTCGTTAGATATACATCCCGTCAACAGGACCCTGCCTACCAAACTCCTTGCAAAATTTCTTGTTCGATTTCGCGGCCAATTTTAAGTACTTATAGCTGACTTGCGTTGTATCTGCCTCAGCGAGAGCGTGTGCAACTGCTGCGATATTTTTGATCTGATCGATGGCAGTCAGCAAGTGATATATACCCGATAGTACGGAATTCACCTCTCGTCCATTGAGAGCCAAAGATTCCAATCGCTGGAGGTCCTCCTCCTCAATCACGGCAGGACCTTTGAGTGTTCGGGCCTTGAACAAAAAGGTTCTCCAGAGGCCTCTGCGGAAGTCTTTTGTCAAATCTCCATACTCAATAGTCAAATGGATTCGGCTCAGAATTGCATCGTCAAACTCGATACCCCGGTTTGAAGTCAAGAAAAGCAGTCCCCGGTAATACTCTAGCTTGCGGAGAAAAACAGTGACCAGACGATTATGGCTATTATGGAGCTCGGTACGACTTGCCATGAACGCGTCGGCTTCATCCAAAAGAAGAATAGCGTTGAAATGCTTTGCGATTTTGAAAATGATTTCAAGTTGTGATTCAAGTGCGTGGGAGTCCCCATGATCGACAACAAGCTCACCTGCAGATATCTAAGAAAGTCAGCTAGGCCAATATGCCGCAATGAATTGTTGATACCGAGTAGAGAGGGAGTTTGAAATACTCCGAGATTGCCTCGACGGTAAAAGTCTTCCCGACGCCTGGCGGTCCACTGGCACGTGTCAGCTGAAGACTATACAGGGCAGATACAATTCACCGACATACTTCAGCAACATATTGAGCCCTTGACCTTTACCGTCAATCACGTCGTCAAACGGTACCGTCGGTATCAGACCTAGGCGGGTTTTTGCCAATGACAAGAGGAGTGTCTTGGTCTCGGAGGCTATTTGCAGGCAATCGAACGATTCAGGTGACCATACCACGTCTCTAAGAGCACTGACTGCGCACTCCACTGAAATCGCATTAGTTGGATATCAAACCATTGTCGATCGTGTCACATACAGAAAAGTTTTTCCTTGAAACTGAAACAGCAAACTGTTGGGCAGGCGACCAGTAAATCGGCCTCGCTCAGCTTTTGTGCGTCCACACTGTCTCCTCGCATTTTCTCCTTCTCTCGCTCACGGCCCTCTATGAGCATTGCACCAATGTCAAAGACTGCAGTTCCACCCTTATCCTTGACCCCAATATCGCGAACTGACGGTCGGGAGTAGTTTGGCAGCATTTTATGGAAAAATGCGGCGTCCACCCCTACTCGACTGTTGATGTTGACTTTGATAGCCTTTCCCTTGTTCGTAAAGAATGCGCTGCCTTCACAGTGCCGAACGTGTAAGCCGGCTAAATCCCGAAACTTTTGACCCCTCTCGATCAGGTCTTTTCGGATTTGCTCGTGATTTTGACAGTGATGGAGAGGGATGACCTCAAGAGTCTCGATCGGCTTTGACCCCCGAAACTTTGCAACACGCAGAAGGATTCCGGCCTCGCCGAACTTGATTCCGTCATAATCAAGGAATCGGCACTCGAGATTCCACCACGTCTCATCATTTTGTGTGACCTCTTCGCCCGCGTCAAATACGACACATCGCGGCTCTTTTGTGCCAATGCATGTGGTATAAACATGGCAACCAGGCTTGAAAAGCGCCCAAAGAAGGTCATATGTAATATGACCGTCCTGCAAGATTGATTCGAGACGCTGCAAAGTAGAAGCATATGCGTGCTTAAGGTGGTCGATGAGCAAGAGGAGATGTTCCGCTTGTGCCGACTCATGGTCCGAATTAATGTCCATGTCCTCCGCATATCCGTCGAGCTCTGGAAGGAAATGGAAAAGGACATTTCGCTCGATCTAAATCTACGTCAGCGTGCTCCTTGATGATAATACTATCTCAATTACCGATGGCTTGTCCTCCATCAGGCTAATGGCCTTGATGTTGTGCAGCACATCTCGCAGGATGTCGCATAGGCCGTCCGACTTGATGTCTATGAATGGCACTACCTCCTTGGACATCCGGTCTGATCATACTGTTAGTAGGTTTTCGGTCCGGCATGCAAAGGTGTCACGTACCAACACGTTCACGGACAACGAATGCATACTCAGCGTAGTCGTCCAGGTCGTTGCTAGTGTCTGTTGGCTCGGCAATCTTGTATTTGCAGGCTTCTTTGTCCCAGCTAGACCCGTGTCAGCTATTTCTGAAACAGTGGAAGGGGTGGTTGGCTGGTGGCTTATACGTTTCCATGACCGTTTTGTATTGGGATTTTGCCCATTTCTCAAACGACTTGAAATCATCCGGTGTGGTGATGATAGGACTTTCAAGATCATGTCCATCTGCCGCCTGGGCCTTCTCTGCCTGCTCCTTGCTTGAAAAGCAAGATTGAGCAGGCTTGCGGATGAGCTTCACCAGCAACTGCTTCAGTCGAACCATGTCGGGTGGGGACTGATCCTGGGAAATAGGAGTGTTTGGAGGTTCTTGGTCGGTAAGATCGAGCCGCGCATTCTCAAGAAAATCACCAAAGAGATGCATCAGATCCTTCAAGATGTCAGGAGGCATAGTCGACTCTTCCGTTGGGCTATCGGGTGGCGTCGAGCCTTCATGGCAGGAGGAGGAAGTCTTCAGTGCCATGTTTTGCAATTCGAACGACTGAGAAATATCGGTGCGATATGGGAAGCTGGTATGGAGTGACCGAAGAGACTGGAAGGCCAATAATGAAGAGAAAGGTCGATAAGAATCTGAAGGATTGCTCCTTCTTATTGTTCGTTTCTCCGGACTTCTGTATTTTTTCTAGGATCATACTCACAGCTCAATATGTTGCTTCCCCATACGTATCCAGCGTTCAGCTGCATAGGAGTGCACTGCACGGTGCATACATGGTATACGAAGTATAGTGCCAATTTCAATTGGATAGATTCAGGTATCATTCAATTGGTGGCGTCGCTTTTGCATCGAGACACTAAATTGTGGTGTTGTTCTTAGCTCTGTGGGCAATTGGAAGCACCAGCGTAATGATGCGGTAGACTTGACGACCAATTGCAACGATGATCACAGTGTTGTGATCTATGTAGAAAGGCATCACAGAATTGTGATCCCTGACGAATGGCTTCCCGGTAGGCAGTGGTATCACAATTGCGATCCTTGAAGAAGGGCATCACAGAACTGTGATCCTTGGAAACGGGCATCACAGAACTGTGATCCTTGTAAAAGGGTATCACACAATTGTGTTCCCCGACGTACCTAACTAATACGGACAAGTTGGAACGGGAATGCCCGAGGCCTAAGTGGGGCTGGGATTTGACGATTTGGAAAATTAATATTCCAGATAGCTTCAACCGGCCATTACCCCGCAGCTTTTTGCATCGTCGGATTCAGGCACAGCCAGTCTCAGTCATGGCATCAACTGCATTCAAGCTAGATGTGGCAAGGAGGTCTCTCCTCGAGGAGGGATTTTGTGATTTGAATGACTCAACGGTTGGCGACCGCGTCTTGGAGATGGAGATGCGGGGCTTCCCATACCTTACCGAATATGGTATGGACTTTTGCAAGCAATTTGCCTTTGACGAGGTAAGCGGAATGTGAGATATATATGACTACCGTCTAATCATCTTTAGCGAATTCGATCTATCCTCGAAACCTCCCTCGAACGGTGCAGCCTCGGACACTGGCTGAGATACGAGGAATTCCCTGGCCATGTCGAATGCTTCAGGAGGGGTGGTCTAAAAGCTGGTCGCCGTGTTCTAGTGGTGCATCTGTGGGCCAAAGGATCACGAGTGGAATATTATACCCTTTCGCATCTTCACGATTTAGCGACTACGAAGGGGAGAAGATCCTTATATGAGATTCCCCAATCCGAGCTGGATCGTATGGGCTCTAAGCCCGAGGTGAAGGATTTTCCAGATGGTGGCTTGTAAGTAATAGCTCTATATTGAAATTCCATGCTCTAACAAGTGCAGGGTGATTTTAGACGCTAGACTCGGTTTTAAGATCGAGCAAGGATATGCCATTACGTTTCTTTTTGCCACAGATGAAGTGATCGCCAACTGGGCGAAAATGACCCTTCCATATTCAAAAGGACTGGAACATAAAGTCAGGGACCTAGAAATGCTGAGCGCGAAAATTGGAGTGAACTTCACGTTTAATAGTTCTGGTGGAAGGACAGAGAATTAGCCCTCATTGTTCATGGTATAATGCAGCTTCTGTGTTTATATCTACAATATTGTCTTGAGTCGCCCATCCGGTTGTCAATGCTGGGACACTATTCATAATTTGAAGAATAGGAGCATCAAAATCTTGTAGCAAGTCAAGACCATGGGTTTGCCCTTCTCCGGGATTGAAGTAGAATTCCTCCGTTGACATATTCGGAGAGCTGTTAGGATTAATGGGATCAACCATAGGGCCCAGCCGAGGTAATGCTATAGGGGACTGCATCGGGATTAGGGGTGCAGATAGTTCATCGCGAACCGAACCGAGCTGGCGAAGACTGTCACCCTCATCGGTTTGGCAAAGAGTTTTGTCCCGAGCCGTCATACCAATCCTGTCGAACACGGCTTGATCTCCCGAAATATCGGAGCCCAAAGCTGCCACGTCCCATTTCCGTTTGTTCCCAACGGGAACGCCTGATTGACACTGGCTCATTGCGAGAGCTAATTGTTTGTCAGATTGTTCGCGTAATTCATCGCATGTTTTCTTGATGAATGCCCGTTTTCTTTCACATGCACCATCATGTTTATCGGCATGTCTAATGAACTCGCTCACGAGCCTGAAAACTTTGAAACAGCACACACACACTTCCTCGCATGTGACATCTGCATCAATAATTAATAGCAAGCAAGGTATCAGAGAGGATAGCACTTGCGTTGTTGGAAATGCCGCCGGAGTCCCTGCATTTTTGGGAATGGCTTCGCACGTTTACAGGATGGACAGAAATGCCGTTTGGGAGCTCCAGGCTTCCTTATTGTGCCTATAGGATTTCCGGCATCTTTATAATAAATATTTTGGTCATCGTCGCTTTCGCCTTGATCGTCATCGTTCCTGTCTCGACAGTCATCGCCATTGGGCCTTGAATGGGTTCGACACCGCTCGAGTTCGGCTTGCAGGCGCTGTTCGCGGGACTGGAAGAAATCAGCTAAGTGGTTTGACTTATCTTAGCGTTACTAACCCGATATTCTTCGAGATGCTCATGTAAATTTAGTTCTGTTTCAAAGAAGGCTGAGCAAGCACACTGTGGTTGTATGTTTGACATTGCTCAGGATGGATGGCTGCAAAGGAGCATGAGGTGGGGTGTGTCTATGTTATGAGTGGAGAGGTCCACCCGACTTTTCCCATGGTTGGTGGCAGGGTTAGGCGGAGGCTTGATTAGTCAGAATCCGAGAAAAGGTAATTGGCTGCAAGTGAGGACAGAGAAATCGGCCGTAATCTAATAAATACCGAACAGGGCCACCGTTGTTGGGCAGTAAGACCACCAACTTTTTGCTCACAGAACTGATGGCATTTTTCTGACTTGTTATTAAATCACCACCCAAGTCACGAAGAATCTTCTTTTCTACGTATTCTTCACCTTGACGAGATCGATGATGGCCTCATGTGAAACCTGCGGAGGCAAAAAGACCGTGAACGGTATTGCATGTCCAACTTGCAGTGGCAAGAATTGAAGAACAGCTGGTGAGCTAACGCTCAAGCCTTCATCCTTGATATTACTAACACCTATGGGCGTCTAGTTAACCTGGTCTTCATCGATATGACTACAGCCATCATGCTCACGCAGGATCGTGCGAACTGACATAGCTATGATCACATGATCGGATATGCATATTTTTCTTCCTAGAACTAAGGTCGTCTGACCTCGGGAAAGTTACATTGAAACGATTACACTCGACCCGCTTATGCGACCGATTTCTATCCTCTTTAAAGACTCCCTTGGAATTTTCTTCTTGTACAACGTGGGTCTGGAAAAAACACGGATACCTGAAGCTTAGGTATGCAAACTACTTTCCAACCAGAATGTGCGTACTAATTCCAAAGTCGGTCAGGTTTCCCACCCACCGTTTTTGAAGAGGATTCGGGCTGTTGTAGTTGGACTAGCGATGCGGTTTTGCTGGAACGTTTTTATATGCCTTCGATTTTTTGACGGTCCCACTTGGTTTTGAGTTATTGGTCAAATATCCCCTGTTTTGAATGTTTGCTTTTTTTCATTTTGATATTGAGATATCTCCTCAGTAAGAACCCCAAGGTCGCATCGGTTTTCACTTCAATGAGCTAGCCTTACGTTATCTATTGCTTTTATTTTTGTTTATAGTTCATCCTACCATTCTCCTCCTTAAGCAGATATACTTCAATATGGATTGCTGTCAGCCATCTTATGATCGTTGAACCCAGTTCTGCCAATAAAACAAATCGGGTTGGACTGGGGAAAGAGCGAGAGACAATTATGAGCAAGATCCAGTGGATATCAATCATAGGGTGAACAGCTCCTGAGGGGGGTGTGGGCGCATGTTTTTGACGAATCTCAGTATCTGGCCTAAAATGGGATAGCTCAGAATGCACGCCCTACAATATCCATTCTATCGTGATACAATTTTCCATTTATCACCGGAATGCGCGGTAAGTCTCATATTCATCATTGTCCCCAGATAGAAAGGATTCTGAATCGACCACAGTGCAATGGCTAATCAGAAGCCCCGGGAGGAACCTAATTCTCTGGGGCTATAGTCTTTTCTTTAGGATACGAAGGAAGGTCTAACACTGCCGCAACCCTTCGAAGTGGAGTATCCTCATCACTGCTAGAATGCCGAATTCGAATACTCGGGGTTTCCCACACTGAGGGTCCAAATTCGAGCAAATCATCGCCAAGGCATTTATCAAATTGATCGAGCCACGCAAACAAGTCAAACACCCTTACAATGGAGGCAAGCCAATCCCAGGATCCTCCCCAGGCACCAACGGTGACCCGGAAAAGACTAAGCCCGAATAGTGGCCCCCTAATGTAAAGCATAAGGAACCTGACCATATGATAAAACGAGGTAATCTTTTCTATATATTATTTAGCTCTTATTCCGGTTAACATCTTGTCTAACTAGACCGCATCCTGCTACTACTTCACATTATCCGCGAGCTCGATGGAATCACTTCTGATGAGCTGAAGGAAGTTGCTGGAGAAACCAAGCGGAGATTGAATCATCAGATGCAGCTTCGGCGGTTTTCCGAGAGCCTCTGCCAAACAAGCGGGAACTAGGTGCCCTGACAACAAGAATTGAGCCTCTCTATTCGACACTAGCCTACTCTCTTCCAGGCAGTCTCTCTATGCCTAACCCTCTGAGCTTTGAAGCTGGCAGTCAACAAAACAATCTTTACCACACCGCGTGGCCCCACGTTTCGCCCCAATACACTACCTTTGCTCATAACAACAGTGGAGATCCAGGTTACAACGGGTACGAAATCAAAAAAAGAGTTCGCAGGACACTCCGGTCTTCCACTATCATCAGGTTGGAGATCCAAGTAATTCCGGCTCCATGATAAATACAGACTTTGACCAGGATGTCTCAAATCCAGCGGACTTCCATTAAAGCTATGTATTTTACAGTGGTACTGAATTGAAACTCTGTGTCGGGACTTTAGTTGTCGGGCTCTTTGTTAGTAAATAAGATTTGACATACAAAACTTTTGAGATTCTTGGGGCCGGGAAGATGTTGAATGTTGAAGCTACGAATCCCTGCGATATTTTATAACGGACTTCACCTAATTTGGTGATGTTGCCGAGAGCCTACGTTATTCAACTTCTTTCCTTTTTGGCTTAGACCTAGTCTTGTGTTATAACGGTAGCTATGAGGTGAGATTGCACAATCATCGCGGTAAATTTTATTTGATAAGGGAAAATATATCAACCTACTACATGCAATCGATAAGAGTCAAACATAGGTAGGATTATCTTTTAGGTCCGTCATAAAAGGCCCATTTCCTCTTCTATTGTCTACCTCAATTCATCTTCTCCTTGTCATGAATAGTATAATGCTATGTTTCATTGTAAGCTGGTGTTGTCTCATCTTATGTGCACTTTGCTGCCGCCCATTGATCTACAACCGCACTCAGGTATATAAATCCGCGTGCTTTCTTCTTAGATTTAAACTAACTTGACTCGTATATAGAGAGATACATCTTTATACTCGCGTAAAAATACCTAGCGCAAAGAGGAGCCGGGTTTTCCTATAACATGCGTTAAACCACCTTGCGCTATCTATTCGACAGTCAATCAAAATGCAGACGCCAGTCTTGACCCGTCCTAACGATATTTCCCATACGAGGCAGGTTCTATCTTTACTATAGGATTTTAACCAAGCTAAGCTAAGATTTATAGCATTTCGAGGCGCTTTATCATTGTAGGGAGCCAGAGCCAGGGTAGATATTTCTGCGCCCCCTGATTATGCATGTTAGGATGAGATATATCCATCTCCTGGCCCGTCTATCACCACGATCTGTTTGTTCATTCGGGAGTGGTTTTTGCTGGGCCTTGGCCTTCTTTTCACAATCTGAGCAGTCGTGATCACACTCCTGGTCTCGAGGTATGAGTCCCTCTTCACATTCGCCATTGTAGATAAGTTCAAGACATCTCCAAAAGCTATCTTCCTCAATTTTCTCGTGTCGACATGCATATATGTAGTTGACTTCTTGACACATCATAGGCGAGTAATCTATTCGCGATAAATATTAGCTCAGTGCCTGATGTTTGGAAAAGGCGGTACCACAAACCTCCTAGATCTTAGGTGTAGTGATTAAAGAGGCAGCAATTGCTTGCGTGAACTGTAAAAGAAAATTTCAGGTCAGGACAAGCTTATTATAGAGTTTGGTGGCCCTTTTACCTCGCTCTACTAGTAGAAAATTCTCGAGCTTATACGCAGAGCCCCTGATGATGATATCTGTCTATGTATAAATTGTATCGGTCGAGCATTGCATCATTAGGGTTGAAATTGATGCTGTATTTCCGGCACATCACTCAGGGATGACATCTCCCTTTGTGTGACAAGGGCGCCTCTAGCGTCATAGCGCAAGATAGTTGAAACAGAAACCGAAGATAACCAGGGTCGAATAAGTCAATGAGAAATTACTGCCAGCAGTGGTTCTCGAAGTTTTAATTGGACCTGCGTGAGACAGGGTAGGGATAAATTGTATCCCCGATCGTCTGACCACCAGAACACTAGATCTCAGTATCTGGCCTAAAATGGGATAGCTCAGAATGCACGCCCTACAATATCCATTCTATCGTGATACAATTTTCCATTTATCACCGGAATGCGCGGTAAGTCTCATATTCATCATTGTCCCCAGATAGAAAGGATTCTGAATCAACCACAGTGCAATGGCTAATCAGAAGCCCCGGGAGGAACCTAATTCTCTGGGGCTATAGTCTTTTCTTTAGGATACGAAGGAAGGTCCAACACTGCCGCAACCCTTCGAAGTGGAGTATCCTCATCACTGCTAGAATGCCGAATTCGAATACTCGGGGTTTCCCACACTGAGGGTCTAAGTTCGAGCAAATTGCATAGTTCAAATACATTGCGGTCACCGCCTCTCTTAATCTTGATACCCATGTTCTCTTTGTTGACTGTACACTTTAGCTATGGTCAACGAAAAAAGATAAATCACACTGACCCATTTCACCTTTTTCGTAGGCTTCTTCACACGTTCTCACTGGCATAATGTGGTCCATGATCTCTCGAATGTTAGATGAGGTCATAGGCGAGACTTGTATCGAATTTGACAAGACAATCATCGGAACTTTACGCAAGGCCACAAGGATGGTGTCGATATTTTCTGCATTTAAACTTAACAGATGATACAATCTTGCTTTAGATATTCTAACCTTTTTTATTTTTGCGCAAAGAGCTTTTGGGCGTGCCCAATATTATAGAAAGCCAACGAAGCTCATCAAGGTCAAGCTTTCTGAGCCAACTCTTGAGGTAGATTTTTATTTTGTCGGTTGCACTCAATGGGATAACTTCAAAATCAGTATGTAGGTGGGTAGTCATCGTAAAGAGATTCTTCCATAGTTTAAGATATAGGGAAGTGTCGAGCCTTTTATCCCGCAATACATCGGCTGCCGTGAAAAGGAGCTGTTGCGCATTTCGAATAAGAGACAAGAATAACCATATGTTCTCAGCCCACTTTGGGTTTATAACGCGCTTTTACATATCTTAGTTTACTTTGTCAACGCTAGATATAGCGATTGATGTATACTTCAGCCAATTACAAACAAAGAAGTGTCGAGCCTTTTATTCCGCAGTACGTCGGCTGCTGTGAACAACGACCCATAGTACGGCACAGTGACTTTACAGTGAGATGGCCATTGCGATCCTCGAATGAGAGCCGGGAATAACTATATAATTCTCAGTCCACTTCGAATGAGTATGGTGTCTTCTGGTTTTACTGGGTGAACGCTAGATATAGCGGTTGATATATGCTTCAGCCAAAACCATTATTGTACATGAATGATCTCTATCAAAATCCATTGCATTCCATCACTTTATCACGCTGTTCAGAGGATCGTCTTATTCTTATTGCAGCGTTTGGGAGTAAGTAGACTGTAATGTGGATGTAGAATGTACACCTATCTCCATTGTGGCCTGAATTTTTCCACCGCTTCCCTTGTACCATCATGCCTTTGAATGTCCTTATAATTGAACCATCCAGTTGTTACCTCCTTTCCATATTGAGCCTCAACCAGCAGACTGGCATGACACAAACAGTTTTCTCTATAGTGGATAGACAGAACCTTTATCACCTTTCCCTTCGGCATTTTTGGCTCCTTGCAGATGGCATGGTCGGACGTTGTGTGCGGGTAGACCATGTTCGATTTAGGTCCGGTTCTCTCACTATAGGAGGAGATAGATGGTCCAGTGGGATATTCAGTAGTCTCATGCTAAGCCGTTAACTTTTGTATACCAAATAAATTTTTTGGCGTACCTTCGAAATCCCAAAACATGCGAGTAGTAGCCCAATCATATTAGACTTCGGTCCAGAACTGTTTGCAAAGATAGCGGTTATCGTTGGTGGATAAAATATGGATATGAAGCTCATCCGTTGGGACGTATGATATATATGTTGGAATTAGTATTTGGAGACAGAGCGTTGGGAGAGGATAGAGTTTGTAAAAAAGAATCAATATTCAGTAAACTGCTTTGGGAACTGGCTCTTGGACTCGCTGCCAATTTGTCAGGACTGAGGACTTTCGCACAAACAAAGGATGCGAATGCAAATTTGATTTGATCAAGAGGAAAGAAAGGACATTGTGATCTACATTGGCAAAACTCTGGGGAAACAGAACGCACGTAATCCTTAGGAACTAATTAGACTATAATTCGGTACTATGTACCCTAAGATAGTACTCGAATAGTAGCAAGACGTCTGTATGTGGTGTGATCAGAGCATAAGGGTCGGGCCCGTGTCAGACGTGGACCCTTAGGTTATTTTTAATTTTAAACTTTATCTTCGACATAATGGTCGTCCAGCGGCTTAAGCTTGTTATTGTATGCTTCAATTCCTCCCTTTCCAGTGTGGCTATTATACGCCGCATTGTAGAATCATCGAAATTTTGTAGCCAGCAATAAACAGCTAAATCTTTGTCCTTCCCAGAGAGTATAAAGGTCCAGTAAATTATTTGCGCCTCACTCGAAAGATGCGAAATAGCACTGGAGTCGAGATTCTGGATGTGAGATATTTCATAAATTGAATATCGAAGTACCGGCTTCCCTCCTTGAAGCCTAAAAATTTCCTGTCTTGGAAGCGAAGCAGAGAAGGAAAAAAACGGCAAGCGTACGGATTGTATATTCAGTATGATTCCAGAGGCAAGAGCGATGTCGCCATTCGGGAGAACGGAATAGGTGCGAAGACTGTCTTTGAACGACTTCCAGGATTTCGCTGGTATTTGCGTAGCGTAGCGGAGGTTGCAGAGATAAAGAATGATATAAGTCTTGCTCGGAAGCTCGCGAAGTTGAGACCAAACAAGTACTGGCTGTGCATTGTGCTCTTCCACCATGTTCTGAATCCAGTTATCGCTTTTGAAAATTGAAGTCCAAAGTAACACCCAGCTCCTATCAGATTCCCGGGGTTTTTGGCTAAGAGCTGATAGGAAGTTGCCGTGGGAAATCACTGAGATGTGGCGACAAACATGGTCAAGCAACTCCCTAGGAAGCGTCCCAACAGACGGGACTTCTGGTTTCTTCGATAGGCCAAGGGATCTCCCCATTGCCCGCATCATTGTGGACAAGAAGGTGAAAATGACTGTCAATATTAGATTTAGGCATCATAAGGGTAGAAATATCTCACATGATCAGGGGGTGTAAAGATATCTACCCTCGCTCTGGCTCCCTAGAATGATGAAGCGCGCTGAATTGAAGGCAAACGAGGGAGTGTAAGGAGGAGTTGACTAGGACTATGTAGAAGGTTTTATAGCGTCACTCTATGATAGCACGTGCATACGTCTAAAACTAGGAGTGATATGTCCAAGCAATATCTCTCATTCCAAGCAGATAAGCTTATGCTGCCCCTGGTAGAGCCTCGACTAAGCTTGGTGGCGGCGCGGTCGGCTTCTTGACGCCTGTCGTATCGTAGGCACCACGACTATGAATTTCAGCTTAACTTAATGAAAGTCTCTGCTAAAGATACAAAACCTACCTAGTAGAATGGGTCACATAATTAAGTGACTGTCGAATGGACATCGTAGATTATGCTATAGGGAAACCTGGCTCCTCTTTGTGCTTGGTGTTTTTAAGCGAGATGTGGGGATTGATCTCTCTAAAGAAGGAGTTAACTGAGTTTAAATATGAGAATAGAGCACGCGGATTTGTATACCTGAGTGTGATTGTAGAATAATGGGCAGCAGCAAACTGCACAGAAAATGAGACAACACCAGCTCGCAATAAGGATGATAAAGATTAGCCCTATATCCATGCTGAAGAGCAAGCGAATTAAGGTATGTATCGGAAGAGGACATAAGCCTTTTATAACGGACCCAAAAACTGATTCTGTCTGACCTTACCAATCCGCGAGAGGCCATTTCCGGACTGCATATAGTAGTTCCACACATTTTCCCCTATCAAATCAAATCTATCATGATGATCTCATGCCATTAGCGTTTCTATATTACAAGATTGAATCTAGATCTAGGCAATAAAAAACAAGTCGAAACGTAAGTTTTCGGTAGCATCCATCCATTAATAAAGTTTATATGGTCCCTCATATCTATGGATACAACGCTCGGCATCTTCCGTATACCAAACTGGAATCCAGCATAATAGCCGTGTTCAGTTTAGTATCACTATAAAGCATCTCTCTATGAGCTTTAATGGAAGGGGAGACTTGTTTTTGATGAAGTGTAGTCCGCTGGATTCGAAACATCCTGAGTAACTTCTGTGTAGCCGCAGTAATACAGATCTGTAACCTGATGGTGATGAAAGCACGGAGTGTCCTGTGAACGTTCTTCATTTCTTTCGTACTCGTAGTGACCTGGATCCGATGCTAGGACAGGCTGCTGAACGGACTGTGTTATGGTTGTGCTGAGTGCAGGATAGGAGAAATTCTTTTGTCGACTGCCAGCTTCGAGGCTCAGAGAGTTGGTCAACTATAGGCTACCTGAGAGAGAGTAGGCTGGCTCAGTATATGACGCGGACGGGCGTTTTATTATCTGATAATTGTTAGCGATCGAAAAGCACACTCTAGGAGTACTCGGATCTTACCAACTTCACCGCGCTCATATTGTTCCTCTAACTTTCGAACTCGAAGAATCTCATAGATTATCTCGGCGCTGTCTTTGGGTTTCAACTTCTTGCTGGTAGATTGAGCAACTTCCGTCAGCTTGTCGGCAGTAATCCCATGCTCACCGAGCTCGCAAATAATGTAAAGTAGCAATTTGATGCGGTCTAATTAGGTAAGGTGTTAGCCAGAATAAGGTTAAATCAACATACAAAAATAATTACCTCGCTCCTTTAGGTAGTAAGGTTCCCTATGAGGTACAGTGCGGGGCCACCATCCGGGCTTAGTCTTTTCGGGGTCACGGGTGGTGCCTCCATTGTATTGGTGTTCGCGTTGTTTGTGCGGCTCGATGAATTTGACAAATGCCCTCACGATAACGCGGCAGTTGGGCTGCTGAAGTTTTTCGAGGGCGCCCTCATAGTAGTCCATAACCTTTCGGCTGTCTCCAATTCTGAATTGGACTGTTCCAATGAGGATTCCATCACGGTTCTCGGCCTGGTGATTTTCGTTGTGTTCGCCTATACTGCCGAGAAAATTCTGGCGAACTTCCGAAGTAAACACATCGTCGGGGTTAACAGACAGAGATGCGTACGTCCTAAGCTTGCCATCATCATCGAGATAAATCGTCGCGAAGTGAGGGGGCTATATCATAATTTCAGCGCAAATAACATAGATTTGGCAGTCACAGAATACAAGCGTACAAGAGTAACCTCACGGCCTAGGGGTTCTTTGGAGGCTGAAGCAGACCTCCTCATCGCACACATTGGGATGTTTGGCAGCGGCAATAATTCAACGACCGTGGTATATTCGAATGGGATCTCAGTCACGAAAGATTTCAGAGGAAGTAGGCTCCGAAATGGTTTTTCGCCTCATGCAGACGGGAGGAAGGATAGTGCCTATAAATACTAATAATATCGTTAGGTATGGGTACATTAGAGCATTGCGCATATCCTACCAGCTGGTCTGCTACTTTCGGTCCAATTGAAGCCAAATTTCGATGCAGCTAAGAGCTAGCCAGGTTTGAAAGTCGCAGTTATCCGCTGCCATTCTAAGACATCTTCTCCTAGACTTTGAGTCAGGTACTTGGCTTCTATCCTACACAGTGGTAAGTTTCGTAGTCCTGAACTGAATACACTTAATGCTTGTTCGATTATATCATGTATCTTTTCATGCTTCAGCTGACCCGTCTATCACTGCTATCTGTTTGTTCATTCGGAAGTGGTTTTTGCTGGGCCTTCTTTTGACAATCTTGGCAAATGAAACTAACCTCTTGGTCTCGAGGTATGAGTTTTTTACATGTACTATATTCCTCTGAGCACATTTTTGAGAAACATCGCCGCACGCTTGGTTCCTCCTTGTCACGTGTCCACATGGATGTGTGTAGCTCTGATCGAAGCACATGATAGGCGACTGTTTGATTCGCACTATATGTTAGCTCGGTGTCTGATATTATGAAATGGTGGTACCACCTTTTAGATCAGAAAGAGGCAGCAATTGCCCGCGTGAACTATAACAGAAGAGTTCAGGTCAGCGTAAGTCTTGTTATAGAGCTTGGGGGCCCTTCTACCTGCAGAAAATGTATCGTGCTTGTACGCGGTGAACCCGATGATGATAGCTGTCGATGAGTAGATAAAAAGTGTGTTGCTTTAGATTCTAGACGTCAATATACTGGGAAGCCACGGTGCTCTTATAATAAAATCTACAGACTATTTTTGTAGCTGATGCCTTTTGAAATCCTGTCTCTTGAATTCAGCGATCTCACCGAGAAGCTGAAGATGTGGGACTAGTCCCTGGAGCTAGACCTTGATGAGGGACAGGATCTACATAGCTAGCTGCTACTCTAAATTTAATGGGGGTAAATACAGATGCTACGTCTGTAGAATTGTGCGGATAGGCCCACGCTATAAGAGACCCGATAAACATTGAGTGAGGATATGCTTTGGTCAAAAGTATCCGAGTTCTTCTCGACGCCTCTCCAAGCTTTTGAGACATCCAACATACCAGTCGTTCAAGCTGTCGTGTATCTTATTTCCCGAAACTGCTGCCGAGTTTCGTCTTAATTCATACTCCTGCCAGTATCTTGAGTATAGGCCCTGATAACAAAGAACTTTCTTCAAGTCACGGTCTTCTGCCGATTGATCTAAAACAATCGGACCATCGCTACTCAAGGGAATGAGTTCTATTATCCCATATGTTCCCCGAACCTGTGAAATACCATCCTCGCGCACTGTAAGGTCCACTAGCATCATATTTCTATGGTCATCCTGGGCTTGATGCTGAGCGCTAAGCTCTGGAAGAGGAACGGCGTCAATAACTATATTTTTGAGGCCTTTTATTTCGATGTGTTCCATAATTTGGACTCCATTGGACGGGAACCAAACTCGCACAGTCTGTTTAGTTTAAGCTTAGAGGAAGAAAAGGTAGACAATTCTCTTGATGTGATGGGCATGTCTGTTCTCGTAGGTTCGATCGTAGAATTTTGTCTGGAACCTGGACCTCCGAATAAAACTGTATCACGGGATGTGTCTGGCAGAAGAAGGGACATGAAATTTGAAAAGATATAACGAACTGTTGGAACGCTGAAGCCGCCCATTGTCGCTGTATCTGAAAGAATCTGAAGGAACTTAAAGGGGTGGTCTCTTCATATAAGAGCCCGAACTGGTGGCCTGGGGCTCTGGAATACCTGTTATAGCAGAATAGCCATTTAAATTATGCAGATTATTACAAAATTGAGCGCAAAAATCTAAATGCGAATGGACAAAAACGAGTGCATTTCATCCCATCATCCCCTTACTGAGGCTAGCCGTGTTGAAATGTCATGTGAACTGCTATCTTTCTCGTAATCCTGACTTTCAATGACTCGTCATTTCGTAGAATCTGGCTTGATTGGATCTTGCTTAGCGCGTGTAATTTCTCTTCGCATCGGTTTGCAAGTTGCTGGAATGGTGGCGAGACTTTTGATATCGCGCTAGACCTTAGATTTATCTCATAAGCGCTCTCAAAATTGGAATGCACGATGATAAAGAAGGACATGGTATGATAAAAAGTATTGTTTTGGGATGTAGGAAGTCTGGCATTTTAATGCATCCACTAGTTCCCGAAATCCAATTGATAAATAAAGCAGAAATGACTGAGGCCTAAAAACGCCACATCTCGAAAGACTAGTCCGTTTTGGGTTCCAACGTTTGGTCCCAAACGTTGGAACCCAAAACGGACTAGGTACAGCTCCACCTGAATGACCCCACATTTACCAAAGAACTCTATAGTGCGTTGTCCTAGTCCTGTGGCCTGGTCGAGGTTTAGCCGCTGAACTATCGGTGGCCCGATCAATGTAGCACAAAATAGAAGAGGTGGTTTCTGAAGATAAAATGGAGCCATTCCCCGTGTGTCTACGATGATATTATCTCACCAAGCTTTTCATCAAATCGTTGGTATCATTTCTCAGTATATTGCCAGACTATTGCTGACTTCCAACTCAGTTGCCATCATGTGTCAAATGTGGGTTACAACAACCGTCTTCGCTTGCGGAGATAGCGAGACAAGAAGAGAACCGCATCCCTGTTCTGAGAATCACCCGCAGCCATGGCCTGAGGTGCACATGGGCAGCTCCCATAACCGTCGAGACAAATGCTCCAGGTGCCGAGGAGCTTCCAATGGCCACTAGGCCTATAGCCGTAAGCGTCTACACGCCTATGCTGTGAACTTCATTGCTGAATTGAATAGTCTTCGAGAAACTACTCCCTGCTTAGTAGAAGTTTCTCTGTTAACCGCCATTTGGATTCTGCTTTCGACATCATACTGATAATATCAGTTTTCAATTAGTCGAGATCGTACTGTTGCACTGCCGACCCCAGGGCCTCTTTGCCATGATCTTTTCAATGGATTTTCCATTGTACACGAATTGCCCAGAAATTGCCCGAACTCCTGTCTTTACATAGCTCTGTGCAAAATACAGTCCTTATACCTCGCTGCTTTTCATAATAATCTAGTGGCCAAAAAAACCAGTATTTATAGGTCTTTTCTCTGCGTCCGATGTCTTGAATCTAATCGGTGTTGTGAAGGTAGGAGAAGATAGACACGAAGGGAAGTTAAGCACTCATGAAACCTTTCAACTACCTAGTTCACTATGAGTTCAAAAAGTATTGTAGATATTATTCTAAAATTCCCTGTGCCGAGAGCAAACCTACGATTAGTTTCCATGCATAGGTACATCATAGCTAGTGAATCGTAATTCGGCATCTTTATCCAAGCCATAGCAATCTGCTAATACTTGCAACTGATCTCCTGAGAGTATACCATCAAGTACACAGCCTATAGATCATGTTAGTTATAAAAAACCAGAGATATGCATCATATAATGGGCGATTCTTACCAATATTGTTCTCCCGTCTTTTTCTCCAAGCTCTGATCCGCTCTCTCAGTGAAGCAATTGGCTCTGAGTGTATTTCGGTATCATGAACAGTTTGGCCAATCTGAGAGTCAAGTGCACGAAGGTTCTCTAGCATCTCCGAGGTGCTGCTATATTGTCCAAGCCAAGCGTTTCGAATAATCGCATCAATGCCTTGATGACTGGTCTGTATGTTAGGCAAAATCAATACACCATTCCTGTCAACAGAAAGCTCAGGTTTGATTCCATGCTCAACTTGAAAAAGGAGCGAGCCCATTGCAAACATATCAGTTGCCTCCGAAAGATTTGGCGAAGGGCCATTGACTGGAAGTGGAAGATCCGAGATGACTAGATTTGATTGACCAAAGGGACTAGCGGCACTGAAATCACAAAGAACAGCAGAGCCTCGATTATCGAAGAGTACATTGTCAATTCGTACATCTCCATGAGCTATTCCAAGCTTATGAAGGTGGCAAAGAGCGTCGACGATATCGCGATACCATCGAATTCGAGTGGGTTGTGCGGGTATCTCACCCTCCGACAACGGCCGATATCTGCGGAGAAATATCCCCTCGGCTTGATCGGTGTCGATAGCTTCAATGATATGAGGATGTGGCCACTGTTGAAGTAGTCGTAAAACAAACCGCTCATCTTGCAACAAGCTAGAGTGAAAAATGGTATCTGAGGCATAGTGGTACCGGTCGCTGTCCGAGGCGTCGCTCCCGGGTTGTTCGAAAATGCGACAACTCTTAAGGACTATCTCCTCGTCAACCTCGTAGACTTGACCGGAAGCTCCTATGCCCAGTATTTTCAAATCAGACTGAAATAGTGGCCGTATGGTATAGGTGACATGGTCCGATGTTCTCGAGGAGGCGACGCCGGCCGTAATATTGGACTCAAGATCATTCGATTTCTGAGGGTTGGATGGATAGGATTTAATGAATGACGGAAATATAACAGACAACGCGCCTTCAATCAAGAATCTCCAGAACGCCTGCACAGCAGAGAAACAGTTCCAGAGGTAAAATGGCATTTTGACGATACCATGAAATCAGGAAAGTTTGGGAATGCACCGTGGAAGTTGCAGTAGATATAGAGCTGCGTCACATGACCAATCTCCCCATTACTACAAAACAATCAAACTCCAGCCAAACTTGCTGCCTGATAGAAAAGGCCGCGAGGTTCGAAGAATCCAAGGCTGTTGATCACATGACTTTCTACCCAACTTGAATCACCAACTTAACAATGCCCCTCCTAAACCCCTCCTATTCTTGATCTTTTATCAACAGAAAACGTATGTAGCCGCCCCAAACAAGTCGACATCTCTTAATGGAATAAAGGAACGAAGTTGCGCGATTGTTTTCCTCTCGATGAGCCACCACCAACTCTCTCCCGCGGCCGAGAGTCTGCGTCAACAGATAAAACATATGATTACCGACGCTACACCTAAGCCATCAAACTCACAATATAACGAAACAACGGTCTTTGAGCAGGATAAGAATGGAAACAAAGTATACGACGGCATATTGCTCGATAGGAAAGTGTCTGAGTTGAAAAAACAGATGGATCTCGGAGAGGTACGTAAATATACCCGTTTGTAGCGCTATGTACTCATTTCTTTCTAGGAATGGGGATGGAGCCTGGCATACTTTTTTCAGTCGAGACCGCTCATCAACAAATTCTCGCGCATGTGGCTCGTGCCGTTATCTGAAAAGGCAATCATCACTCCCGTGCCGCGGCCGTTGGAAGACGACTCGCCCGGTGTGGCTTTGAGGGAAGGTTTCTGCACGCTTATCGTTGACCAACCTACTCTAAGCTTAGATTCAACTGTTTTATTCATTGCACCCCAATAATTTAGGAATTGTATATATCAACATATTATGATCCCTCTCCGTCCAATTTGTACTCTTAGGCACTTCCGATAGCCTGTACCGGTATATGACCATGCAAATTCTGTCCCTGCGAATCCAAAAAGCGCCGAGGGGACCCAGAACCTACGCTAGCCGACCCTGGATCATAATGACTGCTTCCAGCGGCGTGATACGAAGTTTCAAACAAGTTCGTGTTATGCTGTGACATGGGATGCGTGTCGTCTTGCAACTCGGAATTTTCCATGGAATGTGAAGCCATTGAATCTTCAGGATACGACCTATGAGATGAATATGACGAATGATCGTAGAAGTTTGGCTGTTCGGAATCTCGCATGGGAAGGAAGGCCATTGAATCTTCGGGATACCTATGAGAGGAAAATGACGAATAATCGTAGAAGTTTTGCTCTTCGGAATCTCGCATGGGAACGGAAGCCATTGAATCATCAGGATACGTATGAGAGGAATATAACCAATGATCGTAGAAGTTTGGCTGTTCAGAATCTCGCATGGGAACGGAAGCCATTGAATCATCAGGATACGTATGAGAGGAATATAACCAATGATCGTAGAAGTTTGGCTGTTCAGAATCTCGCATGGGAACGGAAGCCATTGAATCGTCAGGATACGTATGAGAGGAATATAACCAATGATCGTAGACGTTTGGCTGTTCAGAATCTCGCATGGGAACGGAAGCCATTGAGTCGTCAGGATACGTATGAGATGAATATGACGAATGGTCGTAGAAGTTTGGCTGTTCTGGATCTCGCACGGGAAGGAAAGCTGTTGAATCGTCAGGACACGACATACAATCGTAGGCTCTTTGTGTTTCGGAGGTCGTAGTTGTAGTTAGATTGTCTATTGATGCCTGAGACTGCGCTGTCGAGGGTTGGATGAAACTTTCCGTTGATTGATCCATGGGTGACGCACTGGCATTTTCAAGCACTCTCGCAGCATGAGTGGTTGCTTCTTCGCTTCTAAGCAGTTGAAAGCCAATTTCATCAAAGTCTAAGCTAAAACTGTGAGCACTCCTCTTTGAAACCCCTTAACACAAAGTACTCACTTGTAGCGGGTACAGGAGTGTGGTCGCTTTCAGCACTAAGCGGTCCGATGCAGCCCCAAAGGTAGGTATATAATGCATCGGCGAGGCGTTCCAGTGTCTCCATATGTCCTACTTCTAAAATACCACGTTCTTTGAGTTCCTTGATGGCTTTCATTCTCTCCGGCCCTTCCTGATGTAGAACTCTAAGGCTGTAACATGGTTAGTGAATAGAGTAAGGTTATAGAATTTGCAGACTTACTACTCCTTGGTCACATCATTAGGCAAGTAAAACAACATGCAAAGATACTGATGTCCAAGCTCACTGTTTCGATGGAGCTCTTGACATAGAGAGTCTATTTTTTTACCCTCTTTTAACCAATTGTTGATGTGAGTTTTGATCTCTTCTAGTGAATCTTTGACCAGGCCGGCCGTGGAGATGATCTGGGCAATTGTATCAACGCTGTGGGAATGAAGTCGTTGCATACCCAGGCTTTGTCTCAACTTATGAAGAATGACTTTCAGAAATCGGGAACGTATCAAGTCATTGTCCCTGCGTTGCTCTAAGTGAAGCAAAGTCCGATAAAACGATGAGATATTGGGTTTTATGTTGTGATCATCGGCGTCGCAAAAGAACCCCAAGGGATTTACGACCCAGGAAGATAGGTTGTTTTCAATTGACTCGGGGAGTGCAATTTTGGGTTTTATTATCGTTTTTCTCTTCCGGCGTGGTTTTGAGGAAGTTTCAAGCGCCCCGTTTGATATTCCATCAATTCTCAGTCGAGTATTTTCGGGAATCCAAGGAGAAGTTTCAAGCGCCACGTTTGATGTTCCATTGATTCTCAGCTGAGTATTTTCGGGAATTCGAGCGGAAGTTTCAAGCGCCTTGTTTGATTTTCCAGTGATTCTCCGCTGAGTATTTTCGGGAAGCTGTGTCCAGCACGCCTCGAGACATCGAATAAACTAGGAATTCTTTAGCTATTGCCAAACTCCTTGTTTTAGCAACCTATAAGTCAACTCACGTGGGAATCTTGTAAGACTTCATCTATGTGAGTGGATCCTTGTCTTTCTGCTTCCTGCCAGGCATCCGAAAGCTTTTGAAGTATAACTTTACTCTCGGCAAGACCCATATTTGATGTTTTTCAAGCATTTAGCGCAAAGGGAACAAAGAGGAAATTGGGGCGAACTAGGGTAACTACTCCTCAATAAAAGGAAACTCATTCATGTGACTGAGCAACAATCCCTGCTAAATCGTGGGGCTAATGGTTATCTGATTGGTGTATAAGATGTTATCTATTTTTGTGTATAGAAAAAGGGTACAGAGAGGGCAAAAAAAATATAGCCAAATTGATTCAAGTAGCGAGCTGTGAACGTGATATATAGGATATGTTGAGGCAGACTGAGGCTACTCTTATTGTTAATCTTTTGGCAAACCCACGGGCATCATAAAGGACGTTCCCACCCCAATCTTAGAATTGTTTATGATTGGGGGGTATACTTTTTCACACCCCGCATACATATCAGCAGGAGGAATTCTAGATACGAGATATGATTTGCGGGAGATGGAGAAATAAGGGGCTATGTGCAGATACCAAGAGACCGAGCCGAGACCTCCAGGGCTGTTTTAAATAAAATGCTGTAATCCAATAATATTGGGTATGAGTTCAGCGGAGCGTCATTTCAGGGTCAGTGCGGCTGTCGCGCGACTTGAGTGATTTCTCACCCTGATTCTCACCATGCACTCACCCGGGGGTCATCCACCGAACTATTGACCGCACATAAGCCACAGGTCACGAGCCAATCATAAATCAGAAAAGCTTTGCTCCCAGAATAACGAAGCCGGCAATGTTCACCTATTTTATTCTTGAGCCAATTCTGATTGCTCTTATGCCATTGAAAGGTTTACCAAGTTATAGCAAATTTTCACATTCAAGTCTATAAAAGCGATCTAGATGGCCCTATGCAGCCCCCCTCATTGCAGTATTCAAGCTAGAATATTTGCCTCGCTTGGCTTCCTCTTTAGGAAAGAATTGGGATAAGTGAGAAATCGAGAATTCTCGTTGTTGTTTCTGGCACAGTAGTCAGCCAGCCAATGAAATCGCTGCTTATTTGATTTTTCAAAAGAAAATAAACAACCACAAACAGGAACTTCTGTTCATCTTGTCAGGGATATACATAAAGATTACAGGACGAATGAGATATGATCTGCAGGACCCACACGGTACATCTGGAATCCCCAAGTTTCAATGTTACCGTTTCACCAAGGACGGTCGGGTGGGAATCGAGAACAGAATGGTCAAAGAAAGTGATTCGGCAGATATCAGACAAATGCAATGCTGATCTGCGAGATTTCTATCTCTTCAACCTTTTACAAATTCGCTCCTATCACCTTGTTTATGTGGACGAGTCGGAGTGTGATAATCGCGCTTGACGTCGAGCAGACCAGCTAGTCCCCACGGGAGTGACTCCGGTTCAACTATCCGAGCTCTAGCAGGGACAGCGATATCAGATCTTACCAGCCTATGCACGAGCATGCAGCTAATTGATTGCGCTAAGCAAGGACAATATCGTCTTAGACAAGTGCTCGGCTCTTTCTCTAGATAAGAAAACCAATCGGCGTTTTCTGATAATCAAGAGCTGTGTCAGTTTCCAAACCCATCAGAAAGGGATCTTGAGAAGGGAAGACGAAGACGGGTTGCTAGACTGTCCAGGCACAGGTCTACTACGGTTTGCCTTGTTTGCAGCGAAATTTCTCGAAGGGAGGATAATTATAGAACAGATTCTATACGTTGTTTATGGTATTGTCCTGTCATAGACGATATGTAAAATATGAGAATAACGAGCTAAGCTCATAGTAGACTAGTTCCCGAAAGTGGCGCTGAGAAAGAGCGAAAGAGTGTAAACCTTGTAGAAGCCGAACTACTTACTCGTGGTTTCCCTATCCCCCGACTCCCCTAATTGTAGACCGCTATCTCCAAAATTCTGATTGATTGGATACTTGTAGCTACGGGAAGTCTCCATCTCACCTAGGGCCGAACGCTGACCATTACGCAGGTGTGTGGTGGATCCCTACAATTCAATGCCGTCAACTCTGTTCGGTCGGTGGGTGTGTATGTTAACCATCCCGAATCAACATCTGATCCCCTAGAGCGTATATAAAATTGCCGGCTGATGGTCAACCAGAAGACCAACGATTTCTGCCAAGTTGTAACCGAAATCATGTGGTGGATTGTATAGAGGTACTTATCAAATATACGATGTTGATGCGGCCTTATATTAGGCTTTCTGATGATCGTTTTAGCGAACGGTAAGCAGATAAGAGGTTAAAGAAGAGAAAATGAATACTACCATATAAAACCCTATAGGAAGCTAGATAGTTCACTGCTGCGCATTCATTAAGACATAGAACGAAAAGTGAGGAATGATGCGGTCGGCCTAAAGTTCTAGTAGATATCACAAACTAGCGAATGTATGAAACATAATATCGAAGTGATGCATAGATGTATATGTCCGTGGAGACTGAGCCGACCGTTGTTGAAAGGTCCTTTCCATAGTCGCTGGGGAGACGCTATACAGCGAACCGGCTAGGCCCAAACCCAACGATACGAATACTATCAGAGCTCAAATCCTTCGACAACATGAGGCAGAGGCAGACCGTGAGTTCGAAAACACCTTGAAGAAATTGGTTGTATGATGCTACCAGTTGTGGATACGTGCATATGCCAAGCGGCCGAGCGTTTCAGAGGGAGCGGTGTAATCCAATGAAATTCTGTTCTTGTTCAGCTGAGGGGGCAGTGCAGTGGTCGCGCGACTTGGGTGATTCTCACCCCGATTCTCACCCTATCTATAGCGCACTCACCCTTGTCACCCCCGGTCGCGCGACCGTAAAGCGGCGCTCACCCATTTCTCACCCGGGCGACACCCACCGGACTACTGACCGCGTTTAAGCCACACGCCGGTGAGTTAGTAGTTGGGTGGGTGACCACCAGCGAATCCTCACTGTTGTATGTTTTGTATTTTTTAATAGTTGATTAATGAATAGGTGCCCCAGTACCTCGGATTGACTAGCAAACTCAGATTCTGGAGTTTTGCGTATCTTCCTACTTGATTGAATATGCATTAGCGGTTCACTTAAGCAACATCCTAGTACTATGATGAATATCTATAAAGCAGCAAGGATTCGTAAATGGATACCTCAACTGCATGGTCTCGTTTTTCAGTTATTAGTTGGTTATCACCTCATACATACGCTTTCCCAACGTGAGTAAATGCTACCTGGGAGCATATATTTTCATTGTGTATCTAAAAATTACGAAGTTAGTAGATTTGACCAGATAGTAAGATTTCATTCATCGTATCAAGAAAGCTGGTACTAATCCAAGCTGAATTGATTTTGCTTAGCCGAAAACAAGCGAGTTCTCATGAGGTGTTTTGCCAGATTGCTTTATCACTCATTTTCAGCTTACATATCAGCGGGGGCTTCTCCCACATTAAGTAAGAGCGCTGTCGGTCCCATTTCCCGCTCTTATCATGAAGTTCTAAGTCAAAAGTCCAAAGTACGCGTGCAAGAATCACTCGTAACTCACTATATGCTAGTTCTCTCCCGATGCAGTTCCTTGGCCCTATTGAGAATGGTTGGAGGACGTCATGATTATCATTATAGAAAGGCGAGGATTGATTGTCTCTGGCTTTCTCTAGCCAACGCTCGGGTATGAACTGGTCTGGGGCATAAAAGTTCAAGGGTGAGCGGTATGCAGCATATTGATGAACGGAGACTTTGGTCTACTAAACATCAGCCATTATGCGTTGAAAAAGAACAACATTGCGAGTTCCTTGCTTACATGTGGGGGCATGAGGTAGCCCGAAACTTGAGTTGGCCTAGGCCCAAGTGTCATCCGCTGTTGTCCAGAGGGCGCTGGCGGATACATTCGCAATGCCTCCTTGAGACATGCGAGCATATATGGCAGATTTGCGGTGCTTGATATGGTGATATCATGCTCACTTTTCATGGCAGATCTTGTTTCTCGAGTGATTTCTTCCATTGCGTGCGGCGTTCGCAGCAGCCAATAAGTGATTCCAGAAAGTAATGTAGCTGTCGTCTCGCTGCCAGCAATAACCAAGACGTTAGAGTTCGCTTCTAACTCCTCCTCGGTAACCTCTTTGCTTGATTCTCCGCGATGCCGCAACATGCTACCAATGAAATCTGTGCATTCTCTGTGACCTTGAAGCTGGAGACGTTTCTGAACAGTGGCTCGGCTAAATTCGATTTGTCTTTCCCGTGCACTCATCAGACGCTTTGAACCGACGAAAAGGGACAATATTCTAAACGGAAGGGGATAGGCATCTTTGAATTGCACAAGGGACATGCCTCTAATCGCCTGAAAGATGGTTGATACCCAGTAATGATATTCAGAAGATTCTAATCCTCCAAATGGCTCACCGAAAGCAAGATCTCCAAGTATGTCAAACGTGGTCAAGTTGTACCACTTTACCATATCGGCTTCCGGAATGGACGAAGCGGCAATGATTTTCAGCTTTTGTATCAAGAGATCCACATATTTGGTGATTATAGGTTCTTGAGATTGTAGGCCCTTCGCAGAAAAGGCATGTGCCAGGGACCTGCGAAGGCGACTATGATCTGTGTCGTTGGCGCTAGTAATGTCAGACGGGTTACTGGTTGAATGCAGCACCTTCGGTAGTTGCTGATGGCCATGACCATATATGTCCTTCCATGCCTGGGCAGTGATGAAAGAGACTTCATTTGGACCAAAGCGAACGACTTCGCCGTATTTTTCGTGTAAATCTCGCATTCTGGTCTCTAATTGACCACGGGAAAGAGCGATAAAGCGACTGATAGGAAATGCAATCCACAATTTAGGACCGGGGAGGTTGCGAAGTGGATGGAAATAGACGGTCCATATGATTTTCATGAAGGAAAAGAAGAAAAAAAGCAAAGCAAGCTGAAAAAGGGAGGAAAACATGATGAGCATCGAGTTATTCTTTTCGGGCGTCAGACAATAGCAACAATGACCAGAGATTGAGCATCACTCCGCGCTGCTGGCTCAAAAAAGAAGTTGTGTATGTCTAGAGACGTGAAATCCAGAAACTGTAAAGATTATATATAATTTTCCAAGGTCATCTGGGTTGCTGTCAATTTGTATAGCATGTTGCCATCGGTTCCGCCAATCTAGTGTTGATACTCCATAGCTAGAACGAGCCCTAACCGGTTCCCAGATCTTGTTTTCTTTGCGGGAGCCCCGCAACGGAGCCGCTAGCATCGGATCCGACGATCGACGGAGCCGACAGGCAAGAACCGCATTGGCCAATGGGAAATGCATACGTAGTAATTATAGTATTGGTCCCTTGATGCTGAAGAAATAATCAAAGCATATAAAACCAGCAGAGACACCAAAAAATACACCCAAACTATGATTTGTCCAACTTTCATCAAAATCCACCTATCCTTTTGGCTTCATGCTCATCGATCCAAGCCCTGGATATATCTTACAGAAATATACCATCATATTCGATTTCTGTGAATATCACATAGTTATACTCTGAGATGTCAGCCCCACCTACGCTAGTCTTCATACCTGGCTCCTGGCATAAACCTACATGCTACAATGAGGTCACCAATCTCCTCCAACGCCAGCATAAGTTGAAATGCATCTCAATATCCTTGCCATCTACGGCAGGAAACCCAGCCGCAACATTCAAAGATGATCTCGATGCTGCCCGCGAAGCTATTTCGGCCGAGACCATCCACGGACGCAATGTTGTAGTCATTGCACACTCCTACGGGGGCATGGTCGGCAATAGTGCTATTAAGGGTTTCACGCAACGAGGTTTCACCAAAAGCCAAAATCAAATCTCAGCTACAGGCTACGTTATTGGCCTAATCCTTATAGCCTCTGGGTTTACCCTAAGTGGGCTTTCCTTCATGGATCCTTTTTTCGGTCATCCTCCTCCTTCCTGGCGGGTCAATAACGCGACCGGATATGCCGAACTTGTTGCTCCTCCACGTGAGCTCTTCTACCACGACTTGCCAGAAAATGAGGCAGAATTCTGGGTTTCCCAACTTACAACTCAGAGCCTCAAAGCATTGTTTGAGGGAGGAGAACACACATACGCCGGTTGGATAAATGTGCCTGTTTGGTATATTGGCACTACCGAGGATCGGGGTTTGCCGGTGATGGTACAACGCATACAGGTGGGCATGGCGAAGGCAATGGGTGGTAATGTGGAGCATAGGGAGCTCCACTCCAGCCATTGTCCTTTTCTGAGTCAACCAGAAATGACAGTCAGAATTATGGTAGATGCTATTGAGACGTTTGCGGGGAAGCTAAAGCGGAATGAGTCTACAACCTGTGGCCAGGGAGATATGATAGTAGCGCCGAAGGCCACAATCTTGCAGCCTTCCACGTGGCTTAAATTTGGACTGCCGCTGGCTCTTGGTCACATAGTAGGAAGTTGTATATTTCTGTTTACTTGGGCAAGGAGACTATGGAGGTTTAAGATCAATTAGTGTATTTTTGATATCAAGTCAACAGAGGAGGTCCATAAAAAGACTCAAGTCTTTCTGTCACGTTTTAGATTTGAGTATCAGAGCAAGTTAGCTCCTGGGAGAGAATGAAGCAAATTGATGCGCAGAGCTATGAATATCGACTGTAAAAAAGCAATCTCACTATAAGCCGATGTTAGTAGCATGACTTGCGCCAATAGTGTTGTATACTCGGACGCGGTGGAGTTGGAGTCCGGGTGAGTGGCATACTTTGAGTAGATCAAAAATCAAGAATGGCAGGCGATCAATTCTGGGTGATGACAGAGTGAAATCTGCCTCAGCTCTGATTCTATAGAAGTAAAGGGAAGTGGGATTGAGACATATGATATTCAACAAATTATGATTAATTCATATACTAAAAAGACCTGCGTTTTCAATGTATCTCGCACTGATGGTTGAGTGGTACAATACCTCTCTTCCAAAGAGGTGGCCGGGGTTCGATTCCCCGTCAGTGCATTCTTTTTTCTTCAAGTCTTGATCGCTATTTAATTATATTTTGTTCGTTTCCCCTAGATTGAATAATGGTTACTTAGTTCTTTTTATGGAAATTTATAATAAGAAACTAATTAATAGATTACCTGAAGTACAATTGTTTTTTAAGTCTAAAAATAAGTCTAAAAATTTGCCTCTAGTTATCTTTTTGGTTTAGGTTAAACGGGTAGATAGAACAAAACCAAAAAAATGCACTGACGGGGAATCGAACCCCGGCCACCTCTTTGGAAGAGAGGTATTGTACCACTCAACCATCAGTGCGAGGTACATTATGTAAGGTATCCTCTATGCTTTATAGATAGAATTAGGCATTGTTTTTAAGTCGTACTTTTGATTGACATTTGTATACATTAGAAAAAAATTGACTCTTTTTTGGGTAGATGTCTATTTTAGTTACAATAATAATCTTCCAACTTTTGTAGGAGGGATCAACGAGAGTGCCACTCGACCAGGGACATGATTTTGATTCCAGTAGGTAATCCCATGTCGAAGCCAAGCCGCATATGTGCCAGGTACAATGTCGGATCCCGGGTTATCTCGCCACAAGGATCCAAGCGTAAGTTTGTTCACGCGTAGAATGAGGCCGTGAGCAAGCTTGAAACCAAAACTGCGTGAAAGACATGCCTCAACAATTTCACGAGCTATCTTTTGTTGACTAGACTCTTGTTCCCCGTCTTTCGGTATAGATAGTGACATCAAATCGAATGCCTTTTGTCCGTTCCAGGCAGTCAACTCATTAATAAGCTGTGATCCTTCCATAAAATTGATCGCGTAAAAGTGTTTCATGCAATAGGCGGGGCCATCCCAATTGTCTTCCGGATCAAGCAGTCCCATAACTGCACTAGCAACCTGGCCTTGGATAATATAGTCGGTCAAAAGACGGCTGACCTCAGCGGGGCCGATAAATGTCCCATCATCCTCAGTGATTGTAAATTCGCCGCCCATCAGAGGAACGCCTTGTAGCAGTGGGCTAGCGTGCATTCCATCGGTGCTTGTCTTGCCCCCATCTGCGCCCCAAAGAGCGAGAAGCAGACGATGGCAACGCGCGAAAAGAGCATTATTTGGCAATGCGGCGAGGAAATAATTCAATAGACTGTAATTATCTTGGCCACCGGGCGTATAAGACAAAACCTCGTATGGAGATTCAGGGTTTGCAATTGTCTCGTTCCACAGCGTATCTAGATCACCAATTTGCATCATACCCACGTCGGCATAAACACCTCCATATCGCAGGAGCAGCGGCCAGCGAACAAGATCTGAAGTATGTTGTAGCGCGTAAGAGCCAGTGATCGTCTCATCAGTGAAGGCCTGTGGGAAAATTGATGGGTCGGTAACATCCAAGAACTCGGCGATATTGCTCTTTGACCCTGGCTGTCGGTCTATGATTCGTACAGTCCACCCTTGTTTTGCGAGTCGGCGGTGCCATGCGCGCACTGTGCGTTGCGTATAAGGGTGCATATTGACGTAGCCGGAATGCCAAAAGAACCATATGTTTTTGACGTTATTGACTGGATGAGGATGTAGCAGGTCGAAGTCTATGTCGGTGTCGGATCGTAGATCAAGAAGGTTGGAGGGAATGGCATGCATCCCTGACGGGAGGAGATAGTCCATTGTTAAATTGGAGGTTGAGTTTGAGCTAATTGAAGTTCTATTGAACGCTAGCATGTCGCTGATATTCATTCATTAACTGCACGGCGTTATGGTGTCTTTTATAGATATGTAGGTTTGAGAGGGGCATGCAGTGGCCAATCACGACTCAATGATTATATGTGAGCAATGATGAGTCAATGGACTTAAATCAACTTCGACCCGCGATGGATCCACTTCATCGGCTCATCTATTCCGATTAGTAGGTTGCTCGGGAGAATATTTCGCATGATTTAATGGACACAAAACTGATCATATCTTCTTGCTCCTTGTCATTCATATTGCAGTGTAGGGATAATATTTTTGTATAGGACACGCGCTATCATAGATTGCTCTATAGTTACTATATATTGTAAATATTCCTATTCTCAGTATTTAATGTTCAATAATTACCTACATACCTAGGTGGGTAGTTATATCTCTTTTAACGCCTCTTTTATATCTTGTATTACATCTCTATATCTCCGATTGTTAGAAGTCAACCCTATTTCTACTGATAAAATGCCTCAATTAATTGATCTTAGCCCTTACTAAGACGAGATTAATTTTATTCTCTCCAACAATAGTAGGTTGTGAGATGAGAACAATTAGATTGCCTAGGTATATTTACAATGTAAACAGACTTCAGAGATGAATATATAGCCTTATCAAAAAAGCTTACTTGTTATCATAGTTTGTGGTAATATGAAGGTTGATACCTTCTCTGTGATCATGGGATTAGTGAGATGCCAATGCCTACAATTTGACTTTGGGTCTTGTTAGACGAAAATGGATGATGAATAATGATACAACCTCTGAGCGATCCATTTTCCCAAGGCCTGGATCAAATTCTCCCTGCCAACTATCTTAATCTCTAGCACATGATTCACCGGGGCAGACTTCGCCGCTCTTCGTCAAAATATCAATCTTGGGCCGAGTATCAATATTCATCTATGGGCTTCTCCAAGCTTGTATTATTCCCCTCGAGAATGAAATTGAAGGCAAAGCTCTGGCAACACCTCAATTCGACCATGAATTGTGGCAAACTGCGCAGTCACTTCGCCAAAGAGGGGACAACATCATGTGGAGCAAACATTATACGGATCTTACCCTATGATTACAACGCGTCCTTAATCTCAACATTCGTCTACGCGAGATTGCTCAATATGAAGAGGGGAGGTTGCTATGGTCGAGACTGTGGATGTTGTTCCCAACCATGCAGCTCCTATCGGGGTCAAGGGAACGGTCACTGTACTAAGACATGCGGTTGTTGTCATCAAGCTCGGAGCTATGATTTGAATGAGGAACGACTTCAGTCGTTCCGACCGACCATCAATGTGAAAGACGGGTTGTCTAAACGGGATGGATATACTCTCTGTATGACTGAAGCCTATCTATACTTTCTGTCATATGTGATCTGTGACCCCATCAATCAATTTAAAGACGCGCTACTCGTGTTTCGGAAGAGACCATACCGTTTGCATTTTTGCCAATATGGATACTCCTCTCAAAGTTATAGTTCGTCATATTCAAGATCTTCCACTCCCGTACGGTGAAGCATATATAACATGAATGGCGACGGCGGTCAAGTTTCTCAGACAGTAAGTCAAACATTCTCACCACTGCATCAAGTGATGGCGTTCAATATTGTGTTTACTATGTGCACGACCAGCAAGCAAAATTTTCTTTGCCAGAAACTAAGCTTTTGGACAAAACCTTAGACGTTGAAAGATGGCGAGCTCCGCTAGCGGCTAGCTGTCGAGCAATAGAAACACCAATGTCTCCCAATCCGCCTACTATCAAGCAAGTCGCATCGGATTACAGGGGAAGTTTTAACGGAGATACAACTGATAAGCTAAAAACATAAATACCCTAGGGAAAGCGCACCGATAAATGATGTATGCGCGTTGAAGAACTCGTGCCTCCACAGTGCAGTGTCGTCCTCTGCGTCGTTTAATACGATCTTTTAAATGCCCCCGCCCTCTTTGCATGATGCTGAATGACTTTTCAGCATAGCTCATTGAGTCAGAAAGAGTTGGTCAAATTTTTGGTGTGATACTTAGTCACTATGCGCGCGACTTTGTGCAACATATTGAAAAGTTGGTTCCGTCGCGGTCCAAGTGTATGGTTAGTAGGTCAACTGTGGTGGAATGGAGACAATTTCCGGACAGCACGATAGAGAGTGTGTCTGTCTGGTCAATGTCCCGCTTACCTATATCAATGAAACGACCAAAAGGAGCGACGAAGCTTTATGTTGCACGGAGTAATGATCCTTTTAACGAATTGAGCACAGCTTCCACACCTTTGCTGTGTGTTTAACATGTGGTCACAAAGAGGGAGTCATAGTGACAGTGGACTATGTGGTCAGCAAAGACGCCTTATTTCTCCTGGATGAATGTCCCCTCGTCCAGCAATGCAATAGTCACGAGTATCTCGGCACCGACCTTTTGTGCCATCATGATAGTCGCTTAACCAAATCCATCGCTGGCAGTGAGAATCAGCACTACATATACTTTTCAGAAGAGAACAACCTTATTTTTGTAATGTTAGGCCGTCGTGTGTGCTCTTTGCGAAAAAGGTGCCTTGCTCGATCAAAACCCAGCTAGCCTTGTAGATGCCCGAGCTGATTCTGATGAACTTACAGATCAAACAGCTTGCAGTCATTAGTTACACGCGGTCATCGGCTTCAAACCTCTAGGACGCTGCTTATAGGCTAACCTAGGTCAGAACTTCCTTATACTCAACCCCCAAAATCGTATCATTAGCTTCATCGAGCGCGACTATCATTTCTTTATCTTTGAGACCGTGTGCATCCAGGAACACCTCTACTTGGTGTTCCTAGAGCACCGCAGAAGGGCCCACAGCGAGTGCCACTATCTCCAGGATAGAAAGTGCGGAGAAGACCACTGTGTAGCGCTGTGAAAGGATTGCCGCTTTCCACGTGTATCTGCTAAAACCCAGCGGAGTGTAGAGCTGCCGCATATCTGGCTGTAATGATTGTTATATTCTCGCTATATCGGTTGAGATAAAACGCCCTTGTTACTCCGTAGTAATGCTAGCCTTCTGGTGTGACAATTGCACATGGAAGTTTTGCAACTACTGATCGATGCGATCGGTGCGCGAATATAATGATAGTCTGACCTCACTGCTCCCGTCGGCATCTTCCGACGCCAACAATGTCCAATTAAAAAAGCAATAAAGGGAGCGAGGTAACCACTGAGAACATTAGCTTCATAGTTCAAAGGCGAGGCGAACTAACCTCCCGACGGCTGTTACATCATAGCATTGAGCTTTTTCTAACCTATCTGCGGTATTTCAGTCCTTATAATACTCTCACTGATAGCAGCAAGGGTGATTCTTACGGGTGGTATGGATATCGTAACATCGTATAGAGGGGAAGACACCCAAGAATTCCACTCGATTACCTATAAAGGTAAGCTGAGAAACAGTTCCAATAACTCCGTAAGGAATAGATGGCAACAGGGAATCTCCAATAAATATGTTGCTCTTACTTCGGATCATGCTGTCTCCACACATATGGGCTAGGCCGTCTCCTAACGACGATCTTTGACTAGGGCATCGATATATCAAAGATCACTATTTACAGTGTACTCCATAACGAAAACTGATGATCTCTCGCCGGATGAAAAGTTTCTGAGCTAAGAACTGGCTATCGGCAGTTTACATTGAGCGATGGAAAAGGCTAATGCCAGTAAATGAGACCATAGTGTAGATTGTTCAATAAAGTTACCTATAATGAGCATTGAGGTTATCTTTGCTTCAACTAATGCTGCGATAAGAACATGGTCCAAGACTTTTCCTCTCACTAATATCTTAGCTTGTGAAAATAGATTTCATCATCATTGTAGCACGTCCTTCCCGTTCTACACCTCCACCTGGGCCCGCAGGCATGGAATATACTTAGTAAGCACTATCCAATATATATTTTTGAGGCAGCAAAGTATCAACAGGAAAGTCGAATTTACATCTTGACAACATTCGATGTATCAAGTTTTATGCTTGAGCTTGTTTCTTAGGGCATCGTTGACCGATTGGATAAGATCGTCGGCTAGTTACATACACTAAGCAGTCTTGATCTTGGTCGATAACAGACTACCTCGTTGACAATTAGTAATGATTCCAGTAATTCCTTTTTTCTTCTTGTTTTTCTTTTTCGGTATTTTTCTAAAGTACAAGGTAATATTTCTTGTCCAAAGCTGAAGGAAAATAGTCTGCGCAATATACAATCAATGAAAGACATGTAGTTGCTCATCGTAATGTGTTAACATATATATTTGGTGAATTGGGCATATTAATCGACGTCATGCCAGGACATACTCCCTGCATGAAGATATGCAAGAGGAAATTCAATCCAGGAGCAAATCCCCCGTGAGCACAAACAATATTGTACCGAATGATAATCTCCGGGATTGGAATGTCAACTCAGTCCCCGTATCAATTCAATCTGGTTGAGTTTGGTATAGATCATCCATGGCTATTAGACTTTGACCACGGAGTGGTACAATGCATAATTCCTAGATGTGAGATTATGAGATATCTAGGATGATCGAGATTGTCATGGATTCCTAGATTATTAGTAAACTTACATATATGTACGTAGCAAACGGAATCCCACAGATAACCACTCCGTACTCCGTACGTAACTAGGATTCCATTTTGATTGTACCAAATTGGGTGAGACTTCCGGCCCCCACCCAACCGCGTAGCAAAAGGAAAAAAAGAACCAAATGGACTAAATCATGGACTGAATATTTCGATCCCCGACAATGTTGTTCTTTGTTTGACTCAAGTGGAGACTTCAACGCCAAATCATCGATGAACACACGGTCGGTAGTGTTGTCCGTTCCGTTTGCTCATCACCTTCTATACAGCTGACAGATCACTTTTTATTAATTTTTTGTTTTGCATACGTTGTGGGAGTTACCGGGGATATGGATCTCGCTCGTATTTCCTATTTCCTATTTTCTATTTCTATTTCGACCGACGTTTAATTACGATTGCACAATCCGATGGTGAGTTCCCAATTTTGAGCGCAGGGGTACAACATATATAGAACATCCTTGGTGTAACTACCCAGGTAAACAGGGTAGACAGGGTAGAAAGGGGAAATAGACAAAGGTCAACCACTTGACCGTTTCTTTGCAAATTCTCCGGCTGCAAGGTTCCCTCTTAAAGCTGTGTGTTTCAGGCCGAAAAACCAGTTTCAAGGCTGTGATGTTCGAGGGGTAGATGTAAGAAGTGACCAGTCGTAGGGATCGGATCGAGTAGGGGTGGAGCTGGAGGTAAATCCCCTTACTGTGCCCAACGTCAAAGCGAGACGCGGAGGCGGGTACGGGCTAGACTCGGCTGATCTCTTTTTCTTGGTTCTTTTCCTTTTGTTTTGGGTTTCTATTTCCTATTTCAAGTGGGAGAGAAAATCGAACAAAACATGTAACGGAAGTTGAATAGATCATGCATGTATATACTCGAACATGTTCGCAGTAGTTGCGATCGAGGTGTTCGCGATACATCACAGAGATCGATTTTTATGGAATAAAATCAAAAACCAAAGTCAAATAAAAGTGACAGGTCTTGAAATAGAAATATCAATCACATCACAAGTCTGTGCTTTGTGGCGCTAATGTACAGCATTATCCATAGATTTTTGTGACAAGAGCCCCAGAACTTAGGGCAAGCTACATACATAAGTGGACTTAGGTACATCGGGACACAAAGAATAAGAAGTCAATCATAAAGTACATATAACTATATAACTATATGTCTGACCTGCATATTTGAAAGTTCTTTCTTTCTTAAGATCCTTCATATGAAATTTGATTAAATTGATGCATTGACTTGACATCTATTTGCCTATTCATCTAAAATTATTCATTGTCTAACTACATTGTCCTTACATCGCTATTGCTACATTGCTATATTGCGACCTTATTATTTTGTTTCTATTGCGCAAAAATCCCAAGGCTCTCTCTGCCTTACTTCACTCAGACATGTCTACAACTCCAGACTTCGAGTCCCTTCCTCCAGCTGTTCGAAGAAAGGTAAGGATTTATCTTTCTCATTTCCTTTCATCTCATCTTCATTTCCTCCATTCTCCACCCACATTATTATCACGCTCGGACATTGGCAATAGCGTCGTCACTAGGGTAATAGGGAGATAGGGGATCATCCGAATTCCACTTTTCTTTGTCTCTCCTTTCCTTTCCAAAACCCTTACTCTTCGGTGATTTGCCTGGATTTGCCCCTGAACTGTCGGTGGAGGCCACTACCACCCGCACTATTATCCTTGGCGCCACTCATTGTCAGTCACTATTGGCGTTTCCCATATTGTCGACCCCACATATTCTCCAACTCAGCTCCACCACAGTGAATCCTGGCCATTGCTGACCCTCCCAGTTCTTCTCGAATGTCGAGCGTTTGCGCATTCGGCTAGCTCAGAGCGATCACAGTTCCCCTACGGTCTCCACGTCAAACTATCAAACGGATGGTCGGGTCTATCGTAACGCTCGTCCTGTCTATCAATCGCGTGGTTCACGGAACGGCTCGTCCACATCGTTGAACAGAAAGCGAGGGCTTGAGAAACGTCTCTCCCCTTCCAGAAAATTACGCAAGCCCGGCTCTCTTCAATTGGCTTACCTGGCCGCCCAGGCGGACTCTCAATGCTTCCATTCCCTCCCGGCTAAGATCCAACAAAAGCTTTTCTCTCCCGAAGAACGTCTTCGCTTGAAGAAAGCCTACCGAGAGAGTTTGATCTACGACGCTGCCGACGTAGCTTATCATCGAGATTGTGGCCGTTCGTCTCGCCCTTCAACTGCCACTCCCTCCCAGACGACAGTGCCATTCTCACAGCAATCCACAGCCTTCTATTCCGACTCCGAATCAGACCTCGAAGATCAAGACATGGATCAAACATTTTACGACAGTTTCCGGTGGCTTGACGAGGACGGCGACCTTGATTTGTCCCTAGATGAATACCATGCTCATATAGCAGACTCTGCTACAAGGAAAAGAGAGCCCGCCGCCCCTCTTTCCGCCGCTCCTTATCATTTTCTACACAACTCAAACGCAAACAACTAGCACCAATCACCCCATATGCGACTAGTGCTCTTCCTCCTGTCAGCCACTCGCAACCACTCAGTCCTATTTCCAACAGCACTCCCGAGTCCCGCCCACCATCCCGCCGGTTCCAGCACGGCCCTAAATCCTCCACTTCCAGCATCGATCCATCGGCACAATACTACCAAGACCCAGATGCGCGCCTCAAACTCCGGGTGTACCTAGCCTCCCCACAAAAATTTGATGAAGCAATCGAGTTCGGATTTCCGTCGCTAGAGGACGACAAAGAAAACAACGTCCGTGAACCAACCTCACCCAAACCAACCCTGGTGAACTCCAACTCGGACTTCGGCACATTCTTCGAAGACGATGATGGAACCATGGTCGGCAGCCCCAGCGGCTCAGTCAAGAATGAGCCAGCCCCTTCGCCAATGATCCGCGACACACCCCGTTTCTCTGTCGAGTCTTCTCTCCTTCAGCGTCGCCAGTCCTGGCTCCCAGGCAAGTGTGTCCCAATGCGCCTCCCGGGGAACCGTGAAATGACACTTAAAATGACACTCACCCGACCGGACCTGCGTAACGACTCCCCTACTTCTTCAACGTCTTCCAAAGAAAAAGAAGATCCGCTCCGATTGGCCGAGCTCCCTCCTCCCGATCGCACTCAGTCTATTTGGGACGATGACCCCGATGGGCAGGGTATGGTCAAGAAGATGTGGCGCAGGATCCGTCGTCGGGCTTAATTGGCCAATTGACATTCACTTATTATATATTTGGTTTCTCTCTTTTTTTTTGGTCGCGCGTTGTGCGATGTTTCCCATATACCATTCTGGCGTCTCAGGAATTTTCCTGCATTTGAGCGATGTTTCAAACTTTCCCACTTCCACTAGTATCTAGTTCGCAGCTTTTGTACATATCAGCTTGATCGAAGACTCAATTACTTGAATACTTCTTTCTCTCGGATCTATTCGTATATACATAAATCAATAAATGAAGTACATTAATGCCAAATGTGTAAATGTATGTAGATAGCTCTGCATCTCATCCATGGTCGCAAGGCCGATAACCCACGGTTCACTCGGATGATACCTGATAAGAGATGCACGTGACAAGCAGCTTTGGGGAGGCCACGCAGCTCCGTCATCATCAAGTTAGTTTCGTTCATTACTACAACATTGTATCTTTCATCTCCGTTCTAGCGACTCCATCCCATCGACTGGCGACATCCCTCCCACTCCACACCTCCAACATCAGATGCCTCTGCAGCAGTCATGATCCCAAGGTGGCTGCTGCTCACAATCAGCCTGCTGCTATTCTGGGCCGGACCAGCAGCAGCAGGAAACGAGCCGAAAGTCGTGACCCATAAGCTTAACGTCCCGCCTACAGAGCTCTTCTACTTTCACGGAACAAACACAATCCTTTACCGAGACAGCATCGACCTAACCGCCCATGTGTCGTACGACGGCGGCGAGAAATGGGAGGTGATCAAGGGCAAAGAAGGGACGATGGAAGGATCGGCCTTGTTGATCTGGAGACATCCTTTCGATAATGATCGCGCGTATATCATTGGCAGGAATGGAAATCATTGGATTACCACTGACCAGGCGAAATCCTGGAAACCGTTCCAGATCGACACCGTGCCTTTCGCTTCGATGCGCTCTTCCGTTCTCGAGTTCAATGGCTTCGATCCGCAAAAGGTCATCTTCATGGGTGCCGACTGCTCGCTGCCTTTTTGTCCACCGAGAGCGTTCTACACCGTCAATGATTTCCAGGACGTTGAGCCCCTGCGCGATCTGACGCTCCAATGTATGTGGGCGGCTAGTCGTCCACAGTTTGGACTGGATCTGGACTTGCGCAAGTCCGTCGGGGACCGGATCATGTGCGTTGTCCCTGGATTGAAAGGACCGTTCGATCATAGCCTGACCGAGCGGTTGATATACTCGGACAACTATTTCAAGGAAGACAAGAATGGCGTCGATGCGAAACTCGACCACGGAAAACCATTGAGTGGTATCAGCGTTCAGATCCGGTCTGTGACGAAGTATCTCGTTGCGCGTCTCCAGTCGCGCGGAACTCAAGAACAGGCGCTGTACATCAGTGACGATGCGACTGTGTGGCACCGAGCGGAATTCGGAAAACATCGAATTGAGGAGGACGCGTATACATTGTTGGAAAGCACGAACTACAGTATTGAGATTGACGTTCAGACGACAATGCATGATAATCGGATGGGAACGCTTTTCTCCTCCAATTCAAATGGCACCTATTTCACGCAGAATATTGAGCACACGAATCAGGATTTGAATGGTCTGGTTGACTTTGAGAGAGTCACGGGTATTCAGGGCATTACCATTGTCAACACGGTTAAGAATTGGGAGGAGGCTGCGAAGTCCGACTCTAAGGAGAAGAAGCTTGTTAGTAGTATCAGCTTTGACGATGGGCGAACCTTCCAATCTCTCAAGGCTGATAAAGATGAACTGCACCTCCACTCGATGACCACCTATGTCGCGCTACGTGAGCTGCCCATGCCTGATCACCGGATGTTCTCCAGTCCTGCCCCGGGGCTGGTCATGGGTGTTGGCAATATCGGTGGTCATTTGAAGGAATACTCCGACGGCGACTTGTACGTCTCTGACAACGCGGGTCTCACCTGGCGTAAGGCACTGAAGGGCCCGCACCGGTACGAGTTTGGTGACCAAGGCGGTGTAATTGTGGCCGTCGCTGATGGCAGCAAGACAGACGAAGTCAAATTCTCCATTGATCACGGCAAGGAATGGGAGACAATCAAGTTGAAGGACAAGATTAGACCACTTTACGTGGTCTCGACGCCTGATTCTACCAGTCTCAAATTTCTGCTTGTTGGTATCTCCAGCGAAGATAAGAAAGTCATCATGTCATTCATTGATTTCGATGGATTGCATGAGCGCGAATGTGGTTCAAACGATCTCGAAGAATGGACTGCACGGCTGGACGAGAAGGGCGAGGCGGATTGTCTGATGGGTCAGAAGCAATACTTCCATCGTCGCAAGGCAAACGCAGACTGTTTCATCAAGAAGGAATTTACCATCGCCCCACCCGAGTTCAAGCCTTGCAAATGCTCTACCGAGGACTTTGAATGCGACTACAATTTCGTTCGCAGCGAAGACCGCAAGGAGTGTGTTCCAGCCGTTACGTTGACTCCCCCGGCCGGCCAATGCAAAGAGTCCACCGACAAATACATGGGGCCATCTGGATGGAGATTGATACCCGGCAACGCATGTATCCGCGATGGAGGCGAAGATCTTGAGAAACAGATTGAGCGCTCGTGCTCAAACACCACTGGGTCGTTGCCTGTTGGCGATGGCAAGCCTCGCGCTGGCAAAGTGAACACCATCTCTGCCAAGAAAACGGTTTACTTCTACCTTGAGCGACAGGCCAGCAACACTGGAACCGATGAGACAATCCTCATGCTCACTGACAAGGCGGAGCTATATATCTCGCGCGACCATGGTGTCAACTGGAAGCTTGCTGTCAAGGATAAGATTGTTGAGATGGTTGAGCATCCTTATTTCAGCGATGGTGCTTTCTTCCTGACTGATAGCAAGAAAGTTTGGTACACCATCAACCATGGAGATTCGTTCCACGAGTTCACTGCGCCCAGTTTGCCGAATAAAGAGAACATTCGGACTCTTGCTTTCCACGAGCAGTTGCAAGACTCACTCATCTGGATTGGTAACAAAGATTGCGATGGCAACAATTGTCGGTCGGAGGCGTTTATCACCGACAAGCGAGGTGCCAGCTGGGACCCGATGCTTATTGGAGTTGGTGATTGTACTTTTGCTGCGCACGAGGGTCGCAACAACAGCGAGAAGTTGGTCATCTGTGAGCAGTACAAGGGTGAGGAAAAGAAGAACGATCGGCAACTGGTATTCAGTGATGATAAGTTCTCTACCAAGGAGACTCCTTTCGAGAACATCGCCCATTACGGCACGAAGAATGACTTCATTGTTGTGGCTTGGTACGGTGATTCAGACAAGAAGTACCTGAACGCCAGTGTCAGTATCGACGGGCGCACGTATGCGGATGCCCACTTCCCATTTAACATCAATGTTCCCTCGTACACTATTTTGCAGAGTTCCCCGCACGCACTGTTCCTCCTCGTGGAGGTCAACATTGGAGAAGGACGCAGCTTCGGGTCACTCGTCAAGTCTAACAGCAACGGCACGTACTTTGTGCAGAGCCTGGAAGCCGTAAACGTTAACGACCGCGGCAATGCCGACTTTGATAGAATGGAAGGTCTGGAAGGTGTCCTCGTCGCCAACATCGTTTCCAACGCAAACGAAGTTCAAACCAAGGGCACAAGCAAGAAGCTACGCACCATGATCACGCATAACGATGGAGGTCAATGGATGCTCCTCGCGCCTCCGGCCCAAGACGTGGACGGCAAGAAATTCGACTGCTCTGTGACAGAAGGCAAGGGTACCGAGAAATGCGCCCTTCATTTACACGGCTATACCGAACGTCGCGACTACCGCGATACACTATATTCCGGTTCAGCGATAGGCCTGATGCTCGCTCTCGGCAATGTGGGATCCAACCTTGGCCCCGCCGCCGAAGCAGACACCTTCCTCACCAAGGATGGCGGCATCTCCTGGACACAGGTCAAGAAAGGACAGTATATGTGGGAATACGGTGCCGCAGGTTCGGTCATTGTCCTCGTCGCCGACCGTAAAGCCACCAAGGTCGTGCACTACACTCTCGACGAGGGCGCAACCTGGAATGAGTTCCAATTTTCCGAGAAGGATCTCGTTATCGACGACATCTCCACCGTGCCATCCGATACCTCGAAGAGCTTCCTGCTCTGGGGTATGGACGGTGGCAAGCGTATTACTATCCCATTGGATTTCAGCGGAATTTGGAGTCGCGATTGCAACGACGATGAAACCGATTACTACGAATGGACACCCAGACACCCACTCCAAGAAGAGAACTGTCTCTTCGGTCACGTCGAGCAATACCATCGCAAGAAACCCACTGCCGAATGCTGGAATTCCTGGCGCGAGCCGCATATCCACAACATTGGTCGTAACTGCACGTGTACACGGGCCGATTTCGAATGGTAAGTCTCCTACACCAACCCCAAAGAACCAACTACTAACGTACAAACAGCGACTACAACTACGAAATCCAAAGCGACGGAAGCTGCGGTCTCGTCCCGGGCCTCCCAAAGCCAAACCACCAAACCCAATGCACCGCTGACCCGGAGAAAATTGAATACTGGGAGCCAACCGGTTACCGCAGAATCCCACAAACAACCTGCGAAGGCGGCTTACTCCTCGACCAGGACGTGTCGCACCCGTGCCCGAACAAAGAAGAGGAATATAACAAAAAGCACGGCATCAGCGGTGCTGGCCTCTTTTTCGCGATTGTGATACCGATCCTCGTTGCAGTCGCAGTGGGCTGGTACGCGTACACGCACTGGGACGGAAAATTCGGACAGATCCGACTGGGCGAGGGCGTTTCAACGAGTGGTGGACGAGACATCTTTGCCATTCCTGTTGCTATTATTGCGGGTGTTGTTGCTGTTGGGCAGTCGTTACCGCTTTTGGGGAGTAGTGTTTTGAGGAGTCTTGGTGGATTGTTCAAGAGAGGCCAGCGACCTTATTCAACCAGAGGATCGTTTGCTGCAAGACGCGGTGATTATTCTCATGTGGTCGATGATGAGGATGAGTTGCTTGGGACTGACGATTTCGATGATGAGGAGGAGGCTTAAGTTGGATTGGATACTATCCATGGATGTATTGTGTGATGTGATTATCAGCGTGATTTCGGTAGATCTGTTTATTAGATGCTTGTTTATTCTATAATGGAATATACTGGATTGGCATTGTGTTTCATCTTCAATAACCAATGACACCTATACCTACATACATAGGTATGTATAGATTGTATCTATTTAAGCTGACCAGGACCAAAAGATTCCGGAAGCAACTATTCCATCCATTAGCAGATATCGACACTCATAAGAGAAGAAACTCACCTCATTCATAGTCATAACCTTATGTTTTCCCTCACCATCATACATATAAACCGGGAAGTCCAACGAGGTAAACTCTCGAATACTATATTGAATAGAATTAGATTCACACTCTGGTACTCGATCGCCCAAAGAGAAAAGAGAGAAAGTGAAACTCACAACTGTCTGCACATTCCACAAGGTGAAGCAGGGGGACTGATATCTGTCGCGACGGCAAGAGCCTTGAATTCTTTATGACCAGCGACCTGCACGAGGTTAAAATCCCACCATAAGAAATAAAAATAGAGAAATTGATAAAACAATAAACATACAACAGCTGTGCCGAAGGCAACGCGCTCAGCACAAGTACCAACGGGATAAGAGGCGTTTTCGACGTTAGCGCCAGTGATGAACTCGCCAGATTTGGTGAGAATGCATGCCCCGACCCGGAATTTAGAGTATGGACCTTTTTCTGTATTAGTTTTCTTTCTTTCATTCAAATTGAGAATTCAGAGTGGATTGGGACTTGAGGCTCGATATTGGTGAAAGACAGACATACAGTAGGCAGTTGCTTTGGCGTCGATCGCTTTTATGGAGAGGGTCTCCAGTTCTTGGGCTGTGACTGACATGATTGAGGACCTTGGGGGAATATGTGTAGAAACGTGTTCACATAAACATATGTATATATGTAGTATGTGGTATGTATGTAGATGAAGTAAAACAGGAGAGAATAATGGGAGATGAGGGGAAACTACTGTTTTTTCTTTTTTGCGGGCGGCGATAACCGACAATCTCAACTACTTCCATTTGTATGTAACCAAGTATGGAATTGGATGTACATCATCATTAAGTATCGTGTAACTAATATTGTTAACAGCTACATATGTATGTCGTTTAGTACTTTTGACTTCTTTATTTTCAACTCTCCAACTGTTGAACTCTTGAACTATTGATTGATCTCTTTATTCATTGCGAATCCTATTCACTTTCTTGGCTTCTTCGTTTCTCTTTCTTTTTTTCTTATTCATACCTTCTTCCGGTCAAACCACAACTAGGTACATCTTCATCAAGTCACAAAGCCCGATTTTCCTTGTTGAATCTGGGGAAGAGGGAGATTAATTTTGTCCAATAAAGAAATGAAGAGCGATACCTTGATCTGATCTGGACTCGATCAAATCTCTATTCAACGTCTTATTCAGAGTGTTAGACCGGCTGTTGAGGACTTCGATGAACTCGTTCTTTGATCAATTGAGAGTTTGTTATTGAACCAGTTGCCATCATGGCTATATAAACTCTAAAGTTTTTCACCTCGATGATTGTAGATCCTCCAGACATCTCAATAGAGCTTTCATCGTCTCTGTCTTTCGTTCTACAGACCAACTTGCAACGATTTCCATTTCGGTTTTCACCTTCCTCAAGTCAAAATGAAGCTCACCACCATCGTCCTTGCTGCTCTTGGCGCTGCCTCTGTTCGGGCCGCCTACACCACCCTTCCCAAGTGGTGTGCTCACCCCGGTCAGGGCTGCTACATGATGAAGCGCTCCGCCGATGCTTCCTACACGGTCAAGCGTTCCGCTGAGGCTCTCGCTGAAGCCATGGCTGAGTCTTTCCCTGCTGAGATCCCCAAGTGGTGTGCTCACCCCGGTCAGGGTTGCGCCAAGGTCAAGCGTGCCGCCGCTGCCGCTGAAGAAGTTCAGCGCTCTGCCGATGCTCTCGCTGATGCTATGGCTGCCCTCGACGCCCATGTCGATGAGGAGTAAAGGTATGTAGTGATTTTTTCTTCTCTAAAAAGTTGACTAACACTTCTTTTTCAGTGTCTCTTTTTACCTCGAGTTTGTTCGTGCTAGGCCTTGCCTCGACCACTGTCATGCACGAGTACACTTTGAGACGACTGCACCTATGAAAGCCTGAATGGTATATGAGGGGCCCGCTTGACGAGACTGCTAACGGTGAACACTCTTTTATCTTGACCATTGGCCATGGCATTGGTTGTCAACGGAATCAACATTTGATTTATAGGGATCTTCGCCAGAAAATAGTTATTGAAATCAAAGGAGTTCTATCGCCTAGTAACATAACACAAATAGATGGTACAATTGTAGAAGAAGAAAATGTAAAAGACCTAATAGAAAAAGAGAACCGAGATCGAGCATATCAAACATCATGAGTAGTAGAATATATATATATATACATACACGCACTGTTTAAGCTATCCAATCTGCACTGAACTGGAGAAACCGAACGGAAACACCGTACAAGATGTACACATGGGAATTTTTTTCCAGTAAATTTCTAGTAAATTTGTGCCCGATAACCGATGTATGTACTAGTATGTATGTATCACTTATGATTTCAGTCAGTGCCATTGCCAAGGTGCCCTAAGTGGGACTTTGGTATGGATTGGAAAAAAAAAATATGAAAAAATGCTCACACTCGGAGTCGAACCGAGGATCTCATCATTACTAGTGATGCGCTTTACCACTAAGCCATGCGAGCTTATATGAGATGTTTGCACATTTGGCTTTATGACTCTATTCGTCAGAACTGAGGTATTAGCCCTAGAGTATAACCATCTTCTAAAAACATCTATGGATTATATATAATACACTGAATAGTAGGTCTCTCTCCCAAATGAAGATCAACTCCCAATATATCCACCTCAGTCTTCACAGCATCATGAATATTCCCCCCAAACCTATCACCCAACAACTTCTCATGAGAATGGATGAGCGTAACATTTTGGGCAATCTCGGCTCTTCACTAATCCATGGACGCAGCTCTAGTACTTTTAGTATACCTATGTTATAGATTGTTCTTTATATATTCGTGTAGCTGGCCGAAGCTCCGCAGATCGGAGGTGGGCTGATTGTACAACATTATTGGAAATATACGACTTTCCGGGCTTTTTACATATATCTGAGAGAGAGAAGGGTTCCCACAACAATAAATCTGTATACATACATACACGCAAAGTTCTAAGCTTCTAATAAGCGCCATAACGCCCGCGCCCAGCAAAGTACACCCAACCATAAAAAGCAACTCGGACCTCCTCCCCGTCCAACATGGATCAAACAAAATTTCCCTAGCCAACAACTCAACAAGAGCAGTATAAATCAATATACCCGCTGAAACAGCATTCAAGACACCCTAAATCATCAGCGAAATCTTTGAGCTTGGCGTATAAGTCGTGCGCACAGCAAAGCCAATCGCAATGGAAATCGGAGTTGTCAACCCATAAGCCGCGCACAAGATCCACGGCAACTTTGTATGTTTACCGAATAGGATAGCGGAGATTAGTGCGCCGATACCCAATCCTTCGAAGGATTGATGGAAGACCAGGACTGGATAGAAAGTTGCGAACTCGGAGCCCGTGATGCCAAGGTTCAGGCCGATGATAACTGAATGAAAGATGATGCCGAATTCGAGGAATAGGAAGGTGGATGTTTGTTGACGGAAGGAGCGTTCGGCATTAACAGGCTCTGCGGATCAAATGATTTCCTTTGTCTCGGTCGGGATGATTTCGGACTGGACATGATCGTGTTCGATCAAGACATTTGTGGCGTCTTCATCGCGGTGAGCACCATATTTGTGCTCTACGTACACCTCCGCCGCCAGATCTAGTAGGAAGATGATGACCACAGAATCAAGGACGGTAGCCGCGCACCACGAGCAATCTCCCCAGTACCCAGATTCACCCACCCAGCTCTTCGGGCCGATGCGTTTATAGGCTGGGTCGAGGAGGTGGACGAACACCGTTGCGACGATGACGCCTGTGCCGAAGTATCTGGCGAACAGGTAGATGTTTTCTGGGATTTTTCAGGTTGGTATCTTCTTTGCCAGAACAGGGAAGATAGTGAAGGCGGATAACACGAAGAGGATTACGAAGATAGAGGATATCCGGGCACCTCGGTGCCCGTTGTAGTAATTTTCTGAGATGGCGTAGTAGCAGAAGACAAATCGCCTGGGCCATAGTTGCGTTGATTTGGTTTCAGAAGGCTGAAGTGGGTAGGCCGCAGGGCTGAAATTGATGCGATGTAAATTACAGAATTACTTTTGTTTGTGATTGAATCAGTACTTGGCTCCAATGCCCGGGTGGAGTTCCTCGCGTATGCTCTAAATAAATCTGGCGTCTGGCACCTATGCAATTAGTCTATTCCACAGTTTGGTATCTGGATATCAGTCACTGTTGGAGTTTCATTCTCGTTTTATCGAACATCTGAAGTAGACGTATATGGGTTTTGATTTCCAGTTGCTGTAATTTATTGATGGAATGAATCGAATTTTCCCAGCGAGTTGTGGTTCCAGGATGAGGACCAGGGGAGCTAGTGTCTCCATTGAGCGAGTTTTTCAAAACAAGCCTCGACAATCCTTCTCGACTCTTGGTTGTTATTGCCTCTCAGGAAATTATGTAGTAAGATAAGGTTCATATGAGGTGTCAAAAGACAAAGAAATACAATCCTACGAAGCCAACCTCACAAGGTAGCCTTCACGGCCATAGAGGGAAGAGGGGAGATGACCAAGCTTTCCAGCCCCATGGGATTGGCCCACTAGAGAAATATACCGACTTTGCAGAAGTGTTGATTATTCGAATCTCGTTGGATTGTCGTTGCATTTGAGCTCTTTGGCCTCCTTCAGGGCTAAGTTGGACAATGACTAAGCCTCTTACGAGACCCCGGGGTGAGGGTGAGCCCAGCTATTTCCCCTCACTCCAAAACTCCAAATGTCTCAAGGCGTCCAAATTATCAACGGCAAGAAGACCTTCATTCCACTGGGTAAATTCAGTTCTCTATCTTAATACAAATCCAAAGCTCATAACTGCAGAAAACAACCCGGAGGTCCATACCCATCTATGTAAGAACCTCAGCGTAACAGATCTCACGTTTCACGATGTCCTCTCTATAACACCAGAGATGTTATCTTTCATCCCACGCCCAGTCAACGCTTTGATCCTCCTCTGCGATCAACCGATCTACAAAGCCACCCGCTCGAAAGTGGAACCCACCATACCAGAGTATACAGAGTCGGGCGACAAGCCAGTCATCTGGATGCGACAGACAATTGGACACGCATGCGGATTGATGGCACTTCTACACGTCGTGGTGAACTTGGACAACGGGAATCATGTCACGGCAGGATCTGAGCTTAAGAAGCTAGTCGAGCAGGCTGTTCAACTCGGCCCGAAAGAAAGGGCGGAACTTTTGTACAACTCGAAGTTCTTAGAAGAGGCCCATATGGATGCTGCATCAGAGGGATCTTCAATTGTACCGTTACCACAGGATGAATGTGGGTTCCACTTTGTTGCTTTTGTTAAGAAAGATAACAAGGTGTGGGAATTGAATGGGGGATTGAATGGACCACTTCTCAGGGGTGACTTGGATAAAGAAGACTTACTGAGTGATCGAGGCTTGGACCTGACGGTAAGAGATTTCCTTTGTTCGGCGGAGAAAGAAGTCCATCGCGGCATCAGCATCGTTGCTGTTGTATGACGCCATTGATAACTAATTCGGGATTGAGATTCACTCCGATGACAAACTTCAGTTCTTAGTCTTTTTAGACCCTGCATTATGCTTAAATGCTGCTATGTAGTCTCTTCTTCTTAACTCGTATCGAATTTATTAATTGCTTCATATATTTATCTCGATATCTTTACATCCGATCATTATTCTCATCATGACTACGGTCCTAATCACCGGAGCTAGCGGGAAACAAGGTGGCAGCGTCATCAAGAACCTCCTGGAAAAGAATGTTCCCTTCAAGATTTTAGCCTTGACGCGGGATGCCAATTCAGATTCTGCAAAGAGACTCGCTCAGAAATCCGAAAATATCACCCTGATACAAGGAAATCTGGACGACCCAGCATCCATCTTCGAGAACATCAAACGTCAAACCTCAACCCCAGTATGAGGTGTCTTCAGTGTGCAGGTAAGTAGGATATATATCACTAATACCAACACCTCTAACGTCTCAGACCGCGGATCCCAGAAAAGACACCGAAAGACGCCAAGGAATCGCCCTGATAGATGAATCCATCAAACACAATGTCAAATCTTTGTCTACAGCTCCGTCAACCGGCACGGATCTGATTCAGATAAAAATCTGACCCAAGTGCCATATTTTATCTACAAACATGACATTGAAGCTCACCTCAAAGAACGAGCGATTGGCAAGAATATGAAATGGACGATATTGCGCCCAGTGGCATTCTTTGAAAACCTGACACCAGACTACTTCGGTAAGGTGTTCACCACAGCCTGGGAAACGAGCTTGAAGAGTAAATCACTTCAACTTGTTGCAACAAGCGATATCGGATTTTTCGCTGCGGCTGCCTTCGTGAACCCCGAAGCGTCAAAGAATCATGCCTTTTCACTCGCTGGGGATGAATTGACCTTTGATCAAATGGTGGATACGTTCAAGAGAATGACTGGGAAAGATGTTCCCATGACCTATAGGCTACCTGTTTGGATGATGATGGCTGCTGTCAAGGAGTTGGGGTTATGTTTAAGTGGCTCCATGGCCAGGGGTACCAGGCTGATATTCCGTCTTTGAAGAAATTCCATCCTGGATTAAAGACTTTTGAAGATTAATTGAAGGAAGATAGTCTGTTTGAGACGATTTGATGTTATGCTGCCGTTAAAAACGGTCATTTAGGTGGATATAATGAAAGGTTGTGTATATAGTACGGAGTAAAAGCAACAGATTGTTGTGGCTGAAAGTGGTTATGTACGTTTTCCCTGTGGTAGGATTAACCTTCGGATATCGGCGGGGAATGAAATCCCAGGACCCACTGTTCATGCCTCCAACAGTTGGTATTTCATAGTGGACACATAGTGGACGAGGTTGGTTTTGGTATCAGGCAATTGAAGGTGGCACTTGGGCCTGTGACTGCAATTTCTAGATCTAGCCAGATCATCCTATGGTCTCTCCATAGGCCTGAGAAACCATATAAGATAAACTCAATTTGGCCAAATGGCTATGCTTTGCAACCAACCCGGAATATCTAGAATTTTCATGCCTAGGATTTCATATGCAAGAGACGAAGGCGAGAAGACTGGATAAGCTCACACCCATCGAAACACAGGAAGGATCTCGGTATCCACATCAAAACAAGCGGCCAATCCTAAGCAAGCATTGAGTGACAGGAGTTAGATAAAATCAAAGAGTAATGACTGTAATTAAGTCAATCGAGCTGAATCTTTGGAACATAGAAGCGGAAATTCCCAACGATTTGAGCAGGTAGGCTATGGCATGTTTGAATTTTCTTTTGCCATTTAGATATTAAAATTACTAATTCAAGAAATCCCGATTGGAGTCAGGAATATCCCATCAGTAGTGGATTTTCTTTTCTTTGCGGATGAAATTCATTCTGATTTGGTTGAAAGTCAAGAGAACATAAATGCCCAAGGGAAAACCGCACTTAGGTGGAGCATGCAAGAGTATCAGTTACCGCTGTATAACTTCAATGAAATTCCAATTTATCAACTTCTCCGTACTCTAGGAGAACCATTGTGTCTTTACAACGCTTTTATTAAGCCATGGGTGGTTGGCTAGTGCCGTTCAGGGTAGCTTAGGGGCATATATTGATGATTTTCTGGCACCGGTCCCATGTCCGCCAAGGGTGGTTGAATGATTTCCAAAATCATGATGAACAAGGTTTTCAATACTCTATACATGTCTAGTTAGATCACTTGGTTCGTAGGGGGCCATGCCAGCACTTCTGTCATATTATGTAGTCCTGTAAGAATGTTTGAATTTGTGTAATTTTGGATTCAAGAACAAAGTTTCAGGAAGAGCAGACACATATATAGTGCATTTCCACAAAATGAATGAGAGTCTTTTGAATCATTAATCGTGGTGAAGAAAACGTTCGTGGCAACATTTAGTCACTTTCTGTTCAGGCGTTGGCCCCATGAATTCTTGACTCGATCTAAGATGGCTTTGCCAGGCAAGAGGAGCACAGCGAAAATGTCTACCATTTAAAATCTACCTGCATATTAAATAATTAGCTAGACGAGCTAATTAGCTCGGATAACTGTAAAGGGGATCTCCTCCCTGTGTTGTTGTTTTTGCATCTCACATCACTTCCCTCGATACTATACTGGAGATATCAGTGATACGCCCAGCATATGTATGCTGTCATAGTCATCTAATGACCGACATAGCTAGAAAAATTGGGGAATTCCACTTAAATGGTCCTTTTGAATCTACATAATTACTGCAGCCACCTTTCGTTGCTTTTACCACCCATACGCAACCCTTATCTGATTTACATACACAACCTGTCATGTGGGCTCTTCCAGGAAGAATAGTATCTGGATGTTGCCATATTTGAATTTCTTCATATCTTTCTTTTCTTCTGTTTCTTTGTAATCTCTTTCGTGGCCAAAAAAACAGGAAATTTTTGATCATTTGACAGTTTTCTCCATGTGCAGGACTGTGGCAGAAACCTATCTATAGGTGCAAAAAAGTGCAAAAAAATTGTAGGCCCGAGCCCGGGATTGAACCGGGGACCTCTCGCAGTGATGCTTGGGTGAACCCTAAGCGAGAATTATACCACTAAACCACCCGGGCGCTAGATGTTCCGGTTTTCAGTATTAGCCTATATGATCCTAATCTTAGATCAACCCATATTGTCATAGCAAATAGTGCAAGGTGTCCTGTAATTGGTCGAGTTGAAAAACAGCTAAATTTCCCATCTGCAGTTTGCTTCATCCTCTAGTGGTGTTTCCCTTCATTATACCACCTGTGATCTTTAGGATCCGTGGCTAGATCTTACCCATGGGTAGTAATGCGTTATCTAGAGAAACTGATCCATGAATGATGAATTTCTAATAGATTTTGAAGCTATTAACTACAATCACGGGATATCTACGCAGCCTTCTCGTGTATAATTCTCAATCCTCCAAGAAAGTACCTCTATCTCACATCTTATTCCTCGTACAGCGTAAACAGTCGATATGACCATATGTATTCTTGGATTTGGCCGGGCTTTTCATGCGGCCCTTCGAGCTCGCAAAGTATGGTAAAGTAGGATCCAAAATGCTGGCTTCAATGCCCAAGCATAAACAGGATCAAAACAATCCAGAACTTGTCAACCCTGTTATAAATTTCCTCGCCACTCGCTGCTCTCTTGCTGGGGAGTCATGTGCTATTGCTCATTTGGGCATAGTCTTCCATGCATTGTAGATAGACAGATAGCTCTCTCCCATTCTCTTTCTCTCTCCTTCTTCTCTCTCCCGTACGCAATTAAACATTCATTGTCTTCATATTGTTGAACTCATCGTAAGTAGATTCTCAAGATTTCTTAATATCACGAGAAAGCCCGGCTATTCAAATCCCTAGTATAATTCTATTCACGTATCTTCCTGATATGCTGCTTTATGAACGCTCCTAGTATACGATGACTCGTCGAGAAGATCTGCCATCCTACTAAACTGACTTGTCTCAAAATACCCGATTCCTGTCAGTATCTATTCCACCGGTACGAGATCACCACAGTGATCAAAGCCAATTCAACCAATTCTCTTCCAGGTTGGTCTCCCATCTCCCAAAATGCTCAGTTCTTAGAGCCAACAACCCTTTCCAAATTACGGGTCGTGTCACTCCGCCCGTATCGCCCTCAGGTTGCCTAAAAGCATGGTTCATGTTCATACTGCGTCTATTTTGCGCCTTTTTGCCGATTTGAAACTTTCGGCAGTGATCAAAGTAGATCGTCCGTATAGAAAGAGCCGGATTGTGAGATACTCTGGGGAAGGGTCTAGGTCAATGAGCCCACAACACTAACCGGTCTTGGACTTATGCTAGAATCTACGACACTCTCTCCCTCCATCCAGTGAACGAATGAATTGGCCTTATAGAGATTTGTGGTCAGATTCGACGTCACATAGGATGAAATTTTTACGGCGTCCCTTGCGTACATGAGGCAAAATGCCAATCGTGACCCAGGATCCGTCGCGAGCGTTTCTTGCACCCAAGCGTGTGGATTTCGCTGACCGGGAGGCGGCTTTATTCGGCTTTGACAGTAACTTCTTTTGGAGGCTCCTCAATACGAAGAAAAAGCTCAGTGCATGAATGTATTGTTACAACAAATATTTCATGCCTTCTTGTCCGAGCACCGAGATATTTGCGACCTTTCAAGAGTTCTTCTCGATTTTATCTCCATCAATTAAACTTCAATTAGCAGCACTAGCACGAGGTTTTTTTTAATCTACCATGGAGTGACTGGGGTCTCAATGGCAAGTTTAGATTTTCCCTGATCGTCAACACAGATCCGAGAGGTTTCCAGGTCTTCTCTTTAAATAATATCAGCCTCCCCAATCATCTTCCAAATTTTCTTCCCTGGATTTGACATGCTGAATCATATTATCACTAACATTACTGAATCAACAGGTAGCTTCTTCCCCAATTAGTCGCAGAGATCATGAACTACTTCAAGTTGCGCTCTATCAATCTAAAAATCTACGGAATGAGCTCATAGAGGACGTCGTGAGGCCGATTTGAACATGACGTGTGGTAACATGCAATAAGACGAGGGTTGCAATGCTAAGACTCCTGCCTCCTTTTCTTACAAAAAAGAAATTTATTCGTCTGTCGCAAATCCTCTGAGCGTGAGCCATAGGCGAGTCATTGGGTGAAGAGTTTTGAGCGTCAAAGGTTCCTGGATTCCTTTCCATTCATTCATGCAATCCCGGATAACCTTTGTCAGGACACTTCCGTTATCACCAGCGTAGGGGTGGATATTAGTAGTCCTGGTGATAGCTGATGTGAAACGAAGCACCTCGGATATTCTGTGACTTTTGCGCCATTCTTAGAGTCGAAATTCATCAATTGGGTGTGGTATCAGAGTAAAGAGCCTTTTGATAGAATTGTTCTCTATGTCAAGAAACATAGAAGACTCACCAGCTTCTAGCTTAAGGCGAGTCTCTTCACGCTCTTTGGGCAGAACAAGACCCGGCACTGCGCGTCCACACATAAGAATTACACGTAATCCACTATGTCGGAGAATTGATCGATTGAATCGAATAAATGACTCAGTCTCACTCTTCTGAGTCGGAAGAAAGGACTGCGTCATCTTGGACAAATCTCTCTGGATAGTGTTCGCAGCCCAGGTTATAGAGTTCGTCAGATTCCAGCCACTATTCTGCAATTGACGCGGAATAGATATCTTGTTTTGTTTTTTTGTTTATTTTTTGAGTGTTCTGATTCTGCATCAACAAAAAGCCTTCTAGTACAAAGCCGACCAGTGTTTCAAAGTTCCCGTTATGTAGGATCCAGGGAAGGCTAACTGGCGCTCTATTCTTCCTTGAATGGTTCAATAGCTCGTAGTTGTTGAAAGCTGAATGTGTTAAGGCCCCCTGCCACAGAAGGACTGGCTTAGCTTCAGATGCTTTATTGCGTCTTGAAAATGGGCATGGAACTCCGAGGGTCGCATGAATGGGCGCTGAAAATTGACATTGGACTTCTAGGTCTTTGTTCCGTGCTCGTAACGGAATTGGGGCCATCTACAGATGTCAGGGTCTCTAGATTCTTCCAGGCCAAGGGAGAAATAATTTCGTACTGAAGGTCCAAGCAAATTGCTTTTTGGGAGTGATTGAAAAGCGTGACACGTCGTCATCTCTAGGATAGTTAGAGCCACGGCTCGAGATTGCATAATAGCTGAGTATCGAAAGGTACTACAATATCCTAGTGTCTGGTCTCTTGCTTGGCCTGCCGCTCCCATAATCCGATTTGGAGTTATCTATAAAACGAATAAACTTTTGCGGAAAGTGTGTCTGGCTTTAGACGACGTTTGTAGCACCATAGTTGGTAGAGACCTTCATATATCTAATATTGACCTGGATGCTCTCGGGTGAGAACACTTGTAGATAATATCAAACTGTGAAATGTTTCAACTGGAAATGTTTGATATTTATCTCGGGTCAGGTTATTATATATTTCTGAGCTACCGAGTGGCGGGGCCACGTAACACAGAGTCCAACTGTCTTTCATAGCTAAGGATATCACGGCACACGGTAGCCTTGAAGACGCCCCACACATAAGGCATGAGTCTTGTTTGGCAGCGTTGGAGGTGCTATTTAAGTGGTTTGGCCTCAGTCCACTTTTTACCCTGTAGAAGTAGGATGGAAGAGGATTCCCTTTTATAACCAAATATGGAGATCTGCATTCATCAGTTGCCCGGGTGGTTTAGTGGTATAATTCTCGCTTAGGGTTCACCCAAGCATCACTGCGAGAGGTCCCCGGTTCAATCCCGGGCTCGGGCCTGTATTTCTTTTTTTTCTTTGTGCTTTCTTTTTGTTTGTATCCATAATAAACACATGTATAATGAAACAATTTTATTAGAAGATTTTTATATTGATACCCTCCTTGGCTAATCTGACACCCCCTTGCCTGCTTATGCCTTATCCTGCCCGATATTCCAGGCACTAACATCTATTACCAGGCATCAATTATTTGTGTCATGCCCATTTTTGCAGGTTTGAATAGACCCTAACCAACTCCCATCATTTAGTCCCAAGGGACAACTCCCATATGACTAGATAGGACTCCAGTCCGCTCCCGTAGGACTTTGATGGGACTCCCATAAGACTTTAAGCATTGAAAACGTATATACAGCCGTGAGTTGCATAAGTTGTGTAGACATGCCCTGTATTAATAAGTATCTAGCTTACAGTGAGAGGTAGCATCAGATGATTCCGGATTAAGTTCTGTTGATAAGTGGTGTAATTATATGATCAAACTATCTAGTGAATTCGTATAGATCTTCATCCTTACGCCACTTACAATCTCTTTAGGGGCGTGCTTTACTCATAGTATCAATGATAGGTAATAGATATAGTGCGGTGTTATTATCTGACTCCTTAGTAGCCTCCTAATCTATAGTAATCTCTCCCCCTTTACCTAAGTTATCTCTATCTAGACCTCCGCACGACCGAGTGAAACCTGGATTTAATCCGGACCCAATTTAGTCTAGGTTGGGGCTTGGGTCGGACTGGGTCTGGGTGTAAGAAGATTACCAGGTCATGGGTGATCAGTCTGTCGATCCGGTATGACACGACGGTGGATAAGAAGTGAACAGACTAAGGAGCATCAATAATGTGGTGTTCTTGCACAGAGACTAATTATTGTCTTCCACAAAGGGGCTCCCTTTTATGCCCCTGAATGAAACCATCAGGGGCTCATTATCTTTGTTAGTGACACCAATTCTGATCATGTCTTCGTTAGTGACATTAAGTCCGAATCCTTTCCGTAGACGAAACTTCCTCGCTAAATGATCGGATCAGTGGCTCCCCGATCTGCAGATACTAATTAAAATAAACCAGGCAAAACGATTTCAGGAAAAGGCCAAAGGTTGGAAAGAGTGCTTGGCAGTCTTGATGATCTGTCTTCTACTGTAAGGTCCACAAGACCATTACACTCGGCGCGCGTAGGCAAATCAGGGGAGGGCTAGATCTCCGCAATGATCTCTAGGGGGCATTAGAGTCTGATTCTGAGTCTATAAGGTAGGTAAGCCCTAGAGAGGCTATGTCAAAGAGATGAATCGTGTTAAAAATGCGAGGAAAACACGTAAGAGATAGGATAAAAATTGATGGAGAAAGGTAAGAATTCAAAGTGCAAACCAGAATTGTCTTAACAGTTCTTTTATCTTTACTCTACATAAAAAGGTAATGTAAGAAGGTACATGATTTTGTCAAGCATTTACATTGTGAAAGGGGGTAGTAAGTACCCTTAGGTGTAGTGCATTTGCATAGAGATGATCAAAAAAACGGTCAGGGAAGCGGCCAGACTTAGCACAAGCGGTGATAAAAGGCTTAAGGGATCAGACATAATCAGGTTGGAATCCTAAATCCTCAGACAGGGGTGTCAATATAGTTAACTAGTGGTTTCTTTAGCCTAAATTATTAAAAAAATAGATAATTTATGCTATTTTTGTTAAACAAAGCATTTTAACTTCATATGAGCAAAAGTCTGAGCTCAAACATCAAGCGCCCGGGTGGTTTAGTGGTATAATTCTCGCTTAGGGTACACCCAAAGCATCACTGCGAGAGGTCCCCGGTTCAATTCCGGGCTCGGGCCTAACTTTTTGTTTACGTACTTTCTTTTTTTTAAAAAGTATATATATCTGTTGAAGCGACCTATCTATTCCAAGTTAGAGATGATAATTCGGCTGTGTAGACCACTTCCTTACGCCGGCATGATCCCTCACACGTTATAATTGATAAATACAGTCAAGCCTGTATAGAGGAGTACGGAGAGTCGAGATAACCATTTTAGAGCTCGGCAGGTGAAAAGCCTAAGGAGATTATCAAAAGGTTACTTATGCATTGACATGTATGTAGCTAGGAGCTTGGTATTCGGTGAAGGGTAGAGAAGCGTGGAGAACAGAGTGAGAATGAGGTAGATAGAGGTGAATAGCTTACCTATATATTGCGTTAATGATTGATAATCCGAATCTGAAACCAACAACAATGCTTCCTTATACAGAGCGGTTCGTGATAGATCTTGCGTTCAAGGTTCTGAACTACTTCGCGCGACAAGAACAGACGTGCAGATCGGGACATAAGTTGATTATAATAGGAACACAATGTAAGATTTGTGGCTTCTGAACAAAAGCATTGTCGTAATTGAGTTTATAGTAACATATCTGTGATTTACGAATATATCTCACCAATTATCTCAATAACCCTAGGATCTTTTACCATCACTAGTAAAGGTAAGAAGATGAGACTAGCATTGAATGATTCTACTATTTCGATGTATACTTAGTATTAGAAAATATATTTAGACCTCATTCTTACACATGCGTATAGAGTCTGTCTAAGAGACTGGTACTACATAGTTTTGACCAAGCTAACATTTGCCCAATAGTGCTCCCTCGAATCCCAAGCCTAGCTACCCGACACTTAGGCAAAGACTTATATATTATGCAAGCAAGGCTAATGTCCTCTCCTTATGACTGGCACTATAGGTAGTGCAAGCCCATGTCAACGGATCTAAGCATACGTCTGGCAACAAATTGAATGAAGAGCTGAAAATTTGAGGAGGAATGGATGCTCAAAAGAAAGATGAACCGTTACTGAGGAGCGGAACTTCGTCTGAATACAAAACGATGAGCAGATAAGAATATAATCCTAGGGCATGTCGTGAGCGTATTAATCTCTGCCAAAATACACTGCCAATGCCGATTGAGAAAAAGCCTTTCATGGCTTCAACTACGCCAAAGCCATTCTCCACGGCTCAAATCATCTCTCCGCCACAGCGATCACGTCGATTAATCCCAGAGAAAGTGAATTTGTCCGGTTGATGAAATTAAGGATCGATTGATTGGCCTAGAGCCCAGTGGTTTCATCTCTGCGTTTCTGCTATTCGATTACGATCCTAGGCTCTATTACATTTAGGTATGGTGTTTTTCGTACCTTCGTACGGAGTACCTATTACCTCTTTTGATTTTACAAGAAAATTCCGATCATGCTATTGATAGATAGATAGGCTTCTGATACTTAGCACGATTGGATTGGTTGTATTGCACACCTAATATGTATTGGATTCCAGGATGATCATGATTTACATAGAGCAAGAAGGGAAAAAAAAATGTAGGCCCGAGCCCGGGATTGAACCGGGGACCTCTCGCAGTGATGCTTGGGTGAACCCTAAGCGAGAATTATACCACTAAACCACCCGGGCACTAGATATTCCGATGCTCAGAATTAACCTACACAAAGAAAAAATAAATTCTTGCCTCAATGTTCCATGTTCGTTCTTCGCCGCATATCGTTTCACAGCGGGCTCCCTGTTTCTCGAACCAACTGTCAACCACAGCCTCTTCAATATCTGAGATATTTTCCGGGCAGAGAAATTCCACGGTTTCCGAGCGAGATGCGAGGGGGATTTATGACCTAGGAACCAAGTTTGACTGTCCGCATACAAATGAACGTAGCAACGAACAGTCGAAGCTGGCTCAATCTCGAGATGCAGTTTGCCCATGTCGCCCATTTCGTCATCAACGAAACAATCCTCTGTCCTCCAAGGCGTGCAAGTAAATTTTGTGAGCACAGCGGATACCTATATGATACGGCTGTTTTAAATCAGGGGTCCAACTCTGGACGTACGTCCTAGCTATGTTTCCTCAAGCATACCAAATCCCTACTTCGTTTCGATATTCGGGATTCATCGACCACTTTTTCGCCTTTTTTTCTTATGTACAGTTACGGTTTTTGACTTTTCCTTCACGGCATTTTCTAGTCTCCCAGACGCGTTGTTCACTCACTATAGGGAGTGACAATGCCGACTCTATAAGGACGCACGGGTTACCGATGGTGTGAGAAGAAGCTAAAGTATCTTCTCTGCACCATTGACTATCAACTTGTGTTGTTGGATGATCTTGACAAGCGAGGACTAGCCCTCAATGAATAGTAAGTTCGGTCGAGACTAGCATTGGGACCTCGGGACTAAAAAACCGCTCAGCAAGACATGCACTCACTAACTTCGGCAATCGCGAAGCGTACGACACCGATGTTCTGACTACTGCAGCGGTCAAAGCTGGTAAGGAGCATTTCAAGCGCCTAAATAAGGAAGTTAACGTTTGGCTCAGGTCATATAACGCTATTTAGATACAGTTTCATCAAATATATGGATTTCAGACTACCGGTGGCACTAGAAGATCTGCATCCAGCCTTGGTAGGAGGCTACGGCGATGTTGTTCTCTAGGAATGCACGTCGATATCTCGCACCTTCAGCCCTCGATTATCCGTGCTATGATCAAATTGTCAACAACATGCATAAACCTACATAAGCTTACAACATAATACATGACATAGACTCAACTGGTTGGTTACAACGCTATATAATGTAGCTTTACGGGCTATTAAGGGTTCAACAGTGTTCACGCAAGCTATTTAATCAAATCAATATCCACGTACACTAGATTTAAGAAAAGGATTGGCGCTAAAATGATCTACCGCTCTTTTACAGAGAAATGAAAGGTTAGTTCATCACAGTCTCGGCCTTTTGAGCCTCGGTTTCCGCCTCCACCTCGATGCTAACGACGATTGCTACTAACTACATACACGGCCTATGCGGGTAAAGCAATTTATGCGTTATATGTATAAGAAGGCTATGTATTTACGAACAAGATTAAATAGTACGCACTGATCAAGGGGAATTGCTCGACTCACGTCTTTCAGACGTAATAAACGTAGCAAATTATCAAATTAGCGGTATTAAGCCGCTTAACCTTCAAAGGTGTCAAAATCAAGCATGTGTGACCCCATCAATCTTGACTTTACCTCACTTGATTGAATGGGTCCTTGTAGACGATTCCCTCGGGTTGTATAAAAAAAGAGCAAAAGAAAAAAAGAATTGGCCCGAGCCCGGAATTGAACCGGGGACCTCTCGCAGTGATGCTTTGGGTGTACCCTAAGCGAGAATTATACCACTAAACCACCCGGGCGCTTGATGAGTGTTAGCCATAGTTAGCATATATGACAGGAATCTGTTCTGTTCCATATAAACTTAGCCCTAATATAAGATACTAGCCGTCTTACCATCACTAATGCGCTATCACACATTGATGGTGCGCACTGGTGATAGTAATACAGCTATTTATCGTTTTCTTTTAGTTTTAGCTGAAAGTCTGCTTAAATTATTATTCAGGATCAAAAAAGCCTAGTCAGTCAGTATTTATTAGGTTCTCTATACGAGGAATTTCAAGGGGCAAAAAAAATGTAGGGCCCGAGCCCGGGATTGAACCGGGGACCTCTCGCAGTGATGCTTGGGTGAACCCTAAGCGAGAATTATACCACTAAACCACCCGGGCACTAGATATTCCGATGATCAGAATTAGCCTACAGAAGGGGAAAACAATATGCTTGTATATTTTTAAGCCCCCAACACTTCTCATGTATGCATATGTATGTATATATCCTCTCAAACTGGCCTATAAAGGTCCTATAGTATATTTGGTGTCAAACCATGTTTGGAAGACCAAATCCAGCTTATATATATATATGTGTGTGTTTTTGTGTGTGTATATATGTATATATCTGTCTATCGTTTTTAATAGAGTTTTTCTTCAATCGACGACGAGGCAAGAGATAACACATAAGAGATGAAGCTAGTTAGTATATGGATAATAAAGAAGAGTATAGAAGTTGCTTAGAAGAGAGAGCGTAGAAAAGCTATTATAGGCGGCTGAGATTATGCAAAGTTAAAGAGGAATCACTTCAATATTAGGAAACGGTCTTTATATATAGCTACATGAGATAGATCATGTACTAAGTTATTATCTAAAGCGGCTATAAATAGAGCAAAGAATAGCAACTATCTATATGAGCACTAACCGTATGACCTAGGCATCCTAAATGTCTTACGAGTAAGCCGATCACCAAGTAGCCTTAAGTGCTACTAAACCCCATCACTACTCAGTAGCTTAAAGTATCCTGCGTATATCCTTGGAATGACCTGAGGGTCTGGTGAAAAGGGAGCTTCATCCGGCGTCCAAGCTAGTCATCTTTGGCGGTCGATTTGCTCTCAATTAGAGCTGTGGTGTATTAGGTATTAAAGTTGTGCAAACAGCTCATATTGAGCCCCAAAAAAGCCTAATATGAAGGAGATCAGTGATAGTCAGAGTGTCAAATTCACAGACCAGAAAGAGTCCTTTTTTTTCTCGAGTCCTCCATCAAGCTCAATATCATGATCATTGTGGAAAACCGTCTATATATCTATAGTTAGGGGGCAAGCACTTATAGATATACCCACATTTGTGCATATGCAGTAGCAAACATGCACAGTCAGCACAAAGAACACAGAACGGCAGCTTGTCATGCAGAATGAAGCAATTCAACAGCGGGCTCTACGTGGTATTTAAAAAGGTCTGGAAACAGCGTATATCGGAAATCTTCAAAGAAAACGGTATTATGGGATTGTTAGCCGCTATATATTGATGATTCAAAGAGAAACGCGAAAGAAGTATATAAAGCCCTAGAATAAATTACAAAATATGACAAGTCTAGACTTTCTAGACGGGATTTTAAAAATCTAGAACAAAGACCCAGAAAGCCATTCCAGACCTGCAAACATTTCCGGTCCTTCGCTCATGCCAAATCCGGTACCGTCATCAACCTCCAAAGAAGGTAAATCCGACATGTTCTCATCATCAAAGAACACTGTTTGCCCTCCTTGCCTAGCAGCTCGCGAAGCAGTTGTCCGCTCCATCAACTTACCCAGCGGCTTTTCAAGCAAATTATCAGAGCGTGGATGGTTTCTCTGCCACAGAGCGAACATCTTGGTCACCACACTCCACGCATGATCAGTCTCGGGACCAAGGAGACGAATACAAAATTCTGAAAGTATGAAAGCAACAATATGTCACTCCTTGTAGCTTTTGCAAAGCCAGCTTCATTGATTCGTTGCTTCGTTGTTTTGTAGCAAGCAAGCAAACTGTACGATTTGCACTGCCATTTCAAACACTCGATGGTTGTGTTGGAAGTTTTCTAGCGTTTCTTTGGATTTGAAATGGGTTGCCAGCCATGCCTGGGAAATTTGAAGGCGTATTATGGTTTCAAAGACCCAGTGGATTGGGATATCTAAATTGAAATGTTTCAAGTATTGTTCATTGAGACAATTGCCTGAATTTGTGATGTGAGTTTCTTTCAAGAAAAAATACGTCGGAGGACTTGCCCATGTCACGCGGCCAGAGCATCTCGGTCATGATGTGGCCTGACATGATGCAAGCGGTGATATCTGTGAAGCCTGCTTCCGGTTCTGGATGCCGGGTCATATGTAATGTAACATCGTGGCCGTCCACATTAGTCGGGAACTGAGTATCGAACATTTCAGGCCGAATCTGGGTATCAACGCCTTGATCTCTCGAAGACAATTTGTCCAGCATACAGATATGCCACCACAGCCGACGTCGTATTTCAGTTTCAAATGGGGGCAATCCAAAATTGCTTCCATCGCAGTGAACACCTTGGGCTTGTGCCACTCTTATTACAATCGCTGACTCGGCCCACACCAGGCGTGTATCACCGTTCACGCGACAACAGAGCAAGTATAAAACGGCTGCCTGGAGTGTGGATATGTGCTGACATCTGACAAATCTGGCCCTGCGAAGGCTGTGACTCACTGCCCTCTTGCAGTCTTAGAATGCCGCGTCGTGGTCTATACACAGAATAGAAGGACAGGCATGGGGCTTCATGCTGACCACCGCAGCAAAATGAACAGAGAACAGCAATACCTCATCCGAAGGTGTCAACTCGACGCCTGCACAGGCGCTCTGAACGATCCGGGCCACGGAAGCTCTGTGTAGAATGGCGATCAAGGGTGCGACATTCTCCAAGTATACCCCCCATTTAGCTTCAATCCTCGCTGGTTGTGAATAATGGAGACGAAATGCATCAAGAGACCAGGAATGGCCAGGACTTCCAACTATTCCAATATCAGATAAGATGCTAGAGCCATAATCTGTACCGAGAGAGCAATCTTCCTCGTCTGAAGAGCTCTAGAGAATGTCACGAAGCTCGGAGATCTATATGGCGATTAGAAATTTTGACTTCAACTATATATGATTGTATATACAAACCTGCTCTCCAAGTGCTATGGAAGCTTCATCCCCAACATATCGACTCTTCCCTTCTTTAAAGATGAGCAGTTCTGTCTTTTTTGCTGGTTTAAATTCCTCGGGAGGATCAATAGAGTTGACTTCATGGCGATCTGAGCCGCCGGTTGACCAAAGCTGCACAACTTCTTCTTCGCGGTGATTCAAGCGAGCAAGTAGCTCACTGATTGGAAGCCTGTCCAAGATTCTTCGGGCTCGTTTTGGTCCTGGATAACTGCATTGTTCTCCGGCCTTGGCACAGGCGCTGCAGGGATATTTTCTGTCACATCGCACTTTTCTTTGATTGCAACGAATACAGCTGCGCCTATTCAACTCGGAGGTCTGTATAGTTTGTTCAACATTCTCGGACATATTCAATCGAGATGCTGAGTGAATGGATTCAACTCCGAGGTCACTCCGAGGTCCAGGGACGTCATAAAATAATTGTTACATCACCAACCAACCACCGGAATTCAAGTTCATTCTTCATTTTCCATTCTCCATTCCAGAAAAGACCTAAAAATTATGGCTCGAACGATCAAACGCAATGGCACCACCACCGTTGACATTTGGTCAGTCGGCATCATTGTCTTCTATATGCTCACATATGCTCACTGGAAAATGTTCATGTCCAAGCACTGTTGATAACATGGGGTATGGAACCTACAGCATACGCTTTTGTGCGTCACAGTACATGCTTTATAAACTTCTTCGACATTGGGACCCGAGAGAGTCATATGTGATGATTGAAAAGCTTGGGTGTCTTTGGTGGGAACGTCGACTTTTGTAATATGAGCGGACAGCCAGGATGGATGAAGGAATTGAAGTGTTTGATGAATGATTTCAAAGAGGAGTAAGGGGAGCAGGAGACAAGAGATAAAGCAAATAGCACTGTTCCCGAGTAATGAACACGGATATTGCGGTGGCCTTGTCATTTCCCGAGATAAATTGAGATGTGAAGCCCTGGAAGAAGAAAGCCAAAGGTGGTCCAGCTGGTTGAGTGATGCGAATTCTGGTGAGCTGACATGAATCAGGTCCATATCTGCCGTTGGATGATCGATACATGTTGCTTAAAAGTCTGGAAACAGCTTTTGTTAAATGCACTTGGCTGCGACGATCTTAGGGCATATATTTTTTTGTTGATATCCATTCGCGATTGGAAGAAAATTAGGAAGAGACTCCAAAGAATATCAAGAAAGACCCGAAAAAGACCTAGAAAAACAAATATTGAAGAATTGTTAACAAAAATTCTAAATGGGATGTATTTTTGAACCAATAGTATGCGAACCAAAAACCTCGTATGAAGTCCAAGAGGAGAGTGTAATATATTTGGGGTATAGCGCAAGGCAAACCAAAGGAGAAAAAAAAGAAATCATCAAGAGTCTATATGTGCAGTCTATGTTCATCCGAAGTATGACCGTAATCCTTCATAGACAGAGAAAATGAAGGCAGAGCTAGGCGCTGAGCGAGCGCAGGTGATCCCGCACCCACGGTACATGCCCTTTAGCCCCTGCTGTCTCCACAAACCCTTGGTAACACTCCAAAAAGTCTGACGCTGCGCGCTGACAGGCAGACGGGAGATATCTTCCGTCTGCATGCGGGATTTGATCGTGTCGGCCGGGTAGAAAAGGAAGTTGTAGCTGATTCCGGCCGTTGCACCTGCGATCATCTGTTGGTGGACGGGAAGGGAGTCGGGGTGTTGGGAGTGCTTTTTGTTGTAGGTTCGGAAGAGGGAAGAGACGCCCTCGTAGCCACCGAACCAGGCAGCACTTCCGCCTGTTTCGCGGATAAGGGTTCCCATCTGTCCGCGCCAGAAGCCTATTAGGCCCTCTTGGCGGAAAATGGTTGTGACGATAGCCATTGGACCAGCGGGTTTGAGGCTGGCGGACTCGGCGGGGACTTGCATTTTGCATTTCACTAATTCGATGGGGGTGAGGGCTAGTGATGTCACAGATCCTGAGAGGGCACCGCTCGCAATCAGAGCGTAGAATGGGAGGTGTTCCATTTCTGGGTAAACGTTTGCGCGAAGGGCATCTTGTATGAGGCGATAGCTGAAGAATAGGCAGCTGGTTTCGACGGCGGCACCAGTAATGGGCGCACTGATCCCTCTGTATAGTCCACGGAAACCATCTGCTTGGAAGGACTGGCGGAAACAGTCCAAAGGCCCTTTGTATCGAAGTGGGAGGTTTGCGGGCTGTGATTGGAGTCGGACCTTGACGGTGTCGAAGGGGTATTCGATCAGTTTTCCTGCCATACCAGCAGACTAGTGATTGTCAGTTTAAGCCACTTGCAGACGCCAAGGGTCCCTTACCGAACCGAATATGATGTCCTTCATGGCCTCCAGGCCCTGGTTGGGCGGGAGCGATGGCAGCTCCATCGGTTGGCTAATGATAGCATGCTCTGTCGCCATCAAGTAGATCGTTAAAGAAGGAACAGGAATAAAGAGTGTTATCGAGGGATCATGATAGGGAAATGCGAGAGTATATATGTGAGTGAGAGAGAGAGAGAGTGGGGGGAGGGGCGGTGTAACGAGGGATTTGTATGGACCTGTCGCCAAGCCACTTGCAGAAGCGAGGTGAGAAAAGCAACAGGTAGACAAACAAGGCTGCAGAAGCACTAAAATAAAATATAAAAGACCCGTTAGAGAAAGTGAACGAGAATCCAAAGGTGTGAAAGTGGAAAATAGGTGGAGTCGGGGAAATTAAGTCCGAGTCACATTTTGTTTTTTTCGCCGCAGTCGCTCGCCAAGACATTTTATCAGATCGAGATAATCAATGAGAAAACTCGGTCCCGTTTGCCTCGGACATCTTCTGTCTCTTCTCTTAAGACTTGACTTCCACCATTCCCACCAAACTACTTGGAATTGATATCTCCAAGTCCCCTCCAATCATGTCCACCACAACGGAGATACCAGTAACCGCCGCACCGAGCATCGGCTCACGGAAAAATGGTCAGTGACAAAACAAAAAAAAAAAAAACTAGCAGTCTCCACTTCTCTGCTATTCCTCATCTCTCCGGCTGACCCGATCGGATTTTCAGGCAAAAACTGGCATGGCACCAAGAAAGCTTTTCGTCCTAATGCGGGTTTGACTTCATACGCTAAGCGTCAAGAGTTGCGCAAGCACCAAGACGCAGTCAAGGAACTCGAACGTGAGATGAAGGCAGAACACGAGGCTGAGCGTCAGGTATGTCGATCTTTTTCTTTTTACATTACCTTTACCCTTCACTGTCTCACTGGTCCATGTCCGTCCCTATTGTCCCGATCTATGGTCCCTTGTTGAATTTCAGGTCCCCCCCCCCCAATATTGGGTGGCTCCATATGGAATTTCACTCACATAACTTATCTCCCGGCACACACCCCCTCAAGATGGCATCACTGACCGAGACAACAGGCCCGTATCCAGCGGATCAAGGACCGTCGCGAAGCCAAGGAGGAGAAGTTGCGTTATGAGAAGATGGCCGAAAAGATGCACCACAAGAGAGTCGAGCGCCTCAAGCGCAGAGAGAAGCGCAACAAGTTGCTCAACTCTTAATCTTCATATATCACTGTTGTGTATCCAAAATACCGTGTCGAGACTTCGGCATGGACTGGCGTTTTCTGAGATTAGGTCATAGGTAGCGAGAACAATTGTTTTTCTATAATACATATTTCCTCAAGGAGTTATTACAATGTACATGTGTAGCATGGTAGCGTATGTAGAACGTCTGGACGTTTTTGTATTGGAATGCCACTGTCGGGTTGAGCCCGACTTCACTGCCTCGGCGTTATCCGTTCCGAGCTTTCAAGCTTCACTCAACAACCTACTTCGCCATGGAACTCCACAAACCCCTCGCACCAACAAGATCATCATCCGCTACATTCCCTCTAACAAAATCTTCAACCCGACAATCTAACTCCGACATCTCCTCCCTCACCCAAAGCCAAAGCCCATCTCACTCCGGCCGCTCAGAAGACCGCCAGATCTCTCCTCGCTCAACCCGACCCTCCGCACCCCTAGACCAACCCAGCTACGACAGGACTCGCTCCCGCCATAAATACAGCAAGTCGCGGGAGCTGCGGTTCCCGCGGCCGAGCCAATCAACGTCGGCTGCGCGTGGACTACTGCCTACATGGTCTGAGTCGAAGGAAAAGGATCGAGAGGATGGGTTGCTGAAGGTGAGAGAGGACGGACGATGGGGGTCTGATTCGGAGAGTCGGAGGGGGAGTCTGGTTGAGAATGATAGGTTAGGGCCGATCGGGAGGGAGATTCAGTCGTTGGAGGATTTGGAGAGGGTTAAGAAGAGGAGGAAGCTTGGTGAGGAGTATGTTCTTGCTTGCCTGCTACTATCACTTTCTATGTGGGAGCATGACTTTAACTGAATGTAGATATCTACGCTCTGCATTGACGTCCATTGGAACTTTAGCAACAGACGTTACGCGTCGACTCGATTACACCTACTATAATCTCCTCGAGAAGATAACAGCTCTAAACTCAACAATCTCCTCCTTTCAAGAACTCTCCGACTCAGCCTCAACATTGTTGAACGATTTTGAACGCGAAACAGCAAGCCTGGACCAAGATATCCGCAAACAAATTAACGATCTACAAGGCTTCACACCTCAGATTGAAAAAGCCGATGCTCTCGAACAACGCATGAAAGCTGGTCGACAGCGCGTGGAGGAATTAGGCAAGCGTCTTGAGACTGTACGACACGAGATTGATAGCTGGGAGCAGCGGGAAACAGAGTGGCAAATACGGACCACGCGCCGACTACGCATATGGGGCATCCTGCTAGGCGCCGTGGTGGTTCTTGTGCTCGCTCTCGTTTTTCAGAGCCAGAAGCAGAACCGGAATGAGCACCGGACTGCCTTCCCCCGCCCCCCGCTGGAATGTTTGACAACGTTCATGAATCATGACCCTGTCCTACCTTGGGATTCTGGTGTGAGATCAGGTTCTGATGCAGGGCCGACATTCCCGTCCAGTCTAGCGGATCGTCGTGAGAGTTTGGTGAAGGCTAGTCCTGGTCCGACTTCCACGGGTTCTGGATATGACCCTTTGCGCGTACTGGATGAATTGTGATTTCTGTGCTCCAGACCTGGCCTAGACCCTTGATCCTTCAGATCCGAGCTAGAGATTGCCTGTGCTTGTGTTTGTGTTGCCAGCATTTAGTCTGGTAGATATCTGTGTATTTTATTTTTGATTTATGTCATGATACCCCCCGCAAGTCTAGGAGTCCTGGCGTCTGGAGTCACTGGGCTCCTACTGGGCTCCTACGATAGGCGCCTCACTCTTCTTCTTCTTCTTATCCTCCACGAATTCAATATTAGCCTCTGGGATCTTTGATCCATGAACCTCGAGCAGCCAATCGCTCAAATCATCGCTCACATCTCCCTGGACGGTAATCTCCTCAATCCCAGCAGGGGACCTCGTCACTGAGGACCCAGTAGCGAACTTCTTACCCAAATCCTTGGCAATTTTCTTGTTTTCCAGGCCGAAGACCTCCAGTCCAATAACAACAGTGACATACTTGCGCTTGTTCCGCTCGACTCGCTTGATAATGACCTTGGAAGCCGCCTTGCGCTCACTATCCCGAGCCTCGCTAGCAGCAGCCTTTGCTTCCTTCTTCGCGGCGTCCTTCGCGGCGCGCTCTTGTGCTGAAACAGAGAGTGTGGATAGATTGGCGCTCAATGCATCTAGACAAACAATGATTAGGTAAATAGTATCAATTGCCGTCGGCTATAGCTTACCATCGGAGTACAGCTTATCCCACAGATCAGACTCGTTATCCTTGAGCCATTCTTCGCACTTCTTTGCCGTGCCTCCGAATTCACAGTACTAGAACCCCGCATTAGAGCTAGACTCGAATACATGACAAGTGTGTAAGCTTCATAGGCGCAATCCTATGGCCAAAGCTATGCCAACGAAGCGATAAGGGGAAGCGGGGAAGGGCTGGACCTGGCGAGGAGATCCGGAACCCGGGAAACAGTGAGGGAATGGGGGCTGGGGACTGGGGTTTGCTCGCAAGGTCATACCTCCGGGGGTAATGTGCACACTATCGGGAACGATTCCGTCAGCCTTTGTTTTTCCACATCTCAGAGTTTGGGGGGGGGGGGGGGGGGGGGGGTCATTCTCACCTCCACAATAAACGACGTGTCTCGCTTGAGGGATTTCTTCTACCTCTGCCATTTTGAAGGTAATGGATATTTCGTCTTCGGCTCCTTTGCAGCTACAAGAGAATCACGCGGGGCGGAGGGGCAGTTCTGCCGACTAATCCTTTTTTGGATATCACGTGAGTGGGAAAAATTCCGGGAAGTCCGTCAACTGGCTGGTTTATACTCTGTACTCTACTTTCTCTTCTATACAAAGTTGTTATGTATATATAATACCCAATTGCTCGTGCCTTGTTCACGTTATACATCCAATGGCAACAAGCTTCAATCCAATTCTTTTTTTCTTTTATTTTTCTCTCTCTTTTCACTTTTTTTTTTTGACCGGGTACTCGATCTAGTGGCAAGGACTTTTTTTAGCACGACATCTCATATCTTAGATGGCTAATCTTTGACGCGCCGATGGGCCATCAAAACCGGAAACTAGGAAATTCGGGGGCGATGCAGGAAGACCCGCCTCTAATGAGCCGTTTAACTGCAGCTCTGGAGACCGGGGCCCTGGGAAATACATGAGGGGAACCTTGATAGTTGGGGGCTAATTGATTAGTGAGATTGAGATAACGACGATCATGAATGACTCGCAGGAGTTATCCAGGATTCTTTATCCAACACACACACCCTCTCTTTCTCTCTCTCTCTCTCTCTCTCTCTCTCTCTCTCTCTCATATACGGAGTGTTTCCAGGGTTCGAAATTAGTCTACGTCAGCCACAATGAAGTCAGCCATTGTGGACCAAGACAATGCGAGCCCCTGTTAAGCTGGAAGTTGGCGTTGGATGTCAATGCAGAAAAGTTACTATCGGAGCCAATGATCGGTGGAGGCTTTGGCAGGCGTGGAGGCCCGTGGGGAGACCGGGGCATTAGTGGGGAGGTGTATGCATTGGAGCTGCGCGTCAAAGTCTCAAGGCGAGAACGGGAGCAAAGTTTCAAATTCTCAATTCAAGGGCCTGAGCCTGAATGACTTCACGGTAACATGCAGCGACGAAGGAATTTCACTGGTTCGATTTATCGACAAGTAGCGGCAAATTCCATCCACGTAGGATTGCCCTCAAGATGCAACGCATTGACATCTGTACGACTTGTTTTGGCCCTATCTTTGCATATGTTCCGCAACCGTTAGAAAATTTGTTTGGGATTTTGGAACGAGATAGGGGAGTCATGGAAAGTAGACCAATGATAGTCATTGACATCAACATTGCACTATCTCGTAAAATCAAGTCATTATACGTTATAGGTCCGTGTTCCTACATAGAGTTTTTGTTTCTTCCTTTCTTTTATTTATATTCTACTATGGATCAACATGTACCGTTATACATAGTATAACATATGTATATCGTAGCTAGTTATATTATAGTAGTATTTGTTGTCCACTCCATTCCCATTGATCCTGTCGATCGTGGTCTACTAAGCTACGTTTACTGAGTTTCCCAGGTCCACTAAGTCAATTTTGCTTCATTATTATTAAGTTCCGGGTTCGCACGGTCCACATGAACCAACAGGGTCCTTGGGATATGTGTGTCACTAGTAGCTTAGCTCTAGTCCAATTGTGCAATGCATGTGTTTCATGACAGCATTCTAGAAAAAAAAAACATATAGTCGGGGCCGAGATGCCCGTTGGACGAGATTCTAATAGAAGAAGGGGAAGAAAGAAAAAGAAAAGAGAAAAAAGAAATAAAACACTAAAATTGCACTAAGAATGTACATACAGAAGTAACAGAAATGGCAGAAGTGGAGTGAAGTGCTCAGGCCCTGCGCAATGGGCTGGGCTCTAGGCCGATCCGTGATACGGCGAGAATAGGATAGATATTGAAATTCTTGATAAGATGTCGTTATTCGTTATATATTCGATCCCATTCCGTGGTCTTAGTGGAAGTTAAAAATTCGATCGATCGAGATCATTAGATTATAGTTGATATAACAACGAATGGATACATGATAACCATATATAATATACATATGTAGAACACAATTGATATATATTGTATATCTCCACTATATTTGTGTACGCTAAGGACTTGCATACGGTGGAGAAGAAACGGTTGCACTAAATTTTCGCAAGGTCTGGCCTTTTGTCTATTATTATTATTATCTCATTATACAATATTGTCAGTAGATTAGTCGACACTAGCAATGGCTAGCTATTGGCATAAAATAATATACTCGTAAAGAACCCCTGTCGGTGGCAACAAAACAAAACTCTCTGCTAGTTGATTGTATATATGAAGAGAGCACATTGGAAATTAAACTCATCACTTTGCTTTTTCCTTATTCTTTTTTTCTCTTTGATTCCTGGATCCTTTTCGTTCCCTCTATTATTCCCTCTATACCTACTCCGTGCTATTCCCTATTATTCCCCCAACTCTTTCCGGGAACGGCCTTGTACGACTTGTCTACTCCAAATTCCTACCTTTTCTATCATTGTTCTTTTGTTTTTTTAAATATTGATTATTCTTTGTCAATCTCTCGTTCAACCTCTACTTTTTTTATATATATAAAAAGCGAAGGGAAAAAGAAGAGCAAAAAAGAAGAAGGGAAAAAAACGCACTACCCCAGATATGATCTAAGGTTCTGACTTATCCCCGTGACCTCTTACATCATTGAAAAAGAGAGGAGAGAGAAAGAAAGAAATGTCTAACTTCACATTGGAGTGTCCAACTGTTCAGCGATACTTTTTGGAACATCATCTGGAAAAATCTCCCATGCAAAATGCTTATCGGAGGGACTCCTCCTCGACGTTGCCCTCCGCTCCCCCTTCCCCAAGCTTCACGTCCGATCAACTTCTCTACACACCCCTGACCAACCTGTCAGAAGATGAATTGGTCCTACCTGCTTTCGATACTCTCAAGGACGAGGAGATGAGTGACGCGTCTACGGAATCTCATCCCTGGACGTTACAGGCCCCCTCCGCGGATGACACCTCCCTGGAGGATGAACCCTCCAGACATGTGGACTACCTCTCACATGACTGGAGAGAAGAGGACATATGGTCTTCCTGGCGCTATGTGACAAGTCGGAGGAACGACTACAGTAATAGCGTGCGACTGGAGAATGCCTCGTGGAGGACATGGGCCAAGGCCAAGCACAACTTGAAGACGATATCCCCGGAAAGTCTGAATTGGTAAGTCAATTTCCTTCCGTCTGTTGGTCATCATCGCTGACTCTCAATAGGCTCAAGGACTGCGATGTCACCTGGCTTTATGGTCCATTGAAAAGTTCCATGGAACGTCAAACTTCTCCCTCGCCCCCTCCAAGTCGTCTGGAGACCCCAAACTCGTATTTAGATAGGAAACCAATCTTGAAGAAAAAGACTGCTTCCGAGGCTATTCTACAGCGATCCCTGTCCCAACATACGTTGCTTCAGCACGCCGGAGCCATCCTTAAAGCCCAAGAAGCAGAGAATGGATGGACTAGACCCCCTTTCCCAAGATCCAACACAGACCTGGATAACTTGCACCACCGCACTGGCAGCTCGACCTACTCGCTCGGTGGTACACTGACCACGTCCTCGTCCTCCGGAATGGCGTCTCCTAGCGAGCGTCGTCACATCCATTTCAATAACGAAGTCGTGCAATGCATCGCAGTGGAAGCCAAAGTATACGAGGATGAATGGCCCTCAACCTTCGACGAGTCATCTTCCGACAACAGCGTGGTCATGATGCGACAAATTACAGACAGAGGTGTAGTGAGCGCACGCAGCACTCCCCGCAACAGCTTCAGTGGCGATGGGAAAACCATCGCTCCCCTTCCGTCAACAACCCTCAAATACCGCGGCGATGCACCCGAATCTCGTCCAAGCATCCTGGATCGGTGGTCCTCCCCAGCTACATTATCACCTACTCCCTCGGTCGAGACCCTTCGACCCGGATCCGAACCCTCCGCAAACTTCCTTTTGGACGATGAAGACCCAACCCTCGATTTCACGGGGAATCACCCTGATCGCGACCGTCCATGGTTCGAAGAACCAACTTCTAACCGTCCGCTCCGATTGACAGACTCAGGAATGTTCATGCCTGAAGACGAGGGCGAATCTCCCAGCAGTACCATCTTGGACCGGGTTGTTGATACAGTGAACACGGCGCGAGACATTGCTCATGTTATATGGAATGTGGGATGGAGACGGTGATCAACTGATCGCATTTACGACTTGATGGCCATACATAATGAACCCTTGGCGTTTGGTATAGAATCTGGACAACCAACATGTAACGAAATAATGCATAAACATTGAATAGCAATAACATATGAGAAAATAACCAAGCAACCAAGTATATAATCAGCACTTAGATAGGTACTAGTTATCGTCAGCTAGTTATATAACTATCTAATAGCTAATTCACTACTAGTTAGTAACTAGTAACTACGTAGTCATACATAGAGTAGTAGTAATAAATTAAAGATCCTCGGATTCCAACTGCCCCACAGCCCCTGATCTTTCTCCCGAACTTCTTCTCCGCATGAACTGTTTCTACTCAAGGGGAAAAATGGAAACAGTCAACGTCCCCGAGCTCATTGAGCGCCTGGGAAGCGATGAAGATGCCGTGCGCAAAATGGCTGTTTTCAAGCTCCAATCTAACATTGGCGATCCATCCTTCGCAGACATGTTCATCTCAGATGGAGGTCTGCTGCGATTACGCTACCTGACTCTCCACGCAAGTGGCAATACTCTCGCATATAGTCTGACAAGCTTCTCGCGCCTCTTAGATGTCGACAAGGGGTGGGAGTGTGTGGACCAAGAGCTGGTTGAGCGGGTGAGTGGTTCAATCCGCCTTGCGGACAATCATAAACAAGACCAAATTGCTAAGCCCAAGACATCTAGATTGTCGAATTAATCGTCACTCACCCTCTTGTCAATATTCTCCGCGGAGCAATGTCAATCCTAGTCTCGATCGTCTCCCACCCCTCAAGCACGCGCTCCCCAGACCTCTCCGGGTTCCGCGCCCTCAAACCCGCTATCGCTATATACCCTCAATTCCTCGAGATGCTAGTGAGCAGACTCTCCTCCGCCGATCATGCCCTGTGCGCCAATGCGCTGCAATTAATCAACTCACTCATGCGCGACTCCATCACCCACGACTCCGAGGCCGAGTGGCCGAAATTCATTCAGAAATTGCAGGATCTAGGCGTTATCAGAGCGGTTTATGTGCTGATGCAGGATCCTGCTCTGCAAGACCTTGCGCATCCGCTTATGGAATTCCAGTCTTTGACGAAAGTCCTGCTGCGCAAGTGGCGGGATATTCCTGTCAATCAGGAAAAACCCGAACATCGACGTGCGCTAAAGGGCATTCATTTGGCTAGTAAACCTGAAAAGAGTGAGGAGGAGGGCGATGAGAAAAGGTCGAGAAGACATCATCCCGAGAAGTGGAGGCGGCTTGGGTTTGAGTCGGAGAGTCCGGCTGGGGAATTCTACGAGGTTGGATTCCTTGGTATCATGGATTTGGCGGATTATGTCCGGAGTCATGGAGATGAATTCCAGAAATTACTCTTAGAACACTCTACCAAGCCTGCGCGACAGCGGTGTCCGATTGCGCGGGCTTCCTTGGCTGTCACATCTATTCTCTATGAGCATTTCGAGGTTGACAAGTCTGAAATGGACGACACGAAGGCTTTCATTTCCGAGTCTCGCACTGGTTTCGATAAACTGTTCCAGCCGCTACTGTTACACTGGACGCGCCTACATGTCGCCGGATTACAGGCTTTCTTCCGTCTGTGGAAGGCTACAGCTGCCGAAGCAGAGGATTTGGATAAGTTGGTTGAACTTGTGAGGATTCTCATTGAGTCCGTTGTCGGCGGCGCGGATCGGACAAAGGATGTTCAGGATGTCGAGGAGGAACTGGCTGATTTCGAATATAACCGATTGCGCGGGTTACAAATGGAACTTCTGGAACTTACGTATGAGGATGCTTGGGGTCAGCATTTGCGTCAAGTGCGCGAGGAACTGCATCATGAGGCTTTGCAGTTTGTGAAAGAGCAACGTATTCGATCTTTGCTCCAGGGTTGTTGGTTTGCGCTGGATCACAAATCCGAGGGCCCGAACTCTGCAACCTATCAATATGCTCAACTTTCGCATAATCGACGATATTTGCACTTTGGATCGTTCGATCTCATGGGTGACCGACCGCCGGAGTTGGATACTCTCCCTGAGAAAAGTGAGTTTCTCATACTGTGTCTCTTGGCCAAGTACTAACAATCCCAGTCGACCTCTCCATCGTCTCCTCTGTTGTCTCCAATGTTTCGGCAAATGACCACTCCTCCTCTGCAACAGTCAAAACATCTCGTCAACCCGCTACCAAAATCACCATCCATGGCTACGCCCCCTCCCCCAGCAGTCATGGAAAAGGTGCCAGTCACGCCCGTTCAGCCAGCAGGACAACCCAAAAAGAGGCGATCCTGCTTACCCTGCGACCCTCGTCGCACAGCATTGCGTCCGAGTGGTTGGATGGTCTACTGATGCTACTTAACCAACAGCCTATCACGGCGGAGACGAATAAACTGATTGAGTTGGTTAGCAACTATGGATTGAAGATTCGACTGCTCAATGTTCGCTTTGATGATGCTACTTTTGCAGGCGAGGCACCACAGGTTCCGGCAAGGGAGGGATTAGATGAAGATTATTACTATGATGTGTTTGGGGGTGCATAGACTTGTTTTCTTTCCTTCTTTCTTTTTTTTTCTCACTGTCAATATACCCGTTGTGAATTCGATTAACATAATGTCAATTTTCATTAATACAGAAGTCCAAAAATATGACCATATAGCTATACAATATATATGTAACTATGCCAAGTTCTTAAGTTGTGTACTCCGTAGAAGTGAAGTTGTCAGGTCCCAAGTATAGAAGTAGATGTAGATTCTTGGCGTCATAAGCTTATCGGATCTTCATATCTCAGACTTCCCTTCAACTCACAATGGATCGACCCGCAAAACGACAACGCAGATCAGAAGATGAAAAGCCCAAGTCGAAGCGCAAAGCAAAGCCCACAGTCATCGACAGTTCCTCGTCCCCAATAGAAGCAATAGAACCAACCTCCCCCTTCGCATTCTCCACACGACCAAAACAACGACTCCCAACAGCCTCCCCGCAAAAGCCAAAGTCCTCCCCAGACAAATCAAAATCCCTACACAGCTTCTTTAAACCCGCAACAGAAAGCCAACGATGGACCAAGATCGAGAAATTAACTCCGACTCCAGTAACGGATGATGTCGATCTCAACATTGAAGACGACTACGATTCCTACGATGAGATCTTCACACAACACCTAGCAAATGAGCGTGCCACCTCGAGTGCACAATGCACAAAACTGCCCCTCAATTCAAAATCAAAACCAAAACCCAAGCTCAAGGCGCCGGCTAAGAAGACGAAGCGGTTTCTCCTACCGAGCACGATCACGGATATTAAGCAGTCCGTGCAAATCGCAGATAAGAGACCATGGTCTCAGCGATACGCACCGGCATCAGTAACTGAATTGGCCGTTCATAAGAAGAAAGTCTCGGATGTGCGCTCCTGGCTGGAAGATGCCTTTTCTGGGAGGCGTTCGGAGGTGAGTTACAGCTCGTATGTTATGATCCTCATACTGAAACTCTGCAGAGATTACTTGCCCTCCGAGGACCAGCAGGAAGCGGAAAAACGACGACGATATCACTTTTATCCGAATCAATAGGCTACGACATCATCGAATGGAAGAATCCACCGGCGTCGGATTTCGGCTCGAGCAGCTATCAGTCCATGAGCGCTGTCTTTGAGGACTTTCTAGGCCGAGGTGACAAGTTTGGTGGTCTGGATCTTGATGACCATCTTCAACACGATAAGCGTATCCTGCTCATCGAGGAGTTTCCTTCCATCCTGGGCCGATCTACTGCCCTCATGGCTTTCCAGACTTCTCTCCAGCGATACTTAGCCGGTGCAAGAACTGATCATGCGCGCGGATTGAGCCATCCGCCTGTCGTGATCATTGTTTCGGAGACTTTGCTGGGGTCTGCGTCGTCGGTTTCTGATAACCTGACTGTGCACCGTTTACTGGGACCGACGGTATATAACCATCCTGGGACGACAATCTTGGATTTCAATGCCATCGCGCCTACTTTCATGTACAAGGCTCTGCGGTCAATTTTGGATAAAGAGGCAAGGGAGTCGAGACGCATGCAGATCCCTGGTCCCAGCGTTCTTGATCGGATCTCTGAAATTGGAGATATCCGCAGTGCCATTTCGTCCCTCGAATTTCTTTGTTTGAAAGGTGATGATGACGGGAATTGGGGAGGAAGTGTTTCGAAGAAGACTCGTGGCGAGTTCGCGCTTACGGCAATGGAAAAAGAGTCTCTTAAGTTGATCACGCAGAGAGAAGCCAGTCTGGGCATGTTCCATGCTGTTGGAAAAATCTTATACAACAAACGCATGGACCCAAGTCTGATAGACGATGATAGTTTTGACATTCTTCCACCTCCACCGGATTACTTGCACCACTGTCATCGACCGAAAACTTCACAGGTAATGGTTAATGAGCTGGTCGATGAGACCGGAACCGATATCTCGACTTTTGTCAGCGCCCTTCATGAGAATTATATCCCGTCCTGCGAGGGCGATGAGTTCACCGATACTTTTGGCGATTGCATCGAGGCGCTCTCTGATAGCGATATTCTCAGTGCGGATCGGAAATCTGGAGGTGCTCGCACTGGGATAGGAACGGGAATCAACACTTTCGGCAGCGGTATTGACGTTCTCCGGCAGGAGGAAATGAGTTTTCAGGTTGCGGCGCGGGGACTGTTGTTTGCGCTGCCATATCCGGTCAGGAGGAAGGTTGGTAACGGTGGACGGCGGGCTGGAGATGCCCACAAGATGTTCTATCCTACTTCTCTACGACTATGGAGGGAGGCGGAAGAAATCGATGGATTGGTGGACTCATGGTCCAATAGACTTCTCAATCCATTGCAACAGTCTCAAACTTCCGAACTCACAGGCGTCAGTTCCTGGAAGAGTCTGCAAGTTGGAAGATCTGATTCGGCTCAAAATCAAAGTGAAAGTGTGACCACCATGATGCCTCGGCATGATCTGCTGCTTCATCAATTGCCCTATATGGCTGTCATTCGAAGACAAGACCCAGATTGGTGGCAACTGAATAAGATCACCAGTGTTGGAAATGGCATTCGCAATGATGAGATTGAGGATACGGAGTCAACTCTACGGGTGATTTCATCTCATGGAGAAGAAGAGAAGTTGATCCTCAGTGATGATGATATTGTGGATTGATGTAAAATAATCAAAAGAAGATCTCTAAACAAATAGACTGTACTCTTTCATATGTGTATACTTACATGTGTAGCTATGGAACCTATAGAAAGTAGTAGCTAAACACCGGCTTATTTCCGAACCCCGTGATATTTATCTTATCTTCAGCTTCAGCTTCTCAAGTCCTTGTCCATTCCCACACTGTTGCATTTGCAATTCATTAGAAAAAGAATAGAAAGTATGCTAAAATCAATGCCTAATTTCTAGAAGAATACACTAACAGTCACAGAATGCTCAATGACAATGACGCCTCAAAACGAGGACACGAATACCCGATCAATCGATCACGAGTCTCAACTCTGAACACGGACAAAATTGCAGACCTTGTCTCTTCTCATTCCTGGGACAAGGTTGACTATGCTCAATTGAAAAAGGATGCTCCGGGCCTGGTTGCGGCCGCTGCCCATGCGGTCGTGCCCAGCTGGACGAATATGGCCATGATGGTTTCTTTAATCTTTGGAGGCTGTTGTGCCAATGTGCGTTATTTTAAGCTTCGTTGGAACGAGACTAATGTGTATTTAGGTCTTTGCACTGGAAGCGATTATCAAGTAAGTCAAATATTTCAACTTCTACAGCAATTGCTAACAAATCAACAGAGAACAACCAACAGCCGGTAAGCAACCACCACCTCCACAATAAAAACAAGAACAACATCTATACTAACACCTACAAAGGACCCCTTATAACATTCGCCCAATTCATCATCTGCGCCCTCTTCACACTCCCTCACTTCCTATCTCCCTCCTCGGGTCTCAAAGCCCTCTTCATCAAACCCCGCGCCATCCCCCTTAAATCATGGATCATCTACACAGCCTACTTCCTAACAGTTAACCTCCTCAACAACTGGGCCTTTGCATATAGAATCTCAATCCCACTGCATATCATCCTCCGCTCTGCCGGCCCAGTAGCCTCAATGATAATCGGCTATATCTACAACGGCCGCCGTTATTCCACCGGCCAGATTGCCTCAGTGGGAATGCTGACAATTGGCGTTGCAGCGGCGGCCATGGCCGATGCGCAGGCGAAGGGTTCTCTGAAAGCAGAGACGGATACTGATATCATGACGACTGTTACGGGATTTACCATTTTGGCACTTGCCATGGTCCTCTCTGCTTTCCAGGGAATATATGCTGATCGACTGTACGCAAAGTATGGACGAGATCATTGGAAGGAGGCGCTTTTCTATTCCCATGCGTTGTCTTTACCACTTTTCTTTACAAGTTGGGGGCAGTTGGCTAGGCAGTGGCGGGTTGTTATGGCGTCGCCTTCTTTGGTACAGGATGGCGTGCAGGTGTTTGGATTGGTCAAGTATGGTATTGTTGCGGACTTGCTGGCGCAGATTCCTGTTCAAGTCGCGTATCTTGCGATGAATGCTTTGACCCAGTACCTGTGTATTCGAGGGGTGCATCTTTTATCTGCCAAATCCAGTTCGCTGACTGTGACTATTGTGCTGAATGTCCGCAAACTGGTCTCGTTACTCTTGTCGATTTATCTGTTTGGGAATCATTTGGCCGGGGGTGTATTGATTGGTGCCGCCCTGGTGTTTGTTGGTGGTGGACTGTATGGATTCGAAGGTGCGCGTTTGAGAAGTGCAGCGAAAAGAAAAGTACAGTGATGGCAGTTGGTTTTCTTTTTTAAAGAAACTAGCATGTCGGGGGTATTATCGGGGCATTTGCATCCCATTTCCGGGTATACAATATGCGAATTATTTGTTGAAAACCATCATTGACTACCATCATTACCATCGTTACATCTTCGAATTCAGTTTTGCTTGGGAAAAGACATATCGATATCATGTGCAGACGATAATTGTACATAATTGAGACAGACGCAGTAATTCAGCTCGACTAAAAAGCAAAACATAAGCTCTTGATCTATAACACCTCCCCGACAATCTTGGCAGCTTCTTTGTATGTCTCCAATAGCTTCTCGCACTTCTCTCTCTCGGCCTTGATGCCATCATCTTCATAGAGAAGCTCGCTGAAAAGATCTTCTTTATAGAGTTCACTGACGAGTCTGTTCTGCACAACATCCTTGCAGTGGTTGACAAGAAGATGCATGACTGCCTTCGGGACTTGGTCTGCAATTGTCTCCCGGACGATGGCAAAGTATGATGAAATCAAGCGCTGAATGAGCTCGCATTCGAGCAATTCACGATCGGTGAGTGCGGGCTCGGTGTTCTCATGGGGCTATAAAGGTTAGTCGGAAATTTGGACAAATGGATCGGTCTTGCAGAGCTTACGAAGTTAGATAAATCACCACCAAACTCGGGGGGTGCGGTGTATTCCTCGACTGGTACAACCGGAGACCTAACCTCGGCACGCCGAATGCTCTGGCTGATACTAGGTTCGGTAGGATAGGGGTTCGAGCGGTGTGAGCCCAGGCCAGCTGATGGGATTGCTGTGTTTTGTGTGCCCTCCTTACCGAAGAAGTAGTTAAGGAAGGAATCACGAGCAGTGTTTGAACCAACGCCAAATCCGGCATGGTTGGAGTGAGCGCCATTCAGAGTCGCAGCGATGCCATTCTCGCCCGCACGACCGACGTGAGGGGACAAGCTCCGCGAGCCCTTAGTGGACTGCGTTCGATGAGGAAGGCTTTTTTCTTCTTCCTCGTCAGGACCTCCTGTGCCATTGGGAGCTCCCAGTTCCTTTTGGCGGCGCTTCTCGCGCTTTCGCTTCTCCTCTGCCAGGACAGCTTTCCTCTCTTCGTCCTGCTTGTTTTGGATGATGGAAGACATGGCGGCGGCGGCACCGAGGAAGTTAGGGTGGTTGGTGTTGATATAGGCTCTTTGAATAGAGATCAAAGATTCCACATAGCTGGAGCAAGGCCCGAGGCGCTCACGAAGAAGGTCGGATACCACCTCAATCAGCTTTCCTTGGAGACGGGGGAATCGCAGGAGTTCTTGGTTGCCACATGTGTGACAGATCTTGATGAGTTCTTCATAGACCAGTTCCACGCATCGCTGACTAGGCGATTCAAGGAGCTTGATCTGGGGCTTGACCAGCAAATCAAAGGCTAATTCGGGGACAAACAGACTGGGACGAGGACCTGTCGAGTTGCGGATGGCCGTTCGGATGTCGGAAACGGTCAGATTGTGGGTGGGGTCGATGGTCTCTAGGGAGTTTCCAAAGACAGAGTTGAAAATGTAGTAAATCCGAGCTCCGCCGCAAAGCTCCTTAGTAGAGATCTCCGATGAAGTTCCGTCGATAGAAGAGATGAATGAGGCAGCAAATCTGGTCATCTGTTGAAGAATCAATGATCCACGGTGCTCTTCGCCGCTAAACTGCTTGTTTCCATAGCTGGCCAGCTCCTGTTGAGTCTGACCCATAAGAGTATTCAATCGAGCCTTAATGTCTGGCAGGCGGTCTCGAATATGCGACATAAGTGTTGTGTTCAATGTCTTGGCCAAGAAATGCGTTCCGCATCGGTTCGCCATGTTTCGATAAGCTGGGTGATGTCTGAAAAATTCCGATTCAGCCCGCAAGGCGTCAGAGAGAGACTTGCCAGACTGGATATCCTGCTGTGATCGATTGACAACACCAATGAAACCAAGCTTCAATGGATACACACGTCCGGACAGGATGTCCATGGCGTTTGTACCATGATCCATGAGATCCAACTTGGATAGGACACCAATTGTCCTCCGGCCCATGGCATCCACCTGGCGAGCGAGCTTCAGCGCCTCGGAGTTGACCAAATCGACATTGGCTGGAGAGACCGCAAGAATTATGCTGTTCGGCTTGGCGATATATTCCAGAATCAGGGTGCGCGTTTGTTTCTCGATATCGGAGGGTTGGTCGCCAATGGGTACCTTTGTCAATCCGGGCAAATCCACCAGCGTCAGGTTCAGCACATGAGGCGAGAAGATCTTCAGGTTGATGGGCTGTCTGTTGATTCCTTTGTTACTTCCCGCAATCCTTGCCGTCTCCGCTTCGATCTCTTGCTTCACTTGCGCAAAGTCATCGAACTTGCGTCCTGGCAAGTGGTGAAACTCGGCCCATTCGTGTTGACCGGCAACACTGGCGGCCGTGTGGGGGATGTGGACCTCATCGGATTCGGGTTTATCATCGCGTTCACTGGGAACGTTGATAAGTTGAAGAATGAGCGGCCGTCGAGTGACAATTCCGCTGCCTCTGGGAAGGAAGTCCCTCCCAACTATATTCTCTAGGACCGAAGACTTTCCGGATGATTGCGAACCAACAACGACCTGAGAAGGGGATTAGTTCAGGACATCAAGTGAGTTTACTTTTCGGCAACTCTAGGTTTAGTAAGACTCACAATTTGGGGCAGATCTAGAGAATCATTTCCAATGGTATTAAACACCAAATCCTGGAGCTTGTTCACTGTCACGAGCAGATCCTCGCCCAACGATGCCATGATGTGTTTGAGGGAACCGAAGTTCCTGTGTAAATCGAGGGACAAGGATTCGTGAAACGAGGGGAAATACGCGCAAATGAAGTCGCGTGCAGGTAGGCCTAAGCCCTTCGGCTTCTACACTCTGTTTATGGCCACTTTTTCGGCACACGTGATGCTGACATAATGCTCTGACGTAGATGATTTGGGATTTCACTTAGGAGCGTCAACTTGTTATTAGTTAGTTAAATGATATGTGGGCATCTATATGTGAACAATATATATATTACAACGCAGTTTGTAATGCCTCAAAGATTCATGCTTTCGTAATTTGGATTTGTATTGAACTTGGCATTTTCATACCGGTGTGAATCACAGAATACACAACCAAGTCTAGTTTGAAAAGTGAAAAGAAACACAGAATAAGGTAACATTGCGAAGGTTGAGGTCAAATCATGATCCAATCACTCATCCAGTTGAACATAGTTGGCAGGGAAGAGTCCTCGTGCGCCATTGTATTCACCAAGCCACCAATCATCATCGGGGAATTCCTAAAGAATTGACATAGTTAGCACAGTGTATATTTTGGGGGAAAGGAGAGAGGGAACAATCAACTGGAGAGGAGTCCACTTACCACGTTGGAGATCTTTGCATTTTCAGGGAAGCTGATCTCGTTGTCTTCAGCAGCCTCGTAATCATATAAAGCTGTGGCAGAAGGACCCTTGGACGGAGCAGCTGTCGGGGCCGCGGCGGGCGTGGGGGGAGGAGGAATAGCAGCAGGAACAGCAGCAGGAGCGGGGGCAGGGATGTTCTCAGGCTGATGAACAGGTGCTGGCGCGTGTGCAGCCTCATCTTCCACAATTTCGACATAGTTGGCTGGGAAGAGACCACGCTCGCCCTGAGAGTTAACACCCACCCACCAATCCTCATCCACCATTTCGATCTCGGTCACAAACTCGCCCTCACGGAGTTCGATCTCATTGTCCTCGGCCTTCTCGTAGTCGTACTGGATCTGAGCCCGTGGTCCACCCTGAGTTTGCTCGGGTTCAGGCACGGTAGCCTCAGCCGCAGCACGGCCAAGGTCATGAGAATCATCCTCCAATTGTGTCTCATCCGGAACAATTTCCTGCAGACTCCTGATAGGCATGGCAGGGGGCGGAGAGTGCTGCTCCTCGTGGGCATCAGCAACCTCAGTGGCATCGGGGGCACTTTGGGCAACCGGCATAGCAATTCGAATGGGCGAGTTGTCACGCTCAGGTGAGCTGGGAGGTGATGGCGAGCGAGGCTGGGGTGGAGGCGATGGAAGCACCTGCTGAGCATCATGAGGGCGCTCGGGCTCGGTGACAGAGGGCAGCCCCGGCACAGGAACAGGGCGACTGGCCTGAGGGATGGGAGGAGCTGGAGGCGCGGGGGTTTCTTGGGCAAATTGATCACGGACTTCTCTCACATGAGGTTGTGGTTGCTCCTCAGGCTGGTCATTAGCCCGGGCATCCACCTCCTGTTCGGGCAAATGCGACTTTTCGCGGGCAGTCTGAACGGTAGCCCAGGACTTGCCAGCATACCCGCTCTTCCATTCGCCTCCACTAGGCTGGTTTTGGATCGGGGCGGGGACAGACTCAGCACCTCCAGAGCTTGGAGCCGCTCCGCGCTCTTTGGCTTTGCGCTCAGCCCAGATTTGAGCAGGAGTCTTTCCACCCTCGTCGGCGAAAGTTCGGCTAGCAGCACCAATCTGCGCACTTGCGGTCGGCTTCGAGTCCAGACCAGCGGGGAGAGGCGGCTTTGTTCCGGGGAAGGAGGGACCGCCACCAAACTTGTTGGCAATCTTGGGTTTCGGCAGGTCTGTCAGGCGGCCCGAGGCAGTAGATGGCACAGGTCGTTCGGGTAACGTTGTGGCAGGCTCGTTGACAGCAGGGCTTGGTGCAACGTTGCCGCTGGCACCCTCGGGCTTCTGTGCCCTTGCACGAATAGCACCAATATCAACCTTTCCAACCGGTTCATAGGAGCCCTTGACGGTGGCTGGACGCTCGTCCTTCAGGTTACCAGCTTCGGCCGCTTGCCTTCGAATTGCGGCAATATCGACTTTACCCACTGGCTGATATCCGCCCCGAACCACATCTCCAGCATCATTCGAGGAGGCAGCAGCGGACTGACGAGTAGCTGTAGGGTTTGACTTCAGTTCTTGCAAGTTCACTCTGGTGGGCTGGTAAGCTGGCTGGACCTTCTCCAGTTGGGTGCGAGTAACTGGAGGAGCATCAGCACCCCATCCATCATCGTCCACATTGGCCCTTGAAGTAGGCTGCACGCGGGAAACGGGGTTGGGTGCAATCCCTCCAGATCGAGTGGGTGTGAAAGCAGGCTTGCTGGCCACCGCAGGCCGAAGGGCAGGAGGCGGAGCAGAAGACTCGCCTACTGAATACTTAGAACCGGATGAATCTGCCACTCGCTTGATAATTCCCTCGGGTGTCAAATCTCCGTCTGCACGGGCTGTAATTTGCACATGATATCCCTGTTTACCCCAGATTAGTCCATGCCATCACACCCGTTGCGAAAGGGGAAACTCACATGGAGGAACTTGGCGACGGTAGCCAGGTGGCTGGTGAAATAACCCTTTGTTCGTTCTGGCACACCTTCTCCACACCATCCAATGAGGACGTTCTTGGGGAGACCGGTGTTGGGGTCCGTCACCTTTACATAGGCGAATTGCACTCGTCCTTCGGAGAATTCCTCGATGAGATCGGCCAATTCACCCTCTAATATAAATTATTAAACAAAAGTTAGATTCAATGATGGATTCTTTCATTCACTAACCTCCAGAGGTCTGGACCTTGAGGATACTCTCCTTGCCTGCATCCTGCTGGAAAGCGCTGACAAGCGGGGTAGAAACTGAGAAGACGGCCCATTGACCAGCAGTTGGGGAACCTCCATTTGCCGATGGAGGAGGTGCATTTACCACTGTTTGGTAACTCTTTGATATCGAGGGGCCATTGGACGAGAGGTTGAGAGATGCCATGGCTTCCGGGTAGGCGGGGGGAGGAAAAGGGAAGCTCGATGGGACCACGTGGGAGGATGTAGTTTTTGCTTTTTGCTTTTTTGATTTTTTGCTAATTCACAGTATGACCTGTGTATGATGGGACGAGCTGTCAGTAATAAGTCGTGGAAAGGTAAATTTCCAAGTGGACGTGTGGTGCGACAAGTTGTGAATTAACAGATAGGAGAAGGATGATTGATTGACGTAGCCCGCAATGGGGTATGTAAACAAGTGGACTGACCGAAAGGCGGAAGCGATAGGTGAACGTTTCGAGGGTTTGAGGAGAGAAATACAGAGAGTATGGAGAATATAAAAATGTGTGAGAAAAGGAAGAATATGAAGAATATGAAGAGAACACGATGTGAAGTCTAAAGATGAAGAGAGAAAGAGTTGAAGTTGATGCCTAGTAATTAATAAGGTGTACGGAGTAATCGGGGGTACTTCAGGGGTACATCGTCCTAGTTCAGATCGTTTCAATTCCTTAACAGTTCAACAAATCCAAAAATCATAGAAATAGTTTCTGAAATTCAATGAAGAATTGACTAAATTAGAAATGGCAATAGATTATAGAGTGACAGTATAATAAATTGATATATCATACTCTAAATTGATGTTATTCAAATAATAATAATAAATTCAAGTATAGAGAATGAAGCTACACCTAGGTACATATAGTTACCTATGTAATTTCAAGATCGTAAGTACTTGATAAGTACCTTTCTCCTAACAACTCATTGATCTGGACTCTCTCTGGGCTCTTTTCCTTCAGAGCCTCTCTCACCGGCGGGTGGGGAGAACTTGAACTCGATTTTTTTTTTCTTCTCGAGATAATATATTTATATATTTATATACATTTTTAACATTTTGCTTTGTTTTCTTCTATTCCCTTTTCTTTTCTTTTCCTCTAACACTATTGTCTTACTGGACCACCTCGATCTCTCAGACGGATCACAATTAGGCGGTGCGACCCAAGTTATGCAATAGTCTCCTTCATACCTGCATTTTTCTTCTTTCTCTCACAGACCCAGTCATGGGACCTCAACCCGATCTCAGTTCCAGCCGGAATGCCAACGCATCATTCGTCAATGATTCAGCCACTTCTTCCCCGGGTTTTCAAAGCCCTGCCGATACTCCATCCTTGGAAAAGTCCAATGCCCTAGACCAACCTACTGAGGATATCCTGCCTAGAGATCGACAGCAGAAGACCGCAACCTATGACTATGCCTATGAGAAATCCATGAGTCACGCCGAGGCGAGACTTTTCTATCAGCATCATCAGTTGGCTGCACGAAACAGCGATACCTTGCCTTCGAGTCCCGTGGCAGCTGCCCGCTCCGATCCCCAACCCGAAGAAGCCCTCGATCTCCCAGATCCGATGAATGCCCAAACTCAGGTCACCGGCGAGGGATTCATGGTCTCAGAGTCTGATCCCGCGATGCTACACCTACAGTCTGAAGAGCAAGATCCCGCGTCTCACTACCTTGAAGAAGACCAAGAGGCGGCAAGCAGCTCTGCCCAGAACCAGGCGGCACTTTTGGGCGCGGTCCATGGGCAGGGTCCATACCAGGCAGCTTCGGAGGGCCTACAGAGTACCGGGCTGGGGATCGGTCAGGCTCAGGTCGCCAGTGGCTTTACTTCGAATAATGCTGCTGTGACTTCGGAGTTGAGCGCCATCTACCGCAAGATCAAAAATTTGCTTGACCGCCGAAATCAGTATATGGAATTGTCATTGCAGCGACCTGGGAATGATCCCAGGGACCAACCGGATTGGGACATCTACCCTCCTCCCCCAGAGCCAGCGTGGGATGATGGCAAAGAATATCAGCCGGGAAATGCTGGCGGTCCATCCGATCTCAACGGGAAGAAGAGAAAGATGGGCCAAGATATCGGGGAGGACTTCGATATGGAAGAATTGATGCCTCTCCCCGGAGAATCATCTTGGACGTATAGACTGGACGGCAACAGTGTCTACCAGGTCTTTGAATCAGACCCAACCGCCGATGAGCAGAAACCCATTGTCCAGATCCCTTCTCTGCGTGATTTCTATATGGACTTGGACGCCGTTGTGGATGTTTCGACAGATGGACCTGCCAAAAGTTTTGCGTTCAAGCGTCTTTCGTACTTGGAAGGCAAGTTCCAACTATACACCCTATTGAATGAATATCAGGAGATGGCGGACAGTAAGAAGGTCCCTCACAGAGACTTCTACAATGTTCGTAAAGTGGATACTCACGTTCACCATTCTGCTTGCATGAATCAGAAACATCTGCTGCGTTTCATCAAGAGCAAGATGAGAAAGTCACCGGATGAGGTTGTCCTGTTCCGTGATGGAAAACATCTGACCTTGAGAGAGGTCTTTGAAAGCATTAATCTGACTGCTTATGACCTGAGTATCGATACATTGGATATGCATGTAAGTGCCTTGTCATACCCCTGGCCTGTTTGTTCCTCTCAATTGTAGACCAAACATATGGACTTCTTGGTCTTTGAACCGGGCTGCCTCTTCGGCCTTCCTCTTCGGCCACTTTCTGGGGCATCTGGATCAAAAAGGTGGCTTTTTCTGACAGATTTTGCAGGCACACACGGACTCATTCCATCGTTTTGACAAATTCAATCTGAAGTACAACCCTGTTGGAGAGTCCCGATTGCGTGAAATCTTTCTCAAAACCGACAATTACATCAAGGGCCGTTACTTGGCAGAGATCACCAAAGAGGTGATTTCCGATTTGGAATCCAGCAAATACCAGATGGTAGAATGGCGCATCTCGATCTACGGTCGTTCCCTGCAAGAATGGGACAAGCTTGCAGCTTGGGTGGTTGACAACAAACTCTTCTCGCCTAACGTTCGTTGGCTCATTCAAGTGCCTCGTCTCTACGATGTGTATAAGGCCAGCGGCATGATGGAGAACTACGAGCAAGTCATTACCAATGTCTTCCAACCACTGTTCGAGGTGACGAAGGATCCTTCCAGCCACCCGAAACTTCACATATTCCTCCAGCGTGTGGTCGGATTCGACAGTGTGGACGACGAGAGCAAGCCCGAGCGCCGGCTGTACAGAAAGTATCCTATCCCCCGTGAATGGAGCACTAAACAGAACCCGCCATACACTTACTGGCTGTACTTCATGTTTGCCAATATCGCTTCTCTCAACAATTGGCGCAAACGCCGAGGATTCAATACGTTTGTTCTTCGACCCCATTGCGGAGAGGCAGGTGACCCAGACCATTTGGCTGTTGGTTTTCTCTGCTGCCACAGTATCAGTCACGGGATTCTGCTGCGCAAGGTTCCTCTTTTGCAATACCTTTACTATCTGGACCAGATAGGCATTGCCATGTCACCTCTCAGTAACAATGCACTGTTCCTGACATATGACAAGAACCCGTGTGCTAGCTTCTTCAAGCGAGGACTCAATGTGTCTTTGTCCACCGATGATCCTTTGCAGTTCGCTTTCACCAAAGAACCTCTCATTGAAGAATACTCCGTCGCAGCCCAGATCTACAAGTTCAGCGCGGTCGACATGTGTGAACTCGCCAAACATTCCGTCGATCAGAGTGGATTCGAGCACTCCTTGAAGGCTCGATGGCTCGGCTCGGACTGTTCCCTCCCAGGTGTCTCTGGCAACAATGTTGCAAAGAGTAATGTTCCAGATATCCGCGAGGCCTTCCGATATGAAACTTTGCTTGGAGAATTGTCCCTGTGAGTAGATATTCTGCAGAGTTCCCGGTTCATGAGCCCAAGAACTGGCACTAATCATATCACCATCGCAGAATCGAGCAATATTCCGAAAGCAATGGTTCCGAAGAGCAAAAGGCTTCAGGCCCAATTTCAGTTCCTGCGAACCAAACGCTTGGCAAGCCCGGGGACAAGGTGCCTTCAAACGGTAAATTTGCTTCAAGACCTTGATTTAGCTGTTTGCAGTGCACTGACTTTTAATATCTCGTTGCTAGATCATTCCTCACCTAATTCCAAACCTGAGCTCCCTACAGATGGCTCACACGGTGAGATTGCGGGTATGACACAAGTTCCTACTTCCCCGTCGACTCCGTCGACTCTTTTAGCTCGATCTCCTCGTGTCGCCGCGGGTGAGTTCTCATCTCCCAGTAACAATGCTCTTGGAACCGGTGTTGGGGGAGCGGCCGGTCTTCCAGAGCAGAAGATCTTTCCAGGTATCGTTCATGAGAGGGCTCGAAAAGGGAATATGCATCAATAAACTATGCAAACTTGGGTCATTTCTGTTTGAGCACGGTTGTTTCTCTCTCTTTCTTTTTATTTTGCGGATTCCATGACTTGACATTTCCTGGTCTGAAACAAACTTATATCAAATTTATTCCACTGCAACGAATGTACAGTATAGTTAGCTGCTGTATATTCGCGTTCGGAAGGAGATTAGGAAGAATCTCCAAAGAACCTCAAAAAGCCCCGCAAGGACCTGTAGAAATAAGTATCATTACTAGGGGTATTGAAGAATGTCGCCAGACATTCTAGCCAGTATGTATGAATGGTTGAGAAAGAGGATTTTGATGCTACTTGGTATAACTTGAATTACACCCATTCTCAATCGAATCGCAACAGTATATCTACCAGCCAATGCCACACTGCTCATGTGTCATACTCACATTCTGAACAAAGGGAACGTCACAAATGCCAGGCCAAATCTCGATTAGAAAAATTTCAATATGCAACAAGTCATGTTAATCATCAGCTAGAAACGAATGCACGCTATTCGAGAATACGATACAGGGTCAGTCGAAATTCAAATTCCCCAACTGCCTTTACGCTCTGGCAGTCCCCAGCTGTCAAGGTTGGTTTCATCTTCAGCCATACCTGGCTCTTGTCGAGCCCATTCCTGAATATAGAGGCGGAGGGCTTTCCAACGAGCACATGCATCGGCAATTTTATCATTTTCCGGTGCAACAACGTAGCCCTTGGCATCGGTGTTCAAATCATCACGACGAAGATCTTCAACGGAGATGCCAGATATTCGACTGAGCTCGTGGTCGTAGTACTGCGCAATGCACGGGTACCCCAATGACAGGTAATTGTAGATCTGTGTCACGAACCCATCATGAAACTCAGACTCAATGACCTTCTGGAGGATTGGGCTTGTGGGTTTTCGAAGGCCATTGTTCCCCGGGGACGCTGCAAGACGATCCAAATGGGTGTGTGACGGTGACGGACTAAGTCCCTTGCTGGAACCCATTGAATCAATGCGAGGCATAGGGGTTTTGATACCGGGGAAAAGGCCATGGACCTGCCGCGGCCGATCCTCGTCTTTGGAACAAGTACCCATCCACAAACCAGTGCCCTTTGAACCATCATGACAGGGAGCTGCGCACCACAGACCGTCACAGCCGGTGCACAGCTCTTGCGCACCATGAGACAGGATATCCATGTTAGAATGTTCACATATGGTTCCTTCTGGTGACAGGCTTTGGGGTATGACAATGTCGTTTCCAAGCATCGGCGGGCTGCGGCCATTCTTCTTATGCTCTGGAGGCAAACCTGGTTGTCCAGAAGTGATCATGGCCCGGAGTCTCATTTCAGCCTCCTCTTTGTGATGACGCATGTATTCAAGCTCCCAGGACAAATCTGCCGAAGATTGTCGTCGAGACTTGACATGATGATATTTCAAGGGGGATACATCCTCTTCAGAATCTCGGTCATAATCAATGCCAAAATGATCAACAGGCTCATACACCTGTTCATTAGGAAAAGCAGCCAAGGTTTGATCTTTCAACTGCATCTGCGCGGACCGGGCAGCAATTGAGAGCAGATATTCTGAGAGCTCCTTGTCGCAGCTTTCAAGGGGTAGCTTGGTATCGTCTTCATACTTAGTTGCTTTCCCGGACGACCCAGGCAGTGAAGTGCATTCCGAGTGCGATCTGGAGTCATCCGACTCTTCGCTGCTATTAGAGGGAATTGATGGGAGTTCAGGGATTCGAAATGAGTGTCTGCGGGCCTGTTGTTGACGCAGAAGACTGGAATATGAGAATTTCGATTCAGATGACGGATGGTTGTCCGGCCAGTGACTAGTGCCTTTGTTGATGTCTGTGAAAGTGGCGGAATGTCCCACGGCATTGTGCCGCTGTGAAAGTCGAATCAATTGTCCTCTTCGAACTGAGCGGGTATCGGTTTCTATGAGGTCGGGTTTGAATCGTCTCGGTGCCGGCGATGTCTTGGTATGAGACGAGGAGTTCTGCTCTTGGACTTCGGAGGCAGAATAGGCCCTTCTATTGCTGGTCTTGGTCGTTTCGACTGGTTGCGGTAAAAACCTTCTGATAGGTCGATATTCATCCTTCAAAGCTTGCTCTTGACTGTGGCAATCTGCTCCGGGGGTGGAGCTTGTGTCTTAGAGCTTCTCGACGAGGTTTCCACTGGTTGGACCAGAAATTTTCGAGGTTCCCGTGGTGCTTCACTTGCAGATCCAGTATCATTTGAGGGCCTGGATTGAGATTCGCGAGTGGATAAATCTGGGGATGATCTAGTGTGGGTAGATCTGCAGACCTCTATTGCGTCTGGTGTGTCCACCCCAGGTTTCCAGCAAACTTCTGGAGGGTGGTGTCCCATTATACTCACAACTCAGCACAGCCCTTAACCATTCCTTTGATATCAGCGTGGTTGGGAGAAAAGCATTATGCACTTGGTCTTATCGCTTTGTTTAGGAGGATCATGCGGGGTCGAAAGAGCGGTCTCGGTGCTGAACAGAAGAGTGAAACCTATCCAGAAGCCAATTCATTTCACCATTCAGAGCATCCCAGTCCAAGAGGAGTTGTACTTACAAGTCTGTATACCCGGTGAGGGTTTTTGGTCGGAAAGGCGTTGAGCTTGGCATACGACAGTTGGGGGAATGTGACAACCTGTATTTATTTGTTTTATAAATTACCTGTAGTACCTATACCTGAGTCTTAATACATTAATCAATGATACGATTGGTCCTGAAAACTTTGGATGACATCAATCTTGTAATACATTACCATACTTATACCTAGGTACACCGCATCCCGCATCCCACGATAGAAATCTGCGATAAGATAAGGAAATGTCGACAATATCCACACTAGCCATCGGATTTCTCTTCTCATTTCCCTTGTCTCACCTGTCTCACCTCAAAATGGTATTCAAAGATAAGCGGAAGTTTGACGATGAAGCTCAAAATACCAGTTCAACACCGAAGCAAAGGAAGGTGATTGGACCTTCTCTCCCTCCTACAGCTCCGACAGCAGACGCAACAGATAGCAGCGAGAGCGATGACGATTTCGGCCCAAGTCTGCCTCCTTCCGATCTCTTGTCGGGCTCTAATGGGCCTGAAGCCGAAGCTTCTGGTGTAATTGAAGGGCCTAGTGTGACTGAAACGGCGGAAAAGGAGAACCAACGTGATCAATGGATGTTACAACCTCCAACCCAATCCGACTGGGCTTCCAAGATCGACCCCACGCAACTACGGAGTCGCAAGTTCAATACAGGAAAGTCAGCGACTGCAACCAAGAAGATGGACTCATCCTGGGTTGAGACCCCAGAAGAGCGAATGAGGCGCCTACAGGATGCAGTGATGGGCATCGGCGCCTCAAAGAATCAAGCTCGGGGTGAGGTGGTATCCAATACAAAGTCAAAGGAAGACCAGATTAGACGATACAATGTAAGTTTTGCGTTTTCTATTGTTCTGTCTTTGTTTTTTCTAAGCCTGTATTTCTCTTCTAGGAAAAGAATAGGACAGTCAAACTGGGAAGCTCTGAGCAGGCTCAAAAAGAAGATGACGATCCTAGTGCACGGGCATTTGACCGGGAGAAGGATATGGCTGTTTCTGGCAAAATCTCTAGTGCACAGCGCCGGGAGATGGTAAAGAAAGCTGCGGATTATGATACACGTTTTACAAAGGGGAACTTCTTATAGCCAAGTATCAATTTACGGTAGTCAGGCTAGAAAAAGAATTGACTATTTTGGACATATCAAATTCTGTTGTGCTTGACTATGATTTTATTCAGCTTGAATAAGGTATATTAACGATTTGAAAACATTTCCATATAGATTTTACAATCAATGGGTCAGCATTTATAGTCTATTATCACTGCAATATCAATTTCTATCTAGCAGGACATAAGACATACTTATCAGGGTAGTTGTAGTTATTTCATACCATATAAAGATATTGCTAGTATGAGGGGTTATGCGGAGGATAAGGAAATAGGGAAGAAGTAAGAAGAATAAATGAATAGAAATAGTGTAGGAATGAAATATTGCAAGACGAGAGATATTAATAATTTTTCATAGAAGAAAAGTTCTGTGTAGTGATATAAAAGTCATGGTTTTATTCCTAACGGTATTTTCACCCTTCTAGAATTTTAAAATAATGATAACCAATTCAATCACTATGTTCAAAATCCCCTAAAGAGCATAAACATTACCTTTCTTTATCACTTTTCTGCATCAGTTCTTTCGAGTTTTCTCTACTGATTTACCTTGTTATGACCTCCCTGGGCCTTACATACCTTATAGACTCGGACACGAGTCCGATGCCGAGCTAGAGATCATTCCGGAGACCTAGCCCTCTCCTACTTCGCCTGCGCGTGCCGAGCCGAGTCCGCATGCACCACCACCACCACCACTAGTCAGATTGCCGGAGTCCACATAGCCGACAATCGTACTTGGGGAGCAGGCCGTGCTCGCGGTCGTAGACGTAGACGGGCCGGGGACAGGGAGATAGTGATGGTGGAAATAGTGGCGAAGGGCTCGAGGGTGCTGATGGTTTATGAAGAAATGGGGGTTATAAAAGTCGTGTATAAATAAATGAAAGGCATTATTATTGCAGGAACAAGCATGAAATTGTGATTAGAAAGGTGTGTTCTTGACTATGTAAACTAGAACTCAAACTGTTACGAGCCAAGTCTTGATGAAAAAGAGTGCATTCAACTAGAATACTAAACATGGGGAAAGAAAGGAAGAAAGAAGAAGAAAGAAACAACACGGCTGGAACAATTAAGGTAGTGATGCCTGAGGCATCCAATCAAACAATGTAAAACACGAACTACGAAAGGCGGTTCCGGATCATTGACCCTGAATTCTTCGTGACACAAACCTCCAAAAATAAACCTAGCAGAATATATTAATGCTTAACAAACAATGCAAAATCAGGCGTTAATATTACCAAAGCGGGTAAGGGGTGTCCCTATACTATTCCCCTGAAAATAGAACATTATAAATTATAACTTAATATAGCAGGTGTTATTGTAAGACCCCGTTACGAGGGTCTTGGGACTTAGGTGGATTCGGGCAATAGAATGGAGAAAGCAGTAGACAGGTTCAATGCTGAACTAATCGCTGGAGTCCAAGACTCCAGCCTCTGAACTGTTTATATACAAATGTGGGGTCATGTGAGGTCATGAGCCCTCGCATTGTGGGTCTCAGCCCAGGGTCCAGTTCGCACCTGCGAACTGGCCATCTCGCAGTCTATGTGAGACTGCGAGATATATATCGTCAGACCTGCTTAGTACTTGGGTCCTGACAGTTATATACCAAAAAGTTAATTCATTAATCTTAGATTATCCTTAAAACAAAGATAATATATGCATTATAAACGAAACGTAAATCTCTGCTCATATTAATTAATATAATTTACAATTTGTCTAATGGATTTCAAAAATTATAACAAGATTTAATGCTATCTTAAAAAAATCTCTACTGTAAGGGAAACTAAGGCTCTAGACTTAATTACCAAATAAGGAATACTCTTAATGGCACAGTAACCAAAAAGACCACTTATGACAACCTGATCGGTTGTCATACCAGAGTTTCCATTACGTTACGTCCTACCCAAGGGGTCACTTGACCCGGTATCCGAGATATACTATCGTGTGGATTTTCCATTGCATCTACAGAAAGTTATATTACTATCCTAAAACTCTATGAGTGTAATAATAAAAAACATTATAATCTTCTTATCTGTTGTCATGTGAGAGAAAGGTAAAATACCGTTAGGAATCATTTTGTTATCACTTTTAATATCTTTAGAATTAGTGAAAATTAATCTTAAAATTCTTCTTTTTTACAAAGTTCAAAATGTCTCTTATCTTCTTTATATTTTGTTCCTACACTGTGTTCTATCAACTATCCTTCGTATTTCCTATGCGCTGAATAACATCTAACAAATATATTTTGAAGTAAAAATAGTCACTATTTACTTACCTCTTGAATTTAATTATAACGGTCTTTTTAGACCATATAATAGAAGACAGATAGATCAACGAAACTGCTAAGTACTTTTGCTAACCTTTAGCCTTTTCCTAGTATGGCTTTACCTAGTTGGTTTTGACAAGACTATATAGGACGAGGGGTAACTGATCCGACTATATAACGGGGAAGTTCTGTTTACAAAAAGGATTCGGACTTAGTGTTACTAATGAGGATGATCTATAGGCCCTTAATAACTTTATCTAGGGGTATAAGATAACTTCGAAAAGCTAAAACATAAAAAGATAGAAAGGAAATTTTTAATATTATTTGTTTCGAATCTTTGAAAATATACATATGATTGATTACCTTAAAAAGGACAAAAAAATCTATATTATTAATTCAATGAATGAAACTATAATTATTAGTAGATTTACTAATAATAATGATATAACGAAAGAAGAAGGGGTCTAAGTAAATATCCCGTTGCTCTAACTCTTTATACCTTAATTAATAGTATTACGCGCTTTATATACACTGATCTATGATAATAATGATTAGATATATATAGATTTTGAAATCATTATAAAGACAGATATATTGAATAAGATATTTACTACTTAGTACAAACTAATTAAAGCTTTATTTAAGAGCTTATTTCTTAAAGGCGTACTAATAAAACGCCCCCGGACCTATAGAGCTTACTAAGTGCCTTTTATAGTTACTAATTCCTAAGGAATTATAAAATCCTTTAAAACCCTTATATCAAGACTAATCAAGATCTTATTGAAAGCCGTATACTTCTTTCCCGAACTATCTTAGGTAACTTGAATATTACTCTTTATCTCAAGATATTAGAACAAAACTTAGAACTAAACTAGTAAATTTTGATTACTAGATCTTTATGAATCTATTAAAAAGATAAAAGATAAGGCTTATATATATACTCTAATCTTAAATAATAGAATATATATAGCTCCTTAATAAGATTAAAGAATTAGAAGTCTTAGAAAATGATATTCTGCCTAAATACAAGGCTTATTAGGATATTTTCGAATATAAAAAAAATAAGGACTTTACTTTAAAATCAAATAATAGATTATAGAATCAATCTTAAAGAAAGGACTAAAATATTATTTAACATTATCTATTTACTGTTTGGTAAGGAATTTAAAGGGTTACAGAATTATGGATAAAAAATGGGCTTTAGAATCTATAATAGCTATTTTAAATGTATAATTAATTAAAAATAAATTAAATAAATTACGGAATACCTTCGTGATTTTCTAAAGTCATATATATAATACACTTAATAGACTAAACGCTATTATTTATGTAATATATCTAAATAATATTTTAGTGTTTATCCTTAGCTAAAAGAGTTATTTAGAGATATTATACTTTATATTTAAATACCTTAGAAAAGCTAAGCTTTATATTAAATAATTTAAATATGTATTCTATTGCAATGAGTCAGAGGTTCTCAGGTTTATTATAAATAAAGAAAGTATAAAAATAAATAAAAGTAAAATAAAAGTCATTTAGAGTTAAGAAGAACTTATTATATACTATAATCTAGAGGTATTTCTAAGGTTCTATAACTTTTATTAATATTTTATAAAGGCTATTTATGGATTATATAGCTCTTTATCAATATTAAAGGATAGTAAGAATAATTAGAAATCTAAAAGTTTTAAAGTTGATTACATTAAAAAGATAGTAAATTAAACACTGAAAAGAGCCTTTTTGTTAGTAAGTCTATTAAGATACTCTAATCTAAAAACCCTAATTTGATGAGAAATAGATATATTAAAAAAAGGTATAGCTCTAATTATAAAGTACGCTTAAATAGCGTTATTAAGCACGATGCTCTAGTTATCAAAGATAGTTACGAAAATCTCTAGGATTTATATGAAAAGCTTTGAGAATATTAGTAAAAAGCTAGTAAATTATAGAAAAATTACTATTCATCAAACGCCTATATTTTAAGTATTTCTATATTATATTAGAAAAGAAATAGCTATATTATACTATATTACCTAATAAGTATACCTTTTTATATAATATGTTCCTTATGTAGCTCTTATAAAAAATATATTAATATTATTGTTAGATAGTAATTAATACTTATACTAAAGCTATAAAGAGATAACGAATAAAAGTCAAAGAGGTCTAAGATAATTCATAATTTAATAAAGACTTGCGTTATCAAGTATAATAGACTAAAGTATTCAGTAAGCGAGTGACGTATATAAGCGAGGAACGTAGCCTAGAATACATAGTAAAAACGGTAAATTATCACTTAATATCTTAATAAAAGTGGTCTTTAACTCCTTTAAAACAAAGATATAGTTACTATAGGCCTTCTTAATACTTATTAATCTACAATAGAATAATTGTATTATATTTTAATTATAGATATAATAATCAATAAATAATATATTTTATAATAATAAAATATTTATTCGCTACTATTCTAGAAAACAAGGGTTAACAGTAAATATACATTTACTAACTACTACTTAGTAATAAGGATAAATAAGAGATATATATTTACCACTATTTAATAGTCTGGATAGATAGTAAACATGTACATACCCGGTCCGTACGACCTAATACCTAGCGGGCGTTAGGTTGCTATAGTATAATCAAATCTATAGTCTAATATAATTCTTACCTAATATACCTTCTTTAACTATCTACTATCACCTACCACTTTACCGGAC